ATTATTAATAATATTAGATAATATAGATTAAAAGAAATTAAGATATTATTTAAAAAGATAGTTTATAAAAAGTTAATTTTATTAATATTAAATAATGATAAGATATATATATTAGATAATTAAAAGGTTTAACTTTTTTGTTATAATATTATAAATATAATTAAAAAAAATATAAAAATAGATAATATAAGATAGAAGATTATATTTATTTTAATAAAAAAAACTATATATCTATAATACTAGAATATTACTATTTTATAAAAAGAAATTAGTTTAATTTTAAATTAATTCTTATTTAAAATAATTTATTATTTTTAGATCTATAATAAATAGATACTATTATTATAATTAGTTTATTAAATAAGTAATCTAGAAAACATATAAATAATCTATAAATAATTTATAAGATCTATAAATAACCTATAGGTTATTTATATAACTATTTTTAAGTTTTAATTTTTTTAAATCTTTTAATCTAAATCTTTAAATATTGATTTAGATATAAAGATTATAGAAATCTTATTATCTATAATGATATTTAATAAATCTAAATATTATTTACTTTATTAAAGTAGTAAAAATATCTAAATTTAAAGAATTAGATTAAAAGTTTAAAGGAAATCATAATTTATAATATATAAAGAGAGATTATAATATTTAGATATATATTTTTATTATAGATATAGTTAAAATATATAAATATAGGATTTTTATATTACTATTATTTAATTTTATAAATTTAATTAATAAAATAATAGTAATTTTTTATATAGATTCTATAAATATAATTATTTTATAATATTTTAAATAATTAATTACTTTAAAAATAAGAATTATTTAATTATAATAAAAAGATTTATAATAATCTATTTATAATTATAATTATCTTTATTTTATAATATAAACTCTAGTTTTTTAATAGCTAAATAAAGAATAAGATTGATTATTCTAAATAATATTAAAAAAACCTTTAAACTCTTTTTATATTATATTAATAATAGTTATAAAAGAGACTAGAAAAAATATTTATTTAATCTAATCTTATTAAAGATATTAATATAAATTTTGATTTAATAATTAGTCTTAGATATTAAATTAAAAAAGAATAATAAGTTTATATGATATATCTAGCTTAATATATATCTTCTTTTTATTAAAATTTAATATCACTAATATATATTAGGATTAATAAAATTGAAAAATATTTGCTAATAATAGAAAAAATATAAAACTAAATTCTTAGCTTTCATAAATCTTACTTATAATATTCTTATAATCTTTATAACTAGTATTAAGATTAAATATCTATTTAATTTAGCTTATAATATCTATGATTATTAATATAACTTATTAAATACAAATATTATTAAAAATCTTATACTCTAGAAATATACTATTAAATTTAAAGTTAAGTTTATTAAGCTTATACTTTATAATATATATTTAATTAAATAAGATATATAGATAAAATAAAAAAAAGAATTAATCTTTTTAAAAGCTAATAAAGCTTATTAATAAAGATAAAAAAAAGAAAATAAATTTATAAAGTTTTTAAAAAGATATCTAACTATTATTATTAAATAAAGCTCTATATATAGAGAAGAAAATAAAGAGATTATTAAATTACCTTTTTCTTTATAATCTTAATAATAAATAAGGAAAACTTATAAATAAATTAGAAAAGATGATTTTATAGAGTATTAGTTAATATTTAAAATTAGTAGTACTTTATTAAAATCTTAATCTAATTCTAAATTTCCAATTATCAAATAATCCTAGTATCTTTTATTTGATATATAAACAAAATACATAAAAATATAATTAAATTATATATAATTTATATATTTCCTATTTATCTTATTTGACTAACCCATTTTACCTATATAACCTAGCGGGTTTCAAAAGTAGAACCGTGACCTAACCTGCAGGTCGGGTTGGTGATCCGTAAACCTATTTCTTAGCAGGTTTTAGATAACCCGTAATAGGTAACCTGTGGGTTGTGTCGAGGTCTATATAGAAGAATAGTCTAAGAGTTTAAAAGATTTAATTAATACTAGTAATAATATTAATAATCCTTTATTACCAAGTTATAATATTTAATTTTATATATTAAAAAAGAAAAGAAAATATAAGAAGGATAATATATATCAGACTTATTAATTTTTATTAGATTTAAATTATAATATATTAATATATATTTAAATTAATTAATAATTTATTAATATATATTTAAATTAATTAATAATTTATTAAATATAAAATAAATAATATAATTAAAATACTCAAAATTACTAAAAATTTCTATATTATTTATACAGTCATAAGAAAAGAGCATATTTATATTATTTAGTTATAAAAAGGGGCTTAACGAGTTTCTCCTTTCAAGCTATAGGCTCAAAGCAAAATCCCAAAACCCATTACGAGTTTTGGGAACAGGCTTGAAACCCGATCCTTTTGAGGGTCGAGTCGGGTTAAGTTTCGGGTTTTTCGAGTTTTGCGGAAGTCTAATCTCGGTGTTGTAGTATCAGACTAAGGGGTCTAGTACTGCTGCAGCACTGGTGCCGTAGCACTTGTCAAGACCTAATATTGATAGACTTTATATCTAAGCATATAAGGGATATCCAAATTATATCCTCTTAGTGCGAGAAGATCCTTAATTTTATTTTTGCTAGTCTCAATAGGGTTAGTGTCTTATTAAATATTATTTATAGAGTATTTATGTAATTTAATATAGTACTGCTATTGTTTTGAATATACTATATATACTGACTTTAGTCTTTAGAGGTTTGGCAACTTATATCATATAATACTATCATATGTTTATATCTATAAATATAATAGGGTTCTCTCCATGACAATGGGTTTACAGAGGAAGCAGTGTAACCACGTCATCGTATAGGGAAGCGTATATGTTCCGCCCGCTAATTAATAGCGACACCAGGAGCGATATCAAAGGATGGCATCATTACCTCTAAATCCTCTTACAGTACTATAAAGTATAAAGATCACTCTAGAAAAGGATCTCTAGAGATTCTAGCAAGAATCAGTCTTATGAATAAGTATTAAATACCGATCACCCTTCCTCTCTCTATTCATTCCCAATCCGCATCTTATTTCTTACCAGGTTGACAGGTCTTACACCTGACAACGTATACCCCTTACAATAAATAATATTATATGACTATCTTATATGATCCTTATATAAAATTAAGTTTATACTTTAATCAGCCTGACATAATACAAATTATTAGCTTTAAAAGGTTTTGAAAATCATTTATTTGTTTTTCGCTATATAATAAGATCTTATAGATAAGTGATTATATTAGATATTAAAATAAACATAATATTATGTGATATAGTTACATACCCTTCTAAAAGTCTATATATACATGGTATTATACCATACTAAATCGTCAAAACACGCAGTTTAGAACTTGCAATATCTCAACAAAATAATACAACAACCTATTTTTTTTATATTTTTATATACAAATTAAATCAAAATAAACTATACTTTATTTAGAGAGCAAAGTGATTAGAGATCACTTTTAACAAATAATATTTTTTTGAAATTGACCTTTCTATTTTTGTTAAAATTTACTATAGGGGAATGAGGCTTTTATATAATAAACTTTCAACCGATTTACAACCTTTACTTTTTATAGCTAACTAATTAATACTAGCAATACATATAAATTACGAAAAGAGATATAATGTAATTTTAGTCTTATATTTTCATCTAGTAAAATTTAAGACTATATTGTCATAATAAAGTATGGAAAGATTGGATGATAAAAACAGTACGTTTTGGCGATTTAGTATAGTAAAATACCATATGTATACAGACTTTTGGAAGGATATGTATATGATAATATCATGTGACATATACTTCATTGCAAGTCCTCTAAGGCTAAAGTCAGTGTGAATAATGTAATATAAACAGTGATGATATCATAGTAAATTACACAGGGGCTCTACTTATAATGTTCATAATGGGCTAAACCCCATTCGGTTTAGCGGGGGGTGCAATTGGTGTTTTTCCCGCGCTAAGGGGGTGCAATATGGGCATCCCGAACATAAAACCCTTACATGCCACATGACTTTCAACCCCTTTTCAACAGAATCATCAGTTATATACGACCTAGTTCTTTCGAAGTTTCATACTCAAGCTTGTATGCAAGTTTGCCTCAAAACACAAAAATGTCGAAGCAATATTCTTGCGTATAAACAGCTTTCAAACGTGCTGGCATACATATGGATGCCAGTACCTATTACAACATCTTGCAGCCTCAGCTGATATTCAGAGCACGGAGCAAGCAGTTATTGTTTCAAAGGTTCTACTCCGTACCGGGGTCTATGGATACCTAGGTAGGGCTAGTCATTTGGTAGGCGTCGTGTAAATGGTGTGCTATCTAATACAGTATGTATTTAACTAGTTTGCTTCTATATGATACTAGCCTCGCTCAGCCCAATTTTAGATCATACTGAACCGATACATGTATGTTTCTCCCTGTCAGACTATTACCCCAATTCTCCCCTTCTTTTGTCTTGATTTATCAAACGGCGAGTAAGGTCCTTTCGCTATAAATGAGTCACAGCGGTAAATTAAAGTCGAGGCTGAGAATAAGTAATACGGGCGAGAAGATCAACAAATGGGACTAGAGAGATCCTGTTGCGTATACGGGTGTCGACAGCACCAAAAGAAAAAGAAAAAGAAAAAGAAAACATGATACTTGTCTTCTCAACTGTCTGTTTGGCGGTCCTTCCAAGGTTCCAACTAATTGTCGAGTTATCATGGTTGGTCGAGAAAAGAATTCTCGGCTAAGCTGTGAATAGAGAATAGAGAATAGGGGATTGGGGATTCTAGACAAAACAATATCTTTATCATGGAGTATTATTAGCGTGAATAATATAATGACTTAAAGAATCTAGCATTCAGATCTAATATCACTTTTGAGAGAGCTTAATATAGTTACTAATATACCTCCACCAACCTGAACTCACACACTCGCTTCCTGCGTTGCAAGACTTTGAGCAATAGAGCCTCCCCTCCAAGCATGGTGATGGTCTTGTTTGTGAAGGAGTCGGCTCTGATCTCCGGGCCTACCCCATCCTCCGCCCCCCGGTGTATAAACTATGATACGTTCCCCTGCTTGCATATGGGCAGAATTCTTCGCGCCCAGATTAACGTACCGCTCCATCCAGCCCCCATTGGAGTTTGGAACTCGACGGACCCAGATGTTCTGGCCGCATTGGGCATCCTCGCCCCCCTCCAGCCCGTAAGGACGATATACTCGTCGTTCCGAGAGGATAGAGACTTGCACCGGGATACGGAACTCAATGTCTCGCACAACACCATCGCCACCACGGTGCTGGCCCTCACCCCCTGAGTTCGGCCGGAGACTGAACTCTCGAAGTATGACTGGATACCGCCGCTCGAAGACTTCTGCATCGGTGATTCTGGTGTTGGTCATATGTGTGTGAACGCCTGAAGTGCCTTCCCAAGACGGACCAGCACCACTACCACCGGCAATGGTTTCATAGTATCCGAATCCTTTTGTCGCCGTCTTACCTAGAATGTTGCCTCCAAACCCAAAGGTAAGGTTGTTGGTATCACCCTGTGACGCAGCGCAGGCTTGAAAGCATCTAAGAATGACATCTGTCACTCTTTGACTCGTCAACACGTTGCCACCCACCACGGCGGCTGACCCGGACGGGGATAGGAGACTACTATGAGGAATTCGAACGTCGATTGGCTTCAGACAACCCTGATTGAGAGGTATGTCGGCTGAAATAAGACATCTCAGGCAATATATGATTGCCGAGTATGTAACAGCTTCTGGTGCATTGATATTGCCTAATCCTATTAGTCAATTGCGTTTGCCTTCTGGTGAATGAGACTGTGATACCATATACTTCTGGACCAGTTCCCTCAAAATCAAAGACTGCCTCGCCTTTCTCACGGTTTATCGATATCTTCAAGTGGATAGGGCTTCCGTCGTCCATGTAATCAACAGCACTCAGGTCTTGGCCAGCAAATTTGGCACTGACTTCTTTCAACAGGTTTCGCACACTCAGCTCTGCATTTTCTTGGATTTGGTGCATGTAGAATTGCACCACGGCCTCTCCATACTCTTCAATAAGAGCGCTTATCAAGCTGATCCCCTTCTTGTTTGCCGCAATCTGGGCTTTGAGGTCATTCAAGTTGTCTGCAAGACAGCGGGTACCACTGCAGTCGGGATATCGAGCTGGTTCCGTATAGAGCAGCTCCGTAATGCGTTCTTCGTTGAATTTACCCTCAGATACCAGTTTCTCACTCTTTATGGTTGCGCCTTCTTGATACAGCTCTTTCGAGTGCGGTGGCATGGACCCGGGCAAGATTCCACCAATGTCGGCTTGGAATTGGTTAGAATATCAAAGTCTTGAGATAGGGGGCTTTCGATTCGGAATAATTTACTTACCATGGTGAGCCCTAGATGCGACATAGAAGAGAATCTTTCCCTCACTAAACGCAGGCTGTATAACCGTGATATCTGGAAGATGAGTGCCACCCAATTCTGGATGATTGGATACAATCACATCACCAGGCTTCAACCTGTTCTGCCAGATGCGCGATTGCATTCGAACACATGTCGACATACTACCCAAATGGACCGGTAGATGTGGTGCGTTTGCAACAAGCCCGCCCTGAGCGTCGAACAGTGCGCAAGAATAATCCAGTCGTTCCTTGACATTGGTACTCACGCTCGTCTTCTGCAAGGCACGACCCATCTGCTCGGCGATGGCCATGAATCTATGGGAGAAGACGCTCAACAGAATCGGATCCACGTCCTGGGTGCTCGTCTTCTGGTGGCTCGCCTCAGCATCACCAATGCTGATGACAACGTGAGTCTTCGTTAAGAGTGCCGATGCTCCAGGGGTCACAACGATGGTTTGGGTATCATCGGCCAGGATTGCTGGTCCTTCTAGGCGTTCATCAATGCTTAAATCACCGAGCCTGTAGATGGGGGTGTCATGTCTGCCCCCTTCAAAATAGACCTGAGCTCTGCGATATTCCCGACCTGTCCGCACGTCAGATGGATTGGACTCGTGGATTTGCTGATCCACGGTCTTCTCGGATACTTTGAAGCCTTTACCAATCCCTCGAACCCGAATGTCATCCACAACAATGTCCCGGTTGGGAAGAGTGAACCCAAACTCCTGCTCGTGTTGCCTCTCGAATGCTTTGCCAAAGGCCCACTCGTCACCCCCAAAAAGAAGAGCTGCATCTTCTTCGGTTGGCTTCAGTATCATCAGGGCAGACTCGGTGCCTTGATAACGCATGTTGAGGTATTGTTCAAAAATGATTGATTCATCGCCAAATCCCTGGGCTCGCAGTCTCTGCGTCGACCGTTTCTTAAGATTTTCCATTCTTGTTGCAAGCACATCTCGTACTTCCTCCTTGTCCTCGGACCATGTCTTCGACTCGGGCTCTTGGTTCTCGTCAACAACATCTGCCAACGCCATACCATAGGCGGAAAGTACCGAAGAATAACGATGTATGAGAATTGTCCGAATCCCGAGGCTTTCGGCAATGGCAACGGCGTGCTGGCCACCGGCCCCTCCAAATGTGGCCAGTCTATGCTTTGAAGTGTCATGGCCTTTGGCCTCCGTCAGCGAACGTATCGGACGGGTCATTGTCTCATTGGCAACTTTGATGAAGCCAAATGCGACCTCATCTGGGGTCATCTCTCGGCTTTGACCCCCCTTTGCTAACTCGCCATTGATCTCCTTGGTGAGCTCTTCGAAGAGATGTTGACTTGCATGCTGATCCAGTTCTTGTTTCTCATCTGGACCAAAGATCTTCGGAAAGAAATCTGGGACTAATCGACCGAGAAAGAGATTGGCATCGGTCACCGTCAACGGTCCACCTTTGCGATAGCAAGCTGGTCCTGGATGTGCTCCGGCGGACTCGGGTCCAACGACAAAGAGCCCGTTCCGGTAAAATAGTCTTGATCCACCTCCTGCTGCCACGGTGTTGATATCCAATTGGGGGGACTGGATTGTTACTCCGGCTGTGGTTGTTTCAAATACATGCTCGTATCGACCGGAGCCATATCTGCTCACGTCTGTACTTGTTCCTCCCATATCAAAGCCAATCACCGGGATTTTCGACACCGGGTCATATGAAGTTAGTGCATAGCCAACCACACCCCCCGCAGGGCCTGATAGAATTGCCCGTAGACCAGAGAATTGGTCTACGTCTACCAGGCCACCGTCTGATTGCATGAATTCGCAACGTGCCCCCTTGGTCCCGGTCTGCTGCTTGACACTCTCGCTCCCTAACCCACCTTCAAATCCAGACTGGAATCCGGAAATGTACTTCTTGATGGCAGGAGTCAAGTACGCATCTGCACAAGCCGAAGTGGTTCGCGGGACCAACTTGATCATTGGCATAAGCTGGTGACTCAAACTGACATGGTGGAAACCAATCTCATTGGCAAGTCTTCCCACCAGGGCCTCATGGTCTGGAAAGGTGTACCCATGCACAAGGCACACGGCTATGCTTCTGAGCCCACGGTTATAGATCTCCTGCAATTGGGATCGCACCTCGCTTTCAGAGGGTCGCTTGAGGATTCGAACGGCCTCGGAAGAAAGACCGCGAACGACATCGACTGCTGGCGAAGCTTGCTCACGGGGAAGTGTAGCTGTCAGACCCTTTTCCGGATCCTCTGCGTAGTCCTCCAAGGTGACACGCTCATCCACCTCAACAACCTCTTCATATAACACATCAGGGCGTTTAATGGCAAGATCAAAGATCCGTGGGCGGGATTGATTTCCTATATGGAGGCAGTCCTTGAATCCCTTGCTGACGACGAGTGCAACCTTTTCCCCCTTTCGCTCTAACAGAGCATTTGTGGCCACAGTCGTGCCCATGCGAATGCTTTCGATTAACGAGGTATCAATAGGTTCCCCGCGAGGAATTTCACGGCCTGTGAATCTCGAAAGAATACGACGGATCCCTTCCAGTGGTGCATCCTCATAGTTGTTCGGGTCCTCTGACAGCAGTTTGATCACTATGTCATCCTCCAGCCGACCTGATCCCGGATTGCCCACACAATCTGTGAAGGTTCCGCCTCTCTAGATCACATTTAGCACCGGCAGTGGACAGAACAGAGACAAGGAAAACCATACATCAATCGCGATACGAATTCCTTTCGGTGCTGTCATCTTTCCAATGAGGGGGTGAAGCCTTGTACGGAGGAAAGTGGGAGAGATCATCCACGGAACTGTAAGAGAGCTAATGCTGTTCCCCGCGTTTGGCTACGTCATAAATGGACCAGCTAATAGGTTAATTTCGATGCTCTGAGAAATACGTAATTAAGTACATGGCTACTGACTGGTGTGGCTACGACAATTAAATGAATGAACAAAAACAAAGAGCAATGAGACACTACTTTGCGAAAGACACATCCCCCTGGTCGGTCGAACATGGTGAAAGATAAATCGCTTTCAAATTGAATCTCGAAGGGGCGGGACGGAACTCATCGTATTCGACTGGGATCGCTCGGCGTTCGCTTCGGTGTCCGAGCTGCTGACCAGGATAAATTACCAACGCGAAACAAAGGGAATAACTGGGGGATCAAAAAGGGACAGCAAGGAAAGGAAAAGAAAAAGACGGGGACACATTCACTCGGCCCCTCCTAGTTCTGAAGTCTTCAAAGCATTGGGAATCAACAGAGGCAGAAGGAGAAAGATGTGTGCCACGTTATAAAAATCGTCAACGAGCCTCGCCAGCCATGTCTTTGCTTGTTTGTTCTCTCCTAAGCAAAATCGCAGACACCACCGGGTAGACGAGACGAAGGGAGGTCAGGCATGGGAGGATGAGAAACTGAGTACATCTACTCAGCGGTATCAAGCTCATCATGGGCAGAGGGCATTGGGTCCAGGGGTACTTTATTGCAAATCAGTAAGAGCTTGCGAGGCGATGCAGTGGAAAGGGGGGAGAAAGAAGAAAGGATACCTTTCCTGTCGTCACCGTTGGGAACGTTTTCACGGTCATCTTCACGGCGCTCGCGGTCATCGTCGCGTCTTTCCCGGTCGTCCTTGCCATCGCGTTCGCGGTCATCGGGGCTGCGGGAGCGGTCGCGAGAACGGTCACGGTCACGGCGATCATGGTCACGGTCACGGCGGTCGGAATCGCGGTCACGGCGGTCGTAGTCGCGGTCGGCGCGGTCGTCCCGTTCGTAACGATCGTCTCGGCGAGGAGAGTAGTCGCCTCCACGGCTGCGGCGAGGGGAGGGCGAGCGGCCACGGCGGGGGAGGAGTGCGATCACGGCGACGCTCACGGGGGGGCATCACGGCCAGAATCGCGGCCCGCTTCACGGCCGGATCCAGAGTCGAAGCGCCAAGAAGCGGAGGGAGGAGTGCGAGCCCACTGAATATAGGTTAGAGGGGGGATGGAAGAAGAAGATAGTATGGAGTATATAGTGACTTACCTCGATCTTCAGCAAATCGTCGCGACCGATCCGCTTGTTGTGCATCTCGTGGTACGCATCATCCGCATCACGACGACTTTCGTATTCCACAAATGCGAAGCTAGTCCACAGGGTTAGCAGACTGTGAAGATCCTTTAAATGATCAGGTCGACCTACAGTCGGCTGGAGGGAGTGCGAGGAGCCGGGATGTCGCAGCGAACAAGACGACCGTATCTAGTCAATTTGTCAGCCTGATCTCACTCTAGATCGCCAAATTGAGAAAAAGCGAGGTAGAAAGGTGGGTGAAGGGTGGGAGAGAGAAAGAGAGAGATTATGACGAATGAGCAAGACTAGCGGTTGACGAGACGCGACAAAAGCTCCGTGCGCATCTCAAGCTAGTTTGGAAGAAAAAAGAAAAAGCCAAGCGATTCATTGCCAGTGGTCTCGGTTCGTCGTCGGGATGGGAATCGGAGGTCGTAGCGAAGGTATAGGCGACACACGTACCGTTCGAATTCGTAGGCAAGGTCGCGGGCACGGGTGCCATGGCCGAACCCGGTAACATAGAGGGTGGTTCCAGAGCGAGAAGACATGGTGCCACTGGCACTGAGGCAAAGATGTAAGATGGAAGAGGTGGGTAATGGAGCTTCCAAAGCTTCAAAAGGATAAGAGTATAAGAGTATAAGAGAAGAGGAGCCCGAAAGAATTAGGTGATGAAGAAGCTACGGTAGTCGGGAAAGACCAGATGTGCAGCTGCAAATGACGAAAGGCGTCGTTTTTTAATACACCAACCAATACACATAATTACACATAATTACTTTTGTGTACTGTGATCAGGTGAGATATTTATGTATGGGTTTGTATTGTTTTGTAATGGCTCTTCTATTTCACATAGATCCCTTTCAGAGTCTATATCAGTCAGATTTAAACTATCTTCAGAAGATACAGTAGGTATATCCATCGACTTATACGGAGTACTCTGTTCAAAGTAACAAACTACTAGTGTTGTGGCTAGCTTATATTCATAAGAACCGTAGTTGGTACATACGTAATTGCCAGTGGCGGACCATCGGGAGGTACCGTGTCTGTCGGCAAGTCGGATGTTCTCTATCGCAACCTTACCTTACTTTACTTCATACCTCACGACTGCTTGACTCATTTGCTTGCAATTCCCTTTCAGTGTCTTGTGCGCACCCTTTCATCATTGTGTTCCAGCTCCCGATCTTGATCCCTAGGGGGGAAAGCGAGCCCTCCGATCCCGGCAAACCTTTCTTCTTGGCCTTGCTCCGCCTGGGAGAAGCTCCTGTCGATTCTTCCTCTCAACCCCTGATTTATACGACCTCCCAACCCGATACTCTACTGGAATTCAAATCAATGATGTGCATTTAGATCATCGAGTCTCGGGAAGACGGTCAACCTTCATGGCTAGTGCTATAACAATACGAAACAGACTGCTGGTGCTTTGCTTCATACACCTGACCACCAAATCCACCTGATTACAGTGCGTTCGGTTTACAGCGCTTTCTATCCTTTGAATTCAAGAAGTACAGAAGAGAATCATCATACCTTGGGACTCCCCGGATTGCCATATCGCTGCAACTTGCGCCGGATGCGCAAGCTATCATAATGAGCTTGGATCGACAGAACGTTGCTCGCAAGGACGAGATGGAGAGTGCAGCAAAGTCTAGCTTGCAACCCCTGCCCCAATTGCCCTCTACTACGGTCATGGTGAGCCTGAAGTCCCGTCTATGTGAAGTCGTCATTAATCATGAGCCAACAAATTAGGATGCTGCCGATAGGCCACCCCCGAAGCTATGGAATCGAGCACGGAACAACCTTGCCGAGCCAGTAGTGGCTGCCTTCATGGCTGGTGGAGTAGCGGGTGCAGTCTCTAGGACCATTGTATCGCCACTTGAGCGGTTGAAAATCCTCCTCCAGATTCAAAGCGTGGGTCGGAATGAATATAAAATGTCAACTTGGAAGGCGCTGGTGAAGATGGGTCGAGAGGAAGGCTGGCGCGGCTTCATGCGAGGAAATGGGACGAATTGCATTCGCATTATTCCATACTCCGCTGTACAGTTCGGAAGCTATAACTTCTACAAAAAGGTATGCTATCCTATCTCACGGCATGAATCGTTTTTTGCTGACTTTCGTCCGTTCTTAGTTTGCAGAAACCCCCGATGGTGACATGACTCCAATGCGACGCCTCATCTGTGGAGGTGCAGCAGGTATTACCTCGGTGACCATCACCTATCCGTTGGATATCGTTCGAACCCGACTCTCGATCCAATCAGCTTCATTTGCCGATTTAGGAGCAAGAGATCCTGCTCAAAAATTGCCAGGCATGTTCACCACGATGCTCATGATCTACAAGAACGAAGGTGGATCCCGCGCTTTGTATCGTGGGATTGCGCCCACAGTGGCCGGAGTGGCCCCCTACGTGAGTCTCTGTCCTATCTGTCTCAGTCTGGTCGAACTAATGGTCGTCAACGATTAGGTGGGACTCAATTTCATGACCTATGAATCGGTACGCAAGTACCTGACACCCGATGGAGACAAGAACCCCAGCTCCTATCGGAAATTACTTGCTGGTGCCATCTCCGGGGCAGTTGCTCAAACATGCACATATCCTTTGTCAGTTCTTGTCCTTCTTCCCATCTTTCTCTTCTTCTGTCTCGTCTCTCTGCTTTGCATCTTTCTCGCCGTGCCAAGGCCTGTGATACTGGGTTTCTGACTATTCTTCTAGTGATGTACTGCGCCGCCGATTCCAAATTAACACCATGTCCGGCATGGGCTACCAATACAGCTCGATATGGGATGCTGTCCGGGTCATTGTGGCCGAGGAAGGGATGCGTGGCCTCTTCAAAGGAATTGGGCCCAATCTTCTCAAAGTTGCTCCCAGCATGGCCAGTAGCTGGTTGAGCTTTGAGATGACTCGCGATTTCTTTGTCAGCATGGGTGATAGAGAGTAGTCCCCAACCATAATTAGAGTACATTATCTTCTACGGGTTTGTCGTCTTCAGAATTAAAATAAAATAAAGTTCTCGGTGTATGTACTCTGTATGGACTAGGCCTTGTCTTTCTCAGGATGCTTGTCTCGTTAAACAGAAAGAGAGGGAGGGAAAAGAGTCTGTAGATTTCACTGCAAGAAAGAAGTTCGAAGACTAGCCGACTAGCGGCCTTTGAGATCAATGGCTACTTCGTATCCATTGGTTCCGAAATAGATTCGGGTCATAACTTGTAGTAGAACTTGTAGTAGAACTTGTAGTAGAACTCCAGGACGTCAGGGCTTGGAGTACGGAGCCAAAGTGACTAAGGTTGGGCTCGCCTGGGCTGGACTCTCCACCCAAATCGCACGTGATCCGGTGGCAATAACACTCTAGTCCCATTCGGGGAAAGCGAGTCTTGGCAATAATCAGCTGACTGGCTCAATTCGTCCCGATACACTCTAGTGTTAGGGCTCAACCCTCACACCGTTTGCACTCGGCTACGTCCTAGGATCAAAAATCTCCTGCCCTTACTCAGTGCGACAGCAAGCTATTTCCCAGGTAGTCGATCTCAATACACAGCCATGGGTATGTGCAGTTATTCTCGCCCTTCGTGTCTGCAAGACTTTATTGCGACATACTCTCTCGTTTCCATCTCGCCGTCAAGTCCACTGACATTTCGAAACTCGCAGGTATCGACCTGGACCGCCACCATGTGCGGAGCACCCACCGCAAGGCTCCCAAGAGCGACAACGTCTACCTCCAGGTTCTGGTGAAGCTTTACCGCTTCTTGGCTCGTATGACTCCCCTTCAAAATCGATATTCCCCCGATCCTCGTTCGCAACGCAAATCGCTCCATGCGGATTCCGAAGTGTTTTTGAGGATTTTTGTGAGATTTTCATCAGGCTGATCTCGGATGCATAATAGGCCGTACCGAGTCCAACTTCAACAAGGCCGTTCTCCGTCGCCTGTTCATGTCCAGAATTAACCGCCCCCCGGTTTCCCTGTCCCGCGCCGTTGCCAACATCGGCGAGGCCCACAAGGGCAAGACTGTTGTCGTGATCGGTACCGTCACTGACGACAACCGCCTGCTGAACGTCCCCAAGCTGTCGATTGCTGCCCTCCGTTTCACCGCTACCGCTCGCGCCCGCATTGAGAAGGCCGGTGGTGAGACCCTCACTCTGGACCAGCTTGCTCTCCGCGCCCCCACCGGTGCCAACACTCTCCTCCTCCGTGGCCCCAAGAACGCCCGCGAGGCTGTGAAGCACTTCGGCTTCGGTCCCCACACCGACAAGGTTCGTTTCTACGCTGGATTTGTGGATTTGTGGAGGTCTTGGTCGCTAACTCAAAACAGAAGCCCTACGTTGGCAGCAAGGGCCGCAAGTTCGAGCGTGCCCGTGGTCGCAGACGCTCCAAGGGTTTCAAGGTCTAAGGGACCTGTGGAGGACGTTTCAGTGTGTCAGTGTCATGAAAAACACACTAGCCACACTGGCTCGGTGCCTGGAATCATTCCAGATCTAGCCGGAGATCTCAAGTCTGTACTTAGAGAGGCGGGGTGTCTTTGGTTGGACGAGGAAATGAGAATTTTACGAATAAAGGGGCAAAAAATTGAATCAGGCTTTGTCCTAAGTTTTTCTTATGCGAATATCAACTCGGAGAAAGGGGAAAAAAAGATCAATGTTTTAAAAAACTTTTTTCTATTACTAAATGTCGCCCTGGGACATACTTTACAGTAAGAGAGACCCATGGGCACTAAAGCAGGTTGGTATGGAGGTAAGACCGGCCACCTTGACCGTAGTCTGATGCGCGGTGTCCATTACCCCGGATTAGGTATTTATAGATGGTCAGCCCCTCAAGTCCGACAGGTCCACGCGAATGGATCTTGTTGGTGCTGATACCAACTTCTGTGCCAAATCCAAATCGCATCCCATCGGCAAACCTCGTAGAAGCATTCCAGAAAACGCCCGCGCTGTCGATTCCACTGGTGAAAATATTCGCTACCTCCTGCGACTCGGTCAAAATGAGATCCGTGTGCTTGGAAGAGTGCAAATTGATGTGATCCATGGCAGCCTGCAGGGCTGCAACCTGGGACTCGCACGCAGGGATTGTCTTGACTGCCAACTGCAGACTCAAAAATTCGGTTTCATAGTCGGCCGCCGTGGCCAGTTGTATGTGCGACGATTTTTCGGCGAGCAAGGGCTTTGGCAAACATTCTGTCAAAGCGTCCTTGGAAACGTCATCACAACGCAGTGTGACACCTTTGGCGAGCAGAGCAGCGGCGACTTGGGGGAAGATCGACTTGAGGGTGTCAGCATGAACAAGGAGAGACTCCAATGAGTTACATGCTGCTGGGTAATCCGTCTTGGAGTCCACAATCACTTTGACGGCCGTCTCGACGTTGGCGTCGGCGTGGATGTAAGCTGAGCAGAGGCCATCGGCATGTCCCAATACCGGGATCTTCGTATTGTCCTTCACAAACCGAACGAGCTCGTTCGAGCCTCGAGGAATGACCAGGTCGATCAACTTATCCTGGGCTAACAGGGCAGACACTGCATCGCGTGTCTGAACCAGTTGAATTGATGATTCTGGCACCACTTGGGATTCTTTGATGGCAGCGGTCACGACGGTTGCGATTGCCTTGAATGATTCCGTGGACTCCTTTCCACCTGCGCAAGTAATGGTTTTAATAAAACCCGGAGCAGAAAATCCCCAAGGTGGCGTACATACCTTTCAAAATAGCGGCATTCCCCGACTTGATCGCCAATGCGGCAATGTTGGCGATGACTTCCGGTCGAGCCTCAAAAATAATGAGAAGAACGCCGATGGGGCAACTGACTCTTTCGAGGGTCAGGCCGTCGTCGAGGAGGGTTCGGAGTGACACTTTTCCAACTGCAGTTTATCAAGTCAACGACTGTCACAGATCCCAAGTGACATAGGATACACTGACCAGGATCATCCAGATCTCGCACACTCAAGATTCCCCGGAGCATGTCATTGTATTTTTCACCATGCGCCAAGTCCAGTCGTTTGATCACACTGTCGCTCAGGCCACTGCCAGTCGCCGCAGCTTTCTCAGCAACTTCCTTATCTTTGGCATTGGCATCGAGGATGACTCGTCGGTTGTCCTCATTTGCCAGAGCGTTGTGAAGGATTGTCAGAGCGTTATTCCGGTCAGCATTGGATAACGTCGCGAGGCGACGAGAGGCGAGCGATGCGTCTTTGGCCACCGCCTCTGCTGGTAGATCGGTCAATGCCATTGATTTGAATGTAAAGGGCCAGGGAGAGCCGAGGTGAAAGTGGAGAGTAGATAGTAGAGAGGGTGAGCTAAAGAAGGAAAACTAGAAGGTTGAAGAGGGGTGAAATGAGTCAAAGTGCGGAGGGGCACGTTATCTTAGCTTCTATCGTTTTTATCACCTCTGGAGACTTTATCTTTGTTTCGACGTCACTGTTGTTTCTTTCTCAACTCTTCTCTCTTTCTGCGTTTCTCTCTACTCTTCTTTTTCTACTCTTCTTGCTCTCCTCTTCTACAACATACAACGTTACAGATTGAACAAATCATTTTCAAAAGATACGGTCTGCTCCTACAGCATGGCCCTGATCTCGGATTTGCTTTCCGCCTCGGCGCATCTTCACAATCCCATGGCCAGCGAGGAATACGATCGTCGGATTCGGGAGCTCGTGGATTACTTGAAAAAGCTGCTATCTACCAAGACCCTCGACTCCTCTGCCAACGACGAATCCTCCCTCGATGTAAGACCCACACCGCTTTCTGTCATTCGCATCGAACAACACGATAGACTAACATGCATATTCAATAGCATCTTGACCCGTCGGCAGATTCGATCGCATATCTTTACGTGCTTGGTGCGCAAATCCAAAGGGCACAGGAGCGAAGCGGCAACCCATACCCAGCAGACATCCGCCCTGCGGGGAAACTATGGACACGCGCTGCTCAATTTCTGACAAAATTTGATCGCGTTCAGGTCAGGTACACGGGGCGAGAGTGGCGCCAGCTTCTCGAGGTTGTTGCGCAAGCTTCACTGGCTGCATCAAAGGCAAGTTCGATCTGGTCATCCAGACCCTCGTTCAACCGCTTACTTCATTATAGCCTCTCTTGGGTGCGAAATTGGTTCGAGATGCTATGATTCGACTGGATCCATCCGCTACCGTTTTCACATCAAACCATGTCTTGCTTGTGAAGCTTTGTCTGCAGGCCAAGGCATATTCCTACGCACTGCCAATTCTGAACAAACACATCTGTCATTTCCCAACCTTGCCTGAACCATCCACTTCAGAGCAATCTAAAATATGTGCAGATAATGCTTCGAGTGTTTCCTTCATCACTAGTGCCTCCGGGTTTTCATCAAAACTCTCCTATCAAGATTATCTGCGATACTTCCTTTATGGTGGTATGATCTACATGGCACTCAAGGAGTGGCGCAGTGCGCTTCACTTCCTTGGAGCTGCCGTTTCTATGCCTGTTACCAGCTCCGTGAGCTTGATCATGGTGGAAGCCTACAAAAAATGGATTCTGGTTGGACTTCTTGAAAAGGGCAAGGTTAGTGAGGCTCAGCGACAGCAGTGCTCGGACGAGAGATTCTGCATTCACATGGCCGGTATCAGAATACACATGTTTTCATGATTTGCTAATGCTGTTCTGCGCTAGCTATGCTCTCCCCGAGTATCACGACGCCCCATGTTGTGAAGCTATATCAATCGCTCGCGAGGCCATATGTTTCACTTGCTCAGGCTTTCGAGCGTGGTGATATGAAGCGACTTAGAGGAGAAGTGGATGCTGCCATGGAAATATGGTACATGGTAAGCATTTGCTCAAATGGGCTCCGCCGGGCTTGCGGTACTTGGTACTGATATCGTCGATCAGGATAACAACTTTGGTCTTGTCACTCAAGTCGTTGATGCTTTCTTCCGCCAAACTGTCGTCAAACTTGGAAAGACCTTCGCAGCTTTAACGGTGGCGGATCTTGCTAAGCAGATTTTTCCCTCGCCTGCAGAGAAAACGGTGACTGAATCCGATGTATCTTCACTCATAATGTCAGGCGCTTTAGACGCCTCGTTGGTGCAGAAGCAAGATCCCACCGAACTATCTATCTTGCGGTTTTCAACGTCTCTCTCTTTCCCTCGACTGTCACATGAGCTCGACATACAATCACATCTGAAGAAAGAGCGACTATTGATGGAAAATTTGGTGCGCAATCTCGAGGAAATCAACAACGCCATAGGGATGAGTGAAGAGTGTCTCGACAATCTTCAAAGAGGCCAGGCATGGGCGGCCTCCAATGGAACGAACCCTACACCCGCAGAGGGGGGTCTTGAAATGGACGAAGATTTGATGGGTGATATGTCCTAATTCGCATGTGGCCTTCTGGGCTTTTTGGCATAAAGGAACGGAATCCCAGTGTCTACATGTTCAATGATTGCTCAAGTGGCTGCTGTCGAACTAGTAGGATCAATGAAGAGGTTGTTTGCGACTTGTTACCATGTCGCTTCTCATTTTTTATGTTGGGTTATAGTAAGTATTTTAGAGTCAGGCCGGAGGAGGGTAACACCAGCGGCCGAAGTTAAGTCTCAAAAGATTCTGTCAATATAGAGAGGAGACTGTCAACACGGGGGTGAAGATAGTTTCTGGGCAATCTTCTGTTTATTGTTGCAGGCAGAGCGCTTGATTCCTCCACAGCTATTGGGTTCATCTGACGCAATATCTTCATGGATTCAACCCCATGCTTTTCACTTTGGGCCACAGCTATGAGTTTATAAGACTTTGGTCTTCACTATCATGATTCCGTTCCCTGGAATCTTGAGTCTCGATTTCACCCTCCCTTCAACTCTTTTGCTTTACATCATATCTGTTCTTTCTTTGGACTCAGATGCCCCGATAATCCCAATGCCCAGGTGGTAATGTTCGAATGTTCCATACACGCCACTCAAACGGAAACAAATGTGATCCCCCAACAGAAGTGATACCTCGGCTGGTCTTCCCCATTGAGCTGTCACTTTTGGTTACCTCAGGTACTTTCTCCATCGGAGCAATGCGACCTGTCTCTTACTCTGCAATCGTCTATCGTCTACAACATCTTATATTAGAGATGGCTCGGTGCTGCTGACCGGAAGTATAAAGCTCCTCATTATGTTCCAGCTGGAACCAGATTCATCAGGGCAGTAGGATAGAGGAAGATTGAGATTAGACTAGCTGCCTTCCCTTTGGACTTCCATCTCATCATTCTATGGTTCTTCCTCTGTTCTGAACTTTCAAATCCATGGCACTATAATTAATATAGCCAGCATAGGCCTGGGTGATAGTCTAGTTTTGTAGGTTCACAGCAATAGAGTAAATGGGCATGAAGGATATACTTCCTGAGGATTCCTTGCCTGTTATTCTCTCATGGATCGGGATGCCTGCGTTTTCATATTTACAAATAACATGATCCATCCCCGTGAATGTTAAGTAGATCAGAACAATACCAAATCACTTGGTTTGTCTCCCTTCGTACTGCTTCTACACTACTTTTGATATTGACGCCGGGTCACGTGCTCACGCGTCACTATCAAACACCTTACTAGGCCTCGCCAAAACCCGCCCACCGCCCAAACCCGCCCGCGAAAACCCAGCCCATGGGCCGGGTTGGGTCTTAGTCAGCAAACCCGTGGGCGGGTTGTCATCCGGGAAACCCAACCCAAGACCCAAATGGGTACCCGCGATTACCCAAAAAAGCAAACAAAGCTGACTGATCATTTTACACTAAGTTATGCAGTAATTTTCGATTATCTAATTGTTTCGATGGCGTAACTACTAGCTTCTGGCTGTGAATATTTGGAAAGGAACATGAAGGGCTTGAAAAAATCAAATTGGCTAATTATAAAGACTAGTATACCTCGTAACCTCGCAGTCTGCTGGAGGGCATTGTTACCCGACCAGAAGATCTCTTCTGGCTTCTATCACTCAATTGCATGATTGGAGGCGGAAGTAAATCTGCTTCGTCGTAATCAACCACGTCTTCCTCCATACTCTCTTCTTCTTGTTCAGGTTCGTGAATATGTCTGTGTATAGAGCTCCGGCCGGTCTCTACCACCGTACACTCCACTTGGTATGTCTCCTCTGGCTCAGAGTTACCCTCGAGATTCTCGCTCTCTTCAATCTCCTCATTGTCGCTGATCGGCTCTGCATCCTCTTCGATTGCCTTCAACGCTTCATCCTCTTCAAGTGCCTCTTGGCTCTCGCTCTCCAACGGTTTCTCCAGACGAATCAATTGCTGTCCCTCTAGTGTGAGCTTTTCTGAGCACATGTACATCATCAAGTCTTGAATGGTCCCTTCGTGAAGAGACCCTCGGCGATAATGACAAATGTCTCGTGCGCTATTGAAGAGCCTTTCTACACCCGCGCCGGTGGCAGGGACCGAAAGCAAGTCTCGTGCGAGCCGAGACAGCACTGGGAATTCGCGCTCGTGTTCTTTCCAATAAAGTCGCGGCGACACAGGGACATTGGCTATTCAAGGTCAGTCAGTTGTTCCAGTGTGTTGTACTGATTGCTCGTGCCTTCGCGAAGATACTGGTCCACTTCGTCATACTCTACTCCTTCATGGAAAATCGATGCACCAGGTGGCTCGAGTAGCCGATCAAGCTCTGTGCTATGCGAATTGGAAGATCGCTGGACTGTACGGAATAGCAACTCGGGGTTCTGCTGCTGATACTGTGTGAAAGATGCTCTCAAATATTCACAGTACCTTTTTGACGTATCTTCATGGCAAGTTGAGTACTCTCGATCATCAAAAGCACTCAGTTTATACTGAGGGGCAAGTAATGTTCCAGTGCCATAGAGAAAACCGTGGTCGCGGTAGGTTTTTTCGTAGTACTCTTTCAGCTTCTGCCTCGCCACAAGCAACGCGCCATACATGTCTTTCTTCCAGGGTGTTGTCTTTCTCTTCAATCTTCGATTCGACCGTTCGATATGCTCCAGTAGTTTCCTATACACAAGGAACACACTATGGATTGTGACGTCTCTGGTCTTCATCAGAGCCATGGTGAACTGAAAAAACGGTTTGGTCAAATGAACGAGGTAGTCAATTTGCCTCCATTCAACGTCGGTAACCTTGAGCTGCGAGTATTCATGATCGCAGCAGTATTTGTCGATTACATTTCTCAGCCGGCGTGCTCGGCGAAGCATCAAAAAAGTTGAATTCCAGCGTGTCTGAACGTCATGTAACGGAAAAAGCCGAGTACCACCTGATTGGAGGCATAAAAAAGCATCACGCCGTTGTGGGCTTGCGTTGACAAAGATCGCAAAGGATCGAATCTAATGCTGTCAGTGCTCTGAGTATATTGAAAAGGTGAATATCTTGGCTCACCTTTGTCAGTGTATGAGCCACGTCTCCATAATTGATCGAATCCTTCAACCCGTGCGCTTGGGTGTCGGACCAAAAGGCTCTGACTTCTTTATTCTTAGGTGCTGCCCTGATATGTCCCAGTAGCTGTTTCAGGCAAAGCTGGATCACATGAGCCATGCAGGGAACCCGGACTATTGATTCCCTGGAGCTAATAGCTCCAATAGAGAGCAGTCTCTCTTGCAAGGCGCGTATCATGGTGTCGTTGTTGGTAGCGTTATCTGTAGTAACGCTAAAAATACGATCGAGAAGTTTTCGTTCCTCCAGTAACCGGTGCAAAACATCACTAAGGTTGTTTCCTGTATGAGGACCGTGCAACGGCTCAAAGCCGAGGAGCATTTCCCTATAGTTCCAATCTTTGTCGATGAAATAAACCGTGATTGCCATGAATGCCTGCTGAAATGGACTGGTCCAACAATCTAAAGCGAGGGAAACCTTGGCATCTTCAGGCAGATCTTGTAACTGTAACTCTTGCTGGCAATTGACTGCATCCCGGAGCCGTCTTCGCAGGGTCTTCGCTGACGGGAGTTCCAATTCTTTGGGACCAGAATATAAAAGGCTGAGTAGCCTCTGAAACACCGGGTTCTCCACCGTCTGGAAAGGCAAACGAAGACACGTAATTGTCTTCAATATCTGCTCCTCGATTTGAAATGTTGTCACTCTGTGGACACTGGGTGAGTCTCTCATGGAATGGTTCTGCAAAGAATCCGAAATCAATGACTGATTAAATCCCTTTTTCTTCCCTTTACGACAAGTGTTAGACTTTTTGTGTCTACTCATGGCGCTTGTCCCATTCCCTTTATACTGTGGATGATCAAGCACAGTGAGACAAGCCTGGCAGATGACTCGAGGACGCCCAGAATCAATATCAGCAACCTGGTCAAAGTGTTTCCACACATCAGCGTGACGCGATCCGGTGGACCATTTGATCTGGGATTGGCCTTCTCCATTCAGCTTTTGGCCGTACTCTGTTTCCTTCCACCATTCAAGAAACTCTGTCTCTAGATGCGACTCGTACGCAATCCATTTCTTTCTGTGCTGAGGTCCCACACGTCGGAGTGTCGCTGGAGGTCTTCGAGTAGTTATGTCGTAGGTTTTGCGGGGTCCTGTCAAAGGCTGCGGTCCATCTTAGTATACATGTAGATAACGCCGCAACACTCAGAGGCTAGTGGAAGGGACCATTTTCTTACGGAGGATTGAATTTCAGAATCCAAGAAGCCGTCAGATGACGGCTCAATAGAGAGCAGTGGACTGAAAGGCCGATGTATTGATCGCGATGATGAGGAAGAAGACGCCATACTGAAGTAAAAGGCCACTGATATTGGAAGAAGGGGAGATTTTTTTCATCTTGAGTACTTGATTGTGGATTTTGTTTCAGTCGCGTCGTGCGTTTGGATCTATCTATTCCTGAGTTGCGTAAAAGCCGCGGGTACCCAAAACCCAACCCAACCCAACCCAACCCGCCCGGAGATGAATACGACTTTGGGAGGACACTGAGAAGGTCCAAATCACTGATTTTAAATGATCGAACTAAAGATGATATTTTTGAGCTCACTCGAAAGATTCTCAATTGATAAATTTACATAAAATCATCAATGTGGCCTGTAATCCCTTCAGTTGTGTAAAGCAGGGCGATGGGAGCAGTGTTCTACATGTAGAGAATATATATTTCCAGGTCGATGGCGTTCATTGTTTCAATGTAATATCCACTCAAAAGCGTGACAGAAATAAATGACCAAAATTACACTAGATGACTAATCAGGGTTATCCACGATTTATGCATGTTTTTGGGTATTTTGGGCAACCCGCGGGTACCCGCCAAGAACCCATGGGCGGGTTCATCAAGGCCAAAACCCGCGGTGGGTTGCCCATGGGCGGGTAAGGAAATTGAAAACCCAACCCAAACCCGCGTTTGGCGAGGTCTACACCTTACTTACCCTCCAACATATCACTCTTCCAGTCACTTGGCTACACACCTCTCAACCTCTCATCAAGATGACATCCCGAAAGCGCGCGTCAGAATCAGACACAGGGCCCGAAGGCAAGAAGGCCAAAGTCACTGCTAGCCAAACCGACTCCAATGGAGATCGCTATTGGGAAATCTCCAAGATGCGCCGCGTGACGATTTCCTCCTTCCGTGGTAAAACCCAGGTGAATGTTCGAGAATACTACGAAAAGGACGGACAACAACTACCTGGCAAAAAGGTGAGGATCCAGGCCTCGTGGATGGCACCAACCTAGACTCACATCACATAGGGGATCTCCATGCCAATGGATCAATTCTCTGCCTTGGTCTCCCTGCTGCCCGAAATTGAAGATGCACTGAAGCAGAATGGAGAGACTCTGCCACGACCTATCTATTCGGGAGAGACCCAGTCTGGCCAAGGCGAACAGGAAATGGGAGACCAGAGCCCGTCGAAGCAAAACATCGATGCAACAAGTGACGAGGACGAGGACGAGAAGTAGGGGCATTCAGTATTGCTAACTCACTGTTATCACTTTCATTGACGATCAACCTGGTGGGTGATTGAGAGTGACAGGAGTCATGATTTGCCATGACCTTGATTAGCTAGTCCTCCGCCTTACCGGCTTTATTATGGATATCGAACATTTCATGAGATGACAACAGCTTTCAATATTCTATTGCTCTACCAGCCCTGGAATCCAGTGTGGGAAAAGCTCAAATCATCATCTGATGTCCCCTTTATGATTGAGTTCTTGATCTTGCTGGCTGTTCGTTGATGTTTGTAGCAACTTGCGCTTTTCAACGTTGTAGTAAAAGCCCAAGGGTATGAATTGAACCCATGTACTCCGTATATATGGAGTATATCAGTTGAATGTCTTTACAGGGAGGAGGTTGTAGTTGACAAGTCCCAAAATAGCATGAAGCGCGCATGTGCGTCAGCGGGCGCTTGGGCCATCCAAACGCGGAGAGGACAGACAAGCTCCGGTCAACTTCACAACTTGCCTCAAGTCAATTGAGTGATGCCAATTGCACAATGCGTCACCTAAAACCTTCAATTCTATTGACCTCGATTCTATCGGCAACGGGAATTGTCGCCAGCGAAGATCCCAACGATGTCTCCATCTTGATCAGAGAGGCCGGACGCGCCAACAACGATTCGTTGCTGTGGGGGCCCTACAAGTCAAACCTCTACTTTGGCGTGCGCCCTCGCATTCCTAAAAGTCTGGCTGCAGGATTGATTTGGGGGAAGGTCGACGATTACGCCGGTGCCCAACAAAGTATATCTCCCGCCCGAACACTGGCATAGTGTTCAACGCTAACACACCCAAGACTTTAGACACACCTGCGAACAAAATGAAGGAATGACTGGATATGGTTGGGATGAGTACGATATTAGGAAGGGTGGTCGGGAGACGATTCACGACGCCGGAAACAATCTGGACTTGACCATCGATTTCATCAAGGTTCCAGGTGGTCAGCATGGAGGTAGTTGGGGTTTCAGAGTCAAGGGAACACCCAGTGATGGGGACGCCCAACAGCCAACTTCGATGATTTTCTACTCCACTCTCGAGGGATTCGGTCAGTTGGGCGTTGAGACAGAATCCTCTGAAAATGGGATTGAGGGCGATGTGAAGCTCGAAGGTTCCTCCTTGGAACTTGGCGATTTTACCATTGATGTCACTAATGGGCCAAACACTAACACACACCCTCGATTTGATCACCAGAGCTCCAAGGACAAGCCTTTGGACCGCAGCATTGTGGCCAGTGTGGCCTTCCCAGAGGAACAGCTGTGGCAAGCAAAGGGTATCTTCTTTACCCAGATGAAGACTCAGGTTGACGAGGCCCTCGAGGAGTATGGAAAGGAGAATATCCCACCTCCGGCTCAGCTGTTTACCGTCCCACACAAGCCCGGCCACGGAAACGCCCATTTCGTCCAGAAGGTCTTTTCTGGAGAGTTCCAGTTTGATGTCTTGTTCTCCTCGGGCTCTGCACCCGAGCCGCTGACCTCCGAAGTTCTTACCAAGGAGATCAAGGCTGCATCTGAGTCTTTCTCGGAAACTTTCGATCAACTTCTGCCGCCCCAGCCACCGTTTGATAAGCCAAAGTACTCCAAGTTCTCTAAAGCAATGCTGTCCAACCTTGTTGGTGGAATTGGCTTTTTCCACGGTGATGACATCGTGGATCGCTCGGCCAATCCTGCTTATGAGGAGGAGAATGAGGGATTCTGGGAAGAGACCGCCCAGGCTAGAGCTGCTGTTCAACCTGTACTCGAAGGCCCTAAGGATCTGTTCACCTGTGTTCCTTCCCGGCCATTCTTCCCCAGAGGTTTCCTATGGGACGAAGGATTCCATTTGATGCCTGTTATCGAATATGACACCGATCTTGCGTGAGTTCGTTTGATACGCAGAGTCTGGAGCCCGACTAACAAACATTCACAGGCTTGAGATCATCAAGAGTTGGTTCCATTTGATGGATGAGGATGGATGGATCGCCCGTGAACAAATCCTCGGCCAAGAAGCGCGAAGCAAGGTCCCCCCGGAGTTCACCATTCAATACCCTCATTACGCCAACCCACCCACCCTGTTCATGGCTCTCGAGACATTTATGGACAAGGTAATCAACAACGTGAATAAAAGTACAGAGTCTGAGACACTGGACAACCAAGATGCAACCGCAAGCTTGCGTTCTGCTACCGTCCGACACCCGGAGTTGTCCCAAGCATACCTGCGTTCTTTCTACCCGCTTCTGAAGAAACATTACAACTGGTACAGAAACACCCAACGTGGTGAGATCTCTTCGTATGACCGTGAAGCCTTCTCCACAAAGGAGGGATACCGCTGGCGCGGACGCTCCGTGCAGCACATCCTGACTTCCGGTATCGATGACTACCCTCGAGCTCAGCCACCTCACCCCGGTGAGCTGCATGTTGATCTTATCAGTTGGATGGGAATGATGACACGTACCATGCGTCGGATCGCGCAGAACCTGGGCGAGGAGGATGATGTTGAGGAGTTCGCGTACTACGAGACCGCAATTACTCGCAACATCGACGATCTGCACTGGGATGAGAAGGAGCAGACGTTCTGTGATGCGACTATCGATGAGTACGAGGAGAGCGTGCATGTGTGCCACAAGGGCTATATTTCCATCTTCCCCTTCCTCACTGGGATGTTGGGCCCTGACAGCCCGCGTCTCAAACCCGTGTTGGACTTAATCGGCGACCCCGATGAACTGTGGAGTGACTACGGAATCCGCAGTCTGAGCAAGAAGGACAAGTTCTACGATACCGATGAGAACTACTGGAGAAGCCCTGTCTGGATTAACATCAACTACTTGGTGTTGAAGAACCTACATGTAAGTTTTGCAACCTCGCTCACCTTTTTCTTCTTTGGTTTCTGATAAGATGGTCACAGGACACCGCGACTGCTTCCGGTCCCCACCGGGAACGGGCACGCGAGCTGTACAACACTCTGCGCAAGAACTTGGTCGAGAACATCTTCCGGGAGTGGCAGAAGACTGGATTCGCCTGGGAGCAGTACAACCCCGACACTGGTAACGGCCAGCGCACTCAACACTTCACCGGCTGGACCAGTATGGTGGTTAACATGATGTCGATGTCCGAGTTGGCCGCACCGGCAACCACTCATGATGAGTTGTAGATCATCTGGCTTCGTGAAAATAGACAACCTAGATAAAATCGTGTCATTGTGATAGTTGTATGGAATTCAAATGTCAAGTTACATTCAACACCTACAACGCCCAGCTAAAAATATGCAATTGGTATCCGACTGACTTAATGCCGACGATCACGATCGTCACGATCCCTCCTACGTTCAGGATGCCGCCGACTAAGCGCTGGCGAGTAACTCCGCTCGATACGTCGACGTCTCTGGTGATCTTCGTCCTTGCGGCTGGGGCGACTTGGGGAGCGTGAGTCCGAGCGACGTCTGCGGTGGTCTCGGCCGCGGGATCGAGAGCGGGATCTGTGACGATGGCGGCGTTCTCGATCATCGTGGTGTCTGCGGTGTCTGCGATCTTTGTCATGACGATCTCCACTGCGATCGCGTCGGTGTTCTCGCCGAGGGCTTCGACTGCGGTGGCGGTGTCTGCGACTCGAACGATGCTCTTTCTCTTTCCCAGCATCGAGCATTTCTTCTTCTTTGGGTGCCTGATTGATACCTCCGTCGCCGAGGGGAACCATGTTGGCATTTTCGGCCATTTTGGAGGGTACTGGAAGACCGAGAGCGACGGCCATGGCTTCTTCCTCGGCATCCTTGACGCGCTGTAATTCCTCTCGCTCTTGACGCAGCCGTTCTTCTTCATCTCCATCCCCCTTCGCATACCACCCGAGATCTCGATTCTGCTGCCATCGGCCGACCGGGGCCATCACAGAGTGACCCAGGTAGTTCTCCCTGTGAACCGAGTCCTTGACATCGGACCATTTGAACTCACCGCGGCCGCCGCTGAAAGAGAGTTAGTCAAGGTTCGACAATCAATCAGAGCGAATTTTACCGGCTGCCTTCTTTGCGCACGCTCGAAACCAAATCCATGAGTGCCTTTGTGGACAGAGAGAGAGAGAGAGAGGGAGGAGGTTACTTGGGGAGTTTAGCCTATTTGCATTGTAGGGCGGTGAGCCGCATTCATTTCATCATATGTCGCTGGCCGCCCACCTGCCCCCACTGCTGAATATAGCTTGATAATGTCTTGTTTACAAAAGTTTTCCTGGTCTTTCTTTCAACCTTGCACTTGCTCCTCAGAAATGACAGCTTCACACCCTCCATTGACTATCCACGACTCCGACTGCTCAGACCCAAGGAAGAGTTCTGCAATTCGGCACTCGTAGCCTTCCATGGCTTCTTCCATCGAGACTGGTCCTTCGGACTCTCCTGCAGACTTTGAAGACAGGCTGCGGCAGTACAGACCTCATATACAGGTCACCAATATTGAAACACCGCAGCAGCGAGTATGTATTTCCCCCACCTCACGTGAGGGGTTTCCACTAACTGATACTAGTTTCCTCGGTGAGTTATTGTACACACGTGGCACAGATATGCCTTGACTGACTGTCTTGAAGCCATGGAGATCATGCAAACCCACAGACAGCCACCTGGAGAAGTAACTTGGTAGGTGACTCGGCGTGAAAAAGTCCGCGAACGCGTAGATATCATGTAGACCGTTGTGAGACTCTCGATCCTAACATCTACGCAATATAGGCGGCACTCTCGCAGCGACGAAACTTGCTTTTCACTGCTCAGGGAGCAGATATCTATGTCTGGATACCAAAGGGGTCCAGTCAATTGCTTGGCTCTCAACCTGAGATGATTGTTCACCCAGTGATGAACCAACCCCATGCATCTGGCTACATTGATCTCTCTAGACCTCATACTATCAACAACCTCATTGTGGATGATCTGGGGGTGGATGAAGTACTATTACTGGTGACTGACTCCGGTAATGTGACCGGTTACAACGTGGAGGCGATTTTCTCAGCGATGGGCCGATGCGCAAAACTTCAACACCGGCGGCCTTTTGATGGCGCTGAGGTAAAGCCATTCTTTGCCGAGAACGTTGGGCAAAGTGCATGGGGCTTGGCAGCCCACAAATTCGCTCGTCTGATCGCCGTGAGTGCGAACACAGGCGATATCACAGTGTTCGCATTTGCAATGGTGGAGGATGCACCTGGCACGGACAATCTCTCTACTGCCTCTGAAATTTCTGGACTTGATCCCGGATGGGGTCAATCGGGACAACCCTGGGTGTTGATCGAAGACGACGAACAAATGATGGAGCTGAAAAAGAAAATGCCTGATCACCGGACACAAAACCTACGACTCACCTATGCTGGTCATTTTGAGAACATCCCGTGTGTGTCATTTGCTAACTTTGATTTGGACCCCAATGGGACGTGGATGGTGAGTACCGACATTTTCAACAGAGTGTTGGTTTGGAAAATCTGGGAAGCCATGGGACCCATCAGGTCGTCTAGTTATGGTATTCAAGCCCATGATCAACCCGAAAGAGGCTGGTCCGTTTTGCCCATAGACCCACGCAGAGTCCACCAACATCGCTTGAAGGTCGACGCCTGTGGGTGTCGGCCCCAGGAACGGAATGACGACAATCGACTCACTTTCGACATCACGGGCATGGTTGACCATCTGACAGATTGGACCCCAATGGTCGCTCCATCATGCCGCGAACCTCTACCAACCCACCACATCTTGCCTAACGATATCTTTTCGCCTGAATGTATCATTGATACAAATCCTAAAAGGAGAGCTTCTAGCTCCGGAGCCGAGGTGTCATCTACGGAAGCATCACCCGATAAATCCGCCAATGTCAGTGCTCGTGTGAACCTGGACCGAAAGAGCACTCGCGAGACTGAGGCCTCTGACGGGAGCGAGAAGTCTCAACCTCCCTCTCTTCGGGTGAAACGAGGCATTCCGGATCTTGTTGAGGAGGCGAATGAACACCTCAAGTCATACCCAGGCCTCGAAGGAGAATCTCATGACGTCGAGGCTCTCTTGAATCTGCAACAGCGTTTTCCATTCCACCGTAAGCAAGATGTGAGGCCACGCTGTTCGTTCCAAATACTGACTCATGCCACAGCACACAACCCTCAATTCTTCCCCATTGTTCACTTCTCCGAGCACGATATCAGTCTAGTTCCGTACCCGTGCGACTCAGCCGTCCAAATAGTCGCCGAGGCCCCTCTTAGTCAGTCGTGGCCAGGCAGATCGCAATATGGTCCCATACACGAGGCCTGCGATCGTATGAACATGATCAAATATGTCCCCGAGCTGGGAATTATCATTGCCGCCTCTCAGAAGGGCCGGGTTGCTATAATAACGCTCACCTGGCAAGCTGAAATCGGCCACTCTTTCCGTGTTGACTGGATTCTGCCATTCAACTCGCAAAACACGGATCTCGATGCCCCGAAGGTGCCTCTGATGGGCATGGCTGTGAGCCCCATGCCTGGATTTGAGCAACCACTAGATGTTCCATCCATTCCCCGAAGATTCGAGCCAAAGGAATGGTTAAAGTTCGACCACCGTCTACTCAACCCCGAGAAAGACGATGATCCCTCCGTCCCCTTATCTGATAGCCGCTCTCCTCACAATTTCAACCTGGCCAAAGACAACCCTGGCTCACACTCTGCTGGTCAGAATGACTCAGACCCTGACGCGCCACCTTCTCGATCAAATCCCCTCAACCCGAATACGGACGAGGCCGATGAAGACAACGATCCTTTCCTGACATTGCCTGAGCTTCATGCCCTTGCTTCTGATATCTACCAACCCCACGAGGAGTGGCACGGCTGGCACCCATCTCGACACTACCGACTGCTTCTACTGTTCTGCGACGGGTTGATCATGAGCTACGAATTCTGGCACACCTGGAAGAATTAATATGGGCTGTAGTAGAGCTCAGGTTGTGCCATTGGATGCACATAGTACCTTCCACTTCGACAGACCTGCCATGATAGGCACACTTTGTAGATAATACATGTTTGATTGAGCGCTGAAGACCAATGTCCAAGAACTGTGATCTAGATCCATGGACAGAATCTATAGGATGTTTATGTAATCACCAGTTTCTCAGGCTCCAAGGCTCCAAGATGACTTCACCGGGGAATTGCGCACTTCCACGTTATGCACTTCCCTTAGTAATCTCCCCCATACATCCATACTTGGTAAAGCCCCCCGGCAACCCGTGGACTCTCTGGAACCACGCTGTGACCCACCAGAGCACTCTCTAAAGCATGCGCCGTTATCCCCCTGACTGCCCTCCTTTGAAAGTGAGATGGTTCTATGCCGTGGACTCACCCAAGAGGAAACCTTCCCCACTGGAGCAGAAAAAGGCAGACCAAAAACCTTTACCACCACCCAAGAAGTTTATTCCTTTTCCAGGGAAAGATTCACAGTCCATTGAAGGCACGTTTCAAAAGCTGTCAGGCGTTGAAGAGGCTCGCCAGGGAAATGAACCCGGGCCTGAGGAACCGGTCCTTTCCAAAGTTCCTGTAAACGAGGACTTCTTGTTCAACGTCGATGTAGAACAACGAGAATTGAGTCCTACCTATTGGATCGCCCCTGTTTATGAAGTCCGTCGAGGAACCTGGTTTTTCCAGGAAGGATCCAACCTCAAGCCATGCGAAGAAAACCTGGCCACCCAGCTTGAAGAAGGTTTTATCAAAAACTGCCCATGGAGGAATGACTCGTCCAAGTCTGGGTCAACAGACCAAGCCTCTAAACCAAGCGAAGACAAATCTGGCCTGGTAAAGTCCGCACCAGGGGACTCCAGAGCCTCAGTCTCCGCCTCCTCAACTGCCAATCAACCCCCCTCCTCCCGCGGTACAGGGAGTGAACCTCGGCAGCATCGTCTATTCGGTGCCTACATGAACAGAATTGTTGCCTATCAAGATGCCACAACTGCTTGGCTCATGAATGACGATTTCATGTCCCGATTTAGCACTTCTGTCTATCAAAAATTAGGAGGCGATCCAGGAACAAAATTGATTCGTGGGTATGAGCCCAAAAAGCCCAAGGAGACCCCCGAAGGAAAAGGCGGCAAGCAAAGGCAACGGGATAATGCTACACCTGCGGCTGGTATAAAAGATACTCTGAAAGAAGAGCTGAAACCCTCCCCCCAACCCCCCACCAGCTCAACACAGCCGGATATGCTCGAAAGCCTAGAAAGACCAAGGTCTACAATAGAACGACAGATGTCGTCACTTGCAGGCGAGCTGCAGAATCCAGCTGAACTTGAAGAGCAGGCTCGCAAACAGGAGGAGCAAGAGATGGAGGAGTCGAGGGAGATTGAAGGCGAGGACAGGGAACGTGAGGTGGATCATTTGATCCTTGTCACCCATGGAATTGGCCAGCGGCTCGGACTGCGACTCGAAAGCATCAACTTCATACATGATGTCAATGTGTTGCGGAAAACATTGAAAACCGTCTATAAAGGCTCCCCTGACCTTCAAGCATTGAACTCGGCATTTCCGGACAGCGATAAAAACTGTCGTGTTCAAGTGTTACCTGTGTAGGATCCGTTCCTCTGGACTAACCATTGCGCTTTTTGCTAACTGAACCAGGTGTTGGAGACATCTTCTTGACTTTCCTTACCGGGGAGTTCGGCAGAACAGGAAAGAGCTAGATATTACCGAAGCGGACTCTCTCGAGGATCAGGCGTACCCAAGCCTGGCTGATATCACGCTAGAAAGTGTCCCCGCCGTGCGAAACCTCATCTCAGACTTGGCCATGGATGTGCTTCTTTACCAGAGCGGGTATTGCGAGCACATCTCCAACATTGTCACCCAAGAAAGCAATAGGATTCTCGACTTATATCGAAAACAAAACCCTTCGTTCAAAGGCTCAGTCAGTCTCATCGGTCATTCCTTGGGGAGTGCAATCTTGTTTGACATATTGTGTCACCAACATGGAAGCACGAAGCATAGCAACTCTCACGGAAAGTCCCAAGAAAGTGATGACTCGACAACCAAACATGCAAAGACAAATGCATTCCAGTTTGAATGCGAAGAGTTCTTTTGCCTCGGATCTCCCATTGCGCTGTTCCAAATGCTCAAAGGAAAGACCATTGGCGCACACTCCGCTCTCGATCCTCGAAACCACAGAAACACTTTGAAAGGTGAAATTGACCTGGACACGCTTGGGCCCGGGCCCGGACTGGACGACAAGCCTGCTATCATTTCGACCCCCAAGTGTCGGGACCTCTACAACATCTTTCATCCATCTGACCCTGTGAGCTATCGGGTTGAGCCTCTGATATCCCCAGCGATGGCCAGCTTGAAACCTCAGCCTCTGCCCTCGGTGAAGAAAAGCCTCTGGACGACTTCGGGGCAAAGTCTGTCGATTCTTGGCAGTCGTATGGGCCAAAGCGTGGGATCCATGTGGACAAACTTTACCACCGGTGTGGCAAGCAGTTTGTTGAATCGCAGTCTAGGGTTGACTAACGACGAGACTTTGGCCTCTCATGCGACAGGCAAAGGGGACGATTCAACCCATAAAAGGACACAGTCCGGATCGACCCAGAATGGATCAGAAACCGATGATCATCATCAGACTCTGATTGAATCTGATCTAGAAACCCTCTATGATGGCTTTCAAAAAAGTCGGAGTAATAATCATGGCGAAAGTCCCGACCCCGAAGCCGACACTGACCAGGATCGGAAATTGAAATTCGAAGATGCCAAAGTCCGTGCCATGAATGCGAATGGGCGAGTGGACTATAGCATACAAGAGTAAGTCACCACACTGTGCTGCGAAAGAATCCAACTAATCTGAATATAGGGGAGCATTCGATATCTCGCTCATTGCCAGCATTGCTAGTCATCTGACCTACTGGGGTGATGAGGATGTCAATCACTTCATGTTATCTCAAGTTCTGTCTCGGAGACATCGGCATAGAATCAAAAAATAGATATAGAATCAGGGAGAAAGGCTACAATATGATATCATACGAGTACACTGTTTTGATAGAGACGGCAGTACTTCGAGTGAATTTAGAAGACCCAAATGGGACTAGCGTATGTCGGCTAAAATATTAGGTAACCTTCCGTTACAAAAAAAACTCCATGGGAGGATTCTCCTTTCCTTCCGCTCTTATTCCACTTTCAACACAAGTCCGAAGGATTGAAATGTTTTCGACCCTGTCTTTCATGGTCTCTCCTTGATGCAGAAGAGACTGTGAGGCCAAAGTTTGCATGTCACAACCCCTGTCTTCGAAACGGGTTTACACCATGATCCCGAAGATCCGATGCTGTGTACTCTTCCAGGCTTGGTGACTGACTGGGTCTGTTCATTCTTTCTTCGACTTGCCGTTCGCTGGTAGTATCAATACCGTGGATAGCCTCGATCTGGCAACCAATTTGATCCTGAGATCGGAGACATTGTGAAAGGAACCGGTTCTTGTGAACTGTGGAGCTTCACCTGTTTCTCACGTAGAATTTGGCTTGGTACTCTGTTTACCCACCCGCAATCTCTTTACATCTGGCATGAAGCGCATGCACTTTGAATGCTCAGATTCACTCGGATAGCGGAGATTAATTCCTCTCTGTTTGCTTTAGATTCCTCGCTGTATAGCTCAAGCTTGCGAGGAAATTATGATTGGATACATTTCATAGGACTCAATTTGAACCATTCGAACAACTCTGTGAATTCTGCAAGTAAATCCTGAATTGGCCATATACAATGAAGCAGATGCACTTGAACTATCGAGTCGATCAGCACGCACGGGGCAGAATGCCAAGCATCCTATCCCCTTATCGTCTCTATCTTCGCGGGCTACGATCCACGACTCCTTGGTAATCTCACAATGGGTCGAAGCGACCCCGTTGCTCCAAATGATGGCGATCCTCACTCTACCGTCCCTAAAGAGTTCGTCGATTACACTCTGAACTTTCTGGCCACCTCCAACAACGAAACTCTCCTTGGCGTGTTCGCGCTTCTCATCCTTGTCACCTACATCATCCTTGGAAGAATCGGCCTACTTCTGATCGGCGTAGCCGTGGGTGTCGTGCTACATGCGTCATGGGAAGGGCCTAGTCAACACACGGGTGAAACGTCACACGCGAACAAGGTCACCCGACGGAAAGAACTAGCACTGGAAGTCTCCAGCAGGCTTCTAGACTGGCCCAAGCGGGTGACACCATCCGATACCCAGACCGAGAATGGGGGGCTTATCAATGCGCCTCAAGAGATGACCCCGGCAGACCTTGAGTATTCCACTTTCCAACCCGCCACTGCCAATGCGCTGAAGACGCTCACCGACGCTGTCATCAAGGACTATATCGGGTAAGCGTGAACTTGTCTACCTCCTTCCCCGCGTCCTGGAAACGGGCTGCTGACTCTGAAGGTAGATACTGGTACGAGCCACTCTTACCATCCGAATCGACCTTCCCTGGCTCCTGTCGTCGGATATTGACCCAATTCATCACGTCTGTCTCATGGCACCTATCGCGGAAACGAACCGAGGACACTTTCCTACAATTTCTCACCAACTCCTCCTCTATCGTGATTGTCTTCTTCAACGAGCTTGCAGCTGCATTTGCCGCTGGGAGCTCCCCTCCTACCGAGGCCCAAAAGACCGTGGAACAATATCTGGAACAATTCCCAGATAGCAGTCTGGCAAATGTTCTGTCTGATACGCAACAAAAGAAGAAGCTCAGCATGATTGCGGAGGACATATTGTCCAGCTACCTCGATGCAAAGGCGTACAACTGTCAGGCCGTCAGGGACTTCCTCCGCGAAATCTTTTCGGGGGTAATTCTAGGCTCCGTTATCACAAGTCTAGCCCGTCCTGAATTCATCAACACCTGGATCATTTATCTCCTTGAGGATGGCGAGTCAGAAATTATGCACGCCATTGATGCAGGCGTTGAAGGCGCAAGGAACCAGGGTGTGAGTGGGCCTAAGGCTCCAGAGGAGCCCGTCGCCGACACCGTAGATGCTGTCGATCCCCCGAATAGGCAATCTATGCAGGCTGCGAGAGAATCGGAAGAGGCCGCGATCTTGGAGGTCAAACGCCTGAGTGCCATGATTGCTTCCCAACCCGCCCCAGGCTCGGAATCAGACTTGCTGCCCCAAAACGAAGAAACCGACACAATCTCTAGTTCGCACGCCGATGTAGCTTCAAAGGCGGCTCATGATGGTGCACACAGCCACGACCACAATCAAGGGTCTAATAGACGGTCACTTGACAGACCAAAGCGCTCCAGCGAAGCTGTGCCTCCGGTGGTCCTTCACGGGGCCCAGGTTCTGGTAGATGACGATGGATCAAGAAACGAAAAAGGACCAATCAAGTCACGACCAACGTGGGATTATCTTTTGCAGGTCGAGCCAGCATCGACACGGTCGACTGGGTGGATGGTTTTCCGCAAATATTCGGACTTTCAATCGCTTCACGAGATGCTGGAGACTGTTTCTCGATTGAACCTCATTCAAAGCTTCTCAGAAAGCCACCCCACATTGCCACCTTGGAAGAACAAGACAAGGCAAACTCTGGCGCGAGATCTGGAGCATTATCTACAGGATGCCATGAAGCACGAATCTCTGGCGGACAATGACCGAATGCGTCGGTTCCTAGAAAAAGATGCCGGCTCTTCTGAAGCAGCTGGTCCCACTAAGCCAGCGTTCTCCTTCCCTAGTCAGTCTGCATTTGAAAACATGGGCAAGGGGGTGTTGGGTGCGTTAACTAATGCGCCGAAGGGAGTGGCGGGGGGTGGAAAAGCTGTCTTCGAGGGAATGAGCGGAGTTTTTGGAGGCGCAGCTACCAACAAGAAGGCTGCTGTCACGACTTATCAGAGTGATTCCAAGGCTGGTGGATCCAACCGTACCAGCCTGTCTCTGACGCGGCCAAGCCTGGATAATCATGCCGGTGGAAGTAACGAAGCTGGCGACTTTGCGCCACTTTCTGACAGTTCTTCAAACCATCGAAGGAGCGAGACCTCGGAGTCACCTTCGCTTGACAGTCCCCAGGGATCTGGTGGAGTCGAGCAAAACGCACGGGCAACAGTGTCCTCGCTTCCCAAATCTTCACTCGACTCAGGCGCCGATGCAGTAGAACTCTTGACGGAGACAACCGATCATTTCCCCACACACCATCGGTCAGAGACTTTGCAAAGTGTCGACCAACCCCGCAAGAAAAACAGCCCTATCACAGCCGATGAAACGCAAATCGCGGTAGAGCTGATCTTTGCCGTGATCAACGAATTGTACACTTTGTCGTCTGCATGGAACATTCGGCGAACTCTGTTGAACGCCGCCAAATCATACATTCTGCGCCCTGGAAGTCCAACATTGGAAACGATTCGCACTCTGTTACAAGATTCCATGATTGAAAGTCATACCTCGGACGATGCCCTTGGGGGTTATATTGCCAAGCTTCGAGAGAATGCGCTTCCCACGGAGGACGAACTTAAAGCTTGGCCACCTCCGCCCAGTGAGGAGGAAAAGCTTCGTATACGAGAAACCGCTCGCAATCTTTTTGTGCAGCGTGGAATCCCCCAGGCTCTGACGAGTGTGATGGGAGCAGCTGCTAGCCGGGAAGCGCTGGAGAAGATCTTCGACAGTCTTCAGGTGGAAACTGTTGCCCGAGGATTTGTCTTTTCGGTCTTGCTACAAGGACTCAGGGTACTGACCCTATGATATGCAATAGATTATTCAATGAACAATATGTATCTGTACCTACCTGTTTTCCGGTGATCGGGATGAAATGAAATACGCACTAATAATTCTTCTCCATTGATGTTGATACAATACATGTAGTTCCTAAAATATGTTGTCATGAAGTATACTGTTTGAGTTATTTCACATGTAGTCACGGGGGTCCAATGAGCCAATTTTTGCACTCTTCGCACCCCCTCGAAGATGAACTCACTCATGAGCTTGCCTGTACCGGGGGCATTCTGAATACCCCAGCAAGTATGGCCAGCCGCAAGGTAGAGTCCATCCACACCAGTCAAACCAACAAGCGGGCCACCACCCGAATCGCAATTGGGAAGATAGCAGGCCTGGCGGGCGCGGATTTCACCGTCGCGCAGCTCATCAGAGATACTTCCAACTTGTTCAATGATCTCCTGGCAGCGCTCCTGGTCGACCTCGACATCTGCAGATGTTTTTGGTAGTGGCACTTCCCTGTCTCCATCTCCACATGCATAGACGGTTGCATCTGGACGGGCATAGATTTCTGGTGCTGCCACGGTGGGCCGTGATTTCTTCTCTGGATTGAAGTTGGCTGGAATCTCAATGTTTGTGAACAAGCAGTATGCGCTGACAGGCTGCTTGGGCTGGATGACAACACTATGAGCCCGCATGGCTGAGATTGGCACCTCCGGCAGAATTGTCTTGGTCCATGGACCGGCGGCAACAAGCACATCGGTGGTTGCGATGGTTTGAACTTCACCTGATGTCTTGTCGGTATATGTCACAGACTCCACCGAGTTCTCGGTGCGTGCAATATCTGTGACTTGACCAAAGATGATGTTTGCACCCTTCTCCTGTGCAAGCTTTGCAATGGACGTCGTGAATTGATACGGATGCACTTGCGCGGTTTCACCGGGACCGCTCATGCTCTCGTACGCCCGCAGAAGTTCGGGCTCAATCCAATCCAAGTCTTGTGGAGTTTTGGTTGACTTCAATTTTGAAATAGCGGCCGCGCTGCGCTTTTGGAGGGATTCCGACTTTCCACCCTCGGCTTTCCCTGCGCTCTTCTCGGTGAGGGCTCGGCCTCTGACGACTAATTGGCCACAGTTCACTTCCCTGTAGCCCCATCGGTTGACTCCATCGTGCTCCTTCGCAAGTTCTGCATGGAGCTTGTAGCTGAGACCGACAATGTTGCTCGGGTAAGCCCACTTCGCGAGCATACCCCCCCGCCTTGCCTGATGCCCCGCCAGCGATCTCGGACGCTTCAATGAGGGTGATTTTATGACGGGCAGGGTCATATGAGGGGTGTCTGGTAAGATAGTATGCAGAGCAGCATCCAATGATACCACCACCTATCGACAATCTGGTCAACGTCTATATACAAGCGGGGTACTCTCATCGTGAACGGCCTTTTCCTTACCAACAATCACGATCTCACGACGATCAAACGGTGCCGACATCTTGAGATTCGGTCTGATCTTGGGTACTAGGGAACGTACAGATGCCACTTTGCGGGGGTGTGAGAAGGGGAAAGAATGGAGACGGCAAGTAAGTTTTATATACAGGACTACGTCACTGGGGCTGTTCCCATTAATAACCAAGTCCACAAGTCATGACCGGTTTTCTGCAGTTTGAACCAAGAAAATGATTATATGCAAGTGTTTGGATCTCTAGAATTTGGAAAAATGGGATTTAGAGTCATTTCCATGAGGGCTATGTGCCTCAATACAACATTAAATGGGAAGTAAAAACAAGCCGATATAACCATGCTCCGCAAATGCAACTGTTGTAAGCAGTTTGGAAATAGAAATGTGCAGTATTTTTGGAATACAGGGGAAAGACGTGAGCTTTCCGTAACTGAGGAGCGAGAGCCCACAAGATCATCGCGAGGGACTGAGAGGCCTGTTGAATCCACCCTGGCGGTTCATGTACTGTCGGTACTCAATCTTCTTCTCCTTGCGCACACCGTAGATGTCGTTCCCGGGAATTTTGGTGTTCTTGGTGGTTCGGAATCGGGTGAAGCCCATCGCCTTGCGCATTTGTGCCTCCATCTCATCCTCGTCTGCGTTGGAGTCATAGTCCAAATCCATCTCGTCTTCATAGTGATCCGCAGATTGCGCACCATTGGTCTTCCGCGCATCTTCCCGCGACCGAGGATCTCTGCGATCACCCTTGGGACCCCGCGGGGGTGATCGAGCCCGCATACCGTTGCGACCCGGGGATCGCGATCGTGATCGGTCGCGGAACTTAACGCTTTTCGGTGCCGGTGCTAGAAGACAGTTAGCAGAATTTCAAAACCCACATCGCAATCAAAGTTTTATCTCACCACGTCGTTCATAATTGCGTTCCCGGCTGATGCTTCTCTTCCGGTCCCTATCCCCGTCTCGTCGGTCGCGGCGATCTCGAGACCAGCTCCGTTCTCGCCTTCTGTCATTACGTTCTCGTGAGCGTGAGCGATGCCGGTTATCACGTCGGTCATCTCGCGGGGCGGGTGAGCGCCTGCGGTCTCGGTCTGACTCTTGGTCTGAGGCACGGGGTCGGGTCTCGGTTGCATCCCATGCAGCTGCGCTGTCCCCTCGGCGGGCACGCTTTGCATTAGGCTCCGCCATCGTAGAAGAGCCGCGGGTCTGGTCTGGGCGTTGCCCCGTAAGGCGTGGTCGGCGTCTTCAAAGTCTGAAGGTGTGATTCCTCGGGTATTGAAGAATCTAAGCGAAGCTGTTTGAGTGGCGGAGGAATTGAGGATTTGAAAAGGATTTGGTAAAAGGGTATCAAGTTGTCGCAACGTTGAGTTGGTCCTGATTCTCTCGGGCCCAGAGAGAAGTTTATTTCGGGTGCGGATAAAGACCATTTGCGCAGTTTGCATGTCAGGCAAAATCAGCCGTTCTCTTCGCCGTCAAAGTTAGATCCAAGATATTTGTTTAATGATGTTTTCGGGCTGCTCATTTCTCCTAAGCCGTGGAAACACTTTCTAATGGTCTGAGGTACTGAAACATACATTGAGCTGTTACCCAGAGGTCCTGATAGCCCTGCATTGTGTTGGAAATCAAGAGAATACAGCCAGTGGTGAGCAGCCAACACCGAAATACTATCACTGCAACTTTGTATAATCCACAGGCTTGTGATCGGCAAGATGAAATGGGGAATCACCTGGGCACTTGCTTCTCTACAAGAAAAATGTGCAGCATACGTGTAGAGCTTCGGAATAATCATTTATATACATGCCTCAGTAAGACTTAGCCTGGGTCCCGGTGTGGATAATCTAATTTCAAGAAGCCAGAGAGGGTGAAATATATAAGACAGTGACCTTACTGGTAGCTCTTTGAACCCTGCCCGAGGTCTACATCATATATGTACCCCACTGTGCTTATCGTGACCTCTCTTTCCAAACACAAGCTAGCTAACTATGCTCCTGTTTCCTTATCATCATCTTGGGTGGCCTGACTTTACTCTGTTTACACAACGCTATTTGTCTCTTAACTTTATTTCTTCAGGGTCCATGGTGCCCCTAATATCACATCTATTGCGATTCCGAGGGAAATACTATGGGGGTTTTAGAACTTTGAGGTGCTATTCCACTAATCTGCACAACCCATTGATTGAAGTAATTTGTGATTACCTTTTTGAAACCCTTGAAACCAAGCAGGTCTCAGCGTCATGGTTGGGTTTCCAAGGCTTATCATTGAACCATTGAGAGCAGGGGACAGCACCCATGGAGATTCGACCATACCTTGGCCAATCATACGATCTGGCTCCACTCCAGAGCCAAGTAGAGGTGTTATAGCACAATCCAGGATAGCTCTAACATGCCGACCGATGTCCAATGTCTCCCAGCTGGGAAATTGAGAATCAAAATGAAATGCAGCGGGCCGACCCGTGGAGCCTCAACTTTAAATGCCACCGCAAAAAATTTGCAGCAACCCCACTTCATGTGCGTCCGTCACTTTTGCCCCTCTCATCAGATAGTGATTGAGTCTAGCGCACCCCGTGTATGAAAAATGGCCCCTGTCAATCTCTCGCACCGACGCACGCATAATCTGCTGTTGATCTCAAAGCTTTTGAGCCTTCGAGACACTGCATCGCCCCTCACACTTGTCTTGGACTCGCTGGAGCAACCAGCCACCCCACTCCTCAAAGAATACATAAGACGTGCAAAGGTTGGTTTGCCCGAGGACCGTGAATTGCCAAAAGCAGTTGGTTTGTTGGAAAAAAAGAAATAAGGCTGACCCGCTCAATAGCTGTCCAAAGTCCATGTCACACTCATTGCCTTTGAAACCATCAAACAACCAGAGGGCGTCGACGCATTTGTGACAACACGTCGCAAGAGCCTCACAGAAATTGCAAAGGAAGTTAGCGCAGTCTACCAGCCTGTCGCATCCTCAAACCCCTCGCGCAGTAAGCCCGTTCACTGAACCCCGCTTGACGACGGATACTTACCAGCTCGACAGGGCGCTTGATCCTCATCGACTCCATTAATCCTCTACTCAATGCTAAGAGAATAGAGCCGGGCTTCCACTTGCCCTCTTTTCTAAGCTCATTTCTTGCTCCCACATCGCCATTGGCGAAAGTTGAAACCTCACTCGTGGTGACATATCATCAAGATGTCCCCGAGCCTCCTCAGCAAAGCCCCTATGCTTCGTCTCCTCTTTCAGTTTTAACATACCTTGCAACAAGTATCATAAAATTGCACTCTTTCTCGCATATCCTTGCACAAAAGGCTGCCCGGGACCGCAGTCTAGCCCCGCCTGTTTTCGGACTGGAAGAGGAGCAAGAGGGTGTGCTGCTTGGCCGGTTGGATAAATTGACCGGCACTGGCGCAGCCGAGGGGATTGTCATTGAGTTGGAACACCGGCGCAAGAGTGGTCGTGGCGTGCTGGAATGGTACCTTCTCCCACCTGCTTCGCGTTACTCGCCACAGCACCTGAAGGAGGTTGTGACCCTTCTCGATGACAACATCCTGTACAATCCTCCGATGGAGCGAGACCCAGACGCCGAGAACGAAGAGCCGACTTCAACGTTCGAACTTGGCCTGACCGACAAACAAAGGCGCGACAGGGAGGGTGTTGTGTTGCCGTACTTTGATGCGCAGAATGGAAATGGGCCTGGCGAGGGCGGTCGAATCCTTTACGATATGGGTGAAGAGGACGATTTCGACGAAGAAGAGGATGAGATATAGACAATACATCACACAGCACAGGCGGTTTACTGAGATCATTGCGTTCTAGATTCGGAAGATTGTATCCTGCAATCGCCGAGAGGTATTAACTATGCATACATTCATACAAGGGCCAAAGGTGTGGCCGGATCGCAAGAAATCAAAGGAATCGCCAGAATAAGAATATGAAGATGATCAGCCCGATACCAGCAAAAGGTCCGTACTGCAACAGCGGTTAGTAACTCTGATCCAGAGAGATAGGCCTTCACTCACCTGCTTCAGCAAGAGCTCCCAATTGATGCGCACTGCCGCCTTTCGGTATTTCTTGCTGTCCTCGCGCAGTCGCCCAGACAGTTCGCCCATGCGCTCCAAGCTATCACCACGATACAACAGATCCTCAATATTCTTGGTCATAACTTTGGTAACATCACGTAGCTCGTCATTCAGCTTGTCAAGATTTTGTGATGCCCGGCTATCTTGGTACAGCTTCTTTGTACGCTGAATAAAGGTATCAAATTCAACAAAAGCGTATGGTCGAAGGGTGGGCGAGAGGTATTGTGAGGGTTGGTAGGTAGTTGTGAATTCAGAGGCCAGATCAGCGAGATAGGTGAAGGCAAGCTTGCGGGGATAAGACTTGTCGGCAATGCACAGGAAGCAAATGTCATCCTGAATCAGATAGCTATTCAAAAGGTGAGTCTTTGTCGCCATCAATAGCAGATGCGTCGGGCCTACTGTAGATTGTATTGACCAGACTCAATGCTGGCTTGTGGCGCAGAGTTGCGATTCAGTCTTCGGAAGATCATCTTAGCCTGGCCTTTGATCTCGGCAAGTTCTGATTCAGCCTGTGAGAGAAATGTCAGCTTTGCGACCTCCCTCCTGTCTTATCTTCTTACCTGCTCGTCATCGACCGATGCAGCAAGCATAAGCCCTGTTTCACCTCCACGTCAGCACTCAGTCGATACCGCTTACATCAAAGGTCTCTTACCATCAAGCCTTGCAATTTGTGTTGACCTGACCATTTTTGACAACTAGTTGCGAAGCACAGCGGTTCCACGTTTGTTTTGACCGGAGACTTGGCCAGAATGGCACCCAAGAGGGAGAAGGCGGCAACCAATGGCAGTACTCTGCGGTAAGTCTGACCTCCGCATTTGCTATCTTTCGCTCGCAATTGACCATGTCCTAGTCCTTCTGCTGCCCGTACTACAAATGTAGGAAAGCAGGCGGGCTTGGCTATGTCGACTCCCACCTCTGAACCGAGCTCGCGAGCAAAAACCCCAAGGAAACCTGGTACCTCCGCCAAAAGAAAATGGAGCGAAGAGCAGCTACTCACAAGCGACAAGTCCGCTCTTATTCACATGGACTTGGTGGTATGTTTACTATGTTGTATACTGGGATTTGAAGCTAACTATCGACATGCAATAGAAACTGCTGTCACACCCAAAAGCTTGGGATTGCCTTGAAGAGAGCGAGAAGCGCGAGATCCTCGGTTTATTACCCCCCGATGTTCACCCTGAGGCGCAGGACATCCCGGAAGACCTCAACGCCAAGCTTCCCCCAATTCCTGATAGCTTCATCCGCTACTCAACCAACTGGCGCGACGGCTTGCGAGAATTTCAGCTGGATCTCGAAAACGGCCGATATGACCCAGAATGGTTAAGACAAGCCCAAGATGCCAGGCAACGTCGTACGGCGGGCGAGTTTGACGACTTCAAAGAGCGCGAATACGAGGCGTTCTGGGGTCAAAAGCAGAAAGTCGTCTGGAACGCGCCTGCTGGAGAAAGCGCGCGAGTGAAGCTGGGAACGTTGGTCACGCAAGGCGTTGTCCAGTCGGGTGACGTTTGGAGATTCCACTATGTGTTCGGAAAAGGCGCAGACAGGATTGTGGTTGAAAAGGAAGCCAGGGTATGTGCTGCGCTGTCAACATTGCATTGATGCTCAAGTGCACCTCACTTACTGCCAAATTTAGGTCGATGCGATAAACGGAGCAAAGCTAACCTTCGTTGTTCCACCCGGTGACCGAGTTCTCCTCCGCAGTAAATTTGACCAGGAACGGAACTCAAGCACGCCCAAGAAGGAGGAAGGCCAAGAATTCGATCTTCCAGCTGATTCGGTCCCAGCCTTGAACCAGAATGCGACGCTTGATGAACACACAACGTCACAGAAACCTCCTTCATCCCCAAACGACGGAAAGGAGCACGTCGATAGTATAACAGAGGCTCATCCAGTGCTCGCAGCCCCTACTCACGAGCGGAACCTGGAGGAAGAGCCAGACTTCAGTGTTGTCATTGTCAGCCCAGCGAAAGCTCGAAATGCGAAACGTACAACTCCTCTCCCCGAACCGCAGCCTCCAACCAAGCGAAAGAGAGGACGACCACGCAAAGGTGCACCAGATTCCAATCCTGAGCCTGAGCCTGGGGTCCCTGAGGAACCGGAGACACCCATAAAGGATCAGCCCGAACTAGCGCCCCCTATTACTGCACTCTCTATTTTGGCCGAAGAAATCAAGAAGAATAACCAAGCCATTGATTGCTCCTATCAACCGGAATTTGCCGATTTAGATACGTTGTCGCCACTGTCCTCTCCCCTCTCTTCACCACCCGCCTCTCAGGAAACTGTGGATGAACATGCTATCGCCCCTGTCGATGATGGAACGGTGAAAATCCCGACAGACAAGACGGAACCCTCAGTCATTGAGGGTACATTCATGGAACCAACCACGAGCGATAACATAGAGATGTCTCCAGAAAAAGTCATCGAAGCTGATAATGCTCTATATCATGACACCACCACGGTTTCTATCATCAAAACCGAGCAAGTTGCATCAACCACACCTGGAGCCCCAGAATCAAAAACGAACGAAACTCCACCTTCATCTCAAGTTACCACCGATTTCGTAACCAACGATATGGGCGAGCTAATTGTACCCAACATTACCACACCAAGTTCCCTCGTCTTGGCGATCCTGCAGATCGATGGGCGCAAGCCGGGTGGTCGTACAGGAAACGCATGGAAAGAATTACGGTGCTATCGCGACAACCAGGACATGGGTAGCCTCTTCGACGTTCGCGAGGCTTGGTTTATGCAGCATGGAAAACATTGAATTGCATCAGACTTGCGCCGGTTCATCATATGCGGCAATTTCCCATAGGCAACGGGATCACAATAAGCATGTGCCTAATAGCTTACCCAGTGATGCATACGTTTCGCTAACAGTAGATACCCATTGAGCACTCAAAATGTGACACCATCGTTTCATGGAATCACGAACGTAGTCTACAATCTACAACTCTATTTGTTAGGGACATCATGTAATTATCCTATTTGAGCCGCTAAAAGTCTGGGGAATGATGCTAGAAACCTCCATGCATCTCAGACATGGGAGGCATCGGATCTGAATCCGCAGCTACATCGACAGCAAAGCTAGCCTGGATGAAATCCTCGAGCTCTTCACTCACAGTCTTGAGCTTTTCCTTCACACTAGCAACACCTTCCTGCCCGACGATATGACGAGATGGAGGATTCTCATGCCCACCGATGGAAGTAATGGCATATACTGTTTCCTCAACTAGTACTTCGAGATGCGCGGAGCTCAAAGGTGGATGCATGGAGACGACCTCCGGCGCAGAGAATGGGCCGTTCTCAATGGAGCTCACTCGGCTACTTTCATCATGCACTTTGCTGGGAGTAGCTGGGCTAGCATTTGCCGCAGCGGCGTCAGGAAGTTGAGGGATCAGATGATTCAGAATACCGCGGAAGAGAGGAGCTTGGTTGTTGGCGGGTGAATAGGCGGGAAAGATTGGAGGGACGCTGGTGACTAGATTGGTGAGAATGCCGATCTCGATGCTGCATTGGAAAATAGTGAGTTTGACGTTGAATGGTGCTATTTCGTACGCCAGACTCTGTGTGTTTAGTTAGCTTGGTATTTGCTTCCATTCGGGCCATCATCAACTGACGTCGCAGAATCCTTCGAGGGCCCAGCCTGCTGCGCAATACATTCCTAGTCCAGGTGTACCAATATGCGCCGCTGCAAATCGTTAGGCAAAGCGTGGGCGAAGCCGGGGCCAGAGCTTACTGATTCCTGATATGATCATGACATGACCCGATCGCTCTTTTCGCATGTGTGGAAGCGCGGCCTTGATGATGTTCAGAGGACCGAAGTAGTTGATTTCGAATTGATCGCGCACAAGGTTCTGCGTCTGAGTTGAAGCAGCGAGTTCTTCAACTGTGCCAATGAGGGCTTAAGAACTGGTTAGTGGGAGCTTCGGTAATGTCATCGACTTGCATACTTTGACTTGTGCAGGAAAGAAGTATATCAACCCTTCCGAATGTTGCAACTGCATCTGCCATGACAGCTTGGCATTCTCCCATCATTCTGTACAAGAAATGGAACCGTCAATTGGAAATCCATCAGCAAGCTCGGTATCTGGATTGGCGCACCGGATATCTAGCGGAACGGTCTTCATGCGTTGTGCCCACCCATCAGCATGATGTCCTGCTACCTCGGCGAGAAAGGCATCAAATTCCATGCGGCGACGCTCATCGCGCTCTAAAGCTGTATGTGCCAGACCGAGGAACGCATAGTCTCCATGTGCGAGGACTTGCCGTGCGACAGAGAGACCGATCGGCGAGTCCCCCGCGGTGATCAACCATACTCGGGGCTCATGATGCGACGGGAATTGCGCGCGAGCATCACTAGAGAAGTTTTCCATGGAAGTAATTCCAACGCGACATCGCGTTGTAGACCAATTCAAGAATGAGATGTGAAGTAGAAGAGGAAGTCGAGGTCTCCCCGCGGATAGATGCGGAGAATGCCAAGGCCCGCTTGAGCTACGAGGCGAAGGCGTATTCGCAATCTCCCCCGTTGGCCTCTTCTTCTCTTCTCCTCCTTCTCATCCACAATGTCGGAAACGAGGCCACGCAGACAGGAGGAATCCAATGTAAGTGTGATCCACGCTTTCTGTGGTGTGTCAAAAGATACAATTTGCTGACCCCCCTCTGCAGTCGGGATTCAAGGGTGCCCTCCAGGGCCTCGGAATCTTCTTGTTGGTCCAATTCGGTATCAGCCAGTTTATGGGAAGCAAGAATGCTGCTACTCCCAGCGAAAACACCAGTGGAATCCCCGCCTTCGCTGATCGCCCTCATCCCAGCGAGTACACCGAACAGAGTGCCCTCCCGGATCTCATCGCCCCAATCTGGCCGGTCGATAGCGCCGTGGATCTGAGCGTCTACGTAACTCCATCCATCGTGGTACCCAAGTTTACATCCTCGGATAGTATCCTTGTCCTGCAAGAGAAGAATTTCACGATTGGAAACTACAGCGACACTCGTGAAATCGATACCACCATCAAACTTCCCAAGCAAGTCCAGCAGAATGGCACCCTTTGGGCGCATTTCTTCATGGCCCGCACTGGATACCAACTCGACCCCGCGGCCAAGGACTACAACACTGCCGATGCAGTCCACTTCCTCCGCCCCCTGAACCAGTACCTGCCCAAGAGGAAGGTCAAGAAGTTGAAGAACCTCCTGACTGGCCCCGAGGATGACCGTGACGAAGAGGAAGATACTACCCCGGAATGGTCTACCATGTCTTACTACCACCCCAACTTCACCGTGTCTCTGATCCCGGACTCTGGAACTACCAAATTGGGCCAGATGAACCCCGCGGTTCGCCAGTATGTCCAGCTCGAGCGCACCGGTGCTCGCGACAGCACCGGAAACCATGGATGGTATTATCCCATCGCTTTCATCAACACTTTCTGGCAACTGAAGACCCATATGACTGAGCTGAATTCGACTGTCGAGACTGTACCTCTGCGCATCACCGTCAACAACATGGCAAACTGGAAGTTCAACATTCTGAGCAGTGTTGACGAGGGCTCCAAGCAAAGCTCTCGCCAGGCTGCCTACGGTGGCTCCGCCCCTGGTGGTGGTGACGGCACTGAGTGGGAAATGGTCAAGGAGATTCTCTTGGATACCAACATTTGGCTCCTTGGCACCACTGGTATTGTTACCATTTTGCACATGCTGTTTGAAACGTTGGCTTTCAAGAACGATATTGTACGTGATATATGAACTTCCCTGCATCCGACATTGCTGACATCTTACTAGGCCCACTGGCGCAAGAAGAAGGATATTGTTGGTACTTCCGTCCGGACCATCTTGGCAAACGTCTTCATGCAAGCCGTGATCTTCCTTTACCTTGTGGATAACAGCGACAACACCTCTTGGATGATTCTGGCCAGTCAAGGATTCGGTATCCTCCTCGAATTCTGGAAGATCACTAAGACTGTTGACGTCCGTCTACGTCCCCCTCCAGCCAACTCTCTGCTCTCGTTCCTGCCCTATGTCATTGTCTTCGAGGACAAGCACAAGCTCAGCGAAACTGAAGAAAAGACGAAGGAGTATGACGAGATTGCTTTCCGCTACCTTTACATCCTGGCTGTGCCTCTTCTGCTCGCATACGCCGCCTACAGCTTGGTTTACAACACCCACAAGTCGTGGTACTCATACATCATCGAGACCCTCGTGGGTAGTGTCTATGCCTACGGTTTCCTTATGATGGTCCCTAGCCTGTACATCAACTACCGATTGAAGTCCGTCGCCCACATGCCCGGCAAGGCGTTGACCTACAAGTTCCTGAACACTTTTATCGACGACCTCTTCGCTTTCACCGTCAAGATGCCTTGGCTTCACCGCCTGGCCACACTTCGTGATGATGTTATTTTCTTCATCTGGCTCTACCAGGGCTGGAAGTACAAGGTTGACTACAAGCGCGTCAACGAGTTCGGCCAGGGAGGCGACAGCGACGAAGAAGAGGAGCCTACCCCAGCCATTGAGGACAAGAAGGAGGAAACCGTCGCAAAATCTTCTTCCAAGGCTACGCCCAAGTCCGATACTCGCAAGCGAAAGTAGATACATAGATACAGGCTCTCATCAATTCGTTGGCCTACCGCGTGTTATGATTCCCAGCTGTTTGGTCTCACAACTAGTCTATCAAGACCTGTTCGATCGCAAGGCATGAGGCCTCTTTGAAATTGCATAATATTTACATTACAAACTTCATCAATTAGCTTCAGCAATTGTAATTCACTTGAATATGCGGAATCCTCTCATAGACCGCGAAGAACCAGCAGTAGATTCTGTTGTTGATAATTACCCAATCGGGCTTAGGTCCCTTTCTGCGCGCCCACGCTTGTTCTTCTATGCAACCATCGGCTTCAATGTTGAAATCCTCGTCAACATCATTTCAGTTACAAATTGAGCAGAAATTCGATAACAAAAAATTCGCTACTTGTCCTCTCAATTTCCAGAATTGAGCCCCAAGCGCGAAAGTACGCGTTTATGACAAGGTCAAAATAATCAGGAGCATCCCACCATTGCGCCAAAGGGATCAATTGCGAAGGAAGTTATATTCTTTCTCTAACGATGGATGCTGGTGTAGGCATGTTGATCCCATTCCCTTCACATAGCATTTCATGGCTGACAATTCCCAAGAGAGCGGCTCCAGGGACAGCTTGCTCGAGGCGGTCGAGCACTTGGAAAACGGTACGTCCAGAACGTTTCTCATGGAAGCACGGTAGCTAACGTGAGATAAGTTTCACTTGTCCCAGCCAAGCAGAGATACACAGATGCCGGTCTGCTTGTCAAAACAATCGCTGAGGACGCGTATGAAAATGGCATTCGACCAGCCGTGCTCACCCGTCTCCTGAAGATTCTGACCACCAAAAACAATCTGGACCAAGGCACTGTCACGACTCTCGTCAAGAATCTGTACCCACAAGAGAGAATTTCTTCCAAAAATGTCACCCAAGTGATTTGTAGTCTTGGGCCCAGCAAGAACAAGCCAACACCAGCGACCCAGGCTTTGCTATTGCGCTGGCTGATCCTTTCATACGATCTACTCAGAGAAAGGGCACACCTTGCGAAGCTCTACGCGGTGCTCTTTAATCATCTTGACATGATCAGTTTGCGAAAACCGCTGTGCCATCTTCTTTCGCTCATTACCAGGCGAAAGCATGTCAAACCTTTCCGGATCCAAGCTTTGATGGAGCTGATTCAGATCTCTGGCGGCGATGAGAAAGAGCTTGTTGCTCTACTCAGAATCTTCAAGAATTATTATCCCGAGATTATTCTTGGGGAACTTGGAAGAGGGAGAAACGCTCTGTTTTTCAAGCATCCTGACCCCGAGTGGTCGACTCATGCAAAATATCTCCAGGATCAAAGTATTGAAAGGGCCCAAGCAAGCTCTGCATCCACTTTCCAAGTGGTGCATCGGGGCGCTGTGAAAAGAAGTAGAGTTGCAGTGGTCATTCCCCCGCTTCAGAGTTCTCGTGTATCACACAAGCACACTTCGCTGGAGGAGCTGCGTGATGTTGGCCACCTAGTTGAAACGATTGACAAAATCGAGTTACCAAACCAGATTATTTCGACATTGGGTGATGCAATGGCCCAGAAATATCTTCATTTGGTCCACTCTGAGCTCGCGGATCATCGATTAGATGAATGGATGAGAAGTTTCCTGGAAGATAAATTGGAGCTTCTCCATGAGGACGAGGGCGATGACCAGGATACATTGGCATCGTTCTTGGAATTCGTTGTGCAATTCGTGTCATATATCAAGGTGCGTACCGCATTTTTAACACACATTAAATCGGACACTAATCTCATACAGGAACTTCCAGCTGCAATTCGCTCGTTTCTCAGTTCGTACCTTCAGGTGTGGAATGGAAGGGATAACCGTGCGATCATTTTCTGCCTCCTACAGTACATTGATATTGAGCCGATTGAGGCCCTGAAAGCCGAACTATTCACACCAATGGAGTCCGCGGTTTTGGATGAAAGCCTCGGCTCAAGAATGGCTTTACTAGAATTCTACACCGGACTGATCAGTCAATGGGGAGTGAAACTCCGATCACGACCAGTCACATCCGACGAATCGCTTCCATTGAGTCAGACGATACTACATGCTGAACTCCTGGCATCTTCCATTCTGGAAATTTCCGCAGAGCAAGACCAGCAATTGTCGAAGCCAAGTTCAATATCCGTGCTAGACTTCTACAAAACACTTTCAGATCTATTCTCTCATGCGCCCCAGGATGCACGATTTCGGCTTACTCTTCCAAATGCCCAGACCGTTTATACACTGGCATTCATACCGAGTGCTGCTGTTATCTCGACTCTCAATTCTATTTTGGCAGTGTATAAATCCGCCTTTGAAGCGTGTTTGAGCTCACAGGTCCTGCAAGCACAAAATTCTCCAGCATATGGAACAGATCTCGTGGGCCGATTCAATGGGTATGTCATGGACATGTGCAATGTATTATGGCGAAACCGTGCTCTGAATACGGAAGACCCGAATGCCTTGGGATGTCTCGTGCCTGCACCGACGGTAGCAGCCCTGGGAAATTATGTCAAAGATGTATCAGAGGCGGCCAAACACTACGACCGCGAGAATGCCTTCTATCTCAGCGTTGCCTCGATCTTCTCACTCAGCCACCATGCTGCTTTTTGCAACTTATCTGCGGCCTGCTTTGCCGAGCTTGAGAGAGACCAGGGCATTAGCGATGATCGTCCGAGGTTGCAGAAGCCAGTCACCCAAAAAGTTTTGCTGGCGCTTGAGAAAGACGGTGGGGCCAAGACCACATGGCAGGAGTACCGTGTGCATATGTTGGATTGGTTAGACGGGTTAGGGTGTCGTGGTACAGGCATCCTGATGAGGAGCACGATGAAGGCTCTACGCAAAGAGTGATGATTGTCCAATACAGCTTAATATAATGCATCACAGCCTTGGAACTCCTTTTCAATGCTTGGTATCTATCGCTATACACATGTTGATATTGTACAATGCTCTGTTGAAATAGCCATGGGCTATTCTGACATAGCGCTCGCTGTTAGAAATGTTCAGTCGAGTTCAAGTAGATCTCTTGGACACTGGGATCTTCCCGCAGAGCACTCAGAAGGTCCTCCAGAGCTTTTGTTTGTTCCTCGTCTTGCACCTCAACGAGAGAGTCCGTGTTCGGATCCCAAATCATTTCCAATTCTTCAATCACAAGACTGGAAAGGTTGGCAAATACTTCGCCAACAGTCTTTGTCTCTGACGGATCCGTCAAAAGCACGAGGCGACCTTTATCATCAGTCGTGATATCTGTTGCGCCGGCCTCAATTGCCTGATCCAAGTATTCGTCCGGATCTGTGGCCTCCTGCTTCTCCATGACAACTCTCCCTTTCCGCTCAAAGAGGAATGTAGTAGGGGTAACGATGCCACCGTGATCCTTGATGATGTAGCGAACGTCTTGTAGCACGCGCGCCTTTTGATCCGTTTGGCACTCAACCACTGCAGCTACGTTGCCCGGTAGCATCGCTTCGATTGTCAGGGATTCTAATGCTTGGCCTGAGACACTAAGACCTTGTCCACGTGCGATTGCGGCATCGATAACAATTTTGGGAATGGAGGCTCGCTTTGCGTTCGAGAGTGCCAGAGCTAGACGGGGATTGAACTTTGTATCGGCACCCCACACTAGAGACTTGGTTAATGAGTGATCTATGCGCACTGAAATGGGAGAAATGTACTTTGTGTAGCACTCGCAATCTCTTTGCCCATCATGGCTCTTTCTTTGCTCTTGGCCTTGTCATTCCGGGCCTTGTCATGCTTGATGGAGGACCATTTGTTGTGACCGGAGCAATTGACCTCACTGGAACTAAAGGACCGGCAGCTGAGACCAGCCCAATGCCACTGACGACGTGGCAGTAGCCTGCCGAGTCTGAGAGCCATGATGTCGAATAAGGTAACGATGGGAGGGCGATGTACATTTCCCCGCGGATAAATAGCGGGCCGATCTGGCCACACGATAAGCCTCCCGCCAGGAGACGAGCTACCCAGTGCCTCTTGTACTTCATACTCAACCTCTACTTTCATATTTCTTTCTTTTGATTCTCTTCTAATGGGGTCCTATTTGCCTTAAATTTCTAAATGTCTTCCGAAGCGGTATCCCCACCTCCGCAAAATGTATACGAACTGGATATCCCCAAGCTGCATGCGCTCCCCTCTGAGCAGCAGGAGCTCTACATGCTCACCTTCACCTCCGACCTAGTGCAATATATATCGGGACTGGAATCCGCACAGGTATCATTGCAGCAGAAGGATTTGAAGAAGGAATTGTTCAAGATATTGAACCTCCCCTCACCGACGATTACTCGAGTCCTCCGCAATAACCTCGGGCGATGCTTTGGCGCAATACTCAGCAAAGGTGATCGTGGAATCCTGTTCGAAACGATCACCGACCTACTCGCGATTTTGAATGCTGGCAAGAGTGAAGCGGAAATTAAGACGAAATTCGCTGCGGCGCATTGTCTGGGGGAGGTCTTTGCGACAGCTGGCGAGAGCGCGTTCATGCAATCCAATATTGCCACTTCGACCACGCTCAAACTACTCAAGTCAGCCAGCAATCATACAGGGCTTCGCGGTGTGATCTTTGCAGTGTTGCGCAAGGTTGTTGTTGGGATCGGGGTGCCAATCGACGAGGGAACCGCACGCGACATCTGGAAGCAGGCCCGAAATGCCGCCGCCAGCGACAAATCCACCTTCGTGCAGGTTAATGCGTGTCGCTGCCTGGAGCAATTGATCGCCACAACCCCATTCTTCGATAATACAAACGACTTTGAGTATCTCAAAACACTGGTGTGGAAGGTCCTCGATAGTCCTGCCGCGCCGGTGCGGCATGCCGGTGCTGCGGTTCTTGGTCGAGCATTGATCAATCTACACGCCAAGGACGTGCATATCACTGCTGCCCCCAAACCGAAATCGAAAAAATCCAAACGCATGTCGAAGAAACCTGGCGCGGGGCTTGCAGATGAGGAGGAGGCAGAGATGTCGGAGTCGTCCGCACCCAAGAAAGCCGATGCTCGTTTGTATTTCCTACTCCCAGATCTGCTGAAGCAACTATCGTCTCAATACCTCAAGAGTACGACCTCGAACCGCGCACGTGCTGGAATCTGTATATGCTACAAGTACGTGCTACGGAATCTGGAAGACAAGATTGTCGAAGAGCGCTACGGACAGATTGCGACCAATCTGCTCATCGACCTGTTGAATCACCCAACGATCACTTATAACCGGTTCCGTCTGCTCATGACCCGAAAGTTTGTCAAGAGCATCCTTGAAGATACCATTGGCCAGGAATTACTGCGTGAGAACAGTCAGCTCAACGCTGCCAAGTGGTTGATCAATGACCTTCTCAAAGACTACCCTCAAGTCATCCAGGAACGCCGCGAGCCCAGCAAGTACACGTTGACAAGTGCCGTTAGTGCACTTTCGTCATTGATCACATCGCTTGGGTCTGCCTTCAGCAATCTGGCTGACAGCTGCAGAGACGCCCTGCTCCAGGTTCTTCCTCATCCAAGCTACACAGTCCAGATTCATGTGGCACATTGTCTGCGGACCTTTGCTCTAGCCTCCCCTCACCAACTGCTCTCGTGTGTCACTATTTGCATGAACAGCTTGAATAGGGAAATTGGTCAGCTGGGTACACCACGACAATCGCCTCGCCGCTGTGTTGGCTATGCTAACGGGCTATCTGCAATGCTAAGCACATCCCGTCTACAGCCATTATATGGCGCAGTTGATGTATTTGCACGTGTCTTCACCCAAGCAACCGATCTTCTCAAAACCAGCAGCACTTCTGAGCTGCGCGTGGCCAGTATCCAGATTCAGGTTGCGTGGATTTTGATTGGAGGTCTGATGCCTCTGGGGCCCAGCTTTGTCAAGATTCATCTGTCTCAATTGATGCTTCTCTGGAAAAATGCACTCCCTAAACACCTTGGCAAAAACAATGCTGCTCAGCCGGGTCCACTTGAGATCAGTTTCCTGACTCATGTCCGTGAATGCGCTCTCAGTTCGCTCCTGGTTTTCATGGAGTTTAATAGCAAATTGATCACATCTGATGGTGCAAAGAGAATCGCTGCCATGTTGCAGAATACTGTTGAATTTTTGGATGATTTGCCGAAGCCAAAGGCCATGGAAGATCTCTCGCAGCGACTCCATCCTTCCCTCCAATTGCAAGATTATACGACCATGGTTCGTCGTCGTGTTCTGCAGTGCTTCTCAAAGCTTGTCCGGGTGCATCCACTGAGCCACGGAGACATCATCTCCCAGTCTAGTCTCCTCGGTTTGGCTATTTCCTCCTTTGCAGACCCAGATGCGCAATATAAACAGCTAGAAAGCTCGATATCCGGGTCCGCTGGTCAATTTGATGGCCTATGGGATCTTTGCGATAATTATGGCTTCGGGGTTACCGGGCTTTCGAGGGAGTACATCCGTGCTACATTGTCAGGGACGCAGGATGACGACAAGGGGCCTGCTTGGTCTGCCATTGACTCTGTGGATCAAGTTGTTGATGAAGCCTTGACTTTCCCTATCTGCCAAGCGAGCGAGCATGATGCTCTTCTTTTGTACAACTTGCGCGATGGGGACAAACTAGCTGTCGACCCTCCAACCACTGGGGTTGTTAACTCGGCGATTGATCTGTTCTCCGTCGCGCTTGCACTCCATGCTCCAAAAATCCAGGAGAGCAGCGTGGAGCAGATTGCCACGTTCCTCACATCGCCCACCCTGCAGAGAAACCCTGGAAGTAAAGCAGCATTGGTCATTAATATTTCGGTCGCTCTTTTGCACACGTTGAAAGTGGCGGTGAAAGAGACGGATTTTGTTGCTGGCAAACTCAATCCTTCTACTGACAAGATTCTCCAAGAACTATTGCAGAAATTTGTTATTGATGCTGATCCTATTGTGCGCACTATCGGCGTTGAAGCACTGGGACGACTTTGCGACAGTGCTGGCAACACATGCACCAACACACAAGTCAATTGGCTCGTTGATACAATTGTTGAGAACAGAGAACCGAACGCCAGAGCCGGCTGCGCCGCTGCGTTAGGATGCATCCATGCTCAAATCGGTGGAATGGCCGCTGGTCTGCATTTGAAAACGATTGTAGGCGTGTTGATGTCTCTTTGCAACGACCCCCATCCCGTGGTCCATTTCTGGGCCCTTGGCGGCTTGGAGAGGGTTGCCAACTCGGCTGGCCTGACCTTTTCGCCATTTGTCTCTGGCTCTCTAGGAATGATTTCTCAGCTATACAACGCTGATACCCACAACGAGGAAGCCGCCGCATTAGCAACTTCCAATATTGAGATGTCTTTCTTGACACCCGTTGTCATCAGTCGATGTGTGGACTCGTTGATCAATGTGCTAGGACCAGACTTGCAAGATGTTGCCAAGACTCGAAACCTCGTCTTGACCCTTCTTCGCCAATTCCAACTGGAGGAGAATCCAGCATTAGTGACGGAGAGTTCAAAGTGCCTCGACCACTTCTCGCTCTATGCATCCAGCTTTGTGGACTACTCAGGATACGTGAAGCGTCTACAAAGAGAGCTTCGAGCCGACAATTTCTTGATGCGAGATGTTGCTGTTCGAGGTTTGAACAATCTCATGAAGCGTGACGCCTCTTCTGTCATGCAAACTGCAGGTCAGACGTTGGAAGATGATATATGGCTTGCATTCGACGAAGCGCCGGATAACATTTCATTGAAGTCAATGATCCAAGACTGGCTTCAGCAGACAGCGCTAACAGAAACCGAAGTGTGGATCCAGCGCTGTCAGAATATCATGACCAAGACCCGCAACAAGGTGGAGCCCCCGCCAAACACAGCCGTCCAGACCGCGGCCGATATCCCCGATGACGAAGTCGCTGGATTCGCTGCGGCGGGTGCTGCTGAGGGCCAAGGCGACATCGCAAACGAAAGCGTATCCGGACAAGAACTATTGAAATGGCAAACTCGCCATTTTGCGATTAGCTGTCTTTCGGAGCTGCTCGCTACTGTGCAAGAAGCGATCTTACCAGACTCTGCTATCCCTGCGGAGTTGGCTCTTCAGAAAAACGTCGGTGACATCGTGAGAATGGCTTTCTCCGCATCCACCGCCAGTGTCATCGAGCTGCGCGTGTGGGGTCTGAAGATCATCGACCAGGTCCTCACTATGTTTGGCAAGACTCCCGATCCAGACTTCGCAGAGGCGTCGCTGCTAGAGCAATATCAAGCCCAGATTAGCTCTGCGCTCACGCCTGCCTTCGCGACTGACTCATCTGCCGAGCTAGCATCAGAGGCTATCAATGTGTCTGCTACATTCATTGCGACAGGAATTGTCACAAATGTCGATCGCATGGGGCGAATCCTCAAGCTTTTGGTGCTGGGTCTCGAGAATTTCGCGAAGAACCCAGAGACCACTGAAATTGGTGACCTCAAGGGGCTGAACTCGAATGCTCGGGTCATGGTTAAGCTCGCATTGTTCTCCGCTTGGGCCCGGCTCCAGATTGCTAGCATCGACCATGAGTATTTGACCCAAGTGGTTCAGCCTTACATCGCGAGACTCACACCGCTGTGGCTGTCTTCTCTGCAAGAGTATGCCCGCCTACGCTTCGAGCCGGATATCTCCGGCACCTTGGGGATAAGCTCTAGCGGTGATCTAGACGAGGTGTATGCTGCGCTGAATCGCGAAACATTGCTGAAGGTAGGTCTATTTGTCCAATATCTGTTCGTACCTAAGCTGACATCGTATCTAGTTTTATCAAGACACATGGCTTTACTTGGTCGATGCGATTGCTGGGCTCGTCGAGAAAGACATTGACTTTGTCTTTGACGCTTTGGATGGCAAATTGCAGTTACCCGAGCCCAGTAAAGATGAGGGAAATACTGAAAACAAAGAGAAGCCAAAGGGAGAGGTCGAAGGCAAGGGACATGATATCAATTATCGGGAAGAGCCCGTGGCATTCTTCTTCGTGCTATTTGGGCTGGCATTTGAGTCTTTAGTCGACCAAGGGACTTCGGCCTCACACCGACTAGAGATCCTTCAGGCGCTGAAAAGAATTCTGAGGCCTGTGATCTCTGGAAATGCTATCTACCAAGATGCAATCTTCACCGAGACTATGGATACCTTCGATCGTCTTGTTCTGACTGAGGCTACTCCGATCCAGACCGTCATTGTTGAGATCGCACAGAATCTGTCATTAGATCACCCGGCAGCGAAGGGTGATCAGGAACGCAGTGACCATCTATCGGATGACATTGAGCAACTCTTCGAGCTGACAAGAAGCATTATCCTTGTCCTCGCTGGAATGCTTCCTAACCTCCGCGAGTCCACGCCTCTTGCACGTTTCAACATCACCTCGGATGAGTCCTTGACTCTCATCCGTTTGGCGCTTCGTTCTTTGGTTGACGTCGCATCCGTGTTCCCGTCGATCATTCGCAATGACCTTCACGCTTGTATACTTCACATCTTCACAACGATCCTCGCCACAGGCATTTGCCAAGCTGGCGTTGTTCCCCAAGCCCTCCCCATTTTCAGGCAGTTCATCCATGCTATCACCCACACGACGGAGTCCCCCGAAGATCTTGGCGTTGTATCTTTCCAACTTCGGGGTTGTCTTACGCGCTTCCTAACCATTCTCACAATCGCTCAGCGGCGCGAGTCGGATATCTCCATCCCCTGCGCCAAGAACACGCTACTCGCCATCACCTTCCTCCTGACTGCTGGCGGGCACGTCATTCCGCCTCAGGACCCTATCCTCATTCGCGTTCTCAACGAGCTCTTGGACTGTCTTCAAGATGTCGGCCTTGCCACGGTGGCGGCCAGCTGCCTTCGGTCGATCCTCATCAAGCCTGGTCCACGTTCTCCCACCGATGAAGTGATCAGCCGATACCTCACCCCGCGCTTGATCGCTTTCTTCGTTGGCTGTCCTCTGGACAACGGCGAAGTCCCCAGCGACCCGGAGAACTCCCGCACCGTGATCGGTCGCACCCTCGTGTCAACCATTTCTAATGGAGCGTTCTCGGCCACTGAACTGCCCGCCGCGATCTCCCTCGTCATGTCGGCTCTGTTGGCCCGCGCCCAGCGTGAAGGCCCGTCCGTGCACCAGGAGTCTGCAGGCCATCTTCTGGAACTTGCCAAAGCCGATCAACTCATTTTCCGGACCTTGGTTGCTACGATGGGTGCGGAGCAGAAGTCCCTTTTGGAGGAGGTGCTACGTAGCGCGGGAGTTGGAGCTGGTGCTTCCAAGACTGTCGAAGCTACAGACAACAATGCGCCTCATGCTGCGCCGAGTATCGCATTGCGTATGGATTTCTAGGATCTCTCAAAGATATACGATATAGACTATGATCAAATATGAATGCAAACAAGTTTTCCACTGTGTAATAGCAGGTGTCTCCAAGCAGAGCGTCCAAAGGCCGGAGCTCATTATCTTATCCCCGTATCAGGTGACATCGAATTAAATCAACTCCCAATTTCAACTTTCATCCATCGACTTGGACCTAATTTTAAATGAGTATTTCATCTCACTAACACACTGCATTCGAGATGCCACCGGATCGGGGCCGAGCATCCCGAGCATGCACCTCATGCCGCAAGCAAAAGACCAGGTGCTACGAGCCTGGCATTCCAGGGCGAGCATGTCTCCGCTGTGATCGACTACGCCAAAGCTGCTCGCTCATGCGTATTGACGCATCTGACGAAGAATCTCTACCCCCCCGCCCAAACGGGTACGGATGCACGGTACGAATTGCCTCCGGGGAACAGCACCATCCATTCTAACCATAGTACCATTCTAGTTTGGAACGTCTGGAGAAAAGCGTGGCTACTCTGCTTGATCGACTGGGCGAAGGACCCAGAACGGTGCAAGACACAAGCAGACCTTCCACTGCGCAAGCGAGCCCGGCCTCGTATAAAGACACGGAAACTTCCGCTCCGATCATGGTCATCCGCGATCTGGCAACGGACAACGGCATCAAACCGGCGTCCGATGCTCGATCGCTAGCGGTCGTTTTGGATAATCTTATTTCCCCACAACTTGGCCTGGAGCTGATCACCATGTACGTGAGTCTGTAAACGGCAGAGATTATCCTTCTGACTTGATTTAGATTTTTGGAATATTACGGAAGGTGGGTTCTTTTCGACCCGGAGTGTGAGCCAAGTGAACTTCTCCGCCAGGTCAAAAAGTCTACGCTGCTCTTCTGCGCCTGCTGTCTGATCGCCGTGCGGCACACTTCCGAAGAGCTGGCTGCGAACCTCGCCCCCCAGCTTTACGAGTATGCCCGCTCGTTGGTATCGACCACGCTCCTGGTTGCTCCACAGCCAATTGAATTCTTCCAGGCTACTTTGATTCTGTCAATGTGGTCGACAACAGTTGGGCAAGTGCCTTTAAGTATCGATAGTTGGTTGCTGAGTGGGTTTGCCTTGCAGCACGCACAGTCAAGCCCGCTGTTCACGACTGTGACGACTCAGTCGCCTCCTCCAAATCGACTAGACGAGGAGACCATGGACCATTGTTATCTGTGGAACCATCTTTGTCTTGCGCATATGCATTACTGTGTTGGAACCAGCCGGCGATCCATGCTGCAGCCTTGGCAGATCGAGCGATGTCGGGCAATAATTGCTTCAGATCATGCGATTAACTTTGAAGTGCGTATGGTCGCGGAGATTCATCTGTATTGGACTGTTTATGAACACCTCATCCATGAATCTGTTGACCTGCTGAAATCGGTCGCTGCTTTGCAAACCTGGCGAAGGAAATGGGAATTCGTTTTAGGTATATCTCCTCCCATTGAGACCTGCTATCACAAAATAGGCGTTGCTGACTTCTATCGGATTAGAGCAACCTAGGTCTCAGTTCCTTTCCATGGGCTTCCACTTCTCTCATTTGCTTCTTTATGAGCATTCTCTCAAATCCAAATCCGCCCGATCTCGAGAGTCGGTAGTCTCAGAAATGATTCGTCATTCTACCGCGATCGTGCACTTGGCCATGGACACAGTCGATGAGCGCACCCGTCATCTTACTGATCACATTTACCACATGATCACATTTGCTGCTATTGTCATCTGCCGGCTGTTAAACGCCCATCGCGAGCAAGTGGCCTCAACTCACGATACCAATCAGCTGGACGCGCTGGTTCATGACCTTGTGCAATGGCTTTATTGCATTGGGTTGCCTTGCCACGCAGCACATACATTGGGAAATATCATTGCGAAAGTACATCAAAAATTGCGACCTCGCTTGGAGGAGATGCCACCGTCCCTTCAGGCCGAAGAGACCCTTGGCGAGTTCAACAATTACTATTTTCCAGAGTTCCTTGGTGTGGGGATGTCTGCGGATGGAAATTGGGATCTACTTTCGAACATGGATCTATTTCCACCGAGTCCATCTATCTCGCGACCTGATTGAAGCCCACTCTCTAAAAAACATATCTGACTAGCCGTTCACATGTCCAAGACATGTCTTAACTGCCTCCCATGCGCTTCTCGGCCCACCGAAGCAACGGGAAAGTGATGCCAGAAAAGGCAAAAGTCAACTCATGGCCAATGTTTGCACCCTTTGAACCAATCAGGGATGCGATTGGGCCTGAATACCACGCTGTCTTCATACCGAGTGCAGCACCTAGAAATCCGAACGCGAAGGCGCCAATCGCTGCCCATCCGAATGGCAAGGCGGCTATACTATTCCAGGCATTGAGATCATACCCATCCCATCCACGACGGAAGATGAAGTGTTCTTGCATCACCAGAGTGATATGAATCACAGTCCAATATCCAATCACGCTTAACAAGGTTTGCAAGGCATCGGCGAAATATCTGGCCGCACAACAGCCGACAACTATCGCCGCAACGAATCCAAAAGTCACCATGACCACGCGGGGGATCCGCATGGCCCATGGCCCCAGATTCTGTGCATGGAGAGCAAAAGAGTAATTGTTTGGGATATTGTTCTTTGGTCAAGTTAGCATGTAATCATCAGATTCCCACGGCAGACTCACAGGAATCGAACTCAAAGCCGCAAGTACCATCAGGAACTTTCCAAACCCGCCAGCCGGCTCCAGAGCCATCTTCAATAGTCCCCCGATCGAAGACTCTGTATAGGCGAGCTTCCATGCCGGGTTTGTCATGGTTCCCGTATACAAAGCCGCACCAAGCATCTGAACCAGGACAGTAGGAACGAAGATCCCGACGTAAGTAGCGCTGAATATCTGCCAACGCGGAGTATCCTTGGGCATTCGCACATTGTAATCCGCCGCACAATTGACCCAAGAAACCGAGAACGAGAAAATAGACGCCATGTAGCTAAGAACGGCGGCAGCTTTATCTGAGCCCTTGAGACCAACGTGGTCCTCACCAGTGAGCTGCGAAGCTCCGGTGCCTGCGGCAACACACCAGACAATCAATGGCGGGATCCAGATGAAAGTATCGAGTCGATGGATCCAACTAATACCCAGCACGCAGATGATCCAAACCGCCACGCAGATGACGATCACACCTGCCCAGATGGGGAATGCGCCATCAGAGACTGCGTGCAGGACTGCTGCGCCTGAGATGGAGTTAATGGCGTTCCAGCCCGTCGTGGCTATCATGGAGAAGATCACTACTAGCATATTGCCCCAATAACCAAAGGAGTAACGGCTGCGACTCGGGTTAGTGTTATGTGTGGCTTGAGGGAAAGGTTGCATACGAGACTGTGGTCATTCGTAGCCCGGTCAGACCAAATACTGCTGTCCATGCTGGTAAAAGGTCGCTTGTTATGTTGACGACCAAAATGATGATGAAGCAATCCCAAAATGAGAGGCCGAGGGCGCCTCCTAGGGAGCCTATGTTAAGGGTGGCTACAGCCATGTTGGCGCTGAACCTATACATACCATTCAGTTAGCTTTATTGATGATTTCAAGCTTCTTGCAGTAGCTCGAATTACCAAAATGTAGCAGCATTCCAAAATTTGGTGGTGTTCTGGAGACGTTCTTCATCTGTGACTCGCTCAATGCCACCTTCTTCAATGGAAAGTCTAGAAAGTCCACCGAACCAAGGTCGACTAGGTTTTAAGGTAGTGTCTGTCTCTGAATCTGTCTTTGTAGTTGAAATATGATCGTTCAAGTTCATATTGACGGATTTTTCTTGCAATGTAAGATTTGCTCGTTCACCTCCAAAGCAGTCGGGACGCAGCCCCCTTCTATATACGCCTCCCTATCCTAGCAGTATATCTAGTATTCAATTACACATGGCAAAGATGAGCATATCTGGAGCTTATCGCACGCAATGGCAATGATCTCTGAGCTCATAGTTATCACCCGCGGCATACCGCGGCATGCCGGACCGGAAGCCCTAAAGCACGACACGACAAACCCGCTGCCCCAATTTCGCCAAAGATAAAACCCTCTAGTCTCTGGGTTTCTTCTCACATTCAGTCTTCTTGAGAGTATCTGTGAGATCTTTTCTGCATTCTTCATGGACCAACACACCTTCCGCCGCCGAGGCCTCGGACTCCGAGGCGTTGATGACCGTGTCTCCCCAGGCTACGTTCTATATGCTCCTCTCACCTCCAACACCGCCCACCTTGTCTCAACAACGGGCAAAGAAGTTCACCGCTGGACACTCCCACATCGTGCAGGACGCCATGCCCGCATCTTACCCAACGGCAACTTGGCCTACAACGGCGCCCACCCTGAAGCACCCGCCCTGTTCCCCATGTGGGCCAAGTACCGCGGCGGCATGATGATGCAAGTGAGCCCCGGTGGCGAGATTCTACGCCAATACTCTGATCCCCTGGCTCATCATGACCAAAACCATCTTGATGACGGCACGCTGCTGTACACGACGCTGGAACCCCTCACTCCTGAAGAGGCATCAAAGGTGCAAGGCGGGATCCCAGGCAGCGAAGCGAAGGGGATCGTTTACGGGGACTGTATCAAGTTGGTCGACCCTTGGTCATCCGGTAATGAATCTTCTTCGGCGGACTTTGAGGTCGAGGGCAAGGGCGCGAAGTTGCTTTGGTCGTGGCGCGCGATTGATCACCTTGATCCTGCTGTTTTTGCTGCTCATCCTCATTACCCTCGGGAGCATTGGCCACTGATTAATAGTGTGTCTTTTGATTCAGAGGGAAATATCATTGCTTCGTCGAGGAATGCGTCTAGTGTGTTTGTTATCAGTCGTGCAACGGGGGAGGTGCTGTGGCATCTCCCTGCACCGACAGTCAGTCAACAGCATTGTGCGCATCAGATCAACGAGAGTGGGGATATGCTTGTTTTTGACAACGGCGTATTCCGTCCTGGGGTGTCTGTGCCGTTCTCACGGGCAATCATTGTCTCGAAGGAGAAGGTTGTCAAGTGGGAGTACAAAGACCCATCGACCGGTGGGCTTGGATTCTTCACGCCGTTCATGGGATCTGCACAGAAGCTGGATGGCGGCAATGTGCTACTGTGTGAAGCTGCCGATGGGCGGATTATTGAAGTTACAGAGGGTGGTGAGATTGTGTGGGAGTTTGTGGTGCCTCAGCTTGGGGACTACAAGGCTGTGCTGGGGAGCAAGGAATTGGAAGAGATGGAGAGCATTGGGTTCGATTATTTGAGTAATGCCATCTTCAGGGCTTACAAGTACAGGCCTGATGAGGTCCCCTGGCTGAAGGAGGGCTGGTTGTCTAATTGGCTTTGAAAATGCCCAGGTGAATGATGTCGAGGCCTGTCGTGTATGGTGGCCAGCGTTTGATGCTCAATCTCAACTTTAATTTGAAGTTGACCTGACTTCGGTCTTATTCGATTTTGGGAGAGTATGATATGAAGACATAGGCGCCCGATTATTCTGAGCAATGATACATTGAGAAATTTGTCTATGAGGTATGATACAATGGGCACAGCGCTGAGATCTGTGGGGTATATTGATACATGCGGCCCAAACAAATGAAAAATGACAATGAGTGAATATGTAAATCAGTACAGTTGGTTTGTCGAATACGCGGACGCGAATTCGAGAGGATCACCCGAGAGATTCACCGAGGTGCGCACCACCGCTGGAATCCATCGTTTGAAGGTCGGCATCATGGATAACTTGGGTTTTAGTGGTGATTTCCTTGACGATGGGCTTTTCTTCTTCCTTGGTGCTCTTCGACTCGGGAACCTTGCGTGTGGATGCATATTTGAGGAAGACAATAATCATGACTACTGTCGTTAGTGATCATAACAAGAGATTGAGGGGTAGGGAAGGTTAGGATAAGTCCAACACTTACAGGCACAGATGGCAATCGTCATTGCAGCACGTCTTGTCAGAATCCACCGCAGACTTTCAATCTCGCTCTTTCCATCGCTGTTCAGGGACACGGTGATTTTGTAATTCAACTCCTGGACCGAAGTATCGATGCTCCGCTGCTGCTCACGAGTAACCATCTTGTGATCATTGAACATGCCCTTGATGTCATCTTTAACACCCGAAATCTCCTGGCCCACGCGTTGGGAAATGATATCCGTTTCATGCTGCAATTGAGTGCGCGATGAACGCTGGAGCTGAATTTCCGAGTTCCGCGCTGTCTGGAGCGATGATTGTAGCTCTGAGCAAGCTGCTTTGAATAGATATTCTTCGTTCTCAACGTCAGATTTCGAGGTCAAGCTTTCCTTGGCTAGGTCAAGATTGTTCTGCAGAATAGCTCGCACGGCCTTCATGATGGTGATGGAGTGTTGAGGACTGAACCCGCCTTTTGTGAGGTCCTGGACCAGCGAGTATGTATCGAAGTGGTGTACATAGGGTGCGGGAGATAGGTGTGGACGGTCGTCGGACGAAGAGGATTGTTCGGACGGTGTGAGATACACAGATGGGGAGGGCATATGAAGCACATCGTCGAACGGAGTCTGATTGTTGAATGTAGATGGTTCCGGCTTGTCCTCGGCAGAAGGGGCCTCGGAGGTATTGGTCGATGAAGATTGGGTCTCCTCGGGCTCAGAGCTCTCCGCATCCTTCCCGAATTCTTCATGCGCCTCCCGATCTGTCGGAGGGTCATCTTTCCGAGCATCTGATATATCTTGCGCATCTAGAGCCGGGGTAGGAGATTCATGCTTCGGGGTGTCGGCAGTGTTTTCCGCATTTTCCTGGGGTTGGTCCGAAAGGGACTCTGCCGGTGAATCCTCCCCTTGCTCCGCGGGACTCGAGGATTCTTCTTCTTCCGCTGGAACCTCTTCCGGCACTTTGTCTGAAGTGCTCTTTTGGCTGCGCGATGATGAGACACTCGGTTCAACGGCTGGACCGTAGCGTCTTTGGTAGGCTTCGCGATCCCGGCGGCGGCTGGTATGAAAGCGGCGATTGCTCGAATTGGGATAGGTCAAGCGGAGGGAGCGGTATGTACTAGGTTCACAAGCCCTCACAGCCCGCATCAAATTTGGATACAGGAAAGGGAGCCTTGGGGTCGCCATGGTGTGAGGCTTGTAGGAGCAGAGGACCAGTTTCCCGTCGGCGAAACAAATGACGATGATCCCCCACGGGAAATTAGTCAGCGGCTCATGTCGGCCTGAGATTGGCCTGAGAGTTGGCAGTGAACCTCTCAGCTGTCTCTGTTCTCCAATATCAACTACTTTGCTGGCTTGGGTAGATATACCTTGTTCGAGGTTGCAACGTTGGATTATGTGCATTACATCTTACTTAGACAGGACTTTCTGCACAAAGTATATGTGGCAATCCTCACAAGCATAGCAACAATTGTGTTCCTCTGTTGTACACCGAACCAAGCCACGAACTGACTACAGCCCTGGAGTCAATTCCTCCAAAAGCCCAGATTCTTGAGCATCCGTGGATGGACATGTGAAAAGTTCCAGGGGTTTCCAAGGCTATCCTTCTATTGCCAGGGGGATCGTGCATGACTTTGTTGAGAACCCTCCACCACTAATACAATCATAGACATAGAAGTATTTGCCTCTAAAATGGGTTTCTACAAAGTTGTGTTCAATACCTTACACCACCAGGCGCCAGACGTATATTGGCAGCTACTGATGTGGGTGGACAGGATGCATTTGACGCTTCCTATGAGGCAGACTTAGTCCCTCAATCATGGATCTAGATTTGCAGGCAAAATCAAGCACGCTCTAATGCCGTAAGACCTGTTTTTAGCTAAATGGGAGGAACCTTTGTCTAAGGCTGCTTTCCTGGCAGGCTGACGGGCGATCAGAAGGCCCTAGTTTTATCAACCACCACCTGATGCGTGATTATAGAGATATACAAGTCTGCAGCTAGCATGAATCGTTTTGGGATCAGTGATTGAATTTGAAGGATTTTGCTGCTTACGTTCATCCCAATGGCTGAGCCAATCAATTGGGCCATAGAACTGTCTCAGATTCCAAGGTTGAAAGCTGGACTGGGTCTGAAAGAGGCTCATATCATAAACGAGCCCTCTCTACCATGTCCTCCCACCTTTATCAGGCAGATACCCTGCTCCATTCATACTTATCTAGGTCCATACTGGTTTTTAGGTCAGTATGATAGACTCACGGACTGTTCGCCGGGGAAAATGGCTTCTCTACTCTGATATCTCGCCTATGACGATGTCTGCAGATATTCTACCACTGCAGTGGAGCTTGGAAAGGGTTGAAAGGAAAGGCCACAAGCCTTGCATTCCTCACGCGGACGGGCCCCGCTTGAAGAGTTGGGGAGCCATTTGAAAAGCTCACAGTCCTTTCCGCGGCATTTCTCCTCGTCGACTCTCCTCTTTTTCTTACTTCTTTTCTTTTTTTTTTATCGTTGACTGCTTGCAAGCCCCCAAGGTCATTGCCTGGTGTGGATTACATGGGCGGTACCAGTATATATACTTCGTGAATCTATACCTGGTCCCTCAAACCAACAGACATCAATTTCGTCGAATTGCCTCCCCCACGATAGCCAGAAAAGTGAAATCTTCCCTGAACAAGCATCAAAAAGGAAGAAGCAATCATTGGGATAATCTGGAGACTCGAAGATTGCAGAGAAAAAGAAACACCACGAGCCTGAAATTTTCGGTCGCTTATTTACGAATCCGCTGATACAACTCGATCGTCGAACTGGACCATTCCAAAGGATGTATGGAACTGCTTGTTTATTATGACAGCAATTCCTGAAACTCCTGGATTGAATCTTGCGGAGGCCAATATTCGGGAATTCCACTTGATTCCACCGCAGAACATGGGTCATCTACTTCATACTTCCTGAGCCCGTTCACCTTGAGGATTATCTTGTTCGGGTCCCAACATCAATATGGTGAGAGGAAAACTGTGTCCATTAATTCAATATGTTCATCGCTAATACTGCAGCAATCTAGTTTCGAACGAATCGAGAACCATACGTTCGGTTATGAGATCTCCGATCATGCCGATGAGACGAGATAAAGGAAGACTCAAAAAGCTCTTTGACAACAGTTCCTCAAATCATCTAAACGAAGGTTTTGGACTGCGAGCACAGAATACAGCGATGAAGCAAAGAGCACTGGCCAGGGCCCAGGGGAGGGCAATTTCAACGCTGCAGCAGCACGCACATAGTCAAAATCGACAGGTCACTGATTTTCACACCTTCGACTATGGATGCAATATTCCAGAAGATATCGGAGAACACTTCTGATAAATTGCACAGTCAATGGGAATTCTCCCTTCCAAAGGGACTGACAAAAGCCGTTTCGTGGCCGGGTCCTTACATAGGAAGACATCTACGAGGGTCTCTTGATTCGCCCAAATGGAGCAAATCTTGCTGGCAATGTCTTTTCAAACGACGCAGAGGACAAACAAGGGACCCCTGGGGTTGCTCCTCAGGTACCACTGGGCTGTCAGCCAGCTGCCAGAATACGGCGGCAGCCGATCATTTCGGAAGCTCAGGCACACTTGATTTGGAGCATGCACCTTATGTTCGAAAAATATCGTGAGATCTATTCCACATGGGCTTAAAGGGACAAAAGCGTGCCATCAATGCAACAATAATGGCAAGTCCATCAACACACCCATCGTCGATTACACAATCCCCGAGATTAAAGGCCCCTCCTTCGTCGACGCAAAAAAGAAAGATCAGAATTCCCAAAGAAGACACAACATTTCATACACTATCGAAGACGCCTTCTGATAGATGCCTGAGAGATGCCTGAGGGAAGGGGTTTGATTCTTCCCCCTTCCCATGAACGTTTGTTCCAAATCAGAAAGACCCATTCCAACGGGGCAGGTATCTCAACTCGTCGAGGCAAGGAGTTCATGAACATCAGTCTGGCAACGGAGATTCAATACTCCCCTTAGGGAACGATTACCAAGGCAGGGGATATGAATTGCATTGTGGGCCAGTGGGACTCGCTAAGTGGTGGCATTTTCCAAATGGCGCCACTCGACGCTTTTACAACTCTGAAGATTGTCCATGTCGAGTCTGCCGGAACCGACTCCGCTTCAAAGTCGGAAAGAATACTTCCTCGGTCATGTCTCGGGGATGAGTGACTATAAAACCCCGAACGCACCGGGCTCGAGTCGTGGCCGGCAAATGAACATTCTGGCTGATTTCTGCCGAACCCAGCTGCCTTTTTATAAGGAGCATGACTAGCTGCAGACTTCCTAGCACCTGGAAACCAGGCCTCAAATAACTTGAACCAAGGTATGGGGTTTGAAGTCCAGCTGCAGTAGCAGGACCTGGAAACTGGATTGTGGAAACGGTTATCCAGACCACCGTGAACGCTGGTCTGTTGAAACCTCCGCAAAAATGCCGAATCTGTTCGTGGGGAGAGAAAAAGTCCTCTGTGACATCGACACTTCCGTGGGAGTTAACGAAGAACAAAAGTCCATCCACAATTTTCACGGGAGTGTCGGTCCTCGTGGGAAGGTGAAAAGCAGATTCTCTGTGACATCGACACTTCCGTGGGAATTCACGAAAAACAGAAGTCCACACACAACTTTTACGGGGGTGTCGATCCGATTTGTGGGAAGGTGCGGAAGCGGATTCTCTGTTGGCATCGACACTTCTGCGGGGGAACACACTCAGTAAGAAACAAATCTGAGCTTCCCGCAGAAGTGTCGGAGCCGATGCCAGCCTTGCTCACTGTCTGAGAGCAGAGAACTTCGAGAAAGATGCGGAAGCGTTCGAGCTTGCCGACAAAATATTTCATGACTTTCATGGATGGGCCCTCCTCTCTCCCTCCTATGACGAGGAGGGCCCATCCGTGTGATAACCATGAAGGAGAGTTGAATTTTCTGTTCCATCTCGACACATGAATACACTTTACGAATGGCCTGCAAGATGATCATCGGATGCCAACATGAGATCCAAAGACAGCGCAAGCATACATCTTCAATCTCGGGACTTTGGGCCTACTGGATGGACAAGAATGTTGGTAGGCAATGGGAATGGAACAGTCTGGAAGGGGCGCCAAGATTGAATCTGAAATTGCGGCCCAGATGTACCTTACAGAAGATGGCAGTTTCAGATTCGCGGAACGCGCAGCAAGATATGTGGAGGTTTCATGTTGATCTGATGGCATTTTTATTACTACATAAGTGAGCTTGATCAATACTTTCAGTTATCATTGAGTACCTTCATTGTTTTCAGTTCATGTTTTTACTTTAAAAAAAAGACGGTATGTAGATTTAATTTCGAAAATGAAAAGGGAAAAAAAGAAACTCCCGACCGGAGACTCGAACTCCGAATCTTGCGGTTTTGATTTCAAGATGAAACTTGGGATAACTGAAGAATTTATTAGTAATGGTTTTTTGGTTTAGACCTGACAGGCAGATGCTTACAAGCCGCACGCGCTAACCAATTACGCCAGCCGGGACTGGTTATACGACTGCTGGGGTTATACGAAACTAAGACCTTGCTCCTCTCATATTGGCTTCCATTGAAGGGACGAGTAGCATCTTTTTCTTCCACTTCGCCAACTAGTATAAATAGGGAACAGGTGTGAGTAGGGCAGTTGCCAGAGTATGGATCTAGCTATAATCTACCACATCCTTGCCACCTATTCTCAACCTTGAGTTTTATCCATGGGCCCCACCATTGACCATATATCCTACTATGCTAGCCCACTTTCTGATTCCGGTTCATTGGCGTAGTTCTGCAGATGAGCGTCCATCTGCCAACATGGCATCTGTAGTCATTCAAGAGTGTGACATAAAGGCGCCTTGATGTCTTCGTACCTCGATGCCTCAGGGCCAATTGATGGCGATAGTTGTCTGCTCCATTATTGGTTGCTCATTCGCGTGGCAAGTATAAGAAATACAAGCCCCTCCTGCTTCTGTGCCTTAATCTATTGTTGTCTTTGGGCTCTTATAAGGAACTTGCCTATCGCAACAAAGATCAATATTCGATCAACACCATGCATGGTCAGAAGTAACCAATTCAAGGCAACATACTCCAGCTACACCGAAACCGAACACCAGTCAAACCGGCACTAGAGTTGCCCAGGTGGTCCATTGCCCTCTAAAGGGACACAAAAGGGGGAAGTTCATCCAAAGTTGGGGCCCAGCATATAAGACTAGCCATGCTCTGGCTTCTGGTGTTCAGGTTCTGTCATATATAAAGTTGAACTATCATGTGTGTTGCAGCCATGGTCATTGAGGCTCTCCGATCTTAGGGCCCTCTGCATTTCAACAGTCATGAACTTGAAGATAATACCTAGGTAATACGAGACCTTCGGATATTATATGCTGTTAACATGGATCGGCCATAGAGAAAATGAAGAGTCCAAAGAGTGAACCAAAGTGATTGTATAGTATGTGCTTTAACCCATTACCACTCCTTCTCCATCTCTCTCCGTCTCTCTCCCTCCCTCTCTTTATCTCCACTCTACCTAGGTACTGTTTCCTCTCTTATTACCCACGCAAATTCAAGATGGATGCATTCGAGGTTTTAGAAGATATCGGCGATGAGGTCGAAAACTCACAGACTGTTGCAGAGATCCTGGATCATTTTTCCTTGCTGGCTCTGGAAAACCTTGATGATTCTGAACCCAGTTACCGACAAGGCAGCCTAAAGCGCAAACTTTTTGTCGATCAAGACGAAAAGCTCAGCAAAATTGTTGAAGAGGTTTGGTCAGAGCTACAGTGGTGCCAGACGGCCCGCTCCATCTCTTCCCGTTTCCCTTTCCTCGATGCCACAAAGCAAGACGCCCTGAAATCAGCCATGGAATGCGGTAAAGTGAATCAAATCTTTCTGACAAGGTTCATACGCAACAAATGGGAATCCATTCGAAAGCAGCAGAAGCCGAAAAACCAACGAGCCGATACCAAGCACCAACGTGAGTTGAAGTCTGAAGATGTTGTCCTCGATGCCAGGACTTGCCCAGATTATGGGAGCAAAGATGTGAGTTTTCATTCCATAGGAACTCTCTACAAGATTACATTTTTAACTCCCGAGGTCTCTTACAGCTCCAACCCCATATGGTGACTTTTCCAATCTTTAGCGATCTCATAGATATATTGCTGGTCAAACTCCTTGACAGCAACTATGTCGTTCATCCACTGCGAGATTATTCCAAGCAGCTGAAGATCTTCGGGTCTCGACATCATCTCAAAGATAGAATTTTGAAGTGCATAGCGCCTGAAGTGCATGTTCTTGAGGGAAAGGAAGTCACACGCCGAAGGTATATTATTCATGCGCGAACAGCAGCATCAATTCGAAAGTCTGTCGAACTTCTACTAACCACTGGTGATGTTAGGCTGGATAGCATCCTTGAGAGCCAGAAACCACCATCTGACTGGCCTTTGGTAGGCGGATACCTACTTTACATTACCTCTATCATGACCGAAGACTATTGGAGACCGTATGTGGGACAGTCATTCAGACGGGCTCGTCGAATTCCTGAGCACATCAGTGAGGTTTCACAAAGCCACATTCACACACTTTGCTACTGGATTGCCGCCAAACCCGGGCGGCAACTTAACTTCATAAGCTTGTGGGATATCGAAAAGCAAGATGGAGACACCCAACAATCTCTTGAGCTTCTCAACACTCTGCTCGAGATGATCTTTAGCCTTGCATTCGAGTCATTGCCACTGCCAACACTAAAAACTTTCCTCGGAACAAAGGACTTTTCACTGCGGGGATTGAATGTTGTGTCTCCGTTGCTGCAAAACATCAAACTCTACGCCCACGAAAGAGGCCAAATTCGAAGTACCCTAATACTCTCCCCAAGTCATGAAACTCGGAACTTTGCGAAGGTCAGGTCAGAGGTACTCAAACGTTCTCGAAACCCGAGACGTGAATCATCAGTCCTCAAGTTGAACTACCCAACTATCGAAGATGCACTTCGCACAGCAATCCCAAGCTATATGTCGTATGGATTTCCCAACGATGACACTAGCATCAAGGACCCAGGACTCAACGATGACACAATATCTGGCACGATATGCGATGAAGTCACCCAGTATCTCCAGAAAGAAGATGTCGATCGGGACTCATGGGCATTCCCACAAGGTTCATGGCAAGCGCTTATCAGATTTGTTCTGGATTTCGATATTAACGCGCTTGCTCCGGACGCTCCGGACGCTCCGGACGGAAATAAGGAACGTGATTTACGTGGAAACTTCCCTCCATTGTTATCCCGTCTTGGATTCCACGGAAAAAACAGCCTTGTTTGGTCTTTTGACTTCCAGGCTACGCATGTTCCTCAACAATTCACAATAGCTGGGTCGGAAGATACGCCATTGAAAATGATCAACCGAAAGATCATTGATGCTTCAAAGCTACAAGCCATCATTCTCTGTGGACAAGATGCCGAGAAAGCCGTTGTCACATTCTCCTTTGAGGGAATCACTATTTCTTTCGGCAAGGTCTCTTTCAAGGCATTCCTGCAGGTGGAACAATCGACTGTGCAGCGAGTGTATCTAAGAGCACCAGCTCCTTTGTCAAAGATATGTTCGAACGACTGGAAAGATGCCAATCTGGTTGCCACCGTGATAAAAATAGCGGCGTGCCTAACCAAAACTGAGCACATCCACCCATATTACTTCCGGTCCCAGATAGGGCTATCTGAGATAGTGCTCGCCAGACTACGTGAGACCCAGGATGGGATTACAATGACTGAAGAGTTAATCACAGACACAATGTGGGGTTGGCTGAGTAACAAAGGCTTTGAGAGGTCCGAAATTTCACTTCTAGAGAAGATTGGTGGGTCCCTAAGTAGGGGCCTCCTGCTAGCATTCATCACTGCACCTTCGCGCGCGGAGAAAAGCCAGCCGCATGCCTTGAAAATCCCGCGTGCTGATCAGCCTTCTTCCAACGAACATTTTACACAGACTCAACTTGCAAACATGAGAAAGCTCCATGAAGAAAAACAGCGCGTTATGGAGGCAAAGCATGGGAGTCCCTCCCAAAGTTTCCAGGAAGAACCGGACGATGACAACCCAATCATCCACGAGGAAGCGTTGCAAGGTCAACAGAACATACATTTTCTTGTTGATAAGCTGGCGTTGGATGCATGTCAGCACCAAGAGACAGAATGCGTGGAATCGGATCATGACGATACTCGCACAGGAACCACCCCTCAAGGATCTTCTCAGCAACCCAAGAAAAGGAAACAGGACACAGCCCCACCGGATAAAAAAGGGAAAGATGTGAGTTGTTGTTGGTGTAAAATGCCAACTATGGGGAAGAACACGTATCCTTGCTGGTGTGAGATCCTACAAGGATCTCTTTGCCAACAGTGCTCTATGACTCTAAGCAATTCGCATCACCTACCGATTGCAAAAGCTCAGATATTACACCTTGAAGTACATTGTGGATTCTGCGATTCGTCAACTAGCTCCAATTGGGCAATGGTACCTCGTTATGCCCTTCCAGCATGCAGTGCTCAATGCAAACAGGGCATTACAGACCGCAGAGGAATTGTTGACAAGGAATCGGAAGCTGTGAGACTCCTAGTCCGACAAAGAACGACCCAAGATACTCTCAAGTTTCAAGACCAGATGGGAGCAAAATTGAAAACGGACGCCAACACGAGGAAATATTTCAGGAACACGTTCAACATTGACACGAGCATAGAAGGCCTCATGAAATTGACGGTCAGCCGAATGGGGGGTTAAAGCTGCACTCTGGACATTCTCTTTCGGCTCGTGGAGCTCTAGTTAAGGCTCTATTGGAGCTGGTGCATTTGCATACAAGACTGTATCTACTATCGTGTATCGATGAATGATTTCGAAGTTGCCTATGCTCTTAGACAGTAGTCACTGACGGTCTTCTACAGACCTTTGCTCTCAAAATGTATGAGGAACATCTCTTTTGCCGTTAGTTCAACATTCCCAAAATGTACGGAGTAAAGATATTGTGCAGATCAAAAGGCATAGTGGGCAGGTTATAGTGCCACAAAGACCGGGAAATGGCATAACCAGTCCCGGCTGGCGTAATTGGTTAGCGCGTGCGGCTTGTGAGTATCTGCCTGTCAGATCACCAATAAACCATTACTAATAATTCCTCAGTTATCCCTAGTTTCATCTTGAAATCAAAACCGCAAGATTCGGAGTTCGAGTCTCCGGTCGGGAGTTTCTTTTTTGGCCTTTTTTTGCTGGTTCGGTCTTTTTTGGTTCGTTATTCATTCGTCCATGCTTCTCCTGTCAGGATCGTACGGATTTATGAGCCTGTCCATATAGAATATGCGTGGTGGCAAAATTGAATAGAGATGCTAAATTAACATGCCGGGTAAACCCTGTCATAGTATTTGTCTAAGATAGATAATGTATGCAAGTATCAATGGTGCTACAATGCGATCGCTCACTGGCGCGCCAAAAGGCCAAATAACAGCTCCGTCCGGGTCCAATACTCGCCCGCAAGTTTCTTAATAACCTTAATGGTCTCGACACTGGGACCAGCACTCTTCTCGGCCTGGACAACGATATCAGCCAGCTGATTTCGTTCGCCCAGCATCTCGGACAGATACAGAGAATCAAAGAAGACTTGGATCTTCCAGTCACGCAGGCCCTCGGCTTGGTCTGGGGTGCTGGGCCCAGTCGCTGATGTCTCCTTCTTGTTCTCTTTCTCGCTGTCGCCGTTCGCAGCGGGCTGCTCGTCCTGGGCCTCGTTCTTGATTGGGGTGTCGATGTCATCTAGATCACTCAAAGCTGACGTGAGGGCAGTGTTGAGGTGCTCATTCAAGGCTTGCTTCAATGCTTGCACTGTAGAAGGATCCCAGAGGTCTGACCCGCAAGTGTCCATGGTAGAAGTGAGGTTGCGCAGGAACTTGAAGCTTGAAGTTGAGGGTTGGACGGGGATGGCAGGTTCGCCTTCCCAGAGAGAGCGCCCGGGCACGGATTTGATTTTGCCGGTCTTGGGGTGACTCTTTGGTGATGGAACCATTTTCAACGAGCCTGCCTTAGCGACGACCTCCGTCGCAAGTAATGCCTGCAGTTCTGGAACGATGTCACTCGAGAAGATGAAGTCTTCAGGAACAAATGTCGCGGGAATATCTCGTCGCACCAGTCGTATTAATCGGATGAGGAAAGTGGCCTTCTCAATTGTATGTAAGGAGGTGAATGATTTGAAGGCACCGCTGAAGGAGGTTTGTAAATCTGCGAGAGAGTCTTGGATGGCGGAGTGAAGAGCATCCGACAGGTGCTGAGGATCGTCGGAGTTCAGTCGAGGCGTGATGTCAACGTCTTCCTCATCGTCCTCGCCTCCAACGAGAACATCGGTCCACCGCATGCGACGCAGAGAGTCGATAGATTCGTTCACGTGCTGGATTGAAGCCAGCCATTCATGGTACTTGGCTGAAACAGCTGAAACATCTTCATTGCGGCCGAGTAACCTGTCAGCTACAGTCTGTTTGAAAGTGTGTGCACCATTCGAGTATTCTGCATTGATAAGGTCGGCATCCCATAGAGATCCAACGGGAGTGTGCTCCGTGTTCTCCCAGTCGGACAAAATGGCCTTGGCCACATTCCCGACCTCTCTGAGACCCTGTGCTTGCAGTTGGAGGACTCTTGCCAATTGACCATTGAATATGCTTCGAAGTCTCTCGAGTACATCAACTGAGCCATGAATTATGGTGGTGCCCCAAGAAGACAGCCATAGTTCTACAGTCTCTGTGCGTAGTGAAAGTAGCTCCGAAAACTCAGTACCGAGAGTCAGACTCTTCTCACAGCCCTTGGAGAATCTTTCGAAGGCCTGCAGAGACCATTCTTTAATTGAGTCCACGCCCTCGGTTCTATTAAGTTCACTGAGTTTGATCCACGGAGTAAAGTTGCTGACCTCCGGAGCAACCCAACGACCAAGCACTTCAACCTCAAGACCATCAAGGCTTCGAATCTCAGGATCGACAAGGAGGGGCCGGGCCTTTAGTTTGAAGAGGACGTCGGCGAACTGCCGGGATCTCAAGACCTTAGAGACCTGAAGGGAGCGTACAAACAGCTGGAGAGCCTTGGGGATGTTCTCGCAGGACAAGTCCAGCTGGCCAGCGATGGCGTCCAATCGAACTTCGTGGAAATGTTGAATGGTGTCGTCGGCCGAGGAGCTGGTAGCGAGACAATACGCGGCCAGTGCTTCAATGGCGCTTTCATCTGTTGCAGTGGAAGATGCGAGACGTTTGTCGATCCTCTTAAGAACTGATCGCCGAAGGGACGCCAACTGGTTCCGCAGGTCGTCCAGGAATGGAGGTAGGGACTCGTGCTGCGACAATGTCTTGTGCAGCAGCCGGGAGACCACTAAGATCTTGGCAATCAAAAGAAGAGAGGCGCGTCGACGCAAGAGTCGACTAATGGTCGTCGTGCAGCGGTGGAGGAGAGACAGCTGAGCGCAGAATGAATGCTTGTCCGAGTCTGGCCACATCATTAGTTCGACTCGAAGGCATATGGTTTGTCAAAGAGTCCTACCCTTCTCCGTATCGCCACTCTTTATCTGTCGAGCATGAACCTGCTTCCTTTCCACTAACCGGGGATTGCATCGGCGTCCAACGTCAGCCAAAACGGTTTCCACATCTTGGATATCCCGATTCATAGCCACAATGGTTTCGGCAGTTCCGACCAGGTCGCGATATCTCGTGCTAGAAAGACCGAATATAAACATTAGCCATTGCAAACTAAATTTCCGGGGTAATTGGTTCATACCCCACGACAGCTCGGAGCTTCTCCTTATTGCTGGAGATATCCCGACGCAGCTCCTGCTCCACGCGGCGAACCGTGGGGATCGGATACTGGAATGCATCGTGCCATGACTTCAGGCTTTGAGGATCAGGAGCCTCGGGAGCCATACTGGCGAGATATGCAAATGCGTTGAAACGACACAGAGAACAAGTAGTGTCAATGCGATGCGGCCTGGAATGCCTGAGCGCCTGAACGCATTACTCATCCTTTATCTTATCAGCACGAAAAATGTCCCCACCGAGGGGAACAATTCGCCGTTCGACTTTCCTTGGGATTACTCGAACATTTTCAATATGCCACTGATGGAGTCTGAAGCTGCTCCAGTGGAGCCCTCGAATGAGCTCCCTGATCGCCTGCCATTCCCACCTACTACCTACTCGCACATCTTGCATTGCTCTTACCATGACTGGCATCGAAGGTATGCTTTCTATATATGACTCAACGTCACAAATATCTAATTCAAGATCTAGATATCGCTCACTTGCCCCCAAGTCGCGCGTCATTCCACTGACAACTCCATTCGTCGAATATCTCCGCGCCGACGGGATCGTTCTTCCGCCGGAAGCCGTCGCTCCAACTGAAGATTCCCATCTCGACGACGATTATTCTGACTCTGGTGAAGAGGAAGCCGACCCATCTGCAGAATGGCAGGGTATCCACAATAAGATCAAGGATACAATCGCCGAATTTGGAGGCATCGTCACCCCGAAATTGAACTGGAGCGCGCCCAAAGATGCAACCTTCATGAATGCCACAAATGACACTCAATGCCGCACGCCGAATGATATATACCTTTTGCTGAAGAGCAGTGATTTTATCACCCATGACTTGGATCATCCATTCGATGACTGCGTCCCGGACAGCACCGATGAAACCACGCCATCTACAGTGGACTCCCCACTGCCGGAAGTTCCATACTCCCTCGTTCTCCGCAAATACGTCAACTTCAACCCCTCTCTGGAGTTCCGCTGCTTCGTCCGGAACCGTGTCTTGCTGTGCATCACCCAGCGGGATCAGAACCACTTTGACTTCCTCTTCCCCATGCGCGACATGCTCCGCTCGCGAATCCAGTCGTTCTTTGACGACAAGCTCAAAGACACTTTCCCCGAGTCGAACTTCGTGTTTGATGTATATCTTCCACAGCCACACACGCGTGTCTGGCTCATTGATATCAATCCCTGGGCCCAGCGGACAGACCCGCTGACCTACAGTTGGTTGGAGATTCTGCAAAAGAAGGATCCCATCGGCGTGCAAGAGGACGATGGAGTTGAAGAATTTGTGAGAATCTCGTTGCACGATGGCAAGATTATTACTTCTGGCACGGCGGAGGAGCTAGATGGCGAAGATGATGGTCCAAGTTCTTCCGAGTCAGAGACGGAAGACGATCCTGAGGGTGATGACGACCAGGCCCCCCTTCCTCCCTGAGTTCCGGTTGATCAAGAAAGACGACCCTGAGGCATATGCTTTCAGCTCCACACAATATTCGGCCCATAAGGTGCCGAGGGAATTGGTGGATGCTTCACTTCAAGGGCCTGGTGGCATGAGTGAATTCATGGGTCAGTGGAACGAGATCCTGAAGAAGCAGGAGCAGGAAGATAAAGATGATGGCACTGACTCAGAGTAAGTCTCGTGCCCAGGTGTTTAACCTCAATTAGATAAAAGCATGTTGGCGTTTGGTTTGAATTTGAGTTAATATTTATGGAATGGCATCCTACTCAATCGAATTTGAGACCATGCATCATACTTGCCGAGTCACTTACTCATCTCGAAGTTTGCGTGTACGGTTTGATATGAACTTCTACTGATGTGCGCGCCTATTTATACGTAGCATTCATGGAGGTCCTCTGCCAAGTCTTTCGAAGACATGGTGTATGTATGCTAAGATGGAAACATGCCAGCAACCAAGACGCGGCCACTGGTTTCAAAAGCTATGTACAGAGATCGACCCAATCTAAAGCTTATGCTTCTTCTCGCCAGATGCCAATTTCCGGAACTCTTCCTGAGGATAGCCAGCCATAAAGCGCTCCAGACCAGCGAAAGCCTCAAGACCATTTTGGCGGTCCAGGATCTCCCTCTCGGGACGACGAACAAGCTCCTTGATACCCAGCAAGCTAGACTGATTGAGATGTGTTCCCAGCCGATCATCCACCTCCTCAAGAACCTTCTTCAAGAAGCCATCTGAGTCTTCCTTCTGACCCGAAGGAGCAGCAATAACCTTGTTGACAAACCCAGTAGCAACCAGTTCATCACAGGTAATCCGCTTGCTCATGATCAACGCCTCATTGGCCTTGGCGATACCAAGGCGCTCAACGAACGCACGGCTGGCACCGCCTTCAGCCACGAGACCAAGTGAAGAGAACGGTGTCAGGATGAAAGTATGCGGTGTTGCGTAGATGAAGTCTGCATGCGCAACGAGAGCCGCTGACAATCCTACAGCTGGGCCGTTGAGTGCAACGACCAGGATCTTGGAGTGGTTGTAGAAAGTGCGGGTTACGTCGACGTTGTTGGCGACGAAGCCTTTGAGGAGCTCGCGGCGCGCTCCAGAGCTGAGCTCGCCGCCTCCGGGTCGAGTGCTGGTTACGTCCGCTCCGCTGGATAGGTGTCAGATGGGCTATTTGAGGGGGAGTGGGGGCCAAATCACTTACGCAGAGAAGAAACGACCAGTTCCTGTGAGAACTGTGATGTAAATGTCTCTGCGCTGCTCAATCTCACGCAGGCGCTCTGCTAGAAGGTAGTATAGATCTTGGTTGAGAGCGTTTAGCTTGTCTGGGCGATTGAGGGTCACGATCGCCACGCGATCTTGATATGAGACTGTGACGAGCTGTTCGTTTGACATGATGGGGTTTTCAATTGATGAGGGTTGATTGTGATTGAGGGAAATAGAAGAAATTGAATGATTTATTAGTGTCGCTTATGCATATCATAAAAAAAAGGAAGCATGTCGATCCCGCTAGTTATGCGGGGGAGCCGAGGCAGCTCATTAATCCGCCCGAGGTCGTAAACATATTCGACACCCGAATATCCAGGCCACAATATATCTTGCCTCAGGCCAAATATTTGCTCTGTTTGCTTCAACATAATCAAGTCCGTGACTGGCTGTGGCACCACTCGGCGATTGAAGACCTGCAATTTATCGGTTTCTGTCTCTGAGACCGCCATAGATCCCGAGATTAGCATATCACCACCACTTTCAATTGAACTCGCTTGTCCCCGTCATACGTGGTCCGACTCATAACATCCAAAAAAGAAAGCCGACCACGAAACCACGCCATGTCCACGTTTTCGCAATTCCTCCGCAAGTTGCGGGGAGGCAACCTCGAGGTCTTCAAGGTACGTAGCAATCGTTCACGAGGGCATGAGGTCTCGGCCGTACCTTCAATCCTGACCAGTCCGGCTAATCCGCTCCACAGTTCGGCACATACGTTCTCTTCCCCATCGGCTGGATGTACTATTTCGGCACGAATCTTGACGACCGCTTTTCCACCAAGGGCTTCTGGCCCACGGCAGAGCAATCCCACAAGATCCCAATTGACAAGGAAGAGATCCAACAAGAGCTGGCACGTATGCGCATGGTTGATTCCGTACAGCGGGAGCGAAAACAGGCCAAGCAGGCCGCGGCAGCGGCGGCAGAGGCTCAGGCTGAAGCGCAGGCACAGATGCAGACGGCGCAGGCTGAGCAGTGATGGCGGATGATGATCTTATAACTTGCGGCATATGGAAGCCTGATATGTGCCTGTGGTGAAAGTCACCGGAATGGAAAGGGTCTTTACGACAGCCATGTCTTCACTGTACCCGTTGCTAGCATGCAATACCGGCCGAGGGAAATGGCATCGCGGGAGTTACACATGTGAACCAAAGGAGTTTGTACAACACCCTACTCTGGGCATCGAAGGCGTTATTGGGATTTTGGATTTACCTCATTGGAATCACCTTGCATTGTACATTATCGAAATGGAAAGTCTGCAAATATCAAATTCAATCATGATCACGTTGCTATGATAAAGTAACACAGGGGTATCAATCCACCACAGCGCCCAAGGCATAAGTACAGGTAGGGCTGTGGTGTCTGAACCAAGAAGAAAAGACAAGAATTATTAATAATGCGATCTGCCGCGCTGCGACAATGCAATGAGTCCCAGGCCCGGAACACAAGAACTCCTCAAAAGCGCCAGCCGACAACGGTGAGAGCCAGGTTCCCCGAGCGTACATTCCAGGGCATTAAGAGCGTTCTCACCGTTGCGACAATGGAGTATGCGAATGCAACCAATATCCACGTCGACCGTTTGATTCACAGTTCAGCCATGCGCTCCATCCGCTGGGTGGTGGTAGCCGCCGCGTTCTTTGCGGTCTCGTATACCATGCCTCCAATGGCTGTGGCGCTCTCCCCGAAGACCGAGCTGATTGACAGACGGCCTGAGCTGAACAGGCGCTCGCCGGCCCAGTAGTAGTAGAGGCGGCCGTAGATGGCGCGTAGGTGGTCAGGGAGGTAAATATAGATTCCAGCAGTAATCATCGTGACCAGAGTCAAGAGGAATGTATCTGCGTTGGGGATTGGAGTCAGCATATTGTATATGGGTTCATGAGGGCGCAACGTACTGAAGATGAACTTCTCAATTGGCGTAAGCATGTAGAGGGCAAAGGTCACCTCATACTGGTATACCTTCAAGCGCATCCAGCGAAAGACACTCGAAATCGCCCAGATAATGACATCCATTGTTGCGGGGCACGTTGAAGATCGAGGGATGCGGTGATTCGGATCGAGGCTGCTGTAAGGTTGGCAAGGTTGGCAAGGAGGTCGACGTTCTGGTTCCCCGGGCTGGGCACTGCGGAGGAATTGAGGAATCTGGAGGAGAGCGGAGCGGACTGGAGAATAGGCTTGTAGGATGAGAGAAGTGCCTGGATTTGAAGATCGAGCGGATCAGAAAAGCAATTCTCACTTTCCCCTTTCCGTGGTTCCCGCCTTTGTACTGGGTACATTTCAGCACCCCACTTTGTAGCCTAATATCAGGTACCCGGTACCTTGTATACTTTTCCCCCCCCATAAGTATCTTGATAACGTTGATGTTTCAATTGTTGAATTTATAAAAATAATCAAAGTACATACGTTCAATCAGATCAGATTGCAGTCTTCGTTGCCTGGCACTGACATCAATCTTCTATGTTGGGTACATTTTTTAGCCAACAACCTGAATATTTGAATAGAACAGCCGAAAAGACCGTTAAAAAGACCGATACAAAAACGCCCCGAAGTTGATAGCTCTGTTCCTTTACCAATCAAAATAACAGATGAAGCCAATACATGACTACACCTGTTTATAAGCAACTATCAACTGAGGCTTGTAACACATAAATGCTTATCTTATCGGACCTCCGCGGTGAAATATCCAGCTCCAACCAGCTGCCACAAACTGCCTCAAAGCCATGCTGCCCCGATTACACCGGTCAGCCTCTCGGCTCCCTAATCCTGTCCGCTTCTTCAGTCAAACCCCCATCGCTCCCTCCAAACCCCTCCCCCCACGCATCAAGATCAACGATGCCGACATCTCCATCTCATACCTGAAAGGCACCGGGCCCGGTGGACAGAAGATTGTGCGTGACTCTTGGACGAGGACCAGCTGCACTGCTATTGTAGCTTGGGAGAGTGTCGGAAAACACAACACAGGACTAACTTGAACTAGAACAAAACCAACTCTGCCGTCCAGATCATCCACAAGCCTACGGGGATAGTGGTGAAATGCCAAGCGACGCGGTCACAGGCGCACAATTGCAAGACTGCGCGCTCCTTATTGGCGGATCGGGTGGAGGCGCTGGAAAAGGGGGATAAGAGTCGGGTTGCATTGAAGGCCGAAGCGGCGAAGAAGAAGAAGGCGAGTAAGATGAAGAAGACGAAGAGGAAGTATCGGGAATTGGATGGGAAGGGGAAAGGGAAGGAAGATGTGGAAGAGGAGGACGAGGTGGAGATCGTTTGGGATGACGAGGTGGAAAGTAAGGCTGAAGTTGGGAAATCGGAGGTCGAGAAGACTGGCTCTTCTACGTGTCCGTCTACAAAGCCCGGGGATTCCAAGGATTCCAAGGATGTATAATGCAAGACTAAATGTACGGTGTGCGACTCATTTTGAAACTTAGTCACCATTTAAGGATTAAGAAGGCGTTTTTACTTCTATACTTGGGGTTGAAATAACAAATTTCAAGGAAGCATTTATTTCATAGATCTAGGAAGTCATTGCAGCATGCATTGGGTGTGGGGAATTGGACAGGTGAGGGCTGGTCACCGAGGAGCCAGCGAGGGGAATAGGCAGGGAGTTTCTGGTTGCTTTTGTGATTCTTGGGGAAGTTGGAGAAGGGGGATGATGAGGCCAAAGATCAAGAGATGTAGCTTCCCAGCATCGCCTTGGATTGGTCGTCAAGACGTGTCGAAGCAAACTGCGACACACGACCGTTCTGCTTCTTGTCGGCCTCCTTCAGATAAGTGCCCACCCAAACCTTGAGGTCGGCACCGGTCTCGGGCCAGGGGTCCTTCTGAACAGCACGGATGGTGTTCAGTGGGGTGAAACCAACACCGAAGGACATGTCTTCAGTGTCCGCATCGGCAATAATGTCATCTCGGCTGGCGGGCAAGGGGGAAGCTCCAGAAGCTTGAGCAAAGCTGTGCAAGTGAAGCCCCATCCCTTTTGAGCATAACGAGTGGCGAAAGCCTCCGAGTTGGCGAGGGTCTTGGCGAAGGACAGAATAGCCGTCTTACGATCCAAAGGACGGGCAAGCTTCTGCGTCTCGGGGAGAATGACATTAATGTAAATCGGAGTGAACAGTCCCTCTTGCACCTTGTCGGTAACCTGGATGATGAAATCGGCGCTGTAGCCCTTGTCATCCTGGTTTGAGATGAAGTGGAAGAAACGGACAAAACGAAGGGTCAGGTTCTCCGTCTTGGAGTTCTGCAGACGCTGAAGGATAATCTGCATGATCATGACAAAGTAGTTCTCCAATGCCGCGGGCGGGAAACTGGCAACGCATGTCTCGAGCAGGTCGAAAGCAAAGCTCTCATTGGCCTTGGTGGAGACTAGCTTCTGGAAAATACCAAGGATAGGCTCAATTTGGTTGTGCTCGATGATGTATTGCGAGCCTCGGGGGATGATGGAGGAAAGCAGACGGACCAGGGCAGGTGTGTTACCCTTCGAGTCCCACATGACAGGCATCAACACAGGACCAATGAGCTCCTGGTAGTAGGTCGGGAGAGTTGCAGACTGATTGGCCTCGAGCAAAGCCGCGAAGAGCTGGAAAACGTAGGGCATGAATTCTGGTCCCAGTTAGCCTGCTTCTTGATTGAGTATTGTGTTTCTTTTGTACATACCTTGCACATCGTTCTGAAGAATACCAGCGAAGGGTGCGTACAGAGCCTGCTCAAGCTTGTCGGGGTTGGCGGGGGCAGCAAATCTATATTCTGTTAGCGGTTTGTAGATAAGAAAGATACAGGCGACACTTCATACCGAATAAAGGCACCCATAGCCTCGAAATGGAAGTAGTAAAAGCGCGGGTTACTGGGGTTGGCACTGATGATGTTGGTAATGTTGATGAAACGCTGAAGAACGATATCAGTGTGGGGGACCACACCCTCCTTGATCACAACCAAAACACGCATGACACAACGCATCAGGAACTCGTTCTCCTGCACCTTCTCGGGAGCAGGGTTGGACTGGATCAGCTGGAAAATGTGTTCCAAAAGGTCCTTGGCCAGAGGGGTGATTTCAGTAGGAGGAATCACAGGCTGTCCCTGGGCGTCGGTGAGGTACAGCACACGCTCCAGGGCAATGGCGGCATATGTGTAGACAACGAAGTTGGAAGACGCAAGGTGCTTGACCAGCACAGGAAGAACCTGCTGCCACTGCTCCTTGGTGATGATACTGCGGAAAGTGTACAGGTATTTAATGGCATCGACCTTCAGGATGGGGTGAACGCCATCCTCAGAGATCAAATCCGCAGCAAGGTTCTGTTGGAAGTAGTCTGTGATGCTGACCAGTTGGTTGGTAGCGGTAACACCGTGGGAGGCAGTTGCGGTACCCTTGGCTGCGATAGCGGAGTACAGATATGTTGCAGTGTCCTTGGCCTTCCAGTTGGACGCATCCTTGGCGTACTCAGCCAAGTAGTGCTCGGTGTACTTGAGCACAACTCGGGTCACGGGCTCCTCAAACTTCTCAGCTAACTTGCGGAGGAAATCAGTGGCAGCTCGGCGTCTGGTCTCACTGTCGGAGCCCTCCAAATCCCGTCGAATGAACTCAATTGGCTCGTCCTCGAAGAGCTCCTCATCTGACTCACGTAGGCTGACGTTAGGCAAGACAACTTTCTCAACAATCTGTCCCAGGGTTTCCTCAGCCTGGAAAGAAGCAGCGTGCTCTGGCATGCCTGCAACAGAGGTGAGGAAGTGGAGAGCTCGACTGACAAGGATGTCATATTTGGTCTCCTGGCCGATTGTGGAGAGGAAGTTCCACGAGCTTCCAATGAACTGGCCCACTTGAGGCTGGAAAACATCCATGTACTTCTGCACATAGAGAGTCAAGGCCTCGAAGATTCCGGCGCGAACGTATTCCAAGAGACCAGCTTCGGTATCGTCATCAGTTTGTAGTAGAGGGTTGTCATAAGTGAGGTATTTGAGGAAAATTGTGGCGATTCCAGCAATATTATCTTCGAACATGGGAGGGAGATCGTGGGAGGAAAGATCGTAAAACAGCTTCACCATCAGGTTAAGCTGGCTGAAGCCTTGAGTGAGATTCTCTTTATTCGTCTTGTTCTGCTCAAGGTAGGAGTCCAGTGCCTGCGTACATTTAGTATCCGTCGCACATATATTGCATTGAGCATGAGGGTGTGAATTACCTCGAAAAGAGCCAGGAACGGAGTACCAAACTTGCCGAGAACGTGGTTGATCTCGGTGTAGAGCGCATCAGACTGGAACAGGGGTCTCCATCGCTTGAAAATGGAATGCGCAACTTGCAGCACACCGATGTTGACGGTAGGGTTGGCTGGTGACAGCTTCGACACAAGGTCCTAGAAAAACGATTCAGCGAAAACCCACAAGTCCATGGCTCAATCGCAACCTACATCCACCAGTGTATCCCAGTTCTCCCAGAAGTCACTGTCCGCAATCACACTGACAGCCTCACCCAGCTGACTTTGGATGCCCGGGGGCACCGAAATCATCAAGGAAATCAACTCGCGCTTGAGAGTCTCAACCTCATCCTGCGCCAATTTATGTGTGCCATCTTCGTCGGTCCAGTTGCGCTTGATGAAGTTCTTGAAGCATAGTGCACTTGCAAGACGTGTGTTGTAAGGTACATCCTGCGATGCGGTAATGTGAAGAAGCTGTAGCGAGAAACCAGGCTTCTGCTCTTCCTGGCGCAGGGTTGTCTCGGCTAGAGGCAAAACAAAACGTATCAGTATGATTCTCCACATGCTCATACTTCCAGATTCAGCCACTTACCCGACTTGTTCGATCTGGGGTCCAAGCTTGCCTCCAACAGAGCTCCGAGACCCTGGGACATCTTGTACGTGGGGTATCAACACAAGTGAGGGGAAATAGAAGAAAAGAAAAGTGAAGTAGAAGAAAGGTGGGGAAGTGTAGAGATTATTTCTTCAAGAATGTCAAAGAGATAGTTGACAATCGCAGAGAGGAATAAAGACAAATTATTCAAAGCTCTTCCGAACAAAACAAATAAAGCGAGCCCTCACAATTGTACGGCCAGTCCGCCCACCGCCTCTAGTCCCAATGCGGTTAGCACGTCACATGCTTGAGCCTCTCTGCGATGTTGCCTGAGGCACTCACTTTTTTTTTTCTTTTTTGTCTTTGGCGCAGTGCGCAGCTCTGAAGAATATGGGGATGTGTACGGAGTATGTTGAAGTATAGTGATATTGTTTGAAATTTTGTGTTTATGTAACTCTATGATCATGTGCTTTTCGTGATAAAAAAATACAAACTCCTATGGAACCAGCAGCTATGGAACCATCAATGCTTAGACAACAATGTTGCTAACGCCGTTAGCCAACTCCTGTTCCTTGGCCTGAGACAAATCCTTGACCTGGTTGAAGACACCAGCGGCAGCGGAAACAAATCCAAGGAAGGGCTTGCTGGGCGACAGCACACGGGAGATGTACTCGGGGTGGAACTGGACACCCACAAACCAGGGGTGGTCCTTCAGCTCAACAATCTCCATACGCTCACCCTGGTCATCCTTGCCAATGAAGTGGAGGCCGGCCTCTTGCAGCTTGTCAATGTATTCAGGGTTGACCTCGTAGCGGTGACGATGACGCTCATCGACAGAGGTGCGGTCAAGACCGTACAAAGCGCGGAGCTTAGACCATTCGGAATCCTCTTGGAAGAGGGTGGGACGGGAGCCCAGACGCATGGTACCACCGAGGTTGGCACGGTCAATTTCGGGCATGTACACCACAATGGGATGCTTGGTACGCTCGTCGAGCTCAATAGAGTTGGCACCCTCAAGTCCAAGGACGTTGCGAGCGTATTCAATCACGGCAATTTGCATACCCAGGCAGATACCAAGGTAAGGCTTGTTCTTGGTACGGGCGTGGTGCGCAGCGCGCATCATACCCACGGTACCACGAGTGCCGAAGCCTCCGGGGACCAAGATACCGTGAGCAGTGTGGACATCATACCAGGCCTTGTGGTACTCCTTAGAGTTGGTATCCTCCCACTCAGATTCCAGGTGGGAGGCGTCTACCCAGATGATGTTGAGCTTGCGGCGAGAAGCCATGCAAGCGTGCTCCAGAGACTTGATGACAGACAAGTAGGAGTCATGCAGACTAACGTACTTGCCAACGAGAGCAATGTTGACAGTCTCAAAGGTGTGCTCCTGGGCAGTGGTAAGGGTCTTCCACGATTTCCACGTGGACTGACCCTTGTTCAGCTGAGCTGGAGAGATGTCGACCTTCTTGATGGCGAGGAGGTCGCCAAGAACACCAAGGAATCCTTGCTGCTCGAGAAGGAGGGGGACGTGGTAGGTAGAGCTGACGTTGTGCACGCCAATGACCTGCTCCGGCTCAACCTGACAGAACATGGCAATCTTGTCAGTGGTGGCCTTGTCGAGGGGCTTCTCGCAGCGGCAAGCAATAAGATCAGGGCTCATTCCAGCTGAGCGAGCGTCCCGAATAGCCTGTTGTGTAGGCTTGGTCTTCAGTTCATCGTGAATGACTGGAACGAGGGAAACGTGGATCTGGACAAAGTTGTCCTTTCCAGCACGACGGCGGAGCTGACGAAGAGCCTCGACGAAGGGGGCACTCTCAATGTCACCGAGAGTACCACCAAGCTCGATAACACAGACATCGGGTTCTTCATTGGTATCGTCCGCCGGGGTTCTGGCCACGCGCTCAATCCAATCTTGAATTGCATCGGTCAAGTGGGGGACGATCTGGACGGTGCGTCCAAGGTAGTCGCCGCGACGCTCCTTTTCGATCACATGCTTGTAGACCTTTCCAGTCGTGATGTTGTTGTCCCGTCCAAGGGTGACACCGAGGTAACTTCAATGGTAAAACCGTCAGTCACCGCTCATTTCATCGCATGTCACAGAGCAACCTACCGCTCGTAATTTCCAAGGTCGAGATCCGCCTCACCGCCATCGTTCAAAACGAACACCTCTCCGTGCCTGGAAAATATTTGTCAGGACGAATGTCCACAGATCAGAGACAAATGTTCACATACTCGGTGGGAGCCATGGTTCCCGCATCGACGTTCATGTAAGGGTCGATTTTGATGCAGGTGACTCGAGCACCCTGGGTCTTCAGCAGCAAACCGGTACTTGAGGCTGAAGCAAAGTGTTAGATCGAGGGTGATTTGAGTGAATCATGGGTGTGTACCAATTACGCCCTTCCCGATGCCGCTGATCACACCTGGATTGATTATCAGTGAAATGCGCGTGAGAAGTTGACTCATAGGATGCATACCTCCAGAAACCACGACGTACTTCATGGTGGTGATGAAAAAATTGACCACGAAAAAAGTAAAAAGTGAATCAAAAAGATTGAAGACCGGCAATTATCAAGAACCCGATGAGAGAAAAGAAATGTAGGGTGCCGTTCCTGGCTTCTGCCAAGGGGGAAGAAAGGAAGCGAATCGGTTTTTTCGAAAGCTTCACATCGGCTGCCTCGACCGCCCCCCCACTTGCTCTATTTTTCTGCCGCTTTTGACTTTTTCGCCCACAGAGGGCGGTGAACACATCATGTGACTGAAAAAGAACGTTAGATGATGACATCGAGAGCTTAGAGCTCAGCCAAGCTGTGAAATGGGAAAATGTATTAGATAAATGGAGCCAAATATACATTGTACTACTGCTACAGCATCATGGATTACGAATCACACCGGCATCCTTCGTATATCACACGCCATCTGTGTGGTCAAGGAATTCTATAGATATTCACCGCCTTTTACTGCCGGGCGGTCAGCGTATCAGGCGACTTGGGCTCGAATACCTGCGCAATCTGAAAGGTTGCCCATCCGATTTCCCCTCAGTCCCTATCACATCACTTGCTTGTGTCATCGACCAGGTGGGGTCTTGGCTCCATTGATATTCATCATCCGGCCTCTCAAACACAGCACAATTCCTTCTTTACTGCTGATCCAACGTGTGCAACACTTCCACATCGAACACCCGCATACCCACTCTCGCAGCTCGCCGGACATCGCCTCGGCCCCTACATATTCAACTGGCTATTCTCAGAGCTGCTCATGTGGTCAAGCATACTGGTTCGCTACTCGTAACAGGTTTGTCTCCCGGGACAGTTGGTGGACGTGTGATTCTCTACATGTTCATGTCCGCTCAGATGATACAATGCCGGTACTAACTTGGCTGTGGTATAGTTTGAATACCGCGTGAGCTCTGCGATTGGGCGGATGTCTCCCGACGATGTCCCCGTCTCTCAACACAAACCATCGTCAACAAGTTTCGCAGATGTCTTCAAGAATCTAGGTGTCGGTCGACCCAAATCGCATTCCCCAGTCTCTTTGCAGGAAAGCAGCAGCGATTCGCCGTCTCAAGCCGACTGTCGCACAACCAACAGACTCATATACGGACTCGACTCAATGCATCGCGGTAGTGTGGTTTCGAGCTCTTCGGACATTCCCGGGGCTCCGGACTTCGATGCTTCTCTGCAAGCTTTGTCGCAAAGGCAGAACTTGACCCAGGCCATCGAGGAGTCTGAGCTTCTTGCAAAAACACTCCAATGGTTTAGCGCAGAACAGTCAGTGGTACTCTGGGAAGCTGCCGAGTACCTTTTGCACCATGAGAGTTCTTTAGATGCGCAGAGAAGCGGTGCTAAATTACTAGAGGCAATCGCAACTCGCCAAGATCTCTCTCCGGCCGCGAGGCGCTTGGTCTTTGAATCAATAGCCTCCCCTACCGAACCTGACGTTGTTGCTTCGCGCGTACAGTCGCTCATCTCCTTGTCGGACCATGGCCGAAAATTGGACTTTACTGGCTCCTCCATCTTACATATCATCTCGTCTTGGATTCTTCCCCTATATGACACCATCGCAACTGCACGATCCAAATCCAAAAAAGCGAAGCCAACGAAACAGCATGGAATGACTCACGACGAGGTTATGCTTGGAGATCTTTTCCAATTTGCCGTGGACTTGATTACATTACAACGAAAACAACCGAGCCAGGAGGAAATTGAACTGCTGCTAACAGAGACCTTCACAACATGTAGAAGGACAAGCGTTGCAGCAGATATTAAAAACTCCTTGGCCGTTTTTGACGCTGTCATTGTGTACGCTGATGTGCCCGACGCAAGCTTTGCTACTCTCTTGGAAGTACTCTGCAGTATTCATGCATCCGTCAAATCTCTTTCTGGGCCCACTTCGCGAGCGGTTCGCAGCTTAGCGAAATCTCGTCGGCAAGAGGAGATGGTGGATACACTGCATGAGTTCTTGAGAGACTCGAGCTCTGCTGAACAAACTCGCAATCTCAATGTGCTCCGCGGAACACTCTATGTGTTCTCAGATTTCCTTCGTGCATATGGGCAAGATGGAATGCCGCAGATTCCTTTCGATCGGCTGATAGAATCCTTGCACTTCATTGCCCAGAAAGATGATGGCCGAGTTGACGCTGACCTCCTGGATTTGTGTCTGAACATCCTCGAAGGAGATTATATTCATGTTGCCATGGAACAAGATTGGAAGTCGTTTGCTGATCTTTTGATACTCTGCTCTCGCAGAATTGCTGATGATTCAGCTGGATCTCCCACCCCCTCCGCCACTTCACAGCCCAAAAATGCTTATGATGAAACAAAATCTTACATTTTGGCGAATCTGATCCACATATCTTCAGTCCTCGAGTCGAACTGGGGGCAGCTTAACAACGAGCAAAAACAGCATACGGTTAGATTCTTTTTGAAGATCTATCAGCACGTCGAGCCTCCACAAGCTGAACTCATCATCCATTCCATCAGAGAAGATAAGCTTTGTCACCCTTCCGAAAACTTGGATTGGGTCCAGCATTGCCATGAGTTGATCGAGTGTTTTGTGCAACCCCGGAAACAAAGCTCAGATATCCGTATTCTGGCGTTGGACACATTGAAGGAAGCTTTGTCTGGGCATGAGGCTTTGATTTTCTCACCAGAGCATGGTATTCTAAACCTTTTGCTGAAGGATTTCTCTTCGGAGCATGATCTTCTTTTCTTGGAATCCCTGGTTTCATTGTTGACGGACCCGGCGACCCAACACAGCGATGACAGTACCTTTCAATTACTTGTCAACACCATTGCAGCACCAATGGAGAAAGACGCGAACAAAGACGAGCCTCGGGAACCTGCTTCAAGTCACAACTCTTCGCGTCGAACCTCGACAACAAGTGTCTTGGAACTTAGCTTGGCAAATGTATGCTCCGTGGGCCTGGTCAAAATGATGCTTCGTGCCTTGAGCTCTTCTTCGGCGAAAGCTATCATGGCATTTGAAGAACTTCTACAAATCGCGCAATCTCCCAACCGCCCGACAGACTCTCGTCTGACAGCCTTAAAGTTGCTTTTCCGTTTACGCTGTGATTCAGCCGGTGCAGTCACAGTCATCTCAACATCAGAGAGTGATTTTCTGATGAACGTCTTGGGTCGTAACTTGGACGGTGGCTCCAAGTTACAAGCTCCAAATGACAGTCCTTCTCGCGACATGCCGCAGCATGACAACCTTCCGGTCTCACCTACCACAAAACTCCCGATAAGAGAAGTCACACCTAGTCTTGCTTCAAAATCGGCTCCCAGGGGCTCTGTTTCTGCTCGTGGCTCTAAATTGACCGCTCCCGTGTGGACGCATGCTTTGCCCCAGGTACTTCCTGAACAGCCCCCTGGTGAATCCAGTCCGGTGGTCTTTGCCCATGCTCCGCCTGAGGAAATTACTTCCCCTGATGCGACTGAGCCTTCCGAGTCCACACCAGTGGATCCAAAAGCAACAGGTCTCTTAAAGGTCAAGATGTGGCTCGAGCTTGTTATCACCTTGCTCCAGCGGGAGCCTGATTGGGACGTCTACAGTTATGTTCTGACTCATCTTGGCCCTCAGCTTGGCAACAAGGATTTCTTCAAGGATGCCATCCCCCAGGTCACACTTCTCCGCAGTATCTTATGCGATCAAGTCAAGAATGGGACTTTCCACGAGCCACCAGAGACTACTGGCCTCAAAAAGAGCGATGTGGCAGCATGTATTTTCGATGCACTTTGCATGCTCGTCAGCTATCACGATCATTTTGCGAAAAGCGAAAAGGATGACTTGGTCCGAGCATTCATGCAGGGTATCATTGGTTCGTGGGGAGGTACCTCGCGTGGGTGTATTCAGGCATTGTCACTTTGCTGCTATGAGATCCCAATGTCCGTGACTAAATCGCTGACTAGCATTCTTGATCGGATGTCAAAGGTGATCACCATGTCCAATGTTGCCGTTCACATATTGGAATTCCTGGCTCTTCTGGCTCGGCTGCCTGATGTTTACGTCAATTTGCGTGAGGAAGAGATCCGAACTGTATTCGGCATCTGCATCCGCTTTTTGCAGACCTCCAGGGAACAACGTTACAGAGCATCAGAGGCGGCTTTGCGGGCCTCTCAACCAGGTCCTCAGTCAGCTCAGTCTCCTCAGTCCAGATTGAGTGCTGGCTCAAAAGAGATCGCTGCTCATGCAGCCGAAGCTATGGAGTCTTCGCAGGATGGTATGGCCAAGTACATTGCAAACCTCACTTATCATGTGATGATTTTCTGGTTCTTGTCTTTGAAACTTCAAGATAGACCTAAGCACGTGAACTGGATCACTAGCAGGTTCATCTACCGTGACGAACATGGCAAAGAAGTGGTTGAGGAGCAAAGCCAGGTCCTCATTGATCTGATGCAGCGAGTTGCTTACTCTGATCTCGGAGAGACTGTTCCTTTCGATAACTTCCCTCCCTCATCTGATGATGGCCCAGTTTCCAAGAAGTCCTGGGTGTTAGGTATGAGCATTGTGACCGTTGAAAGTGCTGGTTGCTCCGGCTTGTCTCAAATTACCAAACGACAGGCATCCGGCACCACATATTCTGTCTACCAACAACGGACGGCCCCGGTTCTCCCGCATCAGGTCCCTCCAACGCCAGACTCCCACTTGCATTCTGACTCTATGCCAACGGCTGTTCTTCCAAGTCATATCATGCTTCAATTGACCGCCACCGCATTCCCCACCCCCACAGTCATGCAGCCTATCCCGGTTCCCGAGGACGATATCACGCGCCGAGCCATTGGTAACTTTGATCGAACTGATATCGTTGACGGACACCGGATTGGAATTGTCTACCTCGACAACGGCCAGACCACGGAGGCAGACATTTTGGCAAACACAGGTGGCTCTGCTGATTACGAACACATGCTGTCTGGTTTGGGAACCAAGGTGTCTCTCCGAAACCCCCAATTCAACCCACAGGGATTGTACGCCGACACGGATGGAGAAACCACCTATGCCTGGCGCGATCGTGTCACTGAGATCGTCTACCATGTTGCCACGATGATGCCTACAGATCTTGAACGCGATCCAGCCTGTATCAACAAAAAGCGAAACATTGGCAACAATCACGTCACCATTGTATTCAATCGCTCCAACCTTCCCTTCAATTTCGACACGATCCCATCCGAGTTCAACTCAATCAATATCGTCATCACTCCCTCGTCTCGGATTGCTTACGACGAAAGTGGCGGTGCTAATGGCGAAGCTGATCCGCAAAAGCTATACTATAGCGTGCAAGTTATCAGCAAGCCTGGTTTCCCCGACGTGTCACCTGCAGCAACCCCCAAAATCATTTCTGGCAAGAATCTGGCAGCCTTTGTTCGCATTCTCGCCCTGAATGCTTCCGTCTTCTCTCTCGTCTGGAGCAACAAAGGTGGCGAGCATACAACCTCCTGGCGCACACGCTTGCGAGAGATCAAAAAGGTCCGCGAGCGAGCACTCGCGGCACAAGCTCAATCTTTCGAGGCTGCCGAGGGCGCCTATCCTGGTCAACGGCGAAACACGAAGCCGAATATCTTCTCGGAGGAACTGCCATCGCGCGCCCCGATCCAAACTGATTTCGCTGCGGAATGGAACGCAGCTGCAGACACAAACATCCTCCAGAATTTGGATTTCTCCCGCTGGTCACGTTGATCACGGTGATTCTCTTGCCCAGATCATTCCCAAATATCTCCTTTCCCTCTCCTTCTCCTCTCACCCGCCATTCTCTCAATTTTGCTATCCTCTCTCCTCAACTCACCTCCATCCTCTCCTTCCCAGCCGACCTTTAAACAATATACGACAGAACTCTCTCAATGACCTATGACCCCAGAAATGACTCATGTACATCATCTTGCGCTTTTTTCGTGATGGCAGACAATTGTCGCATTTGTGAATACCCCTCTTCGCCCCAAAAGTTCTGTTTGATTTTCGCCTGCCAGCGTATGTTGCGATTAGGATTAGGGTTTATCTATTTGAATACAATTCTGTGATCTTGTGAGATGAGACTTTTTTTTACAAAATGTGTTGAATCTACTGTAAGTTTTTGTTTCTCCCGACAAGCATAGGAACAGACGGCCACCAGCCTAGCTTGATCCCATCTTTCACACCTCGGAGATCTTGGTTCTCTCATCAAATACACAAAAGTATCATGGTCTCCATAAGTTCTCAAACACACTCATATCATCCCTGCGCAACATGATCATGACCTCGAGTACTTCCTTCTCCGACCGCTTCCTTGGAAGGATAAGTCCAACACCATCAGCCTCCATGTAAGGCATTCTCAAAAATTCCGGCTTCCCAAGCTTCACACCAAAGTTCATTTTGTAGAAATCCATATCCGCCCAGCTTGTGATAGTGAGATCGGTTGAACCGAAGAGATCCCAACCAACGAAAATAGACCTATAGTCTTCTGCGCACTCTGCCAGACGGTAGACTTCGGCGATGTGCTGCGAGTTGACTCTTTCCGCCGATTGGGAATCAGCAACGACTTGGCACACTTGAGCTAAGTGCTGCATAGACTCGCCATCATTTGCCGCGCCCAGCCTCTCCGCTTGCAAGGATGCCAGGGAATAGACGACTGTGTTTCCAAAATAGGGATCACTTGGGCTTGAGAGGTCCTTGATGCGTCGACGACCGTTGACCGCCATGGCCAAATGGCTTGATTTTCTCGAGAGGTCTTTACTTCTTTGAAGTCTAGCACGAGTGATTGTGGACCAGGTGAGTGCGCTGAGAAGAGTGTTGGTGGTTGGAGGGGTGGATAAGATCTCAGCAAGACGGCCTTTCAGGACATCGAGTTGCGAGATTGGAATGCTGAAGATCTTGGATGTACAAGAAGGGAACTCAGTTGGGAATACTGGAGGAGAAGGAGAATATTCCGGGTGGGAATTGAATAGTGCTTCTGGCGATTCAGATGTTGAGCCCATGTCAGGGGAAAGCGCACGCGAGAGTCGACGGACTCTGTCTGACGTATTCAAGAGAATTGGCTTTTCACCCGCAATACTTCCAGCGAGTAACCCCACGACTTGTGTATATCCAGTTGCATCAACGACGTTGTGGTGCATCGATATGTACAATCCAAGCCCTTTGTCATCTCCAAATCGGAAGTAACTGACAGCAAACACCGGTGCTCCCTTTTCCGCTGGATTATGCTCGGTCATCACTGAGATCGGTTGCAGTCTTGGTGGGAAAGCATCCAGTGGCATATTTGAGGCAGCGAGTTCCGCGTAGGACTGTTCGACGGAGCCTCTGTCGATCAAGTCGGGTACGGTGTCTGCATTCCAACACATTTTGAGGGAGGGTCGGTTGTCGACAGTTGATGAAAACACCCGGCCGGAGATCCAAGGAAGTTGAGCTGAAAGCTTTTCCACGCCATTTTGAATGTTTTCATGAAGGACTGAGGTAGGTTCGCCGGTGGGGAATGTGAGAAGTGCCGTGATGTAGACCTTTGGCATGAGCAGATCGAGCGGTGTCAGCTCCTCGCTGTTTGAAAAGGTGGCCATGTTGCCGCTGAGTATCCCGATTGACTGATTTGTGTCGAAAGACTGAAACTAGTTGCACTGCGCCTTCTTATATCGTGGATTTAGGGTTGCTTTTGCATTTGAGTCTTCGGGCCCGCGGGCCCGCGAACCCGCCTCCCCGAAGAGTAGCTCGGCGACTTATTGTTTTTCTTTTTTTTGTTTCTTCTTGTCTTATGTTGGAATCCATTTACTTTGGAGCCTCCAGAATTGTAGTGTCAAGCTTCGTACATGATTGGCTTGCAAGCCCTGGCAAATGGCCCAAGGCCTCTAAGTTTCGGACACGCGGCCCCGTGCAGTATACTTATGCCTTAAGAGGCAGCAATTTAGCAGGTTATTTAAGTCTCCCCAGTCTGCATTCTGCTCATTTTCTAAAATTACCTTGACACTCTCACAGAAAAGGACCAAGTCAATTTTCTCGATCATTCATCGACATGTCGGTTCGTGACCTCCTAGCCAATTCACCTACCCAACTAATGCATACCTAGCTTCCGTCCGGGTACGATCTCAATTAGATGACAACTTGGAGTTAGTCCAATGCTAATTCATGAGCTCCGATAGAGTCTCCATCGGAGATGACTGCATCACTGCTTTCAGTGAACTTCGGTCCCAAAGGCACTCTAACAAGCCCAGATACATCATCTACAGGATAACAGAGGATTACAATAATGTTGTTGTGGAAGACAGCTCTTTTGAGAAAGACTACGAAGTTTTCCGTCAAAAGCTTGTCTCTGCTATCGATAGCGAAGGCAGACCCGCCCCTCGCTATGCCGTCTACGATGTTGAATATGACCTTGGATCCGAAGGCAAACGGTATGTCTCCATGCCTTATCATAACCTGCCTCGACTCTTCAAGCTCACAATCTGCCAGAACAAAGATTGTTTTCATTACCTGGGTACCTGGGGAAACCTCAGTCAAAGTATGTCGTCCAATTCGCTCGAACATGACCATTTGCCCCATTCTAAGGTTTGGCTAACCTGGCTTTCAGGACCGGATGATATACGCCAGCACAAAAGAGCAGCTTCGCAAGTTTCTCGATGTCAAGGCGTCAATTCATGCCGACGATCTCGATGAGCTTGAGTGGAAGACTGTTTTGAAAGAAGTGAGTGGTGGCAAGGCCTGAACCACGTTGGTATAGGGAACTGAGGATATCGATAGTTATTATTTGCTTTTGTTTTTGAAGCCGATGGCCTTTATGTTTTCCTCTTTATTCATCGCAATACTATTCGAATTAATAAAACAAATGAAGTCGAGGTCATCGGATTTGCTTGGCAAAGGTCGGGCTCTCGGGTCCGTTGGCCCGCAGGCCCGAAATCTTCTCCTGTCTCAATCTCCACTCCACCAGGTCTTGGGAGTATCGTCATGGGCCGAGAAACAATCAAATCAAGGCAGAGCAGACTTAATTCGGTGCCTCGAGCGGTAAGTGGCCAATAATTACTGATCGGTAAGGGATGATTGACGAATACAACAGTGCGAAGCATGCAAAGTTCGCAAGGTAAGCCTTGATTATGCAACTGTGTTTGAATGAGAGACTCAAATGTTACTAGATCCGCTGTGACCGGACGGTCCCCTGCTCGAATTGCCGGGCCTCCGATCTCGCATGTCGAAATGTTACGTCCGACGTTAATGACAAGCCGGAAAGTCGGGGTGCTATGAAAACCAGAGCTCTGTAGGTCCCTCCAGAGATCTGTCACTTTTCCATCTACTCCGACTTATGCATGTATAATTTTCAGTGAATCAAAACTCGCATCTCTTGAGCAACGCCTCAGCAGTCTTGAGGCTAAGGCTACAGGCCCTATTTTACAATCTTCAGGAACGCACAGCGCCACAGAAGAAAGACTAGACGCGGCCTCGGATGAGAATGAGCCGCAATTGTCAGGGGATACTAGTCGACCTTTTGAAGGTGGATCATCTTTTGCCGCCCACGCTGTTCATGCAAGCGAGGCTGTAGAAATGAGTGTCAACAATGTCTCTGGGGATGGCCCAGGTCTCAGAGATACCTTGGGCCATTTAAGCACAGCACTTCAGCCTTTGGCGATGGAGGAAAACTACTCGTTTCGCTCTTCGCTGCCACGATCGTTGCCAAACATCAGCTTACTACCTTCTTCGTTGGTCATTGGAATCCTGCAACGTTTCAAAGGTAAGAATATTTCGATGTCATTCCCACGTATTCTTTCGTTTCGACATGTCCATATACACGCGAAGCTTCAACTAATTCGTACAGAACGACGCCCTATATTCCTGTCCTCTTACGCGGTGACTGACTTGAGTTTGGTGGAAAGTCTCTGCCAGAGCATTTACTTCCCCGTGAGCTCAATCACCATTGGCCAAATCACAAGTATGCACGGGGTTTTCTTCTTTCTCCTCAAAGAGTACCAGGCTTTGAAGGATTCGCTTTGCCAGCAGTTTGACTTTGAACTTCATCTTGCTCAATGCGAGAAGAATTTTAGCATGGGACTGGAGACGTTCGATATCATGGTTATGCCCTCATTTGATAATATACTGGGATTGATCATGGGGGTACGTTGACCTTATCATCATTATGAACCCCAGAAAATATGCAACTGACGCTTTTTATTCCACAGGCTATCAAAGCACAGGGAGAGGCTAAGCCTTTTTTGTGTTCGAGTCTCATTTCTACAGCTGCCACTCATTGTCAAGCACTTGGATATCATCGTGCCATGACGTATAAGAATCTTTCGAATGAAAAATCACAAAACATCCAACGATTGTTCTGGACAGTTTATGTCTATGACAAGAATGTATCACTCCTTCTGGGGAAAGCTTCTCAAATCCGAGACTCTGAGATTGATGCACCGTATCCTTCGCTCCCCCTCGATTCCTCCCTCCGTGCATGGGACGAGTCGTTCATGTATGGGATCAGACTAGCGCGCCTACAGGGAATGATTTATGATAAGCTTTATTCCGCGGAGGCGGCATCGAAGTCTTCATCTCAGCGAGCTGTGACCATTAGACAGCTACAAGAGTCCATGGAGCAGTGGCTAAGCGAGCTCAAAAATGTGAGTATGTCCTATAAGCGCCAGTGTCGAGTTCAAGCTAGGGATTTACTGACATCGCTACCAGATTGATAGCACAGGTGTCAGCAATGAGCAAGTTTTCGCCTTGACACGGGGAAATTGGGATATTATGTACTTTTCGACTCTCACAACCCTTCACCGTGCTGCATCACCGCTTGCAACAGGACCAGAGATTAATCTAGCCTGTTTCAGTGCAGCCCGGCTCAGTTTGAAGGCCCATCTCCGCTGTTTTCCGAAGTACCAAGAAGCAAATCTTCTTTCTGAAAGCGACTATATCAACTGGTATGTTCTTGCAAAAATCTTTGTAGTTCACAATGCATTACGAGTCACTAATTTATGCACACAGTGTTCTTCTGTTCTCGTCTTTTACGCCGTTCATTGTACAATTCCTCCATGCCGTGACATACAAGGACCAAGAGGATCTCCAAATCCTTGAAGATGTGGTTCGCACACTGGAAGGTGCCAAAGAAGCTTCAAAAGCATCCAAACGTCTATACAGGATATGCAGTGCATTTTTGCAACTTGCAAATCACTTATATCAAATACCAGGTCCGTCCATTGGGAAATACGATGCCGACCAGAGATCTTTGCAATTGGCAGATGGTTTCCATCGACCGAGTACACCCCAATCTGTGACATTTCAAGATCCTTGGGATATCGATTTTACAGATGATCTTGGCGCACTAGGGGCATCTGGCATTCTTGATGGGTGGGCTAGTGGGCAACCTCTGATGCTGAACATTTTCGATGACAACACCATGTGGAACTAGCTATGCTACATTTATCCAAAGGACAGGCGATGAGTCTTGATCAATGAGATTCAGACAAATGAATTGATTCCTGCACAAGCGGTGGGATATGAATGAGAGTAGCCCTGCTATCTATGTGTCCAATACGGCCGATCGGGTGCTGGGGTGAGCTCGTTGCTGGAATTTATTTGCACTTTCCAGTAGACTCGTTCTCCAGTTGCTTTTGTGGATGGTTAGCAATTGCTCGGGGTGTTTTGAATGGAGATAAAACGTACAACACAGAGGTTGGAAGCGCAATTTCCCATGCTTCCATCCTTCTTGCATGCTCCTCCGGATTGGATCTGTAGATGATAAAATTAGCACAGAAAATGGCATAGGGATGGGCTTAGGTCTTCATACAGTAGCAGCCATGGAAATGCCGACAAAGGCGAGGGTGGTGAGGATGGTGAAACGCATTTTTGTGGAGATTGTTGGTTGAGGTGTGTGAGAGAGATGCTTTTTCTGTTGAAAGAGCTGAATGGATCGAGGACAGAGGCCTCTTTATACCTTGGGATGTGAGTAGGATCCTGATCGACATCAACAAAGGTCCATATCCATTACCCCGAAAGTGGATACGGAGGGCTAAGATTATAACAGGAGATCTACGTAATGGTGCTCTACTAGTTTGTTTCCACAGCTCTCACAGGTTTCGGCATCAATTTTCCACTAGATGAGTGTTCCATGGACTGGCTGATTGTTGAAGCTTCACTAATTGTAACTTTTTGCAGCTTTTGATACTGATCGGCTGCGCATTATACTGCCAGTTTATGATTATTTCAGAATCCATAACTCACAGCCTCCTAGTATGGCAAGCTATTGTAGCTGTGGATGTAGTATTATCCTCACGTGGCTGTAAGATTATCCTGTATGGGTCGGGCGAAAGTCAACACTCATGATCTTCTATCCGACTACCCTGTTCGGCGTCGAAATCTATATGCTCGCTCCGGCTAAAAATAGCCGTTCGCCGAATATCCTCACGCTGGCGACGTCATTACCACTTTGGTTTGATATGTCAGTCATCTTGGCCTTTTTTTTGATAGAGAGTTTCTCTATAAAGCAGAGTCAAATTCACAGTCTCGAAGCTTGTACTTTACGAGAACGTCCTATGCCCGACGCAATTCTCATATAGTGGTCAGATTTGTACTTCCAAGGTTGGCTCCTCAGAGTTAGCCTTGGAAGTATTCTGTCTCGGGAAAAGGAGAACCCCAGTGCTTCTCGCCTTTTCCATGGGACCGCAAGATATTGACATCTCCTTGTCTTGGCATCGTTTGTGTTGAAGGGCTCTTATGGCTCTCTGATCAATTCAATAGAATAGCCCTGGAGTTTGGGCTAGGTGTCTCAATTGAAAGCAAACACATGTCTTTCAGATGTCACATAGCTTGATGTTCAATGTAAGCAGATCAATCCAAGGAGCTCCTATTCTAAGATTCTTGGGAGAGGCTAAACCGGCTCCCCTGGATTTAGCCCCGCAGTGTAGTAAATAGCCACTCTCTTCTCTCAGCCATGTAGAAAAGGAGTCAAACACAGTCTTTTGCTTTCTGATTTGTGCTTTTGACACTCTTCGGCTCAACTCATCAGCCAAGACGCTTATTTTGGGCCCCAATACAAACAGGCCAAACAACCGAATCCTGATTGGGCAATCTTCGCCCCCAGTCACTCTCCAACACTCTTCAACTTCCAATCACACTTCAAACTTCATGATCTCCTTTTGATGCCAGTCGCTCACTGTGCATGCCCAATCGAAACAGTCATGCAATGACACTTTTCTTTCGAAGCCGGTTGTGGAAATGTAGCACGCAGTTCAAAAGCAAGGAAATACCCACACGTTCTGGCTATCTGCTAAGCGCTAAGCGCTTTGCCCAGGTGTAGTCACCTGATGATGAAGCCTCATGGTTTGCCTTCGCTTCGTCCAGCTGAGAGCCTGGGGTCGCCCTCCGCCACAAACCAGCAACAGCGCATGTAATACCCACCATGACATCCACAACTTATCATGGGGCCAATGATGGGGTTCAAGTGGCCAACAACTATGGTAGCATCACGACAGAAATTCACATGTCCAAGCGATCAAAAAACTCCCACCATGACGATTTGCGTGCCCCGCCACGCACTCAGTACACCATCGCTTGGGTCTGCGCGCTATACATAGAAATGGCAGCAGCCCAGGCAATGCTAGATGAGCTCCACGAACGCCTACCTGCTAGTGTGGACAATAACAACTACATACTCGGCAGCATCAATCAGCACAATGTCGTCATTGCGTGTTTACCGGAAGGGCAGTATGGAACAAACAACGCTGCAATCGTCATGACCAATATGAAGCGAACCTTTCCGGAGATTCGTGCATGTTTGATGGTTGGCATTGGCGGCGGTGTACCCAGAAAGGCTGATATCCGTTTGGGTGATGTTGTCGTCGGAACGAGGGTGATACAGTGTGATCTTGGAAAACTCATCGGAGACGGACAGCTCCAACGAACGGCAATTTCTAGGCTGTGTCATCCGTTGTTCGGTACAACTATATCTACCGTGCGCTCGAAGCATGAGCACCGCCCCAGTCAAGTTCCCTCTATCTTGCAACAAAAACTTGGAGGACGCCATTCATACTCTCGCCCGACTTCTGCGGATCTTCTTTTCTATGCGTCTTATGAGCACGAGTCTCTCGCCGATAGCTGTGACGGATGTGACCATTCAAAGCTAGTCCCACGGAGCAGACGGGCGCCCCATGAGGTGATGATCCATTACGGCGCAATTGCCTCGGGGAACCAAGTCATGAGAAATAGCACAACAAGAGACACAGTTGCTCGAGAGCTAGATGTTATGTGTTTCGAGATGGAAAGTGCTGGGCTGATGGACATCCTCCCATGTCTTCCAATTCGAGGAATCTGTGACTATGCAGATTCTCATAAAAACAAAGAATGGCAGAGATATGCTGCTGCAACCGCGGCCGCGTACGCAAGAGAGTTGCTTGAAGAGTTGCATGTGACTGAATCTCATCCAAGCATCAGCACCACAAGCGAATCTAGTAAGAACCCATACCAGCTTTGGAAACGTCAGTGACACGACCTGCTCATACCGGACTTAGTCAACGAAAGGAAATTGCGCGAAAGGCGGGAGCGACTGCTGGAGTCCTTCAAGTTCGATCAGATCGATTTCCGAAAAACAATAATCAAAGAAGAAGAGGAAACGACGTGTCGCTGGTTTCTCAGCCATCCTGATTACGAAGCATGGCTTGATCCAGCAAGATTGACACAGCACCATGGCTTTCTGTGGATCAGCGGTAAGCCCGGTGCTGGAAAATCGACTATCATGAAGTTTGCATATAAGAGGATCACGGACGATACCCGCTACAGGTTTACTGTCACTGCTTCGTTCTTCTTCAACGCTCGAGGCACCGACCTTGAAAAATCGACATTCGGGATGTATCGATCATTACTGCTTCAATTGCTTGAGGCGTTTCCAGACCTTCAAGTTGTACTGGATAATTCCGACCTGGTTCCCAAAACCCAAAACGACTGCTTTCCCTTGATTGTTTTAAAGAACGTATTTGAGAAGGCCGTTTGCACTCTCGGCAAACGCTCATTCATCTGCTTTATCGACGCTCTTGACGAGTGTGATGAGCAACAAGCCGTGGAAATGGTTCAATACTTCGAAGCCCTGACCAAAAGGTCCACGGAAAAGGATATCTCATTTCGAGTCTGCTTTTCCAGTCGACATTATCCTTACATTTCCATACAAAGGGGAATCCGACATACCCTTGAGCATCAGTCGGGACATACAGCGGACTTAGCAACATACGTCACAAATCGTCTTCACATCACAGAGCCTAAGCTTGTCACGGATCTGCGACAAAAGATTCTTAGTAAAGCTGCCGGAGTGTTCATGTGGGTCGTCTTGGTTGTAAAGATCCTTAACAAGGAGTATGGACGCGGTGGGTTGGCCTTGAGAAAGAGACTTGCGGAGTTACCCAGTGATCTGAGCGAACTATTCAAAGAAATCTTGAGGCGTGACGAAGACGATATGGAGGCTTTTCAGCTCTGTATCCTCTGGATTTTATACGCAAAGAAACCTTTACGACCCCAGGAGCTCTATCACGCTCTCTGGATTGGGTTGTCTCCGACGGACTTGGTTGATAGCCATATTCCGGATGCCACTGTCTCAGGTGCCGGTGTGAGTCCTGACACTTGCAGGATCACCAGATCTGTCATCGGCTACTCAAAAGGACTAGCCGAGACCACGATGTCTAGGGATCCCATTGTGCAATTCATCCACGAATCTGTCCGAGACTTTCTGATCAAAGATAAAGGTTTGTATGAGTTGTGGCCTGAGCTTGGATTAGACTGCGAAGGTCTAAGTCATGAGAGGCTCAAACAATGCTGCAACCTCTATATGAATCATGACCTGATCTGTGAATCTGTCACCAATTTGCTGTCGGAGTCTGACGCCCATCGGCACCAGAGCGCCTTGAGAGGGATTTCAAAAGATTATCCGTTTCTGTGGTATGCCAATCAACACATTCTCTTCCATGCAAATGCAGCGGCGAAAGTCGTCCCCCAAGATGCGTTCTTGTCATCTTTTGCTGTCTTAAGCTGGATCGATAGGAACAATGTGTTTCCACAGCTCAACACGGGTCAATACAGCCGGAACGCAAATTTTTCTTATATCCTAGCTGATAGAGGATGCCCCGAGCTCATTCGTGCAAGACCCAAAGAACATCCACACACCCAGGTTCGTGGGGAGAGATATGATTATTCAATCTTTGCTGCTATCGCCAGGGGCAGCAACGACACTGTTGGTGCTATTTTGGACTTGTCTTCGAGCTTTCAGGATGACATTAGCCTTGAAGACTACTTTCGGTACAGCGCCCAATTCAGCAATTACGAGGGACGAACACCGTTAACTTGGGCGGCTCAGGAAGGCCAAGAAGGCATTGTCAGGCTACTCCTCCAGAGAGGGGTAGGCATTGACGGTGCAGATCGTCGGGGGCTGGTGCCGCTTTCTCGGGCCCTCAGTACTCGCCAAGAGACAGTAGCAAGATCTCTCATTGAAAGCGGTGCTGACATTCATGCCAGAGATCGAGATGGACGGACACCACTTTACTACTCTGTGGCCAATGACAATGACACAATAACGAGGCTTCTGGTTGTCAGCGGTGCCGACATCAATGCCGGAGATTTGAATGGACAAACACCACTTTACCGGTCTGTGACAAATGGTAATGAGACAGCTGCAAGGTTTCTCATTGACAGTGGTGCCGACGTCAATATCGCAGATGAAACTGGATGGACACCACTTTATCGGTCTGTGATGAAAGGCAACGAGGCAATAGCAAAGCTTCTTGTTGAAAACGGTGCCCTCATTGATTCCGAAGATCTGAATGGACGAACGCCACTTTATCGGTCTGTAACCGATGGAAATGAGACAATGACAAGACTTCTGGTTGACAGCGGTGCCAATATCAATGCCGGAAATCTCAATGGACGAACACCACTTTATCAGTCTGTGATCAATGACAATGAGAAAATAACGAGATTTCTCCTTGCTATGGGAGCTAAAATTGACATCTGTGATAAATTTGGGTGGACACCACTTCATCAATCCACAGCTGAAGGTCATGAAGCTAAAGTGAAGCTTCTCATTGAGTGTGGAGCCAAGACCAATACTAGCGACGATGCGGGTCAATCGCCCCTTAACTGGGCAGCGATGAGTGGCCATGAGGTAATAGCGAGGCTTCTTATCGAAGCGAGAGCCGACATTGAAACATACGACAAGTATGGGTGGACGCCCCTCCAATGGTCCTCAGCACATGGCCATGAGGCGGTAGCGAGACTTCTGATCACGATGGGAGCTGATGTCAATACCAGGGATCTGAGAGGACAGACACCGCTTGACCAGGCCCTGAGAAATGGCCATGAAGGAGTGGCAAGGTTTTTAACCGGCAAGAATGCTCGGAGTGGACTAGATCCCATCAATCAGTAGGCCATCTGTTGTCATCCACTCGCTCCTCTATCCAATTCCTCGAAAATCGCTCGTCGTTCGCTTGGCCTCTCTGAGCCCGTGGCATCACATTGTCCATTCTAGTCAGTGCTTAGAGGTCTAGCTTGATCAACGATATATGGGATGTTTTTCCCTGGTAACTGAGTACCGTATATGAAGCATGTGCATCCATGAACAATGAATCGAAAAGACAGTGATGTAAAAGAGAGATAGAGCAACAAATGGAGGGAAAGAAATCGAAATATCTTTCAGGGCGGCTTCAGGGCTTGATTTAGTGCCATAATCCGCAAGACGGACTATAAATCGATCCACTGCCATCTGTTGTTTAATTTGGGAAAAAAAAAACAACCTTGGAAGAAAACGCGAAGAAAACGTTAGACGTAGCGATTGTCGACTGGATTGAACTGTCATTTCCCACTATTTCTTTGCAAGCCCCCTACCTAGGTATTTGATCCCAATCCCGCTGTGGACAGCCGAACAGAGCTTCGAGAATATAACAAGTTCCAGGAATTTAGGGTCATCGTGGCTACATCTTCACTAATAAACTATTTAATCGACCATAGTCGAGATTATATTGTATAAAAAATCTAACTCGGAGTAAAACAAGATAGAAAGGAAAATAGGGGACGAGGGAACGTTAGTACAGGTACATGTCAGACACACGCAATGACATGATATGCAAATGTTATATGTATACAGTAGTATGCGAGAGGGGGGCAGAGAACGAATCATCCAAAACGAGAAGATCGTCACGACAATCACCAACCAAAGACTTCGCTCACGCTCAAGGTGGTCCATCGAACACCGCCAACAGCAACAAGCATCAAGACAACGTCCACAACAGCAAGGACCACAGCACCCATCATGAACCTCGGGCTGAAGATGCGGTAGAGCATCAGATGGCGACGCAGATGGCCGGCCCACATGGTCGTGGCGAGATTGATAGTCGCCAGGTAGAGCATGTGGGTACTAGCAGCCTGGACGACGTCTGAGAGAAGGCGAGTAGTCGGGTTTTTGTTCGGGTTTGAGGCTGGGACGCGGTCGTGGGTTTGAAGGGGGCGTTTCCAGAGGACGGTCAGAGGGACGGCGATGGCGGCTAGGATCTGGGCGCCGAAGGTGTTGAGGATGACCAGGAGCGGGGACCAGGGGTACTTGATTGTGGAGAGAGGGATGAAGGCTGTTTCCCATTGGATGCTGGAGAGGGTGGCCTGGTGGCCGGTTTTGAAGAAGTAGAAGGAGCCCAAGAGACCGAGGACGACGGGGCCAATGGAGGAGTTGGACATGGTCAGGTTGTTTGTGTCGAGGATTTCGAGAAGGGAGAGAATTTGCCACAGGAGGAGGGCGATAGCACCTTGACCCATTGGCTTTTGCATGAGAATGATTGCCAAAGCTAGGTTGATGACTAGGAAGAAGAAGCGGGTTCCGTAGACATTTCCAAAGCCCAAGATTGTGACTGTTTTGCGGGGGCCTTGCTGTTGGCCTGCGATGAACGGGGCTGGAGGGGCGTTGGGGTCTTCTGGTGGCGGGGCTTGCGTGGTTACGTTGATGCTAACACAGGGCTTAGAGTAGATGTAGGCACCTGTGCCTACAGCAAACGCTAGGGCGAGGACCAATTGGGCAAGGAACACGCGCAGGGATTTGAGTGTTTCTGCGCTGATTGGGAGCCAGTCGCCGTCGTCAGCGCCTTCAAGCATCCAAAAGAGTGAGGTGATGAAGAGACCGAAGCGGAAGCCTGTGCCGATCCAAAGTGATGCGGCACCTTCGTAGGACTTTGAGCCTGCGTAGAAGGAGCGCACGACGCTAGGCAAGAAGACAGTCACCAAAAACGGAATGGCGAGTTGCCATGGCGCGGAAATGGATGAGTTGGAGGAGGCGTAGTAGGTCGAGCGGCAGAAAGGCATTTGCTCTTCGCGGCAGAGACGAGAGAAGGAGGCGATGCGACCCAGAATCACGAACAGAACAGAGTGATACACGCCCAGAACGCGGTCGGTGGTCTGCTTCTGGCGCATGGACGAGATACCAGCGCACACACCAAAAGTAGTTAGGAAGAACAGGAGAATCTCATCTTCCCAAATAGTGTACGAGTTCGAAGCAAAACCAACAGACTGAGATACCGTAAAGAAGAACGCAAGCCAGCCCCACATCCCAGAAGGTAGAGGCAGGCTCAAACTAGCAGGCTTTGTGACAATGGCGGGCAAGGCTCCAATGATGCTACCTGCCGCGGCGAGGAGGATGAGTCCATCGACAACGCCCATTTCAACTAGACCGGTCAAACCGAGTGCAGAGCCAGCAACGGCACCAACACCAGCGCCCACGCCAGCAGACTGGAGCAAGTTAGAGGTGAGCTGGGTGCGATCGTTTTTCAAGCCACGGGCATAGACTACCAAGTACGCAATGCCAGCAACAAGAATCACGACACCCTGGATCATACTTGGGACATCAAATCGGGCCCACAGGTCACGGCAAACATCCAGCGTGTGCCGCTGGTACTTGCGGTAGAGCTCATTGCTGGCTCGAGCAGCAGTCGACTTGGAGAATCCCTTGGAAGAAGATTTCCACTCCTCCTCAGCGGCAGTCCAAAGCAACATCGACTCATCGTCATCACCAGCTCCTTGAGCAATCGCGTACTGATGCTGGTATCTCTTGACCTGAGCAGCAGTAAGGCGATTCACGGTAGCCAGATTAGCCCAGTTGTCTCCCTTGGCACCAGAGAAGGCCTCTTCAATAGGCGAGCCCAGGTTGTTGAATGGAATCGGCATTCCAAGCAACAGCGACAGAGTGGGGACGAGATCGATCTGCGGAACGAATCTATCACGCGCGTGGGGAGGAGGAAGAAGCGTTTCCTTGCTTGTTCGACCGAACACTCCGCGCTTCGAATACATCCATAAAGCAGCCTCGACTTCGTCGTCGGACTCACCGCCATGGTCGCCCTTGGTATCCATTCCATGATCGCCCATTACGACAAGCAGAGTGTCGTCATCGATAGCGGCGATAATATCACGAATGACACGGTCCATTTCCTGGAGCTTGGATGCCATGGCAGCATGGCTGGGACCGTATCTGTGGCCTGCATGGTCGACGCCAAGGTAATGTCCGAAGATGACATCCCACTTGGAGCTATTTTCCGGACGGAGCAGGGGGAAAAGATGCTCCGTTACACCATTGTCAACGGTGTGCAGATCCCAGACGTTGAATGAGTCGTAGGCATGCGTCAAGTTTGTATCGAAGTAACCGGGGAACAACGCTTGCCAAGTATCGTCACCGAGGTGGACGAGGTTCTTTCCGCTGTTGTGAAGCTGCGCGACAAGGTTGTCTTCATCAATGGCTGTTCCGGCGAAGTTTGAGCCTGCTTCGAGGAAGGTGGGAAGAGTTCCGGTTGTCAAGCCCTTCAGACGATTCAAGGTAGTGGTCGGCGGGTCTGCGATGAACGGAAGGAGGAAGGCGTTGGCGGGTTGTTGAATTGCCGTCTCGTAAAGAATGGGAATGTTGTCGTGGAAGAGTTGAGTGTCTTCGTTGTCTTTCGGGGCAAATGGCACGGTGAAATCGTATCGGAGGGCATCGATGATGATGACCACGGCCTTGTCGAAGGTCTTTTCATGCCAACAGCCCTTCTGGATATTTCCCGGCGCCTGGGAAACAGCGCCTTCGAACGGTAATACGTCGCAGGAGGACTTGTTCTCTAGGACCATGCGCGTGAGAAGGAAGCCTTTCGTGAACAGGTAGATACCAGCAATGTGCAGGAGCCTACGGTTTATGTGGTTAGCTCAATACCCTTCCCCTACAGGTGTGAATAGCCACTCTGAGCTCGCTGGGACCACTCACAATATCCAACTCAGGACACCCATGACACCTAGGTGTTTTGACCTGAACTCATCCTCGAGCTCCATCGCCTTGTGGTCCGCGACGCCCTTTTGGTTCTGCTTGGACTGTCCAGGCTGAGGGGCACCTTTACTGGGCTTTGGACTAGCCCCCGCAGAACCTTGGGGTGTATCTGTCATTTTCGCGGTTGTATGGGGGTGTTGCAGTCGGGGCCGGGAGTAGCTGGCGCGCCAGATCGCGTGTTGGGCGAGCGGGTGCCAAAGGGGCACTAGATGGTCCGTGGAGGTCGGCGCGAGCTTCTGAATAAGTCTCAAGGGCAGGGAAGCCGGTGAGCAAGCACAATTGGGCCTATTGAACCGAGTTGGAGCGGTTCCGGCGGAGACCGTGTCGGTCGAGGGGGGTGGGATAGTTCGGGGCGGATGCGGATGTCGAACCCCTTTCTGTGCTCGGCTGTGAGCGGCTTCCCTATGGATCGTGAAGCTACAACAGACACATCATACACTCGAAAGTCCAATCAGGAATGAAAAACAAAAAGGACGTCGCGGATGAAGCGGGTTGGGGGGTTTTTGAGTGGGCCTTTCCGATTGGCCCAAAGCGGACACACGGCCACATCCACTATAACTACACACAACGAAAACTCGAATTGCAGATTTGCCTGAATATAGCGACATATAGGAGGACTAAGTACATACATTAACCAGCTGCCGGGTACCGGTAGAAAAAAGGCACATAAGAATGATAATGTAAAGGAGATCCCCCAAAAGGAGAAACTGGGACCCCCGTAAAGTGGTGAGAAGAAGAGAAAATTAAGCTGTCAAGGGCATGTTTATCACTCTAGGATCGTGGCAGAGCTGAAAAGTGCATGGTCCCGGCTTAGGAAGAAGAACGCCAGAGAGAAAGTAGGGAGAAAAATCGGCAGGCCCTCGCTATGAACGAGTCGGTTTCAGATATATCCTCCGATGCGGGGTGTGCCCTTGAAGTGACTCCAGAGGGGACCCCGCGGGGAACACATCGAAACCGACATCCGCATATGTGCAAGCCGTGAAGGCCAAATCAGGGAAAATGGATATGTAGAGGTAGAATCGCAAATATTCGCCAAGGTACTCGTCATGTTTTAGGTCGTGGAAAGGGTGGGAAGGGAGAGGTATTGCTCGATGCCGTCCGGTCATGGGTAAGTTGGATCACCAATCACGGTTTTAACGGTATGTCTCTTCCTTCTCCTTCAGCCCGCCCATACGCTCAATGTCGAGGGACTGGAAGCGGCCGGTGTCGTTGGATTGGTAGGGAGGGAGTTCCTCGTGGCAGGGCTCCAGGCCGACGCTTCCGGCATCACTGATTCTCACAATCACCATCCGTCCAGACTTGCGCTTGCCACTCTCATCCTCTTCTTCGGGGAACGTAATGCGGATCTCCGGGACTGGGCTCGGGGGCGGGCTGTCGGAGTTCTCCATGAGGCTTCGCTTTTCATCGTAGACCATGATGGAATCCGACTTGTTCGTCGAGATGGTTAAGCGGCGGCGGTGGGCAGGAGACTCTCCATTGTGGACGGGGAGAAGGTTCTTGCGGTTGTTGCGCTTCTTGCGGCGAAGGATCAGGAGTCCACCGACGAGGGCGAGTCCGAGAAGGACGAGAACCAGAAGGGCAATCATAAGGTCGAGCATGGTATTTGAGAGACCGCCATCGCTGTCATCGCGGGCGACAAGTCGGGGGAGTACACTGTTCATGTTGGTCTGTGGTCGGTGGTAGTCGATGTTTGAGTTTTTCAGTCTTGTTTTTTTGTTGTCGGTGGTCGTGTGTCAGGTTGGTGATTTCGATACTGTGTATGTGATAGTATCGGGGAGAAATCGATATGTATGTGATCGTCGCGGTCAAATGCCAAAGAGGGTCACGGATTCGATCTGGAGCAACAAACAGTGCGGAATGTTCTCAAGGGGAGAAGGGAGTCAACGAAAGTGATGGAAAGCCAAAGGAAAGAATGGACAGCAAGGTGCGCTGAAAGAGTGAAGCTGGCACCTGCGAAGAGAATGGGAGGAATGAAGGGAAAACAGGGAGAAGAAGAGGAGAAAGTGAGCAACGACGCCTAGAACGCCTGCTTTCTATTGTTGGCGGACGGCTAAGCTTCTCTGGGCTTAGCTCCGTTCCTTGGGTGATGCGAGACCCACTTGGTGTGCTACTTTGACCAATCACCGTCCGCCAGTGCCTGAGAGACCCTCTGGCCTCCCCCGTCGTTGGCGCCCACTGGAAGGTTGTCCCCACCGAACTATGCCGGTTTGTTGTGCCCCGACGCCGTTACGTTCCCCTGAAAATGCACAAAACCACCATAACTTCTATAAACTCCATTTGACATCGACTAGGCTGTTACAGATGTTCGCTATGTACTCTGTATGCTCCCCACACTGCATTTATGCCCACCTTAAATGGACCTGACTTCTAACACCGTTGGGAATGAGAAAAGGGCGCTTACCGGGTCGCACGAGCACTGTGATGAGAACTAAACCCTAAATGGCGTGAGATGATTCGCGCTCAGCCACTGCTCGTGCGGGAATCGAGTAGGAAATGAATGTCTCAGGGAGATGAGATCTCATGCATCTGGACATCAAAACAACCCTTGATGACGCGCTGATCAGGTTATCAACAACCATAGTAAACAGCAACCAGTGTTGGTCAAAGTCGAAGGTCAATCTTAAATGTTTCCTGGCGAGAGCGTTGTCCATACTCCGTAGATTAAGCTCAATTGACTACGAATGGCCAGCTATTCCATTTCAAGGCTCAGGTCACGTCGAGCAGCCTAGGAGAGCAACCTAGCCCTGGAGGCTTTGCATTCCGAGGAGCCTCTGGATGTGGAGGAAGAGATTGCACAATCACCCGTGTCGCTGCGAGAGAAAAAGGGCCGGATGCACACCTGTGAGCATCTTTATGCACCTAAGTATCTCAGCCCTGGTGGGCGGGAAGCCATATCCTCAGAATGAGAGAAGGCCTGTGATATATACTCCGTACTGCGGAGTCAAACTTCCGGATTCTGGCAAGTGTGCACCAGAATCTGCTCCAAACCCCCGTTTGCCACATGATGTGTCAAGTCTGAACTGCATGTACTTATCCTGCTCGCATACGCTTGGCCGCCACCTCGGGTGCGCACAGCACAAGGGCACGCGGTCCCAGTCCCACAAGGAGAATCCCACAGTTTAATGGGTTTGCTGCATTTGTGTCATCAATCTCCGGCTTGGAGGGCTGACGATTTTCCGTACTTTAGAGTTCTATAGAGCGCTACGTGTATCGAGCCCTGGAGGTCCGGATAGTGCGGCAATATATCTCAGTCGGTGCATGGAATATACTCCAGTTTATCAATGTCAACCTTGCGACCAATATATTTAGTATCCTCAATCCTGGGCCTAGGATCTCTGCACATAGCAAGGACTGTTAGGCTTGCATTGAACTGCATGGATATATTTGTGACAGAATCATGCATTGAAGTCATCCCACGTTACTGCGCCAACAGTGTACAGCCATGACTAGAGGTCACAGATCGCCCGCTACTGTTATCCTGCCGAGGGAAACCCCCTCGATGCGAGAGTAGATATTCAAATGCAGTTTCTGAGCAAGAGTCTAAGCACTGCGTACTCCATACACCGTATTGTAACGGACAATGCCCAAGCTCGCCATTGTATAGTACGCCAAGAGCGAGATCAACAACCCAACCAACACGTCACTATTGAAATTTGTCGATATGTTCCAAAAGTCCAAAATGGCTAAATCCCTCCAATCAACGCCACGGTCGCAATGCGGTCAAGAAACGACCAACACATAACATATCGAATTCGACACCTCACAAACCCGGAGAAAGGCCGATCACCCAACCCGAATGGCGCTCAGATCCACGGGAGCCGGACGCAAGGCAGTGCTCTCAGATCTGGGGAAGATTTCTGCGAGTGATGGCCTGACACTTCTCTTTTATTTTTTCTTGCCGGTGCAACGGAGCAAGGATGGTCGCAGCGGTGTATCCCCGTCCGTCCAACGCCGTGTCGGCGTTTTTCGAAATCCTCCCGATGACCCCGCGACTCCCTGATGCGAGAGGTTCGGCAAATGGGTTCTTCGAGACATGCCAGATGACGCTTTGCAATTCAACTTGTGGTGTTGTAGGTTTAGAAGGGTCAGTGTGACGATGAGTCGAAGTAAGGGGCTAGCCGAGTCTATGAACTTTGGGCAAACCTGTTTTGGGGGTTTTGACTGTTTTTTTGTTTTTTGTTTTGTTTTTTTCTCGGTTCCGGAGCGTTTCTACGGCAGTGGGCGACTATTGCTTGCTCGCAGTGTATGCTGGTCACTTCTGGATCTACACGGGTTATTTGGGTATGGGAAGCATCAAGGGAGGATGCATTTTGTATAGACCAGCATCTGAAACGGGAAGCAAAAGCAAAAAGAAAAACAAAAAAACCGAACCGAACAGAAGCAAAAAAGGGATTGAATGTGAGACTCGAGCGAATAAGGCAGAAGGTTCCGAACAGAGCCGGACTAATGTTTTACAAGTCGAGTATGAGAATATCAAAATATCAGAATATCAGAATATAAATGAGAATATTACAGAGTTGAATGTAAGATGAGTTAAACATGAGAATGTCAGTATTTTATAACAATACAAGAATATCAGAATTCTAAGATTGCACTAAGAATATACCGAGTATAGTCTAACTATACGGCCGATCCGACAAGATTAGGGCAATATAAAGTGTACCTTACCTTAAAGCCAAGGGTGGACCCGATCGGAAACCTTCTGGTCTTCTCACGGCAAAGCTTCTGTCAGGCACCGGCTCCGTTCGGACCCCAGTAGGGACAGTTGTCCATGGTCCCCAGTTCTCAGGGAATTCCCCAGTGGAGAGGAACTCTTCGCCGGAGGAGGTGACCTCAGGATGTCTCGTTGACACACTGGGTTCCCGTGGTTCAGTGCTCTTCCACATGTGAGAAGTTACCTCAATGGGAGAGAGGCAGAGCTCTAGATAGAGTTGTGGCCAGAGAATGATATCGCGCAGAGCAGAAACCAAGTCCAAAGGACCAGTGTCGAGCAGAAGTAAATCGAATGGGGCCAGGCTAAAAAAGAAGCGCCGGAAGTTAGATCGCGGTGACGGTCAGATACCCAAGCCCAGGACCCATTGATGGCTGAATGGTACTTGGGTAGATTATGGGGTCCACAGTATAAGAGCAAGTACCATGACCTCTCAGCCAGGATCGACCTGTTCCCAGCGTAATGGTAATACACGGCAGTACAGCGGCTGATCTGCCCCAAGAAGATTCGCATTTTCTTCGTTATCTACTGAACTTCCTCACCTTTTCTCTCTTCTTTTTTTCTTTTGCTGTGCGCCTGGTCTGTTGCCAAACGAGCACGTCGGTTATCGTTGATCCGGTCTCTGGACTATTTTATCACTTTTTCCTCAATTCCCCTTCCAAGACACTTCCCTTCCACACAAAAAACCCTGGGACTGTCATGCTGGCGCCTGTGTGACAGCTGGACTCCATTAAATGCCTTGTCTCTCGCCTACATTCCCTTCGACCCACTAACTGTTTTGCGCGAGCGCATTCCACTATCCTCTCTTAGTCGAAAATCAGCCTTCCCCCCAAACACCATCCCTTGCGTGTCAATCTAGGGTCACCCTGATTAACCCATTCTCCCACGCACATGAGGACCGATCTACACAAAGGAGTTTCCTGGAGCATGCACGGAGCAGAGTAACGTCGCGACGCCCCCCAATTCTGAACCCTCCGGAGACCTGCCCCACTGCCAAACGAAAGGGTGATAATAATCGTTATTCTTTGTCACCTTGCATCTCTCTATCGCTGTCAGGCGAGATCGTCCAGCCGCTCAGCATTGCTCGACTGCTTCCTCCCTTCCGTCTCCCTTTCTCTTGCTCCTGTATAATCTGTACATGTCCAGGGCTTCGCAAGAAATCTACAGTTCTTCGTGTCGCTCTTTCTTGTGATCCCTTCTAATCCCCTCCTTTGGTGAGTCTCTCCCGGTGATCCAGGTGCTCAGTGTCCTAGACTCCCCCAGGCGCCTTTTCATCCTGCATGGTTCAATGCTACACCCTGGAACAGCCCGCTAACCAAAAACCCGCCTGTGGTCGCAGTCTTATATTCCTTCGTGTACGCCGTCTCTGGTGCCTGGTGCCCGCTTGCAAATACTGGCCGACACAGCATCCGCTCTCGCTCTCTCTCCCACTCTCTCTTCGTCCTCTCTTCACCTGTGATTTACTCCACACACTCTCTCGCCTTTCCTTCTCTTTCGCCCGTTTCAGTACATATCGACTTTCCTTGCCGATCGGATAATTCCTGGGATGGCTTCTACCATGGCCACTAATGCATCCAGCGTACATAACGTGAGTGGACAGGGCGCATGTTGATGGGGGATGAATAATGACACATGACAACAGGCACGATCGAACCGAGCCTCCAACATGGCCTCATCCGGAATGAATGATCGCCCGCGGGGATCTCAGAGCAACAGTGTCGGCAAGGGATTCGGTGGTGGCAAGTCGAGCTGGAATAACAACATCTGGGGTGATTCCAACCTGGGCGGATTCGGAGATGGTGAGTGGTCGCAATCAATTGCAAATCTCGTGGTACTAATTGCAGACAGAACAACACATCAGTGAGACCGCATTCGAAGGGAAGTCTGGCTCCGGCTCTTTGCTCTCCACTTCCGAGTCGGATGGCTGGTCGGGACGCGCCAATCTGCCCTGGAGCACTGTCAACGCCAACCCGTCCTACCAGAACCGCGGCCTCGCCACATCCCCCCATTCAGAGTCGCACCAATGATCGCAGCGCCCCAGCCATCAACGAAACCGGCGACAGCTCTTACTTCGCTCTTCCTCGTACCTCGGGCATGGGCGCACCTGGGATCACGGCCAGTCATCGCCCTTACCTCAACACTGCTTCGGAGGGTGTCTCTCCTTCCGGTGATGGTATGAGCTTCGGTGGATTCTCCGGTCGACGACAGATGAGCTCGGGTCTCGGTGGTAGTCCCGTGGGAGCTAACTTCCCGGGCAAGCCTGGCTTCTCCAACCCTCTCGATGGTGCCCGCACCGATGACATGGCTGCCATGGGTATGGGATCGCTGGGATCTGGTATCCCCGATTCCATGTCTCCCACTCAGGCCCGCGCCGGTCTGTCGCACGCCACTCACAACTCTGCTTCCTACGCAGCTCAACGTCCATCGCACTCCGCTCACCCTTCATTTTACTCCGACAACCACAGCGTCGATGGTCGCTACGCCGGTGGATCTATGGATCTCAATGCTGGGTTCAACAAGCTGCAGATGAACGACAGCGGGTTTATCTCAGGAGGAGCCCAGCGCCCTTCGTATATCCCGCACGCCTCCTTCGATGGCACATTCCCTCGCAACAAATATCAGAATGACGAGGCCGCCTACCAGGCACTCGGTTATAACCAGGAGTCTGCCCAAGACTTGCAGCTCGCGTACCAAGCTCGCTCTCGCGCTGGCAACACGGGCTCTATCTCCCCCTCTGACTATGCTCGCATGGACAGCCCAATCTATCCAGCGGTTGATGGTGGCTCCCAGTACCGCAACCCGGGTGATACCCACGCCCTCGCCTTCGAGCGCCGATTGCGGGCTCTCCAGGAGCAGGAACTCGCGCAGGGCTCGCAGCGGATGCAATACCCGCCGTCTTACGACTACCAAGCTTACCAGGCTTCGCGTCTCAACGCCCTATCCGGTTTCTACCCAGTGGCCCAGCTGAGCAACCTCGGTGCGGCGGCCCTGGTCTCTCGCACCCAGCGTGATGCGGATACCACCCAAGTTGTGCGCAGCCCGCTCCTTGAAGAGTTCCGTGCCAACAGCAAGGGTAACAAGCGCTACGAGCTCAAGGACATCTACAACCACGTCGTAGAGTTCAGTGGTGACCAGCACGGTTCCCGTTTCATCCAGCAGAAGCTGGAAACCGCAAACAGTGACGAGAAGGAGCAAGTGTTCCGCGAGATTCAGCCAAACTGCCTGCAGTTGATGACCGATGTCTTCGGTAACTACGTTGTCCAGAAGCTCTTTGAGCACGGAAACCAGACTCAGAAGAAGATTCTCGCAAATCAAATGCGCGGCCACGTTCTCGCCCTTTCAACCCAGATGTATGGTTGCCGCGTTGTCCAGAAGGCCCTCGAGCACATCTTGACCGATCAGCAAGCAGCCATGGTCAAGGAACTCGAGAACCATGTCCTCAAGTGTGTTCGTGACCAGAATGGTAACCACGTCATCCAGAAGGCCATCGAGCGTGTGCCCTCACAATACGTGCAGTTCATCATCAACGCTTTCCGTGGCCAAGTGAACCGCCTTGCTGCCCACCCCTACGGTTGCCGTGTCATTCAAAGAATGCTTGAGCACTGTGAGGAGGTCGACCGCCAATCCATTCTAGCCGAACTCCACGCTTGTACCTCCAACCTTATTCCAGACCAGTTCGGCAACTATGTGATCCAGCACGTCATCGAGAATGGCGATGAGCCCGATCGCACCCGCATGATTGATATTGTCATGGGACAGTTGCTCGCTTATTCGAAGCACAAGTTCGCCAGCAACGTGGTTGAGAAGAGCATTGAGTTCGGTGCTGAGCACGAACGAGTTCACATCATCACGACCCTGACTTCTGCGAACGACCGTGGTGAGAGCCCTCTCCTCGGTCTTATGCGCGACCAATATGGCAACTATGTCATCCGTAAGTGCAATTCTTCTTCAATCAATCTTGGATCAGCTACTAACCCTTCAACAGAGAAAGTCCTGGGTCAGCTCAAGGACGCCGAGCGCGAAGCTCTGATCGATCAGATCAAGCCTCTTCTCAGTCAGCTGAAGAAGTTCAGCTACGGCAAGCAGATCGTCGCGATTGAGAAGCTCATCTTTGACCCCAACGCACCTGCCACTGGGTTGTCCAACACCACCTCGACCACACCCCCACACTCTCACAAGTCCTCCCCGCAACCCCTCAAGCGGTCCATTCCCACTGAACAACCGCGCGCCTTTGGCAATGCGCCACCCACTCCACCCCCAACCGACCAAGCCGTTGACAGCACCCTTGAATCCAAAGGCCTTGCGAAAAGCACCGTCACCACGGTTTCCAGCCCCGAGACAGGCACCGGCGTCCCGGTCGACGTCACCAGTGCCCACTAATTCGTTGCACACTTTACACCCGCTCGCCATAAACTTTCTAATGTGACCGAGCTTCTTGTCTTCTATCTAATACGGGCGTATACATACGGGAATCAGACGCGATAAATGCTATGTGATTCCCCCACCCACGGCGCAGGGCCTGTTATTTTTATCCCGATCTACTCCTATCTCGGTCTATCTCTTATTTTCTCTCTTATTTTTTTTTGTTTCTTGACACATTTTTACGACGTGATTTGAGGCGTTCAAGGTTGGGTTTCTGCTACGGAGAAAATACGAAAATACGCATCCTGTGGCACACGCCTGTTTCTTTGTTCAAAGTCGGTTATGTTGACGGTTTCGCATCATGGTGTTTGTCAACGGTGTTCTTGCTTCTGCGTCAGTCCGACCTTGAGGGGCTCCTGTCCAAGGGTCGCCCTGCTCGCCCGCCGTGTTGATATCACGTCGTTTACTTCTTGCTCGTGGCTGTATTATCAATGCATTATGACTTGACTTTGTTCTTCATCGTATATCCGCAACATCGTAGAATGATTCTCCCCTTATTCGCCAAAGTGTTATTATAGGGAGGTCACCTTGAGATTCATCCCAAGGTTGCATTGAGTGATAGCCCCGTAGTGAGTAGCCAAATGGGACCGAACCTCAAAACCTTGTTTTAACCTCACAAACGTCCGTGCTTTAGCTCTCCCTTTGGGGGACACCTGCACGTGATATCTACCCATATCTCACGTGACTGATAACGTGACCTCCGATAAGGCGCCGCATTTTACTTGTGTCGAATGTGGACAAGACCCTCCCTCTTCTACGTTTACTCGAACCTGACCTTTTGCTGGTGAACTTCGCATTTGCAACCACTTTTACAGCGTAACCAGCACGCGCCAGCTCGCAGTGCTACCAGTCATCAGCCCCGAGCTACCCTAAGATCTTCACCACTTTTCTTCCCCTCAACACCTAAACCAAACCAAAATGTCTTCCAACGTCGGTCTCACAACACCACGTGGCAGTGGCACATCAGGCTATGTGCAGCGCAACTCTGCATTCATGAAACCGCGCAACACAGGCTATGGCGCACCCTACCCACCAGTCTCCGGCGCCAACGGCCCAATCGACCGACCCTTCAAGCAGCGCATGCCCGACAAGCAGATTCTCGAGCATGACCGGAAGCGCGCAATTGAAGTGAAAGTAATGGAAGAGCGGGACCGATTGGAAGAAGAGAACGAGCGCATTGAAGAAGAGCAGAAGAGCAAGAGCAAGAAGAAGACCGAGGAAGGCGAAGCTGAGGAGGAGAGAGTTCTTGAAGATGAGGAGATTGATGAGCGGTGCGAGGCTCTGAGGAAAAAGTTACTCGAGGAGTTGGATGAGGACTTGGAGCGTGGTGATAAGAAGATTGATAGGAGGAATCTGAAGTCTTATCAGGTCCATGAGCTTGCGGAGGCGAAGATCGAGGAGACGGAGAGGTTGCGTCGTGCCTTTGGGTTGAAGGAGGATAGGGAGACGGGGGAGATCACAAATACGAGGGATCGAGTGCGCAGGGAGCGCGAGCGCGACTGAGGCACTTTTTTTCATTCTCAAATTCATGTTTATGGTGTATTGGGCGTTTTGTGAACCGGAATGATTTATTATCTTTTTGAACAATCGGATATCATGACTTCTATATCTACTACATCTTGACCTGTACATCATGCGACGAACTTCTCAATCACCCATCCTTCCTTCGGGTCCTTTTTTTGCAGGACCTTTTTAGCAGGCATCGGCCACCCCGAGTTACCCGCATCGCCAACCAGCGAGGGAATGACCCAGCAAGATCTACGAGGTGGGACACCCTCAATGGCATCCGCTTTTCCAATAGGCTTGCCGTATTCAATAAGCGGCGTATCGTGCGCAATAGCAGAAAGCTGCAGGCCGCTAGGCGCAACAAGCGGGAACATCCTAATCTTCGGAATCTGATCGCCGACCAACGCAGAGGACTGCTGCAGATGCGAGTAGGTGATATACTGAGGCATTTCCTTAGGGGTCAACTTGGCGAGCAGCGAAGACGGATGCACGTAGACGGCACGCTCGACGAGGTCCGTTCCCTTCCCATCTCGGGATCGGAAGAGAGTAAGGTATGGGACGTCGATTGCGCGACGGGGAGCGCGAGGGATCTCGGGCGGGACAGGGGCCAGGTCTGCGCGGATGGCGACTTGGTCGATGAAACCCGCTGTGACGATTTGCTTGAGGGCTTTGATTTGTTTGGATGAGGGCTCTGGGAGGCGGGGTGTGTAGGCTGGGACGAGGCCTGGGTTGTTGGAGCGGACGATGTCGGTGAGTTGGCGGCGGAGCTGGGTTGCTTCTTTGAAGGCCTTCCCGCGGAGGAACATCTGGTCGGCGAAGGCATCGCCGTCGGAGGCGTAGCCGTAGGCACAGATTGCGGAGAGGGCTTTGAGGGCGTCGGAGGTGTCGTCGTGTTTGGAGAAAAGACGGTGGGCGCGGGCGTGAGATTTGGCCTTTTGTTCGCGCTCTGTGTCTTCGAGTCTGTCGGCGTTTGTGTAGACTTTGCGCTCTGTGTCGCTGTCGGAGTCAGAGTCGTCCTTCTTCTGGGCCTTGGGTGGGTCCAGTTGGTTCTGAGGGACGAAGAGGTCGCCGACAGCTAGAGCGGCGACGAGGGCGACCACGTAGGGCATGCAACCGTGCTGGTGGCCGATGTGGAGCATTTTACTGAAACGGGGGAGAGAGGGTATGTTGAGAGACGGCGGCCAATCGGGGTGACTTGGCCCTCCGCAGAGAGAGCACCGAGGTTCTTGAGCAGCTTTTCAGCCTTTGCCAGACCCTGGCGGCTTGGAGGTGTTGGGAAGGGGAAGTTGATGACGTTGTGTAGACCCATGCTCTTCATCTGGAGGACGACGCCTTCGATGGGTGTGCGGAGAATTTCAGGGTCTGTGTATTCGGCGAAATCCGCCTCATAGACCGCGGAAGAGTACATCCGGTAGCAGTGACCGGGTCCTGTTCGACCAGCACGACCAGCTCGCTGGTTTGCGCTGGCTTTGCTGATCCAGCCAATCTGGAAGCTCTGCACACCGGTGTACAGATCAAACTGCTTCTCCTTGGATCGGCCACAGTCAAACACGTACTTGATACCAGGGATTGTGAGGGATGTTTCCGCGACGTTCGTCGCGAGAATGATAAGACGGGAGTTCTCTGGGGGCGCCTCGAAGACCTTCATCTGCTCTTTTGTGGGCAGTTGGGAGTAAAGAGGCAGAACGTGAACACGAGTGGAAGAGTCCATAGCCTCCTCGCCAAGGTCGAAACCCTCATCTTCCTCAGGATCATCCAAGCCTGTGATCTCCAGATCGCTGTCATAGTCATCTTCACCCGCGTTGTCCATCTCAGTGCCACCCAGCTCCAGATCCTCTGCCTCCAAGGGCGCTTCATTGGCAGACAGCTGAACCTTTGCTTGCGTGGTGTCCTCACGCTGTGTGGGCTTGAAAGCCCCCTTCAAGCGCTTGGAAAGTTCCCGAATCTCATTCTGTCCAGTCAAGAACACGAGCATGCCACCGGGTGGAAGTTTGCGGTGTCCACGGGAGACTTTGCGGAAGGCATCTTCCACGTAGTCACGCTGCGTGCGCCGAGAGAAGTGAATGGACACAGGGTATTGACGACCCTCGGCTTGGACCAAAGGAGGCGGACCACTGCGGAAGAGACTGGGGTTCTCGGTAAAGTCGGAGATGCGCAGAGTAGCAGACATGATCACGACCTTCAGCGGCTTGACAGAGGGGTCCTCTTCGCTCAAAGACTTGCGCAGCCCGACAATACGGCTGACCATTCCAATCAAGATGTCAGTGTTGACACTGCGTTCGTGAGCCTCATCGATAAGGATGATTGAGTACTTGCGGAGGGCAAAGTCATCCGCAATCTCACGCAGGAGAATACCATCAGTCATGAATTTGATAGCAGTCTTCTTCGATGCCGTGGACTCGAAACGGATCTGGTAAGAGACCTTTTCGGCATGTTCACCCAGCTCCTGAGAGACACGGTTCGCCATGCTCACGGCGGCCACTCGGCGAGGTTGGGTGACACCAATGAGACCCGGGTTCGGGCTGTCTGGAGAGCCGAATCCAGATTCGAAGAGGAATTGAGGAAGCTGTGTTGTCTTTCCGGAACCAGTGGCACCCCAAATGACAACAACTGAGTTGTTATAGATGGCTTCCATGATCTTTTGCTCTTCACCGACAACGGGAAGTCCGATACGGGCAGCTTGTATCTCTTCCGAACGGTTGACAGCCACACTGAATGCTTTGCGGTTGGGATCGCCATGAGTGATTTGCAGTTCACGAGGCAGAGGCTCCTCCTCTGTAGTGTTGTGACGAGCCGGCAGCTTGGACGGGTCGAACACTTGCTCTTCTTGGGTGACTGCTGCACCTTCCGTTGGCTTGAAGCCCGAAACTTCGTTGATTTGTTGCACGGCCCAGGACTTGAAGGCGGACTGGCGGGTCTTGAGCACAGGAGCGTCTTCCATCTCCTCGTCTTCTGAATCTTCCGAGTCTTCCTCGTCGTCCTCATCATCAGAGCCTTCGGAGGATGTACCTTCGGAGTCCTCGTCTTCAGAGCCTTGTTCAATATCACTGCCAGATTCGGCCGAATCATCCTGGTCCTCATCCTCATCCTCCTCATCCTCATCTTCATCGTCCTCCTCGTCCTCATCACCCGAGTCGAAGCCTTCCCATGCAACCTCTGCTTTCGCTGGAGCTGGCGCAGCCTTCTTCTTCTTCTTTGGTGCGCGCTTCCTCTTCTTCATCACTGGGAACCCATCAGCTCCAAGCTCAAGTGGCCGCTTCAAGCCACTTCCAGCGGCTATTTCTGCCTGTTTCTGTTGTTCCACCACCGGGTCCGTTCTGGGGTCAGACACCTTCAGGTGAATATCGGAATCGTCGCTCTCATCCCCGGAGAGGTCTGCGTGCGCATTGCGTCTCGGCGCAGCATCGGCGGCTGCGGGTACGTCGTCCTCCTGTCTCTTGCGCTTGAACAAATCTCTGGAACTTTGAAGGCCCGAGGTATCGACCGATGATTTCGCCAGCTTCTTCAGCAGCTCAATGTTCTCTTCCTTCTTGAGTTTGTTTTCCTAGCGCACTGTTAGAGTTGTCGGGCGTCAGGGTAGCACTCCACATACAATGTACTTATCCAAACGTTTTTGTTTCTTTGAGGACATATTGGTGTGTTGTTCTCGTAGCTCCGATTGTAGCTTCTGTCGGCGCGCTTCTTTCTCATCCTTGGAGACGGGTTCGAGCTGAGCAGCATTTGTATCGGCAGACTCCCCGGCTGGGTTTTGACGATGCCTCTGCTTTCGCAGACGCGGTGTGAATTTGGGCGGCATCCTGAGCTACCACAGCCACTGCGACCGAGAAAATCCAATGACGATAAATTACACGCTCTGCGACGAAATGGACCTCGTTGATGGAAAAAAAATCAAGGCGGTCTCTTACTGCCCGTAGATTTGTGGGGAACTCTCATTGTCCGCTGACCGCCTTCGATACAAACAGAAGGACACTGCCGATACCTTCGACCTATCAGTCAATCTATTCCTTCGTGGTATTTTCGATTTCCATTGTCGATTGAAGATAAAAAAAAAGCCTCTCAATCATGGCTGCAGCATTTGACACTACTGGTCTGCAAGACACTCTCCAGCTCCCTTTCCCTGCGGCCACCAAGCAGGTTGCGGGGCTAGTCAATGGCATACAAACGGATGTGACGACGATGAACTTCAGCGATAAGATCATGGTCACAATTTCCCAGGCTGGCCGATTAGCACATTGGGTTGGTCCAGTCGACCGAGTCCTGTAGAACAAGATTATTGACCCTCTATAGTTGCACGTACCAATGGAGAATTTGAACCCCGGCACTGAGGGCATGCACACCTTTTCTGAAGGCGATGATAGTCTGCTGCCACTGCAAAGTCTGACTACAACCACCATTCTTGGTGGCTATTCTGCTGGACAAGACACAACCGGTCAGCTCCTTGCCCGTCAAATCGCTACTGCAATTGCAACAAAAACACCCAATGAGAACAGGCTCCTTGTAGTCGGATTGGGTCTCGGAAAGGAGACCCCCGATCGAGACGCGTTCTTCGCTATCGTGGATCTCGTTTTGCAATGTCTCTAAATCTGCGAAATTCACGGTCGACAGGCCAACCATGCGAAGATTTGATGCCAACCCCACTTCAACCCCTGTATTCTACGATATCTCGTGGAATGGCCACGGTGAAAGTGCAAGGCTGTACTGAGTCAAAGCACCCAAGGAAAGGAAAGAAACATCAGACATTGAGTCAAACCAACAAGATGCGACTCCTTTTTCATTTGAACTTGCCACCCCACGATCGGGGGTGAATTGGGCAAGCAAAGACATGACTTGTAGACTTGGATTCATGGGGGATGATGAAGTGACATTGGAAATCGTTTACTTCGGGAACGTGCAGGTTGGTCACTGTTTGACGCGGGTGGTTCAGTTGCGCAACCCGCAAGGCGTTGTGCCCATGGACAGGTGCCTTCTCGGTGCTTTGTACTATGGATTACCTGATGGGTGGCTTGCTGGCTGCATAAAAGACAGGGCCCCGTGGTTCAAAAGCAAAGAGATGATTGCATGGCTGTGTGAGAGCAACCTCGGAGGTCCCGACCACTTTATCGATGGGGTTCTACGTTCTGTTGATTCAACGGGTTGTTCCACGAACTCTATACATCCAACAAAGCGTCTTTGAAACCATTATCAGGTTGAAAGATTTGACCTTCTGTTCTGGAAGATGGTATCTAGATTTATCGGAAACAGATATCGAGCTTGTAATTGATGCTTGGTACTCCATACTATAATTCCATAGGATTGTTTCGACAATCAAGAAGGCCAATAACTATCATGATTTATTACTGCAGTCAGTCAATAATCAAAATATTGCCGTTGTTGGCTTTGTAGGCGTATGCTGCTGGGAGTAGATCGTTTGATACTGCGGGATGACCGGTCACGTGCATATGTTAAACAAACAGGGGTTCAACGTCACGTCTACACAATTTCAAAGGTGCTTTGAGGCTGCTATGTGTGACCTGAATTCCTTCTCTGAAAGGCTAGGAGGCTGAGCACTGAAGTGGCCACATGCTTACGCGAGACTTTCGGTGTTGAATTTTGGACGGGGAGTTGTCGAGCTCCATACTTCTCTCCTTCCGTTCACTTCATCTTGACACATTTTTCTATTCTCACTCTCAACCAACCAATTCATTTAGTATTTCGAGATCTATTCTCGTGGATCTCCTCAATATGGAGGACCCAGAAGATATGGATGATCCGGACTTCCGTGCTGCGATACAGGCTTCCCTTCGGGAATGCGGCATGAGTCCTTCTAACACTGCAACTCCAGCACCGCCAGGTGCAGTGGTAGATCTGACAAATGACTCAGATTCAGACATTCAAGAAGTCTTTCCGAAGTCGAGATCTGTCGTGAGCTCATCCTCCGACACTGCAACTGTGGCTGATCCTGCCTACGATGAAGATGAATTGCAGCGTGCTCTCGCAATGTCAGTGGCACCAAGCCGCAGCTCACCCATGTCCAAGGGTACTCCCCCAAGCCGCAGACCTCCCCTCCTCCTGCATCGTCTGCTGGGCTATCAGGGTTGGATCGCAAGAAGATGGAGCAAGAGCGTCTCGCTCGACTTGCCAGTCGCAAAGCCGAAAACAAAGAGTCGAGCTCATCAGCCCAGCTCAAGCGAAAGGCTGAACAGAGTCCTGATGCATCTACTCAGTCTGCTCGGACCAAGCCGAAAATCGAACCAGCCTCTCCAGCCCCGCAGTCCAGTACAATTATGCCTGAAGTGGTTGATCTGGAATCTCTAGCTCTGAATCCCACGTCGACACCGGTACATCAAGTAGGCGAACGGGCCGCACCAGTTGCAAGCTTGAAACCCGCAGCGCCTTCCAGCGATGCCACCGTGGGCAGGCCACCAACTGCCCAACCGGCTCAAACTGTCTGTCGTCGATATGATTCAAATGCGCCCGATGTCAAAGTCCGGCCCACCACTCGCCCTCATGCACAATGGCCACTCGGGACAATCAAGAAAACGCACATCGCTGGATATCCGCGCGTTGGAAACGAGATCACTATCGAAGAGGTGATTCAGCGGGGCGACTTAGAATTGGGGGTCTTCAGCGGCTTCATGTGGGATATGGAATGGTTCTTCAAAAAGCTGAATACCTCGTCTACACGGTTCATACTCATCATGCAAGCCAAAGACCAAGAGACGGTAAGTTTCATTACTTCGTGCACTGTGCTGGTTTGTTCTTCTCGGAAAAGCTGACAAGATTCGGATTGAAAGAAAGACGAGTATCTTCGGGATATTGCCGGGGTGCCCAATCTTCGATTGTGCTTTCCGCCTATGGACCCTATGGTGTATTGTATGCATTCAAAGTTGATGCTACTATTCCATAAGGATTATCTTCGCATTGCGGTTCCGACTGCAAACCCCACATCAACTGACTGGGGTGAAAACGGTCTTATGGAGAATGTATGTCATCACTTACTCTCTTGGATATAGACCTTCGCTAACCCAACAGTCTGTTTTCCTGATCGATCTCCCTAAACTCAAGGGTACATCTGACGGGGCTCATGACACACAGTTCTACAAGGAACTGGTGTACTTCCTCACAGCTTCAACTTTGAACGACAAAATCATCGAACGGTTCAAAGAATTCGATTTCACTGAGACCAAAAGATATGCGTTTGTGCACTCAATGTATGCCCCTCTTTTTTCGGAGCCAAAGATGATGAACTAATAGAAATAGTGGTGGCTCAAACACTGGAGAAAGTTGGAAACGCACTGGATATGCTGGTTTAGGTCGCGCGCTGGGAACGCTGGGCCTGACTACTGACTCCAAAGTCAACATCGACTACGTTGTCAGTATCTCTCGATCATATTGCATTGCCCACACTGACGATGATCAGACTTCTTCTATGGGCTCTCTGACGAAACAGTTTCTGCGGGCTCTCTACTTGGCCTGCAAAGGTACCGCACCAATCCTTAGAAATAACCTATCACCATCTAACCTCATCTAACTAGGAGAGGATGGTCTCAGAAACTACAACCTTCGTGTTGGGACCAAAAACGATCAAGAACGCCAGCGCACAGTTGATACCATCGAAAACGAAATGATGGCCAGGTTCCGCGTCTATTTCCCATCTGATCAGACCGCACGAGAGGCGCACGAACGCCCGAATTACACTGCAGGAACTATCTGCTTTAATCCAAAGTGGTGGCATGACCGGGACTTTCCTCGAGACGTCCTCCGTGATTGTCAAAGTGACCGTGGGGTTTTGATGCACAACAAGGTGAGGATTTGCATACCGCAGAACTTTGATAATAATCCTTGTTGACTAAATATTGGTTCTAGCTGGCTTTCGTTCGCCCCGATAAACCAATAAGCGTGGACGACACAAAGGAGTGCTCAGCCTGGGCTTACGTTGGCAGTGCCAATTTATCGGAGAGTGCATGGTAAGTACAAGATAGTGATATTTGGGATTTGGGTAGTCCAATTCACCAGACTAACCACCAACTAGGGGCCGTATCGTCAAAGACCCAAAGAACAAGCAACTCAAAATTAACTGCCGTAACTGGGAGTGTGGAGTGATTGTTCCAATTCTCACCGAGAGGAATTCGACTCAGCAACCATCTGAGAGAGAGGCAACTTCTCTCTCCCCTGAGCGCTTCCAGAACATTGTCCCGGTCCCAATGCGATTGCCTGCTCCCAGTCTGTCGGATACCCGCAAGCCCTTCTTTTTCGGTCTTTAGGTCTATCTGCGAGGCATTTAGCTCGTCCGATCTTCGTCGATACCAGGAAAGGATTGCGTTGATACCAGGTAAATGGGATGCAATGGAGTCAGGGGAATAATACATTAGCGAGTCAGGTGTTGGCAATTTTCGATTACAGAAATGAGAGAATTCATAAGCATAGCATGATCCAATGAATCAACGTGGTATTGACAGTAGTTTTTATACAGTGTGCAAAGATGACCTATTCCGGAATGTCAACCCCGGAGACATCCCCACAAATCTTCAGCAATTCCTCCTGCTTCTCAACATCCGCAGCAGCCTCATCAGGCCTCTCCTCGCCTCGCGGTGAGAAGAAACAGCCTGTTCTCAGTTTCGCCAGCTTCCCCTCTCCAGCAGCCCACTCCGCCAAAGCCTTCGTTGGCTCTCCAATGCCCCCAGGAGCCATGCTTCCTCCCATCTTAGTTCTCACCCAGCCAGGATGCATACTGACAACCTGCGTGCCATCCCAACGTCTCGCAAATGCATTAGCAAGCATCATATCATGCAATTTGCTATCACCATAGGAATGAGACGTCTTCAAATTCCGTAATGAGTTATCGCCTCCGTAGTGGCTATCCGAACTCATGTACAGGAGTCGTTTCGGGCGATCCATGATGCAAGTGAGGATATACGGCGCGAGGGTGTTGACTGCGAAGACAGCAGAAATGCCCTCGCTGGTTATTTCGCGTGATGAGGTTGCTCCAAAACCGATTCCGGCATTGTGAATGATGCTGTCGTATGGACCGAGGGCATTGGCTTCTTGGCCGAGCTTCTTGGTCTCGCTAATTGAGCGCAGATCCCCGATGAGCACTTTGGCACTGGGGATGGCTTTTTGAGTCGTGGAGGCGCGGTCTGCATTGCGCGCGTGCAGGACGACTGTGTGGCCTTGCTCTGAGAGAAGTTTGGCGGCTGAGAGGCCGATGCCGTCGCTGGAACCGGTTATGAAGATTCGAGACATGTTCATTCCAAGGTTGAATCGAATTTTGTATGTAGATGAGGTCTGCTACATTGTCTGCAGCTTTATATTGCGAGTGATATCATGGGAATGCCGATGACGTCAAGAATATCCGGTTTTCGTGGTGCTTGTTGTGGCCTTGTGTTGCCGACTGGGAAATCTGTCATAATTCCGACAGGAAGCATAGAGTGATCGAATTAGTACTCATTGTGGGCGACGTGGATCACAGCCCAGCCCATTGGAGCTATCCATGGTAATTGACATCCACAAACGTGAAATACTTTGCTGGTTTGGTATTAGGCTGGGAACACTAGACTTAAATGGATCTCTACACAAGTTGGTTTACGGCTATGATAAACTATATATGAGCTATGTCAAAGTTCCATTCAAAATGAAATTTAAAAAACAAAAACAAACCGGCGGACACATGCGCCACGACAAAGGGCCAAAACAAAACGGCCAACAAAGACGGCAAAAAAGACTCCCCAGAATAGGTCGAAACAGAGACCAAAAAAGACTCCAAAAAAGACGAGTCGAAGGAGATTTAAAAAAAAGACCTCCGAAGGAGCGCCCGTAAGGCGAATATTTATATCTATAATCATTTTAGTTAGTATTCGAATCATAACATAATAGTCAGATCTTACAGGATGAGTCCAATAGCACTATACATACCTGACTTGGTAGTCCGGATGCAAGCCCGCGAGAACCATCTTGCCCAGTTCCATCGTCCTCTAGCCTCTGAGGCCAAAATCCAGATCGGAAATTCGAATATTGACAAAGTTTCAACTTCCGAGGGCATGTATCTTCTTTCATCCTCAGTAGACTCAAAGGCAAATGTTGCATCTGGTCTCAGCATGGCTCTTCGGACCAAGTTGATGGACTGGCAAATGGCGATTCGTGTTCGCTCGCTGAGGACTCAGAGAATGAGATTGGTTTCAACACTGAAGGGGTTGGACGATTGATGCCAGTACTGCCGCGTTTGTTGAATAAATGACGCCGACAGTTGTCACCATCTCTGTACCATGTGGAATGAAGTCGGCGTGGAATAGAGCCCGCGGAGAACACTTCCATCGGGGAAGCCCAAGTTTGTCAGATGGTAGTGGATATGCCCAGCGAAAAAAAAAAAAAAAGACTGGCATAGTCATATCTGTGTTCATTTCAATCAGCATTTAAGCGACAAAACGCCATGTTGGAGTCAAGTAAAAGGGACATGAATGCTCAATATGAGTGGCATTTACATGTCATGGGACCCGTCATTCCGAAAGCAATGTACGTACCTGGACTGTTGATGACTGCGAGTGCCAGAGCTGGTGCTATGGGGTGGGGGTCTCGACAGTGTCACATCTCTCGTCAACCTCGGTGGTCTTGTGTTGATTTTGCCACGGAAGCAGACATTGGGACAGCTGGGGAGCTGGAGAGCGGAAGCAAATGGGGCATCAGGGAGGCGGCCGGAGCCTAGTTTGTCAGTATATGTTCGACAAATATGGAGTAACCAAATTACCAGTATTCGTTGCGGGCGTGGATGAGGAGGCCTACGAGGCCCGAGAGCAACAGGAACCACAGGAAGTGGGCCTGCATTTGGATCTGGTATGTCGGATTTTCGCCGACGGCCTTGATCATCCCCTCTGCCCACTCACGCCACTGTACAGGCAGGGCATCTATAATATTAGTCAAAAGGATGCCCAGTAGAACCATCTGGGTAGGCTCTCAAGGAGATCCATAAGACTCACTGGTTTGAGGAATGACCTTCCAAAATTGCGAATCAAATCGCAGTGTAAGAAGGCATTTGGTAATGCATAAAGTGATATGTATTATTGGTTTAAATAAAACTAGTTTGGAAGTTGAAGTTAGCACCAAGGACGCACGACAGGCACCTGCAGAATGGAAGAAGACTGGGAACGAGAGGAGGTATCAAGGAAGTTCTGGCAAATAATTCAGACAGGGAGAGACTAGAAAGAAAAGGCATCAAGTGAAGTGAGATGCAGCCAGAGGGGCAAGGAAGAACATCCCCAGTAGGGAGGTGGGAGTTAGGGAGGCAAGACACAGGCACGGAAGAATTCAAAAAAGGTGTAGAACTTACTTGTGAGGATAGAAATAGAGATATCCATAACACCGAGTGTTTTGAAATGTAGATTTAGGAGGTGAGAAGTATTGAGAAATAGTTGCTGATGGAGAGAGCTACACAGCGCTGACACTCTACTTTCAACTCGACAGGAAGCCAACCATACGGAAGGTGCCAACCAGAATGATACGTCACAGCAATAGCAAGGCATACAATCTCTTTCTCAGTGTTGATCCACACGCTTGACATTCTCTGTGTCCTCATAGCTCGGCGGCGCATCGACGATCATCGCAAACGGGTCCTCCCAACTATCCCCCATCACACCGAACATGGAGAGCCGGACAATGAACCTCGAGAGAAAGTCCGATCCTTTCTCGATGTTGACCTTGTATAGCTCTTTCAGTCGCTTCTTCTCTGTGCTGGATATACCGAAGCCACGGGCCCTATCACAACAGGCACATTCAAGAGTACAGTGTCCAACCCCAAGGCTGCGGGTGTCGTCAATACTGCGATTTGCACAACAGCCACAAGCCCGAGCGCAGCATCCCTGACGACCAGCGCAATGTTTGACTAGGTCACGGTGCATATACCATCTTGGATGGGACCTCCACAACTCGAACCCTCGCAGCCCAAGACCGTGTTGAATGCCAGACCGCCAGCGCCACCACTCTTGGGACAGACTCCAGTATCTCTGACTCAGGTAATGGAGCCGCTCATTTAAAATCTTGTCCGAGGAGAAGTCTTTTTCTTTGATAGCTAGTTCCTCTTGGACGACTTCACAAAGTTATTCCTCGGTGTTCAGAAGATGGGGAGAGACATCAAGGAAAGAGGAATGTAGATCATATCTCACATATCGATATCGCTGAAGAGCATTGATGTCACCCTTCTTTTCAAGAGCAATCTCGGTGCCAGACCGGTCCCCATTGATCCAATTCTCGTTCGTCACCGGTCGTTTCTCAGTCGTCCCGGTTTGAGCGGCTAGTCTTGCTTGACTCGCGGCTTTCCCGCTTTTCGATGAGAACAACATTCCTCAGCCTGAAATCTGTCTGCCAAATTTTTGTAGAAGGGTCTTTTGAAGATTTTGAAGGTAGATAGTTACAGTTTGATCTCTGGGGACATGTAACGCGGTCAGAGATTGAATCACTACCCCATTTCCTCTTTGAGGGTCGGATGACGCTCAAGCGAACCAAAGGGTGTTCTTCGACATTCATGGACTGACATGCAACTATAAATGAAACGAAAACGAACCCGTATTTGATTTTGCTCCAGACAATTATAATTAAATGAGTCAGTCTACTTCTACCATGTATGATGCATTACAATGTCGTACCAGCTAGGAAGTGGTGATGAGAACCAAGGGCCTAGGTGATTGCTTAGAAGATAGTCCTATTTGACACAGGGGACATGATTATTGAGGCTCTCTATAGCTGAATTACAAAAAGTGCCCAGCAACCTTGGAAAGGAGTAAAGATCACCAAGGTTAGGGCTCCGTTGCGAGTCCATCGCCTAAAACGGAAATATCTATACGAGTACGACTGCACCCACCGAACGGGTACACAGCTGAGAGAAATGACGTCCGGCCTTGAAAGTCCTCTTAGATCTTGCATGGAAGTAAAAAACATAACGAGAGATCATATGTAATATTAAGCTTTTGCTAAAAAAAATCTATTCTCGCTCCATGTAAATGCAGTCGACATCACAGGAAATCTGAAAAAAAGACACAAACTATGAGTCTAGACAGGAAACCAACTTTTTCTACTGTTCATGCTTCTTGAACAGTCCCTTGACACGATCAACCATCAATCCAGCAACACCGAATAGAGTTCCAAGACCAAAGCTCCAACCTCTGACACGGACAGTGTAGATGAAGAAATAGACCAAGAGCCAGTTAATGATCACAAAGGCCAGGAAGATTCCGAAGGAGCGCCACTTGTCACCGCGGTGAACATTCAGGTTCTGCATGTATTCCTCGCCCGAAACGTAGGGACAATACTGGCAGTCGGAGGTAGCGTTGGGATCAATCAGCTTGCCGACCTTGGCAATCTGAGAAACAAACTCTCCCGCATACTGAGCGCAAGTCTGGCCAGGCGGGGGGTTGAAGTGCGTAGCTTCTTGGGTGGCGCATTCGATGGGGACATCCGGGAGGACAGCGGACAGAACACCGCGCATCCACCAGGTCGTGGGGTTGACGTAGTACATCCAGTATTTCCAGAAGACGGGATAGTCGGCGTAGGGGCGCACGATACCGTTGAACAGGTTGACCATGACGAAGAAGAAAGGAAGGACGTTCGAGATGACTGTGAAAGAGGGCGCAAAGGCACAGATCCACTGGCCCCATGATGCCTGGAACAGGAAGAAGAGCATGCTCATCAGGAACACGTAGCCGGCGGATGAGCTGTCGGTTGGGAATCCGACGGGGTAGTACCAGAGGAGCCAGTAGATCAGACCTGTGACGATGGCGGCGGGGATCTCGCAGACGACGTTCGCTGTGCAGAAGGCAACCCATCCGTAGATGCGTGATGGGTATTCTCTGGCTTCCCAAAGAGCGCGGTTGATGTAGAATTTCGGCACGATGGAGTTCAGGACGATAGGCGGGATCAGAATGATCAGGAAGACGGAGAACATTCGGTTCTGCATCGAAGCCACGGTGTTGGGAAGCATGTAGAAGGTGAAGCCATTGAAGATACCGATGAGAACGCTGACGAAAATCTTGCCGTAGTAGTAGGATGGATCACGCCAGTAGTTCTTGAAGAGTCGTTTTGTGAGTTGCAAAGTCTGTGTGGTGGTCGGGGCGGCGAACTCGTAGTGAGAAGAACCGGATGCTTCGACAGGGACCTTGGACCGCTCAGTTCGGATGCGCTCGATCTCAGAGAGCATCCCGCGGTTCTGGTCGGAGTTGCGCCATTCTTCGTTCCAGTCAACTTGTTTGCCGTTGCGCTGAGTTCCCTTCGCGGCGGTTTCGAGAATGAATTCAGCGACGTTCTTGGAGGGTGGGCAGTGGAAGCCACGGTCACCGAAGTACTTGATCACGGCTGAACCGTCCTTGCCGACAGGGCCAAAGTAGAAGGTGTTACCACCGGGGTTCAGAGCGAGGATCATATCGAATTGCTGAATGAGCATAGAAGAGGGCTGGTGAATAGTGCAGACAATAGCCTGGCCGGCTTGGGAGAGCTTCTTGAGGAAACGAACAATCGAGAAGGCGGCCTGGGAGTCAAGACCAGAAGTAGGCTCGTCAAGGAAAAGGAGCAAGCTGGGCTTGGCAGCGAGCTCGACACCGATAGTGACACGCTTCTTCTGCTCGACGTTGAGAGAGCCGATGATTGCATCCTGGATTTCCTCGAGCTCAAGCAGGTTAATGATTCTATCCACGTACTCGATCTTCTCTTGGTGGGAAACATCACGAGGTTGACGGAGAATTGCAGAGAACTCGAAAGCTTCGCGGATTGTGGCGGTGTTGTCGTGCAAATCCATCTGCTCGCAGAAACCAGTACCACGCTGGAAGTCAGCTCCTAGCGGGTGACCATCGACGAGCATGTCACCGCCCACAACGCCCATCTTCTGGCGCTGTGCAAGGGTGTTGAGAAGCGTGGTCTTTCCGGCACCGGAGGCACCCATGAGAGCAATCATGACACCGGGCTTGGCGTATCCGTTGACATTGTTCAGGAGCTTGCGAGTTCCGTTGCCGTAGGGAACGGTGTATTCAACATTCTCCCAGGTAAAGCAGCGTTCACTGGAAGATAGACGGTTGAAGGTTGCATCGTCGGCAGAGGAGGAAGCCTTGCCCCGAGCAAGCGCGGCATCATCATCAGTGCTGGCTACCTTCTCTTCATCGGTACCGTTGGACTGGCCAGCAACCTTCTTGGCGCGCTTGGACTTCTTGAAGACCAGAGCGCCGCCGCCGCCGCCAACAAAGGAGAGGACCTCGGACGCAATGACAGTCACCAGAATGTAGAGCACAGTCCAAGCAATGACGACACCAAAGTTACGCCAGAGGTGGCTGCGGGTGAGCTGGAAGTTTGTAGACAAATACTGCGCTCCAGGAACAGAGGTGCTATCCAAAGAAGATCCAGTCAAAGCACATCCCTGGTACCGGGGGTCAACACCAGGACCCTGGGGAATAAGCTGAGAAGGCGCACATTCCATAGTGCGATCCGAGAACTCGTTCGACAAGACAGCCTCATAACTGTAAGAGATAGGATTGAGGTAGTATAGCCAACCGAACCAAATCGAATCTGAAATCAGACTCTGCTTGGGAATCACGTAGCCAACGAAGATGATGAGCAGATTGAGTCCAATACCACTGAATCGAACAGCATCGTCAATAGTCGGTGACAGCGCAGCGAACATGCGATACAAAGCAGTGATACAAATTGTGTTCGTGTACACAAACAGGAAGAAGATGAAGAATTTCGAAACAGTCACATCAAGTCCAGTCATGAAATACACGATCACCGTGAACGGAACCACCATGCAGAAGATGGCAGGGAAGTCCACGACGACACGAGCAATAGACACAGCAGATGGTCGATAGAAAGCGTAATCCTTGTGGCGGGCAACGATGCCACGGCCAGAGACAGCAGGCATCAGCTCCGTCAGCTGGAGCCAGCCCAGGAACAGAATAGCGAAGAACAGGGCACCACCGCGCGAGAATGCGCCGCTGGTATCCAAAGATTCACCGTAGAAGAGGGAAGAGACAATGAGAGCGTTCGAGATGATAATGAAGTACTTGGTGTATAGAGAAGTCTTGTCACCCCAGAGAAGCCAGAATTCACGTTGCACACAGGCCATCACCTGGCGCACGAGAGAAACAGTGTAGGGGGACTTCTTCGACACGGTCTTGGACTTTGACTGCTCGACGCTCGACTGGAACCGGCGGGTGTCTTCCTGTGAGGTGTCCTGGAGGCGCTTTTCGTAACTGCAGACATCATCCCAAATATCCTTGTGGGCCTGGCTGTCGCGGAAGACCTGCTCGAGAGCCTTTGCGGTCTTCGGGGTGGATGCTTCGCGGCCGGGCTGGAACTCCCGGGCGTTGACATCGCACAGCGAAGTCAAGAAGTCAGCAGTGGTGGATTGAGGCGGGCAGTGGAAGCCCAGGTTGATGAAGTATTGGCGAGCTTCGTTGGCGGGACCCTGGTAGAGCATGCGTCCCTCATCGATGACCATGACCTTGTCCATGAGCTCGTAGATGCTCTCACCGGCCTGGTAGAGGGTGACGAAGGTGGTGCGCTTGCTGACATCTGTCATGATACGCAGGGACTTCGCATAGTCGAGAGCCGTGCTGGCGTCCAGACCGCGGGTGGAGTTGTCCCAGCACACGACGGAGGACTTGGTGGCCAGCGTTTCGGCAATACTGACACGCTTCCTCTCACCACCGGAGACACCGCGAACGTACTCGTTACCCACGAAGGTGTTCTTGGTGTGGCTGATGCCGAACATTTTCAGAAGGGCGTCAATGATCACGGGAATGCTCTCGCGGTCATGCTTGCGGGTCTTGTTAATCAGAGAGAACTTGAGAGTCTGCCAGACAGTCAAAGATGGGAAGTGCTGATCATCTTCCGGGTTATAATTAACTTCACCACGGAAGTGCTTGTTCTGATCCTCGGCGGAAAGACCACCGTAGCTGACTTCGCCAGAGACACCAGCGAAGGCACCACGATCATTGGCAATCGCCTTGAGGAAAGTAGAGCATCCGGCGCCGGGACGACCGAGCACGAGCATCATCTCGCCTTCGCGGACGGTACCGTTAAAGTCGTGGATCAGGTCACGCACGGGAGGCTTCTTGCCGAAGTGCAGCTGGGGCACGAAACGGCAGACCAATTTATACAGATCGGGACCAAAAGTGCCGACAACGGCGTGGGGGAGAGTGCGCACGAACGAGGCGCCTGTCTCAATACCCTGCACGGTGAGATTCTTGAACACGACACCGACTTTCTTGGCTGGCTCTCCTGCTGTGGTTCGTCGTTCGAGATGACCACCGATGAGGAACTCGCCAAGATCGAAGTCCGCTTCGTCAGCCTCGGTCTCGGCCTCTTCAGCTTTCTCTTCGTCGCGGTGGGACTTGCGGCGACCGCTCTTGGTCGTTTTGGTGGTGGAACGGGTGCGGTGCAGACTGAGGCGGGTCAGTTCTCGGCGCATATCCTCCAGATCTTCTTTGGCGCCGCTGCGTGAGACCGGCTTTCCAATCTCCGCCTCTCCCCAGCGACCATCCTGGCTGTGGGCTGAGGAGCTGATGGAAGAGCTGGAGCTGGAGATTGGCTTGAATTCAGCGGGGGTTTGGTCGACATCGAGGGGCTCGGATGCATGTTCATTGGAGGCATGTGCCTGTTCGGTGTTGTGTGTTTGTTGGGTGGTATTGGAGGAATAGGTCTGGGAGTGCGAGACATTCTGCGACTGCGACTGGGACTGCGCCGAGTGCGACTGCTCAGAGTGGCCCTCCATGGCGGTTCGCCGGGCACGGGCTCTACACTCGATCAATTGGGGAATATTAGGTGTATTAACAGCTGATTAGGTATGTACAGCAGGAGTATAGAGGGGATAAAAAAATGAAAAAGAGAGGGTAGGAAAAATGAAAGGAGAGAGGTCAGGAAGCAAAATGCCTGAGTAGCAAACGGCCAGCGTCATATAATCCTTTTATATGCTTAACTCCGGCGCATTTGTCAGACCCCCAAAACGTGAAATGGGTACAATTGGGCCCAACGGGGTCCCAAAACGGTATGAGCGAATCATAACGGAGTTAATGAGCAGGAGTCGCGCAAAGAGAGCTATAGTGGAGAACATGACTCAGGGTGATTCAAGATGGCGGTCCCATCCGTCAAAGAGTTTTTTTCTTCTCGTTTCCGGAGATAGGCTTAGCGTCGGGGTTTAGCCATCATCCTTGACGATTGCCACGGTGATTGGCGAAGAGTAGTGGAGAGGTGGAAAATGCAGTGGTGTCATTGGCGAAGAAGAAAGAACGAGGTTCTGGCGGAATATCCATTCCTATCGGGCTTATCGCGGCTTACATATGCAAGCAGTCAGCATGTCTTGGCATCAACCCCATCCGGCTTTTATATTCCGTCGGCTTTCTGCCTTTTACGCCTCGCTTATTTTTGAGTATTCATAAGCCTTGCTTAGAAATAGATGGGGAGCCTGGTTATCTGTCTGCACTCGGAGTTCCAGTAAAACTAGTAAAACTGCCTAGCTAAAGCATGTCACTACCCGATGGCGAACGGTTCGGCAACATTTAAAACCCCCCTCGGTGGAAGTATATCCGACTTGCATATGTCCCCTTACCCACACTCTAAACCCGATCGGTCTAGAAGAATCGATCTCTGGAAAAGTAAAACTAATGCCGAACTAAACAAGTTCCGTCCCAGAAACTTGGATTGGGATTCTTTATTTTCCTCTCTCTCCCAAGGTTTTAAGGTTCCCAATTGCAAGGAATGACGTTATTCAACGTGAAAGACTTAAATCTAGGGCTTCAATATGTGCGGTCAGCTCGGACCTCACCTGGGCACTTCCAGGGTATGCATAAATAGTCCAGGCTTCACATATGCACAGCCCAACTGTTCTCGAATCCCGGTCGTTACACCCGCATGTACAGTACGGAGTCATGAAGTGGAACCTGAGAAACACCTTGTACCAATTATTGGAACAACTATCTATCCCTGCGATGACGTTGGATTGCTTTTTTTTTTTTTGATACTGTACAAAATAGAACAGATTGAATAAAAAATAAGAAAAATTAGAGACGAGACTATTTCCGCTTAGCTGCTGCTTGCGCAATTCGCTTCTGAATCTCTTCTTTCGAGAGGATTTTCACGGCATTGTTGGAGAAGACATAGCTCAATCCAGACCAGAGAGTTGTTCCGGCGACAAGGTATCTAAGTTGGTTAGTGGGGGTAACCAGAACGACACAAAACGAGCCATGAAAAAACAAACACCGCGAAATGAGAACCGAATTTAAAAAAACAAAAACATACAACAGTGAGGATTCGCTGGTGGTCACCCACCCAACTACTAACTCACCGGCGTGTGGCTTAAGTACGGCTGAGCGGACGGGAAGCCCTGTTCTCCACACCCTGTGGTCGTATGTACAAGAAACACGCTCTCACTGTCTCTAGTCGAGCCATTGAGAGTGCATCTTCCATACCAAGAAAGGGAGAGACGCAAATTCGCGAATACAAAGGGTATATAACAAGAAAAGAGGCAGGTGAAAAAGAAAAGAAGGGCGGGAACTCACTGGAATCCAGTCATAGCCTCACTCAAGTGCCAAGCACTCACAAAGGCCTCGGGAACCACAGGCAGTGCGATCGCACTACCAACCAACACAAGCTGCAGAGCCGTATTAATCTTGGAGATTTCCGTGGGCTTGACTTCGGCCGAGGGCAGCGAGAAATCCCAGTACCGGGCCATGGTCTTGGGCTCGGGCAGGGAGATCCAGCGATAGTAGATCGCCGATATAGCGAGACCAACATCGCGACCAAGGATAATCACAGCAAGCCAAACTATACCCTGTCAGTTCAATTGATATATTATAATCTAATTGGATGATAGCCAAACTCACCGGGCATAGAGCCGTTCACAGCGAGACATGCAACACCGATGGTCATCAGCAGCTTGTCAGCCATAGGATCAATGATCGTTCCGACGACGGTCTGCAGACTCCATCGGCGGGCAATCCAGCCGTCGACCAGATCAGTAATTCCGGCATAGGCGAAAAGAGATAGTGCGGCTGTGTGATAATTGTTAACAAGAAGATAACCGACTACAGGGGCGGCCACCAGTCGGGAGAAGGTGAGAATGTTGGGAACTGTGTAGATATTCTCGTGGGATGTTGGAAGGGAGATGCGGGAGAGAAGTGGCTTTTTCTTCGGCTCCTCGGGTCTGATCCAGTTAGTCGGTCAGGCTCAAGGACTTCAAGCGTTGGAACGTACTGCTCCTGAGGCTTGTTCTCAGGCAAGTTCGAGCTGAGCGCTCTTCGCTGAGTGAAAAATGTCGGTGAGATTAGCGTGGTCTGCAGACCGTTGGGCTTCAATCTGCAACATTTTCAGCATCGATTGATGGAGAACCAGATAGACAGACAGGTCTTACCCTGTTGATGATTGGTTGGTCTTCAAGTGGCATGCAGCCGTAATGCAGCGGAAGCCACCCCGTCGGAGAGTCTCGCTCTTGAGAACATTTGGCTGCATAGAGACACGTGTGTTTCTCAACATGGCCTGGGATCCCTGTCGGCACGCCCGCAGGGACAGCTGGGTGCATGAGCCAATCATGGCGACACAAGCACAGAGATGATAACGGCAGACGTTTGCGAAGCTGAGCGTAGGCAACACAAAAAGATCACACTTCAAATCTCAAAACTTTTGATGCATACACTTCTTGTTTGATGTACAGTCCCTTCTTTCAACCGGGCTGACCAGGGGCTCAGATGAAACCTGTGGCACGGTGGGACTGCTAGTGTATCAAGGCAGCCAAGATGAGTGAGCAGGAAAAAAAAAAGAATCAAGTCGATCAAACAGAGAAGCAGCAATGCAGCAAATGCAGGTGGAATGCTATAGTACACGGGCAATCTGGGGTGGTTAGCTGATTATGCCGGAAGTCGGGGTTACCCTGGCTTGTTAGGATGTACCCACGAAGGAAAAAAAAAAAAAAGAAAAGAGCGAGACAACTGAAGAAAATTGAGGATTCCGAACCAAGAGAGCTCTAGATCCTGCTCGAGGTTGGATGAACGGAGCAGCTGCCAGGCCTCGGCGATCAAGTCCTGGTCGCTCGGATAAACAGTTTATCCCGAATGCTGTATATCGCCCTCCACTTCGCTTCGGCCTCCTCCACCACTTCAAAGTTCGCATCTAGATACAAAAATAACACATCTTTGCTTGTTTCCAGTGCAAATCCTTAAACATGACTCTATCATCTTCAAGCACTCGATGCCTAACGCCACGTCATGATGTGTATCCATGGATATGCTCACCTGATCCGCCAGGACACACCTGACTCACAAAACTGACACTCTAGCGCTCCAGGTGATGGTCAACATCATTGCCTGCGGCAATGAAGCCCCCAGCTAATGACTCCTTCAGTCAGCCTGAATCTTATATAGAACAGACAGATGCCTCGCGGCCCGGCCTCAAATTCAAGAGACAGCTGCGTCTGAAAGGTGCCCGATGGAGAGCAATAACAAGCGTTTTCCACAAAACACCGGTCTCGTCGCACCGCGGCTGCCAGGAAAACATGGCGTCAAACTTTCAAAACGAGTGTCCCTCCGAGGATCGCTCGCTAACCCCCGTTACAGGTGTACCACCAGCGAAGGAGAAGCCACCTCCAGATCCAAATATGAACAACCCCCGCTACATCCTCAACCGCGCTTGCATATATGAGCGCTATCTCCCTGGAGATGCCTATGTCACGGCGCATGTTGAGCGCCTGCAGCACGGCTACTACTCGAACCCGGGAGTCTCCGATCACGATTCCCATCATGTTGATTTCCTAGCTATTGGATTCACCTTGCACTCTCCCAACACACTCTCACACCGCTTCAAGTCTGCCAAAATTCGCGTTTCTGTCCGCGGCTCTCGTGAATACTCCAATTCCCACCACCATCCCTATGGTTACCCGCCTGGAAATCCGCGGTTTCTCATGCACGCACCTCATCTCATTTACGGGACAGTTTCCCCAGAGACGATGGAATGGACGTTTAGTCTAGCTGGCTCTCTTGGGGTCTCGGAGATGCCTGTAAGCGCTAGCATTATTCCATCGGGGAGCATCAACAGTCGGTACCGACGGTACGAAATGATGCGCATTCAAGGCTCCGCGCGGACATTGAAAAGCGAACGGGGCCCCAGCTTCGATATCGAAGCCGGTGAGATCGTCTGGTCCTTGGAAGAGAATGATCTTCAGCGATCTGGTCTCCCTCGCGAATTTACCTTTGTCATGTTGGTCCACAAGCCTGCTGCTGACAGCCGCGTGAACCTTTCTATGGACATCGAGCCAGTCATCGCCGCCAAGATGGGCAGTTACCCATCACCGATGCTGAAGTTGCCAGCGTTCCAGCCTTTACCCCGTCGGGGTATTGATTTCCGGCAAGAAATTGGGCAGCGATTCGAGCCAACGAGTCCGCGTGGATACAATTTTGCAGAACTTGCAAGTATGTTTGATGAATATATCGCTATGCCGGGCAGGAAATTTAGTCGTCAGGTATGCCAAATTCCTTCACAACAATCTCGCTAGAAGAGCAAATTTAGACTGACCGATTGACCTTTCAGATGCAAATTCCACCCGAGCCCCCGCTGCCTGATAACCACTTCCAAGGCACATACCCGGGCCAATACGGCCAGCTAAATCCATACCAACAGCAACTCCAGAGCCAAAACATGGCTCTCACCAACAACGGCATCAACCTCCAAAACAGTCTACTACAGACAACTCTCCAAAACCTGTGGAGATCCCGTGGTCGCGATCAGGGCGATGAACAGCCTCAACCCCCACTCCGAGCTCAGCCCCAGCCCCAGCCCTGTCCGCCTAGAATGAACATTCCGAATATGGAATCGCCTGAAAACACCATGACCCTCAATCTCCACCTCCATGTTGACAGCGGCACCGCCACGCAGTTTGCCCACCTCGCCCGGGCAAAAAGCCCGGTGCAATCCCGCGGGCCGGGTCTGCGCCGCTCCCAGGCTCGTGATTTCTCCCGGGAGCCATCAGGCCCGAACCCGGATTCTATGACCGAAACGGACAATCGTCCTCGAGGTGTCTCACTAGAAGAGATTCATGAAGACGGGGTGCAGGAAAATGAGCGGCGGCTCGCTCGACTGCAGCGGGCTCGGGAGCCAATGAGGGAAGCGGTTGCTTCGGATGGGGAGGATGAACCGCGTCAGCCTGGGCGATTTGATCATGCCCGGGCACGGAGAGGTATTATGAGTATGGCCAACTCTCCGCTCTCCGCTTCTTTGCTGTCGGCTTTGAGTGAGGGATGAGAAACGGTTCGGAGATGGGTGGATTTTGGGAATTAGGCTCTACTTGCTACATTATCTGGGTTGCTTTCATTTTGTTTTGATTTGATGTTTCATATTGCTTTTGATACCCGGCATGCACATCGGCGTCGGAACTTGCTATTTGCTATTTGGATTAGGTCAATGGAATAGCTTCTGGTATGTAGGATGAGACCTCGGAAATCTCGAGGGGTCTGTATACTTTCCCGTAGCATACTACCCCATTTAGCGGTTTCATCATCGACGTTTTAGGGTTCATATCTGCACACTGTCCAATATCAACGGCCCCGGAGCCTTCCCCGGATTATTGCGAGCTATTTTCCAAGCTAAACTGTTTTAGGACGCCGTATTACGACCTAGACCGGTCTAAAATAAGGCCTCATCAGCCATTTAAGGCGGCTTTGACCCCTTGCACGCTATAGTTACACCTGGGCACCTTCGTGAATGACTCACTGCATTGCCAACTACTTCGGTATTTAACCCTTAAATCTCCAATACTCTTCATCAACTCCATATTTTCGAAATGTCTGAATCCAACAGCCAAGTCAAAGACGATATTAAAAAGGCTTACGACGATGTCGCCAATACCTACCTCACCTGGACGCAATCGAGTCACAAAACACGTCTATCTTACCTCGAGCCCATGCTTGATTCCCTAAATACCACGGATCAGATCAGCGTCCTTGAGCTCGGCTGTGGTGCCGGGGTACCATGCACCCAACTTCTCGCATCGCGCGGATACAACGTCACAGCAAACGACATCTCCTCGGCCCAGATCGCACTCGCAAGAGAGCATCTTCCGGGCTCTGTAAAGCTGATCGAAGGGGACATGATGAAACTAGAATTTGAGCAGCAATTTGATGCTGTCTTGGCTATGTATTCCATCTTCCATCTTCCCCGCGATGAGCAGAGTGTCATGCTTCGTCGCATTTTTGGATGGTTGAAGCCTGGGGGTCAGCTATTGGCAAATTTCCCCGAGTCCAGCTTTGAGACTGCTTCCGATCAGTCTTGGCTAGGTGGGACGAAGGGGGCCATGCATTGGAGTGGCTGGGGGAGGACTGAGACTAGAAGGCTTCTCGTGGAGACTGGCTTTGATGTGGTTGTGGATGAGGTTGTTGTGGATACAGAGGAGCAGAATGGGGCTGCGAAAGATGTTCCATTTCAGTGGATTATTGCGAGGAAGTGAGTTAGGGCACTGCATATGTTATAGATGGCATCTTGGAGGTAGATGATGAAGTAGAGTGTAATGCAAACCTAAGCGGTCTGTGCAACCAAGGGGTACTTCCAACTTCTTCCTCTTCTTTTCTTTTCCTGTTCTTTTGTCCTACAACTCTACTGTGACACGGCCATGACATTCTTGTGCCTGAGACCTCATCCAACCAGATCCATCCCGAGTGTCGATCATGATCCGCCATTGCGTCCGCGCACGAACGCTGGTGGCGGCCGCCGCCCTGGCACTCTTCATTGTATGGACTCTATCACGACCATATATCCCCAGAGAGCCGAAGCATACTCCACACAGCTTCTGGCGGGAGTTCCATTCCCTACTGGAGGAGCACAATCCAGGCACAGCACCCATCATCGAGAGGGAGAAAGCGCCAACACAAGGCTTCAACGCCAAAAATGCACCGACACGCCCTGATTTCCTGGACGTCTCACAGGAAGACCTGATAAAAATGAAGAAAGCGCATACCGGGTTCCTAAGCGCACTCACTAATCCACCCAAACCCCCCTACAAGTCCAACACCAAAGGCATCGTCTCAACGGCCGGCGGACCCTATTTGCCAGTGCTGGTAATATCACTCCGCATGCTGCGCCAAACGGGGTCCAAGCTTCCAATGGAAGTATTCCTAGCCACTGAAGCAGAATATGAGCCCTACATTTGTGATGTGGTCCTCCCGTCCCTGAATGCGCGCTGCGTGATCCTCTCCAAGATTCTCAGCGCATCGCCAACCAAGATCGAAAAATACCAGTTCAAGCCCTTTGCCATACTATTCTCCTCTTTCGAAGATATCCTCTTTTTAGACGCCGATGCCTTTCCCCTTGAGAAACCAGACCTCCTCTTCAACAATCACCCTTTCACTTCAACCGGCCTCCTCACATGGCCTGATTTCTGGGCCTCCTCCATTTCTCCCCTCTTCTATCTAATTGCTGGCTTCACTGCCCCACCCATGAACATCCGCCAGTCCACCGAGTCCGGCGAGGTCCTACTCTCCAAAAAGTCACATCTTCGAACCCTCTTGTTATGCACGTACTACAACTTCCACGGCCCGACGCACTACTATCCACTCTTGTCACAAGGCGCCGCCGGCGAAGGCGACAAGGAAACATTCCTCGCTGCTGCCATGGCAGTCCATGAGCCCTTCTATCAGGTCAGCGAGTCGATATGCGCACTCGGACACGGGACGAAGGGCGGCCTTGCGGGCTCGGCAATGGCGCAGTTTAATCCGATTCAGGACTATGCACTTACGAGTCAGGGCTTGTGGCGTGTTAAGGGGGATGAAGCACCTGCGCCGGATGTGTTTTTCATACATGCCAATTTTCCAAAGTTCAACCCTGCCACTATCTTTGAAGATCACGAGGTGAATCCAGCTTTCACGGATGAGGGTGAGTATACGAGGGCCTGGACGATACCTGAGGAAGTGGTTGCTGGGCTTAACAGGAAGGTTGATTTAGAGAGAGTATTTTGGAAGGAAATTCTATGGACAGCCTGTGAGCTGGAGCATAAGTTTGAGAGCTGGAATGGGCACGATGGGATCTGTGCGGGTGTGAAGGATTACTGGAGAGCTGTGTTTGGCGGTTGATTGGGATAGATCTGGCATTTACCAAATCTTGAAAGGATCTTTAGGGCTCCAAAGATGTACCAATGATATGATATTATCATCTACTACGCCCATTCTAGCTGACCTGACCTCGAAAACACCCAGCGATAAAACTAGGCTCTTCGCACTTCTATGGGCATGCATTTCTTCCTTTTGGTTAGAAAAGCACATCAACCAATTGATTTCCACCACCAATCACATCACTTTCGACCCACGCTTAAAAGTCCTCAGGGGTGTCCAAAGCCTCTTCTTCGGTGTAGAAAGCCTCACGCTTTTCGTTGCCATTAGCACCGCAACGGTTAGGGCCATCGCAGAGGGTGCAGCAGCGTTTAGCAAAGAGACCGCGCTTGGCGATCTCATTCGCGGTATCTCGGGCTGTGATAGCCTCCTCCTCGGTATCGAAGACCTCACGGGTTTCCACAGAGCGAGCGCCGCAACGGCCGTTATCGCAGTTGATGCAGCAGCGCTTAGCGAAGACATCACGCTTAGTGACCTCGTTCGAGGTCTCGGGCGTGCTGATGGCCTCCTCCTCAGTGTTGAAAACTTCGCGGTTGTCATTGGCCCGGGCACCGCAGCGGTTGCCGTTGTCGCAGAGGATGCAGCAACGCCTCACGAAGACATCACGCTTGGCGATTTCCTGTGATACTTAGCACGACGCTGGAGCAAGTGAAAAGGAGTCTTACACTGTTGGCATCGGAGATAGACGAGTCCGCAGATGACATCGTCAGAGCCGGTACCAAGAAGGCACAGATGAAACCAATGGTAGAGAGACGCATGGTGAATAGCTCGGGTTTGGGGATTTGCGAGATACTGTTCTCAGTCGATTTGGTCTTCAGATACTTATACCTCCAGAATGGGGAGTTCGCTTCCACGTCATGTCATGAATTCCCTCAAGAGTCCCGAGATCTACACTTGGCAGACATTAGCATGTCTTAGGACCCTTTATGAATGTGGAGTAGTTAGCAAATAAGCAAGGAATCCGCACTGATCATCTTGGCCCTGTGGAGCGTAGATGGATCAGATAAGATGATCAAAAGGCACCGAAGAGAGTTAAAGCTGACTCCGAGAGTGGTTGGCCCGTGAAGAATTAAGCTTATTGGTCGAAGCGCCATTGCCTGAAGGCTGTCTCGGTGGGAACCGCCCGAAGTAGCGAGGATTGGCAGATTTCATGCCGAGGTAGTTCCGTTAGTGCACTTCGGGGGTCACTATATTCGACACAACGGTCTGAGCTGGCATTCATGAAGACGTCATAGTGAAGAGTCTAGAATATCGTATTGTACAGATCTATGTTACAAGAAACAAAGGCTACAGCTTCAATCCCCGCTTTTCGGCCGCATCGATGGCGTCAATGAATAGCTGCTTGCAGGGCACCCGACTGCCGAGTCTCGCGCAGAGCAGGAATGCTCCACTCAGCTTCCGGTGCAGACTGTAAGTCTCCTCGGGGGGCGGAGCCAGCCGCTCCCGAATCATGATCGGGATCAGCTCACGCACGCGGTCGGTGATGGTCTGATTACTGAAATCGTACAGATCAGGCGACGTGAGCATGAATGGCTCCGCGAGAGTCGTGACGGATGAGACGTGTGCGTCTGACATCGCCTTGCTCTCCATTCCAGTAAGGTATCCCAGTTCCAGAGACAGGTCGTGGCATTTCTGGCGGTCGTTTTTGGTCGCCGCGATGAGAGTGCGGACGTAAGTGGTGATAAATTCTTCGGGGTAGGCGCGGGACGCGCCAAAGTCCAGTAGCTCCAGCTTGTGGGTCTCGGCATTATAGAGGAAGTTGGTCCAGTTCGGGTCGGTTTGCATGTAGTGGAATTCGGTGATTTCGCGAAGACACAGGCGCATGATGTGGGTGCCGATCCAGTCACGTTGGGCTTGGGTAAAGTCGGAGATGCGGGTGACGGTGATGCCGTTCAGCATTTCCATAGTAAGGACCTGTTTACCGGAGGCGTGGGCGATGATCTCCGGAACGACAAAGACCGGATCATTGGCCAGGAGGTCGCGGAAGCGGTTGGCGCCTTCGGCTTCGCGGACATAATCGCATTCCCAACCGAGTTCGGTGCGGGCATTAGCAATGGTCCTATCTAGGAAGAGGCCCTTGGGGAGTAGGCGGGAGGCAGTGAGGAGAATAGAGAGGTTGTTAAGATCGCTGTCGATGGAGTCTGCCACGCCGGGGTACTGGATCTTGACAGCGACTGGTTGACCAGTGCTTTTCAAAACTGCGGAGTGGACTTGGCCGATGGAGGCGGCTGCCATGGGAACCTCATTGAAAGATGTAAAGAGGTCACGCCAGTTGGGTCCTAGGTTTTCAACCAGGACCTGGTCACGCTGCCAGGCGGGCATGTAGTCTGCGCGGTCTTGAACGCGCTGCAAGACCTGTTGGATTGGCACGGGCAGCATATTAGAGTCTTGAATACTGAGCATCTGACCTAGCTTCAGGGCCGCACCACGCATCTTGGATAGCTTGGCGACCATGCGTTCCATGTTACCGGCACTGAACATGAGCGAGCCACTATCCTGGCTGCCCGTGGCGCGGCGCAACCCCTCGCCAACGGCACCAAATGCCATTGAGGTCGCGAGGCCACTGTACTGCCAGAGTCTGCCGAGTCGGGACGACGGCACGCGTGATTCCAGCATTTGATAAGGTTTCGCCTTGGCCTCGACCGTATCCGCGCCCGGGACCACGTCCTCGGCAACACTGGCCGCCAGCTCTTCCATTTGCTCGGCCTCGGATTTGACGGGCGTCGGCGTAATGGGCTTTGCGACATCCACGCCTGACTGTTCTGGCTTCGGCGTGAACTTCCAATCCCGTTTTGGCTTTGGCTTCCCAGAGATCATGCGCGATACTCTCGGACTGTGGAAGAGCCCCTGCAGCATCTCCTCAGACATCTCCTCCGTCGGTGCCGGCTTGTCCGACACTGGTGAAGTGAAGACATCTGCATTTAGCCCATCAACACCAGCTTGGGCATCACCGGCGACCTTGGGGAGCTTGACTCGAGGTAAGCTCGAGAGATCCGGACCCGATTGTGTGGACGGTTTGTAAAAGACATCCTGCTGTTGGCTAACATTCAAGTCGTCGGGCTTCTCCTTTCCGGTGTACTCAGCAGCTTCCGCAGGAATCTGCGATTCGGCCTGCCGTTGCAGTTGGCGAGCTTGATCGGGTGGCGAATTTGCGGCCTTTTCGGCCGTGGAGTTGGCCGTGGAGTTTGCCGAGCTCGGCGGAGGCGAGTCGTCGAATCGGCGAGCAAGGGCGGCGGCAGCTTGAGCGGTCAGGATCAGCCCTTCTGTTTGGGCCTTGATTCCCTTGGTTAGGGAGGAAGTTCGCGTGTAGACATCTAGCTGGTGTTGTCGAATTGCTAAATGCTTTGCAGCGATCGTCTTGGAGACGTTGAGGAATTGTAAGGCGTCGAGAAGACGCTTGCCTGACATGGTCGCTTAGAGCATGACGAAGGAATGTCGGGAGAAATAGGGCAGAAAAAGGGAGAGAAGATATGAGTAACGGGCGTTAATAAGAGGTCCACTCAGTAAATAGCGTGAGTAATGCGAACAGTCAAAAGCAGATAGGGTGCGTTCGGGTTCGGCGGCCTCCGCCCCACCTTTTTCTGCCGGATGCTCGGCACTTGGCCATTTTGTACTTATAGCTTCGATCCCTCGATATTTTAGTGTACTTACTCTCCTCTACTCCACTATACCCCGGATATTTCACACATCTACACATACCTCGACATCTATACAACTCTACAATGTTCCTCAACCCTCAAGACCTCGAGGCCGAGGTCGCACAGCTCGAATCGCGTCTCGAAGATGCACGCGCCCAATTAGCAGCCTCCGAATGCCCCAGCCCACCACCATCTTACCCCAATAGCTGGTCAATTAAAGGTGAGAAATACTGCCCAAGATACAGGGTGACCTCTGCTAACGCTCCTCGCCCAACAGAAACATATAACAAGCCGAATAAGAGCAACCTCAACACAACCCGCTCCTCATTGCATGCCCTCCTCCTACTCTCCGACTCCGCTCTCCCACTAGGCTCGTTCGCCTACTCCAGCGGACTTGAATCCTACCTCGCACACAATAAGCCATCCCGCAACTCCCCCTCCTCAACCTTCCACCGCTTCCTCAAACTCTCCATCGCCTCTTTGGCCAGCACATCTCTCCCCTACGTACTAGCAGGATACCGGGAGCCCGAGACCCTCGAAACACTAGACAACGACCTGGACGCCTCAACACCCTGCATTGTCGGCCAGCGCGCCAGTATCGCGCAGGGCCGCGCATTGATTGGCGTGTGGGAACGGGCATTCCGCAGCTCCTTCGCGAGCGAGAACCCCAACGACCCCGCGGTCGTCGCCATTGATGAATTATCCGATGCGTTGAAGTCGTCCATGGACGATGACGAGCTCGGTCCCAAGGGCCACTTTGCCCCGCTTTGGGGCACGGTTTGCCGCGCTATGGGGTTGGATCTGCAGCAGACAGCGTACGTCTTCGTGGTCAACCATGCCAAGGCAGTCTTGAGTGCCGCGGTGCGCGCGAGTGTGATGGGGCCGTACCAGGCGCAAAATGTCCTTGCAAGTCAGAGCTTGCAGGATACTATTATGAAGCGGATTGGGAGGGAGTGGAATACGCCTGTTGAGCAGGCGGGTCAGGTGGTGCCGGCGCTGGATTTGTGGATTGGGAGGCACGAACTGTTGTATAGTAGAATCTTCAACTCTTGAGATGATCAAGAGGGTTAATAAATATAAATATAGAATAAATAGCGTGAGCTGGTTTCATGGCATGAGAATATTTCACATTGCATTCGTTGCATTTTTGGATTTTCGCCGTACAATCAGTAGTCCTACAGAAATCTAAATCGTCACCAAGACATCAGTGCGAGTACATGGGCCTTGACAAATATCCGGCTTAGGAAAAGGGAATCGAGGAAATAAGAAGAAAGCCCCGAAGGGCGGACCGTACATAACTCGTCAAACGCCGGGCCCTGACCGACCTAAACCACGCAACACCGAACCATGAACCTGTCCGAATGTGACACTAAAAAAACATAAACGTGAAAGAGGGTTGCGTCGAAAGAAAGATATAATACAGGGTGACTGGTGACTCCACTGGTCGCTCACAGGGTGATGTGCATGTGGTCGTTGCTTCCGAAGGATTTGCCGCAGTTGGGACATTTGCGCGAACGAGACGTGAGACGCTCCTCGACACAATCTTTGCAGAAAACATGACCGCATGTTTTGATCGCCGTGTTCTTGAAGTTTTGACGGCATACTGTGCACAATGCCAGAGTCTATCCAAAGGGTCAGCGTTAAGTTTTTTAAAAATGGGCCTGGAGAAGTGACTAACCCGCAACATTTCATACTCTGAAGACGAGTTACCAAGACTCTTGTTCTTCCAGCTATCCAGACTTTTCTTGGTATCTGAAAGTGATTGTTTGAGAGCGGCAACTTCGGTCTCTGCCTGGCGCAACGAAGAGTTGGTGGTTCCCAACGTAGAGTCCTTGGATACGGAGAGTGCCTTGAGTTCTGCCACTTGGTTCTTCAATCCTTCAGTGAGGATATTGGTCTCGGTCAACTGTTGTTGAATAGCGCGTTGCTTTGCCATGGCTGAACCCAAAGCCTCTTTTGTCTCACTGGCTTGCTTGTCCATGTTTGCTAACAATGAACGAGTGCTTGTCTCGGATTCCTTCAGTTGAGACACAATATCAGATGTTTTCGAGCTTTGCATTCTCAAAGTGCGGACTTCCACATCCCGAGCTTCCTTGCTCTTCATAGCGGCAAAGAACTTCTGATCTGCTTTCGACTTCTCTGCCGTTAATCGGGCAACCTTCTCTTCCATCGCGCCGAAGTCAGTGACCTTTTGCGAAGCGAGTGTGGCGAACTTTTTGTATGCTGATTGCATGGATGTCAACTCGGTGTTGAGCATAGAGTACTGGCGGTCCAGACTGGTGTACTTGGCGCGCAGTTCCTCGAGCGGCATATCGTTAATGTTTTCATCGGTCTTGGATCCCTCGATTTGGAGCCGTAACCGTTGGCTCTCCGACTCCAAAGCTGTGATTCGAGCCTCCCGCGCATCTGCCAGTTCTTGTAACTTCAACCCCGATGTTTTCTCTTGATCCTGAGCAGCCTTTCGCATTTGCTGATCGGCCAGTAGTTCATCACGGGCGTTTCGTATTCTGGCAAGATCTGTTTCGGCCCTCATCAACTGAGCCTCTTTTTCCGCGATTGTACTTGAGGTTTCGTTTTCCAGTTGCATTTTGTACGCGGTCCTTTCTGATCGGTATTTCTCTGCTTCTTCGCGAAGTTGAACGTTCGTCGCCTCCAGGTGGTTGATGCGCTTAACTACATCGTCATGTTGTGACCGGAGATGTTTGAACAGATCTGTATGTGCGTAGTCGTCGTCGGTGAATTTCGTGGACTGAAATCCGAACGTAAGCCACAAAGCGCGAGTGAAACGAAAGGGGAACACGGTACCTTGACTTTGTTTTCGGTGATTTGACTGAGCAAGCTGGCATTTTCGGCCTCCAGCTTCTGTATTTGTTCCTTTTGCTTTTCTGTGACCGCTTTGATTTTGTTGTGGGCTTCCTCCAATTCTGGGTTGCGGTCCAATACCGGAGTGCCGCCGTTGGCTGGTGATGACTCTTCTCGCTTCGATTGTGTGGTCTCTCCAGGTCGCTGACTACCCATGAGTTGTTGTTTCTCCAATCTCGCAACAGTCATACTCTTCGCACGGTCCACTCTTTGTTCGGCCTTCATATACCGCAAAGAGGCTTCTTCCAGGTGCTCCTCCAGTTGTTGCTTCTCGACTAGCGTCCTCTCAAGTTTTGCAATAATGGCCTTCTCCTCTGAAAGCTTCTTGGCAAGGCGGGTCTGTAAATCCGAGACCTCGGCGGGCGCATCACTAGACTTGGCCTGAACCTGGGAAATTATTGCGCGAATATCCTCCGATCTGGTGGCCAGATGTAACTGGAATTCTTCGGCATCTTCGAACTGCAGAGAACTTTTGAAAGAGGTTTCTGTTCAAGTTGTCAATAAGTGAATTTTGCGCTTAGGGAAGGGATCCTGGGTTAGCACCGACCTTTGTCTTCGGGTTGTGATGAGCCGAGGAGTATTTTCATTTCGTCAATTAACTGGCAAACCGTTAGTCTCATGGTTCAACGGATCATCCAAACGATATCGGGAAGGAAAGCAACACACCTGCTGGAACCACGAATCGATAATGCGGAGATGGTCATTATGATACGTGGCGGCTTTGGACATTGTTTCCAGTCGCGACTCCAATGAATTTCTCTCCCGCCTGTACTCAGCCATTTGACGCAGAATCGCTTCTTTTTGAAATCGCTACATAAGATGACATTGATTAGCACATGCACCCGCGATACCGCAAAATGAGATGCTCCAATCGCGGAGCAATTCGGAAACTTGAACTCACCTCTAAATCATCTTTCCATGGCATATCAGCATCCGGATGGGGCTTGGAGCCACCATTAGCAGTGGTCGCCTGCTTCTTCAACGGCGGGGCCGAGTCATTGCTCTCGGCGGCGGGCCTCTTCCGGTCTTCCATCTTGACGAGACCAATTTCTGAAGACGCGACGGGGGTTTCGACGGCCGGCATTAGTGGCTAGACTGGCATGGGATTGCTATCACCACCGGACCGTCCGTCAGTCAGCCAGACACAGATCTCGCGACTGAGTCCAATGTCGAGGGAAAGTCCGGTAGAATAGATACAAAGAAATTAGAAAAAATCGAAAAGATTTCCAATTTCTGAGAAGCGAGTTGAACAGGCGAGAGAAGGGGTGGGATGGCAGAGATCGAGGAGATGAAGACAGGAGGATTTTCAACGAGGTTTAGCGTCCATTAGTGCCCCTCACGTGACAACTTCTCAATTTCCCCAGGAACTTTTTGCGATCTTCAACTTTCATCTCCACCAACAGAAATGGGCAGCCATGAAGTCTTTTTCTAGCGCGATCAGTGAGTATCAAAGGATCAACCCCACCTGTACAAGTCTGACTTTGTGTTTTTCAGACAAAACCGGCAAGAAGTTTGCCCCAAAGGCGCCCGCCCGCCGTGCGCCCGCGGCGCCTGCGCGCCGACCCAGCGTAACTCAACAGTCGCCGGCCGAAACCCCTCAGCCCAAATCGACTCCTGAGACCAGTTCAAACAATGAAGCTTCCGTGGAAACGGCTCCAGTGGTCACGGAGACGGAAAGGCCTGCGGTCACTGAACTCCCGCCCCCAGCTGTAGCTGCGACGGAACCAATTCAGCCTCCTGCTCCTGCTCCTGCTACAGCTCAAACCCCAGTTACAGTCCCTAATTCCTCCGCCAAGTCAACGGCTATCCCCAAGCCGACTGCGATAAGCAAGCCCACCCCAATTCCTCGAACGCCGATCTCCCGGCCTACGCCAATCTCAAAGCCGACTACGATTCCAAAGCCTACTCCAAGCCCTAAGTCTACTCTCATCACCAAGCCTACTTCTATTCCCAGCCCACAAAAGCGCAAGGCACAGGCTGTCGAACAATCCGAGCCAGTCACAACCGTCCCGCCTACCCCACCTTCAACTCAACCGTCGCCTCCCGTCACCACTTCTGCCAATGACTCTCAAACTGCCGATGACCAGGGGCCAGAACAAGCCCTCTTAGACTATGCTAGGATAGAAGCTGCGCGCGCGGCAGGGGATTTGGTGGACTCGACCGAACCACAGCCAAAACCTTCCACCCAACCCACCTCCCAGACCACTCACACCGACGCCCCGCCAGCCAAGCGGGCTAAAAAGGCGGTGCCCATACCCAAAGCCAAGCCCAATCGGAAGAAATCGACATCTGCGACACCATCCGCTTCGGGTAGTCGCCGTGGGTCTCAATCCGTCGTATCCACTATTGAGGGTCCCACCGGAACATCAGATATATCCGGCATCTCGACCCCCGATCCCGCCACCAAGCCGAAGAAGCGAAAGTACTCCAAGGCTGAAGCTTCCGACGCAGATGGCAGTGAGAAGCCAAAGCGACCCCGCAAGAAGCGCGAGCCCACTCCTGAGGAGGCCGAGGGCGTGGAGATCCTGCCGAATGTCATGAAGATGTCAGAGCTCTGCAAAGACCTTCGAACTGGCAGGAAGTCAAAACGCGAGGTTGAGTTGCGCAGGATGGAGCAAGAAGCAGAGGAAAAGAAGAAGTCAGGTGGAGGAACCCCAGTGAAGGAGCCGGAGCCGGAGAAGGTGGAGGAGCCAGTCGTCTGGAAACCCCGAAATGGTCCGAGGATGACAGTCGTTAATGGTGAAATTCAATTGGATAATACATCCTTGCAGGTTGATCGTCACGCGGATGCTGCGCGGGAGCTTGGGGAACTGGAAGATGTCGAGGAAAACTCATTGACTCGAAAGATCAACTCAGCCAGTTTCGGCAAGCGCTCCAAGGCCGAAACGTGGGATGAGGAGATGACAGAACTCTTCTATCGCGGCCTGCGCATGTTTGGCACCGACTTCATGGTCATCAGCAAGATGTTCCCGGGTAGATCTCGGCGGCAGATTAAGCTGAAGTTCAACAACGAAGAGCGGCGTGATCCACAACGAATCAAGGATACACTGCTCGGACCCCGCGAGATGATCACCATCGCAGCTTACTCGGAGATGACAAACACCACCTACGACGATCCAAAGGCAGTCCAGCAGGAACTTGACGAGGAGAAGAAGCGTATCGAGGAGCAGCACACCAAAGAACAAGAATTGCAAGCAGAACTCCTGCGCAACCCCACTGGTGGCGATGCAAACGATGGGAAGAACGACAAGGCACCTGTGAAGAAGTCCCGCAAGAAGCAAGTTAAAAGCGATGGAGGTGGCGGCACAGAAGAGGTTTTGGGATCAATCGACGACATTCCCACTGCGTGATACAACTGGATAATGCACAACTTATGAGGTAATGGTTTATGGTTACGGTGTTTGTAATTTGGCGTTTATTTGGAAAAGGGAATACACAAGGGGTCTGTCTATCAGGAGTTTTCCAAGTTGAGGTCTTTTGTGGCCTTGTTTACGGTCGTTTGCTACTAACTTTTTGCTCTGCTGGTTTACTTGTACAAGTATCAATAGCCAATTCAATTCTGATTGAAAAATGTTCCTTGCTCACTGGGGTGATTTGAGAGTGTATCACCTGCGTCTGGTCGAACCAAATCCAGTACTGGAAGAGGGAGTGGAAAATTGCGGCGAGCGCGAGCGCGAGCTTCCTTCGCCTGGATCATAGTTGCTAGACCCGCTTGATGTGCTGCGGCTCCCTCCAGTTGATCGCCCCAGGCCATAACCTGCAGCTGCACCACTTGCTGCCCCAGTCCAAAAGCCCGGCTTCCACCCCTCTTGGTGAGCACTTGATTTTGAAGGATCGTGGGTGCTATACGGAGGCGGAGGCCCTGGATATCCGCCTGGACCACCACCTCCTCCATCTCCACCTCCCCCGCCTCTTCCTTGGCCAGGGGTCCTGTCATCGTTCTGCGATCCGAGACAAGCTGCCAAGATCACGACAGCCACAACGAGAAGAAACCCGAAGAAAATCAGATTCCCAAGGGACTCTGCTGTCGTTTGAGGTCCGTTCGGTCCATCCTTACCCCGGTCGAAATCATCTCCATGGCTGCGTCCATACCTCTTCTCGCCCATTTCGGTAAGAAGCATACGGTACTCAACTCCACAGCTCCCTTTTAGAATCCACTTGTCGTCTGCGTCGCGGTACCCCTCACAAATGACATCTGTAGCGCCAAGCTTGAATTCAGGAGGCAGATCGGCCTTGCATGTCCATTGCACGTCTTCAACATCATAGTCATGGCCTTGGTTTGTGCAGCGCATCACTTCAGGTTGGTAGAGGTTGCATATCTTTTTCGATGGGCCGGCGCAGCTGAGTTGAGGGATTGGAGAGACGCGGCGGGCGCTGGTCATTCGGTGTGCGTGTAGAGTAAGTGTATTCACATTTGAGAGGAGGATTGCATCTCTGCCTGGTGGCGTGTCGCATATTGCTGGTGCGATGAGGAGAGTTGTGAGGGCTAGTAAGAGCCGCATTGTTATCGGAGCTGTGAGCTCGAGATAAGAGTCTTTGTGGACAGCTAGGACCTCGGGAGTAGGTTGGGATGGTGTCAATCGATTCCAAGGTTAGTGGGCAAGATGAGACAAGTATGGAATGTAATAGAAATCTCAGATCAGGGTCTAGTAGTTATGTCAAGAGAAGAGTATTGTTGATGCTTCGTGTCCTGAAGGTGGAGACCTGCATGAAGCTATGTTTGCCTTGTTTGCACTATCTATAGAACCCTAATCGTCAGGACAATACTTCGTACTTGACTTCCAGGATCAGAGAAAGAGTTTCTTATCCATGCCTCTCTTTCCATTCAGATCCTATCAAAGCTGCCCAACTATCATTCTTTCTCTCGTGCGCAGTCAGTACTATGGACACAGCCCTGGGCCCTGGGTCCTCTGAAAGAGCACACAAACTCTGCTGAGTTCGTCCAGTGAGAGGAGCATTCGTAATGAGAATGTCTATAATTAACCTTAGGAATAGTCTAGAACAGGGGCTTCTGTGGGGGACGGGGGCTCATAGCCTTGGGATTCGAGGTTCGTAGATGGATACATATTCATGTCAGAAGCACATCGGGAAGCATTTGAACCAATCTATTTCATTTTTCTCAAGAACATCAGTCCAGGTGGGTTGAGAAAATGCTACCAAATGTTCTAAGCACACATCAGCAAGAATCCATGACAATTGTTCAGGACGTACGGAGTAGGGTTTGTATAGATCTTAAAGCGGCCTGCATGTTTATCCAAAATGAGGATAGTGCGATAGAGGCGGCCGCCGATGGCAGATCGACGATAAGCAGTTCTGCCATCCGAAAGATGGAACTTCTTCTCCATCTGGGGATGGCATTGTGACAAAGCATATTCGACAGCTCCGCAAGATGGCGCTTCAACATAGTAAGTGGACCAAGCAACTGCTAGAGCAAGAGGTCTAACCAAGTTTCAGATGATCCGGCGCAGCTTGCGCCTCAGTCTTCGTATGCCCTCTTCCCATGGAGTGATTCAATCGACATTGCTAACCTATCGTCAGCTTGTCTTTTACTCAGGGATTTCTGCTCGGTCAGCTTTCAGTGGTTCTGTTGATCGGTGCCTTCATCAAGTTCTTCATCTTTGGGGAAGCACCGCCGCCGCCGTCCCGAGGCATGTCCAATCGCACAACCCACCGCCGCTACAGCTCTGTATACAACCCACCTCAAGACAGCCAAAAGTCATTACGGGAGAAACCTTCCACGTCAAATGTGTTGCGCCCTGTACCTGCAACCTCGACAAACACCCGATCTATCTTGCGCAAAACATACTACAGCGCCATCCCCACAAATCCCACCAGTAAACATGGCCGGCACCGCATGCACCACTCTTCACACCAACCTGAATCATTGGACTGGTTCAATGTGCTTATTGCCCAAACAATCGCTCAATACAGACAGACAGCATACTCCCTCAAGGACTCTCCGACATCTTCCATCCTCAGCTCCTTGACAGCCGCCATGAACAACCCCGAGAAGAAGCCCTCATTCATTGACAAAATCAATGTCACCGATATCTCACTCGGGGAGGAGTTTCCAATCTTTAGCAACTGTCGTATCATCGCCGTCGATGACCCTATGTCGGATGGTGGGCGGCTACAGGCTCTGCTGGATGTCGACGTCAGTGATGACAACCTCTCCATCGCCGTCGAGACATCTATGGTATTGAATTACCCCAAACCACGATCTGCCATCTTGCCAGTAGCGCTATCCGTCTCGGTTGTGAGATTCTCAGGAACGCTCTGCATATCCTTGATTCCGGCATCAACAGAACCCCCAGAGCCAATTCCAACACCAGCCGGCTCACCGGTGCCCCCACCCGCAGAACCACTTCGCAGCAAGGGAGCCGCACCCAATGGACCCGGTGATCATGCCGACTCACAAGACCAGTTCCCACCGAAAAGTAGCCCGAAGAGCAATGTCGCCTTCTCTTTCCTCCCCGATTACCGCCTCGACCTCTCAGTACGCTCGCTCATTGGGTCTCGTAGTCGACTGCAAGATGTACCAAAAATCGCCCAGCTAGTCGAAGCAAGAGTACATGCCTGGTTCGAAGAGCGCGTTGTCGAGCCCCGAGTACAGGTTGTCGGGCTTCCCGACCTGTGGCCACGCATGGGCCGAACTGGCGTACGAACAGGCGAGGACTCAGATGCTGGGTCGACGGCTCCACCACGGAGCGCCGGGTCCACTGAAGCATCAGGGCCGCCCCGTTTTGATGATCATGACCATGGGCGGGAACCAGAGGGGCTGCGGTTCCGTGGCGGTCTGGATGCACGGTTAGGGCTCGGAGCTGGGTCGCGCGCAAGCAGCTTCAATGTCGATATGGGTGGCTTGCGAAGCTCAAGCATGACCAGGCAGGAAAGTACTGGTGCTGCAAGTGATCACTTCGAAATGCCTGGTGCTATGCCGGCTGGAACACCTGTGGGCACGCCTGGCATCCCAGATACCTCTTGATCTGTGTGAAATGAAGCTACTCGGAGTAGACAATCCCACTCCAATATTGTATATGTAAATATGCGGTGCAATGATCATGAAAATAATACAAGGAAATGTTCGAATTCAATCATAGGTAGTATGTGCAAAAAATACAGTCGTGACGCGTCTCAATGTTAGAGCCACCCTAAACTGCGGTAGCAGGAGCAGGGCTAACGATAGTATCCAGGTAGTTCTTTCGGTGCTGGTTGACATCAACATCTGCACCCCGGTTCAGTGGTGTCCACTTAGGCTCGTCCTGGAAGAGACGCATGGCCTTGACGTACTACGAAGAAAGTTAGTCCAAAAGATCCAATATGACCTCGCATCTCTGGCAAGCGATATGGAAACATACATTCTGCGCATTTGTGGTGAAGCGGTGGTAGATGCCGGCAGGCAGAATGATCATATCGTCCTTGACAAGGCTGATACGAATCCACTCGTCCTCCTGTCCGCGCACATCGAAGTATCCCTCGCCATCGAGGATGTACCGAATCTCTTCGTCCTCGTGCAAGTGCTCAGTGAAGAAAGACTTGACCTTCTCCTCGTAGATATCTCCCATGGTGGCTGGCGAAACACACACCTGGTCGCGATTCCGGTATCCGCGGTCTGCCGCAATGGTATCCACAGCCTCGATAGTCGGGCAATGGACATAGAGCACGCCTAGCGAAGCAAGCTTATCCTCCGACACGGCGCGGCCGGAGTCATGGGGCTCGCGCTGGTCGCCCTATGACGGAAGTGGGGTCAGCATGTATTCTTCAAGCTTCGAGGTGGGGTGAAGCTGTAAAACTTGACAAGTCGAAGACTGTCAGCTGGCGCATACGTACCGGAACATTGTCATACCAGTAAGCCTTCATTTTTGTGTTTTATCAAGTCGGAGAAGAGAGATTGGCAACAAGTAGAGGGGGATTATCGGAAAGAAATGTCAAGCTGCTGCTGAGCATAAGCAGCCCCGCGATTGGCCGATTTCGGGATGGCGCAAGATTATGTCATTTGTGACTCACCGCCTTCGGAGTTAACGGCTGTAAGTCATGTGACTGAATATTTTCCGCTGGCGGTTAGACTCAATCTCCGAGTGTTTGCATCTCGTTTTGAGCATTTGCATTGCGATTAGTGATGGCATTTCGAACAAGGACAACAGCTCTGGTGCATCAGGAGTCGTGCACTTCGCCCATTTGTGAGTCGGGCTCGTGGCTTCGCATCTGTTGCTGATCACACGCGGTATGTTTTCCCCTAATCGTTGAGAGGCTTGGACTAATTCGCAAATCTACAGGCCGTATGATGTCGTTGTGATTGGAGGCGGCCATGCTGGATCAGAGGCATGCGCGGCCGCTGCTCGCTCTGGAGCGCGCACTGCACTGGTGACCCCCTCACGGGACAACATTGGTGTCTGCTCGTGCAATCCCAGCTTCGGTGGTATTGGAAAGGGCACAATGATTCGCGAGGTGGATGCGATGGATGGTGTTGCTGGTCGTATCATCGATAAGGCTGGAGTCAGTTTTCGAATGTTGAACCGTTCTAAAGGTGCTGCCGTTTGGGGACCGCGTGCGCAGATCGATCGCGATCTATACAAGCGTCATATGTCTGAGGAACTAAGTGGCACAGAAAACCTGAGCATTGTGGAAGGGAAAGTGGCGGATATCGTTCTCTCCAAGGAAGGAATTGAGAGCATACCTGGTGCGCAGGGCAAAATCGTTGGTGTGCGGCTGGAGTCTGGAGAGGTTATTCCTACAGGCCGGGTGGTCATCACGACGGGCACATTTCTGGGTGGTGAGATTCACATCGGACTGGATGTATTTCCTTCAGGTCGCATGGGCGAGGCCCCCACATACGGTCTGAGCAAGTCTCTCCGTGATGCAGGATTCCAACTTGGACGCTTGAAGACCGGCACACCACCTCGGCTGGACAAGAAAACGATTGATTTCTCTGCTTTGGAAGTCCAGAAGGGTGATTCACCACCCAGTCCATTCTCCTATCTCAATGAAAAAGTGGAAGTGAGCGATGAAGGTCAACTCGACTGCTGGATGACCAGCACCAATGAGGCTGCTCATGATATTATCCGCGCCAATTTGGACAAGTCCATTCACATCCGGGAAACTGTACGCGGTCCGCGATACTGTCCCTCCTTGGAGTCCAAGGTCATCCGATTCAAAGACAAGACCCAGCACAAAATCTGGCTTGAGCCAGAAGGCTTCGCCCCGAACGATGTGATTTACCCGAACGGCATCTCAATGACCGTCCCTGCTGATGCACAGTATGCCATGCTGAAAGTTATTCCCGGTCTGGAGAATGTGAACATGCTACAGCCTGGCTACGGCGTGGAATATGACTACATTGACCCTCGCAATCTTCGCCCCACCCTCGAAACAAAATTGATTAGCGGTCTTTATCTCGCAGGCCAGATCAACGGCACAACTGGTTACGAAGAAGCAGCTGGACAAGGCATTATCGCAGGAACGAACGCCGGTCTCGAGTCACAGAACAGAGCACCTCTCACACTCACTCGCTCCGATGGCTTCATCGGTATCATGATCGACGACCTCATCACCAAGGGCGTATCAGAACCATACCGCATGTTCACAACTCGAAGCGAGTACCGTCTCTCCACACGTTCCGACAACGCAGACCTCCGTCTGACACGCATGGCCCACGAGGCAGGCGTTGTCACCGACAAGCGTTGGCGCGCATTCACCGACACCGAGGCCCAGATTCAAGAATTACAGAAGCTTCTAGCCAACACCAGGCTTCCATCAGCGGCTTGGTCTCGTCAAGGCTTCAGGGCCGGGCCTGACTCCGCTCTCCGCACCGGCCTGGATCTCCTTTGCCTGGAAGGCACCGACATCAACGACGTGATTAACGCGATCCAGTCCGCGCCGGGCACAGCGTTCACCCCCAACTCCTTTGCACCCGAGATTCGCACTCGTGTAGCCATTGAGGGTCGCTACGCACCATACCTGATACGCCAGCAGAAGATGGCAGTCCGATTGCAGCAGGATGAGAGCCTTGTCTTGCATCCGGACCTGGACTATAGCAAGATATCTGGTATCAGCACCGAAGAGATGCACGCTCTCGAGCGGGTGCGGCCAGTGAACCTTGGTATGGCAAAGCGCATCGAAGGTGTGACTCCCGAGGGTGCTTTGCGCTTGCTGATGTACATCCGGAAAGGCAAGGACTACCGCGGGCACTCGAAGGAGATTGACGGTGAGAACTCAGTCGCCGATGTGCTCCGCGCCTCGCCTTGATCAAGGCTGCATGATTGATGGGGCCCGTGGACTGTTTTGTAATATATTGGCATAGCGGGAGACTCGGCGCTGGTTTTCATTTACAGTATAATATTCAATATAAGCATGTATACTACTCAATATAAGCACCTGGCCATGTACGGAGTACAGAGTACAATAATCAAAGGTGCATGGTACTCATGTTACAGCATATGTACGTTTGAGAATACTGTGACATGATGTATAACTCGACTTGATCTCCAAGACCGACAAAAGTACGGAGTACTCCTGAGATTTGCGTCTGTTCATCTCTTGATTTTCCAGTCCAGACCTCACTTCGCCCAAACCGAAAGAGACACCCGAACACACATTCCAGCCCCTGAGTGATCATTCGCCCAGTCGCTTAGTACGACTAAGCTGACGAACGCAATCTCTTTTCCCCAGAACTAAACACGCGAGGAGAAAAAGCAAAGATCATCTCGCCACGTACGCCAAACCTCCCAAGCCCCAAGCCCCAAGCCCGATCATACCGCCCATCTGGGAACCACGCAAGGGGTTGCCGATCTCTCGTCAAGACAGGGATGTTCGAGCTCCTGGGAAAGGCGACCAATGACCAAATTGAGACGGCCACATGTAGGGATAAAGAGATCAACCCTCCATCATCGACACCGTCCTTATCTCATCTCATTGGCGGGACGGACGATGGTTAGTCTGCGAATAGTCTACTCTATACGAAGAACCAACCAGTCGGCGATGACCTCCAGTGCACACACCTCCCAAGATCTGGTGATTGAAATCCTTCCAGTGCAGTTGATCCCGAATTCTAGTGACTTGGCTATCAAACTGCCCTACCGAATTCGGCCACATACATCCCATGAGCCCGTCAACCACAATAAACCAGCGTGGCGTGCATAAGCCGTTGATAGCGATCTGACCTCACTTTTTCTCAAAGAAACGTTGGAAGCCAATCGCGTGCGTCGCAACGCGATCGGGCTCCAATGCGGTATGTGATACATTCCAGATCACATCTGTTTCAGAGCCAAGGGGGTTGGCTAAACGGCTAATGGAAGATCGATCGATGTATCGCATGCACCGTGTAAGCGCTGTACATCATCGCTCGGCCGGCACGTATTGAGGGGGTTGTGGACTCGGTTAGGACTCGTTTAGGCGCCTGCGTAAGGGAGAAGCCCTTGCTTCCTAGCGCGCTTGTAGATCAAGAATATGCAAGAAGTGTGCAATGTATACGCAGGAGAGCGTCGCGTTGGACTTGGTACGAAGTACGAAATACCTCGTACTAGTTCCAAGCTTGCAGATTGCCTAGTGGGTAGTGCATGCATCCAGTCGACCCAGCTACTTGGAAATGTGTGACAGAGACATTCTAAGACTCGACGCACAGTGAAGCAGAATATCAGGATCCCCCAATGGCCATGCATCAGCACGATCATTATGATACGACTTTGCAGATGCTACTTCGTACAGTAGGATGATCCTGCTTGCATTGTGAATAATGCACCTGGCAGTACTGCCGGGAATTGAACTCGTGGATCTATTTTCCAATCAAAGGCTGTAAAATTGTAAGGATGGGAGACAAGCTGCAAGCTCGCCATACCGCCCCCTAATCCAATAGTAGCGGCCACGGAGTCATACCGAGTAGTCGATTGATGTTGGCTGGATACCTACATATAGTTGGCACTGTAGTTATGCAGCAGGGTGCCTTGATCCCCACATATTCGGGCAATCGGGAATCTACTTGCATATACTCCGTATTAGGCATTAGTAACAGTAGTCAGCAATCCAAGGAGGCGAATTGAGTCGCAATATCACGATTGCCATGGCTCCCTGCTGGCACTAGCCGACGTGCACCGTACGTGTGCTCCGTACATGTACATAGTGCATTGGTCTCGCCATCCCTGTTTTTGAGTCGACCCATCAAAAGGCGATTGACAGATGATCGACATTTGTTTTCTTTCTTGTAGTATGGTGCACTAGTCCGGAGATTACGCCGGTTGTGATAGAGCCCTTATGTTGCTAGGAAAGGAGGGACGGAGTACAGAGTAATCTAGAAATGCATAACTCGGACTTGCCTCAAAAAGCAGAAGTCACACAGCCACATACACGAGCCGACCAGAACGTTGGGACTTTTTTGTCTGCAGTGGTTCGCTGATCCCTGTCAGAAACGAGGCCTTCTGACCACATGGGCGTGGGGAGTCCGTTTATTTTTGATTTTATTTCCTTCTGTGACACGCCAGCAATAACTATTGCGGGAAATGACTCGTACAAGGGCCAATTCGGATCCTCGAATATCCTGTGCCTCTTTCTATAGTTTGGCACGAGGCTCAGGGTATATACAAAAGCGGCGATGTCTTAGAATACCGGAAGTTCTTCTCCGTACGAAGAGCAACGGAGTATACGGAGACGGAGTCGAGTCTACTGCAACATGCTATGTTTAGCGCCGCGAACCACAAACGACCCGAGCGCGCCTTGTCTCTTCTAATTTGCCACCGCAAAGTTGGTTAGAAGTGAACTAGGCCATTGTTCGAGATGCACAGACAAGCGCGATCGGACTGAGCACTTCCACTAATACCCAGAATGGAAGAATTAGACGATCGCGATGATCATGATCTCACTTCGACCCTGAGGCTGACACCCATCCTGTTCTCCACTGTATGACCATTGACCATTGACTACCGGGTGGCAGCATCAAATGCTAACTGTAACTGGACACTGCTGTATACTTTGACAATGGAGGTGGGACTCGGGCTTGAAAAAGGATTTCCAGACCATGTATCCGACTAATCAGAGAAGATGTGAAAGTGTGTAGGGAGTACGCGGCTGGGGCTCTGACATGATAACCCCAGCCAATAGTCAGAGATCAGGGGGAAGTCAAGGCCCTGTGTACGGAGTAGGGAGTATGCAGGTTCGCCAGGTCCAAAAAACAGTCTTCGGGGTTGTGGACGGATTAGGGAGGTAGTACATTGCTGCTTGATCTTTTTGTGCGAGTCTGGGAAATATGTACTCCGTAGGGACTTGTGACACTTGCAATATCTGCTAGATGTGAGTACAAAGCAATGGAGTAGATATTTGAAGATTGCCATTGTACATCTCAACACCAATACTCGTGCTATCTATGAAGATCGAGACCAATTGCTCACAAACACCATTGCCCTCTGCACTGCTGACCCCATAACGACAGATGTCACCGAAAACCTAGAGAGTTTCTCCGAACCTCAAAAGTCCCGAAACATCGGTGATTCAAACCGGATCTTCACTTCCTAGTATGATCCAAGTCAGACCCTTGAGAGTTGCGGGATTTCTCGAGGCGCCACCGGGACTAGTTAGATTAGCGGCTTTTTAAATCAACCAAGCCACCTTACTCCTTCCAGGCGTGTGCAGTTGCCTATTACCGTTCTGTGCTCCCTGGGGGCGATCTTCGTATCGGGCCCGAGTCTAACCCCGAACCGGGCGAGGTTCCTTGGTTCCTGACTCTGATTACTTGGTCTTGGAAATGAACTATATTGCACTGTCTTTTTTTCATTGGTAGAATTCTTGTACAGTATGGAGTCTACAGATTACGGAGTGCTCCCGTACTCCGTACAGTCTTCATCACTCCATACTATCACTATGGCTTGTCTACAAACATCTGCACTATTGTGATGTCAAAGAAAAACCTTGACAATTGCTTATTCTTGTTCACCTACCCGATACGTTCCCGTTCCACAATTTCCAGATCTCCATATCCAATATAAATGAGCACCAACCAGGTGAGAGAGGAGTGCCTCTCCTGTCTCTGTCGCACGGATGTCTGGCCCGAGTGTCTGGTACGGGTGCATCGTCCGTGGATGTGGGTTCTTAGTGTGAGCGAATAGTCGAGATCGACGAAATTGGTACTTACCGTGCCAAAAGGCCAAGATGATCTTCTCGAGGCACGAATGGTAGAGAAAGAGCGGGCTGATCGCCCCAGCTGATAGGACGAGCAATGCCTCAGGCCAAGCCACAGAAATCACCGGGACATCCTCGTTCGGAGGGTATGGAGCCATTGATTTGCTGAACAATTTGTGGGGTAAATCTCTTTTTTTTTTTTTTTTTTTTTTTACTTCGATATTGTAATCTGCCCCTTTGCCTACTCTGGTCATCCGTCTCGACTAGCCACCTTTTAGGTACCGGTAGAGCGAGCTGCAGCATATGCCCCTTACAAGTACAACGACTGCCATCCGCCTACCCGTCACGGAACGCAGTCGTATACTCCCCGCTCGAGGCGCGCTTAAAGAATCCTTGGCTTGTGACGGGCTGTGCAGAACGTCTATGATCTCAGATTGGGTCTGGACTCTGGATCTACGCTATACGCCCGGCTTTGGTTGGTTTACGGTACTGAAGTCGGGTCTGTTCTGGGTCCGGTGTGCGTAGATTACCTTCGTTCAATATGGTAATGAGATGGTACTGGTTTTTTTATTCTACAATATTTTAAATGTTGGATTTTTCGATTATTTTTTTGCTTTCTCGGACCTCGGCGATTATATCCAACGTGATACATCACATACCGCGCATACTTCGTGTCTACTCCGGACTCTACGGAGTAAGTTCTACATGAACAAGTACGAGTATGTTGCGAAGTTATTATGCTTACCTTAATACGGAGTATAGTCTTCTGTCATTCGCGTCAATTGAGTTTCAAACAAGCGTGCGCCAAATGTGATCGTCTTCTGGTTGAACTTTCCGGGACCTGCCAATCGTATCGACTCTGCAACGGAGGACAGTCCTCCGACCAAAGAGCTGGCACTGATTATCAAACAGCTCAAGATCGACCCGGTAGTCATTCGTGAGTCCCGAGTCGCAAGTAGAATGGCCGTGGAATGAAAGAAGTTAGAGTAGGAAAAAAACCAGGGAAAAAAAGCAAAAGCAACACTTTCAGATCCTAATTCTAATTTCCCCTTTACCTCAAACCAACAAAACCGCCGATCCCGAGTCCTTGGCCCCCTAGTTTGACCGGGGTGCATAGCAGGCCACATGTCAATGAGTGTTCACAGCCAAGCTGAGACCGTGGCAGTGTGGCCTGGATCTGCTGGGGATCTCCCGTGAAAGTTTTCCCTCATTCCCTCTCAGCCCACCCAATTACGAGATCCATAGTAATTTCTACTGTAGCTCCCATTCCCACTAATGCACTGGAGGAGACGAGGTACGGGACCCTCTTCCCCTCCTCAGTTGCGACGGTCCCTCTGTGCTCGGAGACAAAAAAAGCCAAATACACGAAACACAAGAAACAAGAAAACAAGACACAGTTGAAGAGGTACCGGAAACTCTACTTCACGGAAGCCTAACCTTACTGGCCTTTTGCTTTTTGTCTTTTGTTCTTTGTTTCTTAATCTGAGACGCGTGGATGGTTCCCCGACCGGTTCTGCACATCCGCTGGCCTTGATTGGGAAGGGATTGAGATAGGGTTGTGTCTCTTCAGGCACAGTCTTTGACTTTTATCATTTTCACTTCTATTGCTTAATCTATTCCGTACTGCATACTCCATACTCCATACAATGTACGGAGTAATTAGTCCAAGAGTTGACCGCGTGTTGGTCCTTGTACCATATACTCCGTACCAGTCCAGGTACTGGTGTCCACCAGTACGAGAGAGATCTACTTGCGCTCAGTCCTCTCGACTCGTGGGCCTCTCATACCATCTCCACTTCAGTATCAGACCCATTCAGCCACCAGAAATCACCGGTACCCGGAGAATAAGATCCCAACATGAATTCTGATATGGTTGCTTTGACCCGCGTCTGACTGGCTCTCAGGGGATCTCATTCTGAACTGCCGTTGGATGATCATGACCCATCTGGCGGTGCAGGTGGAGGCAAATTTTCAATAGTTCGGTATTGCGCACTGTCCATTCCCCGCTAGGCAGATCAGCAATGTCACCGCTCTCAGCCGTACTGAAGTATACTCCTCTGTACGTCCAGAGCGAGAGAAGTACATGACGATTCAACACTGCCATGCTTTGCGAACCAAATAAAACAAGGAAAATGGAAGAAAATGAAAAAAAGAAAAAGGAAAAAAAGAAAAAAACGGTTGGTGCAGAAACGAGGGCGATACCCAATTCGAACCATGGGCGGGAAAGTGGGGTTAGCGTCGGTGCGGGAGGTACCCAATCAGCGGTGGTTCTCCAGCTGGAGGATCTGCCGTATTACATAATACACCCAGTTTGGTTCCAAGGTTGTGACCAAATGTGGCAGGTGCCTGCTGACTCAGAGGCTCAAAGTAGATGTGCGTATATTGCCCGGTACTCGACCGTCAGCATCTACTCGGCGGTACGGAGGAGGGAGTACGGAGTAGGGAGTACAGAGGGTATATCTTCCTGTTGGCTCTAGTTCGAGGTTCCCTCCCTTTCCTCTCTCTGTTCCAAGGTTGCTTCTTATCTCTCAACATATTCCGTTGTGTATGTATTATCGAGATATGACGTTGAAGACGGCGTATAGCTCTGAAGTACCAGATGTCACGGAGTCAAAGACCCTCCGATCCCAGTTACGGATCCACCGGGATCATCCATGGCACGGGGTTTCGATGATGATTCCATTTGTCTATTTTAATCTTTTCCCCCGTCAACTGGTAACTTTTAGCTCATGGTTATAGTTGGTGAGACTAATGGGGATTGAGAGGATGGCAGAGATTGAGTGTCGAACGTTGAAACGGTACCTGCTTTTCGCGGAGGGTTTGGTGGTGTCTCCGTATTTCTCCGCTCCCCCGAATTCCACCGCGTCTCCTTTTTTTCTTTTTCTTTTTCCTTTTTTCTTTTTTTTTTTTTCGCTCTTTTTTCGATTTTCTGGTTCACCCAACCGCACTAGACTCGATGCAGCTAATGGCAATTAAATCCATTAAATCCATTAAATCCATTAAATCCATTAAATCACAATAATGATTTAATTCGATTTTCCATCGAAAATAGGAAGAAATTTCAAAAGAGAGAAAAAGAAAAAGAAAAAGAAAACCAAACGGGAAAGGGAAAAAAAAAGGAAATAAGAAAAGGCCAGAAACCACATAATATCGCATGTCATATCTACAGTCGATGATACTCCAGGCTCCAGCGCGGGTTCTATGAGTGACCAAGTACCCAAGTACTCCCCGCAGTGAACCCTCCGAATATCATTAAATGGATTTTATATTTTGATGTCTTTTTAATATTATTATTTTAGGATTAACATTAAAGCCATTAGACTCCCGGTGACCATACCATACGATCTTCGCCAATAGTTATGACCAGAAGCAGCTCCATAGTCGGGGATCACTTTTGATCCTATATTGCATACTCTCATACTTCGTACTCTCATACTCCCATACTTCCATACTTCCCGATTCCTCATTCCTCGATTCTCATATTCCCCCATACTTGTCCTCGAACAAGCCAGCACGGTGGAGTCAGTGGAGCCCCGAAGCTTGGGAATTGCCGCAACTCAAACCGTGGAACGGTCATTAGCAGATCCCCTTCGATCGAATCGGTGCAACCTGTTGACTCGCTGACTTCCCAAGGCCCGTGCTTTGCCAGTCGATCCCTGGGAATTCTCCAACTGAGGGGTCCTAACTCAAAACCTCCCCTTCTCCATACCCTGGTCGATCGTCTTTAGCTTATTTCCTTTTTATTTCCTTGTCTATATCTCGTTGGGACGTGAACCCCCGGGGCTGGGATACTCCTCTTTCTTTTTTCCATTCTCTACAATCATGGTGAACGGGACCGCCGTGTTGGAGCCCACGTTCACTGGCTACGTCGCAACCACCCAAGATGCGCTCTTGCTCTTCGAGGCCTGTCTGACCGGCGTCTTGCACCACGTCCCGCGCCGCCCCCATGATCGGGAACGGAGTCATCTCGTGCGCAGCGGGAGCGTCTTCATCTACGAGGAGAACTCCTCCGGGATCAAACGATGGACCGACGGTGTCACTTGGAGCCCCAGTCGCATCCTGGGGAACTTCCTCGTCTACCGCGAGCTGGACAAGCCCTTTCCCCCGGCGAGAAGAAACGCGCCATGAAGAAGGCCACTCGACGACCCATGCCTGCCGGCCGGCCGGGGGAACCCTATGCGCGCCATGACAGTCAGAGCTACTCACCCACCTCCCCCAGTCAAGCCTTCCCAGATCGTCCCCAGTCCGAACTCGAGCGCGCCTTGGTAGGGTCCCTGGTCGATTCGTATGGGTTCAAGGATTCCGGACTGGTCAAGAAGACCATGAGTGTGACCGTCATGGGGATCACCCACCATTTGGTCTCATACTATAGCGTGGACGACGTGATTCGCGGCGTGCTGAACCCGCCCTCGATGGTCGAAAACTTACGGTACATCCGGCCACGCACCGAACTCACCCAGAAGCAAAGCTTCCGCTCCCCCATCGACGAGCTCGAAGCCACCAACGCAGTCGAAAACCAAGAGCCCTCACACGCCGCGCTTTATGGATATCGCCCCCAAATGATGGGTCCCCCCAGCTACACCATGCAGACCGCCCCCGCAAACGACTTCTATATGCACCCAAGTCCCTACGCCGCCACCCACGCCACCCAGCCCGGCCCAATCCAGGGCTACTCGATGGGCGCCCCGATGGCCGGCCAACCAGCACCCAACCCATACCTTCCGACGCCCGCGACTGCCATTCCCCATAAGCAGGAGGATTACCACGGCATCCCACCGAAGCAGGACGACTACCACTCGTTCCGCGCGGGGCCATACGGCGGCAGCATGGACTCGATGAGCGCGCACAGCATGTCGTCCTCGATCCCCGGTATGAACACGGGGATTCCGAGCTCGCTCAGCGATCGCAACCGCTCCACCTCTGACCACAGCCCTTCCGCCTACCGCAACTCTTCCATCTCCTCCCGCAGCCAAGCCACGGACGCCACCTCGCCCATGGACCCTTCGACGCCGGGCAACTACTCTCGCGGCAGCTTCAGCATTCCCGGCCAATTGGATTCGCAGCATCCCCTCGAGCGCAACATGCCGCTTGACCCGAGTGTGCCGCGCCGAGAGTCCAATTCCATTCACCCGTACTACGCGCCGGATCGCTCCCAGTACTACGTTCCTGCGCCGTACGCGGCTACACAACCCATGTCGACGTGGACGACAACCGCTGCGACCCAGCCACAGATGGCACAACCGCAGATTTGATGATACCTTTTGTGTTCTTCCCTTTTTGGGAGACTCTTTTCAATTGTTTTTTTCCCCCTTGTGTTTTTTTTTTTTTTTTTTTTTTTTTCTTTGATTCGCTGTGGAGATAGACCCTTTGCACTTTTACGGTTCTACTTTCTTGTTTTACTTCATGGGAGGACTTATTATTTTTTTATTTTGATCGCTGTATCGTTTCTTGGTCGGTTATGTGGATATGGAATGCTTTTGCTTTTCGCTCTTGCTATTATGGGGTGGCTATTGTCTTTTCGTGTTCGTTACCCTCTTACGTTTTTCTTTGCAATTATCCCCATGTTCTCTCGGTCGGCACTCTGATATTTCCGCGGTTGGTGGCGTTCTGTTTTATTCTTACGATGTGACGCTCGACAACCCAAAACCGGTTATCCTCAATTACTATTCTTTTCGCTTTCTCTACTCTTCTGCTGCCACGGCTCCTCCCTTTTCTCTCTCTCTGCAAGCCATGGGTGTCATACGGTTTCGTTTCTTGCACAAGGTCGGGTTGGGCGGTTCTTACGTTATGCCATCTCATGTCTGTTCTATCTTCCTCCATGCGGGTTTGGGACTGTTCTGGGTGGCCTTGAGTGCTTTGTTTAACTGGGTGGTCTGTGAGAGCTTCAACATGTGCATTTTTCAACCACGTCGGAAACGGGTTTCTGGTATTCACTTGCCTGGGTTGGTCCTTCGTTCTACTTGGGATCACTTTTAGCTCTCGTGATGATACCTTATAAATTGACATTGTAATCAATATTCTTGTCATGGATGTTTCAGTAGTTTCGATTGGATTTTAGAGCCAGACGTTTCAGATTGGAACTATATGATCCTGATGGATCACGTAGATAACAGGCATGGGAATTGTTACTCGAGTTCCAGCTGCCTTCATTCGAGTCTGATTCCTGCTGTTGCTTTGCCAACTCTAAACCAGAACCGATTTCCACTGCCTATTCGTCCAATTCGGTTCCAAACTTTTCAAAGATGTGGACTCGGGAAAAGACATGGAACAAATTACGAAGAGTAGAACACTTCTTACTAATGTCAAAGTCGAGGTATGCAGTGATATCTCACCACGGATTTTATACTATTAAGCTGGTCATCACAATGAATCCATGGATGAGAGCGAGGCGTTCTCAATCTAACACAAACCAAACGACAAGCATCTTACCAGCCATCCGATATCCTATCTATCACCCGACTTTGCTCGATCTCGAGCGTCTCGATATCTGAATTTGACCTTGAGCAGCACCCAAGTTTCATTGGTGCCAAATCCTAGCGAGACATTATACATAGCAGTGACTGCATCATACCAATCATTGGAACGAGCTAACAGAGGCTTGGCCCATGATCGAGAACCAATCAAACGGCGTGTTCAAGATCTGGTGGCGACTCCCCGGGCCACTTCGTGTCTTCCCATCGCCGTATAATCGAGCAGCCGCAAAAGGGCGTCCAGCCATCCAAGTTGACATCATTCACATTCACCCGATTCTACTCCATCGGTCTCATGCAGAATGTTCTCAACTACTTCTGAAAGCCTAGAATATGGTATCCAATGGAGTGGAGTACGTCAACCAGTCGCGGCCAATATTGCTCCGGCATCCACTAGGATCTGGAAGTTATTCATGCCGTGAAAGGCTGCGCAATGTATTGGCTGACTCCCTAAAAATCAAAACATAGACATGGCGCTGAAACATGAAGATGTGGTGTGCAATTCAAGGGAATCGATAAAGTCCGCTGCGAGGGCGCGGTAGTATTGTGCTTCTGAGGAGTCCGTCGATTCCCCAAGAAAACGGGTATTTTGATAGCAAAGGCAAAGCGTCGAGCACTGCGTCTCGATGTGCACTATCGTTATCGACGTCTCATATCACTTCTAGCATCTACGCTGGGCCGTTTCGGTCTGATAGAAGCATAGACGACACAGAATGGAAGTGGCGAGTCCATCCGCAGTGATCGCACTTATCGCAATATACAGCGATTATAGGGTATGTAATAAGTCAGGCCATTGCAGCGGGCCCATTTGGCTCGCCTCGCCGTCGCGAGAGCAGTCGCGAATAATCCGAAAGAATGGAGGTCCGTATAGGCGTTGGTATGAAAGTGTTCAACCGAGACTCATGGCTGATGACTGCCATTGTGCGATTCACTTCAGGTGCATGGACAAAACTTGATATGAAATCAAATTTCAGGGATGTAAGTTCGTCTGGGCATTGATCAAGGCCATTAATGACCTTTGAGAGACGATAAGTGACACCACAAACGCGGCGGAAGTGATTTCGGAGGTCATGCTCATTCCATCCTCACTCTCGATGAAGTTGCTCGAGTCTTATATCTGCCGATATATCCGAGATCTTATTGACAGGAAGTAAAACTAATTATTGGTGACAATGAAGCTGATCTTTCTCGACGACAAAATAAATGGGCTGGTAAACCACCCGTTGTGTATTTTCTGCTATTTTACCTGGAGTTAGATGAAGCAACTGTGGAGCTCTTTGGGGCTGTTTCTTCTCTCTCTGTTATCCTGTTTTTAAATCCTCCTTTCTGCCTCGCTTTCAATGTCCAACTCTTGACATTGAATTTGTGTGATGTTGATTTCAGCAGAATGGATGACCTCCACGAGCGGAACACACGGTGCCTTGTCCAAGGCGGCGACTAATATAGTCAGTCAGTGAATGACCATCACTTTGCCAACCTATGTGATGCCTCATTCGGGATTTAATGGGAGCCTCTCGAGGATAAGAGTGAGTGGCTAGCACACTGCTGATGATCTCATAGCTTTGGGACAGCGCCCAGAGGTACCTACTACCAACTACCCCGATAGCATCAACTACCAAGGGGAAGTGCTGAATATCTTTCATAAATATTTGGACCCGGATTCAGATTAGTTTGCGAGACTTCTTATCCAGCAATTTCGCTTCATAGCCGTCCACGAGTCCAGCCGCATCAGGCGAGTCTTTCTTACCGATTCAGAAACCCCGGCGCCGTGGTACAAACAATCACAATACTGGACATCAGTCCGATGGGAAACTACTCGCTTGATCCCATTCGCCAAGAAATTCCAACAGAGATCACAATCTTCAGGCTAAAGCCGGTTACATGGGAGTCGGTCTGGGCTCATTCTACGAGAGTCACTGACCTCTCAAAGTTTACGACCATGACTTTGTACTACAATAAGCAAGGTCAAGTTGTACAATAGACTTGATCACGCGGATGAGACGGTATGGAGTATGGACTCTCAAAGGGACCAAACTTACTGAAACTAGAGTACTAGTCTTACTGCGAGCCGCGAGCCGCGATGCTATTCCAGAGAAATTCAGAGGACCGCTTTGAAGCGGACTTAGAATAGTGGTCAAAATGAAGAGCGATTATCCTAGCGAGCCTTGCTTGGAGTGAAGGATAACAAAGACCCAGTCCTATACGATCCTCGTGTTCACGAAACAGCATCCATCACTACAAAGACCACGACCGAGGTAGGATATCAGCCTCTGAATGTGGTTGTAGCAACTACTTATTTGAATGCCTCCCATGAACCGACGACAGCTAGATTGACTATGTCTCTATGTTTTGGATGATAGATGTGCTCAAAGCTGGTGTGGCTAGAACCGGCAATAAATCGAGCAGCAACAGGCAAGATGTCAATACTTTGCTCTGCTAGAGATGCAGGTGCCGAAGATCCCATCGCACATCCGAGGAAAGACAGCGAAAGAACATTTCAAACCGGAGGCGCGAACATACGGGCATGTGAACGATGCTGTTGAACAGCCATGCAATCGGTCGTGAAAGTGGCAATCAGGCTATTGCCACCCTGATTTTGAGATATGGTGTACTAAATGATGCAATGTTCACTATATTTGATTTTGGAGGAAAAGTATTTTCAAAATTTGATCACCCCAAGAGACATCTTGCTAGACGACTTGGGGATGTTGCTTCGGCGGAAGCGGCTGTCAAAACACCGCATATGCCGAAGCACTGCGCGTGCCGCTCTCAGTGCGCTGGTCGAGGTTGCCGAATATACCGAAGATATCGAGTTTACCGATGTTACCAAAAGGGCTACAAGATCCAGCTCTAGGATGGAAACAACTTGGAAATGGAGACAACGCAAGTTCAATAGCAGGTCGGTGAGGTTGAAGAGTTCAACTCGAAAAATGAGGGGGGGTTTATACGAACTCTAATAGTCCGCGCCTTCCATGAGACTCGACACAGATGGTCCCTTCCCAAATACTACACAATGCCATCCAATCAGATCTGATAAGTGAACGCTGGATATTTCTGCGCAGGGTCACTGTCCCCTCGGGCTTTCCACTGTTTTGCCTCCTCCTTCAACGTCTCTAGCTCTTTCTCTTTCTCGCTACTCTCGGTCTCAAGCTCCTGGTTCCTTCTGACAAGCTCCTCATATTTCTCTTGGAAGGTGCTCGTTAACGATGTCAGCTTCCGAGCAAGCTTGTGAGATACATCGACCATGAATTCACCACCCTCAGACGTGAGCTGGTCGAATTCTTCGCCAACAAGGGTGGCATATTTGATGGCCACGAATTGAGACAGCAGGTATCTCGCATCATCGGTAGCTTCGGTGGTAGTATAGATCAACCGGATTCCATCAGCCAGGTACGGGAAGAGATCCTTCTCGGATTGCTCCAGATCGACCAAGACCTTGGCCAAAGAGTTCAGGGAGTACTGTTTCAAGTTGGCAAACTCGAGCTGATGAGCAAACCAGTAGACCTTCGTGTGGAGGTAGATCTCGGCGGGAGAAGGTTCATTGTTCTCGGGCGTGACCTCTTCCTCTTCCTTTTCAGTCTCGGGGGTCTTCAAAGATGCAGATTCTGGAAGATTAACACCACAACAGTGTGCCAAGGGGGTCAATGGCCGTTCGTTGAGGTCGCTGTCTGAAAAGGTCGGAGATGGCGAGGTGACGGAGGTCTCGGAGCCTTCTATGGCTGGATCTGTGCATGTTTCAATAAATTGTTAGGGACATGTTTACTGGGACTGAAATTGAATATGCTCCAAATGGAACGTACCTTCCTCGGCGTCCTCGGCATCCTCGACAACTTCCTCGTCCGCGGCAGCCTCTTCCTCCGCTTCGGCGCCATCGGCATCATCGGCAACCTCGGCCGAGATCTCTGGAGCCTCATAGCCACCGGTATATAAGAAGCTCAGAACACATTCGACGGTCTGCTCATCAAAAGCAGACCAATCAATATGGGACATATAGTCATCGGTGGCTGACTTTATTTGGGCCTCAAATGCGGGGTGGGCTTCAAGCGCGCCATGATGAAGATAATAGACGCTTTCCTCGCTGCCTGCGACCACTTTAATTGGGCGCTTGGAAAATATCGATCTCATTAAAAGTTAGCGGCAGGAATTACCTATGTATTGTAGACTTGGGGGTGAATACTTCGCTTTTGAAGACATGGCGGGCGAGATCTGTAGACTGGCTCTGAACAGAAATGAAGGGAGTAATGGGATGAGATTAGCTATTTGAGCACATCCAGCAGATCAGGCAACCGAATAATCATGTATGAATGTAAGTCCGTTGGATAGCGAAGTGAACTAGTCGGTCCTCATGACAAGCCAAGATGGGGAGGTACTTCTTGGCTAGCGAATAGGTGCTTTTGGCAATGCATTGACACCCAACCATTTCTTGCAAGCGGCAACAGGGCTGAGTCTGGCATGTTCTGCGGGGCCGTGCTGGTTATACTGACTCGTTTCTCTCACTATGAGACGTCACTTAGCTTCGTGGTTTACACTCGTCTCATGGGTTAGGTTCGATCAGATAATGAAGATAGAAGCGAAGGTATGATTGACCGGGTATCAAGCTTAGATATCATAAATAAGGCAAAGAATTGTATATGAAAGTCAATATGCAGGCAAGTCTTGTCAACCTCCGGGGCTGACTTCCAATTACTCCGTGCCCTCAGACATCACCCCACTCATGGGTGAGTCCATCTACGTTGCACCCAATTATAAGACCACACACTACACTCTCTGAGTATGTTCTCCTTTCATATTCACTCCGATTTTATATTCGCAGCCACATAGTTCTAACACATTTCTCTCATCAGTTTGTTCGTTTGGCAGATCACCGATCAACCCAACGCGTCTCGCTCTCTACACCACTCATACAAGAAAAGTGTCTCATAAGACTTGAGGTCGTTTATTAATCTATAATCTATAATCTTTATGCAGATATCTCGAAGATCACGCTATCAATCAATGCAAATGCAGTATCAAACTTTTATGTGTGCCCCGTCACAGCTTCACCTGGAAACGGGGATGCGTGCGAATCATCGCTCCATACTTCCAAAAGAGGAACGGAACTGAGCACATCACCAACGCAATGAAAGCCAGCAAGGAGTTTCCCCAGCCCAGTCCCATTGCCTCATACATCGATGGCCCCGCCAGTGGCAACAAGGCTCCAATCAGCGATCGCAATGCCGTGTTTGCCGCGGTTACCGAAGCCGCATACCGCAGATAAGAGTCCACCAGATAGGTGCTAGCAGACATGAAAACAGTCATCAGGCCAATGGCGAAGACGCCGGTTCCCAAGATTGGCACAATCCAGTGAACGCCTGCTTGGGCTGACCAGCCGTACCAGAACAAGCCCACAGGCATGAACCAGCAGCCGACCATCATGGGTAGCAGACGTGACTCAGGCCTAAAGCAGCCTTTCTTCACATGGCTTTGAGCGATTTTGTTGGCAACGATTCCGGTGGTGATCAAACCGATCATGGACCCGATACCGAACCCAAGGTATGCGAGGCCTGCCACGCCGGGAGAGAACCCATACTTGCTTTCAAAGATGGAGGTGATGGTTGTGAACATCAGGTACAGATAACCATATGTGATGGCGGCAAAGAGTGCCATCAGGAACACGATCGGGGAACCGAAGAGCAGCTTCAATGGTCGCGCCAATGCCGACAAGAAGAGCTGAAGACTGAGTTTGCCTCCCTCGTGGATGGAGCGGAGATCAGCATTGCCGGTTTCCTTTCGAAGGCGAGCGGCCTTGCGTTCTAGAACCACCGGTCCATATGATTCACGGTACCAAATCACAGTCAGAATCATCATCACGCCAGTCTATACCTGTCAGTACGGGTTCCCGGGAAAGCACAGGAAACAAAGAACATACCGTGATCGCAATGACCCAGAACACCCATCTCCAGCCCTCCGCTTCAGCCAAAAAGCCACCCGCGACGGGTCCGACAACTGGTCCAAGAATGGGCCCCATTGCCCAGATGGCCATAATACCCGCACGCTTCTCTTTGGGTACCATATCCGCCACGGTCCCGGAGCCAATGGTCAGAGGACATACGCCTGCCATGCCGGCCAGCAAGCGGAACACGATCAGTTGTGGCATAGACTGTGCGACTGCGCAGGCAATGGTAAAGATGAGGAACAGCAGGTTGCAGCTATGGTACAATGCGACACGTCCATATATTTCGGACAGAGGGGCGATCAGAAAGGGCCCGAAACAGTAGCCCAGAATGTAGACGGAAACAACAAAGGAGCCCATCATGCTGCTGGTGACATTGAATTCCTTCATTACATCGCTGATTCCGGGGGTAAACATTGACGAGGCCAATGGACTATTTCGAGTCAGCTTTTGATTTGATTTGGCAAACACCAAGACCACTCACGTTATGAATGTGTTGAAGGCCATCAGGACCAGCTGACGGCCTTTCTTCCAGGTGGGCCAGTTGAATGGGTTCTCCGTGTCGTCGGGGCCATCGTAGTCGACTAGATTCGGATCTTTGGCCTCGACAGTTGGCTCGGCGGTCTGTTTCTCCAGATCCATGACTGTTGACATGATTTTCTCTTTTTTTTTCACGCGAGAATCTCAAATCTTGAAAGTGCCAAAGCTGTTCTATATCTGTTCTAGTCCTCGGGTGTCGGCACAGAAAATTAGTTCTCCGACCCCACTATGCCGGCATTTATTCATAGTCCAGATTTATCCCCTTGTGCATTGTAGCTTTTGCGGGTATTCACATCTCTTGAACTGCCGGATATATTCCATCCCGATGTTGAAAACAGGTCAGAAAAAGCAAATTGATATCCTCGCGGGGCAAAAGTGTGATATTCGGCAAATTCAATCTGGCATCCCTCCATGCATAACTTGGCATAAAAGCAACGGCGGAACTACCCGTCTCTTGGCGGGCCGACTCCCCAGAGTTTCTTACAGATGCATAAACGAACTGCCGGCTTTCATGCAGCTGGCCTCGAAAACATAGCCCTCGCTCCTAATCTGGGTACTGCTCGGTCCGTCGGGAGATCCAAGGTTGTAAGATCGGAAATCGAGGGGAAATCTCTGTTGAAGCAAAACAGGTCACATGACATCCCACTTGTCAAACGTCCCATTTAGGTTTAGCCTCCATCCTGATGGGAGCGGGTCACGTGCTACCAGAAACAGGTCCAACGTCAGAGGTGAACCACCTTTCTCTACCTCCAATCCTCAAAGTTCGAGGATTCGCTTCAGTTATGACAGCTCTCAATCGAAAACATTACCAAATCAAGGTCTGAAAGTGCCAGGCCACCTGTGAGGTCCAGATTCATCCTATGATCAGCTTGCTGGGTATCCTTGGAACCTCAGGAAAGCTCTCTTCTAGAGGGATGCGGACTCTCTCCCCCTAATCTTCATGATGATTGTGTATAAATACCCTAATGCTTATACGGAGTCTATATACCCCCAGCCAATCCATTGATTGGAGAACCCGTGGGTTTTGCTCGGGCGGGGCAGTTTGTATAGTAACTGCAGTCTGATTGGCTGGGTCGGATACTTCCCTCAATTCAGCCAACTGCGGGAACCCGTTTTCTCTTCCTCGGGCCATCCTCAACTTTCAATGATTTCTCTATCAAGTTCGATTGGCTATGCCGGTTTCTCGAGGCAGCAGATATGGCCCTGCGCAAAGAAGACGCGATGGTTGCACAGAGTGCCGCAGGAAAAAAGTCAAGGTAAAGATCGTCTCATTCGCCACCAGACTTTCACCAAACATCACTAATAACTTATAGTGCGATCTGAAGAAACCAGTGTGCTCACGTTGCATTCGATTCCCCAGAGAATGCAAGTATGATATTCACCTGGTCAGCCAAAATCTGACCACTCAAATACAGCCGGAGGTGATGAAACCTCTCCCTGTACTTCAGGAGCTGCATCCGAGTTTGGATATTCTTCAAAACCAGCCTACACTGTGCTTATCGCCATTACTTACCACCAAAGAATCTCAATTCTTCATGCATATCTTTAGCATTGAAACTGCGCCACGCCTTTTCCCGGCGGCCTCTCCGCTCTTCTTGCAAAGATTGATTGCGAGCTCGCTGGAGACACCTCATCTTCTCTATGCAATTCTAGCATCGGCTTGCAGTCATCACAGTCGTCTCATCAAGGATGGAACGTCAAACTCAAAGGTCTCCTGCTTGAAGTTCACGAATCTCTCAATATCCAGTCTGCGTTCTGCTCTCAGTAACCAAGATGCGACCTTGACAGCCGAGGCAGTCACCACTGCAATGGCACTGTGCACCAACGATGTTTGTAATGGCAACATGCAAACCTGGAGAACACATCTTGGGGGAGTAATGCGCCTATTTGCTGCATTTCTGGACAGCCAAGGGAGGATGCGTGTTGATGACCCCTATGTTCAGTGCTTAGTGAAGTGGTTCACAACCATGGACATTATCGCCGGACTGTCGGGGCTCACTGGCGGAGGAGTCCTGAGCTCTGACAATGGGTTACTGGATAGGACTTTTGATCAATTGGAGGGAAATATTGATGATATCTGTGGATACTCTCTGCAATTAGTCCCACTGCTTGTACGGCTGTCTCATATGGTGCAGCATCACTACCAAAGCCCACTTGACATACCTCAAGAAAAGGTGACTGAGTCGCACCTACTGGAGCTCGAGATTCTGTCTCTTACTCGCTGTGGTGTTCCCGACATTTCAAATCACGCTGAGCTGCAAAGCACACACCTAGCCTTTGTGCACTCTGCTCTATTACACCTTCATCGACGGGTCCAATTACTCCCCAAGAATCATGAAATCGTCAAAGCGGATCTATCAAATATTGTCAACGCGGTCAAGCAAATCCCACCATCTTCATCCGCAAATATCTTGATCCTGTGGCCGGTATTTAGTGCTGGTTGTGAGACCGATGATATCGAAGAACGCAATTTCATCCATCGCCGAATGGGTGATATGGAAAGCCATGGTCTCGGCAACTTTACAAGAGCTCGAGGGCTTCTGAACACATTCTGGGCGGCAAAGACACCAACACCCTGGGATAGACACTTTGCAAATCTTGGTTTAGAACTGGTTCTATTCTAGGGCGCCACGTCATCAACAAGCCAGTGGCAAATCTTCATACTCATCGGCCATGAACTTCTTCAGGGCGTTCAGACCATCGACCATGACCTCGTTCTCGGGAACGTAGCCCATTCTCACATATCCACGGAAGTCAACGTCTCCGCCGAAGCATCTGCTTCCGGGAACCAGCATCGCTCCAGTCCTCTTCTGGAGCTTCTTGCAGAACTCGACATCGTCGATCGCTTTCCCTTCCCTGTTGACGAATTTGAGAAATGCGGTCGTTCCCGCCTTCGGTCTCGTCCACTTCACGGCCCAACTGAATTCGCCGATAAAGTCATCAAGGGCAGCGAGATTCTGCCTTGCAAGCTGGACATTTCGTCGCAACAAATTGTCCACGCACGGGCGCGAGAGCGCATGCGTCGCTACACTATCATCGATCTGACCGACCGAAATCAGAGTGTAATGACGGGTTGTAGCACAAGCCTCGATGATGTTGGAGTTTGGTGAGGCGATCCAGCCCAGGCGGATGCCAGCCAAGCTGAAAGCTTTGGACATGGAACCCGTTGCAACGACATTTTGATATCCGAATTCAAGAATAGACGGAGGCACATCCTGCTCAGCATCCAGAGAATGGAACAGAGGACGATAAACCTCATCGGAGTGAATTATGATACCATGCTCCCGAGCAATGTCAACTACCCCCTGCAGCTCTTCACGTCGGAGAACTGCTCCGGTGGGATTTTGTGGGTTGCTGCACGAACTGTCAGATCGTTTTTACACAAGAGGCACTATGAGTACAGAAAATGTACATACTTCAAAATGATCATCTTCGTGTTGGACTTTACCAAATCCTTCAACTTTTGCAGATCCATCCCCCACCCATGCCCTTCCTCCGATCGCCAGAGACTGACTTCCGCTCCGAAAGACTCCGGTACAGAATACAGCTGCTGGTACGTCGGGTACTGACAAATGACATGATCGCCGGGTCCAACGTTGGTAAAAAGAGCCAAGAAATTGGCCTGAATGGCGCCATTGGTAACAAGCACCCCTTCCGCAGACACAGGGCCGTCTTGAGACTCAGACGATGGTGAATAAAGATTAGCAATGTTCGTTCTCAGTGCCTCAGTGCCTCTTATCGCGCCGTAGACTTGCTTCTGTGAGAAATCTATCAGATTATCCTTGGGGGATAGGGCTAGAAGATCGTTGAGGGAGATGGAGGCACTGCAGGTTTCCGCAAGATTGTGCTTTGCGGTAGTTTCATATGTGTCCATCCACTTCCATTGTCAGTCTCAACTAGAGCGTCCACGGGATGTGTGTTGCTTACTTCTTCGACGGCGAAGGTATTGATTCCAACCATTTTGAACTGAATGAGATATGTTCGGCAGATCAAGAGATGAGTAGAATGTTGGGAACTTGAAAAGAAAAGAAGGAATGTCGGATCTTGGGGGATTTATATGGCTGTGGTCGAGTAGAATGGATCAAAGTGATTGGCTGGATCGCAAAAATGGCCCAATCAGGAAATACGGGGCTGGCTCGGATGTGTCCACGGGTGGAATCTGGTCTGGGTTTGGCCTGAGTGCCTACACATTGGCTAGCAGAAGACAAAATTACTTGGAATATTATCGCACTTTCTTTGTTGAGAATGGCTACAGCTAATAGTACACAGCATACGTAGGCGGCATAATCAACCTAACAGCGGCGTGAACCGATAAAGGTTCAGGCCAAACATCACACTTCTTGGAACGTCAAGGACTGTTCTCAGCCCTAAAAGCCCACTGATAAGACTCATAACTTAGGGCGAGGTCGGTATGGTTGAAGACTTTGGGTTTACTTCCAACCGGGTAGTAGATTACTTGAGGACAAGGATAATGGCGGTTAGCCCATAGCAGCTTGACAGTTGATTGATGAAGGAGTTTTAAGAGGACTTTTTGATCAACATTATTCAGATTCACGACTACTCTCCTCTTCTTCTAGGATTGTCGAGTAAGGGAGATATTTGGTGTCTTCGACCTTCGTCTCCAGGTAGTCGAAAGGTGGGCCCTCCGGCGTTGAGTCTATGGACTCTCGTTTCACGCGACTTCGCGGTTGCTCTGGCGAATCTTCGATGTGCAAAGCCTGTGTGATAGTGCTGCCGGTGAAATGTAGGGCCATGCCCACGGTGGCTCCGATCAACACGGCAACAGTCATGAAATAGATGAATGCCTGCCGGAGGTCAGTGTTTTGCTGCGTACGAACCATATAATAGACTGTTTACACAGTAGATTATTCACTTCAACTTCCAGAATTCTCACATACCTCTAATTTGATCAATATCCGCAGCGGAAGCAGGGTTAGGTACAGAACGAGTTGTCCGAGGTAGATCACTGGGGATGCAATGAAAAGGATCGGCAATAGCAAATAAGACAGTAAGGACACTGTCAGCCCAAACGCAAAGGACAAGGGCGTTGTCAACACTGAGAGCCACGTCATCGTCAGTTTTGACGATTGTTCGTCTACGCCGACTCCCTGTTTTGACATCTCATCCAGCGCGCGGTTGGCTTACTAAGTATCGAGACCGCTGAGTAATTTGTATTTGTATTACAGGTTATGCAGGTGCTGGGCACTAAAATCACCAGCAACGAGTATTAAAAGGCATACCGTATGGAATGGCTGGATAAAGCATTGTAAATCGAAGAAAGGAAAAACTGTATATGTGTACATATGGGGGTGTGTGTGTGTGTGTGTGTGTGTGTGTGTGTGTGTGTGTGTGTGTGTGTGTGTGTGTGTGTGTGTGTGTGTGTGTGTGTGTGTGTGTGTGTGTGTGTGTGGTGAGAGAGAGAGAGAGGAAATCTGATCTATGCAGCTTCCAAGGCTTTGGAGCAGCCCTGAAGTATGGCAACTATCTCCACCTTCACCTATGCATGCTCTGCAAAACAAGCTATACTTCCTACTTTCTGGTTGGATACAAAACGATAGTTCACGAATAATTGGGATAGTGAGTACACCCGTGGACTAATTCTTTATCTTTGAGGTACCTGCCAAAGTGCCTTATCACAGCCTCTGGCTTGAACCTGTCTTTTGATGGCTTTGATATGCGCATTGAGCCTAGGTAAGAAAGTTAGACTCAGTTCCTGGGGGTTTTTTTCCATTTTTCCAGCTTCATCTACTGGATATTCCAGTGGAGACTACAGCCTTCATTAAGGAGCTCCAACCTTGGAAACAGATAAAAAGACGATCACCCCAACAGCCCTGTATAGTACGCTGAGGCAGTTCCCAAAAGGGAAGTTTTCCGCACCGCATGTTTCTTTTGCGGAGATCTTGCCACAGCACTGGTGTCAACGAGCCCATACACATTGAGGAGTATTATCAAGTGACTATATACTGTGCGTTCAATGCATACATTGCCAAAATGGCGAATTAACCACACTTCAAGGCAGCTTCGCCCGACAAACTTATACTTCGCCGTTCGGTCACGTGACCATCTCGCTCGGTGACGACTTGGGCCTCCGGACTTCGAACGGCATGAATTGACCTTCCCCGCCAAACTTTGTTTTTGAGCTGGCACCCGCAGTCTCCTCATACGCTCTGTTGCTGTGGCTTAATCTGAGCTTCATCCTAAACCAAATCTCTCAACTCATCCCAACACTCACCTTGCCCCGCCTTCAATGGGTAACAACCCATCCAAAGGACCGGTTGGCGATGCGCCGCCAGTCCGTAGCTCGCCAAGCTCCTCAAATGACAAAAAGGTTGCTCGTCGATCTTCTCTCAATGCTATCTCCAATGCGAAGGCTACCGCTGCCGACCCCTCTGCCACAAAAGAGACCGCCGCCGGTCATTCGGCAACATACCAAGGATCCGTCCAAGAACGTCTCCAATCGCGAAACGTGTCCGAATCCTCGCCGAGAACTATAGAGAAGCCCGTCGGTCACGAACCGCGGAGAGAGGAACCCTCGCAGAGCAAGAACATTCCGACCCGCGACCACTCCAACCCCGTCCAGGTCCCGATCTCACGCCATGCACCGGGGCGCGATCCTGTGGCACCATCTGCCCCACCCCTCAACTCGTACTATAGTGCATCGGCTCACTTGCAACGTCCACCGAGGCTGCCATTGCCTATTGGGGATGCCAATACTACCCCCGGGTCCCCACTCGCCGGTCCCGAGGACTCACACATCCAGTCACTACCCGCAGATCAGGTTTTGGACCACCAGGTAGACCAGAATGCTGCCGCTCTAGGTCAAATAAGTATCGATGAAGAAGAGCTGCTTGATGAACTCCAGCCTTACACTGTCAGTGGAGCTGGCAAGGCTGTCCCCGTCGTCATCGAGTGGACAGCACCTGCTCAGAAAGTCTATGTCACTGGAACTTTCGTTAATTGGGAGAAGAAGTTCCGCCTACACAGAAGGTTGGTTGTCTCGTATCAACACATGGTGACTTTCACTGACAGCACAATAGCGAAAATAATCCCTCTGTTATGTCAACTACTCTGAACCTTCGACCTGGCACGCACCACCTCAAATTCATTGTTGATGGAGAAATGCGTGCCGCGGATAACCTTCCCACTGCAGTCGACTTCACAAACCACCTGGTTAACTATATCGAAATTGGCACAGAAGATGCTCATGACCATCACGCAGCTGTTCAGCCGGGAGCTCACCCTCCGCAGACTGTGCCGGATTCATCTAAGCAAGACCAGTCAGGTGATGCAGAGGATGATCCTCCCGAGAAGGAGGAGGCCGAGGAAGAAGTGCCGCCCGGTGACTTTGGAAGCGCGATTCCTCAGTTCCTTGCTGATCTGGACAAGGAGGAGGATAGCCCTGCTTACGTCCAGGCTGCCAATGTCATTGGAGACACTGCGACTCCACCAAGTCTGCCTCTCTTCCTGGGCAAGTCTATTCTTAATGGAACCACCCCAATGAAAGACGATAGCAGCGTGCTGAATTACCCGAATCATACTGTCCTCAACCACCTTGCTACTAGCAGCATCAAGAACGGTGTTCTGGCTACAAGTGTGACCACGAGGTACAAGAGAAAAGTAAGTACCATTTACACCATCTCATATCTCTTTACTAATCCCGTGGAACAGTATGTCACGACTATTTTGTACAAACCAACCGGAGACATAACCGGCGAATGAAGTCCAGGCAAATATCTGGTATCTCTCACAATTGCATGCATACATTTTGCCAAATATTGTCTAGGATGTGAACTACCCAAGCGCAGAGTTGCAACGATCTACCGGCAATCTCTTGTCAGATGAAAAGCCTGTTTCAATTCAATCCCCACGCAGTAATTTGTCGGGTCACATCACCGACACCGACATTCCACCCCGCCAATATTAACATCAAAAAGCCCAGCCATCTATCAGCATAACGCAATTGCTTGTTGGAAGGTATGCCAGCTGGGGAACATCGCCTCATTGAGCGTTGCTCGGTTTTGCAAAGATTCGAAGTGCCATTGCGAGCAAACTTACATATGCTCGCACAGCAGGTCAGGCTCTTTGACTCATGCAGGAATATTACAAATCTTATGGACATTCATTACTTCTCAGTTTTGAAATTGAGCGTCACTCCATGTTCTGAATATTAGTTGTTTCATCTGAAATCTATAGCAAATCGAGACCGAGTCATTGTGGTGAGCCACAGATTGATCAGTTTGACACAATACTATAGACTCCCTAGCCGGCTGCTCGGGTGGCGCGATGGCCACGCCGAGCTATCAAAATCTATTTCCATTTGGTGACATGTCTTGACAGACTGCTTTATACGGGCTCAAATGCGCCTCTGGGATCTTTGATCACTTGACTCCCGTTCATCCCGAGCGTTCCACAGACAACAGTACAATTTTCCTCGGATTGATTAGTATGCGAAGTGAATGCTAAAGGCATGTCATCATCCATTTACCTAACAGACCTATCGAAAGGGCAAATACGGGAAATTCATCTGACTCGCTCAATTCATAACACATGATAGGTACTTTTTAAACTTGAATTGATATCTTGATACCGATATCAATCTCGCCACTTGACGAACACTTCATCTGTGCGGAAACGTTGAGTGCAAGTACTCTCGCTCAGAGGAGTCCTGAAGCCCGTCCCGTAAGCCAGCATACCAGCTTGCGCAATCATAATACCATTATCGATGCAGAATCGCTCATCGGTAGCATATACACTACCGCCGCGATCTCTTGCCATGATTCCCATCATCTCCTGCAGCCGCTCATTGGAGCCAACACCACCCACGATAAGAACCTGTTTGGACCCAACGTGCGCCATTGCGCGCTCCGTGATTTCAACGAGCATTGAGAACACAGTCTCTTGCAATGAGAAGCACAAGTCCGCACGAGTGGGCTGGGCTTCCAAGGATTCGTTCGCAGCGGCTGTCTCACTAGACTTTTCCTCATCTTCCTTCGCTTTCGCTTCTCCGCCTAGTCCCCACTGCTTCGCGAGGCCATCAATGGCAGCAAGAATGCCCGAGAACGAGCAATCCATGCCTTTCACAACATATGGTAGGTCAACGAGCTGCTTTCCTTGCTTGGCAAGCTGTTCAATGTTATATCCTGGCGCTGGGTCGTTGGAGATATGCAGAGTACGCGCGAATCGGTCCAGGCAGTTTCCCACTGCCATATCGAGGGTTTCTCCAAAGATGCGGTATCGTTGTGAACTGTATGCGATGACTTGTGTATTACCGCCGGAAACATAAAGGACGACTGGATTTGTTGCGCCAGTGATGAGACGGCCCATTTCAATGTCTGAGAGAGTCGAATGTCAGCGTTTGTTCGCGTCTCATTGAAGCATACAAGAACCAATAGTACTCACGTCCAACACAGTGATTCACACCCACTAACTCCTTGCCCCAAAGCAAGCTCAGCATTCGCGCGGCGACCACCACGCTCTGTAGTGGGGCACCCATGCCAGGACCCTGGGTGAAGCAGATGCAGTCCACCTCGTCGACAGAGACTTGCGCCTCCTTCAGCGCCTGCTTGACTAGCTTCACTACCCAGGCTCGGTGGTGACGCGCTGTATCCTTGGGCAAAAAACCCTCGCCTGGTGGGGATACATAGGTGTGTCGGATATTGGCCAGGACCTGTGGCGGGCTGCCATCCTTGGGATGCAGCATAATGCCGATGCCCAATTTATTGGCCGAGCCCTCCATTCCAATTGCGATCATGATGGGCGTGGTAAGGTATTAAATGTTATATGGGAGAGTGTTTTTTAAAAAAAAAAAGGTGCACGTTGAAGTCCCCAAGGATATTTCGTTATCGTTATCGGCATTTAAGCGGCACGGACGGCCGAACTAAACCCGACCTTTAGTTTGTGTCGACTCTGTCCCCCTCTTGCTTCTTCTTCTCTCCTACTGCTCCAAATCACTTCTTCCCATACTCCCCTATCACTGCTTGTGCATGATTATTTAAAGTCCATCCTACATATTCCTCCCCTTCCCCAAGGGTCCCCTCCAACAATGTCCTCGACTACCCACTTTCCCGATACCGAGGGTTTCCAAACACAGTCTGACAACTTCATATCATGGCTGCAGGCCAGCCCAGGAGTGCAACTCAATCCTAAATTGAGACTTGCAGACCTACGGGCAAACGGTGCAGGACGAGGTGTGGGTAAGTGCTCAAAGTTCCTCTTTGGCAGGAAAAAAAGTCGCCCCCGGAGTGTCCCAAAAATGAGGTCTCACAAAAGTATTCGCCGAGTTCTAACATATTCTGCGGCCTTCAGTGGCACAGGACAACATCCCCGAAGGCGAGGAACTCTTTTCGATCCCCCGTGCTATGGTTCTAGCTGTCCAGAACTCAGACCTGAAGACCCTGCTGGGACAAGATCTAGAGCAGCTCGGCCCATGGCTGTCTCTGATGCTGGTTATGCTGTACGAGTACCTTCAGGGAGACAAGTCCCGGTGGGCTCCATACTTCAAGGTCTTGCCTTCTCGGTTCGATAGTCTGATGTTCTGGTCACCTGCCGAGTTGCAGGAACTGCAAGCAAGCACCATTGTTGAGAAAATCGGCCGACAAGGCGCTGAAGAGTCGATCATGGAAATGATCGCTCCTATCGTCAGGGCAAACCCCGCTCTATTCCCACCGACCTCTGGTCTGGCGTCCTATGATGGCGATGCTGGTGCTGCCGCTCTGATTGAGCTGGCCCATGTCATGGGGTCTCTTATCATGGCCTATGCCTTTGACATTGAGAAGTCCGAGGATGATGATGATGAGGGAGACGCAAACGATGAAAGCTATATGACCGACGATGAGGATGAACAGCTGCCAAAGGGCATGGTCCCGCTCGCCGATCTCCTGAACGCTGACGCAGATCGAAACAACGTTCGTTGACAGTAATCTTTTTGTCGCCCCCAATGCTAACCTTTTCGTGCAGGCCCGTCTGTACCAAGAGGAAGGCGCCCTTGTCATGAAGACAATTAAGCCAATTCAAACAGGCGAGGAGATTTTCAACGATTACGGAGAAATCCCACGGGCAGATCTCCTTCGCCGTTACGGCTATGTGACCGACAACTACGCCGTCTACGACGTAGTCGAGTTGTCACTGGAGACCATCTGCCAAGCCGCAGGTCTTCCCAACAGCGACGTTGAGTCTCAGCCTCGTCTCGAATTCCTCGCCGAGCTCGATATTCTGGACGATGGCTACGTGATCCCCAGACCTGTTGAAGCCACCACTACCCTGGAAGACATCCTGCCAGCCGAGCTGGTCATTCTCCTGAGCACGCTTTCTCTTTCCGAAGAAGACTTCAAGCAGCGCCAATCCAAGAACAAGCCACCCAAGCCGGCTTTGGAAGCTAACCAAGCTGCCATTTTGATCAAGGCTTTGCACTCGCAACAAGCTCAATATGCCTCTTCGCTGACACAAGACCTCCAGCTTGCTGCCTCACTTCCTCCGTTGGATGCGCTGGATACATCGTCTCGTCGCGCAAGAATGGCCCTTCAGGTTCGCATCGGCGAGAAGCAGGTTATTCAGACCATCTTGGGCATGTTGGAGCCGGCTACGACTGGCTCGTTGAAGCGCGCTGCTGGCGATGACGGTGAGTCCCGACAGTCCAAGAACCAACGGGTTTGAGTATGCTGGATCCCTGTCATCGTCCCAACCAATCTCTTCTACCGAAGAACAAAAGTGCTTTCTTGCGAATTATTAAATTGTGTTAGATTTTCTGAATGTTTTTGAGCCTTTTCCTTTGCCCTCCCATTCGTCGCTTGCGTCATAACTTCGGCTATCCATCATACAAAGGCTGTCCCGACGCCAGCCAACACCACCGAGACTCGGGAGAAAAAGATACTATGTACATTAACAAATGCAGCGCTCAGCCCACAGGGGACCAGAACCCGCGTCGAAACAAAATGTCGAAAAAGATGTGAGGGGTGTGAGGTGGGCGAGATCGAGTGAGAAAAAGGAACAAATATCGGGCATGCAACCCAGCGACCCTTCGCCGCTCGCGGAAATCATCAAAACATGGAGGAATAAAACTACAAAGGTGGGTAGAAGGAAACACAACGACGAAGGGTTGCGGAAAACAGAGCCACGAGGAAAACGCCCGCCAAATGCTGTGAAAGTGAAAAAAGAGAAGAGAAGAGAGTCGTTCAGGATTCCGACGCAGGGACACCATTTGCAGGATTGGATCCCGCTTGAGCTTGGCTCTCCTGCAATCGTCGTGCCTGTGCTTGGTGGACTGCCTGAGCCTGCGCCTGCGCATGAGCCTGAGCAGCCACAGCCGCCTGTTCGCGCGCCTTGGCCATGGTGATGGCCCGATGCTGCATGATCTGAATGCTGTACGCATCAGTGTCATAATCAGGCTCATCGTCAGAATCCTCTTGATCGAACTTGAATCTATCAGCCTTGATTGGATCCATTTCGACCTTACGAGATCCCATATTTCGGCGATCGATCATTAACCGGCCACCACGACCCACTCGCCGGCGGAATGATGGCATGCGGTGCGCTTCGTCGTGTACTTCTAGCGAGATGAGCTTATCTCGAGAGAAGAGCGGGCTGCTGAGGTTTAATGAGGTATCCATGTCACCAGAGGCATCCGATGACGGGGGAGTTGGCAGTTGTGCCGTGAATGCGGGTCGGAAAGCGGCAATATCGTAAGTACGCTCTGGAGAAGGAGACAAGGGCGCGCGCGTATGATCCACGTATCCCTCGTTCCACTTGATGTGCTTGTTGATATTCTGCTTGATATCGCGCAGAATCTCGTTCTCCTTCTCGGCTTGAGCCTCCTCCAATGATTGCAAATCGTCCGCGCCTGCGCCTGCCTTGAGAGGCATACGCAATTGAGGACCGTTGGGGCGTTGTGGGGGCATGTCGAGTACTCTCTTCTTTGGCTGCATGAGGGTTAGCATATGCACTTCGTGGGCCGGTGCAGGTACTCTGCTCACCTTTTGATTGATGAGATCTTCATCGTCGTCCTTGATGTTAAGCTTGCGCTTCATCTCCTTTACCTCAACACGCTGCTTGAACAGTTGGCGCTCCATGGAGAGCATCTCTCTGCGAGCGACTTCACGCTGGCGTACCAAGGCGACGAGTTCACGAGCATCTTCCAGCTCTTTGCGAAGACGTCGGAGCTTCTCTGCGCTTTGCGCATCTCTACCACGGGTTTTGCGGATCTGGCGAACCTCGCGTCTACGGAAACAGACAAAAGGATCGCTGTCGTCGGTGTCTTGGCCGGTTTCAAACTGAGAGCTATGTCAGCGGCGAAACTTACCCACGGGGCGCTTGGAACAACATACCTTGAGTTGCGATACCAGAGAGTTGTTTTGGACACTGCTCCGACGCGATTTCCAGTGCTCGTATATCTCTTTGGCCCACGGCTTCATTGGATCTTCTAATGTGGCGTCCATTGTATCTTCCATTTCCGCATATGAGAGCACAGGTGGGTTGTCCACCGAAGCATACGGTTGTTTCATTTGCGCCGTCTCTTCAAAGAAGTTCATGACCTCTTCGAAGATATCCTCAGTGCATGGGTCGACAGCGGGGTCGCGCTTTTGATTCAGGATCTTAAGGAACACATCATCCTCTTCTGTCATATTGTACGGACACCCGCAGCAATCCTCCACGGTCGAGGAGAAGCGAATGTACGTCGCCGGCTGCGAGAAGATAGGAGGGTAGAGCTCGTCATATTGGAGATTACTGAGGATGGTTTCGGGGGGTGGGAATTGCCTCGTTTACTTTGCCCTGGGCAGTGGCATTGATTGCTCTTTGCAGATGAATTTCCTAAAAGCAGGCTGGGGTCAGCGCGGCCGACATCATTTGGGGGTGAAAATCTCGTGTCATTTTGGTGATAGTGTCACGTGATGGGGATAGGGATGTGCTAAAATTAGTGCGTAGATGGACTTACCGACTCCTCGGCCTTTTCAACGCCGGTTTCAATCTGCTGTAGAGAGCTCTGGATTTCATCGTCGAGGGGATCAATTTCGTGTTCTCGAACGACGGGAATGGACGCTTTGGAGGTGAGCTTTTTCGGGCGCGTCCTACCCAGGCCCCCGTACCGAGTCATGGTGTCGGAACGCGCAAAAGAGCAACGACCATGGGCGGAGACGGGGTAAAAAGTAGATCAGTAGGAAGGTCTGCTCATGCGCTTTCGCGTAGTCGTATTTTCAAGATAAAATTCGATGAAAGGGGGGAGATCTTGACGGCTGAAGATGGGGTGATTCACGGCTCGCGGTTGGGTTGACGTTGTAATGTCAGCCGGCAGTGGCCTGTTTTGGCCGAGTGCACGGCCTCAGGGGCTCGCTTGCCTGTCCGCTTCCGGTTAGTGCGGGGCTGGGCGATATCAGATTCCCCCGGCCATAACATTGGAACTCTACTGTCACTTGTCACTGACTCTGTTTTCTTGGCTGCCGCCTTGTTGCTTCTGTAATTCTTGTTCCTATCGACTTCCGCATCACCTGCATACCCGTTTCACCCCCTAAACTCGCGCTTCCGCAACCTCCACCTCACACCATGGAGCACGGTAACGAACCCAACGCCGCGGCTATTCACGATGCGCGCAGACGTCGTGGCTCCGTCGGCACCACTCAGCTCTTCGATAACATTGTTTCTACATCTAACTGTTCGTTTACTACGGTCGCATCTGGCACAAAGCGATGGGGATCAAGGCTGACCCGGCGACAATAGTCAACAGAGATGAAGTGGACCGCTTGCGCAAGCGCTTCATGAAGCTTGATAAGGTCGGACAATCATCCTTTACGACGACTTGGACTCTTTGCAGTACTGACAATTTACAGGATGCCTCCGGTACTATTGACCGCGACGAGTTCCTCTCCTTGCCCCAAGTATCATCCAATCCGCTCGCCACAAGGTCCGTTGCTCCCCCGATCCAACGCTCTGCGCCCATCCCCGCTCCTATACTCAACACCAGAAGCTACTGGACCGACTCTGACCCTTCTTATAGAATGATCGCGATCTTCGATGAAGATGGTGGTGGTGATGTCGATTTCCAGGAGTTCGTGACAGGCCTGTCAGCATTCAGTTCCAAGGGAAACAAGGATGAAAAACTGCGCTTTGCATTCAAGGTGTACGATATTGATCGCGACGGTTATATCTCCAACGGTGAATTGTTCATCGTGTTAAAGATGATGGTCGGCAACAACCTCAAGGACGTACAGCTCCAACAGATCGTCGATAAGACGATCATGGAGGCTGATAAGGATCAGGATGGAAAGATCAGCTTTGAGGAGTTCAAGGACATGGTCGAAAATACCGACGTGAGCCTCAGTATGACGCTGAGTAAGTCGTTCCCTCCTTCGTCTGTCCCATGCATACGGAACATTTGTGCTGACCACATACAGACCAAATATGATTGGCATCCTCTTGGCAGGGTAACATAATCGGGACTTCTTCCGTGGTTTTGGCTTTCTGTTTTACCTCATGGTCTCGACATGACATGACTCAATGATCAGCGACGTCTTTGTGTAGTTTATTTCCTCGGTCAGTATGAGAATCGAAAAACTCATACATCAAGCTTTTTGCCCAGTGTTCATTGAAGGAGGGACTCGGTTTCAAAAATGAGATGGTCAAAGCCAGATGGCAATGCTACCCCAGAAAGTATGCGCAAGGACGGAAGTATATCGCCGAGTATCGCCCCCTCTACTAACTGCAAGCCGTCCAACTCAAGTCCACCACGCCCGCGGTCCCTACTTTGATTGCTCTGTCTCCGACCGATATACCATATACAACACGACAAAGCAAGTACAGACTCGACGATTCAGCCGCATATACAACAATCCCCGTTCTCATCCGGACCACACCCTGCCCGCCAAACTTACCTCGGCAAACACCAGTTCCTCGATATCTTTCTGGCCCGCAGTCTCGTGGACCGGATGACTCCCAACAAGTCGGGTACAGACGCAGCCACAATACCAATCCCTGTCTTGTCCCCCGTTCATGCAGTGTTCTTTTGGCTTTGGCTGTTCCGCGCAGGTCTCCCGACGCCTGTGTGCATATACCTTGGTACACATTGTACCCGTTGGTGCTTACTTATCTAGCGGGTGAACCAGGCCATGTACACGCCGGTACATATACTTGGGATACCCGAGCGCTACGTGGAGTAGTGGACCATTCCTTCTCCCCCCATGGAGTTACGTCGCCAAGACTACAGGAGCAAAAATTCCACGCGTTTTTCCTTGGAAATATCATCCTCGTCTCGGCGCTGTCCGTGCTCCCGACTGGGAAACTGGACTGGATGGGGCGTGGTGAGACGATAATTTCGGAATTCCGAGGCACTGGATTCGCTGGCTCTGCAGTCCGAGTTGGAAGTCGTACAAGGCGAGGGACTGTTTCGAGGGTTCTCATTTTTTATTTTTTTTTTATTTCCGCTGGTGAAATAAGGTAGAGGAGGCGTGGAGAGAGGGGGTGTGATGTTACTTCTGTGATCTTCTACACCGGCATCGTAGCGTGGTAGTCTGGCATGGATGTGTTTCAGGAAGATTTGTGCCTAAAGAACGCTGGGTGGTTTGAGTCATGTGTGATTTTGTGTTTTTGCGCCCAAGCTTTCTGTTTGGGAGGTCTGACATGTTTTAAGATATCTGTATCTGAAACAGGAACCTAGCCTGAGAAGTAAAAGTTCGAGAAAGTACTACATACTACATACTAGTTACATACTACGGAACATACGGAGTAGGGTGAAGAATTCACAATGGCATTAGGGCAGTATTATTGCCATTACATAGTACTCCGTACATAGCTATTTCTAGCCTCGTGTTTTGTACTACCGGCTGGTCTATCCAGCGTGTCGGGCTCCTGCGCACCCTGATCTCCGATGGATTTTTGCACCCGATCCCTTCTTTTTTTCCTTCTTTCTTGCCCCTAACTTTTTTTCGCCCCAGTGGCGAGAACTGGGCTGATCGATTCTGACGATTCTCATCTTAGGCCTGAAGACATCCATATAATTTGCACACATGTCGTACATTGGCAAGAAATTGCACCCTATCATGATTTCGGGGGATCGGAGGCTTGTGAGTGGACCATTAAAATCTGATACGTCAGCTTTGAAGTACCTGTCAATTAGGTGCGTAAGGTTAATGTGTAGGTAAATCATTTCCCGGACATTCCTCCCAACATAAACAAAACTAGCCGCCGGATCTTCGACGTCGCATCCGCAGTGCCCTAGTGACTAGCGTAGTCCACGGGTGGATTGTCCCCATCACAACCAAAGTGTCGGATCCAGATTGAGGCGGAAATGACAGGTCAGGCTGAAGACCGAGAAAATTCGGGTTGCAAGATTATATGCCCAGGTGTTTCCCTTCATTGTACTCTATCTACTCTGTACGGACCTCGGGGGTTGGAGTTGATAAGGTGTATTGTAGCGAAGTAATCTCAGTACCTAGGTACAATGTTTGAATTATATACAGTTTGATGCATGGGGTCGTTGCTTAAGACCTGAGCAATCACAAACCCGAGGAAAAGGAAACTGACGTATGTAGGTGGCCGGCAGGGCTTGCAGATCCAATCGGGCAAACAAGGCGAAGTATTTGAATTGACTATAATGCACTAGTTGTTTCAATAGATAGCATATCAGATGACCCCGATCGTTTTCCTGGCCTACATTATATCTCACACTTTCCAAGGTTCACTAAAGTTTTGTATATCTTACACCTTATACATTACTCTCCTATTGTGTCATATATTCCATCTTATGTGGCTGTAGCATCAGCCTCATGCACCGTTTCCGAAGTTCCAGCAGCTGCCCGGCTAATCTCCCCGGAATGTAAACATGAAAGTCGCCCCCCTTTTTCAACCAAAAGTCAACTTGTTGGCTCTTTTGCTTTTTTGGCTCTCTACGCAAGGGCGCAAGAATTTGTCTCATGTTGAATTTATCAGCCCCAGGCAGCATAGAGAGCGTTACACACCAGGGAAAAATAAAAGAAGAAATAAAAGAAATAAAAGAAAGTAATACCACATGATCCAGGGAGACTAAATGACTGAATTGGGACCAAAACCCCCCCAATTTTGGAGTAGTACTCCATACTTCGTCCTTCGTATAGGATGTTAGATCGGTGTTAGATTAGGCTAAGAACCACAGCGTCGGGTTCCCGATTTCCAAGACCGAATGGAGTTTAGGTGTAGATCCTGTTCAGATCGACGGCATTAGCTCTCGCTGATGTCAAACTATTTTATTATTCCATTTTTCTTTTGTGATTTCTCACTGTATCAGTGGATGCAGTACGGAGTCCAATACGAAGTACTCCATACTGATATAATACTCATACTCCCAATACTCTCAATACTCATAATACTGACAATTACTCACATTACTCATATTACTCCGTACTTATAATACTCTTATAATACTCACGAAAAGCCCTAGTTTCCTCCCTTGGTCCTTAGTACCCCCTTCTTACTCTAGTTCACTACCTATAGGTACCCTCATTCTTATTCATCTTCAGCTAGGGCTACACTATACTGGATCTGTCTACAGCTCTCTCTCTCCCATACTCAGCTCTAGTGTCATCTTTTCAGATCAATCCGTTTTTCTATTATTATTTCTGGCCCTCTCTCTCCTTTGTCTACCTGATTTGCCTGAGTTCATGCCTAATATTCGATCTTAAATTCGGAGCCTATCTTGTTTTGATTTTGATTTTTTATCTTTCGGTTTTCAATTTTTCAATAATTGTGCTATTATTACCTGTGGTTACTTAAATCTGCGTGGCTGCGTCAGAGGACAAGATCCGAATGTCTACTTGAACCGCAAGGATCACCTCTCCATCTTGCTTCCTCATCTGTCTCCTCCAAAGGGGGTCCCCCAACGGATCACCTACATCAGTGGAAAAATTTCCCCTTGGTTCTTCTTTTTTAACCACCCAAGCTGGCATCCTACGCAAGCCCTCCGCTTTCTCCCAAGCATTGGGCTGAGCTAGATATACACCGATCCTGGGACAATCTGATGGATGGTGATCAACGAAAGCATGAGGGATCGATGTCTCGATCTAGAAATGCTCCTCGCAGGGCTGGTCGTGCGACCGATCGATTTGACTCGGCCATCCAACCACGTGGAGACCCAACGGGGATGTCGCAACCCCCGGATCAAGCCCCAATGTCCTACGACTACGGATACACAGGCAGCTCCTTCCACGGCGGTTCCCTGCAGTCGAGCGACATCCAGAGCTACCAGGCCCAGGACTTTGCCCGACGGCAGCATCAGTCCATCCAACGCCGCCGAGTGCCAGAAGCGGCCTTCTCATATGATTCCAACCTGATGTTTGGGTTCGGTCAGCAGGGTCCAACCCCAGGACCCTTCGAGGCTGTTCCACAATACCAGAATCGGTCCACGGCTATTGATGCCCTGGCAAACCAATTTGTTCCACAGTATTTCGCTGAGGATTCCGCAGAGTCTGGGGTGGCAGGCCTCTCGCCTTTCTTAAATACGCAAATCCCTTATAACCAGCCCAATCCCATGCCGCGCCCCAATACCACCCAATCATTTTCTTCCAATCTTTCTGATTTCGCCGCAATCGGCGCTGGCTCAATGAGCCGGTTGGATCAACCCGAGCAGCAGCAGTCGGATCCCTCAAGTCTGGAAGAGGCCATCGGTGGGTATCAGCGCTATCTACGCCGCACTTTCGATCAAACGCGTGCTGGACGACTGGAAGAAGCTGGTCAAGCCCTGCTTGAGATTTCTGAGTGGCTTGTGACTAGCGCACGGGATCTAGGTGAGATGATGCTCTTTTTTTTCATTTTTCCCCCATCTTCCCTGTACTTGTTTCAAATTATCGGATTTTTTTTTGTGCTTTTTTGTCCCGGTCAATATTTTTGTTTCCGTCCTGTTAGAAGGACAGACTCGAGTTGGGCACTGTCTACTCTGAGCCTCGGTAGTAGCACAAAAGTCGTACTCCCGACTGGTCCCTTTTTTTTCTTGTCTATTTTGGCCCCTCTTATTGTTTTTCGAGTCTGCAGGCACGCGTCATGCAGGCATCATCTGACACCTTATCCTCGAAAGTGGGATGCTAACGTTCTCGATGTGGCAGGCCTCCTCCGTGACGATAGCATTCATTACCCGGACCGCTTGGAGCTCTGGAGTAATTTCAACCTCTGTTGGCTAGCCGTCTGTCAGAGGCAAAAGGATTTGGTACAAGACCTGCTCACCTCTGGTCACCAATCAAGTCAGGTCAGTCTTATACGACGTGACCGCATGGAAACCATGGGGACAGGCTTGATACAACTATGCGATCAACTCGAGCAACACGGCTTAGTAGATTACCAAATGGGTATATGGGAGGAAGAAATATTATCTGGTGAGCTTAGTATCAGTTTCCATCCGTTGCCACCTTTCTAACACGATATAGTTCTGGGTCAGTGCCTCGACCTGATGGATGGTAGTCCCGAGCTCCACCATATCCCAGCCATCCCCGAGCCCAGAGCAGCGGTACCTCGACCATGAACCTGGTTGGGGGGGGGGGAAAAAAAAGCAAATCCAAAAAAAGCATCAGCAAAGTGTGAAATCCAAATATCCAAGGGTCTGGAATCACACAGTTCAGCCGTGCCGATCATATTGCGGAGCACATATCACCAGCCACGGGGAGGCTATTGCTCACTAGTGTCGCGCCAAACGACCAATGTGATATTTGACCTTGCGGAAGATACTCCGTAACCTGTCACCTCTCTTGGAAATTTTCTTCCGCGTGATGAAGATCGACGAGGGCATCTTCGGTCATTTATTACAAAACAACTCTTCGTTGGTTCTTAGGTTTCGGGCTGTTGTGGCCCAAGCCATGGATTCATTACTGCCCTGATACCTCCCTGACCGGCTTCTACAACGAATGCAAGGTGATCACTTGCAGGGCTATCGCATGTCGTCATGCGTCCGCTTTCCTGCAATCCCACTGGCCGATTCTTTAATGACAAATCCACGAATGTATATATCTCATCACTGTCTTCTATCTCATTTATTTCTGCTGTTTCATTTTCTTGATTTGTCATTCCATGTGACATTCTCATACCAGCTCTATTTTCTGTTCAATTTTTTTCTCACTTCTCTCGTGTCTTTTACCAGTTTCGGGCTTTGCATGGGCAATTAGCAAGACAAAAACGGAGGGCGTCCGGCGCAAAGAACACAAAAGTCGAGCGACACATTCGTGTTTTCCGGGAAAATAGCATGGAATGGGGGTTCTATTTTCAAGGTTCTCCCTTTGACTCAACGGGACTATTTGCTGGGGTGGACAACCGTGGGTTGCCTTGTTCCTTGACTTTGGGCAAGCGGCCTAGGGCTTATTACGCCGGTCACGTCTCTACTATTATCTCTTAGCTTCTATCATTGTCTTATTATTTATATACACACGGCACTTCTTCCAATGTTGTGCTATTGTGGCTCCCGAGGTCACTATCACTGCGCTTTACCTATGACATTCTATTGGGATAAGATATATAGTGCCCACGAATATGAGAGCATATCTCATCCGCTTCAGTCCCACCGCGGACCTATCGATGTGGGACATCCCCCCTTCTGCTACCTATACCGAGTTGATATATAGACAACCGGTGGATCATTGCTCAAGCTTCCAAGCTTCTCATCCAAGCTTGATGATTTCTAGACCTGCCCAAGTCCACTGGTCCACCTAGGCACGGGCGTCCACGTGAGCAGCGGGGCGATTGTTTGGAAACCTAACCCCTGTGAGGTAAATGTATGTTGAGGACTGCTAGTGGAAGAGTTGTAAGAATGATGAATCTTGGAATTGATAGCTTCATATGCATTGAGAGTACAGGATATAAAACAGGAACCCGGGGTACCATGGCTGGTGAAATAATACAGTATTGGAACAAAAAAGAAACAGAAAGCAGCCGAGAAATCTCGATATGCCTTAACGCTTGACCCAAGTGGGCATCTTGCGGGCCTTGACATGACCGGGCTTCTTTCTCTCGACACGACGGGGATCGACAGTGATGGTACCAGCTGTAAAGTAACGAAAGTTAGTAATCGTGTCAAATGCATTACCCAACCGGTATCAAAAAGGGCGCATATCATACCTTTCCTCAGTACTGACTTCAAGCCAGGTTCATGCATCATCAAAGCACGACCGAGAGCCAGTGTGATGGCTTCGGCCTGACCGGTAACACCGCCACCCTTCACTCGAATCCAGGCATTATATTTATCCATGCGTTGCGTGACACGCAGAGCCCAAAGTGCGCTCTCGCGGTCATGCACACGCTTGAAGACTTCCACAATACTCTTTCCATTGACCAACACCTCGCCCTCGCCCTCAACAAGCTGCACGACAGCGTGTGACTCCTTCCTCTTTCCCTTGCCGCGAGCACAACCACTCTCATCCACCGTCCGGGGCACCACCTCCGTAGCATATGGGTTACCGGGACGAAGGAATTTGGCCAAAGTATCGCGCACCTGGGTGGGGACGAGCTCAGGCTGAATCCGGTTGAGCTGCTGCAGGATCTTGACCAGAGACTTGTATTTCTTCATGGGAATTGGCTCGCCCACGAAGTCACGGAACTGTGGGAGCTTGAGCCAAGCCATGCGCGGAGCGTCGATGGGCGCCACGGTTGGTAGGCTGGCATACTTGGCTTCGATGGCCTCGAGCTCCAGTAGGGCATCGATGAAGCGCGGGCTGCCGGAGAAATAGGCTTTAGATGCAGGAATGATTCGGGCGGGCCTGTGTGCGAATGAACCGAAGTCAATTTCGGGGGCAGCGGCGGCGGGGACAGGGACCGCAGCGGCGTCGGAGGCTACTTCGGTCTCGGTTGCGTAGGTGCGCGTGCGGAGGGAGTTGAAGGTTGGTCGGGAGGCGTTAATTGAGGTGTTTGAGATGGCTGAGGTGAGGCGGAGGGATTGCATGGCCTGGGTGAGGCCATTGGGTTTGTGCCACGCCATAATTGATGATTTATGTGAATTGGGGTCGTCGCTCACTGAGGCGCTGATAGACTCCATGCGAGGTTCTGTTTTTCGGATCATGTGACCTCCGCATTATCAGTTCATCCGGACGGCGCCTAGCACAATTTTCAAGTTAAATGCCCCTCACCCTTTTTTTCTTTCTTCCTTTTCCTCTTCATCCCACATCACATTCAAAATGGCGTTCGGAAAGCTCTACGGTCAGCCCGTATGTGTTCTGGTCTCTTCTTCTTTGTTGCTTCTCTGACATTGATTAGGAAAACGGTCGCACTCTTGCCATCCTGGTCGCTGCTAAGCACAATGACCTCGAGCTTGAGCTGGTGAACACCGTTCCCAACTCTGCGGCTGCCACCGCTGAGTACCTTAAGATCAACCCCGCTGGCAAGGTCCCCGCCTTCGAGGGTGCCAACGGCTTCAACCTCTCCGAGGCCATTGCCATCGCTGTCTATGGTATGTGAACAACCCTCCTCTCTTGCAACCCCCCAACCACCTCGGGACCAATTTTCAAGCCTCATTCTTTTATGATGAGATACCATAAAAATTACTAGTTATCCCTGGCAGAACTATAACTGTTGAGACCTACACTTCTGAAAAATTTTTGGCTACCCCACCTTGGGAGAAAATTTGGACCCGAGCCCCTTTTTTTTGTTCAACTGGAACAGATGGTGCCATTGGCACCTCTTATCACTTCATTGATCATACCAAAGCTCGAAGCACCTTGACTAACATGTCCTGTTCATAGTCACCTCCCAGAACGAGAAGACCACTCTCCTCGGCAAGACCAAGCAGGACTACGCTTCCATCCTCCGCTGGTTGTCCTTCACCAACGCTGAGGTCCTCCCCAAGTTCGGTGCCTGGTACCGTCCCCTCCTCGGTCTCGAGCCCTACAACAAGAAGACCACCGACGAGGCCGCCAAGGCTGCCGTGAAGGCCGTCGCTCCTCTTGAGGCTCACCTCACCGCCAACACCTACCTTGTTGGTGAGCGTATCACTCTGGCTGATATCTTCTCTGCCTCCCTCCTCACCCGCGCCTTCGCTACTGTCCTTGACAAGAAGTGGCGCCAGGAGAACCCCGCTACCACCCGTTGGTACACCACCATTGTCAACCAGGAGGCCTTCAAGGCCGTCTTCCCCGAGCCCAAGTTCGCCGAGGAGGTTGTCAAGTACGTCGCCCCCCAAGAAGGAGGAGAAGCCCAAGGCCGCCGCCGCCGCTGCCCCTGCCGCTCCCCCCGCTGAGGCCCCCAAGCCCAAGCACCCCCTCGAGGCTCTTGGCAAGCCCACTCTCATCCTCGATGACTGGAAGCGCAAGTTCTCCAACGATGACCCCCGCACTGTCGCCATGCCCTGGTTCTGGCAGGAGTTCAAGGCCGACGAGTACTCTCTCTGGAAGGTCAACTACAAGTACAACAACGAGCTCAAGCTCACCTTCATGGCCAACAACCTGATCGGTGGCTTCCAGGCCCGTCTTGAGGCTTCCCGCAAGTACCTCTTCGGTGCCCAGTCCGTCTACGGTGTCAACTACGACTGTGTCGTCTACGGTGCCTTCATGGTCCGCGGCCAGGAGTGGGAGCCCGCCTTCCAGGTCGGCCCCGACTGGGAGGGATACGAGTTCGTCAAGCTCGACCCCTCCAACGAGGCTGACCGCAAGCTCGTCGAGGACATGTGGTGCCAGGACGTCCCCGTCACCGTTGGTGACAAGGTCCAGGAGTGGACCGACGGCCACGTCTTCAAATAAGCGTGTGCGCCTCTCTCCTTCTCCTTTAAAATTTCATCCTCAAATACCCCGAATGACGTCTGCTTGAAGACCCACGCCTTACGTCAATTCTCTTCTTTTCCCGCCTGAAATTTCTTTGGGATTTATCCAAATATCTTTGACCCTTGTTGGTCTTACGTGTTGATGTTGAATCACGGTTACGAATACGTTGCAACGCGGAATGATGAACGACTGAGTTGGTCTGGGAATTGCTACTACGACAGTCCCAGCCAGCTAGGTCGCTGCTAGTTTAGTCTAGCAATGAAAGAACAGAGATAGAACTCTGATTTCTGAGTGATTATTTTTCCTTCGTAGTTCCACTGTAAATAACACGCATTCTTATCCAATGGATCCCACGGGGCTCATCGTGCCATGATGACTTAGGGAGGAACCTTGCGAGTAGACTGTCCAAAGTGGACCGCAGACCCGACCTGGCACCCGCCGACATCCATGGATCCCCCCCCCTTCCCTCGACAAATCACAATGCGTTATACTACCATGCGCCGGAATGACCTCTGGAATCTTGGAAGAGCCCAGCCGATCAAGATGTTTCAATCAATGGGCTCTATGTGTTCCAAGCCGTGGATGTTCTGAGAAACAACTCAAATAAATCATGGAGTATATATATATTCTCATAGGATATCTAGATATAAACAAATATAAGGTACCGAAATCCTCACATTAACGCTTCTGCTTGATCCCCAGCCCCTCTTCAAGACGATCAAGTAAAGAGTTCTCCGAAGCAACCGAGACAGGCGAAGGAGACCTCTCTACCTCAGCATCCATATCCCGCGACTGAGCCCGCGATCGCAATTGAGGTTCCAATCCCTGCATCTCCTCCCGCGCCTCAGTCTCAGCAACAGCTGCCTCAGGAACATGTTCAGTATCACAACCATTCTCAATAGGAGCTCGGTTGGTTCGAAGGTTATACCGCGGAGCCGGTTCCGGTTCACTATTACCAGTCCCCGACTGATCTTCGCGATCCTGTTCCGCTCTCGCATTCGCGGCATCGCGGGCCTTTTGCTTCTTCGAACGCTTCTTCGACCCTGTCGGTGCCGGAGCCCAGGTCTGGTCGTTCGAGCCATTAGGCGAGTCCAATTCGCCATTAACGAGAATACCAAGCTCAGTAAGAGCAGGATTGGTCTCGGCTTGCGCTCTGCTTTCTGCGGCGGCAGCTTTGGTCGCGGCGGCGGCAGCCTTTTCAGCCTTCGCGGCTGACTTTTTGGCCTTTTTGCGCTCTTTCTTGGCAGCTTGTCTGGAGGCCTTTTCTTCTTCAGTGAGAGGAGGTGGTGGGTTGCTTTTGGCTTTTTTGCCCTTCTTCTTGCCTTGTCCTGGTCCTGGTGCTTGTCCTTGGGGTTGGTTTTGGACTGGATGGACAGGGGTGGCTGTCACGGTATTGCGTTGGTTGAGTTGTTCGGGGAAGAGGCTGATGCCGCCTTCTTCAGTGTCGATGGAGGTCTCATCGAAGCCGAGGCCGAGGTCGAGGATACTGCATCCGTTCTTCTCGGCGGACTCGGTCCAGGTGCGGAGGACTTTACTGACGTCGTCGTGGCGAGAGCAGATATCGAGGTAATGTAGGACTTTGGCGAAGAGTTTGGATTCGTCGATGGTTGGGTCATCGTTGAATTCGGGGATTTCGAGAATATTGAATGGTTCGCTCAGGGCTTTGAGCTTGCTATCGTCGATCAATATGGTATTCGTTTGGTCCCAGCGATGAGCCGCAGGAAGCTTCGCCGCTTGTTCTTGTCTGCTTCGTGAAGCGCGCTTCTCTGCTGTGCTGGGTTCAGCTGTTGCAGCGGGGCCTAGCAGATACTCATTGCCGGGGAATGCTGCCTGGATAACAGGATCGGCCCACGGCTTGTGCAGCTCCTTGTAGACCTGGATTCTATTGTTATACTGGCGGGCTGTGAGGCCGAACTTGTCACGACCCCAGCGGGCAACGAGGGCATCGTGCATGACGCCCGGAAAGAGTTGCTCGCAGACTGCATTGACAGTAGGAGGCTGAGAACTTGACCAAACCATGACTTTGTAGTTCTGGATCAGAGCAGCAAGGAAGTGATCCAAGCCAGCGCGTCTGGAGAACTTGGGCGGGAACTTCCGCAGCTTGCGGAAAATAAGAGTGCCATTGAGATCGAGGATAACCAGTAGTGGTCGTTTTGACGGTACTTCCTCCGGTTTTAACGATGACTGATTCAGGTACTGTAATGTCGGTGCTGGAACTTTAACCTGTGGTGTTGCCGATCTTGTTCTTCGCGCAGGACCCGGCATGGATGCCGGGCCCTGGCTCTGAGCAGCCGTTGTACTCATTGCCCGCATGTTTGGATGAGAGAGAAATGGGGTATTGAATGGGAATGGAGGTGGTTGCCCACCATCGAATCCCTGCCAGGGCATGCCTGGCGGCGGTTGGAAGAAACTCGGATCCATCATTGGGACTTGGCCGTTGAATCCACCGTACTGTCCTTCGATTGAGGGGATCGGCTGGGCATACGGCTGCATGGTGGGCTGTGTCCATTGCTGTTGAGGCCATGCTGGTGGGGCGAATGGATTCTGCTGGACCGGGCTCGCAAAGTTATCCAATTGCGATTGCCGCGGACCACCTGTCACTGGATCGTATTCCACTGTCCGGCGTATACTAGAGGCTTTTGATTGCGTGGGGTCATATGGAGATGCGCGTCCACCCCACTTATTTTGCGCTGGCGCATCCATCTTCACAGCATGATAAGGCGGGCCTGCAGATTGGGTATTCGGGTGTTGGCCAACTTTTGCGGCGCCGGGCGCACGCTGAGATTTTTTCTTTGTGCGAGGCAGCTTGACTGATTGCGGTCGAGAGGGGGAGAATGACAGTGGACTCGAACGTCCCAGGGTGTGGAAGGTTGACCTCGGGGCCTTTTTTTCGCAGTGTCAGAAATCGAGTCGCAATGGAGGAAACAGGGGATCCTACTTGATTGGCGGGCCTATAGTATAGCTTTAAGGGGCCGTATTGAAGTCTAGAAGTGCAAGACAGGTCTCTTGAAGAGAAAAGCGCCAGGGACATCTAGAACTAAAAGTAGATCGACTTGCAACATTTCTCGTGGCGCCGAGAATCACGAAGTATCTAATCTCCTTATCGCGCTGACCGCCTTCAGCGGCAATATTTTTCTTTTTCATCTTCCTCCGCGGGGGCCTATCAACTACGAACTACAGACAAAATGGGTCTTTCAGACAAGCTCAATCGCCGGGTGCGCGCCCGGCCAGAAGATGACGACGATGTCTCTGTATCAGCCTCCGGCGACGAGATCTCCGGCGCCGAATCCGAAGCCGAATCCAACGGCTCTCTCGAATCAGAGGTCCGAGCAGACACCCAATTACCAACCCAATAAACCTAACTCATATACATATTGCAGGCCCCAGAAAACAGCGACTCAGAAGACGCCGCAGCCTCAGACGCCGAGTCCGACGCGGAGTCAGACTCAGCGTCCTCGGAGCCCCCCAACGACGATATCAAAGCCTCACTAGCCTCTATATCCTTCGGCGCCCTCGCCAAAGCCCAGAGTTCAATGAGCGACAAGAAGCGCAAGAGCAAACACAGTGAAGAAACACCCTCAACATCAACCGTTGACGACATCCGCGCGAAACTCCGCGAAGCCCGCGAAGCCAAAGAGCTCGCCGCCTCCAAAGTCAAAGACCAGAAAGCACGCACATCCAAACATGCGCCTATGGCGATGTCCAGCAAGCGGGCTGTGACGCGGCGCCGCACAGCAGTGGAATTACCGCCTGCGCCGAAGGCCCGGGATCCGCGATTCGACGCAGCGGTCATGGGACACAGTGGTGTGGGAAAGCATGCGCATGGTGGGAAGGCGTATGCGTTCTTGGACGAGTACCGGGCGTCTGAGCTGGCGGAGTTGAAGGGACAGCTTGCAAAGACGAAGAACTTGGACATGAAGGAGAAGCTTAAGGCGCAGATCCGGACGGCGCAGGATAAGATGAGGTCTGCGGCGAATAAGAAGCGCGAAGAAGATGTGCGGGCGGAGCATAAGAGTCGCGAGAAGCAGCTTATCAAGGAGGGGAAGAAGGCTACGCCATACTACTTGAAGAACTCTGATCTGAAGAAGCAGGTTCTGGAGAAGAAGTTCGGGGAGATGGGATCTAGGGAGCGTGGAAAGGCGCTTGAGAGGAGGAGGAAGAAGATGGCATCCAAGGAGAAGAAGTCGATGCCGTGGGAGAGGAGAGGGGAGGGAGAGGGGGATGGGATGCCTAATGGGGGGAAGAGGAGGAGGTTGGAATAGATGGTTGAGATTGATGTGGCCAATATTTCAATAGCATCGTGCACGTATCTTTGAAGGTGGAAGTTATTAGGATTACCGGGCTCCAGCAGACCGGATATTTGTCCAAGCAAAAGAAAGCGATATGTCAGATAGAACTCATAGCCAAAATGCTTTATCTCCCAAAAAACATGATCAAAAGGTATATTGCGAAACACGGAACCTCCCAACGCCTAAAAGAGATTTTACAGGGAAGATGACCCTGAAACTGTCGTAGATAACACGAGATATAGCCTTCGACTCGATCGTCCAGGATGAGTCGAAAGATATGCTGGTGCCCAGTGTTTGGGGCCTGTCAATGAAATGCACTTGGAACTGGGATGTGCATGGCAAAAGCAATCCTCAGCAATATGATATATGTAATATAAGAAAGCCCCGCAGACTTCGGCCGGGTTCATGCAAATTCCATCATTGCCGGAACCAGACCGAAGGTAGATCTGCAAAAGCCCAAGAAGAGTGATAATGATATCACGAATGGAAGAGATCCCAAGCGCGAGCGCAGAGACCCAGGAACTCGTCCTTCTTTCTGCGCTGCGTCTCGGGTGAGTCTCGGCCCGCACCAAAGGGGCCAGAGAAAGCAGCATGTGGACCCGGGTTGGTAGCTGGGTTGGCACGATACTGGGAGTCAGGGCCGTGTCCGAGAGGGGGCGTGCCGTTGTCCTGCTCGTACTCGCTTCTTGGGCGGCGACGGGCCGTGGTATCGGACGGAGCAAACATGCCAAAGGACGCAGGTGGGGGACCGGGAGCCCGGGGCTCGGGCGCGAGAGGAGCAGTCTTGGGGCCTGCGTGGAGGATCTGGGGCGATGGCGGAGTGGGAGGTTGGTGGCCTCCGTAGTGCACGATGCGCGGGAGCAGATCCTCGCGGCCTCCGGACATTTCCTGCACGGCCTCCTCGGCGGAGCGGTATTCGCGCGGGCGGGTGGGGGTTTGAGAGACGGGGAGACCCGGGGAGGGCATCGGCGCGAGGTTGTTGGATTGGGAGGAGTTGCTCGAGGCGAGATGGACGTTGGCGAGGGCGGGATCGCGGTCGCGACCGAGGGCATCGGAACCGAAGACGTCGGAGAGAGGGGGCAGACGGTTGTTGGTTTGCGCGGCGGGCAGCTGGTGCATGTGCGAGGTTGCGCCCAGGGTTGGGCTCTGGTTGACCACATGGCGAGTCAATGGCTGGGGCTGGTAGCGGCCTGTGAAGGTCTGGTTGAGCGGGGCGGACTGAATGACTCGCTCATTGGCGAACTGAGAGGCGGACGGAGGCACGATGGAGAGACCTGGGGGCCTGCGCTTGCCGGTCTTGGGCATGCCCATCGCGCTTGACTCGGAAGGCTGCACACCATCTGGGGTGTCCTTGGCGGATCTCTGCATGCGCTGTTCAATGATGGAGCGCTGCTGGTCCCGGACAGAAAGGCTGCGCTGCAGTTGCTCGCGCATGATCGGATCGTGGGTTTGGAAGCCGGGCGACAAACAGGCCAGGCCGACGTCTTGGAGGGATGCAGTCATGGGCCCTCCCGGCGGGCGCACTGACAGGCTACTGGAGGGAAGACTGGTGGAGAGGTCTAATTTTCGGGGCCGCGGCCGACTCTGCATCCGTGGGGATGATCCTGGTTCCTTCTTGACGGTAATCTGCGGGCCGCTCGCTTGAGAACTATGGTCTTCTTGTCAGTCTCGGATGTCTGGACCTTTGGGGCGGTCAACTTACGGCGAGACGGGAGCTCTCTTCTCGGTCGGAGAACCCTTTGCGGCGGAGCCATCCTTGGAGCTTGTGGACATTCGGGATGGCGAGGAAGTTGCGATCGGAGGAGCCAAGGCTGGAAGGTTTCTCGGGCTGGGATTGCGCGGGTGTGGTGAAGGCAGGGAGGCCACTGCGGTCGACATAATGTGGAAGTGCCCTCAGATCTCGGAGAACAAAGAGAAGGAGTCCAGAGTAACGAGCGTAGAAAATGGACTCAATCCGAGCAGGGTCTGGGCCCTGAACACAAGAGAAGAGAAAAGCGAAAGAGAGAGCCAAAGGAAAAACAGAAAAAAAAATAAAGGAAGATAGAGCAAGACGAGGAGATCAGGGGAAAAAGATCCAAGAGTATCTGATGAGCAGGTCAATGAGGGGAGCGCAAGTTCCACTTGGAAGTACCGAGTACCAAGTATCAGAATACTAGTGGCCCTCAGCAACAAGTACCCAATACCCACGAGTAAAGGATAGTGGAGCCAGCTGAGACACGATGTGTTTCTCGCTTTTTTTGGGGCGAGACACTGAGTGTTCCAGCTTGGTGTTTGTTGTTTCTGCTGAGACAACACTCGAATAATCAGAGCAGCAGCAATATGACAACGCTGACCACAATATCCTCCGTGACACTGACAACACTGACAACACTGACACTGACACTGACACTGACACGCAATTTAGATAAATCCCCGGGTTCTTCAAACGAGACTATTTCAGCGCCGTCAATAGTCCCACTGTCCCAGCTCCATTAATTTCAATTTCAATTTCAATCTCAATCGTGTTTATCGTGTGGGTTCTACTGACACTCCGTACTTGTACTTGTGTCAATTTGCCCAAAAACGCCAGTCACACCAGTCCGCGCTTTACGTCAAACATGGCGGCGCTTATAATCAGGGGGTTGTGTGGCGTGTGGTCTATCCAACGAGGGCCCAGACGCTGAAACACTGAAACACTGGTCTGAAAGGAGTTCACGGATGCCTCTGCCGAGAGGATCTCATCTGTACTAATCCGTTCTCAGTTACTCCGTACCCTCTCTCTCTCTCTAGGGTCAAGTAATATCCTACAAACTCCTACTTGGGTAAACCAACTGTTGATCTACTTGGTGATTGGCTGGTTTTCTTTTTCAATTTAACCGCGCAGGTATAGCTTGTGTTCTTTTCGGTTATCTTTTCTACATTAAACACTGTACTCCGTATGTTCTCTATTTCTCAAATACTTTGTACATATTCGATATTAATGTCGATATTAATGTCGATGTCGATGGCGATGGCGATGGCGATGTTAGGGTATATTTTAGATGTCACGGGCCCCCTTGAGCTTGGGCCAGCCGCTTTGACAAATCATTCGCCGCCTGAGGTGTCGACCGTTTCATCGATGAAACGTCAGAAAACGGTTGGCACACTGGACCTGGGCTCAAACATGAGTCAAACCTGGGATGTGAAGCTTTCAAATGATACTCCGTACAATGATCTTGAATGATGAGTACAGTCCTGGAGAGTACAGAGTACGGAGTACTCCGTACAGTGGGTAGAGCCCACCCACAGCGCTCTAGAACCATGGCCCATGCCATCCCAGTCCCATCGGAATGTATGTCTGAGGCTCCCTGCGTGGGTTCCTACAGTGGCGGTGTGCAGTTCGCCTGTGATGTGCCATGTACAGAGTACGGAGTACGGAGTACGGCGGACTCGGTACAATGTGCAGTTCTGCGGCGTGGGCCTGTGATCTCGTCACCGCAACACCCTATGCATATGGTGTCCTTGACCTTGAAACGAAACCTCTGGAACGATGATACTACAGCACATCGCGACCAATATATACCCCACAACGTTTGTAAATGCCCATGATACTCCAAGAACAACAATGAAGCCAATGAAGCCGAAGCCGAAGCGATGATATAGATCAGCCACACAATAGGCAGGCGGTAAGCCCTTCTATCGATAACCCACTTTTTTTTCTGCGCGATATCTTCAGTTGGAGATTGAAGATTGCGCTGAATTACCTCTCACACCACGCAATCCTCAGTCCGGTGCCTCACGTCCGAAATCGCCACCCTAAGGGCCGTATCTATCATCTCCCGCCTTCTACTCACCCACTACCCTCAACCCGCCACCGGAAACCTCCAAAATGCCCGGATCCGTCCACTCCCAAGACCCCGACCAGTCCATGGTCGACGCCGAGCAGCCCGAGCAGGAAGTCGTCTCCAATGACCCTATCCTCGAAGAACGCCAGATTGTCGTCGTACGTCATGACCCGCAACTGCAACTGCGTCTGCGCTCCAAGCCCGTAACGACTAGCTAACACCTCGCAGCTTCCCGGCGCCACCGACACCGCCGCCTCATTCCAATTCGAAGGTGAAGGTCACACCATGGGCAATGCCCTGCGATACGCCATTATGAAGAAGTGAGTATCTGCCAGCATTTACTGCGCACTCGGTGCCACCCACAGAACCCGGACCCCGGAATGAATGAACGAATGCGCTGACCTTCCTAGCCCCGCCGTCGAGTTCTGCGGCTACACCATCCCCCACCCCTCAGACGCGAAGATGCACGTCCGCATCCAGACTAATGGTATGTGGATTCGTGGATATGATTAATTGTCTTGCTAACGGTCACGACTTAGACTCGACTACTGCGCTGGAGGCTTTGGAGAAGGGCTTCAATGACCTGATGGATCTGTGTGATGTTGTTACAGAGAAGTTCACTGGCGCACGCGATCAATTCAATGAGGAGAGCAAGAACCGCATGGAGGTTTAGGGGTTTGCATTGTTTGTTTGGGCGTTTGGGTAGAGGGAAAAGTACGCATCTATTTGCTTCGTGTTATATACTTTTTCATCATATGAACTGTTGTATCTGTTGACTTCGTGTGTCATTGACTCGAGATAAGGGATGATCTGCTGATGTAGCTCGGTCAGTCCAGGGCGAGACTTGTGTGGCTTCAATTCTCCAACAACTCTTGCGACTTTCGCAGGCAAGACATGTCTGAGGATGGTGCATATAGCACCGGTATTCGGACAGGAATCATTGACGGTCCTTCCCATCTCGCACAAAGCCCGAAGGCGAGGACGGTGTTATATCCTCTTGATCCAGGAGCTCTAGTGTGAAGAGGCCCTAGCCGCAGAGCAGTGATTGTTGACCTCAGCTGTTCTCAACTCGGTGGTATGCTAGGATTTGGGGTATTTGGTCTTTGTATTGGACGAGGGTTGATTTCTGCCAGCTGAGAGCCACTCTCGATCGGACACTTCGGCTCAAGAAACGACCGTCGATAAGTGGGTGTGTCCTGTGCCGTGGAAGAGTTTTTAGACCGCGCAATCGCCACACGGAGGCCAGGAAATTTGGCTCGCTGTTGTCCTGTTGGTATAAAACGAGTTGACCGCAAACGATGTGACAGCCACGCTGTTCATCTGGCGGGATCGCGTGCTATAGTGGGTTCAATATGCTGATCTGCAGACCCCCAAGAGGAGGCGCGAATAAATGGCTCGTTTTCATGGTGATATAACGCTGTTCGACCTGCTTTTGGAAAGTCCGTTGCGAGCGACACCCGTCCTCTAAGATCCGATTGCCACGCTTGCTAATAGAATTGGATGTCAGTATTTAGCTCGACAGAAAAAAGGGCAATGGTCCAACATACGATTCTCTTGGTAGGAGCACAGTCAAAGACTGTGTTTCGAAACTCCTTTGTTCGACCTTCAGGCATGCTTTTGCACCGATCATGGGAACTGTGCCCATTGAAATCGCTAACATTTGGGAGCAATGGTCTTGTTGATCGTTGGTGTCCCACTGTTCGCCGTAGGCCAGAACCATTGCCTGTAAGTCGAGTACATAGACACTTCCGTGAGATAAGGCTGACTTTGTGTTGGATTGTAACCAAGATGACTTATCCGTATCTGATGTCTGCTCTTCACATAGACATTTCGTCATTTGTCGAACATGGCTTTTCTTGGCGAGCACTTGTTAGCGCCCTTCTTTTTTAAATCCACGTGGGTGTCGTGAGACAATCCCCTAGGGTCCTTTGTCATGAGGACTTCTCTAAGATGCAACAGGATTTGTTCATCTGTTCCTCCAGATCGAAGGCCCCATCTAGGGGGGATGAATGTCCCTACTGGGATCTTGTTATGGCAGGGTCCGACTTCGGCAAGCTTCCAGATGGATTCAGCGATGGAATTCACAGAGATGGCGATTGTTCTCGACTCTTTCTCTGCGTTATCCGTCGTCTTTGTTTTATTCACCGATAACTTCCCACGAACCAGGTCCTGTGGATTCTGGGACGGCCACTTGCCAGACTTCACGGAGCGTTTGCACTGGTTTTGCTTTGTTGGTGACCATTCTCGGACAAGACCCAGAAAGCGTGGCTCAGGTTGCAGATGCAAGCTCATGATAGATGTAGTTGATCGAGTAATGATGGCGACAATCTTGTGACCAGCAGCGATGTGTAGAGGTTCAATGCCTTTTGAGCGAATGTGAAACATGTTGGCCCCAGGATTGTCCCACACGGCCTGGATTTCGATATCATTGCCCTTCGATGCAAAGTCCCTTCTCACGCTGCGGGCACTCCTAGTGCAAAAGCCAACCTAACTGGTCGTAGCCACTGGTCAGAATGTAATTGTCACGCCATATTGGGAGAAAGCGAACGTTCTTCTGTGAAAAAAAAGCCCGGTGGGACCTTTCGGGACACGGTTTCTGCGTAGCTCACCCCGTGCATCAAAACCATTGTTTGGGATTGGGACGTGCAGATTGTCGCATATTGGAACCTTTCCACCCAATTTGCGTCTTTTTCTTTTCGCCTTATGAGCTTGGTATACCTTTCGGTTGTGACAATAAGTCTATCATCCTTGCTATCATGTAACCGTGATGCGGGAGGGTGCCATAGCTCCTCGGTCTTTTAGCCACGAACAATTGGGATGTTGATATCGTGCTTCGTGGTCAGTTCTTCATGCACAATGGAAATCATGGTCAACGTCAGTCAAATATCCAGATCGCCGTCAACCTCCTGAGCCAGGAAGTGATGACATGGGAGCATTGGTGGAAGCCACAATGCGGTGGCCGCAAAGTGTCACGGCTTTTTCCAGGTCCGGAAATTCCACCATATGTGGGATCTTGTCTGCAGCTGTCGTCCAACTGCAAAGGAATGCTTTATTGGAGGACTTTGATGGGAGAAATATTCGATGTATCATGGTGCTGATCAGCAGCTCACACTGGAAGATATGAGTCGTGATGATCAATGTGAGCCCGGATGACTGTGATTTGCCGTGCAGCAAGAAAAATTCAAATCTGTGCGGTAGGAGTCTTCTTTGATGTGCGATGGCTAAAGTCATACCACAATAATGTCACAGCCAAGGTAGTCAAGCTAGCTCTTCTCCGGAGTACGGATTTGATGCGCTGTGTCATTGTCAACGTGTGTATGAAATAGCCAGTGTCCACTGGTTTGTGGTAAGGTGACAGCGGCCAAATTCAATCACCGCAATTGAACTCGACATATACCCATATGTCAAAAAGTCTATCGCAGACTATATCGGTTTGCTGTGTTTGTAACACCGGCAGCGAATGGACATGCTACCAGATGTTACGCTGGGCGTAAACGCGATGGTAAAGATTTAGTCCCAGAGTTAAAGCAACGGCAGCTTTAAGCTCACTAGACCAGACATTTCATGTATGAGTCACGGGAGTGATTCCACACCTCATTAACTTCGTGGGCCAGGACATTGATGAAATGTAACAACTGTGCACGGGTTCATGACCATGCAACATATGATAGCCACTTCAGAGTGACACTCACGATGTCCCGAGGGTCCATAATGCCACGGCACTGCCAGTGGTCAATAGGATCCTTTTTGGGTGTTCACGTCGATCGAAGTCTGCAGGCTAGTGTACGGACTTTTGCGCTGTGGTCTTATCGGACGACGAGTCCGTGGCCTAATTTTCAATGCGTTTGCCGCAATGAATGGCACGTCGACTTGCATGTCAGCAGGGCTTGACACAAGACGATAGATAAAATGTGGTCAGCAGGAGAACCGCAGTTGGACATGGCCAGTCCAATGCAGAAGACCGAACCACGGTAATTGAAGCGATCGACTGCGGTGGGTGAAGCACAGTTGAAATCGGTCGTACTTTAACATCGCTTGTTCGCGAAAACTGTATGCCAGTTCTCGCAATGAGTAGTGCATACCACGAACTCCTCAGGCCTCCCCTTTGTGAGATGGATGCATTGGTGAAAGCTCAATCGCGAGCTCACACAAGGGAATAGGGCATCTTCATCACCCATTGTGTTATTTGAGAGTTTGTGAAAACCAGGATGTGAGCGGAATCGCTGGAGAACCCGAGTGTACCATGAATGTACAGCAAGTAGAAAAGGAACCGAAGAAGTGGCCATGCTGTAGGCAGTCCTAGAGTAAAACCCCGACAAAACCTCCACTCAGATTATCATTTTCCTTGTATGGCATGGGATTTCAAATGCTGTTGTGTCATGCCATGACCGTCAGCGGCTGGAACACGCGGTCGACGCGGACATCACCCGGGACGTCGAAGTTATATAACAAGTATCTTATCCCGTGAGCGGCTCGTGCTATGAAACGTGTCGAAGAGTCGCCCGGATGGCCCCGGTGAACCGTATAGCCGCGAGTTGTTATTTTGGGATGTGGGTTGGAATTATTTCGTGGCCAGTGATCCCACACCCAGGCGATGGGTTGGAAATGTAAAACTTGCGTAAGGGCTGGTTCTGTCGAAGAACAACGCAAAACCGTAGTAGTCAGGGCAGAGTGAGGCTGATCTAGACCAACAGTGTAAGCGTTGGCTCAGTTCAAAAAGCATCTAACAGTGTCTCTTCGTCAGTGCTATGACGAACTGTAAGATGGGGCCTCAGCTTGATCTTATCTCCGCCCTTGGTTTTTGAGAGATATCAGCATTAGCTCCTGACTCGTTTGATATGGCACGGAGAGAAGGTCTCAGCTGGATGTGAAATCATCTCTTTGCAAACTCCATCAAACCTCTGCTAGGGGCGAGACGTGCACAAACAGCAAACGGGCTTCTCCACCGACTTTCTCTTTCAGACCCCCAGGACCTTTCCTTCTATGCTTATAAGTCAAAAGAAGGCTTCACCTGATTTAGCAGGCCATCTTTCTTTGAAATCTTGCCAGTGAAACTCAGATGGCGTTCCTTTCCCCACATGTATCATTTCGGAAAATCTCCATGCTCGATTGCTGATGCCAGACAAGAAGATGCTGCTTTTTCCGGCTTCTGGGACAAAGGATGACTAGAGGTTATATGACATATCTACAGCTTTGGAAGGTATATTTTCCAATCGATCGATTTCCTAACGAAAGGACCTTCAATCTCAGTTTCTGTCCGGCCATATGTCTTTCAAAGCACAGCCCAGTGACCCGAAACCTCCCGTCATAGGTTATTAGCTGGCGACGACAAGTATGACTAGGCAGGTTTCAACTGGGGAAGCTCCACGTGAAAATCACAATGTACGAGCCCAATATCATTGGTTGGTATCGAAAACCAGGAGCTTCTCGCTTTTGGTTCATTATCGCTGTCGTGTTTTTCATCTGCTCCGCTGCGAAAGATGCATGGAAAGTGCATGTGATGATTACATAAGCCCTGAGAAGGTCTTGAGTCAAGATATCATGCCAAAGGCCGTACCGGAATACTGTCTTTCATTTGGGATGAGTACCAAGGCAGAGGAAATCAAATTGAGGATGGCGTGGGTATGAAGAGAAAGAGCGCAGAGTCAGGTGAAAGTGATCATTCACCAGACCATGCATCTTTTTCCCTTCTCGGGACCACCACGCGCGTAGCATGATGAGGAATCTCATGCACTTTGTCAAGCACTTTATGAATTGTCTCCCAATATCGTAAGCTTGTCGGGACGACTGGATCGTGTCCATTTAGTAAGGTGTGTGATGAAGATCCTAGTCTCTCGCCTCCGATCCATGTGAATGTGATGTGAGATCATGTTAGAGTCACGGTTCCACCAGGCCATCCATGGAAGGTGCTGTATCAGACTCATCTGCATCTTCAATGTGAGTTTCTCTGAGGAATGGAAGGTGTTTGGTGTTTGCCAGGCTCCCTGCAGGCGTAGATAGTGCAGATGGCGAGAGCTTCTCTCTTATTCTTCTTCTTCTCCTCACATCTCACATTACTACAGTGTCGTACATGTCTGTTTGCGGTGCTCTCGTCGATATGAGGATAGAGCAACCAGTAGAAGATGTCATGAATCACACGGTCAGATAGACTGATGTAGCAGTGGGAACTGTCAAACCAGTGACTTACTTTACTGTCGAGTTGCACAGAAGCCTGCAAGATCACAGATTGCTGTGATTAAGAGCGGTTAAAGCCATGTTCCGCACACTTGATGACTTGTATGGGGCATTCTCAGATGACCATCTTGAAAGTGACGTCTGTTTCATTCTCTTTCCGGGGCATGTTAGAGGCGATTGACCCTAGCTCAAGCAGTTTCATCATCTTTAAAAGCAAATAGTAGTTTAGTAGTTAAAACACTAGACGAGATATGAACATTCATGTGAGATTAATTTGAGGGGACCCGGATGTTATAGTAGTCAGATTCTATAGTACAATATTGATCTTGAATGTGTAACAATCTTGATGGTAACCGCCAATTTTAGCTCCTACATCCATGAACGTTCCTTTGGCATAGCAGATGACGAGTGTCATATCAAGTTCTCAAAGGTGAATTGGTATTGGGACTACCAAGGCACAGTGCCACCATCATATTTTTCCCACCCTGGAACATCGATGGTCTTGAAACTACCATTATCCCGGTCGCTGGCGGCCATCACAATATTCAGTACTGCCTCCGCACCCTGTGGAACAGTAAGGTCGGCATCTTGCCCACCCATGTCGCTTTGCAACCACTGAGCCGATTCAGTTAGCATTTTCAATTAGCACGAGAAAAGCTTCGTGCTAGATGGAGAGTACATACTCCGGGGTTCACTGCGAGGAATACAAAGCCCTCGTCCTCGTAAGACAGAGCATATTGTACCATCAAAGCGTTTAAAGCTGCTTTGCTAATTTTGTAGGCTGGGCAGGGTGCGTAGCCCACCTCTCGAGCCTTCGTCATGGATCCGAATTCACTAGAACTGTAAATTGATCTGTGAGCAACCAAATATCGAAAGAAATATCATCGCTCATTTGGCTGCTAGGTATTATAGCAACTTACATACTAATAACCTTCTTGAGGTGACTCGTCTGCATAAGAGGGAGGTGTTGCTGAAGAACCTTATGTGCGCCCGTCACGTTAGCTGATAATTGATATTCAAGGTCGGACCTGGAAATGCGTTAGTTCGTATTGCTGAAAAGGAGAGCAGGATAACGTGAGCGTCTAGTACATCAGAGCAAGTTTTCCATGAGTTTCACCGTGGACGCCAGCACAGTTAATCAAGATGTCTAGACTCCGCCCTACCAAGGCAGATCTGACTTTCTCAGCTGACTGCACGATTATCTCTTGATCAGTCACGTCCAGAGCGACGAAGACCACAGTGCCTTTGTTCAACGAGATCACATTCTGGAGCTCTGGGCTGCATTTTCGAGCTGTAGCCACTACCAAGCCTCCATTTAGATCAGGATGGGCGGCCAATTGCTTAACCAGCTCCAGGCCAAGGCCGCGGGAGCTTCCAGTAACGAGGACGTTCAGCATGGTCAGACGTGGAGATATCAGTTCACGTTTGAGGTAACAATAAATGCTGATTACAAGCTGGTATTGGGCTCTTCTATCAAGCCTTTTATATGATTCAATTATGGAGTATAGTTTCTCTTCCGAGCCGCATAGCCGGGAAGAATTGAGTTTCGGTCCTGGGGGCTGTGGGGCTCGGATTCGGCATTCCGAGCAAAAGCGGCAATTAAGCGGGTCCTGACAGAGGCCCACTTGCAGACAACCGGAATACCGGGATTAGTGTATCATCACCACACGCCAACAGAAACATAGAGAACCCTCGATTCGTCATATGGAAGACATCCACAAACACACTGTATTAATATTGCAAATTCATTGAGCTAATTCCATTCCTAGTGGTACGAACCTCATCTAGCTTGGTGCTAAATGTGGTAGTAGGATGGCGATCTCAATCCAGAAACCTGCATTCAGCCATTCAGCCGTGAAAGTATTAAAATCTCTGCTAGAAGAGTTGCCTTGCAGACGCTCAGATCCTACATCTTGCGTTTTGCGTTAGTCCAAGGCGGTATATAAAGTGGAAAGCTTTCCACGTTCCATATTTCTGCCCTTAGCCTATTGCAAAGCTCGGTATTGGACAAACCTTTCCAATATTCTCTTCTACCTGTGCTTATCCGTTAATTCGGGCAATAAATAACATGACGGAATTGAAGGGAAGCACTGATATTCTCACAGCGCTGCGTTCACTTCTGCGCGCCGATGAGATAATCAACCCGGATTCACCAAATTATCTCCCAAGCATCCAGACATGGGCGGCCCAGAAGTATGCAAGCCCCCGTCTGGTAATTCGGCCTACCTCAATCGATACGCTGAGTAAGGTACTGATCTATCTCTACACAACCAACCATGATTTCGCTATCTATGGCCACGGGTTTAGTTCTGCTTCGGCTAAAGATGTGCTGGTGAATACGTCGGCATTCGATGACTTTCAATTTGATGCGCATTCTGAATCGGTGACTATTGGTGCTGGACAGACATGGTCCAATGTCTACCGAAAGCTTGGCGAAGTGGCGCCAGAATATGGAAGTAAGAACTCCGCTTAGCATCATTTCTGCTTCAGAGGCTGATATAATTGGCACAAAAAAGTCGTAGGGGCTCGCACTCCATGTGTTGGAGTAGCAGGCACAATCCTTAGCGGAGGCTTTTCGTGGCTTTCCAGTGAATATGGCTGTATCTCGGACCCGGGAAATCTGTTGGACGCCAAAGTTGTCAAGTACGACGGTTCGGTGGTATGGGCATCCGAGGAGCCAGAGCTACTGTGGGCACTCCGAGTTGGTGGTGGCGGCTTTGGTGGTATGTGACTCGTCTTCTTCTTCTTATTCTTCTTCTTCTTCTTCTTCTTCTTCTTCTTCATTCTCTCTCGCTTTTTTGTCGAGATGAGATGAAAGCAAGCTAATCTCGATAACTGGCTGTAGTACTGATCCAGGTCAAACTCCAAGTATTCTTATATCCACGAAAGATCTGGGCAGGTCAAATCCTGATTCCCCGTGAAAGGTTGGAGCAAGTCGCAGAAGGCATTGCGAACTTCCTCTCCAAACCGGTCGATCCTAAGATCACCATGTTTTTGTATGTGGTCAAGGGACGGCTTCTTGAATCAATTGGAAGTGATTTAGACGTGTTGGTAATTCATGCCTTTGACGCCCATGGAGAGAAGCATGGCCGAGCCAATTTCCAATGGGCGTTGAATATCCCTGGAGCTATTGATAAAACCATGATAACCACACTTGCCGGCGTGGCAAACCTTCAAGGTGAGTCGTTCTCATAAAATATCCAGGCGGTGTCATATGATACTAGGGGCTCATGAATTGTGCAGACAAAGCAGATATTGTCAAAGGTACCATGAATCAATTCTGGCAGCCGTTGCTGCTACGGAAGATCTCAAAAGAGATCGTCATCAAAGCGATCAAATGGTTTGAAGGGCTCCGGGAGATTGACGAGTCACTTGGTGATTGCACCTACCTCATCTTCGAGTTGCTAAGCTCAGTAAGTCTTCTCCTTTACGGAATTCATAATATCAAAAGTGAGTCTAAGTTTTGTTCTCTCTACTCCAGCGGGATCTGGCGGGAGGTGTATCAACCAGCGCCTGGCCACGACCTAATGGCATGAAGCATATTTTGCTTCTTGGCACCGGATGCCCATCGGATGCCGGGCCGGTGAAGGAGAAGCTGGCCCGAGACTTGGCTATCCAGGCCCCCTCAAAGGTACTAGGAGACAATGCAGACGTTGATGTGCTTCCGAATGGGTTTGAAGACTATCATGATCCAACAAAGGTGAGACGCAAACGTATAAAGGCACGATGCTCCGTTACTTACATCATATGAAAGATCTGGGGCCCTCATGTTGCAGCTTTGCGGAGTTTGCGGAAGCAGTATGACCCACAGGGGAGATTCAAAGGTGCAGTTGATGCTAAAAATTACTGGGCGTAACATCTGTGATGTCACGAGGAGAAACAAGCTTATTGGGATAGATTGATGGCGGTCAGCTGATCTGACAGGCCTGACTAGATAGCTCGCTCTCTCTGCCCTTCTTCGTCTTCCTCTTCCTCCCTTCCGTCCGGTTTCGTTTGACCAGAATTTATCATACTGCTTCAGCAATTCGCTTCATCATATTTCATCTCTGTTATCAGCTTGAGATTCAAAATCAGTCCGTAATGTCTTTTTAGTTGTGATATTGCAAGAGACAAGAGAATCTTATACGTTGGTACAGAAACAAGGAATACATTTTAGAATAACTTGCTACTTTTCGTATTTTAATTTCGGGGTAAATAAATCGGACTAAGCTATAAATTTTCAGAATCATGTTACAGTAGACAAAGCTTCTTCATCACATCAGTATGGAAATCTTTACCAAACAGGCGCAGTAACAAATGCCGTAAGATGCATGAGGGGAGAAGAAAGCTGGGCTTGGTCTACAAAGGTGTAAAGCTCCCAGAGCTTACGCTACCTCTATCACAGTACCTAATTTCAAAGTACACTTAGGATAAGTTATCTGGTATATCGTCGCTTGAATTGAACATTTTTGGAAGTTGAGCTAAACTATACACAACCTTGGATTTGTGGATCGGAGGTCGTACTAAAATTGGGTGAAGACTGACAGAGTTTGATACACAGACCGCGATTCAGACCTACCTGGTAGAGGCGTTCACATCCGAGGCTGCATCAGCTGCAGCGGTGAACACAGTTTTAAGATCATTCATTGGAGCGGTATTGCCCCTCCAGGGCTGGCTGGGCCATCTATATACAGCGCGCTTGGGTTGGGATGGGGTAACTCCTTGCTGGCATTCATTTCTCTGGCCATGCTTCCATTCCCACTTTTATTCTCAAGTATGGGGAACAGCTTCGCACAAAGTATCCATTTACGCCTTGATTGCTGTATCAAAATGCGGTATTCAGCCCAATTTGTACCATACATCATCCTCCTTCTGTGGTTATTCCCTTTGCTCTTGTACAATCTTTCGGGTGGATAGTCCCCAATCATCAACTTTAATTTCTTTCTTCTTCAAACGGCCTTGCATACTATGCCTTGGCGGTATATAGTCCCCTGGGAGAATAAATCATCATACCATTGAGAATCGAGCCCTTCTGGTGGAATTGTTGTACTTGAAAGCGTCTCGGTCGTGACATCCCTGATGTATAGGAGAGAAATAGAATCTGCATTGCCTGATACTCCGATTAAATAACGTGACCACGCACAAAAATCTTGCAAGTTGATGAATGCACGGCTCGGATGACCACATGTGGGGGATCTGAGGTAGGTCGGACAGAACGCCGAACTCGCTGATGTACTTCTTTTGGGTCTGAGTGACCAACGCTAAACCTGTTTCGGTTAGTGGAGCCGCGGCCATGAGGGCGGACCCACAATATCTCTCGACTCGAACTATACCATCCCGATGATCTGTCGTTGGTGAGGGGAAATGACAGGAATCCCTCGGTTGAGCACTTACAAATGCAAGCTGCTCTATCTCTCCGACTCGGGTATTTAAACCATCAAGGAGTCCTGTGTTTGGGCACAGACGCTCAAGCCTCGACTTCTGGCCACTACTAATAATCTCCCGCCTTGGCCAACAACACTACAATGACGCGCTATCTGAAGCAAGCTCAAGCTGTCTCGGCCAATAGCCAGTCTAGCCAGGTGCCTTCGATTGTCAGCGGTGTCATTGCGGATATTCGAGCCAACGGCGACACAGCCGTCCGCAAGTACTCCGAAAAGTTCGACAAGTGGTCCCCAACATCATTCCTGCTGTCTCAGCAGCAGATTGATGAAGCTCTGGCCAATGTTTCTGATCAAACAAAAGATGACATTCGTCAAGTTCAGGCAAATGTGCGCAAGTTTGCCACTGCCCAGCTCAAGTCTATCAATGACTTTGAGATCGAGATGTCTCCGGGCGTCCACCTGGGACAGAAGAACATTCCCATCTCGTCCGTCGGCGCGTAAGTAATGTCGAAGGGTTGGAATCGCACCAAAATCAGCCGATGTACCATTTTCATCAGCAGTCAATTGCTAATCAATGTTCTCGTAGATACATTCCCGGGGGAAAGTACCCTCTCCTCGCGTCTGCCCACATGACAATCTTGACTGCCAAGGTCGCAGGCGTCAAAAACGTCATTGGCTGCACCCCTCCTATCGCAGGCAAGATCCCATATGCCACAATTGCAGCGATGCATTATGCCGGGGCCGACCAAATCTATCTTCTTGGAGGTGTCCAAGCAGTAGCAGCAATGGCCGTCGGCACCGAAACAATCCCCAAGGTTGATTTCATCGCTGGTCCCGGTAATGCATTTGTAGCTGAGGCGAAACGTCAGCTCTTTGGCGAGATTGGAATTGATCTGTTTGCCGGTCCAACTGAGGTTCTCATCGTTGCAGATGACGCGGCTGATCCTTTCACCGTCGCAACTGATCTTCTATCACAGGCGGAGCATGGTATTGACTCGCCTGCTGTCTTGATCACAACTTCCGAAACAGTAGCCACCGAAACCATGCGGTATATCGATCGACTGTTGCTAAAATTGGAGACTGCAAACATTGCAGGCGAGTCCTGGAAGAACTTTGGCGAGGTTGCGATTGTAGATGATCTCGATCAAGCGTATAAGCTTGCCGACGAGTATGCATATGAGCACGTTCAGATTTTGACACGACAGCCTCGTGAGGCCCTTGAAAAGATGCGGCACTACGGTGCCTTGTTCCTCGGGGAGAAGACCTGTGTTTCGTACGGCGACAAGGTAAGCACTCTCACCCCATTTTCTGGCCCATTCAACTCACAAGTATCATCCTAGGTCATTGGAACTAACCATGTCCTACCTACTCGGAAAGCTGCTCGGTACACTGGTGGGCTATGGGTCGGCAAATTCCTCCGTACCGTCACCTATCAAGAAGTCAGGTCAGCAGAAGCAAGTGGCCAACTTGGCGAACTATGCGGAAGAGCTGCACGTGCCGAGAACTTCGAGGGACATGCCCGCTCCGGAGACTTGCGTGCCCATCAGTATCTCAATAAGGATTACAAATGGATTAAACATGGCCAGGGTGACGCGCAACATAATCTGTGAGTTGACATGGTCAGAATGGTGAAAGGATGAATAAGTTGGAAAGTCACCAACCCGCTCCGAGAATCTCCATTCCCAGTTTTTTGGGGGTCCTGTTAAGCCAGCCGGTGCTTTCAATGCATGCTTGAACCAATATAGGCAAATTGAGTGAACATATCCAGTACGCATCCTAAGCTAGCTGAAGATTTCTACTTGGGATATGCGGTTAAGACGATGGGTGACGTATTCAGACAATATATACACATGTCTATCGATGGCGCAGTCTGACTGCTACACCGCGACCAGGAACAAGATAGGGAAAAGGAAAAGCAGATGTGTTTAATTGCGGCCCTCGAGGAAGCCGGAGACGAAATTGCGGGGTAGGCGAGCACCGGGGTCTTCTTCTGGGCGGAAGTACTTCATGACGTGAGAAAGCTGCTTCCAGTAGTTCAGGGTTTCCTAGTAGAATGTCAGCGTTGAACTATAGAGGATGCCCGGGTGTCCAAATGAGATAAAGCGAGACAATTGGCGCTTGATCTTCTTCCTCGGACTCGTGATTGACATGGACTCGCACTGACCTGGAATTCAGCGTGGCTCTTGTACAGCAGGACATCGACAGTCTTGATCTGGGCGACGTAGCGGTGCTTCTCGAACTCCTGGCGGATCTTTGTGCGGATAGCGGATACGGGCATGCCCAGAGAGTACATGGTCTGGATCTCGGGGGACTGTATTTCAACATCAGGTCAGCTAGGTTCTTGCAGTATGATTCTGATTGATCAAAGCCAAGAAGACAGGCCGGGGGGTTCGCCGTCGCCTTCTGGCATCGCGGATTGAGGAATCGCAAATCAAGGGACTGGGATTGGCTGGTTCTCGGGTAGACTGACCGCACGGAGCCATTCACGGTACGACTTCAGGACGCGGTATTTGGCATCGCCCCAGTTAACGGCTGCATAGAAGAACTTGTTAGAGACTCTCTTTATATGGTAAGGTGCCATTGACTCCTCGGCGGGCGGAAGGTATCGGGAGAGCAAACGTACAGGAGCGCGTGCGCTGCGCCAGGTAGGTAGGGTTGATAGTCATTTTGGAAGAGAGTCGAGAGCCCACTCAATCCAGTGCAGTTCGATCACTGGGTGCAGGGAGGGGAATTGAGCGTTGGAACCTGAGCTAACGTGTACGAAGGTGGAGGTTTCGATCTGAGGTTGGTGGAATCGGCCGCTTTCACCGCCTGCCTTTTCAAAAAAATTCTTTTGCGACTTTGAGGATTCAACCGGCGCGACGCTTTACTCTTGTTTCTTTTACTCTGAACTTTTCTTCTTGATATCTCTGATTCTGTCGCGGGAATCATTGATCTATACTTGAGTCGGTGTAACATCCAACTCGATTCTCGCCACCCGCAGATATTTTCTCCCACCGAAGCCGCCTCTAAAACTATCGTTCGAATCCTACAAAATGGCACCAAACAAAGGCTCCGCTAAGGGCCCTTCCGTTGGAGGCGCAAAGGGTGCTAAGCCTTCGCTCTCGTCTGCCTCGCGCGTCAGCAAATCCAGCAAAAAGATGGTCCCAAGCGTCCTCCGCCTAAGGAACAAAAGTCCAAGCCCCGGACTGCCCAAGAAAACCTGAAGAAGAAGAAGAAGAGAGTGTACACCGAGAAGGAGCTGGACCTTCCCGAGTTGAACCAAATTACGCCTGTCGGCGTTGTCAAGCCTAAGGGCAAGAAGAAGGGCAAAACTTTCGTCGACGATCAGGTACTACATTCCGCACCCAATCAAATCAATTGACAAGCCCCATACTAATGGCATGGATATAGGAGGGCATGATGACGATTCTCGCAATGGTGAATGCCGAGAAGGAGGGCCAAATTGAGTCTAAGATGATGAAGGCCCGACAATTAGAAGAGATCCGCGAGGCCAAGAAGGCCGAGGCCGAGGCCCGCATGAAGGAGAGGAAGAACAAGCTCGAGAATGTCAAGGACTCTCTGCGCACAAAGAAGAAGGGCAAGGCTGGCGACAAGCCCGAGGCCACGATTAAGGATAAGGTCTTTAAGCCGAAGACCAAGAAGACCGTTGCATTTGCTTGAAAAAAAAGTTCAATTGTTGTCTATATACTCTTTCAATGTACCTAGATGTCGGGGTTCGGCGTTCAACCGGTTTATCTATGTTTATCGGAGCACAAACATTCTATGCAAAACGCCATCTTTCACGTAAATGGATGACATGTGTCGCTGAACGAGGGAAGTGAGGGTAATTTGGTAGGACGGGTGCCTAAATACCCAGTGGCAGGGCAAGCTTGCGCTGCATGGGGTGGAATTGAGGCTTGGGTGCCAGGTCGGGGTCCTTGCTGGGATCGTCGTGGTGGGCAATGTTTCCAGGGAGTCTTTCAGGGTGTTCGACAACACCCGGGATGGTGGTGTCGATTTCTCTTGCCATTTTGTTCAAGAAGCTTGTTACCTAGAGGGAATTAGTAGATGATCGTTGGTTGCTATCGATAAATCTGAAAACATACCGGCTTCACGAACCATCTCGCTCCTCCATATTCGAACCAACCCAGGTGACCACCCCACGAGGTGGTCAACATAACTCCATAAGGTGTTTGTGTCATTTCATGATAGGGGAGAGCCTCTCGGCAAGCAATCTAGTCACGTCAGTGGCATCCTCAAAACAAAAAAACGGATCATGGCTTACAGGATCGTCCTCCGCTTGGATACTAAGGAATGGAATTCTGATGGCAAGCATGGAGTCGGTGGAAGTGGCGTCCCGATAGTAAGCTCCCTCGGTAGGATAACCCCAAGTCGGGCATTGCAGGGCTCTGTCGGACGTCAGGAAAATCTCTCTGGTGTGTACTGAAATCGACTTACCGATCAAATTCGTGGAGGTAATTGATACTTCGGATGGCATCGACATCAATACGAGGGTTCTTAGAGACTTGGTCCACGTGCCTGTTCCACGGGTTAGTTGAAGTATTCCAGCCCAACCATCGAGTGATACTCACTGTTCAAAGAGTTTCTTCATGCTGGTACCCATAGCTTTGCTGTAAACATTCTTTCCAATCCAAGTGTCTTGCAACTTCACATTGCTAACCGTCAGGTTCCACGGGCTTGCGCAAATCACAGCACCCTTCAGTTGGCAGTTATCGCCCTCTTCTCCCAGATACTGCAGAATCTGTTAGTGACATTGGCAAATGGAGGAAGTTGCGGCAAACATACGTTGGTCAGAATGTTAGCACCAAGCGAGAACCCAATACCAAACAGAGGACGGTTGGGGAATGTCTTTCGAAGCCACTTGACAGCCTCACGAACATCCCAGGTAGCCCGGGCATTATACAAAACACCGGTACTGATCTTCGTCTGCGCACAGCCTCTTGAGTTGACCACACATGCTTCCCAGGTACCATCTGCCACCAACGGAGCCAGGATATGACGCAGGTACACTTCGTGGGAGCCGCCGCTCAACCCGTGCAAGACCACCAGCATGGGCTTGGTATCGTCAGAAGGCAGAGCAGCAAGCTCCTCGCCAGAGTAGAAGGATGTCCGGGGTGGCAATCCAGAATCCTGGGTATGCTTTCTTGCCTGGTCGAGCAATTCGGGGTCGGTAGGCATCTCGTATGGCTCGACCACAAAGTCCATAGCATAGTGACCCGCGAAACCCGGGCTCTCGGACTCGAACATGCGGCGTTTGTAGTACACGGGAACATTATCGTGCTTGAGTGTAGTCCATGCTGTCTGGAGGTGACCGTTGTACAAGAATGGATTGAGGTTGCATGTTTCTGGGGTCGCAGAGCGACACACATCCACGAAGCTCTGCTCCTTGCCGGATTTCTTGGTTAACATCAAGCTATTGTCTTTAGCATGATGGAATGCTATACGACCCTTCGGACGAAGCCATGATAGCACACCCATGGCAATCAGCCCCGATAAGAGGACTGATAGGGGAATTGAGTTGAGTGTTGCGGTGAGGTCGAGCATCAGGGCTTAGGATATGGTTGCAAAGTGCTGACTCGAGCCTAGCCCTAGGGGAAGAAGATCCAGCTTTTGCTAAAAGGAACTATAAGATTGAAAGACAAAAGGAAACTTGAAATGTGGCTTGGAAGCAAAAAGGAAAAATAGATCGTGTTCCACCAACTTTGATAAGATGAACCTCGGCACTTCCTCATTGGGACTTTATGCATGCACAGATGTCTAATCAGACATAAAAGGGGGAATAGCACGTGATAAAACCATCAAGTCACGTGCAGGACATGTGCCTGATCACGTGTGTATTAGTCATAATTGGGGATGATTGCGCTTCTTTCCCCTGTCATATGCACTTTCACCTGGGCAAGTCAGTTGACAAAGTCATGGTCTGTTTAGGGTCTGAGCCCATCCTCATGCCCAAATTCTCCTTATCTTCTGCAGTTGGCAGAAGTTGGACATTCCACCCGGGAATTAAAGTCATGACGGTATGATGCTTAATGCGGCAACTTGATTTCCGCTTGCGGAAACCCTAGATTCAACTTCCGGCGTGGAGACAGGGAGGATTCCCCATGGTTTCCAACAACAGACAGATTTATCTGAATATTGATTCAAGTAAATGTAGGGAGGAAAAAACATGAAAGATCCGGCGTTACGCATTAAAGATCATCAGACAAAGAACGGGCTGGATTACCGATGATCAGTACCTCTTATACTCCTATATGTAATGTTGAGAGCATAGATATCCGGCTATTGTGACCCTGTCCCATGGTCCGTTTTCATGCAACTTTATCTTCCGACCGACTACTTCTAGGTCAACAGATCCTGTCTTCCCTTTTGAAGGTGATGCGACTTCCTTGTCATGCGGTGTGCTTGACCTTTGCATTATGATCTTTGAAGAATACGCCATTTGCTCCGATTCATATACTCATGCAGCCATTTTGAACAAACACTTCTAATTCAAGACTTCCTGTATTACCCACCTGGGCATGACTTTCATAAAAGGGTTCCCTTCCGACATGTCTGATCGTCTCTACCGCGCCACCGAGAAGGTTAAAGTCATGATGAAGTTGAGACCCTGGTCACCAAAGCGAGAAAAGGAGCATGGTCCTAGCCGCTGCTACCTGATGGAGTTACCCACCGAGCTATTGCTAGAGATCGTATCCCATCTGACAGTCCTTCCGGAGGCTGCTCTGGCGTTGACCAACAGGCGTATGTTCGCGATCTCCGGGGAAATCTTATTCTCAAAGTCTCTCCGTTTCAGTCGAGACTTTGCACCGCTGTTCCACCACTACCGCAACGGACACAACTTTGTGACCCCCCGATGGTCGTTCCTCAACCTGCTGGAAAACAGTCGCTGGAAACTATGTTCCAAGTGTCTGAAGCTTCATCCGCGAGATGCATTTTCGCCAAGAGAGTTGCGACGAAAGCCAGAGAATCGAACATGCAACGTGGGAGATCTTGCAGGCATTGTCGACTTGTGCCCATGCAAGAAGTTAACATACCGCGACAAGCTTGATCTTGTCGATCACGTCCGAGTACGACAAATAACGCTGCAAGCTCTCAAGTCAGAATTTGGGAATGCGGTTGACGATCGCTATTGCTGGCATACATGCACCGAGCAGTATGGCCCTACGGAGCTCAAGACATCCTTGTTCCCAGAACTTGACGAGAACGATCAGCTGGTGATTCGGACTGAATACAAACTCACCACCGAGTCTGGCCAGGTTGGTAAAGAAGAATTCATGACCCCACGATTCGGCTGTGCCCATCGCTCCGTCGACCTATGGCTTTCGAGTGTGCACCAAACAACCGTCTGCCAACTCTTCGACACATTCTGCTCGTCCTGTCAGCGGATTTCCGTCTGCAGTGCGTGTGACACGACACTCAAATGCCCGCGAAAAGCAGTCTTCCATTCTGAAAAGTCTGGCCAAGCCACATATTCGTTTACGACACAGCGATGTCTGGGCGGCACAAGTCCAACGCCGGATCCGGCCTGGGCAGCGCAGAGGATTCATCCAGCGGAACCGTCTATCAGTGTGGACAACTGCAACGAGCTCTGTCCCTGGACGGTGCGGGAACATCCGGCACTTTCCTTTGCACCCAGTATCGAACAGGAAATACTCGATCCTGGAATAGGTAATCAACCCATCAGCCAGCTTTATACGTCCATCAACATGATTTAACGAAATATGACAGCGACAAGAGAAGCCTTAGATGCTTCTGCAAGAGTTTAAGATATGACGTCGCTTTTTTGCGTTCTGTTCTTTGCTCTTTCTGACTTTTGTCAGCGTACAGTGATCTTTCAGCGGGTTACAGCCGATTTGATACCTTTGGTTTATGACTGCACATTCTTTACATTTCCAGGTTTTGTTTTACTTACACAATTCTGTGATTCCTTTATGTGCATGGCTACTTGAGCACATTATGGTGTATATTGTGTGATAAATGAGATAAATGAAATATTTTTAATAATTAATTTGAAGTGTGGTCCATGGCATAAATAGTCAAGTATCCACTGGGCATCTATATATCACCCGGCAATGCGCAGCTCGAGACTAGCTACTACACTTCCGAATTCCCAGAGGTTGCGCAAGGATAAAGGTGCACCTCAAAATACCTAGGTAGCTCTCTACAAGAATGAATATCTTTTCAAGATTGTTCCCATTGGTTCATACACAAAGAATAGCACCGTCGTCAATCGTCGTACGCTATAGATCGTTATCAGCTGACCGCCCGGGGGTTTATCCGGACCGAAAGCCCTGGAGCGCGAGGATCCCATCATCACCACGCGTTTGACTCGAGACTCGACCCGTATGACCTGTGTCTTTATCTCGGGGCGATGAGCTTCCCACCACCTGGGTCTGGCCAGTACCCGCATTATATACCGCCGCCACAGTACCAGCATGGGCAAATGCCCCCGCAGATGCTGTTCAATAATGCAGGTCCTCCGCCATCTCCATACGATGGATATGGCAAGCCGAACATGTATCCCTCGGCCATGATGCCATACCCGCAGTATCCGTCAGTGTATGCGCAACAGCAACAGCATCAACCGCAACCGCAAATGCAACAGGCACATCCACCGCAAACTCCCCCACAGCAGCGACCCCAGTTATCGCAGCAGGCCATTCAACCACGGCCGCAGCCCGTACCACAAATTCTTCCCCAAATACAATCACCTCCTCAACCTCGAGCTCCCCCGCCCCCACCAGCACCGCCGCCGCCTCCCATACAACAGGAAGAGATGCAACACCAATTCGTCAATCCAGCTCAACTGTTTGTACAACAACCTTTACCCACGGCACCACGAACTCGATATACTCAAATTGCTCCCCAGTATAGCGAACCCCAACCACCTCCACCTGCGAGTCCTCCTCTCATACAACCGGCTCATTTGTTAGCCCCGCAACCACCCACGCCTGTCCAAGTTGTCCTACCTTCCATTAGTCCCAAAACCGACATTCAGGCTCCCCGAGGACAGGTTCAGGTGCAAACACCACAGCCCAAATATCAGGACCAGTCCCAACCTCGAGCTCAAGAGAAGCCCAAGCCCAAGCCCAAGCCTAAGCAAATTGTCAAAGCCGAAGCCAACCCACCTCAAATATCTCCCAAAGTACAGCTCCAGCAAATTCAGGCAACTCCTACTTCAACGCCGAAACAGACACCGCCAGCTCCATCACCGGTAACATTTGCTGTGCCGCAAGTGATGATACCAGCTCCTTCGCCAGACATCAAAGCTAGCATGCAAAGTCAAACCCCAAACAAGCAGCCTAAGCCATCTCATGCGGAGAAGAAAAGACCAAGCCAACAGTCCGCCGAGAAGGTTGTGAAACCATCGGCTGCCAAACCCGCCAAACCGCCGGTCGATTATCAGGTCCTGCTACTGTCGTTGGCTGATGAGTACCTCAATGCCGCCCATGCTCGCGGGACAAATATCTCCATGGCTACCAGTGAGACCGAAGTTGATGGGTATTACAAACTAGTTGCTACTGGACTTGGCTGTCTGGAGGCTGTATTGAAGGTTCTCGAATGGATGATTCATAACCATGGGATACATGCTAATTATGTGGCATAGAATTGGCGATTGCAACCCCGAAAAGAAGCCCTTGTTCGCCTTCGATATGCGCGTACATTGTTTGAAGAAACAGACAACGACATTGAGGCAGAGACGGCATTGAGTAAAGGAGTAAGTATTTCAAGTTCCCATTCTGACCCGAGAGTATTAGCTAACTTCAGTAGATTGATCTTTGCGAACGGGTATGTGCAACCGGCACGGACATTGTGTCAGGATCACCACTAACGTTTGTAGAACCGCATGCTTGATCTCAAGTACAGTATGCAGCACCTCCTGGCTCGAATGCTGCACAAAACCAACACCAAAGCTTCCTTGAAAGCTGTTGATGGCATGATCCAGGACGTCGAAGCGTATGTGCAGTTCAAATTCGAAACGAAACTTTGCTAATAAATGTAGATACCGACATTCAGCCTGGGAATATGCGTTCCGTTTCCTTCGGGTCACTCTCTCGCTCTCGTGTACCTCGCATCAAGATTCCGTCCAAGCGTTACATCATCTCCACAAGATTACGGCCATGGCTAGTCGCAATGGCGACCGGGCAGTGTCAGTAATGGCGGCTGTGATTGAAGCTCTGGCGCACCTGCAGCAAGGCACAAGTTCTGATTCCATTGAGCAGGCGCAGCGTGCCGTAGCCGCCGCCCGAAGCCATCAGCTCAATGATGAGCTTCGCCACATACCCCAACTGACAACTTTGATCCAGATGGTCGATATATGCTGCAGTGTTCTTGAGTACGATGTCAATCAATCAGGTCAGAAACTAAAAGTCATGCAAGCATTGATGGACGAGACCCTGAGCGACGGCAACTGGCGGCCGGATGGGTCTTTTTCTGTGCCGCTTGCCGGAAAGTCTGCAGGGCCGTCTTCCATCGACACCGGCGATATACTGCAGGTGCAGAACGGAACATTGCTTCTCAGCTTCAACTGGCTTCCCCAGCACGACCTTTACACCCTTTGCTATTTCCTAAGTTCCATCACACTCAGTGCGAAGAACTCATATGATGGCCGGAAAGCAGAAAAGTACCTCGAAGAAGGACTTAAAATGGTCCAAAGCAGTTTCAGGGCTCCTCAGATAATCCCTGAATCGATGGCTACTGCCAACCGCAGGGTTCAGTGGCGGCAATCCCTATACTGCAACCTGCTACTCCAAAGAGTCTTCCTCGCGTGCTCCCGGACCGACTGGGATCTCGCCAGACAGACTCTCAAAGATCTGAGACAAGTTTTCCAAGAGCTGGGCTCTACTCTTCCCTACACTATCGAGTGTTTGATTGAATATGCTGCCGGCACCATCGCCCAGGCGACAGGCGACCTTGCCACCGCACTGAACATATTCCAATCACCGCTTCTATCCCTCGACCCCGCGACCAGCAAGGCGTCTCGCAACGACACTTGCCGCGATACACGCATCCTTGCTGGCCTGAACACAGTCCTCATCATACGGGACCCAAATCACCCATCGCATTACCTCCTCAACTCGGTCATTGCAAAGCTCGAGCCGTTCTGCCAAGGCACCCCAAATAAGTACATACAAGCGGCTTACTTCTTGGTCTGTGCCACTGTACACTCCGAGTCAACCATCCAAACGAAGCAATTCCTTCAGCAAGCCCTCCAATCTGCCACTGCGATCAGCAACAGCCAGATCACTTGCATGACGCTCACCTTTATGAGCTGGAAGTACTTCCGCGGCGTGGTCGGCGAGCAAGCAGAAAAAAGCGCGCGCGCAGGCAGAGCAATGGCCAAGCGTGCCAACGATCGTCTTTGGGCGAGTGTCACTGATGATATGCTCGCTGAAACCCTCGAGCGACAGGGTAAGGGCGAAGAGGCCCGTGGTGTTCGTGAAGAAGGCCAGCGTTTGGTTGCGAATCTCCCACCTGGTCTCAGGCGTTCGACATAATCTGTTCATCTTTATTGAAGTATCTTGTTTCACGTCGAGTTCGCGTGCGATTTGTTTATGATACCATGACGGCAATTCGGAGGCGTTTATTCCCATTATATTTACGATCAAACTAGGCAAATTAAGCATCATTTGACCATATCTTCAGAACAGGCTTTCAAGTTACTTGCAGTGCCGGTGATAGAATGAACTGATTGAATTCAGTTTAGACATGCATCACCACGAAGCATCGGCCCAAGGATAGCTTCGCTTATAGAAAACATCGAAAACAACAATAACACCCAACATCCATGCGTAATGTACAAACACCATGGTATAAGCCAGTTCCGCTAGAGCGAAGCCAGAAAAACACAAAAAAACACCACCAACTCCATACCCAACACGCCGCAGTGCCCGTAATCCCGATCATTAATATTAAATTTAACCCAGACCAGCCCAGACCCCGCGAATTCTCCGCGCAAGCTGGATATCCTTTTGCATAATTGTGACGCGCTTGGCGTGGATCGCACACAGATTTGTGTCCTCGAACAAATGAACCAGGAATGCCTCGGCGGCTTCTTGCAGTGCCAGGATCGCATGTGACTGCCAACGCAGTTCGGCGCCCGTGTCGGCGGGCAGAAGATCGAGAGCGACTTCGCGAACGAGTCGCGCGAACGGCAGCTTAGCTATGAGGAGGTCGTAGGAGCGTTGGTATTTGCGGATCTCTTTGAGTGCCACGGTGCCAGGCTTGTAGCGGCGGCGGCGGCCTGTGGGGGTTGGATCACCCGCTGGGTTCGTTAGCTTGAGCTTGAGCTCGTGGCGCCGAGTGCAGGTACTCACGTTGGACATCTGCGGCCTTGTTGGCTTTTTGTTTTCCGGGCTTGGATTTGCGCACGGCATTTGGTGAGCCATCGCCATCTTTTGCGATTGGTCTGCGACCTTTGGTCTTTTGTGGGCTATCGGTGGTTTTCTTCTTCAAGATCTTCGCCATCTTCGGTGGCATTGTAGTGGGGGTGTGGGAGAAAAAAAAACAACACCAAGCAATTGAAAGCTAGCCCTAGCAACGAGTATGTCCCTTGCCGAAGAGTGACAGAATCGTCCAATATAGGGAAGTGGGATGGGATTGAAAATGACGGCAATCGCAAAAAGGGAGGCTGGCGAGGGCAATATGAACTATTCGCGTTAGCGTCCCAGCCTCCCGACTTTGACGCGTTGCGCGACGCCAGACCACGTGACGATAGTCCTTATCGCATACGTGGTACTCCCGTACAACTATGAGTGCTGATCAGCCCACTTCTCTCTCTCTCTCGCCATCAGTCCCCTCTTCCAACCATCATGGCGGGCATTTGGGAGAACAATGGACAAGGCCAATTCCCTCTGGAGCAGTGGTTCTATGAAATGCCCCCGGTCACCCGCTGGTGGACAGTAGCAACGGTAGCAACCTCGGTGCTCGTACAATGCCACATCGTGACGCCATTCCAGCTCTTCTACAGCTTCCGCTCAGTCTACGTGAAATCCCAGTATTGGCGTCTGATAACCACATTCCTCTATTTTGGGCCGCTAAACCTCGACCTACTCTTCCACGTCTTCTTCCTCCAGCGTTACTCCCGGCTTCTCGAGGAATCATCCGGCCGTTCGCCCGCTCACTTCGCATGGCTCGTCTTCTATGCCACGACCTCACTGCTCGTCATTTCACCGTTCCTGTCAATACCATTCCTGGGGAGTGCGCTGTCTTCGAGCCTGGTGTATATCTGGGCTCGGCGCAACCCAGACACCCGATTGAGTTTCCTGGGGTTGTTGGTCTTCACGGCTCCATACTTGCCATGGGTGTTGATGGCGTTCAGTGTGGTGGTGCACCAGATTGTGCCGAAGGATGAGATTCTCGGCGTTGTCGTTGGCCATATCTGGTACTTCTTCAATGATGTCTACCCACCATTGCATAATGGCCACCGTCCGTTTGACCCACCGCGTTGGTGGCGCCGATTGTTTGAGTCTGGCCCTGGCTCGGACGAGCGTGCCACTGCAGCAGCTGTCCGTTAGGGTCTTGAGTCGCCATGTGTCGTCATGTTGAGCGTTCTACTTGCCCAGCGCTCGGATGGAAGCAGTTCACAATAGAGCCGGCAGATCCAAGGGCGACTGGGTAGAGAGTGTTGTTGGTATATGTGTTGCCTCGGCCCTCGATGGAGATGGAATTGGACACCTCGTTCAATTGAGATTCATCATTTGTTTAGGCCAGAAACCTCTGACACGATATGGCAATTTCCACCGTCAACAACCATGCACTGTACACGAGAACAGTACATGAGAAATGTTCACGGAGATTGCCAGGGGTACAAGTATCTGAAACGTGCCCCTTGGAACCCTGCCAATGTGATATGTCCGAAAGAAAGAGGAGTTCTATTCATTTTTCGGTTCGACTTTCGAAAGCGTGCATCTGTTTATTTGCCTTGTTGCCTTGGAATAGCCAAAGATACCCGATTCAATTTACTTACGTTGAAAGTAAAGCACATCCACGTATGATTGCGTACGTCGCCATCAGCTTCTGACAGTGCACAGCCGCAGTTGGAAGGCTGCCTCGGTGAGCCCTGAAGTCATTCAGCGGGTCATCGATGTACAGCCTCCAACCCAGCGAGGCACATTGCACAATGGTCGCAAAATTAAAACACATTGTATGGAACATTGGCAACGACGTCAGACCAAGATTGTTTGCCCCGCGCCCCGTGCATCGCAAAAGCAACCCCAAAACGGCCTCATGCTGCGCCGTGAGTCCCACTCTGTATACTCGCACTTCTTTATTTCTCTCAAATGCCGATCAGAGATCACCCCAAGCCTTGCGATAAGACCTGCGATGCTCTGTACTCCGTACTCCACGCGGATTTGACAGATCCCCAAGCCGCAATCTGCCAATCCGTACGGAGTAGTAAGATTACGATATAGATAATTATTACTAGCTTGGGTACATAGTGGAGACGAAGAGAAAGGCGAGAGAAAGGGAAGAGATTACCACCGCGGCCCGCGGAGTAATCGTCATCCACCATTCTCGGGCTAAATGCGGCCGATCAGAGCTCCCGCGTGCACACGGCATCCGATCTGCACCGTCACACTGATATCTCGGGCATGCAGTTGCCTACGGAGTACTCGTACGGAAGTGCTGATTGTTCGGGGCGATGCGCCACGGTCAGATCCAAGATTAGGAATTGGAGATAAAGAGACACGTTTCTATTCTTGGCGCCTAACCGCTAAGAGTGGATCGGTCTTTGAACACCGGGGTATAGCGCAAAGGTGATAGTGATGGAGATATTCCAAGTGCATACAAGTAGTACTATACTCCGTATTATAGTGGTAGTCCAGGTGTCAAAGTCAGTGCAATGCAGGCTATACATTTCCGTAGAGTAGATTAATTCAGAATTCCACTCACGTCATATCGCCGATCGGGAATGAGGAGTTTGGAGAAGAATAGACTAGAAATGCGCCGATCTCACGATTGGCGACATCACACGTGCCGTACGGAATAGAAACAAACCATGACCTCAAAGAGTGACTGAGCTCTGACGACCACGGTGGAGGCGATCCCAACGTACCAGAGCCGCGCAGTGGGCGGATACTGGGTCTCCGCGGATCTGTGCTGCGTTTCCATGGTAATTGAGGAGTTCGTACTCGTACTCTATCTACTGCATTAGGGCTATATTCCACCACACAAATGAATCAATTGTGAAATCAAAATGATAAAGAGAGAGAAAAAAGACTGAAACATACTGTAGAGAGATAACCGTGCTAAAGAAGCTAAAGAAGTAAACATTCAATAGTTGAGGGTGGGGAAGGGTATTATTGTTAGTTTAAAATGCGAATTTTACCCAAAAGATACGAATACGGCTGCCCCGTGCACGCCAACGTCCGTGGAACGAATCGGTGTCCATTCCCTCGTTTCACAATTCGAGACTGTGACCAAGTCCCTTGAACGGTGGATACAAGGTTCCAAGGGAGTCGAGTGGCCATGCCCAGGCATCTGAGGTAAAACCCTGGTAATATAGGCTTGGGAGGCCAATCGAGAGCAGCCTAGCCGACTAGGGTACATTGGCAGTAACTGAGTACGGAGTAGACCAAGTCCGTAGTCCGTAGTCCATACAATGTTTGACTTGGCTTGTGTGAGTGTAAGAGTGTAATGACGAGGAAATAGCCTCGGTTTGAAACTACCTACATGCCTGAATAGGACTAGTGCAGTACCATCGATACCGGCGTTGGCGTGGGGATTTCTTCCCCACGCCCCATTTTACCGTACGATGACGAGTCCTTGCGCCAAACCTAATTTTTTCTTTTGGCGACGGGCAGTGAGTTGTACCTGCAGTCGGAGAAATCACAGTGCGTGCTAGACAGGACTCTGTAAAGTTATGCAAATACACTATGTATATATTTCTTTATCTTTTTTCTCTCTCATTTTATAATATCCTGTATACTAAGAATACCATTGAAGTATAGACATAGGCAGCCGTTAAAAAAGGTTGAGAAAAATCCCCCTGATTGGCCCCCACTCCGGGAACCAATCAGGGGGCTCGGTCAGCCTCAGCCACCCTGCTCAGCCTCGTCAATTATTCGCTGAACCTTCGGTTCCCCTTTGCCAATGTCACTCTCTTTTTTTGCCTTCCCCATTTTCAACACTCTTCTCTCCTTTCTTCTTTTAGATTTAGTCTCCCCACTTCGTCACTCCTTATGCTTTCCAACTAGTCTCCCCTTTTTTTTTTTTCTTTGGGAACTTCGTTTTTTTCTTTGAATGTTGCATCGTTGAAAAGGTCCAAGGTCTCGGCAATCGGTATAGGGTCAATTTGTCGCGTGTCGAGTTACTGTTCACCATGCGTCGCGGTCTTCTGATCTTTCTCCTCGTCAATCTCCTCATCCTCTCCCTGCTCGTGCGCAGCGTGTCCACCCTCCTCTCCCTCTTAGTCGAAGATGCCGCCGCCGACGCCATTCACCGCGCCGAGCTCCCCTCACCCAACTCCAGCCTGATCGAGCAACGCCCGCAAATAATCCCCAAGATCATTCACCAGACCTACAAGAATGAGACCATCCCCGAGGTTTGGGTTGAAGCGCAACAGAGCTGTATCGACCTGCACCCGGACTATGAATATATTGTAAGCGCTTCCGCACCCAGTCAATCCACCTCCGGCTCTAACCCCGTCTCCAGCTCTGGACAAATGAAAAGTCGCGCGACTTTATTGCGGCCGAGTACCCATGGTTCTTGGACACCTTCGATGGCTACAACTACCCCATCCAGCGCGCCGACTCCATTCGGTACTTCGTGCTTGCCCACTACGGTGGAACCTACATTGATCTCGACGACGTAAGTACACGGAACCGAGTGCACCGCGTACACCGCGCGCACTGCATCACGGACAAACTGCTAACCACCACCAGGGCTGCAACCGCCGCTTGGATCCTCTCCTCGCTTACCCCGCTTGGGTACGCCGCACAGCGCCCACGGGTATCTCCAACGACGCCATGGGCTCCGTGCCCCAGCACCCATTCTTCCTGCGCGTGATCGAATTGCTGCAGCAGTATGATCGCCATTGGCTGCTCCCGTACATCACCGTCATGTACTCCACGGGCCCCCTGTTTTTGTCCGTCATCTGGAAGGAATACATGCGCGACAAGCCCAGTGAGGCTGGCCGCGTCCGCATCCTCATGCAGGATGAATACAACAAGTTCTCCTGGAGCTTCTTTACCCATCACCGGGGTAACAGCTGGCACGGCAAGGACGCCCATTTGATTTTCTGGGTAAGTGACAACAAAATTCACATTCATCAACGCAATCAAAGGTTCACCCCGCTAACCGGTCTCTAGATGGGTCAGCACTGGCTGTTCCTGACAGTCTGCGGCTTCTGTATCGCCGGAGTCGTGGGCTTCTGCCTCTGGTGGAGCTACGGCCGCATCATGCTCCTTGGAGCCCAGTACCGCTACCGCTACGCCAAGGTCTCCTCCGGCAGCCCGCGCTTGAATTCTCCCACGCGCCACTCTCGCCTCACGATACCCACCATCTTACGCCGTGTCAGCTTCAAAGAAGACGAAGAACAAGGCGGGGTCACAGAGACCTCGTATGAACTCGGTCGCCGCGATGACTGAGTTGCACAATCTGCATTTGTACAACTTGATCCCTTTCTTTCTGTTGAGCGCATATGCATGGCGGCGCGATCCGGCGGGATCCTGGATTGCGTCGCCTGGAGCAATGGGTTTGCTTTCGAGTTGATGTCCTTTTCCCCTTTCCCCTTTTTATTTTGTGTCTATGATTTGTAAACTTTGTTAGAATTTCGCTTCTTGGGGCTGGACTTGACTCTGGCAATATCTCCAGTGGAGAATGATGAAATAATAAATGTCTCTGAACTATACTATATACTTCACTTTGAATGTGCTGGGTTCGTGAGTAGAGGGATATCTTCCTATAATGTCTAGTTCTAGATATCCGTGGACACCTCCAAATCTATCATCTCATAGACACGGTCTATTCCGGAGCTGATGATACATGGATGACCATTCAGTATCAATTAATTGGTATACCAGTCTGTCCTCGTCCAAATCGCCTTGGGCTTTGACATTCGGCACCCAGGACCTGTTACTTGTTATAGCACAACCTGATATCTATTGTATGTACGGAGTACGAGCAGGGATCTAGGATAATAGTGGAGCTAGTCCGTTTGGGGAGAACTATGAAGTAGTTAACAACCGATCTATACTCTGCTGCTCATTTCTTCTCATCCACGACTGTGGGCGCAGAACCTCTTAATCTTGGAAGTGCTGAAATATCACACCCCGGACTGACCCGATATGTTTGTACTAGAACGATTCTATAGGGCGACAAGCGCATTTGTTTACCTGTCCTTCTGGTTTGTGAGAGATCAGGCCGAGGCCAGTCTGCCTCTGCCGCCCTTTCCATACACATCTGATTCTACTCTATGGGGTATGGAATATAGTCTTCGGAGTCTTCTCTTCCATACTTACACACTCCTTGCAGTGGCTCTCGGTTATTGCGCCCTAGCAAGTGTACTACTAGGCACGCGATACCATCAAATTCCCTCTACAGCATCTTCTCCCCATACTCCGCGTACAGGTATGCTCTGTGAACTTTGCATATTCAAGAAGTGGCGTTGGGATCATTCGGTACAACCTGACACGTCTGAACGCCCGCGTTTCAGAAGCGAAACCCTAGTTCCTCCAATGACAGCTCTCGGGTGCCTTGCATCATAAGAACATCAACCAGATCCTTTGCGCCAAGCTTTATAACTGGCTGTATCATATTGCCCTGGTTGTTCTTGGTTGAGCTTGTTTCAGTACGGAGCACTTTGAACCAGTCATCTTGTTCCTTGGATGTTCTTTGAGATCCGTCCATCTAACATACTTTGCAGCGTAGCATTCTCCGCGTCTAGTCTATGTCATATGCACATACTCACCAAGTTTACTTCTCCCTTTGTCCCATTGGCATTGTACATTGCAAGCCCTTGTTTCAGCTCGCCCCCGTTGAACATGTAGGAGATCTATAAAGACGATCTTGGGTCTCACTGTCTACACTTTGATACTACAGCCCAGGACCACCTTCTCAATACCAAACTATCGCAATTCATCAGAGCCTTATCACAATTTCTCAAATCTAAAATCAAAATGAAACTCCTCCCTCTTACCTTCCTTCTAGCCCTAACCACCGCGGCTCCCATCTCGACCCGCGACACCTTAACAGAGGCCCAACTGATATCCATCGCCCCTAAATCCTCCTCCTGCGATGATGCCCCCGCCGAAGGCGAATGCGCAACAGCCAAACAAGCCGCGCAGTTCACCTCCCAATCTTTCGACACCTACAAGGTGACCTCGAAAGCCGAACAAGCAGCCGTGATCAGTCTGATGGCGTTCGAGAGTGACGACTTCAAATATAACAAGAACCATTACCCCGGTGTTGCCGGTCAAGGAAGTAAGTTTCAGTTGCTCCATATAGCCCGCCAAGTATAAAAACTTACAGATCCAGCGCGCAATATGCAATTCCCTGAATTCAACAAGAAATACGCAGCCTCGATCCCGGCGCTGAAGGACAAGATCGCTGGCGTTTCGGACCCGGCAGATCTGCTGGATCTGTTGAGGAATGATGGAGCCACTGACTTCGGGTCCGGGGCTTGGTTCCTTACTACGCAGTGTTCTAAGGATGTGCGCTCGGCGCTGGCCGATGGCTCTGAGGCCGGGTGGCAGAAGTATACCACCGAATGCGTGGGAACAACGGTCACCGATGATCGAAAGGCGTACTGGCAGAGAGCTGTCAAGGCACTTGGAGTATGAGTTGTAAGACAGCATAGTTCAAGGGCAAGGCGGTTTATTTAGATTTGAAGCTGGTCTTCAACACACGACCGGCGCATGGAATGGAAATATGGACAAATCCCGCAAGATCAACGCCCTCTATGCATAAACTTTTGATTTCTTCTGTTTTTGTTTCTTGTAACCCGCTTTACAAAACACCCTTGGTGCTAACGACGTCACCGGCACCAACGTCGCCAGCAACACGGCGCTTACAGGCGTTGCGAATAGCCACAGCAAGCGCCTTGAACGCGCTCTCTGCGCGGTGGTGGTCGTTATCACCATATGTGCAACCGACGTGCAGAGTCACGCCAGCGGCCTGCGCAAAGCTTTGCAGACCGTGGGTGATCATCTCGGTGCTCAGATCGCCGATCTTCTCGCGCTTGAAGCCCAGGTCGATAACTGCCCACGGGCGGCTGGACAGGTCAATGACAGCCCAGGAGAGGGCTTCGTCGAGCGGGGCGTCACCGCGGCCGAATCGCTCGAGGGATTGACGAGCACCCAGTGCTTGCGTGAAGGCTTCGCCGAGCGCGAGGAATGTGTCTTCTGTGGTGTGGTGGTCGTCGACTGGTTGAGTTAGTATGTGGACTTCGTAGGGGTGGGGCTAGAGGGATATGAACGTACTGTATAGATCGCCCTTCGCGCGGACTGCCAGACTCATGCCGCCGTGCTTGGCGAGAGCGTGCAGCATGTGGTCGAGGAAACCGATGCCGGTGCTGATGGTGATTTGCTGGGTTGGGGTGAATTGGGTGGCATGTTTGGCGTCTTTGTTAGGGAGGATGCCCTTTTTGGCGGCTTCGGCTTCTTGGGGGTCTGTTGGAGCGGGGAAGTGGGTTGAGGGTTCGTAGGGAGGGAGGACTCCGCCGTCGAGGGAGAGGGAGATCTGGATCTTGGTTTCGTTGGTTGCGCGCGAGATGCTCGCGGTACGGGTGGTGAGAGACATGGTGTTGCAATTGACGTTGAGTGCAAGTTCGCAATGGCGGAGGTCCAGCGATATCGGTAATCGCTTTTTGGTTTTATCTGAGTCGCCCGAGTGGAGAATCGTTGTTCCGTGGTGCTTCCAGGGCCGGCGACTCGGGGTTTGCGACATTGCCTGTTGGAACTTGAAGACACTGGCTGGTCCAGAATTGTCATAGCTGTTGAATCTCTGCTGAATTGAGCTGCAGAGTGATCCTCAACGAGACTCAGTACAGGACTCTTGTCTCTACTCCGTACTAGTCATCTCATCTCGGAATTCCGGCTTCGATAAGGCCTATACAATCCAATCGACTCGATTTCCTTCTTGCTTGTCAATCCTTAGTCTTTTGTTCATTGTCCGATACCATGTCATCACCAACCTCCCGAAAAGGCGAGAATGAACCGCCCGAGGAAATCCCCTGGGTGGCCGCTCAGGGCTTCATGACCGGCGTGTTCCGCGTAAGAGAACCCCCAAGTCCTCAACTCCTGCACGAGGACTGACAGAGTGCCAGTTCGGCTCCGTCTCCATTCTAGCACATATGATCTTGAGCCTCCCGCACCCATTTGTCTTCTCCGCACCCACTCCCCCGGCCCACCCCCTCCACGCAACCCCGTCCCCGACTCTCCATCTTCTCCCGCGACTACATCCGCTCCCGACTCTTCCACCGTCCCATAGAAGGATTCTCAAGCTGGATCTCTCCCGGCTCCCGAATCTACCGGGGTCTGACACCGCAATTCAAGGTCTTTATCCAGGTTGGAGCTATGACCCTCGGCGGGTGTATCTGGCAGGAGAAGCGGGTGACGGAATACATTGGTCTGGTGCGGGACCTCAAGCGCGCCGAGCGGCAACAGGCGGAGCGGGAGCAGGGGAATCGTCGATGAAAGACGTCATGGTCGAATATTGGGTGATGTGAATTTGAATTTAAGATCCCTCATCTCCGAGTCTCATTTCCCTAGTCACTAGTTCGGGGAATGGAGCCTGGAGCATGGAGCCCCGTTCGAGGATCCAACGCGATGACGCCAGTCTGGGGAACACATTTCCCCTGGCCCTGTCGATCTATTGGGATCTCCGTTCGCATAGGCCCGAGACGTCAATGAATGCGAGTGTCGATCTATGGAGCGAGTCCAGTGTCGATCAAGGGATGTGTGAGCAGTGAGTACGGAGTACTGAGTACTCCGTACTTGAAACTCGATTGCAGCGAAGCAGAGAAGAGGAAGTACACAAAGAAGCATAAGCCTTGGCGAGCACCATACTACAACAGGAGTAGCTCCAAGCTTTTACTGTACGTTCAAGTACCAGGTACATGCCAGTAATAATCCTTGTAGGAAGCTGCATCATTAGCCCTCTCACCCTCTCAGCCTATAGGTCTATTTGGTCTCCAGGTCTAGCTGCACACAGCAGTGGAGAACGCCTCTTACGTGGCTAAGAGATCGAATGCGGTTGGATATGTCGCGAATGTCTGTGGGGTTCGAAGAAGATCTAATAAAATGAGGTCTTACTATTGCATGGGATTATTCACGTAGTTGTCTTAGAGAACTACTGGTTAGGTGAATTAGTGAATTAGTGAATTAGGTCCTATTTCTTACTTCTAGCTTCGACCCAATTTTAAGTATTCAGGAATTGATTCAGACAGTCCAACTTGAAACATTTCTGCTTACCAGTTGGCCATCGCCCTCTCAATTACTACTTCCGTCCATTCTCCTTCTTCCACTTTAACTCCAAGTGTTCTTCTCTGCATTCGGAAATACCCGATCTACCCCCTTGATCCTCCACGGGGTAAGAAAAAAAAAAAAAAGGTGACAGGTCTGCAAGCATCAACTTGCCACCTCGTTGACGGGTGACGATAGTCCCGCTTTGGGCGTGTCTGGCAATTGCCTTCTCATGGCGCCGTGACAGTCTGTATGTGCAACCTTCCCCTCATCCGTTCTCCGCTCCATCTCCTCGCTCTTCCTCTTCCTCTCTCGTCATCATGTTGATTTCATGCTAATTGACCAGGACGTTGAGGTCGATAAGCTCTTAATCCCCTCACTTCTCTCCGACTCGCCGAGATGGCTGAAATGATCGGCAAACGAGAGCGGCGAAAGAGCCTGAGCATGTTCAGTCCATCCCTATCGACCCCCGCCCGCCCGCCGCTCCATGATCGAACGCCCTCGGACGATACCCTGACGCGAGAGAAGAAGGTCCGTCGAAATTCCGGCTTCTTTAGCCGCTCACACACAATCGAGTTCGATGGATCCAATCCGCGCACTGGCACTGCAGAGTCCGACACCGCTGCTTGGTCTGCAGCAGTCCATGCACCTTCACCGATTGAGCCCCCTCGCCCGCGCAGGAAGTCCTTGCAGAAAAAGCGAACCTCTGTTTTTGGTTCCTTAAAGTCCCTTCATTCATGGGAGGACGACGAACCACTCAGCGCCTCTATTGCCTCGATGGATGATGGAACTATGCCCGCTCCCCGAAATGGGATCTGGTCATCGACAATGCTCCACCACGGGGAGGTGCAGACCACGGGAGGCATGTGGAGGAAGAAGAGTCAATATCTGGTCCTGACCGATACGCATATCATTCGTTTCAAGAACCAAAGCAAAGCTGCAGATGTCTTTCCATCAATCCCCGCTTCCTATACACGACCTCCGGCGTCCCACCGCCAATCGGTGGCCTCCATCAGCTCATTGCAGGATATGACACAGCTGGCCTCGGGAGATGCCACCGCGGGGATTCCACTGAACAGTATAATTGCAGTTTACATGCTGGAGGATGCTCGCTTGTCGCCCTCGGTTGAAGTAGCCTACCTGGATGAGCGCACCCACAAAGCAACACTCGTACAAATGCAGACCTCCGATCTGCAGGATCTCAATCTGTGGATGGTAGGCATCCGACAGGCTGCTCACATCGCAAGGGCAAACTGTCCCATGCCCTTCAGCAGAGGTTCCGTCGAGTATGTCACGCGGATGTTGGAGCACGAACGAGATTACGACCCGGAGGCATTCCGCATGTTCCGGGTTATTCAAATCGCGTCCAGCAAGTCGATCACCCGTTCTTCGTCTGACGATCTGACCAAGCTTTCGCCCACGGGTTGCTATCTCGCCATTGGCTCCCACAAGCTTCATCTCCTGCCCATGCAGAAGACCGCCAATCGATCTTCCGTCGTATCCCTGTCTGACTGGGAATCAGCCACTTCCTTTGGTCTGATGAATTTGACTGGTCTGTCTATGGAATATGGCGACGACAGCCTGCATCTCACTTTTAGGGTTCCCTTGAAGAAACAGTACAATGTGTATCTGGCTTCGGTTCACTCCGTTGAAGTTGCTTGCTGGATCCGCCAGCACACCGAGTACCTGCGTCCCTTGTGGACCAGACAGTCGTACGAATTCGTTGTGCCGAAAGAATTGCAGAATGAAGAAAACTTCCCGCCTGTCCCTCTGGACGAGGATTACGGATGCTTTGACCGCACGCTGGTCGCATACTCGGCCAGCTACGATATCGACACTTCAAACATCCGATACACAATCGACCTGGAATGTGAGGATGCTCCTTGCTTCCGTTTGCTCAAACCTGCTTCTTCGAAATCCCCGCGTTACACGGCCTTGGAGCTGATTGCGGTGATGCGCTCGCTTCGCTACAATGAGTTCTTCCAGTCAATCTCGTTCCGTGGTGTCAATCTGGATGCATTGCAAGGGTTGCGTGATATTCATGGTGTCGACTCAGACGTCCACCTCGACCGAGGTGGCACGTTCGTGCACATCCCAGGCCAGCAGAATCTGACTGTGCTCTCACAGGAAGTTCGCGCCCTGGCCCTCAAAAGCAAGTGGTTGCGCCGGCTGGACTTTTCATACTGCCTCACGAGAGTTCCGACGCCGACTCTGGAGAAAGGCACTCGGGATCCTGGTTGTGGGATTCCGGAGGCCATCTTCCCCGTGTGTCGCCGAGAATTGACTCGCGTTGACTGGGTCATTCTCAATGGTATCAAGCTTGGTGAATCAGATCTAGACTACCTTGTTGATGCTGCATCACAAAGTCGGAGTCACTTGCGAGCTCTGGAAGTTGGAGATTGCGGACTATCTGTTCACGATTTGGATCTCATTCTGTCGACAATTGTTGCTCAAGAGTCGACACTCGAGGCAATCAATATTTCCGGTGTGCAAGGTCGACTGAATCCCGACGTTCTCCAGCAATATATTGGGTATTTTGGTCAGATCCGGAAAATCAACCTGTCCCGCATCTCACGAACCTCTGGCACCGATCCTCTGATTACGGCAGAAATGCTATTCAACTGGCGGCTTGAAGAGTTGGCTCTTAGTCGGACGGTGATCAACCGCGAAACTGTAGATGCCCTTGCCACATATTTGGCCAGTGAACGGTCTCAAAATCTGCGTTCGATTCGACTTGATCAATGTGGTCTCACCGGTGAAGACGTTGCTATGTTTATGCATTCAATGACCGCCATGTCCAGCGCGCCGCGGAGTCTGCATTTGCACGTCAATGAGAATCGCTTGGACGATGGATGCTCCCATATATTCAACGCCATTGCCAAAAACCAGACTCCCTCGCATTTGTCAATGCGGATGATTGATTTCAAGAAAGAGGATCATTTCCGTGAACTGGTGGATTCCCTCCGGAAGAACGCCACTCTCCAATTTTTGGATATTTCCAAGGCTTCTCTTCCTTACGATGCTAGTCCCGAGACTTGCCGCTCTTTGCAATTGATGCTTGAAGACAATGAGACTCTCGAGGCTCTAGACATCAGTGGAGACAATGCTCATCTCGACGTTGCGCGGTTTGGTATTGGCCTCAACCTTGCGTTAACCGGGTTAAAGAAGAACAAGTCTCTCAAGGTTCTGAAGATTGAGCATCAAAAGCTGGGTCTACAGGGTGCTAATACTCTTGCCTCCGTCTTGGAGGAGAACGACTCGCTACTCGAGGTGCATTGTGAGAATAATGACATTAATCTCCAATCATTCACCGTGTTAGTGAATGGGCTGCAATGCAACCGCTCACTCCTGACGCTCTCGTGCATGGATAGAGACCGAATCCAGTCGTTAGAAAAGGTACGGAGAGAGGTTGACAACGTTCGATGGGAAGCCAGCAGCAGTCAGACTTCCACCGCCAACTCGATCCGTCGCTCTCTTTACGCAGCGATGACTGTTGGCCAATCGCAGTCCGGTCACCGGCTGCACAAGGCGCCGCCGCCTGCTGTTGCCTCCTCTCTGGAAGCGTCTCCATTCGCCAATCACAACGTTGAGCTCGTTCTGGAGTCCTTGAATGGCAAATGGGATTTGGAAGTTAGTCGACTCCGTCGATACCTCCAACGCAACTACAACATTGCCCATGGGCTCGAAGACGCCGATATGGATGACTCGGCCAGTGACGGGCGCCCTGCAACAGCAGCGAGCCTGGGCACAATGCTTGACAACCTCAAATTCGACGTTGCCGTGTCTACCGACGAGATCAAAGCACCAGCAGAACCAACCCCCATCCTTCTCGCCGAACCCTCAGAAAGCCGCCCCGTATCCCCAACCAACATCACGATCTCAAAACGCAGCTCATCCAAACCCCGTCCGCACACAGCTCGCGCAGGCAATTCCCACTCCTCTGGTTACAGCTCAACATCCACGCAAAGCTCCCGCCTCGCCATCCCAGTCTCGCCCGTCCCAGCAGTCCCGCCAATCCCGGCATCCGTCCGAAAAGCAAATAGCGTCCGCAGTGCCCGCTCCTCCACAAGCACCGTTTCCACAGGCACAGGCAGCGGTCGAAGCGCCTACGGCACCGCCTCATCCACCCTCCGCGGATTCCTCAGCGGCTCAGCATCCCGCGAACGCCGCCGCGCAGAATCCCGCAAAGGCTCTAGGGAATCCCGCGAGTCAAAGGAAATCCGGGAACCGTCACGTCCTGCTGTCGTCTACGCAAATGAACCTGCTCCGAAACTTGACTGGGCTCCTCCAAAGATCGATTGGGCTCCTCCCAAAATTGATCTGGACGAGTTGCACTAAAAAAAAAAAACCAACAAAAAAAAAACATTAAACTAAAATTGTACAAACTGTACAGACATCAGGCTTATATACGAGTCTTCTATTTTTTCCTGTTCATACTCACTTTTTGTGCCCTTCACACACATCCTTGGTCCTGATACCCTGGCGTTCATACTTTGCGGTCATCATGCGGCGTTTTAAATTTATTTCTTTTCCTTCTTTCTTGCTTTCTCGTGTCCAAGAACATCGTTTCTTGTGACCTTTTTCTCGGGGTGGTCTTATTTTTTTTTTCCTGCACTCTTTTCATGGCGTGCATCTGGCTTGAGGTGGTGGTGTTAGCGATTGGTTTGAGGGAGGGGGGTTGCTGGATAGCTATGAATCCATTCTTTTCTCATTTTGGAATTTTCTAGCTATCCATGTTTAAATACACGTAGGGCTATGGGTAGGACGATGTTGTAGTGGCTTCATTTGGATCCTAGCATATGCGCCAAACCTCTACTGACTAGTTTAGGTCTGGGATACTCCATTCTAGATGAGCACTCCAAGACATACCTTGAATGAATGACTTCCAATGAACAGTACATCTATCCCTCGTAGCGCTAGAAACAACGCCAAACTATTCCCCACTAACGACACAACAGCCCTGGAGCCAGACCTGTTTCCAAGGCAAGAGAGTGTTCAGAATCAATGGATTGATCCTTGTATGCTTTCGAGTCCGTATTCTCTTCCCTAGGTCGAGAGCCGAAGGTGCCAATTCGTCAACAAATCTCTGTCCTTTACAAGTTGATGTTCGCGGCATCCAAGTTCAATAGCCCTAACTAGTTGAGTGATAGCGGTTCAGTGAGAGCTCGGAAGCGAGTGGGGGTGGAACTCATACACTTGCTTATTGCCATCACATTTTACCCTCACCAAGTCGGCTTGTCCCACCTAGCAAGACTGAATCCCGAATGGGGTCCTCATTTGAAACAACCAAAGAAGACCGAGACCCGACTAGATAGGCAACAAGGCAAGACAAAACTGATAGAATGAGAAAAATGAGGGTTAGATGATGGCAAAAGATAGAGCTCGTAGTATTATGTGTAAGAATTTCTTGGGAAGGCATGGTATCATACTAGGAACCTTGGAATAACCTTCAAACTTTGGGGCAGCTACACCGACACATGGACTAGCAGTAAGTGTAGGAAAATGGACATCCATGGATATCTATACGAATAGCTACAAAATGGGGCCCTTTAATATAGGTAGCACTGTGAGTGTTGGAGTACTACATGAGTCACAAAGAATGACATTGGATCTACAAGTACATGCACATTAAAATTCCAACTTGAAAGAGACACTTGTATGAAAACCTGAAGATATGGAATATGGTGATTTGCTTATGACTGACGGCATGTTTTCATCTAGCTTTGAGAGTAGAATTTGTAGGGCATCATAAGACAACCTTAGAAGCTCCATTGTCTGGAACCTAGATGTGGTTCCTTGTAACATAGCGACACCGTGTGTGAGGTAGTTCTGGCGCTCTCCGGCAAGCTCAAGGTAAAGTCCTGTAGTATCTCTCCCTCCGAATCCTTCGCCCGTGAGGCATGAAAAGCAACAGGAGTTCACTGCCCTCTGACTCATGGATTGGCAGGCTTGATAATCTTCAAAGCATTGTATATTGGATCTCTGTAAATACCGGACTGACCCCCTCGGTAACTGGGCTTTATAATGTTGAGGATCGACCTGACTTGATGAAGCACAACCGCCCCAAGCTTTGGGTAAAGTTGAGTTTCCTTCGCGAATTTAGAGCGAGCACCGCCTTCGACAATTCCGGCAGCCAAGACCTGCGCCAATTTGACAAAAGTAGGGTGGCTGGGTGGTAGTTGGGCAGCTGAACGGACGTGCTCGGATGTGATGTGTTTGGTATGGGGTTGCTCCTCGTTGCGGTTGCTAACTATGGTCATAACGAATTTGGTGACCAGTTTGTCGTGGATCGTGGTGATTCCACACATATCACAGAGTCTTGCCAGCTCAATTATGGCTGAGATCCGATCACTAGGTTCCGCAATGTCGAACAGCAATCGACCAGTGTAAAGCCATAGCACCAGACGTTCAAAGCCTTGTTCAGAAATGACCCCGTCCACGGCCCCCATAGTTGTCGTCTGGGTTTCGGATTCGAGGAAGTTTCCCTCAAACATGACGGTGAAGTACGGCGAGATCTTGCAGAGAAGGCGTCGTGAGACTGGGATCTCGTAGGAACCGTTGCTGATGCGAATCTTGACCTGCGGGCCGCAAAGGACTCTGAGACGAATGTCAATTTCTATCACTTTTCATGGATGAAGAACTCACTCCTCGATAAATGAATGGGGAGACATTTCCTCCATCTTGAATGTGATGTATAGAGAGAGAAGAAATGGTTGGGATCGTAGACGGTGTAATGTAGCCTACCAAAAGCTGCTTCAAATGATGAAGAAGAGGTGGGAGAAAGAGAAGAAGGGAACGAATGGAGGCTTTTGTAGAGAAGCCATGCCAGGACAATATTCATGGATGATAGTCCAGATATACACAGGGCTTGGCTTGTTTATTTACTGAGAATGAATAGAATCACTTGGGCAGACTTAATCTTTTGGAGTTCTTAATTTACGTCCGAGTTGACGATCATACTACTTCTAAAGCGTACACTCCTACACTGCTGATGGGAAGAGTTACAATGTTTGCTCGTCTCTACGATCTCATTAGAATGACTTCTCTTTGCTTCTTTTCTTTCGCCCGTTTACCTCTGGCTAGAGCTCACCTGTTTCTCATTCTTCTGTAGAAATGACCTGACTCGAGATCACAGTCCTCATTCCCTTCTGCATCGAAATCCGCACACGGGTGAAAAGTAACCATGTGGGCATGAAATATGACTAGAGAATTCCATATTTGAATTCATATTGAAAAGCCAGTGAGCAGCTTACGGCTTTTTCTTTTTCTCGGGTATTGAATTGGTCTAAGTATTCTTTAAATCTCACTCTTTGATTGTCGGCGGCTATAGACTGGGATCGCAAGCCTCGGCTACCAAGGGCGCCTAGCAAAACAGTTCTATTCGGAGACAAAAAGGAAGGCGTGACAACCTAGGAAGCGTGTCGCTCATCATGACACTTGGATTGGATATAGGAAAGATGTCCAGGTGGTAACTATTTCCAAGGTTGTATGTAGTTTCAGGGTTGAGTATCCGTGCGGGCGAGGTATATTTCCAGCCTTTATGATATCTTGGCCCTTCTCCCCTTTGGGTAGACAACATAATCTTCAAACTTGACTCTTCAAGATATTCTATCTTCACCTTCCAAATACCTGACCTTGGAGTTCACTGGATTGTCTTCGGACCTGATATCTCATGGCTCCCACTATTCCTCTGGAGCCTCTTCATCGAAGCCGAAAACGACGACGACAAAACCATCATTCAGGTCCTCGGCGCGCGTCAGCGATATTTCCCTGAAATAAGGGAACGGTGGGATCCACGCCGCCTGGACTCCCTTCTCGAACTCCTGCCTCTTTGCAAGATTGTGGAGGTACTTCCAAGGTTATCGTAGATCTTCTTGGGAATTTGTCTCATCGATCTTGGAGGCGATTCGCAACCTTGAAATTTCATCGTACAATGGATGTTAGCAGTCCCTTGGAGAGGACAAATTCCCGGTGGCCTCGTTAGAGTAGAATGACGATACGTCAAGAACAAAGAAAAGAATGAATATGCCGTATATAATTGAGATTTCGAAATTCAACGCAACAAATTCTAACAGAAACACAACGCGAAACAACTAATGTACAAAGATGATGCAAGAGGGGGAAACTATATATTAATGTACAACCTTGGAATGCCCATCTCCACCGATCTAACCAGACTTCCGCGAAGTCTCGTACTCAATGATGCCCTCCTCTGCATCTTTCAGTTTCTCCTTCTCGCGGAATGCTCGACCACGTTGGGTGATACTGTCCAAAAGCTTCAGGTAGGTGTCTCTTTCCCCGGTTTCGTCATCTCCCGTCCTCAGCCAGGTATCTGCGCGGCGCTTCTTCATCATTCTCAGAAGGGCCTTGCCCCTTTGAGCGTCCAGTTCGTTGAGCTCATAGGACACATCCCATTGATCCTTGGCTCTCAGGTTCTCGGGACGGTCCACGATCCTTCCGTTCACCTTGTTCTGAGTGATGAGAGTCATGGCTAGAACATCACCATCGGCCTGAGCGTCCGGTTGGTTTTCAGCATCCTCGTTGACTGGGGTTTCCTCAAAGGTGGGAGGTTCTTCTGAGGAATTATCCGAGCCGAGATCCATGACTTCAGAGAGAGGCTGGTTGGGGTTGAAAAGACGATCATTGAACGCGTCGATCTCGGCCTTGTTCTTTGTTTGGATAGCGCGGATCTGCTGGTCCGTGACGGGTTCGGCAAAGATGTACATGAAGGGCGTCGAGCCCTCGCGTGTCTCGAAGTGGAAGCGCAAAGACTGTTTCGGGAACTTTTCTGTGGCTCTGTCCATGATCTTCTCCCATAATCCTAGACTGAGCTCAAACTCTCTGTCTCCGAGAATGGTATTGTTCTGACCGTGCAGGGACTGATCCATCTCTGGCAAACTGATGTACTGGAAGCCGAAAATCCGCTCAATGTTGTGGTATGCAACGAAAATACCATCCATGCGGCCGATACGTACTTGCAGGGAATATTTTAGGAACGCGGCGCGGATCATGTCAAAGTATTCGCGTTCGAACGACTCGTATGTACCAAAGCGATCTTTGATCTCATATCCCATTCCGTTTTCGTGTTGTCTGACATCCATGCGGATTGAGACAACTGCGCGTGTCTTCAAGTCATACATACCAGTTCCTGGTAACCTGGGGTCATAGGCATCCAATTGGGATCGCATCAGGAAATTACCAGCACCAGTGAAGTGATAGGATTCAGGAATGGCACTTTCTTCTTCAGCGTCGATCTTATTTGGGCTGGAACGACGATAACGCTCAAACTCCTCCTTTGGAAGGGTGAGCATCTTTTCCATGGACTTGCCCAGGTTGGCGAGAATGTTAGCACTGTCATACTCTTTGTCGGCATCAATAGCGTAAGTATCTTCCTTCTCCTTATAGTGAAGGAACATGGCTGCTGGTGCTCGGAGAAGACGGGTGAAATTGCGCAAATTTTCCGGGAAACCGCTGGACATCTGGCGAACACTGACAGGACGCCATGCAGAGAGAAGATAATGGAAATGAGAGAGAACCGAGGTCATGCTCGAGGAAGAGCCGAAGTATTTCTTCTGGTGCTTCGCGGCCATTTCGAGCGCTGTCACGTCCTGAGACGAGGTGATGTATGGTTTGAGGGAGCTGTAATCAAATTCTGAAACGGGCATCACCTCGCCTAGGTAAGGATCGAAGTTATAAACGCGAGAGCGAGGATCACGCAGCTGATAAACACCGGGACTGAAATATGTTAGCATATTGAGTTGGAAACATGTGTAGTAATATCAACTCACTTGAAGAGAACCCGATCAAGCCCAAAGGAGAGACCGGGGACAGGGGCCATGGGTGCATCAAGCGCTGGAACCAAGTGTTAATGTTGGCAACGTTTCTCTCGTGGTATGCAAGAAGTACTTACCAACCAGACTCGATTGCTGGGGGGACAGTTGTCCGCGATGCTTAGTCTCGATGTACCTCGCAATATGTTTGAGTGCTTCCCTCTGGTTCTCTGGTTCATCCTCGTTGAAACTCGCGTCCGCTGAAGCCAGAGATTTCTGTGCATCCGGCGATAAGGCAGGTGCATTTTGGGAACTGCTAGCCAATATCTGTGACACAATATCCTGCTTGTAATCCAAAATAAGCCGTGGAAGTTCTTCTGTCTCGCTCGATTTGCTTTTTGCTAAGTTGCTTCCCGACACTGGAGTCATGATGTCTTGTTCAGCAGCCGGTGACTGCAAGTTCTCTTCCGGTTTCTTCTCTCCACTTGCTGCTGAATTGCTCTCCAACACTCGAGTATCGATGTCTTGTTCAGCAGCCGGTGACTGCAGGTTCTTTTCCGGTTTCTTCTCTCCGCTTGCTGCTGAATTGCTCTCCAACACTCGAGTATCGATGTCTTGTTTAGTACACGGTGACTGAGAGTTCTCATTCGGTCCTTTCTTTGCGTCCTCTGCTGAGCCCTCTGCTGAATTGCATTCCCCTGATTGGGTATTCAAGTCTTGAGCCGCGATGTTTTGTTGCGGGGTCGAGCCAAGGAGCGCCATGACTCTGACATTTTCTCTGAGGCTGGTCGCGACTTGGCGCCATCTGCCGCGACTTTCTGACACTTCTTCACCCCGTAAAACCCTCTCCCTATCAGCTTGGAGGGATTCGCGCACGATGTTGGTTTTTGAAATGTATTTTTGCGAATTCTGCACACTCGCCTCTGTTTCGCGGATGCGTGTTTCCATTCCAATATCCCGTTGATTTACATCGGTTGCGTTGTTTAACAAGGCAAGCAATTGATGCCCGGTCTCTAGTGCCGCTTTTTCGGACCGGGAGAGGCATTGGGCTGCTTCCAACGCATCATCCAAAAGTTCCAGTCGTTTCTTCTTAATATTATGCACCACCTGTGGATCCGGTGTCCAATTTTCCAGGCAGTTGGTCAAAGCATCGTATAACAAAGCCCTATCTTGAGCTCGTTGAGTTGTCATCTGTGCAGCCTGGGCGCGAAGTGGGCGGAGCACTTTCTAGATCCAATGAGTCAGTTCCGGTTCTGAGGTTAATGAATCATCCGATTCAAGGAAGCGATTGTGGCTGACCCTTCTTGCTTCAGGTGTAGTAGGTAAGAACGGGTTCAGTTGCTCAACAGGAGATTGCACTTGTGCCGACTGGTCCTGTGTCGGTTAGTCTCCATTCCGCGTCTGTTGGGTGATGGGCGCAAACCTTTGATGGAAATTCAATTGAAAACCTAGTTGATGCGCCAGTAGGTTCAGCATCGGGGCTGGTATTAACCGACCATAATGCGGACGGACGGTGGAGTTGGCGCGAAATGGCCGCACCGCGCGTCAAAGAGGAAGGACCGCATCGACCCAAAGATCCCACGATGGACCGTGAGCTGATGCGAAACATCCAGGCCAGTAGTCAAAGCGAGTGCGGGTTATCGAAGAACTAAGATTGTGCAGTATGAAGGCAATGAGAGCAATCTCCGAAGAACCAAACACTCCGGGTTTTTTTTCTGCCAGCTGGCCAAGAAGATAAGACTCACCGCTCTGTTATCCTTTTGTGCCTGAGGTGTCCACCGAAATGTTCCTGCAAGTGACTCGATCTATACTTGCTCCGGCAGCGAGCGTTTCCGATATTGGAATGCCTCTATGCATGGGTAGCGAATACTTTCAAAGCTCTAGAGAGGATTGAACAGCTGTATCAGGCATCACACCTTTCGAATGAAAATTGGCCACTATGGGATTGTACAGATTATATACTGTTCGACCGAAATTAGTACGTGAAAGGGCTGAAAGAAGCATACTGGGTGTGAAGATACATAGAAACAAATCAATCTCAGTATATATAGAATATTAGAAATATCACCCCAAAATACATGGACTAAGTAGTAAAGACCGACAATGGACACACTCCAAACCCCGAAGTCGCAGAAATTCTGGGGGGACGGAGAAACACCGCAGCCGGGAAAAAAAGTTTAGACTTCAACTTCTTGAGAACTTTCGACTCCCACACATACTGCAGTTCTTGAGCTGTCGAGGTAAGATATGACCCTTTTTGGCTATCTGCAAGGCTTCTAGATGTATTTTCTCTTGCAATGAGTGATTTGCATGTGCCCTGACTCACTTTTCTATGGAGGGGCATACCCCGCGGAAGTTCCCACACTAACACTTCTCCAGTCACTCGACTGCCCTTACCATGGCTTCCGAACAATTGCGCATTCTCATCGTCGGCAATGGTGGCCGTGAGCATGCCTTCGCCTGGAAGTTGAGCGAGTCCCCCCTCGTCGACATCGTCTACGTCGCCCCCGGAAACGGTGGTACTGGTCTGGGTGCCAACAAGAAGATCACCAACGCCAATGTCAAGGGTGACGACTACCCTGGCCTCGTCGCATTCGCACAGCAGAACCAGGTGAACCTTGTGGTTCCTGGTCCCGAGGCCCCTCTCGTGGATGGCATTGAGGGCTACTTCAAGGCTGGTGAGTCAATCTGAATCTTTTTGCTGTCTTGGGACAACATGGCTCAGATCCGTTCTAACAACTCCTCTCCGAACAGTCGGCATTCGTGTCTTTGGTCCTTCTAAGGCTGCGGCCCGCATGGAGGGCTCCAAGACCTTCTCCAAGGACTTCATGCAGCGCCACCAGATCCCCACTGCCGAGTTCGGAAACTTCTCTGACTACGAGGCTGCCCGCCGCTACCTCGATTCGGTCTCGCACAACGTCGTGATCAAGGCCGACGGTCTTGCTGGTGGCAAGGGTGTGATCATGCCCACAACAAAGGAAGAGGCCCACCAGGCCTTGAAGGAGATGATGGTGGACCACCAGTTTGGCAAGGCTGGTAACGAGGTCGTTATCGAAGAGTGCTTGGAGGGTGACGAGCTGAGCATTCTCACCTTCAGCGATGGCTACACCATTCGCTCGCTGCCCCCGGCGCAGGACCACAAGCGCATCTTCGATGGTGACCAGGGTCCCAACACTGGTGGCATGGGCTGCTATGCGCCTACGCGCATTGCGCCCAAGGAGGTTGTCGAGGAGATTGACCGCACCATCATCCAGCCTTCCGTTGACGGAATGCGCAAGGACGGTTTCCCCTTCGTCGGTATTCTTTTCACCGGTCTCATGATGACCAAGAACGGACCCAAGGTCCTTGAGTACAACGTCCGTGGTGGAGACCCCGAGACTCAGACTCTGCTGCCCTTGCTCAGCAAGGACACCGATCTGGCACAGATCATGGTGGCCTGCGCCGACCACTGGCTGGACGGTGTCTCCCTCAAGATTGAGCCCAACTTCTCCACCACCGTCATTGCCGTTGCCGGTGGTTACCCCAACGCCTACGCCAAGGGCAAGGTCATCACTCTGGCCCCCGAGCCCGCCGGAACCCTCATCTTCCACGCTGGTACTACCCTGTCCGGAAACGAGCTTCAGACTGCCGGAGGCCGTGTGATTGCATCCACTGCCACCGCCGCGACCCTTGAGGAGGCCGTCGCGAAGAGTTACGAGGGCATCAAGACCATCAGCTTCGAGGATATGTTCTACCGCAAGGACATTGCGCACCGCGCTTTCCGTCAGACCGCGGATACCTCGCTCACCTATGCCCAGGCCGGTGTTTCTATTGATGCCGGTAACGAGCTCGTCAACAAGATCAAGAGCTCCGTGGGCCGTACCAAGCGCCCCGGCACTGACGCCGTCATCGGCGGCTTCGGTGGTCTCTTCTCCCTGGCTGCCGCCAACTCCGCCTACCACCCCCACTCGCCCACTCTCATCGGTGCCATTGACGGAGTCGGCACCAAGCTCAAGATCGCCCACTCTGTCGGAATCCACGACACCGTCGGTATCGATCTCGTTGCCATGAACGTCAACGACCTTGTCGTTCAAGGTGCCGAGCCCCTCTTCTTCCTGGACTGCTACTCTTGCGGCCACCTCGACGTTCCCACTGCTGCGGCTTTCGTCACCGGTGTCGCCGAGGGCTGTGTCCAGGCCGGCTGTGCCCTCATCGGTGGTGAGACCGCCGAGATGCCCGGTCTCTTCATTGACGACTCCTACGATGCCGTTGGTGCTGCCGTCGGTGCTATCAACACCACTGGCGACAACGCCCGCGCTATCCTCCCCCACACCGACAACATGCGCGCCGGCGATGTCCTCCTCGCCCTCGGCTCCTCCGGTCCTCACTCCAACGGCTACTCTCTTGTCCGCAAGATCGTCGAGCGTGCCGGTCTGAGCTTCTCCGACCCCGCCCCCTTCTCCATGCCCGGTCTCGAAGACGGTGTTTCCGTTGGCCGTGCCCTCCTCACCCCTACCCGTATCTACGTCAAGTCCATCCTCAGCGCTCTGAACACCCACGGAACCGCTATCAAGGGTCTTGCTCATATCACCGGTGGTGGTCTCGTCGAGAACATCCCCCGTATGCTCCCCTCGACCCTGACCGCTCAGGTCGATGTCAGCACTTGGCCTCAGCCTTCCGTCTTCTCTTGGCTGCAGCGTGCCGGTAACGTCTCCTCCGCTGAGATGGCCCGTGCATTCAACTGCGGTGTTGGTATGATCATCGCCGTTGACCCTGCTTCCGAGGCTGCTATTCGCCAGACCTTCGAGGCTGCCGGCGAGTCCGTCTACCGTGTTGGTGAGCTGCGTGTTCGCGATGCTAGCGAAGAGGGCTGTGTGCTGTCCGGACTTGAGTCTTGGGCTTGATTTCACGATGTTGATGTTAAAATTTTATCTTGATGGCGACGATTGATGCTTTATATACGGATGGAAAAAAATGATTTACTGGGCCGTCTTATAGATTCTTGTTACTTTTTTCTCCTTCCTTCTCCTGGTTCATCGTATTCCATGCACATGCACATTTGTCTTTGCCCTTGAGGCTACAAAATAAGCACTTCGGATTCCCGAAATGACTTGATGCCCGATTTTTCTGTTCTATGCCCTTTGAAATGATACACCCATTGAATGAAATTTCCAATCCCAGAATGAATGCTGAACTATCATAAAAGCGTCCCTAAATCAGAGATGCTCAACCGATCAATCCGTTCCTTCGAACATATCAATTCCCTCGGCAGCCAATCCTGAACTCGTCCCCTAGGAATTCCGGCCTCACTCCGAACCTCCTGATCACCAGCAATCATCAAAGCAACTGCAACACCCGACAACCAAGCAAAAACCATCCCCTCCCCTTGAAAGCCCGCAGAAATCCACTCCGCCCCCTCCCCATTCCCCCTCCCCGTAATACTCTCCTCCAACCTGCCAACAAAAGGCAACAAATCGGGCGTGAACCCCATACATCCAGTCCACGCCTGCTCCACCTTCGACCTCATCTCAAATACCGTCTCCACCAGACCGCCAAGATACGCCCGGATCGAATAACAAAGCCCATCATCCCTCCAGATCCCAAACTCATCAATCCCTCTCTCAGGGGACTGTATCATACCCCCACCAACCATTAACTCGCCCCCGGGCCGCTGGCTTATATAGTCGAATCCGTGCTTGTGGTGGATACACCACGACCTCGAGGCGTCGAAGGCACTGCCCGATTGCGAAGTCATGTGTCCGCGTACAGGGAAGATCTTCCCTTTCAAGCCTGGGATGAGCGTTGCTGCGAACCCATCTGTGGCATGAACGACATGCGAGGCACTTATCGGGCCTCTGGTTGTCGAGACCGTGAAGATATCGGTGTATTCAATCTGTGTTGCGGTCGTATTGGGTGAAATTGCGAAGTTGGGATTTTCAAGTAGAATCGCATACAGCGATGTAATGAACTTGTATGGTGATAGTGCTGCGGCTCTGTACTTGATGATTCCATAGCAGTGTGCTGGATTCACATTGAACTCCTGGATTCTGTCAGTCTCTAGCCTCTTCAGACACAAACACTAGTGATATTTATATAATGTTCATACCTGACACCCCTCCACGCCATCATAAACCACGATATCTTGCACATCTGGCAAATCCTCCTTTAACTCAAGGACCATTTTCTTCGCATCATCCCACATCTTGCTATCAGTGAAGATATCAAGAGTGTCGATCTCTCTTGCCTCCGCCTCGATCCCCAACTCTTCAATCAGCCCTAACAAGAGCGGCATATGCCGTCTCTGATACTCGATGATGTGTTTTGCGCGAGTCCCAAATCTCGCTTTCAGAGATGCATACTCTAGATAAGCGGAGCATTTGATATGGCCTCCGTTGCGGCCTGTTGCGCCACTGCAGACCTCTCGTGCTTCGAGCATCACGATCTTCGAGGTTGGGCATTTCTTTAGTAAAGTGTAGACTATGCTTGCGCCTGAGATACCTGACCCGATGATGACTATGTCGGCTGTGTCCGGGAGGGATTGAGGGGGGAAGTGGAATGGGTCATTTTGCCAGGATGAGGGGGTTGGGGTTGATATAGGGAAACTGGGGGTGTTGACTCGGGATTTGAGATTGTCGAATGAAGTTTTGGATTCGGTGAGTTCGATCTTGAGTGCTTGGATGGTTGAGTAGATATGGGATAGTTTGGAAAGGAGACCCATGTTGGTTTGAAGATGGTAGGAAAGAAAGGATGGTTCAGAAGTTAAAAGTACCCCAAGACTCTACAAAAGAACAGACGGACCAAGATCAATGACTGATATGTGCATAAAAGCTAGTAAATACGAAGAGGCAATTGAATGTAAAAGTCAAAAGTTAAGAGACTACAGACTTTCAATCTGGAGGATACCGCGACAAACCGGGAAACACAAAGCCCAACTCCATGTACAGCCTCAGCTACAAGCCCATTGCGCGAGGCAACATCAAGTCGGGACGGCGTTCGAGAAAAAGAGAGGTCAAAAGCAGATGGATAGGGATTCCGATCGAAGAGATAACAAAAAAGAAAAAAGACCGACTCTATTCCACTAAAAGGTTCCATTTTCAGGCTATCCGCTTGATAATGCGAGTCCAACAACGCTTGCAATCCAGTGCCACCATCCTGCTTTTTGATACACCAGGAAAGTACGAGCGAAGACGAATAAGGCGCTGCTTAAGGCGCTTAGAAGCACTTGCGGTGAACGATCGAAGGACCGGACTCGTCGTACTCCTGCTTGGAGATCCACATCTGCTGGAAGGTGGAGAGGGAGGCGAGAATGGAACCACCGATCCAGACGGAGTACTTGCGCTCGGGGGGAGCGATGATCTTGACCTTCATGGAAGAGGGAGCGAGGGCAGTGATCTCCTTCTGCATACGGTCGGAGATACCGGGGTACATGGTGGTACCACCAGACTGGAAAGAAAGAATGTTGGTTAGCCGGGGGATCACAAAGCAAAAGATGTGCACTCGGGTGGGAAAAGCTTACCATGACAATGTTGCCGTACAGGTCCTTACGGACATCAACATCACACTTCATGATGGAGTTGAAGGTGGTGACGTGGATACCACCAGACTCAAGACCGAGAACGTTCGGCTGGAAGAGAGCCTCGGGAGCGCGGAAGCGCTCGTTACCAATAGTGATGACCTGTCCGTCGGGAAGCTCGTAAGACTTCTCGAGGGAAGAGCTCTGGGAAGCGGTCTGGATCTCCTGCTCGAAGTCGAGGGCGACGTAGCAGAGCTTCTCCTTGATATCACGGACAATTTCACGCTCGGCAGTGGTGGAGAAAGTGTAACCACGCTCAGCCAGGATCTTCATCAGGTAATCGGTCAAGTCACGGCCAGCCATGTCGACACGCGAGATAGCGTGGGGAAGAGAGAAACCCTCGTAAATGGGGACAACGTGAGTGACACCGTCACCGGAGTCGAGAACGATACCGGTGGTACGACCGGAGGCGTACAGGGACAGAACGGCCTGGATGGAGACGTAGAAGGCGGGGGCGTTGAAGGTCTCGAACACGATCTGGGTCATCTTCTCACGGTTGGACTTGGGGTTGATGGGAGCTTCGGTCAAGAGGATGGGGTGCTCTTCGGGGGCAACACGGAGCTCGTTGTAGAAGGTGTGGTGCCAGATCTTCTCCATGTCATCCCAGTTGGTGACAACACCGTGCTCGATGGGGTAACGGAGTGTGAGGATACCACGCTTGGACTGTGCCTCATCACCAACGTAGGAGTCCTTCTGACCCATACCAATCATGATACTGCGATCATGTCAGTGGTTTCTTCTTTGTATATCAAATTGGCTGTATGTGGTGCGTTGACACCGGCCATAAAAAAAACAACAAACAGGGGGAAGAGGATTATTTACCCATGGTGACGGGGACGACCGACAATGGAGGCTAATTAAATTCATCAGTATTTTGATTCCAGACTCTCGAAAGCAATTCCCAATCCCGGCCAAAAAAGAAAGAAACCTTGGAAGGAAAATGGTCCGACGCAAGGAATGGCGGGATGGCCTTTGCGAGGGGTGAAAACGAGGCTGTGGGGTTTGAACTTACGGAAGACAGCTCGAGGTGCGTCGTCACCGGCGAAACCGGCCTTACACATACCCGAACTATATCGCAATTCATCAGTTTCAAGTTCCTCATGGTCTTTGGAGCGCTCTCTGGGCGTTGTGGGTGGTGGTTGGGGGCCATTGGGATGGGATCCAACTGCCGTCGTGGCCGATTAGGGGAAGGTGGCAACGACCGCGACCGAGGACAGATTGACGTCCCAACCCAAACCCAGGCCCAGAAGCTCCAAGAGAATAGCATCTCACATACCCATTGTCAATGACGAGAGCAGCAACTTCCTCTATTGTGAGAGATTCAGGTTAGCATATGCAATTCAGGATGCCGGATACCGAGCTGGCATTAGGGGGAAGCTCTATTGAGCTGAGGCCACAACACGGTAAGGAACAGAAGCACAGCACATACCTTCCATTGTGACGGATTAGATTATGAACCTGAAGAAAAAGAAAAGAAAGATGGAATGGAGAGAGTATAGTTGGGATTAGGGGAAGGGAAGAAGGAAGAGAGTGAGAGAAGTGGAGAGGGGTTTGTGATGGCTGGGATTGTGCGCTGCCTGAGGCTCTCCTTTTTCCCCTCCGATCTACCTTTTTTTCCTTTTTCCTCGTGCAAAAGATGCTTATATAGACCAAGTCTTCTTTATGAAGGCAGAATGATTTCCCCTTCAATTTCCTCTACTTCTGGCTACTTTGAGGGGGGGATGGAATCTGTCTACCTATTGTATTGCGTGGCCAGGTTCCGGGCGTTGAGAGCCTCCAGACCCTTCTGGATACGGGGAACACGTACCCTGTTTTGGACACTTTGACTGGCCTTGATCCTTTGATTATGTGGGAACGGGAAACCTTCTCTTGCAATGATACAATGATACAATGATACATACAAAATCACCTACAAGTGTACAGTCCACATACAATTGTACACTTGTAGGCTGCTGGATTATCCCTTGCCTCCGGAGGAATGTCCAGTGGCGCGCTTCTAAGTATAGGAACCAGACTTGAGCTGTGGGCTGTGCTGAGGTACTCCATCCACGGGGTGGATAAGGCCGGTGTGTACTCCGTACCATATATCACCATTGCCATGTCAGGATAGTTTTCATATCTGGAAATGGTCAGGCCAAAACCTGTCAGATCCGGTCAGGCACTAGTGAGTGGAAGTACGTAGTCCGCCTGGTCAAGCTTGGGGATTTACCGCCATTTCACGTAGACGGTGAGACGGTCACCTGACGGAACCCGCTGGTGCCCGCACGAATCGCCCAGATCCAGCTGACGTAATCATATCTTTTTTCTGTACTTGAATGATCGCAAAGGCAACTGTACTTGATCAAGACATTATCTCCATCTGTACAGCGGCGATTTACCATTCTTCAGTCAGCTATCACCTGGATTCACCACATTTTCACCAAGAAACCACACCAACTCCCGCACCATCTTCAAGTACCCCGCCAGCCCACCATGGACCCCGAAATGAACAAGCTCCTCAAATGGAGTGTCACCAACTCACAAGCCTCTGCCGGTGCTGAGGGAGAAGGCAGCGCCCCCAATGCCACCGAAGCCGCCAAGACCATGACCCCAGAAATGCTGAGCCGACTCTTCGGCGGACCCTCCGACGCCGATCTGATGCGCGCCGCCATGGAAGTTGTCCACGACCCCGAGACCGATCTGGAGAACAAGTTGATCGCATTTGACAACTTTGAGCAACTCATTGAGGGAATTGATAATGCAAACAACCTGGAACCCATGGGTCTCTGGACCCCACTCGTCCAACTCCTCAAGCACGAAGAGACCGAAATCAGACGCTACGCGGCTTGGGCTATCGGCACAGCTGTGCAGAATAACCCCAAGGCACAGGATAAGGTATGTCTCAACCCTCTCACCCTTTTCTAGTACGCCAAATGCTAATGCGCCTCAGCTCGTCCTTCTGAACACAATCCCCGACCTCGTCACTATCGCCACATCAGACGCCAACCAGGCCACTCGCAAGAAGGCCGTCTACGCTCTCTCTTCCGCTGTTCGCAACTACCAGCCCGCTATGACCGAGCTCAGCAAGAGCCTGCCGGAAGGGTACCCTACCGACACCGATGCTGGCGACATGGACGCCGTGGACGTTGTCATGGACAAGTTGCGCGCTACCCCCATTGAAGCATCCGCATGAACGAGTTGTGATGAAACAATAAATTTGAAACATACCATACGAAGGCAGCGCGTTAGCCTGAAAGGGTTTCTCTCCTTCGTACCTAGCGACTAGTCGAGCGACGATCACTCGATGACTGCCTGGGTGATGAGGCTTGGCTTGGAAAGCTGGTCATTGTCTCGTCAATGATTGCGCAGACACCCGAAATGGTTCTGCTGGTTATTTGACTGCCTTGAGTTGCGTCGACATGATACATGTTAGACCGGAGCTTGTTTGAATTGTATACCCTGGGACATTGGTCCTGCTGTTTGTCATGAAGCTCACAATTATGATTATGAAGTTTGGAAAAATGAATTAAAAGTCATGTTCTTATAGAGAAAGTTTTGCTCAGCTATGAAAGTACGATTCAACTTTATAAATTTGGAATATCTACTTCGTAGGTCCGGATGTTGCCCTCTGTGATTATATAGTGTAGGACTTAGCCGTCTCATATGAACTTCGGAATGAAAAGTGTTGCTCAGGTGACAACAGGGTATTGTAAATCAGAAGAAAAACAGCCACCGACCTTGAATATAACACAAAGAAATACTTAGGCATTTTTCAGAATCGCCAATTGAAAAAGGTAACATACACCTCGACAACAACGAGTCAACGACACCCGTAGTACGGAGTATAAAGGCAGACACTTTTAGGCCGAACATATCTCGGAACAACCTTCCCCCGCAGCATCGTCATCTGTCCCAGCCCAGCATCCCCTCAACCACAACCCAAACCACAACAATGGACGTCTCAAGCAACCGACTCTTCCGCTTCTCCAAGCCAGAATGGCTCAATAACTCCGCCGTCCGAAACGGCGGCGTCTACGTCGCCGGCGCCCTAGTAAGCCCCCAAAGCCAACCATCCAACCACCCCATCCCAAGCCCGGAGCTAACCACCGCATAGTTCGCAGCAGGCTTCTTCTTCCTGATTGACGTGGCGTCGTTCTCGCGGAGCGCGCGCAATGGCTCGGACGTACACATCAAATTCGTCGATTGGATTCCTGGGATCTGCAGCGCGCTCGGAATGCTCGTGATTAACTCGATTGAAAAGTCGCGGTTGCAGGCGGATAGCTTCAGTTACAGTGGGAGTGGGGTTGCGTGGAAGGCGCGCTTTGTGCTATTCTTGGGCTTTGCGTTGTTGGCGGGTGGTTTGGCTGGGAGTGTGGTATGTTTGCTCTTTAGGTGTGGATTCGATTTGATTGGAATGGGGTTGCTGATTGCTTTGCAGACGGTTCTCGTTCTCAAGTACCTGATCAAGGATTATCCGATTACGACGCTTTACTTTGGTATTGCGAATGTTGTTGCTAATGGGTTGGTTATGCTCAGGTATGTTTTGGTTACTTTGTGCTGTTGAGGTCTGTACTAACTTGCTTTGAAGCTCGATTGTCCTCTGGGTCTCGCAGAACATCGAGGATGATTATACCTACAACCTTGCCCTGTGATGCGGGCTGCTGATTGCTTGAGCCGATGTAATTTACTTGATTTCTTGCTGTCACTTGCAAGGTCTGCGTGAGATGGACAGCGTGCATACACATTGGCTGGCTTTGGCACTATAGCATGGAGTATTGGATGTATCAGTTGCAAATGTTGCGTCTCTTCTGTATCTTGTACTTGTGAACACAAAGATTAGCTATTTTGCTGACACACCAGCCTCCCTAGTACGAGGACAGTAAGCCATAGACCGTTTAGATGAGATAGGAACAAGCCATGCATGCCGATCAAGGTGAAATAAGTCATAACGCCCAATAAATGCAGTCGTAAATCATGAATGCCGCCCTCAGTGATCCTCACAGAATATCCTCAACAACTCATCGATACAAGTCATGGCCTTCTCCTTCTCAAGCACCACTGGAGCCCCAGGAAACTTCAAATACTTCCGCAGCGCAAACGCAGCGGCCTTGTACGTAGCATGGTACATGGCCTTGAACTCGTCATCATCCGTAGCTGGCGCCGGCGTCTCAGCGCGAAGCTCCGGCGCAGGTGTAGTACCGGCACCCTCCTCAGGCTCGGCACCCTTGCTCACAGAAGTTGTACGCATATTCGCACGATTGAAGCCATACAACCGCATACAAGTTAAGATGGTGCGCGTGACCAAATTCTTGTTCTCTGCAATCACGGTCTCAGGATCCTTATTCGGTGAACCGGGAGTTGATACAGGCTTTTCGGCAGAGAGAGAAGACGGTGTCTGAACGAAAGACTGCGTACGGCGCTCCAGGAATGGATTCGGCGTCGGTGCTCGTTTCTGCGGATCGACATTCGCAGGCGTGGTGCGGCCGCGCACGCTACCAGGCCTATGCATGTTCGCACCGATAGACGCTGAGCGAGAACGACGAGAAGAAAACCTGTCTAGAGATGAGAGAGAGGGAAGGTCTTCATCTGGTTCGCGCTTTATGCGAAGTGATTGCTTCTGCGAAGAGGTTGGCCGGGAAGGTGCCATTAATTGAGAAACTGCTTCGCCGCCGCGCTGACGGACACGGCGGTGGTGTTGAGCTGCGACTTCGAAGAGAGTTGCGACTCGTTTGCGCTTCGGACTGGGCGAGTTTGTGTCGGGCAGGAACTCTGCGCAGCGCACGGAGTTGTCTTCGTCTGGTGGTGGTGATGGGTGGGACTGTGCTTGTGTGAGGCGAGTGGTTGATAGGGGCGCTGCATAGATTCGTAGATCATAGTGGTTCCGTGTTGTCGGTTGAGGTAGGATATCAAAGGGTGATGAATGAGGTGGTGTTGGTGGACGAGTATGTGCTGCGTTCGAGAGAACGCCATAGACCAGGAAGTTGGTTGCGCCACTAGTTTTGGAATTGTCAACGCTGAGCAGTAGACCGACTGGACATTGTATTGATTGCTGTAAATCTTGCTCTTCCTCGTCCAGCCATATCGTGCCGGCTAGTTTGCTTTGCAGCCATTGTGACGTTTCCGCGTGGGATGTGTGTAGTTCGAGATTAGGACCGGCGCGAGCATGTAATGGAATGAGCGCCGGGTTCACAAAGCTGCGAAGGTACAGCTCGCTCTCTTTAGACAGCTCAGACTGCCAATACGAATTTTGGTCGACCAGTCGAATGCCTGCTAGATGGTTAGCACGGAACACCCAAGTGGGACGCGTGTGGAATAATACCTTCCAGCTTGGAGTCCGAGTTGAGCGGAATAGACCCCGACCAGACATTCATCTTGTAACCTGGACCCCAACGATGCTCTTCACCAGTTCAGCATCTTTGAATTTCGGCGTTCACTTGTTGTTGTGCTCAGACCAACCTGCGGTTATCTCCGAATCTCCAATGACGCGCCAAGTTCGCGCGCGGTCACGTGCCATGTAGATTGGACGAAACGACGAGGTCATCAAGAGGATTTGAAAGGAAAAAAGTAACTGAAACGTTCATCAAGTCAAAACTAAGTCAGGGAATATCGGAAGTTTCTATATCCTTTGTGCTATAAAAGTACACCGAGAATGTAGCCAAGTGGTCGAGCCATTGAGACCGAGTCACACCCAGCATCATATCGCTCGTACAAAGTGTCGCGCAGGCGCTGAAATCAAAGAAGTAGTGAAGCTGTGGCAAAAACACATATCATAAGAAGACTTGATCCCGCGAGTCCTAATGGGTACCAATATAAACCAGGGCGACCCCGCACCTCCAAACCATCAGAACTCTTCCTGCTCCTGGAAGAACATCGAGAAGCTGATGATAGTGCCATAGATCAACAAGCCACCGACAATGGACATAATCATAGCGGGAAGCTCGATAGCCCCGCTGTGAGCGAGGACAATAGGAAGTGCTGTTGACATGTCAGTATATGGTTGTTGTCATGTCTATTGATTGCGCAAATGGTGCAGAATCCATGCTAGAGAACATGCTCCAAGCATAGTTTCCAAGCCATCGATGGGACCAATCGAAGGGCTCCGTCCTTCAAGAGGGGTTGTTGCGGAACAAAGACGTACCGATACCAGTCAGGACCAAGAATCCAGTCATGAAACGTCCAAAGTCCATCGCTGAGTTACTGGAGCTGTCCATGAAATCATCTGGATTGGCGCATCGTTGGCAGATCCAGTTGGGGAGGGGTGCGACAACGTAGATGGCAACCACCAGGAGCGGCCAGTACTTGTGCCATAACGCGGAGGAGAGGATGACGAGGAGGAAGCCAATGGCGAGAACCTGAGAGGAGGTCAGCGACGGATGCAGTATTCGAATGAAATGCGACGTACGAAGGAGAGTGCGATGATAGTCTTGAGTCCGGCAGCCATGTTTGCGGAGACGCTGGACGCCGATGGGATTGAAGATGAGGGAGGTGCCGGATGAAAACAGTGACAGTATCAAGAGTAGATTGGAGGTGACAGCCCCATTGACCGAGAGCAGGAAAGCCGAGAAAGAGGGTATATCGGAGTGAAGCTAGAATGCCCAAGTGACGTTGGCGCCTGGAAGGTCACTGGATATTGTGGCCTCAGGCCACAACAGCTCAATGCTTCACACCGCGTCACTTTACTGCCTGCTCCAGCTCCCCCATTCCCCCCATCGATTATCCCTCTGATACTTGTGTTGCTTCGTGATATTCCTTTATCAACCGGCATCTCTATAGTCAACCCATACATCCTGATTCCACCGCCTTCACGATGTTCAGAAACAATTACGACAACGATGCCGTCACCTTGTAAGACCAGCTCGACATCCTCGGATCCATCAGATGCTAACTCCCCGGCTACAGCTCTCCACAGGGTCGTATCTTCCAAGTGGAATATGCACAGGAAGCAGTGAAGCAAGGTTCCGTTGTGGTGGGATTGGTGAATAAGACACATGCCGTGCTCGTTGGACTCAAGGTTCGCAGACCTCCAGAACCCCAAGGAAAAGCTTCCGACTAACCTCCCAACAGCGCAACGCAGAAGAGCTCTCCTCGTACCAGAAGAAGATCATCGAGATCGACTCGCATATGGCGATTGCCATCGCCGGACTCGCATCAGACGCCCGCGTCCTCTCAAACTTCATGAAGCAGCAGTCCCTCGGCTCCAAGATGACCTACGGCCGCCCGATCCCGCTTGACCGGATCGTCGCACAGATTGGAGATCGCGCGCAAACCAACACCCAACACTACGGCAAGCGGCCATACGGTGTCGGCCTGCTGGTGGCGGGTGTTGACGAGGCCGGTCCTCACCTGTTCGAGTTCCAGCCCTCCGGATTGACACATGAGATGGTGGCTTGTGCTATTGGTGCTCGCTCACAGATGGCACGTACGTATCTGGAGCGGAACCTCGACAAGTTCCAGGATTGCAGTCGGGATGAGCTGATTCAGCATGGATTGAGTGCGTTGAAGGAGACTCTGTCTCAGGATAAGGAGCTTACGATCGACAATACCTCTGTTGGTGTTGTTGGTGTGACGAATGGAAAGAAGGAGAGCTTCAAGTTGTACGAAGGCCAGGAGACGGCCGCACTGCTCGAGGTGTTGGAGCAGCGTGAATCTGCTGGTGCAGAGGGCGAGTCAATGGAGGTTGACTCATAATCGTCCAATCTGGTTTAATGATTCGCATAGACATGAAATACTGATACTTTGTGTGCTTGCTTGATTCAGTTCGTCAATTCATCACCTTTCTAATGATGTCCTCTATTGTATATTTATGGTCATAATGCCTAAGCAGGAACAAACACCCGCGGACACCCCCGTGTACGTATATATGTCCGTATGAGGCTCATTGAGATACTGGAGACATGTTTACTCCTGGCCCCAATCAAGTTGCATCTGCCCGGTGCTGGCCTGGTAGGTCAACAACTTGGGCCACACCTCGCTCACCTCCTTGGCCTCGACCAAAATCTCCCCATTCGCAGCACTGATATATCCCTCTTTGACAGCATTGCGAACCCAGGCAAGCAAGCCGTCCCAATACCCGTTGATGTTCAGTAAAACGACTCCGACTTTGTGAATGCCAAGCTGATTCCAGGTCGTCATCTCCATAACCTCCTCGATAGTCCCAAAACCACCTGCCAGGGAGACGAATCCAGATCCAGGACCACCTTCAAGAACTTTTGTAGCCATGAGACGCTTTCGAGTATGCATATCAGGCACGATGGTTGTGATGCCGTACTCGGATTCGGGAATCCCCTCTGCCTCAACTGCATCAACGACCCGCTCGGCGACTTTACCAGCGGCCTTGGAGTCACCATTGCCTTGGTGCTCGCGCATGCCGCTTACTGTTGCAACCTTGACGAGTGCGCGAGGAATGATGCCGTGGACAGCCTTGGGGCCTGAGAGGGAAACTAGGACTCGGGCGACTTCTCCCATCAGTCCTGTTGTTCCACCACCGTAAACTAGCTGAACATTGTTCTTATGTAATTCTTCAGCGAGGCTGCGCGCAGCTTGCATATGCACTGGGCTGTTCCCTGAAACGGAGCCACAGCTGGATTTCGCGTTAGCCAGGTTCGTGGAGGGGTACTGAGGGGTAGTAAACAGCTGGATAGTTGACTTGGAACTCACAATACGCAAATGACGGCTTGCTTTTTTGAGTCAGACATCTTGAAATGCGAGACAGATGAAAATATACACTTGATGTAGAGACGATGTGAGGAGAAGGAGCCCTGGAGAGGTCGAGAATGACTCAAGGCCAGAAACAGTCCGATAAGCCCCCGATAAGCGGACAACGTCACTCGGCCTCACGTCCCCGCATCCTTCAATACTTGGGAAGTGTCAACTTGCGCAAAGTATCCCCCATATTTGCATCATGCCTAGATAGGTGAGAGCTTGATCAGCCTATTCTGGAAAAAGTGCCTGAATCTTACTCAACACGAAGTGGATCAAGTAAATTCGACAGAGACAGGCTGAATGACCCTTTCAGACAACTCGCTCTACACCTGGGCAGTAGAAGATTTGAAAATACCCTAAAAAATCCATGAGATCGTTCAGGTGAGGACCTTGATCAGGAGGTCAGAGCGAAACAGTACATTGAACAAGATAAAACCAATAAATGATGCCAATACTCCCAAGGTCTTTCCATGGCCCATGGGTCAACCGAGAACACAAAGATAAACCTAACCCCCCCTGCAGCAGGGAGGTAGTCAATTTGAAGCAAGTGATATTGATCAGTCCCAATAGTATACTGATTTCTTGACGTGATCAAAAACCGCCGGGCTGCCTCGAAACTCTGAACCGACGTCTTCAGTCTTAAACGTGTCCACAAATGGGCCTCGTTTATCACCCTCCGTGGTATAGAAAGTATAGGGGAAACGATGTCTCAGTCTATGACACTTAGTACAGACATGGAACTCAGCACGGTATTGGCTATCATGCGCGAGTCCCCGGATGCTCTATAAACAAATGTCAGTGACCAGTGCAGGTAGCTATGGCGACATCTGAGATGTCCAGTGACTTACAGCTAAACAATTGAAGCAATAATACGGCTGCAGGATATAAGGCATGATCTGCTGCGACCAGGATTTGCTTTGGATTTCATCAGGAGCCACACGGCTGACCGTATCATGGATCAAAGACACGATCTCGTCAGGGGCGCTATAGAGCCTTGCAAGGTGCCAAGGGGTATTGACAAACTCTTGGCTCTCCGAACCTCTAGAGAATCGAACAAGCAGATCGGCGCCATTCTCAATCAGTGTGAGCAGAGTCGCCATGTATCTATTCGGGTCAGAGAAAGGATGAGATGATTCACGGATAGCCCAGCAGATTGGGGTCCACCCATCAAGATCAGGTTGATTGACCTGCTGTCGTCTCTCCTCGGCAGATACACATTGATTTAAGATGAGCTTCACGGCTTCTTTATTCCCAAACTGTGCTGCAAAGTGCAGTGGGGTCCTCATAGTGCTGTCGAGAGCCGTAAGAGTACTTGGCGCTTCAGACAGAATCATTGGGAGGATGTCATAGTTCGCATTGCCAGCAGCGAAATGAGCAGGCAGCCGTCCAGCCCAATCCTTGAGGTAGAGATCTGCATCATTCTCCAGAAGCACTTTGAATGCTTTTTCGTCACAACTGAGAGCAGCTCCGCAAAGCAAGTTGGGGATGCTGTAGCGGGCTTGTGGGTCGTTCGGGGTATATCCCCCTCTGATGAGAGATTGCAAAAGCTTATAGCACCGAGGACCCGACCACTCAGTGGAAAACACCTCGGGGTAAAATATGCTTTCAAGAGGAATCTCCTCTGGGGTTTTGAGGTGCTCTAGCAGCTTGACGGTGAGGGGTGCATCAAGGAAGGCGCAACTGCTCTTCAAGTATAAGAAGAAAGGATTATCCATTTCGACTCCGGTTGTTCATACAGGTGCGGAATTTTCTTTGCTGCATTGTCTGAGGCTTCAGTCTGAGAAGTATTTCCGGCATCCAGAGAAGGATCTGGGTCAAAAGGGCTTCTCTTAGAACCCGAGTCAAGCATGCTTTTATCAGAAGCATGACCAAGCGGAGACGACTCGTGTAGCTTTTCAATTTCCAGCGAAGGATCCAAGCCAGTCAAGCTCCTTTCTAATTCTGCAACATGATCAGGAGGTTCGGCTGGGTCCACATTGCTTTGATTGCGAGTGAGTGAGAGCGCCTCTAGGCCATCCGCAGGAACTATTCCAAGCAAGTCAGAGATATGAATACTTAGTTCTTGCCTGAAACTCACCACCACGATATCCATGAACCCGGAAATCCCGCAAAGCGGCAGCAGGTAGATTTTCATACCGTGGATTGGCTCCTCGAGTCACCAAAGTCAGAGCCCTCATCCAGTTCTCCGCGGCGATGGCATCCGAGATAAGTGTTCCACCATGAGCATTCAGAAACTCGATGTCAGCCCCAGCCTCACTTAACTTCACAACTAGACTGGTGTTGGCAGCCATGTCGATCACAGTTTGCCCGAACTTGTTGCGGATATTCAGCTTTGGTGAACGAGCCAAGATTTCGGACACTATATCGATATCTTTGAAATGTAGGTGGTGAACAGCATAAAAGATGGCGGATTCCCCTAAACAGTTGGTTGCGTCCACATCGGCTCCCTCCTCGAGGAGCCGTGCCACCAGCTCTCGATCACCACTCTCAACAGCATACATCAATGGTGTTTTGCCCTTGGTGCCGTCAGACATTTCGTCATCGTCATCGTCGCAATCAGAGGGATCCGAGTGCCATATGTCCAGCTCTGCGGCAGACAAAGGGGTGATTGGCCTATATGCCTTGGAAGCCGTGATCTCAGGCGGAGAGGTAGAAGGCTGCTCCGAAGGGAGAGGAGATGCGGTCACCTCGACGGGAGAAGCCATTTTGTGTAAACCTGAGAAGGAAAAGAGGTTCGAGGCTGACTTTATACAATTCTGCTGCCCAGGTGAGAGATCCCTGCTAACGCAGCGATCTCAATCAGCCGGTTTCCCTCCCCTCATGGCCCGATGGACCAAAGTAGCAAACAAAGACAGCAGAAATTAGACTTCCTTTGCGTGTTGATTTGTCTAGCTCGACGCCCAGAAGCACGACCAACTAAACCAAGCAGGGAAATGTTTCAAGATGGCGTGGTGAAGCATTGATTCCATGACATTGATCCAATTTGAAGATGTCGAAATGCCAAGTGCCACTCGAATGTCGAGGAATGGAATAACCCCTCTGCTGTTGCAGTTGCTCCAGGGCACTTGGGTGTAGCTTGGGACAATATTGCGGAGTGACTTGGTAAACTCACAACAAAGAACATCCATGTTAAGCGCCACCATTGGAGGAGAGGACGCCTGGGCTAACGAGATGCTGGCGCTCTTTCATGCAAAGCGTTAGCGTTTTACACGAAATGGGTGATTGCAACGATCTTTGTTACTTGAAAGGTTCCAAGGGCCTGCGCTCTGATGAACGCAGGGCAGATGACATAGAAAAAAGTCTTCGATATTCGGTTTCAACCTTTCATAGGTCGGAAGCGCACGATTCTTTGTCATGGGAGATATAGTAGTCTCAAATGGCACCATGTAAATTGAAGTCTCCGTAAATGCAAGACGTATCCAAATCCAATCCAAACGCCATGAAATCACAAAGGGTATAACGCAACTCAACTAACAACACGCTTCTTTTTCTTTCCCTTATCACCACTACCACTTGGCGGTGGACTCTTTTCCGTTTTCCCCGGCGTCTCAACCCGAACCTGCGGAGTTGATGCTCGCACCGGCAGAGGGGTTCCACTAGCAGCTGCAGCTACAGCAGGAACAGTAGGTTTCGGTGCCGCCTTGCCAGCAGTCTCACCATTCCTGGATAGAATAAACGAGCCAGGCTCGCCAACGAGCGGACTTTCGTCCATGAATTCCTCCCCATAGCGCGTGAGCAGACTGAATGACTCAGCTAGAGTGCGCGTATCTTGGATATTGGATGTGCCAGCCACGTTGAGGCCTTTGGAGGATTGCGAGTCTGGGAGAGCTTCTGGCATGGGCGTAGGCTCTTTGCTCTGCTGGGATTGAGACTGAGATTCTTTCTCTTTGCGAGCGCCAGGTGGCATGTAAGTGTGCCCATAGGAAGATGTGAAGGTTGGAAGGGTTGAGGCGGTTTTCATGAGTTGTGATAGAGAGGTTACGGCCGAGAGCTGGACGTGGTTAGAATTGTATGGAAGTTGGCAAAGGGAAGCTTACGATTCGATTGCCTACTACACTGGCTACTGATGGAGCCATGTAGATGCAGTCACCGACAATGAAGTAAGTGGAAATCACGACAACCTCGTCGTCTAGCCCAGATCTCTTGCGCCGGTTTTGTTTTCGGATCACCCAGACATTGGAAGGCTCTTGGGTGAATTGACCGTTTGTTTGAGCGGTTGCTTGGAGAGGATCATATGAGACGATGAATTCGAGTCCTTGCATTGTCTTCAACCGGGCCTCGAAAGCTTCGCGTGTCTCGACGAAATGGCGGAATGCGTCGTTGTAATTGGCTTGAATGGCGAGTGAGGCGTTGTTGGAAGTGGGATCGAAGAAGGGTGACTCGGCAAAGTAGAACAGAACTAATTAATCCAATTGTGAGTTTCAAAAATTGGCTTTATGTGCAGTCTCACTCACTGTTGTTTGAGTGGAGGAAACCCCCCATCATCTGAACGTGCGGGGGTGACCGCCAGAGGATCTCTTCCATGGAGGCATCTTGACCCGCCATTTGTCGCGCTTAATTTATAGACCGAGCGATCTCGAGTCTATTCAAAGTCGTGACGAACTTTTGCCAAATTGGAGGTGTTCAAGATCGAAGCCGCGGAAGCTGAAGCGGAGATGATGCAGTGTTTGGCATGTTTGCACCCAACTATAAAATGCTTAGGCGTCACCTTGGACCTTTTGGTATGGACATGTCTTTTTTTCGATTTCGATTTCTTTTTCTTCTCTTTCCTCTTGTTCTGTGCACTTCTTCTCGGGAAAGGACCGAGGGCATTGGCTACATCTTCATAACGTGGTATGAGTATCATATCCCACCGCAAACATGAGGTATTCTGCAGCTGATATACGACCAAAGAAAATCTATGACTTAAGAAACCACTTCTATATCCATGGATAGCCACAATTCTAAGCATGCTTTATGTCACAAATGTTTGTCTATTTAAATCCAAGAAGAAAGTCCAAACGCCAGCGCTGAATGTTGAATCGAATCTCTATACCACACATATATCCCAATGTTGAAAGCAAGGAAATGCATAGATCATGATATGTACGACAAGTACGACTTCCAAAAACGAAGCCATCTTACTTATCACCTTCCAAAACACCCAGGAAAGAACAGAGAGCCCCCTAGTTCTTATCCAACGGCCTGAAAATGTTGCAAACAACACGAAGCTTGGTCAGCATCTCGTCCCATTCTCCCTCCGCTGTGCTGAGCATGGTAATAGCCCCACCAGCACCAATGCGCCAAGTCTGAAGCTTCTTCTCAGTATAATCCGAGCCAGCCGAGCAAGTAAAAGCAGAACGAATCAAAACATTGAAGCTTCCACCCCCACCGAGATCCAAAAATCCCATGACTCCAGAGTAAATCGAACGTTTACGATTCTCAATCGCCCGGAGATGCATACAGGATCTCTCCTTTGGTGCACCAGTCATGGAACCCGGAGGCAGACATCGCTGAAGAGTCGTCAATCCATGCACAGCCATATTAGGCGTCTTCAGCTGCGGCATGTGCCGAACGGCGAAGCCAGGATGATTCAGACGGATCGTGCCCTTAATATGGGTGATCATCGAAAACACACGACCGTAGTCTGCGACTTCGAGCAATTTCTCCACATGCACGCCCCCGGACCCGCAGATTCCGTACAGATCATGACGGATCAGATCTGCAATCATAAGGTTTTCGGCCATTTCTTTGGTCGAGCCGAGAATCTCGCATGCCTTCTCCATGGTCATACCTGGGGATTTGCGAACTGTGCCTTTCATAGGCTTCATTTCCAGTGTTGACTCGCGATCCCAGTTGAGGAAGCATTCCGGGCTGCTGCTGGCTATTTTGGTATCGCCTAATTCGGCGAATGCACTGAATGCAGCTGGGTTGTAGGCTTTGAGGCGTCTGTAGAGCTTCCAGGGGAAGGCGACTCGCGTTGATTCATCTTCTGGGACTGGAAGGGTGATTTTCGTTTCGGAGGTCAGACACAGCTCATATGACTCGCCGGCTTCCATTTCTGCTTTGCATTTTTCAATCTGCTCTTTATATTTCGTTTCTTCCGGAAGCTGAATCCTGCTCTGCGAGAGAATAGAGTCCAGAACTTGATCCGAGTCGGTCTCATTCCTGGAATCTGTCAACGCCTCCAAAGATTGGAGGGTTTCGTCAAGCCAGCCCAGAGGGGCATTATCATCTTCGCGGGTAGATTGAATGACGATGTTGCCTGTATTATTCTCGAGAACAATGCTTCTTTCACACCACAGGAGGCTCACATCAGGCGGAGTTCCCAGCGGGTCAGAAGATCCGCCGCTGCTCTGAGGCCTTGGCGGCTCAGAAGCTTGTGCTGTTCCTGGATGGGGGAGACAAGTGAGGCCTAACTCATAGGAAAAGTATCCTAGAAAGCCACCCCAGAATGGCACCTCTGTGTTTCCCGCATTAACTTTCTTCATTTCCATCAGATACCGCAAAGCATCCCACAATTGAACCACAGAGACACAGCTTTTGGTCACCTTGCAGTCGCCATAAATTTGGAGCAGTCGCAACTCGTGCGTCTCAACATAATACTCCAGACGCCAAGAGCCGGGACTCGGAACCGAGACAATGTTGTATTGCCCGTTAGATTGGAACAGAACCGAAGGCGAGCCTGGCATGTTGAGAAGCTCGCTTATTGCTTCAGCTGTCAGGCCAGATCGCTGGAAGGACCTGGAAGCGGAAATCTTTGATGTTGACTTGCTCAATTTGAGCATTTCGTATGCAGCGTCTGGGAATGGACTGAGTATAGTATTTGGACTTATGACTGTGTCAGGAAGAGAGCAATAACCTCCTCTTCCAACATTCTTGTTGAAAGCTAACGCCATCTTCCACCAATTTTGAAGCAGAGACTTGCAAGCGTTGATGTCTGATTTGCATGATTCCGGATGGAACTGGACGCCCCAAAATGGCTTTTTGATATGCCGAGCTGCCATGGGGATCTGCGCTTCAGGGCGATCCTTCAGAGCCAACCAAGCCAGGTATTCCAAGTCGGGTGCTGAAGCAGAGGCAGAATTTGCGTAGAGCGAGTGATAAAGCGTCACTTCGATCTTCGGCAACTGCTCAAAGATATTCTTTCCGGTTGATGATATTTGGTGAATCTGGCCATGAATTGGATATGGTAGTCGTTCAATGGGGACCCCGTGGTGAAGGCAAAGACTCTGAAAGCCCAGGCAAATTCCAAAAACGGGCAACAGCTCTGAGCCTTGCAGGTCCCAGACATCTCTCATGATACCGACATCGCTGGAGATGTTAGGATCTCCTGGACCTGGGCCTAGAACAATGGCCTCGAAATGCTGGAGGAACTCGTTCATATTGGAGTCGGGCCATGGTGAGTCAATGGTGATCACGGTCACTTTGACCCCGAGGGTCTCCTCGAGCATGGCCACCACATTGTAAGAAAATGAGTCATAGGCATCGATGTAGAGGATGCTTTTTTGAGAAGAGCATGCATCGGAATTGGATGCTGAGGTGGTAGGGGCATCCCAGTCCCCGAGCATTGGGGCCATGGCGATAGATGTGATTGCTTGGCCCCGGAAAAATCAACGCGGGCCAACGATCTGTCCCGGAGAAGTTGCCTCTCGAGACCGGAGATTTTTTGTGCAGATGCAATATCTGCAGGAGATGCTAATGAGGTGCAATTAAGGAGAGATCAACAATGCAGACGTTGAGGCAAAAGTCCGAAAAAATTAAGGTTAACGAGGAAAAGGTCAAAAGCGGGTACCGACGGAACGGCTCTCCATCGGTGGCAAGGCCAGTCCGTATAGTCCGACTTTTTACGAGAAAACTTTCGGTTTATATAGTGGATGTCCAAGGTGGAATAATTCAGGAGGCATTTTCTCATTCAGGTATGTCGGAGCCGGGCGTCATATGTCCTAAAAGGGGAACCGGGGAAACCCGTGTACTTCACCTCTATTGTTCGCGAACAGTTCGAAATCAAGATATTTCTATGCAAGATCGGACGAAAGCGTGTATTCTTACTGTGGGGGATGTTTCACAACAGTATGCTGCTCTACCTTGGAATCTGACTACGCCGATCTTCTCCATGGACATACAATGGTGGTGAAATTGAAGAATTTACATCTTTTGACACTGCCTAGCAAAGTGGGTATTCAACATAGCAAAATCTATCAAAATGGGTCTAGGTCAATATCCGTCTAGATCAAGGACTGGGTGTTTTCAGTCGTTTGCAAGGAAGCAATCTTAACAGCGACCTTGGGGAAATACTGCGCAACAAATCCCTCAGTGTAGTAGCTGTGCGCGGAGCTGTGATCTCCAACCAAGTTGTGCGCCAGCTCGTGACACAAGATCACCCACCAATAGACGATGGCATCCGTGCGATCTGTGGATTGCTGCAGCAGCGCCTTCTCTTGCAATGTCTGGAAATAGAAGTAGTTGCAGAAGATGCTCCCCGCACGGTTGAACGCAATGGTTTTGCCGCCGGGATCGTAGAAGATGCTCAAGCTGTCAGCCCGCATGGAGAAGATAGAACCACAGTCAAGTAAGACTGATGCAAAGAGGTTGAACCCTGCACGATTGGTGGCCAGGAAGGAAGATCGGTCTACAACTGACTTGGTGAACAGAACGTTCATACCACTCTTGGGCAGTGTGGCGACAAACTCGAGATCGTGGCTTGGCCGTTCATCGCAGTAGGACTTGCTTTCTTGAATTTGGTTCGTTTCTGGTCGGCTGTAGACGTCAGAGGATCCGTGTGGTCGACATGCCTGGACGGCAGAAAGGAGTTCAGAGTTTAAACGGTGCGGCGAGTTAGATGATACGGTTTGTTCCGGACGCTTGGTCTGACTCTGGCCCTGGTTTTGGGGGTCATTGGGAGAGTAGGGTGGGGGGTGGGGGGTGTGGATGTTTCAGGGAGAGGTGAGCGAGATTGCTCCTCGGAGCCAGGGGTTTTATCCAAACCAAATCGTTTAGAGAGATTGGCGAATAGCCCCCTGCTAGGACGTTCTGGAGCAGGCTCTGCCGGCGGTGCATGTGCTTCTGCAGACACGGTCTTGCTGTTGGGCGACTCCGGGAAAACACCAGGCATGGAATTTTCTTGTGTTTGCGCCTGTGCCTGCGATTCAGCTCTCTCTTGCTCAGCACGCTGGGTTTGAGTTGCTGCCCACGCAGCTTCTCTCTCCTGTATAAGGCGTCTCTCCTCCTCGACTTGCTTCTGGCGTTTGTCTTCTGCGACTCGAGCTTCTTGGGCCTTCTGTCTCAAAATACGCTCCACATTGTAGCCACGTGCTCGCAGTTCCAGCAGATCCGTTTTCAGCAACATCTCCAGCGTGAGGGTTGAATGGAGTTTGGGTCGCTTCAAGATCAAATGCACCAGCGATTGACTAACTTCATACAGGTCAAATTGATCTGGGCGAATACACATGGTCCACCCCGTGGATAAGCGATCGACGATCGCATTTCGTTTCTGTGTGTGTGAGACCCGTCGTCCCTTGAGAGATCTTGTAAGACTGATAGCAGTCACAGTCTGCACCTTGAAAGAATTTTCTAGCCAACGAGTATCATGCAGGATAGAGTCTGATGGCTGATCGTGGAAGAAAAGACGCGTGCGTTCAAGAATCAGCTTATGCAGCTGGCGGGATGATCTTTGATCAGGCGTCAGATGGCCAACCCGCATCTGCTCTTCGACAAGGCTGCTTAGTGGAATAGCACCAAGAGCAGTGTAAAAGTTCTCCAACGCTTCTTCTTGAGGTGCGGCAAAAATGTGCTGTTTGAACAGGTTGAAGCTTTGGAAATCATCAACCACGACAATGTCTCTAGGCGATGTCAATTCCCATTGCCTGACGTCCAGTTCGTCGTCGTCGTCGTCGTTCAAACTTTGACCAGCAGCCTTTTCATTCTTAGGCTGATCCACCGCACTCGGAGGCAGATCTCGGCTAGCAAGAAGGAATCTGGCTTTCTTCATTTCCATGAACAGATCTCTATCCTTCTTCAAGGTTGGAAGGTGCTCTGCAAGGGTCCTGAGAAGCATGAGGTATTTATCAGAACTCTGGAATGCAGCGTTGATCCGAGCCGGTTCCTTGACCAGTATCCGTGCAATCTCAACTTTCGTAGGCTCTCGTTTCGAGCCAACAGCCATGAGGAATAAGTTTGCTTCTAGACCGAAATTGACAAAGTCGAAGATGTCCTTATAATCCTCTCCGTCTCCAAGATAGCACAATTTGGGCGCAACAAGTCGAGTCTTCGCACCCTTCTCGGACTGGTCACGCATGACGATCGGAACGATGGGAGTCATTCCTGTGCGATCTATGTTTTGTTGAGTCAATTCTGACACCCTGCCTGCTAAATACTTGAACAAGGTCCGAGCATCTGCATTATTAGTAGGAGGCTTCTGTGCGAGAACATGGAGACAATCTGTCATGGGAGGATGAGGTTTGACACCAAGCTTTGAGGCATGAGGGTGGAGATTCTTTCGAAGGATTTTGAAGCCAAACAATGCCGCACCTTCATCGGTGAAGCACTTCTTAGGCACGCTTAGGCTGTCCGAGCCTTCAATGGGAAGGAATGGTACTGACACAGCACTTATGTCAAACGAACCATAGCCAATCGTGTGATATTCTTCAAGGAAGTATGACAGTGCCTTGGTAGCTCGACTGTCCTTCTCTGTACTCCCCGTTGCCATAAGCCGGATGAGCTCCGAAGCCGGTGGGTAGCTTCTTAGGCCCATCATTGTAAGGAATCTACCCTCATTGCTGTTGCTGTTGTAGATACCCGGCCATTCTATGATCGGCATACCGAGAGCTCGGAACACATCCTTTGGCTCGTACAGATCAGAAATTTTGTATCGAGTACCATCGGAGACACTTCCACTCTCAGCAGTACAAATGCTCGTGGACTTCAATCTCTGGATATCATTCACAGGGATGTCCTCCCGCACCGAGGCAAGATAGCGGATGAGATCAACATGATTCCATTTCCGTGGCGCAGGCCCACTTTTGGTGTCGCCAATGGCCGGGGTGTTGATGAGACGATCGAAAATAACGCCAAGCTCCACGGTTTTGCGAACACCGAGCGAGACAAGAATTTTCTCTTTCACCCCATTCAGGCCGTGGATAACGGGAAGGTCATCGAAGAGACGCACAGAAGCAAAGTATGTTTCTGCGGGCTGTTTCATTCCCAGCCGTGTTGGGATCACCGTCTGAGGTTGGATTATTGTAACAACACTTTGTTTAGACGCTGAGCTGAGAGCATCCCATTGCTTTGACAGCACAGGAAGAATCTGACCCGAGAAAGCTGGCGTCTTCGTGATATCCTGATCAACCGAAAAGATACTGCGATTGCCAGCGTTGTTGACGATCCATCGTAACCAAGGAACTACCTGGAGCTCGACCCATCCCAATGCTTCCAGCTCTTGCTTGCCCAAAGACTTGGTAAAGCGGAATGGCAACACGCTTGGTGGTATGGGAAGATCCGCGGGGATGCGTTGGGGGTTCAAGAATTCAGTGATATCTGCAAAGATGATCAAACGAGTGGGGACTCCGTCTGTTCCTTCATCATTGGCCACTGCAACACGCAGCAAGCTTTGAATTGAAAGCCCATCCAGCTGGCCAGTGACAGATTTGCGACCAAGCCAGGAGATGAACTCAATGACCTGGTTAGCCCGCAGAGTGTTTGATTCCAATTCACGTTTGATGTCCGAGACAGTGATGTCTGTCACCAGACCGAAATCAGTGAGTCTTCTGACAAACTCCTTGGCACCATGGACAAAGTCATCAGGCAAGGCAGGTATTGAGTCCATGAAGCTTAATTCTTTCGGTGCAATGCGAGTCTGATGACTGGGAATAACGCCACATGTGGACAAAATCTCAATAGACGCGTTCTTGTTACACATCCAGAAGGCATCCTCAATTGTCTGCCCCAAAATCGACGAAGGTGTAGATTCGCGGAATACAAATTGGTTCGCGGTATGGATCGCTTCAGGTAGAACATCCACAATGTCATCCTTACGGACTTTAGTGCGGGATGGGCCGATTTTGATCTGCAATTTGGATTTGATCGTAGCCATTTCCGCGGACCAGGCGATTCGACAAACGATCCCCACTGCGCGTAGCATTTCGAGATTCCACTTGCTGATATATCGGGTGTTGAGATCGATACTCTCGCGCTCAACAGTAGGGATTACAGATGGCGCTGAAACATGAGCGTTCAAACCAGTCGTTTGTGCTGTAGGAAATCCAATGAAGACCCTTCCGGCTTTTGTTGGTAGAATGGATGATAGAACCTCTGACTGTGATGAAGATGCTTCACTCGCCATGCTGGCATCATATGAAGGGGTCAAGATCGCAAGCGTGGCTTTCTTTGGTGGTGGCTTCCGAGTCGCTCGTTCCAGCTCCTTTGCCAAGTCTCTACTGATGGAAGGCTGCAGAGAGGCCGTATTAATGTGCAAAAAGACCGATGCTGAGAGCATAGCACTCAAATTACCCGAGTCCTCTGGGCGCTCCAACTCTGGCTTTTTGTTGGGTTGCTTCTCTGGCGCAGTTTGCGTGAATTTGGAAAAAAAGGACCGCAGCGAGCTGGTCGTGTCGCGAATATTATCGAGACTCAGGATACTTGCATTAGGATTCCATTCCACGATTCGCATCCATGAAGCGTCGACTTGGGCAATCTCCCGAGTGACGTTCACGATCTTCATCAGCCCTTCTGGTGTCTTGGTGTCGATATCTCTCGGAATCGGAACCTCAACACTGGGGGCTGTCTTCTTCGAAAGGCGAAGTAGAGTCCAGTCATCTAGCCATAGTTCTATCTCCTGTAGCGAGACGAACGTCAAACTGCTGGACAAAAATTGACACAGTTGTAGTAAGGAGGGCACGGGAGATGTATCATTACGGTAGTCCAAGACAAATGTTGTGTCTGGACTTCCAGCTTCACCAAGGTCTAAACGACGGGTGAACAGTGCATTGCCTTTCCAGTAAAAGGCCATAGCCTGGTTACCGGAAGACACAAAGGGCTCCTCGCAATCATCAAACACACTGTAGAATCCAACGCCGAATGCACCGATCTTTGTTTCGTCAGGGTTTCCGTCCGCAATTCGCTTGAGTCGTGCCCAGTCTTTCTCGCTAAATGGGGATCCATTGTTTGAGACGAGGAGGCGCCGCAGTGCGTGGTTAGTGATAGTGTGCTTAAGGTGCGCAGTAGGATCGTTCGTTGTAGGTGACGGTATCGTAGTTGATGGGATAGTTTCAAACTTGATCGTGACTTTCGTGGCAGACGCATCGGCGGCATTCTGAATCATCTCTCGTAGGACTGTCCTGTTGTTGATATGTATCTCAGCACCTGCATCTCTCCATTTATGAAACACACTTACCATTTCCCGGAATAACGAGCGAGGACTTTGGAGATCAGCCCTCTGGTGTCTACTGTCACTGCTTCCTCGTCAGCCCCAGACCCCATGGTCCGGGCCTTCAAGGCGTTGAAGTCCACCTTAGTGGCCATGTCCACGGTATGTTGGCTGTGGAAAGTCCCGAATGAGTGCTCTCAAGTCCGAGGTGTTTATCTAGATCATTTCGATGCAAACAAATGACACTTTGATCGAATCGGGCTCTGAGCTGCAGTAAGTCTGACAGCTTGGAGGGTGTGTGATGTCCAGGAATAGACTGTGAACGGTGTTGTACAGATATCGAAGGATGCTGAGTAAATGCTAGATTTGGCGCAAAATGCAAGAAACGAAAGCAAAGGACGCGAAGGTAAGGATAAGGCAGAGACGCAAGAAGATCAACACAAAACTGCTCGGAGAGTGCGGAGGTGATGGTGGCTTATCCTTATCGGGGATCAAACTGCCACATGCCCCCGCCTTAGCTTAATCAAGTACCGGTACCTGTCTTCACACGTAAAAAGTGTGGTGATGGAAGTACCCACTGTAGATTTACGGGTCGCTGTTTGGGCCATCCATGCAAAAGGTTAGTCAGCATGGGTTATCAAGTCCATTGTTGTTCGGAGCTCAGTAGTCTAGAAGCAGATCTGGCAGTTCGCTGATTGTTGTCGCAAATTATCAGCGCGGGGTCACTACCGGAACTCCTTACTTGGGGCATCTCGGTTATTGTTTTGCTCCATCACCGCAACTAATGCAGTTTGGGAGCTTGTGAACTGTGTGCATGCGGGCCTATTATCGCCAACCCTCAACTCATTCAGTTTGAGCAGAGATGGGAGTCGACCCTCTTTCCCCAATTGCGCCTGTGCGCCTCAGGGCGCTTCTACTACCTATCGGCAAGATCAAGCGCTCGCGATTCTTAAGTTTCGCTGCCCGACTACAAGCCGAGAATGTAGTTCGGCTAGGGGATATCAGCCCCGATGCGCGGCCAAACAGAAGTATGCGAAATGACATGTTGAATGTCATGCCCATTGCCAATATGATGGGACCAATGCTGACATAGTTGTATTTAGACATGTTCTCGCCGCTGGCCTTCCCTACCGGATTGATTCTCTACGATCTTGCCTTCTCGGTCCCTCCAACCTCGCACCTCGAATTGTTCCCATTTGAGATATACAGAGAGCCGCTCGTGATTATTGCTATAGCGGATGGAAAAGAATTACCGCCGAGCAGCGGTGGAAACCAGAAGCACCCAAACCCAGACGGGCTCGATTCCCTGCTGGAGGAGCTCGAGGGGGTGAAGGAGAGGAACCCGCGAGCATTGGTCAACCAATTGTTGGTATTCGACCATGAGGGATTAGACAAGGTCACCAATGGCCCGGACAATGTCCTTTGGGTCCCCCCGCCCCAGGCCTCCAAGGCCACGACGATGAAGACCGTACTCTGCGACGTGACTGCGGTCCTACTTGCGGAATTGGACGAGTTTGCGAAGACAATCCAGGCCATTCCTTCAATTGAATCACCCAAGGCCTTCTCCTGGGGCCCACATCGCAACCCAGAATTGAGACCCAGACCGGTAGATCGACTGCTAAACCGGATGACTCTTCCCGCACAGCTACCCTCGAGCCCGAGTGGTGGTCAAGACACCCCATTGAGCTCCAACGCTAGCTCCCCTGCCCCGAGTGATCATGAGACTCCCACCACGTTCGACGAAATTACCCGATCGATTCACCTATCCAGTCGCACAAACTCCAACAGCAGAACCCCGTCAATAGCTTCTCCAAAGGAGCATAGCCGTGACCGAATGTCTGTCAGCAACATGAGTGCCACAGATAGAACGAAAAACCGCATTAGGGGTCGCGCTGGTGTCGTCATTGGTACACTGTTTCTGCAGGCAGGACGGTGGCCCGACGCCCTCAAAGAACTAACCGAGGCAGTCAACAACGCCCGTGCTGGGAGTGACTACATTTGGCACGCCAAAGCTCTCGAGACAATTCTTCTTTGTCTGATCATGTTTGGGTGGGCAGGAATGGACTTCCAGGTATGTGATGGAAACCCGCTTAGAAACCTTCGCTAATAGACGGCTGTTAGATTCCATCGGTTCTGTATCCAGTTGCCGATAAATCTTCTAAACCTTCAAGGGATTCAGTGACTCCCAGCAGCACTGGTAACCGAGTTGTTTCCTTGCACAACCTAGCCAACCTCTTGCCAGACCTTTCCAACAACATCCTGAATCTTTACAACCGCGCTGCCAACATCACCGACGAGCCCCTTCCCCAGTTGGTCTTCTCGGAGACAGTCATTCGATTAGCCAGATTGATGGTTTCGGCTCGCGTTCGTGACGGTGCCTTGGATGACAACGCCTTGAAACATATCGTGATGAACGAAACTTTGGTACCCCTCCTCCAGCCCGAGCTTCCTCGCGGGACTGTATTGCTTCGAAAGTCGGAGATTGCCAATTTCTTATACAAAGCCCTGCCAATGGCTGCCGGAGCAGATTTACCAGCCACCGATGCTGTACCCATCATCGTGGGCGTTGTGTCGGTTTTGAATACTCTGGACTTACCGAGGAAGAAAGCCTTCATATTGCGCGAACTTCTCTCTGTGATGGTTCCAAGTCTAGTCCAGGCGCGAAAGATTGGTGCTGCAGAGGTTGGCATTCACCCAGCTGCCGGGTTGGCTTCACTTAGCGATACAGCATTTGACGTCAATGCCCTCGACACGGGATCTGGAAACATGGAGAGCAGCGTCCGTCTTCTTCTTGCGACCATTGGCGAAATTTACGGTGTCCAGCCTTCATCTTTCTATGAATGGGAGAAGAGGTCCAGTCAATCTTCCGCCGCAGGCGGATTGCAGGAAGGCGCTGAATATGACTCAGTGGCAAGCATTGCTGAAAGGGCGTTCAGACATGTAGTTCTGGACCGTTATGGTGATTTGAACTTGAAGATTGATGTTCTAAAGGCCTGCATAAACTGTTGTGAAGCACTTCCCGATTTCAACGGCGTTCTGCGTTTCACGGTCGAGCTCCTCCAGACTATTCGAGGTGATATCATGTTAGGAGAAGGGTACCGAAACCCACCATACCTCCCACAGGACGAACAAGTCCGTCTTCTGAACAACATCAAGCGAACCGTAGGCGCAGGATCTAGGCTAGGTGCCTCGGACATGGTAGCCGAGTATTGGGACGACTTCCTAGTGCGTGATGTTCAGCCGCTGGCACTTCCGGATCCTAAACGGCCCGTACGACGGTCTAAGACAGAACTGGATGCAGTCACCACTACTTCTCAAACATCGAAGAAGGATCCATTCCTGTATAATCCTTTCGCAAAGGCCAGCAGCAAGGCATTGGAAGTTATCACAGTGGCTGATGAGCATGCCTCTTACCGAGTCACCCTCCAGAATCCCTACGAGTTCGAGGTTGAGATTGAACATTTGCGCTTGGGTGTGTCACTCGATGCTGTCGCGGAAAACATTATCCTCGCCCCGCTCTCTATCCAGGATATCATTGTGACTGGTGTCGCCCAAGGGGAAGGCAATCTTAATATCACAGGTTGCGTCGTGAAGGTTCGTTACTGTCGGATGCGAAGATTCCCCATTTTCAACACATTTTGGAAGCCAGACCCCGACGTGAAGTTCAAGCGAACAGGGCTGTGTGCCAAGCAGCCTCTGACGGCGCGGCCAATTTCCTGGAGCTCAACAACCTCCAAGGATGGCAAGGTCGATATCAAGAAAGGACCTGAAGCTACTTCTCGTGAAGTCAAGGTAATCGCTAGGCAGCCATCCCTTGTGATTGAGTCAATGTCCTTGTCGCAATCAGCAATGATGGTACTTGAGGGTGAAGTCAAGACCTTCACCATTACTCTCCAAAATGCCTCTACCTGTCCCGTGGACTTCGTTCTATTCTCTTTCCAAGACTCAACGACAAAGCAGCTTCAATCTGCATTGAGCAACAAGGACCTGCTGCCCGTTGAGACGTACGAACTGGAGTTGAAACTGGCGACCAATCCGGCTTTGCGGTGGCGCCGTGAGGGTCAAGACTCGAGTGATTGCTCGATTGCGGCAGGCGAAAAGGCGACATTTACAGTTGATGTCCTCGGAAAGCCTGGCTTGCAGGAAACCACGGTGCAAATTGACTATTCCCGCTTGAACGCAGCCCCAGGTGAATTGCCTGATGTGTTCTATACACGCCAGTTGTTTGTACCGTTGACGGTCACAGTGAATGCAAGCGTGGAGGTTGCCCGCTGCGACATTCTCCCGTTCAGCGGTGACTTTGCATGGAAGAACAACATCGAGCCACCCGTCGAGTCAGTGAAGGGATCTGATGCGTCGCTTTCTACTCAAGACAATGATCCCTTTTCACAGGTTCTGAGTCGCCTTGGCAATGGTGCCTATGGGCCTGACCATTGCGTTGTGCTAGTCGATCTGCGCAACGCCTGGCCAAGTCCAGTCTCTGTATGGCTGCGCGTGAGCGAGCAGTCATTAGAGGCACTTTCGGTTGAGACGAAGAGCGAGGATAACACGAATGGCCAGTACTCTGTTGGTGGAGAGCTGCAGCCTGGACAAGTCTCTCGCTTCGTTCTCGTCATGCCGCGCGTCTACCTTGACAACCCCCACGCCGCCATTCCTGTGGTGAACACCGGCACCAGGCGACAATTCGTCGTCAGCGCCAACAAACTATCATTTGAAGCCGAAGCGGCCTCTCGCGAAGCCTTCTGGTTCCGGGAGGAACTTCTCAAGAGAGTTCTTGGAGGCTGGAAAGAACCAGCTACAGGCCGCGAGGGATCCATCGACCTACGAAACATCAGACTGAACAACCGCATGGTTGAAGCAATTCGTCTCGAAGACATCGAGATGACGTTCTCCATGGCCTCGCCATCTTCATCCGGCGATTCAGAAGCAATCGAACAAACCGGCCGTTCTCGCTTCCGGGTCAAGACAGATGATCTCCTCACTTTGACCGTCACTGTCCACAACCGCTCATCCCGCCCGATCCATCCTCTTCTCCGTCTTCAACCAAGTCTCCGCCACCAGCCAAACAATGTCGCGCTTGATCTCACTCGTCGCCTCGTTTGGACCGGCATGCTACAACAGGCTCTTCCTATTCTCCCGAGTGGCGAGTCCGCCCAAATCTCCATTGGTCTGACCGTGCTCTGTCGGGGAGAATACGAATTTGGCGCCAGTGTCGAGGAAGCCCGCCTTCTGCGACCATCTCTCATCGACGCCCATGCCCAAAACGCCGATGCTACAGCTCCCCATGACGAAGGTGGTATCAAAGATACCTTTGGTGCGGATGTCGTGCGCCGCCGACGTATCTGGCATGCAAAGGAACTGTGTATCATCCATGCCAGTGACTCATGATGCTCATTTTGATTTTTCGGTCGACCTTCGAGATTGATACACGTGATACGGTTTCCTTTGTAGCCTAACTTCATGATGACTATGTAGCATACCCCAAATCTTTGTACAAACCCCAACCTACCTTTGCGTGATGAAGCCAAGCATATGATTCTAGAAACATAGAGCATCTATCGTTATTATGTCCCATTTCCTAAGATTTCTACTACTGTTCCCTTGGGCTATACTAGATAGGCCCAGGGGTATGTTTGCTGAGGCATCTCCAGAGATCCTGTGTTCAATTTCTCGTACATCCTTGCTACTTGCAGGGCTATAAAGTACAAGTGGGGCGCTCGGAGCCGCTGAGCTCGCGGGGCGAAATGGGCATGTATAAGTAATCTCGGCATTCACAAAACGCCCGAGAAGACCGAGCAGTCAGCCAAGCGCACATCGGGCTCCCTTGAGGCTAAACTACAACGGTATGACACAGCCGCAACGGATGAGAAGGAATGTACAGAGAGCCTTGGAATCTGATTGGCATGAATATGATAATGATGATGTCATGTTTTATAGGGCCTCGGGGGAATTATAAAAGCGCGATATGCTGCTGACCGGCATTGACTTGCAATTTTGTTTTATTTCACATATCTAAATCTCTTGAACATGCCCAAGCCAATTGCAATCATTGCCGGCGCTGGCCCCGGAACTGGCAGTGCTGTCGCCCGCCGCTTTGCCCTATCTTACCCTGTGGTTTTACTTGCTCGATCGCAACAGTCGCTAGACCCCTTGGTGGACGACATCACACAGAATGGCGGCTCCGCCATGGGCATCCCCACCGATGTGACGAGTGCTGCGAGCATGGGATTGACAATGGACAAAATCAAGAACAAGTTCGGACCGGAGATCACAGTCGCGGCAGCAATCTACAATGTCGCGAGCAAATTTTCAATGAAACCTTTTCTGGAACAAAAGCCAAGAGAATTTATTGAAATGTTGGAGCCCTCGATCAAGGGTGCATTTAACTTCGCTCAGGCCACACTGCCTTACATGTTGAACGGTGACCAGGGACAGTACCCTCCCACACTCATTTTCACTGGTATAGTCCACGGCAAGGTCCAAGAGAAAGTATTATGGGCTAATGATATTAGGCGCCACGGCTTCACTCAAAGGTAGCTCTGGGCTATCCGCGTTTGCCATGAGTAAGTTCGGAACTCGTGCTATGGCCCAGTCTCTGGCGCGTGAGTTCGGGCCCAAGGGTGTCCATGTCTCTCATGCTATTATTGATGGAATTATCGACACCGAGAAGACCAAGAGCTTCGGCCAGAACGCTCCGGATGCGAAAATCGACCCACAAGGGGTAAGTGGATCTTGCTTTCTCTCTCTTCTCGCTCTCTTGTGCTCTTGTTTGGTTCCAAGTCTAACTCGACCTTGCAGATTGCGGACTCTTACTGGCATTTGCACACACAACCCAGAAGTGCGTTTACTCACGAGATTGACATTAGGCCCTTCTCCGAGAAGTGGTGAGAGGCAGATGAAACAACTTGTCTCTGCAGTCAGACTATGTATGACAACAATTGTTTCCGATCATGCATACCTTGGAAGTAAATATGCCATTCGGCTAACACCTACAATCTGATTATTTATCACAAGCCTCAACGCCGCGCTCACGCTCGGCCAAAAAGACCATGATGGTTGCTTAAAAACTGGAGTAGTTATATATTGGCTTAATCTCATATTTCGATTGGTACAGGAAGGGAGCTATTTTCAACCTTGGAACTTCGAGACTTCCTTTTGAACTGTCCTTTGAACTGTCTAATAAACTGTCTTCCAACTAATTGTCGAGTCATCATGATTGGTCGAGTGAAGGAAATCTTGGCTAAGCCGTGAACAGAGAAATACCTAAGAACAAGGTATGTTTGGATGAGCAGTCTAGCAAACCTCTCCCAGCCAACTCGGTATCAATTTGAAGACGATATGATTTTATCAACCACTGATCTGAGCACATACGACCACAGGGTGTGGAGAACAGGGCTTCCCGTCCGCTCAGCCGTACTTAAGCCACACGCCGGTGAGTTAGTAGTTGGGTGGGTGACCACCAGCGAATCCTCACTGTTGTATGTTTTTGGTTCTATTGGATTCGCCTTTTTGCCTTCTTAGGGAGTCTCCCCTCTCTTGCAATTTCTCAACTTGGCTATATTTTTGGTTGTCCTTCCAACTAATCATCGAGTGCGGAGTAACGGTGATTGATCGAGTGAAGAAAGCCTTGGCTAAGCCGTGAAGACAAAATTAGGGATTGGAGATTGGAGAGTCAGCTACTTGAATTTGCCTCTGGATAGCAAGGGGCTGCCAATGACGATCTCTTTCATCTTTTATTCTAAGTACACATTATGATGCCATGAGGAAATGCCCGAGCAGAAATAAGGCCAGCTCCGCTATCTCATCAAAAGCCATGGAAAATACCTCTCTTAAGGTCATCCAGTCAATCAATCACCTGTTGTGTTTGTTCTCTCGAAAGAAATCCTCGATTTTGGTCCACTGTACATCGGGATAACGGTCGTTATCAATCGGATCAAGTTTTCCAGCACCAGAAAACATGTTCACCATGTACTGCATACCCTGCCAGGCGGGAAACACGTCATTCTCTCCACCAAAAAAGCGCAGACCGCGGATCATAAGTTCTGTAGAGCCCACGGTACCAATCCAGTTGGGTTTATATTCCACCCCCTCGACATTGGTATGTGCCTGAGCGATGTCCTCGATACTGACTGTCGCACTAGCAATGCGAAGAAAGTTGGGCGTGGGAGTGGGGTCCGCAGCTACAGCCGCTGTGTATGCAGCAGTATCCACCATTGTCGTGAAATCAAGGAGCTGTGTGGTTGATCCGATGTATGTAACCTTCCGTCCTTTGTGGTTGATCATAGGCGAGTCCCCAACCAAGAGATCCATAAACCCGCCATTGAGGATACTCGTCCAAGAGATACCGGACTTCGTTAACGTGGTGTGGAACTCGCGTCGTAAATCCAAGTTGCGGTTAGATCCCACTTGGGTCTTTGTAAAATCGAGAGAGAAATCAGAAGGGATGAATTTTGGTACTTGAGCAGCCACGGAAGCCTCTAGGAGGGTACCCTGGGCTGTATGGATCACATCCCTTAATCCTTGAAGGGTGGAGACAACACAAATCGCGCCAGTCAATTCTTTGGTGAGGGCCGGTACTGCGGCGAGGTCGATAGGGGTAACCGTCACGCCAGCGTTGCGGAGTTTCTCGGTGCGCGAGGAATCTGTGTTGGGGCGGACAAATGCCTTGACGGCGACGCCGCGTTTGACCAAGGCCAATGCAACAAGCTGGCCTAAGCCACCAGCGGCGCCGGCTACTGCGACGAATGGTGGACTCATTTTGCAGTGCAACCAGTAGTGTCAAGTTTCAACAAATTCAATGGGGATTGATCTGTATTGAGTTCCCATCGGAAAAGGTCATCAATTTATACATTTCGTCATGTTAACTCTCACTTCAAGCTTAGCTCCAAAAGGCCCTGGAGCTGGAGCCCTGGAGATTTCGGGAGATTAGTCACCGTCGTTGCTCGGGGTTGAAATTATCACCGCAGCCCCGAGGCCCCTTCGCCACTGACATTCAATATTACCTTCTTACCAAAGTGCTCAGCTCGGGATTTGACAGGCGAGTAGCGATGATTAATTTCAAGGCTCTCTAGTCAAAATTACTTTGGAATGCTCTGCCAATTTCCAGACTTAACCTCGGAACTCTAGCATAGCTTGGGATATATAATGTCAACCACAACGCGCATAGATAGTGAACGAAAACTCCATTCTCACCCCCAGAGCCTCGGAAAATTAATCTTGGAACTCTGCATACCTGAGTACATCTTTTATCTTTCACCTCTAACATAATGACTACAAAATATGCCCCCTTAGCCCCCGGGAATTCAAAATCTTCAACCGCATGGCGGAGAAGATGCAGATGCTGGTACCAACACTCTCCGAAACAAAGATGAATACAGCTAACACGGCTTTATCAAGCACCAATGGTTCCAAGCTCGATGGGATGTCATCTATGAGGTAGCGAAAACATCACAAAGACCTGCAAAAATGTCTATCAGAGGTTACCTCCATTTGTGTTTGGAATTTTGCGAAAACCTCGAAGCGCATCACCAGATTGAAGAGGTAACAATATCCCCATAGCTTCGCATTTGAATTTACCAGTGCACTAACATCTACGGATTTGTTTCAGATTCGCGTTTTCCCTTTTCTCGCAACACGCATGCCTGCCTTCGCCAACCATGACGAATTGATCGCGCAGCATAAAGTCATCCACAAAGGTCTCGAGAAACTTGAAGCCTATGCTGATGACTGTTTACAAGGCAATATTGACTTGCGTTACAATGAGCTAAAAGGAATACTAGACGCATTCGGGGCGACTTTATGGGAGCATCTGGATGATGAAGTGCGGCAATTAGGTGCAGAGGAGACAAGAAAATATTGGTCAGTGGACGAGATGACTCGAATGCCAATGTAGTATAGCAAGCGACCATTTGTGTGCGCTTTCTCGACTTCAACAAGATAAATATTTGGATCTATTTGGCCAGTTGGCAGCCCTGGAGTTGCTCACAGATGACTAAGGCGACTCCCCGACCTCGGGACCTCGGGAATGAGGTCACGAATGTGGAGAAGGGTGTTTTTTTCGAAATTCCAAGAGTTCCGACTCTTTTTCACTTTTCTCCCATATGGCCGCAGAATCCAGGCAACCAAAACAACTGCCGTGTGGAGGGGGGTCATCATTGCTGCAGCGGAGTTGTCATGATTGCAACCGCAGAAAGGTACGATGTAACAAGGAGTCTCCCTGCGACAATTGCGTCAGGCTTGGGATTGAGTGCACCTTCCCCCCACCGGGCCGTAAACCCCGAGAAAAGCCAATTAAAAAACAATCACAAAAGTCGCACTTGCTCTCACGATTAAGTCTCCTGGAGCAAGAGGTTCAGAAGTTGGGTGGGCAGAGTCAACCCAGAGCTCCCTCTACGGACCAAGTAGAGCAGCAATACCGCTCTCAAGACCCACAGATCGGCTGGATTCTACCATCATGGCTGGCAGGGAACTTGGAGCCCGATCAGTCAACGAAACTGGATGAGCATGATTCTGAACCGCGTGGGAAAACCAAGTCGCCGCAGGATAACTCTGCTACACTCAGTGATGAATTTGGACGCTTAGTCCTGGACCGAAACAGCGGGACTAGTCGCTATGTGAACCACCGAGTTTTAACAGGGCTCGCAGATCAGGTATATCACACCCTCAACGGAGCACGGAGCATAGTCGATAGTTTCAAACAAGCTTGCTGAGCATATATTAACATACTAAACAAAGGTGAAAGATATTCGGGACTTATTTGACGGACTATCTTCGCCGACACCGTCCGAGGATGACGTCTCTACGCCTGCCTCAGCAGCGGATCGGGAAGCTGAAAGCCCTTTTTTATTCGGTTATCATTCGCTAGCATCTTCATTACGCTGTTATCACCCATCCCCGACCATCGGACATCTTCTTTTGAGTGTGTTCGAGGAAAACGTCGCGCCTATAATAAGGATCGTCTTTACATCCGCATTGAGAGACTTGATCCAAGCTGCGGTCACGAATCCTGACGAACTCGACAAGGGCTCTGAGGCTCTGGTATTTTCAGTTTATTTCGCTGCAGCTTCCAGTATGACAGAAGAACAATGTCTCGGAGAGATGGGGGAAACTCATGCCACCCTGACTAAAAGGTTTCGCTTTGCTGTCGAGCAAGCACTAGCGCGAGCTGGATTTCTCCATACCCGCAAACTGATTGTCGTACAGGCTGCGGTGCTGTTCCTTAGCTGCGCTTCGCACCCCAGGGATGCTCATTTTGTCTGGACCATGATTGCCGTGGTTACTCGCCTTGGCCTCGGCCTGGGCCTGCACCGGGATGGCGTTAACTTTGAACTAAGCCCATACGAAACGGAAATGCGTCGACGGACCTGGTGGTACATTTATCTGTTAGATGTGCGAACATCAGAATCCCAAGCAACTAGCCCTCAGATACGGGAAGGGGACTATAACACGCTTCTACCTTTGAACATCAATGACGAAGATCTGGCACCCGATATGATTGAGACTCCAAAGGAACGAATTGGGTTTACGGATATGACCCTAACCCTCGTTCGATGTGAAATTCTCATATCGCATCGCAAGTTAGTGCAAATAAGTGACCCGGCAGTCAGTGTTAGTACCCAGCAAGCAATACTCGAAAGCCGTCTACTCGCAGTCGACGAGTGCCGACAGGCTCTCGACAATCGATACGTCCAACATTGCGACCTCGGCATTCCAATTCAATGGGTAACGGCAACAATTGCACGAGTCGCGCTTGCGCGTCTGTGGCTTGTGTCGCACTTCTCACTCATGACAGCCGACGGATTCCAGCCAGACCTATGGCCCGAGAAATGCGATGTCCTCATTCTCACAGCGATTGAAGTATTGGAGTTTGTCTATCTACTCGAAACCCACGAAAACACCGCCCAATGGTCATGGTTGTTCCAGGGATATGTGCAGTGGCAATCTTTTGCGTTTGTTCTGTCCGAACTCTGCGTGCGCCCGATATCTACACTCGCTGATCGTGCTTGGATGGCGGTGAATCGGGTGTATGACCGGTGGAATGGGCCCATGAGCCACGGACCCGGGTTGATGATGCGCTCATTGGAACGTCTCAGGGCGCGTGCAGCAGCAGCTCGAGAGAGGGAACTCGCTCAATCACAAATGGCTGCTCCTATTCAGCAAAGCTTGGACGATACGTATTTTGGGGAAACACGCATGCTGAATCAAACAGCGAAGCTCGCTGAAGATTTACTCGCTGTCGAGACCGCATCTCTTGATATTTTCAGGGGTATAGTGCACGATATAGGCATATAATGTTCAAAGTATTGGGATATTGAAAGAGTGCATCATTTCAGGTTTTGTAGACTCCATGGAAAGTCATGTGTATGGAACATGTTTGCAAATTTTGGTTCTCACAAACAGGCTAGGCATGCGGAGTAGTGTACGCAGAGTTTCATGAGAGAGAACACAGCTCATAATGTCACAGATTAAATGACAATTTCCTTCGAGATTAAAGCTCGTTCGTCTGCGACAGTAAAGATTTTCAAAGACAGGCAGTATGATATGAGTGGGTGCGTCACGAGTGTGATAGCAGTTGATCAACACAACGTTCGGCATTCGCTGTTCATGCTCGGGGCTCGGGGGTTCGATTTAAGGCCGCTGCCGTAGACACGGCGACGAATGATATGCGAGGAACGGCGCTGATCCGGAATCTTATCCTGTGGTCACCAATCAAAAGATTTGCTAATACGGGTCTCACTCCACTACTTCAATTGTCCGGGTTTGGGTTGTTAATCTTCCTCATTTGTCGTCATCGGGGGTTCCGCATCTTGATCCGCTTTCGCCAAGAACCGTAGATCGCTGAGAAATGTGGATTGAAGAACCCCCGCGAATGATTATAGCCGGCGACGGAAATCGGTCCTGACGTTCGAGGCCGAGCTGAGTGATTGTGCCTCATTAGCTTGTCGACCTCCGATCTGGGCCCGCCACATGAAGTTTATAAAACCGCGGTGACGTCCTTCTTTGTCACAGCTATACACTTCCCAATCATTCAATTCTCAAGAGAAACCTGGGAATCTTCATCTACAACTTTCAACGAGTCCATCTTTCACACTGATTGTTCATCATGTCCAACTTGATCACTGTCTTCGGAGCCACCGGCAACCAAGGAGGCTCCGTCATCGATGCTATCCTCAGCGATCCTCAGCTCTCTAGAGAGTTTAAGATTCGTGGTATCACTCGTGACACTACCAAAAAGACCTCTCAGGACCTTGCCAAGCGCGGTGTTGATGTTGTCTCGGTAATGCCTCTTTGACAAGCCAACCCAGACAAACAACTGATATGTGAAAATATAGGCCGATCTCGACTCTGTGGACTCCCTGACCGCTGCTCTCAAGGGCTCGCACACCGTCTTCCTCGTTACCAACTACTGGGAAACCATGAACGCGGACGTTGAATACACCCAGGGCAAGAACGTGACCGACGTTTGCAAGGCTGTTGGCGTTTCTCACCTTATTTTCTCCTCCCTCCACCACGTGAAAGAGGAAAGCAAGGGTCGACTCACAAACGTGCCCCACTTTGACAGCAAGGCCAACGTCGAGAAGTACATTCGTGCTTCTGGGATTGGCGCTAGCTTCGTCCTTCCGGGATATTACATGTCCAACTTCACTCAGATGCTGAACCGTGCTGAGGATGGCTCTTACCAGCTTTTCTACCCCATTAGCAACGACGCAAAGTTCCCGCTCTTTGATGCCGCCCAAGACACTGGTGAGATTCTTTCTACACGTTTATTCATTTGATTGAGCCGCAACTAATTCATCGAGTAAAGGTCTATTCGTGAAAGCCGCTCTTAAGCACAAGGGTCAATTGAAAAACCACCAGATCTTGGCCGCTGCCAAGTACTATACCCCCAGGAAATTGTCGACATTTTCTCTCGGGTGTCTGGCCACAAGGCTACTTTCATTCAACTTGACGCAGAGCAGTACAAGGCCGCCCTGCCACCTGCTATTGCTCAGGAATACCTTGAGAACCAACTCTTTGTGGCTGACCCTGGATACTATCTTGGAGAGTCTCTCGAGCCCAGCTTGAAGCTTCTTGACGCTCAGCCCGCCACTTGGGACGAATTTGTCAGGAAGAATGTTTCCGCCTGGAAATGAATTATTTATCCTGTGCGGAGTATGTCGCATAAATGCCTGCAATGACTTTTGCGATCATAGTTCTCTGTCACGCAATTTGATCAATATTGAGATACATTGAATCTACTCCGCACTGAATTTGTCAGTTATTCAAATTATGGTAGTATTGAAATAGAACGGCACTGGAAACACCCATTCTGTATTGCCCTATCCATTTTTCATGGTGAAAGGTTTTTGCAGGTTCCAAGGATGTGATATCGTGGAACTAGAGGTATAGAGCTGTGGAGCAGATTGAGCCCAAGTTGCTTTTCTGTCAAAATAGGGAAAGCACTATAAATTCGACTTAGTTCGCTGCTTGTATTTGTGGAATGTTATGTATGCGACAGTACTCCGTAGTCAGTTGCCTTGGTGATTATTGGGGTGCTATGCAGAAAAGTGATAATGCAGGTCACAGCAAATCAAATGTCTAGCCTGATATGGAGTGAGCTGAAATTGGCCAGATAATTGGTCAATATGTTGTTGCTTGGTATTTATTGCCTGTTGCTTCAGCTCAATTTGCTTTTTTTCACTTCCAATAAGTTTATGGTGGCAATTGACATTCTTTAGTATTATTTTAGTGTCACTCTTTAGTCTCTTTAGGACGGAAGTACCCGATGTCGGTCGCCCCACTTTAAAAATCGGGGCCGTGGGTGACTCCCGGGACTTTACTTTCTTTACTTTCTTTACCTTCTTTACCTTCACCTCTTCTCCCTTTACCACCAACATGGAGCATATTCGCCAGACATTTGCTCAATGCAAGACTGAGGGCCGTCCGGCCCTAGTCACCTATGTGACAGCCGGTTTCCCTCGCGTCGAAGAGACTCGGGATATCTTACTCGGCATGCAAGCTGGAGGGTCTGGTGAGTCACTCCATGTAAAAATTCACTTTTGTGCCACGCTGAACGGATGTCTTGACAGACATTATTGAGCTCGGGTTACCTTTCACTGACCCCATTGCGGATGGCCCAACTATTCAAAAATCTAACCTCAAGGCGCTGGAGAATGGAGTCACCATTGCCTCCATGCTGGAGATGGTCCGTGATGCTCGCCAACATGGTCTCAAAACACCCGTGCTTTTCATGGGCTACTACAATCCCATTCTCCGCTACGGAGAATCTAAATTGATGGCAGATTGCAAGGAAGTAGGCGTCAACGGCTTCATCGTTGTCGACCTCCCCCTGAAAGAGGCAATTCGCTTCCGTGAGGGCTGCACCAAGACTGGGTATGAAACCATGAAGTTGCTGGTAAAGATTTTCGCTGACTGTTTTTAATATAAAGACTTTCTTACGTCCCACTGATCGCACCATCAACCACCGAGGAGCGTATGAAAACTCTCTGTCAGATGGCTGACTCTTTCATCTACCTTGTGTCGCGCATGGGCGTGACTGGCGCCACTGGAACTCTCAACTCAGAGCTCCCAACCCTCATTCAGAAAGTCAAAGACCTCTCTGGAAATGTACCTGTGGCAGTAGGCTTCGGTATCAGCACGCGCGAGCATTTCCTCAGTGTGACCTCCATCGCTGATGGCGCCGTGATCGGCAGTCAAGCTATCACTGTCCTTAGCGATGCTCCAGCTGGACAAGCTGGAAAGACCATCGAAGAATATTGCTCACAAATTACGGAACGAAAAGTTGCACGAGACTCTTCGCCTGCCACAGCCCAGGTTCCTAAAGCCACCGAGACCGACTCGACGCCCGAGGAGGAAACCGACTTGGCCGATGGACAGGGTCGATTTGGCACTTTCGGTGGCCAGTATGCTCCTGAGGCTCTGATAACCTGCCTGGATGAACTCAATGCCGGCTTCGAGGCCGCCCTCAACGATCCCAAGTTCTGGGAAGAATACAAGAGCTACTATCCCTACATGGGTCGTCCATCCAGCCTTCACCTTGCCCAGCGGCTCACCGAACACGCAGGCGGTGCCAATATCTGGCTCAAGCGTGAAGATTTGAACCACACGGGCTCTCACAAGATCAACAATGCCCTTGGTCAAATACTCATCGCCCGCCGCCTCGGAAAGACAGAGATCATTGCCGAAACAGGGGCAGGCCAACATGGCGTGGCAACGGCTACCGTTTGTGCCAAATTTGGGATGAAATGTGTCATCTACATGGGCGCAGAGGATGTTCGTCGACAGGCATTAAACGTCTTCCGTATTCGCTTGCTCGGTGCTACCGTAATTCCAGTTGAATCAGGCTCGCGAACCCTTCGCGACGCAGTCAACGAAGCATTCCGTGCATGGATCACCCGTCTTGATACTACACACTACATCATCGGCTCATCAATTGGACCTCACCCCTTCCCGACCATGGTTCGCATATTCCAGAGTGTAATCGGCGAAGAAACCAAGTCTCAACTGAAGGCACTCGGCAAAAGCCCCGACGCCGTGGTCGCCTGTGTTGGAGGCGGCTCAAACTCCACCGGAATGTTCTATCCATTCTCCAAAGATCCCTCTGTCCAGTTAATCGGCGTCGAAGCCAGTGGAGATGGACTGGACACGGAGCGACACTCAGCCACGCTGGGCGGTGGATCCGTTGGAGTTCTCCATGGCGTTCGCACCTACGTCCTCCAAGATGAACATGGTCAAATTTCCAACACCCATTCTATTTCCGCTGGCCTTGATTACCCAGGCGTTGGACCGGAGCTTGCGAATTGGAAGGAAAGTGGTCGCGCTACTTTCACCTCCGCCACCGATGCGCAGGCCTTCGAGGGATTCCGCTTGCTCAGTCAGCTCGAGGGCATCATTCCTGCGCTTGAAACTTCCCACGCGGTGTGGGGTGCCATCGAGGCCGCCAAGAAATTGGGTCCTGGTAAGGACCTGGTCATTTGCTTGAGTGGTCGTGGAGATAAAGATGTGCAGACCATCGCGGACGAGCTGCCTAATATTGGGCCCTCGATCGGTTGGGACTTGCGTTTTTGAACGTATGTTCGGTTCAGCAGCACGTACATGACCGGCACATATCATCAGCAAAGTGTTCATCGTGGGCAGCATTTTCGCTGGATTTCGGGAACCAATTCAGTTAGTCATACATTCGGGGCGTAGAATCAAAAGTTTCAAAGGGTATTCGTTTTCAAAATCAAGTACTTCTCTCTCACACACATAAAGGCATCTCTCTCCCAAATCAATTTGCTCCCAAATTCTTCAGACCCTATCGTGTGGCTCTCTATGCTCCTCAACCGTTGACACTAACTGAATACATGAATTCTGGCTGAAACGAAGATGCATCTCAACAAAGGTGCTCTGATGACAGATCATCCTGAAGATTGAAGATTCCAATAAGATGATGATGGGGGCAAGTCGAAAAACGAGGGGGGGCTTATACGAACTCTAAACAGCCCAACGCGCCTTCCATCAGCCACAGCGCTGTAAACCAGGAAAGCACCCTACCAGGAGATGTGGGAACAGCGACTCGTGGTGATTCCATCACAGCCGAGCAGTCATGGGGAGTGAGGACAACCCATCAGCGGTCCGGCTTATCAATGTCTGCTCCAGGATCGTCAGTTCTCCGGATTTTGCAAACAGCAACACCTGATGCGCCATTTTCCATGGGTATTGTCACAGTAAAACGCTCCCAGCAAAAGGACATACGAACATGACCTGGCGGTAAAAGCGGCGAAAGCGGCAAGCACGGTGTGAACGGTGGAAGCGGCACTGAGCCGCGAAGCCTGGAGCTGAACTGATCGCCCATGACGCTCATCAAATTCACAGTCGTGAGAAGTTCGAAACCGACTGACCATGAAGAGCTTGTAAAATTCATATTCAGGTGCAGCTAATTCCATCTATTTCTGCATCTGTGAAGAAATCATTATGCTCAGTGACCGCATTTGCGATTCCGCATATGCCGTCCATGCCGAGCTCGGAAATCCCCCAAGCTGCAGCACCCTGACTAGCTCCGGTTTCTTTTCAATCCCGTTGGTGCCGCTGCGAACTGTTGCCACTCCTGGAACCGGCACTCCTTGTGTCGGAATTTACTCCTCCGGCCTCCAACGCTTTCAGGACGAAACTCCAAGACACCCACCTCGACAGATTTCGACATTGAAACATGAACATGAAAATTGTTATTTTTTTGAAAGAAAGGAGATAATCGACGTCTGTTACTTTGCGTGCACAAGACTCTCAGTGCTACTGGTCTCCTGTCCCTGACGATCCGACTGACCCCAAGTGACCTCCATCTGGGTAGTCATAGTAATAATATTTTTGTCATATTTTTTCACGGATCCGAGCTCCGCCGAATGACCCGCTTCAACGACCGTCAGACTCTGGTCCTGCGTCTGCCGGGTGTAATTCGATCTGTCCTCGAGATTATAGCCGAGCCGGACCCGACCGCTAGTGGAGCCGTACGGGCCGGTGCGGGTCGAGCCTAAGAGCTTAGGGCCCAGTCGCGCGATGAGAGGCTTGAATGAGGGAGCGCAGGCGGCCACGAACGCAAGCCCGACTTCAATAGTCGATACGCAGAAGAGAACTGTGTGTGTATAATTTTTCGGTAGGTGACGGTCGAAGTCATCGAGGAGGATGATGCGGATGATGCCTGCGACCACCGTTCTTGTATTGTTAGTATGGAAATCGAATTCGATCGCGAAAAGCCCGGGGACCCACAAAAGACCGAATGACAGGATTCCAACGACCATTAGTTTTTGATTGCGCTGCATCTGCAGACGGTATACAATCCAGGTTGGCAGTATCAAGGCGAGGACGTCGGTTAGGATGGAGATCGAGGCTGTTCCAGTAACGAAATCGGCGAAGTTGAGGCACTTGGCGTTGGGATAAGCGGCGGCATTCCAATTCGAGGCGATCGGGACGCAGTGGAAAACGGTGATGAAGAACGTCGCTATGCCGGCAACTCCGTTGAAGATTAGAAGGCCCCAGATAGCCCATCGAACTGATTTCTTCTGGCCAGTTAGACGTAACAAGAATAGAAGAATCGATGTCTTCACGAGAGCCAGGATGGGATTGTAAAGCAGCTCGGTCTGTGTTGTGTCAGCGCGTCTCTCTAGCATGACTCGGTCTTGCCTACTGCGTAGCCATATTTATTTCCCAAAATGGGCGAGTAGTCCTTAGGTACCTCCCAGACATTGTATCCGATGAAGGTTTCAATAATCACTAGATTGTGAAATATCAGTAACTATGCTTTCGAGTTCATCGAGCGCTGATCTTACCCTCATACGAAGTGAATGTTTCCGCCCAATACAAGATCTGCGATCGATCTGTCAATCATGCTTGGTCCGTGTGATGAGAGGTACTAACCATAGCAATGCAAATGACCCAGTCATCTAGAAAATGTCAGCATCTTATAGAGCAGGCTGAATATGAAGGTCTGACCTGCACCAAATGACTTTGTCAAGGTACGGCTATACAGACGTAAAGCCACGGCCACGGTCGCAAGGGCTGGAAATGCAAAGATCAGGCCTATAGCCTGCGGTTGTAGATTGTCTCCGGCCATGATGCTTCCAGGTACGGCTTAAAAGTCGAAAGAGAATATCTGGGTGCGTGTCCGGCAGCGGAATTTTACTGAGCGCACGAGGGCTGCCCTTTAGCTACATATGTCAATCTCAAACGGCCCCCAGCTGGCGTTCAGGCCTTGTAAATATTCCTTGTCCTAGACGGGATGATTTGCCATGCTTGTGTTAAGTGGCGTTCGCCGATTTGTTCTTCAATGGAAGTCTGGAATAAGACATCGATGGACTTGATCCACATTGGGTCTCTTTCCGATGGAGAAAAAGGCCTGGGTACCTTGAAATGGAATAGTTCCGGAAAAATTTGATGGGTAAATCCAATCTTTCAAGCGTTAAATTTCAGGAGGGGCTAGTTTAGAGACTAAAATCGGAACCCACCCTAATGTAGTTTGAGGTGCCAAGGCGTGTTCATAAGTGGCATAACGGCATTGTATACCACGTGCATCGATTAAGTTAAACAATGTGAGATACAATGCATTGGTGCGCACAGTGGATAGTTTTGGCACTGTGTTGGATAGGTAATATTGGGGCTCAGAAGGGCACAACGCGGAATGAGAACGCCCCCAACCTTGGAAGTACTCCACAGTTAATTGCTTGACAATGCAACTAGTCATTTAGTGTGTAGGGACCTCGGAATATCCAAGACACTCGGTTACAGTTAACAAAAGCCACTGGCTTAGCTAGAGAGCGACAATAATGAATAAATCTCCGGAACTACCAAATTCCCCATAACGGCCTGGCCCAGTAGGTTGCCTCCTTAGGGCTGCGTGGGCTGACTCCTTGTCGCCGATATAGTATTTAAGAGCCCCGAGGTCCATTCTCATTCCCCTCTCGCTATTATCGCCTCCTTAAATTCAGCATCATTGAATATGAAGGGGTTTTGGAAGTTCAGTCTTTCTGCGAGTGCATCCCTCGCCGGGGCGATCCCAACCGTTTCGCTCACAGCAGGAGCAGCCACCACGGTCGTCCCCACGGTGGACTCAGCCCCATCCCTCTTTTACCATGAGAGGGTTCAATTGACCGAGGGCGTACTTGCAGATGTTTCAAGTGCTTTGCAAAACGGCGACATCGCCAAGATGTTCGCCTTCGCCGGCAACTCCACATCCAACTCCACGGTTGCCAAGAGGGGCGTGCATCATCGGTGCAAGGCCATGCCTGGAGACCTTTTCTGGCCTTTGGATTTGGTCTGGGATCTTTTTGACTTGTTGTTGGGTGGTCGTCTGATTAAGACAGTGCCGCTGGCAGCTTACTGCTACCCAGACTGGCCAGAATACGATGCCACCAAGTGTGCAAGCATTACCACGGATTGGATGTCTTCGCAGCTGCATATGGCCGATCCTGCCTCAATTATGCTTCCTTTATATGAAGGCCGCACGTGCTTGCCCTCGCCGTATAACTATACCTCAACATGCAAGCAGGGCGCGTACCCGACGTATGCAGTCAATGTGACCAACGTGGCACAAATCCAGCTAGCGGTTAACTTCGCTCGCAATCTGAATCTTCGGCTGGTGGTCAAGAACACCGGTCATGACTTCAATGGTAAGGCCTCCGGCAAGGGGGCGCTTTCTATCTGGACGCATTATCTCAAGGAGAAGGAGTTCCTCCCAACTTTCAAGGCTGCAAATGGCTATGTCGGTCCGGCCGTCAAGTTTGGCTCGGGTGTGCAGGTGTGGGAAGCTTATGAGTTTGCAAAGTCCGTTGGTCACTCTGTTGTCGGTGGTGAGGCTGTGACTGTTGGCTTGGGTGGTGGCTACACTGCTGGTGGTGGTCACTCCCCTCTTTCCAGCTTGTACGGTCTGGCATCTGATCAGGTCCTCGCAATGCAAGGTAAGCTTTAATGAGCGCTGCAGAGAGGCACACCACTAATTAATTTCTAGTCGTTTTGGCAGATGGTCGTTTCATCACCGCAAGCTCCACTCAGAATGCAGATGTTTTCTGGATGTTGCGTGGTGGAGGTGGCAGCACCATTGGAATCGTCACTTCTCTGACCGTCAAAGCCCTACCTCAACTTGAGACTACCACTGTGACTTTCAACTTCACCGTGAATGACACCCCGGGTCCAGACGCTTTCTGGGCAGCAGTCGGATCTTATCTCGATAACTTTGAGACTCTTGTTGATGCTGGTACCTACGGTTACTACTACATTGGTGCTTCCTCGGCCGAGATCGGAACGACATATCCCGGTGATACTGACTACTACTTCCGCATGGAATCCTTCGTCGCTCCCAACATGAGTCTTGACCAAACCAAGACTCTTCTTGCTCCCTGGTTTGACTCTCTTGACGCTTTGAATGTTTCCTACACTCCCTGGTACAACCACGCGGACAACTTGTGCGTGAATTGCAACACCCTCCCTTCAAATCCGTATCGTTTATGTCCCAACTAACCATTCTTTTCTAGCCACGATGCCTGGGTTGTCTCATTCCCCGAAGAGTATGTTGGAACTGATGTGGTCAAGACTGCATCTCGTCTTCTTCCTCGCAGTGTATTCCAAAGCGACAATCTCCGCAACCAAACATGGGCGGCCTACAAGGACGCTGTTGACCAGGTACGTCGTTCAGTAATATCTACTGAATGGATCATGCACGTCATATATGTTTTCATTTTCTTACAAATTACAGGGTCTTTTCCTCGCCGGCTTCCACATCAGCGGTACTGGTATCGCCGTCGACCCCCCAACAGATTCCTCAGTGCTGCCTGCTTGGCGCGATGCCCTCACACATGTTATTGTTGGCTCACAGTGGAACTTTACCACTTCTTGGGATGTTATTGAAGAGTCTTCGCTCTTTGTGACCAAGTGGATGGACGTGTTGCGTGATATCGCCCCAGACTCAGGTGCCTACATGAGCGAGGGTGATCTCCTCGAGCCCAATCAGCAAGAGGCATTCTACGGCGTCAATTACCCACGTCTATATGCTCTCAAGCAGAAGTATGATCCCACAGGACTCTTCTTTGCTTTGACAGCTGTCGGTGCGGAAGACTGGGAGGTCCAGACTGTTGACCCGCTTCCTTATTCGTGGAACAACAATGGCAGACTTTGTCCGAAGTCTGTTTAAAAGTTGGATGGGGCAGGTTTGTTTTATCACATTACAGATTGTTCTATAGATAAGGGATAGTCCATCGATAGAAATTAATATTTGGGTAACTTGTTTTGGCAGGCTTTCCAATATGCGAATTTTACCACGAAACCGCTACCTACACGTACGACTCAGTGAATGCTAGTTATGAAAGAGTTCGAAGCCGGGAACAAGGCAAGAATTTGCAGCGTCAGTAAATTGTGTGGATAAATGCTAGGTCGACCCTATACTGGCTGAAAAAAGTCAATAAATTGAAGCGTCGGAACCGAACATATCCTATCGGGATAGTTTCCTTCTTGATTGAAGATGTACTCGTGTGGAGTGACAATGATTGTTATGGCTCGAATGCTGGTATGGTTCGAATCATGCATATTCGGGAAGATGGTACTTTTGAGATCGCTCCATTGACCTTCCTCGTACTGCTTGTGAAACAGATTGACCTCAATAGAGCAGAGGGTCTTCGGCATTGAGTTGAGGAATGTCAGAAAGTCATCTTTTGAGACATCAAAGCAGCTCAAACCAATATGACGGAGCAGTGGCCATTTGTTGACAGGTAAAAGGTTGACCAACTGGACTGGCAGGTTCTCAGAGCTCGGGATTGTTGAAGTCGAAAGGGAAAAATGCTCCAGACTTCCTGCTTCCTCGAGTGCAGAACGAAGGTATCCGCGAGATTGATTTGCCCAATCATGGATTCCACCCTTTATATGAAGAGCAAGATCTAAGCGACGAAGACCAGGGCGTTTCAAAAGCTTGACGAAGTGATCATACTCAACGCAAGGCTCGTCCAGAATCGTCACGTTAACCCCGGTTTTGTGTGACCCAACGTCGAAAACGAGCTCTGAAATGTTGTGTTCGAGTTGCGCCAGAATACGGAGGACTATTCTTGTCCCACGCCATCGCTCCTTATATTGCTTCTGTGTGTTCGACCACCGGGATGGGCTGCGATGTAACACAAATGATCCAGCTCCCCTCGTGGGCCAAAGTCGAGGAATAGCATAGATGAACCCACCAGGCAGCGATCTAATCATTGGCGTTTCATAAAGCGGACGAAGCAACAACCCATGGGCCCCTGATGTTATTGTGATCCTTCTCAGGGCTGGAAACTTCTGAAGTCCACAAATAAAGGCAGTTTCGTCTTCACCAGATGCCAAAGTCTTCTTCTGTTGATCAGAATGCATGTCATAAATCTGCCGACATTCGAAGCTTGTCATTTGAGCCTCCCCTGCTTTTTGCCACCTGATATGATCAGGGTGACCATGCTGCATTGATCGATAGTAGAGAAGTTCTTGGTTTGCCCTGAGCTCTCTCACAAACCATTCAGCAGATTCTGTGAAACGCGCCTCATCCCAAACTATCTCCGTCACTTGCTTGCGGAATTTCGCATGATCGGCAATAGCGTGGAATACCTTGATGTCCAAAGGGTTGGCAGAGATGAATACCCTCGATAAGCGCAACGGGACCAGATTCTCTAGCGCTTTGCATGTTTGCCTGAGTGCCTTCAAATCTCGGTTTGTCAGGTGCGAGATGATGATCAACAGAAGCTCGTAGGGTATGAGAACAAGCCGGGACATCTCACCTCGCGTGAAAGTACTGCTGCACTGAGCTGCGATTGCTGGACTCGACATGAGATAATCTGGTCCGTTGGCAAGATGCTCAAATCCAGATAACTGAATCGGGGGAGATTTTAAAGGTGCTGGAAATTTGTTTGTCCGGCAATCTCAAAAGAGACCTCGAAACTTTGGATGAATTGATGGTGAACATGGCCTCTTGACCCCAGGGCCCCAGACTTCCAGGGCTTCAAGAGATGATGACGAAGGAAGAGTTTTGGAACATGGGAAGGACTTAACAGCTCGCACTAGCTAGAGCTCAAGAGAGCTAACAGGCTGAAGCCTCCTTGGGGGCAGCTGTTCATATACATTTTGAGAATATCGAAGGCCTTTTCCGACAATATATTCTCGTCAACTTCCATATTTCCTCGGTATATCGGCTCGATTCTGTCCCCATCTAGCTCGTAAAGACAACCAAAACGCCTGACCAGGCATATATAGTGATGCTCCATCTCAGCCTCGGCGGCAGGGGGCTCTGAAGAGCCGTTTAAAGCAGCACTGTGGTATGTTTGATCTAATTCAGATGAATTTTGCAGGTAACGGGCTCGGTCGGCTGGGTTCTGCTTCATGAACCTGTCAAAGAAGGAGCCTGGTTCTATGACTTTCAGTTGATACCATGTACCATTTGGGGGAAGGCAAGTCTCCTACCAACTTGCTCACCGCTAAAGCATTACAAATGCAATGCAATATAGCATAAAGACCACAGGCATTGTTTATAGTCTGCTGTAACCACAGAACGTCCCCTTTCGGAGCGACATGTTCGATTTTTTGCTCTGCGTACGCAGGACAATCTGGCAGTACCAGGACCAAAGCTTCGATGGGATTTTGGATGCCAATGCGAATGTTGTCCAATTGATCTGATTCCAGAGACCAAATGTCAACAAATTGAAAAGATCGAGGTACACCCATGTTGTGCATCAAACTCGTGAAAATTTGAGGATCGGATTCCAGAGGAATGAAATGTTTTTCGTCTACTCCATTTCAGGCTGACTCACATTGGTGGTGAGAGATGAAGTTTGATGGAATCTTTCGTCACTGAGTTGGGATGGTCGTGAGTTGAGGATCACACAGTGCACCACAGCGAGGTACTGAGAGACACCCCGGGGCCTCGCTTACAAGCCACGATGCCTTGCCTCAACTGTAGGTGTGATTGCTGGATTTAGCTGCGCATACTGGAACTGACATTAGATAATTCGAATGTTGGAATATTGAGAGCGCGGGAAAACAGAAATGTATCGTGATTCCCTCTGCTGGGAGACCCGAGGAACCTAGGAGAGAAGAGAGAGGCACACAGAGAGAGAGGAAAAGAAGGAGGGAAGGAGGGAGGGAGAGAGCGATAAGTTCTCTGAGGCTATGGCTTATGGCTGTCAACCCATCCAATTGTGCTGGAGCGTGAGACCACAGAGCCACAGGCCCCGGCAAAGAATAGTAAAACATAAGGAGAGCAAGGCAAGTGACTACCGGCTCACACGGAGCAACGCAATATTTTTTAAATTTTTCGAAAATGACTTGCTGCCGAGTCGCTCTTGAAAGGGAGAGATCTCAATGTGGTTGAGCCTCTAGACGTCACTCTATCCAAGCGTTGGAGTGTTTGTCTCCACCGCCAGCGGGCTAGGTCTTCCATTTCGAAGCAACCTGACAATGCTTTTCGCCCAGTACAGAGTACAGCCCAAGGCCGTGAGGACAATTGCTCTTGTCTCCGGGGGGGGATTAAATTGAGTTGCGCGGCGACCTTGGCATCCCTTGCATTCCAAGGTCGGACTGAAGAAACCAAACCCCGGCCCCACAGGACTTGGAGACGGAGCAACAGAACATTACGTTCTTCACTTGGATCCCTGATTTGACCTAAAATAGTCCACTTGTCCAGAATATCCAGAAACATCCTTGGATCATACTACTCAAGATATGGCGGAACCTCAATCTGGAAAAATTCAAGCTGACGGTGCATCGCTCCATTACTGGACCTATGGTCAATCCAAGAATGATCCTGTTTTGCTCGTCAGTGCAGGTAATGGAGCGGCATTGTTTTTCGAATCTCTTGCTTTACTCTTATCCCGTGAATTCTTCGTGATTACTTTCGATCGGCGAGGGTTTTATAGCAGTACCATCGATTCTGACGAGTCACTTTCCAATATTCTTGAAAGAAACGCCATTGATTGTGCTCGGATTCTTGAGACTTTATCTCCTCGCCGACCGTCTTTTGTTTTTGCGTCGTCAGGAAGTGCTACCATTGGATTCGAGCTCCTCCAAAGGAAACCACACTTGGTCGCGAAACTCATCATACACGAACCAATCTTGATTGGCCTCCTTTCCTCATCCGATCGTCTTTATATCGAGGATATCATGAGAAAAACGATCCATACTTATACCGAGTCTGGATCCGCACCCGCGGGTCGTCTCTTGATGCCTGCTCTTAGTAGCCCATCTGACATTGCTTCGTTGAAAGACGCACCCATCTTGAAAAGAATGAAGTCTCTACCGCTTGATTCAAAGGATGTCTATCTCGAAAAAGAGCTTGAAGCAATATCTCGCTATCCTCTGGACTTGGAGAACATCCTACAATGGAGAGATCAACTGTGCTTGTGCAGAGGGGATGCCGGATCTTCTGCATTAGCCCTATCGCCTGTCATCAAGCTTTCGTCTTTGTTGGGTCAGAGTCTGGAAGTATTTCCCGGAGGCCATCACGGATACATTACTCATGAGAAAAGCTTCTGTGAGAAGTTGATGCGTCACTTGAAACCCAGAACAGAAAAATTATGAAAAAACATCATGAGATGCTTAGAGATTTTATCCAATTACATTTGTACGGTTTATGATTTCTGATCTCGTTCCGAGGCTCTGCTTGTTTAAATTTCGCTTCCTGTCAGGGATCTCAAATCCTGTTACGATCAGAAGACGGATCACGAGGGAATTTGCAGGAAGAATTTGAAAAGACACGTACACGAGATGTATTGAGCGGTTATTCGACACCTGAATAGCTATATGCTCCTAGTGCCAGCAGAAGTAGCAACATCCAACAGGCGGGGGCGAAGACTTGCGGAAGGTAGGCATTCAGGACCCTTGATTCCGGCCGCTTTGAATCATCCTCTTCTCTAAACAGGGTGCACAACAGGTTTGCAATATAATTATCCAGAAACGGCAAAATGAATCGGGCCAAGACATAATAGTTTGTGGACGCAAATGTCTCCAGTCGAATGAGTCGGTGAGAGGTAAACCAGGCCTTCTTGACCCTGTCAAAACGCTCGGTTTGCCATGCCATAAGACAACGCTCGATGTCATCAGAGTCGGGATGAGATGTAAAACGGAATAGTTCTTGTAACGATCTAGCAAGGGACATGGCATCTTCCATTGCCATGTTGCCACCTTGCCCCAAACTTGGAACCATCTAAGCAGTCAGCTCACTAGCTTTCTCGCGCCAATCGGCAATGGCAACCTAGAGTATGAGACTCACTTTGTGAACGGCATCGCCAATAGAGACGAGTCGACCAAGGTACCATTTCTCACAGAGTCGTTCTTCCAGCGGAAATAAATGGCAGACTGAAGCGGTGTCCAGCAGTTCAGATAGGGTGATGTTACAGGCAAATCTTTTGTGTAAGATGGGTTGCAAGAATGCTTCGATTGATCCGCTGCCATCACCCCCAAATCGTCGCTCAGAAGGTAGTTCGTGGAGATAAACACACCAGTATGTTTCTTTCAGGCTGCTGATGGCTGTCACAGCAAATCCTTGGTTGTATGATTGGTGGAGGGTATCCTTGGTCATTTTGTCGGTGGATTTAGAGATCCCAAACAAGCATGAAAACTCGGTACATGATTTTGCTGGCACTGTGTGAGCAAAGCAATTGTTTGGAGGCTGATGATAATCACTCACGCGCAGAGAACGATCTTAATGAGTGGGATGGTGCTTGATAGCGAATGTGGCTTTGTATAACACTGTGAACGGCGTCGGCTCCGACGGCTAGCGACCCACGAAGAACGGTCCCATCACCACAGAGAACCGAGACGCCGTCTGGTGTTTGCTTGATTGATTTGGCATTCTTTTCATAAAAGAAATCAACGAGACCCTCTGGTATATCTTTATATAATATATCGAGCAGTATTCGCCTGCGGAGAAATAGTATTGGGTAACCGAGCCTAATTTTGATCATGTTAGAGTCGTTGAGTTCGGCATTTTGGGGATTTACCTTCGAGTAACAATCTGCGGAAACAATCTTCGTCGAAGCAAAACACCGTCACTCCATAGAGATGCTGTTTGAAGAGGATCGGCGAACTTGAGGACCTCATCTAACAGCCCAAGCTCATCAAGACACTTCGCTCCATTTGGGAAAACTCCTATCGAAGCGCCTCCACCAATTGCAGCATCCCGAGATCTCTTCTCTAGTACGGCTGATTTGACTCCTCTGCGTGCTAGAGCTCGAGCAAGACAAAGTCCTGAGATGCCACTACCAACAATGACAACGGAGTCCTGAAGTAAAGGCTGTGCGGGCATTGAGACTGGAATTGAATATTTGGATGAAGTTCTACCGAGCCATGCTGAAGGCTGATGACCATTCAAATGAAAATAGATAAAAATTCCTCAAGAGTTCGCGTAGCTGGAACTGAGTAAGTATACCGCTCAATAAGAACCTTGGAACTATACACGGTTCGACATGACATCACGAGCAGAGAGATCTATCATTGAAGTGAACAATGTATGATCGGTGCATCCTGCTATCTATCTTGCGTGATATCTCGACGATCGGTTCAAACCTTGGAATCTATAGGCGAGGTCTGGATAAATCAACCGCTGAGATGTGACGTAATACAGTTCGAAACTCCAGTACAGGATGACCTCGGGAGACACTGACAGAAAGTGTTTCCAACCAGACCCGTGGACGCCCCGTGTAACACGCCTGGTTCATATATATCGGAGGTCTCAAGCGCTTCTTTCTGTCTACACATGAGTAGGTCAACAGTTAGGCAGTATTGAACGGTCGAGGTTTCCACAAAAAATAAAGTTTCAGTGCAAAGCTTGGTGGAAACTCAAAATATTCTACAACTCTAAAATTCACTTACTTTCTTTAATTGGTTGGAAATAATGACATATTTCTTTCAAGCCCATGATTGCTGCGTCAACCTGATGCAGCCACTTTGTGGTATCGATGCCTCGGGGAGGGGGGCTCATGAGGTTGTTTGATTGCCGAAGCCCCCGTATGCAACAGCAACAAAATGAATATCACAATCCATCTGGCAGAAAGCCAATGGGTCCACGGGTCAGCCGCTAGAGTATAAAGCAAGCGATCATGTGACAGATACCCTTCAGCGCCAATGTAGGATTGGAACGATCACTCACATTGACCCGGAGACCTGATCATAGATCAGGTTTGTGATTGAAGGGGGATTGACTCGATTCCGCAGCACAAGAACTGTCTTTTGATAAGTCAACTTCAATATCGATGGATGTAGGGTGATGACTTACTCGTTGACTCGTCGAAATTCTCGACGACGAATGGGATCTGGCGATGGGTTCTCATGAACGCAAGATTTCGACTGACGTCGTTCTTCCGATAGCGCAGAAACTTTGCCATGGTGAAAATAGGGCTATGTCGCTCAGCTTCCTCCCGGTCCGCCAGAAGAGCTGTTTCGTCGAGATGTTCGGCGATGACCTAGGTTTGGGCAGGCAACTATAAGTGGGGATCGGCATCTGTTGTTATATCGCTGCCTTCCAGGCCAACTAGAAATGGGGCTGTGGCCTGATGCATGATAAACACAAAGATCAAGGATTGTGAAGCCAAGCGGATATTCGATGCAACGTCGGTATTAGTGTGAAATTAGGTGGAGGTTTGGAAGTAGAGAAGATGGGCGATGTGGGAGCACGGGACTCACGTCTAGGAAGGTTCTCAACTTCTCGAGTCATCTGTGACTGCCACTTGTACCTCCCATACTACTCACAACCCTGACAGTTGGCAGTACCAGGGTACAGTTATTGTGATTTGGAAAAAAAGGGAAGAAAAAATATTGGAAAGATCTTACAAATAACATGACTTTTTACTAATCTTTGGTATGGGGAAAGTCGGTTCTCTTGGTAGTCAAGTAGAAAGTGAGTCCTAGCTAATCCAGAGCCAGATCGTCAAGTTGTTGGCTAGTAAACGTGCCCTTGTGGGGTTGCATTTGTTGTCGACATACCATGGCAAGAAGTAATACAAATCAAAACAAGCTAAAGTCTTTAAAGTATATCTTCATGTCTTTCAAAACAGGCCTAGGAGCAGGCATTGGTCTCGCCAATAGGAAGGCAGGCGCCCGTCATGGCAATGGCGCCGAGTTCCACACCATCGGCATTGTAGATGGATTTCTGCTGAGACCGGGTACCGCCGATCTTTCCGAAGCCAGTGCTGGAGCTGACGACCTCGCGGAAGGCATTGGTGCAAGTAAGCTGGCCAGCAGGCTTAGCATCATCGCAGCTGACATCGCCATTCTTGGCGAATCCAATAGATCCCACGTCGTTATCTCCGGTGATCATAGCCTTTGCGCAGCTGTTCGGTATGTTAGCTATGTCAAAGTGTCTTTTTTCTGAGAGAAGAGTTTGAGGATGGAGGCTCACCCGTCTTCGACCAGCTTGTTGCAGATATCATCGAAAGAGTCATTGCTGAAAGCGGGCAAGATACTGCTGCACACAGTGCCACAGCTAGACAGCTTGAGCTGATCCTTGAGCTCGGCCCAGTCGGCAACTGCCACGGCGGGAAGCATAGCAATTGCAAGGGAGGTGATGATGGTGGAAACGTGCATTTTGATGGGTTTTTGGAAGACTTAGGGTGATTGAGCCTGAAAGATTCCCGAGGTCCAAGGTTGTTGGATATGTTGATCAAACTCATGTCCGCAGACATGAGATTATTTATACATTTGACGCACTACACTGAGAAATATTCTCACCCATGATTCCAAGGTTGAAAGGATCAGTTGTTGTAGTGATTGGGGCTAAATGGTCTTGGCAATCAGATAATATTGACTCAGGGACCCTCATCGTCGGTTTCGCTGAACATGCCCAAAAGAGACATTCAGTGGATCGATTCCAAGGTTATATGTGAAGCCGTTTCCGCTAAACGGAAAGATCTTCGTTCCCTTCCAAGTTTGATCAGCTAAATCGAATGGGGCCAAAATGATGGTAATCAGATAGATGATCTCAAAATATTTAGCGTCTCAGGAACTTGGCTCTGAAGGATTTAAGTGGGGAACAAACAGCCTTGGCCATGATCCCACGCCCAGGATTCTATCAGGCTATGCGTCATGTAGCATTGAGTTATCATCTGCTGGTATATTAATTCTCGGAGTTCCCGAAAATTGCACTCCAAACCTTGGAACCAGGCACCCTTCCTCGATAGTTGTCGCCCACGAGCTTGGGGGCCATGCTTCAGCCAACTCCTACGATCCACAATCTGACCCGGTTTTTCAATTTAGCCCCCACCGAGCCATTGACTTCGGCTTGCGATTCAGATCTTATCTGAGATCATCAGTCCCCGAATGATTCCCGAGTAAGTCCCCGGGTAAGACATCCCAAGCTCGATTGCAGGGAGATGGCTCTACAACGGAGTTTTGGGCCATATTCAATGCAGTTTCTGGAAATCTCGTATTGAAGCGCTTCTTTAACTACTTTTCATCACCATGGCCTAAAAATTCATTGTCTCTCTGTTTTTCCTGTGATTCTGTGAATTGTTGGATTCGTGATGATAGTGCTGTGAGAAGCTCTCAATTTGCTCAGAATCATTGGGTGGAAATATTTCTCATGGTCTCTCAAATACCAATGGCTGCACAGTAAAGAACAGGACAATTAAGACAATGGTTAATCATATGACAGGAGGGATCTACCGAAGAATGGGATACTACCCCGTAGTTGGCTATCCCTAGGGCTCGACCAACGGAATGCAGAATTCCGCCCTTGGATTCTTCAACTCAGTTCGGGTGTTGGCACCCGCGCAGGGCTCCCCCGTCTTCTTGATAACCTTAAAATTTATGCCACATGAGCTTTCGCTCAGGTAATTGCCCTCTCACGTAAAAGAACCTATCCAGAGATTGTACCTGATCAGTTTGAAAATGAACACCCTTGATTCTCGCCCCCTTCCTGCCACCAAAAAAGAACAACACCACCACTCCAGGGAAACACGCACGTAAACAGCCCCTGGGCCCCGAGAGTCCCAATGTCACCTTGGGCTCAAGCGCTTTCGAAGCAAAAGGAAAGCTCATGTCTCATCAAATGATTGCAAAGTGTCTCGGTGAATTCATTCTTCATTTCCACACATTGAATCCATGTGACATGATCCAGGATTTGACAGAAATTGAAATAATAGGAGCATGAAGTGTGCAGCAAACAATGTTTGGCGATAGCGCCCACTATTGAATGGACCATCTTCAACCCAGTAGTCCATGGCAGTCAATAAGCATAATGAACTCAAAAAACGGTAAAGTGACAGCGGATATCTAGGCTTGAATTCTTCTCCAAAATATTTCGGGATGTACATGCCCTGGTGTGCTTGGATATACACAACGCTCTCCCACAACACGCCAACCTTGGAAGGGGTACTCGTTAAACAAGGGCCCCAATATGACTACTTTGTAACATCAAATTTCGGAGGCGTTGACCACATTTTGAAACAAAATAAACAATGTTGTGGGAATTTGACAGTTAGCAAAACAGCCGATGCGGAACACTCACGAAGTCTTTAAAGTCCAAGGTCTGCCTCCCATGTACAGCTCTATCCATCACCATCACAGATATCTCTCAAACTCCGATCTCGCTCTATCAGGTCTCAATCCTCAAGACTAAATCCAACTCAGGTATAGCTGACACCCTTTCACTATCCAAAGACTGCATGGCTAATTGACACATTAGTCGACAAGATGCATTTCGCCTATCAAGCCATCAATGCTGTTGTGAGTTTCATGCTCTTTTCCTCGGTCACTGCCGCCCCAGTGACTGAGGTCGCCGCCGGCGCGGTGGCGTGGGCCGACCCTCAAAACTGCCACCGATTCTACGAATGTCCTGTTGGCGGGACACCCGTTTTGAAGACTTGTGGCCCTGGAACCGCCTTCCAGGCGAAGACAAGCGTCTGTGACTATGAGCACCTGGTTGCTAGCTGCGGGCACCGTTGGTGATCGTGGGAGGTTATCTACTGTTCAAATTGGAACATGTGCCACAGAGGTGTGCTCGGAGAGGGCTCAATCGACCATCAATCACAGTCTTGTGTACAGTCCTGCTGTTCTAAGATCTCCACTCGATTTCTCCCCAATTTGAAAATCAACTTCCTTCCCATCTCAGCATTCTTGTAAAGGAAACCGTCCTAAATGGGACAATAAAAAAAAGAAAAACATACGGCAGTGAGGATTCGCTGGTGGTCACCTACGTCTCGATGAAGTTTACAACTTTCAGCTTTGGCTCTATCAAACACCGGGTTTTGACGTTCTTTTCTGTTCTCAGTCACAATTTCTACTCGTATCAATTGTTCGTTTTTGACACTGGAAGATTCTTGTTCCTGTCGTAACAGTAGTGGGACGCCCTGATACCTCCATGACTTTTTCGATAGCTTGCAGGAGCTCGAGGTCTTTTTTGCGGCGCCCATGACGTCAATTACAACTGCCAAGTATTCAGTTCACTTGGTGATCTTCGACTCATATGGCACCTCACCAATGGGTATGGCAATATCGGGAGTGCCCAAAATAGGTGGTAGAAAAAGCTGATCTAGCGCAGACTGCCAGCGAGGCGATGGCGACGGCTCATCCCTATAATTCGGAGCGACATTTCCGATTGGAAGAACAACCAGCGGTTCAGCCTCGCTGGTAGATTCGGCACGCATTGCGGTGAGCAACCATGCCTTGTAGATTTCCATCCGCTGTACGGCGTCCTTGTGCTGTTCTTCGGACACAGCTGCGCCTGTTTCCCATCGGTACTGTAGGGAAGGAAGTACATATGGCGGCTTTCCATTATGTTTCTCGGTGTACTTTTCGCGAAATGCGGTAAACGAGTGATAGTATGGATAGATCCAGCTCTCTCTGCCTCAATTTCTCACTCTCTCATTCTCACTCACACTCTCATTTTCTTATTCACTCACTCTCTCCCGCCCTCCACTTGCGTTTCTCCCCGAAGGATCTTGAGAGCTCCCTATCATGGATAGTTCTGCCACAGCCTCCACAAAACAGTATCTGGTTCCCATTCTCTTTCTGAAATCAACAACCCCAGCGTCACCACTCCGAAGACCCCGCGTCGCCGCTATCGCCTTCCCGGGAACTGCCTTCACCTCAACGCCGCGTCGGCCGCTAGCGCGCTGCCCCACCAGCCGCGTACGGCCATCATGTCTACAATTCACCGTCCCGACTTGTTCGTGCTCCTCGCCACTCGCCCACCTATGACCAGACCACTATCCCCTTTCACACTGACCAAAGTTTTCTACCCTGTCAAAACGCCTTCTCCCCAAACAACAGAGAAGAGCTCTTGGCGCACCTTTCTTCACATACTTAATCTGCTCACCGACCTCGCTGCAACATTCGCAGATCTCATGGTCGCCGTGAAAGATTGTATTGGCGCTTACGAGGAGCTGAAAGATACACTCAATCCCGAAGGGCGAGATCGTCAACGGCGAAATTCGCATCGACGGAGACTTTCGTCCAATCAACAAACCTCGGTCATTATTATCGACAACATCTCCGCTTCTTCTCAACCACATTCCATTTTTCCGTCATGTCTTTATGAATGTTGTACATCAATTTCCCGCTGCCGGCGCTGTGAGAATGCAGCTCGCTGGCTCTAGGCCCAGAACAGTCACCCCTTTTGTACCATGATACCCTGCTGCACGGCAATCCGAACGGTCAATCGAGTCAAGCGCGCCCAAGGTGGGCCCAACCCAGATTCTCAATTTTCACTTGGTTCTGTCACACTTTCCACATCTAGGCCGCTAAATCGAGAATTAATGCTAATACATTCTTTTTGCTGTCAATAAAGATCATATTTCTTTTCAACAAAGATCCAAGCACATATGACCACAGGGTATGGAGAATAGTAGACCTCGACAAGTCCCATGGACCCACTCCCATGAAACTTTCCTGGCATGCCAAGATTTAAAATCATTGCCAATCTAGGTTAGATAAATACCTAGTGTAGTGGGGAAACCGCACCGCTCCCACCTGTGCCTTAGGCACCCCTGGGCTATTTCTAGCCCCGTTTTCATAGCATAGCAATCCAAGCATTCTACACCTCTCTGGCAAAACAGCATCTACTTCCTAATCGGGCCGTTCTAGGGCTTTGCATGCCTCCCTATTCCCGCCGAGCACTGAGCACCCCCGTCGTCTTGTCTGCGATGTCAGACCGCCAGCGCGCTCTTCCTACTTCACTAGATAGGTTTAGCGTAGTCCCATGGGAGTGATGGGACCAGGATTTGGGACCAAAATTTTGCTAGTCCCATGGGACTTGTCGAGGTCTAATTGGGACCCAGTTATCTCGAAATGAAAATGTGAAGCAGGCTCACCAAATTTGGTCGGAAAAGTGTCATCTCTTCTTAATGCTAGTATTATGGTGCTTGAATCTGCTTATGAAAAGGATGTTTGAATTTAAAATCGGAAAACCGAAGAACTACGTCTTTCTCATTCGAAATGCTCTATGAAATTTGCATGGGCTATTTCTAGCCTTGAATATCTGAATGAAAAGTTACTGCAGCATTGGCTTTGCATTCTCAATATAGCTGAGTTTCAAAGGTCAATTTATCATCTATATATCACCGAATTTAATCCTCGGAGGGGGTCTGACATTTCCGAATCGGTGGAGATTGCCGCCGCTTTGCGGTCGCACGACCAAGGGTGAGAAGTGTGAGGGCGAATTGGAAAAGGAGGGATCTATCTGAGAATCACCCCGGGTCGCGCGATCGCAGTTCGTGGTACTCTAGCCGAACGGATATATGAAAACTGATTGGCCAGAGTACCTGCTAAGCTTCCCTAGCCAACATTTATCATGCCAAAGTGATAGCATTTGCTTCCTACGTGCTTCGACTTAGAATGATTTTGAAGCAGACTGAACCTATATTAAAATATCCAAGTAGCTGAGTTACCACAATCATTTGGACCATACACGAAGACCTCTATCCTCAAGAATATCTACACAATATCCGTGTCTGCAAATTGAGATCGTTGATGTCAACTGAGCCGTAATCGGTGAAAACATCAATTCTGAAATTAACCGCCAACGGCACATCTTTCAAGAGGTTGGCGTAATAAGCCCAACATGTCTTCAACTGTATAAATGAACTAAAGCCTCCTTTCCTACATCTTGCCCTTGACCTATACCACGCTCATTTATCACGGAGCGGCTTGAGAGGAGCTCTTTGGCGACTTTGTCCCAGGACATTTTCTCACTGAGCACCCCATTGGGACCGTCCAGAAGCTCCAGTTTGCACAGCTCTCCGCATTCTTTCCGAATAATTCCGTCCACAATGACCATACGGACATCCCGGACGCTAGAATGAAGGAGAATGGCGGCAAGGGGGTTCTGCTGTGCGGCACAGATCATGGATGGGCTGATAGCATCAAAAACAACAATGTCAGCAAGCTTGCCCTCGGCTAGACTTCCAATCTGATCCTCCATATTCACTGCTCTAGCACCCTGAACTGTCCCCAAATTGAAGGCCTCTTCCAATTTTATGTCGATTTTGGCATAGCCCCCGTTGTCCATGGCTGTCTGATTTGCTTGGCCTCGTGCATGCTGCATGCCTAGGCGAATCTGTGTGATCACGTCTGCAGAATTGTTGGAGTGACAGTCAATGCCGATGGAAGCATTGGACTTGATATCCTCACGGAAGCAAACCACATCTCCAAGACCCATCTGAAGCTCCGTATCGGGAGTCGAAGAAATATATGCACCGCTCTCAACGACTAGCTGGGCATCATCTTTGGCTAGCCCTGTCGCATGTGAAATGATCAAGTCATTCTTCAATAGTCCGTAGTCGGCGATCATTTTGATGATATCTTTCTTCATTAGCCGAAAGTCTAGACCACAGATGTAGGGATACACACCTGGCATGTAATGGGCCAAGTAATGCGTGGTGATTAGTCGTACTCCAAGCGAGCGACATTTCTCCCACAGATCGACAACCGTCTGCTTTGGTAAATAATACGAGTCGAATCCCAAGCCCAGATGGACACGTCCATTCCCAAAGGGCTGATCCTTTGCCAGCTTTTTTAGATGGGTACTCCACCACTCTGGAAGTGTATCTTTATGGTGTTCGAAAGTCGAGGTCCAATTCTTCAAACGTTCAATCGGGGAGTAACAGAAAAAGCCCCGCAACCCAGACGAGGCCATCGCTCGCAGGCCTTCATTTGCTAGTGAAAGGTCAGCACCTTTCTGTCTAATACATTGACGATTTCGTACCATGCTCCATGGAGTAGGTCATATGAGCGTGGTCCACAACTGTCGTTACCCCAGCATCTAGACTCTCTAGACAGCCTACTAGCTGGCCCCAGAAGATATCTTTGGCGGTGTAGTTGAAAGATTGTTGATTTCCTTTGCGGGGTTTGTAAGCAATTTGCAAGAGACAATCACAGTATACCATTTCATGCGACATACCAGACGTCATATATTGAAGAAAAGTTTCATCCCCATGTCTCCCTTTCAGCTGCCCCGATACGATAAGCCCATACTCATAAGATGTATTTTAGTGCGGATCATCTTTACCTGACTCTGCCACAGGTGGCGGTGGGTATCTATAAAACCTGGGGAAACTATCTGGTTCCGACAGTCCAGGATTCTGGAACCTGGTGGTGCGGTGAGCGACAAGCCAATCTTGGAAATCTTGTTTCCCTCGGTGAGGAGGTCGCAGTTCTCCAGAATCTTAACCTTGTTTCCTTCGTGAAACAAGATTGTTCCACCCTGAAGCAGGAGAGATTGGTAATTTGCGGTGGTGGCGGAAGACATTTTGTTGACCAACAACGATCGTCGTACAGACCGGAATTCTCACAGATGGAAGCCGTCATTTATATATCAGAAGAAAGGATTTAAAAGAAAACTGTGAGCCTATGAAAATTTCTTTCCAAGACTCCTACCATGACTTCGACCCCGCTCGATCCTGGCCCAGATTCCCCGGGAAAAAGCCTGAAGCCTATCCCCGCCCGGAATTAAAACTGATATTTCCCCACTCTTAGTAACATCTACCACCTGGGCATCAGATTACAATACTCTGCTTGGTTGGAAGATGGCAAATACATATATACCGCAGAAGGCGGAAATGTGGTTAAAATCTAGGCTTCTCAGCGTTCAAGGATAGAAAGACCGAGGTAAGATGTGTTATGTCGGTATTAGGTATATGATTTGATGCTCTAAGACAAACAACTTCAGCTAGAAAATCAGACCATCATTTGATTCATTTCAACTTCTGTATGGAATGCCGTAAGTTCCAAGGTTTGGATAACCCGGTGACGAGGAGTGGGCCCGGAGTTTGCGAAATTGCCGTCTCCACCAAGGTGTCGCTGCCAAGAACAACCCTAAGTGATACTAGTTCTCGGATCGGGTGGTTTGGCCGGACTCGGCATTGGCAGGACAAAATATCTTAGAAGCCGAAGTGTAAGCACGGTTGCCGGATCGGCAACTGGAACGGAGGTATCAACAATTGTGCATCATACCGAAAATCTCATGACAAATTACGGGAGCCTGGAATGCAGACCCGATTTCAACAAGAACCAAACGTATTCAAAGGGACACAAGAGCTGTATAAAACTCCACCCCAAGGAATATCATCTCTCTTTTTTCATAAGACTCTTTTTTCCTGAAAGGACCGCAAAAATGTTGATATTGATTGCTGGAATTACTGGTACAGTCGGTCAGCCTTGTGCCCAAGCTGCTATTGCACGAGGCCACGAGGTGCGAGGCATCGGCCGTGATCCAGCAAAGCTCCCATCAGAGCTTCGTCAGAACCTGGAGAGTTTTGTGGTTTCGTCGGGAATTTACGATATACCCTCCTTGGAACGCGCCGTCGCGAACGTGGATGCGGTCATTTGCGCATACGGTTTCCTTCCGGAAGTCTTGGTCGAGGGCCAACTTCTGTTGCTGAGAGCCGCTGAGCGCGCTGGGGTCAAGGTTAGTAAAGTTATACCAATCGAGATACACGAGCTTTGAATAAACGCAAATATTTAACACTGTGCAGATTTTCCATGCAGCTTCTTGGAATTACGATTGGACTTTGGGTTACATCGGCCAGCACGAGTCTTACGACCCATATCTCGCTTTTGATGCCCAGGTCCGCATCAGCTCCCGCATCAAGCCACTCTATATGTTCACTGGTATTATCGCCGATTGGATGTTTTCCAATCGCCGGGACAAGATTTGGGATCGACAGACTAAGACGCTGTCGTACTTCGGCGATGGCAAGAAAGAATGGATCTGTACTACTGCAGATGACATCGCGGCATACACTGTTGAGGCCGTTTCCGCTCCCAATGCCGACAAAGGCGGTTTTATCCGGGTCGAAAGCTTTAGATTTACGCCTGCTCAACTGGTCGAGACTTATGAGCGCGCGCGATCTGAAAAGGCACATTTGAAACACGAGGGCTCACTTGACGACGTCGTTTCGATGGTCACGAAGGCTCGTGAGACGACCGATCCTGTCGACCATGAAGAGTACATTGGCCTTGGCTATATAGAGCACATGCTGAAAGGAAGTTGGGACTACGAGCCTGTGGATTGCGACCGTTTCCCCAATGTGAAGCCAGTCACACTCGAGGATTATTTCAAGCAGCATCTTGAACTGTGATTCTGCTGTTTCATGGCGAGGAGTGCATCGATATTTTGGGGGATCAGGTGATCTTCACTCCTTTAGGATCTTGTTCAGATAGCTTCTCTCTTGTTCCTCTATCAGCTGCATTCAAAATACATGTCGTTTGTCCCTTCTGTTTCTTCGTCAGATTGCTCGAATTTGCACGACTAGATCCAGAGCCATTATCATGTGACTTGGTGTCTAGCTCATGAGAATACGTGTTATGTGAAAGGAATGCTCGAGACACCCACCGTACGAGGCGCAAATTCTGCGTTCAGCCATATGTCTCGCGAGTCTAGTAAGGTAATCAGAATTTATTCCAGCTAGATACCTGCCGAGCAGCCTTGTCACATCCTCCGGCATAGTGGGCCTTTCAAGTAAAGCCAATTTCCGTAGTTAAGTATCTTTTTCACCTTTTGAGCCGTCTTACATTGTTGCTCTATTTGAAGATTGGTCCGACCACAAATTTTGTCCATCTTCATGGTGCGACCCGCTTAGGCACTGAGATTGGTCTTGAGTTCGGCTAACTCCAAAGTCCACTTGTCAGCTGGCTAGATCCTAGACATCCGGAATGGATCTGAAGGTGACGATTGCAACACTTCAATAATTCTGTCAATATTTGCGTGGGTATGGGTAGAAAGGAAAAGCACTGTGGGCTATGGTGGTCCTTCTGGAAGCCTGCTGGGTTTTCCGCAAGATAATATCTTCTCACTGGCGCAAAGCAGGCACTTCTAACACTTTTACAGGAACTCATAGAAGCATCCAAACTAGAGGGCTTTCTCGGGCAAGAATACGGTAACGTGAGAAAGACAGAAAACTTATGTCTATATACCACCTGTCCCAGACTCGTACAATTCATACATCATAACCAACCCCCTTCAATCGAGGCTCACAAGAAGTCAAGCACGCAATAACAGTAATCACAAAGGAATAAACGAGTTATACTGTCTTATGTGACTCCTTTCAAGTGACCCACGGAAGTTATGCAAAATCCGTTCTGCCTGCCGCGAAGGAAAAGGTTTTGAGGTTTCTCTCGCCTCTGCCCCGGTACCTCGGCCAAGTAAACTCATCTCCTGCGCCGCGGCAATGAGATGGCAGCGCATCCGACAAAATGTCATCTCCGTTGCTTCCGCTCGTTCAACGGCTGGGGTTGTCGAGTCCGCTGGTATGTCTTCATCGTTTATATTCAATGGGATCTGAGTATCAAATAATATCCGATACTGAAGCGGTTCACGGTCATTAATCTTAGACAATCGTACATCTAAGAAGCAAATCTGCCACCAGATCCGTCTTCGGACTTCGACTTCAATAGGTGTGAGGTCGAGCATGGTTCCACCATCACGATGCATACCCATGGCCTGTGCGACGCGGAATAGCAGAGATACCATAGACCAGATATAACCGCGATCATCCTGGTTCTGCATACATGTCCACAAGAGAACCGCGGCTTGCAAAACCTGTATATTTTGCGTGTGGAAGATATTGGCCTTGATCAGAGCTTGCTGGGTGGCGCAATGGTAATGCAACAACAGCGTTGAACGGGCATTCTCCATATTCTGGATACATATATCGTCGGTCATGCTGGCGACGGCTGCGTAGTAGACGGAAAACATGAGCGGTTTCGTGTCGCGGTGGACGAGATCTGGAGCCATCGCGGCGTTCATAAATGTTTGCTTGGTGCTTGGGAGGTGGAATATATTGACCACGGGGGCAACATTTTGTCGAAACGTTTCCCATAGAATGAAAATTTGGGAGCAAGATGGTGGGAATGCGCAATCACTATTCCTGACATCTGAATCCGATGTAGTCGCGGGGATTGTCTCACACTCGGCCGTTGCGCTACCTACAGATGGACGGATATAGGAGGATGGTTGTGTGTCGTTCTGAATCAAACTGGGTGGATGACGGAGCATATTGTGTTTCCAAGATTGTACTGGATGAATCATCAGGTGTCACTAAATGTACTCTGTGCACACTTCCAAGTGGTAGGCGCGTACTTTAGAAGCGAGGTGCAGGAAAAGATGAGCACAAGTAAGGACGTAATTGAGTGACGATTGTGCTCTTCTATTTCGTTTTTTTTTTCTCCTTACAAGGGATTGGTCTTATAAATGTATTTGAACCCAAGATACTTGAATACTTTCCATTAAAAGTTTAACTATATACGACGGCGTTGAGATTTTAAAATCTCGCATTATTCCACCCTACGGAGCTTTTATTTTTGATATCTCCGGGGCTTTTGGCAAGGGAAATGAGTTTTCACCTGCGAAATTTAGCAGGTCACTGTGCAAACCAAACGCGCTTCGTGACTTGATAATCTAGTGTATTGAACAATAAATGGGGATCGCGACCGGCGAACTCGAAACTAACACCGGAATAAAGGTGGGTCATCGCGTCAAATGGTGTTTCATGGTAAACCCGTACCCACACTCGAGGTCGGGGTCTGGTCCACCATATCTAGCCCAAATGGAACATGCATCGCCACATGATCACCATCGTCAGATACGACAGCGATCGATATCGATGGGCATCTGGTAAGTCCGAAAACATTCAATAACTCAACCTGTGCCTCAGAAGAAAAGAATCCTTAACACCTATAATTCGTGGAAATAAATCGAAGCCTTGTTTGATACTGCAACTACCCATGAAGCAACAGGAACAGTATCAATCATCATTAGAGTGTAATATTTAAAGTTCAGTTAGAAAGGTTCCCCTCGGATTATTTGCCAACCCTCACCTTCTGTCTCCCGAAACAACATTTCATCTTTCTCCAAGGAAGCTTTCAAAAGCTACCCGTGGACTCGAAAGCTGATTACTAACAACACATGTGGTGTCTTACCGCAGCGATTTCCCATATGTGCAGGGGTTAGGCAACGCGGCCACGTGGGATTTCTGGATCGAGGAACCTCACTCAAGCGCCATTAGTCGATCGGTGGATATAGCTTTAAGTCTAGCTTGCACTTAGTACAGGCTGAAATAATGGCATATTCGTCTTACCCGTCCCGCCTTGGCAGAACTGGTAAGAATATCGACCGAAATTGAATTCGAAAATGAATCTTCATCCTGGGCTCTGTCCACCACTCAGGTCGGCCGTCGGGCCATAAACAAGTAAAAAGCCGAGGCCGAATACCGTAGGTGAAAGGTCGAATGTGCGAGGTTGTAGCTAGTTCCGACGCCACCGGCATCATTTTTTGAGTGGCTACTCGCTCGGGTCCCGGGGCTTTCTACTCCCAAGAGTGTTGCTTACAAAATCATCCACCCATGGCAGGTGGTGACGGTTTCATTGGGTGTGCTTCTTTACTTGCTCTTGTCGCCAACATATCTTCTTAATCATGAGAACGGGCCGATTCCAATTTTTTGCCCGAATCTCAATCATGGCCTCGGAGATTTTCTTTTCACACTTTCCTCCGACGCGACGATGTAAAATTTCACCAAGTGCAAAGTGGGTCTCGAAATGATATTTAACATAAATTTACGGCCTACTTTTGAATTTGATTATTACTTATTAGGCATCTAACGTTCTTTTATTTGTCTGGGTGCTCAGGATTATCTTTCTTCATTTACGTTCCCTTCCTCAGTATCCGTCCTAAATCAATTGTCAAAAATCGTGGCTGCGAGAAATATTGATTCACAGGGGCATTGTCATTCGATAGGGATGAATGATTTGGTGAGTGATGTCTCTCAAGACGACATGGAAGCATCAGTCGAAAAGAATGAGATACCTACGCCTGTTTCATTCTTCCATTCATCTCTGAATGTAACTCGCTTGCGAGTGACCCGTCAATGGGCTCAAATGGGTAAACAATCGCTATACATGTGACCTAGAATGTCAGAGTTGAAGCTAAGCGAATGTCCAGTTTTCCTTCTCTGCGTATTTGTCTTGGCAATTCTATCCCTCTTTTGGGCTGTTCAATTCAGTGTCGAAAAGAAAATGTCCGCATTGACAGTGTGGGTTGTCGATTTTGACGGCCAAGTCGACCCATACCGCTTAGCCGACCCCCTAGTCGGTCCTATAGTTGCGAACACGACTCTTGACATCATTGAATCCCGTGATGTTGGTTTAGGTTACCAGATCAAGTCTCCTGCAGACTTTCAAAACGACCCTGTGGCAGTGCGCCAAGCTGTCTATGACGAGCATGCGTATGCGGCCATCATTATCAACTCCAATGCCACTGCACTTCTGAATGCAGCTCTTTCTCAGGGAAACACCTCATATGATCCCAGCGGAGCAGTCTTGGTTGTTACCCTGTCCGCTCGTGATCCAACGACCTATTCCAATTACATTATGCCCGCGATCCACCAATTCGAACGTGCTGTTCTCTCTAACTTCGGTTCCACTTGGGTCAAAGCTGCCGCCAACAACAGCTTCGCTACACTCTCTAGAGTCCCTCAGGCACTGAACCCAGGCATTGGATTCACAACATTGGACTTGAGACCATTTGGACCCGCCGTGGCCACGCCTGCCATTACAATCGGACTGATATACCTGATCATCATTGCATTCTTCACCTTCCCCTTCCTCATGCCAATCCACTTGCAATATTTCGGAGGCAACCTATCCACCTTGAAGATGTCCCACTGGATCATGTGGCGTGTTTTATCCAACATTGGGGCATATTTCTTCCTGTCATTTTTCTACTCGCTTGTATCTTTGGCATTCCAAATTCCCTTATCGAACCCTTCAGTTCCTGGAATTTTCCCTGCGAGGAACGCCAACGGATATGGATCTAGCTCATTTGTGGTGTATTGGGCGTTAAACTGGGTTGGCATGTCTGCTCTTGGGTTCCCATGTGAAAATATGGCCATGGTGCTTGGATTTCCATGGAGTTCACTTTTCCTTATCTTTTGGGTAATCACCAATGTTGCAACTGGATTCTACTCTTTGGACCTTGCTCCAGGGTTTTTCCGGTGGGGATATGCTTGGCCTCTTCACAGGAGTAAGTAAAACTATCTGCTTCATCCACCAAAACTCATCCCTCTATATGTTAAGCAAGAAGAATCTAACCAAGGAACAAAACAGTTGTCGAAGCTTCTCGTACAATTCTCTTCGATACACACTCACGTATCGGCCTCGACTTTGGGGTCCTCTTCGTTTGGATTGCTGTCTCTCTCGCTTTCTTCCCTATTGCCAATCGGATCATGCATTGGAGAATCATAAAATTTGGCAAGTAAGGTGAATTATATCTGCACGGGCGGCAAAGGCACACGAATCTTTTTTTTATGTTGTATTGTCTTGCCTTTGCCCTGATATACTTCTTTTGATATAAAAGACATGTGGAAATGAATGCTAGAAAGATAGACTATAGACCAGTGATTTTATGCACCGCCAGTCATACCTCGGTACGAACAGCTCCTCCTTTCTTTGCATATCAAGAATTAGACATACCATAACCCTCAGATGGGCCCGGAACTTCAACCCAAAACCCCATCTACGCAGGTGAAGGTTAAGTCAATTTAATCGTGGTCCCTGCAAGACACTAGAAGCACAATCATAAGGGAGATGGCTTAGAATTTTAGAAAATGGCACAAGGTCTGATCCATTCAAAGGTACTCCTAACAAAAGACTACCTTGTTTGTAATGGCTCCGAGCTTCTCAATGGACACTTCCATGACATGCCCTGATTTGACATACCCTTGAGGCTTCATGAACCAGCCCACTCCAGAGGGTGTGCCCATCATAACTACTGTCCCAGCCCTAAGGGTACGCCCTTTGGTCAATTGAGCGATCACGCTAGGAACGTTCCAAATCATGTCCGAGGTGTTTGCATCCTGTCTCACTTGCCCGTTGACCTTTGTAGTCAAACGAAGGTTGTGAGGATTACCAACAACTTCTGGGGATGCGATATAGGGTCCAAGAGGGGCAAATTTATCGAAGGACTTTCCGTAGCTCATCTGGAATCCGGAAACCTCGTGTGGGATATAGTTTCTTGCAGATAGATCGTTACCAACCATGTATCCTAGGACGTACTGCAGGGCCTCGGACTCGGGGATATCTTTGCAATCCTTGCTAATCACGAAACACAGCTCTCCTTCGTAGTCAAGCTCAGACTGAGCTTCAGGGTGAACTGGGATGGATTCAAGTGGACCCGCTATCGAATCCGATGGCTTGGTGAAAATGACAGGAAGGCTTGGGACTTGAAACTGTGGCGGAAGTAGCCATTAGCACTTTACAAGAACATTTGCAGCATAAGGGCCTAGCTGATTTCTCACATTTGTTTCCTGCGCATGTTTGTGATAATTGATCCCCACACACTGGACTATGGGGACAGATTCGAGAGGGCAAAGGAGCTAAATGTGTAAATAAATGAGACACTGAAATGAAGAAAACAAGTTCTCGTAGGGTTTGGGGCACAGTTTGCTTACAGTCTTCACGGTTCTCATCTCTTTAGACTGCAGAAAGCCACTCAGTGCATGCCCCTCGAGGACCTGCACCCGCTGCCCAAGGATATCGGAAGCGGTCATTTCACTCTTCAGATTACCGTAACGAACGACATTATCTTCATCAATGAAACGGATGAAGCGCTGAAATGTCATTATGGAATCTAGTTGATTGCCAAATTGATTGGATCTTTCAGAGGTGTCGCAGAATGATCGTAGCGGTTTTTTTTTCTTTTTCAATCGGGCAGATCTATCTCACTTGGAGTTGCCCCAAATTATAGACCGATAAATATCTCTCGCAAAATTTGTCACATCCGATGTGACATATTGGTCGGTCACCAGCACACCGAAAATGGAGGCCGATGGCGAACTCATCGGGAAAGGCAAGGAATTTGGGATCTGTATCCAATCAGTGCCGCTTCCGACACGGGATTTCTCCCCATAAAGCGGAGGGAACCGGGATTCCATACCAAAGCTTGTTAGTGGAGATAGTGAACACCATGCTGCAAATGCAATTGATTAGTCAACAATTGCATATAAATACTTGCATATAGGATGCATAGAGCTCCAGATCAATCGCATGTTTCAAATTGCAACGATTTTCGAAGCAGGAAATCTCGCAAGGCTTTTCTTCCCTCTACCTTTCTGTTTGTCATAATTCTCTCGCCATTATGAGCAAAATCCATTTCGAACGCCTCCTTTTTACCCAATACCAGCATCCGGATTTGGAGAAGGCCAAGCGCTTCTTTGAGGATTTTGGCCTCGTTGTGGCTAACAAAAGTAATGATAAGATATACTTCCGTGGGTTTGGCGACAGCCCCTACGTCTATATTGCGGAGCAGTCACCGGACGATCGTCGCCATTTCATCGGAGGAGGATGGGTCGTTGCCTCGCGTGGCGACCTTTTGAAAGCCTTGGAGCTGGAAAATTCATCTCCCATACAGTGGCTGGATGCACCCGGTGGTGGTGAATTTGTCGATATTAAAGACCCCAATGGCATCAACATTCGTTTGATTCATGGTATCACCTATCGAAGTATTGAATCTCTGAAGGACGAAACACCCGAGCCAGTCATCTTCAATACGTGGTCCGAGAAGCCCCGTCGTGGAGAGTTCCAGCGGTTTGATGGTGGTCCTAGCAAAGTTCATAAACTTGGTCACTATGGACTCATCGTTGATAAGAGCCAATTCGAGAAAACTGTCTCCTGGTACCTTCACACATTCAATCTTCTTGAGACTGACTCTCTCTACGACGAAGAGTCGGGGAAGAACATGATGACCTTTATGCATATCGATAAAGGCGATGAGTTTACGGATCATCATGTAAGTTTTTAGTCACGTCAAGCCGCGTGCAAATCTTTCTGGCTAACAAACTACAGAGCTTTTTTATTCAAGCACCTCCTCACCCAGTTGAGTTCTGTGTACCACATCACTCGAGTTTTGAGGTCGATGATATGGATACACAGCTTCTTGGACACTACCACCTGGAGAAGAAAGGTTGGACAAACTGCTGGGGTGTCGGTAGACACCTTCTGGGAAGCCAAATATTTGATTACTGGTTAGTTCTCACCGTCTTTCCTCTGCTGGAATCATCAAATCATCATATCTAATTCTCAACTGCTGAAGGTTTGACTGCTCTGGAAACATCGTCGAGCACTATTCTGACGGCGACATGGTGAACCGTCAAACCAGGGTGACGAGAGAGCGTGCAGCCGAAGATACAATGGCCGTCTGGGGTCCAAATGTGACATTGGCATTTCTGACTGGAAGGATTGAAGATTTGAAAAAAGAAACTGCTTGACTGTTCCGTTGATTGAATATTATGAAATGCGATTCTTGTTCCTTCCTAACACCACATTCCCTTTTATGCGTTCATACATCATAGAATCCATATTTTCTCTCACTCTCTCTTCCCTCTTCTTCTCTCTTTCGTCCGCTTTTACCGATAGCACCAGGTCATACTTTGTTTCTCTAATATCGCTACACTGTAGTGCTTATGATTATCTCAAGACTATCTTTTCAATCTAGGCCTTATTTCTCCGGCGCCTTTTGGGTGTTCCATACAGCCTGGATGACGTATACATATAAACTTTTTTTCGCGAGTCCGGCTCTTAACTCGATGAGAATGGACTGGTTCAGGTATGAATAGAAAACAGATTTTTACTTTGAGGAAGATAAAAGATTGGAAGGAACATAGCCATTGATTTAGTTCCAGGCAAACCGGGATTAATCGGCGCTGGAACTTAGCGGCAGATTGATTCCGCCGTGGCAAACTTCATCCCGAACACCGAAAAAGCGGACGCGCTTTTTACTCGGGCATTCGGTATTTCCGCCCGCTCCTTCGTAATGTTCCTTTGGGGCGGGCAAAACGGCCTTCTGGATACCCATCTCGGGCATAATACTTGCGAAGATCTGGCTACCAAGTGCCCAACAGAGTTTGGTAGCTTGCCGGGGCCCGAACCCGCGGCATTATTGGTCACAAACTGAGAAGATGCCAAAAACTGCCAAAAAAAAGTAACAACAAAATGACGTAAAACTCATATAATACCGACGTTTTGTATAAATAGGGAGCCAGCATGTGCTTTTGATATCCTCACTCCAAACATACACAATTATTCCTCCCTCTTTAGCATTGAAACCCCATTCTCAACTTTACTTCTTTTAGCTTCCTGAAGCTCACAATTGCGATGTCTGACCATCAAAACTTGGCTGGAAAGGTTGCCATTGGTATGAGCGTATCCTACTGCATTGACTCGACCACGTAAGGAAACTCAGAGTGTCTAATTTACATAATGCACATAGTCACCGGCTCGAGCCGTGGAATTGGCTCTGCAATTGCCATTCGGCTTGCCCGCCACGGAGCTAACGTGGTTGTGAACTACGTCAGTTCTGCCGCAGCTGCTGAGAATGTTGCGGCAGAAATTCGTAGCCTTGGCGTCAAGGCGCTCATCGTGAAGGCCAATGTCTCCGAACAGAAAGAAATCAAGTCATTGTTCGAACAAGCCATCGAGGCATTTGGGCGTGTGGACATTGTTATGAGTAACTCCGGCATTGAACACTTTGGTGCTCTTGATGAGGTTACCGGTGACGAGATTGATAAAGTGTTTAATGTCAATGTCAAGGCTCAGTACTTCGTTGCTCAGCAGGCCTACAAGTACATGGCGGATAATGGCCGCCTGGTCCTCACATCCTCTATTTCAGCGCAAAAGGTTCGACTGCCTGTTCCAATCCGGGTTGAAAATGCCAGGCTTACCAATTTGGATTTACATACAGGGAATTGCCAAGCACGCTGTGTACGCCGCTTCGAAGGCGGCCATCCAAGGCATGATAAAGTGCCTTGCATATGACTTTGGTCCGAAAAACATCACGGTTAATTGCATTGCCCCTGGAGGTGTCAAGACGGATATGTACGCAGATGCGGCTGCTGATTACATTCCTGGGGGAGAAAACATGACCACGAAGGAGATTGATGAGGCGCTCTCCAAGTGGTCGCCAATGAACAGACCTGGATACCCTGCGGACATTGCAGGGGTCATCGCTCTCATTGCTAGCCCTGAGTCTCAGTGGTTAACTGGTCAAACATTCCACATTTCTGGTGGGGCTCATATGGTCTAAACTACATCAACAGCATTGGAAACAGACGTGACACCTCAGGCGTGGGTAGTAAAAGTATACTCGCCGCTATGGATATTTGAGCTTTTTCAATTTTTTTGCTTGGTGTATATACTAGTTCAAGTAGTAGACTTAAGCACATTATTTACCGTGAAAGTTCCTCACTGTGGTCCCGTGCCTACATTGCTCTGCAAAGGCCCCTAAATATAGGTTAATCCTTCGAGATATGTCTTTTCTTTCTTCCAACCTCGGAGGTTCAGGTGTTTGTGTAATTCAAAAAGGTAATCTTGACTGATGTCAAAGTTCATGTGGAGACCAAATACGAGATGGGAAGCGAGCCAAGACAACAGCCTCGGGGTCGGCGTATTAGTAGACGGTCTACCAAAGTCCATCAGCGGGGATAATGTCAAAGAGATCCATTGATTCCAGTCAATGGTCCCACGCGGTGGCTAAACTTTCTAGTAGCCGGGGGCAAAGTGGAAGCAGTTTTCCAGACACACTCCCTCTGGTACCGGTTGATTTCACCATTCAAACTTGAATTGGTTCAATTAGCAGCAGTATTCAAGCTATAAGAGCTGTATTTTAATGATGTCCGAAGCTCCAAGTTCGCCAATAACTGTATATGACAAGTGTCACGAGCATCTGAGTCCTATGTATGGAGTCCCATGCATTGATCTGTCAAATCAGGCGATCGCAGAGAAATCAGCATCTGTTTACGAAAGCAGCGCTAAATTTGTCTTCTAACAATTTCTATAGAATCCCGTCAAAGAAAATTGTCATATTTTCTTCTTGATTCTCGTAATCATTTTCTTTGAATATACCAAACATTCTAGAATATGATTTCTAATTATAAAGGCTCTTTGTCTTTAAAGAGACCTATATATTGATGGTCATGATGTGTAGATAGATTTTTTTCTTCTCCATAGTTGATTTCTTAGTTCAAATGTACTCTTTTTCTTGAAGATCAGGCTATTGACAACAAGGCTGTATTTCAGAAGCCTGAACGGTGAGTTTCTCCTACTAGAACAAGAGACATCGGATGGTAATCAACAGAATTAATTTGACACCGTTAGCATGGTGGTGAATAATGATTAAAAAAGCCTGTGGCTGAAGATTGACGAGATCACACCAAGGCAGTGGAGGCTCCGTGGCTATGAAGATATAGATGAAGGCCGTCAATCAGGACAAGTGTGTTACAAATGCAAATCGGCCATTTCTAGTTCCTGGAAACGTAAGTATTATTGAGGATAGCAAAATTGGACGCTGTATCGTGTTTATATTGGTTGCGAGCATGCTTTAAGTCGTAATTGATGGGAGATTATTCACAATTGGTTGTCAACCGGCCCAAGTACCCTGAATTGAATTGCAGCCTCAAGACAAATCCGGCAGAGACAGTGCCTGATCTTCACAAACGTTCGTAACAATATCTTCTCTATGGTTAATAGGCGCTGTAGATATTACAACAAAAGAATTTGCTTACCATGTAGAATCGACCCGAATTTCCAGTATCTTCCCACCTTTTGCAATGCCAGAGAGAGCAGTTCAAGCTCCAAACCTGTGAACTGCGGATACGTATCTGGGTCCTTTTTGATTTCGATCGCCGTGCGTAGATTGATGGCAGCTGGTCCGATAACCAGACAAGCTATGAAGGGCGTATGTAGCGCAACGTATGCGGGATTCCAGAGCCGAACAGCTGTAAATATCTGTTCTGCATTAACGTGATAGGCGGATGTGCAAATTTTGAAATGGGAACCCGCAGCCAGAGGAGCTAAGAAATGGTTGTTTGGGTTGCGGGGTATCTTGGCCGCGGCGCTTTCACCAACAAATCGAAGGAAAATAAAAGTCCTAATCCATGTGTCACGATGGTTAACAGATGTATGCGATAGCGTTAGAGAGGTTTACCGTACCCTTGTAGCATGATATTCATTGAAATAATCCAGTTACTTCGTCGATATGTTCGGTCCGTGAATGAAAGGGATGGAGAAGAAAGGTTGAATTCGGAAGGCATCATTAGAAAGAAGCACGACACAGCCGTTTCAAGAGCATTGACTTCCTGTTTCGATGAACGCTTAGATTGTGCTAAGTCATGTGCAGACAAAAGAAGAAAATTAGCGATAAGAAACCAAGCGCGGACGTCTTGATTTTCGCATTTTTCCAAAGTCTGCCACGCCTTGGTTAGCATTGGGTCAATAATAGCGGATTCCACCGGCGTGTTCGAAAACCATGTTTCGTCAGAAACGGGGAGCATAGTTTGCATATTCCGCTTATCGATTGTTGGACGGCGACATGCGATAGCGGCGGCAAAACCGTCAAGCTCCCAAATACACCACCATGTTCGTCGTCGCTCTTCCTGCCTGCTCCACTCCTCGTGTCCAGTCAGTTGCGACCTGGTTATCTCGGGATCTTCGTCGATTTTGTCTAGCTCAAGCTCATACGCAAGTCTTGAGCAGATACCGATCAAAACCCACCCTTGAGGATTTGGCTCCATTGCGTAAAGGTAAAACGCGAGTACTGTGAGGCCTTGCAGATAAATCAAGGTAGGAGCTCTGAGATGAGGTAGAGAAGTCTCATAAAGTCTCTTAGCCCGTTTGGCGAAATGCTCTCCGCGCTCTGGTATTGGCTGACCAGAAAAGTATGGCGAGTTGGAGAACCGTGCAGCCATTGCGAACATTGCATTTAGGAGAAGAGACGTCTCCCAGTCAAGATTCCGATAGCTAAGTTCTTCGCCATCTCGAATGCTGGATATCTTATCTATGAAACGTGGTCGATGAAGCAACGGTAAGAATGACTGGATCTTGTCGAACCAAATGTCTAGTCTGTGGCGTAATATAGTATATTAGCAACCCAAGAGGGATATAGGTGGAGGGGAATAAAAATCCATACAATTCGTCGAATAACCCGCCTGGTAAGTCAGAGAAGCCGTGGGTATCCGCGGACCTCCTGATCTGCCGCTCATGGTCTTCACTTGGGTGAGACGTCTTACTTGGAAGGGAGGGCCAGTGAGGATTCGACGTAGACATAGCACTGGAGTTTTCATCTTGCGGAAAACTTCCAGAGCTTTGAGCAATGGATTCAGGAGTGATCCCAAACGCTTGGGTTTGTATTGAATTTGATGTTTCGCCCAATTGATGATCCAAATGTTGCATTTCGAAAAACGGGAGCTGAAAATTGGACTCGTAGTCTCCCATTGCGAGGCCAAGGCTATTGTGTGAATCGAGCAACATTTGATTGGGGTTCTCAATTCCAGCGCCAAGGTCATATGATGGAGGACTCCTATATTCCCGTCGAGGCTCATAGAATTGAGTAGGTGGTGGTTGATGCTGGTGAGCCCCTTCAGGCAATATATCTGAGCCACACGGCGAAGCTTGGCTGAAGGATATTTCAGAAACAGACTCCGCCCGGGAGATATTTGTTTCTTCACCCTTGTTTGTTTCTATATCGCAAGGAATGTTAGGCAATGAACAATGAACCCAAATGAACCGGAGTTAGGGTCACCCTTTGTATTGTTTCTCTTAGTTTTGGATCGTGATTTTATCGGTGATTTTGCCCGGGACGTGCGAGGCCTTCTTCTGGAAGGGAACTCGCAAGGGCTACCCGTTCGACGGCACAAAGCACAGACGGGTAACACCTTGTCACCTAGATATAAAAAGCTCCGCCGGGGTTAGTCAATCTCTCTTTAGATTCCAGTGTAGGGAATATAGGCGAAACGGACATTTTATCTTTTTCCTGTATGGGCTGTCAGTCGATATATCATTATGAGGCGCAGGGAGTATATCTGAGCAATATATTTGCTTAAAAAGATAATTTCTTACCTGCTGCATGCTGTGCATGCACGTTTCCCTTTGGTGGGCTGAATGGCTGATGGAACGCCACGCTGGGTGGGGGATAAGCGGCGAGGGAGGGCACTCATATTTCTTACTACCTTAAAGATATGGATAGAGTTGAATAGAATATGCGAAACTCCTATAATGAGAGTCGAGGGTCGAGCTGATGAGGGTTCGCCAAATTGCTTTCGAATGTGAACCAAGGTGGTAATCACGCGCAAGGACCGAAGTAGCGGGCACGGGTTTGTTTTCCTCCTTGGACCACCTTGACAGGCTTCAAAATGGGTGGATAATTAGATGCTGACGACTTGGGTGACGAAATGATGTAAATCCGCAAAACGGAGACGACGGGATTCGAGTGCGGGCACGTGTGCCGGCCCGCGGGCCTTGCCACCGATTAGTAATAAACTAGAAGCGACCCAGGGAAAGCCCTGCAAACGTTACCTAGTTAACCGCTAGATGGACTTCTAGACCTTCACGTTAAGTTTTACCTGATGTTAGTTGCAACTTAGAACACCACATATTTAAATAGTGGCTGTTTTGCATAACCTATTGATTCCTTAGGCGCCCCCATATTGTTATCGGCTGGCGACAACTGATCCACACTGTTCTGGAAAGTCTTTTCGTGGAAAAGGTTCGAATCGCCTCGCTCTTGAACCTCAGGACTAGGCTGGAACACTTGAATGAAATTCCAGGAAGGTCCAAATTACATACAGAGGACTCATTTTCCCTAGTTTGGTTCTTTTAATTGTAGGTGACGAGTCTGATCTCGAAGAGATAGCGTGGTGTTCGATTAGTACCTCATATTGCGGAAAATTCCACATCAATCTAGCTCAGAATATACCTAGGTATATACATCTCTTACGCCGTAGCGCTTGACAAAGCCTCACGAATCACACGCCTGAGGTCCTCGCGACTGAAACTTTGTAGTCCTAACAGGCTATTGTCATTGTGTTCGAAGTAACCACCATATTCTCTCGCAAAGGCAGCACGCGCAGCGAAACAATAAAAGAGCGAGTCAACCGCTGCCCCCCTCTCTATGCCTGCCCTGGCTTCTTCCTCCATAGACGCAGTATCAAAATGGCTAACCTTCAATCCCCGGGACGAGCAGCCGTTGGATGGAAAATGGAGACCTCTCTCGGTCCCTGATTCGCGATATTGGCCAGTTTGTGATGCAGGCTGTAACTCTGAAAAGAGAGACTTCGTTTCCTCTTCCTGAATCATGCTCACAAGCTCATTCTGTGTAATCGCTATGTCCTGAATATACACAGCACGGTTGGCAGTTGCATCGTAATTTTGCAGGATGCCAGCTACTGCACGCCCGACGGTGGATACTCGGGTAGTTGAAAATAAGGTGTCGCCATCATCGTACTTGCGAAGCTCTTGGTTTTTCACGTCAAGAATAAGACCGCTCGATAGGCTCCAGTCAAGTAAAACATTGTTGAACACCAATGTATAGGTCATCGAGGACGCCTTTTGTTCGTGGCATAGCTCAAAAAGCCGTTCTTGAATATCAACTTTGTGTTTGTAGTTTGGCAAGGCGCGCGTTTTGAGGTTCAGGAGATTGGCGCCAAATTCGGAGGGAATCAGCCGCTTGACTTTGGCTGCGCAGGCAGCATCGAGCAGCAGACGCTCGTTTTCAAGGGCAAATTTTCCCAGGGCAGAGATGAGCACATCTTGCCCTTGCAATCCGAGGACTAGGGAATCGAAAGATGCATAATCCACTTCCACTACTGTGACGTTTGGCGAAAATTGGCGCCCTTTGGCTGAGCGGGTCAAAACAGTGATGTTGTGTTGTTTTGTGTCCTCGAGTGCTCTCAATATGGACGATCCAACTATGCCGCTAGCCTACAAAAAATGGAAGAAACAGAAAATCAGTATTGACCAAGTGGAACGAAGAGGTCCTTTGGGTGGAGGTAATTTGATCCCGATTTCGGACAGAATATCATACCCCAACAATGGCAACGTTTCGTAAAACCACCATCACGACTTGGCAAAGACAGACGGAAAAAATCGAATAAGTCAGACTGAAGTGAGGAAGTAGGGGTTGGATGGGCTCTTGGAAGGAGAGGCACGGTTTTCTTGAACAGCTTTGAATGCGGAGGCCTTTGCTTGGAGTTAAGGTTCGCGTTTTTGTCGGGTGCCGGGGTTGCGGAACTGGCGTTTTTGGTCGGATCCGATTCATCAGGACCACATGACCACATCGGCAGATGCGTAGATTGGTCAATTTGTCGTCTTATGGGGCCTGAGTGAGGGCCCCGGAAATCCGATGTTATGGGGTACACATCATCATACTGTGGTGGATTAGAGTTCTAAAGAGACATTTCTGCGCGCTAGGTCGGTTCTAAGGACTAGCGCGGTGACAAGCTACCTGTTTTTGCTTGTAAGGCTTTCACACTCCTGGAAAACGGGCTAAGGAGCGAAGCATCAAGTACATCCCTGCCATCCAACTTCAAGTACTGCTAACTTGCACGGCAAGTGAGTCAAACGTCGATGGCCTACTTTAGATATTTTGAATGGCTGTGTAGTCTAGCAATAAATAACAATAAACTTAGTATTGAAGGGCGATCAATTTCACAAAAACTTCACTTAGTCCCGAAGGCTAAGGGATCAACGCGGTCAATTGCAAAAGTTGACGTCTCATTTCCAAGGCTAAAGATCTGTCATACGCCAAGCGGGTCCCCGGCTTTATGGTAATGCCGTACCCACCCAGCACTGGTAAGAATTGAACGCGGGTTTTGGACAGTTTACTGAGAGAGTAATGCTAGGACTGAGTTCCGAAAAAAAAAGCTCGGGTCATACAGCTTTTTCCAAAAACCATGTTTGACCAAGCCAATGTTTGTTTTGTAATTTTTCTACATGGCCAAAGTTCTTACGCCATACCACGTAGTAGGTCCTTTTGGTTCCCAGGAGACTTGATAAGCAGAATTTTCAAAGCTCGATCTCATGTCCACTAAGTCGTGGTCGGTCTTGTCAAGGGTGATTATGAATGAAGTGACTATTTCATATTCCTTTTTTTTTTTTTTTTCTACTTCGTATTTCTGTCTTTGTATGTGCAGTAAACAACCGAACGTCAACGATGGCTCAAATTTGCGCTGCATGTACTCTCCTTGCCTATCCTCCTAGTGCCACATACATATGTTTAGAAAGGTTCAGCCATGGCAGACACCATATCAAAAGACAAGACATGCCATCCATTTTGACTGACTACGAAGAAGGCAGAAAACAGGATCAGAAATGAACAGAAGATCTATCTAGAAGACCTGAGCATGATGCTATATATCTAGCATCACGAAAGAGCCCGGCTAACAAAGAGCCAGGGTAAACAAAACCAGGGCGTCAAACACTGTTCTGCTATGTATGACTCGCTTTCATTGAACTAGAGGTGCCTTTTTCGAGAAACCAATAGAATATCGTCGGCCAGAACACATTGATCCTCCTCAAAATATTGCTCTACTTGAATAAAAAGGAATTCCAACATACGTGAGAGGTGACTGAGTCTACCAGTCATTCCAGCAGACTTGGCCTGTCCACACTGCAGAATAAGTATATTAGCTGGGATATTGGCTGAATATTAGTCCCAAAGCATGGAATCAGCACTTACTTCTGATGTTGCAAAAACCGGTATCCCTGAGTCATTTGAGCTCCGACGTTGGTGAAATGACATAAGAATAGCAGGTAGTTTTGGGGCCTAATAGCCATGGCATAACGCATGAATGTGCTGGAATAAACGATCATGGTACCAGTGAACTGAGGAGAGATACTGTCAAAAATTCAGCAAGTGACTCGACAATATCGATTTTTGAGGTATTAATTTGAAGGGAAACGCACATATCCGGGGACTTTTGCGTATCTAGAATGGCAGCTATGGGAAGACCAAAATTGGAGACAGGACCCCAAAAGTCTGAAACAATGTTAGCTATTGAAACACGATATGCGGTGGGTTCTCTAGCCGAATGAGTTATAAAAAAGGGACGATTGACGTACGTGTGGAGCAAATATAATCCAGAGCCTTATTTGACCGTATACTGGAATTGATGGCCTTGATGAAAGGAATTGCCATTTCTAGGGCTTCTTTAGCGAAAGATACCAGTCCTGTACTTTGTATGTGTGTGTGAGAGAGTGTGTGTGTGAGAGAGAGTGTGTGTGTGAGAGAGTGTGTGTGTGAGAGAGAGAGAGAGAGCGTGTCGGCGAATAGTGATGAAAATGTTTAGATCTGAGAGTTTTCGACCTTTACAGAGTAAGACCCGACGAACGATAGTACTGCGGCCTAAAAGTTACTTGCAATCCCGTTCCCACCACGGGAATAATGTATATCCCCTTCTGGCAGGCGGTCTGAGCCTCAGACTACATTAGCTTTACCCACCCAGACACTCAGAGAAAAAACTTGAGAATAGACCATGAAGCCTTGATGCATGAAGGATTTGCTGCAGTCAGGATTACCCTTCACCAACCATGCTTGTTCATCGTTTGCACACCGTACCAACGCTCCTTGGAAAGGCTGGAAAGCGAAGCTTCTCGTTACTATCGACACATGATACTCTTCCTGCTACCTTGTACCGGTTCCAGTTCGGGCGCCATGCAGCGCTCTTTGACGAAAATCAGCAGCCAGCTGGTTGGTCAAAAGATGCCGTGAGGGTATCCAAGGATGGCCTAATTTATTCCCAAATTTCAAAGTCTAGCCCTTGTAAGTGAATTGTGTCCTCGTCAAGATATCAGAGTCACTTCTGGATTGTATTAACATAATTAAACTACGGGCAGATTCCAATGGTCCAGTGTTCATGCCTAACACCCGCACAATGCAGCAAATGCTGAGATATGATTTCAAGCGCTATGAAGAAGATGTGGAAGATGGGAAGTCTGTCATTTGTCCCCTAATTTTGCATATCGATCGAGGTAAGCTATTCAAATTTGGTAATGGACAGGCATAGTCCGGTCTGACAAGATTCGAGGGACCCTTATTCCTTCCTGTCTAACGCTTTGGCGTGAAGGAACGACTCGCTTTTCCTTTCAGCCTAAAATTCCTCTCCAATTAGACGGTATGCAAGAACATAGGTAACCTGTTGGGAACAACTTGAGCGTAGTAGCTAATATCGTGGATTCAGAATTCAACAAAGAACTAGACAACTTTTACGGACAGTCTGCAATCTACCTCGAGGTTAAACAGTGGATTGAAACTCATCCGTACAAAGAATCCGCCGCAGATGAAGAAATGACGTGGATGCATGTGTGAGAATCGCAGAAAGGTTTCTTAACCACAACATCATGAAATAGATGAAATCGGAAGCCCTCCACCTTTTCCTCACTCCCGGTCGCGCGACTTAAAAGCGGCGCTCATTTATTCCTCACCCAGCCAACACCTACTAGTTACCACACGGGTACCCTCAGAGTCGAAAGATTAGACCCTCGAACCGCCCCAGTGACAAGGCGGTCCAAGGGTTATAAGGGTCACCCGTGGGTCATTGCTAGATCTAGTCAGTACGGGTCGTACGACTTAAGTGATTTTCATCTAGCTTTATACCCTATCTATAGCGCACTCATCTTTGTCACCCCCGATTGCGCAACTGTAAAGCGGCGCTCACCCATTCCTCACCCGGGTGATATCCATCGAACTATTGACCGCATATAAGCCACACGCTGGTGAGTTAGTAGTTGGGTGGATGACCACCAGCGAATCCTCATTGTTATATGTTTTTTGATTTTTATTTTTTTTCTAAGTAAAAAATGAAATCATAAGTTTGCTTTTGTAAGGGGTGTCGCTGTTGAGCAAAATATTCACCAATAATAGGAGGCACTTGTCAAAGACGTTAATGCCTTCTCACGATCCAGCTCTGCTAGATATGACTCGCCACCGAGTTTGGTCACAAAGCTGTACCACCAAAAGTCTTCCAGCGTGAACCTCAATGCAGTAGTGAAGTCCCAATATTCAGGGTACCAACCCGCCGATTCCTAATCCAGAAAGCCAGTGATATTGCCCTCTTCTTCTCCCTGTCCCCCTCTCTTCTTCCTCTCCTCGTCTCCCACAACACATACAATATCGTACCTACTGTACTACTTGTCCACCACTGTTATCCAAGAAGTACTATCTACGATGTTATTGATACAGTCGCTCTTTCGGATTTTCTCTTCTCTACCCCCCCGCATCCCGAACCTGAAGGCCGGGGGCCGGTAAATTCGTGAACGGCTAAATGCAATTTGCCGACCTCGATGGTGCCGATCGATTCGGGGTTCTGCCGACGACATGGGGAAAACACGCAAATCTCTTACCTGTTGAGATTGATTCAATTGCCGAAACCCCATGGGAATGATTGCAAACTGCGCGGTAGCAGTCGGTCCACGCGGAAACATCCGACATTCGTGAAGAAATACCACGTTACGAGGAGGGTCAAATCGGGATCGTCATCCCGAATACCCCATTCAGCAACGACAGCCATCGATCTGCCAAAACTAAGCCTTTTCAAACGGCAGAGGCTTGACTAAGATTTCATTTTCGGGGGTCCCCGGTCCAATCACCCCACGTTTTCGGCATCTAAGGATTTGGACTCAATAGCCGCTTCTCTTTGTGCAGCTACTCGAGTAGTGTAGTATATCCGTTGAGGCTATTTGTTTAACCCCGGAACGTGCGATGATGTCACACTGTCAATTTTCCCGTGTGGGGGTTGTTGAAAAGTGACTGAGCCCGTCAAGTATATAAACAGCAGATTTTTCCCAACTGACGCCTTTTTCCGGTGGTATTTGCCAATTTTCAGCGCCCACTGGAGCCATATACGTTATGAATTTGTGGTACCTTGCGTTCTGGGTCACATTCGTGAAGGCCTGGGTGGTCAATCACGGCACGACATGCACTCTGTACCCAGAGTCCCTCGCTCATCGCGGGCAAGAAGTTGATGATTCCCCATCCATCCAGGAAGCATTTGACACGTGCGGCACAAACGGAACCGTGATCTTCACTGACAATGTTTTCCACGTCAACACCGTTCTCAACACGACCAACCTGCTGAACTGTGATGTTTACCTGCGCGGTGAACTTCGCCTCTCCACCAACATCCCTTACTGGAGGACCCACGCTATTAGTGTCGTTTTGCAAGACCAAGTCACCGCCTGGCTGTTTGGTGGTACTAACGTGAACTTCTACGGCCAAGGAGGATTCTATAACGGACAAGGTCAGGCTTGGTACAATGCCAACCGAAATGAGTCGAACCAGCCCGGTCGACCAATGAGTATGACATTCTACAACTCCACCAATCTCCACGTTGATGGATTGAGCGTCATCCAGCCCCAATTTTGGGCCACCTTTGTGTGGAAAAGTCAGAATGTGTCGTTCACCAACTTGTTCGTCAATGCCACTAGTGACAGCCAGTGGGGAACCATGAACTGCGACGGTTATGACTCCTGGCAGAGCGACAACCTCTACATCGAAAACGCAACCATCATCACCGGTGATGACTGTATCGCCGCCAAGGGAAACACCACGAACCTCTACGCCAAGAACATCTACTGTGAAGGCGGAACCGGTATCACAATCGGCTCTATCGGCCAATACCCCGAGACCCCCGATTACAATCTCAACACGACCTTCGAGAACGTGAAAATCAAGAACGCAATGGATGGTGCCTACATCAAGACCTGGCAGGGCACCCGCATCTACACTCCCAGCAACGGAGACTGGGGTGGTGGTGGCACCGGTCTTGTGAAGAACATCACCTTCCGCAACTTTGAGATGGAGAACGTCGGACTTCCCATTCAAATGTCCCAGTGCGTGTACTCCGCCGACTCAAATAAGGGATGCAACACATCCAAGTTGCAGATCGAGGACGTTAAGTGGGAGAATATTCACGGCACCTCGCGTTTCAACATCGCTTCTTCCATCTACTGTTCGGATGAACGCCCTTGTCCGAATATTACCTTTGATCGCGTCAATATCACTAGTGTAAACACTACGCGCCATTTGCCGTATTATGGCACGGATATCCAGCATCTGCTCTACCAATGTACCAACATCGATGGCCAGAACAGCTCGGGAATCCCTTGCAACCAGGCCGCTCCCAGCAACTTCAGCCAGTGGATTTATGGAAACGTTGATAGCTCGGGGTTGGCTACTTTGACTTAATGTTTTTTTGATGATGCACAATTATGAGTTCAATATCTGGCCCATGAATGATTTGAAAATACGGCCTGGAGATTCTAGACATAGACATAGAATATGATACGACCCAATGTTGAAAGCTTGGGTACTTGATGAAAAACAAAGTAAAACCAGATCAGATAGCCATGGTGCTCAACTCCGGTGACGCTCGGATAAAAAATGTCTATATTGATGCCTACGCGTTGACCTCCACGATCACATCAGGTATATTACAACCTTGGAAGCAAGGGAGAAATGATTGCTCAATTTGTCCCAGCCTGTTTCGCCTCGAGACACTCACGTATGCTCCTCAACTCCCGAAGCCGATCGCTCTCGCCTTCCTTCAGCAGTCGCAGATGTTCTTCTTTCAATTGTCGAAACTCTTCATCGAGCCTGTGATGCCATGGATATAGCACGCAGACTTGGAAGCAGAATGCGGAGCTGGCGATCACAAAGTTGGTGAGAGAGAATCCGCGAGTGATGATCATCTTGGGCGGCGATGATAGACGGTGATCTCGGCGTGACGCTCAGTCTACCGAGATTGGTGTTGAGTGCATAGTCACAAAGAGATGGGGTGTCATGATAGTATCTTACCTGAGGGGAGTAGATCTGGTTGCTTCGATATGGGTTTCTGGGTGCGGGAGCCTCTCGCCTTGACTTTGAAGGATGCCCCTGAAGACAAATCTTTGAAAGCAAAACCCCCAATTTTATCCTCTCGCTCTATTTATCACGTGCTGTCTTTCAGAATCCCGGAGTTGAAGTGTTAGTGGGGACTGTCTTGCACCGTGCCGAGTCCTGACCTCCAATGTCTACCATTCCGGTCGCGTGACCTGTACCACGCGCTTTATCCTCAAATATCTACTCCATATTGCTACACCAATTTAGGGTCATCTTGCTCTTCACAACCACTTGGACAGCAGTGAAGGCTGTTTTCTGGTTGATAAGAGCCTCTGGTCCGTGCAGTATGGGGTGCTTTCGGCCGAAGCGGCAATTATTCGGAGTTGATCCTGGCCGAAGATCCGAGAGGGTTGATCTCCTCCTCAAACGAGGACCGCCCGAACGGCTGAGAGTCAAGCCGAGGGCCATTCCTGTAAGATCGGCAGTATCCGTGCCTCTACTTGCCCCGTCATTGGTGGAACCAGGCTTCCCTGGGCGCCGTCGGCGAGGGGCCGAACGCGCCCTGCGTTCTTATAAGGTGGAGGGCCGAGCCTACAGTGGACTGAAGATTCATTCTTCCAAGATTTTGGGAGATGCTTTGTCAGGACCGGGTCCCAACTCCCTGGGATGTGATCTGATCTTGATTCCCAAAACACGACCATTTCGATCTATAGTTTTTCATCACATCGCTGCCTCAAATTCGGTCGCCGATCTTAGGTGCCAACCACGCCTGAGAGGGTTGAATACTAACCCACTTGAGACCGAGCATATACTAGAACATCCACAGACGATACCGGAAGTCCTGTGGATTGGATGCTCTGACACCAGTCTTCGAGAATTCCATGTTGACAACATCTCAACCAACCAGTCAGTGGAGCTGAGGATATGGGAAACATGAAGATACCTGGCGACCTCCTCAATTGTACTGACTCGATGGAGGTGAAGCACATCGTCGTCTGTGGCCATCATCGGTGCCGTCGTGTGAGAGCAGCATCACGAGATGGGCTGCAAGGAGCGTGGTTGAGGTAACTTGACCGATTCTTTGTCCGCTTGAATGGGCTCGAGCAATTGAACATATTACGCACCTTCCCGGAGGTATCCGGTGCAATCGCAGGGGGCAACCTGCGCATACATGTGATGGTGTATGATGCACCGCAGGATCGATCCTATCAATTGACGGAATGACAGAATCGACTTGTCATCGCAACAACGACTTTGATCCGCAATTCTCTCATTCCCATACCCGGATACTTCCAATCGATTCACTTCCCCCTGTGAGCATCAACCGGACTGAAATTACGAATCTCTCAAACTCCCACAGTTGCATTCAATCTATCTTGGGGTACTAAGGTAACATGCGACATTTATTTCTTGGGACCAGAAGACAAGCTGTAAATCTTCTTCACATCCTTCAGCATACCCTCGAAATCAATGTTCAGGTCCCTGAGGAGGCCGTCGCGGAGATCAAAGGTCAATCCACTGACGATGGGGAACTCATCATTATCATAGCTCTGCTGAACAGCAGCAGTCTTAATGATGTTGCGGCAAGACTCCACCACGTTCAACTCAATCAAACGGTTATATCTCTCGGACTCATCCTCAATCGCGTCGAGCTCGGCCTCGTGCAAGCGGTAGACGTCGCGGATGTTGCGGAGCCATGGGTTCAGCAAACCCAGGTCGGCGGAGGTCAGGGCCGCCTTGACACCGCCGCAGTTGTAGTGGCCGCAGACGATGATGTGCTTGACGCGGAGGTGGCGCACGGCATAGTTGATCACGGACATCACGTTGAGGTCGGTGTTGGGGACGAGGTTGGCGATGTTGCGGTGGACGAAGACCTCGCCGGCCTCCAGGCCCATGATCTCATTGGCGGGGACACGGCTGTCGCTGCAACCGATGTACCTGGTTGCTGTTAGTGTGATCTGGAGTCGTGACACTGTGACTGAGTTGCTGGTCATTACTCACAGGTAGTTGGGCTTCTGCCCCGCGGCGAGCTTGTCGAAGAAGGCCGGGTCGGCCTTGCTCTTCAAGTCAACCCATTTCTTGTTGTTCTCGAAGATGTGATCGAGGGTGTAGGTGGGTTGGTCGGCCATTTTGTAATATGAAAGGGTTGGAGAGAGATTGGGGTTATTTCAGACTTCATCTATTTGAGGTGGGGACTTTCATCAATTTGTTGAGGGCCTCGGCGGGCGGGGTGCCCACGTAATCACCCGAGATCGGCTCCTTCATTCTCGCCATGCAATTGCTGTTCAATTGCATTCACAGTGGGATTGTCATTCTACCAAGTTCATCACAGGCTGGATTGATGCAAAAGATCACTCGCTCACAATTGGCTGGGGCAATTTAGCTTACTCCAGGATTGCAATACCCCACACCAGATCCCTCCAAGGTACTTTCAATGACCGAGGACACCTTGGGGGTTACGTTTCTGATGACGATCTCTCGGCTGATAAGATGTACCTGACTCTATATCAACCATGTCGACAGATTCCATGGGAGCAGCAATGCTGAACCTGAAAGAGCAGATCACGTGGCTACGATTACCAGAGTAACTTGAAACCATATTTGGATGCACCCACAGTTACCCCGGAGTACTTGCAACCACCGCCTGGTTAACGTTGGTGCACACGAAAATGGGAACAAGCGAACAGTTCACTGGGTAGGATATCTACTGATGTACCCAGTACGGAGTACCCGTCCTACGTCCATAATCATCACTCGAGGCCTCTGGCGCCCGCCCTCGGTTTTCTGCTTTGAAAGGTTAATTGGCAACACCGACTATCTGGTAAAATGGTGAGATTTTTCATTCATTAGACTGAAAAATAACCATATGCCTCTATGATGGGTAGGCAATCTCTAAAAGATCCCTCGGTTTTGTCCGCAACTGACCCCGGGCCATGGAAGGCTTGGCGATCCCCACGCTAGGACAAGAAGGATGTGTATTCCGCGAGGTCGACCAAAGTCGCTGATCCGTGCCAGAATGAGATAAATGCGATTTGGTGCCCCAAATCCAAAAGAAATCCAATGTCATTACTTTTTTACTTGAATCTGGAATCACAGCTTTGTCGCAATCAAGATGACTACTTCGAAATCCAAAGACAGCGAGTCCGTCAACAACATCATTCTTGCAGCCGATCAGGGCCAACTCGATCTTGTCACTGTGCTCTTAGATCAAGGGGTAGATCCAAATACCGTCGATGAGATCGGAACTTCCGCTCTTCACAATGCAGCAAAACAAGGTCATTGGGAGATTGCCCGTCTTCTTCTGGAAAAAAAGCATTGCCCCATGTCCGGGATGGCAACAATGCAACTCCGATCTTTCTCGCCGCGAAGGGAGGTCATAGCCAAATTGTTCGGTTACTCCTCGAATGCGGCCGTCACATATCCGACATGAGTGAGCTAGAATCCACTAGGCTTGTCAAAGTCGCGACTTTATATGGACAGGCAGAGACCGTTCAACTTCTTCTCGATTTCAACGCTCCCACACTAGCTGCGAATGGGAACGAGACGGCACTTCACCTGGCGGCGATGAAGGGGCATCATGATGTCTGCGACGTTCTTCTGAAACACGATAAGAACTTGAATCGATCCTTTTGGGAGCAAATGACGGGCCCTTCTCTGCAAGTCTACTCGAAAGATTACGATGGACACATTCCATTTCATTACGCGGTTACGAAGCGCCATGAGAAAACTATTCAAGTTTTCTTGAGCAACTATCCGGATCTTCTAGCTGCATGTGATAAAGATAAAATCCCTTTCTTTTTCAATCCGGTAACAGCAGGGAAGATAGATATCGTTCGTATCTTTCTGGAGAATGGTGTTGACATTGAGTTGAAAGGGAGAGATGGGCAAGGAGCTCTTCACAATGCGATCACCACGGATAGGCGTGGATGGGTTGAGGGAACTAAAGAGATGATTCATCTTTTGCTGGAACATGGGGCCTCCGTTGATGCCAAGGACAAGTATGGCTGTACTCCCGAGACTTTCACCAATGATCCGAAAGTCAGGATGCTTTTGCGCAATCAAGCGGCGGCGCGGTCTAAGGGTGATTTATCATCCTCCACACCAAAAGTTTCAGCTCCGCCGCCGGAGTATAGGGAGTGAGAGCCAGCATCTGGAGTCCATGATGCGAATACGTAGAGAGGCAATGGACAGTATATTCCGAATTGACGCAATACTCAAACTTGGAAGGGGAATAGTGCAGATTCTCTCAATTATCATCGCATTCCAAGGTTCCATTGGTTTGGAGCTCCTCGCCAAATGTTATGATAACTCTCTCATCACGCAGTGGCGGTGATCAAACCTGATCAGATTCACTAGCACCTTTTAGAGAAATGAACGAAAGAACTTCAAAGAACACCAATAAGTAGGCGAGTGGCAAAAGGAGAATGGATTCAAGAACTGGTCTCAGTTGCAATACGGCCCGTGCAGTTTCTTGCCACCGAAGCTGTTCTGCTGTGCTTGTAGACGTGAGAAACTTATTGGACAATAACTAAGCTCCCAGGCAGTCAAGGTGCACTATTCCCAAAATGACCTAGTAAGCCTTGCATATGTGGAGAGAGCTCGTTTGATGCCTGTGGTGATGCTTGGCGGACATGCAAAACGCATTTTGATTGGCTGCAAAAGAAGGGGGTGGGGTCTTCTGCCTAAGGTTGCCTGGCCCCGGGGGGTCATTCTGAGACTAACCGCATTAGGTTGACCCTGAATCCCCCGATCCATGGATACTTAAACATCAACACATCTATGGAGTTTCTCATCTATCCATCTGTTTATATTTAATCGTATATTCATAAGCCATTACGACAACAAAATGGCATCCACTCTACCATCCCTACCTGTGCAACACAATCAATTTGTCGACTATGTGCGATCGCAACCAACCACGCCAATGGCCGATTTGATCAAGCCATACATTGAATTCGATGCAGTGATGCGCAAGAAGTTTGCCCAGGAGCCACTGAGCCGTGAGGTTCAAGACAATCATATCAACATTGTACCAATCTTTGACCCGACTGGCTGCAACGACCTTCGCATTCGGGCGCGTGATCTTGCATCTGAAACACCAGAGCAAACAGAGAAGTACCTCCTGCCACTGAGCGCGAAAGATCGGAAGCCAAATGGCTCACCAGCCATTGTTCCCACAGTGGAAGAGTTCCGGAAGAATTTCGCCTTGTTCACCGAAGGCTGTCTTAGCGACATAGATTGGTCGAACGTGGTTGCCGCTGGCAGTGCGGTGGTCACTTCTTTGTTACCAGTACCAGAGCAATACCGCAATTCAAAGCGTGGTCTTCGCAAGTATTACCACGATATATTTGCCCCAGCATCCGACGTTGATCTGTTCTTGTATGGCTTGAATGAGGAACAAGCAATCGAGAAGATCAAGCACATTGAGGACCAGATCAAGAACACGATTCTTTATGAAACAACTACAGTGCGAACAAAAAACACAATTACTATTGCCTCGCAGTACCCAAATCGTCATGTCCAGATTGTTCTTCGAATCTATCGTTCGGTAGCTGAGATTTTGACTGGTTTCGACGTGGATGTTTCGTGCGCTGCCTTCGACGGCCGCCAGGTCTACGCTTCCCCGCGTGCAATTGCTGCATACATTACTCAAGTCAATCAGATTGATTTGACTCGCCGATCACCATCCTATGAGAACCGGCTGTCCAAATATTCCCACCGTGGATTCGAAGTTTTCTGGCCCGGACTCGACCGATCCAGGATTGATCCGGTAAGAGCCCTGCATTGCGTCTGTGTGCTTTTTGGTGATTGTTCTTGACTAATGATTTAGACCATCTTTGAGCGAACCTTCAATCGGACTGTTGGTCTTGCTCGCCTTCTCGTTCTGGAGAAACTTCCGAAATCTGATGACCGAGATGCATATCTCAGCAAGCGACGCGAGGAGCGCGGTCGTCCCGCCCTCAGTGTGTACATGCGACGTCGCCAAGGAAAGGAATTGCGGGGAAATATCAAGGATGACTGGGAGGATGAGGTCCCAGAGTGGCAGGAGCAAGACCAAGTTTCTGATTACAACACATTTGTGCGTGCTGCACCCGATTTGATGTTGCCCAGGCTAATCATCCTCTAGACTATCCCGTACGGTCGAAACTTCAACGCCAAGAAGATTGAGAAGATGCTGTATACGAAAGACCTGCTCCTCAACGCCCAATGGAATCAGCCCAAAGACCGAGACGTTTATCTTCATCGTCACCCGGCATTTTTTGGAGAGGCTGAGCATGTCATCCGTGACTGTTGTGGCGCTTGCCCCGTGCCCGTCACCGAGGAAGAGCAGAAAATTGCCGAAGAAGAAAGCAAAATCTATGTCTCCGGTGACATCAGCTTCATGAAAGATGACCCTGGTCGTCAGGAAATTGGAAGTTTCAACCCAATCACCGAGACCGACTGGACCGGTAAGGCAATATCTTTCCATCAATCTACTCACAGCTTTTTACTGACATTCCTCCTCAGAAATGGCATATGTTGGCCGCACTGAACGACTGTGCCAGGCAATTGTCGCAGATGATCTAAAGGGCGTGCAAGCTTGCCTCGCGGAGGAAGGATCGAACCCAGATCGTCGCGACTACACGGGAAGAACTCCCCTCCAGCTAGCTTGCATGTCCTCTACCCCTGAGATTGTCCAAACGCTCGTGGACCAGGGAGCTCGGATGATTCCACGCATGGCCGATGGCAAAACAGCTCTCCACATTGCTGCTTCTCGAGGAGACGTTGACGTTGTTCGAATCTTGCTCACAAGAAGCAACCAAAACGAGGAGGAAGAGCTCAAGAAGCAAGACAAGTTGAAGGAAACCACTTTGGAAAAAGACTCGAGCAAAGCTTCGCCGCAAGAGGACGAGCCAATGGGTGACGCAGACGATCAAGACGAAGACATGTCCCATACATCTGCATCCTATGTCAAGGTTGAGCCAGAAGAACCATCGACCACCTATGACACGCTCGAGGAGAATGATCTTGAGCCCGACATTTATGACGTTAACGTGGTGGCGTGGGACAGTCGCGCTTCGCCGTTGCACCTCGCCATGCTCAATGGCCACACAAATGTCGTCAAAGAGCTAGTCTCTTCCTTTGGTGCCGATGTCCTCATGCCTGTCAAAATTCTCAACGACTACAACAGAAAGCCCGAGGCAGCAATTCTTAACTTGGTGCTTGCTTTCTCACTTCCCTCAGAGAAGCGAACTGAGATTTTCCGTGCTCTGTTGGAGCTTGGCGCCTCTCCCGCACAAGCTGATCTGACGCAAAAGACCACGGTTTACTACAGCGTCCAATGTAGAATGGAGGAGTTATTAGATATCTGTTTTGAACATGATATGCCAGCAGTCAAGCGAGCCCTCAATCACTTGACTGTAGGCGGATCGAGCTGGTCACCGTCTTCCTCATCTGCCTTGACGGCAGCTCTGAATGACGGGAGGCCCGAAATGGTGCTCAAGCTACTCGATGCAGGTGCAAAGCCTGCATTTGAGCTCAACGAGCTTGTCAAAGCTTTCAAGGCTGCCAATCCCAACGAGAGATACTTTGGTGGTCTCGAGGACCGCTTGATGGAGGGTCTTCGTCAGCCAATTCTCCTAGCCGTCTCCAACGACCTTCCACTCATTGCGATTGAGATGCTCAATCGGGGCGTTAGTTCTAATACTGAGACCAAGTCCCGATGGAACACTGATGGTCAAAGTCTCTTGGATTATACCCGAGAAAGGATTCAAAACTTGCGAAACTTTATGAAACCACAAGAGGAGTGGCACCCTTGCTGCAGCTCTCACACACCTATCCACTTTGAGGGAGACGATGACTTCTATTTGGGCAACCTCCCATCTGACAGTTACCGCAGACTTATTGCCAAGTTTGCATTGAAATCTTCCCGAAAAGCTAGCGAAGAGGCCGAAGCGCAGTATGAAAACCAGAAGAAGTCGCGCACCAACCACCCCGGAATCGAACGCAAGAGGGACGCTGTTGCCAGCTTGATACTTGATTACGAAAGGTTGGAAAAAGAGCTTTTGTCGCGAGATGCAAAGACTTGGAGAGAGCTTCACCCTGACGAGGAACATCATGAGCCACGAGAGGGGTATCAGCACAAGCACAAGAAAGTCACCAGCAAGACTTTCAAGATTGAATACAATTTCAGTGAACCTGGTCTTACTGATATCCGCCGGGATGCATACATTCAGCTGTGAGATCCCTATCACTCGCTATGAAATCACTGTGCTAACTCTGCAATTACAGGTTCGAAGCAGCTTGGAACGGCGATCTTGAAACGATCAAGTCCTTGACACTCAGCATGTGGGGACCTGATGCGAGCCAGCAACCGCTCGAATTGGCAACTACCGGTAACAACATGCTTTCTTGCCTTTCGATATCGGTAATGCGAGGTCACCTCAACGTTGCGAAGTCAATTCTACAAATTCTCGGTCAGCAATACAAACCTAAAGAATCCCGCGGTCACACTCGATTCGAGATTGGTTCAGAGAACGAGTCGGACGACGATGATGACGATGAAGACAACCTTAACATTGTGGGTGACGTTGTTGACGAGACCTTTACTCATGATAATGTCGGGGAGACCACCACCCAGGTTGAAAGTGAAGTGAGTCCTCTGAGAGCTCTTCAATCCAACTTCAACGCTTCGGATTTCCTGGAGGAGTACAGGCCCGAAGAGTTCAACCACTTCTTGTCTGCTTGGGGAAAACGACGCTCTCCCAATGTGAACACTCTCGTCAAATATGCGATCTACACGAATGATCTTGCATTGTTGAACTGGCTTCTTGGTGCTGTGAAGAGCCTTGAAGGCGACCAAATCGACAGTATAGACGAGAGCGAGTTCAAGTTGGCAATTTCACTTGGAAGGACCGACTTCATCGCAAAGATGATTCAGTTTAGCGCAGTTGGCCTTCCCCTCGCCAAACTAAGTGCAGACTCCGGGGTTGAGGAGCCGAAGGATGCCAAGTACTATCAAGGGCTATCCATTCGCGGCGCGAAGCGGTCTGATTGGGCAAACGCAGGTCGTGTTCGGACAGTTAAGCCTTCTGACTCGCCTACGCCTCTTTTGATCTCTGCTTTTGCAGGAAATATTGCCAGCACCGAGTTCTTCTTGGGAACCGCGCCCGGTCGATACTATCTTGAGTGTGTGAACTCTCACCTGGACAGAAAGGAGGTCAAGCGAATCAGCCAATCTAAGCTTGGTCTTGAAGGATCTGTTCTGAATTGGTTGCAGACACGAAGTAAGTACCAACATGGCATCATGACTAAATCGCTTTTACTAACAACCTGACAGACAATCTTGTTTTGCACTGCGCAGTGATGTCCAACCCATCTGAAGAGTCAGAGCGTCTTGTGAAGTACCTGGTTGACCTCCACCCAGAGTGCTTGGAGGTGCAATGTGAAAGTGGAAAAACACCTCTGGCATTGGCATTTTCCCTCCACCGGACGAACTTCGCTCGTACATTGATAGCCGCAGGAGCTAATCAGGCAACACGAGATCGCCAAGCAAACAATCTTCTCCATATGCTTCTTTATTCCGAAAATGCCAAGTTCTGCTCTCAATCTGAGACATTCACGGAGCTCGTCGGGTTATTGGATGCTGATTTGATCCCCACGATGCTAGTTCAACGTGCAGGAGAAAACGCAAGAACACCCTTCACACACTGGCTCCATATCCTGCCTCAATATTACCAGAATCTACACAAATCCAAGGCAGAAATTCGCGGAGATCCAGAGGCTTTATCGACTGAGCCAAAGTCGAACTATCGGATTGTGACTTCCATGATACGTGTGATGTTGGACTTGGCTATTCCCAGCAACCAAAAGCACCTGGAGGTTTTCGATGGAGCTGGGAACACCCCGGCCCATCTGGCCGTCAAGGGAGACCAGCCCGAGATTTTGGAGATGTTGCTTGAACGTCGTCCTGATTTACTCTATCGCGAGAACTCAACTGGAACCACGCCGCTTGAAATGGCTGTTGCTGCTTGGGTGAACGATACCACATCACGGCCCCCGCGCGGTTCTGCTGCTAACTCAACCGACATTCTTCAACGCGAATCTCGGTCTTTCCTGAAAGCTCCGAAAGTTTCGAGCGAGCCTTCTAGTCGCGAGCTTACCATGCTCCGAGTTTGCCAAGAGCATGCAAAGAAGAGCCCTGGAAAGAGACGACTGGTCAGTCTTTTTGAGGCGAATGAGGTTGCTAAAAGACTTGCTACTACGCAACGCTCCTCCGAGAATAACAGGGGAAGATGTTTCCGTCGCCGTTATAGCGATGACAGTATTAGTGGTGACGAGGTTGAGCAGTGGGTTGGAACTACTTGGCACGTGTAAGCATGTCACAATTTAGAATCAGTTCAATGTATTTACAGTCTAAGAACTTCCTCTGTCGATATTGAGACTTGAATGTTTTTATCTATCCTATAAGTACCTTCAGGGTTGATTTATTTCTCTTACAAGTAAAGTCAAGATAACCTGGTTGATTGGTGTTCTTCCAAGGTTCCGCTATGAAACAACTGCCAAGTGACTTCTGACGGGGACATTGTCTTCCATACCAGGCTCTGGGAACCCAGTAATATCAACGCCCTTGCGGAAGATCAGACAATGAGTCGATCCACCAAAATGGAACATGCCAATTTGGTCACCCTTGCTGACTCGCTGGCCCTCTTTTACGGATATTTCACATGTGGAAACTTCTGCCATCCCAACGCCAACGAAAGCCATCAATCCGATGGACGGTTCATCCGCCTCAATGAAGATCAGCGCACGCGTAGCGGTTGAAGTGATGTATCCTTGCGAAGTGACTTGGCCTGCCATATCGATCTCCTTACTTTCAATTTCAGGATTCCCAACACCTTCAAACAAAGGCTCCGAATAGTAAGTTCCGTCGACAACATATGCCTTCACAATTGTGCCACTGACAGGTGCGTGCCAACGATGATAACTCAAGGCACTTAAAAAGGCCTGATAGATAGTTCCACCAACAAACTGCGATGCAAGCGCGTCATGCCCGAGCATGTCAAGGACGGAGTAAGGCTGTGACTTGATCCAGAATTTGTCGCGAGCGTGGATGTTACGTGCAGTTTTGAATGGTCTTGATTCACAGGCGTTCGCAATCACTTTTCCGTTGTCCGGCTCTGCGACAGGACGGATTCCCTCCTTGAACTCGCGAGTGAAGAAATGATCCCAGGACTTGAATCCATGGTTTGGTACAGAGGGATCACATTCGAACATACCCTCGAATTGCAGATTTGTCGCGGCGACCCTTCCGATCTTGGCAACCGCTGTCAGGTCTCGCAAGCCGGTCTCGCCGAACCATCCGCGATTGCTGTCATTGAGGACATCTGCTGAAGCGGGTGATCGAAGGTACTCGCCCCAAACATTCAAGATCTTTTTGATTTGCTTGTTGATTTCTGGATCGAGGAATGCTGCATATCCACTGGGCGTGCCCATTGGCCAATCAAGAACGGCGTTGATGGGCAAGCCGACCAGGCCGACGCGATGGGACTTGTCGGTCCATGAGGGTGCAGTCGTGAGGAGGTGGTTGAGGACCTGCAGGAAGTGGGAGTAATCCCGGATCTCAGGGTTTCCTGTTGGATCATGGCCGTATCTCTTTTGACGGGGCACCTCCTTGAACATGGAAGTCAACAGCATGTACACACGGGTGTTTGTTTCGATTAGGGTCTTGAACTCTTTAAGCACTGGATGCAAAGGTGCGTCGTTATCGACTTGTCGAATAATACCACCTAGCCATTCTTTGTGGGCGTTGTGGTCTGCTGGCATCCAATTCCCCACACTGTAGACTGTTAGTTGCATAAACCAGTCATATGGGTAAATTGTCCCTTACTGGTAAAGATGGTGCGCGGAGCTATTATGGGCCATGATTCGTGGTTTTGACTTTCAAACAAAGGGATTGAAGATGATATGAATAGAATAGGACAAATATATGGGTACAAGTGTTATGCGAGTATGTGCAACACAGAGCGATAATGCCAAGTTAGCCTTAAAAAGCTTAGCTACCAACTTGGTGGGGAGAATTGATATTTATACACCTTTATAGATGGAACGATGTCTGGGAATATCCAAATTGTCTTACATCACAGTGACGAATTATCAGGCCACAGTAGAATTATGGCTAATATAACCTTGGAATATCCTGGTAAATATGAACTAGAGTCATGGAGGTATCCGCGTATCCGGTAATGACGTCATTTCTTCCAGAAGGCCTGGATCATTCTTCCCCGCATAGTTGCAAGCGTCGTGACAGTGGAGTTTCAAAAGTATTTGACCCCAGATACTTCGGCCTAAGATTCACCTTTTTAAAAGGGATTCCGAAGTACTCCGTACTAAAGGTTCATTGCTTGTAGCTCTTTCAACCAAACATTTATCATTCCGTACCATATGTAACATGGTAATGGATACTAATGTGCCTTACTCTAGGTGGACTGGCCTACTCTTTTAACAGTGAAATAAATTGTGCTAACAGAATTGTACGACGACAATTGTAAAACCCTCTGGCATATCTGCACGACTTTCCCACGACCGCCTGAGAAGCGAGTTAGACTGAAAGGATTGGTGCTTTGCACACGGTTGTCCTTGTAGATCGGCCCGGGGCCCCGGGTCTATTATGTAATCTGCGCGAAGGCCGTCATTTCGCCTGCCGAGGTGCCATGTCCAATACTTCCTTCAATTCTGGGCAAAAGATCACCACAAGTAGAATGGATCCATTCCTGCACGGAGAAAACTCGCTTCCTGAGCACTTATCTTCCAAGCCATCTGACGTGTCGGGTGGTGACGCAGAGTGTGAGTCACGTCTCGCTGCAAGTGTTGCGTTTGAACTAATCAAATTGGATAGTCAACATGGATTCAGAGTGGAAATGGCTCGAAGACTTTTCCCCGGAGCTGCAGACTAATTTGCTTGATGCATCTGTCACCACTCCCGATTTGGAATCTGCCCCAGAGCAGACCACCTCGGCCAGCAATGCAGATCTCTCATCTCTTGCTGCCGGGCTCTACGAAGACACAGAATCAATTGGATTAAATGAAGGGCCAGTGTTTCACCCAAAGCTTGGGGTCTTTGATAGTCCACTCGACTCTGGTGGTTTTTGGCCCATGGCGGAAACCTTGGATCATCAGAACCCTGTGTCCAACAAAAGCAGATCTGAGTTTTCCAGCACCGGAACGCAGCATTCCTGGAATAGATCTCGGACAGAGATCAGGAATGATGTCCCAGGCTTGCCTCGACGCCGAAGCCGCTACTCAACTCGGCGGCTGGGACAATCTACCCCTCCAGTGCTCATTTCGCCAAGGCCCCGGGCCCACGACACGCCGGATCCAATGCAGCGATGGCAAGACTCTCCACCGGAGGACGAGCCAGCGTCTATTTCAGCTATCATTGATGCTATCGAGTCGAGTGAAGGGCAAAGCCGTACAGACTACAATGGAGCCGGCAACGATGAGAGTGAAGCCCCGGGGCATCCAGCAGACGCATTTCAAGGATATCGAAACGCGCCTTCCTCAACCAGTGGTGAGAGCGGCGCTAGCAAATCTTCCCGGAACTCCATACAGTCAGAAAACTCTGGCTCTGGGTCATCTAAAAATTCGACTTCATTGCGTCCACGGAGATCTCGAACACGAGTTACGAAGCCGCGACAAAATAAGGCTGGAAAGGAAGAGCGTCGGATTTTCTGCTGCACATTCTGCTGTGATCGCTTCAAGAGCAAGTATGACTGGGCGCGACACGAAAAGTCGTTGCATTTGAACCTAGAGGCATGGATTTGCGCACCCTTTGGAGGAGCTGTCTTTTCCATGACCACTCAACGCTCCCACTGTGCATATTGTCATGCTTTGGAGCCCAATGCGGAGCATCTTGAATCGCACAATCATAAGAGCTGTCATGGGGACTCTACAGAGCCTCGTGTCTTCCGTCGGAAAGACCACCTGGTACAACATCTACGACTGGTGCATGAACTCCAAATCATGCCTCTCATCGATGACTGGAAAGTTGAAACGCCAGCATTTACATCGCGTTGTGGGTTTTGCGACCAAACAATGAACAGCTGGGAAGAGAGAACCGACCACATTGCCGCCCATTACAAGCAAGGATTGACCATGCGCGATTGGTATGGCGAGCATGACTTCCCGCCTTCTATCGCTGCACAAGTGACGCACGCACTATCGCCATATCTCATCGGAGTCGAATCCACTAGCATGGTACCATTCTCCGCGACCGACTCACGCACTCGAGATCACTTCTTCCAAATCTCTTCGAATGCCGGAATGGGACACGAACCAGCAGAGCCACAACAACCCCTCCAGTCACTTCCAGAGAGCTTCACATCACAGTCCGAGATAAGCTCGTTTGCGCAAATTTTGACAATGCATTTAAGTCGCTACGCCCAAGATCAGATGAAACAAGGTATTGTCCCTACAGATGATATGTTCCAGCGGGTGGCAAGAAGACTACTTTATGACTGCGAAGACAACTGGAACCAGACAGTCGCAGACAATGGACAATGGCTTTCGGCATTCCGGCAACTGCACTGCCTGCCCGAGCCAAGCGATCAACCGGCACAGAGTTTGTGATTTTTTTTTCACACCCAGGAATCCCGCTGATGATCTCATTTCGGGTTTCTTGGCGAAGAGTGAAATAAGCGGGTGGCGTCGCAAATAAGGTTAACTCCCTAGGGCGCGGGTGTGGGTCCCGGATCGGCCACTTTCCCAAGGTTCACTCACCTCTTTTCGCGAGCCAAATGAATTCGATCATTCAATATTCCATAGGAAAAGGGCAGATTCTGTGGTTATTTTGACTGCCTGACGAATGCGAGTGCTAGAAGTATGCTTGACAACTTCTCCGCCTGCGCTTTTCTCTCGTCGGATAAAAGTGGGTCCAAGGCGTAGGGCGCGAAAGGAGCCTCTTTGGTGACAGACCATGGCGAAATTTGATGTCTCTATCGACTATGTCTTTCAATTCGATCAATGGGTATAAAGACGCGACAGAATTGTATACCTGGGGGACGTTGACCGGATGCACGCCTTCCTCGCCCACTGTCGTACTGCCTTGCTACGTCGCAACATGCCAGGATATATACGCCACCTGAGCGGCACTCATGGTGACACTTCGAGACCCCGAGTGCATGTCCTGGGTTTAGGAAGCATTGGAACATTTGCTGCACACTCGCTCTCCGAAATTTCAAATCCGCCGTCTGTGACCTTGCTTTGCCATCGACCATCCCTCCTCGACGCATATCGTGACAATGGAAGCCAAGTTTCACTCGAGACCCGTGAAGGTCAACGATTGGATTATAAGGGACACGATCTAGAGGTGTTTCGGGGCGGTCATTGGTACTCAGGCGCAGAAGCAGCCAACGATGGGTCCCCAGAAGCGGGCACGATCAAGAACCTCATAGTTGCCGTGAAGGCAACCCAAACAGCTGCAGCGCTTGAGCAACTGAAACACCGATTGTCCCCGCAATCGACCATTCTCTTTCTCCAAAATGGATGCGGGATGATCGACAGGGTCAACGCCCAGCTTTTCCCTCATCCCACCGAGCGCCCAAAGTATATCGTCGGTGTCATCTCCCATGGCGTCACGCTCCGAAAGTCTTTTGATATAATTCACACCGGGTTTGCAGCGACATCGCTTGGGCTCGTCCCGAATCCAGACGTTGGCCAAGAAACTCTAGAGTCAAACTATTTGCTCGGCGCGCTTCCCTTATCTCCACGGTTGAATGCCACCGCCTACGAGTACACCGATGTGTTCCAAATACAGTTGGAAAAGTTAGCAGTGAATGCATTCTGCAATCCATTATGCGCACTGAATGATGCGGAGAATGGCTTCTTATTCACTATACCCGAGACGCGGCGTGCAATTTTGCAGGAAATCTCCAACGTGGTTTGCTCGCTACCGGAATTACAGCATGTGGAGAATCTGAGGGATCGGTTTGCCGTGGATAGACTCGAGGCGACCGTCAATGCAATCATTGACAAGACATTTCACACAACGTGTTCCATGGTGTGGGACATGCGCGCAGGCCGCGAAACGGAAATTGAGTTCATGAATGGCTATTGGGTAAAGAGGGGGAAGGAGGTCGGTGTGCCTACGCCTATCAATGGGGAACTGGTCGCGAAAGTTACGACACGGAACCAAAGTTAGAGAATGTTTGTTTTGGCAGGTCATTGCGGGATTTAAGATTCGTGTGAGATGCTGTTGTTTAAGCCCACATTTCCCAAACGTCAGATCGACACATTGTACGAGTAAGCATGTTTGATATCTGGGTGGCAAAAACAGCTTCGCTGGCAGCGGGACCGCCCGCATAAAACGTGTGACGAAGGGATGTACATTAAATGCCTCAGAAGCATCAGATTATACACCATGGGGAAAATGAAAAGCCGGATTGACCTTGTGATCATGCAGAGGCGGAAGAAGCCGGGGAAGTATTGTTGGGGAACGCTCTACTATACGAGGAGCAAGGGCTAGTCTGGGGCCAGACACGTCGAGATTTAATCAAAAACAGAACAACCCCCGACAATATAACTGGGTCAATAGTAAGCCTCACGAGGCCAATGAAAGTAGGTGAAGAACTTGAAAGCTCTTTATTCGTCGGCGAATTCCATTTCGAGCTCCCCGGGGCCCCATGGCAGACGTATCGGCATCTAACAGTGGAGGATAATCCCTAGTGAACTGAAACTGTCGGGGACCCCAGTCATTAGGACGTGGGATGCAATTATGCCGTTGGGGGAAGGCCGAACGGACAAACCCAAAACATCCAGGCACACGATATAATTGGAAGTGATCGTTCATCTCGAGGGTGGACCGCCGAGGATCAGCCGACCAACCATAAGTTCGGGATCAACTTCGGGGTCAACTTCGGGGTTTCTGCTCGTGGTCGGCCTCACCGGGAACTTCACAGGGGAAAATTTCTCGGGGTGGGCATCCGAAGAAAAACTTTATTTCGTACATACTACTCTTCCGATTTGCCTGTAAACAGTAGCAAGGTCACTCAAAATCACACCACAAGAAGCCTGCCACAACTTGCCCGATGTGAAACCAGTCACCCCATTTTCTTAAACATGCTGAGCACCACGTTCGATAGCTGTCGGAGGCGCGGGACCGCCGAGGAAAGAGCGGCATGCCGAGTCCGTACATAAGAGCGGAAAGCCAATCATATTGCATCGGCTCGGGAAGATCTTCGGTCCATCATCGGGGATATCTCAGTTTTTCACGGATCCCCTCCGAAGCCTGAATCATTCCATACAGGTGTGGCGTTCCACTTCTAGAGACCATTCGTTGAAAATTTGATTTGGTCCACTTGGCACTGTGCGTGAGAGTTCGAATACGGCCCAGCAATCCCCATACTGAGGGTTAATCTGGAGTAGAAGATGGGGGATAAGAAAGGGGAGGTTTAGGTATACACATGAAAGGGGAACAAAGTGAACTGGCGGACGTCGACTACTCTGATAGGAAGGCGTGAAAACAGCGTTCAGGCACGAGACGTTGTTTGGTTCTCCGTCCCCACTTTTTCTTACTCCAACTCATCGATTGATCGAACGAGGTTTTGGCCTGGCACTTTTCTCGAAGGATATGCCCTGAAATGCTCTTCTCCACTCTCCGTATAATCCCGCAGCCCCGGTTCTCAGCAAATTCTGGAGTCCGGAGCATGACGTACCAAGGACGGATTCCCGGCTCGGACGAAGAAGGGTAGAAAAATTATATATGAACCTCGACTTCCCCCATAGTCCAGGATCTGTCTTGTTTTCAACCTTCACCTTTCTTGGCACATATATTCATATCATTCACTATGAAGGCCAATAAGAACCCCCAGCCGGTCTCGGCTTCTCACAATGAGAATGTCCCTTCAGAAGACAGTGTCCCAACACAACAACGCACCAACAAGGGCCTCATCGTCGGAGGAAAGTTCCGTAATGCACTTTCAGATGAACAATCCCAAGAATACGATAGCAGCCTCCTGCAAGAAGTCGACGTCGATCTCCCTCTGACCGCCACGAAACCCAAGGAACACAATGGCCAGCAATTTATTGTCCTCGAGTTCGTCGAAGGAGATAAGGAAAACCCCTTTAACTGGAGTGGAGGCAGAAAGGCATTCATTGCAACCCAGCTTTGCATGATGACCCTCTTCATCGGTCTCGCTACAACTGCATACAGTTCCGGTATCAGCAAGATGGTCACAGAACTTCACACCTCCACCGAAATCGGCCAGCTCGGTCTGTTCTGCTTCAACTTCACCTGTGCTCTGGCTCCTCTTTTCCTTGCTCCATTCTGTGAGTTGGCCGGTCGCCGTGTTATCTATGTCGGTGCCTACATCTGCTTCTGCTTGATGTTCATCGGTCTTGCTCTCGGTAAGAACATCGCCACCATCCTCGTGTGCCGTTCCCTTCTCGGTCTGTTCGGTTGTGTCGGTACTATCCTCGTCGGTGGTACTTTCGGCGATATGTACACCCCTGAGCACCGTGCCATCCCCATGGCTTGCTTCTCCTTCATCGCCATTCTCGGCACAGTCGGTGCCCCCATCTACGCCGGATTCATCGACCAGGCTCTTGGCTGGCGCTGGCTCGAGGGTATCCAGGGTCTGGCCAACATTCCCCTGGGTATTGTCATTGCCTTCTGCCTTCCCGAGACCCGTGGCAGTGTCTGCCTTTCCAAGCGTGCGAAGAAGATCCGCCAGGCTACCGGCGACGAGCGCTTTGTTACCCACAACGATATCGAGGCTCCCGGTATCAAGCACATGCTCCACAACTCCTCCGTCAAGGCTGTTAAGATGCTCTTCACCGAGCCCGTCGTCTTCGCCTTCGGTCTCTGGATTTCCTTCGCCTGGTTCCTGACCTTCCTTTTCCTGTCCGTGATCCCCATCACTTTCCAGGAGAAGCGCGGCTGGAACGAAGGTGTCTCCGGTCTCCCCTACATCTCCCTCTGCCTCGGTACCACCATCGGTTTCGGCTTGAACTTCCTCCAGATTCGCAAGTACAAGTCCCTCACCCATGATCCCGGCCACGAGGTCTCTCCCGAGGCCCGTCTCTACGGAGCCCTCTTCGGAGCCGTCTGGCTGCCCATTGGTCTGTTCATCTACAGCTTCACCCAATACAAGGGCCTCCACTGGATTGGACCTGTCATCGGTCTCGCCTTGATCACCATCGGTATCTTCTTCATCTTCGAGTCCTGCTACAGTTACACCTCCGACTGCTACGGCGAACACTCTTCCTCCGCCATTGCCGGTCAGGGTTTCATGCGTAACACCCTCGGTGCCGTGTCACCCTTGTTCGCCTCCCAGTTCTTCCACAACCTGGGCAGTCAGTACGCAGGATTGTTGCTGGCTTTGATCGCAACTCTTTTGACCTTTATTCCCTTCGTCTTGTACAAATACGGTCCTGCGCTGCGCGCACGGTCCAGACTCGCCAGTGCCACCGTCAATGGCACGGAGTAAATTTTGTTGCATTTTCTGCGAAATTTGGCGCTGCGTCGCATATGTTTTGATGATTGTACATAGAGGCTAGAAGCCTTATAGCATATTTAGCGAAAGACATGACCTTGAGCATCTTTGAAAATCTTCCAAATGTAAAATGTAAAATGTAAAATGTATGGAGCAAAACATGCAAACAACCAAACTCTGGCGAATAATGTGGCCTGACGGATTTGGCATCAACCAAGCCTGCCCGATCTGGCCGAAAAAGTGACTGACCAACCACACGAAGGCGGTGAGAGCCCCAGTCGCCCGCTGGCAGAAATCCCATGCGGCAGTTTGAAAGGGCGGTGAAGCGATAAATTTCTTGCTCCACGATCATGAAGCCTAATTCGGTCTTCAGCAACGTTCTCATCCCACATTTAATCCGTCTATTTTACACGGCCGTGATCCTCGAGTGAGCCATTTCTTTCAAAGATTTGGTGTTTGAATTCATTTACAAGTCCCCTTCGATTCGAATCTCCCCCCACCGCAGCAATGGCCGAAGATACTTCCGCGGCGTTCCCCATCGCCGATGAGACCCTCTCCCAGTCTCTCCTCGACCTTGTCCAGCAAGCCAGCCACTACAAGCAGATCAAGAAGGGCGCCAACGAGTGCACCAAGTCCCTGAACCGTGGTACCTCCGAGATCGTCATCAGTGAGTCAAAATCCAAACCATGAATTCAGAGCTTCAATTCTAACCATATCTCGCAGTGGCCGCCGATACCGCTCCTCGTAAGTAGGCATATTTGCCAACCCCGAACAAGCTCTAACCATGTCACAGTGGCTATCGTCCTCCACCTGCCCCTCCTCGCTGAGGACAAGAACGTGAGTAGCAATCCACAAGCGACACCGCCCATTATTTGATTCGCAGACTAATCCGAAATCAGGTTCCCTACGTCTACGTCCCCAGCAAGATGGCTCTTGGCCGTGCCACCGGTGTCTCTCGCCCCGTCATCGCCGTTTCCATCACCACCAACGACGCCAGTGATCTGTCCGCCCAGATCCAGGCCATCAAGAACCAGGTCGAGCGTCTCATGATCTAAGATGTTTTCTTAGTATCAGAGAATGGAGTGACTGAAAACGTGATTTGTGATGTACTGTTGCTGCGACTATAGCTGGGGGTTCTTTCGCAAGGAAATGATTGCTTGCTGTCAGACTACAACTGGCTAGTTCAGCTAGCCAGCCTTTAGCTTAGATTTCGCTTGCACCCTTAAATGGGATAATTCAGACATTGGATCTTTGACCAGGGCTTGTAGATTGGACTGTTGCCGAGATCAATCAGTCCTCCATGGCTGCTCTTAAAGATCGGCACCCCTCGTACGTTGCTTTGCCGATATGCAACCGTAGAATCTATCGCACGGGAGGATTCTACTAGAGCATTTATGCAGCTGTGGATCTTACCTCCGTCCATATGACCGATTCCTTTTCCTTTGTAGTCATTACCTATGCCTTAACACATGAATCAACTTCAGCACATGCACAACCATTAAACGTAGACTATTGTGACGTTCTGTACTTTGAGAGATAAGATCACCAAACTTTAAGCGACACCAATAACGTTTTAAGCTTAAGCTAAAAAGACCAAGGGCTGGCTGGTATTCACCAATCATTACGGAGACTGGGTAAGATGGCAAAATGGCTATATGCAAAAGCCAGGGGCAAGCTCCATCTGAATATAGATTGAGCGTTGAAACAACTACTTGCAGATGCTAAAGACAAAAGGGAAAGGATGTGTTTGAGAACAGCCGTTAGCGTCGCCGTTTAATTAACAAGCACACGTTCCGCCCCTTCGAATTCGAAACGATCCAACAGACTATTCCCGCCCTCCCGACACCTCGTGTCTGTCCATGCCGCAGCTCGGTCTAATATATGGGGTACAGGTCTTCATACGCTCCCTCACTTGTTTTAAGCGTACAACTAGGACGCTATGTGGTCCCGAGGTATAATATAGTCGCGTGGAGCGGTTCGTCAATTTGGCGTTAAGTAGTCTGGACACCCACAAGGCTCGGCTATCGCTTCGGAAATAGCTCATCCAGTATAAGAGTGTTTGGAGTATAGTCCAGGGCTGGGTCCTGTCAGGGGCGCTATATAGTTCAAGGCTCTTCGCGTATCTGATTGACTTCTCCAGTCCATTCCTTTGGTCCATTCTTTCGCTTTGTTTCATTCTTTTTTTCTTTCGTTATATAATTCCAATTTTCTTCACTATGTACTTCTCTTCCGCAATTGCAGTCGGCCTGGCGCCATTGCTTGCGAGTGCCTATCTCAGCGGGTCTGTGGGGCCTACAACCTCCGTCTCTGCGAAATCCAACACCAAGATTTGCAACGTCTTGGATTATGGTGCTAAGGCCGACAAATCGACTGATGTCGGTGCGGCTATCAGCTCTGCCTGGGATGACTGCAAGGACGGCGGTGTCGTCTACATTCCTTCCGGTGACTACGCCTTTGAGACTTGGGTGAAGCTGTCAGGTGGCAGCAGCTGTGCTATCCAGTTGGATGGTATTCTTTACCGAACCGGTACCGATGGCGGAAACATGATCATGGTCGAGCACACCAAGGACTTTGAGATGTTCAGTTCCACCTCCAAGGGTGCAGTGCAAGGATATGGTTATGAATACCACAAGGAGGGATCTAGCAGCGGAGCTCGGATTCTGAGACTGTACGATGTGACTGATTTCTCGGTTCACGATCTTGCTCTTGTGGATGCGCCCGTTTTCCATTTCTCCCTGGATACCTGTGAGAATGGTGAGGTGTACAACCTTGCTATCCGTGGTGGTGATAAGGGTGGTTTGGACGGTATTGATGTTTGGTCCACTAACATTTGGATTCACGATGTCAGTCTCTTCCCTTTCTGTCTGCGAGGGTCCTTGCTAACCCATCTTAGGTCGAGGTCACCAACAAGGACGAATGTGTTACTGTCAAGGTATGATATTCGGACTCATGGCTCCAAAACATCACTGACAATCTCATAGAGTCCCGCCAAGAACATTCTAGTCGAAAACATCTACTGCAACTGGAGTGGTGGCTGTGCCATGGGCTCCCTTGGCTCCGATGTTGATGTTAGCGACATCACCTACCGCAACATCTACACCTGGAATTCGAACCAGATGTACATGATCAAGAGCAACGGAGGCAGCGGCAATGTCGAGAATGTCCTTCTCGAGAACTTCATTGGTAAGGTCCACCCAAAAAGCATACCGGAAGTCAAGGCTAATTTTCACAGGCCACGGCAACGCTTACTCCCTCGATATCGATGGTGCCTGGAGCAGCATGAGCGAAGTCTCCGGCAACGGCGTCCAGCTCACCAACGTGACCGCCAAAAACTGGAAGGGAACCGAGGCAAACGGCGCCCAGCGCGGTCCCATCAAGGTGAAGTGCGCCAGCGGCGCGCCTTGCACCGATATGACCATTGAAGATTTCGCCATGTGGACCGAGTCCGGCTCTTACCAATGGTACACCTGCGAGAGCGCCTACGGCTCTGGCGCATGTCTTAAGGATGGTGATGACTACACTTCCTACACCACCACTCAGACCGTCAAGTCTGCGCCTTCCGGATACTCTGCTGCTACCATGGCTTCTGACCTGGCCACTGCCTTCGGTACTGCGTCGGAAATTCCCATTCCTACCATCCCGACTTCGTTCTACCCTGGCGCTACTCCTGCTTCCGCGCTTGCTGGAGCGCAGGCTACGTCATCTTAGGCTGTCTTTGGATGTGAAATATTATAGAGCAGAAGGGGGAGCTGGACTTGCGATGTCGTACGTCGCCTTCCCGGGGTCTCTTTCGTCAAGATATATACTCCCAATGTCAGTGTAGTCTTGGCAAAATATAGTATGCATTATACCCAGCTTTGAAACCGTCCACGGGTATTACTCTCGTTTTCGTTACCCAGGAGTCCTTGGATGTGGCAAGAGAAATCTGAGAAGAAATCGCTTCGCAGGCTAGTGGAGATCTGACCCCTGGGCCGGCTGTTGTCTTCCAAGGTTGACTGGGGCCAGCTCTGTCTATCGGGATTTTTTATCCACAACCACGCTGCTGGCATGATGACTGACATGAATATCCATGATCCATGTGCTATATTGACACAAAATAGAGCTGTGACTGTGGTTAGAGGGTAAAGTACAATTTCGCGGAGACGGCGGACGTTGTTGACAAACAGAAATAGGTGACGTCATAATCTGGGGGAATCTATCACCCCTTGACCGCAGCGCTGCCCTTCACGCCTCACAACGGTTGCGCGACCATGAGGCTGACATTTAGGGAGGACCAAACAACAAAGCGAGCCATCCCCGAATCTACCACATCGATCGAACCGCAAGCTCCGGACTGGTCGAATCCCTGAGCGCTCGACCTCCGGCTCGATCGGACAAACGATAAATCATCACTATTTCTCCAATCCTTCCAGGCACCATCGCATGTTGACAAGAGGGGTCCAAAAACTCTATAGATGCTGGCTCGATTGGGTAAATGCCTAGGGCTGACACCAGACGACCGGGCGATCACGCCATTAAAGGGACCAATTGGACGACCGACAAGCTAGAAAATCCACCAGATAGAGTTGATCGGGGTTATTTACGTTGAATCTGATTCGATGCTCTGACATTCAAACGTGGAGAGCTCTTCGATATGCACTTTCCGAGTTTACGTGAGGTTACAGCCCGGAGCCAGGGATATAAGATCGTCCCTCCGCACTCCTCCCACAACACCTTCGAGATGACCTCCAAATCGCCCGACCCTGCGGCGGATCCTGCAAACCCAACGGAGCGAGCACTTGCTCACGATGGAGACGCAAATTACAAAGCCAAGGCCGAAGTGCTGAATCGCGCGTTCCAGGATATCGGGATGGGTCGATACCAATGGCAGCTTTTCGTCGTGATCGGATTTGGGTGGGCGAGTGATAATCTCTGGCCCATTGTGACGTCCTTGATATTACCAGCCGTATCGGCTGAGTTCAATCCTGGAAAAGCACCGGTCTTGACCCTGGCGCAGAATATTGGCCTGTTGATCGGGGCGGTGTTTTGGGGATTCGGGTGCGACATCTTCGGTCGGCGATGGGCTTTCAACCTGACCATTGGAATTACCGCGGTGTTTGGACTTGTTGCTGCTGGATCGCCTAATTTTGGTGCAATATGCGCGTTTGCCGCACTGTGGTCGATCGGTGTTGGTGGGAACCTGCCTGTTGATTCGGCTATCTTCCTCGAATTCCTACCTGGATCCCACCAGTATTTATTGACAATCCTCTCTATTGACTGGGCACTCGCCCAAGTACTAGCCAACTTGATTGCGTGGCCGCTGCTTGGGTATCGGACTTGCGCTTCCGAGGAAGGATGCACCAAGGCGAAGAACATGGGCTGGCGATACTTCATGATTGCGATGGGTGGACTTGCGATGGTCATGTTCTTCAGTCGATTCCTCTTTTTCACAATTTTCGAATCACCAAAGTACCTGATGGGGAAAGGGCGAAACCAAGAAGCCGTGGAAGTCGTCCACGAGATCGCGCGGCGGAATGGGAAGTCCTGTGATCTAACACAAAGCGAGTTGGATGAACTGGACCAAGGTTCCTCGCAGCATTTCAGCACCTCGAACATTGTCCGTCAGCGTCTTGAGAAAGTCCGACTTAACCACATTCGAGCCCTTTTCGATACCCCTAAGCGGGCGTGGGCCACCACGTTGATCATTCTTATATGGGCTTTCCTCGGCCTAGGATTTCCCCTCTACAATGCTTTTCTACCATACATTCAGCAGTCCCGTGGTGCCGAATTCGGGGATGGATCAACATATATCACCTATCGCAACTCTCTCATTATTGCAGTAATGGGAATCCCAGGATGTCTCCTTGGTGGAGTGTTGGTTGAACTTCCACGCATCGGCCGCAAGGGTGCCCTGTTCTTGTCCACAGTGTTGACTGGCGCCTTTCTCCTGGCCTCAACGACAGCTACCACCTCCAATGCTCTCTTGGGATGGAACTGTGCCTTTAACTTCATGAGTAGTCTCATGTATGCTGTGCTTTATGCATACACTCCCGAGATCTTCCTCACCAAAGATCGAGGTACCGGTAACGCTTTGACTGCTTCTGCCAATCGAATTTTCGGTATAATGGCGCCGATTATTGCCATGTTCGCCGATCTTAATACAGCTGCTCCTGTCTATGTGAGCGGTGCACTTTTCATCGCTGCTGGACTTCTTGCACTCCTGATGCCGTTTGAATCACGGGGGAAAGCAAGTCTCTAATTCCGATCACAATCCTTGGTGAATCTACAAAGTCGAAGACTTCTACTCGATATAATTTATCACATTGCCCAATGCTGTCTCAAATGAGATCATTTCCACTAAGCACTTAATATCGAATATATGGAAATGACATCATACCTCCCTAATTCAAGATCGCATCAACAAACCCTGTCCACTCATACACTCCCTTCGCCACAAATTAATATAAAACACTTCGTAGAACAAAATAACAAGCCACAATTATAGTGCAAGCGAAGGGGACCGTCCAATGGCGATTGAGATGAAGCAACAGGCGGAGTCATCAATAACCACTGTACGTCAGATCGATGCATACCACTTTGGATGAGCGATGAAAGTGGCTGTCAACAGGGATCGACAGCTATAATCGCATGGGTCTTATTCGTCAATCTCCGATTTGAAGACTTGTGCATCCACCTGACAGGTCTGTGGCTTGCTCATGTGGCACCCATTATATCATTCCATGTAACCGGTTTTGGGCTGTGGCGTGTATATAAAGGCTGGAGATGGCGAAGCCTTTCAGAAACACCACTATACGAATCAAGTTTTACCTGAATATTCAAAACGACCCCTGAGTACCATCATACACCTCCATCCTCCAATCTACATCATCCATATTACATTTCCAATATGTCCAACGAACAGAACCGTAAGTCTGCTTTTCCAACCAGTTCATGAACATTAAGCCTGACGATCTTATCAAGCCGGTCTTCTCGGTGGCCTCGGAGACACGCTCGGAAAGACGGTCGGAGGCGTCACAAATACAGTGGGCAGCACCGTGGGCGGACTGGGTTCCACTGTTGGCAACGCAACATCAGGACTTGGACAGACTGTTTCTGGTGCAACTGAAGGCGTCGGAAACACAGCAAAGAGTGCCGGCCAAGGTGTCCAGAGTGGAATCTCTAGTGTCGGGGGCCAGAAGCAGACTGGCGACAACCCCTTGGGATTGAACAACTAAGAACGCTGGAACGCCTCGATATTATGGAATGTCATGTATTATGAAATTATTATGTGCTTTTAACAATCAGAATGTACATCACCGTTCTTGATGTTTTATCTCAGCTATCCACCCACAATCCCTGACTTCTCAGGTCAAATAACGAACCCACCAATCCCCCTTTCGCTGCAGAGATTCATAAACAGCCTTTTTCCCAATCCATCCATGACCTTCACCCTCAAATTCAACCACTTCTGCAATCCGACCCTCGCGATGCATCGCATCAGCCATGATCCTTGCCTGCGCCACAGGGACCACCATATCGGTCGTCCCTTGTAGCAAGAGCAAGGGCGCCTTCATCTTTTTGGCATGGTTGCACGGGCTCCGCTCTGTGAGTTCACTCTCACGTTGCTCGACTGCCGTTTTGCTCAGCAACAGTCTATCCACATCCTGACTCTCGAACTTGTATGAATCAGCCTGCAGAGCCCTCACATCACTGATACCGTATGAGCTGACGCCGGCTGCCCAAACATCGGGATACATATGCAATGCTTGTAGAGTAAGATACCCGCCGGCGCTGCCTCCGTAAATACCCACGCGGGATTTGTTAACCAAGCCCTTCTCCACAAGATAATCAACTGCGCTGACAGCATCGGCGGTATCAACGATACCCCAGTAACCTGAGAGTCGCTCTCGGTACTCACGGCCAAACCCAGTGGATCCGGTATAATTGACGGCGCAAACAGCAAAGCCACGTGTGGTGTAGTATTGGATTTCGAGGTTCAGTGCCGGAGTCACACATCCGTTGGGTCCACCGTGAACGAAGGTCAAGACAGGTGGCAGTGTATTTGGTTCCGGCTCGAATCCAGGGTTGCAAGGAGGGAAATAGAACATGTGTACATTGCCGTCGCAAAGGGGTCCGTACTTTTGTGGAGCAGTCAAATGGGTCGCAGTTGAAACATACTCGGGGAAAAAACAAAGGAGGCAGTCGAAGCAAGTGTAGTTCTTTTTACGCCGTCGGGTGCAAGTGAGACTAATCCTAGCTCCTGCGGTGAGGCGTTGGTGGAACCCACAACTGCAAAACTGCTCGAGGAAACGCGGTATACTCCGTTTCCAGGTTGCGCCAAGTCAACATAAGGCAGGTCGAGCTCCCGGGCTGTGGAAGTAGAAGTATCGATGATGACGATCTTGCTAGAGGCGTTGGTGATAACTGCCGCCACAACAGTCTTCTCGTCAAGTGGGACGTATGTGGAACTATTTGATGATCAGTTTTTGACGGTACATTCTGAATGGGATGAGTTAGAGTATACCTTCCAAGCTTCCATTCTGCGATGGCAAAGTCCGAGCTCTCCAATGTAGGGAAGAAAAGTGGCCGCACAGAATGGTCATGGACGTTGAATGAGTACAACTGCCAGTGCCCAGTACGATCACTGGTGAAATACAGCATTCCATCCAAACCCCATTTTGGCTGAGCAATACTCTCCTTCTGGGCTTCACCTGCTACGCGGGTGGTATTCTGCAGAAGGGAACCGGTCCACTGTGCAGCATATAGCACAGTCCCAGTCCACGGCATATCAGGGTGAGACCATTGAATCCAAGATAGATATTTGCCCTCTGAATCGAATTTGGGGTGTGAGTAGAAATCATCCCCTTCAGCAATAGTGGTCTCAGTGCCAGATTCAATATCAATTGCCACTAGAACATTGTGAACGTGGGTTGCCTGAGTTTCCGGGGTCGCATCACGGTGATCTTCCTTGATCGCGATAACCCATTGAGGTGCTTTAGGGTGGATACAGAAATCTCCATAACGAATTCCTTCGACGGCAGCATGCACGCGAGTAGCCGTGGAAGTCGCCGGGTCAAGGAGGTATACGTCACAGCTCTTGCCTTCCGCGAAAATGATCTTTCCATCAGGGCGTATGGCCATTGAGCCACCGCCGAGCTCTTGCACGGTCGCATGTGCACTGAGGTTCGTGGGTAGGACATCTCGGGTTTGCCCGTTGAGATGCTGCACAATTGCAAAACGACCATCTTCGGCAGGACGGCATTCTACAGCGTAGATGGCACCACTTTGCTCCTGAGCAGAGTTAGTAAATATGGTCACTGTGTCAAAAGGCCCGACCCCTCCAAGAGACTGACATCGACAACTACTTCGTGAAATGAAATACTGCTCGTGGATAACTGCTTTGCGCTCAGTGGGCTTTCCCACCGGCCGTACGGCACAACTTGAGGAGACATCACTCAATTGGAGCGCTAGAGTGTGTAGATGAAGGGGAAGTTGAAAAATCGCGTGAGACCTCGGGAATATCTATGACCTTGGAGGCACCTGGGGAGGAAAATCGGATGAGTCAGAATGCACCGAGACATTCAAGTGGGTCCTGAGTGGGTCAAGAAGATGTCTTTCATTGGACACGGGTGAGGTTGCACACCGTCCGAACTATACCATCTTGGGAGAGAATACTTCGTAGTTTGTACTCTCCAGGGCTGGAATAGAACCACCGCTGAATGTTTTATTAGGCATTGGTACAATCAGAGATAGGTGGTATCTTGGAAGTTTCCAAGTTACCTACAACTAAAATAAATACCCCTTGCATCCATTTGTTCGTCTTTGGTCTCCATACTCCGTACATTGATCAAGCTTTATTTGCAGCGTTATAAGGACCCCGGGACACCCAAGGAACCAATTACCAAGCCAACTCAGGCTTTGACATGCAGCTAGCGGCATCTAACTCAGAACAAAACCTCTGCTCTTCTTCCAAATTTTCTGAAGATTCAACCTTTGGCGTTGCTGGCCAGATCTCCACCCCCGACTGCTTTTCCTCCCGCTGCCGGTGCTCCATCACCATTTGTCTTACGTTCCTTTGAAAGTGGATGGGGCCCTGAATATTTGGTTATTTTATGCCACATACCGAAAAGTGAAAGGGACTTACCTTCTCTTTCGTAGGGTGTAATTCACCATTAGTAAATACCCCAGCACTGAGGTTCTCCTGTGTTCCCACACAGAGCTCCTTGTCTTCATCCAATACCTGCCTATAGAAGGCGTTGATATTTTCAAACTCTTCATCGGTAGCGTCTCGATGGCGGTAAACCTCATTTTCGATCTTACTCGAAGTAGCAGATACAGGTATCATCCGCTGGATATAGAAGAATTTATCACTGGAAATGTTAGTTTCCATTTACCAACTTTTCGATGGCGGACTCACGTCACTGTCACCGAGGTGGTGGGATAAAAGTATGTGATCGCACGACGAAATTGACCATCAGCAGATTCTTTGTTGAAGATGTGGTGCTCCATGTACTGTGCCTTGGGCTCCACCCGATATCGCGGTAGATCCGAAACACCGTTAATCAGCGGGTGGGAGGTCGCGCAATGGTAGCATTCGTTGTAATTCTCAATCACGCCTTTCCAATTGGCGTCTAGTTCCATTTCCCAATAATGATCGAACTTGAACTCGCCGGCGAAGTCGAAATCTTGCATTCGGGGCTGCTCGTCCACATTCTCGTATTCGTCTTCCCACTTCACATCAGTTTCTCCAGCTTGTAGATTCACCCACACAAAGCCCGCCTTGTCGACATGAACGTGGACTGGAAAGAGGGAGTGTTTGCTCTTATCGAAATCAGGCACAGTTTCGAATCGAGGAGCCTTTGACAGATTTCCTTTCAGTCCGTAGGACCATCCGTGGTATTTGCAGCTGAGGATAGGGGCGGTGCCGGAGCGAGATCGGATCACAGGAAAGGCGCGGTGACGACAGATATTGTGGAAACCGTTGATGTTGCCATCTCGGTCTTGGATAAGGAAGAAGGAGAAGTTGGCGACTGTAAATTCGAGGTAGTCTCCTGGTTTGGTGAAACGGCTGGAATGAGTGAGGAGCAACCACCGCTTGGAGAAAATTGCACGTCGCTCTAGCTGGTACATTGCCTCAGAGCGATACCATGATGCTGGCAGTGCGCGAGGGGGCTCTGCTTTTGGCTTGCTAGAGGAAAGGAAGTATTGCCACATAGTGAGGAAATTCGCTCTCTCGTTTCAAAATGGATTTGATGCTCTGCCAAGGTTGCAATTGGAATGCGATTCTAATGATATATCAAACCCAGGACTATTTAGATCAAGATAATCTTGTCCAACGCGATAAGATGGGGGAGGGGATTGAATGTGTCAAACAGATAACATAGATGGATCTACCAATATTTATAGCCTAATGCAACTTAGTGGAGACCCCGGGACATGCCCCTGCAGCCCCAAACGTCAAAAATGGGGGTGTCCGATAAGCGGGGACTAGAGTCTCGACTCAACCCCACCACTTCCCATTGCTCGACTCCAACGGCGATCAACCTACCAGGGTTAGTTGTGCCCAACAGAGGGGATTACGGTATACTCACATCCGCAATATGGTCGTACCCAAGCAATTTGGGCGCCAGTCCAGGGTCCCTCCAAGCCAATGCCTCTCCTTCTGGTGTTGGAACCATTTGCATCTTGCGATCGCGTTCTTGCTGCTCAGCTCCATCGTGAAGATGGTATAGATACTGTTGAATATTGCCACGCTCAACCACCATTTTTGTGCGCTGCTTGCGACACTCCTGGAAAACCGCTAACGCATGTTGTTTGGCGCTCAAAAACTCCTCCGAGGTCTTGGAGATGCCGGGTTGATTCGGAAGCCGCGAGAGACATTCACCTAGGACAGCCCCATCTTCGAAGGACATTCCAGCTCTGTATTTGTCAGTTATATGAGAGGGCAATAACATGGGGGTTTTGATCTTCGGAATATTGGTGATGTCTTACCCAGACGCGAGGTATGGTAAAGTAGCGTGGACTGCATCTCCCAGCATCACAAATGCCCCAGATGGGTGTGTCCAGTCAAAATCCCCAAATCGAATACAGAGACGCCATTTCTGTACAGACTCGCACAGTTTGAGCAGTTTGGGAATTCTTAAACAATTAATTTGAGTCTTGAAAAGAACTGAAGTTGACTCACCGTGGATCCCAGTCCTTAAACAATGCGCACATCTCTTCAACGTTGCCCTCAACCGTCGATGCCAAAGAGTCTTCCGGAATATCATCGGGCACAAGCAGTACCATGTTAAAAAGTTCGCCGTTCCGAAGGACGTAGTTCACTATAGATTCTTTTAGTCGGAATTCCGAAAAGTTGTAGGAGATGTGTACCAGCATGAGCGTCCGGGCCTAGCCAGTAGTTCACCTGGGGATCGGTGATAAAGTCCACCAACTCTGGGTCTTTTCGCATCTCCTCGGTTGACAGCATCACTCGGTATGCAAGATCGCCTGTCTTCACCGGCGGGTCTGCCCGACCAAGTAACCCTTCTGTCAACTTTCCAAAAACCCCATCTGCACCAATCACCATATCGCCCGTCCACTGCCTGCCGTCGGATGCCGTTGCCGTTGCCGTCGTTCCATCTTCGGCCACAGTTACATCTGCCACGCGCGCATTGCAAATAAGCTCGACACCTAAGTCGACGGCTCTCCTTACGAGGCATTGCTGCAGGTCGGCACGGTGAAAGTCACGATACCATGTACCCGGGTAATTTTTCTCCGATTCATGAAAGTCTAGCGTCGAGATCGGATTGCCTTTCCAGCCAACAAAATTGCAGACTCGTGGAATTGTCATGTGAGGTGTCAATGACTCTTCCAGACCCCAGTGCTGGAGCACGCGCGAACTGTTAGGCAACACCTGAATACCGGCACCGACTTCTTTGATCTCCTGGGCAGCTTCAAGAACATGCACTTGATGCCCTGCCAGTGCGCAGCTGATCGCAGCCCCGAGACCTGCTAGGCCTGCACCAACGATCACGACGTTGAGTTGGCATGAGCTGATGCGGGATTCTTGCTGCTTGACGTGCACAGGAGGGGCCATGATTGACGAATGTGTAAACCGGTGGCTGTTTGTAACTTGAAAGCTTGTAGTTGCAGCTTGCGGATGATAGATAGGTCTTCAATTTACATGGTGGCTCTTTTTAAAGCTCCATCGATATTGATAGCTACCAAGAATGGGGGTTAGCTTCGCTTCGCATACCGATACTGGATATCTTAAAAAGGTGAGAACACCTAGGATACGCAACATTGTTACACAAGACAGCATCAAATCCTCAATTATGTCCAAAGTATGAACTTGTATCTATTTTGTGGCGGTCGCTAACCCACGAAGTTCTCTCTCCAAGGACGAACGGCTCTAGTGACAGGCGGTGCTCGCGGTTGCGGACTAGCATTTGCAAGGGGACTAGCCGAAGCAGGCGCAAATGTAGCAATTTTCGACGTCGTATCTCCCGAAGACGCTTTCCATGCGATCGAAAAAGAGTGTGGGGTCCGGACAGCGTTTTACAGGTACGGTCAATCTGATCTGGATATGGAACTGTTGCTGAAACGAGTAGGGTGGACATCTCCTCCCAAGAATCACTTGAAGACGGCTTCGGAAATTTTCAACGAGACTTTGACAATGCGCTGGACATTTGCGTTCCTTGCGCGGGAATCAATCGGCATCTTCCGTTCCTCGAATTCACATACAAGGACCACCAAGATCTACTGTCCATCAACGTGCTGGGGCTTTACTTCACCGCACAGCTTGCAGCCAAGCAAATGATCGCGAACAAAACAAAGCACGGAAGTATTATCCTTGTCGCCAGCATGGCTAGCCATATTGCTGTGCGAAGCCAGATGTGTTCGGCCTATTGTGGGACAAAAGGCGCAGTCAAGTCCATGTGTCCAGCGATCGCAAAGGAGTTGGCTGAATATGTAAAGTCCTCACGATACCTATCGAATCGAATGCTAACCTCGACACAGAACATTCGAGTCAACACTATCTCTCCCGGTTTTGTTAAGACAGAGATGACGGCATCGGTAAGTTTTTGTAACGCGCCAAGTACAGAACTTGTGCTAATAGATAATCAGTTCCCGCATCTCCTGGAGGGTTGGAAGTCGGAAGCGATGAATGGGTGCATTGCGGATCCCGAGGATATCATGGGGGCGTGTGTTTTCCTTGCGAGTGACGCGAGTTCGTACATGACAGGCTCAGACATTGTGGTGGACGGTGGGGTGACACGGTGGTGATAGAGAAGAGTGGGGGTTCCCCACATGGAATGCGGAGTAGGAAATTTCAATTAAATAGAAGAGAAAAGAGAATTTGAATCAAAATCACTCCAGTTCGTAACAATGTCCCCAAGTGCAGATAATGAAGATTATGGAGAGTCCGTTGGCGCCTCAACCACCATCGTTGTGGTGGGCGCCGGACCATCGGGGCTGATGCTTGCGTATGGTAAACGTTTTCCAACTCAGAGATCAACTCCTAACAATTCTCAAGGACAAATCTGGTACGATTTGGAATTTCCGTCTTGATCCTGGACGATCGCCCCGACAAAACCTCCACAGGAAAGGCAGACGGCATGCAGCCCAAGACCATCGAGACCTTCAAACAACTCCGTCTCGCCGATCCACTCTTGAAAAACGGTGCTCGGGTGTTTGACATCTCATTTTGGGTATGAATGATTGATTCCAACTGCTAGCCTATGCTCATACATCTATAGGAGTCGACCGCAAATCATCCCCTGCGACGTACCGGCCGCAAGCTCCACTACCCAGACCATCTTGTTGGCGCATCGGATCCCTACATACTGCTAGCACACCAAGGCATGGTGGAGGAAGTCATGATTGACGACATGGAGTCAAGGGGGTGTTTGTGACTCGCAACGGTCGCTTCACTTCCTGCTCACGGGTGGAGGCAAACCAGTTGGAGATCAAATATGAGGATATGGAAACGAAAGAAGTACACACGGTGAAGGCGGACTATCTAGTCGGATGCGATGGAGCAAGATCAAAGGTCCGATCTTTCATCCCGGATGCCGATCTGGAAGGTGAAATCACTAATGCTGCATGGGGTGTGATGGATGGTATGTTGCTTGCAGCCCTTCTGTGGCATCGATAGTGCTAAAACAAGCATAGGTGTGCTGGATACGGTTTTCCCTGATTTATGGAGCAAGGTTGCCCTTCGCTCTGAATCTGCTGGATCAATTCTACTGATCCCACGCGAAAGGGGTATGACCAGGCTTTACGTTGAGCTCAGCTCTTCTGGTGGAGAGCGAGTGGACAAGGCCAAGGCGACACCTGAATATGTGACGCAGCGCGCAAGAGATGCGATGCATCCATTCAAAGTTGAGTGGAAGTCGGTGGAGTGGTTCGGAACATATGTCGTTGGACAACGTGTTGCGAAGCGTTTCATGGATGACGATGCTAAGATAATCATTGCAGGTGATGTATGATGGCAGATCAACTGGACATATTCTGTGAATTCGAAGCTGATTCCTTTCCAGGCTGGCCATTGTCACTCGGCGCTTGCTGCTCAAGGCGCAAATACCAGCATGCACGATAGCTTCAATCTTGCGTGGAAGCTCAACCTTGTTAGCAGGGGCCTCGCAAAGCCATCTTTGCTACACACATATGAGGAGGAGCGGCAAAAGGTAGCTTATGATCTCATCAACTTTGATGTTGAGCACTGCAAAGCCTTTTCAGAGGGAGAAGCGGCCCTTGCCAAGAACTTCGACGATAACATCAGGTTCATTGCCGGCATTGGAGCTGAGTATAATCCCGGTATGCTCACTCGCGCCTCTCGCGTCCCCTGTCGCCTTCAAGCGGGTATGCTGCAATCTCCCGCTAAAGTGACTCGATACATCGACGCAAACCCAGTTGATATTCAACTGGACATCCCAGTTTTGGGTCAGTTCAAAGTATATATTTTCGTGCCTCAACTTCCCTCAGCAATGAATGCCTTGAGGTCAATTTGTCAGCAGCTTGAGGATACTCTTGCGAAGATATCTGATCCTGCGAGTCGGTCTTATCAGAAGTTACCCCGTGGCTCTTCGCCGTCAGATGAGTTCCAGCAGATACAGCGTTACAACTCTGTTTCTCAAGCTTTCACATTTGGGATGGTGACAAAGTCAGATCAATCTGAGTTCGAGATTGCGGATTTACCACAGATTTTGCGAGACAGTCAATGGACACTGTACCTTGACAACATTCAAACCCCCAGCTGTACTGAGCGATGGATTGGCGACTTGGCGCAAGGGAGCATCGGAATGGCTGTGGTAAGACCAGATGGGTACATCGGCATGGTTGAATCATGGGACGACACGGAGGTTGCAAATGCAAGTGAGGCACTTGAGGAGTACTTTTCGTTTATGGTATAGTGAAGAAATCGATACAGACAGCCTCAAACTCAAGAATCCTTTTGTGAAACCACTGAGAAATCTTCTATCGTTGTACGGAGTAATAATGTTGTGTGTTGCTCCCCAGGTTTTCATTGTGCCATAAAAAGTGCAGTCATATGCGGGTCCAATATTGGAGATCCGAACCGAAAGCTGCGTAAATTACACCCGGAAACCGGCCCCTTCACCATCCGAGAAACCCGAGAAACCCGTGCCGAAGAGCCAATGGAAAGGCCGATCTATTCAAATTAAGCAAGCTCCGTATGGTACCATGATCTTCAAGTATCCATAGTAGTCTAGATGGTTTGGCTGAATAAAGCCAATTCTACAATTTTCGTGTGTTATAAGAATTGCAAATGCCGACGTGCATACAATTTATGATACATTATAAGTCAAAAACTTACACACTGGACACGCAACATGTCGACCACACTCACAATTCATCACCTGCGAAAATCTCAATCTGAGCGAATTCTTTGGCTCTGTGAGGAACTCGGCATTTCATATAACCTTCAATGCCATGACCGTGTGCCTCCCGCCATGCTGGCTCCCGAGAGTCTCCGTCAACTCCACTGGTCCGGCACAGCACCTGTCATTCAAGATGGAGAGATCACACTTGCCGAATCTGGCGCCATATTCGAATACATCCTGACAAAGTATGGCAGCGGCAAGCTGGTGCTTCAACCAACCAACCCAAATTATGCAGACTACCTTCTCTGGCTCCACCAAGCCAATGGCACTTACATGCCCGCAGTCACCTCCCTCCTGATGGCTCGAATGATTGGAGACAGTGACGAAAGCCCCACCCAGAAAATAATGCAACAAAGAGCCAATGCAAACCTTCATGCCATGGAACAGCAACTTGGGAAATACCCTTATCTCGCTGGCAATGAGTTCACGGCTGCTGATTGCATGTCTGTGTTTGGCTTGACGACCTTCCGTCTTTTCATCCCCTCCAGCCTTACGGAATATCCGAACATTGTCAGCTGGCTACAGCGGGTCGGAAAACGTGAGGCGTACCAGCGGGCCATGCAGAAGGGTGAACCGGGTTTCGAACCTATGCTTTCAGCTGTGCCTCAATTACCTTCACAGTGATGTCCCACATGTGCATCACCAGTGAACTTGTATCATTATCCATGCAAGGATCCGAAATTTCTTCCTTTCCTGTCTTAAACATATGCTTATTCTGGTCTTGTGGATATATCTGGTTCGCTCCATTTGCCCAGGTGATTGAGTGCCTCCTTCGCCTTCTGGAATGCGATCCATCAACCTTTAGAGAAGATGTGTGCGACTCTGCGACTTCATGCAGAATTCTGGTACTTTGTGCGATGTCTTTATATGGAAATCATTAGCCTTGCTCCACGACAATGCAAAATATGAGAGATTGGACTCTTTAGCAAGTATGATCGGGGAAGCGCAGCTATTTGGGGACAAGCTGTAGACTCGGCATATTCCAGGTTTATCGTGCATTTATTTTATTGCAAGAGAAAACGTATAGAGATTTTCCATGGAAACAGTCTTGGAATACCTCGCATTTTTCTATCTATTGTAATGGGGAAACCGCGCCGCATCTCCCACCTGTGCCTCAGACATCCCTGGGCTATTTCTAGCCCCGTTTTCATAGCATAGCGATCTACGCATCCTACACCTCTCTGGCAAAACAGCACCTACTTCCTAATCCGGTAGCTCATGGGGCCTTGCTTGCCTCACCCTCTCCGCCAAGCACTGAGCACCCCCGTCGTCTTGTCTTTGCGATGTCAGACCGCCAGCGCGCTCTTCCCACTTCAATACAAACAGTCTCACATTCAACAACCTTTTGTCGAGCCACTGAAAATTCTTCTATCGGTTCATGTTTTGTTTTCCTCCCCAGGATTTTATTGATCTGGACGCTTTCGGCGTGGGGAAGGTTGCCCAGGTGCTGTCCATCCATAGATCTCGTCATCGTCAAGTCCAGCTTTCCCTAGCGATATTTGCGACCATGTGATTTGTTCACGTCTCAGCAAATTTTGACCTCGCTCTCAATCTGGCTCCGTAAACATAGAGCGCAGATACTCCCAAAACCCCTCCGCAAGATAGTCCAGCCAAGAGCGACACTCCGCGGTCGATACCGAGGGTCTCAAAGAGTGGACGAGCATATAGAACGGCACCGGCTGCCCAGACAGATCGGAAAAAGTCATTAGCAGCGAAAAGACTGGCTGCATACCGTGGGTATGACAACGGGAGATACATGAAAATCCCTACTGTACTAGTAACTCCAGGGCTAATACTGAATACCTAAATCTCACGAGCCATTGTTTAATTCGAATATGAAACAATACGTTCCAAATTTACTAGTCGCTGTATTGACGTGGATCTGGTTTGGTGCCCAAGTGGATCTGAAGCACAAGCTCATACTGTTACGAGGGTGGGGGTCTAGATCTGAGAGTGGGGGATCGATGTGCATCAGTCGTAGACAGACATCTTGATCATCCCACTGTTAAGCTATCCCACCATGAATCCCACTTGAATGGATGGAATATGTAAGATGTAGAAAGAAGAATTATTTTCGATTTGGCAACTATTTATACTCGAGAGAACGCCAGGATATTCAACACCAACCTTGGAAATTATCACTCCTGCAAAATGGGCTCAATCGCTGTTACCGACTCTTTGTTCGAACCTACTCGCTTAGGAAGTCTTTCGCTCAAGCATCGTGTCGTTCTGGCACCATGCACGCGTATGAGAGCGACCAAGGAATCCGAGGGTGTCTACGTCCCCACAGATCTTAACGCCGAGTATTATTCTCAACGCGCCTCTGATGGTGGATTCTTATTGACAGAGGCAACTCCTATTAGCAGACATGTTAGTATACTTTTCGTCATTGCCAATACAACACCCCGCTAACAATCCTAGGCCGCTGGATACCCAGGCGTCCCCGGTATCTTCACCGTATCTCAGATCGCAGGATGGAAGAAAGTCACAGACGCCGTGCATGCCAAAGGAGGATTCATATACTGCCAACTGTGGCATGTTGGTCGAGCGACAGTCTCCTCCTTCTTGGAAGGCAAGCAGGTTCTAGGAGCGAGTGATATCCCTATCAGTGGAAATGCGTTGGACGGATCGGAATACGCAGCCTCTCCACCTCGACCCATGACCTTGGAGGAGATCCAAGAGACAGTCCAAGAATACGCCAGCGCAGCAAAGAGGGCCCTCGAAGCCGGATTTGACGGCGTCGAAATCCATGGTAAGCAATCTACTTATCATGTTTTCTGTTGCAAATCGCTAATTCATCAGGTGCGAACGGATACTTGCTCGATCAATTCCTGCACGACAATGTCAATACTCGCACAGACGAGTACGGTGGCTCGATCGAGAAGAGATCTCGAATCATCCTTGAGGTCATCGAAGCAGTCACGGCCGCCATTGGTGCCGACCGTGTTGGAATTCGGTTATCGCCTTACAACTATTTCCAGGACACGCGGGATTCAAACCCGAGCGTGAACTGGCAGAAGTTGTGCTCTCTGATTGCTGGACTGCCCGCTGAATCTCGTCCCTCGTATGTGCACATGATTGAGCCTCGATTTGACGAGGTCTTGGAGGAAGATGCGAAGATCGACTCGCTAGCCTCGGAGAAACCGTCACTGGACGTGTTTCGGCCCACATTGAAGAAAGGGGGTATTTCATTTTTGGCGGCTGGAAACTTCAACCCGGAGAATGCGGGAAGCAAGCTCGCTGTTGACGGGGCCGATGCTATTGTGTTTGGGCGGTACTTCATCTCGAACCCGGATCTGCCTCGTAGATTGAAGGAAGGATTGCCCCTGACTCCTTACGATCGCACCACATTTTACGGCGCCGATCCAGCTGAAAAGGGATACACCGACTACACTTTCTACGGACAATGAGCAGGAAAACATCCATGGATTCTTCAGACCAAACTGTTACATACATCAAACTACATACAAGATTCACTTCTAAATATACAAATAATCAAGACAAGCCAACTAAAACTTTCATAGCATCATGAACAACGGCCCATCGGACGGTTGCAAGTTGTTGAGCCATAGCTCCTGCGAGAGGGCGAGGACAATACTTTCCAGAAAGCGCCGCGAGCTCATCCACATTCGCACAATTGGTGACGATGACAATTAGCGACGGCAGGTCCGTTCTGATTCTGTGAATTTCCGCAGAGACATCCAGTCCGCGATGGAAGACCCAGGAGACTAGAGTACACAGGTACAAGCACCACGGGAAGTGAAACGAATCAGCCTGGTCCCAGTCGTGTAGACCCAGAACCGCACTTTGGAGCAAAAGGGAGGCCTGCTGGGCACTCGTGCAGAACGAATTAAATTCCTCCTGAAGCCACCGAGTGATGTTCCTCAAGGACCGTGCATGATCGGCTTCAGTGACCACGCGCCCGAGAATTTGCGAAGCACCAGCAACGATCTGCAAATCCAGGACTTCAACTTTGAGCGCAAGATTTGCTGCGTGGTATAATGCATGGCCGGAGATCTTGAGCCCGGTAAGTTGCCTAGCACTCGCAGTCCGTGCTATCTTCATCGCCAAGCAATCTGCGTCAAAGTCGACCTTCCACAGATCATAAGACCGACCCATGCGCGGTGTCCATGCCCCTACTCGCTCCGGCGTTTCAGAACGGAGAGTCGTTTGGTCGCGTCGCTTCAAGTCCGCGGAAACAGACATTAAGCCGTGTAGCACAACAATGCGAGCGAACACATTCAGATCCCGGGGCCTAGTCACGGCAGTTGGATTAATGTATCCCTTCAAAACAGCAAGGAATTGTTTATTATCCTCGCGGGATGCATGAAATACCCACTCTTGAGCAGAAGAGGCTCCCCAGCTTGCGGCTCCACACGGTAAGGACGATCTGATTTCGAAGGCGGACATGCAAAGCGACTGTGAGAATAGGACTGCATGCTGTGTATCCCACATAAAACAGTGCATTGCTACCCGTTTGCGTTGCTCTTCGTCCATAGCGCGTCTCCAAACGGGGTCTAAGTCATCTGTTTCAGTGAAACCCGACAAGTCCCGAATGTTACAGCAATTGCTGCGTCGGATCATCTTGATCAACACGCAATGGAAAAGCTGTGCACGCTCTCGCTGCTTGGGCCCGGCTCGCATCTTCCCGAAACAATCGATGAGCAGCATCGTTTGGAGAACCCAAAGGTCGGCTTGCGGCGAGAAATCGGGGTGGCATAGGAGCTGGCCACGGAGCACGTCGTGTACTTCCACTGCTAATTGATGAGCTTCTCGGGTGCTATACGTCGCACCCATAAACAATATAGAAGCTAGAAAAACAGGCGGGGCGGTGTTTGGGTCAAATGTATGCTGATGTATCAGAGGATATTGCGTATTGAAACGGTTGAAAAACAGGTCGCTGTAGCTTTGAAGTGCCGAGAGTGTCAATAGAGGCGATTGCAAGACATTCTGGTGCGTATCGATGCTTGTGGGATGCGCTTGTGCTACCAAATGTAATATTCCCGCTCGTGCCTCTCCTGAAATCCTGGGTAGCTGGTTGTGGGTTTCGGTCTCTAGCATTGTAGATCCAGACATCCAGTCCAAATCAGGCAAGTTTCCCAACGCAGATGTCATGTTCCCCTCCATAGGCTCACTTCTGTCCATAATAGAGGCCATCAACAGTGCTGACGGGCCATCGTAATTTTCAACGGCTTTGACAGGATCTTGATGGGCTGGCTCTGGTGCAGGAATTGTACTAAATCCAACCTGGCTGTCAAATTGATTGAAGGCATCATCCAGCGAAGAGACATCAAAGAGCCAGTTGTAGTTGCAGGTCGCAGCGAAAGGAAGATTGAAATCAGTCGCTGACATCGTCAGTTTTGAAAGCCGCAGAACCACAGAGATAACATACCAGTATCCATTCCGAAATAGTCCCCAATCCCATCCAACTCAACATTGTAAGACCCGTCCGCCGCATCAAACTGACCGGGAATCGGCTCGACGTATGGCTCAAACGGCCCCGGTGGCATCAAAGGCGCCAAGAATGGATCGGTCTCGTCGATTGAGATTGAGGTTGGGTCTGTGCCTGACCCAGGTGGTGACAATGGTGCCTCATCATGAAAGTAGTCTTCGTCGCTAGGCTCCTGGCTTAGACTATTGGTCGAGACCGGAGAGCGCTCAGCGAGCGCAGCGGCCTTTCGAAGCTGGCGTTGCGACGGCCGGACAACGATTGATCCATCTTCTGCTCTCCTTATTCTTTTGCGTGTTTTCAGTGTGCCTTGTCCTGGTCCTCCGGCTTCGAGGTCGCGTTTAGTGTGTCTTTCCATATGACGGGCTGGAAAGGACAGAATAGAAGTTAGAAAGAGCTAAATTGTGTTTTCAGTCGCTTTTGGTACCTAGTAGGTCTGCACGTTGAAAATGGACAGAGCAACGCTCACATGTATAGCCATTGCGAGGCTGCTCGTGATTGAGGGCGTGGCGACGTAAGTGCTCGGCGCGGGTAAAACTTTTGGTGCAGCCTGAGTGTTGACAAACGTGACTCTTCATGTTTCCGAGGTGTAGATCAATAATTTTCGGAAGATTACAATTGCTCTATATTCAAAGGTGAAGTTGGCAACTCGGAGTAAAGTCCGACCTCAACTGATAAGGATGCGGGGGCTTACTCGCACTAAGAGATGATTGGTTGCTCTGCAGTAATATGCTACTTCTTATCAAGTCTCTTTAATCGCATTTGGTGGATTTAGCCAATAGGAATAGCTCGGAGTGATTGTCATAGGGCCCCGGGTCCAGCTCCAATGAAGTCTTTTCATGGGGTTATACTTCTCCGCATCCGTGCCATATGAATAATTCCATATACCATACTTGGGGTATCACCTTGCTATCCTGTACACCAAAATACTCGGAAAGATGTGAAATGTACTCTTTTTGGTATTATGAGCCCCTTGTTCGGCTCAAAGGCTCAGAGCTTCAAGGTAGAACGGAAGACAGGAATACAATGTATTTCAAAAAATATAAAATATAGAGGAAACCTCGATTCAAGATTCGTCATCCATCTCAATTTAAATTCTTCATCTTCCATCCGGGCAGGACGTCAAGGAAAGTACCTCCATGCAGGGCTGTCCTCGCCCTCTTTAAAGCGACTGGTATCAGTTTCATTTTCCCTCAAAGCTTGGCCCTGCTTGCGATCTCGACGATGATTCTCCAATCGCATCCAACCGCCCAGTCCGGATACCAGAACAATGCAGACCACATTACAACAGCACGTTGCAATGAGAGTTGGAAGATATCTGTTCGGTCAGCACGTTCCTTTCCAATTCAGGATAGGTGGCAAGGAAGACGAGTCTCTTACTTCGGAGCATATTGAGTACGAAAGGTTGCGGCGCTCACAACCCCTGCTAAATTTCCAAGTCCCACGAAAAATCCTGTGTTCGCTGCTCGTGAATTCTCATTCATGTTGTTGTTGTTGTGCCATGCGTGAACTAGACATGATGGGATATATGCACCTGCTGCCATGAGGAAACAAGCAAAATATGCGACGGCTTTGTTCCTCTCCACGTCGATAGTTGCCAGTATAATCATCCCAATTAACGAAATGGCGAGAGAAAAAACGATATGAAATGTTCTCTCGCGGTGATAATCAGAAGACTTAGCCACACATAACAGAAATACCGCACCAACAAGGTTCGGGGCGACAGTCCAAAGGTTGGTCTTCACAACCGAGTATCCCAGTCTTTGAACAATCTGCGAGTATGAGTACTGGTCCATCCAAAGTAGAATTTACTTACCATTGGGAAGAAATTCATCGCAGTAGCATATGCAACCGGGTAAGTGAAGGTGATCAAACACCAAACTGGGAACTTCCAATCACTCCAAGTTTCAAAGCACGCCTTGAGATCAAACCCAGTATCGACCTCAGAAGAAGTGTCCCGAAGAAGACGCGCTGTAGCTGCCGCTTTTTCCCTGTCGCTCAGGAACCACGCTGTTGGTGCGCTATGGGGCAAAAGAAAGAATCCAACAATACCAGTGATTAATGTCATTGAACCTTCAATAATAAATAGCCATTGCCATCCTTTGACTGCTGGATCGTTGATTTGGAATACACCAAAAGATATCAGCCCGCTGAAGGCCGAGGCCAAAACCGCAAATGACTGTATAATTGCCAGTCGGAAGCCCATTTTCCCGCGTGTATAGAATAGCGTGAGGTAAAAGGTGGCTCCAGCAAAGAATCCAGCCTCAAAAACCCCTAAGATGATTCTGATCGCTAGTAAGGAGCCAAAGTCCTTGGCGGCGCACTGGCAAAGAGCCAGAACTCCCCAGACAATTGACACTACGTATAATATTAGCTGATGAACTATGGGCTTTATAGGAGGGATGGTTCTTACTGAAAGAAAGCATCCATCTGCCTGAAAACCGTTTGATCAAAAGGTTCCATGGTAAATCGAACAGGCCAAACGGAATATAAAACAGAAGAATCAAGAGTGAGTAATCATTTCCCTTGAGGTGCAAATCTGTGTCAAGTCCATCTGTTTTCGCATTTGCCAAATTACTCTGGTCTTGGTTAATGGACGCGTTGTTTTGGTAGACCGAAGCACATCACCTACCCGATCCATACAATCAAAAAAGTACATCTACATTGTGTTAACATTCTCAATTATCTTTAGATTTTCATTCATATCGAATTTAGGGTCCGCAACTTACCAGGCAAAGAACTGGAAGCACAATAAAATCGACTTTTCTGACGTACGATCTTTCCGCTTCCGAGTCAAGATACGCCGTTTCGCCTACATTTACTTCAGCGTCGGGTACTTCGACCCCGGGTACTTTTGACTCCGACATGGCGATCTGAAGAATCAAGAGAGAATGCTCCGTGTAATTTTAGCATTTCCCGCGTTTCTTATAGTTTTGGATCACAACTTCCGGATTCCAACCCCCTTCACATTCTTCACATGCCGTACAGCAACATGCCTTGAGGAAATATCAGTAATCTAGCTATCTCCAGATACACTTGCTTTCTCTTGGCTTTGATATCCCCCGCACGATCTTATCGCCGCGGGATGGTGCGTTTGCCCCCACCTTTGCATCCCTGAATCTAACCCCATCCTTAGTGCTTCCACAAACTCCAGGTTTCCGACATGGAACTAAGGAGAAATCAAAGATCCCCAAAGATGTCGGTGTTCTGTGCGAAATCAAAAGGAACTTGAATTGGTCTGAGCGGAATATATTCCAGTGATCTCAGGGTCGACTCATTTTACCTCAACAGCCTACCTGCCCATCACCGAGACTTGCCTACTCACTTGATCTCCTTGTCCAAACAAGACGCGTTCCAAAGCCACCATGTCTGCTCCCTCGGCTCCTCCAATTCTCGACTTCGCTCCATTCTATGGTGCCGATAGCGAAGCAAAGTCCCAATTAATCGATGAAGTTCGCAATTGCTGCCACTACAACGGGTTCTTCCAAATCACCGGCCACCGTGTGCCATTGGATCTGCAGCGACGTGTTATGGATTGTTCGAGAAGATTCTTCGATTTGCCTTTGGAAGAAAAGCTGCAAATTGACAAAAGTATGAGGGAAGCCCAATTGCCAACATTTTCGCTGATTGTTTAGATCACAACTCGTTCAACAGAGGCTACGAACTTCTACGGTCGCAGATGCTAGAAGTGGGCACCGGCCCCGAATTGAAAGAAGGACTATACATCGGCGAAGAAATCCCCGAAGACCACCCCTATTATCTGGAGAAGAAGCTCAACAGCGGTCCGAATCAATGGCCCCAGACTGTGTTGGACAAGGATGAGTTCCAGAAAACAACAATGGAGTATTACCATGCCGTTTTCGAATTGGCAAAGGATGTACTGGGTGTTCTTGCCCAGACTCTAGGTGTTGAGACTTCCTTTTTCGAGCCCCTCACCGACGGAGCCGTCGCTACAATGAGATACCTGCATTACCCAGCTCAACCACAGGATACAGACGAGAAGCTTAATCGCGGAATTGGAGCTCACACTGACTTTGGATGCATCACACTGTTGTTGCAAGACGAGGTTGACGGCCTCCAAGTCTTGGATGCGCCAACGGGTCAATGGCTTGATGTAAGTCTTGCCACGTGCATTCCAGTCGCATCTCCGCTAACCTAGCACAGGTCAAACCAGTCCCAGGTGCATATGTGGTGAATCTGGGCAACTTGTTCATGCGCATGGCCAATGACAAATACAAATCCAACACTCATCGAGTGATCAACAAGTCAGGCCGGCAGAGATATTCGATTCCTTTCTTTTTCAGTGGAAATCCTGACTATGTTTGCGAGTGTCTGCCAAACTGCCGTGATGAAGGAGAGGCAGCAAAATATGGCCCAATCACAGTTCAGGATATGGTGACGGCATCTTATAAAGAAAGTTACGGTCGCGCGGAAAGTTACAAGAAGGAGATGGAGTCTACCAAGCAGGAACGAATTGCTGCCGCGTCTGCCGCTCCCGCCGTTGCTGCTATCGGTGCTTAGATCTAGCTTCGCCGTATCTGATTCCAATGAATGGTTCTTGCTATTCTTTATATAAACTCAAAAACTCTCTTTATTGCATCCATAGGAGACATCAAATAAGTAGCATGTTCTGCTTTAGTTGCCAATGCCTCTGATGCGAGTATCAAAGATATGACTTGCCTGTCAATCTTGGAATGCAAGCACAATTTGCACGGAGGCATCTAGAAAAGAGAGATTCATAGCAAGATAGCAAAAATCTCCTTTGCTACTATCCCCTGTCGGTCTGGATCGCCATGTACAAAAATAAGGTGATGTCATAGACTCAATCCTCGCGCTGTCAATCAAAAGTGGGATGCCATATCATCCATTCTCCCACTTTTGACTTAATGCCTAGCCCTAAAGCGTCCGAGAGGATATCTCACAGTCAGGCCGATATGTAGTTGCTGCTTGCCCTAAAAGCAACCATCATTTGAACAAGCTTGTCTGCAATGAGAATCAGAATATCGGCACAATCACCACAATTCAAACATGGACGATATACGACATGACAAGAAAGCTCCCTTAGAGTCAGAGGGCATTAATTTGGACCACGATGCTGGAAAACTCACGAACATCGATGATCTTGAAGTAGACACCTTCTACGGATCTTCAACCACCAAGGCATATCGTCTGAAATCTGAACTTATCGGAAAGTGTATGGAGGACATTGGCATGGGCTGGTACTTCATTCCCGAAATACGACTATTTGGCAAGATTTCTGACTTGACCAGGTTCCAGTGGAAACTCTTTGTGGTAACCGGCTTTGGGTGGATTGTTGACAACGTACGAGACATCTACCATTCCCCTCTTGAACACACGGAGAACTGACTATCAATAGTTTGCATCTCAAGGCATTGGAAGTGTCCAGCCACCTATAAAGCAAGAATTCTCTGGGATAGTGCAGGTCAGCTACAGTTCGGTTGCTTATTATGTCGGTTTGATCCTGGGCGCTTCATTCTGGGGGTTATCTAGTGATCTCATCGGGCGCAAACCAGCATTCAACTGCACACTGCTTATTGCTGGTATGTTTCTATGTGCTGCTGCAGGTTCCTTGAATTTTGTGGCTTTCAGTGCACTTTGGGCAGTTATTGGCACCGCCGCGGGTGGGAATGTGCCTGTGGATTCCATGATCTTTTTGGAGTTCGTCCCTGGAAGGTAGGTGGGAATGGAACAATATGCACTAGATCGTTTTCTAACCTCCTCAGTCACCAATATCTTCTTACTGCACTCTCGGCGTGGTGGAACCTGAGTCAGCTCATTGTTTCCTTGATTGCCTGGGTCTTTCTGGCCAACTTTAGCTGTCCAACCGATGCTACCCCGGAGACGTGTTCACGTAGCCAAAATATGGGATGGTATGGCTTTGACTTACATGTGCAACCAGTATGCATCCAAAACTGACATCTGATTTTAGGAGATATACTCTCATCACCTTAGGGGGTCTTGCCCTAGCTTTTACTTTCATTCGCATATTTGTTTTCAAGCTACCGGAAACACCCCGATACCTGCTCTCCCAAGGCAGAGATCAAGACGCAGTGGATGCCGTCAACCATGTTGCTCGACAGAATGGGAAGCCAGAACCTCTGACAATCGGAATGCTTCGTGAGATAGATGCTCGGTTGGGAAACAGCACTAACGAGGAGGGTGAAACGACACGAATGTCTACCAAAGAGATCGTCAAGGAAAACATGCAAGCTTTCCGTGGTGAACATTACCGTGCATTATTTGCAACTCGGAAATTGGCAAGGCAGACTCTTATCATTTGGCTGATCTGGCTGACAGTTGGTAAGTTGCGCTTGAACTCCACCTTACGAATATCCACTGACACTCTTTCCAGGAATCGCGTACCCTTTGTTCTTTGCATTCTTGCCTTCTTATTTGGCAACCAAGTTTACCGAAACCACCTCGTTGTACCTGACATATCGGAATTATTGCATCACGTCAGCTGTCGGCATCGTTGGTCCCTTGTCTGCCGCAGCCGGCGTCAACACTCGACTCGGGCGACGTTGGATGATGGGAGGTTCAGCAGTTGTCACTGCGGTCTTTCTGTTTGCATATGTCAGCGTCACCAGCCCGTCCGCAGACCTCGCCTTTTCTTGCATTACCAGTTTACTGGCTAACTTTGGTAAGCGTGGACGAGCTTGGGCAGATGATCAATACTAATGAAATAACAGAATATGCTATCATGTACGCATTTACGCCAGAGTCATTCCCGGCTCCCCATCGAGGAACGGGTTCGGGGACCGCGGCCGCGCTTCTCCGACTGGGAGGACTCATAGCTAGTCTTATTTCCTCACAGACTGGATTCACAAGTGCTCCCATATATGCCAGCGCTGCATTGTGGGTTGCTGTGGGTGTGTTCTGCTTAGGGCTTCCATTTGAGACTCACGGACACGATGCGCTATAAGTGCTGTTATGCATGGGCTATGGGTCCGAATGAACCTATTCGGGCACCGCAATGTGGGCGTCACTTGTGTAACATACAAGACAAAATTTCGGATGGGGTTGGGCGAAAGTTGTCCAAGCATCTCGAGCTGGAGCTCCGATTCTCCAGAGAGTTATGATCCTCTCCCGAAAGGCATCTTGAATGTTGAATGGAATTTTCTAGATAGAGTTGAGATAGAATCAAGAGCCAAGTATAAATTTCTGTTGCCTCTGCATGCCTCGGGGCGATATTGTGTCAAAATGTGGGATGCGAGCCCTGACAAAACTGCACACAGGTCCTTAGAGCCCACAGCCCACAGCTTGGGTGGGCTGTGGGCCCGAGGTCCGGGCCCGAGGCCGGGCCCAAAAAGGCCTCCTTAGGTTACGAAGGCTTGAACTCGACTACGGCCAGTTATTGTTGAATCGAATTGACCATTTTCCAGCCATTAATTTTCACAACCAGGGCCACTTGTGGACCCACCTGCCATTTCTAGGAGAGTTGTATTGGGCTTGGCATCCGGGTGAATTTTTATCAGGGAATCAGGGGCTGGATCGGCAAGGTCCCAAGCCTGTCCCATTGATACAAGTCATAGCTTGGAAAGCAGCAGCACAAATTGAAAGCTTAAAATCATGAATAAGATACTCCGTATGTTACCTAGACTTCTCTATCAACTTTTACCAATCATCAGCACAGCGAGTAAGTCACATTGTCCCAACCTCCGAAAAATTCTAGCGAGACCTCGGGAGCTGGCAGAACAAACCGGAAAATCACTTGTCGGAGACGCACATTGGACAGGGTTCGGGTGGTGTAAATCATGGTAGAGAGCGTTTGAAGCTCTGCAGACAAATCCGGAGTACCCAGTATGCAAGGAGAAGTCCCTTGGCGACTGGATCAAGGTGTCACTTCAAAGCTTCCCTTTCAAAGCCCCCAGATCTTGTCCCGCAGCGACTAATGGTTTGTATATTTGTTGCCGAACAACGGTTGTATTCACCTATATTCATCAGTCAAAGTCATATTTTTGTGAAGCGCTTTGAGCTCTCTCACATGGTGGGGACCAAGATCTTCCACGTTTTGCGCTCCAAGCAGGCGCATGGACGTCTTCATCTCATCAGACAAAACTAGATATCACGAAGTGAATATCAGTTATGAGTCACGCATACATGAGTTCTCAGGGCTGGTTTCTTACTTTTCAAGGTTCTTTCGACGCCCTGTGGTCCCCCTGCAGCTAGACCCCAGAGAGCTGGCCTTCCAATTCCAACACACTTTGCTCCAAGACAAAGGGCTTTTATGGCATCTGTGCCTCTGCGAATACCACCATCAACCCAGACCTCTACTTTACTGAAGACCTCGGGGCAGTTCTCCCGAATTTCAAGAAGAGTATGCACAGCCGGTGGTGCTGTGTCAAGAGATCGTCCACCGTGGTTTGACAGTACGATCGCCTTAACGAACGAGGCGTACTGAATGGCCAATAGCGCATCCTCGTGGGTTTGTATTCCTTTCAGAACCACTGGCTTCGTGGTGTGTTGGGATAACCACTTCAAGGTGTCTGACCAGGTCAGAGACGGATCCGTTCCAGCGAAAAGCTGGGTGGTGACGCTTCCTGATGAGTTATTTTGGATATTGAATCGCTCGTCATCCTCTCTCTTTCCCGCAACTGGGGCATCGAGCGTAAGAACAATGAATTTGACTTGGTCGAGACCGTTGACGCGCGCTAGCATCTCCTCGCTGGACTTTCTGTTCAGCTGAACGTATAGCTGCCATCCGAATATTTGAGTTGGCGATGCATTAGCAACAACATCTTCCGGTGACACAGATGAATTATTTGCAATAATTTGCAGCGCACCAAACGGGCGACATCCTTCAGCGATCCCCGCTTCTCCTGTTGGATGCCCCAGTCGGGCCATGGCTGTTGGGCTGACAAAAAGTGGTAGTCCCACTTTATGACCCAGAATCGTCACATCCAGATCGCAGTTACGACAATCCACAAATACCCGCGGTCGAAACAAGATTTGCCGATAGGCCTCTGTGTTAAGACGTTTTGAAATCTTGTCGTCGGAGGCTGAGTAATAATAAGCCCATCCCTTTTTACTGATCACTTTTGTTGCTGCGGCTTCGATTTCTTCAAGGTTGAGCAATGTGTTAAGAAGAACCTCTGGCTCCTGCTTCACCCTTTGATGTTGCGGAACTGCCTTCTGCTGCTGGCACGTTCCAAGATATAACGACTGAATGTCTCCGAGTGTTTCGGCAGGGTGTATCAAGTCGAAGTCTTCGGTTGCGTCGCGGCCGGCAGAACGAAGTATCGCCTGAGCTCCTCCAGGGTGCTCTTGCAAGAAGTTGGTTACCTTGTAATACTCAGTTAGTACCAAAAAGCTAGTTGATTGGAAGTCGATAGTCCTACATCGTAAACCTTCCCGTATAGTATCACCCAGCAGCTTTCTTGCGTGTGGTGTCTCGAAACTAGGCGATCTTAGCGAGCCTGACTTTGATCCAAGAGGACCTCACTTGCCTTCTTCCAGAGTAAACGATGACATTTGAAAGTAACCAAACTTTTGTTGGTGTGCTTTTGTGCGGATAGGATGCGAGACGCGAACTCCAGCTGAGAAGGATTGAGGAATACAACCGACGTCTCTAGATATTTTTTTTCTCCAGGTTACTGAGAAAGAGACGCCGTCTGCAGATAGCCAATGATTTCCTATGTCTTGGTCACACACAGGATTGAGTTGGGGTATGGCTTCCGGCCGCTTGTGGACAGGGGATGGGGGCCGGTGGTAAAGACAGAAACCGTAGATATCGAGGGTCCGTAGATAAAAGCGATTGATGAGATTACAGTCGTCGCTTCCATTCAAAAATATAAAAGGTTTCAGTGGAGCTTGCGAGAGAAAGTACCCCCACCTTTGAATTGTGTGGTGCAGCGATGGGGGTGGAACGCGATACATGTTGCGCCCAAGACTTGCGGTGGGCCTCTCTTAAAAGGAGCATGCTTGAAGCTTTTCGCAACATATTTCTCTTCTCTCTCCCACCACATCAATTAGTCTCTTCCTCGTCCCTTCTGCCAACTTTAACACAACATGGGGAAAAAGAGAGTGCTTGTCGGTTATGGTGTCGATATTGATGCGGTTGCAGGTTGGCTTGGCTCATATGGAGGCGAAGACAGTGTCAGCGACATCAGTCGAGGTAAATATGCGCTCAATCGATTGTCTCGTTTTTGATGCTTACATCGTTTTTATTGTCAGGTCTTTGGGCGGGCCACATTGGAACCCCTCGTGTCTTGAAGTTATTCGAAAAATACAACATCAAAGCAACTTGGTTCATTCCTGGTCACACTTTGGATACATTCCCTGAAGAATGCGCCATGGTCCGAGATGCCGGTCACGAAATCGGTCTCCACGGCTACTCCCACGAAAACCCATCCAGTCTTTCAGCCGGGCAGCAGCGTGATATCCTTGACAAAACCTACAATATGTTGACGGACTTTTGTGGAAAGCCACCACGAGGTATTGTCGCTCCTTGGTGGGAAGCCAGTGCAGAGATGGTAGATCTGCTGTTACAATATGGTATTGAGTACGATCATTCCATGTCCCACGAGGACTGCCAGATGTATTGGTTACGAACTGGGGATACGTGGACGAAAATCAATTACGAACAAAAGGCAGAAACTTGGATGAAGCCTTTGGTCAGGGGAAACACAACCGGTCTTGTCGAGATCCCCGGCAGTTGGTATATTGATGATCTGCCTCCGATGATGTTTATAAAGAATTCAGCCAACAGCCACGGCTGGGTCAACCCGCGAGATGTTGAAGATATTTGGAAGGTTTGTCTACTATCAAGACTCAAAGAAACGCTCGTGGTAGCTGACACCCTAATCCTAGGATCACTTTGATTACTTCTACCGAGAGTACGATGAGTTCGTGTTTCCGATGACGATCCATCCAGACGTTTCTGGTCGACCACACGTGTTACTTATGCATGAAAGGCAAGCCTCATACATTCCGATCTCAGTATATTTATACGCCACAGCATACTGACAAATTGTTATTAGAATCATCGAATACATTAACAGCCACGAGGGAGTCGAATGGGTGACTTTTGAACAAATGTCCGACGAGTTCAAATCCAAGAATCAGCCACCCGAGGGTGCAGTTATGCCTGCTGCTGCTGGGCAAGTAGCCAAAGCCAAAGCATAGCTTACGCGCGAACTTAAGCCTCCAAATCCGCCCCAGAGTTCGCATGAATTTTGGTCAGGGGGAAAAAAAGCATGCAAGGCTTCTCCATGGCTATAATTACAACAATCGTCTAAAAGAAACTATTTGTCCGCACAGCCCGTTGCAAGCGTCAAAGTATCGAACCTAATCGTAAATGGCACTGTTTCGGTTTTACCCGGGCATGTTCTGAGTAGATATTCAGCCAAGTGTAAACATACTTCCGCATCAATGGATCGTGAAATTTATTCTGTTTCTCGGTCATCCTCGGACTGAGAAACTCCGATGCCTTTGATTTTGACGAGCACCTGAATTCCAATGACACTGATGATTGCAGCAATCACCAACCCGAATGTTGCGGGGAACCCATATCCTAGATAGTTTGCGTGTCAGAAAGCAACCAACATTAGGGAAAGCAACTCAATGAATATCCATTTGACTCACTGAATGTGGGGGCCATGGTCTGTGGGAAGATCACAATAGGCAACCAGGCGGCCACGGCGTATTGGAAGCCATTCATACTGCTGACAACAACTGCTCGCTCCTCGTTATCTCCAGCACACACTTCGTTGGCCCAAGTGTAGCTTGAATGTCAATTAGCGCAGTCCTTCTTTTGAGGATGAGGTACCCGTGATGGTAACTCACAACACAGCTGTCATGAGCTGGACAGCGACTGTGAGGAATGCGAATTCCTTTAGCCGCAAACTCTCCGGCCAAAATGCTAATATTCCATTGGGTAACATTCCGAAAATCTGTCGCGAGACACACTTGTCAGTGAAGCTCTTTGTGTCTAAATCGGAACTTGTAGTCAAAATTTGCATACCAGGGGAACTAAAACCCAGGTGAATCTGCTACCCGTATAATCCGAAAGGAAGCCCCATAGCACGACGCAAGCCGCAGAGATGAGGGATGTCCCCGTTGGGATAAGGTTTCGATCAACCACGGAAAAGCCTTCGGATTTGAGCCAAATACCAAAGTAACTGCTGGCTCCGCAAGAGGACCCATAGAGCTAGACTTGAGGTTAGTCAAGTTCAACTCTTCAAAAATAAACCTTAATTCTCAAAGCTCACCACGTATCCCAAAACAAATGCATACCACTTCCACGATCCAAGAATTTTCTTGAATGTGTGGAGGGTGATTTTGACAGGTGCCGCCTTGCCAGCTTTCAGAACCCGTTCTTGTGCAAGTTCACGTTCTCTCTTGGAGAGGAACCATACGCGGGTGGTGTGTGGTGTATCGGGGAGCAGAAAGTAAGTTGCGATGCCGACAGGAAGAGTCATACACTACATGATGTCAGATTAACACTCGAACTTCGTGCTGAGTAACTCACCCCGCAAATGAGATATAGCCACCTCCACCCAGCAAGACCATGAGCCCCATTCATGTTCTTGTAGACTGCGGCCTGTAAATATCCACCAAATGCAGATCCTAGCGGCGCGGTCATATGGAACAGGGCAACTCGTTTCGCCAACTCTGTTTTTGTGTACCAACTTCCAAGAACGTAAAGCAAAACAGGGAAGAACGAACTCTCGAAAAATCCAACCAAGAATCTGAAAGCGTATAGCTCGCTCACGTTGTTCATTGCAGCTTGTGCAAATGTGAAGATGGCCCAACCGACTTCCATTGCTGCAAGCCAAATACTCGGCCTCACGCGCTGGACGATGATTGTACTGGGTATCTGCATGGCTGCGTAGGCGACGGTGTACACTGTCTGTGCGTATGTGTACTCATTGCCATACATAGACAAAACCTCTTGTAATCCCGAGACATATGCATTGGAGAGATTACCCTGGTCGAGATATTTCATAAAGAATCCTAAACACCCGATGCTGAGAATCGCCGCATCGAGCTTGAGAAGGAGACGTTTCTCCTCTGGGGATTTTAGATGTGAGTCTGTATCCCAGATAAAAGATCTGAATGTTCTCTTGGCTGATTTGGAAACCGGAACTTCATCTTGAGAATTTGAATCGATCACGGTGGTCGCGAGATCGGGTTGCTTCGATGTTGGTGAGGAGCGCACCATTTTGGGGGACCCTGACTTCTCTTTTTTTTTTTCGGTGATCTGAGCTGGTCTTAGAATCATAGCCAAAAATAAGCTCTTATATGCGTCCAGGGTCACCCCCTCAATTCGACCTTGGCTTATCACGACATATCAACGCACTAACGTACCATCCACCAATCTTGGCCAATTCTCCGTTGGTGCCATAGCTGGCGCTGATTAGCGAAAGACCGTGCTGGAGTCTTGAAAATCTCACTGGTGGGATGGCGGTCTTGGAGCATGATAATGACCCCACCAGGCTGAATTGTTGACTTGCTCCCATTATAGTAATTGGGGTCAAATTCACTTAGGCATTCTACCATGAGGCATCAAGCCAGCCGGCCGTGAAAACGAATATGATAACTTAATGATTCCAGAGGAAATACCGGAGAATTTTGTTTCTAGAACAAGCTTCGATTGCAGCATTGTAGTCCCAGACGGGTTACAGAACCCTCGCTTTCTCCACATATAAATGATCATCTATGGTACCCTCAAGTCAAATAGCCGTGCTCAATGACATAGTCCGTCCAAACCTTCTGAATGTCGTTTTTGTAGATAAAGTCCTTATCTCCGTAGAGGAAAGTATCAATCTTGTTTTGGAGAAAAGCGTCAAAACTGTCCGTCTCGGCTTTGGATGCTTGCAATTTAGCCTTGGTCTCATCTAAGTGGTGATACCTGAATCACCAGGGAAAATTAGTCAACATTTACCCGATCCATATTTCAGTATATACGGAGTAGCCTCTGAATGACTCACATCTTTGAGTAATATGGAGACCGAATCTGATCAAAAATTTTGAGAGCGTCTTGCACGGGGTGGGAAGATTGTTGCGTGAGCTCAAGGGCCCGAGCGAGAATCCACCCATCTTCCATTGCAAACGTTGCCCCAGATCCAAACGCACCTGTGGATTTTTTAGAAGCGATTCCACCCGGTGCTGATTTTGGAGAGTGGAAATACCTGAGAGAGGGTGGCTGGCATCTCCAATCAGTGCAATCTTCTTCCAACCTGTAATTTTATCCAGTCGAGGTCCTGCAAATGTTGCGAATTCTCTCCATTCCCCTTCCTGAACTGCACTCACGGCATCTCTCAATCTTTGATCGAATTTCTATTCCGGTAGGTTAACCAAGGTAGCCCTGGAGCCCGGTCGAGTATAGTAAGGGGAAATCGTCTCACCTCGACGCGAGATCCCACTTTTTGGTTGGTGGCTGGAATACCCCAAAAGACTGTTTTTCCCGAGACGTTGGGCTCATTGTAAGATCTTACTGTAATTTCAAAAAGTGGATGGTCATTCTCTCCCTCTTCATCCACATCGGAGAGATATACATGGCCATCTTCGCCCCACCACCACGAAGTTGTGGAAGTGATATCGGGAATGTGGGCTAGACGCGATTTGGGCACAAGGACACGGAATGCACTGTTGCCAGTAAAACGAAGCTCGTGGTCTTTGAAAAGAGTCTTTCGAATGATCTGGCGAGAATGAGCAATAAGTCAAGCGAACCGAAAGCAGCTTCACTCACAGAATGAAGTCCATCAGCCCCGACTACAAGGTGTGCGATTGCCTCCGTTTGATCGTCAAATATCAAGCGGGTACTCTGCCCCGGTAGATTCTCCAATGCTACAAGCTTTCTGCTGTATTGGATAATGCCCTCGGGTACCTGAGCCAACAGTGCAGACTGCAGTCGAGTCCTGCGGGCACGAATCGCTCCCCGAGACTGTCCCTCGGAGTTTTCCGGATTCTCGACAACGCTCAAAACTTTCCCTGTATATGCATTTCTTGTATGATGAGCTTTTGTTGAGCCTTGGGGGTGGCTTACGGGGGCAGCTCACCTCTGGTGTGTGTTTGACTTCGATCCTCCTTTGACCCCCTCGCTTGCGCCGAGGAGATCTAAGACCTTCCACGCATTTGTGGTTAAACTAATTCCAGCTCCAGCCTCTCTTGGTTCTGGGTTTTTCTCGTAAAGGGTCACTTTCAAGAAAGGTAGTTGAGAAAGAGCAATGGCAGTCCCTAATCCCCCAGGGCCTCCGCCAATGATGGCAACAGAAGTCAATGCTTGCCCAACCATACCTGCGATATAGTTTGTTTCAATAAGTATTTCGATCTTGTGATATCAAAAAGGTTTTCCTTTTCTCGGCTGTTATCAACGCTCGTAGTATTTGAAGCTTTGGGGGAAACAATCAGGCTGGTAGACCTGAGGGGCTCAGGCAATCGCACGCCATCCCAGCCCCGAATATGTCATGCGCTATTCCGTACTAATTTCTCATTCTTTGAAATCATGTCCAGAGACCTTATCCAACTGATTATCATGTCTCGCGGAATACGTCCGTAATCATCAATCCAAGTTATTCCAAAATTTTGATGGTTTGTGGATAGTGGCGTCGCGGATAAGAAGCGCTGGGCTCCACGCGACAAGCTAGCCCTGGAGGCACAACAAGGTTGAAGGCGACCTTAGACATCACCACATCCAGACAACAGAGGGACCCCTGGATTGCTACTTCCAATGATATGCTTTCTTTCCGAGAACAATGACCAGTCATGGAGGCAATCGATTAAATGCTGCATATTTTGGGGTTAATGGGTTTGTTTTGCGTTTGGTACACCATGGTAATCCAGGACCCAGGGTATTCAACTACACCTTCAAATGTAAATAACCTCCATGTAACATCTGATACATACCTCTCATACCGCTTCAGGTCAGCCAAATTATCAAGTTCAATTGTTTAGTTGAGACCCTCTTTTCCAAGACTTTTTTTCTCTTTTTTTTTTGCTCGTGCCGGTGGGTCCCGGAAAGTTCTGCACAGTACCCATCTGGAACCACAATATTGCTCCTGAGGTATGTTCAATAAACTTCAGGGCAGCTTGGATGTATGTATGCAACATAGGTAAGAGGGGTAATCATGGGAGGAACATGTGGGCAGGAAGGATCGAGTGTCATGGCGAGCGAAACCACCGATGCGGTCATTGCAGCTCCTCAACCTGACCTCAAACTCATGGAACAGCCAACAAAGCATGAACGAGGCTGGAGAAGGGTCGTTCGCAATTTCACGCCGTCGTAAGTTTCGCCTTGGCTGAATCTGGCGCCCAATTAACCTGTCCCAGATGGTTCTCTGTCACCATGGGCACCGGCATCGTGTCCATGCTGTTGCACAGTCTGCCCTACAACGGAGCATGGCTGTACTGGCTGTCCATTGTGATCTTCGTGTTGAACGTGTTCCTTTTCATGGCAGGCTGTTTCATCACCCTCCTGCGTCATATCTTATACCCAGAGGTCTTCTTGGCTATGATCAAACACCCAGTTCAATCAATGTTCATCGGCTGTTTCCCCATGGGACTTGCAACGATTATCAACATGATCTGTGCCGTATGTGTCCCGGCATGGGGCCAAGGGGCCAGCTACCTTGCACTGGGTCTTTGGATACTGGATGCTGCGATATCAGTGACCGTGGCTCTGTTATTACCTTTCATGCTGTGAGGACCACCGTTCCAACCACCCATCTGACGCCGCTAACTCTCCCAGAATGGCCCATGGTGAGGAAATGCAGCTTTCTTCCATGACAGCCGTATGGCTCCTTCCAATCGTCAGCTGCAACGTTGCCGCTTCCACTGGTGCGGCCGTGGCGGAGGTTCTTCCCAACCTCGACTACGCTCTGTGGACCGTGATCACCAGCTATGTTCTGTGGGGTATTGGACTGCCCCTTGCGTTGATGGTCATGGTGATCTACCTGGCACGGCTTGCGCTCCACAAATTGCCACCCAAGGCCGTCATTGTCAGCGTTTTTCTTCCGTTGGGCCCATTAGGACAGGGCAGTTTAGGGTGAGTTTGAACCCCCAGATCCACATGGGGGAGATGATCACTGACTTTCTTGCCAGAGCGACCAAACTGGGAGAATGTGCGTGCGATCTCTTCCCTCAAACCAAAACTCTCGAGCAGGGCTCTGAAACGAGTTTGTACACCATTGGGTTCCTGATCGGATTCGCTTTGTGGTCATTTGGACTTGTCTGGCTCTTCTTTGCAATTGCATCGATCGCCTGTAGCAAAACCTTTCCTTTTAATATTGGGTGGTGGGGATTCACTTTCCCACTGGGAGGGTTTGCAACTGCGACCTGCCAGATTGGAAAGGAACTCCCTTCGGAATTTTTCAATATTCTCGGAACTGTATGAATGCCCTATCCCCAGATTTTGACGGTTGGGCTAATCTAAGTTAATATATTGCAGATCCTGTCCCTTTCGGTGGTGATATTGTGGATCGTTGTGAGTATTGGCACTTTGAAAGGGGCAGTTTCAGGCAAACTTTTTTTTGCGCCCTGTTTAGCAGATCTTCGGGAAGACAAGGATGATGGCAAGAGGGCGTGATGTGATTAGTCTCGGGGGTCACACGCAGTTGTCTGTACGGAGTACGGAGTACCAGTTGTATAGTTTTGACCGGGATTGCGGATTATACCTTGGGAAGCAGCTTGGGGAGATAGCCATGTCTCTTGGGTGTGAATACGTGTCTTTGGTGTATACTATACCTTTCTGTGTGCTGTTCCATCAGAATCCAGAATAAAACACTAATATCCCAACCTCGTCTGTCATATATTATATTATATACTACCGAATCCGTCCTAGAAAGAACGGTGTAGATCACGTGATGTGGAGATGAAATTTCGATTTTATTTTATTTTTTTATTTTTTATTTTTTTAATATTTTTTCCCTCGCCATCGAGGATTCCAGCCCAGTGTCATCCACTTCGTCTCCAATCTACTTTTACTGGGCCCTGTCATCTACAAAGGGTCTCAGTAGATAGATTTGGTCTGTTTTCGCTGGGCCTCTGGTTCTCCTCAGTCGCTCCTCCCCCTGAATTCTCTTTCAGTGCGCGACCGTCGACTCACTGGCGAACTGCGCTGACCGGCACCACTCGGTCTCCGTAGCCGCTAAACCAGATTCGGCTCTTCCGCTTGGTTGCCTGACAGCCTGGTGGCCTGGTTGCCTTGTGGCCTCAGGCCGGAATAGAACAACAAACACGCGGCCTCGGCGCGACTCGAGTGGCGATTCTCCCGTATAGAATTGTCAGCGGCGCTGGCGGCGCGATAGGTTCTTTGGAATACTTCCTCATCGCGTTATCTCACATTCTCATCCCCCCACACGAGCTTGGGACGGTTTTAACTACTGCGCCCTTGCATGCTTCGCGTTTGAAGGGATCGCTCGATTTGCCGTAAGCGGCAAGTGCGCGCGCGCCTCTTTGGTTCACGATGATGAACTACGGAGGTCACCCATTCAATCAACAGCCGCCTCAGCAACAACAGCAGCAGCAGCATCAAGGTGTTCAACCTCAGCATTCCTTGGGTCCACAACCTCAACGGCAGCATGCTCAATCACCACTGCTGGGCGCGGGGTCGGCGCTGCCCCAGCATAGTCCGTTCCCTGCCAACAAGCCAATGTTTCGCCAGCAGCCACAGCAAAATTTTACAGCATCACAGTCTCCGGATTTGCGCAAAATGACTCCGACATCGGGCTCCTTAGGTGGATATCCCGCTGCGAACAGTTTTGCGCAATTCCCTGGTCAGTTCGGAGCGCAAAGTTCACCCGATCTTTTGTCGCGCAACCCTGACCCCATGGCGCTGCAAAACCTTCAGCGTGGCTTCAATCCAATGGCTCATCTCCGCCCTCAGCCGGGAATGGGATCACCCGCCGGCATTCATCCGATGAATGTCCCTTCTCCTCAGCAGACCATGAACAGACTACCTCACGCCGGTATGCATCAAAGAGATCACCATCCTTCGGCTAGCCCGTCTATGGCCAGTCCCTCCATGTTTGCTATGAATCAGCAGCGACAAGCGCAGTCCCAGTCCCAGCCGCAATCGCCACAACAAACACAACAGCAGACGCACCAGCAATTGCAGCAGCAGATGCAACAGCAGCAGTATCAACAGCGACTTGAACAGCAACAGTTGTTGGAACAGCAGAAGCAAATTCACCAGCAGCGGTTAGAGCAACAACGTGCCGAGCAGCAGCGGATTGAACAGCAGCAGAAGGCCTTGGAAAAGCAAAAGCTGGAAGAACAGCAGCAGCAGCAGGAACAGCAAGACCGTCTAGAGCAGCAACGGATTGAACAGCAGAAGCAAAGAGTGGAACAGCAGCGAATTGAGCAACAACAGAAGCAGCACCTTGAGCAGCAGAGATTGCAGAAGTTACAGCAGCAGACCCAAGCGCAAAACCCGTATCAACAGCAATCACCCTTCTCTCAACACACTCAGCCTCCGTTCCACCCATCCCAATACCAGCAACATCAAAGTTCGTCCCAGCATCAGTACAGCCAGCATCAGACGCAATTTTCTCAACCTCAGTCTCAATTCCAATCTTCTCCACGCCAGACACAGTTCCAGCATTATCAACCGCCAGCACACGCAGGTATTCCTGCGTCTCAGCCAGCTGTTCCGGCGATGCCGACTGCCACCCAGAGTCCGGTCATGAAAGTTGAAGATCCAGGCTCTGCGCTGAAGAAGAAGAGCAAACCTAAGAAGGTTGCGCAGACTCAACCTCATGCAAATCAGCCTCAGCCTCAGCCTCAGACCCAGCCCCAGTCTCAAACTCAAGCCCCAGCCCAAGCCCATGGACAAGTTCATGGGCAAGTTCATGGACAAGGGCTCGTTGATCATCAAGTTCAGCCTAATCCCCAGGCACACATGCAACCTCCCATGGGCGCACCTACTGTGACTCCAACTCAGACCAATGGACAAGCGCACATACCGACTGTCGCAGCTGCAGGCGCTGATTTGGCAACTCCCACTCCCAAGCGTCGCCGTGGCCGACCACGCAAAGAAGAAGTTGCCGCTAGATTAGCTGCTCAGGCTGCTCATGCTGCCGCGAATGGCGAGCCCATGCCAGGAGTTCCACAACCGGGGCAAGCTTCTTTCACGGCAAACATGACGCCGACGGGCGCTCTACCGCCTTCCTCTTCCAAGATAACCCCGATCTTAGGGCCTGACGGGACCCCTTTGAAGCGTAAGCGCGGGCGTCCTCGCAAGGCAGATCAGATTGCCTGGGCCGCTGCAACAGGACAGCCCTTACCGCCTCCAAAGCCCAGAAAGCCTTCTTCAGCGAAGCCAAAGCAACCCGGCACAGGTCGACCTCGTGGCAGACCTCGCAAGGCAGATGTGGCTGCTGCTGCTGCTGCTGCTGCCGCAGCCGCAGCCGGCGGTGGCGACCTGACCCAGACCAATGGGAACCCTCAAGCTCCGGATGGCACTGATGCGACAGCAGGATTCAAGCGCGCGGCGTCAGCTGTGGATGACGAAGGACGCAAACGTCCATGTCCCACGCCGCCTCAGATGCACCAAGGTCAGACCCTTCCAGGTCAGTCGATGCAAGGCCGGCCGATGCCTGTCCAAGGCATGCCGAGTCAGGCCCTGCCGCAGCACCAGAATCATCACATGTTTCAAGCCCAGCCGCAACAAAACAAACCTATGCAAAGCCAACCTATGCAGCAACAATCAAGCCAACACCTTGGCCAGCCACAGGTTCAGCACATGCATCAACAGCAGCAGCACATCTCTCCTCAACCGGGACACTTGACGCACAGCCACAGCCAATCTCTTTCGCAGCAGGCGGGCCAGCAGATGACAATGCCACACATGCAAATTCATCACCAGTCTCCTGCCCACTCAGCGCGTTCCCTCCCTCATCAGCCCTACCTTCAGTCACCGATGCAGCACCAGATGCAGCACCAGATGCAGACTGAGCCAAACCACGGGATGGGCCAGCAGCGCAGGCCGCCAATTCCTCAGCGAACCCAGGCACCTCCACCACCTGCGCCACAACACGAGCACCAACACCAGTTCCAGATCAAGATGCAGCCACAGCCTACTTAGGCTGGATGCTGGTATCCCTCGTTCTCTCAGAATCTTTCGTGCCTTGTTATCATTCTATGTTTGAACTGTTCAAGATCGATATTCATACTGTTCTTGTCATTTGCATGCGTTGTCGTCTACGAAGTCTCGTATCAAGTCTGGTGGTCTTTTTATGGGGTTGGCGTTGCATGTACGGCATACTAGGCATTTCTTTCTTATTCGCTTAGCCAGTGGGTTTTTCAATGGTGTTTACATATTAATGTTGTCGATCTAGTATATAGTCTAATCTCAGTTTGTCAATCATGTACATTCGATATATCAACCTAAATTCCGATGTCGTCCCCAGTCATCAATTCATCAATTCATAAACCGGAAAAACCTTCCAAGCTTTCAACTTTGAAAACAGCTATGATCATTAAAAAACCCCTCCTTCAAAATCAACCAACTCCTCAAAAGCCTCCATTCCACTCCCGCTATCAGGACCGCTTTCTCTACCGTTTCCATTTCCATTTTCATTTCCGTTGCCACTTCCAGTGCTCTCATACCCATACGCATTTCCATTCCCATTCCCATTCCCACTGGAAGCCCGACTCTCTCGCATCGCTTCAGCGAATCCCAACCCATCAGGCCAGTTCCGCAAATCAATATCAAGCCCCGGCGCAATACTCTTCACAATACCCTCACAAAGCACAAACGCCCTCTTCGCCGCCGGGTCCACAGAAGCCATAATATGAAGCCACTGCATCGCCTTCCTCGCCGAATTAATAGCCGTACTCATATCCGTCTCCAGAAGAGGCGGGTACACAGCCGGGGTAGCAGGCGAGCCCGGCGTCGCGTCGGGACTCTTCATCCGCGCATGCGAACAATACGATAATCCCAAGAGGAGGGCGGACGTTGCCTGCATGAGATAGTGAAGGACACCCCACCAGGGCGCAGTGCGCGCCAGCCAGGACATGCTGGGGTCGTCTGGGAAGATGGAGATCATGGCGCAGGAAGCTTGGAGGCATTCTGTTGCTGTGTCGGCGCGGGATCTGGCGCGTGGAGCCCCGCTTGATTCTGGTGAGCGGATCTGTGAGGATTGGGTGTGGATGTGTGTTAGGCAGGGTCTGCAGAGGGTGATTCGGGCGGAGTAGTAAGACATTGCCAGACAGACGCGATCGCGGACGAAGGGTGCGGATAGATCGTCGAGGTTGTTGTGGTTGAGGTGCCAGGGGCCGGCTTCGGGGAGGGTGAATTGGTAGAATGGGGGAAGTTTGTCTAGCCAGCGGTTTAGTCTGGTGCCGAATTTGGAGACGTGGTATTCAATTTGGGAGGGGCCTTTTCGAAGGCCTTCGATTGAATATACTTTGTTCATCAGGGCGTGGGTGATGAGGTTCAGGTCGACGAGGTAGTTGAAGAAGAGGGAGGGACAGGGAGCACATGAAGAGATCCAAGCCGGAGATTCGAATTGGGTGGAGGATTCAAATAGGGTGGGTGTCAGTTGAGATTCACGCAGATTCGGGTCTTGCAAGAGCCGCTCTGCTTCGGGCTGGCTGAAGGATTCTTCTTCGCAGGGAAGAGGAGGTGGGACGGAACAGAGGTTCTCGCTGACGCAGGAGGCGCGGCCGGTCATTGAAGTGAGAAGATGTTCCATTGAGTAGATGGACCACCAAAGACGACCTCTGGCTTCTTTTGCGGCGGCTGCAGTTCGGTCATCCGTTAAGCGCAGGTTGATGCCCAAGGATAGCGCAGAGCGAAGAGCCATGTTGGAGAATTTTGAGGCCCTGCTTTGGTATTAACTTTTGACTCGGTGAATTCAAGCGGTAGATACAAGCTTACCTGTTGACCTGCCCCATACATATGAGATATATGGCCACTAGCAGTTCCAGCTGGATTTGCTGGAGATCGGTATGCTCGAAAAGAACTTTACTATGTAAACCGAGATGGCGCGCTCGGGTTAAAAAGACCAGATCTTCCTCGCTAGAACCAGAACCAGGGCCATTCACGAGCCAAGTGTAACGGCAACCAATTGCGAAAATCATGTTGAGGATCGCCAGCCATTTCAGCGGCGGAGACGATGCGCGGTTGAAGAAGTTTTGGTATTGGGAAACAAACGTGCTCAGACGGATCGCGCCGAATGTTGGATGAACGTAAGTCAAGAAGGCGTGGAAATACCTGTCGGCTACTTCACGCGGTGGAACAGCGAAAGGATCGCATGGTTCGATTAACGGAATCTCCGAATTATCCAAATGATAGTCCATCATTGAAGTCGAGACGATCCTGTCGAGCGGCTGCCGGGCAAAAGTCGACGCATCCTGCATACTCACACCACTTTCCAGCTTGCGCATCCACTGGATTTCGGAATTCTTCCCAAAGAAACCGGAAGCACGCGTACCTTCATTTCGGTTCAAGTCTTCGTCGACTTGATCAATGGCCTCCAGAGAACCCATTGAGGAATCAGAATCGGAGCCGTCATCGTTCTTCGGCGGTGGCTTGCCAGGATTCTGTACGGGCATCGATCGTCAAAAGTCTGAACTCGGGACTCAAATCATTTGATCTGAGACTCGGGTGAGACCGATCCTGATGGTTCCGAACATACCTTCATAGTTTTCCTAATCTTGCGAGCCGTCTCCATATCCACCTCACTTTCCAGATCTCGTAGTAAGGCTTCGTACGCCTCGACTCGCTTCGCTAGAGATCCCAATCGCTTCTGGTCGCGGACTCTTTTCACATCCTCGTAGGAACATTGCTGGTGGTGGTAGACGCATTGCCCGCATGACGGTCGCAAACCATCACATTTGATTTTGCGCGTGCGACAGGGCTCGCATGCGCGCGCCGAGCGACGGCGCCCATGCGATACGTCGCCTGGGTGTAGCCGGGGGATAGCTACTTTGGGCGCGCCGGGAACCGAACCGGGGGCAGACGACGAAGACGAAGCATTCAATTGAAATAAATGCGACAAATTGGTCGCCGAGGCCTCTGATGGCGAGTGGCTAAGTGGCGTCGGGAATGGATTCTGAGGCGTTGAGAGCGTTCCAGAGGTCTCGTTCCAATTCAGCCTGGACTCAAGGGGTTTTTCAGGTGATGGATAGTCCATGTTCTAAAGGTCGACATGGATGTTGCAAAGAGAAATATTTCCCATTCAGATAAAAAGCGGGCCTCGGCAAAAGAAAAGAAGTGGGAATTGGCAATGAGCCATGTTCATCTGGACGATGCGATGCGTGGGAGTCGCCAAGACTCGCTGGTTTGACGTCAGACGTGAGCCGGCGGCTTTAACTTCTCTCTTCTCCCTCGTCCCTCCTCTCTCCTCTCTCCACTTCGCTGTCATGCACGCTGATCTCCAATTCTCCTGTCTGCTGCTGGACAAACCAGATCCATTCCCAAAAAAACACGCTGCAGATCTATAGTTATGATATCATCGATCCATACAATGGTCTCGCCACCACGACCAAATGTACCTCGATATGAGAACACGTTCCACGGCAGCACACCCTAGCACCCAAGGAGATATCTCTCAGCGAGAACCTCGTCTTTCCCCAAACTCAGACTCTCATATCGATCCAACATGTCTGAGAGTCCAAGTCCCGGATAATCTTGTAATCCACCGCCAATGCCACGATATTTATCCTTCTGATTCAATTTCTCCAACCCCTCAGCATACTCGTCGAATCTGTGACACCCCTTGCTAGCGGGGTCCTCATCAAAAAGCTCCTTCAATTCATCAGGAATCTCGGATTTACGAATCCGGTACCCTTGCGCCTTCCCGCGCACCGACTGTCGAAAAATATGGAACAGGTTCCGCCCGAGCGCCGACCGACTCGCCACAACCGAGAACGCGCTTGCCAGAGTTAGGAAATCATCATCTAACACGTCAAAGGCGTCTTGTTCGAGCATCGTAAATAGCGCAAGGTTGATCGCGTACATGGCGAATGGATGGGCACGACTGATCCCGAACTCCCGTCTGTGAAGACGGGTTAGGGCGGCAATTTCTTGCGCTGCGCTTGCGGTAACTTCCCATGCATTATACTTTGTGTCTGGGGTGTGGCGAGATGGGCTTTCTGGTGTGTTGGGCTCGAAAGAAGGGTCGGAAGAGATACAACTGAAGAGGTTGATGATGAGGGTATTGTATCGCATTCTGTAAGTGTGAGACTTGCTTAGTTTTTCTTTTTCTTTTTCTCTCTCTCTCTCTCTTTTTCCGCGCATGGAATCCGGGGAGGGAAAACTCACTTCAGCAAGAGGATGTGAGGGGCTGGCCTATAGCGCACATCCAAGTCCTCGGGCAGCAGATCATGCCAGTGACGAAGACGATCGTAGAGCGCCTCGCGGCTTTGTCGATGAGTCGGGCCGAGAGCTGTACTCACACGGTGGTCGGCGAACATGCTGCGTGAGATATCCCGGGCAATGGTCGACAGGTTACATGCTTCGTCAAAGTAGACGGATAGCAACGAAGGCCGGGCCTCGCGGTGCGTTGGGTAAGGGCGCCATAGGGACTGGTCTTCCAACGGACTGCGGTCTATACGAGCCATATTGACGTGGTCGATCAGACTAGGGCGAAGGAAGCCCGTGTGCACAATCCTGTAGACATCAATACCCTGTGCTGTGCTACCCGCGCTCTTTATACTTACGTGTCGACATTGAACAGACCCCATGCTGTCCGTTTGCATGAAATATCCATATCTTGAGATAACTCGCCAGATGCCATTCGTGGTCCTGTGCTGCCCACCAGTCCCAAAGATTCACCCATGCGAATCGCCTGGTGCAGCATGATATATCCCAAGTCGTCCTCGCGAGACATGGCATATCTATCCCCATCAGACTCATTTACACCCAATCCCAGACCCCAATCTCCAGAAAAGAGAATACACACCTCTCATATAAAAGCAAAGTCCCTTGCAACCCAGCCAAACTAGGCTGCGAAGGACCCTCATCCCTCAACCTCTCAGCCTCAGCCAAGAAATCACTTCCCTTAGACGAGATATCCCCCGGAACAACATAAGCCTCGGAGAACTCCGAAAAATACTAGCCAACAACATCAGCTCCAGAAGCAATATGCAAAACCCAATGCATAAACTTACACACGCATTGCTCAAGACAGCATTAACCAAGAACGAGCTACAAAACTCGCTCCCAGCCTCAGCCCTCCTCATATGTTTCAAAAAAACCTCCTTATCCAAAAACGCACTAAAAGGCCAATTCCAAGCAAAATACAACGAAACAAGATGCGAAACCAAATCACCATCCCTCGTAACAGTCGTCCAAGGCTCCGCAGGAACATCACACGGCGCCTCATCACACAGGTAATGAATATCCATCACCTTCCTCCTGAATACAGGAGTCGATCCCTCGACATTGAGAATCTGGCGCACATCCTCCAGCTTAGCGACCGTTTCTTCTTTCTTCGGCTGGAAAGAATCAGAATCGCTGCGGAGGGAGTCGAGGGTGGTGTTGATGTATGCTCTGATTTCGTCGGCTGGGGCATTGTGGCGGATGATGGTTAGGAGGTGGAGGGCGTGGGATTCGTTTGCTTCGCGGACTAGTTTGAAGAGGTCTGTTAGGAGGTCGCGGTGGTAGGAGAGTTCGTCTGCTGTTCTTTTTGCGGCGACGCGGCGGCGTTGGTCGAGGGATTCGTCGAATATGCAGATTCGTTTGAAGGTTTGGCAGTTTGTGCAAGGGGATGTGCCGCTGCACTGTTTGTTTGTGGGTTGTTAGATAGTGGTGGTGGTGGTTGGACGGCTATGGATATAGATATATCCACGGGTTGTGGGTGTATGTGAAACTAAGAACTAACCTTCCTCTTGGATTTCTTACAGGCTAGACAAGCAGTCGAAACCCTTTTCTTCCAAGTACCCTTTTCAGCAGGTGGACTGTGTTCGAGGTCGTTTTCTTGGTCGTCGGAGATGGGCGATGATCCTGGTACAGGTTGGCGGTATCGGTCGCTCATGACAGTATATCAAGATTCAGATTCAGTCTTGGAAGCTTGACGGTATGTATAAAGGGCGATATGTGGAGAACAAAATATGTAAGTTTGGCAGTAGTGGAGCGAAGTATATAGAGCCACGATATGTACTTGGGGGCACTGGGGATATACAGAACAAAATAGACAAAGACACTGTACAGATATCAATGCATTTCGAAAGTGACCGGGAATCCTGATTTTCAAGGTTATAGAAAACTTGAGGCTTTTCCCTGCTGGGTATAAGAGCTGATCTGATGTCGACCTGATTTCCAAGGGTTTGCCTGGCAAATGACGTTGGCTGAGATCATGGGGAACTTTTACCCGCCTATCAATGGAGCGGTGGGATTGCCTGAGCTGCCACCTGGAAATACGAGCTCCGTAGTGTGCAGGGGAGGGTTCTGACGATGGGGGTGATCTATGCTGAGGAATATCTAGTAATGGAGTTTTCAAGGTTGTTGATTCGTGAAATATCATTTGTTTACTTCAAACTACCCGTGGTCGGTGATAGCTTGAGCCCACCCCGAGTATGGTAACTTTCATACTAAAGCTTGGATGGAGATGTGGGATTGTGTGAAATTCAACAAAGTGCATTCTATGATCTGAGAAGTACTTGGAACTTGAAGAATTGAAAAGGCTGATAGCCAAATAAAGAAGAAAAAGAAAAGACGCTGGATTATTTGTAATGTAATACAAGTACTTCTTTTGCATACTCCCATGGAATCCACAGCGAATGCACCTCTGACCAAAACACAAGAACTTTAAACATCAGACGCATACATCTAGTGCTCCAGAATTCTCAAGCTACCCTGCACAACGCAGTTCTCGAGCACGGAACCAGGGGGGATATCAATGGTGCTACCCTCGGAGGCGACAATGATGACGGTACCCTTGAGAGTGACATTGCGACCGAGGTTCACAGGACCGGTGACAGTCAAGTGATCCAGTTCGACAATGCGGGGGATGCTGGCAATGCGCTTCTGGAAGTCAGAGACCTTCTTGAAGTCGGAACCCAGCTTGATGACGGGGACACCACCGAAACGGTTGGGGTCCATGACCAGCTGGCCGTGCTCGAGGCGGTAGAGGTCAGACTTGACGACCATGAGGTCGGAGCAGGTCTTGACGGGCAGGAAACGACGACGGGGCACGTTGACACCGTGGGCGTTCTTGAAGTGACGGATGGCGGCACCGACGGCGGTCTCCAGCTGGTAGATGGCCTGGTCGGCCTCACCCTTCTTATCGGCGGGGATGGACTTCTCGTTGGGGATGATCTCCATCTCGAGCTCGTTCTCCTCGACGACACGCTTGATGGCCTGGACGTTCAGCCAGATGTTGTTGGTGTTGAAGTACTTGAACTTCTTGATGGACTTGAACTCGTTGACGTGCTCCTTGGGGACCTGAGCGATCTCGAGCAGGCGGACCTTGCCGTCGGAGTCAATGATGGTACCACCCTTGACGTCGGCCTTGGTCTTATCGGTCAACTCCATGATGTACTCGGACTTGGTGTCGGCCATGTGCTGCAGGATGCGGAGATCGACCACGGCACCGAGGTTGTCGGCGTTGGACAGGAAAATGTACTCGATGCCACGCTCGATCAGCTTGTCGAGAGTGCCGGAGTTGTAGAGGGACTCGAAGACGTCACCGTGACCGGGAGGGTACCAGTCCTGAAGGGGGGAGTCGAAGCTCTTGGGGGCGGGGAGGAGGGAGTCCTTGATGATACGGGGGTAGCGGGACTGGTTGAAGGTGATGATATCGACGTTGTGGCCCTCGTACTTCTTAATGATGGACTGGGTGTCCTGGTCGGTGTTGAAGGAGTTCATGAGCACGAAGGGAACGTTCACGTCGAAGGTGCGGTTGAGGTGCTCGATCTGGCGAACGGAGAGATCGAGGAAGGACATGCCCTCACGGACCTCAATGACGGACTTGGGGCCGACACAACCCATGGAGGTACCGAGACCACCGTTGAGCTTGACGACGGCGAGCTTGTTCAGGAACTCGACGGAGGCGTCCGCACCGAGCTCGTCGTAGCCGACGACCTGGGAGGGCTGGGGAGGGGCGATGCGGTCCCAGTTGACGGCGTTGCCCTTGGCCTTGTCGTTCAGGAAACGGCGGAACAGGGCAAAGAAGTTGTCCATCTCGGCCTCGAAACGCTTCTTCTCGTTGGGGTCGGTGACGCTGTCACCGAGGGCGTTCAGCGCATTGCGCATCTGGGAGGCGGCGACGCTAGTGGAGGCATTCTCGAAGGCCTGGTTGGAGGTGAAACGGGTCAGTTCCGGGCCAAAAGTGGGTTTTAAAGTAGACATGGTGGGATCAAAAGACAGAGCACGGAGAGCAAGATAATAGACGTAATGGGATATGATCCAGGCCCAGCAGATCAGACAGGGCAGTTCGAACAGTTCAGACAGTTCAGGTGGGAGAGGGGAAACACCCAGTGGAAGCTCCCCCCAACAACCTTGGGCAAGCGCGGCAACGGCAGGAACAAAGCTAACCAAGCTTCCTTCCAGCTTCGAATACAACGATCACTTACCATGTGTGATTGAGACTTGCCGTGGTGCTTTCCACCGAAGCTCTCATCGACGGGAGCTCGGAGGTGAGTGGGAAGTGCCTTGGAGGCCATTATGAATAGATATCTGGGAGGGAGTTAAGAGACTGTGGAATGAAGCTATGATGAAAAGAAGGTAGAATTGCAGGATACATACCAAGAAATCAGAGGGGTTTGAGAGAGAAAAAAAGAAGCAGAAGAGGGGGAAGAGGGATCTTATGTGTTCAGAAACAAGGAAAAAGGGAGAGGGCCGATCTCCAAAGTGGGGGAGTCCCCGTGTTATATGTGATTTCGCCGCTTCAGGTATTTTGTACTTTATAACACATAAGACATAAGTATTCTCTACTTCAGCTATAAGCTCTGTTCTTACTGTGTACTGCCTACTCCGTACTGCACTGCTCTATTTCAGTTTGGTGGCAAATTGCTCTTACAGGTGTGTGTCGTCAACACTAACACACTGACAACCTGGACACTGACATCGGCATATATTGCAAACTCAACCGTGAATATATAAAATCACATAATTCATATAATTATAATTCACATATGTTCTGTTCTCAATTGTAAACATGTGAGTAATTACTATCAGGTACAGAACATTCCCAACAGCAAATAACCGCATCCGGAGGACTCACTTCCTAAACCGTTGAGAGTTAGGATGCAATCCAGACCAGCCCCTTTTTTCTGTAGATTAACCCACTCACCGTTCAAGGAACCTAGTCCAATTTGTATTTGCTACTCAAAATTAAAAAAGGAATTACAAAAGACCCACCTTCAGCGGTTGCATAGGCCCATAGCCCATAGCCCACAGCCCACAGCGCCCATGGCCCAGCTCCGATTTATCCTCTTGACCCTGTCCGAGACTCGGGATTCGGGAGGGTTTCAGATATTAGGGATATTCTATTTTCACATTGATTCCAAAATATAATAACTATACTCTATAGTGAATATGAAGAATAATTATTATTTCAATTGCCGTGCTCCGTCACGGCCCGACGTTCGGGACTGAATTCGCTTTTCTGCTCGGAATGCTAGCCATGCTGTGGTATGTGAACACCGCCGAGATTCAACTTTGGCTTCATGTTTTTAAATATTTGCATAAAGTGTACTACCACTGTTCACCTGATCTCATATGTACCACGATAATAGCCATAGTCGTCTGAGTGTTTACATGGCCCATTAAAGATCTGTTGGAATATATCTTATTCCATATCCTATACGGAGTAATCATGGACAGCCCTCTTACTCCGTACAGTCTTACCTATTCAGCCCTATCTACTCCCTACTCCGTAGCGTGAACCCCTTATCCTCCCCTTATACCCTCTGACACCCCCTACCACCGCGTACCTCCGTCATTATCATATCAAAATCATACACTTGGAGCTTCACTGAAACTATGCCCCCCAAAGTGGAACGTGGCAGAAATTATGACTCCACCGGGACTCAATCCCTTTAATGTCAAACCCGTGGTTCAGTAATTGGATCTAAAAATACCCGTTAGACGGAGAGAAAGCTCTTCCAGAACATCAAGTCCCAAAAAATTACGTAGTTCAAAACATTGCAAAATTGAATCAAATATCCCAACCTCAACCTCAACCTTGACCTCCTCCCCCTCATCTCATCCTGCATGTCGAAGCGGCCCAAGCTTCGCGGGTCGCAGATCACCCTCAACCGCCCCAGGTGGGCTGTGCAGGCAACAGAGATTTTTGCCGAATATCTACATAACCCGATAGAATATAAGAGTATGGAATATGGAATATGGAATACGGGACGGAGTCTCCGTACCAACAGATTGGAATGCAATGAGACTCGTATAGCTTCGCGGATTGCCCCTTTCAGAATTCCAAGGTGAGACAGTGAGACACCTGGACATCGGTGAGGCGAGCCAGTGGCGTAACTATTGATTGGCCTAGTTTAAGTGTGCTAATTTTACTCGCCTACGGAGTACTAAGTACGGAGTACTTCAGCTCACAAAATATAGACAATATAGACAATTGAATTCAACCAGAGTTCAAAAAAAGGATGAAAATAGAATAAAAAAAATAAAAAGGATATCGTAACAAAACAGTAAGAAAAGGTCATATTTTCATAGACCCTGGCCGGTGGGAAAAAGCCAGAGCGATTCGGTAGAGACATTCAAGACCAAAACCAAGACCAAGAATTAGATTCAAGATCAAGTTTAAGCCCCACTGACGCTTCGCTTGCTCAAGAAGCTACGTCTCGGCATCTTTCGCGAATCAGGACTTTCAGCGCCATCGTTTTCAGCAGCGGTTGAGCCAGAGGTGGTAGGTCTCAAGCCAGAATCCGAAGGCGCGAAGCTGGAGCGGATAGTCACGACACCGTCGCCGACGGTAACAACCTTATCCTGACCAGCGACGGAACCCTGGTCATCGACGAAGAACAGGGCATCGCCGAGAGTGTCGTCGGAACCGAAAGTGGCGTGGTCGACGACACGGATCTGGTACTGGGCATCGGCGGTGGTGTTGGGGACTCGGAAGGCGTCGTCGTAGTTGACAGTTCCAGAGGTGTTCTTGTGAGCCTTTGTTTTATGGACTTCCTTTGCGCCCTTGGGGCCGACGACGCGGACGATGACGCGCAGGTTGGCGTTGGTTGGGAAGTTGGCGGCTGAGACGAGGGTGATGTTTGCGACGCCCTTTTCTCCGGACGAGGATCCGATCACGCTGAGACGGTCGCCGTACTGCGAGGCTGTGCTGCGGTTGCGGGAGTGCTCCTTCTGCGGTGTTTCCAGGGCAGAGGAATCGGCGATCGAGGCGGAGGGGGCGAGGCGGTCTTGGTCCTCTTCGGCGATGGAGGTTGCGTCCTCCTGCTTGTCTTTGCCTCCGAATCGGGACATGAAGCCGTGCTTGACGAAGGAGGCACCGCGGACGACGTTGCCGCCGACGAAGCCAACGCCCTTCACGGGAGCACCGACAATCTTACCGGGCACGGCGAAGGTGCCAGAGAAGGTGGAGGAGCCTTGACGAGAGCGAATGACGTAGCTAGGTTTGAAGAGCACCTTCAGACGGATGACGCCCGACTTGCCATCCAGAGGAAGAGTGATCTCCTTGGAGACGAATGGCTCCAGGTCCTCCAGGTTGATAGGGGTGGCACCGAGCCAGTCAGCCGAGTCACCAAAGTCCCAGTCGTAAACATCGACGTGGAAGTTAGCGCCAATGCGCGATTTAATGGGAGTTTCAAAGAACTCGTTCCACGCAGGATGCAGAGTCTTCTTTTGGACCTTGGTCTTGTGAACGGTCTCATCGCCCAGGCGGAATTTACAGAATGGGTCGGAGAAACCGTTGCGGTCAGCAGCTGGGAGCTCGGCGGCATCGAGAACATCGACACGAAGGGTACCCATGTTGTTGATGCTCTCCAATGGGTCGAGCTTCATCTGGGTGGGGATGTAGCGGGCGCTGACGGTGACCTTGCTCACTTCACCATCGGTGGAGCGCAGGACCAGCTCGGTGGGAGTGTACAGCATGCGCATGAGGGTTGGCAGGGTATCGCCGGTCAGCTTGGCGACGGTGTGTTCCTCGCTGGAGTCCTTGGGGTCATCCTTCTTGACGAGACGCAGGGTGATCTTGGAGAACTCGAGCTCGCGAACGAAGGCCTCACCGATGTCGGTGAACTTGGCAGTCGTGGTGTGAATTTTAGATGAGGTATAGGCAGGGAACATGTAGTCATCCATCAAGACTTCCAGCTGGACGTGGGCATGTGCCAGCTGGCCTTCGTGGAACTTGAACACGATGAAACCGGACTCTGTAGGAAGTTAGCATTGCAACGACTGGGGTGGAATTGATGATCAAGAGACATACCATATTTCTCCAGATCGTCCGCGGCAACGAAAGTGCGGGGAATCGACTTGATCGACCGAACGGACGCGGTCTCAGACTGGGGACCGGTCATTGGGCGCGATCCATTCGTCTCCAGACTGGTGCGGCCGTTGGTGGTTGGCTCACCGTTGCCGTTAGTACCATTAGGAGTAGCGCCATTGGACAGGGACTTGGAAGTCTTGGAGGACTTCGAGTCAACACTTGCAGACTTGGTGTGCAATGTCTTGGGTCGAGACTCCATGCTCTTGCGGAAGTCAACGGAGTCAGGGCCGGGGGTACCAGGAACTTCCTCTTCCTCTTCCTCTTCCACCTCATCTTCGGGGTTGACAACAGGCACAGACGGGAAGAAAGCAACATCGTAGAAAAGTTCACCCTTCTTGGCGCCACCGCTGATGCTCAGCGAGCTAGTGATTGCTTGCTTCTCATCGTCGATCTCATACTCACCAGCCTCGTTCTCACGAACGAAGTCCGAAGCATTGAGATCGCACCATCCAAGAGTTCGATCCTTGTTGATGGTCTCCTCGTCCATGACCTCGACAGTCAGTTTCTCACGGGCGCTGCGAATAGGGACGTAGACGACCTCATCCCACTCGGGGTTGAGGTTGTTGCGGAAAGTCACGGTGCGACCGCGAGTAATACCAGAAAGCAGCACACGAGCGTAGGGGTCGGACTTGCCCATGGCCTCCAGATTGCGCAGGTTGGTCGCGCGCTTGAAGTGGAAGCGCATGACACCAATCGGGTCGATGTAGCCGGCGCTGCCGATACCACCAAGAGCAACCGGCTTCCAGTTCAAGGTCATTTTGGCACGACCATCCTTGGCACCGTGGAGGTGGAACCACTGCTGGCCACGCTCCATCATCTTGATCATGTCGTTCATCTTGATCTGGTACCGACCGATAATCGGGTCCTGCATGATGTCACGGTCGTCCTTGAGAATGAGACCCAATTTGGCGTTCTTGCGGTCAGTGACGAGGAATTCCTTAGAGGCGTTCTGGAAGATGGGGTTGTTGGTGCGCTTGAGCTTGTTGGTGATGTGAATCTCCTTTCCGTTAAGGAGAAGAACACCGTAGGGGTTCAGCTTGCCGACCAAACTCCTGCTGCCATCGAGATCCTTAGCCTGTTCAATGGTGAATTGAGCGATACCGGTGTTGAGTTCGGGTGCAGGCTCGGCCTCGCCGGCCTCGTTCTTGCGGCCCTCGAGGACGGGGAAGAAGCGAATATCGGCCTGAATGGCACCACGGTGACGACCACTGGCCTGCACCTCCAGGTAGATGCCCTCGTGAGAAGGTTCCTGTTCAAGTTTGTCCAATGCGAAGCTAGCGGTACCCATTTCCTTATCCTTGCGGAATTCATTCCAGTCGTACGCAGCGATTGACAAGGCGTCGGCGAAAGAAGTGATAATGACATAGATGGTTTCGTTCCAGCGGGGGCTGTCGGTGTCGTGCATGATCTTAGTGCGACCGAGTTCGTTGCGGTTGTTCAATGACACCACGGCATATGGATCAGGAGTGCCAGAGAACTTATCGGGGTTCTTGAGCTGGTGAGCACCGTGTAGAGTGATAGCGACAACACCAATAGCCTGATCAACGGGGTTTCCAGCAAGCATCTTGGCGATCTCAATGGGGAAGACATTCGGGTCGTACATCATTGGCTGCAAGTTGGCGTGGATCTGGTCCTTGATGAAGCTTTCCAAACCGGGGATGAAGTTGATATCAAATCCAAGGTGGTCACCACCGAGGGGCTTGCAAACATAGTCGAGCTCGGGCTTATCCAGGAAGCAGACATCCACGCGCTCGATGTGGGGGAAGGGAATCTGGAGCTTGACCTTGATGCGCATGAGGCCGGAGCAAGCCATGTCCTCGACAATCACATCCAGACCCTTGCTGACCATGCCCTTTCCGACACGAACTTCGAGCACAACCTTGGGGTTAATCTTGTCCTTCATCTGACGGGCAGTCAGATCCATAGTATCATTAGGCGTGAAGCTAAACTTCCAGTCCATGATGACGGTATCAGGCTCAGTCTTGGGGTATGTCTTGACATGCTCAAGACGAGGAGGCTTGCTACCGAGAACGAAAGTCTTCAAGCGCAAGCTATCCAGGAAGGCCGGGGTGGATGTACTGAGAACCTGATCCACAGAGTTGATGATGGTATCGCAGAGAACCGGGGCATAGATAGGCCAGAACTTGACCAAGAAGCTGTTGATCCACTCCAAGCTCTCGGTATCCGTCTCAAGACGCGCCTTAGACATTTCACGACTGATATCGTCGCGGAAGTTGCGACGCACCCGTCGAATCGAGGTACGGTAGTAAGTACTGCAAGCCGCCATGATCATCAGCACCCACCCGATACCACCGCCCACGACAGCGATCAGCCAGGAAGATAAACAGGCGAACACGATGATGGCCGCATTATGGTACCAGTCCCCAAAGAACTTGTCGGGGATTCTCCCTTCCAAGAATGTCTGGTGATCCAGCAATGTGCCCTCATCGTCGAGACCCTCTAGCTTCTCCGTGACGAACTTCGGGGCCCAACCCGTTCGATCGCGCGCCCATCGTAAATCTTCATCTACAGGCGGTTTCCCGTCCTCCGCATCCGCGCCGGCCTTGGTCGCTTCCTCGGCCATAATGGCGGTCGCAGATTGCGGGGGAGGGAGGTCATAGTCTGCTTTTCCATCGTTCTACAGCAATTAGCATCCGAGTCGCGGTCGCAACGGACGATTCTTCTCACCTTATCTGTAATTACTGCAATGCCCTTGGGCTTGTGCGGGTGGTGGAAATCAGGCGGCAGTCGCTGGGAACTCTCAGTTAGCATGCGATTGCACCGAAGGTTGCAGCATACGAACCCCCTTGGCGGCATTGGCCTTATCTTCGGGTGAAGCGTCGGGATCGAATTGGTATGCGGCGACGCCAGCTTGTCGGGCATCGTCGACGACCTTCTGTTCGACTTTATCTGGGTTGACATGAGACTGGGGGTCCTCGTGCAGCTCCTGTGCTGTCTCGATGGTACCCTCCAGCTTCTTCTCGGTCTGTTCCGCGTCGGTGGACGCCATGTCGCCGATTGTCCCAAAAGTGGTGTGGTAGGTGAGGGGGAGGGGAGATGGCGCTTACACCCCGAGGTGATGAAGGTCTAAGTATGACTGGGCACTGGATTACAAGTGCAGAATGGGACAGAGAGTACAAGAGAGTACGAGAGTACAAAAGAGATACAAAAAAGTACACAAGAGGCACGAAAGTGAAGAGGAGAGAAATGTGGACCAGGCAGCTTTCCCAGCCGCTTGCGTCAAGGGGAAGTGTGGCTGGTATGACGCTTACAATTTAATTCGCTTTTTAATTTATCTTCTGGGTTACTCGATTTACCGAGGACTAACTGGAATTGGCATAACCATGTCATATCAGATATAAATTACACACAAAAAAAGGAGCGATCGTGAAGCTCCGAGGTGGATCGGAGATCAGTGACGTACGCGTTCGACGATCTCGGGTCTCGCTTTGCTGCCCTGGAGCTGTTAGGACTGAGCTACACGTATGAGCTGTTGGCTATTAGCTATCTGCTCACTCAATGCCAATGGTCATGTTCTATGTGTAATATACATAATTAAGAAATTGTATATCCCCATAAAAAGCAATATCCCTTTTCATAGTCCATCACTAGCCCCCCAGCACCGCCACACTCCATAATGGCAGTAGCCCTTAAATGGCACTCTTCCACGGTTCCGGCGAAACAAGGAAACTGTGGAGAATGTGTGTTATTTGACAAAAAGTACTCCGTACAGCCCTATAGGAGGTCCCTGTCTGGATATTCTAGGCATTCTAGGCATTCTAGGCAGCGAAATAGCCCCTAATGCACCTCTGTAACGACTGTATCTACCATCACCACACAGATTCTCAACATAAAAAACTCAGCTCAATGGCAGTGTACACGTGGCATGCAGCACAAAAGCCTAACAGTGCCAATCTCAGCAATCCAATAACCCAAGAAAAACCCTGTCAATCGCACACTATCGACCTAAACCCGCCCCTCTAAACCCGATTTGGTTGATCGGCCATCCACTCTCTGTAAACACCCGAGGTTCACTGGGCAATTGGATCTATCACAGTGTGCTCTGTGCGAGCACTGGGTCTTGGGTCTTGGACCTGGTAGTCGGGGCTGAAGAGGTTAAATTCCACTGCTGGTGTTACTCCGTACACATTCCACGAAGGCTGGATTTATCTGCATGGTGATTGGTGCGATAGAGTGTTCGGTGAGATCTCTGACTTTTTGTTTTTTTGTTTCTTTTGGTTAGATAGAGAATCCCCACTCGATTGAGTGGGCCGAGAGTGCTTCCATGGTTGCGAGGGCTGGGATGTTCGTGGAAATATCGGCCGAGCGTCGGGGCTTGGTTGCACGGCGTGCTCCGTACGAGTACTCCGTGCTGGGTACACATACGTCTATGACCTTCGCAAACACTACCGTCAAATGCTGTCTTTGATGTTTGATACAATGGCAATGCAGACCAATATCAAATTCACTACTTCGTACTCAAGAAAAACAACATACTCCGCACGAACGAAAGAAATCCAGACAGAAAGTGAAAAAGCTAAGCAGAATGGAATTTTGGCATGGACAAAAACTACATGTGTCGGCAAAGATATCTCGTGGCAAGTCGTTTCCGGACATCAAATCCTCAGATTCGTAGATCTGATCAATTACCTCCCCATGCGAATGACACCAGCAGCCATCAGCTTCTGGATCTTCATCCGCACCTGTGAGTTCTTCATGTGTTCCTGCAGGGCAGCGGGGTCACTCTTGGCCTGCTGGAGAATGCTCTGCATAACGGGGTCCTGAAGAACGGACATGATCTCGGGGTCGTTCTGGATACGGGCCATGGTCTGCTCCTCGGTCTCACCGGCGCGGGCACTGAACTGAGCATCCAGACACTTCTGCTGTTGCTGCTCGATCTCACGGGCGTGCTTGCCGTCATCGTGGTCAGCGGCCTCGGTGAAGGTGTCCAGAGCACGGTTGTACTCCTTCATGGCGATGAGGGCGGTACCCTTGCGCATGTAGGCGCGGATGAACTTGGGGTCGAGCTTGAGGGCTTCGTCGCAGTCTTGCACGGCGCCGGGGAAGGCCATCAGCTTGATGAGGGCGGCGGCACGGTTGGAGTAGCCGCGGGGGTCGGTGGGGGCGCGCTTGGTCATCTCGGTGAAGGCGTCAACGGCAGCGGGCCAGTCACCCTCCTGGAACTTCTGCTGGCCGAGCTCACGGGCCTTCTCGGCCTCGGCGGGGTCCATGTAGGCGTTCTTCTCGGCGGTGCTCTTGGTCTTCTCGGCGTTGCGAAGCTTGGTAAGGGCGTCGGGGGTACGGTGCTCCATGAGAGACTTGTTGTAGAACTCAATGGCCTGGGTCAGGTCGTTGAGCTTCTCGTAGGCTGTGCCGATACGAGTGTAGGCCTTGGCCATCAACTTGAAGTCAGCGCGCAGGTCGCGGCCCTCCTCGATGGCCTTGGTGCAGGTCTCGATGGTGCCCTGGTAGTCACCCTTCTCGAACTTGGCAGCTCCAATGTTGTTCAGGTAGGTGATGTCCTTGTTGAGCTCCCAGGCCTTGGAGTAGTGCTCGATGGCCTCGTCGAGCTGCTTCTTCTTGTAGAAGTCGTTACCGATCTTCTTCTCGGCGTCACCCGCCTCCTGGGCCTGCTTCTTGGCGATGGCCTCCTCGTCCACGGGCTCGGGCTCGGGTGTGGGTGCCTTCTTGGGCTGCGAAGCGCTGGGCTTGGACTCGGGGACTGGGGGCTCGGCACCCTCACCGCCGAAGTTCATATCGATACCGAGAAGCACGCTCATGACCTGGAGGAAGCGGGGGTCGCGGATCTCCTCTCCAACACTGTTGGGGTTCTGCTGGATCTTCTGCAGCTTGGCCATGAACTCCGCATCACCGAGGAGGGAAGCGGTCTTGGGGTTGTTGGCGAGCTTTTGGAACAAAGCTGGGTCGTTGAACATGCCGCCGAGACCACCGGTGGGGTCACCAGTGACACCGTCAGCGTTGGCCTCAGCGTTGATGGCGCGCTGGGTGGCCTCCAGACCAGACTTGGCCTGAGCGTTGCCGGGCTCAATCTTCAGAGCCTCGTCGTAAGCGTCGAAAGCGGCCACTGTCGTATGTTAGCATTGAGCTTAATTGGATTTTGTCACTTCGAAATCACTATCACGTACAAAGATCGCCGAGACCACGGTAGGCGGCACCCTTACGGGCGTGACCCTTGGACCAGTCGGGCTTGATCTCAATAGCCTTCTCGGCATCCTCGAGGGCTTTCTGGTATTCACTCTGGGCGGCGTAGACAGCGGAGCGGTTGGAGAAAAGGATGTGGTTTTGGGGCTCGATGGCAAGAGCCTCGGAGAATTTTGAGCTGGTCTTTATCAGTTCTGATCTGGAGTCAATGTGAAAGGTGGGGTAGCATACATAGCAGTAGGGTAGTCCTTAGCAGAGAAGGCCTTGTTGCCCTCGGCCTTGAGAGCGTCAGCCATGATATAGTAGAATGCTTAAATACGCAAAAAAAAGGATGGTATGTAGATCAAAAGCAGACCATAAAGGGACTGATCAATCTGCGGTTATGAGCTCAGTCGGCCGGAGCTTCTCGAAATTTCCGCCGTCCTCGACAGGCCTCAGGCAACAACAAACTGAGCCTCAGGCATGACTTCTAAGTCATGCCTCAGGCCAGATCGCTGACAAGCTCCGAGGCGCTAAACTCTTTTAGGGCCAAGTCACTCCCCGCCGAGAAAAAGTCGCCAAAAAACATCGTTTGTGATTCATTCGTGACTCAAATTAGCCGACTGTACGCACCATGCTTCTCTAACTTAGTGCCTGGCCCTACCGTCCTCCCTCGAACATGACAAACCACGCACCCCTACGCATGAACCTCATTTTCGACTGCTGATCTCTCCGTCGCATCTCCAACCATGCCTCCCGCGGGGTCCCAAGTGGCCGAGCTCGCATCTAAGCTCTACGATGCATGCGTGAGCGAGTTCGAGCCGGACCACCTGTTCTACCAAAACGACTTTCTCAATCTCAAAATCATCCCTGGGGATGACCTCTCACTTCTTCTCCAATGCGCCCAGAGTCTGGTTGATCAGAATCTGTTCCGGCTTCTCCAAAAAGATGGCAAACTAACATGGCGGCTCATTGACCGCGAGGATGCTGAGAAGTAGGCTCTACAGGCAACCCCCTCGGCCAATGGACACCTCCCACTAACCGTTCCTTCCCTCCAGACTTCGCAACCTCACGCCCGACGAGGCCATGGTCTACAATGTCATTCACTCCACTGCACGCACAGGTATCTGGGTGCGCCATATTGGATCCCGCACGAACCTGCACAAGTCTATCCTGGATCGCTGCCTCAAATCTCTCGAAGGCAAAAGTTACATCAAATCTCTGCACAATGTCAAATTCCCCAGTCGGAAGATGTACATGCTGGCTGGCCTGGCTCCCAGCGAAGAAGTCACCGGAGGAGCCTGGTTTACCGATGGTGTTCTCGATGCCAACTTCATCAGCACTGTCGCCGGCTTTATTGAATTCACCGTGAGCCGGAAGAGTTGGTACGAGGTTCCCGCCTCAGAGCGCAAGAACAAGCGCATCAAAACCGCCTCCGGCAAAGCAGACGTCAAAGAAGAAAGCGTCTACCTCCCCTACCCACAGGGCTACAAGGGTTACCCTACCGTTGAACTGATCACATCCGCCGTCAACGAGAGTGGCATTACGCCCGTCCGCCTGGGCGAAGAGAGTGTCGTCCAACTCCTCGAGATGCTCTGCTATGACAACAAGCTGGTATCCCTGGCAAACGGTGCAATCTACAGATCCCTCAAAAGCCCCGCACAAGTCAAGGAAAAGCAAGCCCGGAAGCCACCTATTGAAGGCGACGACCTCGCCGTTGTGAACAAGCACCTTGTGAAAAACGGCATGACCGAAGCACCCTGCGGCCAGTGCCCTGTGTTCCGACTGTGCTCACCTGGCGGAGCCGTCAGCCCTGAAACATGCGAATACTTCGATCCTTGGCTGGAGAGTGGACTTGGCTTTTAGCGAGTCCACTCACGATTTGAATTTCGGCGCACTGAACGTTCCTGTGTGCCAACACGTTTGCATGGAAACAAAAAAAGGAAAATATGTGTGCATAGCGATGGCGTTTACTTGATTTGCTTAGGCCCTTGCTATCACTAGCTTGGTTTGCGGCTTGGACATACACTAGGACATGGAAGAAAACTTGGTCTTCCCTTGTTTCCTATGGCCGGCAGATGGAGAGCTGGTTTCGTCTAGATCTGGAGATAGATGAATTCGAAATTTGCTCTGCTAAAATTGCAATTAAGAAAGTAGTATTCCGTAGTCATGTAGAAATTCCCATAGTACGTACAACACCATCCGTAAACGCCTCGGGTATCCCATCATAATCATAACTATTTCCCAAGTGTGCGTCGACACTCATCACAGTACCATGTTCCAACAGGCTCTCGAGTAAGCCCAACGCACTTCCAATGGAACCACTCATAAGGACACTCGTCATTATCACAAGCCACCATGTCCCCATGGCTAACCGTGCGACAAGTACAGTAGACCTTCGAGTCCTCGTTTCCTTCATCTTCCTCGTCATCATCAACGTCATCGTCCGCCGCACCGTCACTCTTGTCTGAATCCGAAGTATCAGCGCTGCTGAGCATGGAATCATCATCTTCATCTCCCTCGCCATTGGGCGACTTCTTCGACGCCTTGATCCGCCCGCTGCTAGAAGAGCGCTTGAGTGGCTTGCCGTGCGCAGTCTTAAGTTTCTTGACCTGCTGGTGCGGCGCAATCTTCTTCGTAAGTGCTTTCTTGATGCCCATGCTAGTGCGAGGTCCTGCGCTCCCTGCGCGACTTCCGGCGGGTGTACCAGGCTTAGGCGTTCCAGGGCCGAGTGATGATTGACGCAGGTTGGAAGAAGCAGCTGGGAGGGTACCAAGGGCTGGATTCAAGCGGCGACGCTTCGAGTCCACTGCTCCGGCAGAGGATTCGCGCTGCCGTTGCTGGAGGTGAACAACGGCTGCGGCAGGCGTAGCAGGGGCAGAGCTTCGCGCTGTGGACTGCGCAAGTTGTGTAGGGGTTCCTGCTGGACGCGGAGTTGTGGATTGGTTGAGACGTTGCGCGGCGGTCAAGATTGGGTTTGCGTTTCCTGAAGTTTGCGCGAGAGGTGTGGAGTAGGCGGTGGAATCGGAGGGTGTTGAATCGGGGAAGAAGACCTTTGGCGGGTTACGGTATTTATTTTTTGAGTCGAAGAGGGAGGGCAGAGGAGGATCGTTAGAGAGGAGGCCTTCATTGACTAGATCGCGAATGCGCACGTCGAGGCGCTTGATTTGCCGGTCAAGTAGAACGCATGCCTTTTCGCTCAGTTGGATCTTTTCGCTCTGTAGTTCGTGTGATTTGTCCATATTTTGTAGGATCGTCTTGCCGTATGGCTCTTCTTTGGGATTTGGCGTCAGGCTGCCATTCAACTTGATGAACTTCTGGATGCTGCTGTCGCGAGAATTGATGGTTGCGCGACACTCCTGCATGACCTTGTCCTTGGCTTGTATTTCCTCCATCAAATGGTTGATCTCAGCCGGTAAATTTGCCACATCGTGTACGAACTGTTCCAGAACAGTCGCGCAGTCCTCCGCTCCGTGTGCCATTTTCGCCGGTCGCCGGTCGGAGGGGAGTTGGGTCTCGTCGGATTATCGAAGCTGCAGGGTTTAATGGGCGACGCGGAATTGGAGCGCTAGCTCTGGTGAAGGGTCGTTCTTGTCGGATTTTTGATGACGCGGTAAACGCCTGGTCGTTGGTTGCGTCAATAGATGAATCGTTTTGCAAAGGGATAAGTTGGCCGAAGTCCGTGCTGACTAATCGATGACAGATGTGCCGGCTGCCATGATCTGCAGGTGTCAATCTCCCACGCGACCGACCCACATTCCTTCCTAAAAGGGCAACGTCAACTTCTCTGTCTACTACACATACATTTATGCTCTACAAGTTTAATTATTTCAATGGTCTTTTCAGTGTTCTTTCAATGATATTGATTCCTATTTCGATTCGCTATTCTGAATGATGATACTCCGTACATGCAAAAGATGAAAGTCTGTCCCCAAGTTCATTCAGCAAAGATTTTATCCTTCAAATGATGTTGTTCAACAAAGGGAGCGGAGAGTACTGTTGTAGACCATGACTGCTGTGTGTGGCTAGCTCACACTCTAAGTCGGATTGCTTCAGCCCCTGTTCTGGAAATGATATCCTGATAGATAAACTCGATCGGGATCACATAGGTCCACCAAGGTACGGGCGTTGTTCCAGCACGAACCATGCCCACCAAGACACGATTCTGCGGATCGGTGTTCGTGTAGACAAGGGAGCCAGAATCTCCACCTTGGCTGAACGGGGCCCACGTCTTTCTTCCCTTATCATCGATACGGACCTTACCCGTGACGACCCAATCAAGATTTGTTCGTACATCCTTCACCAAATCAACCTTGAGGTGACTCTCAAAGGCTTCGAAATTGCTCGCGGTGACCAGGCTGTGTATGAAGCCGGTTGAGAATTGGTTTCTTTGGCCTTCCATACATACTTCGGTTCCACCCAGATCTTGGGGGAATAACGAACGTCTTGAAATATCGTGGTACCGAGGGTACGGGGTCTAGTTAGTAGATGCAAAGTTAGTCAACGTGTTCATCAAAATGAAGTTCTGGAGTGTGAGATATCGAGAAGTCCCAATTGCGTTGGTAGGGGCCCCAAACGAAAAGAAATATTTGACTCACTGGAACTTTGGGAATTCGATAATCAGGCGGAATGATGAGGGCCCAGTCAATGCTCGACTTGAGTGTGAGCTTCTCGATATGAGTACCATTGCGATCAACCCATTCAAATCCTCTCGTGCTCTTGTGCTCGGCGTTGAGCCCAGATGCGGCCCATACAATGCCAAAGTCACCACCATCCTTGGCGATGAACTCTTTGCACTTTTTGAGGTGCTCGAACAGATACTTCCCTCGTTTAAGTGTTTGTCTCTCACCACGGGGAATGAAATCTCCCTCGCCTCTCTCGTCCTTGTCTAGAAGATCCTGGAGGTTATCCATGGCCATGAGGACCTCCAGTTCTGCCGCCATAGACTTCTTGGCTTTGGTGAGTGCAGCGGGAGCGGGGTGGGCGATCTCAAGCATGAATCGGTTTTCATCGTTTGGCGAGACGCCGTAGTCGTTCCATCTCAGGAGGACTTCGTCTGCGGACTTGCCACCGCGGGGCTCCATCGAACGTCGCTTCCAATAGTCCAACATCTCTTGACTAAGATCTTCGCTACAGACAACATGGGAGCATGTCAGCGCCATGGTCACCCAAGAGCCCTGAATCTTGAGCTCGACAAATCCACCGAGTGTTCCGGCGGCGTTCTTGTTGGACTTGTGTGCCAAGCTTTGGCCGATGATGGCCGCTGGATCCCGCAGGATTTGGTGATCTAGATCCCCGATGGAGTGAGCCTCTCCATTTCCGAGTGAAACAATACCGTTCTCAACCGCCACTGCGACGTGCTGCAGGCCGTGGCGGTCAAGAAGCTTGCGTATTTCCTCCAAATTGAAATCGACGCACTCTTTCTGTTCGTCGGAGGCGTTCAAAAGAATGACTACCGTTGTGCGTAGGTCGATCCCATAGCGGAAGCACCCAATCATCGCGACATTGGGGAGAGTGTGCTTTTTCAATATCTGGAACAAGATGCTCGGCCAAACACCTGCAATCTTGTCTTTGGTAGAGACGGGCAAGATTGGCTGGCCTTGAATCTTGAATTTGGTTGAGTTTCTGGGTGGCATTTTGTCGTTCTGAGAGAGTCTGTTAGCAGGGTACTTTATTTGAGAGGCGCCCATGGGCACGAGAGAACTGACCGGCTGGTGTTATGATGATATCGAAAAGAAGTATCTTCTAATCTGAGGCTTTGCTTTGTAACTGTTAGTATGTTGCCCAGTTTGAAGAGGTTCATTTAGGCGTGGGTGTAAGGGCTTGGACTTACCAATGTGTGGATGGTGATGGGAAAGAGGGCTCGAAAGAGGGCTCGAAAGAGGGCTCGAAAGAAGGCTCAAAAGATGCCAAGGAGGATGTAAAGAAAGATGTCTCGAAGGAGGTCTAGAAGAAGGCCGCGAAAGAGGTCAAGAAAGATCTCAGGAAGGATTACGGAAAAGAGACTTGAAATCTCTCGTGATTGTAGCCAAGAGAGTTTGAAGTCTGTCAATGAAGAGAAAGGAAAAGGGACTTGACAGGTTGGTAGATAGTAGCAGGTTGATGAAGGTCTGAAGAAGTTGTGGGTGAAGGAGGGAGAGAAGGGGAGAGTTGAGAAGTGAGGGAAGAGAAGAAAGGCGAAATGAAGTGAAAGCTGTTGCAGGGAAGGAAGGTACGTTGTATAGTATGAGAAGGCTTCAATTGGCTCAAATCAAATTTAGCTCCCCTACCTTATTCAATGGCATTATCTGTAGCAACCTTGGAAACATAATGCAATGGATGATAGACGTATTGACCTCTGAGTACCAATTGAGAAATAACAATAGCCCTAATGGAGTATTCATGCGAAGATTTCATGGCTTTGATCAGGTAATTCGATGCCCTAAGACGGATGAGGGCTATCTGCACCCATTGCTTGGTGTTGGAGACTGTCTTTGCTTACTTCCTAAATAGGAAGTAGGGCTTCTCCCTTCCTCTCTATCGCCGCAACACACGCTCAGAGGCTTCCGTAGCTCAGTCACGCATATCACCAAAGTTGCTCTTGTGCCTTTTTTGCTGCGTAGACCTGAGTCCTGCATTGCCTTCTATGAGGTTCTGAGCCCTCGAATGCGCACTATCACTGCTTTTAAAACATTGCATACATCCTCGTGTGAGAGCAGATCTGACGAGCTCCTACATTAGACCCATACGCTCGCACCCTTTCGCGCCTAAAAATCCCTGCGTGCGCCCAAAATCGCTTCGTCGTCGTCCCATATGCACGATCGCATCGTTGGCCTATGGGGGGCATCTCACCAGACAGTCTCATCCCGTACAACCTCACTTCCAGTGGATCCCCAGATCTCCAGAAACCCGCGCTCTCTTGCTCAGTTCAAACGCAGCACTTTGATGCCCTCTGTGCAAATCAATCTCGATGTCCTCTTTCGACTTAGTGACACCCTGACAGGCCCCTCAGCCGCCGAGTCCACGCAATCGACCTCCCATCCTATCGTGAACGATCCATCCATACAAAACGCAAACCCAAGAGTCTACCCTTATCTCATTTCGGCCTTCATGCGCGTCGATTTGACCCTCCAGCTCCCGCAGAGCCTCACTGTCGTCAAAGGCACGTGCGACACGCGGGCGTCATCGCTCCCATCAAATCAAGCGATTCAATCAGTTTTGATCTATTGGAGTAAACTACCCACCCTGTCAAAAACTACAAGTACGCTACAGCATTAGAAGACTACTGAAAATACTGTCCAAATCCCAAATGGTGATGATGTTAATAGAAAGGTACGAAACTCAGACACAGTGAAGACATAGTGTCTTTACTCTGCGCTCCACGGAATTAGGTGAGGTGTACAAGTATGGTGGAATCCTGAAAGGCTGAAGTTTGAAAAGAATTGGTCAAGCTCTAATGGGATGGTTGTTCTGCTATGGTCGAATAGATTGGTCATGATCGCGAAGTGGTAGCAAATGCTCATGCTCGTAATGATAGCTAGCAGTGGTATTCTTGTGTGGTCACTTGCTAAATCCAGCCTCAGAACAAGATTTGGTGCGTATCCTCCCAATCCTTGAGTTTTGTAATGAAGATTCCCACCTGCGGGAAATTGTTCCTGTCCAAGACTGCCACCATCTGCTCGCGTGGAATCCGCCAATCACGATCACTCCTGTAGTTTACGCACAAGGCGAACGCAAGCTCGGAATCCTGTTCAGGGGCGTTGATCAAGTAGACCCACTTGGTCTTGATAATGTCTGTGTTATCAATGGCGCCAAGAAGTTCGGAGCTCAGATCGTCGAGAGGAAGGTCAGGAAACTTAGGGTGCCACTCTGCCCGTGGAAAGAAGCGAAGTTCCGGGTCAACGATTTCCACACTGACAATCTCCCAGGGTTTCATCCCGGCCTTCTTGGAAATGAATTTGAATATTTCACGGCAAGCATCAGGCCATGCGTTATCAACCTTATCTCGGTGGGCTTCGAACGTGAGAGTACGGCAACCATGGTAACGATCGTCCTGATACCAGTCATGCAACCAGATTTGCATACTGTCCGGTTGTATGTTGTATTTGGCCATGATGGAAGTGAAGAAAAGCATGCAATCCCAGGTTTTGAGTACCGAATTAGCAGGGTCTCCATTAGGTGCCATTCTGCTGTTTTTGAAAGGCAAGGGGGTAAGACGTGGGCCACCTGCTCGACCAACTTCGTTGATGAAGCCCTCTGAGTCAGTACGCCATCTTCCGGGATCTTCATGGCTATCACAGCTGGTCCGGGTACGATTGCCGTCTTGGACAGGGGAGGCATATGCTGCTACGAGCTGAGAGCCCAGGCTGAAGCCCCCATCTTCGGCGTCCCAGTAGATCTTCCATTTTTCTTCGAAGGATAGATCATCGAAACTTTGTGTTGAGCTGGCTCTGGATTGGGGTCGTGAAATAGAACGGGGTTCAAGAGGTTGAGTCCCAGGTAAAATTTCCGCGCCAGGTGAGTCTGGGATATCATTCAAGGTGATTTCCGTGTGAACCGATGCAGAACTTGAGTCAGCAATGTGAAGCTCGATGGACTCTTCTATGGCTGGAGAATTCGGGGTATCATTCGACGATATCTTTGACTGGGCGGTTGCAATGGAAGGCACTTCAGATGAAGATGCATCAGTCATAGCATTCAAGTCTGGAGTGGTCTTGTCAGGTGTGAGATTGGACAAAGCATCGAGCCCAGATGCGTCATTGCCGTGGTTCGAAGGGTCAGATTTGGGCATGCGATTGAGGTCCCGCGTAACTGGATCCGAAGAAAGTCGTTCGGGTGATTCTGGAGGCGAGCCCTCGGTAGAGCTTGCGGGCGAAGATTTCTTGGAAGTAGTGGGAGAAATATCACCCTCTTCGTCAGAACTAGACTCACATGTTTTGTGGTTCTCATTGCTGACTCGCTGCAGAGAAGAGCTGGCTGGATCATCCTGGGGTGTAGTAGTAACGGCGTTGGCGTCATGAGAGGAAACATTGATAGTAGCCGGTGGATCGGCGATCACAAGCTCAAATCTGTGAGAAAAGTGACTTTTCAAGACGCCTTCGAGCTTCAGTTGTATTTCGTTTTGCTCGGGGACATCTAAGTCTGTTTTTTCACGGAGCTTGAAGATGACGTCCTCAAAGAGGTGTTGGGGTAGGCATACTGCCTTTTCCATGGCAGCTGTCGTCATTTTGAATTAAAAATGAAGGAAGAGACGAAGAGAGAGACGAAGAGAGAGAGGAAGTGAGGAAGGAGTAGTCAGTGGGGCTAGATCTGCCGGCGGCTCAAGTGGCTTGGCAAACCTTAAGCCCGTCTTCCACAGTGTCCCGCGTCCATCCTACTTCCACCTTCTCTCCATCCTCTGTTCATTTCAGTTCTCTCCTCTTTTTCTTCATGGTCAATGTCTTGAACTGGAAATTCCGCCAATGAGTGACATCAATATCTGCTGCCTGCAAGAAACACAGGTACCCGATGATCAGCAGCCAAGGAAATGACTTCGAATTCGGCACACAACAAAGAACACACTTGACAAGTTTCATTCTGCTCTGGCATGAGGAAATTTCTCTGGCTGGCATTCAAAGTTAACACAGGCCAATTCAATAAACCACTTCGTCCATCACACAAGGCTGTATGTTCCTCACTGTGCTTCCACAACCAATGTCTATGTCTGTGTTTGTTCTTTGATTTTTTTCCCCTTAGCCATGGCTGACCAGGCCCAGAGATACAGCGCATCTGCGATAAAATTCTACCCCTCGAAGCAGTCTGGTATTGAATATCCGAGTCATTTATGTTGACACCTACCTCACATGGAGATTTTCAATCACCACCCCGTGGGCCATTGGCGCTTAATGTGAATATCTCGATGCGTGCTTTGAACTTTCTCTCGAGAGTTTCCATTCTTCGGTACTTATCATGAATCAGTATGGTCCGCTGAATGAAACCGGCATTCTGTGCGAACACAATGCCCAGACCAAGTCCCGATTATAGTCAATTCTCCCGATCACACAGATTCAAGCCTGCCTCAAATACCGCGATACAGGCGTGGCTTGCGCGACAAGTCAAGAGCTGGAAAGACCCAGAGACACTTTCGTGGGCGTGAGGCTTTGTGCCACAATAAGATGGTTTGGCTTGGTATATAAAAGACTCCATACAATCGTTGGAGTGTTGCAGGACAGATTCTTTGACTCCAGATCCAAAAGTGGAATGCTACAATTGGGGTTTCTACGCCTTGATGGCCTACTGGTTGATCAACGGAGTACTGCAGGTCATATCTCATATTTCATGGCATCTCAGAGTAAGACCTAGCCAAAGCGTGCGGCGCGAAGCCGATATCATAGACGTCTCTGGCAGACGAGATGCAGCGTCATTTTTCCGCAAGGCCGAGTCACCCAAAGGCATCTCAGAGCAGATACTATCTCTTATTGCTTGAGAAGGCCAGTTGATCCAAGACCAACTCAAGATAAGCTTGTCAACATCCGCAAGGCCGGACAAAGTCCAGGGCGAATATTGTCGGCATCAAAACACCTCCTATGCCATCTTCTTTCCACCTAACAATCCCCTAAATCAACCCCGCCCAACCGCGGCGCAAGACCGTTTCACCCGCGGCTCAGGGCTTTTTTTGAAAAGATTTTCCTGAATGATTTTCACGAAATCAAATCGCAATGACCAAGGGTCAGCGCACAACGTGGTAATTAGATTCAAGACGTGACTCCATTGTCCTCATTTAGCGACGGACAACGATGCCCTGGCGGCGGACAGCGTGGCGAGCACGGCTGTAGTCCTCATCACTCTCGTACTCGGACTCAGAGCAGCTGTCCTCTTCGGAGAAGCCGCAGCGGGAACCACCGCAGTCGAGCTTGACACGGTCACCCTTGCGGGTGATACCGTAGCGCTCGCAGTGGCACTCGGAGTGAGAGTCGCTGATGGAAGAGACAGAAGAAGGAGAAGAAGAGCCAGAGGAGCGAGAAGACATGGATCCAACGGAGCTGGGAGGGCTGTTGGAGTAAGAGTACTCATCGGACAGACGAGAGCCGGCGAAGCGGCGGGTCAAGTCGTCAACGGTGGGAGCGAAGTCAGCCTCGCGCAGCTGACGGGAAGCGTAGTTCTTGGTGGGCTTGGGGTGCTGGATGCGCGAGGGGGACAGGGAGCGGCCAGTAGCGACGCCGCGGGCAGCCTTGGGGGCGGAGCGGGTCTTGCCACCGGGAACATCGAGGATGTTGAGCTTGCGGCCGGTGGTGGGCTCGACGGTGTACTCGACGGCGGGGTCGTGGGACACGTGGTAGCCGTCCATGATGTAGTAGTACCAGTAGCGGCTTCCGAGCTGGAGCATGGAGGTCTGGAAACGGAACTTTCCTTGCCAGGCGCCGGGCTTCTCATCAGCGGAGAGGGGAATCTGGCGCTGGTAGCCGTCCCAAGAACCGACGAGGTGGACGGTCTTGACGTTGGACGAGGTGCGGAGAGAGAACTTGAGCTGAACGGAAGACATGATGAATAATATAAAAAATTGGTAAAAAGTGTCGTAGATAAGATGCGTAAAGAGTATCGTATAAAGTGATCAACCGGAAACTGCCAGAGTTCGGTTGTGTAATTGGTGTATAGACTCTTGTGATCTTGACGGGAACCGGTCCACGACAATGAAGAATAATAATCGAGCGAGATTAAATTAACTGGTGTTTGTTGTAGAAGAACTGTAAAACAGTGAACAAGTCGACCGGCGACAAAGAAAACTGTTAATAATGTTGTAAAATTCGAAGTCCGAAGCAGGGAAGATTTCAACTCAAAGAGCACAGCTCGTTTGAGAGGGTAAAAGTGATAAAAAATATTAAGGTATAGAAGAAAGAAAGAAAAAAGATCCAGGCAACCAGTGCTCAGGATTCGAATCGGACAGTTCTAACACAACAAACGCTCGCTGAAGAAAAAAAAGGAAGAAAAGAAATCTGTCTCGGGAGGCTATGGCATTCTTTTAAGCAGAACGATGTGATGAGCAGTGCAGATAAGACAAGCAGACCTGGAGGGCGGGTAATTGACCTCGTTGGTTGGCTTCATGCAGTCGACGCAGTGTCGCGCAGTGCTGTGGTGCCTTCACATCGGCAGCCAATCACCGGTCCCCATTTGACGCTGGTGGTTGGACTAATTGAGGAGAGAGTTTAACCTCCTGTCCTCTCAGGTGTCATCTGCTGTGATCCACTCAGACAATAAAGCACAGCGACCAGGGAGCCGACAGGTTCTGAAGACTTGGCAGCCTCATGCACCGTGGTGGAATGGTGGACTGGTGGAGGGGTAATGCGTTGTCACCAGCATATCACCCGAAATGCATATATTACCCTCACATCTAGACTCGGATCTCTGAGGTCACATCCAGCCTCCCAGTTGCAATGATCACCCGTTCGGTTTTCGCGTGGAGTGGCGGTGTGAAGCTCAAGCTCAAGGTCAATCTCACGATCAACTCGAGTTCAAGTCGAGCATGTGTGTCGCACTTTGCTTACTCGGCACAGCGCGCACAGAACAGGGACGACATTGGAATTCGGAGGTCAGACTCCAGATCTCACCGGTGCGGAATGTGCATGGCGTAAGAAGCTCACAGAGAGACACGGGATGAGATGCGCTCGCTCGATCAATCAGAGGCCATAGCTGGGTTGTGCATGCAGCCACTGTGTGCCGTCGACTGCCGAGTCAACATCATTCGGAAGCTAGCAGTAAATTGCAAGATTGAGTAAGATACTGCCATCTCATCGATATGGTATTCAAAGATCAACTGTCAAGCCATTCCAAGTTTAAAAGGGGGTAAACAATGATCGGAGAACAACTCTGGGAGAGATGTGGACGTCAATTGGTCAAGACGGGAACTCCGGGGAGCTGTCATGCCGCCAAGTCACCGCACAAAGTACGGAGGGGTAGGGAACTTTGTATTGTAGACTTCGATAATCACCTTTTTGGTTTTGTTCCAGTGGGATTCTCGCGCTTTTCTTTGCTATTGACAGTATGGGAGAACCAAAAATCACCGTGGTAGGCTGTCCAAAACACACACGCCGATCGGCGTTAAGATTCTGCATAGGACCCCGATTATTATGATCTCTTCGGCGGCGACCCCGATGTCTCTTCGTAAGTTCGGGCTTATCGTGCAGGGTTGGAGTGTCGTGCTTATGCGACCACAGTGGAACAACCTCGCTAGCTTCTTCGATCTACAGGGGTGTGTTCGAAAATGGAAGACGGTATGTGGAATGCAATTGGTCTCAATGCTTGCTAACACAATGTTAGCTATCAAACCGTGAGAGAAGGCGAATACTGGTACGTTATTGCAGGATATATTGCAAACCCCGACTCTGACCTTCGTCTAGGTGTCCATGCGACGAACAGCAATTCGAAAGTCTGCTAGCGAGGTACGTTGCTTGGTTTTGATATTGGTAGACTCAAACTCACTCGGCTAGTCATCTTCTCTGCGTGGTATTGGACTCCAAGAATGAAAATCCATTGTTCCATGCTCCCGTCCGAGAGCCCAAAGTATGTAACTTGAGCCTCGAGTGATGGTGTCGCTGACCAAACAAGGAAATCCTTGACATCGGGACAGGCCGAGGCAGCTGGGCTGTGTCAGTACCAGACCAGCAATCCGAATCCCCATTCTAACAGTGTATAGTGATGTGGCAGACATGTTCCCAGAAAGTAAACAAGTCCCCGATAGTATATGAACACACTTACTAACGAGTCAGCCACTGTCCGAGGCGTGGATCTCTTCCCTCCACCAATTGACTGGCTCCCTCCAAACTGCATAATGGAAGTAGACGACGTCCTCAAAGAATGGACCTGGCGAAAGTCATTCGACCTAATCCATCTCCGCCAGATGGTCGGCGCCTTCACGCCCAAAGAATGGAACAGCGTCTTTGAGCAATGCTACAAGTAAGTCCCCAAAGACACATCCGTGTCTCCACTAACCCATCCAGAAACCTCAAGCCGGGTGGCTGGATCGAACAACTTGAGGTTGACCCTCACATCATCTGCACGGACGGCACCTTACCCGCCAACTCCAGCACCGTCCAATTCGCAGAGGCGATTATCAACGCCGCAAAGCAAGCCAACCAGCCCATAGACACGGTGGACACCATGCGCGGGCGTATGAGCAAGCTTGGCTTCATCGACATCCATGAGAAAAAGTATAACTGGCCCATGGGTCCTTGGCCACGCGATCCGCTCCTCAAGGAGGCTGGGCGCTTGCATTATCATCAGTGGATGCATGGAATGGAGGGGTGGGCGATGTATTATTTGACTAAATGGGGGACACCGAGCCCGTGGTCGCCGGATGAGGTTCAGGTGCTTGTTGCTAAGGCGAGGAAGGAGCTGAAGGATGGCCGCGCTCATATGTGGCAATATGCCAAGAGAGTCTGGGCTCGCAAGCCAACTGAAGAGGAAATGTTTGAGATTCAGAGTCCGAGAGGCGAGCCCATCAAGAACGAGTTTGATGTTTGAAGTGTGAAGCTTGAGGTCTGGAGGGCCGAGCCTGGGGGGCAGATCGTGTTTTTCCCGCAATCTATTTTGATACCAAGTTCCAAAATTCACCTAAGCGGTTTCTCATATCTTGAAAGGCTTTACTCGGATTCTTCGCTATGTTTGTAGATGAACTGCTCCATTCATTCGGATCAAGCCTTAGAAACCTCAAGCCACCAGCCCTGGAGGGTGAACAAAAGGCTTGCCAGATATACTCAAGCTTGGAAGCTAAACCGTAGACCCCTTCCCAATAATTCCCTCCAAAAATCAAACCCTTCCCTCTGCAACCACCAAGTCTTCGAGCCAACCTTCATCATGGCCGCAAAAGTATGCTCTTCATCCGGGACCTCCGTCATCCCACACTTCACACCACATTCCTTCAACTTCTCAAACAAAACCCGACTAAGACCAATCGGAACCATCGTATCCGCCATTCCATGCACAATATAAGTAGGCGGGAACTGGCTATCCACATTCAGCACCGGATCAATGCGCCTCATCTCCGGATCCTCTTTCGAGGGATAGATGGTATCAATAACATTCCCCAATGCGATCTGCGTGAAAGCAAAGGCATCGCGCGGCTTCGAGAAATCTGGCCCCTTGCTTACCCCGGACTCCGTCTGACCTTCCAGCGAGACAGAGCTATCTGTTGGGACGGGGTATTCTTCATAGATTTTTTTCAGGAATTCCTCCGACAGATTCGGGGGAAGCTTCTTCGCCACGTGGGGGAGTGGGGTTCTCCAGGCCGCGTCAGTGAAGTGTACAGCGCCGTAAAGGGAGAGAATTGCCTTGACGGGTTTGGGAACATCGAAGCCCTGGGTTTATTAACAAGGTTCGTTGGAATATTGAGGTGGGTACTGACCAGGCTCAAGGCCAAATGTCCTCCGGACGACGTTCCGAATGCTGCAATGTTGTCCAGATCGGCGCGGTAGCCGTGTGTAGAGAGAATGCTATCTAATTGGCCGTCTTGGATCCAAGTGAGGAGATCACGAATGTCCTGCATTGGACCTTCAAGGATGTTCACGCCTGGACAGAGGCGGTGGTTTGGAACAACCACTATCCAGCCTCGGTCAAGGCAGTCTTCCACTTGGGGGAGAGATACCATTCGTGAATGACCGAGCATGAAAGCTCCGCCATGGATGTTGATGACTGGGTCTGTTAGTCTCGTGAAGGTAGATTCCAGTTGTTGGGTTTGAGACAACGCACCAACAGGGTGTTTCTGCTCGGGCGAGTGTGTGGGAAGGTAAAGGTCGGTTGTGATCCTGCTTCCATTGATCTCCTTGTAAACAACCGTTAGAGGGATTTCAAGAGACATTTTAGAAATTGTAGACAGTGAGTTCCAGAAAACGACCAGCTCTGGGCGTACTTATATGTCCGGAATCGTGGGGATGGGAATTCCAAGTTTGGAAAGCTGGGGGATCTCGGGATATCCGGGAGCCGAATTGATTCGCAACCTTGGAAAACGTTGGACGGCACGATCCGAGCTCATGATGGTTTCTAAATTTTTTTGAACTAGACTAAAGCTATATTACGAGAAGAAAACTGCACTCAGAAGTGATTCAACTATGTATGGCCGAAGTTTAAATGCAAAGGCCAACCCTCCCAGACGCCGCGAAACAAGGCCAAGCAAATGCGCATTTTTGCAGCGAGATCATTAAAATACAATGTAGAAATTCGAGGCGATCAATAGATCAACGCACAGATACTCCAGAGCGGTCAGTGAACATGCGGGCAGCAATGTTCATAGAGGCCAGCTCTTGGAATAGCAGCTTCGCGGCGTAGGGGATATGGACTTGCGAGATGCGATGCTTGTTGTTGCAAAGACGGCACTCAAAGAGACCCTTCTTCAGTTTGCTAGAGGGAAGATTAGTAAGATGGGACGAAAGGGAGAAGGGGGAGGGAAACTTACGCAACAGGGGTCATGAGACCGCAGTCATCGCAAATGTGCACACGGAAGGGATCAGAAACATCGAAGAGACGTTCCTTCAAGAATGCACTAGCACCGTGGGCGATCATACAATCGCGCTCCATCTCTCCGAAACGGAGACCACCGTCACGGGCACGACCCTCGACGGGCTGGCGAGTCAAAATCTGGGTAGGACCACGGGCACGAGCGTGAATCTTGTCGTCGACCATGTGGCGAAGACGTTGGTAGTAGGTTGGTCCAAGGAAGACCTGGGCAACCATCTTACGACCGGTGTGACCGTTGAACATGACTTCGAAACCACGAGATTGGTAGCCGTGCTCACGAAGGAGACGAGAGACTGAGTCGACGGTGACATCGGTGAAAGGAGTCGCGTCACCCTCGTAGCCACGGAGAGCAGAGACCTTACTCAACTGACATTCGATCAAATGGGCAATGGTCATACGAGACGGAATGGCGTGGGGATTGATGATAAGATCAGGCACAACACCTTCGCGGGTGAAAGGCATATCTTCTTGGCGGTAGGTGATACCAATGGTACCCTTCTGACCGTGACGAGACGCGAACTTGTCTCCAATCTGTGGAATTTTGGTGGTACGCATACGGACCTTCACGAACTTGAGGTCGTCGTTACCAGTGGAAATCAGTACCTGGTCGACAATTCCGTTCTCGGTACTTCGCAGGGGCGTGGACACATCAATCTTGGTGTGTGCCTTCGTGCGTTGACCGAGTTCCTCCGCATCAGCAGCCAAGGGAGCAGTCTTTCCAATAATAATATCTTCTCCGGAGACACGCACACCCGGAGCAACGATACCATCTTCGTCCAGCTTATCGTAGGTACCCTTACGCATACCCAGAGTGTCGGCTCGCATAGGCTTCTCAAAGCGCTCGACGACTTGAAGTCCAACCATCTTCTCGGTGTCCGTGTAAGTGCGGTAGAAAAGACTGCGGAAAAGACCACGGTCGATACTGCTCTGGTTCATAATGACGGAATCTTCTTGGTTGTAACCAGAGTAAGTGGCAATAGCGACAATGGCGTTCTGTCCTGCGGGCAATTCTCGGAAACGCAAGAATTCCATTGACCGGGTGGTGGCCAAAGGCTTTTGGGGGTAGTATAGAATATTGGCCATGGTTTCCATGCGCTGCGCATAGTTCGTCAAGAAAACACCCATGGCCTGCTTACCCATAGCAGACTGGTAGGTGTTACGAGGAGACTGGTTGTGATCAGGGAAGGGAATGATACTGGCACAAACACCCAAGATCATACTGGGATGAATCTCGCAATGTGTCCAGGTGTGCGCGCGCTGACTGAGGATTGAGCGAACACGCTTGTTGGGGTCGTTCTCTGCTTCTGGCAAAGCATAACCAGCTTGAAGTTGTCTGGAAATCTCCAAATCTTCCGGAGTCATGACAATCATGATTGTCTCTTCTTCTTCGGCATCGACATACTCGACGGCACCAGCTGAGATCAAACCCTCCCAGCCGAACCGCTGTGCCTCGCGCTCTTCCGGTGTGATGTCTTCAGGCAGTTCCTTGTCCTGTTCAAGTTTGCGGATGTGCTCCTTGTTGAGGATCAATCCACCGGAGTTCTCACTCTTGGGATCATTGTCGATGACGTAGAGCGGTCGGCAGACACGACCAGTATCGGTGAAGATTTTGAACTCACGTTCACGGATATCACGAATGAGACTGACCTCGTGGGAAATCATGTTTCGGCGACGCAGATTTTGCATTGTGTTGACCAGATGCGAGGGATCACGGTGGATACCAACCCAGACACCGTTGACAAACACCTTTGTTGCGTTGGGCGTGACTTGGGGCTCAAACTCCTCCAATACTTCCATGTTTCGTTGAATCATGAAATCAACGATGGGCTCTGCTGGCGTTCCAACGGTAATATAGCACATGAGAGCCAAGTTTTTGACGAGACCACAAGCCTGTCCTTCTGGCGTCTCGGCCGGGCAGACCAGACCCCAGTGGGTGTTGTGAAGCTGACGCGGCTTCGCAATCTTTCCATCTCTACCAATTGGTGTGTTTGTGCGACGAAGATGGGATAGCGATGAGGCGAAAGTGTAACGACTCAGCACCTGAGACACACCAGCCTTCGCGCTGGCTGCCTTCTTCTGCTCACCCCAGTTACCAGTGGCGAGAGCGTATTTCAAACCACCGGTGAGCGTGGCAGCCTTGAGACCAACGTTGAGGTAAATCTCGCGACTGCTGTCAACACAGCGCTGCACGTAACGCTGAAGGTCCTTGGTAACTCGGGTGAAAAGGACACGGAACAGACTTGCCAAAAGGGGACCAGCCAGATCAAGTCGCTTCTTTCCGAAATGATCACGGTCGTCGACATCACGGCGACCCAAAGCACACTGAAGAAGACGGTGGACCATGTATCCAAGGAAGAACGCTTTGCGGGTTTCGCTACCCTCGCTCTGCGAAATGTGAGGCAGCAATTCCTTCTGCATGATATCCCGAGCATATCGCACACGGCGATCATGGTTGAGGTTGGACTGTGAAGAACCACGCTTGGCAATGAAGTCCAGAGCGACCTCGCGGTCTTGGATGACAAAGCCCTCCTCGATACAAGGCTTCAGCATCTCCAGCATCGGTGTATCGTTCCTGTCATAGCAAATGTGATTGAGAATGTCCTCGTCAGAAACGACGCCCAGCGCACGGAAAACGACGACGATTGGAATATCGGCTTTGACATATGGGAGCGTCGATCGAATGGTCGGGCCAAATCCTCCCTTCGCGCTGTCACCCTTCGCGAACAGCTTCAAAGTAAGCGACGAAAGCATGCGCGAACCCTTTTCGACTGCACTTCGAATTTCGGCAATGTATGGTGTGGGACTTGGGGGTGCCTTCTTGAAAACCTGCACGATGTTTCCAGCACTGCGCTCCTGTGCGATCAGAACCTTTTCACTGCCGTTGATGACGAAGTAACCACCAGAGTCGAAGGGACACTCGTTCCATGAGTAGAGTGAATCTTCGTTCAGGTCCTTCAGGATACAGTACTTGGACTTCAGCATGATGGGCATCTTTCCAATGAAAACTGTTTCCTCCTTCATCTGGTCGTGGCTTAGTGGTTTTTCCCTCCACTCAAGACCACCTTGCGCCTGTGTCTTCTGGTCGCCATCTTCATCATCGTCCTCATCCTTGGCAGTCTTCTCGCGACCTTCCATAATTTTCTTTGAGACGCTGAGATACAGCGGAGAAGCATACGTGAGGTTGCGGAGTCGGGCTTCTTGCGGCAACATGATCGTTGTCGCACCATCTCCTTCTGTGACTGATGGACGTGAAAGCATGACGGTTCCGAATTTGAGCTCGTAACGGCGCACCACCACTGGGTTCACTTCATCTTCATCTGGTGGGAGGGTCTGATCGAGCACCACCTGGCCCTGCTCTTCCACCAGCTCCTGCATGGTCGAAGAGACGAATTCATCGAAAGAGTCGAGTTGCTGAGATACCAGACCCTTCTCATCGAAGAAAGACGAAATCACCGTCCAGCAATCCTCGGAGGTGATGCCCTCGTCGGCATCATCATAGAAGTCCTCCTCGTATGTCTCGTCGTAATCGGCCATGATGGCGGGGTATCTGAGATTCGGCGTTGAGAAAAGTGAGGAAGAAGGGAGCGATAAGTCGGGGGCTGAAAAAGCGCGAGAGGCGCGTCGGCCTTCGAAGGTCTCCGCGAGAAACGCTCAACGCGCTGAAAGAAGCGCCGGTCGGTCACCGAGAAGGGGGAGGTCCAGGACGCAGGGAGTCAGGACAGCTGCGAGAAAATGTCTGACAAGCTGGTGGGGATGAAAGAGGAACTCCCCGTCAATGATGCGATGAAGGGACTGATCTCCAGACGTTTGATGCTTCTCAGCCCGCTGGGTTTGCACTAGTCCCAATCAGGTACTATCACGTGATGGGGTCTTCACCGCTCGCTTTGTATGTATAACTACTTCCAGGGGTCTCTGATCTTACCAGAGTATTCAACTTTGATTTTTTTGATCAGTGAGTACGGAGTACATTACGGGGAGTCTTCTTCAATTTGTGAAGAGCAAGGGCTCTTGAGGTGGTTGGTTCCTATTATATGATACAGTGGATCTAGTGTGGCTTCTCGCTCACAAGAACTGCAGAAGAGTGGTGAGCATATCCTTGAAGTCCTGATGACCTGGTTCCTCCTCGCCAACTCCTTCAAGTTGTTCTGACTTGGTTAGATATGAAGGTTCCAATTATCTCTCGGGGCTTGGGGCTTACCTTGCAATGTGCTGCGGATCAGCGATAGATCCTCATCGCGGTCGGCAAGAAGTGAGACAATCTTCTTCTGTGCGCCATCGTCCTCGGCGAGAAGCCATGCCAGAATGAGGTCAATAGTCTGAACTCATTAGCACAAGTTACATGATCACTGGCAGAACACATTACCTGTAGTGAGAACAGGCCGGCATCAAACCGCCTAGACAACCATTCGCCAGCCATGAGCTTCTGCTCCTCCTCGTCAAACGTTCTCCGCTCTTTAGCAATTGCTTGTTCAACGGGTGTGACACGCGCGGCATATTCGCGCCTTAAAGTAATGAGCTTTTCGATTCTTGCATAATCCTTTTCCATGAACTTGGCCAGGGTTCGGATGCGTGGCGCAGAGCCCCCGGGAAGGAGACGGAGAAGCGAAGCAAAAATTCCGAGGAAGTGCTCAATGGCTTGACCTTCTTGCTAGAGGGACGTTAGTTTGCCGCGATTGACTGGTAATATTAAAGCATACCTTTTTCAGGAACATGCCGAAGACAGTCTTCAAGCCAGCTGCCTCGACCAATCTCTCGCATGCCGGGGCACCTCCAACTCCGCCCAAGGCATGATCAAGAACCCTCAAGGCGCGGGGCTTACTGAACTTCCCTTCCTTGAGCATGATCAGTGCCAGTTCAATTCCCTCCGCCTCGACAAATTTGATTTTCCCAGAATCTTCCTCGACGAGACAGATGAGAGAGTCAAACAGGTTCTCAGCAAACTCTTCTTCGTCTGAATCTTTTGCCGGATCTCGCTTGCGGTATGAACTGAGTATCTGTAGGATCAAATCAATACCGTCGAGTTCAATAAACTTCTTACGGTTCGATGATGATGATTGAAGTAGAATCGCCAAGACTTCTGCCGCATACTGCTTGTTTTGAGACACAACTGCTTCTTTTTGTTGGATGCGTGACAAAATCCAAGGCAAGACGGCGGCGTCGAGTGCAATGGCCTCTGCGTGCGATGTCTGTGAGGCGACATTCTCCAAAACACCTAGGTATTATTAGTTAACCCCACGTCCTTGTCCAAGGGTGCTCTGGAAACTTACTCAGCACATAATAGACTCCCGCCCTGTCGGTTTCGGACGCTTCATCGAGCCGAGAGAGGTTTTGTGTTAACAACTCAATAAGATCGGCTTCCATCTAGAATTCGTTAGCGCTGTTTCTGACCATCTTGGGATTCCTTGCATACCATTGCGTTGACTAAAGCATTCCACTGTACTTGCTCAGCTTCGACATCCTCGTCTGTCAATTCACTGATGACTTGGATCACGTCGATTGCGATATCTGCATTCTCATGAGACAAAAGGGAGATTAAGGAGCCCACACATCCCATTTTAGCGAACTCTTCGTAGAGGTCAGGATGCTCGGAGAGGATTGATAGACCCTTGATCTCATTATCAAGGTCCGCCTCAGAGGCCATAAACCTGCGACTGTGTCAGCCAAGTGTTGTACAAAAGCTTTCCTTGTCAAATTACTTTTTGGGGTCGCTTTCAAACTTCGCTCGTAATTCGGCGTTCTTCGAGATCTTTCGTTCGAAGTTCAATGCGAAACGGCGTACCCACGCAGCGTCGAACTTCTCAGGCTAGATCGAGGAAATGTCAGTTCCGGGCCTGCGCATAAGTGGCTGAAGTTGAATCCCACTTACCGCAATATCTTCTCCTTCGTTCTCATCAATGTATTCCATAGCCTGGGCTGTCTTTTGCTCCATACCACCGCCAAAGAAACGGCCCTCCTCGTCATCTGGGTCTTCCTCTTCGAAGTCTGGAGGAAGCTCGGGTCCAGCTTCCCCATCGTCCTCCTCGTCTTCTACCATGGCGGCCTTCCCATTTGATCTGGCGTCTCCATCAGAGTCCAGCTTTGCGGATTTGTACACCTCATCTAGTATTCATGTTAGAAAGTTTCGATTGGCGCAGCTGGGTCAAGGGCGTACTCGGGTCTGAGAGGGGCTCGAACTTGCGCTTCGCGCTTCCACTGGAGGTTGGCTTCTGTTCTCAGTCAGATAATGTCAAGTGACGTGAGATTCCAAGAGACATCATGAAACATACCTTAAATAGCTCGTCGACATTCATTGTTGCGACGGTTGGACGAATGGTTCAGTGATAGTGTAACCAGTTCCAATTCCCTAGGTGTCCTAACGGAGGGTGATGGCCTGCTTCAACCTCAAGAGAGCAACCAAGGCGAGGCTTAACCAGCGTGAAGGTTGTCACGGACGCTGTCGCATCTCCAATGCGCGGGCAAAAGATACGGTTGGCGGGAGGAGCTAGTGACGCAGTGACGCCAAGCGTTCCGAAGCCGCAGATTTCTCGACACCCGTCCATCACTTCCATCTAACAACATCAAATTCCGACCTCCATCACCTCCACACATCACACACAATGGCCCCCAACCAGCGCATCGTTCCCTCCGGCTCGCGCCCCCAGAAGGGCTTCGTCAGCACTGTCTACGATGAGGCCACCAACCCCGAGAACAAGACCATTGTCCGCAGCATCCTGGTCTTCGGTGTATGTGTCGTCATCCAGCCATTTTGCCAGCAATTTGATCACATCAATCTAACATATCTGCTTTCTAGGCCGGTATTGCTTTCCTCTCCTCCAGCTTCGGAGAGTTCCTCCTTCCTCCGTAAGTCGCATCCGACTCGAATCCATCAGGAACCGCACCACTTGGACATCCTTCTAACTCATTGCAGTATGTAATATCATCACCCCTGTGATACCTACCGTGACACGACTCGGACCTCTCCTTTTGAACCACATGGAAGCATATCGGCGTCGGTCAACGGAAAACATGCATAAACCTTTTTCACTCGGTGGTTTTTGGAATGAATAATTTGTACAATATTTTATCAGGAGAACATGTCTCATCACACATGATGACTTTGGATTTTGAAATCACGAACATCAGGAACTTTTCTGCACACTAGTGCTCAGTGCTGTGGTTCACTCTAATACCCTCAACGCGTGCGAGTTCCGGCCCGCGGTGTTCATCTCAAACGACCATGTCCAGGTCCTTTTCCTTGCTTCTCCAATCTTCGGGACAACAGCTGCAAATGCAGCAATGCCACTGGTCAATATTGTGGAAGGTGAGTGAGATGTCTGCTAGCCGTGTTAGTCGGCGTAAGCATCCCGAGGAGCCACATCTGTAATTTGTAATCTGTAATATTATGAAGGTTCAAAAATAATGCATTGGGTGGCATATCAATGAAAATGATCCTGATTCACCTCTTGCCAACACCTGGGCAGCTACAAGCATCCAATACAGCGAATCAACCAATCCTAGAGCCGGGAACCAATCCGGGGACACAAGGCTTGAGCTTCAACTATCTCAAAAGACAAAAATTTGGCACACTATGTGAGTTCTGATTCCAAGCAATGTCTGCTATTGCCTCGTAATGCAACTGCTGGGCTAGGATTATAGTGCATACTAACAGACAACCATGGTTTATGTATGACCTTGGGAGTGGGAAGGCCAGGGAAAGAATGAAACATGTTGTCACTATGCCCCAAAACTTCTGCTTGTGAGGAACCTTGGAAGAGTTTTGATATCCATCTCTGAGGGTTACTTGAATGGTATGGTTCATAATGTCTTGTTCTTGGGATGTTCACCGGCTCGAGAGGCACCCATGGGTAGTCGCATAACCCCAGGTTCGCGCCAAGTTGGCGAATCCGAAGTTCATTCCAAACTCTAACGCGACTATGTGCCTACCGAATCATGCTGTGTTGAGCCATTTTGTCTAAGCTGGGCACGAATGGCGTCTAATCCGTATTTCCCCATTGTAATTAAAGTCAGCTCGGCAATTTGGGATATATATCGGACCCGTTCATTTTTCCACAACAACTCAACCACCCACGAGTGATCAATACTTGCCAAAACTTACTTCCAAACATAAGGCTTCAAAAAGAAGCCAAACTACTCATGGAATACACCCATCGAAGGCATTGAACGTCAAGGTCCATGGATATAAATTGACCAATGTGATGTAGTGGCGATCTTGCCAAGAGTCCCCACACCCCACACTTCCCCCGACCCCGAACACCGCCTTCTTCCATTGCGGATGTCACCACCGGCTTCTCTCTACATGTCGATCACTTTGGTACCGAGGAATATTCATGTTTTTGATATATCACCGCACAAACCATACGTGAAAGGCTATGTCAACCCCAGATAGCCAGACGCATTCCCAGAAGCGCAAGTTGACGGAGCCTCGCCTGGATTCCACAGCTAAGCGCCACAGTCTTCAGTTTGATCCCCAGGTACCATGGCTGCATGAGTCTAAACCAGCAGCTGGGTGGAAGACACATGGTAACCCGGATGTTCACCACTCGCTGCCACTGGCCAACATGGTGTCGGCCGTCCAGGATCTGATAGACCCGGACTTTGACCCGCTCACAGCGATGCTGGACGATGAGCCTCGTTTCTTGAAGCCGTTGCCGGCTCGTATCGCGCCAGAAGATTTGGAATTCCTTCGTTTTCGTGGAGCTCTCTCTCTTCCCGAGAGCGGGCTTCGGGATGAACTGCTGCGTTGCTATATCCAGTGGGTACACAGCTTCATGCCCGTATTGAACCTCCAAGAGTTTCTACGGTGTGTGGCTGAAAATGACCCGAATGGAAACGTCAGTATTCTCTTGTTCCAGGCAGTTATGTTCGTCGGCACTGCTTTCATCGACCTCAAGCATTTGCAAGATGCCGGTTACTCAACACGGAAGGCAGCGCGGAATGCATTCTTCACACGATTACGGGTAAGACTCTTGGAAGAATTGGCCCAGTATCACGAAAAAGCCCTGTATGAATCCGGCTAATCTTCGCGAACAGTTACTATATTCCCTTGACTGCGAAGAGGACCGCATTGTGATTTTGCAAACACTTTTATTAATGACATATTGGTCTGATCCAGAAAATAGCCCACAGAGAGATATTTGGGACTGGATTGGAGTATGCAACACCCAGGCACAGTCAATCGGACTGAATAAAGACCCTGCATCAGGCGAAATGGATGTACACACTAGGCGTCTACGCTCCCGGCTATGGTGGTGTCTGTTTTCCCGAGATCGATTGATTGCCATGGGCATGCGTCGCCCATTACAGGTCAATGAAGGGACCAGTAGTGTCCCAATGCTCCGCCTAGATGACTTTGACTTTGAACCATTTTCTCCCTCCGTGGTGGCAAACTTCCGTTGCCGTCAGCTTGAAGACGTTTCACACCAGAAACGCCTAGCTATCATGTTTATTGAGAAGATGAAGCTTTGTCAATGCATTGGAAGGGTGCTATTCGCCCAATACACGCCATCTCAGCGCCAGTTTGGCGCCACAAACCGCACCACGGTCACCATTGTTCCTCGACAGGCTTCGGAGTCTGAGTTTGCTCGATGTGGTCAAAAGCTCGACTCATGGCTTAGTGCACTTCCCAAAGATGCACAATTCATCCCCAAAACTAGGACTAACTTTCGCGACGGCGAGGATGTTCTTTTACTCCACGGTGCGATGCTCCGTATGCTATATCATGCGACCAGCAGTGCTCTTCACAGGCCATGGGCGACAGCCACGAAAGATCAGTCCAAAAGCCGCAACGAATGGCGGAAAACGGCTCGCACAAAGATGCACGATGCAGCCGGAGGCATCACGCACATCATCCAAGGCCTGAACCAACTCAATTTGACACGATTTTTACCACAGTCAGGCGTTACCGTGATTCTACCTGCTGCCGTGGCCCATTTATCGAACACAATGTCTGACAACCCAGCTGTCCGGGAGAGCAGTGTGTACAACTTCCATCGCTGTATTCAGGTCCTGCATTGTTTGAAGGACATCTATCCAGCTGCCGACCAAGAGTTCGCCAATATCGAAGCTGCCATCAAGATGCAGTCCGGTGCATCCAGTACATTCTTCGAAGTCATGCAATATAACCTCGACGCTCCTGCCATTTCGTTGACAACTAGGAAGTCAAGCACCGCAGAATCCATGCCTACACCTCAATCTCATCCATTCTTGCACGACAAATCCATCACTGATATAAATACACCCACTGCAAGGCCACGAGCCGAATCAGCCCAAGATATAATGAATCAAGGGAACCTGAGTCCTCAAACCGTACAAGAGCCAGCTCCCCCAGTCTTCCCCAACGACTTCGACCAATTTGATGATCCGAACAGCGTGGACAACAACCCTTTCAACTTTCTCTCAATCGACATCGACTCCTTCCCCGACATCCCTTCATCGAGCAATTTGGCCAGTTTCAACAACACAGACGCGACAAACATCTCCCCATATACCCAGAATCCGGAGAACATCGACTGGGCACAAGAACTCTTCCGGGAGACCGACATGCATCAATTTAACCATACGGAGTCCTTTGATGAACATATAACACCGCAATCACCGCAAAGCCCCCAGAATCATGATAATTTCCCATTCGATTTGAAGCATACGGGCGAATTCCTCCCACAAGTTGAACATCGTGAGAACTCGACGCATAGTGCACGACCTGGGATCACTGGTGACTTGGACAAAGACCTTGGTTTTCAATCTGAGGATGATTTGTTCTGATTTCTGATATGGTATTGATTGGATCGTTGTTTAAAGCCCGGAAGCCTTTGTACGAATATTGAAGCTTGGTACTTACAATGGAGATGCGTATATCGCTGCTCAACCGTATTGTATCTCAACCATGCTTTTGCATGTTTCGCATGTCTAACTATTGTAGACGTTTTTCGGTATGATGAGATGAGCTGGACCTGCCTTGGGAGGAAGTCAAGTCGTGCTTGCCTCAGTGAGAGCGGCGCCATCAAGTTCAACACTGCATCTTTATTAGTTCAACTTCTACTACATCTCATACTTACCCTCATCAACTGTCACTCTTACATCAGCAAAATGGAAGACAACGAATCATCCGCTAATAGCGGCCAGCAGGTAAGTCAACCCAGTCGATGTATATACACACAACCAAAAGCCGGAACTTACAAAGGGCAGGATGAAATACCTGTCCCAACCGATGATCCAAATCCTCCCCCCAAAGATAGCAACGAATCGACTTCGTCAGACTACGATCCCTCCAACGTGACGCAGATCATTTCGAATGGTCATATTCTCGTTGGAATCTGCAATGACAACACAGTCCTAAAATATCCCAGCGATCCAAACAATCACGAACAGAAGTTGAAGATCCTCAAGGAATCAGTGATCCTGGGGCATCTTCCAAGTCATCCACACATTGTGGAATACCTAGGCTACAATGACTTTGCAATCAAGCTACGCTACTACCCCACTGGACCACTAAGCAACTACCTGAGTTCCAACCCAAATGTGGGGATCAGCCAGAGGATAGAATGGTGTGCGCAGCTCACATCCGCCGTCTCGTTCATCCACTTCAATTCTGTGATCCACAGCGACATCTGCCTTGATAACGTGCTTCTCAACGACCGTCTCGAAGTTGTTCTCACCGATTTCCAGGGTATCCTCCTCCAAAATGGCGAAATACTGGTCAATGGAAACACATCCGAGCGTGCAAAGTCATATATGCCTCGCAGTGCCCAGTACAACGTGCTCATGGGCTTCAAAACAGATATATTTGCGCTTGGTTCTGCAATGTACCACATTCTCAATGGTTTTGAAGTATTTCCAGAATTAAGAGATCCGCATGAGACGATCGAGATCGTGAACCGATTCATGCGGGGAAACTTCCCCAGGCCTAATTACGTGGGATATCTCATCGTGGAGAAATGCTGGAGAGGAGAATACACCTCTGCTGCCGAGGTAGCTATGGACTTGATCGGGTTGCAGAATATAGTCAGGTAGTCGATTGCACAGGGCAGTAGCTGGATATCTGTTCACTGGGATTCGGCTTGGGGTTGTGAAGAAGGCGGAAATGTATTTTTTAGGTGTTGAAGCGTGAGTGTTTGCTTTTGCTTGAAAGTCTTGAAATGAAATGCATGGGGAAAAGTGGGAATCAAGAATTGCATAAGTTAGAAAGATATTGTTACAGGATCGTTGATACAATCAAGTCAGCCCTCAGAGACACTCAGCTATCAAGTTCAATCTCAACGAACTATAAAACCCACTAATAGATAGATGGCTGGAAAGGCGTTGAGAAGACACCGAAGATCAGACGTCCAAAGAAAAGATAGAAAAGTCTTGATACTTTTGAGCAGTGATGTAACGACATGTGTGTCTAGAGAAGTCTAAGAGAAACCCGCCCAAGTGCTCCTTTGAGATCGTAGCTCGTATTCAGAGGAAATGGATGCTCTAAAATTACCTGCAATGCGAGATGCATTAGGCCTGTTTTGTCCAGCGATGACTCTCGTCACCCTCATCCCATGATTGTTCAACGTATCCCAACCTCTGCTTCACTTCCAACACCTTGGCATGGTCACCAGTGTTTTTGCCGAGGTTGTCACTGAGCTTGACAGCGGGACTGCCATTGGCAGTGGCGATTTTGATAACAATGTTCAGGGGCTTAGACTTTTCTCCAGTGGCTTTGTTTGTGAAGTCATCTGCAATTCGATTAGTATGTATGGATCAATAGCATGTGTCAGACATACTGGTGAAGAAAGTTCCCACTCCAAAGGTGGGGTTCAGGCCAGCCTTTTCGGCAATGGCCTTATATTCGAGGCAGTGCTCAATGTCCAGTGAATCTGAGAACACAACAGTCTTTTTATCGGTAATGTTCTGGCGGTCGTAGAATTCTCGGACCATCTTGACGAAGTTTGTAGGGTCTCCCGAGTCTTGGCGAACACCAGTGTAAGACTGAGCATAGCTAATTGCAGATTTGGGGTCAGGCTTCTCACTTGGCCTTGAGATAGGCTTGCTGAACGCATCGAGGAAAGCCGGTGTACCGAAAGTGTCGGTCAGAGCAATTCCGAGGACCTAGACATGGTACATTAGTCTGGGTGTATAGCCATTGACGAAAAAAAAGGCAAGACTTACACCTTCCCCGAAGCAGCCAAGCCAATAGCTGAGTGCCAACTCATTGGCGTTCTGGTAGTCATCTGTGATAGCCGCAATGGTCATGTACCATTCATGCGCCACGGTGCCAACGGCAGCGGTATTGTATTTCATAGCAAAGTGGACATTGCTTGTTCCAGTCAGGACACCAGACCAGCCTTGCTTCTTGCCTTCTTCCGCGGCGCGGCAAAGACCCTTCATGACCAGGTCATGGGTGTGGTAGTCTCGCCGACGTCGTGAGCCGAATTCCGAGAAAACACAGCCATTCTCCAGCAGAGTGCATCCCTTCTGATAGGCCTTCTCCTCTTGGTTCTCGTAATCCCAATCGGTATCGCTGAACTTGAAATACGCCTGGCTGGTCAACGCGAGAAGAGGGATTTCATATAGGATAGTGTCAAGCCAGAGGCCCTTGATGATGTATTCCACATTGCCTTCGTCGTCATCACTGCCGGTATCTTGTGTCGGAATGAATTTGACCTCAACGTGTTCGGAGGGATTGAGTTGGAAGGTCTCTAGGTAGGAGAGGTATGCGTCATTGAGGTAGGGGCACTTTTGGCGAAGGAATTCGCGCTCCTCGGCGGTGACACGGATGTTGGCGAGGTCTAGAAAGACAAGGGTGAGTAACCACAATGAGAGACAGGCAGGAGGATCTACTTACTGTCCAGCTGTTCCAGTAGCCATTTGTAAGCGGCGCGCCGCAACTTCATGTGCGGGGTCCGATTCGTGAAGCTGTAGGTCACAGCTGCTCCCATGTCAGCCCCAAACTCTGCCTCCCCAGTGCGACCTACTTACCAACATCTGGGAAGTACTTGAGGACCGCGCATTGCATGGTCAGCTTGTACAGGTCTGTGTCCAGAAGGGAGACAATGCCCTGCGCAGACACATCTTGAACCATTTTGGTGGTTTGCCGGGGCTTCCGGTCCTCAACGATAGAATTGCGGAAGAGAGTACGGTGCTGGAGGTGGGGTCAGGTAGGTTGAAATAGAAGAAACTGGGCTTTCACGTTTTCTCTTCTTTTTCCTGGCGCAATGGGAGCGCGGGGAACGCGCCGATGCCGATAACCGTTTGTTCTGTTTGCATTCCACGTATGGAGCACACGTACTACATGCACTAGGCACTATAAGCACTACACTTATTTATATTACTTTTGTTCTTTGTTTTAACACGCACATGGGTCAGTTGCAGCCTATGGTGTAATTGGTCTTCAGGAAATCAGGGTGGTGCGCCGTGGTGAGCAAATCATAGGTAGGCCTGCCCTATCTGCAATGCCCGCAACATTTTATTTGGCTTCAATCAGTCTAATGCTGTGAATATGTGTTGTCATAATTTCACCAGTCAAACTCCTGTTCCATGTTAGCTAGAATACTTTTCATTTAATGCCGCAGAGCTCAAAATTATTTCTCTGCCCTATTCACTTACCTCAGTATAGAGCGTGATAGACCACTCGTTGGTGAGTGCCCGGTTATTAACAGCTTGACGCGTTGTGTGCATCAGGCTATAAGGTCCACAGGCCCCAATAATAATGCGGTCCTCCCGGCTGCAGCTTGAAGTAACAATGTGCTCAATGAGACTTTTGATATCGGGACGGCCCGGCCGGATTTCATTACCGGAGGAAGTCATTGTTGCAACAGGCTGTTGCAAAGCACCCTTCTCTATATCACCTGGTGAGAGATGAGGAGACGAGTCTCTGGCATCTGCCTCGTCAGAGGCAGAGTTCTTCTCAGACAAGAAATCTGAGGAATCAGGCAACGTGAGACTGGACAAGTCACTCTGTCGAGTGATATAAATGAGGAGGTTCACGTTTGGGTGGGACTGAAGCTTCTGAAGCTCCCCGGAAAACCAAGATAGGCATTCTAGGACAGAAATTCAGCTTCCATAGCCCTAACAGACACTTGTGGGGGAACATCCGACTTACCTTGGTCTGTCACAATCCATACAAAGTCAAGTGATTTGAATGTGGTCGCGGAGGACTGGAGCAAGTCCAACGCAATGGCAAATGTGAAGCTGGCGCCACTACCTCCAGCGACAAGAATGACTTTCTCAAAAACTTTGAAGTTAGGAACCTGACCGTAAGCACCGTCGACTGAACAACGCAACAACCTCCCAGGCTTTAGCTGCGCAGCTTGGTAAAGATCGCGCGTAAACCCGTCATACACCCTGATCACGAGTTCCGACGGTTCCGACGACAGAAGAGTGAATGGATGTCTTTCGAAGAAGCGGATAGCTGGAATCCACAGGAAAGCGTGGGATCCTGGGCTGGACTTGATGCCACGGCTGAGCCTCACCCGAAGGACCCCATTTGGCAAGGCTGTCAAGGTGGCATAATTTCCATAGAAGTTCCAAATAATCTTTGCTCCACGAAGTAGACGATCGAAAGCCCAAAAACAAGCAATCACGATCACAATAACCACAGCGGATTTTGAGAACTTGGGACGATGCATTCCAACTGTTATCATAATCAAAATGAACATGAGAATATGAAGCATGTAGAATACTGTCAATTGTCAGCACCTTGATTCATCGGAGCCCGGCATCGAGTGGCATACATTCATAAAATCCTCGCATGAAATAAGTGATAGTTGAGATTGCTATGATCAGCATGGCCATGCCTGCGATCGCACCTGCAAAATTATCTCTCTCCTCCATCTTGTGCAAGCTGCCAGATTGATGCCAGGCAGACAAGTACACTATGGCATGTATCATGGACACGAAGATACAAGTATAGCCAGAAACCTTGTGGAGGGGACGAAGCTTCTCGTAGGAGTTGGCTGTTAAGGGCGCAAGAGGTGTGTTTTTTAAAGCCAAGAAGACCAAAAGAGCCAAGTTTGCGAGTGCAACCCTGCCAGTTGATTAGTATCCGAGACAATCCAGGGAGAAAAAATTGCAAGGGAAGCCATTGCAAGAGAAACGAACTAACCAACCGAGTCGTTTGGCAACCTATAAATTATTAGCCCAAACGTACACATGGATATACGGACCGGGGTAGCTAAATAAGCCTTTTTAATGAACCCACTCACATATGTAATACTGGTGAGGTCGACGTCAGTCAACAAGATCACCAGATTCACGGCCCAGTAGGTAATATATATGATGAATCGCCCGGTTGTCACTCCCATGACTGAGCTAGCGAGGAGGACACGAGCTTTGCTGTTGTATTCGGCATATCAATATCATTGATGAACAAAATCATCCGAATCTCGCACATACCGATACGCTCGGACAGAGGTGGAAGTTCCTCTTGGACCATAGTAGAACCAAGCAAGACTTGACCAGTGATATATTGCAAAAAGAGCCATTATTGAGCCCATGCCAATGGCAAACCACTTGTTGGTCCACTCATTATTTGACTGGCGTAGTGCTTTTTCAATTGCGCTTGAGCTTCTGATTTCAATCATCATCGATTCCAAGGTTGTGCAGTACACGTCTCAGGTGTCAATGTAGAGTAGAAAACCCGCAATGCACAGGACTCACTGGGTACTATGTTCAATATCATCTGATAAGACCAAGCCAGCGAAATATCGGAGGAACTACCTTTTGACCCCACCGGCAGAGAAAATCTGCGTCCGGTCTAATTTCAGAGTCCTTTTTCCTAAAACTGGAATTATCCGCACATCTTTGCTTGTACTAAACTCCCTGAGGCCCACTTTGATACGTTCGGACGAGGAATGTCACCGGGATTTGATACGATTCAAATACTTCCGGAGATACGCTCGGTTCACATTGACATGATGTCTCGATAAATGAATGGTATTTGACGTGATGTTATTGCGTCCGGTCAGAAGCTCAAGTGCTATTGGAAAAAATACTCCCATTTTCTCTTTCGATCAGCATATTAGTCGGATCCTAAACTCATGAATTTCGCAATGCCTAAGCTGGTGAGACAGAAGACCCCATGAATCCAAAAGCTTCGACATAAAAGAAAGTTTCCAAGGTTTTCAGGACCCAATCTAATCAATCAGATAGCAAATTTGCTTGTCCCGAAATTGCTTGGCACTTCCGCTCTATTCCTATTAGGCAGTGATCTGCGTTGCAGAGATTGATAAACGATTGGCTTTTATCAACCTTTGGAATGAGCCAGTGATCAAGTGAGACATTCATAGTGAGCGTTATTCTCTGTATGGTTAATACGGTGGTATTTCCACTCAACCCACCACCATAATGCACCGTTGACATGACCCGTGAGGTCATCTACAGGGAAGAGTATCCTCTATGGTATCTTTGTGTGCCGCTGTTGTGCGCTAAACTTCCGTGCCTGACTGCAGTGGAGGACTACTGATTACAAACACCATACGGAGTACCTGCACTGCCCCCCGACGGGGCTGATGCACATCATTCCAAGGTTGGGGATACCTATCAGGACTCTTTCAGAGTTCGCTCCGTACGATGCAACGTGACTGCGCAGACCTCTTTCGAAAATGTGACTATATCATTGGCGGCTCAGAAAAAAAAAGCAAAAGAAAAAATAGAGAGAGCAACTGCAGCAGGGGTCATTTTTCTAGTTCAGGGCCCAAGTCCAATGTTTTGGCTCGTGAGGTCGCTCCGCATTGAGCTGATCTTTGGCGGGTCTGCTATTGTTGAAAAATTATCAATCAGGGGACTGGTATTGCACGTGCATATTTCCTTGCTGCTGAGTGGTGTCTTTTTTCGCTCCAAGACTGCATTAGTCAAATAAGAAATGAGGCTTCCCAGGCTGTCACGGCATGTGGGGAACAGTGCGATCATCCCCGGTTCGGTGAAATTACAACACGCCGGAAAAGCTAATTCTCTTTCATTGCAGCCAATAACCAAACAAGAGGCAAGCCTTTCACGAAAGGAGGGAAAAAACGGATTTTTGCCGCCTCAGTGAAAATATCTGATGCCGAAAGAGCCATCCAATTCTTTTCCATTATAGCCGTTATCCAGCTGGAGCCACGGGTGAGTAATAAAAAAGGGACGGAGGGGGTATGGGTGTTCCAAGGTTATTCGGTTGCGTTGACAAGACCTCGGGAATGCTTTGCCTTTATTGGCGATGAGGCCTCCCGAGTATCATTATTTCAAATCTTTTCAAAAGAGTCTACAGTTACGTTTCTTGGCTTTGCTTTTGAATGTGCTCGACTATAGCTCCCAAAGAAGACATGTGACACCAATTATTTTCCGATAATATTGATTGTGTCATAGATCTGTGCTTCATAATGATCGCCGTCCAGGTGCCAGGAGTCACGGTGCAATCCAGAGAATAGTCTTTCTATAAAGGAAAAAAGGCACGAAATGTGCGAGAAAGGGAAAGAAAAGGCGCCGAGATTGGACAATTCTGTTTTTCTGTTTGAGGGAAAGGCAGAGTGCTCGTCAAATCATGTTCTAACACAGCAGCACCCCTTGCCTTTTGCTTTGCATTTTGCAGCTCATGACATGTCCGCGAGAGGAAATGAATCTCGTGCGCATCTCAAAGGTCTGAGCCATAGCAATTTGCGGGTCATAGAAGCCCAGAGCTGTGCTTGGGTTGAGCTTCCACAACGTTCACCGTCTCATCCGAAACATCGGATTGGTAGGGACGACGTAAGATAAACGCTTTCAACCTTCCCTTAAATCTTTCGATACTTTGCAAAGCCGGATCGATAACAGGTATAGCCCCTCGCTTCTCACGGTAGAGCATCATAGAGTATCCAACCATCACACAGACCCAGAAAAGGTTATAAGCGATCACGGAGCCATAAGTAGCCGAGTTTGTCCAGCCAAGAAGTGCGTTGAAGATACCCCAACCACCACCGCCTCCTAACTCTGGGTTGCAGCAATTAACATGCCAGACACTCTGGCGGATATCATAGGATCCTGCACCAGACCCTGTCTCAGATGCATCACCTCCTATCACCTTGTTCCAGGTATTGTTCTCAAAGTACCAGACACCGCGTGAGAAAAGGCCGGCCGCAACGAGGTAAAGGAAGCAAGTCGAGATTATCAAGAAGATCTGCATCGAGGTCTCACGTCCACCACTGGAAATCATTAGACTTGGACATCGTTGGTCAAGGTCAGGGACTTACCGATAAATGATATAACCAACAGCAATTCCAGCCAAGATACCAGTGAAAACAGCCAATGGGAAGGAGGAAGCCGGAAGTCCAAGCCCGACACCACCGACGTACACAACGGCCTCGAGACCCTCTCGTAAGACGGTGATGAATGGCAAAAGGAACATGGCGTATTTCTCAAGCCATCGCTTGACTCGGCCCTTGTTTGTCTCATTCGGGTCTTTCTTGTGATCAAGTGCCTTGGCCAGCTTGACACGCCATTTATCTTGCAGCTTGGAGACTCGCAACAGGGCAGCTCCCATAACCGTAATCACGATAGAAGCAATGATTCCCAGCACACCTTCCCAAATATCCTCAGTGGCGGAGAAGGTGTCTACCCCGAGGCCATAGAAGCCACCAATCATTCCCGCTCCGACAGCGAGGCATAGAAAGAGACCCAGTCCACACCCTAGCCAGACCTGTCTTGGTTAGCTTTGGCATGTTGATTGGAAAGTGAGCGAGCGAAGACGAAGTACCTGTTTCACTAATCGTATGTAGGTCGGACGATCAGAATCATAGAGTGATTGCTTCAGAAAGGCGAGGAGGACTGACACGACCACTGTCGTCTCCAGACATTCTCTGAAGCATATGAAGAAGACTGATTGCATCAAGTCAGCTCCCAGGCTAGTCTTGGTTGTCAAAAAAAATGAAACCTACCTGTAACCGCGAAGACCTTGTTATCTCCCATGGTGCTTGAGGACGGAAGAAATGTACACAGCCCGAAGCTTGCAAAAAGGAAATGGGAAATCAAAACTCCTTCCAACTGTTTACTCAAGACACTCGAGAGGGCCGAGAGGGGTCCTTGGGTAAATGATCTGATTAAAATCTTACGGTATGTTTTCCCTGACGACCCACTCATGTTTTTTCCAAGCTTACTAGTAACTACTTGGCTAAGCTTATCTCGATAATTTGTTTTTTTTTTTCTCTTCCAAATCTGGAAGTGTCCACCTGGACAAGGTTAAATTTTGCGGAATACGGATACGGGATCAAGGGTCCTACGCCGAACTTGCCGAAGGGTGTGTCGATTGGCCAACGGACATCGTAAGTTCAAGTGCAAGTAACCGAGCCCCCAATGGGCTTCCACGAAAGGCCGGGACACACCGGAAACAACACTCTCCACGCTCCCCAAAAGTATCAATACCCGAGACAGTTTCCCTCGTCCTGCAGCGGAGGATCAATGTAACTCTCGTGCTCCAGTTCCGGGCCCCACAAGCCCTGCCCAGACGAATTATACTTTGGTACATGACCACGTGAAATTGCCAAACACTTCTGGAAACTAATTTCCAGAAGATTATCAGATCGATAACAGATACCGGTGAGCCGTCTAGGGCGCCTTTCTACAGGGCGGTCATAGCGGGTCATTCTGTCTCCGAATGCGATTTTGTTGCTCTGCCTCTGGAAGTGTCTGTCCCTTGCTTTGTCTTTCCATTTCCCTGGTCGTGAGAGGGAAGAATCCACCTTGCTCATTTCGAAACATTTGTCGTGCTTGGCCTCTATCTAATTCTGTCTTTATTCCTGGTACTAGGACACTGGCATTTGGGCATTTGACTGCGGTCTTTGCATTTTTCTCACTAAGCGCTTGAACCGCGCTCCTGTCGATCGCTTCAAGTCTCGCATGATTGCTCAAATGGCCATTTTGGATATCCTACTATACCGTTTGGCGGTGTTGTTGCTGTTCACGCAGCATTGCCACGCAAAGACCGTGAATTTGGATTTTAATGTCACCTGGGTCAACGCAAACCCAGATGGTCTTCATGAACGCAAGGTGGTCGGAATCAATGGCCAATGGCCGCTACCGATCATCGAGGTTGACAAGGGTGACAGACTCATTGTGAACATGTACAACGGGCTTGGGGACAAGGACACTTCTATCCACTGGCATGGCATGTTTCAAAATGGTACCAACGACATGGACGGAGCTTCGATGGTTACCCAATGTCCGATTTCCCCTGGCTCGTCAATGACCTACAATTTCACTATTCCTCAAAACGGTACCTATTGGTATCATTGTCATACCGATGCGTGCTACCCAGACGGCTATCGTCAAGCTCTGATCGTGCATGATAATCAGTCATACTTCAATGATATGTATGATGAGGAATACACACTCACCATGAGTGATTGGTATCATACGCTTGTTGAGGATATCCCGTTCATCCGAGTTGAGAACCCGACTGGCGCGGAACCCGTTCCAGATTCGTTCCTGTTCAACGACACTGTGTCGAAGACAAATATTCCTGTCGAGCCCGGCAAGACATATATGCTGCGGCTCATCAATATTGGTGCTTTTGTTGCCCAGTATTTCTATATCGAGGACCACACCTTCCGCATCGTCGAAATTGATGGAGTGTATGTGGATGCCCAAGAAGCAGATGTACTTTACATCTCTGTGGCGCAACGTTATTCCATTCTCGTCACGATGAAAAACTCTACAGAGAAGAATTATCCTATTGTCATGGTGGCCGACTCAGAATTGTTGGATGTTATCTCGCCATCGTTACAGCTCAATCAGACAAACTGGCTTGAATATAACAGTGCTGCCCCCCATCCCCAGGCGAAAATAACGGTCGACACTGCGTCTGATCTTGTTCCATACGACGACATGAAGCTTGTCCCTCACGACCGGATGGAACTTCTTCCAGAACCCGATATGGTCATTGCGGTCGACGTCATTATGGATAATCTGAATGACGGCGCGGGCTATGCATTCTTCAACAACATCTCTTACACAATGCCCAAAGTCCCAACACTATATTCAGTGCTGACTGCCGGGGAGGAGTATGCAACAAACGAAAAAGTTTACGGAGAATTCACCTCCTCCCACGTTCTTGAGCATAACGCGGTCGTTGAAATTATCATCAATAATCAAGATACTGGGTCTCATCCCTTCCATCTACACGGCCACAATTTCCAACTTGTCAGTCGTTCGCCTTCGTACGGGGCCTCCTTCTATGACCTGGTGGACGGCGATCCGGTTCCTTATGATGCTTCAGAGCAACCCTCAAGTGGCTTCCCGAAATTTCCAGCGCGTCGAGATACCGTTGTCGCACCACCACAGGGAAATATGGTACTTCGCTTCGTCGCTGACAACCCTGGTGTCTGGCTCTTCCATTGCCACATCGACTGGCACATGTCTCAGGGGTTAGCAATGACATTTGTTGAGGCACCGCAGCAGATAAAAGCAGGTCTGTCACTGACAGATAGTGATATCAGCATATGCAAAGCTGGGAACAGATCTTACGAAGGAAATGCTGCCGCTAACACGGAGGACTGGCTTGATTTGAGCAATCAAAATAGACAGCTTCCATGGTTGCCTGCCGGGTTTACGCCGAGGGGTATAGTTGCAATGGTTTTCTCATGTGTGTCAGCATTCCTCGGAATGGCGTTCATCGCATTCTATGGCATGTCGGGAATAGGAGTTCAGAAGCAAGAGACTGCTGTGGTTTCAGAGAGTGAGACTAGATGAATTTATTGAAATGAATGTGTGTGTACCTGGGTTAGTATTCTTGAAGATAATATCAGTGCAAAAGTGGAAATAATTGGAAACCTCCGAAGAGTTCGTCCCCAGGGCTTCACACTTAGTCTTGGACTGATGTTCTCAATGGAAATGCTGTTTGATGGAAAAATAACAGTGTAGAGAGGTTTCTCCAGATGATGAATTTTGCGGAACAACGAAAAGAAGAAGGAAGAAATTGAGAACCCAACGAGAGAATGGCTACTCTTCTCGGCTCGGACCTTTTCCTTTGTTTTTTTTATCCTGTAATAATCTAAGCCCATCTCCAGAACTTGAAAACGGTTGCGGATCCGTGAATGTTGTGAGCGGAGAAAAGACACAAAAAAGCAAAAAGAAATGTGCATCATCCGTGAATCGAACACGGGCCTCGTCGATGGCAACGACGAATTCTACCACTAGACCAATGATGCTACTTTATGTAATTTGTGTCATTATTACACAATTCACTCCTAAAGTCTTCCAGCGGACATATTTCATTTTCATCGCTATCTCCGAGTTGATTCTTCATGTTCTTTTCACCGCGTGGATATGTCCACAATACTCCGTATTTGTGTTATATTTACAGTCAGCGGTTCAAGTCTTGGCATTGCCTTTGGGATGCACTCGGATTAGAGAATGGCGCGCAACCGTTTCGGAAAATATCTATTTGGAAGAAGGTTTGTACCACCTTCACCTTAGGCATAACCATAGATCTTCGGCAGAACCCAATGTTGTTTTTGAACTATCCAAGGTTCGGAGTTAGAACCAGTGAAGATCACATGCTTTTGATGAGACTATGTCTCTGTTTAGAAGGAGCTTCGCTGAACATAACCTTGGGAGCACCGTATCATTACGAATATTTGGTCCAGATCTCGAAATATCTTATGTGGTCTGAGAATCGATTTCCATAGTAACCCTTTAAGTGAGTGTAAGTGTGTGTAAGCAATGCTGGACATCCATAGGTGTATTATAAATTTGCAGGTAGTCAAGGGAGTTAAGAGGTCAGGTCAAGTGCCGATTCCCGAAAAAACCTGTTCCGCTGACTAGCAAGCGGAGATAGCCCTGAAACGACCCGAGGCTCGGACTTTAGAGAGGAGGGTTACCAATATTATGTCACGGGGTGTGGAGGTAGTTCTTATTATTGAGCCCTGGAAGCTCTGAAAGAAATCTCGTTCAACTATTTTTCCCGTTTGCGACTTCTGGTCTCTGCATGTCGAAATGGCTGCTGTGACTCGAATTCTCTCCTATGCGGGAAACAAGCCTTACCGATCGCATCATATCCACTATGAGCCCGAGATCCACTTGAACGAAGATGGGTTCGTCGATTTCACGCCTGACGATATCGAAAATCCTCGAAACTGGTCTTTGACTCGTCGCGTTTCTATCACCGTTACCGCCGTGCTTCTTGTCGTCAATGCGACATTCGCCTCAAGCTCCCCCAGTGGTTGCTTTGGCTCCATATCTGAAGAGTTCGGGGTATCCACCGAGGTAGCAGGCCTCACAATCACCCTATTTTTGCTGGGCTACTGTGCCGGGCCCCTTATTTTCGCACCACTCAGTGAATTCTACGGCCGTCGATGGATTTTTTACATCAGTTTCGCCTTATACCTCATCTTTAATTTCCTATGCGCCTTCGCACCAAACCTCGCGGCTCTGCTTGTGGGCAGATTTCTGACGGGGACCTTCGTTTCTGCTCCTCTGAGCAATTCGCCTGGGGTGCTCGCTGATCTATGGGATCCGTTGCAGCGATCTAACGCCATGGCTGGCTTTTCGGCAATGGTCTATGTCGGACCAGCGCTGGGGCCAGTCATTGCGGGTTTCCTCGAATTGAAAGAAGACTGGAGATGGAGTTTTTATGTTCTGCTCTGGCTTGGTGGAGTGACAGCTGTCTTGATGCTGACTATCCCGGAGACATATGCCCCGATTGTCCTTTACAACAAGGCTAAGCGAATTCGCGCGGCTAAGATTCCTGGTTACGAAAATGTGAAAGCCAAAGTGGAGGACAGCGACCGGACGCTCGTCGACATTTACAAGGTGGCAATTACACGACCCTGGATCATTCTCTTTGATCCGATTTCTCTGCTCTGTGCGATCTACATGGCCGTTGTGTATACTCTGCTTTACATGCTCTTCACTATCTATCCCATCGTGTTTCAAGAGAAGCGAGGATGGAACTCAGGCGTGGGAGAGTTGCCTTTGATTGGTACTGTTGTCGGAGCGCTGATTGGAGGTGCCATCGTGTTGGTCGATACTCGGATTCGTCAAAGGAAGATCGAGAGGGGTGAAAAGACAATGGCAGACACAGTCCCTGAAGATCGACTGACCCTCGCGATGATCGGGGGTGTTGGATTCCCTATCACGATGTTCTGGTTTGGATGGTCGGCGCAATACAAGTGAGTACCACAAGTGATAAAACTTTGATGAAGCTTAACTGACTTGTTCAAAAGTGAGGTCCATTGGATCGTCCCAACTCTCGCTGGATGCTTCCTTTCCAGCTGCCTGCTATTAATCTTTGTCGCATATTTGAATTATCTCGTGGACTGCTACCTGATGTACGCCGCCTCTGCCATCGCCGCCAACACCATCGCCCGATCGGCCTGCGGTGCTGCAGCACCTCTTTTCACGAACCAAATGTTCACGGCACTAGGAATTGGAGGTGGAGGAAGTCTGATAGGTGGGGTTGCTGCTGTTCTGGCGGTGATTCCTTTCCTATTCTACAAATATGGAGCACAAATCCGAGTTAAAAGCCGATTTGCCCCTGCGTTGGATGTTCGCAGGGAGAAGACGGATGAGGAATCTGCTCCTCAACAAGATATCGCAACAACCCCGGAATCACAACAAACTCAGAGTGAAACCTCTCTTTCAACATCAGTTGACAGTGCCGATGTGCACAGGGAGGAGACAACCGAAAAGTGAAGGGCGTAACCCTTGAAAAAGAAATTACAAGTTTTATCTATCACAATAATTTAATAACTCATTCCACCATCTCTTGGTCCCACAATATTTTTATTTTTATCAAATGAAATACTCACTTGACCTCGGGAATTGGTACTTGCTTTATCGAAAGCTTTCGTTGTATCTCGAGATCAGTTCGCAAAATTAAACAGTCTCCACGGCTAAGGACATATTGGCCAGGCTGTATGTTCGAGCGTGAATTCTGAGTCTAGAGGTTGCCCTGATTTCGATCTACTTTGTCCTACTGCCTTGGAATTCAGCCAACAAAGCTAATTAGTAGGTACACGATTCCCATTATAATCCGCCATTGGGCCAATGTATGTTGGTCTCTATGACAGTTCTTGATTTATGCAAAAAATTCTCACATGCATTGACGATTGCCAATGTGAGGTTTCTACTTCGGGATTCCCAAATTAGAACCCTGGAAATTGGCACAAGGATTGCCGGGTCGAGGATATAGCTCCCCCGGAAATCCCGAAGTAATCACAAAGATAGTCCCACCTAGATAAAACTACAACACTGGACTCAGCGGCAAAATCAAATGCCCAATCTGTACGTGACCCAGGTACTGCCCAGGTGGTTATCGCTCTGAAAACAGAGTTTAGCTTGATCCATTGTGCAGGTCTACTCGTGACTTTTTAAAAAAGAGGTGAGAGGTTCGTATTATCATTCATATGCTAGACAAAAGTGTGAACTGAGGTCTATGCTCGACAGATCAAAATCCCTAGCTGATTTGCTCCGGGGTGGAGGAAACTTGGGAAAGGAATGGAACTAGCTCGCATCGCCCTTTGCCTGGGCGGGAGCCCTTATGCGCCCAAAGCTTGGTCCCTCGCAAGAAAAAATCCACATTCTCTTTGCTGAAGCAGATTTGCTTCCAATCTTCTTCTGTATCAATCGGTGGGTAATAGGAAACAACGAGGTGCTTGAGTTGCCGGAGAATCGGCAGCACTGCCGCCTCTTCCTCAGGCGTGAGGAACAGGCCATTGTCGACTACCATTGGGCAGCAAATCTGGAGGGATTCGATTTGCGTCTGTGTAGATCCAATGGCAGATAGAAGAGTTGAGAGGACAATGCTCTTGATAAGTCTCTCTCGGATTGGACCGACCGTAGACTGAGCGAAAAGTAAAGTTTGGGCTGAGAAGGGAGGGAATACCGGGTTGAAGCCTAGGTGTGCCTCCAAGGCTTTCGTCCCTCTAAAGCTCCCATTGCAAGGCCACCAGGGTTCATTTGACCCGCCTTCGATGTCCCTCAACCCCACTCCCTGTAGGTTTGGGAGAAGGGGTAGACACTTTTCAAGTGTCAACTGTAGGGGCGTCTTAGAATCACTTCCGGCCTGAGACCCAGGCAGGAAAGTGCGGATATGATCGGAAACTACACCCTTGTAGAGGATGTAACGGCTCTCCAAATCGGGACCGGAACCCACACTGCGGGTTTGTGTAGCCGGTGGGGGTTGGGACAGCCGGCCTCCCATCATTCCCCCCGTATGAATCAGGTTTCGGAATTGATCAAATGACCATGTGTATCCGCCGCGGAAAACATTCGGTAGGATGTAGAGATTCTAGCATCAGGTTAGCTTGCTTTCAAGTGATTGTAGACAGTGCGTTTGTTGAAGAAGCTAACCTTAACACGACGGCGAAAGACTTCATGTCCAGCGACATATTCTAGTGCCCGCAGTCCGTCACTAGTCACCATCAGGTGGAAATCATGAAACAGTCGATCTCCGAAGCATCGGTAGGTCTTATGCGCAAGTGTGGTAGATGTCTGTCGCAAGCTGCATATGTCGTCCAGGCTGGAGTAGCCGCAGACATTGTCCACAAGCTCTGGTGGTAGACACTCAAAACGGGACGACATGATGTCGAGTAACCCAAATGAAGTTGGTTGAAGATTCGAGGGAAAGAAGGGCAGATTGAGAGTAAAAAGGGCGAGAAAGAAGGTGAGAGGAAAGAAGTGAAGTTGACCAACGAATTGGATTCAAGTAGGGGTCTGTTGGAGATCATACATCTCTCACTTCGCGCTCACTCTCACCCTTACCCTTACCCTTGCCCTTACCCTTGCCCTCACCCTTGCCCTCACCTGTACCCTTACCCTCTCCATCTCTCTCCATCCCTTTATCTCTTCACCTATCTACGTTTCACTACTTCATGTATATTGCTCTGGGTAGACTGTGTCTATTCACTGTGTTTCATGTCCCATTCGTTCCACCAGCGAGGGGAACTGGGTATTCAACACTAATAAACTTCGCAAAATGTTTTCAATTGATCACAACCCAGCATGACGCCAGGGCTCGGTCTCAGATTTTAGCTAGAGACGAGGACGTTTGATGACTCGTAGGTACATGCCTTTAGGGACTGTCGCCCAATTCACAGTATTTGCAAACTGCTAACAGACCTCGGATACCAGGGGGAAAAGCAAATGGAAGTACCATACATTGAAACAATCGAAAAATGCTTTATTCCAATTTACGAATCCGACTTTGTCTTCCAACAAAATAACACACCATAACATCGAGCTGGCGAAACGATGGCCCTATGATTTCGATAATGATGGGAACGTCCGCTCATCCCAGCCAACACCGTCGTTCGAAGGACCTGGCCTTACTAGTCTATGCCCACGGACTGGGCTGGATAGCTATAAATCGGGACACAGTGGTCCTTGGGGGTTGGCAGCTCGCTCTGTAGCTCACAGCAGTTCGAAAGAAGTCGGACAAGGCTGTTCCCAGCGCTGATGGGGAATGGTCTACCGGCCTGATACTAGCTCTCCCCGAATTCATCGAGAGGAATACCGCGTGAGCGCGCCAGCTGGAGGAGGTTCACGATGGCGAGCCGATCTCGAGAAGAAACACCACGTTGTCGAGTCTCGCTTCCCCAAGGAAGCTAAGAAAGTCAGTTGTGACGGGATGACAAAGAACCATCGCGAAGTCTGCTTTTCTCCTGCAATCTACGAACGAGAGCTAGCTGTGTTCGAGATTGCTAAAGTTCCGGGGTACCACATCAGTTGTGGCCCAGAGTTAAAAGAAGAAGTCGATGGATCAATCATCTCCGTTGCCAATATCCATACAGCCAAACTCACTCAGGTGTCCACGGGTGGTTCGAGAATCCGGCAATAACCCAATGGGGTGGACTTCCTATTCCCTGGACCTCAACCCAACCTTAGAATCGAACCCGTTTCGTTGCTACTAAAATGAAAGTTGTATGAAGTATACCCAGACCTTGCTCGAGATGGAAAATCTGAAATGGATTGGGAGGTTTTTCGTACTGCAATGTAGGGAGCTTGGAAGGGTATGGATGTACACCCCGGCGCCTGAGATACCAGAAACACCTTTGGAAGCATAAGGAACCCCGGACCTCGGGAAGACTTGACAGCCTTGGAACCAGAACCTTGGAAGCGCCCTGGCATTGAGAAGATACATCTACGTCGATGGTGACTATAGCCAATGACGAAGAAAAGCCTTAGCCGAAACCGCAGCAGTTGTTGCCGCATAATCTTGCCACTTTTTGTTTTTGTGGCTATCTGCGTAGTCACAGACGCCTTTGATGATGACACAAGGGATTGCATCCCACACACCCGAGCCCTCCATCTCAAAAGCTATTACCTTTGCCTCATTTGAAATCAGGTCTCGATCCGCTCCAGATTTGAGAACAGTATCTCCCGACGCAATCAAACCGAAATGTATAGCGGGTTTGTTGTGTATATTTCGACGGGACCGTGGAACCAGTGCCTCCTGATCACAGTGGAGTTCAGCACAAGTAGAGTCGATAGCATCTTCGCACATTCCATCGTCACAATCTCCACAGCATCTGGACACATCCCGATGTTTGTGGACGTATGTCGCGGGAAACAATTTGTCTTCGGCTTCCCCTGGGTAGAAGATCTTCGAATATGTGTTGGGATTATCGTTCATATGGCGGAGCTCTGTTGCTATCTTCTCCTGCAAATTCGTCCGATGCTTATTAGTTTCAAGACGAGCAAGCAGTGAGGAGATTTCGCGACCAGGACGCCCTGGCTGATCATCAACAGTGGCCTTGCGTCGGAATTGACCAGGATACCGTCGGCCGAAGTCATACTGAACAATCCCTTTGCTGATGACGACATCCCCTAGCAGAATTTCTGCGCTTCCACCGGGGAATGGAACGCCGCCGCAAACCCCTACAATAAGGGCCAGCTTAATGTTGGGAAAGCTCATTGAGCATGCAGCTGCAACGTTTGCTGCAGAGGCCTTTCCCATCCGTGGCTGATGCGCTAAAACAACATTTTGGTTTGCAATCATCCCCACGGTGTATGAGTTCGGATCATTTGGCTGCTTGCCATATGTATACACGCCATTGTCGTCCTCCCAATATTTTTCGAAGATGGCCTCGACGGCATTTGCCTCCGTCCTGAGAGCACATATGATGGCGACAGTAAAGTCGTTTCGCGTGAGAGGTCGAGGGTGGCATTGTTGTAGCTGATCTGGAGATCCTGTGAGGCTTGAATATGCTTTGTTTGGCATGTTTGCTCTATTTGCATCATCCTCCGATGTTTGACATGACGTCACGCGATGCTCTTCCAAAATGGGCATTGGTGGATTTCTTGGTAGATTGCGAATTGGTGGGTGTTTCAAAGTTCCCGGAGTTTTAGCCACCGAATCCAATGCTTCATTTTGCACCAGATCATCACCTAGCCTGACGCGTGGAATCTCTCCAGCCCCCTTTGTGAATACTTTGCAGATGCCGGCATCCGCAAAGCTAGGAGATTGAAGCTGCTCAACTTGGTCCCAGGTCCAGTGAGCCCCATTAACGAGGTCCTGTTCAAGTGGACGAACAATTCTCTTGTAATATGTGTCAATGAATTGCTGATTGGAGAGAAGGGCTTCAGAATCCAAGGTGTCAAACTGGGCAAAAGACGCGCGGTCTATACAGAATGTGACAGCACTGACGAGGCCAGAATCAAGGTTGAAACGTTTTCGAATCTCCTTAAGAAGATATTGAGCAACGTAAAATGGCTTGTGTCGTTTCGAAAGAAATACAGGGTCGCTCTTTATATCCAGGATGTCCTCTCCGAGTTCAATCTCCAATAATATTATGCCCAGTGCAAGGATTGTTGGAAAAGGGTGGATCTTGTAACCGCGTGGTTGGGTGCTAGGGTCATGATCGAGGCCGAATTTGGTTGCGATGAAGACTTTGTCGAACTGAGGATAAGGTTGCTCATTTTGCACCTTGCAGTAGACATAGATATCGTCAATCGACATGCCTTCACTCAGCCACGGGCCTTCGAAGAGATGCAAAATGCATCGAGCTAGTGTGACACCCATGACCCGCTTCGCTGCATAAGTTGGCTTGATCATGGCTTGTAATTCAGTGAGGTTCATCTCAATGTAGCTTTCCCCTTCTAGTATGACTTCAAGCGGCCGAGCTAGCCTCTGCTTATCCCAAAGCCGATTCTCACCATCTGTGGTCAAGTATAGACAGACACTTCGAGATTGATCATGCATTATGAGACAGGCAGGGGAACCTTGTTCAACACTGTAGCAGATCGTCAAGTCAGCTGCACCACCGAAAACTAGAAGAGCAACGAGAAAACCCTCTTACCCGTAATCGCTGACACAAACCCTGCACTCTTGGAGGATATCAGGACCCGTTAACAGCATGAAGAGACTGTCATGCGGTTGCTTTGGGGCACTCCATTGGGGATCCAAGAAAAATTTCGCTTCAAGGGAAAGGCCCAATCGCCCATCGTGATCGTGATGTTCCGACTGGCACGGCCAGTTGCTATGCAGAGAACTGTGCAAGGATTCCGACAATTTCCTGACGTTGTCTTCGCGGTGAAAAATAGTTTCGACCACAGGAGGCTTTGGACAGTCATCTTCGGAGGGTTCTACTTCTTCATCAATCTCGGTGCTCTCATACAGATCATCCACAAGCGTATTCCAGCCTTTGACGAGGCGAATGAGCCTTTGAAGAAGTTGATCATCGCGGCTGAGGAATTCGTCAAGACTTAGATTTCGCACATCCGACCGACTGATGAGCTGGCGGAACAATGAAAGGTGCGGATAGGGACCTTTGTTCCATTGAATCTCATCGGCCGGAGGTGGGTCTTTGGGTTTGGCGAAGAACGAGAAAAAATGTGGGAATGTGGAGGCCTGTGCCTTTGTTTCCTCCTCCAACGACCGTCGATATCGGGTCTTGATGTATTCGCCACACAAAACACGATTCAGTGAGTCCGCCACTTGGCGAAGTGATGTTTCGAGGGATTTCCGACGCGTCAAGGCGTTAAGCACGTGTGTCGACCTTATCTCCGCCACCAGATGAGCTAAGGCAATCTTCAAACCTCTATGAAGCGTTCCTGAGGCCGGGCGCCCGCAGTTGATAGCTTCAACAAACGCGGTTGCGACGTCTGCAACCGTCTCCGCCAACGAAGGCCCCACCTCCGCTTCCGCAACCACGCGCTGGGTGTCGCACATAGTGCAGACATGGGCCGGCCCGAACCTTGTAACAAACTCAGACCAAGGGAAAGAGGCCTCGCAAAGACACAAAGCCGGATGGGCGGGGCTGATAAATACGCCCAGCTTCACAATCCACGGCCTTTGTCATCCATCAGCCCCCCAAGTTGGCTGTGCATGACTTAGCGCCAAAATCGCTTTTTGGGCAAGGATACGCCGATCCCCACTTTCTTGGCCGCACCTCGTAAGCGAAATGATAACGCCGCTCGAAAGCACAGAGAGCACAACTAAGACGCGCGACAAACGGGTGTGAGACCAAACCCAAGGATGTCCATTGCGGATCGGGCTAGAGAGGTGGAGGTTGGTTTCGAGCTTTGGAGAAACTCCTTGGAGCCCGGTTCTCCGGCAGTCGAGGAGGCCGAAAATCAATTATTCCGGTTTAACTTGTGGACGTCGAACAATTTTATTTTTGAGCGCACACGTACGTCGATGGACTGGAGATTGCGCAATGCCTCAGTATTACACTCGGCGATGGGGGATCTGTTGGATGACCTGAAAGCTAATCTGGCCGGTATCAACTCCACAATCCTTGAATTTCTGGTCATATCCATATCACTGACATGCAGGTGATATATATAGGCTGCACCCTGAAATCACCTGTGTTAGAGGATCCCACTCCGCCCGAGGTGATCGAGGAGACGCTAGATCAACTATTCAGGTTCTCCAGGGCAGTTCGACGATCGGGGATCCTTCATAGATTCATCAAGATTGCAAATTATGTGGAATACAGTCCGGAAGGTATAAACCTAACAGAGGAATTTCGCAAAGCCGCGACCCAACTTGTCGAACACCACCTGAAAACATCGGCTGCTACACCTAATCTTCGAGAGAGACTCATAGAAACGATTTGCCTTCGCCAGCAAAACTTCTCCTACCTGAAATCTCGAAAGTCACGAGTGGCACAGGACCTGTCTGCCCCAAATGAGAAAGTGTCCTCTTCTTCAGCACGCTCGGTTCTTTCAACCACATTCAGCTTAGGGGGCTCTATACCCAGAAGTCCCCGAAAAAAAAGCGTGCAAATTCAACACGCTCAGAAATTAGAGCATTCAATATTATCAGCCACAACAGTGCAATACACCGGTGCACCTTTGGAGCAATCAGTTCAGACCTCAATCAACTACCACGTTCCCGAGATCAAGGATGAGGATGCAAACCTCCCAAAGCCGCCAGTTGTCCCATTAGGACAAAAGGAGTGGGAATGTCCTTACTGTTTGCTTTTGTATCCAGTCAAAGAGTTCAGCGGTGAGCTCTGGAGGTAGGTTGTAGAGATTTCACGCATAACAGAACAACTCAACTTATACTAACATAAACTAGGAAACATATTATAGGGGACACTATGCCTTACATTTGTATTTTGGAAACCTGTCCAACCCCCAACACCCTTTTCAAATCGAGCAAAGATTGGATGACACACATGAGAAAGGAACACGTTTCTCCTGGGAACTGGACTTGTATGGACTCGGCTCACGAGAGCCCCTGTCTGTATGAGAGCAGATCCGAGTTTCAAGATCATATGTTTAAGTTTCATGCAGATCAATTCGATGAGTCCGACCTTGAGGATCTCCTGGATGCTTGCTATGAAAGCAAACCCGGCAATCTGAGCCTTTCAAGATGTCCCTTTTGCGACGAAGACGATCAACCGACTTTGAATACAGAGGATTTCTTCTTCCACGTGGCCCATCATTTACTTTCTTTTTCGCGAATCTCACTGGAGGGGTATTTTCAAGAGGCGATTGGAACATCGGATGTCTCTGGCTCATTGGATGAGACAACTCATGACGAAGGCCAAGAGCTGACGGGGACTATTAAAGAGGGACTTGAGACGCATCTGCAAGACTTCAGTGGAGATGAATGCGATGATTTGGAGTCCCTATCCACTGTTCTCGCGCTAGGCATACCCCCCGAAACCGAAAACGAGCAGTGGGACTTTTACAGGCAGGTCAAGGAAGTACCAGACCACGATCAAACCACGGATCCCATTCTCAGTGCTTTTGTGGGAAATATGAAAAACGTTCAAGTGGGCAATCTCTTGAAGGGCGGCACCTGGGATCAATTCTACCAAGTCCCGAAGCAAGTGATACAAAAAATGTCGAAAACTGAAATCGCGCGCCAGAACACTTTGCACGAGATTGTCGTCACAGAACATCGCTATCTTGACCAGTTAGATGTTGTTCGAACGCTTTACATAGATCACTTGGTTCAAGTTCACTCTAACATTCTTTCCGACCACCGCAAGATGGACTTTGCGAAGCGAGTCTTTGGTGGCATTGATGCAGTTCAAGTTGTCAACGAAGAATTCATGTTCAAGCCACTTGTTGACTGCCAGAAGCGACAAGGGCCATTCATCGTTGGCTTTGGCAGCATTTTCTGCGATTGGATTGCCAAAGCAAGACAGTCATATTTGGACTACAGTGCTGCATTCCCACAAGCGAGCAATATGGTTCGCAAAGAAGCAGCGAGTAATCCACAATTCAAAGAATTCCTAGAGAAGGCCCGTGAACATCGGGATTCCGGGAGACTCGCCTGGGACACATATCTAAAGAGCCCCATTCTGCGGGTCTCAAGATACCTCCTACTACTGAGATCTGTACGTCGAAGGACAGCCGAGGATAACGAAGACTTGCCGGATTTGACTCAGGCAATCATTCTCTTGGAAGCCCTTCAGGCCGATTGCGGGAAGACCTTCGAGCGCATGCAAAAGAGAGTCGAGCTGCAGGAATTAATTTCCATGCTTGATTATGATCATTCGGCACAGCTGGACATGGCCAACTTCGATATTCGGTTGCGCGAACGAAGCCGAGAAATTATATTCCAGGGACAACTTCGACAACGGGAGACCAGAGGACGCTTGGAGCGTCTGACCAAACAGCCTTGGACGGAGCAGCATGGAATCCTACTCGACAACTATTTTATATTGACGACACCAATCTTGTGGACAACGCAAGCTGTAACCAGGAAGTTTAAGGGGCCCTTATCATTTATGGCCAGAAGCTCACCCACATTCAATGTGAAAGGCTATCAGATCTCCGAAGCTCCCATCCCCATCCACCTTTTGGACTTGGAAGCAGACATCGAAATCAACCACTCATCTTTGTCAACAGGAATACTTGACTCCAAAAAACTCCCTCCAATTAAGGTCAGACATCTTGGAAAGAACAAAGTTTATAATCTTTATGCACTTTCTCCAGAGGATTATCTTAAATGGAAGCAGAAGATCATTGAAGCCAAGACGAAATACGCGTCTTCGCTGGTTTCTTTGAACCAAGAGCCCTATAAACTGAATCCCGTGTTGAATTCGGTATTTGAATACTCACGAAACGGGTTGAAGCCCTCTCTTGGAGGTGTTGTTGCACCAGGAACCGCTCTTGACCGTGCTATGAAGGATGCTCGTACAAGAAGCTTGCACCCTACAGCTTCATACCCGAAGGTACACACCGCAAACGTCAATTGCGCTGTTACGATCAACCTCAAAGGCCTTTTGGACATTCTACTGATTGGAACGGATGACGGAGTCTTCATCTTAGGGTCCGATTCCACATTATGGGGAGCGAAAAAGGTCGGGAATATCCCTTATGAGGCCGGGACACCAAGTTTGATGCTGACATGAGTGAGGTTTAGATACTTCCAGGACATGAAGTGACCCAGATACATGTCTTCGAGGAACATGAAATTCTGATTTTTCTCGCGGATAACAAGCTGTTTGCACAAGCATTGCATGGATCGGGGCTTCCATTTGAGGTGTTTGTCTCCGAAGCCGTCACATCCTTCGCCGACCGGGTACCCCGTATTATATCGCGCGGAGATCATATCGAAATTTTCACCGCTGGACACGAGGATGGAAAGCCAATGATGATATACAGAAGCTCGATATACAGCAAGGGTGTCGAGCTCCAGCGCTTCAATACTCTCGTGGCGATTGACGGGGTAGCAGATATTTTCGATGTTGTTCCACTTGAGCCGCCTCGGGTCATTGTTTGGGAAAAACAAAAAGTTCCTCTCGGCCGCCACTGTTTCATAAACACATCGCTGCCCGAGGTTGAGATTGAAGAATCTCGTCGTACCCGAATCCCTCGCATCCCTAAATTACTCAAAATCAGCCACATAGGATCTTCGTTTGTACGGATGACCCCAGAACGAATCGACAAAACTTCCGCTTGTTCTGAATTCGAAGCTCCATTCACAGATCTATACACAGGCGGCCCCACTGATATTTGTCAGCTTGGAGACTTAGTTGGACGCGATTCACGACCGCTAGGAATGTTTGAACTCACCGACAGACAATCACGTCTTGCTGGACGCCCGTACCTTGCTGTCTATGAATCCATTGCCATATACATTGATACTTCCTTCAATTTGTCGCAGAAGGAGCCCATCCTGTTTGAGTGCATTGCGGATAGCGCCTGTGTCGATGGGAGATTTCTCATCCTTTTCCACAAAGAACTTGTTGAGGTTTATGACGTGGTGGACGGGAGTCTGCGGCAGGTCATCCCTGGCCGTCAAATCAAGTGCCTGACTGCCGACAGTGGTTGCTACAGATATAAAGATGATCCGAACGCACCTCGCGATCTGGATGCTGCACAAAGCTCATTCCACCAAGGTCAAGGCCGCGGATCTCGACATCAGACCGTCAAGTTTGCCATGCAGCATCCGGAGTGCGAAAGTCGGCAAATCATTTTTGAGCTGATTCTAAACCCCGAAGCAGAGGAATTCGACTAGTACGGAGTGCAGCGTGACTCATCTTAGTGCTAGGGCTTTCATTTCCCCTGGGAAATGGGTGGGAGCTACAAAGCAGTCATAGTGCGCATCTCAATTGTGAGAATTTCACAAAGTCGCGAACACAAACTTCACCTTCACCCGCCAAGGTTCTGAATCACTGCTTTACATGTAGCTGAATTCTTTGATTATGCAATCGTAATGTTGATATTTTTCCAAATTGTCGCAGAAATCGTTCTTCTTTGTCCTTGATCCTCGGTTTTGGCCCCCTCCGGTGATACAAAATTATGTGGGCGAATCATATCATACGGAGTAAAGCACTGGAAGTTACTCCAAAGCTCCGGAAACAAGTCTGATGCCCGACATTAAGATTATGCGAATCGGCTTGCTCCAGCGCTTGCTCATGTAATAGTGGCATTCTTGAGTTTTGCGTAAAATTAATTGGGACGGAAAACGGTGAAGTGTTGTCAAAATTCGAATTGATGCGTCCCTGGGACCCAGACAAGATTCGTGAGGTTTGAGGGTAAATCTTACAATTTGTGGTGCCCGGGCGGTTGTTGATCAATCGAATCCCCCTCGGTGGTCTCACCTCGCCATCATGAAGAAAAAGCAATATACATAGCGTGGATGAGCAAACATGTTTAAGATGGGCCTCGTCTCCGCAGAGATCCTTGATTGGCCCTTTTTCATTTCACCCGGGCGCCAAGTGTGCATCTCTCGGCGATCATGACCTGGTATAGATTAGATATTCGATCTAAGATTTTGGTGGCATCTGACGGGGCGTTCAGTGTTGGACGTGGGTGATTGTGACGGCCCGGTCCACAGCTTTGTGGGTCCCACTGCGCGTTCGCACAAATATGATCTCTCCTCATTGGACCAACGGTCTGTCGGTTATGCATGGGACCGAATGAAGACGCACTAGCCGTTCGGTTCAGGGACTTTGGTTAAGCTGTGTGATTCACTCACCTGCATGGCGTGTGTTCATGGTTGCCTCGTTCACGCAACCACATAGTTCCAAGGTTCCAGGGATGCCTAATGATTCAAATCGAATACGGAGTATTTTTGTACAGAGTAATAACAAAGTGGGGTTGACACTTTTTCACTCACGGTTCAAATCTTACTCTCCCCAAAAGATACATCTGTTGAAGACAGCTTGTCAGAGCGGCCAACATTCCGTACTCGCGACCTCCGGGATCGCCTCGTCAAAAGGATGGACTCGCAAATAGGAAGAAGGGTAGAATGGAGGTGACCTCGGACATTCTGTCGAATGTCACTTTAGGCCCAATGCCCTTTTTTCGCCTCTACTTTCTTCTTTCCTTTCCCGAAGGTTCATTCTCTGTTGAATTTGGGAGATTGCATTTTGTTGGTGCTACTTTTCGACGTTTTGAATCTGATTTCACTCCTCCCTCCGTTTAGCCTACTTGTGGTTGCATATTCTTCGCTCTCAGGCCGAAAAAGAAAAGAAAAAGAAAATATGCATTCTACCCTGCATGTTCTTCGGGGTCTCAGAGCCTGCCCCACGTTTTTCAGCTGTACTCCGTAGTGCAGGGGTTGATATATTTCAGCAATGAAAAGTCCTATTCATATCGTGCATCGCACTTTTCTCGAGCCATCCGCCTCTCCGATGGTCGCATAATGGTTTGGTTTCCTCTTAACGTCGAGAAGGAGAAGTCCTGGAGCTTCGACATCGTCGGTTTACTGGCGGTTGTTGGTGGGTCCGCAACTCAAAAATACGCGCATGTTATCACTGCCTCGCCTTTTGGCGTCATTCCTCGCCTCTTGCCAGCCCCCGAGACACTGCTGAATCCTGACCGACCAACAAGATTACCTTCTTTCAAAGATGCCACTGTCTATGGAGTTCATGGCGGCTACCGTGTCGACGAGGTCAATTTCTTTGCCAACGTTATCCATCAAATTGGATCGCTCAAAGAATATGAGTTCCAATCATTCCACATCGAACACAAGGAAGAAGTTGTCGAACAAATTCGGCGCGAAAACGAGAGCCTCGAGCAGGGTGCAGTGCGAGGAGGGCTCGTCGATGTGGAGATGGGCAATAACACCGATCAAAACAGGCCGCAGAAACCCAAGAGTGAAATGCGAAAGGTCTTCGTCGAGCTTAAGCCCTTCTCCATGTTGAATATGGTGACATTGGCATCGATCTTGATGACCATTGGACTCTTCGTGTGGGCCGGTGTGCAGCACGAAGCCGTTGCGTTTCTCGGCTTGGGAACCATGTCGCTTTCGACCTGCATGGCTTGTATGTCTGCTAGGTGGCGACCAATACTATCAATCCGAAAAGCCAAGCTGGTTATACCCCGCGGAGACGTTGTCATCAGAACGCGATCTGGCGCGTTTGTTGTCGTGACATGTACCGAAGAGGTGGCGCGCGAGCTCTACACCGGTGCTGAGACTTGCGATTACGTGTTCAACGGATGGATTCATCAATGCCTTCTAGGATCAAGCACGATATTCTTGATGGCTGCGATAATATTCTTCAGCAACTGCAGCTGGGAGATACAGATTGCAGTTGGACTGGCTTATATCATTCTCAATTTCATGTATTGGGCCATGGCGCTTTTGGCGCAACCAGAAGATATGTGGGATATGAAATGTCGATTCATTGTGGACAAGCACCCACGCAAACCCGATCAACCGGAGAACTTTACTGAAGTTCTATGGGAGGCTATCAAAGCCACCAAGAGCATCGACTGGATCAAAATGCATAAGATCGCGCCCAATACAAAGCAGTGGGAAGGATGGCTGGCGGAGGCCAGAAAAATAAATGATAAACTGGAGGACAACAAACATTGGGATCCAGTTAGGGCAAAAGATCTATGGATGAAAAAGCGGCCAAAAGAAGCTGAATCTGATCTGGCAGAATTGGAAAGGGCTTGGGATGCGGGGGAAGGATATTCCCATGCACACAAAGCTGGGGATTCTGGCAACGAATGACTGACTTGAAGACCTCTGGAACATGTATGTGGCGACCATAATGTATGTAACTCCAGCTCAACCTTCAAATGATCGCACATCTACGGAGTAGTTACGCCCTAGTCCGAACTTGTGTTACAGTATTGGAGCTAGTAGAGCCCTTTATAGAATCCACGGGAAAGCCTTGATATCCTAGTTCATCTGCACAAAGGACCCAAGAGTTTCAAGAGTATGAACAAAATCAAATTCAGAATCGACATAAACTAACACACACACGACAAAAAAAAAAAAAAAAAAAGAAATCTATGACAAGAAATTATTATACGAGTCTGTGCGACCAATCAATAGTTTGCCACAAAGCAAGTCAAGATTCTCACAGCTTGCTGGCGACAAGAGGAGTGTTCTGAGCACCATAGATATCCTTGTGTGCAGCCTTGATGATATCCGCACCCTATAAAACGTCAGAATTTGGGACACAGAGAGGGGATGGATCACAGTACTAACCTTCTCGCCAATCATGTAGACAGAGTTTTGAATACGACAGTCAGGAATGACAGGAATCACGGAAGCATCCGCAATTCTAAGGTTTCGAACTCCGTGCACACGAAGCTTGGAGTCCACAACACCCTGGTGAATATTCTTCGAGAGACGGGCTGTACCGCAGGGATCTAGAAAACAATGTTTAGCGTTTGGCCAAGGACTTTTGGTCGGGTGAATGATCTTACGGAATCCAGTCTGACTGCGATCGAGAACGGCTCGGTTCATATCATCATCAGACTCAAGAGGCATCTTCCAGGGATATTCCGACAAAACAATGTCTTTGAACCCAGAACCCTTAGTCAAAACATCGTAGGTCCAGCGAACACCCTCGCGCATTGCCAGGATGTCAAGATCATTGCCAAAGAAGTTGAGGTTGATGTTCGGCTGGTTCTTGGGGTTCGCGTTGTTGAGTGTCACCTGGCCCTCAGAGAGCGGTCGGAGCAAATCAACAATGACAGTCATGTAGCTTCCCTTCTCGGGCATAGGGTAGTGCCACTGGAAAGCGGTGCTAAACAGACCAACAAAGTCAAGCTCAAAGTGGGGCTGACCAGCGGGTCCGAATGGATCCAGTCCACCATTAGCGGCCTTAGCTTCGCGGTAAGCTGGGTACTTCTCCAAGCGCTCGTCGATACGAGGGAACCCGACAAGCTCCAAGAAACCAGAGCTAGCAGGACCGGTCTTGTCACGGTTGTAGGTGGAAATAGCCTGGTCGTTCAATGGGCCGGGGCGGAGGATGTGGTTATCCAGACTGTATCCGTCTTTGACTTCAAGGACGAATGGGACGATGGGGTGATCCAACAGGTGCTGGCCAACGTGGGGGGACTCAACGATGGACTTGATGCCATGCTTGGCTAGCTCGTCTGCTGGGCCGACACCGCTGAGCATCAGAAGCTTGGGTGTTTCGAACACACCTTGGGAGAGAATGACTTCGCGGCTGGCAAAGACGCTGAGCTCGGTGTCGTATTCATCGCTGACGACGGTGACACCGGAGCAGATGTGAGTCTCGGGATCAATAATCAACTTCTTTGACCGAACTCCGTAAAGGATCGTCACGTTGGGCTTGTTCTTCAGGTACAAGAAGCTACCTTGGCGCTCACCCTGGTAAATAGTGTCAACGCAGTGAGTGAGACCCTTCATTTCACCAGAGTAGATATCTTCGCTGAGGGGTTGGCCCTTGGAGAGCCAAGCTTCAGTAAGCGCATCACGGAAAGGCTTCATCTCAGGGACCAAATCCGCATGAGAGATCTGCACGGGCCCACCGGTGCCAATTTTGCCAAGCTCAGTGGGATAAAGCTTCTCGTCATCGTGGTATGTGGCACACTTGCGGAGATACTCGACGCAGTTGTTCCAGTTCCAGTCCCGGCCACCGAAAGCCTCCCAGTCATCGAAAGTTGGCTTGGAGCCAGGAATCCAGGTGAAGTAGTTGGCACATGAGCTTCCACCGAGAGCCTTGCCGCGAGTGTTCGGCTTCTCAACTCTCTCATAGTCTTCGCGTTTGATCATGGTGGTCTTGTAAGACCAATCATACTTGCTGCCACGAAGAGTGAACGCCTTGGAAGGGGTGGTGATTTGTTCGATTTGATCCGGATTGGGAATGCCGGCTTCAACAACCAGGATTCGCACATCAGGGTTCTCAGCAAGGCGACCGGCAATCGCGTTACCAGCGGTGCCACCGCCGACCACGACAAAGTCGTACTCAGCTCCATTTGAAACAAATGCCATTGTAAGAGGTTTGGGGGCTTGGAATTAGAGAAAAAGTGTTTGATGATAAAATCTTCTGTTGAATGTTGGAAAGTCAGGATACTTGTTGATGTCTGCATCAAAGGACGACGAGGGAGCTCGTCTTTATAGGGATTCCCCATTCCTGGTGATGAGGACATTGTAAAACAGTCCGTGCCGAAATCCGGTCTTCATGACGAGATCCAAGCTTCGAAGCTCTCGACGTTCTCGACGTTCTGAGGACTTCCCCAAAAAGGCTAGGCTAGAACGTGTAAGAAGGCGGAAATATGCAAGGTGCATCGGTTTAGGGCCACAGGGCTGGTTCCAGACGTGACGATAGTGGCTGTTAAGCTTTGCAGGGTTGAGATATATACCCCTCATGAGGAGAAATAAAAGCCACCCCGCACGTACCTCTGCGACGTGGATAGCCAATAATGGTGTTGGAAAGTGTGCAGCCTGTGGAATGTTGTTGAATTTGGAGACGGAGATGACTCGGGCGTTGATCGGTGAAGTCTCGCATGTCACACAAGTGGGGCGAGTCTCGGTCCGTTGTTGCCGAAGCTAATCTCTCCACCAATCATATCACTTCCTTTTACCAATGCCCTCCCGGGCTGTCTCATCTTCACCGTAGCGTCTCACATGTCATATCTATCCCCTCACCTAATTTTATATTGGAGTTACGCCCGACAACAACAGACGGCTGTTCGGCATGAAGGTCCATGAGCAGGGGGCTTATCGGGCGCTCGTGTTGCTTTTGCTTCTACCCCCTTGGAACAATCGCCGGTGATTTCTCGGTGGTCTTGAATGATCAAAATTGGAGATTCTTACATCGCATCATCAGAGGGGATCGAATAAAAGCCGACATGTTTCCGCCGAGGACCCGTGGAGGGTGCATATCCTTTACAGTCTTACAGATTCAAGCGACCGATCAAAATGTCAAAGCCTAATTTTACCTTGGCCGAAGGTACAGTTCTCTCGATTGCGATCATCGCTCCAAGACTTGCATCTCTAACAGCCCAAAGGCCAGCCTGTGGTTGACCCGTCTGTCAGTACCACGTTCCCTACGTTTGGTGGTGGCGCCTATACGACACTGGGCGACACGCTGCTCATTGAGACCCTCACTCATTTTAACCGAGAACGTATACCCGAACGGTGTGTAACGAACCCAATTCACCCTAATCTCAATAGCTTATCTAGTACCCGGGCTGACAGTCAATAGAGTGGTACATGCCAAGGCTTCGGGTGCATGGGGTGAATTTGAGGTTACCAATGATATCGGGGCTCTCACGTCAGCGAAATTTCTCAACGGCGTCGGCAAGAAAACCCCAGTCCTGTTTCGTTTGAGTACAACCGGCGGTGAAAAGGGCAGTGCGGACACCGTTCGTGATGTGCGAGGATTTTCTGTGAAGTTCTTCACTGAAGATGGCAATCATGACATTGTCGGGAACCATATTGTGAGATAGGAGTCCTGATTTTCCAAAATGCCTGCCTAACCTTTCTCAGCCCGTGTTCTTTGTGCGCGATCCAATCCGGTTCCCTTCCTTGAATAGAAGCCACAAACGGCACCCGGCGACCAATCGCCCAGACTGGAATATGGTGTGTGTGCTCTCCCTATTTTCATGGCCAAGAAAGCTAATCTGTCAGTTCTGGGACTTCCATACCAACCAACCGGAAAGCGTCCACGCTTTGATGCATCTATTTGGCTCTCGGGGTATCCCTGACTCAATTCGTCGAGTGACAGGGTTCGGTGTCCACACGTTCAAATTGATGACAGCGGATGGCACATTCCGATACTGCAAATTTCATTTCCGACCTACCCTTGAGATCACCCATTTCTCGGGCTCAAATGCAACTCGCATGGCCGGGGCGAACCCCGACTATCATAACCAAGATCTCTGGGATGCTATCGCGCAAGGAAACTATCCTGTTTGGAAGCTCTATGTGCAGATTATGGAGTCAGCACAGGCTGAGGCATTTGGTCGAGGCCTCTTCGACATCACCAAAGTCTGGCCCCACAAGGAATTTCCTTTGATCGAGGTTGGCAAAATGACTCTCAACAAAAACGTACGAGACACCCGTGGCAATACGATGCATTGGCTAACCCTGAAAAGCCCGAGAATTATTTCGCGGAAATCGAGCAAGCTGCTTTCTCGCCCTCGAATATGGTCCCTGGAATTGCGATGACACCTGATCCCAGTAAGTTCGATCCAGGCATTTCCTCAAATTCAGACATTAACCTAAGACTTCCTTCTCTCCAGTGCTCCAGGCACGTATGTTCGCGTACCCCGACGCCCAACGATACCGCCTTGGCGTAAACTATACGCAGCTCCCCCAAACCGCGCAATCTGCCCCGTATACCACCCCTTCGAGCGTGACGGCATGGGTACCATCACTCGAAACTATGGTGGTGACCCGAACTATGTGCGCAGCTCATTGAGCCCAGGTATTCCCAGTCAACCTGTCTCCGACGTCCGACACACAGAGCCAATCGAGCGAAATGCCACTCTTGGCCAGAACGAACTGTCCGTTGAAGATGAAGACTTTATTCAGCCCCGCGAGCTGTGGAACCGAGTGTTTGACGAGAATGAAAGAAGGAACTGGGTTGCCAATGTATCGGAGACCTTGGAGGATTTGCCTGCCGAGCTCAGGCAGTCTGTTGCTGCGATGTTCAGTAAGGTTGACCTACGTATCGGTCAAATGCTAGCCGCGAAGGCGAGCAACAGTTCGCGTCTCTGAGTGTCATTATTATTCTAGATTGGTTCATAGAGAGTTTATAGAATAGAATGGATAGAAAGTTGGGTTTCATGGTTTTTGAGAAAATCAACAAATAAATTCGAACAATCCTACCTACCCCGATATACCTGGAGGGTTATCTTCAAATTGATCATATCCAAGGGAGAATCAGATGACTATCACAATCCCCACCAACATGGATCCAGTGTCTCCCCTTGTTTTGAACATGGTCAGTAGTGCCGAAATTCGATATCCCTTGATAAAAACCACTGATCGAAAGCTCTAAAGTTTCACCACTCTCATACTCAACCCCCATCCCCCATATTCCAATCTCCAATCGGATTACTGATCCCGGTGTTATCTTCTCCTCTTTTTCGTGGGTATAGAACGGCCAGTTGGGATGCATGGAGCGTGATGAATCAATATCACGGTTTGAAGCACGGAGAATCCCTGTGGGGCCCTGGTAGAGGATGACCTCTGTGCGCTTATCCGCCGGAATGTCGGATATCTTGGACACCGGAAGATTGGACCAGGGTATATTGAGGTTTAAGAGTTTCTCCCCGGTCGCAGATAATTTATTCAGAACAATGAAAATATCCATGTCGTCCATGTCATCGCACCGCATGTAAAGTACCGCTTTAGGAATGCCGACAAGTTGCGTCCGCTCCGTGAAAGTGTATGTAAACTTCGCCGTGTCTTCGGGATTGTCCGAGTCGTAGGAGATCTGACCCGACTGTCGCGGTGCTGTGTCCAAAGTCAAACGGCCATCCGAATTGAGATATGCCTTGCGGTAATTTGTGCGAGGAATTGGGAAGTTGTCTTCGACCAAGTTGGCCAAAGGCTCCTTTTCTCCATATCTCAGGATCGCCATGCGCACTTTAGGAGTCGACTCCCAATCATTCTCAATACCTTTCAAATAACGATCAAAAAAGCTTAGAAGCTCATCCCGACCGTCTTGATTTCCCCATATATCATACCACTCTTGATAAGGATGCCACCGAAGCCATTTGTGTGGGGAATCAACTTCCATCCAGCCCCGGATCGCCCCCATGCCGTGCATGGTGTTGGTCCACGTCCCAGTGATATAGGTCGGAATGTTAATCTTGGTCATATCGGGCCGTTTGTCATTCCACCAGTCATTCGCGAGCGGATCCTGCTGAAACATTTTTCGGAAACTCTCAATTCCGTTGCGCCCGCGTAGAATATATTTCGTAATGAGGTGGTCGAACAAGTCACCACCGTAGATACCTCCTCGGGCAAATTGCTCTCGGTACAGGTCTCCACATCCTTCCCATGGCGCAATAGCTTTCAAAGATGGAGGCCTCAAGGCAGCGATGAACCATTGCACGATGGCAAGGTGTGAGTTACCAGCCATGCCGACATTCCCATTGCACCATGGTTGTTGAGCGATCCATTCGATCACATCATATCCATCTTGTGCTTCTTGTGTGCCCATTATTGCCATTGTTCCTTCCGAATCGAACGCGCCACGAGAGTCCACATTTATCACGGCGTACCCGCGATCCACAAACTCGGCCGGGTCAGGGGCTTCGAATTTCTCCAGTCCGCTCAGCGTTCCATCGGGGATGCCGAGGTTCCAGGGCGTCATCAGTCGCAGAGATTCGATTCCATTGAACTTCTTCCCGAAAGGGCTCCAACAGAGAATGGCGGGTGTTGATCGCGCGGGCGCGTTGGGGGGACGGTAAATGTCCGCGTATAGTTTGCAGCCGTCACGTACGATTATTGAAACATCATGGTGTACAAGAATGTCGCATGACAAGATACGGCGTCCTGGTGCAGTCGAGTATCCCTTTGGAAGAGTCTCAGTGCGTGGGTTCAGCGTCTGATAGCCCCCATGGTTCAGAGTGGGCTCCTTTAACTCTTCCACGGGGACCGGAGTGTTGAAGTTGACTGACATGGTTTCTGAGAGAGTCGGAGATGTGACAAGGCTTCGGTTTCATTAACCTCAGTCATTTGTGGCATAGTTATAGTGACTGTGATTGAATGTTGTGAGAATAACTGGCCCTCCGGTTCGGCTCGGCTCGGCTCGGTATGCGGGCGTGCTACTACCCCGGATTCCCGTGTGGGGGAGATAGCTCCTAGAAACATGGGGTCAGGTTGGAGAGATTTGCGGGTCTAGCCCACGCCAATAATATTGCTGCTATAAGAATCAGGGGAGTCTCTTTGGGTCATCACCAGTCGTTTGATCAGTCCCCTCTTCTCACATCTTCCCAAGCCCGTTGCTTCAACCATGGACAAGACAGACGTGAGTCATGTCGAGATAGCACGAGACTCACACCATGACACATATGATGTTGATCAGATCAAGCTCTTCAAAAATGAGGAGGTGGTGCTGATACCGACGCCATCTGCAGATCCCAGGGGTATGTTTTCGTTGCCGCGTTGGTGTTGTACCCCTAACCTGGCTAGACCCTCTGAATCTTCCACCATGGCGAAAGTGGTTCCTCCTCGTGCTCGTTTCAGCATACAGCTGTACAGCTGTTGTTTTGGCCTCTGGAATGGGTCCCATATTCTCGGTTGTGGTACAAAGCTACCCGGGCCAGGAAACCAAGGCGAATGACCTGATGACTTACCCGACTCTCTTCATGGGTATTGGTAACTTGATCACTATGCCATGGGCCTACACAGCAGGTCGCAGGCCCATATTTCTAGCATCGATGCTGCTTCTCATCGGAGCCGGAATATGGTGTCAGTGCTCACAAAGCCTGGGGAGCCATATTGCAGGCCGAAATATCATGTCTCTGGCGGCAGGGCAAAGCGAAGCTCTCTCGCCGATGATCATTCAGGAAATCCATTTCCTCCATGAAAGAGGTCGGAAGATTGCATGGTTTATCTTTATTCAAAATATCGCGGCGGGTGTCTTCTTCGTTGTCTCGACATACATGGTTGCAGCTTGGGGGTGGAGATGGTGGTATGGCTTCTTCACCATCATGAACGCTGTTATACTTGTTTTGTCGGTCGTTTTCGTATCTGAGTCTCACTTTGAGCGCCCGGAGGAAGCAGTCCGGGGACAGGCCCCTTTGGACCCGAAGGTGGTTGACGCCATGGAAAATGCTGCCCTCAGTGCCCACGGAACCGTGCTTGACATTGGAAAATACGGCCCGCGTCGCTGGAAAGACGATTTGAAGCCTTTCGTTTTGAAACCGCGCCTACGAGACGTTCCTTTGTTTTACAAGCAGATTCTTCAGGGATTTTGCGTCCCGACAATCCTCTGGCTTTTGTTGCTGAATGGCGCTAATCTTGGAGTCTACGTTTTTCAAGCTTCGACGTTTTCAAGTATATTAATGGTCCCACCATACAACTTTGCATATACATCTCTGGGATACGTTCAAGCCGGTCAACTTGTCAGCTGTCTCATATTCCTACCACTGCTCGGTTACGGAGGAGACTTGACGATTCACGCTCTGAGTCGCCGCAACAAGGGTATCTATCAACCAGAATATCGTCTTTTGATGATGGCTATACCTGCAATAATTGGGGTGGTCTGCGGAATAATCTACGGACAAGCAGCAGCCAACCCCATGAGCTGGAATGTGAGTGCCGTGGTCATATCCTTCAATGCAAGCTTTTTTGCCTTTCTGGGAGCCAATATTGTGGGTATCACCTATGCCGTCGACAGCTTTCCACAAAGAGCGGCACCCTATTTGGTGGTCATATGTGCAGGCCGAGGTATCATCTCGTTCGGTCTGAGCTACGCTACCCTGCCAGCAGTCCAAACTCTTGGATACGATCGGACTATGATAGTTGAGGCAGTCATTTGTGCATTTTTGGCGCTGATCGCCATCCCAGTATTTTTTTGGGGGGCGCGCATACGAAGAATGGCTCATCCGTGGTGTGTTGACCAATAACTGACCTGCACACATGTCGGGTCTCTTAGTATGTGCACACCACCAAGGACTCTTTGATCACTATGAAATGACATTTGCCATTTGAATATACCGCAAGTTCTTCTAATGATCACCAGACCTCTTTGAGTCCGTAGCATTGAGAGCCTGGAAGTTGAAAACTTGATGAAATTGCAGACCTCCTGGGCAGTGAACCTCGCTCAGAAAAATGGGAATGAGCGTATCCACGGTTTTTCGCCGCTCAAGCATCCGAAAACTTTCCGTCAACAGTATTATTGTTCACGAATCAAAACATGCCACAAATCAGGGGGCCGAAATTCGACTGAACACTAGTCGTGCATATAGACTAGCTCTTTGACTTGGCAAAGTAGAAGGCAGGCAGAAAATACGGAGGCCGGGATGTTGAAATTGCACTACAGGGGGCCGATGATCTATGTCAAGTCCAGATGAAGCACTAAGCAGCACCGGCCTGGTAGTACCAGCGCCGTTTCAACGTGGCACATCAACCTGCCTATGACATGTGAAGTAGCTGTTTCTGATTTATTGTTCAACTCCGAACCCTTGGTTAGTCTATTCGCTTGCTGAAATGATCAGTCAAGGACGCCCCGAGCACGAAGTACAAGTTCTCGTCTTGGGTCCCATTGGATTTAAATCCGTCAAAAGTTTCACCATTTGATTTTTGAGTCCTCGGTCGTATCTGAATATGAAGAATGAGATGGACATGACAGGCGGTACTGCTGTGCAATCAGCGCCAGAATCGGGTGGAAATAATGCTGATGAGAGAGTTGCATTTCGGCAAAAGCAGCAGCTTGAGGTAAAAGGCAAACCTTCGGTCAAAGTGCAGGAATTCTAATGATACAACAGAGGTACATCAATTTTTTCTCATCGATCGCATTCTCGACTTGTCTACTCGCCACATGGGAATCTGCCGGTGGTAGCCTACTCTCGGGACTCTACAATGGGGGCTCCGCTGCGATTGTCTATGGGATGATATTGAGCACCGCGGGAAACATGACAATTGCATGTTCTTTAGCCGAGCTTGCATCTCTGTATGTGAAGGGATGAATGTAGTGCGACGGTGCTGACCTCAGGGGTGGTAGACACCCAACGGCGGGCGCTCAGTATCACTGGAGCTATGTCCTTGCACCTCGTGGTCGTCGATTTATCAGCTTCTTTCAAGGTGAGTGTCTGCTCTGTGATTTGCACAGTTGAAATTTTAGAATGCTAAATGCACATCAGGCTGGGTGACAGTTTTCTCCTGGTCTGCACTCGTCTGCATCGCCCCATACTTCCTCGGGACCCAAATCCAAGGCATGGTTGTATTGGCACACCCTGAATATGAGCTAGTGAGATGGCGCGGCACACTGCTCATGTGGGCAGTTGCGATCATACCCATACTGGTGAATGTATTTGCGCGTCGGGTGCTCCCAGGCATCGAGGTTGCCGCGGGTATCATGCATGTGGTATTCTTGCCAGTCACCATCATAGTCTTCGTCGTTCTTGCCCCCAAGAATCCCGACTTCTTTGTTTGGAAGACCTTTGTGGGTGGGTTAAGTGGCTGGAAGGATTCAGGGGTTACTTTCTCCATCGGTCTTCTCGGTGTCATTACTCCACTAAGTGGTATGTGTTCCCACACCAGCACATTCAAAAATCTAACCCATGCCAACAGGTGTTGATGGTATAATCCACATGGCCGAAGAAGTGAAAAATGCCGATGTCGTTGTTCCTCGGTCCATGATATACGGCACTTTGATCAACGGGACCCTGGCATTCTCATACCTGATCGCCATACTATACTGCATGGGGGACTACACCGAAGCAGTCACCAGCGCAACGGGATACCCAATCATCACAATCGCCTATCAAGCAACTGGATCCAAGGCAGTAACCTTTGTCCTCATGGCAATGGGAATGCTTCCTGGCTGGATCGCTCTTTTCAACGGCCTCGCTTCCGTCACGCGTCTCACCTGGGCATTTGCTCGAGACAACGGACTTCCCTTCTCGGACTTTTTCGCCCTCGTCGACCCAATTTATAAAATCCCGCTACGCGCGTTGTTTTTGGTTGCATCATGCATCTTCACCCTCTCGTTTATCCAGATCGGGTCAACGGCTGCGTTTAACGCTATTTTGTCGCTCAGCACGGTCGGTCTTTACATTTCGTACTTGATTCCGCTGACTCTGCTTGTTTTCAAGCGCTGCACATCGCCGCAGGATATCCCACAAGGAAGATTCAGTCTTGGAAAGCTTGGCCTGCCAATGAACATTATTGCTATCCTCTTTGCCACTTATTTCGTTATATTCCTCCCATTCCCAGCGACGTTGCCAGTTACCGCAGAGAACATGAATTATGCCGGGCCTGTGCTCGGTTTTGTTATGATCTTCGCCTGTGGAGACTGGATTTTTCGCGGTCGGCATAAATGGGAAGGTCCTCGCAAAAGTTTGAATGAGAGATCAACGTGGTGACAAAAAGATTGCGAAAAGCTTTTCATTTACGGGTTTGAGCCTTGTGATAGGATTTTGAATCAACACAGGCACCCTCCAACCACTTTTCCACACGCGTCTTGTTCTGCGGCTTTGCTTCATCCCCATCGCCAGACGAGAGGGATCCGCTGGAGTCAATACTAAGATGCCTTTCAAGCAAATCTTCCAACCATTCATGTCTCCACAGCGATTTTTCTTCTCTTCGAGTACCTTCTGAGAAGAGGATCCAAGAGAACAAATTTCTCGTAGCAGTCCTAGAAAGCCTATCACCAAAAATTGTTTCTTCGCTCAGTTGAATTGCATTTGAGTGCGCCTTTGGGATAAAGATTGACGAGGCCCTTGTTCCCCGAGTGCGACGATTTGAATATTGTTTCAACACAGAATTTTCGAAGAACCTGTGTGAACAATATGCCGTCGCAAGAAAACCTAGAAAAGCAAAGCTGCCGTGTTGCTAATATACAGCTTGTCAGCGAGACAATGTACTATGACTGAGGAATTGAAGTAGAATGAATCCTACCGTAGGAGTCCAGATTGACGTCAAAAAAGCTCTGTGTAACGTGAAAACAAACGCAATTCCGACCACAATCCAAATCGATGGAAGTGAAAATCGCCTGAACCTTGCATGGGAGCCAGAAAAGGTATTCAAGTTTCCGATGGTCTGGGTCAATCCAGTCACTGGTGTCCGGTGTTTCCAAATTCTGCCTGACGTCGTGCGGAAACTGTACTTGAAATCTGGACCGGATGCCGAGGAACGTGTTTTGGAAGATGACGATGTCCGGGTCTGGTTGAACAAGATTCTCGATCGAATTTGCAAGCCAAAGTACATCTTGATTCCCGAGTATGAAGAAGGTGATGTCGTGATGTTCAACAATTGGGTAAGGGTTTCCAACTTCCAAAATCATGTTATCAGGCCTGTATGTGTGGCAGCTGATCATCATTTCTGCTACAGGGAGTACTGCATAGCTCAATCGACTACCCCGCCTCTTACGGTGTACGCACAAGTGAGTCCGAAGTACTGAAGAGTAGTAGTGCTATGAATACTAATCAGTGTTTTAGTGCATCAATGCCATATCCCTTCCTCGATGTTCCCAGTTGGTCCCATTGCTTTCCAATAGAACGAACACCTTCATCAGCGAAAGGGAGCAGAAATTTCCTGTAAAGCAGTGTATTCGGGGATGAGGAAAGAAGGGGAGAGAAGGAAGCTCTATCTACTTCTATGACCTGCGGGGAGCCTGACAAACCAGGCAAACACCTGCGCCAACAATCTCGTATGAAAAGCTATAGAAATTGAACTACTGTATGGCTATGGCGTAAACAAAGCACCACAGAAGCTTCCCATGTGAGCCAAACCAAAGATATAAACCCCGTGGGGGAGTTATTTTTCATCAGAAAATCAAGTCATCTGATAGCAAAAGTGTAGATCTTAGGATCTACGTTGAGGTAACTAGGACTCGAGAAGATACTCTGTATAGTTGCATTCTCACAAATGATCATAGCTGACGATGCATTGACGGAAAAAGCCTTCTCGCATGCACATGTTTACCGCCTTCGAATGCCAGCGTCGCATGCTGAGAACGGTGTGATTGTTGGTGTGATCTTCAGGAATTCAGCGGCCTATTATATACACCCGTGGGCTACCACAGAAAATCCTGCCTAGGTGATTATCACCAAGTTCGGCTATGGCATTTTGGATTAGTGTCCAGGCAAGTGTTGCTTAGCAGAGAAGGCTTCTTTCGCAATAGTATGTGGGTATCACCGTCAGGGTGGCTGAAAACGCAAAGCTAATTCAGGTCCCAGTAAACCCCCACGAACCAATGCTTCACAGTTTTCAGTCTCCTTTTTAATATCAATGTGCATGTGCTCTGCGTTCGACGCGATATCCTTTGTCTTGCGTTTGAAGTCATATGTTAGCAAGGCCATTGTTGGATAGAAATTGTACCAACAGGCAGATATAAGACCATCGAAAATTTCATTGCGATCGAGTTCTGGAAACTCCATTTGCCCAAATCGGCGATCCCATTCCCCGCCGCTGAGGATGACATCGTCATAGGGCTCATGGCCATAGACCATGAAGTAAAGAAGTGTCCCAACAGCAAATTGCTCAGTTCTGGCAGAACAGAGGCCGTAGGTTCCTTGCAATGGTCCAGCAAGTAATGGTTGGGCCCGTGGAGGCAAGGTACCTTCGAGGAATTGCCCAATGGTGGTGGCACGACCAAAGTCAGTCAGCTTCAGGTTGAGATTCTCGTCAAGAAGACATTTACTTGCATGCAGGTCGTTATGACAAAAGCCCAATTTTTCCACATACTCAAGAGCAGATGTCAGTTATTGTATCCAACGAGCGATAAGAGCCGGATCCTCATATTCCTTAACTCTAACGAGACGCCCACGCAAAGTACCTTTTACCTTCTCTCGCTCCAGACGTTCATAGAAGCAAGGAGAAATTGATTTGTGTGTGCAGTATGATAGAAAAAGATGATCCGGAAGCATGAGAAAGCATTCGACAATGTTCAAATACCGATCCTGGTACTCATTGAGACGTTTGAAGAACGCGATCTCCTTTATAAATGGATGTTCTGCCTCTACCTGCTCGGGGGCTCGGTCGCAACGAACAGTCTTCACCACAATGGTTGGAGTGACGTGGTAGATATAAGCGTCAAGTCCTCCGCCTACCCAGTTATGTTCTTCTCGAGAGCATCCGCGTAGTGGAAGTCCATAACGAATCTTTAAAGATATTGTTGCAGTATTGCAATTCCAAATTTTTACTGAGGATGTACAGAAGGAACGACAGATTGGATGGTGGCAGAGTAGTGTAATAAAGGTGTAAGAAGGGGTTGTACGGAGTAAGAGAGGGTCGGTAAGAGTGGGGAGAAGTGAAATAGACCCACGCTATACCTGATTCGTCACAGCTAGCCTAAGTAGGGGTCGTTTCTCTACAGCGGAGAATGGATTTCTTACACGGAGTACTCCGTAGTGAAAGTGCGAGAATTTAAAAGATGATCATTACAGTTCCTATGGATATGGGAAAATCCGAATGAATCCAAAAACAGTGATTAGTTATTAGTGACAACTAATCTGGCGCGTCCCAAAAATTGGTGCGGGCTGCCGCCCGTTGGTCCAATCATGCAACTGGGAGAATTTCCAAAACAACAACAAAATCAACAACAGCGCGAAAGCAATAAAAATATCTGTGCCGGTATCCAGTTCGACTTGAGGTAGTCCACAGACCCTTCACCGCCAACCAAATTTCAATGATTCGCCATGAAGCACCTGGAAACAGGTAAAGTTGCCGCGGAATTCTGTGAGTATCGTCAGATGAGAGACATGGACTTCAGTATCGGATGGAGGACCAACATGGAAATTTGAAGTTGGATGTAAATTTCCTAGGCCCGCCTGTTGCGACCTTGTACCATTTTCCGTCCGCTGTCTGGGCCCAAAGACCGTTGGCCTTGCAGTCATCGCAGGGGAAGTGCGCCGCAGAGCTGGCAATGCTGTCGTTCCTGCCTTTCTCTACCCCACAATTGTTACATCCATTATCTGGAATGAGACTTCCGGGAGTTTCAAGGTTATGCTGACAAGCACGCTTCGTTATCCATGGATGCTGTAGGTCCTCTTGCACATCTTGACGTGATCTGTTCTGGTTGGTCATCGTCCTCCCAATGAACCTGGGAGAGCTTATACCTTATGATAGATGTCTTGTCTTGGTGGAAAGTCTTGGTTCTATTGTCAGAGAGGAGAGATTCGAATTTTGTCAAAGGCTTGTTGTGTAAAAAACCAAATATTGCGAGGAAGAAGGGTCCCCTTTATAATGACGAGGCTCGCTGGAGTAGATATCGTTGTGACCGTACTCGTTACAGTGGATTTGTAGAAGGGCATCCTGCGGCTCCTAGGTAAGAGTCTTGCGAAGCTATTTTAGACAAGGGACACGTCCAGAGAGGTATTGAGCAATGGGGTTTGAACACATGGACCTCGGGACTCGCCTCATTCAACAAAGCTGCAAAATGGTTGGTCTTGGGACAGTATCAAGCTAGGCAGGGGTGGCCACCTGGGCAGTCATGTACAAAATTATACATCAATAGATGATTTTGATCGGTGATAAACATCAGCATAAGAATGAGCAAGAACATATACCCCACAGAGCTTTTGCGAGCAATATAGATCAATAACAGGCAGTAACGTCCAGTGGTAAACAAGAATGAGCAGTAATGGTCGGTGGTGGCCTCTGATAGACATTGATAGGCGAACTGGGCGACAGAAGATCCCATGGATCTGGAGGCAATGTAGAACATGTAGGGTGGAGGTAACTTTTAGACATTGCTTCCCTGTCTTCCAGAGGTTTCCTTACCTATGGTTGGTACGATGACCAAGTGTTTGCGTTGCTTGAACAGCAAGATGCAACCACGTCACATCCAATATTTGAAACGAGCAGTGTTGGCAGCCCTGGAGGAGGACAAAGCTGAGAATATGATAATAGGAAATTCTCGCCCAATTTGTCTCATTGATTCTATATTTCGACTTATCTTTTTCAACCCTAGTTGCTTTGCTATCCAAAACCAGTATGTCGTTGACCGAGCAATTCTTTGACTCTCTTATGCACCAAAACTACATCCTGGGAAATAGCCCATTTTTGGATGCTAACAGTCAGAGAGGACTGGAGTCGTCTTATTTTGTTTTGCATAACATGGTCAGAGATTCAGTATCACGGCAGTCAAAGAACAGACATCACAGGGCGAGACAACACCTCAAGAACATTTACTCCATAGGAAAGCCGCTACTTGTCCTTGTTGCTGTTACCATCTCTATCACTGATCTGGCATCCTTGGACCATAAAGAAATATTTCCTCGTCTCGCAGAATGGTGGCAGAGTAACACACCTTCTCAAAACTTTGAATCACGGGCGATCGAGCTCATCCACGAGTTAGACAACGAAAGAGAGCGAGGAAGCCTTGTCCATTTAGAGAGTATGATGCCCCCTACTACTTGCTGAATGACTACAGCTGACCCTTTTCCACAAGGGAGAACAAAAGGCAGAACTTTGGGTAAACCGCAAGGTGCCCAACATAAACGGGTTGAAACCAACATATCTCATTCACACCCAACACCACAAGAGAGCCCAATCGACCAGCTCACCGAGTCTCGGGATTTTGTCGCATACTTTGGTAGTGTCCCCCTGATTGTTCGCTTGTTGGGGTTGTGCTAATGTGGGGATTGCAGATCATGACAAGGCTAAGAGCGGACTCGGCGAGTCGTTATCAGTCTCTGGTCGACCGGGTTTGTTTATACTCGACTGCGGCCTCATCAAAATGCTAATATAACGAAGATCCCATCGAATCATCTGCAGTGAATTTGACGGCCGAAGAGCAAACATTTTCCCTTCCATCACAGCTTGTGAGCTTCATCCGTGCACATCACGCCGATTCTCCTCATCTACAAGCTTTCGGTAACCTGCTTCAAATTAGCGGCCCTAGCTTGCGGCTCTCATACCCTCGTCACGATTTGGCGCATGCATGTATCCACCTCAATCTTCAACTTGCTTCTGATATAAAAGTTTTGTAGAGGTATCAAGGGAATTCAGTTATTCCTTTATCGAATTTGGATGCTACATGCATCAAGCGTCTTGGGCAAGGAAACGTCGTAAAACTACGTTTCTGAACACAAGGCCAGTACGCCCATCGCTCAAAACGAGAATCTTTTGGCCACTCCCGGTGTTGGGACCTATTGAGAGTATATCGATGCCGCTCTCGTTAAGGCGCGAGTGAATGACACCCTCTCCCTCATCTCCGTGTATCAAGACCGTCGGGGCAATACTTGAAGCTAAAGCCTTCCCTTTAAAGTGATCCTTTTCAAGAGCCACATCTTTCCCATTCTGAAACAATACGAAGTCAGCAGTTGAAAACCGCCAAACGTCCAGGGTTCTGACCAACAAGTACTTGGCTTCCTCTTCTAGCCCTTGATCATCTTGAGCCTTTGGCTTTTGAAACACCGATTCATTGATTGTGTTCATGGTCGTGTCGAGTCCTGACTGGCCGTCGTATGTGGGTTGGGGCGTGTGAAAGATTGATTCGAACTGAGCACACCTGCCACCTGATCATCAGCGAGCGCGTCAGCGAGGCTCAGGATGGTGAACTCAAGAATCAACAGTGGGGTGGCTTACTTGCCTGCAAATATTGCTTTCTTTGGATTTGAAGATCGTTGCAGTTGAGCATCTGAGGTGTACAGTGAAGAGGAGCCCGCCGCGGGGCTCCACCACCTTTGGACAGCATCGGCATGTGATCTTTCACCAGACCGCCATAAATGTTGCTATGAATGTCGAAATGTTCATGGAGTTTTCTAAAACTCTTTCTCTGCACAGACGTATAGCCGCCGGCGTTTTCAGCATCGTATGTAGATCGTCTCTCCGTTGAGGATCGGACCCAGAGTCGCGATTGCCGATTCCACCGCGCCAGCCGCACCTCCGTCATCGCCGCTATGACCGCTGACGCTTTGAGAGAGCTTCCCTCTCTTCCCTTCCTCTCTTCTCCTCGACTCAAATGTTACATACTTTACTGCACCATACTGCTTCTCAAGCACACTCTCATTTTCTTCAATTAAATCCCAGGCAATATTCACATGCCTTAGGCCGTGGGCCCGTGGCTGTATCTGAAACATCGAAGACGAGGCTGGCGGCTACAGAATAGCGTATCCTCACGTCAAGCATCTATCCGTTCGATTGGTACAGATCCACCATCCAACCTATCTATGGATCTCACAACACCAATCAGAAAGGCGCGCTAACCGCTGTCACTAAAGGCATCCTTATGCCGCTTGCTCTTGAATCACAATCTTCATGACCTCCTGACCGAAATAAGGGACGCCAACATTTTAAATGAAATCTACTAGTACACACACACTGTCCAGGAGCCTTTTCATTTTTACTCAGGCTGGAATCATCGCTAGAAAGATAGCTCAGCTTCTTGCTCATTGAAAATGCAAGAAACCACTTCATCCGATGTGATGGTCTCTCCTCTATGGGGGAATGCTTTCAGTGAACTGTCGGGAAACAGCAAAGTCCTCGCTATGATCCTCTCATTCCTAGATGATGAGCGCATTGACGAAGATTTATTGAAATTTCCTGCTTACAACCTGAAACGATCTTCTCTGAAGTTCATGAAAAATAATTCCGAGTAGGTGCTACTCGTTTTCAAGCGAACGGGCGTGAGCTAAGCTGAACGAAGGATCCTAGATGCCCAGGCTGCTCTGCTCCAAGGAGACTTCATTGAAGGTTGGGCGAGAACGGGATCATATCGATGCGCAGACACGTCAAAAATGCAGTCATCCATCAAATGAGTACCGAGGAGCGACAGGAAGCATTTTCCCATGCAGTAGCTATCCTCGCAGCGAATTTTCCTGATACACACAGTGCCGATGTGGGTCACCAGGCCGCCTCCTGGGCCCATTGTGAAAGAAGCATCCCCCATGTTGCGGCTATGCTGAAGAAGAGTGAAGAATTCCAGATCTTTGAGAACCTATACCAACCTTTTGCCGAGCTGCTACTTCGCTGTTCTTGGTAATTCGCGTCACCATGTCGTCAGTAAGGATAAAAGTTGCTAATAAAAACTAGGTACCTTTACGAGAGAGAGAACTACAGCATTGCCCTGTCATACATCGATGGAGCGCTGAAAAGGTTTTCTAGCAAAGACACCCTCGCTTATGCGAGTGAAATTGATCTCCGAGGTTTGATCCACCTTGATATCTGCCACTTTACAGCTGCGCTAGAGGACTTTGAAGAAGCATTCAAGATACGCACCAAGATTCTTGCCGATGGTCACTCATTGCTAGCCGCCAGTCAGGTCAATATTGGTCTTGCACTTACCGAGCTCGGGGAAGCTATCGCAGATCTTAGGAGATTCGGGGATCAGCGAAGAAAGCAAGAAGCTTCTCGATTGGGCGGTTTCGCTTAAAAGGGATATCAAAAGTCTCGATCCGGAGTTTGTTTTAGTGAATGAGATGAAATCTGACTTTGAGGAGCTTGTCCCGTGGATGCTGTGGTGATTCACACCTGTTGGAACTCCTCATGCGGTCACCCCGTCCGTTCGGACCATCATAGAAATTCGCCCAATTTGGAAACATCCGTTATGATAGCATATTTCGCACTTTTTGCTAGAAATATCTGTTTGAGTAACTCATGCGACGAGCGTAGATTAACATCATTGGTCCTGACAGGTAGAAAGAACACTTGGGAAACATCCTCGTCAACATTCCAGGACATCAATCCTCAGGGCAAAGACGTCGACAATACCCTGGCAGCCACTTACACACAAAGCGCAATCCAAATACTCTACCTGGAGATTTTTCTCACGAACTCTGAAATACTCCAAAAATGAGAATATTGGCATTGCACGGTCTCGGCTCATCATCTAGTCTGCTGAAAGAACAACTACGCCCCTTTATTCAAGAGCTCGGTCCCAGTTGCCACTTCATCTTCCTTGAAGGGGCTGTGACATGCGGCAGAGGCCCTGGTAAGTCTCCTTTCCTGCTCTGTTATCTGACATCAAGCTGAACATTGCTTGAATAGCGGTGCCACTCTGGGCCAGCCCTCCTTTTTACTCACATGCTACGGGATTTTCTCCCGCGGAGGTGCGCCAAACCTTTCAACGCATCGATCAATTTACTGAGGAGAATGGGCCATTTGACGGCGTGCTTGGTTTCAGCTTGGGGGCTGCTTTGGCTATGAGCTACATTCTCCACAAGCAACGCACACAACCTCATGGCAAGCTTCCATTCTACTTTGCCACGGTCTTCTCGCCGATCTTCGTGGCATCAGCGGATGAGACACAGTATGGAGGGATTGTCGATCGGTTGTTGGATGATGAGCATATAGCATTTCGCTCAGCGTTTCCGAACGAGGATTTCTTATCTACTCTCAAGACCGAGGATGAGAGAATATTCGCCGACTACACACGAGTAGTCTTGTCAATGAACTCTACCGTTGGCAATGTCCTGCCTGGAAAGTCTGCACCAACAGGGTTTTTTGAGGAACCCAACGGTGTTCAGGCCGCGAGTATTCCGCGAATGCTACATCCGAAATTGACTAAGGATCGCATTGGCATTCCAACTGTGGTTGTGACAGGAGCCAAGGAGGCAGGGGCAATATCGGAACAATCCCGTGTTGCCCAGGACCTGTGTAGAGCTTCGCTCAGATGGAAGTATCAACATGATGGTGGACACGACGTTCCTTTTAAGCGGTCGGATGTTCAAGAGATTGTTTCGTTTATGATGGAAGCCATTGAGGAAGGTCGGGAGCTAAGCTCGTTGCATGAGTATGAGGCCACAGCCAATCTGTGAGGATGTTATGGATATTTTGTGTCACTCGATTGTGGGGGTATTTTCTACTTCCCATGTTGGCTACTTGGTTTGATTAATGTTGTAAGAGAAATAGAAATAGTCTAAACCGAAAGTTCTGAACAAATCTACCATTGCAAAAGTTCGACAAAGACCAAGACCTAAATGAATATTTTTGACTTCAAATCTAACGCCGTAAATGACGAGCCGTGGTACATTCAAGAAATGGAGAAGGCGTATTGACTGAACTCATCATCCGAAGCCAAGAAGTCAAGCTCTTCCTCTGAAAGAGTCATAACAAACTCAATGCCGCCCGCCTTCTTTCGAGGGATAACAAAGCAAGTCCGGTAGCCGCGATTACAAGAGCCCATTAGAGGTCTGAATGCTTCCGGGTTCCCATTATTTCCAAAGACATGTTTCCCGAAGCATGTATCGTTGAAGGGAAGTGTCATGGGCGCCATCACACCAACAGAAGTTGGCGGGTGCATCCGCGCTGCGCGTAGTGCTTGTTGACCATCGTATCGTGTAGCAGACCGGGCCAAACCATATGCAGCCAAAAGCATATCTGGATGTGCAAACTGCTCGGCGTGTACATGGATTGCATTGGCTACCCATGAGACACTCGTGTCGGGCGAAATGAGTGTTTCAACAGAAACCGTGATTCGGTTCTCGTAATTCATGTTCCCAAGATATAGAACGTCCATTGAATTCAACAACTTGGGTCGTCCATCAAAAGGTAACGACAATGATGCAACATTTGGGTCGCTGCCAATGAAAGCTGGGATGCCCAAACTCGTTGAAGCTCTCACCAGACTTCGGAAAATCAACGCGCATATGAGATCGTTCCCCGAGATTTCCTCCGCACCAAACTCTTGCGTGCATTGCTTCCGAAGACTGGTATATGCTGACTGGGGCATGTAGAATATTTCTGGCGCCATGCGTAATGAATCATCATCGATCGGTGTAGTCGTTGGCACATCGTCAAAACCGACAAGACGCGACATCTCAGCGGCATTTTCTATCGAATTACGGTCGGAGCGAGGTTTGCGCTTTTCCTCGAGAAAGCTGTCCAACAACGACCGGTCCATCGTAGATCGGAGTCCTGGTACGGTTGAGTTGGCTTGAGAAAAAGCATTGCTGCAGTAATCCGCCCAAATCTTAGTGACTGCAAGCATAGCAGTTCCATCCGAGACCGGCGCTGCAACGGATAGAACCAGTATACATCCACCAGGAATAAAGTTAGCTTGCGCTGCAAGCACAGGGGCTCCTGCCTCGAAGTCAGGTTTGAATGGCGATTCCCACAGCAAAGCTTCATCCTCAAAGGAATCCAACGGAAAGCCAGTCTCGCGAAGATCAGAGAATGTCAAGCAATTGTCGAGCTGATAAAATCGAAGAATGCCATCTGATAGTTTGTCAAATGAGAAGATGTTGTTGCAAGGGTAGCGAATCTCAAGTTGACCGGGCCGCCATCCTGGTGTGCTCTCGGGCTGATAATGCACCCGTCCGGCCAGCCAAGGTGTTTGTGAAAGAGTCTTTTTCAATCCTTCGCGGAGACAATCGAAGGCATTTTTGGGCTGAGTGTCCTCTTTTAGGCTCAGGTAAATGACGCTTTGAGGAATATTGCTCGACGCAATGTGGTCCAGGGGTCCGAGTGGAATAGTTTGAAATCCAGTCATATTTTCTTGGTGTAGGGTGACGATAGATCCACTAAATGGGAAATGAGACACACTTCCAGAATCTCCATGAGAGAACACTGTAGAATATAATCATGTAGCGAGCATTTGGTTTGCATACGTAGACAGCCGGATGTTCCCACGTTGGGTAACTTTTCCATTCTATACTTCCCGGTTGGGTTTAGCGCTAGATGTGGATCCAGGGGCTGGGGCCGCAATTCACATTTTCGTGGAAGCAACGATCTCCATTGCTATGACGGAGCCTCCTCTGAGACTCTGATGCCCTGGACTTGTATAGCTCATCATGGATTATGGATCTACTGATTTCCCCCTGAAACATACTAACACGGCAACTTAGTAGGCAGCCAAGCTCATTGCCGCATTCCCTTCTCCCGAATCCGCGCGACCGCATTCCGCCTCGACTCGATCACCCTCTCGCTGGGACGTCCAAACAGCTTGGGATACAAAGCCTCCATCTGAACGTCACGAATGTCGATCTCGAAGGATTCCTTGCTGCCAATTTTCTGCGTCTCAACGATGTTTCCATTTCCCCATTGAGGCTCTTGCAACACGCGCAAAAGCACATCGGCACACTCGTGGGGCGAAAGAGTGACATCGTCCTCGGTGACTTTCTTGTTCCACTCGGGTTCGAAGATCGGAGTCTGTACTGTCAGCCTAGGCCTCGGGACCACTAATTCACATCATCCGGAGATGCCTCAACTTACAAGGACTGCACCTGGACACAACGCGGCGAACCTGATTCCACAAATGTCTCGGAGCGCACCCATTGACTTCACAAAACTGATGAGCCCCGCCTTGCTGGACATATATAAGGGTGTCTCAATGGAATGGAGGTAACCCGCGAGACTGGCGACCGCTAAAAAGTTTCCCTGGATCTCTTTGTGCTGGGTCCAGTAATCGATGGCGATCTGCGCCAAACGTACAGGGGCCACATAGTTCACGGCTATAGTTGAGTACTGACCGACTGCCGCATCAGCGGGATCGCGAGACTCAGGCGAGATGCCTGGCGCATTCCAAAAGCTGCTCCAGGGTGGCTCGTAAACACCCGCCACGCTTGCAACAATGTCGACACGGCCAAATGCTTGAATTGTGTTTTCCCATAGGCTCTGAATTTGATCCCAGTTGGTGACATCGGTTCTCTGGAATAATGCACTCGGCGCTCCGGGTTGACTTAGCGAGTGCGCGTGTGCATTCAGTGTCGATTCCGCTTCAGGCCTGAGATTCAAATCCGCTAGCATCACAGAGCAACCTGCTTTGAGGAGCAGCTCTGCTGTTGCATGGCCGATTCCTGAGCCAGCGCCCGTGACGAGAGCTACCTTGCCCTTGAGACTGTAGGTGGTCATATTGTTACCAACTCACTGACAAGGGTGGAGAGGGTAAATCAGAACAAGAGCTCTTGTACAGAAATCAACAGCATATGGAGCTTATTTTCATTGTATGTCAATCAATTTAATTACATTTGTCTCATTATGTCTGAATGGGTACAACCGTTTTGGGACAAGATAACCCCTACCCAAATCAGGCAATGCACTACATCATCTCGGATCTGACCAGGAAAGGTGACCGCCCTTTCATGCAAAGACTCTTCATTCCCGAGGTCAGTACACAATGTTACTGGCCATAGGGCTAGTGTTTTCTCAGTACTTTCTATGCCAGGTGCTGACCTACGAGGACCAAGGTCTGAGAAAAAGCACTGTGTGTGCGGAATTATAGCTAAAGGCTGGGAGTGAAATAATACAGAAGTCATTACGGAGTATCTGTAGTCCATCGATTAATTAGAACCTTTGACGATTTCGCATACTCTAAGCTCTCTAATCCCTGAGTCTGTCTTTGGTGATCTTGACCCTGATGCCCTTGCTCTCCAGACTAGGTTGTCCAATAACAGAATCCATAACCACATCTACATCACGCTCTCTTTCCGTCTCAAATAGTTCCATATCAAACCGAGCACATATATAGGCGACCGTTAGATAAAGCTCTGCATTAGCAAGGTTGATACCGAGGCACACTCTGGTACCCCGACCGAAACCCAAGAAGTAGTTTGCCTTCAATGAAGGATCGTCAATCCACCGTTGGGGTTCGAATGTATAGGGATCGGGGAAGATTTTGGGATCGGTATGGAGGAGATAATGGGATTGCATGACGCTTGTCTGTTGTTTCCAGTGGTTTATTAGCAACGCAAGCAAAGGGAAACGAGTGTCAATTTCCTTACGCCGGGTGGAATGGTCCAATCCTTGTATTTGAGCTCTTCCTCTGGAGCGTATCTTGGCATGCGACTCGAAACAACATGAGATAGCCTAACGCCCTCGGTGATCATTGCAGACTAGAGATTGACTTGTTCAGCACAAATGTTGTGTGGAGAATAATTCTGGAAAGGAACGGCAGCAACTCACAAAATAAGGAATGGCTTCTAGTTCAGCCAAGGAAATGCGGGAGTCAGGATGGGGCATATGATGTGCCAGTTCCTTCCTCACTCTATCCAAGACATTCGGGGTGTCAAGAAGCAAGAACAGAATTACGGCCAAAGATCTCGCCGTCGTTTCGGTTCCTGCCATGACAAGCAAGCCTGCCTCCGCCGAAAGGCGAGCAGGGGTTTTGTCGCTGGGTGGTAGATTGCTCTCAAGAATATCCTGGAATATAGAGCGGGTAGCAGACTTCTCAAGATGGCCGTTTTGTTCCTCTTCGATCGCAGTTTGGATCATCCCCTTGAACAGGGCTCTGTTCCTTGGTACTAGTGCAGCAGCTGGACTGAGCTTCGTAACCAACTTAGGTGGAAGCAACATAATGACCGCTTTAGCTACCCATGGGAATTGACGAGCGAAAGGTCCCATCTGAGCCATTTTGGCGTAGCCCTCCAGCTCCTCCTCCGCCCAGTCGGGTTCGCCCAACTTGTTCCAATCTTTTCCAAACGCGTAAGCGGAGATGACATCCATAGTCAGAGCACCTGCCGCGAATAGCAAGTTTACAGTTTCTCCGGTCTGACGAGCTTCCGCGATACGAGCCACCAAAATATCGATTTTGTCCACAACGCGTCCCTCCAAAGCTTGAATCGACCGCTTGCTGAAGAAAGGACTCAGCGCGGCGCGCCTCACCCGGTGGACATCGTGATCGACTGTGTTGAACAATGACCATCCCATGGGACTGGTCTTTGAAGAATGGAAAAACCACTCATCGCGATTGCGCTTGCGGCGTCCGCTGGCGTAGATATCGTCAAGATACTCCGGGTCTCGGATATGGATATGGAGCGGATTGATGCGCACGATCGGACCGTACTTGTTATGCAGGTCCTCGATTTTCCAGAGGAAGCGCAGCTTATGAGGAAACAGATCGTAGTAGAACTCGTACCAGAAGGTCGCTCCTGCAAGCTTCGGACCAGGAAACTTCGCCAGCGGGTGTAAGGTGACTCGATATATGTAGATTGAAATCCAATATGCGATGAAAAGTGTCGTCGCGGATGCCAGTATATGCGACAAGCTGGCGCTTTGCAGCAGCGTTAAGAGGCCCATTGTACCTCCAATTTGCAGAGTCGAATGGGTGTCGAGAGAGGTGAGTTGGGCTGATACAAAACATCCCCGCGACCGCCCTTTTGATCCTGCATCTTTTGGGTACTTTGCGGCTCACCAATTAGCAGAGACCAAAAACCAATTCAGCACATTTCCTTCTGTCCGTAATAGGAAATACCCGAAGGATACAGTGAGAATGCCTGCCAAGAGAGATCGACGGGTGGGGGCGGAGATCGAAATATGGCCATGAGTCGATTCTGGGATTGCAAGACCACGAGCTTTACCTTCCCATACTCGGCTGAGCAGCGATGGCTTGAATTTGGACTAACTCACGGACAAAGGTTGAGCTTGTCAGGCTGCTAAGGCAGAGGTGAAGCAGTGTGCAGGTGCCGCCCACAGTGGAGCCGTCCTTGACTAATCGGGACTAGTGTCCAAGGGTCCACGGGTTTACCCCGTTGCTTATGTTGCTCATTGCTGGTTTATAACTTCTTACTCCGTGCAGAGTTCTTCTTCTCTATCCTTTTACTGTATACAATTTTTTTGGCTGATAGTAAGGTTTACATTACCCCGGGGATCGATGGATTGATATGGAGTACTTCGTTAGGCAGATAAAGCCAATATACAGCTCAAAGCCCAATCGATATTTCCAAAGGAATGGAGAGAGCAGGGGGCATTTCAGATCTGATCACTATCGGGCTCAGTAGATCCTTCCTCTTTCCCAGCTCCTGGCGCTAATTTCCACCGAATAAGACGAGAGAAAGAAAGCATCCACCTCTGATTGATAAAGTCCTGGTGCGCGCCGTAGACCTCTAAGCTGAAAACGATGGCAGCAGCATGCGAAAGTAACAAATTGCCCAGACGCCCCTGCTAATTGAAAGTCTCGTCACCGATTTTTATCTCGATTTCTTGTTCCTCTGCCATGCGCTTATACTCCTCGAGCTTTGGCCTGGTATGGTTGGTTCGCTCAATCACTAGAGGGATGGAATTCGACATGTAACCGCATTTCAATCAGTCGACTTTCGACCGTTCGAATGAATGCCCTTTGCACTTTTTCATGATTAACATGGATTATTTTGATATCCTCTCTCTACGTGCGGTTGTTGGTTGGTACCTTGGAACCTAACCGCCGGCTCCAGCCCTGGAGGGGTGCCCAGGTGTTGGATATATATTCGTGAACTCGACACAAGTGTACCAGTGCCCAGGTGGACCTACAGAGCTCCTAACGGACCTCATGCTGGGCCAAGTGTGTGCTCAAGGTTAGGTTTTTCAAGGTTCCAACCATGGAAGGTTGCGGGCCGGCCCGCAACCTTGGAAGTCTAATACATTTCGAAAAGCCCGCAAATTGATAGGGATACCCAGATTGCACCCCCTTGTGATATACCCATATAAAAGGCTCTTATTGGATTTCACAGCCCTGATGATATCACCGAAACTACTGGAAGACCACCTCAGCCCAAAAGCTTCTCAAGTAGCTTCCAGGGTTGTTTAAATCTCTTGAAATGGCCCCAGGGATATATGTTCTCGGAACAAACATGAAAGAGATAGGGGATGAATGGTATGTTGTGTATTACCAAGTGAACAGGGGCGCGTTCAGATGTACACTACATTCACCGGTAGATTCAGCCACATCAGAGAGCATGATTTACCAAAACCTTGGAACCGGGCACAACATGCATGGATGGAAGGAGATCCGGGAGGCCCAGTTCGAAACGAGGGAAGAAATGGCTTTGCTGCGGTCTGGAAACCTATATCTTACCAAATAAGGGCCTAGACTTCCTTTTCGGCAGAAGGAGTTGGGGAAAATATTGACCGAGCGAACAGCCCCGGAGCGATCACGCCGAGGTCCCTGTTTTTTTTTACGGTGCTCCACACCTAGAGCACCGATAACCGAAACACAACTCAAAACGACAGCAAGGAGCCAGGATTGTGTCAGAGAATCGCTGATTACACCTAGGACCTTGACCTTTGTGTCCCCGGACAAGCCTTTCGTAATTGTTGTTACGCCACCACTTGAGACAGTGCTGGGGTCAAAGCCGGTGACGTTGAGATTGAGAAGGCCGGATTGAAGATTGTTTGTAAAGAGGCACTGCCCAACCGAGACGAATATCGCACTAAATAAAGCAACAGATGAGTCAACTTGCCACATTGAATGTAGAACACTTCTCAAGATCAATACTGACCCTCCGAAGATTTGAAAAAACATGACCATGCCAGTACCAATCGGGATGTCAGCTAGCGGAAGAACGCTCTGCGCGACCATCATCGGGGTCAAAGTAGCTAAGCTTGACCCAACGGCGTAGACTATCTGGTAGCCAATCCACCGGGGCTGGCTTGTCCCCACATGAAATGTAGTGAAAATGCCAGATCCCACGCAGCCAAAGACCGCACCAACGATCATGAAGATATCAGCGTAACCAAACTTGGATACTAAAAGGCCGCCCATGAGGGACACAATTGTGCTTGTGATAACCCAGGGAAGAGTTGCAACACCTGACAAGAGCGGCGACTTTTCCTTCACGGATTGGAGCCATCTGCATAGAGAGTGTTAGTGGGATTTTCCAAATTCAAGTTTTGATGGCACGCTCACATGGGGAAATAGGTTGTCAGCACAAATATAGCCCCAGCTGTTGCAAAAGAAAAGAATGAAGAGCAAAGGACTGTGCGTTGAGTGAACACACGCGCTGGAAGCATGGCTTTGTTCTTCTGCCATATTTCGATGCCAATGAAGGCCAAGCCTAAGACACCGAAGACAACCAACAAAGCAACAATTCGGCCGTTTGACCATTCATACTCGGTTCCGCCCCACTGAAGTGCAATCAACAGACTGACTACCGACGCCGCGAGTACCACCAGCCCGAGAAGATCAAGGGTCTCGAAGAGATCAGACCAAGAGGTGAAGCCCTCCACCTGCCCTCTCTTTGGATGGACTGTAAAAATGAATATGGTGTAAATAACAGCACCCAGCGGTAGATTTATATAGAAACACCTGCAAGGTCACATCACACTGTCAGCATATCTGAGCTGTCATTGCAAGCATGCACTGGATTGTGACACGTTGTTGCTCACCATCTCCACGAGACACGCTCCGTGAGGGCACCGCCAATGAGTGGCCCGGCCGTAAGGGCCAGCCCTCGACAAGCGCCGATCAAGCCGAGAATCATAGGCCGTTTTGCAGTGGGGGCGATGAATGGGACAAGAGAGAATGCCCCAATCATTATACCAGAGGAGCCGAGACCAGAGATAGCACGGCCCCCGATGAGAGCATTTGATGTTGGGGCAGCGCCACAAACAGCAGACCCTGCCAAGAAGAGTACCATCGCCGAGGTATAAAGCCAACGAATAGAATAGCGTGCCATCAGCTTGCCATAGGGGAGTTGGGTCATGCAGATGGCCATCGGATAGATACTAGCGTACCAGCCGACATCATTGAGAGAATTAAATTGATCTGTAATATAAGGAATGGCAGTAGCCACTATTGTACTGTCCTGTATGATCCATGAGTTCAAGGTACTTTTGTTGTCAAGCTAACGGGGAATGACCGTACCAAGGTGGCAACAAATATCCCGAGACACAAAGCCAAGACGGCAAGCCAGAGCCGTAATCCGGTGGCGTACTGGGGCTCCCCGGGAGCGCTGGTAGCTTCTGTATGCCGGAGGTCCTCTTTTGACTCTAATTCTTGGCTGGGACCGAGGGCCAGTTCCGGCTCGGGCAATCTCTGAGAATGATCGCTAGTATGCTCACTGGGACTTGGTATCTGTTGGCGCTCTTGGTTGTCTGACATGATCAACGTTCCTTTTGAACAATATATATGGCAGAGGAAGAATGTGAATGAGACTGTAAGCCGGTCGGGTGAATTGACGAGGTGAGAGTAGCTGGATCATGTCGCCAGCAGGATGTATCACGTGTTGTTTGGAATAGCACTGATTCTCTCTTCTCCTATAGCCTGCCCCTTTCCAAGGTCAATCATGCAGGATCGACGTAGGGGCGATTGTGCTGGAGAATGTATGGCCAAAAGCGGTTACCTCCGCTTTTCTTTGGAGACTTCCCAATTGGGTAACATCCGTGCAAACCCTCAGTTGCCGTGTCGATGTAGCAAACACCAAATCAAGCAGTATCCAACGATAATATGATCTTTGCTGAGGTTATACGGGTGACTGCCTAGGTGGCCCCCACGATGGGGCCAAATGCCACATTGGCAATACCGATTTGAGATAGCTGGAATTGATATAAAATGTAGTGGTACTGCTCAATGCTTCGAAGGCAGTGAAAGCTTTGTAACCAAGCTAACCACAAAGCCAAATCTTCTACAATGTCTCCTACAGCGATCGCCGACCTTGAAACTCCCTCAGTGGAACAGAGTGGTGCTAATGCACCTCGACCTGGATCCGGGGCGGCACAGTCGATCCCAATTGCCATCGTGGGCATGGCCTGTCGCTTCCCTGGAGATGTCGAAAACCCGTCACAATTATGGGAGCTCTGTGTCAATGGCAAGGATGGGTGGACGCCCATCCCAGAGGATCGGTTCGATGTGAATTCTCTGTACCACAAGAGCCACGACAGAGTGGGGAGGAGTCATGTCCAAGGCGGTTACTTCATGAAGAAGGACATTTCCCTCTTTGATGCCGCCTTTTTCAGCTTAGCTTCTGATGTTGCCAGTGTGAGTCAAGCCAATAAAGAAGCCCGCAGAAGGCGATTATCTAATTGATGTCAATAAATAGGGCCTGGACCCACAGGCGAGATTGATGATGGAGAGTGTCTACGAAGCAACAGAAGATGGTAAGTCCAGAGCTGCTGCAACTTGAATCTGAATGGCCAAGATAATAACGTCTCTCAGCTGGAATTCCCATCGAAGAACTGGCGGGCACCAACACCTCCGTCTATGCAGGCACTTTCAACAAAGATTACCACGAAATGCAAACCAAGGATGCCGAGGTTCTTCCTCATGCCTTCCTTGCAGGCACAGGTACCGCGATGATTGCGAACCGTCTTTCACACTTCTACGATCTTCAAGGTCCCAGCATGTCTATTGACACAGGCTGCTCTGCTGGAATTGTGGCCATTCACCAAGGCTGCCAAAGTATTCGCTCTGGAGAGAGCGATATTTCCATCGTCGGAGCAGCCAGCACACTACTTACCCAGGATGCCTTCATCTCCGCCAGTTCAATCGGTGCAATCGGAGACGAGGGGAAGTGCTTTGCCTGGGATGAGCGTGCTCACGGTTATGGTCGTGGAGAGGGTGTTGCTACCATGATTCTTCAACCCCTCGATGCAGCATTGAAGGCTGGAAAACAGGTCCACGCTGTCATCAGAGACTCTGGACTAAACCAGGATGGAAAAACGACTACCATCACTTCTCCTTCTGCAGACGCTCAAGTCAAACTGATCCGCGAATGTTATAAGCGCGCTGGATTCAATCTCTCCGACACCGGATACGTGGAGGCGCATATGACCGGAACGGCGGCTGGAGATCCGATCGAGGCCGAGGCTATCTCGAGGACCTTCGGCCAGAGCCGTGCAGAAGATGATCCAATCAATGTTGGATCTGTGAAGACAAACCTTGGTCATACCGAACCTGTCAGTGGTCTCGCAGCTGTCATGAAGACAGTGTATGCTCTCAAAAACCAGACGATCCCGCCCAACCTCAATTATGCCGTGACAAACCCAGCAATTGACCTCAAAGGAGGCCACTTGCAGGTGCCAATCAGTGCTACACCATGGCCAAAGGACAAGTTGTTGCGTGCTTCAGTGAACAACTTTGGATATGGTGGTACCAATGGCCACGTCATTCTGGACCCATCTCCAACCGACCAGGAAATCTGGGACAGCAAATTGGTCACCAATGGGGATCTTGAAACAGCCGGTGACAGTGTTGTCATCCCTGATGGCCCAGCAAGCGAAGCCGAAGATGACAAGTCTTTCGTCTATCTGTTGAGCGCCAAAGACTCTGTCGCATGTGACACCATGATGCGGCAATTCGCGGCACATATCACACAAACGCACCCCAGCCCAAGTGATTTGGCCTACACACTGACTGAGCGGCGATCAAAGCACAACTGGGTGGCGGCAGTACGAGCAAAGACGATTGATGAACTTGCCGAACGTCTTGCCAACCCGACACAGAAGCCCCTGAGCGCTGCTAAGCTTCCCAGACTTGGCTTTGTCTTCAACGGACAAGGAGCTCAATGGCACGCCATGGGTCGCGAGCTGATTGATAGCTATCCAGCATTTGGACAAGGCATTCGTCAGGCAGATGAAATCCTCAAGGAGTACGGGGCGGATTGGTCTTTGAAAGGTATGCATAACCCGTCACAACCAGGCAAACCCCCAAGAGGGAGTTTGGGAAGACCTTGAAACCGAATGACTGGGTGATATCGACTCGAAACTAACCATTGGTGCTTAGATGAACTCATGCGAGATGCCACAACATCCCGAGTCGGCGAAATCCAGCTGAGCCAGCCCATCAGTGTTGCGGTGCAGCTCTGCCTCGTTGACCTCCTGGCGTCATGGGGTATCTTGCCCTCAGCCGTGACTAGTCACTCGAGCGGAGAAATTGCCGCGGCCTATGCGACAAAAGCCCTCTCTTTCAGGGAAGCGCTGGGTGTTGCCTACTTCCGAGGCGAGTTAGCCCTCAAGCATCTGAAGCTTCACTCTCTTAGAGGCGGTATGCTTGCTACGGCAGTCGGCCCTGAGACCGCCGAGCAATACATCGCGAAGGCAGCTGAGTCCGAGGGGCGCGTTGTGGTCGCTTGTGTCAACAGCCCTAGCAGTGTGACCCTGTCGGGTGACATCAGTGCCCTTGACGAGGTGGCTGCACTTCTTGAAGAAGACGGTGTATTCGCACGAAAGCTCAAGGTCCCTATGGCGTACCACTCTCACCACATGGAATACATCGAGAAAGAGTATATCGATGCATTGCGATCCATTCTCCCAATTCCACGAAAGAAACAATGGGGAGATGAGGCTATTTTCGTCTCACCCGTTACCGGAGAGAAGGTGGGATCCCCGGCCGGTCTGACTCCTGAGCACTGGGCCCGCAACATGACCAGTCCTGTCCTCTTCAGCCAGGCCTTCCAAACCATGTCCAGCGAGATTGACATGGTTCTCGAAATTGGTGCACATGGCACCCTCGCTGGACCGATCAGACAAATCCTGAAGGCCCAGGGGACAGAGATGCCCTATGCCACATGCCTCAAGCGACCTTCAGACGCCGTCGAGACCATGCAAGACCTCGCATGTGACCTCATTGGTCGAGGCTACCCAGTCAACCTCAAGCAGGTCAATTCTCTCGCCGAAGAGCAGCAAGCTCAAAAGTTTGTCACCGGTCTTCCGTCTTACCCCTGGAACCACAGCAAGAAGTACTGGGTGGAGCCACGCATCAGCCGGGAGCAACGTTTCAAGAAGTTCCCCCCTCATGAGCTTCTGGGCACTCCACTGAACGGAAGCAATGGCCTCACGCCAACATGGAGAAACTTCCTGCGCCTGGGTGAGATTCCATGGCTCAAGGATCACCAGATTGACGGATCTGTGGTTTTCCCTGGAGCGGGCTATATTGCCAATGCGATTGAAGCCGTGCGTCTGCTCACTGATCCCTCCGAGGAAACCGTCCATGGTTACCGCTTGCGAGACATTGACATCATCAATGCCATGATTATTCCCGACACGGTTTTCGGCATTGAAATCCAGCTGACGCTGCATCCTTGCAGCGAGAAGGAGTTCGACCACGACGGCTGGTGGCAATTCGAGCTCAGCTCATTGACTTCCGGTGGCCCTTGGATCCAGCACTGCAAAGGCTATGTTTCGGCTGAAACTGGTGACAAGTCTAGGACATCGGAGCTTACTCGCGGTCTAGAAGCACCCGAAGAGAAAGGCTACCTACAGCACAATGACAGCATTCCCGAGACCGAGGTCGACATTGAAACACTCTTCTCTGGTCTGCGCGAGAGAGGGATCTACCACGGCCCGGAATTCCAGAACCTTGTCAAGAGTCGCGCGGCCGGAAAGCGTGCAATCACTGATTTCACAATTGCCAATGTAGCGTGCGAAGAGCATGACTACGTTCTGCACCCTACCACGCTTGACTCAATCCTCCAAGCATCATTCGGCAGTTTGCCCAAGGACATGGACAAGGACACCATGGTGCTACCCCGTTTCATCCGCACCCTGTCTGTTCCAAAGGACTTCAAGAGACAGGGCGGCGAAAAGCTCCGAGCTTTCTCGGAGATGGTGAAGGCAGACAAGAAGGGTGTTACTTCCAGCCTTTCCGTCGTCGCTGCCAACGCTGAACCATCCGCTGGGTTCCTCCAAATGCAAGACTTCTTCGGGCAGGCCGTTCCCAAGAGCGGCGATGACGCCGACGACGAGGCTTGCATGTGCTCCAAGAGCTGCTGGGAGCTAGATGTTCTCCACAATTTCCCAGAGGACATGAAGAAGTCACTTGCGATCCCAATTTCGGAGCAGGAGGTTCAATTCGAGCGAAACTTGAACAAGGGCTCATACTTCTGGATCTTGGACGCATTGACGGAGTTGAAAGACCAGAATCAAGACAACTGGGAGCCCCACCACAGACGCATGGTTTCGTGGATGCAAACCATTGTTGAAAAGGGCAAATTGGGCAATATTGGCCCTGGAAGCGCAACATGGCACAAGACCAGCAAGGGTCTCAAGACCATGCATGGCGACGAGCTTGGCTCCGGAGATGTTGCTGGTCGGCTGGTTGCTCGTGTCGGACGCAACCTTGCTGGAATTCTGCGTGGTGATATCAACCCACTTGAGTTGATGATGGAAGGAAACCTCCTCAACCAGTTCTATGGGGATCACCAGGCCCTCAAGACTCGTTCTTATAAGCAGTTGTCGGCGATTGCAGAGCTTTATGCCATCAAGCGTCCTGGTGCCCATGTTCTCGAAATTGGAGCCGGTACTGGCGGTGCCACCACAACTGTCTTGGAAGGATTTAGCGCTAGAGGTGATGATACCTCCTCTATCCTTGGTCATTATACTTTCACAGACGTCTCGCCTGCCTTCTTGGAAGGTGCCAAGGCGAAGTTTGCTGGGTATTCTTCTCTCATGGACTACAAGAAGCTGGATATCGAGAGCGATCCTTTCGATCAAGGTTTCACCGGTGGCTCATATGATTTGATCGTCTCTTCATTCTGTCTGCATGCCACCAAGGATCTTGCGAAGACGATGAGCCATGTGCGAAAGCTACTCAAGCCAGGTGGCACTCTGTTGTTGATCGAGGCTACCGCCGACAGTCTCCCTTCGCAGCTGATCTTCGGTACTCTGCCAGGTTGGTGGCTTGGAGTAGAGCCTGAGCGCCAGAACAGCCCCAACGCGCCGCTTGACATGTGGGACCGAGTCTTGCAGCAGACAGGATTCACAGGTGTAGACCTGGAGGTGCCTGACTACGAGGATGCTGAGTTCCAGTCTGCACGTGTCATTTCTTCCAGAGCCACCACGGCAGTATCGGGGCAATTCAGCATTGTCCTGCCCTCAGGCCAAAGTCTCGCCACCGCGCCTGTAGACAAGCAGCAGTGGCTGTCGAAGCTTGCCGATGAAATCCAATCACAGGTCGGCGTCGCTCCTCCTATTCTGTCTTTGGATGATGAGGACTCTTGGAAAGACACAGTCTGCATCTTCACGGCGGAGATGGAGGCTCCTTTCGTCGATGGATTGGATGCCGTAACGTTCGAAAAGCAGCGCAAATTGCTCCTCAACAGCGGAGGCCTTCTGTGGCTAAGCTGTGGTGGACTTGTTGACGCCACGGATCCTTCCTTCGGAGCCACAGACGGTTTGATCAGATCCATGCGACAGGAAGACGCTGGAAAGCGTTGGATCAGACTCGACTTCGACAATGACAGCAAGCCTTGGACCGAGAACAAGCTCAACCACATTCTCCATGTCTTGCAGGCTAGCTTCGACGAGTCGCTCGATCCCTCGGATATCGAGTGGGAATATGCCGTCAAAGACTCTTTGCTTCGCGTCTCCAGATCGTTCCCTGACAAGGCCCAGGATGCTCTGGCCCGGGACCTGAAGATCGACCCAACCCCTGAGCTTCAGCCGTTTAAGCAAGAAGGCCGACCTTTGATCTGGGAGGTCCCCGCTTCCGGGACATTGGGTCTTGATCCATACTTTACTGACAATCTGGAACTGACCACCACTGAGGTGCCCAGCGGTATGGTCGAAGTGGAGGCCAAGGCGTACGGTCTCAATTTCCGAGAGGTTATGGTCCAGCTTGGTCAGCTCGATGAGCCACTGAAGGGACACGAATGCTCTGGCATTGTCACGGCACTCGGTCCCAACACCGAACAAAGTGGACTCAAAGTCGGTGACCGGGTTTGCGCGCTGGTGAGAGGCCGCATGGCAAGCAGAGGTAGAACCTGGTGGACCTCAGTGGCCAAACTCCCTGCCCGAATGGCGATTTCGTGGGAAGAAGCCGCTTCGTTTCCAGCAGCATACGTGACCGCTTATGGCAGTCTGATCCAAACCGCCAGACTTCAAAAGGGTGAAAGTGTCCTGGTTCATGCCGCAGCAGGTGGTACTGGTCAAGCAGCCGTTATCCTTGCTCAATCCGTTGGTGCTGAGGTCTTTGCTACTTGCAGCACCAAGGCGAAGCGGGACCTTCTGATGGATCAGTATGGCATCCCCGAGGACCATATTTTCTCAAGCCGTGACGCAAGCTTTGCCCCGGCCATCATGGCTAGTACTGCGGGCAAGGGTGTAGACGTGGTTCTCAACTCGCTCTCAGGGCCCCTGTTGAAGGCAACATGGGACTGTGTAGCCCGCTTCGGTCGCTTTGTCGATATCACTAAGATGGACATTGAGGCTAATCGCCGTCTGGAGACTTCGCCTTTCGGTCGCTGTGCTGTCTACACCAGTTTCGATCTCTTGCAGCTGACAGAGTACTGTGGTCCTCTGACCAACGAGGCTCTCGTTGAGTGCGTCCGGATTGTCCATGATCGCAGTGCAGCCCCTGTGTACCCTATCACGCCATACTCAATCTCCGAAATGGCCACTGCCATGCGACAGATGCAGGGAGGACAACACAAGGGCAAGCTTGTTCTTGTTCCCCGCGACGGTGATCAGGTCAAGGTGAGTTATTCCTAATTCTTGTTACGTGATGTTGACTAACTTGAGCCTCAGGTTGTTACCCGCCCTCCACCTCTTGCCCTTGCCAGAGATGATGCGACTTATCTGATCTCAGGTGGACTGGGTGGTATTGGTCGTGCTATAGCATCTTGGTTCATTGAGAATGGTGCCAAGAATGTTGTTCTTGTGTCCAGAAATGCGACGAAGCATGATGAAACTCCCAAGCTCCTCGAGGAGGCTCAGGCTGCCGGATGCCGCCTCCTGGTCCGTGACTGTGACGTCTCGGACGAGCAGAGACTGCTTTCTCTCCTCCAAGAGTGCTCCGATGCTGGCCTTCCCACCATCCGTGGTGCAATCACCGGTGCTATGGTACTAAACGACAGTATCATGGAGCGTATGACCTTCGAACAATGGAGCAACGGTGTGCGCCCGAAGATCGACGGCAGTCGTAACCTGCACAAGCATCTCCCTGCCATGGAGTTCTATATCATGTTGTCATCCGTCGCTGGTGTCGCTGGTCACATGTCGCAGGCTAATTACGCCGCCGGAAACACCTATCAAGACGCCCTCGCCCGCCACCGTACATCCAACAGCCTGCCGGCGGTGACGATCGATCTTGGTGCGGTTCGTTCAGTGGGTTACGTTGCTGATCAGGAAGCCAGTGGCAACGAGAACCTGCGATCTCGTGTTGAGAACGTTGGATTCGGCTCTGTAGACCTTTCTGCAGTGCTGGGGATCATTGACGTCGCTATTCGTGATCCTCTGCGGAAGACGCTCGAGGAGTGCCAGATCGCCGTCGGTCCCAACTTCCATGCATTTGCCAAGGATTCAGCCATGGGACGCGACCGTCGCTTCGGTACTCTTCGCATTACCACTCAACGCGGTCTCAGCAGCGCCGCAGCGGCGAGCAACTCGGGGTCGGGATCAACTGCTGCCTTGGTTGCGGGTCTCAAGGGAGCTTCATCAATCATTGAAGCTAGCATTCTTCTAGTCGATGCTCTATCTGGCAAGTTGTCTGACATCTTCAGCATTCCACTGTCGGACATCGATCCTGAGCTGCCTCTGGCCAGATACGGTGTTGACTCTCTCGTCGCCGTTGAGCTGCGCAACTGGATCAGCGGAACTCTCAAAGCCAAGGTCTCTGTCTTTGAGGTTCTCCAGAGTGCTTCGCTTACTGAATTTGCAACCCTCGTGGCCAGCAAGAGTGAATTTATGGTGGCCAAGGGTTTGGCTAGTGCATAGGAGATTGGCAGCCACAAGGTTGATCAAGCTTCCCAACGATAGCTATCTCTTTGGTTGATTTGAGCATTTCTGGATATATTGAAAAACATAAATACGAATGTCGATTGATTTTAACCCAAACACATTGTCCATTGCTAGAGAGTAGAGACGCGTCTTGACGTGTTGTGATGTTTGCACCATTTGCGCTGTTTGTGCTGTTTGTCAATCTGCCGCCACGAAAGTGGTTGGCGCGACATGTTTGCAGCAGCCTTTCCCTCATTCTTGCCAACCCTCTAGCTTCAATGTCATCTCCAATGTCAAGTTTTACCCTATGGATGTTTTGAAATCGAATTACTATCATACTTAGCATGCTACCATGGGGTCAAATAGAGGACACCTCATGGTTGGTCCCTGCGCCCCCCCCTTGAATCTCTCGGTACGGAGTAGAATGCACCAACTCAATGAAGCGAATGAGTGGACATAGTGGAAGAGGATAGTGGAAGAAATGTTCCCAGGAAATCTGAGTTGTCGGTGGTCAGTGGGTAGTTTGCCAACTCACACAATGCACAACACAATCCTCATATCTCTTTGAACCAGTCTATTTCAGTTGTTATGATATTCCTCATTTCAAATTTGAACTACTTAAGACCTATACAAAGAGCTCAAGACATGAATTACCCCTCCCAAATCATACCGACCAGATTCAGCAAGGGATTATTCTCACTACGAAACGTGATTTACCTCTTTTCCATTCCACGCCCCCCGACCAAGTCCCACCTCGAGCATCGACTTCTCTGCATACTTCTCTCGGGTTATAGCATGCTTCTCTCGTTTTGTCGCCAAAGTCTCCTCTCGCCACATGAATCCAAGCCCAACAACTACTGCGGGTCCTCCCACGGCGCCGAGTGCCAATCCCATGCTGACGAGCTTAACCCAACTCGACTCTACCATGCCGGCTTGCTTCAGATCGCGAATCAACAGCATCAGCCAAAATACAGCGGATAAAAGCAGTCCAGTCTCCTCCAGCTTGATGTCTCTGAGTGCTGATGTGTAATCGCCATCGATGAATCTGGCGATCCATGATTCCCCGGCGAGGAGCGTACTCGGAAGACATGCTACCCAAGCCACTCCACATATCAGGGTCAGTGCATGAATGCACGTCCTGGTATACGGAAGGTCCCGTAACTGGTTGCCCATCGAGTCTGCATGCATGGTACTCTTTGTCACTCCGATCTTCATCAACAACGAGGGTACAATTGACATGATCAAAGCGGCGATTGCACCCCAAATCCACTGGATGTTTCCGAGGCTTGAAGTCGGACTATAGGTAAGATTTTGAGCCATTGCTGCCACTCCGAGAAGCCCAATGCTCAAGGGCAAGATAGTCTGGGTATAGGCGATCTCCGTAAGTCTCATGTCCAAAGCGGCAAACTTTTCGACGGTGGAGCAAACATAGTGGCAGAAGAAATAACAAGGAGCGACGATACCTGTGCCGAATCTAACGCTCAGAACAGCCCACATGAAAGGGAACTTGGCGATGTTGAATGCATTGCCTCGTCGGTTTGCCTCGATGAGCCAAATTGCATAAATCAGTACCCCCTCTGTCAGTTGGAGTATTGATGGGAATGACAATGATTGAAATACTGGCTCGGTAGGTTGTTGGCTTCTGATCCAGAGAGAGATGAGCAGCAAAGGAACTGCGGTTGCAGCTCGTTTGAGTGTGCTCTCTTGGTGGCCAACCCCTTGCTTTGGGTTAAAGGGACACGAGCCCTCAAAAGATCGACTGGGTACTGGAAGATATTCAAGGATCTCCGAGCCTATGAGGGACCCGGTAACTAGGTTGAGCAGCAGCTCTGTGGCGTTTGGCATCACATAAAATGCGAGTATGTAGGCCTTGATGCTGTTCAATGCTTGCATCCGACAGACTGCTGCTGCCTCCCTGGTTGTTGCCTCAACTCGAGTCTTGCGCTTCTTTTGCCATTCCGCAAATGCAACCGCGATGGTCTTTCCATTGACAACGCTGCTGTTTTGTAGCGTCTTGAGCTCGTTGGCCAATGCAGCGGCCGATTCAACAGCGGTACTTCCACCTTGTCCATAATTCGGTGTCATCTTGTGAGTGTTGTCACCAAGCAAAGCTATGCGCCCCCAGCTCCATTTGTCGAAGAGCCCTTCTTCGAGAGGAACAAGGGTAGAGCAGATTCTGTTTTCCCAAAGGTCTCCTAACGTCAGTCGCTCGTTGCAATGTTGCGAAGCATTCGCCAATGCGAGCTCTTCTGCATCTGCTGTGGAGTACCTCGGGTAATCTGCAGCACCGTAATAATATCTCTTGTCGAGCTCTTCATGGAATGACCAGAAGACACGTCCGTTCTTCCCTGTCATAGCCAGTAGAGATCGGCCCTTGTCGATGGTCGTATCGACATCTCCATCCTCAAAACCTTCCATTGGGTTGGATATGCCAAAGAGACATTTATAATCCGCGCACATCTCTGCCCACATCTGTCAACGCCAATTCGTGCAATTTCGTGGATGGGTTGATCATACCTGTGCGATCTGCCGCTGATAGGTAATGGGGATCCGCCTCACTCGCAAGGCGGAACATCTCAGCTCTCGTTGAGGCTTTGCTGTTGATGCCATCACATCCGATTACTATATCTCCGTGGTAGGATGATCCATCTTGGCAGTGGACCATGACACCAGCCTCGGAATGATCAATCCGCTGAACAACCTTGCTAAGCAGCATATTCGCTGTTTGAGAAATACAATTTGCTAAAGCACGCAATACCAATTGTCGCTCCAGGAATCTAACGCCATATCCAAATCTAGTAATTTCATTAGGTCGAACTCTCTTTTTTGAAAACATCTGTACTTACCGTGCCTGTACGAGCTGAAATGCTGGCGAAGGAGGCATAATCAACTTCCCATCTCTGCGATGAACCTTTGAAACTTGGACAGGTGCTGTGTGGTCGAGGATCGCATCTGCGGCGCCTATTTGATCGAAGATGCGCATTGCACCTGGACCTAAACCGATTGATGCGCCAACCTGAGGGTCGAACCGAGCTCGAGCCTCCAACATGACGAAATCAATGCCTGCTTTTTCCAATGCATTTGCCATGGTAAGGCCGCCGATGCCGCCACCAACGATGATAACCCTCATCTTGCGTTGATCTGACTTTGACGATAAATGTTTGAAGGCCAGGAACGGGCGGGAGACAGGAGGCTTTGGTTGTAAGAGTTGACCTATGCTTGCTATCGCTGATGGTGAGCTTTTCACCAGTTCTCAATTTGTTAGCTTCCGATCAGCTTTCGCTATGCGACAGTCCCACTTTTGTTCCTCGATCAGCAAAGCCCATCGGGAAGTATGGAGTCAACATCTCTACGCGGTCAGCACTGCTTAGACTAACCGCTCTCGTGCACTTCCCAATCCGGTAACATCCGGGACTTCTAACCAAAAATTATTACGTGGACTACTCCAAATTACTAAATTCCGCGTCAATTTCCAGGTGGCGTCCCTTCTGAATTTCCGCGATAGAGGCAGGAAATATTTCGAGCAATATCATATGATGTTACGCTCTTTGATGGCGGTCTTTGAACTTCGAACAGCGAGGCCAGCATAAACCCATGTGATTTCGTAGGTTTCTCGGGGGGCCGGCTAATCCCAAACACGACTTTAGTTGAAGATGCTTTTATTACTTCATAATAGAGCATTTCAGTAAATTAGAGCTGATGAAACGGGACGATCAACTTCGGTCGGAAATGTGGACCCGCGGGGATCGGCTCTCCCATGCCGAAATTCAGGAAGATCCGAGCGATGATTTCCCACGAAGGATTGCTGTATCGATATACCACCTGGGCACCTAGTGTTCATACGACAAAATTGGTCTGTGGCCCCCAAAATCTATTCAAATCTTGAGATTCCGGTCGGGGGATTTACTTTTGCATTCCATCCTGCTCCAATGTCCCCCACATACCTACTCCGTACTGAGTACGGAGTACATTGTCTCCTGTTGATCGACATAATCATTACTACTTTCCTCGCCATACATAGTGGCTTAGATCTTGTGCTGCCAATCAACAAGTTGGAGTGTAGGTTTTTGCAAGCCTCTCCCCATGGCCCCCAAATGCGTACATATTGCATCTCGCACATCATTGTCTAGGTAGCCACAGTAGTATTGACCCCAAATCTAGTAGGAAAACGCCCGAGGGAGAAATCAGTTTTGATCGGAAGGATTCGGTTGCCTTAATTAAGGACCCCGAAAATTACATTCGGGGTTACGGAATAGTCCCTTGATCCATCTAGCGGGCTACCTCTTCGTCTCTAAATAAGCATGATCCAATGAAGATCGGGTTTAGGCTGTGATCACGATCATCATGATGCTCGAATAACTCGGCTATTGCGGTGGTCTAAGAAGACCGAACATGCCGAGTATGCCGTTGATGCCGAAGATGCCAGCCCCAGAAGTCATTTGGCCACATCAGTTCATTTGTGGGGACATGGGATCTGACCATCCACGGATTGAGTGTAAGGAAGGAGTCTAGGGATCGGGTCCCACCCTTGCCGTTGTGTCCTAGTCCCAATTGACTCCGTGATCTCAAGCTTATGTCCATGTAGTGTGGAACTGTACTCCGCAGCAACAATTTCTCTAGGTCTCGGGCACAAATCGGAGTTCATGTATTTGTGTATTTCTTGGGGAAAGGCCCGCAGTGCACGCGCTAAATTTGTGAAGAAATGGAGTGTTTTTCTATGACTTCTACGTGGGAATCTACCTCAGCATTCCGATCTCAAACTCTATAAATGTTATCTTCAATGTGGTCAAGATGAAACAAGACATGCCAAGGGTCAGGCAGCTCGTTCGCCATGTAAGCCACTTAAGTAATTCAGCCCCCCAAGTTACATGCTTCATAGAGGGGACTTTCATCATTTGGCCCCATAGAGCTATCTTGGCCCCTCTTCTCCGTCAGCTTACGTGGGATCTAGTACACTGTTGACAGATATATCTAATTATCTTAGTCTCCAAGGTTCTCTAGTTATATCGAAAGGTTCTATTGATTGCTGTTGTACCATCATGTTCGGAACATTTCGGTATAATCGGAATACGAATGACCATGAGCACGTCGAGATCTCCAGAGCCGATGGGGTTGAAGCCCGAGGCTTCACTAGAGTAGCCTGCAATTCGTGTCGTGACCGAAAGGTGAGTTATACCAAACTCTTCAACCCATACTCAGACCTAAAATTTTGCCGATCAGCTCAAATGCAGCGGCGAAAAGGCGGGTTGCAAAAAGTGCCGGTCTATGTCACAAAGTTGCGTATACAAGTCGACTCCGTCTTCCCCTGTCAATTCGCCACGTTCACAGCATGGTGGCGGCAGCTCCGCCCGCCGCCCATCTGTGATCACCCCGGATCTCCCCACGGTACGGGGACCGTCAGCCCCGAAGCCCCAGGGACCAACCAGCCCACATCGGCTAGCGTCGGCAGCAGCGCCACCCGTCACTCAACCTTCCACAACTTCAAATTTGGCAGACATCTGTCCCTCTTTACCTGCGACAAGTTTATCACCTGCGTGCTTTTACAATAACAATAGCGACTGGGATGTTTACGCTGATCCTGTTTTCGTATCCAACGGTGGCTCGGGCACAGCGCAGGACCTTGCTCGCGACACGGAGCCCAGTGGCGGAGCTAATCTGGAAAATGCTTTCCAGTCCAATCGCAGGCGCGCAGATGATCCAACTTGGTCACTTCCATCCACAAGGCCAGCCAATGAGTTCGACTTGGATGATAATGGCATCCTGTCGATGCCCCCACAGGTATCGCGAGAGCATCAACAACTTCAACACCAGGCAGACCAGGAAGCAAACCATATCTGGGACTTGGATATGGATCTTGGTACTGTAGATTCGCAACTTCAACGCCCTCCCTCTGAAGCTTACTCTCATGGCTCCGGTCCAGGTACAGAAAATGACCCTAACTTGACCTCGCGAAACAATGCCATGATGCTACCATCTCCGGACACAACGTCGGGCTCGAATTCCACGTATGCTGAGACAAGCCAAGGATCATTGGAGCTGAAGAAGTCCACCAGTTCTCAACGGCCATGCAAATGCCTACGCATAATGGCGCAAGCTTTGCAGACTGTGGATGCCCAGGGCGCGGGCACAGACACAGATACCAAAAAAGTCGGAATAGATATGCTGGTCATACTACTCGGACGGGGCATGGAAACCTTGGAGGAGGTGCTGGCCTGTGACCAGTGCAATGTTTGTGTTGAGAACGGCATTATCGTTGCAACTCTTGCGCAGCAGCTGATGTTCGTGTCTGAAACCGCTGCAAGGAAGCTTGTTGCCCACAGTGGGCAATTGGAAAGTCTATCCAGCAGAGCTGGCTTTGATTCTAGTGATTCAGTCAGCGATGAGGTGTTTGATGGAGTGATTTCATTTGGTCGCTGTCAAATAGAAGCACCGAGGATGCGGCTGTCGCTCGTTCGTCACGCTGTCCTTTTACATGTCGCTGTGTTACGCAAGCTCTTGGGTCGAACAAAAAGGTTGATGTCGCGAAGCAGGGGTGCTTGGAAATTGTTGACTGAAATAGAAGCTAAGATTACAAAGATCAATGATGTATTTCGGCAGGCTCCGATAGATAGCATATAGTGAAAATTCCATGCCATAAAACCCACACAGGTATTCTCATGTCGCAAATATGAACAACTTTCAGATCGTTCATCGAAATTTACTATTACTGGTACATTCAAAACATACAATGATCCAGAGGAACGTGACGGATTCACGCTTTCATCCACTCCTCCTCATTCTGATCCGGGATACTCTCCTTGTATGGGTGGGTCTCGATCCATTCCTTCGCCCCAATAGCAGTGGCGGAACTCTCATAGAACTCACTCAGTAGGTCATTGAGTTCTGGAAAACATCAGTACGCTGTCTGCATGAAGACTGGAAGTAGAACTCACTTTCTAGCTCGGTTGGTTCCGCGGGTTGCAAGGAGAAGCGGGAAATCCCTTCTCTCCACATGACTAGAGCCGAGGGAATGGGAGTACCTGCGCAACTCGCAAGTGGGCGAATAAGCTAATTGTTCAATTTGTCAAGTAGGTAGGGATGCTTACCCTTCTGCACACAAATAACGCTTGGGTCCAATGGGCATTTGCCGTCACTGGTTTCTTCTTGGTAGTGATCGAAATCAAACTTCAACATCTGCTGCAAGAGGCGCGAGTTTGGCATGAAAATTGGTCCGTTGGAGTCTGGTATGATGTCAGAGCTGCAACGCATGTTACCTGGCCGGGATCAACAAACATGGGCTGGACTTGGAGATGTTCGCATGAACCAATCCGTTTTCGGACACTCTGATTCCATCTTTTCTATACCGCGTTTCCTCTTGGCTAGCATCGTACAGTGTGGCCTTCTTGTTTAGCTGGAATCGATACATTGTTGCCGGGAAAGTGGTGTGAGTGGAAAGCAAAGAGAAGCTTCGGGCTTGCTTAATGTTCAGCCGGGCGGCTGGTACCCAACGGGTTGCGAACATTTTTTCGATGGATTGTTCTTGGCGATGATGCCAAATACTCTTATCGAAAGATGTCTTGAAGCTGCACCTTGGCTTTCCACGCAACGCTAAAAGTGGCAGGACGTGTTGGGTCACATGACATCCCCGGAATTAAGATCGCGCGAGGTGGGGCCCGGAGAGTGTTGAGCGTCGGCCAGCCAACCAAATGCCGCAGACCTGGTCGGGGAGCCAGTTTGCTCACTATCAAAAGCCCCACATCCCAACTCTTCGGGCCCCGAGGGCATCAAGGGCGGGCACCAACGGAAAACCCCAATCTTTCTCAGAGGTTGCAGATCGAATTCAAACAGCCGTGACGTGATATTCCCTAGCTCTGTAGGACCAAGATCGTGCTCAACACCACCTCTTTCACATGGCCCTACTTTCCAGAGGGGACTGAGCTTCGGAGGACAATTTTCAGATATACCTCTTTGGTCTGTTTTGGTTTATCCTCTGTAGTCTAATGAAGGTTACCCAAATCCATTCCATCATACAAGGACATTCATGTGAAGATCGAAGGCGAGACATTGGATACGTGTAGTGTAGTTGTACCTTTCAAATAACCAACCCCTTTCGTGGGGATACCTCAGGCTTTGTTTTTGGACATCTAAGCATCGGCATGTGGGGGAACCAATTCACCTGGTAATAACTAGCTGCAATACTGTGCTTGTTGCTTGCCTGTCGGTGCAATGAGACGATGGAACAGACTAGGTAAGGCTGTGGGAAGCCAAAGCCGAGCCGGACCAGCCGAGCCGAGCCGAACCGCACCATGAGCCAAGCCGAAGCCATGGTATTACATTCAGCGATTGATTCACATAAAAGCTCAGTCAAAATATCGAGAATAAAATCTATTGAGTCGTACTATTGACCATCCAAGCCCAAAGATCCCACCAGTGTACAATACTCAGCACAATGACTTCCACTGTCACGAGCCCACCGAGCACTACCGCCTGTCTAAAAGCTCCATCAGGAAGATTGTTTTCTCAGGGAACGGATGTCTACTATGGCGATTTCCGAGACGACCTTCTCAGAGACGGATATGCTGTCGTGAAAGGCGCCGTGGCCCGTGAGCGAGCGTTGGGGTATGCCAGCGATGTATACCAATGGCTAGAAGATTTGTAAGTCTTCCAATTTCCAAATAATTAGAGAATATCAACATTTGCCTCAGGCTTACACAACCAGCAATCTCGGCTTCAATCGAAATGACCCCAAAACAATCCACAAAGATCACCTTCCGGATATCAATGAGAAAGGCATGTGTCTCGGCTATGCAATTTCTCACGAATCCTTCACTTGGGCAGTTCGACAAGAGCCCGGCGTTATTGAGGCATTTGAGAAAGTTTACGACACCGAAGATCTGATTGTCTCATTTGACTCGGTCAACATTGGATTTCCGAACCGGAAAGATGTCAAACCCAATTCCCCATGGCCACATCAGGACCAAGATCCTGAGAAGCCGGGATTTCGTTGCTTGCAAGGCCTGGTAAACTTGCTACCAAATGGACCCAAAGATGGGGGCTTGATTGTTTGCAAGGGAGCGCACTTGCTCAGCGAGGAGTTCCATGCGAACTTCAAAGAAGAAGAGAGAATTTGGTCTTGGTAGGCGAACCTCAACCGTACCCAGTATAGTGACTGATATGTTTGGTTACAGGACGACGGAGTGGTACGGATTCACCAAAGCTGGACAGAGCTGGTTGAAGGAAAAGGGCTGTGAGTGGGTAAAGGTGGAAGCTGAGCCTGGCGACCTGCTTCTTTGTAAGACACAGTTATCGAAGCTTTTGGAGAACAGGAGCTGACCACTTCAGGGGACTCTCGCACTCCTCACTACAACGTGTCATCAGAGACCTCACAGGATAGATTCTGCGTTTATACTTGCTTCATGCCTGTCGCGGACGCAACAAAGGAGCAACTTGAGACCAAGAAGATGGCATTTGAGGGTATGAACTTGCTTGTGCCCCGTGAAAACAAAAACTCATCTCACACTCGGTAGAAACCAAAATGACCACCCATTGGCCGAACGCGATGCATGTTGTTGACCTACCTGTCTACAGAAATGGGGAGCTCGATCCTCATAATCGCTCCAAGCCTCGTAATCCTGTTCAATTGTCTGAACGTGGATTCAGGCTGACTGGAATTCCTTACCTTCAGCAAATGGCCTGATTTTACCAGATCGTGTTATTTATCTAACTCTCTCTGAAGTGTGAATAGTTCTGGACTTTGTGCGTTCTTGATTAATGATTCTTCGCAATGTCACTCGCTATGTTCGAACAGATGACTTAGGTCATTCCAGTCCCATCCAGCCCAGTCAAGAGAGGATTGGCCCCAAGATGGGAGAAAATGATCCTGGGCGAGATCAATTGTTTCTTCATTGAATGCAGCCGTAGGACTTATAGTCGACTGATCGCTCAGCCTTGGCATCGGCTCTTCAAGCCAAGATAGTATATATTGATCCAAATTGTCAAGGAAATCATCGGCGTTGCACATTGCCCCATGTTTGTGGTAAAAGGCTCGAGTGAGCTGTGTGGCAACTTTCATCAACTAGACCCATCCAAGCGATGTCAGAAAGCATACCCTAGTATTAGAGGGATATTTACCTCATATTCGGATCGAATCAGTAGTGACCCACGCTCACGCATAATGTGCACAGCAAGCACGCCGACTGCATTAAGTGGAGAGGCAAGTGTCGACAGAAAGTTGGGTGTTCCCAAGTCGACAAGCTCGACTAAAAGCCTCACTAAGTCCCTAGCGGCCTCAATTACCACCACTGGGCTGTCAAGAAGCCGCTGTTTCCACGGCTTGCCTGTTGCATATTTATCAACAACTTCAAACAGTTCGTCTTTGTTGACCAGTAATGCGCTTCGATGCAAATATATGGTTCTATTTCGAGGGCTGTCAGCAACTCACAGACAAAGTAATATTGTGAGTAGATCAAACAATAGATGCAAAAGACTAGCCAATTTGGAACTCACGCTGTATAATAGTAGAAAGACAAAAATGCCACCTGTGAGGCATTTGGCGTACCAGCGGCCATTTGCCCTCTAACTCTGCAGTTTGGGGGTCAGTGGATTCTTGTAAGCATTTGGAAGAATATTTGAAACTCATAACCTACTTATGTTGCAAGGGTAGATTTTCCCTCCAATTCCCAAGCAGCAAGGCTAGCTCTCCTCCTGTTCGTATTTTCTCTTCGATTGCCTCATCTACCGACTGGGGTAGCGATTCTTCTCTATGCCAAGCCTGCGCTGAACGTTCCTGCATTTCATGGAGGACATTGGCTAATCTGAGCAGGGCGTCCTGGAACTCAAACTCGGTTTCCTTCTTCATTCCCGTTGTCTGTTGTTTCTCGCGTCCCTTCGAGAGCTTGTGATCCCAGACCATGGAAGGTCGACCACTCTCAAAGGCGAGAATCTTTTCGAAAACATACATGGTGCGCCATGTCTTGGCGGCAACTCCGTCGCTTGCATTGGACGAGCGCGTCTGCTGGAAGCCACCTTCTTCGACCTGGTTGATTCCCATAGACTTTGCCATTGAAACCCCCATCGTGAGAAGATCCCATGCCCAAGCAACCCTGTCGCAGCAGCGTAGGATTATCGCAAACAAAAGTATTGCTTGAACTGATTCCAAGGCACGGGTCGCAACAAGATGGCCTAATAGCGTGTTGCAATATGTGAGATAGGTTGGGATTTGCTTTTGAGATGTTTCTGACGCGGGCGTGACCAATATCCCACCCGCTACAGTCAAATATATTAACGCCACCCGACAGGGATTTGAGCTTTCAGACACGAGCGAGGAGCCTTCAGATCGAGTCAAATCGCAGTCATAGATATCTTCCACAGTACTGCGATCAACGAATGAAAACAAACAGTGAATGGTAGCAAAATAAGAGTCGATAAAGCCCCGAGTCTGCGTCGGGGAAGGGAGATTGGGAGCACAGCGAGGTAAAGAGTTCGAGAATCGGTCATCGATGACGGGAGCAATAGAATAGTTTCGCCTCGCTTTCATCCGATAAAAAGCAAGATTCAGCCATTCATTTGTCAACTCAAGCATACTGCCCCCGGATAAGCGGGGCATCATCGGCAAGCGGCCCGTCCTCCAGCGCTCCCGACCCCAGCATTGAGACCACAGCCGTGGGCGATCTTGCGCAGATAGAACAGATGGAATGTGGTCATTTGATGGACTTGAAAAACTTGGTGTGGTGGGTGGCTGAGATGAAACCGAGGCACCAGTGCGTCGCCGTCGGGCGACGGGCGCGCCATCTCGACGCTTATCGGTTGTTATGCACTCCACTCCGGCTTGCTCACATGGGCGACAGGGCTGCTGTTCATCACAACGAGTCTTCTTCTGTCGACAATTGTTACATGCATGAGACAGGCGCTTCCTTTTGGAGCTCGCGGGCTCGATTGACGTATTCATGGAAAATGTGTGGGGTCGCAGGTGCTTGGGAGTCGGGAAAGGTTGGTGTCCACAGTCTACGGGTGGTCCCGATACGCTTGACTGCAACGCTTTTTGGCCTCGGTCAACCAACGACCCGGACCTGGGCGCTTTCAGAATTGGACTCTGGCGTGGCCTTTCTCTCATGGCTGACCTCCATTTTCGCCCGTCGCTCTATTTGACCTGGCAGACTCCAGACGCTGTGGAGTAAACCTGTGCTTTGGTTAACTAAGAACTGCAAAACAAAAAGAGCTTGGTGGAGAAATAAAGTAGTGAAGAAAGACGGGAGAAGGCCTCCACAACCCCGTTGCGAGCCTGAGATATGGGGCAACTAACACCCCGTGGACGGAGTACCAGCCCCTCCTCATGCAGCTCCGCACCCCAGCATATCCATAAACCCCACAACACTTTACACTCCAGGACTTCATAAATGAGATGGGGTGTAGAGGGCTCTGGAACTTACACATCAATGGTTGGTGATGATCCGTACTATATGACTTGCAAACACTAACATGCTCTCTTAGAGAAATGGTACCGCTTCTATCACCCTCGAGGGCGGATAAGTCCGCCTGACGATGAGTCAACGCTGCGAACAATCAAACATCTATGCGACAAGCCCGACAATCTTGAAGGATGGGAGCCCGTTCCGTTCTCTAGCCCAATTCACTCGAATCTAGATTACATATACACCGTCAATACGATCTCATTATGGAGTGAGCTTGACGGTTTATTGGCACCTTCGGCAGTACAGATGGATCTCACCAAGATCCATGAGATATCTAGCATAAATTATCATTTGATGCGAAAACCTCCATACATGTCGGGCGGATATATCTGTGAGAGCGACAAGGCACAGACAAAGCAATTCGAGACGTTTGAAATCGACTTTGGCATCCCTACACCCATGAACGAGCTACAGGAGCGATTCTTTATTGACCTCGTTTTTATCTCGCGCTTTTATATCGATGACCCTTCGACATGGAGATACAATTCTCCTATATTCAGGGTATTATGTGTCGCTTTCCTGCGTCTTGCAGCCTGGGATTTTGAGGTGTCTTTCGATTGCAACGTTGAGCTTCCGATCTCTTTCGCGTCCATTCCCCTTTGGAAGTACCCCGACACGGACGTCTATTGGTTTCATGGATATCTTGTTGTTTTACAGGATGAAATTGAATCTATGGCCATGATAAACAGAGCGGTCTCAAAAGCCAAGTCATATATTGGCGACTCTCGGCTCAGACATGACGACGTTCGCTTAATTGTCATTTCACCACGTCATCTCGTTTTCGTGAAGCTTTCTCTCGAGGTCGTTCTGGCCTCTAGGAGCCTAGTATTGCTTTCCAACTATTCAGCAACCCAATGTTCACCTGGGTTCCGCGCTCTGGCTCGGATTCTAACATCAAACTGTTGGAAGAAGCCTCACGCCCATAGGGAGAAGTGGCCTGTGAACATGCCGCCTGAGATTGTTCAGATGATTCTTCGTAAAGCGGATCCACGAGATGCCGTAGCATTTTCGCAGGCATCCTTCGCTGCTGAGCAATGCTACTATGCTTCAGAATCCCAGTTCAAGAACATTGACTTGCGAAGTTTGAAGTCCTCTATACCTTGCTGCGGCAAACGAACTAGACTGGAGACGCACGGTATTTGTTGTTCTCAATGCCATGCTTGGCAACACTTGGAATGTGTCGGTCTGGAAAATTATTCCTCAGACTACCATTACATTTGTATAAGCTGCCAGGAAAGAGCCTGTATGGTACTTGATCCTGGCGGAATAAATTGGGTCAGCCGTCGGAAAGTTAGGGAAGGATGTCAGGTTAGAGCCAAAGGCCTTGTTAAATCACTTCAATTGCGACTCTCTCCACCTTCCCATTTACGACCAGAGCTAAAGTTTCTGGGAAATCTTGTTTCAGTTGCGCCTTCACTCATACAGTACAGAATACTTTTCAACCACTCCTTCTCTGGACTGGCTTATGGCTTGGAAGACAGTTCGTAACTCGCGGTCGTTAATAACTCAATTGCATTAAATGGGCCGGAAATCCTGTATCCTTTTCAGAAGAACAAATGCGGATGCATGACGAATTTCTGGGCTCAAGTCAGATACCTCCGTGCTGGGTGACACCATTAGAATCTACCAGTACTGATTTACCTAAAATTGGTTCGTCGCCGGCATCAAAGCCACAGCAACAAAACGAACCCCTTTCACCCGGTGAAGAGAAATCTCCAGAGTAGGATGAACGAATCATTATGAATAATTCCAGAACTGTTCAGGACTAGTGCTGAATCATTGGACAATCATGGCAAATTTATCCAGAGTCTCGACCAATAAAGTACACAAAAAAGCGCCGAGTTGCCAGATCATTCTCCTGCAGGTGAGATTTCGATAGATCTCAATATTTTGTGATTGTAAAAAGAGCAAACTGTTAGCGTCCTCATCTGTATAAATTAAGATATGTGTCTAGGTGAGACCATTCTCACCCATGCTCAACTCAGTGCTTCCAAAATGAATCAACCTACCCAACCCACGGCATCTGGGGCCGCTGGTGCGGCTATCTACAGTCCATTCACTCTGTCCTTATATGACCTCTTAGTATTAGGTCTGTCAAACTTCTTCATCTGGAAATGTCCCACACGAAGCGTGCAGCTCCCATTCTTCAAAAGCTTCATTGGCAAACACCACCTCGACATTGGCCCCGGAACAGGCTATTACCTCGCCAATGCCAACATTCCAAAAGATAAACAAGTGACGTTGATGGCTCTAAACTCACATTCTCTGAATTATTCAAAGAAACGGCTGGGAAGGCCCGATGTTCAGACAGTTCAAGCGGACATCATGGAGCCGATCCGACCAGCCCATCTCTATGATTCTATCTCAATTTTCTTCGTCCTTCATTGCCTACCGGGTCCTGTGGATTCCAAGACACAATTGTTTGCAAGGATAAAGCCGCTTTTGGTTGAGAACGGAACAATCTACGGGACAACAATTCTCGGAAAGGGGATTGTGCACAACTGGCTTGGCCGGTTGTTGATGAGTATCTATAACGGTCGGGGAATTTTCAATAACTGGGGGGATGGGGAATTTGAGATTCGCGAGGCGCTTATCAAACATTATGAGATTGTGGAGACGAGAGTCGTCGGACGTGTGTTGATGTTCTCAGCTTCGCAACCCAAGCTTTGATGTTGTGGTGCGAGTGCTCTGTGTTTCTTCTAAGATCAAGCAGTATTAGACACGAATGAGATCCAAGAGAGGATGTCTCATTTTCCACTGTTCAAGAGCACCAGTTTGAGAGAAAAAATTAACGAGTACGCGAGAAAACCGAGATACCTACACTTGCGGGGGTGGATCCTGGAGAAGCCGCATGCTTCACTAGTACGCAAGCCTGGTTGCTGTGTACCCCTTCGGATATCAAACTGGATTAAGATGTTGAACCAAACTAGATTCAAGATGACCTCGCACATCAAAAACGTCTTGCTTGCTGGTCCCATGATCACTTAGACAACTACCAACTTGCATGAGCCTATCTCGGATCATATCGTTCTCTGTGGTCTTCTCGGATGCTTTCAATAAATCCGTTATGATATGCTTAAGTATATCCTACGCATGCTCACTTCCGAGGACAGGACTTGACCGAAACATTCTGCATTTACCCGCTGTTACTTCGGAGTAATTATCTCACAGTTCTAACGGGGCCCCTCAACTTGTGAATTTTTAACTTACATTGCGACTTGGTCACGGCCAGAACCCTGAAACGGCCCTGACACCGGTGGAGATGATAATGAGCGGGGCAACGGGCAGAAGACCGTATCCATTTGATTCCCAGCCTCCCCAGCTACGGTACAGAAAATTTAAGTGCCGCAGATCCACTAAGAGGCGAAATTCGTGTATGCCTGAACGCTTATTCCGAAGGTTGGTCTAAATTTGCAGATTGACTTTCGCATTCTCGTAACTTTATCCGTAATAGGCTTAGGGGCTGTGCGCTAGTCCCGAATCGGTTAGGATTACGAATGTGGATCTATACGAACTTCGTTCTTTTGATAGATAGTGCTAAATCTGCATCGCTGGACTGAAAGATTTTGAGCGATAGGGGGTATTTAAGGGTGCTGGATTCCAGTTAGTTAGCTTCTCAGTTCATTAAGTCCAAATATTTCGACCTTGCCTGAACAACCTCATCGTCAATCAAAATGTCTTCTTCACACGGAAACTGGACCGCCTACACGTACTACCCCTCTATGGGCGCAGCAGTAGTATTCATCATCCTATTCGCTGTCGTGACACTTCTTCATACATTTCACCTTTTCCGCACGAGAACATGGTTCTTCATCCCTCTTGTCATTGGCGGCTACTGTACGTTCCTTCCCGAGGATTTCGTCCCTTTACCTCAAACTATCTATTTCCAAGATACTAACCAGAAATGCAGTTGAGCTCGTTGGATACATTGGCCGCGCAATGTCTTCACAACAGTCACCCAACTGGACTCTCGGACCCTACGTCATGCAAAGCACACTCCTCCTCATCGCCCCAGCTCTCTTCGCAGCAAGCATTTACATGGAACTTGGTCGTATCATCCTGATGATCAAGGGCGAACAACTCGCACTTGTGCGCGTTAGCTGGATGACCAAGATCTTCGTCGCGGGTGATGTTCTCAGCTTCCTGATGCAGGCATCTGGCGCTGGAATCATGGTTACCGGCTCCAGTTCGTCTTCGAGTACGGGCCAGAACGTGATTATCGGCGGTCTCATTGTGCAGATCGTGTTTTTCGGATTCTTCCTTATCAGTGCGGTGGTCTTCTCGCGTCGGGTCGCGGGGCATTCTACTGCTGCTGCTGTTGCAAGCCAGTACCCGTGGCAGAAGCACATGTGGGCTCTCCACTCATCCAGTGTTCTTGTTTTGATCCGGTCTGTTGTTCGTGTTGTTGAGTATGTTCAGGGTGAATCGGGGTACGTGATGGAGCATGAGGTGTTCATTTATGTGTTCGATGGTCTCTTGATGTTTGCGCTCATGGTTATCTTCCTTGTCATCCACCCGAGTGAGGTGAACTATCTTCTTGGTCGTGGACACAAGGTGACAGCCATGGGAGGTTTGAAGGTGAAGGAAGGTTCGATGGTCTGAAGAATTCCAGGGCTGGTGTTTCAATGAGTTTTGTATTTTGTTTTGTGCTTTGATTATTTTTTTATAGACAGTTCGCTTCAGGGTATATGAATATATGACAACAATTCAAGTGACAATCTCTCGGTAATTCGAACCGAGAAGCTCGGTCATGGGCCAGTGAATCAAGGGTCTCCATTGATCATCTAAGATCTGCCAGGCGACCTTGGCCACACGCAAACACCATTCGTCGAAACACCAGCGATGTTGAAGAGACCGCAAAAGCACGCCATAATGAGTCAGCATGACGAGTGCCAATGGATCCCTCTCTCGCAACAGCTCCATGTATCGACTGGGCAACTTAATTGCCCATCGCCCTGCGATCGTATTCGCGCGCATCCCGCCGTAGACCCAAGTCAACATCTCCTCCATATTTTCAATCACTTTTGAATAAACATCCAGTTCGTGATTTGGATCCTCGCCGCAATTTTCATTCGCCGCGCGCAGCTGTCGTAAAGCCACAACCGCTTCATCAGGAAGAATGCCCACAATCTCCTCCACTTGTAGGATAGGCCCGAAGGAACTATTCCATAAAAATGTTCGAAAATCTCTCGGTGCGTAGATTACTTGCTGAACACCGCGCGTCAGCACGAGGACCTGGTACAGGTCATCGACACAGGCCCATGGATCCTGCACATCAGGCGTGTTGGGAAAGCCGAATGTGTAAATCACCACGATGCCCGCAAATGCAAACATCGCTTTAGCATTAGTTTCATTCACATCGCCGAGCAAGCCTCGAAACAGCGCCAGCGCTTGATTCTGATGCGCGACGGCGCGGTTGAGATACGAGGCGCGCCGTGAAGGCTCCGGGCCCGTGCGCGCCAGGTGCAGAGAAGAAAGTGCCAGAATGCCATGCATCAAAAATGGATGAGAGAGAGCTTCTTCCGGGACGATATTGCGCCAGATTGGATCTGTGTGTTGGTTTCGTGAGAGCGTGTGATATGTAGCGTTGCACCACTGCATCATGAGTTCCAGATCGTGGACATTAAGCGAGGGTACATTTTCGCTGTTAGCGAGGCTGGAGTTGGGGGTCGCGCTTGATGAGCGGGCGAAGTCGAGACTGAGACTGCCTTCTGGGTCTTCATTTGTCCAGAGCAACGAGGCTGATGAACCATACTCGCATTCTGAATGGCGTTTTTCGCAATTGGAGCATGATGGGCGGGCTTCGTCGCACTGTGGGATGTGAGACGGGATATTCGGTGTTTGGATGGTGCGCGTACCTTCACTCGTCGTCTCTTGCATTCCACGCAGCCGTGGCGAGATTTCCGATGTGGTCGACGGAGCGCCATGTCATAACAAATCCATGATCAAGTCTTGGAAGTTTTCTAAAAGGGAAATTTTGTCTTCAGGCAACAGGATTTGATATAGAAAAGAGGATTAGGTAACCCACAGAAAAGGGCCCGCGGACCCCGAGGTCAAAACCCTGTCGATCAAACATTAAAAAAGGCTTGTCTAATCTGAAACATTGTCTCTCCTGCACTGCCTCAAGGGCCTTGGTACTTTTAGTTTACATCGATCTGATTCGATCGATTCATCGGATCGAAAATCGCTTAAAGACATTAAGATATGCCCACCCACAGTCTTAAAATTCATGCTTAACGTAATTTGGCTATTCCTACCGGCCACGCCGTTGGACCCGGACAAAGAACTCTGCGAGCCCCAAATCCTGACTCATGAACCTCGAGTCACAAATTACCAAAACACCTTCTGGGGTTCTCTCGGCTCTTAAAATCGTAAATTCGCTGGAAACGAACAATAAATGTGTCAAAATGTTGTACAAAGCGCCATGAAACTCCCAGGTCTTGGCTTAACAACCCCCTCCCCCGCCGGCAGCAGCCCCGGCTCCCCCCACCAGCGCTTGCAGCCGCGCTGGTCCTTGCTCTCCTGGCCCGCTCAACCACCGTGAGTCCCGACATGAGCGCCATCAGATTAAAGCGTTGACCGAGGCCCCAATAAACGTCCAAGGAACCCGTCGTTTTAGAAAACGCACTCCCGGACGAAAAGACCGCGACGACATTATTGCTCCCCTCCTCGACCAGTTTATAGTTTTCATAGCCACTGCCAAGCGAGTGAGTTCGTTTCCAAGTGAAGGTTTGCTTGCTGCCATCCTCTAGGCGCATGCGGAACCAGAATTGGCGTTTCGTAAAACCCTGCTTGTGCAGATACTCCCACTCCATGCGACCTGGCAAAGATGGGCTGCCAAGGCCGATCTCTGAGTCCGAGGAGAAATGTCGGAACTTGCAGACCCCCGCAATAGGCCCGTTGCTGTCGGTGCTCGCGTGAAAAGTAAGGTCCGGTTTACCGGGCGTCATGCTGGAATTGGCAACATGAAACAGGTGGGTTTTGTTCGGTGTGCTGACCTCGTAATGGTGACGCCAGAAGCTGTGGGTGATGATGTATTTGGAAGTGGGATTCATGGTGGTTTTAGATTGGGTCTGAAAATGATCGTGGGATGGTAAATGATCATTGAATTTATGACTTTGGATGAATTCTTTCCCTCCCCCTGGTAGGGACAGGGTGTTATATATTGATCTTATTTTGTTCAAGTCGGATCTGCCCCGAACCCTCAGCCCTGCTACTCCATAAGATTCAGGAGGTTGAACAAGGCTGAGGGCGTTCGGGGCAATCAGATTGAAGGGAACTGGCCCCCAAACATCCACGGAGTCCCTGGATATTCAGGCAGTGCAGGGCAACGGGCCAATCAGACTGCGGCCCCCAAATTGAAAGTAGAAACACGTCGCGCCCACGTGAACTGAGCCTCAGGGTTCTCGTGCAGATCTCTAATTTGAGTCTAATTCGGGAAGTTGGTGTGAACCCGGGACGTCATATCTACCACGTTTGCTGGCCTCGTGGCTGTGTTGGGCTGTGAGAACACGAGTTTGTTTGCTATATCCAATGATGGATGGCACACGGAATGCGAAGATAACTGTAAGTCGGATGTCATATGAGAGTCATCGACAGGTTTCCTACATAGCCAAGCAAGTGAGCAGTCGAATATCATTATCCTGGTATGATGTGTTGACAGAGCTGGCGAGAATTAAATAATTTTTTTTTTTTTTTCTTTGACCGAGGCCGTTTCAAGGTCGAAAGAAATGAACAAGGCGTGAATCATTCACTCAAAGTGCGATGTTCTCGGTCCTTCCAGAGTTAGAGCACCTTCAGTCATTACATCACAAAACCGAGTCGAAACGAAGAAAAATATGTATCTTACATGCTAACAAACTCTCAGATGTTGATTTTGTGAGTGTATAGTAGCACGTGACTCGGTCACATGATTTTGGCCTGGGTGCCTGAGAACTTTCGCCGTCGCGTCGAAGATGTCAAGACCAACCAAAAAAAAAACAACCTCAGATCTCAGGGAGGTCAAGCGCTCCGTTGGTCTCCGCACTGCTCTTTCTTTTACTCCCACGTGAGATATTCAACCTTGATCAGCTTCATCAGGGAGTAGCTAGCTCTCTCTTCCATCTCGCAAAGCTGTTGCGGCCCAAAACCTACATCTTTGGATGCCTTTGACCTGTCTCTGTCCACCGTGATCACCCCCGACCATGTCTTTTCAAGTCCCTTACGAGTCCAGTCCACCTGAGACACCCGAGAGAGATCGCTCTCGCAGCCTCTGGAGCAATATCTCAACAACTCCTGCCGGTCCGCCGCCTTCAACAACAACAGGTTCATTTGCGCAACCGACAACTCATATCAATGGTGGCTCACGCATCAACTCATTCACGCACAATGAGGGCAGCTTTGCTACTAACCAGACCTCTTTCGCCAACAACACACTCTCCAACTCCTTCTTCACCCAATCTGGAAACATCAACACAAATGACAGCATTTTCGGTTCCTCCTTCGGCTCGACTGATTATGCCCCGCCAAAACAAACAAAAGCCCCCTCTTCGCAGCCGCTCGGAAAGTCAAGCTTGCGCTTCGGAATGACTAATGGAAGCACATTCGGCGAATCACTAGGATTCGGCGACTCAAACGGATTTGCTTCCTCGAAAATGACCGATTACCATGAAGAAGATGAGATTGATCAGGAACACCATCTCCCCGAGGAGGAGTTTGAAGAAGAGGAAGAAATGGAAGAGGATCAGGAGGAAGCAGCTGACCCAATGGATGAGAGTATCCAGGATCCGTCGAAGAAATTCAACTTCTTAGATTCGGCTTTCGGAAACCCTTTCCAGTCTGAACCATCGCTTGGAGCTCAGCGCAAACCCATATACTCCAACCCTAGCGACGCCAAGCGACCGAAACTCGATGAAAATTGGACCAAGCAATCACCAATCCGCAAGAACCTCAACCCGAAGAAATCGTCCGCCTTGCCTTCCATTCTACACAACATCGCTTCTCGTTCGATGATTCCCCCCATTCACGAAAACAACGACTTCATTCTGAACACCGAAGAAGTCATTGGCAAGCTTTGCGATCAGCTGAAGGCGGCAGAGTTCACCCACGTTGACTACGATGCGGTCCTCGCCAACGTTTCGAAGGAATTGGTGGAGACTTGGCGAGTTTCCACCGGCGACAAGTTGACGGATCGTTCATATGGCGCCCATGGGGGTATTGGACCCGGGGAGCAGGCTCCCGGTCTTGCGAAGGCAATCTTTTTGGCTTCCTTACTCCTTGAAATCCACCATCCTCCCCGCGAAATCCCCTCGGTTGCTGGTGTCAACCCTATGCGCACAGCTGGGCTCATCAAAGCTGTCGGGCGACCGGCCGTCCCCAAGGCGCTTCCCCGTGTGCTGCTAGAATGGCTTAGTGGCAACCACGCGTCACAAACGAAGGATCTACAGGCATTGAAGTACGTGGAGCCAAATCCTACAGCATCCACCAACTTCTGGGATATTATCATCTCATCTGTGCTGCGCGGCCGGTTGAGCGATGCAGCAGAGGTTCTCCGCTCGGCGGATTTCAACTACGCCCGATCCGCCCTCGAAGACGGACTTCCCCAGCCAGGTTACCGTGGCGCGCAACTACAGAACATTCAGCGCTGTGTAAACAAGGCTCTTCAGATCCTAGAGTCGTCCCCCTCCACTCAAAACGCCGACTGGGATGTTACGGGGCACGAGTGGTCTCAATACCGCAAGCGCGTTCTTTCCGCTGTCACCGATCTCGAGACCTTCGCTGAAGGCGAGGAGCGCGACGAATCCAACGTTCCCGTTCAGGAACCTCGCTTCCAGGCCGTCAACTTCGGAATGTCTACATTCGCCAACTTCAACCAAAAAACGACATCCTTCGCCCAGTCCGCTCGCATGGCCGAAAGCCGTGTCCCGTGGTCAATCTACCAGAGTCTGAGATCTATCTATCGGATTATCCTAGGCGACCCCTCGGCAATCAAGAGCAAATCTCAGGACTGGGTGGAGGCCACGGTCACCTTGACAGCTTGGTGGGATGGTGAAGATGACGCCGAAGGGTTGGACTTTGGAGACAACGAAGGCGATCAATTCCAAGACTTCTTGCGCTCGCGTGGGCCTAAGAATCACGTTCGCGCCGTCGACCGCAACATGCGCGATGCTTACCGCAACCGCCTAGCACAGGCTCTCAGCCACACTACCACAGACGCTTCCGATAGTGCAGACTTCCGACCCAACACCATGAACAGCGTCGAAGTGGGTCTCGCCTCTGTCTTTGAAGGGAATGTGCAAGGTGTGCTGGAACTGGTGCAGACCTGGTCCCTGTGCGTGGCAGCTGCCACCGCAGAAATTGCTAGTCAGGGTGGATGGTTTGAATCTGGCAGCAGTCAGAAATCTATGCCTGGACTCTCGGAGACCGATCTGATGGTGCTCTCCTACGGTCAAGTGCCGAAGTCTTCCACAAAACTGCGGAAGGACGATGTTCTCCGCAAATATGCGTTTGCGCTTTACGACCGGCCCGTGATCGCGGACCAGAACGGTTCACGTGAGGGTTGGGAGCTGTCTCTCGAAGTGTTGAACCGTTTCGACGATGGCCGCGAGATGAAGAAGGCTGTGTCTGAAATTGTTGATAAGCTTCCATTGGAAACCCCGGACCAATTAGATAGATTGGTTGTTCTCTGCTCGGAGCTTGAGTTGGATGACCAAGGACGCAGAGTATCTGAGGTAAGTGACACAACGCAATTGAGGCTTGACCCAAACACTAACTTGACCAGCGATTCGGCGACATGTTGACCTCGAAAGCTGAGAATTTCGGCCTCGCTCTGGTGTGCTACGCGCGTGCCCAGAGTCGGCGCAAGGTGAAGTCGGTTGTCGACCTTTTAATCTCCTACAGCTTGGTGCAATCCCGCGCATACCCCGCGACAGCCGAGCTTGACGAGCAGCTGCGTTCCCTCATGAAGGAACCCAAGGCATGCCTGTCCTCTATCGCTCAAATTGATGAGGAAGCTGCCCGGATTCTCCAGTTCTATCTCAGTGGCTACGCTACTCTACGCCGTTTCTACGAAATTCGGGACGAGGAAATTGAATTGAGCGAAGGACAAAAACCACGGTACAAGCCATTGGCCCGTCGCCGTGCTGCAGCCCAGGCTCTCACAGCTGTCATCGGCAGTGCCGCGGATAACATCTATGGAGGCCTGTACGACCCGGACCGCGACTCGGCCGTCCAAGTTGATGGCCTGCTCGCACTGCTGGGTGAAGCACTGGCATTTGTGCAACGTAAGTCCCCAAATCTCTTTTCCCGATCAACAGATGGACTAACAAAATCAGAACCAACCGCTATCCTTACCGTCTCACAACAATTCACCATCCTCTCCGCGATCGAAGACCTGGAGACTGTGACTCCTCGCGTCTACGCCCAATGCGAGGAATGCTTCCACTCCACCCTCCTCGAATACCAGTCTTCCACCCGCGGAGAAGCAACCGATCGCCCCTCCCCCCCGATCCCTGCTCAAGAAATCCGTCAACTTCAACACATCCAGCTTCTCCGTCATCGGGAATGACATGCTGGAATCCCGCACCCGCTCCGGCTCCGGTGCAGGATCCGTTGGCAGCTCCGCGGTTCTCATTGGCGCTGACGCCGCTCGAGGCTGGGACTGGCGTGCAGGATTACCGGAGTCCGGCAAAGGCGAAGATATCCTCCGCATGTTAAGACTCGGCCTGGCTCGTGGATTGAGCCACGGTGCCCTTGGCGCTGTTTAGGGCCTGGGATATACAGCAAAGTCACGGAGTTGGGTATCATTTCTCGGTGGTTGCAGGCTGGTTTATTTCTGTGTACCTTGTACGATAGCAATCATTAATTTAGAGTCAAGACCTGTATGGAGTATGCGTGCACTCCCACCCTTGGAACTTCGGAAATGGTAATCGACCTAAGTGGGCCTGACGCCTCAGCCCTACGAGATAGTCCCCAGTACTCCGTCGCAGCCCACGGTTGGAGCCAACCAAACCGGTTCTGGATAATCACGGTTGACCTCTTAGCGTCATCTAAATGCGGGAGCCTAATCCACGCACAAATCGAGTCACCGCACATCAAGAGTGTCCCAGGAATTTCCCCGCGAGAAGCGGTTTAATAAAGAATTTACATGTATATCAAGGATCCTGAAGAGACAGATGTGTATAGTGTAATTTTGATGAGGCTCAAGAAACCCAAAGAGGCTGAGCAGCAAGAGTACGGGAGTAGTCATGTCGATCAACAGGACACAAGCTAAAAAAAACCATACTAGAGAGAGACTAACAACGCCCGATGTGGACTCAGCCTTGGCTCACACCGACTCACCACACCAAAAGTGCCCGCCGCGGGGTGCTTCTTCAGTATGTCTTCACCGTCTTCACCATCTTGACCGTTGTGACTCGTTGACGAACTATGCCGAGCTCTCAGTAGTTGGTGCTTATTACTCGAATTAGCAATTATGAGGCTCCTTTCGCACACAGCCAGCTGAATCACCAGCTCTTCCCCCTCTTCTTCCCCACCTGGGCACTGGAGGGGTAAACGGCTCTGGATGGCAGCAGAGGCCCCTGTCCAGCAGGTTCTCATTGGGCGCGCCCCATCGGCTACTCCGTTCCGTTTCTTCCTGGGGCCACGATTTTCTCATAGGGCTGAACAGATAGTAGATCATTTTCGGTTTCGTATATGTTCTGTTTTAAAATCATATTTCCGACATGCTCCCTCTCTCTTTTTTTGATCTACACGGTTCTCAATCCTTTTTCTACTTTCCTTTCCGTCTTTCCCTCTTTGATTCTCCCCGGGCTGGCTCGCTTCACTATAATCTCCTACTATTCAACTCGACTCCCGGAAACTTATTCCCCGACATCCTCTCTACTCAACCTTTCAAAATGTGCTATAAAGTCGTCGAGCGCTACTCCGTCTGCAAATGTCTTTACTTCGAGCACTCCATCGACCCCTGTCAAGCATATGGTCAACGAGGCCACACCGTCCAGGAAAAGACCGTTCTCGTCGGCTATGCCTGTGACCGACACTCGCGTGTATCTGCTGTGCCCCGCTGGTCGGACTCTGGGTATTCGCGCGAGAAGGGCTCGTGTCGGTGATTTTCTTCTTATTCTCTGCGAGTGGCTGGGCCACTGGTGGAGGTCTGGCTGATTGTGGAATTCTCTCGACATTGCGTCCCACGACACTGGTTGTCGTTGGCATTGCGGTGCTTTGAGAGATCTGTACGGCTGCGATTTGTCATTTGGATCGCGGGTTGCTCCTGGTGAGCGGCTGTTGGGGTCTTGGTTGACTCGTGCTATTTGACCGGGTGTTGGATGTGCCCAGGTGGTCATGAGGGTGCTGGGTTGAGCGAAGGGTGGATATTTGCGAATGAGTGAATGATGGAAGTGGATTGGCAATGATTGATGGAAACATGGTGCATGAAGGGCGTTTTCTTTTGTGAGCATTGCTTTGGGCTTTGTATTTTGTAGGTGGACATTGGTTCGGGACTGGTTCCTTGATAGTGGTATGTAATCTATTCCCGATATTTTTATCATTGATAGGACTTTCGTGAGAGAAGCAATGAGCGTAAGAATTCTGGTTGTCAATAATGTAGACCGGTTCTGGGAAAGGGCTTGCAGTAGAGTCAACTCACTGTTGCTCTATCGGTCATCTACGGAGTACGCAGGCAAGTGCCCAGGCTCAAGCTTTGACTGGAGAGCTCCTTTTATTTTCATGGCCTCACGTTGACCAATGTGTTTCTTGTTTCCCTATGTTAACATGCTGCCCAGGTGCTTCGGTTGTTTCTGGTGTGGGCCACGGTAAATGCATGAGACCCGAGGCCTAATTTGGTGATAACTACGGAGTAAAACGGTATGTTCAGACTCATATGGTGGAAGCTGTTTTCGTCGAGAAATCATACTGGATGGTCGAACATGACACGCCTATCAGAAATCAGCATGGGAAGTAATCAAGATTCATCGGGTTGGCTCACGCAATGCACCACATCGATAGCAATCGCCTGGCACTGCTCCTATCGATCAGAGATACCCGGATCGTCCAGAATTAATCCTGCAAATGCACGGCGATCATATCTGGGCACGATGTGATAGTTCAGAAAATGGCGGGGCTCACCTGAGACTGCTTAGACCTTCGTGATTCTCGTATTCGACTGATTTTCGCCTGGATGCATAAGTATAATTTTGCAATGTGCATTTCTGTGTAACAAGGTAGAGAACATTCAACGCGTCCCATCTCCCCTTTGATTAACGCACCCTCGTCAACATTCTTTCCAAATGACGAGCGGGTTCAAAGTGATCATCGTGGGCGGGGGTCCAATAGGGCTCATCGCTGCCCATGCTCTCCATCGCGCTGGGATCGATTTCGTTCTTTTAGAGAGTCGACATTCAATCGTTGAAGATTCAGGGGCTAGCATCGTGCTGTACCCACAGACATTCAGGGTGATTCACCAACTTGACATTTTAGAGACTCTGCTTCCGTGGGGCACTGAGCTCAACCATCATTTGTCTTTTACCAAAGATGGAAAAGTCCTGAACGAAAGTCCAAGGCACAAGAAACTCAAGGAGAGGTGGGAAGTTGAAGCCGAAGTTTATCAATTTTGTCTGACAAAATCAGCCACGGTCACGGATCCGTTGTTTTTCACCGCGCCGAGCTCCTCCGAATCATATACGATTGCCTACCCAAAACTGCGAAGCCAAAGGTTATCACAGGAAAAAAGCTATCGGCCATAGAGGACCACGGTGATAGTGCCACAGTCTCCTGTGTCGACGGTAGTATCTATCGGGGATCTATGGTCATAGGTGCAGATGGCGTCCACAGCAAAACCCGCCAACTGATGCGCGAAATCGCTCTTCGAACGAACCCGCTTAGGGACTGGGATTCGGAAACGCCTTATACCTCATCATTCCGGCTGCTCTATGGCGCATTTCCAGCAATCTCTACTCCTGGACAAGGGTACGATGTTCAGTCCTCGGGGAAGTCTGCGGTGTACCTCAGCGGCAAGCATCGTGGGTGGTTCTTTTTATACGACAAGCTGCCAAAACCGACCACAGAGCATACTCGGTACAACGAGAAAGACATTGAGAGGCTGGCAGGAGAATTTGCCGATTTTCCACTTACCAGAACCTTGAAAGTCGAGGACGTGTGGCCGAACATGTCTACATTCGGTCTTACCGATCTACAAGAGGGAATAGTCAAGCATTGGAGCCTAGGGAGGATTGTGCTTGTAGGAGATTCTTGCCATAAGTTCACGACGCACCTAGGGCTCGGATTCAATAATGGCGTCCAGGACGTCGTGATACTGTGCAATCTTCTCAGAGCCAGCATTCGGGCAACCGCCGATGAATCTCCAGCTTCTGAGACTCTGACGAAAGTTTTCAAGACATATGAAACTATTCGCAAGAGCCCGGAGTGTTCGCTGGTAGCCGATTTTGCTAACTCGGGATTGGAAACGCGTCTACATACCTGGGCCAACCCGATTTACTGGCTTTTCTCTCGGTACATTTCCATCCTCCCTTGGTTTGAGAGTTTGTTTCTTCGCTTTCGTTTATTTCCTGAGTTCCAGAAAGCTCGAATTTTGGACTACGTACCTTCCTCGGAGGTGATGAATGGCAAGCTGCCCTGGCTGTATCCAATGAAGAAGTCAGGTCCAGTTATTTGAGAGCTTGGAAACATTAGAAGTCTTGAGATTATATAATATGTTGTCCTAGATTACAATAACAAGCCTCAGTGCCGCGGTCACGCGCGGCCAAAAAGACGACGATAGTTGCTTACAAACAGGAGTAGTTATGTATTGGCTTGATCTCATATTTCGATTGATAAAGAAAGACAGCTATCATCAAAATGAGGCATAAGAATTGGAACAACCTTTTGATCTGTCACCCCCCTCGTCAGAACTCCCACTGACTCCTATCCAATGTATCCATAACCCGGCCCGGCCTGGGGACGTAGTTTGCCAGGCCGTACATAAGATAAAGCGTGTCAGACCATTTCACTGGGGGTGAGGGAAACGCGGCCATGCTAAAACCGCAGATGTGACTAAAAGGAAACGGATATTAGCACATACCCTTCAGCGTCAATATAGAAATGGAACGATCACTCACATTGACCCAGAGACCTTATCATAGATCAGGTTTGTGGTCGACATGGGGATTGCGGTCACTCCGCAGGGCAAAAACTCTCTTCTCGAAAAGTTAGCTTCAATACCAATGAATGCGGAGTGATGGCTCACTCATTGACTCGGCGAAATTCTCGACGAATATCGTCGCGAGCGCCACGATCCAAGCTCCAGAAGTACTCCTCTGAAAGAGACTCTCCGGGCACCTTGTCCCACACAATACAAACGGAAAAGCCCCCGGGAACGAGTCCGTTGTCGCCTTGTTGTGCCTCTTTGTAGCCCAGGAGCGCAGGAGTGACATTGCATGCCATGGACGCCAGCTTTTGGAATGCCTTGAGTTCGTTGGGCATGTATTTTGGAACAGCTTGAAGTGCTCTAGCCTCGGGCTTGCAGTACTCTGTATCGATAATCGGGACTTGGTGATAGATTCTCATGAAGGCGGGCTTTTGAGTCACATCGTCTTTTCGATAGCAGAGGAATTTGGCTAAAGTTGAACTAGGGCCAAGTCGCGCAACCTCCTCTTGGTGGGCCTGAACAGCAGTCTCCCCAAGATGCTGAGTGATGACCCATGTTTGCGCAGGCAACGAGAGGCGAGAATCGGTATCCGTTGTAATCTGACCACCTTCTAGGCTAATCAGGAACGGGGTGGTAACCTGACGCATACTGAGCCGGTAGACTTTTGAAAGACAGAGTGAGATTTTGATGGATGGAGCCGGGAAAGAGACGAAGAGAGGGAGTATGGGAGAAAGAAAAAAAGTGAATGATGAGTGACCACCCACCCGACTGACGTGGAAGCCTTGGGCTTCAGGTTATCTATACGCGCACAATTTTCACTTTGCTCTTGAGCTTTTTTTATTTTTCTTTTCTCCTTCGCCTCTCTCTTTCTCTCTATCAAGACAGCCTTCTTGATCTTTGTGAATATTCGCAGAGATTCCCTGTGAGTTGTGAAGTGATGATGAATTTACGGAGTTTTATTTCAGTTACATGTTTACTGACGTCACTCCGCCGACAGGATTTGCTCTAGAACCATGGGTCGCGTTACTGTTAAGCCTGCAACACGGTCACGGGTTCCTCCATTACGCTTAGGTGACAACCGCACTACCTCCAGCGCACTCCACAGGTTGCAATACAATGGCCCGTTAAAGCCTTGGGAGAACTTCTTGCAGGATGTCCAAGACACAGACGCAGCACAATCATGGAGGAGGACAAGCATCAGGTTACAGCACATTGACTCTGTGCATGAATATTTCGAGGTCGGTGACGAGTCTGGAGTGCAGAGTCGATTTATCCAAAATTGTGGTGAAGAGCTGGGCCGAATATTCGAAGCGCAGGGGATCGACTTGAACTTTTCGGACTTCAGATGCTTAGGTCTTTCCTATACGAAAACACCCGACATTGTTCTAAAGACCAAGCAGGGAAGAGCTAAAAGTCGTTGGCGAAATCAAGGTACCCTGGGTCAATACTCACAAGCCATGCCTTGCATTTGCATATGAGAATGATCATGCGCTTCGACATCTTCTCGCCCAACCAATACAATACCTGCAAGATCTGAAGTGTGCTTATGGGTTTTACACTACTTATGACGAAACTGTTTTCTTCCTGCGTCAAGTCCTGGTGGACGGCGTTTGGGAAATTCAGTATTCTCCGATTGTGCTCGGTGAGGGTTTTTACCAGGAGACAAGTCCGTTCAACGTCTCTGTTAAACAGTGTTTTCTGCACATGGCTACCCTGGCAGGAACTCAAGGCCCACTCACATACGATTCTTTCCGCCCGCAATGGGTCGTTTGTTCTTGAATGGTGGTTATTTCCTGTATTCTAAGTCCATTCGTGAGAGCCTGTATCCTCATTAATGCAAAGACGTACCCTTATTGAAACAAATCTTACGATAGGTAACTTGATTGATTCCAGCATCTGATCTTCTTGCCTTAGCGCGGTTTCCACGCGGTATTCGAGCGTCACCGGGCAAAGGCCAGTGCAGAGTCTTTGGGGTCACGCATTGATGATGATCTTTAAAATATCAATCGATCACGACAACCGTAGACCTGCTAGGTGATTGCTCATTCTCGAACCTTGTTCGGTCCAAGATTCCGCTCATAAGACTGCTCCCTCGATATGGGTAAATCCGCATGCACGCGCCGAGTTTCACTCTGGGTAGTAGGTGCGAATGTTCAGAACGTCGCAACGCTGATTGCTTTCTCAGGTGATAATTTTCAACCCCACGCTTCGTCCATAATCGATTGCGTCCCGAGAGACATCATCACATCCCTTGATTATGAGTGTTTCCATTTTTGCCTCTGTGGGATCTTCTTTCCGCGTGTCTGCAAACATGCGAATAGTGCATCCTGTTATCTTGGTTTGAGATAGATCAAGTGCTTTCAGCTTTGTTAATATAGTCCACAAATGACCGACGTTGATATCATCCATGTCAGCCATGCAAGCAACGCCTAGCTCGGTGATGTTTGCCAGCTCTGGATTTTCGCCGTTTGGATCCCCCAAGAGTTCGAGGAAATCTTTACTTTTGATGTTGTGGCAGAAGCTGACTTGGAGATTTCTGATTGGGGCTTTGGATTCCATGAGGAAGAGGGAGAGCGTTTCCTGGTTGACCCAGGGAGTATCGTTGAACACGACAGTATTGAGCTTTGGAAGACGATTTGCTCCAGGTATCAGGAGATTGCCACCGAATCCTCCCACCACGTTGTCTTCAATTGAGCCTGAATAGAATCTGAGTGTGTGAAGGGTGTCTGGGAGGATTGAATAGAGGTTAGGCTGGATAGCGGCGCCACGTAGGTCTAATACCCGCAGTGGTGGGAGATGTTCGCCTTCTTGGACCGGGTCGAAGCGGTAAGAGCATGATCGAGCCGGCTCCCATATCAATCGCAGTTCCTCCAGTTTTGGAAATGCAGGTTCAGTTGCCTACAATGGATCATTAGTACGTGCCGCAATGTGATATACAGGGGCGCTTACCGATCCAAGACCTGGAACGACATTAGGAAATGCGAGACCTGTCCGATCTTCTTGGGAAGACGCGATTGTAAGGCTCTTCATATTTGGCAGACGCTGTGGCCATGTTGCAGGCCGTGAAGCTCTCGTAGGCGCATCCCAGACATTAAGAAATGCGGCCCGCTCCAGTCGAGGAAGACTAGAAAGGATGCTACCGATGGAGGCATGAGACAGCTTGATTTCTGGTCCACAGGTGATGCTTTTCAGTTGTCGAAACGCCTTGATCTTGGCGTAGAATTCTTTTGGCTGCTCGTGAGCGACCATCAATTCCAGGTGTTCAAGTTTGGGACATCTGCTCAGCATGTCTAGCACTTTCGGCGTTGAAGCCGGAACAAGGTTCTCTATATTTGCATTGGTAAGTTCTACCCGTGACCGATGGATGTAATTTCGGACAGACGTCCAGGGGACACGAGATCTGGCCCCAGATAGATCAATCGACATCCAAAGGCTTGGGAGACCTCCAACAAACTTGCTCCATCCTTTGGAGACACGTAAAATCGCCCTAGGTTTGAATATTAGTTGGAATCTAACTTGGCACTGCAGTGCTACTCACGCGAGTTGCTTGAAGGTCAGAAGTCTTAGAATGAGATGAGCAATTTCCAGCGGTAGAGCTGTAAATGGGTCACGACGATTACCTCCGGCTAGCCTATCACGAAGCTTTTTGAGGAGATTAGAGATGACCTGAGAGTGGATGTCAGTATACAATGGCGGGATGTTAGTTGGGGTAAGAAGCCACATACATCGCGACCTTTGTGTTCAACCGGGAGTTTCTGAAGAGCATATTCATAAATATCCCGAGCTTTTTCGAAACTACCATCAAGGCACAAGACTTTAGCAAGGCGTAGATAACCCTATGCTCTGTTAGAAAATGAGTGTTGAGATTTGCCGAGGGAGAGAGATTGAGATAGCCACTCCGCGTGCAAAATGTTGGAAAGCGTATAGAATCTGATACTTACCCGGTCATCATTTGGTGCAAGTTTAATCATGTTGCGAGCATCAGTGCGAGCCTGAGCGTACTGCTTCAAGCTGCAATAAGTCGCCGCGCGGTTGTCCAAGACCCCGACATCTTCGGAGTTCTCGGCCAATGCCTGATTTGAGTGATTAGATCAACGCGTCATAAAATCAACGAGAGCAGGCATACCTGGGTGAAGGACTCAATGGCACCTTGAAGATTACCCTTTTTATAGGCAACCTGACCAGCCTTTTGATAAGCTGCGGCTTGCTCCGTGTTGACCTTCTTTCTCGAGACTGGTCCGCGTACTAAACGGGGATCTGATCTGGTTGCCATCATGCAGAGCGAATGCTCACGCGGTTGACGAAGACATAGGAATCCGGATAATTCCTGAGACTTGAGACCCTTTCGCTTCTACATGACGCCGCCCTTGAACACGATCTCAGATCATGACATAATCAAAACAGCAGCCTGAGTCAGCTACCCCAATAAACCACAACACGCTAGCCCCATCTCCGCAGTATGTTGAGCATCTGGGCACATCGGTCTTTGTTCTTTCACCCCATTCAATGACTTCATCAAATGTTGCTCATGACGACGGCAGTGAATCACCTGAAAATTTCGAGAAAAATCTGGCAAGACCACTCTCTTATTACACATCATCTGACAAATGCATTGGCATTACTGCTGAAAGAACATATTATCACAGCGACGGACTCTTTATCAAAAGGAGCCTTCGCCCAAGCGAGTACAAAATCGGATACAAAGGGCTTCACATTCCCCGCTTGGGCAAGCAAAGACTCCAGAATAAGGCGGAGTCGCTGCGATTTCTACGCCGAGCAACATACCAGTTCCAGTTGTTTACGGTGCATTTGAAATTGAGGATTCTTTTCTCTTGATAACGGAATTCTTTGACGGTCCAGCCATGTCGGAATTGGACGAGGAGCAAAAGAGAGGTGTCGCAGCTGAACTCGATCGGCATTTAGCGACTCTGCACGAGATCAAGTCTCAAGAAATTGGTGGACAGTCGGGCATTGTCATACCCCCGTATCGGGCTATGCGCCAAACCAGCACTGATATTTGGCCAAAACTGACGAGCGCGAATCCCGAATACGTCTTCTGCCATAATGATCTCTGCCAGTAGAATGTGATTGTGGATCCCCGAAGCCTGAAGATAAAGGCTATCATCGATTGGGAATATGCCGGGTTCTTCCCTGAGTATTTTGAAGCGCATTTCTACGAGCGACTCGGTTCGTCGGTCGCAATCGATGGGAACAAGAAGATGTACCCAAGCTTCTCCAATTTCTCAATGCTAAGGGAGACGAGTGAAACACGACGTATCGGCACTACGAAGTAAGTTCAACTGCTAGCAACCGTTATAACCAGAGCACACCCAATTTGCGCCGAACTATCAAACAAACGACCACTCGACATCTTTCATCTGCCTCGAACAGTAGTTGAGAGTTGTCTTGGGGTCGGGTCATATCATTGGTTGGGCCGCTTCATTTTCGTTTGGCCAGTCCAATACAGCATTTCAGAAAGTTTTAATCCACAGGTCACCCGCAGGCAGATAGGCCTATTATACGTATCAGCGGACGCCCTGTCTGTGTTGTCTGTCCGTACTTGTATTCCGATTGGCTCCTAACTCGCTTTACTTCATTCTCATCTCCTCTCCCAGGGTACCTTCTCCTCTTTGTACTTTTCAACTCACGAGGTGTACTATGATGTTGATGTTCAATAACAATAACAAATACAAACACGACCACTCCCTACGAAGGAAAGTAGACGAGATTTGTAGATATCTCTGTGCAAACAAGGCGAGGGCGGCAGAATTCCCCGCTGTGCACCGCCTTGCGCACTCGGCGCATGCCCCTCCCCGTATTTCCCGTGTTTACTTTCTTCCCCATTTGGTATGCAGAGTCGGTCATCGCAATCCTCCATAGCCGCCATGGAGTCGCAAAACTTGCAGGCTGCGTCGACCTATGTCAACAATATTTTGCTGGCAAGGGGTCTGCTGAAAGGTGGCCGTGCGATCGATTTCGCAGACCCCGAAAACGAAGATGGAGGGACCGATGCAACAATGGCTCGTGTGATCAATCTGGTGAACGATTTGGTTCTGAGACGAGATGTGGGTATTTCTGCGCTGCAATGCGACCGCGACCAATGCTAACAGAATTCAGCGCGAGTCTGAACACCGCGAAAGCTTGTCTACCACCATCCGAACCCTCCAGGCGACCGAGGCGGAGCAGACTAACGAGATTGTAAGTCTTTTCATGCTCCTGAAATTACAGCGCTAATCGCTCATCGCTTGTGCAGGGAAAACTGAAGACGAAAACATCGGAAATGACTCGTTCACTAGCTCTGGCGGAGGCGCAGGAGCGCACCCTCAAATCGAATGTTTCCAGCGCCGAAGCGACCATCCGCGGAATGAAGGAACAAGTCCAGCGCATGAAGAGTACGGTCACGCAAGTGCGCGCGCAATGCGCCAATGATATCCGCAAGCGCGATCTGGAGATGCAAAAGCTCAAATCGCATCTGGCCGATAGACAACGAGGCAAGCGCGAAGGCCTGGGTGTGACGACCATCAACATCAACCCCACAGCTGACCGGTCGCGTCTCGGTGCGAGTGGTGGAGACCGAATCAATGACCCCGGCTATAGCTTGAAGCAGGAGACGACCGACTTTTTGACGGAATTGTGTCAGAATCTTAGTGACGAGAATGATACTTTGATTGAGCTTGCGCGAAACACCGTTCACACTTTGAAGGATTTGCAGGGCTTACCGCAGGCGGAAGCTACACAGGAAGCTGAACCAGCTGGAATGGGTGCAAGCGTGATACAGAAGCCCGCTACTGTCACTTCACTGCCAACCTCCTGTGAGGAACTTTCTGTTCATATGGAGACTGTGCTTGATCACCTACGGACATTGCTTACCAATCCCTCGTTCGTTCCTCTGGAGGAAGTTGAGGTCAGAGATGAGGAAATCAAACGACTGCGAGCAGGCTGGGTGAAGATGGAAAGCCGGTGGACGCAAGCAGTGACTATGATGGGAGGCTGGCAACGCCGCCTTGCAGACGGCGGATCTTCCATCCAAGCGGAAGAGTTAAAACATGGCATGAACCTCGACCTCAGCATCAACTCGGCTGGGGACACGAGTATGCAGAGTGCTGACTCCAACTCTATACCAACAATCCTTGAGGACCAGGATGAAGAGCAAGATTCACATGATCCGGAACCTGATACAGAACAAAAAGCACCAGAGCCCGAAATCTCGAATCCCAGGACTAGGACAAAGATCCGCAAAGTACCCGAACGGCCTGACCGTGTTTTGAGAGAACGCAACGACAACAGCATGGCCAAACGCCCCCGGAAAGTATCGTTCACCCCGGGCCTACAGGGCTCCCCTGCCGTGGAGAACGTGGAAGACGAGACACTGGAGATGAAAGCCCTCAAAACAGAGAATGTGACTCGCAGACCAACGAGGCGAAAGACGAACTCGAAAGAAACCCACCAGGTATGCCTTGACGACCACCCCCAAGGATTCCCGCGGACTAATCTTTCCCAGCTCAACAAGGAATCGCTGAGCGTGCAACAAAAGCTAGCGGCTGTTGAGGATGAAGCTCGAGCAGCTCAAAGTGAGCGAAAAGAGCGCGAATCTCGAAAGAGAAGTCATCCAGACAAGGCATCCAGGCCGCCCAACCGCCGCCGGAGCACACTCACTACTGACGAGCTTGACGATCTGATGGGCGTGGCCCGGTAATCAATTGATACCCCATAATAATGTACATAGCATGTAAATACGGAGTTGTGATCTTCCAAAACACGTTGAATATTCTCGGAGATAAAATGGACCTCGGTAACTTTCCTCGGCTTCTCCTCATGTCAAGCTCCACTCCCCACATCTCTTCATTCGCCTCAATTGGTCTTATTTCCCATATTACACATATCATAAGCTCCTCACCACATACTACAGAGCAATCAACAAAACCCACAATCGCAAAGATGTCCCAAGAAACATTCAAAGGCTGGGTCGCCCACGACTCCAAAAGTCCCCTCGTCTACACAACATTCACTCCAAAACCCTGGTCCGAAACCGACATCGAGATCCGCGTCTCACACTGCGGCATCTGCGGCACAGACATCCACACCCTGCGCTCAGGCTGGGGTCCAACAGACTATCCCTGCGTCGTAGGCCACGAAATAATCGGCACGGTTTCGCGCATCGGCTCCAGCGTCGCAAACCTACAATCACCATCCAAAGACCTCAAACTAGGCGACCGCGTCGGCGTAGGCGCCCAAAGCAGCTCATGTCTTCGCGCAGACTGCGAAGCATGCGCTGATGGCCAAGAAAGCTACTGCGCCCGCATGACAGGCACCTATAACGGACGGTATCTCGACGCGGGCCGATCAAAGTCCTTCGGCGGATTCGCCGATACCTGGCGTGGACCAGCCCATTTCGTCTTCCGGATTCCAGACTCGCTACCTTCTGCCGAGGCGGCGCCGTTGCTATGCGGTGGAGTGACTGTTTTCGCGCCTTTGCGAAAATACGGCGTCGGGCCGGGCAAGACGGTGGGGATTATTGGGATTGGGGGGCTGGGGCATATGGGGATACTATTTGCGCGTGCGCTTGGAGCAGATCGCGTGGTTGGGATTTCGCGGTCGTCGGGGAAGAAGAAAGATGCTGTTGATGGGTTGGGCGCTGATGGGTTTATTGCTACTGGGGAAGAGAAGGGGTGGGCGAAGAAGCACTCGCGGACGCTTGATGTTATCTTGTGTACGGTTTCTGCGCATGATATGCCGTTTGCGCAATATTTGCGTTTGTTGAAGCGGGATGGAACTTTCGTGCAGGTTGGGGCGCCGGAGGATGCGCTACCGCCGCTTATGGCTTGGAGTTTGATTCAGAAGAGTGTTAAGGTTACTGGGTCGAATATTGGGTCTCCTGCGGATATTCGGGATATGTTGCAGGTTGCTGCGGAGAAGAGGGTTTTGCCTTGGGTTCAGAGGAGGGAGATGGGGAATGTTAACTCGGCACTTGTGGATATGCATGATGGGAAGGCGAGGTATCGATATGTGCTTGAGAACGGGGTGCAGGCGAAGCTATGATTGTAGTATTCAGTTGAGGGTTTTGTACATAGCAGCGATGTATCAGCGAATTGAGTGGCTTTGTTCATTAGATGAAATTAAATCCAGCCTCTCATAACCTCAATTGACGCCAATCAAAAACCAGAAGCTCTAGATGTCTTGTAGCTTTAAAGCAACCTTGAAAGGGTTAGTAGAAGGTGAGACGACGTAGTAGACTCTACTGAGGAATTTGCTATACGAAGACGAGGGCCTCCAGCTCGATACTCATCATGAAACGAAAAAAATTCAATTAAATCACGTCAAAATGATCGTGAAATCCCAAAGATGCATAAGCTAAATAACAGACCACGGGTGCAAGCTATCTAGACTCCACGCTCCTGGCACCAGCGCTCCACCTCTCTGGCAAGCTTTTCCTTTTGATCCCGGACAAGCTCCATCATAGGCTCAACCTGTTTCCTGTGTGAAGCAATGAGATCCTCGTTACCAACAACAGCGACGCCCTCCTTGGGCGCAAGGTGAGCATCATAGATCTTGACCATGAGCTCCATCACAGCCGCCAGCTGGTTGGGCAACCACTAAAAAGCACGATCAGTATTTTGTTCTGGGAGATAAAAGAGCGTACTTACAGTAACGATAGGGCTGCCACCGGTGGCAGTAGGGTGAGGAGTGCGGCGGATGATGTACTCGCGGGCGAAGAGCCAGTGGCGCCAGCGGAAGCTGCGAATGTGGTTCAGAGTTCGCAGGAAAAGAACGGCAGTCTCCGAGTCTTGCACAGCGTAGTTCTGAACACCGATCTCTTCGGACTTCTCCCGGATGTATGTCAGGAACTCGCGATGGGGAAGAGGACGATAAGCGCGGAACTCATGGAGGATTTTAGTGAGTGGGGTTTCGGGCATGGGAATTTCGCAGAGGTGATCGAGCAGGGGGATCTAATTATGTTAAATCACAAAATATCTATTGAGGTGGGACGGGGATACTCACGATGCTGTCGTTTGCACCACTCTCACCACGGAAGTTGAGAGGCTTGTTATCTTCGCAGCCTTCATAGACGACGCCGTTAGGGAACATAGATTGGTTGGTGATGCCGAAAATGAAGACACGGAATGAAAGATACTCTGATGGCTTTGAGTTGCCCCACATGTCTATCACAGAGTTAGACTTAGATCCTTTTGTATTGAGAAGGGGTGTAAATGGATGGTGAGAAAACTCGGGGTACGTATTGAAAGGAGCGGCTTATGTTTTTTACCTTCCATGGAAGCCTCGATCTTCTCCATCGACTTCAAAATCTCGCGGAAACCATCGTTGACTTCCTGACGTGAGCCATGCTGCTCGAGAGAATCGACAACCTTCAATGCACCAGCAATGAGAGGACCAGTCTCCTTCACCATGTCCACGTGGGTCAGGATGAAGCCAGCCTCGGAGCTCTTGGGGTCAAGACCCTTCTCGAAAGAGCGAATCAAACGAAGGTTAGAATACTCACTAAGGCCCTTGGCAGGGTCCTCAACGGTGTAGTTGAACAAAGCATATGAAGCAGCATATGACATGAAGGGAGGAAGGTTAAGACTGTAGATGGTCAGTGGTTTGTCACTACCGGAGTATATATTTTGAACGATGGAATGATCAAGCGGAGTCATGATACGATCAACTTACATTTCGGCACAGCGATACATGGGTCGAGCCACTGAGATAGGCAAGACATCTCGGCCAAGCCCATATCCACCGGCAGGATCCTTGTTCCAGTGCTCCCAGCAAGGCTCGAGCAGGTAAGACGAGGCCAGGAAGGTGTAGTCACGGAAGACAGCAGCGATGGTGAAGCGGTCATAAGATCCATCAGGGAGCAGCAGCTTCTCAACTTCATGAGTCAAGTCGGTGAGCTCAGCCTGGACAGCAGGTCCAAGTTCATAGGTGGCCAGCAGACCGGGCTTGCCATCAAGCCGGACGACGGGGAGACGGTTGACCAGGGACAGCAGGGCACTGAAGGCCTCTGGAAGCTCAGTGGGGGCTGTCTCATAGGGCAGGAAGCCTGTCTTTGTAGTGATGGTGAAGGGGTCAAGGGAGTGGGATAGGGCTGAGGGTTCATCATGGATGTGAGGGAACCGCTTCAGGGTTGCAGGGGAGGGGTAGGGGACTTGAGTTCGTGTCATGATGAAGATGTTCAAGAAGATACAAAGTCTCTTTGATATAGATAGCGTAATGGCAGGATGAGATGATGTAGGAAGATAAATGGGTAGGTGTTTTGTGTAGTAGAGGAAGATACCAAGTGACAAAGACCAAAGGGTAAAATGTCCAACACCAAGGAAGAATCCAAGAAAGTTGGGTAAAAAAGGTAGAAGAGGATGTCAGGAGACTGTAAGAGATGAAAAGAGACTTGGAATCTGGAGGATTTGGGCGGGTGAGGAGCAGATTCTTATAATACTTTGAGGCCGGTAACAATTCCGGCCTCAAGTCCACCATTACGAAAGAGATAGTAGTAGCGTGACATCGGTGACATCCGATGCTGCAGGAGATGAATAGGTGTCACATACATCTAGAAATGACTCTAGCACTTTATAAGAGCATATTTGGGCAAAACATGATATTTTGCCATCGATCTGTCTGTCCAGATGAAGTATACAACTGCCCAGTGAGAGGCAGCGGATGGTGATCACGGGATGACGCTAGGCCAGATGCAGTAGTGACTGGGACAAGCGGCTGACGTCTTTTGCCTCGGATTTGCCAAGTATTCATGGTGACAGATGGTAGATTTAGACCCTTAAATGCTTATATCCAAGCAGCAGCCACTCAATGGCAGTATATTAGTGATCACGGACTGAAGTGGTGTGTTCAAGGCATGATGTATGCTGTATACTTCTGGCGCTGCCAAGCCAGGATCGTCAGATCGCGCCTTCTGATTGGACGATAACGCGGAGTTAGACTTTCCTAGCGTTCGGAGGCCGGAATGCTACCGGCCTCCGGGAATAGCCGGCCACATATAATCTAGGTACGTTTGATATATGCCCAGTTGCATTAGTACGAGCCTACTACGAGGTGCATATCGATATTTTGATCCCGCTCCAGCTGACCGAAATGACTGTCAAAATACATGGAGCCTGAATGTTCACGCCCTATCGTTAGGGTAGACCTTTATGGATAGTTCTCCTCGATGGCTGTATAGAATGGGGCTACCTAGTAGGTAATGAGAAATGGAATGAAGTAGTATTAAATGTTCCGTCGGAGAGTATCAAACAAATCCACGCTCACTCGCGTTGATCACCAATGTCTCACGGTCTTTGTAGAAAATCTCATGTAGTTGAGGCAGGAAGTAGTGCAAAATCGTATCGCCCACGGCCGCAGGCACCGCCGACTTGTCCCCCCAATAATGCCGGATCAGCTGTCCAACACATCCAGTGGTCGCAACTTCAGGGCACCCATTTGCCTCTGCACAAGACAAAACTCGGATGTCTTCGGATCTATTGAAGTCATATCGAATATGGTTCCCAAAGGCCGACTGTTCATGAGGCCATTCACGACTCCATTTCGAACACCCTGGATAGCGGGTCTCACTGGGGCAGGAATCCCAAGCCTCGAATAACTCATCAGTTCGAGGGCTTTGTTGAGCAATCACAAATCCGGTGTTCAGCATCGTGCGGTCGTTCCAGTCGCGGTTCTGAGGCGCATCGGGATCAAGTGCCATCGCGACGAGGGTATTCTCGGTAATATCCCAGTAGTTGAATAACCACTCCATTGGAAGATTCGGATATAAAAACATGGCATCTCCATCTAGGAACACGACGTATTTGTAATGTCGCAAGGCTTCTCTGATTGCAGTCACTTTTCCCCATGTTCCAAATCGGCCATCTTTTCTCGGCATGACGACCAGCCGGTAGTCGTAGCCATGGATCTTTGCTGCAATGTTCAGTTTGCGCTGCAAGCTTTCATGACACATGAAACTTACCATACATGAAATGATTCAGTCTGCCGCTTGTTTCAAATGGGAGTTTCTCTGCTTTGAGGGGTGCTTTGCTCAAAAAGCCCTGTGGTCCATCGAGCCTTCGACTTTCTGAGTCGAGAATGAGGATGTTCGACCCCAACGGCTCCGTGAATCTCAAGGGCTCTGCAAGCCAGAACCGCTTCCCCGTATGGCCCACGAAAATGGTATCCGTGATTGACTGACGGTAGGGATCGTAGATGTTATGAAGTGTTGACAAAGTTGACGACCTTTCAAACGTCCAGCGGTGGGATTTTCTAGAATCGTCAATGCTCTGTGAAAGCCTTTGCGCCTGATTATCCCGTACAGTTTTTTAGTCCCACTGCGGTACGTGATCTCATTGCGTACAGCCCAGCCTGAGAACAGTAGGATCACGATCACGGCAAAGAAGCGGATAAAACGACGGATCAAGCCTAACGAGTGGTGGCGCAAGTGCATGGTGACCAATTTATCCTAGAATGCATATTAGATAATAATTCAAAGGTCAGGAGGTTGGAATGGTGAAGGTCAATAAACATGACATCATGTTGATTGAATCCGTGGGTTACCTGGTGATGTCGTGGGTGGACTTCCTGAGACAGGACTCTGCAGGGATATCGGTAGGTTCAGATGAGCGATCTATTATTGAAACCAATGACTTCAGAAAGAGCAACTGAAACCAAAAAAGGATTGACTGACGAAGCAAAAGGAGAAAAGAAACAGATTCAGGAAGAAAGAAGAGAAAGGAAGAGATCAGTCCCGAGAAGCTTAGATGGGCGAAAGCCTGAGGCTCCCCCGATGAATCGAGAGTGCGCTGGAGAGCAAAGCAAGTCCGCTACATCAGTGAGGACACCAAGCGGGCTAGGTCACTCATCGCTCTCAAGATGAACTTGTTTAGATTTCAATCTCTTACTTTTCTGAACCTTTGTGCTGACAAGTTGATATTGATCAAGCCTATACTCTTCCAACCAAAGCATCCAATCCTTGGAGACTCTTTTGGACTGATTCAAGGTTGTCCGACTCCTCTCGTAGCACCTTCTTGAGAACATCAAATGCCTCTATAGCAGACTTAGATACTGTTTCTCCGGACTTGATTTTCTTCTCCATCGACTTCATGCTGTCCTTCGCTCGACGCAGTTGTGACCAATACTCAGCGGTTCGGTTGAGGTACCCAGTCTCCTCCAGTGGCAGGTTCCATGCATGAGGCGTCGTCTCAACTATATCCAGCCATTTGGCCATATGAGGCCACCGACGCTCCTCCAACCCAGGGAAATGCACAAGCAAATCGCCCTTCTTTCCCTCATATGCCCAGTCCCACTCATATGTGTTGATCCACGGCCTCGGCAGATAGACCACTCCGTCTGCATAGCCTTGGCCATTTGGTCCGCCGGTTGTCTTGTTGAGAATGCGTCTCATGCCCTCTTGGTCGGCGGATCGACCGAGATCAACTTCTGGAAGGTATAGAGGGTAGCCCATGGTCTCGGTGAGGAAGCTAATAGTCCACGGGTGGACATGCAGGAACATGATGCCGGTGTTGAGGCCGTTCTGGTCTTGGGCTGCTACCAGATGAACGTCCTTCATATCAGACGGTGGAAGGAAAATCTCCATTGGAATCTCGTTGTTTAAAATGATTGAATCTGCATCCACCCATCTATGACGGTCAGCGAGAATCTTTGTTCAAATGGCGACAGCACTTACATCAACCATTCCATCCTCTCGCCTGCTGGTTTGGCTAGCTCGGCAATCACCAAGGATAAAAGATAGCTCGGTTTGTTCCAGAATCCGACGGAGATGTCTTGTCTTAGAACATGCATCGGATAGCCCCATATTTTCCCATGTCGCTCATGACTCTGCAGTGCTCTCTCGTACATGTGGTTCGGCTCCCCATAGAGCATGGATACTTTGGCGACTCGGTTCAGATTGTTTCTCGGTGGGTAATTGACTTCTGGGTGAGCGAAAGCATGGTATGATTTGATTGTGACCCAAACAAAACATATCGCCGTTAGTATTGCGAGAATGTTGTGCAAGGGTCGTTGTTTGAACGTCATCAGGTGTGAGTTTTTAGCCAGCATCACCATATAGGTGCTGGATGTGTGTGCATTGGAAGATGAAGAAAAGAGATGCCTTCGAGGTAAACTAATCGACCTCGGGAGTGATTTTCCAAATGAGCATATCCGTCCAAAATTCCATACTTCCGCTTTGGGAATACCAACGTTCCCGGAAAATTGACAGCGATCCACAACATACAACCCAAATTCACTTAAACTATTTTGAAAACCAAAGCATTCAGATAAATATGGAGGAAGCTTAAATTTTGTCGCATATTTTCGCATACAGCCCTGTGGTCGGTCAGCTGTATCTGCAATTGTTATGCCTTGACCCTCGGGACCTTTATTTGGATTCGGTTCAGCGACTCGACCGCGTTTCAGCACGAACTGAATTACTCAGTTCTCTTTATCTTTTTCACAGGGAAACCGGTGGAGCTTGCGGAGAGATGAGTTTGTTTTATAATAGTACATAAAGGGAATATCATACACCTCTGGCTCAAAATATTTGTACAATGTCGCATGCATAATCATACAATCCAAACTCCTGGCTTCCATGCATCGCCGACCGACGGGCCATAAACATTCCCGGCAGGTATCAGGTGAACTCAGACCAATGCAGACCAAATTATGCAACACCCAGGTTACCCCATATCCAATGTGTATCATGACCCCGGACTCGAGGGTTTTCCTGTAGTATTGGGATCGTCGGTTGTGCTGTGCACTGTTTGGAGCTTGAGATACTCTTGCTCGAGGGCCTTTTGCATTTCAAACTCGGCTTGGCGCTCCAGTCGAATGCGCTGTTTCTCTGCGGTGTTTGCCATATCACGCTCGACGCCCCTGTGCATAGCCTTCAACAAGAGTCAGTCACATCCTAGAAGATAGTGTCGGATTTGGATCGTACCGCCCTGTCATTTTCCTGCGCCCAGTGGACGAAATAGATGATGCCCGCTGTGCCGAGACCGGTGACGGCCAATGTTGCTTTTGATGCGCGGGACATGACGAGAATGTTTAGACACGGCTCAACACACAAGTAAATAGTAAATAAAGGCTCGCGGCCAATGACTGAATCGACGTTGACATCGAGTCGGAGATTATCAGTTTATCGATCGGGCGGTGGGGATGGCAGAACCCCCCACCGCTCTGGGGGGCGATGCGTGGCTCCGACCTGGACCTGAAGCTCCAGACCAGCCGTTGAATCGTCACTTTCAGCCTCATTCTTCTCCTATCCCCTCCTCAAAGCTCAGAGGCCTCCAGTTAATATGGTAAGGGACGCTTCTCGGAATTGGTGGCGTGTTGCTAACGGTGATCACCAGTCGGCTCAGAACTCCGCGGGCATCCAGACCCTCCTCGACGTAGGTACTCGCTGTACCATGAACTCGGGAATTTACTTACCAGGAGATTGACAGGCCGAGAGAGAGGCTCAGAAAATTGTCCAGCAAGGTGCGTTGGGTCCACATTCATCCTCATTCTCATTGCGGAGATGCTAATACGTCACATCATGTTTAGCCAGAGAATGTACGCTATTCGAGCTTCCCTGCCGGTATCCGCTTGGCCAAACTAATCTCACAACTGCACAGACCGCACCAAGCGCATAAGAGACGCCAAGTCAGAGGCTCAGAAGGAGATCGAAGATTACAAGAAGCAGAAGGAAGAGGAGTACAAGAAGTTTGAAGGCGAGGTGAGATACAGCACCGAGTTGATCATGCCAACATACACCGTCATGCTAACGGAAATTTCCATAATAGCACTCTAGTGGCTTCAAGGCTGCCGAAGAAGAGTCCAACAAGGAAGCCGATGTCAAGCTGCAGGAAATCAAGGATGCTGGCAAGAAGCAAGGCGATGAGGTGGTCGAAGGTCTCATTCGTGTGACGACCGACGTGAAGCCCCAGGTGCCTGAGAAGATCGCCGCATAATGTAAATATCCCAGTACATCTTTTCTTTGCTTACGGAATAATGCGCTTGCGTGCTGTTCATCAATATCCATTCATCAGACAATTTCATTTGCTGCCACTTCAGCCGAGTACGTATGAAGCCATCCAAGATGCGCTAACTCTTTAGCTTGATGTCGTGTCTCTCGGGGTCTGGCTTGAGGCTACTCGCATCCCCAAGGCTGTGCGTGAGGCTTAAGTGGTGATACCAGCGCATTCTATCACTCCATCTGCGCTTTTTCTTTCATTATCGGTTCCCCGATTGTGGAAACTGAAACTCGGAATGTTGCACCTCACTCGCGCTACCAAAAATGGCTTATTGCCCAGGCTTATCCCCTGCCCGAGAGCACAGATGGGAAGGGTTCGTTGGTTCAACATATTGTATCAGCAGGCACCGGTGTGTTTGGTAAGTTAATAGAGCCTCGACTCTGACGAATCAAAGTTTTGATGCTGTGGCGCTGTTGGTTGAGCTATCTTGCCGCCATTGGGCTTGGTTTTGTGTCTATACTAGACACGTTATAACGTGAGACCTGGGACCTGTTGGCAGGTAGTCCAAACCTGCTATTTAAACACTTCAAGCAGCATTTCTCGTCCAATGGAGACTTTCCACATCGACCCCTTGTCGCATTTGTAGGGCGAACTCGTGTGGTTCCTGTCCTTGCAACAGCCTCTGTCTCGTCTAAGCGGATATGTGTACTTTCTCGGGCTTTATCTTCAAACGACTGGCTCAGAGTGATGTGGCTAGAGTGGCTATGCTCGAACGTAACTCATCTGGCGACAGGGACTGAATTTTCTCAAGAGTGTGCTTTTCGAGGATAAAAAGGCTGCGGCGTGGCGAGGATTTTGGAAAGCAGCAATTCCAGTGCAACTCTTTCAGTGACAGCCCTAGATCTCTTACCTCCAGCGTTGGAAATATTGGGTCTTGAAATTTCATTCATTTGGCGCCCAAGCCCCAAGATGTCTTCTTGTCCAATGCAGAGATCATTGCCATCGCCGAGGTCGCCTCACACGTCGTCTCAAACGCAGATGGTTCGTAGTCACCTTACGGCAACCGAGAAAGCTCTTCGCGCCTTTGTTTACCGAGAACGCGGTACTCGCTCTCCTTTGGCCCAAAATGAGAAGCGGGAAACTCGGTTGGGTTCCATTGAGGACGAAATCTGGAGCAGTTTCAGCTTCTGCAAACCAACTTGGGGAGGTATTGGTGCCTTCTTGGGCGTAGGTCCCCATGAGTCTAGTCGCAACCCTGTCATCGATGTTTTTGCTTCCAACCACACTCTTTCGTTCGTCTCAGTCGGCAAGCCAGTTATCAATACCGTCGAAGATGTCAAGCGCGACTTCTACCAGAATTTTGAACACATGGTTCGCGAAAAACTCAGCAATGGGCCTTTTACGACTACAAGAATAGATGTGCCCAAGGAACAGACTCTGCCGGTGGAAAATTGCGTCTACCGACTCACTTGGCCTGGAAAGTCGAATCAAATACATGAGAAATCGGCTATGATAGGGTTGTTCAGGGAACCCGGGAGCATCAAAGTTTCCCAGTGGGATGTCCCCATGGATGAGTGGAACCTACCGGTCGACGAGAGCACCCGCGACCTCCAGCGGAGTATTTCAAAGTAAGTTTCTAGAATATTGCTCTCAAAAAACGTGGTTATTTTCCAACTCCCCTTGCAAAGTACCCGGGCCATTCTTCTTGTTGAAGCTGACATGTGCCATAAACAATCAGATATGCCTATCATTACGACTGCCCTCACGTCTTCGTGTTCGACTCACACAATCTCCTTATTGTTCAGATCAGCGCAGATAGCCGAGAACAACTCAAAAGCCCAGCGACTCACATCGACTACTGCTTGATACCCCGCAACTTAGATCTGACGGCGGAGATCACAATCCAGACAGGACTGTGTTTGCTAGCTTGGAGGGGCTGGATGCGACTCTCGGCGACAATACACGGACGAACAGTGGATGTTGAGGGATTTCGTCCTCTTTATGTGGAAGGAAGCATCAGGCGCTACGAATACTGGTCAGGGAGACCGATGTGGGAGACTGATGACTTTATCACCGTGGAACACCCAAATGGGTGGCGACGCAGACTTGAAACTGTCAAGACCTCTACTGGTCGACGGGGATATTGGATTTGGGAAAGACCTGGCCGAAAAGCTATTACTGATACTGGCAACGTCTTCCAGTGATTTGAAGGTTACTAGAAGGAATAGCTGAGGATCCATGTTTGTTTGTTTCCAAGATTCCAACTCGACTTTTTTGCCCTGGATTTTTTTTCTTATCTCAATTAATGCTCTATGAAGCTCGTGTCATCAATCCATGCTTTGCTTGCCAATATCAAACTCAACCCGTGGACATTGGACCTCGGGATGTTGGGACCTTCGAAACATATTTTGCTTTTGATGCACCTCCAGGGCTCGTACCTATTCCAAGGTTGATCCGACCATCGAAAGCGCAGACTCTAGATTGATACCATATCTTTAACTTGAATCCAACCTCAAAAGACCACTTAGCCGAAATGAGTAATGTTGTTGAAGCATGAAAATATTTTGCCCGAGGCGGAAACCTTTGTTTTCCCTGTTGCGTCATTCCGCGACCAGGCTTAATCTGCAACCTCAGCGCAGACGACAATGAAAGTTGCGATTGCCATATCAGGCACACTCAAAAGAAAGACTATAGCATATCCCAGATGCTCTTTGTTTGCGTATGATGCTGAAGGCAGGGGCTATCATGCGACCCCATACAGGTCAAGACCCAGTCTTGAACCTCGACTAGAAGACCACGGCAGAGTAATTCACGACGAATACTCAATCGTACGCGACAAATATGGTCTCTATCTTCTTTACCAGATCAGACATGGAGCAGCTTACTGACTTTCATACAGACGTCCCGAAACACCCAATCGTTCTCGCCCATGGGTTACTCGGATTCGATGAATTACGGCTTGGTGGCCCTTATCTCCCAGGTGTCCAGTACTGGCGTGGGATTAGAGAAGCTCTGACTGCGCGAGGCATTGAAGTGATCACAGCTACAGTTCCTCCCTCGGGCTCCATTGAGGACCGAGCGAAAGAACTAGCTCGAGATATCGAGGCAGGTGCAAGAGGAAAGGATGTTAATATTATCGCGTATGTTGCTGTTGTCTTTTCAAACGTTCTCACTCGTTCTAACTTACTTGCAGGCATAGCATGGTAAGATTCCCCAGCCCCTAATCTGGTAAAGGCTTATATGTCATAGGGGTAAGTTAGCATTCCAAAAGATTCTTCGGCGCGAGCTAATAAGGATCAAGTGGCCTTGATTCTCGGTACATGATCAGTCAGATCCGACCTGAAAAGTTCAAAGTTTTGTCATTAACCACGATTGCATCTCCACATCGAGGTCAGACACAACGTTGCCATTGTTGGGGACTCGGCTGATGCTTTCACAGGCTCAACTGTAGCGGACTATGTATTTGATCAAATTGGAGGCTAGTCGCAGCACTGCAACATATCTCAACTAAGTACTAACATCATCTGTTTTAGCCGATCTCCTACCGCAGATCTATTACGCTCTGAATCGGTTAAATGTCGAAACAGGAGCATTCTCACAACTGACTCGAAAATACATGACTGAGACATTTAACCCCAATACTCCCGACGTGGAAGATGTCCGGTAAGTCCTACATGTCACAATATATCGTCCATTACCTAAATGTCCAGATATTTCTCTTACGGTGCTGCGGTTCAACCGAGTATATGGTCCGCGTTTCGACTATCGCATCGGATTCTTGAACAAAGCGAGGGGCCGAACGACGGGCTAGTCAGTGTATCTAGTAGTCGCTGGGGAGGTGAAGCGGGCTACAAAGGGACGCTCATGGGCGTGAGCCATCTGGATCTCATCAATTGGACCAATCGACTGAAGTGGTTGGCCGGTGAGATAACTGGCAATAAACGGAAGTGAGTGAGATTTGATGCTTAAGCGCTCGTGGCTGATTATTAAACAGGTTTAATGCTATTGCGTTCTACTTGGATATTGCAGGTACGTATTAGTGTCTTTTTGAGATTTCCGAGACTAACGTATTTCAGATATGCTGGCCAAAGAAGGTTTATGAAGAATCCATGGGTCTCAGTTCAGAACATGAAGCACTGTGAAAATTGCCCCGTCACATACATGTACATAGTGGTCCCCACATTATTCCATTATTATTCCGAAGTCCGTGCCAGACCCTTTCTGGGCGAGAATAAGACAACACGAGAATAGCAGCAAACACAACTCATTGTTCAAAAAGAATAAGGGTTGCCTTGACGTCTCATGTGACAGTGATAAAGGAGGTGTCATACAATATATCGACACGTCTAGACGAGAAAGCAAGTCCCGAAAGAAGTGGATATAATTGGAGCGTTCTCAGCCCTGTTGTGGCTGTGGGTCGCGGAATTCGGATCGGAAATTCTGGTGCCTACTCCCTACTTCACAGTATGCTGGTCTTGTATGTTTTAGCGAGATGATAGTATATCCAAACTATACTGTCATGAAGTGTAGAGTACGTAAATCCAATACTGTGAGTGGTCGCGCAATATCCATAGTGCACGTAGTAGACATAGTGGACTCCTATAGAAGTTGCCGGACGCCGAGAACTAGGCCCTTTTTTTTCGCTTTTTAGGTCCCCGAGCCGAAAACAAGAAATTCCAGAAATGTGGCTGTGATATGATTGAGGCGCAGCATATAGCCTGATCCAACTCTCTGCAGAACTCTGGACCTTCTCCGTGGAAGGGCGCTTTGTACAGTTGCTTGGCAGGTTGATCTGCAAACGCTCTCAACGTCATTCCGGCATTCTTCGCATATAATCCGCATTTTCCCCCCTCACACCCCCCCACGACCTCTTATCGAACCCCGAGCCCGACTGTTCCGAATAATTGAGACCCGTTGACTTATCGCATGCTTTGTCGGTCATCGTGCACACACATTTGACACTTCGAACACGACCAGCCGCCGACAAGAGCCCCGCCAGGGCCCGGGCGCTCCGCCGCCATGTCCGCAAACATTGTGTTAGACAGCCGCCACACTCATTACACGAACTTGGATTTCTTGTCTGGCAAGGTAGTTCTACAGCTGCCCACGGAGGCGGCTATCGGGGGAATACAGGTCAAATTGGAATGCGAGAGCCGCACACGTCTGTCGGGGCCCAAACACCCCAACCATGTAAACTCGGACAAAAAACGGACGGAGCTCGAAGTGCACAAGGTGAGAGGACGCTCCGACTCTCAAAGAAGAGAGCTCAACTGGGTAGGGCCATTGGTTAACGGGAATATTAGATCCTCTACAAGGTCGCTACCGTCTTCCCCACCCCCGGTGTGATGCAAAATGGGTCGCCCGCGCCTTCATATACTTTTGCTGCGGGGAGCTACGAATACCCGTTTCAGTTCAAGGTAAGGCTCCCTTGTATACAGCCCTGTGAATGTCGTTGACTTTTTTTCTCAGTTTCCTTTTAATAATTCATGCAACTCCACTAACAGCATGCTCACCAATTTAAATTTCTCTGGGCTGAAAGTCGAAGTAGCCAAAGATACCAACCGACATGTCAGAAAGACTCTCCCACCTTCCCTGAGTGGGTTCCCAGGCGAAGCGGATATCAAATACTTCGTCAAAGCTACGGTTATCCGACCACAGTTCTACAAGGAAAATATCAGATCCGTATGTGATATGAATGACTCTATGGCGAGATATAATGACTAACAAACAGAAGATCGTGCCTCTGAACTTCCTACCAATCGAGCCTCCAAGAACTGGAAACCCCAATGAGGAAACTTACGCTAGGCGGCAGCACCAATTTTCTAAAATCCAGCCAGGCTCCAAGAAAAAGAGCATCTTCTCACGAGGGACCACTGGACTTCGTGATATCTATTCAGAACCTCCCAGAGTGTCGGTTGATGCTCGTCTTCCCAACCCGTCTATTCTCACTTGCAACGAACCAGTACCACTCCGTCTCTTGGCCAAGAGGCTGAATGATGGACCGGATATCCTCTTTCTCCAGATGTTGCAAGTGGAACTAATCTCTTACACAAAAATACTGGCACACGATCTCACGCGCACTGAAAGTGGTTCTTGGGTGATCGTGAGCCGCAGCAATATGAACATCCCGCTAGGCAAGCCGGAGGATCCCATAGGCACCGATTGGACCATTGACCCAGGATTATGGAATCGGTATCCCTTACCCAACTCGGTGGCACCGTCCTTTGAGACATGTAACATTGAAAGATCTTACGAGCTGGAAGTTCGACTAGGAATGACCCATGGTAATGCCCGAGAGATGAAGGTACGTGCAAAGCGTCTAATGATTTTCTCCCTTTTGCTAATCATGCCACAGCCCCAGCTCATCGTGCTTCCTTTGCGAATGCCAGTTAAGGTCTTCTCTGGAATCGCACCCCCACAAGCTCTCCTGGATGCAATGGCCGCAGCTTCTCTCCAACAAGGATCCGAAAAACCCCAACCCAGTCTTCCAACGGAAACCGGAATCGACCGGCCACCCATGCCACCCCGACCAAGCGGCGAGCCTGTTCCCGTGAACTCAGGCGACCCATATGCGGATGCTCCGCCTAGCTACGAGGATGCAATGGCAGATCATCTTAGCCCAGTGGATGGGCCCCGCCGCGAGTATCACCCACCAGAGGCCTCCCCAGTGGAACCTGGAGCTGATTCCAAGCCCACAGCCCAGGGTAAGGACTCTGAGGACGGGCCCGCGGCAGAGGGATCCTCGACGCCCCGTCGACGCGATCACCGTTCTTCCTCGGAGTCCTTTGACATGCTTCCTACCACACCACCAGAGTCCCAGTCTGGCTCCCCTCCTCCGTCCCCGACTAGACGCCCTGGCAGCATGATGAAAATCCCTCGGAACCCTGTTGAAGATGAAAGCCCACCGCAGTACGAGCCTGTCGGTGGCGGTCAGCAGGTTGCTCAGTCGCAGCGTCAACCTTCCAGGAATAATCGCCCCATGAACCTCGGCGTTCCAAATCGGAAACCTGTACCACGAAGTCCGCATAATCAAGGTCACTAAACCATCGAACCCTTTCTCTCGCTCACCTTTTCTCTTACACCAACAACGGGCTACGAACTGCATAGGTTACGCTCCCATGGAAACCCCATTATTTCTCACCTCGAACCTAGGCTGGTGCCTCCATCGAGCTTTTTTTTGGAAGAGTGCTTCTCCATTCTTAAAATGCATATGATTCGAGCCATTTGTTTCGGAGCATCCGTGATTCTACTACATTTCTAATATATGCCCCATTTTCAGTCCAAAGTGCCAGGTTTTGAAGGGTCTGTAATATCAATATTTGCAACCAATAGCCAAAATCCATAGTCATCTGTACGCAGTACGCGTTTTGTTGACATGGAAAACAAGCGTAGGTCGAAAAAGGCATAGATCGAAAGATCTACGACCGAAGAGGAAAAACGCTATCCCGAAAATGGACTAGCGTGCTCTCCGCGATTGAGCTTCCTTCAGGTCTTTTTCCAAAAGTTCAGACCCCGCCCATGGCACTCGCCGTAACATTCTTTCTGAACTACTTTTGTCGTTGAAATCATCACTCATCGCATACTCCGCGCTTACCCCGAAATATCAACCTCATCGCCCCCGGTGAAAATCCTGAAGCTTGACCAGAAAAGTCGACCGCGTCAATGATTTAGCTCGCGATGCGTCTCCACCTTGTTATCTCGCGCCACGGCTTGCCCGTGACGCGAATTCTCTGGACAACTTCGGCAGTATCTACAGGCGAATACGGTGCTCGTCATCCGGCATCGACGGCCGCTGTCGCATCATCGCGGACCCCGAATATCGCCTTCTCCAATGGTGGCTACACAGTCGCACAACTGCTCGAGGATGTGAATGAGGTTGTGCCTCTAGAGACAGAACCTCATGTCTTCGACGACGAGCTGAGCGGTCAGTGGGGACTGGAGGATTATGTGGTCGAAGTGGCCGGGTCGGAATGCTTGCACTTCATGGAAGTTGATGGTTTGCTTCGTGATGGAGATGAAGTTGTGTATGTTTGCGAATCAAATGCGCTACTAGTTGGACAAAGCTGATATATTGCGATCTAGTATCCGAGCTCTCCAGCTAGCCGATCTTCGCACCAGGCGGCTTTGCGGTCGTCATCAGATTACCTCCGAGGGTAAGCACTTGATTGATGGCGTGCCTTTTGGTTCGCCTTTCTTGAAAAGATCCACTACCACACGACCTGCCATTACCATTCCCCCTCGAAAGAGACGACGTACCGTTTTCTCTGGCTGGGAGCACGGACCAGATATCTCGGCCCAAGATGCCCTCGACTCGGCTGCTGATGAGGAAGGAGATGGAGAATGGGTGCCGCCCCCGCAAACAGGGTTTGGAAAGGAGCTTTCCATCATGCCGCCCGAACATGAGGAGTCTATGGGAACCGTCATCCGTCATCCAGTCGATCACTCTGGAGAGTCTGAAAGTGAAGGAGATGTGTCCGAGATGGACGGTGATGGTGATGACGATGAAAATGATCTAGAGAGCGAACTCCAGGCACTCAAGGAGGACTTTGAGGAACCCTCTCAATTCATCGATATCAGAAACCAGACGCGCAACCCAAGTGGACATGCACTACGTGCCACCTCTGTGTCCAAGCGACCAACCTCAAAAGGATCAATCGCAGCTGCCTCAACAATCTCCAGCAAGCGCTCCCGTGAAGAGGACTCGTCGCCACGGACTTCGAAGGCTGTGAGATTCAACAAGGGGGGGCGATGATACTCCCGACCTTCCACAAGCCAAGGAGCCCGTTGTGGAACCGGAAGTGTTGTCTGATAAAGAGTCGGCTGCTTCCTCGGATAGTGATTCTGACTCGGATGATGACTCTGACTCCAGCTCGGATTCTGATTCTAGTGACGATGAGGACGATGCTTCCTCGAGTGAAGTGGAGCCCGCAAAGGAAGCTGTTGTACCGGACGAGGAATCTGCTTCGGAGTCCTCGTCAGACTCCGATAGCTCTGATTCCTCGGATTCAGATTCAGAAGACGAAGCTCCCCCTCAAGCTCCACCCGCCCCGAAGGCCCAGCCACCTCCTGTAACCAGCGCACCTGGAGACGGTTCCATCCGCACGAAGAAAAGCAACAACCGTCTTAAACTGCGTCGCCGTCTGTCCAAGTTGAAAGAGCTCGGTGCCCTGCCAGATGAAGCAGACTTTGACGCATTACGTGCGTGGGAAAATACAAACGGGGGCTGGTTCACTCCTGAACAATCCATGATCTCCGAGGCACCTGCCAAACCGGAAACTGAAAAGTCCGCAAAGCAGCTCAAGAAGGAACAGGAACAACAAGAGTTCGAGGCCAGGCGACAGAAGCTTCTCCGTGATCTTGCGTCTGGCAATGGAGTCGATGTGGACCAAGGATCAGAGAAAGAGAATGTGCCTCCTCTTGCACCTGCCGCAGAGGCTGAAGTATCAGAGGAAGTTCCCGCCGCGGATAAGCCAGACGAAGAGTCTTCAAAAGAGGCTGCGCACAGGCGGACTCTAGATATTGCGAGCTCAAGACGCATGCTGTTTGGCTCCCTTGGTATGCGAACCCCAAAGACCAAGGAGGAAGAAGAGCAAACTCGACAGAAATTGGCTGCTAAAGCTAAGGCGAACGAACATAAGAAGCGCCCTTCGCAGCTTACCCAGGAAGAGGGTGATCAAATGGACGAAGATGGTGCTGATGAATCCGATGGTGATTGGATGAACAAGCTGGTCATTCGTGCTGTTGAGTGTGTCTATCCCGAAGTCGAGATGACCGCTCCTCCTTTTCCCTTTGTCCAACGCTGGGATAAAGACGCAAATGCCTTGATTCGCGAGAAGAAGGGACCCACCAAGAAGCGAAAGAGAAAGCAGCGAATTCAAGTTTACAACAATGAGGAGGAGGAATATGATGAGAATGGAAACTGGTACGGCGACGACTACTACCAAGGGGACGGTCAAGAAGAATATTACGAACCTGCGGCCGATTCTTACTACAACGGACATTACGCTGGCGAGGCCGAAGACAGTCACCAGCTCAACTACGACGAGGGACCTGAGCCCGAGCCAACTGCTCCCGTCGAGGATCTTCCTATTCCTCCAAAGGATATGAGTACTGTTCCTGATTTGACTGAGAGAGATGTGAAAGTCGGTGCTATCATTGTTTTCCGACAGCTAGACATGTCCAAAGCCACCAACTGGCAACCTCAAATGTCCGATTACCGAGTGGCCGAGGTGCGCTCTGTCAAAGAGCAGGGTGTGATTGATGTGCTTCTTGCGAAGCGGGACCGAAAGCAACGTTCTGCGGGTGAAGATGATCAGCTTCGCCAGTTCAGCAAATTTGAGGTTCCAGACCTTGCAAATGACGAGGAAGAAGACGACGGCTACCGCGAGCTGACCTTCGCCGAATTGAGTGACCCGAAGCTCCTTCAGCCTGCTAAATCGGGTGCTGACCAGCACACCCCAGAAGGTAGCAAGTCAGTCAATTGAATCATTGTTTCACGGTCTATACTTACTTTTCCAAGTGTCTCTGTAATCGAAGAATCCGTACCAAATGCCCAACCAGCCCAACCAGCACCCGAGATGGACCTCGATGAAACCACGTTCGTCACGATCGGAAATGAAGTCAGTCATCTTGATTCACTCCGCGAATCTACAGATGCCCCCGATCAGGTTCAACCAAACCCGGGGGCTCTGCCGCAGATCCAGGTTCAGGCTGGATCGGAGCAACGTAGCCTTACACCTCCCATACCATCACCTTCTTTCAACGGGTTTCATTCCGCGCGATCCTGGCAGCAAACGACCCCGGGAGTTGCTACCAATCTCGAGGGCCACACCCTCATCGGTGAAACGCCGTCCGCAGCGATGAACCGCGAGGAAGACCCTTCTATGCTTTCATATACCTCTGCCAATCAGTCTTTCGATGATTCTACCCACGATACCCCCGAACAACCTGAGCGCCAGGTTGTCGAAGCCTTGATTCCACCCGGCGACTCTGCAGAAAGTGGTCCACAGTCCGGATCACTTCTTTCTACAATCGAATCCAACGGCGGTGTGGTCAGCTCACAAAACTCGAAGAAAACCAACATCAAGAGCGAGAGATTTAAGAATGAGGCCCCACGCAGCTCTGGGGAGTCCTGGGCAGATATGCTTGAGAGACTGAGAGGCGGGCCATCAGAACTAGATGCTATCCTGGGTTTCAGCGACAGCGATGTTGCCGACGAGCCCTCAGAGCTGACACCTTTCAAATTGGCCTCGTCATCCAAACCATCCATTTCGCAATCAAAGTCTCCCAATCTCCCAACTTGCAACGTGGACGGTCCATCCGACCCAACAGACCCCACGCACCTACTCAACTTCTTCTCGCCTGCGGATTCCGCCCGCTCGAAACAACCTCGCTCAACACGTGGATCCGTCCCCAGCCAAATCCCAGAGTCCCAACCCTCTTCCTCTCAAATCCCTGCCTCGCAGATGTCTGCTGTGATCGATCTGACCTCCAGTCCGACTGGGTCCCCTGCACCAGAGGCCAACCTTACTCCATCGCGACGCACCAAGTCTGCGCACTTTGGCAGACAGCAGAGTTCCTCCCAGGCTGGACCATCTCGTGCTTCTACTGGTGGAACTCGGCCCGTTGTGGAAGTGGACAATAGCCCTGCGCGGTCCCAAAAGAAGAACAGGCGTACGTCGCGGAAGTTTTAACTACTTTATTCTTTTTTTTTCAATGTGGTAATATTGTTGGAAATACATTTGAAACGGTCTAGTACATACGGGCGCAGAGCGAAGGCGTCCTGGAACACATTCTTTTTGACAGTTTTAGCCAGGAATTTTACTTGATGCATACTTACTGGAAACGGACGTCGGCGTAGATCAGGATTTTGGTGACAAAACCCGACTGCTGATTGGTAGATCCCCGCCGTGATGTCACAATTGTATACTTCATCACATCAAGCTCAATCCTGGGGAATCCTGTCGTTTATTCGGACATTTCCAGGGTTTTTAAAAAGAGTCTGGAGAACTGGAGTCAAATAAGACATTTAGATCGTTTACTCTTTTCTCTCTTGACATGTTTTCTTCCAGAGCGAAGGTATTCACCCAATTCCAAAGTAGTCGGTGTACGAGTAGTAAGCCTCTACGCTGCATCTCGTCATATATTCCCCGCTCTTTGCCTTTGTTCATCTCTGCGCCTAATTCTACCTTGATCTTGTCTGCAATTCTTCAAAAATCACCATTTTGTCCACTGAAATCATCAAGACGTCTATCGACCTCGGCATCAGCAATGGCCGAGTACAAACTGAAGGATATATCCTCCCTGTCAAGCCTTGGGCCTCTCGATAAGGTTGAGGTTGAAGTCGAAGGCATTGAAGAAGGAAAGGTTCTGCTCGTGAAGCTTGACGATAAAGTCCACGCCCTCAGCCCGAAGTGCACGCATTATGGTGCCCCGTTGAAGAATGGCGTTGTGACGAGTGATGGACGCCTTACTTGTCCGTGGCATGGAGGTATGTTTATTAATAATTTCTTCCACAGTATGCCGATGTACAAGGACCTTGGAAAGGCATTCCATATCAGCAACCTTGGAAGCCGGACTTTTGAAGTATCACAGACAATGAAGCTAACTTTAATAGCTTGCTTCAGCGTGTCCACCGGCGATGTCGAAGATGCCCCTGCTCCGAATGCCCTGACCAAATACGAAGTCTTTGAACGAGATGGTGCAGTCTATGTCAATGCCAAGGAGGAAGATATCAAATTCGGTCAACGGAACCCTGTTGTCAAATGCAGCGTGTCAAAGCAGGATGAGAAGGTGGTGGTTGTTGGAGGGTAAGTTCGAACCAACAGCCGTGATATGCTCCAAGCACACGTCCGAACTTCGGAACATCAACTAATACCAAACAGTGGAAGCGGGACTTTGGGAGTACTGCAAGCTCTTCGCGAACTCAAGTACCCCGGCCAGATCACCATGATATCCAAAGAGCCCGACTTGATCATCGATCGAACAAAGCTCTCCAAAGCCCTAATCTCAGACCCAACCAAGATCCAATGGCGTCCCAAAGAATGGTACGAGTCAGCCGCAATCGAAACCCTCACCGACGAAGTCACAGCCGTAGACTTCAATAACAAATCCGTTTCCACAAAGTCCGGCAAGAAAATCAGCTACACAAAGCTCGTCCTTGCATCGGGTGGAATCCCACGCACCCTCCCTCTGCCAGGCTTCAAAGGCGAACTCTCAAACATCTTCACCCTCCGCACAATCCAAGACGTCCAAGCAATTCTCTCAGCAGCCAAAGAAAAGAAAAACATAGTCGTAATCGGCAGTTCCTTCATCGGAATGGAAGTCGGTAACGCCCTCTCAAAGGACCACAACGTCACAATCGTCGGCATGGAATCAGCCCCTATGGAACGAGTAATGGGCCCCCAAGTCGGCCGCATCTTCCAATCAAACCTCTCCAAATCAGGAATTACTTTCAAGCTATCCGCAGGCGTAAGCCATGCCTCTCCTTCTCCCTCCGCCTCAGGTTCAACACCCCCAGTCGCTTCCGTCCACCTGAAAGACGGAACAGACCTCCCAGCCGACCTAGTCATCCTGGGCGTCGGCGTCCGCCCCGCAACAGACTATCTGACGGACAACGCGAGCATCACGCTTGAAAAGGACGGCTCGATTGCTACGGACGAACACTTCGCCGTCCGTGGCTTGGACTCCGTTTACGCCGTCGGTGATATCGCAACGTACCCGTATCACGGGCCTGGTGGGAACGGCGCGGGCGTGCGCATCGAGCACTGGAACGTAGCGCAGAATGCGGGGCGAGCAGCTGCGCGGGCGATCGTCGATGCGCAGCGTGGAGTCTCGGTTAAAGCTAAGAGGTTCATTCCGGTATTTTGGTCTGCGCTTGGAGCGCAGTTGCGGTATTGTGGGTATGCGGGTGGATTTGATGATGTTGTGTTGCAGGAGCAGGGGGAAGGGAAGTTTGTGGCGTTTTATACTAGTGGGGAGACGGTGGTTGCTGTTGCGACTATGGGGGTTGATCCGGTTATGAGTAAGAGTGCGGAGTTGATGAGGGTTGGGAAGATGTTGGGGAAGAAGGAGATTGTTGCTGGGGGGGGATGTTTTGGATGTTCGGGTTTAGATTGAGGTCTTTAATGAATGGGAAGTGGGAAATAGGTGGAATGATTGGAAATGTTCAATTGGCATATTCACATTTGAAAAAGGGAATTAAAAGTAGACCCGGAACGCCCCAGATGTAGTCGGTGATATCAGATATCAGGGCTCATATATATGAGTTGGTTTACTTCTTGGAAGACTTGGACTTTTTCTCCTTCTTCTCGGATTTGTCCTTTGTCTCTTTCTTTTCTTTTTCTCTTTCTTTTCCTTCTTCTCCTTCTTCTCTTTCTTGGGACTGTCAAGATGCACATCTGCAGTCTCGACTTCCTCGACTACCTCTGCGGCCGGTGTGTTGCTAACAGGAATTGAAGCATTCACCTTGGGCACAGCGAAGAACGAAGGAGGCAGGGACTGTCCCTGTCTTTCAGACTCGAGAAGCTTCCGCTCCTCCTCCTCTCCCAACATCGTACCCTCGATACTGAGGAATCCGCTGTCTCGCTCAGACCCAGGGATGACATCGACATCGACAACGCGGAAGCGCACAGACCCGCGCACGCGGTGCCCAGAAACGGATTGGAAGTAGCCACTGTGCGCGGACTCTTCCTCTTCCTCGCCCTCGAGAGGGATCTCCTCTTCGTCCAGCGTAGCAGGCTGGAAACCTTCCTTCTCAGCGTTGAACTCGGCCATGTCCTTATCAGATCCCGAGTCGTCGTCCGTGGCCTCGGTCTCCTCGCCGGGAGGGACCCACTTCCAGTTCTGCGGCAGACGCTTGCGTTCGATGCCGACGGAGAAGAGATTGAAGACTACCGCTCCTAGGAAACCCTCCGATTGAACGTTGACCCAGCCGTCGAGGATTTGGCCGCGCTGAGGCCGGAAGATCAAGAAGGTGGCGGTCAAGTAGACGTACAGAACACCGTACTCATCCGCAGTGGTAGCGTTGGTCAGCGGCTGGGGGTTCTCTGAGGGCGCGGAAGTCGGGGAAGGCGGTTTGCTGGAGATCGAGGCATTGGAGTACGCCATGACCACACCTTTCAGCGGCGGGTAGTAGGTGAGCAGGAGGGGTGAAAGGTGCTCTGCCAGAAGCGAAGCTTGCGCATGTGTTGGCGAGATAGAGATTGGCGAGAGAGGGAGGTAAAGAGTTGCTTTTTTGAGGGTGAATGGGGACTCTGGCGTATCTTGCTTGCGCTTCTTGGTTGATGATGAATCCTTGGTTTTGGATTTGCGCTTGCGCTCTGCGTCTGCGGTGCGCAGAGGAAGGGCGTCGATATCCATTGCGTCGACTGCCATGTTGGGCGCAATTGAGCGCTCCACGGAGCTGGGTTCGATGTGGAGGGATTGGGTGCTTCTTTCTGAAGTCGAGAACTTTTTTTTTTTCATTTGGCTTTGGGTATGACGAGTGGGGAAGGCGGTGGAGCGGGCGGTGTCGGTGGGCGCCAGATGGCCCCGGACTATTTTGGGGGGTTGGACAACTGGCTGTCTTTCTCTCTCACTTTCTTTCTATTGACATGTTGCGTGTGGGATTCGGGTGAATTTGAGATTTTATTATGGCGTCCCTTTTGCCTTTCTTTGGCTGGGCTGTTCTACCAAATGTAAGTGGGCTGTTGAGCAAGCACGCGACGGACGCTGATACAAAGCATAGTATGCCACGTCTTTCCTCCAAAGTGTCTATTATGGCATGACTATTCGTGCAGGCGATCCTCGGCCAGCGCCTCAGTCAGAGAAGTTCCAGCGTCACCGCCGTCGTATATTTATCTTCGTGATCACAAGCTATCTACTTTACACGCTCTACGAGACGTTCTACCAAGTCCAGCTGGCGGGTGACTACTATCAAGCGCTAGGCGTCTCACCATTTGCCGATGAACGTGCGATCAAATCGCGGTTCCGCAGGCTCGCTGCCCAGTACCACCCGGACAAAGTTGGAATCGACACCGGAGCCGAGGCCTACTTTTTGTACCTGCGACGGGCCCAGGAAACCCTAGCGGATCCAGTGAAGCGGTTTGCGTATGACAGATTCGGCACCGACATGCTGAATTGGGGCGACAAAAAGACCATGCGCGACTACTTGATGACCTCAATGACGAAGATCGCGCCGCAGTACATTGGCGGATTTATCACCATGATGGTCCTGAACTGGCTTTGGTGGGCGAACTGGGGTCGATACGTGAGTTTCCTACCATTGTTCTCGACGAAGCCCAAACTAACAATGAGACAATAGTGGCGGTTCTTCACATTCGCTGCATTGCTCACCCTCGAGCTGGGCCTGATCACACACCCCCAAGCAGTGTTCATGCCCACCTCTTACCTTCCCCGCGCACTCCAGGAGTTTCTTCCCAAGAATTCATTCTACCTCCTTCCATTCCAGATCTTGACACTTGCCCGCCGCGCGTCGATCATGCTTCACATCTTCATCTCACAGGCGGCACCGCCTTCTACTAAGGCACCCGGTGGAAGCGGTGATAAAATTTCCCCGCAAACCATGCAGCGAATCGGTCAACTGGTCCAGTTGAGCCGCGCAGCAGACAACGAGGCCACACGCATCATGCAGATGGGCCTTGCGCCTTTCCGTGGAGATCGCGAGAGCGTATCGACCCTTCGACGGGGTATGAAGGAAGGTCTCATCCTCGGTGGAGTGCGATCTAGTCCCGGGGTGCAACAGGCCGTGGCCGAAGTGAGGGAACGGCGCCAGGCTGAAAATAAACAGGATCAGACCTGACCGCAATTTAGAATCGCGGTGTACATAATTGTTGATATCGAATCTGGTCTATATTATCTGCACGCTCCTCTGTAGTCAACGTCTGTATTATTACTATTTTTCAGAAGATATGGTTACTTTCCAGACACTCCGTATTCCAAGGTTCTAACGAGGCACTATTCGAGTCGTAAGAGGGTACACTCAAGTTTCGCATAGATCCCTTCTGCCTTTGTTTGCTCTACGCAGCCCTGGACGCAACAACAATGAAACTCGCAAACGCCTAACACGCTGAAGTCTCAAGAGTTCTCGGTTGGAAGTAAAATCAATCTTTGTTGAGGACTGCACTCCGTAATTTGGCCCATTACATTCTGTGTACCGAACACCCATTGTGGATCAAAAAGCAGCAACTCAATCGATTCGCGGCCCATTCGGCCTGGCATTGGGAACACCTGGGCTTGAACTAAAACCAGCAAATCATCTCGTCACGGAGATCTCTTCATTGGCTGGTTCCACATTGTCTACGCACAACATGGCAAAATCAAACCATACATTACGGAGTACGGAGTACTCTCTTTTCCGAGTATAGATCACATCGATTACGACTCGTCCAGATGTTGATCCCCGACAACTATGAGTTGATACATCGTTTTGCTAGATGGGGTGAACCACTTGTAGTCAGAAGGAGTCTACCAAATGGCCTTCACGGAGTACATCGTGTAGTGTTATACTCCGTAGGATCTGAATGGAGAGGGGTTCTCGCAGATCCACCTCGTCATATGGCCTCGAGTTCGAAGTAATCAGGGGGCCAGTGCCTCCCGTTGGCTATCTCTGACTCGGCGTTTGAGAACACAAGTGAATGTCTTCATGCTGACGCGGTTAGTGTCTTCCGGCAAAGGCCGATCGGTGTTCTTTGGATTAGTTGGTACTCCGTAGTCCTTGGTCTGCTTTGGTTTCCAACGGTCACTTCCAGAAAGTCCAACTCTTGGCCCGAAGGTTTCAGTGCCAACGCTGCCGCCACCCTCCGAGATTAGAACGCAAGTCATGATGTTAGGCATATCTCCACCTCTTTCGAGCCCTAAACTTTCCGTTCCAAGTTTCTCGGTTCCAGTCTCCAGACTCCAGCGCTGGACCGCGGGATGACTAAAGGAGAAAGAAGAAAGAAGAAAGAAGAAAGAAGAAAGAAGAAAGCTGAGGGATATTCCAGCGAGCGGTCTGGTCTGTGAACTGAGAAGTATGGTACTCCGTACAGGCTCCGGTAAGTAACAATGGGGGAAAAGGCGCGAGACATCATGCGGTCAGTTCTCGGGATCAGATGAGAGATCGTCGACAAAGTAAAGTCAAGAGAGAAATAGGAAGAATAAAGAGAAGCATAAGAATAAGAATAATAGAAATAGAAATAGAAATAATAAGAAACAGAAACAGAAGTAGAAATAGAATAGGAAGTAGAAGTAGAAGTATAGAATAGACAGTAATAACCAAAAGGGTAAATGACGGTACGAACAAGCCGAAGGCACTTCTCCCCCTGCGCTTCATTCTCGAGAAAAATTAACCATGGGATCCACGATCCCTTATTTTACTCGTTTCCCTTATTCCTCTTATTTCCCTTATTTTACCTTCCCTTCTTTCCTTCTTCCCCTCCCCTCTCAGACTATGCTCCCTCCATCCATCCACCACAATACTTCATACCCTTGAGCAGACGACTCACCATCGGGAATTGCCTCATCACGCTTCCGTCACTTTAAAATCCCCCCTTCCAAAAGACGCGCCATCATGCCCGCCACCCCCAACAGCCGCCGAGGCAAGAATTCCTTGACCATCGTCCTCAAGGTGCCAGCCCAGTCCCTGGCCCGGCTCATCGCCAACACTCAGGACACCCCAGACACCAAGGACCGCTCTTCACCAGCCTCCTCCGGGGAACTGCCCACCGTCCGACCCTCCTCGGCCGACAATGGCTCCGACGACGCCAACTCCACCCCCGCCACCGGGGCCACTCCAGCCGACACACCGCGTCGGAAAGCCATCCCGGGACCAAAGCCAGGCAACAAGCGAACAACCGGACAGACAGACGCCAAGTCGCGCGGACGACCAGGCCCCAAGAAGAAGCCTAAGCTGTAAGCAACCTCTTCCCCCCAATGCCTAATGGCCCAACCCCTCCACGCAATGCCCCGAATACTAACGCAAACAAAAAAAACAGTGAGGAAGGCGATAAACTACCCGCCGCTCAACGTCTCGGACCCAAAGCAAACACCGGTGCTATCAATGCAGGCCTGCGCGCCCTCGACCGAACCGGCTCCGCCTGCCGTAAATGGGAGCGCAAGCCGCTGCAACTGCGCAGCTTTACGGGAATCATGTGGCAGCTCCCCTCGTGGCGCACGCCGGGTCTAGCAGAGAGCAAGCTCGACGTTGACAGCAAGCTGCTCGCACCGGATCTCAGCAGCGCTGTACCCAGTGAGAAGAGTGGGGATGGCGATGCGACTCCTGCGTCGCAAATGGTGGAACCTTCATCACCAGCTATCCTGGCTACATGATTTGTACTTGTATATTTTCTTCTGTTTGGGCTGGGGTGTTCGGTTGCAGGTGGGGATTTATTATTTGTTGTACCATAGGTTTTTTTGGGCACTGGGATAGGTTAGGATTTGATCTCTTTTTGTTCGCGATGAGCGTCCTGTTTATATATTCTTAGTAGATGGCAGGACTTAGCATGATAGTTTAACAGCTTTAGGCTAACACATCTCTAACGCACAGCGATTATTATATGACACAAAGCCCTTGTTAGTGCATAGCCATAGTCCCAAGAGGGGCTCGTGACATGTACATTGTATATACTTCTCGACATGAGAGCTTCCCTTTCCCCGCTCTTTAGACCTCCGGTTTCCTCTTTTGTCTGGTCTTTGTTGTGATCAACGAAGTTTCTTTGGCCTTTAGAATTGCTTGTCCGTTGAGAGGTAACCTTGGAAGCTGCTTTCGGTTCTCCGTCTACGCCGTTTCCATACTCGCCTTTTCTCCACGCACCCCCTTGCTGCAAGAACTCCCATTCTCCACGCACTTTTTCCCCTATGCAATCCTATTCTCCACGCACTTTCCTTACTCACGTACTTTCTTTCTCCGCATACTTCCTTTCTCCACGCACTCTCCACCATCTCTTGTCCACGCACCTCCGCAAATCAACGATATGACCACGCACTCTCACAAGCCATTCCTTGATTCCACGCACTTGCATCATCCGATACTGACCGATCCTGCCCAAGGCTAGAAACCCGACATTCCGAAAGCGGGACCAAAAAGATAGTGATTTTAGCAAAAAGAAGAGGAAGACGACAGGCAAGAAAAATCCACCCCGAAACGGAGGTCCAAGTGTGGTGGTTAGTAGCGTTTGGGGGGCGACCCGCGATCATGAGCGATGTTCCTTTCCCCCATCCGGTGGAGCTCGAGCTCCGACCTCATACCCCAGCATCTCCTCCATCCCACGACGCTCCTCCTACGCCTCTGTGGTTTCCGGCAACACATTATCGCCTTCCTTCTCCACCCTTCTAAACGAATCATTCTCTAACCCAACCTTTGACCGAGTCCACCGGACTCCGTTCGGCGTGGATGCCGACATGCAAATGAACTCCGCCTGGAGACCCGACTCTCTACCACCCCATTCCCGCAAGTATGCCGGCTTCCTCCAGTCCGATATCCCACACCTAGGACTCACCGACCCTCCATTCCTCATCCCCTCCTACCTCCGCAACTCCCGCTACCTCGCCCGACTCGAGTCCGCCCATCGGTCCAAACTCACCAGAGACTCCAATCCGCCTCTCTCCGCCTCCTCTAGCAATGCCCACCTCCCTCGCATGGCCCCGTCGCACCGCGGCATGACCTATGACATTATCGAGAAAGAGATCCCTGTCCCAGACTCACTCTCACCGCTGCCCAGCCAGTGGAGCATCACGGACAAGTTCGCCGGCCTGGAATTGAGTAACGATAATTTCGATGTTCGGTATACCGGTCCTGTCCACAAGCATGATCATGAAGCTGCCGCCTTGCGCGCGGATCATCCCATGCCGCCGCAGTGTGGGATCTATTACTTCGAGGTCAAGATCGACTCCAAGCCGAAAGAGGGGTATGTGATCCTCGTGTGATCTGTGAATTTTAGCTGACTTTTTTTCAGTATGATTGGTATTGGATTCTCGAGTCACAAAGCCTCGGTCGAAAGACTTCCCGGCTGGGAGCAGGAATCCTGGGCTTATCACGGCGACGACGGAAAGTCATTCTTCGGCGAGAGTCAGGGCCAAGGTCGGGCGTATGGACCGACCTTTACCGTTGGCGATACTGTGGGTTGTGGTGTGAACTTCTCGACTGGATCGGCGTTCTTCACTAAGAATGGCATCTTCTTGGGTTCGTCTCTTATTGGGTGTGGATGTGACATACAGCTAACCGGGACTAGGTAATGCGTTCCATGAGCTGCGCAACGTTAAGCTATACCCATCCGTTGGTATGAAGAAGTTGCCACCGGTACATCTCAAAGCGAACTTTGGACAGGAGCCGTTCGTTTTCGATATTGATAATATGGTCAGGGTATGTAGTGTGAACACTTTCCCTCAACGAACCATGCTAACTCCCTGTAGCAAGAGAGGATAGCCATTCAATCTGAGATCAACGCCACTCCAACGGCAAACCTCCAACCACCATTGGACGAGTCGACTCTTCTCCAAGAACTAGTCGCACAGTTCCTCGCCCACGACGGTTACGTAGAGACAGCACGTGCTTTCGCCGAAGAAGTTGCCTCAGAAACCATGGCGCTGCAAAATGGTCGCAACGAGCCATTAAAGAAATATGAAGTGGAAGAAGACCACGAAGCCATCAACCGGAACAGTAAGTATCCCAAGTCCAAGTCATTTTGAAACTCACTTACTAAATACTCAGAAATCCGCTCCGCTATCCTGGACGGCGACATCGACAAAGCCCTCAAACACACAAAAGCATACTACGCCAACGTACTAGAAGCGAACCCTCAAATCCATTTTAAACTACGCTGTCGCAAGTTCCTCGAAATGATGCGCCTCTCCAACGAAATCAGTGCACGACCCCCCTCCGCACACTCCCACGAACACGCCGTCTTCGACCATGAAATGGAACTTGATGACGATACCGACGGCTCCTTCAACCAGCTTCTCACGGAAGCCGTACAATACGGCCAGCAGCTTCGGGCGGACTATCCCAATGACGAAAACGGCGGCGATAAGAAGCTGCTCGACGACATATTCTCCCTCGTTGCCTACCCTGACCCGAAACGAAGCGTTCACGGCCATTACCTCGAGGAGAAGGGAAGAGTTGCTGTTGCCGAGGAGTTGAACTCCGCAATCTTGGGTATGTATTTTGTCCCCGCTCTTGTTTAGAATATTGTCGCAGTGCAATGCTAACTAATAGTTCTAGTGTCGCTGGGTAAATCATCTGCTGCCGCTTTGGAGAGGTTATACCAACAAACGGAAGTGTTGGTTAATGAGATCAGTGAAGATGGCGGCGCTGGGGCGTTCATTAACGTTAGGAACGATGTTCTGCTTTGAGGGCCTTGATGGCGCTTTTTTTCTTCTTCTTTTCTGTCTTTTTGCCAGGAATTTCTTATGTCGACTGGCTCTTCGCAACTTTCTAGCATCAACATTTCTTAAATGCCGCAGTCCGTGTTCCGTGTTCCGTGTTCTTGTCCATTAATTGGTACCGGTAATATTGAATTTGAGGTTTCCCAGGTTGTGAGCGCATTTGTTGGATTAAGTACACCCAGGAGAAGTAATTGATCAAGAGTCTTCCGAGGTTTGGTTATGCTTGGACTCAATATTGCGCTCATTGAAAGGCTTGCCTACTGTGGGGGCATGTCTACCCGTGGACGGGTATACATTTGTATGCCGGGCTGTAGTTGCCCTTGGAAGTGGTGAATTTTCTTCTCTTCTCTCCGAAGTCAGCAAAATACCATGTGCATATAGGGCCGTACTCAATACTCAGTACTCGAGTGGTTATGGAAGAAATGACGTCTTATTTTCCCCTCTCATGCTAATGGATCTGCCATTTGTCCATTCTTCGGTCAAAAGTATATCTTCAACTTCACCGCTGATAGGTCCAAACCAAGTGGGGGGCGTAACCTTGGCAGTGCAGATATGTCGACGATGCATCATTGTTAAAATGTGATCCAGCTCTAATTCAATTCTAATCTCGAATCCTACACATTGTATACATCTTTTGATACATCCCCCGAGAGAGAGAGTAAGTAGGGCTCAGGGCCATCACGCCGGGAGCAACCGTGGAACCGTCCGAACCTTATCCACTCTTACATAATCCCCCAGGAACCTCGAACTCCCGTGATCAACATTGGGTACCGACCTTCACCTCCAGAACACGCAGGCGCATCTACCGGTGTGACTTGGGCTGCGAGATTCGATGATCAAGACTCCCTCTCCACCTACGCTCCCAAAGGGGCCACATTCCCAGCATGGATTCCCATCCGCATAGCTCGGAAGGGTTCAGCATTCCCACCCATTCAAGCGCTTCCACCACCCTTCGCTGCTGCTGTGGTCGAAATGATTGTGCTTTGTTGGAACACAATAATCTTGCCCTGGAAGGTGTGGAAAAAGACCTCGAAACTGCTGCAAGGCTTGGTCAGGTACGTGTGATTTGATATCGGCCCAATAATACGATCGCTGTTCGGTGGAGGTGTTCCTGAGCTGAAAGAACCATGCATGTTTGATACTGTACTTGTACACCCTATCATTCCCATCATTCCTCCCATAACGCTTCTTTCTTTCCATTCCTGTCCCCTTAATTTTTTTTTTTCTCGCATTACTCCTTTCAGACTGGACACTTCGTGTACCAGTCTCATCCCCATGGCTACCTCACGATCTCGATCGCCTATTCTTTTACATTGCGTTGGCGTCCGTCATGGCTACCTTTCATGATTTTACTGCGAAAGCAGATGGTTTTGGGTCGTCATCGCTGACTTTTGCTTTACAGGCCTTGCTCCACCGTCATGAAAGTTATATGGCTGAGGCCGAAGAGGACCGGCATCGCTTGGTCACCAGCATTGACGATTTAGAGCGAGAAAAGAAACAAGTACAGGCTGAGAATGCGCGCATCATTGAAGAGAATCGCAATCTACTAGAACAACTCGACACTCTCAATAAAGCCGTCGCCGAGTCCGACGACCATGTCAAGTCCCTCACTATTACTCTGGAAAGCACCGAGTCGGAGTTGCGAAGGTTGACGGTCGCTGCGGCGCGCGCTGAAGACCTTGAGGCGCAACTAGCTCTCATGGAGACCGAGCAGATAGGCCTTCAGGAAAGTCTCACTTCGGCGCACGAAGATGAGAAGTCAGCGGTTCAGCGGTGGAAGCAAGCAGAGTGTAGTCTGCGCGACCTTCATGACCAAGTCGATCGCATCGAGAAAGAAGCGCGCGAGGAGAGCGAGCGGCATACAGAGTTGGTCGAGCGCATGGAACGGAAGAGGGCGGTTGAGCGCGAGCTAGATAACGCAGCAGGCCGTCTCAAAGGCGCTGCCGCCGCCTCTGAACTAAATCGCAATGCTGGTGGGACCAATGTGGTCTCACGCTTCGTCAAGGATATTCTACAAGATAACGCCAACTTGCAAGTCGGGATAATGGAATTGCGCGACATGTTGCAAAGCTCAAATGAAGAAGTACAGAGTCTTCGCGACCAAGTCATGTCTCACCAACCGCTGGCCGGTATCGATGAGGAGAATTTACAGCCAAGGTCTTCCACTACCTTGAGCGAGGAGCTGGAAGCAAAAGAAGAACGCCGTGTGTCTCAGGAACTTCATATCCATCACCACTACCATTCCCCGACCCAGCCTGCCAAGAAAGAGAAAGGTCCGCTCAACCGCCGTGTCAAGAAACGTCGCCCTGCTTTGGGAAGTCCCGTCGCGATGCACTCCGCGGTGCGCTCCCAATCGCCCCGAAGAGCCATTCATCGCTCGCAATCGTCCGGTTCATCCATGTCCACAATCCTGTCCCACACATCTGTTTCCATCCCACCGCAATCTTCTCGCCGCTGGTCCTTACAATCTTATGCTCCGGATTCAATGGCAAGCTCTCCACAGTCCGGGTTCCAAACATCATCGATATTTGACCGGGTTGAACGTGGACCTGAATTCTCCCAGCCTACCAGCCCCGACAGCACCGTGTTCTCATCGCCAATGATGGGAGCGCGCAATTGGAAAGGTCTTGACATGCCTTTCCGTCCAATGGGTGGATTCGATAGCGACGATCCATCTCAATCCTTGCCCACTTACGACGAAGAGATCTACAACCGAGATTACGCCAATCCCAGCGACAAATTGAGACAGCCCGCCATCCCAGAAGAATCCGAGTCATCGCCTTCTGTCGCATACTTTGACACCTCTGCGCACAACCCAATTCCAGCACCCGAAGATGACATCTTTGCAATGCACCCACAATCCCCAGCATTGCGCAGGTCCTCGTCGCACGACAGTCTTCTCTCCGTATCTGTTGCAGGAATGGACATCCACACGCCTAACAACCGCCACATGCGCATGGGTGATTGGCATCCCGGCATGATGAAGATTCCCCAGCGCGTCCTCCCTCCCAGCGTCGAATTAGTCTCAACACCCCCTATAATCTCCACCCCCTCCATCCAAGTCGATCGCGCCAAAAGCTCTACACACACATCGCAGTCCTTGCTAGCTTCCATGGCCGCAAGCAACAGCAAGTCCGACGCAGCATCTATCGTCTCCGCCGATAGTGCCAGCACCGGATCAACAGCCACAACCGGACCCCGCAAGGGTCCGACCCTGGGGCGCCGCGTCGGAGGCTGGGTCCTAGGTCGATGGGGCATGGCGCCTGCCTCCGACGAGACAACTGATGCAACCGAACCGGCCGAATCACCCAATACCTCAGTCGCATCTTCTCCTTCTGTCCCAGCTCCCGTTCCCAAAGTGGACCCATTGGCTCTCCGCTTCAGATACCCAGGCGTGAATCAAAAGGGTCCGATCATGGGCCTCCGCCCTCCACCTCCCGCTCCAACCTCCCTTCATCCCAATGATCTAGATGAGAATTTGTTGCGAGAGAGTCTAGCCGAGTAAAATGGCTAGGGTCTCTGCAGCGAAATTTCTCCCTTTCTTTGCATTTGCCTAGCGATTACACTTGATTACTTTTTTTTTGCATTCACTCGTTCTCAACTTGCATCCTGTTATGGTTTGTTTTGCATTTCATGGTTCTGGTATTGGACTCGGTGGCGCCTGCGATTGCAATTGCGAACTTGATACCCATGCGTTTTATGTGTCCAATGGCACCAGTATAGACGACGCTCTTTGCCTTTTTCATCTTTGGATTGATTGCTTGGACTTGATGCATTATGAGTTTTTCAATGTCATATGTTTTGTCTGCTCATCAAATAATTACGTCATTGTCGAGGACTCTGAGGAGGCCCCACTTCTCTTCCTTTTGGGGCTGTTTTTCAGATTATCTACGTCCTTGCGTCTGGTTCATTCATGGTACTTGTAACAGGCATGTCATTTGCTTCATATCATGCTACCTGGTTCTATTCATTATTTCATGATGTAGGCGCGTTGTGGAGAGCTCATTTTGTGCGTGAGATCCGATATGTGCGGATTGGAATGCTGGTTGAATGGAAGAAACCAGTCTGCTTCTCTGACGATGTCGATTCAAAAGGCAGAGTCTCGACTGTGAATTTGTTGGTTTCTGTCGAGTCAGCACGTCGTCTGATCTGATACCCTGACGAGAGAATCACTCACCACAACCGTTCAAGAAAGTGCGGAAGGTATCCTCATTGCGCAGAGTTGCAGCAATGATGAATTGATCGATGCCGTAGTTATCGAAAAGATCACCGACAGTAGATAGCAACAAAGGAACAAGATCAGAATCATAGATCTGGAGAAGTCAGCCTAGGTCAAATCACAAATCAAAATCAAAATGAAACCTACCAAATCAGCACCAAGTGCAACATCAAACTTCAAGCCCCCATCAACACCATCAAGCTCCCCCGTCCTATCCAATGGCGTCCCCCACTCCCAAACAGCCGGATAAATAGGAATAGCTTCCTCTCCATCCTGATTATACCGCACACAAGCGCGGATATTATCAATCAAGAAAGGTTCTCTATCAGTGACAACAACGCTTTCCACTCTAAGGTGACGAGCACAGAAGAGAGCTAAGAATCCCGTACCAGCGCCTAGCTCGATAACTCGTTTCCCACGGACTAGCTCCTCACCCGCATCAGAGGCAAGGAATGAGCCGAGGTGCAGCGCTGCTTCCCAGGTTCGATTGCCCGTGGTGCCACCGGAAAGAATCAGACCTCTTGACTCGGATGTCGTGACTGTTCGAGTGCTGTTGGGGGCTGTGTATTTTACCAATGAGAGTTGCTGGGCTTGTTCCAGTGATGATGGTTTGGGCTGGGAGACTAATGTGCTCCAGCTTTCCATGAGATCATCGTTGATTTCCTGTTGAGGATGTTAGACTGGTGGAATTGAATATGGTTTGGATTTTGATGTATAAGATGGTTGAAGGTCGAAAAAAGGGGATGTAAGGATAAGTGCAAGCTCAGGATAAAAGGCTACATACATCCTGCTCGGGGTCTGTGATTGCTTCCTCAATGCGGGAGAGGATCTGTTTGAGCACACGGCTTCGGTAGCTGTGTGGTGGGATAGGAAAGATCGTCTCGTCAAACATATGCGCATGAAGTGCTGCTTGCACATCTGGTTTGACGAGCACTGGGCCGGGTGGAAAGTCCAGTTGGTTTAATTCCACCAGTTGAAAGTACTGTGCTGCTAATTTGTGAATATCGTCCATCTTGCAGCATAGAACAAATTTATGTATATTGCAGATCAATGCGGCGGATATCATTGGAGGGGCTGACCTGGGGAGATGAGTCAGGAATGAGATAATCAAAGATCCAGTGATTACTAATTAAAATTACTGGAGCCTCAGGCATGATGAGGGCGAGTTTTGAGTGCCTTAGGCATATTTCCCAAAGGGGATTAGTGTCTACCCTAGCCGAGCCCATCCCACAGGAAAATTGAAAGTTCGACATCCTCAGTGAACCCGTCGACACTTCCTCCATCCAACGCACACATCAAAATGGCCGACACTCCCGTCACTCTGCGGACTCGCAAGTTCATCCGCAACCCTTTGCTTGCCCGCAAGCAGATGGTCGTGTAAGAACCCCCTGATATTTTTCCCCTTGGATCTGTGTGTGGTGGAAATACTTCGAGAGCGCGCAACATTGAAACCGGACGACAACGCAACAAGAAGAACAAAAACGCAATCGGAAAATACAACACACACAGAAACCAAGCCAGCCACCATCAAAAACCACCGATCTGACATGTTATCGCGAATTTTAGGGACGTCCTCCACCCCAACCGCCCTAACGTCTCCAAGGACGAGCTCCGCGAGAAGTTGGCCGACCTTTACAAGTCCAACAAGGACCAGGTCTCCGTCTTCGGTTTCCGCACACAGTACGGTGGTGGTAAGAGCACCGGCTTTGCTCTCGTCTACGACTCCGCCGAGGCCCTGAAGAAGTTCGAGCCTCACTACCGTCTCGTCCGCATCGGTGCCGCTTCCAAGATCGAGAAGGCTTCCCGCCAGCAGCGTATGTTTCGTCCAATCACTACCACCACCAACATCATTACCTCCAGGATCAGTACTAATTTATCTGGCTTACAGGCAAGCAACGGAAGAACCGCTCCAAGAAGTTCCGCGGTATCGCCAAGGTCAAGGGCCCCAAGAAGAGCAAGGATTAAGCGCATCAATCTTTCGCACGAATCAACATGGACTGATACGATTGTGTGGATGGTTTGGCTCTGGAGTTTCCCACCTGGGTTCCGGTATGTTGGAGCCAGGTGCGGTCGGTCGTGTGTGGGGGTGGTTTATCTTCCTTTCAGCGAACATCAGACTAAAACCCAAAATGATGCCCGTTGATTGAAAGACCGTGGAAATTCTTTTCCTGTCCCTGGTGCTGGTGATTCCCGTTGAAAAAAAAAAAGGCCAGGCGACCCATCACGGGCGTCTGTGTCGTGGTTTCTTGTGTATGTTTTTTTGGGGTCATCGGTTTCCGTTTTCAGGGTTATGAGAATCCGGGCGGCTGCCCGGGATGAAATTACATTTTACTTGTTCTTCACTCGGGTTGTTGTAAGTGTAGACCGGACCTAGTAGATCTAGACCTCTCATTGCAATGCGGAGTGCCTAGTTGGGTATAGATCATTGTGTATAGTGCGGGAATTTGGGGGGCGTGTCCAAGGCTGAAGCTTCGCCCTTCCATTGGCCATCAAGGTAATTGAGGATTGCCCCGTTCTAAATCTGGTCTCAGCTACAAGTACTCGATCTCTCGGAATACTCTGTGGTGACATCCGTGACGGTCACATCCGATTCCCCCGCAGATTTCAAGGTTATGCGTCGTACTCGGATACCTAGCAAAGAACTATATCGGCAGTTCCATGAACGCGAGTAACACCGAACCCCAGATGCCCCGATATTTGTAATCTTTGAAAATGCAGGCACATCTTCTAGTCTCGTGTGCGACATTATCTTAAATAGAGGAGATCCATGTCCCGACTTCCTATTTTGGCTCTCAATTGTCCGAATTGATTTGGACGTCACATTTATCTGACACGTGCTTCCAAATTTGGTCGCCTGACTGCTTGCTGGTTACTGTAGGATCTCATATTTGTGATTGAGGAGCTCCAATGTTGGTTGGCCTATCTAGGGTGGTAGATGCCCAGGTGTAGACAGGCGATGTCATGGCTGTATTACTGCACAATCCTTTTTGAGGTTTGGAAAATTCCTAGAGAATATCTGTCCGATGAGGCTGGTTGCATCGAAGACGGCGAGTTTCGAAGTAAATTTTGGGCTTTCTGATCGTTGGATTGCACGGCGTTTATCAGTTTTTGGATCCCAACCTTGGAAGGTTGCTGAGCGAGTACGGAGTATATTCAAGGCATAGTCATTAATCAATATACTATTATCAAAGCGCCAATTCCAACATAGATTATGGTGCAGATGTAACAAAAATGACCAAAATCAAAATATTCCACACTTTACAGACAGCAAAAATGAGAAATCAAACAGCAATAAACACAGCCATATCAAATCACCGATTTGTCTCGGTAACATATCCCAAAGACAAAAGGAAGACAACGAAGCAAAACATTCCCACCAAAGCAAGAAACATCATACAAGAAAAAAAAAAACAAATTCTGAAACACAATAACCAAACACCACAAAGCCTTGGCGTATTAGGGCAACAGGGAAAGACCAGCGTGAGAAGACGAGTCAGGTCTCACACCACCGTCTTTCCATCGGGGGTATTTGGACTTTTGGAAGGGCAAGAGGAAAAGTAAGCAATTAGAGCAGGGCCAAGACGATAAGTCACAAGACAATAGCAGACACATGGAACAAGGCAGACATAGGGGTCATTCGGGTATCTCTATTTTGTATGGGAAGGAGAAGACCAACCAAAAAGACCGACAAGAAGACAAAACATTGCGAGCTCAAGACTCAGTAACCGTGATGCGCCAGTGGTGAGATGGCAGATCGGTGGATCTCCCTTCCATATTCTGGCATGGTGTCAGGGAGGAAACTGTATTGCATAGAATCTGAAGGTCGAGCACGGGTATACGGGAGACCATTCATGAGGGTGGGTGCGCGTTCGGTCTTCCGTCCACTGCTGTACCCGTATGCGTCGAGTGGTAGCAGACGCTGACCTGCATCGCGAGAGTATGAGCGTGCCAGACGGACTGCGGTGAACTCCAACTCAGGATCGTAGTTTGAAGGCACGGTTGCGGGGAGGGGCACTGTGTCGTCCGCTGTGGACATGGGGATATAGCCGAAGACCATTTCTGCGTCGTCGGGTTTGACGCGAGAGTTGTAGGCAGTTGGCAGTCTTTCACGGCCGTAGAAGGCTTTCTGGTCTGAGCCTTCTGGCTGGCTGCGTGGTGTGGGGAGAGTGCGGTCTACTTCCGGGAAGGTTGTGGGGGTTTGTTCGGGCATGGTTGAGGGAAGAGTTGAGGGGACTTGGCCTGGGACAACAAAGTTGTATTGGTTGATGCTGTCGTCAAATAACTCGCCAGAAGGTCTGCAGGCTGGATCCCAGCGGTTGGCCCAGGTGTAGTCGACATTGCTGGGCAGGATGTAGCTCGGCTGGTAGTTGACTGATGGCTCCTCGTAGCTCATGAGAGGATCTATGCCCACGGACTGCCGTGAGAAGGTGGAATGTTCCATGCCGTATTCTTCTCTCTGGTATGGAGTCCGCGCTTGAGGTGAGCCCATGGATCGAAGTGTTGATCTCACAGTGCTGGATCCAATACACCTGGCAGCCTCCTCGGGTGATAGTGAATTAACCTGGGTGGATTGTTAGGTTAGCTTTTCCATGACTAGTTGGCGTGTTGTGGGGCTTACCCTTGAATAGTGGCACTCGTTAGCTCCCACGGATAGGCAACTTGAGCAGGCAAGGCCATTGTTGAGATCACCGTTGCACTTGATCTTTCTCTTGCGGCATCTATTACACTGTGGGAAGTTAGAGCGAGCATTCTAGGGCCTTATCAACATCACATACGGCAACGAGGGCTCTCTTTCTCGGCTTGAGGGTCTTTTCCTCGTCGGCAACAACCCCATTGCACTCTTGCTTCACCACGCGCATTGAACGAGACACAGCACGCTTGGGCTCACTCCTGGCTACCAGCCCTAGGTCGTATGAATGATCCATAGCTCACGGAATAAGAAAAGATCAAGTTGCCACAAAGGATAGAAACAATCAAGATTAGGCTCAGAGTTCACGGGAGTACAATGTCCTATAAATCCACTGAAAAAGGAGGAGGTGAAAGATGTCTCTGGGAGATAGGGCTAGATTTAAGCCAGGTTTTGGTAACAATCGGTGTGATTGTACATGAGTTTTGCCCCTGTCTTTTATTTTTTATTTTCTCTATAGATGAAGACATCGCCGCCAAAAGTACGCTTTTGCTTTTTGAGTAATTCTCCTAAACTCTTTTTAGCCGTTTTGTATATTTTAGTGAATTTATTTTTTGCAGATTTATTTACTTTTTCTTTCCAAGGGGAAATGATATGCAAACTTCCGGCCCAGATGCCATAGTATGATGAAAGAGCCGGCGTTTTAAGAAGAGGTTTCACAGGGTAACGTCGCACATGACCTGATTCATAGGTAGTCATGGCAAAAAGAGTGCTCCGGTAGGTAGTGTTTCAGTCGATTTGAACTGGACACTTCTCTGTCGTGGCAAACAGGAGGACCAGGGAAACCACCACCCCATGCCTCAGATATCCTCCCACAATACCAAAGTCCCAAGCCCAAAGTCTAAACACTCCAGGGTCTCAAGGTCCCGGATTCCCCGGTTTCCAAAGATCCAGAAGATTCAGTATCGATAACAGAAACAAGGGAAACGGGCAACTGCCGGTATACTGTTTGCAGATCCGCGGGGGAGTATGACCGACGTCCGATGGAGACCAGGGAAATGTTTGCTCGATAGTTCAACCGATTGGTGTGGCTGCATCTGCATCAAACTCTTCTGAACTCGGTCATTGTCGAGGTCTGGAACGTAGCTGAGGCCTCAAAGGCCTAGAGTGAACTCTTCCTATCTTGCAAACGCACGGTGTCCCCAGGTCCCTAGAGAGAGGAAAGAATTTATAAAAAAAAAGGAAATACAAACGCTGTCTCAGGCTACTCTGTACAGATGTCTCAATGGAGAAATTCAGTCAGAGATTGGCGAAAAGAAAAAAGAAAAGAAAAAAGCAAAGCCAAAGAGAGGACAAGCAAAAAGTGACACCTGTCACTTTGCACGAGATAGCTTCCCCGAACCAAGCTCTAAAAAAATTAGGCGCAGGGATCAACGATCGAAAAAAGATCGGCGACATGGGTCTTTGGCGCCAGCGCAACTGGATCGAAATGGAAATTGGAAAAAGCAAAAGTCCACTAACTGAGCGGAAAATGGTAAGGGTTGTGATGACTTGACTCAAGTGGGTAGGTGACTAGATACCAATGCGATGGATCGATTTTGTGCTCACTCGTTCTAGAGATCTTGATCATGATCGACGCTAAAGGCTAAAAGGGGGAATCTAGAGGCGACCGTAATGATGCATGAACTCCTGGGATACTTACAAGGTTTGTTCTCATGTTACATGGATAGGAGGGAGATGATGGGATATTATACCCATATTACTCCGTGTGTGTATATATTATGAGGACAAAGTCCTGTGAGTCTGTATCTGACAGAGCCCTCCTTTTGAGTTGAGAATGATCTCAAGACACTGTACACCTTTGACAGTGGACACGAGCAAGATAAAGAGTCTAAGATCACAGTCTCCTCGTTTCAAATACCCGTTTGAACAGTATTGTCTCCGCGCCAAGGTTTGACAATGCACGACATTCGGGGGGAGAAGAAGAAGGGAATGGAGAATTTCAAGAGCCATTCCACCGACTCTTTCTTTCGCCAGGAACACATTGGGATTGAGACCGGCCCTTGTTGCAGGCGATACGGAAACCGCTATCGAATGAAGAGGCGCTTGTTCTCTCTTTCCCACGTGTGTGGCTCCTGTCATGATGCCCGTTGAATCCTGCTGCAGGAGACCGGGCGTTGATCCCCAACGTTTCTGCGGTGGAACAGGTCATAGTACGGAGTAGGGGACCGTGTGCTTGGTCCTACTGACTTCAGAGGCTGGGAATGGCAAGGCCACTGCCAAGACCAGAGCATCCTAGTTCTTTTGGTAGGGCCTGCTGGGTGCATTGATCGGTGAGGGATATACGGAATAAGCACAAACAGCTCAAACCCTAGGGTCGATCAAGGCCCTTAATAAGATCCGCTGCATGTCGATCTCAAAAGAGGTTATGTGTCCAACGGGGACACTCGGAAGATATGGCTCGATTGTCAAGATGTTGTTGTACAGCGTACGGAGTACAAGCGGGCCGATCATCCCGCCGACCTTCCATGTTATTTTCTTTTTTTCTTTCTTTTTCTGTGGCTTCGCTTTTGTTTTGGTAGAGAGAGATGTGCAAGAGGCCAGAAGAAGCCAAAACAAGCCCGAATGACAAGAAATGAGAAGAAAGTGAAGGCTTTCGAGTGGGAAAAAAGCAAAAGGGAGGAGAGTGGGAGAGGCTTAGTTCCGCTTGGGTGCGGTCATTGGTCCAAGCTCCTCTCACATTTCCCTTCCCTTCATCTCTTGACCCTTCGAGCCAATCACTTCTTTCCAACACCCGCCATGAGCGCGCTCTTAGAAACCTCCTTGGGCGATATTGTCATAGACCTGTTGGTGGATGATGCACCCAAAGCGTGTGACAAGTAAGTGGCTCCGGTTCCTTGGCTGTCTCTGTGCTGAACCTGAAACTAAAAAAGTTGTTTGCTAGCTTCCTGAAGCTGTGCAAGCTCAAGTATTACAATTTTTCGCCCATCCACAGCGTCCAAAAGAACTTTACCTTCCAAACCGGCGACCCCATGGGCCCTGACGCCCCGGAAAGTGATGGAGGGTCTTCGGTCTGGGGTCTGCTGGACGGACCGTCGAAGAGAACTTTCCCGATCGAGTTGCCGCGCAGGCTGAAACATCTTGAGCGCGGTACCGTGAGCATGGCTACTGTCCCTTCTACCAGCGATCCCGACCAGCGCATGGCCGCCAGTCAATTCATTATCACACTAGCAGACAATGTGGATTACCTGGATGGCAAAGCTGCGATCTTTGGAAAGGTTGTGGAAGGGCTCGACGTTTTGGACAAAATCAATGAATCTTTCATTGATGACCGTGGTCGACCGCTGAAGGATATTCGGATTCGACACACAACTGTCCTGGATGACCCGTTCGATGACCCGCCCAAGCTGGTTGAGCCAGCGGAAAGCCCCGTGCCTTCCAAAGCGCAATTGGCTACTGTGCGTATCGCAGACGATGAGGATTTGGATGACAATATGGACGAAGAAACTATGGAAAAGCTGCGACGCGAGCGTGAGGCTCGCGCCCAGGCTTTAACTCTGGAGATGGTGGGCGATCTGCCCTTTGCCGATGTCAGACCACCAGAGAATATTCTTTTCGTTTGCAAGCTGAATCCGGTCACACAAGGTTTGTCAAGCTTCCCCCGCATCGAGACCTTGCGCTGACCTCCCCTAGACGAGGATTTGAATCTAATCTTCAGCCGCTTCGGTACAATCTTGTCTTGCGAGGTTATTCGGGACAAGCGTACCGGTGACAGTCTGCAGTATGCCTTCATCGAATTTGATGAGCAGAAAGATTGTGAACAGGCCTATTTCAAGATGCAGGGTGTCTTGATTGATGACCACCGTATCCACGTGGACTTTTCCCAGAGTGTGAGTTTACCAAAAAAAACAAAGACCGACAGAAATCAATGCTAATATCTCTCATCTGGCAGGTCTCTAAGCTATCTGAATCCTGGCGCAACTCCACTGTCACCAAGCGTCGGCCGAGAGGCGGCTTTGGTGGTGTGGATGACCTGGAGGAGAAACGTCAGTACCGAGAGGTTGCCGACGCTCCAGTGCAGGAGGATGATGCCAGATATAGGATGGTGTTCGACAAGAACAAGAAGAATGATTCCCGTGATGCTCCCTCCGATCGGGATCGCGGGTCCCGTCAAGACTCCAGTCGGAGCCCTCGACGAGATAGAGATCGCCGGGACAGAGATCGTTACCGTCGTCGTTCTTATAGCCGAAGCCCACAACGAGATTCGCGAAGAGATCGAGAACGGGACCGAGGCCGTTACCGCGATGATCGCCGTCGATACTAGGAGATACCCCCATCAAAATACCATGTACTATCATATTCAAGCAAAATAACACATTCCATAACTTGACATGTCTCCTTTGTGCTACTCCGTATACTCCTCATACTGTACGGAGTACGTAGCTGTTGGGATGAGTGGTACCATTGGCAAAGGCCCCGCCACTAGTTCCAGTAAGTCTCACTCGGCATTCGCTAGGCTCATTCATGTCCGTGGCACTCGCTATTATTCGCCTCTGTAGATCTCTAAGCTTGACTAAAAATAACTCCAAGTGGGTTACGAGTACAGTAGTGTGAGGTGTATATTAAGTTGTTACGGTGAGGAAGAGTTCTTAATCTGTTGGAGCTTCAGCCCCCCCCGCGATTTATTTACTTTTCCCCTTGCCACTTCCCTTCACACCCCTCCCTTCCCCCTCTTCTCCCATTCTATTACTCTATAATTTTACACAATGGCTGGTGTTATTAAGGATACCGTCAACAGCCTTCTCGAGAAGATCCAGGGCACACCTGAGGAGACTCCTCGTGAGCCCTCCGCCGAGGAGTTCCAAGCACTCGTAGAGAAATACAACAAGGCGGGACAAGGACATGTCTTCGCTTTCGCTGAACAATTACCCACCGTCGAGAAGTCCCGACTCTTCCACCAACTCTCCAACTTCGACCCTGCCCGAATCAACGAACTGGCCGACAAGGCCCTCAACCCTCCCCCCCGCCGCAACGGGCCCAGTGACCCTCGAGCCCCTCCCCGAATCCGCCACAGCCTCCATCATCGACTCTAGTGCCGACGACATCCAAAAATGGTACGACTCTGGCTTGAAGAAGGTGGCCGAGAACAAGGTCGCTGTGGTGTTGATGGCCGGTGGACAGGGAACCCGCCTCGGCAGCTCCGCTCCCAAGGGCTGCTTCGATATTGGTCTTCTCAGCGAGAAGTCCCTTTTCCAGCTGCAGGCTCAGCGCATCGCCAAGCTCCAGTCCGTGGCTGGAGGCGGCAAGGTCACTATTCCCTGGTACATCATGACCAGTGGACCTACACGCAAGCCCACAGAAGAGTTCTTCGAGAAGAACAACTACTTCGGTCTTGACAAGAGCAACGTCGTCATTTTCGAGCAGGGCGTTCTGCCCTGCATCTCCAACGACGGCAAGATCCTTCTGGAGACCAAGGGTAAGGCCGCTGTCGCCCCCGACGGAAACGGCGGCATCTACCAGGCCCTCGTGGTCTCGGGCGTGCGTGAGGACATGCGCCGCCGTGGAATTGAGCATATTCACCTCTACGGCGTTGACAACTGCCTCGTCAAGGTTGCTGACCCGGTCTTCATTGGATTCTCCGCGGCGCTGGACGTCGATATCGCGACCAAGGTCGTGCGCAAGCGCAATGCCACCGAGTCTGTCGGTCTGATCCTCCTGAAGAACGGCAAGCCCGATGTTGTGGAGTACTCCGAAATTGACAAGGAGACTGCTGAGGCTAAGGACGCCAAGCAACCCGATGTGCTGAAGTACCGCGCCGCCAATATCGTTAACCACTACTACTCCTTCCGCTTCCTGGAGTCCATTGAGACCTGGTCCCACCAGCTGCCTCACCACGTCGCGCGCAAGAAGATTCCCTTCACAGATGCCGAGACCGGTGACTTGGTCAAGCCCGAGAAGCCCAACGGTATCAAGCTTGAGCAGTTTGTCTTCGATGTCTTCCCCATGACCCCGCTGGACAAGTTTGCCAGTATTGAGGTTCGTCGTGAAGACGAGTTCTCACCACTGAAGAACGCCCGTGGTACCGGCGAGGATGACCCTGATACCAGCCGTGATGACATTATGGCGCAGGGTCAGCGCTGGGTTGAGGCCGCTGGTGGTATTGTTGTCACCGAGGGCGATGCCAAGGGTGTTGAAGTTTCCCCTCTTATCAGCTATGTAAGTCTCCATTCAGTTCCTTTTGGTTGCTTTTTCACTAATGATCCTAGGCTGGTGAGAACCTGGAATTCCTTAAGGGACGACAGATTAAGGCTCCTGCTATCCTGGAGCGTGAAGAGTAGACTAGATGTCATACATAATAGATGTCAACCCACCAAATTGGGCAAGCAATGAAAGCTTGGAATGGATCTACCTGCCAGAATGTAGGGCGAGGAATTCTCGAGCTCAGTGAGCATTGTATACAAAGTACATAAAAGACTGGGCTCAAATAAGTGTAGTTGTAGACTCTATCCCTTGCCATATAGAAGAAGTAAATAAATCGGCCTTACGCAATGCGGAAAAGCCCGGGAGCTAGACGTTTGACGAGTTTGCGATTTTTCCACTTTGCACAGTGCAAGTTCTGAGAGAGTATCGTGAGTTGAGGTGAGTTGCAGTGTTGAAGGACCAAAATTCTCATTTGTGTTGGTTTTTTTCGGTTCTTTGTGTGGTCTGTCCCACTTTTCGATCTCTCGAAGTGGGCTGTCAACGTCCCCTCCAAGGTTCTCAAGACTAACAAGGTATAAGGGTATAGACTTTGACAAGCTTCTGAAGAGAGCATTATTGTGGTGAGTTTTGGTGCCCACGTCTTTCAACTCGATTCCTCCCCCCCGCCGATCTACACGTCTTTTCCCCTCCTTCGGTTGAAAATTTGAGATCGCAACGCGCATGCGATAAGCGACACAACAAGGATCGACTATGCGATATGGATGTCGTTGGACAATCTCCCTGCATCCGCTGTCATTATGCATTTCCCAGGCCATTCCGATCGCGAGGGGAAGACGCGATTTATCGCAGCTATACCGACCCTCGGCACCGACTGACTCGCGATAGAACACCGCCAAGATGATGTTGTCTCGTCGTGCATGCTACAAGTGTGGTACCATTGGCCACTACGCTGGTGAGTAGGGTCAATGGGAATTCCGGCGCAAACACTAACCCGACCATAGAGGTCTGCTCTTCCACCGAGCGTCTCTGCTACAACTGTACGTCGAAGCTCTTTCTCCCCACAAAATCCAAATCGGACAGTGCTAATCTTCTCGACCTGCAGGCAAGCAGCCCGGTACGTTCACTCTCGATCTCCGCCCTCGATCCAATCTCTAACCCCTCTAGGCCACGAGTCGAGCGCCTGCCCTCTTCCCCGTACCACCGACAGTAAGCGATTCCCCGCCAACCAACCCTCCCAACACAAAACTGACCACAACCTCAGCCAAGCAGTGCTACAACTGCCAGGGACTTGGTCATGTCCAGGCTGACTGCCCTACCCTGCGCCTGAACGGCGGCTCCAACGGCCGCTGCTACAACTGCAGCCAGCCCGGTCACCTTGCCGTAAGTTCCGCGCGCCGCATCCCACCCCGCTACCCAAACTAAGTCTTTCGCAGCGCAACTGCACCAACCCCGCCGCCCCCGGCGCTGGCACTGGAGCCCCTACTGGTCCCGCCGCAGGCCGCGGAGGCCGTGGCGGCTTCCAGGGTGGCTTCCGTGGTGGTTTCCAGGGCTACCCCCGCGCCGCCACCTGCTACAAGTGCGGTGGTCCCAACCACTTTGCCCGTGACTGTCAGGCTCAAGCCATGAAGTGCTATGCTTGCGGCAAGCTCGGTCACATCTCCCGTGACTGCACCGCGCCCAACGGTGGTCCTCTGAGCTCCGCCGGCAAGGTCTGCTACAAGTGCGCCCAGGCCGGCCACATCTCCCGCGAGTGCCCCACCAACGAGGGCGCTCCTGCTTCCGCTCCTACTGCTCCTGCTGCTGAGACTGAGGCTGCACTCCCTGCTCCTGTCGCTGCTCCGGAGACTACCGAGCCGGTGCCTGCTGTTGCTCCTGCTGCTGCCCCTACTACTGCTGTCGCATAAGGGGTGTTTGTTGACCTCTGACCTTTTCCTTTTCCTAAGGGGAAACAAATCCCCTTTTTGGATCTGTACGGTCATTTCGAGTTTCTCTCCGCTTCCTTTGCATATATTTCCACCCTCTTGGGTTTCTGATTTGGCCACGACAACAGCCTTGGTTTTTCTCTTTTTTCTTTATTCCACCCCTATGTATACGAAACAGAAAAGTTTCCCTTGTTTTTTAACGAAGTCCCACTCTACGATTGGCGTTGTCTATTCTCATGGATTGGTTATGTTCGACTCTTGAATGCGGTTCCAAGAGATGAAGCAATGGCTGAGATGAGTTGAGAGGAATTGGACGTGGGGACCGTTGCTTGTGAGAAGAGTCCTGGAGAGTATTTCGAGAGTCCAAAAAAGACATTTCACCTATCTTTCTTCTTGTAGACGTTCTGGTCTAAAGCGGTGTTGATAATCTCAGTGCTGCCTGGGGAAAGCTGCCTGGGGAAACTAATCTGAACCCGTGACTCCAAGTCACCTCCCACCTTTCTTCCCCCGATTCCCATCGTTCACTTCGTCAAGTGCTGCTGCATCTCGTCAATATGCCAGGCTCAGTAGGGAGCGAGGAATTTGATGGCGAAGAGGTGCAACTTGTTCTCAATCCACGTCTGTGGCTCCCTCATCTAACCGTCAGCAGGTATTCATCGTAGACATCGATGCCATCCAAGCCCACGGCATTGGCGCGGCAGACATCACGAAATTGAAAGCCAATGGCTTCTACACTGTCGCCGTAAGTACACATCGTTGACAGTCTCCCCACCCCATCTCACCACGCCAGTCCGTTCATGGGGCAACCCGCAGAACCCTCTTGAAGATCAAAGGTTTCAGCGAAGTCAAGGTCGAGAAGGTCAAAGAAGCCATCCAGAAATGCCTTCCCTCTACCTCAGGCTTCATCACCGCAATGGAGCTCCACCATCAGCGCAAAAAGGTCGTCCGCATCTCAACAGGAAGCCAACAATTCGACTCCATCCTCAACGGGTATGTCTCTTCTCCTCTTCTCAAGTCCGTTGATGGTATCTAACCAACCCAGCGGGTTTCAAAGCATGAGCATCAGCGAAGTGTTCGGTGAATTCCGCTGCGGCAAGACCCAACTCAGCCACACGATGTCTGTAGTAGCACAGCTACCCAAGGAAATGGGCGGCGCAGGTGGAAAGGTCGCATACATCGATACCGAGGGAACGTTTCGACCAGAGCGCATTGCTCAGATCGCCGAGCGGTTCGGTATAGATCCTGACACCGCGCAGGAAAACATTGCGTACGCACGAGCATTGAACAGTGAGCACCAGCTTGAGTTACTCAACTCGCTGAGTCGAGAGTTCGCTGGAGGCGAGTTTCGATTGCTTGTCATTGACAGCATCATGAACTGTTTCCGGGTTGATTACTGTGGACGCGGGGAGCTGGCCGATCGACAGCAAAAGTTGAATCAGTTTCTTATGAAGCTGGCGCATATGGCGGAAGGTGAGATTGATATCATGGCTGACTTTTGCTTTTGCTGATGGGTTGATTTATAGAGTTCAATGTTTGTGTTCTGATGGTGAGTTTGTTTTATCTGTTGACTTGGTATTGTTGCTTACCGTTTACTCTGTGGATAGACGAATCAGGTCCAGAGCGATCCTGGCGCGAGTGCACTTTTTGCTAGTGCTGATGGCCGCAAGCCTGTCGGTGGACATGTCCTTGCTCACGCTTCTACTACTCGGGTGCTTCTGAGGAAGGGTCGTGGTGAGGAGCGCGTTGCAAAGATTCAAGATTCTCCTGGTATGTGATTGCTCTTGACCAACTGGCCTCTGCTAACCCCCCAATAGATTGTCCTGAGCGCGAGGCAGTTTACATCATCACTAATGGCGGCATCAATGATCCCGAGAAGGTTTGAAACATCACACGATGTATCGTGGTTGAGAAAGGATCATTTTCACAATTTTTAAACTCAAAGCAGGCAAGCTGGAGGATTACCTTATATTCAAGCATTCCATAGAATATATCATAATATATCGCTTTATGATGCCTGTGTTGAGTGGCATGTTGTTAGTTTCTTAGTTCACCCTGATACTTAGGGATATAGTCTCACCGCCTCTGGCTCCGCTCCAGCGTGCTGGCAAAATTCCATGCCAAGAAAAAACCCGCAGAAAAAGTTCAGCTCAATCAACGCAACAATCCAACACCAACCTCACATTAAAATGAAGGGAGAATCAGTGGATGTACCAGGGTACACTACCCTACCGGTGCAACTTCCCGCCACACCTCTGACTCCAGAACCCGCCACACACTACCTCTACATCCGCCCTCACGAACCCCGAATCCCAGACCCAGATTCCACCCGCTCTCTCTTCATAGTCAATGTCCCGATCGACACCACAGAACTTCACCTGCGCCACCTTTTCGGAACCCAACTAGCCGCCGGCCGAGTCGAGCGTGTCCAATTCGAAGATGTCCCCACCAAGAAGCGCACAGCAGCAACAAGCACAGAAACCAATACCTCAAAAAAGAAGCGCAAGCGCGTAACAGCCGACGACTTCGAACAACACCTCGAAGCCATCACCCTCCCATCAACCTGGGACCGCAAGCTTCAAAAGAGCGGCGCCCACGCCATCGTCATCTTCGCCGACAGACCCAGCATGGAAAGCAGTCTGAAAGCCAGCACCAAAGCCGCCAAGCGTGGCACCTATATCACCTGGGGCGAGAGTCTTCCTTCCGACCGAATCCCCGCACTTGGACTCAGCCGGTACGCCGCTCACCAACGACTGCAATATCCGGAGCGAGGAACTCTTCTCCGCGCCGTGAACGAGTTCATGACTACATTTGCAGCTGTTTCGGAGGCGCGCAAGCGCGAGGATCACAAGCGCTTTGCGGTTCCTGATGAGGATGGCTTCGTTACTGTGCAGCATGGACCTAAGCTCAATTCTGTTGCGAGGGAAGATGAGATGCGGGAGCTGGTTGAGCGGCAGAAGAAGAAGGGCGAGGGTCTTGAGGACTTCTATCGATTCCAGTCCAGAGAGAAGCGCAAGGAGAGACAGAATCGTCTGCTTAAGCGGTTCGATGAGGATAAGAAGAAATTGGCTGATATCAAGGCTAGGAGGGGCAAGATTCGGGTTCGTACCTATCATTTCGCTCGATTGGCTGTTGCTAACATTATTTACAGCCTGAGTAAGCTTTTGTATGGGAGCATGGCGTTCTGGTTGCAGGGCAAAAAAAATGAGGACCAAGGCGTCCAGTGTAGATGTGAGTGAGATCTTCTTTTTTTCATCTTGGTGTCTGCCTTTTTTTTTATCTCTGTGATGAGTACGCTGGGGCCATAGTAGTAAGACGCGCTTTGTTCGCTGTCTGCCATGTCTGCAAACACCAGCATTATATCAATCTTCTCACCTTCTGAAATGGAGATCTCTCATCGGGAACATTTGTCGCGCGGGTTGGTTCTGCATATGCTAATATTTGATTAGATGAATACATACATGATAGGTCAATTTCAATTCTTGACTAATCTCAACCTCGGAATCTTGTTGCATTTGTACATGTAGCCAAGTGTATGACACCAGTTTATTACTTAGCAAGACAAGACTTATTCTGATTCATACGCTTCCTATACTACGAACCTTCAAAGGTCACTCTTCATTTGATACAGCGGCTCTGTTTGGTGGCACCTAGGCAAGCGAGAGCTTGAGACACCTTCAAGGCCAATGAAAAGTAGGTAGAGCTGAAAGTTTCCAAGGTTAGCTAACGGTGCGTTGCCAGGCCCTGGGTATTAGGATTTGATCGTTTGCTATCGTAGAAGCCCGAGGTCCCGTCTTCTAAGCTTATGCTCCAGAGAGATGGGAGGTATCTCAGCCTCGTGGTTGTCCGCGTGGACATCCATGGATATATATCATCCCCGCACAGACCAAGGCTTGGCATGACATCCCACCTCTACATCGTTTTGATATCACGCCCTGGAGGTCAGAAGAGCTAGTTCGACATGACTCCCGGCAAAATCAAAGAGTCTCAGGACTCAGATTCGGATGTGGAGTTTGAAGATGTCCCGATCACGCACTCTGGTGGACAGCACGACATAGACATCTCGATCTCTCAGCGTCCACCAACATGGACACCAACCCTATTACTTCCTTCGCAGCGAGTCAGGCCTCTTGCATCGGGATCCGAAGAGGAGACTCAACTCCGTGGAAAGATCAGCGCTGGGGTCGAGCGGATCACCTACCGCAAGATGAAATCCGACATGGGCATGGATGCACCAGACACACCCGCGACAGAGCGCAAATATGACAGCTTCCCGGAGTTAGCAGACGATGTTGATGGGTTGATTGATACAATCTGGGAATCTGCAACACGTAAGTCATACATGATCCATAAAATACTTCTTGCATCTGTTTTACCACAACAATGCTAACATCTGACAGCGGCAATCCAAACTGAGGCTCTGATAACTCTAGCTGGACTAACCCAAACCTCTCTTCCATCGTTCTCCTTCTCAGCTGAAGCTACGTTGTCGATCTTTTACAAGTTTGATAGCGTTTTTGCTGCATTGTGCACCGGTACCCACCCTATCACCGGAGCCGCACTGCCAGGTGCAGTTGTTGGTCAGTCTCTCGTCACAGAGACACAGAAGGTGCGAATTCGAAGTTTGGCAGAGAGAACACGGAATCAGATATTTTCTTACTTGTCTTCGCCGAGTACTTCTGTGGGCGATGGAGACGATGAAGATCCGGAGGATGCCGATGAGCCATGGATGTTGGAGGCCACGAAGATTTACGAGAAGAGTCTCATGTTGCTTGCTGAGCAGAACGATATTACGGTAGAAGGTGATGAGTTTACGTGTTAATGCATCTGATGATCACCTCGAGATGTATGCCGATGCCTGATGTAAGCCATTGTAGCCTTTAAAATGCCCGGCTGATATGGATATTTTTAGAAAGCCCCATGGATGGAGGGCAAAAGGCGCTTAGGCCAAGCTAACTAACCTTGGAGACTAAGGCAGTGACATAACGTCGGGTACCAAAAAGTCCCACAGTTTGCATATAAATTCTAAAATTGTAAGTCGATTGAGGGAAAAAATCCTTCCAGAAACTTCTAGCTCAAAAATTCTTAAGCAAAACCTGAAACCCGAGGGAGAAAAAAAAACTCGGTGTGGAGAATGAATGGACATCCAGAGCTGAGTCGGTAATTGAGTATACAGTAAGCGTGTTCGTACCTTGAATTCAGGTAACAGTCACAATGCGCTTGGGGACTCTGTGTGGACAGAAGTGAGCGAACTAAGTGGATGCAAGCCCTGAAAGTGGGGATTGTCTAAAGGTCTACTGCTCAGCCTCGGGCTTGAAGGAGCCAGTCGTAGAGCAGAAGTGGCCTTTGATTTAGTTTTCCAGTGCTTGGACTTCCATGTGAATTGTTAGATCTTGTTTTTCTTTGAAGTTGTCCTTTCAGATATCCGAACATGCCCCTCTAGGAATTGGATGTTCACATCCGCCCTGTTCCATGGTTGCGAGGTTACATTACTGGGACGTTGGATTACCATTAATTAGAACAGGGCATGCCCTACCCCAGACCTACAAGGTAGTATAGCATAGGATCTCGGGTCTACAGAGTACGAGTGTTCATGCCCAAGTGACAGACTATGGATGTAATCTCACTCTACTTGTACTTGTACAGCTCCCGTGTCTCACCATGCAAGGGCTTATTAGCTTATTTCTTAGAGCCAAAACCCATGTAAGTAGCGGCCACCCCTTGCAACTCCTCCCTTCAGCATCACTCTACACAAATACACAAGTACAATCCATATGCAAACCGCCTATATAGGGTTATGGTACCTACATATCGAATCGACGCCTGGGTCATAGTGCTACGGACGCGTCGCGTACCGTGTATAGAGCGCCGCCAAGGGTCTCCAGATCGTAATGGTAATTGCAATACGAGCGGCCCAGCAAACCCGGCCAATAAGGCAGAACCAACAAAGGATTCCATGGTTCTGAATTTTTTTTCTTTACACGCCCGTTTATAGGTTCTTGGGCCGGACGTGCGCGGGTGAGCTCTTGTACTGTACGGAGTACATTGTAGACTCTTGGAGTGTAAATAAATTTGTTACGAACCTGTAGATACTCCGTACTATGGGGGTTTTTTTGTATATCTATGGATCGGTCAAAAGCTCAAAGAATGGGAGGATTGTTAATAATCCTTGCTTTCACTTTAAGAATCCTTGCTTGGAGAAGAGCTTGAGCCCAAAGCTGCAGCTAGACGGTAGACGCAGGGGAGGATGACGGTGTATGGAAACGGGATTACTGTATGTTCGAATCCATGGTTCAGTACCTGTGTTCCTTGGCTCTCACAATACCAACTTCGCGTTAAGTACGAAGTATATGGGGGTTCGAGCTAGATCGGTGAGAAGTATAACCTTCGATCTTTGAAGATCTAATAAACAGATATGTACGGAGTATATGCAGTTCAAAACGAGTCGCACGAGAGAATGTATCTGCCCAACAGGAAAGGGTAGCTCAGCCCCAGACTCTCCAGCGGAGCCTTGGAAATTACTTCAGCATATGACGATAAGAGGTCCACCTGGACAAGTCACATTGCGAGGACAGCGACAGGTCCTTGCAGATTTCATGCATTGGAGGTTCCGTGCCCCTTGTTAATGTTTCTTGCTTTGTGTCCTCGGGTTGATTTGCCCAACGCTACGGAGTACTCCGTACAAGGACTTCGGACTCCGTATCCATACGAGTACTCGCATCTTGCTCATTGCAAGCGGATCGGCGGGTGTTGATCGGCAAATCCCTCAGCCATTAACACGAATTCGATGCATCTGATGTATCAGCTGGAATCTCCCACCCATCCCGGGATCCTGGATGAAGAATCTATGTAGTACCTCCGTAAGCCCCGCATATCTGATATCATGCAGTGCATTTGACAGACTCCGGGGATGAAGTAATATAATGAGCTATGGTCCGTAGTTCGTGCTTGTAGGAAGGGGATTTTGATTGAGGCAAGGTAGGGCAATCCAAGAAAGTGACTAGCCCGGGATTTTCTACTAGTTGGATCTATTAACCCAAACCCGATAGTATAGTATACTCTGTAGTATACTCTATACGAAGTAGTATAGTATAGCATACTCCGTACTATAGCAAACATCTCGTAAAGAGCCAGAATACCGTTACATGTAATACCTATACCACGATACCAGGTCACGTAACTCGTTTCCCACTTCCCCTCCCTCATGAGATTTCAATTCTTCATTTTCTTCTTCCCCTCTACTCCCCCTCTCTTTTCCTTATTGTTCGGATAAGATTTCGGTTTCGATTTTTTCTTGTTGGGAGTTCTGCTTTCCCTTGTTGTCTACGTTTTTTGCCTCGCGCATTGTCCCAGTTTTTCGTTAGATATCATATCTAGGTGAGTGCCTTGGCTATCGCATCAGCCTCTTTCATCATAACTCTCTCTTCGCAACACACGACTCTCTGCTCTACTCCACGCCTGCGACATGACCAGCTTCGGGGTTTACTCCACCGCCTTCAACTCGACGTGGTATTCTGGGCGAGCTGGACGGATTGGGCGGTCGCATTTGGATCTCGATGGACGGAAACGGCCGGCGCATCAACAACCGAAGGGCCATTTCCGTCTCGCGCACCCGAACCCTTCGCCTTTGCCCGATCCACTTTTCAATATTCGCTTCCCTCGTTGCTACCCGAAGCTCTGGTCTTGGCGATTTTCAACTTGCAGCTGAGAGTTGTGTGCTGCGCAAATCACTGTCTGCATTTGCATCCCATTCTTCTTTTAATTTTTCCAACCCTGTCCACCCATCTTCTGTATCTGTGTCGCATCACGCGGTCATCACCCGATTCTCATCCGCCTGTCGCTTTGCGCTCATCACGCTCTTTCTTGCATTGCTTTCGCTGGCGCAAGAGAATCAAATCTAACCAGCAACTTTTCTAGCAAGCTTTTAACGTATTTGCCTGGCTTCGTCACGACTCGATCTCACGCCGGTCTTTCCTTCACGACTCCACGAAAGTTCTAGTCGTTCAGCCATTCTATATTTTTACGTCGACTTTCGGACTTTGCAACCATGTCTTACAACAACTTCGAAAACTTCCCCCAGCAGGACCCCGCTGCCGCTGGCGCCCCGGCCCCCGTTGATACCACCATGACCGGTCAGGCCGACCCCGCTCAGTTCCAGGGCCCCGTCCCTGGTGAGCCCAACTCTGCTCCCGTTCCCCAGCAGGGTGCCGATGGCAAGACCACTCTCTGGATGGGTGAGCTCGAGCCCTGGATTGATGAGAACTTCATCCGCAACCTGTGGTTCCAGATGGGTGAGCAGGTCAACGTCAAGATGATCCGCGACAAGTTCTCTGGGTAAGACACCGTTCTCCGAAAATTTGCTTGCACTGCGAGAATGAGAAAGAATTGTTTCTAATGATGGTAGTAGGAGCAATGCTGGCTACTGCTTCGTCGACTTCGCTTCCCCGGCCGCCGCCGCCAAGGCTCTTTCTCTGAACGGCACCCCCATGCCCAACACCAACCGGGTTTTCAAGCTCAACTGGGCTACCGGCGGCGGTCTTGCTGATCGCAGGTAAGCGGCAATCTTCCGACGGATGTGATTTCGAGTTTCTGAATACTAATTTCAATTTTTTCTCATTTCCAGCCGTGATGACCGTGGTCCCGAGTACTCCATCTTCGTTGGTGATCTCGGCCCTGAGGTTAACGAATACGTCCTCGTCTCCCTCTTCCAGAGCCGTTTCCCCTCGTGCAAGTCCGCCAAGATCATGACCGATCCCATCTCTGGCATGTCCCGCGGCTACGGATTCGTCCGTTTCTCCGACGAGAACGACCAGCAGCGCGCTCTCACCGAGATGCAGGGTGTCTACTGCGGCAACCGCCCCATGCGCATTTCCACCGCTACCCCCAAGAACAAGGGTCCCGGTGTTGGCGGCAACGGCGGTGGCATGGGTATGCCCGGCCCCGCTGGCATGTACCCTCCCATGGGTGGCCCCCCATGCCCTTCTACGGTGCTCCCCAGCCCATGAACCAGTTCACCGACCCCAACAACACCACTGTGTTCGTCGGTGGCCTCTCCGGCTACGTCACCGAGGATGAGCTCCGCTCCTTCTTCCAGGGCTTCGGAGAAATCACCTACGTCAAGATCCCCCTGGAAAGGGCTGTGGTTTCGTCCAATTCGTCCAGCGCCACGCTGCCGAGATGGCCATCAACCAGATGCAGGGCTACCCCATCGGTAACTCCCGCGTGCGTCTGTCTTGGGGTCGCTCCCAGAACAACTCCGGCCCTGCCGGCAGCCCCTACCGTCCTGCTCCCCCTCCTCCTCCCATGTACCCCTCCATGGGTATGCCCCCGGCCCACCAGTATGGCGGTTTTGCCCCCATGAAGGTGAGCGATCACCCTGGCAGCCCGATCCCGGATCAGATTTGAAGCAGGCGGTCGGCTGACTACATCTCCAGTAAGCGTTTCCTTTGATTGAAAGCACCGGCAGGAGTTGTCTGCATCATTTCAATGATGGGTCTTTTGTGTCATAACTTCGTGATTCCCTGGTTTTTTTCCTTGCCAAGGCTATAGCTCTTGATGAGCATCTGTCTCCTGTGCTACGCATTTCCTTTTACGTGAGCGCTATTACCTTAGCAAGATCTGAACTTTCCTCCCTTTCGATCTGCCCTTGTTCTTATGTATCTCATTCCCCACCCTTCCATCCCCCCGTCTGCGCTCTTTCGTATCCTTTTCTTATTTATTTTTCGATGTCTACTCTGCCCCTTATGCTACCGGGTTTTTCCCATCCTGGGTCTCTGTTCGCGTGTAACGGAAGTTTCGAATTGTTTATGCGCTTCTTTCCCTTATACTCCCTGGGCAGGCATTCTGCGAAAAGTTCCATTTCCCTACGATACGCCTTATTTTCCTTTGTCTTTACATTTTTTTTTTTTTTTTTTTTCTTCAAGCAGCTAAATTGAATTATGTTCGCTTTGATGATTGTTTTCTGTTTTCTTTGGTTAGACCGCTTGTACAACACCTGTTTCGTGCGCCTCAGCGTTGAAAAGCTTGTGCAATAATCTGCTGCATTCTTTGTATGGCGGGCGTTCGGCTTGTGGGCCTTGACATTCATTTTGATCGACTGGTATTGATATATCAGACGAGTAGTTGTTATGTTCGGAGTACATCATTCGTTTGTAGTCAATTTAGATCGGAATAAATCTGCTCGATTCGAAGATAATGATTTCAGCAAGTGTCTCATGTCGTTGGTTTAAGGATGGAAAAGTCTTGGCAAATGGGTGACTACGGAGTAGTTAGGGCTAACTTGCCTCAAGACCATGGCTGAGGCTTTGAAGACGAACGGTTCCTCCACGACGCATAACAGCGTATAATTTATTGCGTGTCAGTAATGATTTAAGGTCTAGTCATGCTGGTCGTAGTTACTTTATGAAAACCAGAAAGAAAATAGGAAGGCCGACGCTGAAGGGCAACGAAGGGTGTTTGCACCTGCCACACGTAGTTCCTGCACCTTCTTTTCCACGACAGTTCACATATCGACAATCACCTACCTCATATCCTTCAACATTCTTAAGCCATCATGCGATACAGAAATTGGGACGTGCTCCTATTCCCTGGCGGAGGAAGGATTCCTGTCTCTGAGTTCAAAACTCAGTGCTTCGTGACTAAGGACCATGACTCCCCATTCCTGCAGACGCCTCATCTCGGCCCGCAACGATACCAGGGGCCATTGATATTCAACCAGCTTCCTGTCCTGTCAACTTTCATCCCCAGTTTGCCGCCTGACAGCCCGTTCCAGATCTCCGTCCACAGCTGGGAGACTCCGCGCCCAAGTGTCCAGTTTGAGACTAACATGGGACCGGAGGACACTTTGATGTTCGAAGTTCGTGTTTATATTGATGGGGTCTTTTCCTCGTGAGTATATCATGGCATGAGTGGGCAAGGAACTGGCTGACTTTACGCAGTGGTAGTCTCTACGCGCAGAGAACCTCTTGGCCGCAGGTTATGAGTAAGTCATCCTATCTCCAGATGTCTTGCGGAGTTTGTCTGTGGTTTCTGACTGATTGTTTGCAGGCTTGAGTTCACGTACGATGACAATCTTCCCCTCAAGACCCACGCTAACACAGATAGATCCCGATCGTGAGGGTAATCAGGATACTCTTCGCTTCCCGCCCTTCCACCGCGAGATACTCCAACAGAGGACATGGGATGCAGCAGATCCACATGGTCGAATCAGGGTTGTTTTTGCGGAGGGTTTCTCTCGCCCAAATCGTTCACCACCTTTTGAACGCTATCGAGATTTTCTTACCTTCTCCTTTCAACATGCGCCTTTGAGTGAGTGGATGAGCCCCGGAGGCAGTGTAATCTGCATGGCTGACAAGAAGAGCAGACATTTTGGAGAACGCCGAAATTGCCTGGCCGAATCCCAAGTTATGGTTACCGGTTACCAATACTCCTCGTTATGCAACGGCAGCCTCGTATGGAACCGCGAAGGAATATGACGACCATGGGCATTCGCCAATCAGATCTGGCAGACTTGATGGTCGACTTGTGGCAATGCCAGTCAATCCGGGCAGTCAGTCAAGCAGTGATACAGCCACATTCAGCGGTGGCTCCTTGTCGGCGTATAACGCCTGGGCACCTCACCGTGGCTTTCCCATTCCAGTGACGCAGTGGAACGAGTGCCCCCAAGGGCCACGATGGGAACCGCAAGATGCATACGCATTGGACGCGGGCATAGACACCGAAGTTGACGATACAGCATGGCGCCAGCGCGGTGCCCGGTCCTCTCACGAGGATGTTGCAATGCCTGACTACAGCTCACGTTCGAGCAGCAGCCGACCTCTTTCTAGCTTGACTGGTTTCAGCTTCGAGCACAGCAATGCTGATATCCCTGACTACATGATTGAGCGCGGTAACCGGAGCATCACTGTTCATCTAGATGACGATCATCGCTACCACGAGCTGATTCAGTCTCTTACCCCGACCAAAGCTGCACCTACCATGGGAACCCGCGCGCCTTCCAATACTCCTTCTGAAAGCATGCCAATGCCACCACCCAAGGTATCTGCTGCGGCGATGGCACGCTCGGCCGGCTATACTCGAACCCGTCGGACTGCAGTTCTCACGGACAACTCACAGCCAAGTACCCGGGAGGTTTCAGGGTCAAGTCAGTCTCTGGTTTCTGAGAGAAGTCAGCGACTTAGGATGGTTGTCAGCAGGAAATCTAGCAAAGAGGTTCTGAAAGACAAACAAAAGATGCACAAAGATCAGCCTGAGTCAGACAAGGAAAACCATGTCCATGATGAGCAATCTGGCAATGCAACACAGGAAAGTCCCAAGCAGGATGAGCAGGATAATTTACTGGAGACTGCAAAGGAGATTGCTAAGAAGGCTGAGAGTCTGCTCGTGGAGACCATGAAGGAGACTGTAGTTGAGGCGGAATCATAAAGGCCGGATGAAGCTGCTTGCCATGAGTATCTATCCTTACCCACAGTTAGCGTTCAAGCAGTTGAAACAATGCATGAGTTATCCCCATGAACATCTCTAGCCTCCATATAAGGGTTCTCCTGAAAGTAGACAAGTCATGTGCGTAGAGTTGCGCGCAAGCAAGCATGTGTAGCGTGCCTTCCCTTTTTGGACATCGCGGTTGTTGACAACGCCCCCGGCGCCCTTCTCTCGTCTTTCTTGTCTTCCACCCTCCCATCTTCTTTTCCATTCACGTCTGCATTCTCGTCCGCGTTCACGTCTGCTTTCACGTTCAATTTACTTCCTGTCAACTGTTCTTGCTCACGTCCATCCCCATGTCCTTTCCTATGACAGATCGAGAATCTGTCTCAGGATCGTTGGGCACACCTGGCCCAACTCTGTGTCCTAGTGCCACATCCAGCATGTCTAGCTCTCAGATGCGCCCTGGAGTCTCTCAGACGGTTGAGAACCGGCTGACGGACTTCCCGTATGCTTCTAATGCTAATGGCGTTCGGCCTCCTCCTGGCCTTCTCAACCTTCGTGCACCACGGAGTAGTCCAGCTCGATTCGATTCTTCAGCTCGAATCTCCCCTGTGATTCCTCTTGCACGTGGCGTGAAGGTGGTGGGACCGTCGTGTGTTGCACCCACCCTGAGAGCTGTTTCCATGCAGCCGCTGGGCCAGGCCATGGATGTTAATGTTGTTCATGGTGAGTCGTATTTATTCGAGTCTCGTGAGGAATCGAACCATCGATCCTCCACATATCTCGTCTGCGAACTTTCCAACATGGATTATCTTACTAACACTTCTGCTCTTCGAGACCCGCGGGCTCGGACACAACACCACGATCATCGATTCCCACCTGGCCGTGATGGCTTTGGTGGTGTTCAAGAAGCCTTGGGCCAGGCTCGCCCTGCCCTGTTGCAGGCTTCTGATGGCACACTGTTTGAGCGAATTGTCACGGACGGTAGTTCGGGCTCTGCGTTCCAGTTCCGTGACTTGAATCGCACCCATGATTTCGGTGACGAAGCTCGGGCTTCGCAGTTTATGACTGCACGCTCTCGAGCTGCCAGTTACCAGCCTGTTGTCCCGCGGGCTGATGTTCGCCCACGACAGTCCGCCGCCACCAGTCTCTCTCCGGGTCAACACTTTGCCTCGGTCAATGAAGGTCGTTCTTCAATCAATCAACGAGCCTTTGACCCCATCCCCGAGGAGGTTCTGAGTGGTCTGACCATGGGTGAAAGCTATACTTTCAACGCAAAGATGTTGGGCCAGCATCTTGCTTCTCGTGGACCCCCACCAGGGCTCCCAGTTCCTGATGAGCTTGTTCGACCCCGATTCCGAGGCAACGTGCTTCAGATTGATGAGCATCTGGGGTCGGGAGGCAATTCTCTGGTTGTCAGGGTCGAAGGCGAGCAATCGACAAGCCAGCGGTCGTACATGCCGGGAAGCGCTGCCTCCCCCGATGCTTTCAGCGACGAACGATTCGGTCGACCCGTTGCTCAAGGATCAGGTTCTGGCTCTGATACCCGGAGCCCTCGCATGCCTGTCTTTGGGTTTTCTTCTACCCTTGAAGCTGAGAGTTTCGAGCCTGCGCCACGCAGACACCCACATGGCTTGCCCTACGTCGAATATCAGAGCTCCCAGTCCCCTGATCAAGGACTTGGATATTTGACCTCGTCGCGTAGGCCCATTCGATTTGGGTTCAGTTCCACGGCGGAGGCTATGTCTCATGGCTTAGAGGTTGAGACGCATGCCGCTTCTGCTCCGTTTGGGGCCCATCAAGTGAAGGCTGAACCAGCGATGCAAGCTCGTCTTCCTGTCTATCAAGCCGTTGATGGGAACTTCGAGCAAAACCATGCATCTCAAGTTTGGAGCAACTTTGCTCCTCACTCGGCCGCCATTTCTGACATTAAAGGGCCTCCAGGCTTCGGAGACTCGTTCGACTCCTTCAATCAAGGATCTGCCCATCATGGCGGAGGTCCTCCAAACCGATTGGAGTCGAATGAGACTCCAGCTCTAGCCACTCACGCACGTGCTAAGGACTTGTCAGGTGGAAATCAGTCTAAACTTCCAGCAGGGCCCCCTCACCAGGTAAGTACAATACCATGGCTAACCATGCTTTTGGCAGGAAAGCTTGGCTTGCTGTGCTCATTTCAATTGTGACTGAATTTTACTAACTCCATTTTAGCAGTACCTCAAATCGCTGGACTTGAAAGCCCTCAAAAGTCAACAGGTCATTTTCATCTTTCATATGCTTAGCATAATGGGCAATTTGAGACCTGAATTTGTCCTGCAACGCGGTGGCAAAGGAAAAGAGAAGATTGGCATCAAGATCATCATGTGGGGTCACACTGTGTTTGGTCCTAATAGCTTCGAGTCTGTTGCGATGGCCAAGGTGGCTGCCTGTCGCCTGGCTCTCGCGCTGATTCAGGAGGATAACCCGACGTGGTTGGTTCCTCCTCAGCCTAGTGAGGGTCCCACGATCCCTGCCTGGGATTGGAACTGGATGCTTGCCGGTATGTTTTTTTTTCATGATTCAGTTGACGTACACTGACACCAAACTTTCTTAGACTATTGTGCGACGCGAGCGATCCCACAGCCCCTGTACCAGCCCAGCCGTTATGGAGACTTCTGGCATTGTGACCTCTCGGTCAAGGACAAGGTTTTCCGCACCGCCGAAGGATGCCGAAGCCTTGCAGAGGCGCACAACACTGTGGCTCATATTTCGCTCTACCAGCTGATTGTCATGGATGGTGATGAGCCTTTTCTTCATTCCAACTGCAATCTGCCAATGAGAGGTCTGAAAGAACCACTGAGCGTCGATCTTCAGAAGCAGATTGCTGGTCTTCTGAGATCGGGAAAGACTTACAAACCACCCAAGTCAGGTCAACCTAAGTCAGGTTCTTCTAAGTCAGGTGCTTCCAATTCTCAGTATGCAGGCGTGACCAAGAAGACTTCTCCTGCTGGGAAGTTCCGAGGCTGGGGAGGTAAAAAGAAGAGGTCGAAAGGAAAAGGCAAGCAGCAGCAGGCTCAGCCACCACCTGCTAAGAAGAAGTCTGCTGCTCAGTCTGCCACTCAGTCTGCCACTCAGGCTGCCACTCAATCTGCTTCTCATCCTGCTTCGGGTCCACCCCTTGGTGTTGCTCGGTCTGCAAACACCGAGCCGGTTACAAACAGTCGTCTGGCTCCAATCGAGGTTGCAGAAGAGCATGTCGATGATCCTCTGGCAACTTTGAAGGCCATTGAGAAGAAGTTTAAGGACCTCAATTCCGATGCGTCCTTCCGCCGGGTTATGGAGAGTAAGTGAGCCAAGTCACTCCTGCAAACCCCATTCTAACACATGCATCTAGGAATTTGCGATGTCCTGGGAGTCAACTACCCTACCATCATCACCCGTGATAACGATGACAATGATTATCCCCATTCACTGGAGGTTCTCGCCGAATTCGACAACAGCCATCCATACCTGGGCCGCGCTAGTCCGATCAAGCTTGCCGACGTGGAGAACTCTGATAAAGAGGTCATCAACGGAATTGCCGTCAAGCATATCATTCTTCGCTTGCTCAGGATGGTCAAGGAGGACTCCGGTGCTGATGACGACGAATACCGCCTTGATTATCCTAAGCTCTCTGACTTCGAGGATGAGACCAAGGAGAGTCTGGCTCGCCAGAGTCGTCCGTCTGGAACTCTGTCTTACTAGGCTTCGCCTTGAGGATTCATTTGGCCTGAAGGCTATGCCTTCCGCCAGTTTCGGAGAATTTGTGCTTTCAGCTTTGCTTTTTTCCAGATCTCTTTGGTCTGAGGTTATTTCTTTGCGGTTTCGAAGACATCTTGACAGTATCATGCTGTGTTTCCTTGGCGAGGTTTTGTCTTTCTTAGGAGTTTCCATAGCACATTTATTCACTTAGCATCAATGTCTTCCTTCGTGTCTTCATCTTCTTCTTTCCTTCGTACAAGTAGTTGTAACAGATGCCGCTGTGGCATCTCAAGGCTCCAAGGTAGGCTCAGGCTTTGACTTAGGTGCTGAGTGTGACATGGAAGCATTCACGGAGATGCCTACTTCTACGATGATACCAACAGATGAAAGTGAAATGAACAGATGAAGTTCATTTGCAACCGCTAGACTAAACAAGACTCGCCATTCCTCCGAAAACAAAACCAATGAACAACAAGACTCATCACCAACGAAAGCAAGCGCAGCAGGTACCAGGGGGCTGTCCCCGGTGGAAGGATTGAAAAATTGATTCAGAGTGCAGTCAAAGCAGAGGGTCTGAGAGTTTCCCATTCCCATTGCGAAGTCCTTCAACTCCAAACACCTCACGACCAAACCCATGTTGACCACTCATCTGCTACTGGCTACCAGTCGCGGAGACCAGAAGCACAGGAAGCATCGTGCATGGAAGGAAGTGGAAAAAGCCAACGCCCACAAGTTTCAACGCAAAGCCAATGCTGCAGACCGAAGGTGCAATGGACTGACAGACAAGGGCAGAGCAGAAGAAACAAAAAAAAGGGCCAACAGGGAACAAGGGGTGACCAGAGGGCTGTCTCTGGTCGAGAAGTTTCAAAAATTAAGCAAGTTGAGCACTTGAAGCTGTCCTGTGTGTCCTCCTTATCCTGAACCCCCTCCTCCATCGCCGCCTCGATTGGTATTTCAGCCTCTGGAAGATTCCGTCCTCAGCAAAGGAGACTGCCCGAAGGCTGCCACTTGGACCCCGGATCCTCCTTATCCTGTACCCCACCACCATCGTCGTCGTCGAGGTATTTTAGCCTCAGGAGTCGGGGTCCGTCATCAGCAAAGGAGACTGCATGCGTAAGCCGCCACTTTGACCCCGGATCCTCCCTATCCTGTTCCCAATCCCACGCCGCCGTCGTCGAGGTGTTTCAGCCTCAGGAGTCGGGGTCCGTCATCGACTCAAGGAGACTGCCGTGCGTAAGCCGCCACTTGGTTTGCCCTCTGAATTCTCGTCATTGGGCGCGCTGTTTTGCCTCAGGAAGATTCCGTCCTCGGCAAAGGACACAGCAAAAGAAACAGAAGAAGAAAAAAGAGCCAACACCCACAAGTTTCAATGCAAAGCCAATGCTGCAGACCCAAGGTGCAATGGACTGCGGACAAGGGCAGAGCAGAAGAAACAGAGAAAAAAAAAGAGCCAACAAGGAACAAGGGGTGACCAGAGGGCTGTCTCTGGTCGAAAAGTTTCAAAAATTAAGCAAAGTTGAGCACTTGAAGCGTACCTTTTTCCGTCTTATCCTCCTCCCTATCCTCCATCGTCGTCGTCGGTGGTATTTTAGCCTCGAGAAGATTCCGTCCTCGGCAAAGGAGACTGCCCGAAGGCCGCCACTCTGTGTTCCCTCGGATCCAAGCATACCAAACCCCCCCTCCTCCATCGTCGTCGTCGGGGTATTTTAGCCTCGGGAGTCGTGTACCGTCGTGAGCAAAGGAGACTGCCGTGCGTAAGCCGCCACTTGTTTTCCCTCTGAATTCTCGTCACTGGGAAATGTGGTGTGAGAGCATGTGCTGTAAGACGAGATCAGCACCATGAAAGCGTCAAGAGCTGTGGTGGACTCACTTGGAGTGATGGCTGAGTGCATAGGATGAATGCATGCTGCAGATGAGGCCATGTTGGTTGGCAGGCATGAGAGACTGGATGCAGGAGTTAGCACGGAGATGCGAAGGTAATGCAGAGTGAAGAAATAGGAGTGATGAGACTTGCCAATGAGAAGATAGAAGATGAGAAGAGAGAAGATGGAAGAGAAGAAGAGAAGAAGAGAGAGTGGGAGGGAAGAAAAGAAAAGAAGAGGAAGAGTGGGAGGATGAGAGAGAGAAAACGCGAAGACGCGAAGATGCGAAGACGCGGGGACGCGGGGACAAGAAAACAAGAAGGCACACAGACGTGAAGATAGCAGAAGACGTGGAGAGCACAAGATAGAGGTGATGTATTTCAGAAGATAGTATGTACAGAGATGCAGACATGGAGACATGGGAAGATAGAAAAGTGTGGAGGGGAATGAAGGATGAAGAAGAAGAAGAAGAAGAAGAAGAAGAAGAAGAAGAAGAAGAAGAAGAAGAAGAAGAAGAAGAAGAAGAAGAAGAAGAAGAAGAAGAAGAAGAAGAAGAAGAAGAAGAAATGTGTGAGAAGGAAGAAGAGAGAGGAGGGAAGAGAGGGAAAAGAAGAGTCTTTTTATACCCCGGATTAGGGCTGGACTGCAGTTTAGCCTCAATCTTGCTGGACCAATGGAAGAGCAGGAAAGAAGAACAATGTAAGCTAGAAGAACAATGGAACAATGGAAGGATCAATAGAGTCTGCGCTAGACCAATAAGCCTGCCTGCATCAATAGCCTCAGGGCTACATTATCATTGGTCCAGGGAGCTATCAAGCTAGTAGAACAATGGAAAAGCGGATCATCAGGAGGAAAGAACAATGTTACAATGGAATTGTCTGCAGTCTATTTAGGTCTTGCCCTCACTTTGCCCTCATCTATTTCCTAATTAGGAAATAGGGCTTCTCTCCCCCTCCCTCCCTCTCCCCTCCCTCTCCCCTCCCACCTCTCTCTCTCTCCCACTCCCTCTCCGCTTGACACAGCGCACACAAAGGCTTCCATAACTCAGCTACACATATCATCTACGTTGCTCCTGTACTTCTTGCTTCTTGCTTCTTCGTAGACCTAGGCCCTGCCCTGCACTCTATGGAGCCTCTACTAGACCGATAAACCTGCAGCAACAGTCTCAAGACTACAACATCATTAGGCCAATGGGCCAATGGAGCCGCGGGCTCGGAGAACCCGATCAACGAAAATCCCTCGGACCTAGAACGGTCGTCACCACACGGACACGTATGTTCAGGCCAAGAGATAGCCTGTCTCCATAACACGGCAGTCCACGTCAGCGCAAAATCAATGGTTCCATCGCGAAAACAGTACGAGCCTTCCCTGACCATCATGCCGGAAGGCAAGCACTTCATGGTAAAAGAGGCTTTTGACTGCACAGGAGGCTCGTCCAAAGCACTGCGAGGCGACTCGCGTGAAACAACGCAGACAGCCAATGCAGTCGCTGGAGGACAGAGCTCCAAGACCCAGCACCATGGTTCGTATGAGCAACACAGATGGAGATTTCTCCATCGTGTTCCCAACAACCTGATGGTTGATTGGATCAAATAAATGTGGACAACTGGAACACAAAGCCTCACCCTACTTGATGAATGCTAACTTCGATTGAAGCAATGACAGTGAAGCAAGACCCATATATTCTACCGATGCTGTATCTTCGCATTTAGCATACCCTGACTACGCGAGCCCGAAATCGTGACGATACCACCATGGACTGCAAAGGGCTGCCGCATCCATCTTTCCACGGGGATACACGGGATTTGATCAACAGGTTCACCCGCGAGCCTCGTGAGATAGGCCTGAGATTCTGAAATTGGTCATTCCACTGCCACAATCAGGTCCAGTTAAATGACTATCCGTCGGGTTCCCTGGGAGGCCATGGAGAACGATCTGAGGATCATGTTCCGCCCAAACATCGGCGGGCTGGCCGAGGGCTGGTACAACCAGCTGAAACCCGACGTCCGGAAAGATTGGACACGGGTCAGGGAAGCTGGTACACTTTACAAGGTCGCTCTGGACGTGGAACTGGCAGACAGGAAGGCCAAGCTTGATGTTCACAACCTCAATGACTGCGGTGGGATTCGAAGGTGGACAGGAACCGGAAGTTATTGCTATAACGACCAAGACAAGGGATCAGATACAGAAGCAAGTCGAAGAGGCAATTTCAGCCGCCGCAGCCCCTGAAGGAAGGACTGGAGGCAAGGTTTGGGTGTTGACTGCCGGCAGACCTTCTCGAAGAGCTCGACTCCAGTCCCGGAGGGAGGGATCCCGGTCGATGATGGCAGCATTCTGGGCAGCTTTCGTTTGGAACCCGTCTTCGCCCTATCACTACTCCTACTAGACCCCGACAGATATGTGGCTGCGGCCTCTTGCGCATGGGCGATCGCAATACCCTCTACGTGTGTGGAATACCGTTATCCTGGCTTTGAGACAGCTGCAGGAATCCAGAGACATTATAGAACATGAGACTCATGGCTCGGTGGCGAGGTAAACATACCTTGGTCATCACAACGGTATACCTTGGTATTGCTCTCACGGAGTACGGATTACGGAGGACTACGAGACCAATGAAAGTGCAAAGATGGCAAACAAGATGAATTCGATCATATGAGACCATAAGCATAACGACATCGAACTCCTCTGCAAGGGGAATATCCAACCCAGACACCATCCCTGGTTCTTGTCCCCTTTTGAACCTCCAAAGCATTTGATCCGAGAGTGCAAAAAATAGAAAAAAAGAAAGAGAAGCGAAGCGAAGCCACGGGCCAAGAGCAAGTACCAGTGCGTGGTAACAAAAGAAAAGGAAGAAACGGCCGGCATTTGTAAAGAGAGCAGAGTAGACATAGAAAAGGAAAGAAGAAAAAAAGGAACAGAAAAGAAAATTGGGGATAAAAAGAAAGGAAACAGCAACTGGATCGTAGGCAACTGGACTTCATACTGAGTATCAACGTTGCCCCAAGGCAAAGGAATTAAGTAACCACACAAGTAATAATAGTAATAATAGGAAAGAAAGGAAAGAAGCCAAGAAAACTCGTAGGTCACAGTGCACTAATCTCGAATACAGAACGATCCAAAGCAAGAACAGATATGCCGAGCCGACGGACGAGGCGAATCACGCAACGCTGAGGTTCGCGGCAAGTGTGCTGCAACACATATCCAGGGAGAGAAAACAGAACAGGTCGAGTATTCGCGAAAACGCACTAGAGCAATGATCAAATGTACAAACAAGGGTATATCGGAGGTGAAGCACCTGAAGGACCGTTAAGACTTTTACACGTTCAGATGCCGTCGCCGGCTCCTGTCTCAACACCGTCAGCCGAGTAGGATATGCTGGGGTCGAACCCGAAGCCCGTAGCATCGGCGTCGGTATTGAGGAATGTGTCAAAGTCGAAGTTCTCCAAAATATCTGGGTTTTCCAGTGCGCTGAAGTCGAGGTTGAATGCGGAAGCCTGCAATGGGGTCAGTTCGTGTTGGTACGGGGTGTGATACTGTGAGACACGTACATCAGGGATGCTGAGGTCGGTGAAAGGTTGGTTGTTCTGGTCAGGAGGCGGCGGGACCATGGTCTGAGGAGCCGGTGCCGAGGTAGGTTGGCCAGGTGCCGGTCCATTGGCTCCATTGGCGCCGTTCTTGAAGGCGTTGGGTGGAGGATGGGGTGTGACAGGGGTCGACGGAGTGGGGAGTTCGGCAGCTTCAGTGGAAGGAGTGGTGCCGGCTGCAGCGGCTGCAGCGGCTTGCTTCTTGTTAGGTCGCTAGATTGAAAGTCAGAAATCAACGATCGATACAGAATCATTAGAAGTGTACTAACCTTGCGAGTCTCCTCCTTCTTCTTGCCCTTGGGGGCAGGCTTGTTTGTCTGGTTGGGGGTTGGAGGTGCATTTCCACTAGTCTGGGGAGATGCTGGTTGACCACGACCAGCGTTGGGCCCAGTGACAGTTGGCGCCGAGGGCGGTGGCATCGCGCCTCGCTCCTGCGGAGTGCCAGCTTGGGGCTGGTTCGCAGGGGAATGCTGCGGAGCCATCGGCTGTCCTGGCTGCCATTGGCCACTAGGCATGCGCTGGCCAGCATTGGCCGGAATTGGTTGACCCATCTGGGCTCCAGTGAAGGCTGGGTTCGAGCTGGGGGGTCGCATATTGTTACCTTGGAAGAACTGAGCAGCCATCTCGGGAGGCATCGGGCCACCGTTGCCTAGGTTCATCGATCCGGGAGAACCACGCTGAGACATATCACCGGCGCTGGGCGATCCGGGAAGTCCAGTCTGGTTCATCTTGGGCGTGCCGCGTTTCATTTGTTCGCTGGGGTTGGGAGAAGCGCCCGTTCTGCTTCCAGGGGAAGTGCCTGGCGGCAAACCGCCTTGGCCGGGCATTGGGGGCGGCTGGCCATCACGGGCCATGGTGTCCTGCTCTTGACGAGCCATCATCAATCGTCGCTTGTTCTGCTGTTCAAGCAGCATAAGCTGCATTTGATAATCTTGCAAAGCATGATTGCCGTGCTGACCGCCGCCACCGCCACCTGCACCAGGGGTCTGCATACCACCAGGTCGGACCTGGCCCATTGGCCCATTGGCGCCGTAATAGTCAGGACCAGCACCAGCCATGGGGTACATTCCTTGACTATCAGGCATGGGGACCAGATCCCCCTGGTTGGCCATCAGACCGGGATTCATCATGCCACCATTCGGGATACCCTGGGAATTCGATGCTGAGCGAGAGTGATGAAGGGCCAAGTTTTGAGCATATACCTGCATAGATTTCTGTTGCGCTTGTCCCGTCTGCTGGGAATATTGTTGGAACTGCGCCGGCGTCAAGCCTCGTTGCATGCCATTCTGCATCATCATCTGCTGATTGGGTTGTCCGGGTATTCCTTGTCCTGGTCCTCGTCCGTTTGGCGCAAGTTGTTGTCCATTGACAGCGCCTTCGAGGCGTGGGCGTTTCGATGGCGAAGGGGCGTTGTCCGCAGATCCCGGTGACTGTGGCCGGTGTCCGCCCATGTCCATGTCAGGTTGCTCTCGCTGGAGTTGCTGTAGCATTTGCATCTGTTGGTTCTTTTGGATCTGTGCCAGTTGTTGTTGTGACGGCGTCCTAGGTACAATCATATTAGTACCTCGTCCACTCCTTCCAGAGCGCCGCATGGGGAAAGGGAGGTCATGTAGCATACAGGCCAGGTGTGTTGTTCTGCAGCACTGTCTTTTGCAAGTTAGGAGGCACCATGCCATTCTGTCTCCGGACGCCCATCTGACCGGGCATCATTGGTTGCTGGCGCATGAACTGGTTGTGCTGCTGCTCTCGCAGACGCATGAATTGCTAAGGTTCCTGGATCAGTTGATGCTCAGTGCCCTCGGATTGAGTGGTCACCAACCTGGTTGTGCTGAAGGTACTGCCTGATGTCACCGCCATTCTTTTTGTTCCGCTGGGCCCAGAAGAAATCCCAGAAAAGGTTGAACCAATCCAAAAGGAAGGAAGAAGGGCTCTCGCCATTGGGAATACTGGGGCGTGGGAGATCATCTGGAATCTTGATCTTCTCGCCCTCTTTCCCATCGGTCATCATGGCATCAGGGTCCATGCCATTGATATCATCACGTCGACTTCCGGGACTCGTCTTGGGGTTGTTCTCGGTGTTAAGTTTGATGGACTCATCCTGTAGGAGCGCTCGAGCGCAGTCATGGTACCCACGCTTCAAAAAGTAATCGTAGATGTAGGTGTTCAGGTTGCTGATCAGTTGCTCGGGATTGTTCATGGAATCGTTACGAGAAGCTGAAGAACCATTATTGATCATTGGTACTCCCCCAACAGGACCTCCAACCCCCGGGTTCATTCCGGCATTCATCTGATTCATGGCGAACGGTGGGACTGCAGCCACCCTTGCCTAAAGACAGATATGTTCAGATCGAACGAATTGTTTCCAACGCGCGACCACCGTTTCAGGCGATAAAGCCTAACGCGGGGTTTAGGATGCAACGCGTGGGAGATGAGATGGGACGATGAGCGGTGTGGGCGCTTCGGATATATCGAATGCTCAGCAACGCGTTTGCGTGACTGCGCCAACAGACCGGGGCTTGATCGCCGAAGATGATGGACGGCGATGCGTAATATAGAATTCACTGGCGTCTTGGAACGCGACTGGGGGAAAACGAGAGGCTCGAGGCTCGCAAGCGCAGATGATACGCTCGATGTCTCTGGCTGGAGAAATTGGTGAGCGCTTGCCAATGAGGAGGGAAAAAAGCACGGTATTAGGCAATGGTCGAAATGGGAAAAAAAACAAGTGCGCGGTCTATGTGGCGATGACGGAGGTACAAGGAGGCGGAAAAAGCGCACAGGTGAGGTGGTTGGTATGGGGGGAGGCGGGCGCCAGACACCCGATCGGGCAGAATCGCAGAACACCAAGTTGTACAAAGAAATAATAAAACACGCACAGAGGGGTCAAACGAACAGATGAGAAGGTGGGAAGGGGGAGTCTACGAGATGTGGATCTCACAGTAGAAGGGGAGGACGAATTCAGTGAGAGAGAGCCGGGGGGGACATACGGCGACAGGCGCTGCACTCTGCGGGAAATCGCTTGTTCTTCGGAAGCGGAATAACCACTTCCGACCGGGGCTGGGGATGGCGCTGTCAGGCGTATTTCTGGGAATGCACCGATCTGATAACCATTGAACTTGCGGTCTGAAGCAAACAAAAGATCAGTTTTCAGACGGATACACGCAGAATGGCGGAGATGAAAAGCCCAATGCAGAGGAATTTGGGGGGGTGCTGGAAGAGAAGAGTGATATAATACCTGTGATGGGCCCTGCGATGGATCCCAGCGGGAGTCTAAAAAGTAGGGCAAGCCACTACGTTTTTTTTTCTGGAATATGGCAAAGATCGAGCGGTTCAGGGATTCAGAGCAATCGATAGGAGGAGCAATTAGCGATACGAACAGACTTTATCCGGCGACAAAGGGGAAGAAATGATGGGAAAGAGGCAAAGAAGAAATTCGATATGTCAGAGTTGAGGGGCGGAGATAGTGGTACAGACCTGGTAATGCTGTTTGTGACATACAGTACCTGACAAATACAGTCTTTCACAGGTCCCTGTCACGTCTGCTGGCTCTGAATTTAGCGGTGAACTGGAATTATATCTACATGACGACAGGGTTCTGTGACACAGCAATACAGGTACTACGATGACCATGCCATTCAAGCTCTGCTGGCAACCTCGTCGATGATCTGCGCGTATAGAAAACGATAATCATGCAATTTATATAATTTATACAACGCCATAAAATCGACTGATCGCATTGCAACTAAGCCCCGAGTTCATACGAGTATCCGAAATTTCCCACCTGAAACGCAATCTCATTTCTTAAACCCAGAACCTTACGAAGTGTGGAATACACCTATGCCACTAATAAATCGCGTGGTAAAGCGCGATATACATCACAAACACTAATTGGTAGCGAATTGTACAAAGTGTTCAAGTGGAGAAGAAAAAAGACAACTAAGAAGAAAAGTCGATAACCTTGCTAATAAACCCCAAGAAAACGCCTATCATGTAGTAGAATGCATCTCACTCCTCTTCGGGTGGCATTTCATCTTCGATGTATCGTACAAGCGAGACCCGCATCTCGGTGGTATCATCTCCGCGCAGTACGTCACTGACGAAATGCGCCTCGATCTGCATTTGAACCTGGAAGCTGGGTTAGTGATCGGACCCAAACGAAGGGAACGCGATCCGCTTGATCGGGGATCCGAGAGCTTACCATTTCCAGGGACCCGCGAAGGACACCGCATAGAATATTGGAGAACCAGAGCTCATCTTGGGCCCGCCCATCATCTGGAAGCTCTACAAAGTCCGCGAGGGGGTTTTCTTCAAAGATCAGAGAGAACTGTGTGTTGTCGCTCGTCCAATTCGTGACTGTCGGAGTGACGTTCAGAAAAATCTTAAAGCCAACCTGCAGGATATCAGCAAGGGTACTTCCTTCATCTGATCAGGGCTCACACCCACCTTGGCAATCATATCCGCTGTGTCTCGGAAATTGGCGCAACGACCTACGCCTGACTTGGCGAGGAAGTCTTCAATCAACCGCATTCCGATATTGTATCCCATCTTATCCAACTGCTTGTTGACATCTTGATAGTTGCTGTCGTAGTCTTGGCATAATTGCGCAACGATCGTTCCGTAGGTTAATGTGACCAGCTCCGCGTTGACTTTATCGACTCTTGTTCTGCGTGTGAATGCTGATTAGCTTCGCTTTGGTGGATATGAAGCCTCTATGTGCAATGGCTACTCGAGGCCTGCGATCCGGGGTTGGGAGCTACTAACTTCCATATCCTGCAAGGTTGTTAGTTAAAAGCACATCCTCAATATACATCAGAAGTCCGAGCCGACCTACTCTTCTCCTATCCTGGACGTTTTGTTTGACGACATCTTGAGTGCAATAATCCAGGGGCTTTTTCCGGTGACGAATGGCGGAGAATAAGTCGTGTGCAGACAAGCACCAATAAATGCGACAAGACAATAACCCAGGGGAATTGCGGGGAGTTGATGATTGTTAGAGCTAATTGTACAGACCGTCCACTCACCGCCGAGAGTGGGATTATCGTTCTTCCCGCAGCTTTCGCCTTGAACTTTTGCTCTCCACCAGTTTCGCCAGAAGTCGCGATTGGTCAACACTCAATTCTTTTTCCTTCCCCGGTCTCTTCGCGGCATTGGTTCTGATGATGTCTGGCGAAAAGCGTCCTGCCCCCGCGACCTTCGGGTCCTCCCACGAGCTCGTGGTCAAGAGAAACAAGGCCGATGCCGCCAACCCAGGAACCGCACTCGTCAAAGGCTCCGCGCAAAATGGAGCTTTGGTCCAATCTGTATGCGCCAGCTGAACCTTTCCCAAGCTTGAGGGCGTCGATGTGATCAAGATCGCTAATCGCTCTTTGCAGGTCCCTCGTACTAGCGGGCTAGATGCTCCGATCATGGAGCTCACAGGTGAGAGGCTGTCGCCAAACAATCCGTGGACAAGCACTAACTGGAGGACTCTGCTAGGACACTCTGGTGAAGTTTTCGCAACTCGGTTCAATCCCACTGCCCAGCACATTGCGTCCGGTTCAATGGACCGTTCGATCTGTATGTTCGATTTCCGTTCATGCAAGCGGCCGGGAATTATTGCTGACCGAACCGATTTCAATTAGTGCTCTGGAACACATACGGTCAATGCGAAAACTATGGCCAATTGAATGGCCACCGAGGAGCTGTTCTAGACCTGCAGTGGTCACGCGATTCACGGGCGCTATTCTCCGCATCTGCAGACATGACTCTCGGCAGCTGGGACATCGAGACTGGAGAGCGTGTGCGCCGTCATGTGGGTCACGAGGAGATTATCAACTGTCTTGATATCAGCAAACGAGGCCAGGAACTGTTGGTCAGTGGCAGTGACGATGGCTGCATTGGTATCTGGGACCCTCGACAGAAGGATGCTCTGGACTACCTTGAGACCGAGCTCCCCATCACTGCAGTCGCACTGTCTGAGGCAGGTAACGAGATCTACAGCGGAGGTATAGATAACACGATTCACGTCTGGGATCTCCGCAAGAAGGCCATTGTCTACTCTATGACCGGACACACAGATACGATTACTTCCCTACAAATTTCTCCCGATTCACAGACTCTGCTGTCCAACTCCCACGACTCGACTGTTCGCACATGGGACATTCGTCCTTTCGCTCCCACCAACCGACAAGTGAAGACGTACGATGGTGCTCCCGTCGGACTGGAGAAGAACCTTATCCGCGCCAGCTGGGATCCCAAGGGCGAGAAGATTGCCGCAGGTAGCGGTGATCGAAGTGTAGTCGTTTGGGATGCCAAGACTGCGAAGCTGCTGTACAAACTTCCCGGTCACAAGGGAACTGTCAATGACGTTCGCTTCTCTCCCAACGATGAGCCAATTAGTGAGTTTACCCCCGTGAATCGCTTTCAACAACGACAACTAACATTTTTACAGTTGTTTCTGGTTCTTCCGACAGGAACCTCATGCTTGGAGAGCTTGGCAAGTAAGCATATGTGATAATAATGTTATAATGAAGATCAGCGGGCGTCAATTTCATTTTTTTCAAACCCGACAGACCAAGCTACTCTGCCGCGACCTGGTCTAAAAAAAACACCGATAGGCAGAGTCCTCGGCCTGCCAAAAGCTCCTACATATGGAACTATCAATTGTACACTAAGAAATTTGAAATGCAGAAGCTTGAGATGACTGTGGTCAGCTCCAAGGCTTCTCATGGTCAAGCATTCAGTCTTTCTTCAACCTCGGCGCGGGTCAATGACCCATCTGTCCTGGCGCAAGTCCTGGAGGTCCCGGGCCTGTGTTGCCATTCGGAGCAGCACTCCCGGGCAGCAGTCGGCCATTCTTTGTCTGAGCCCCTACCTTGCTGTTGCACCAGAACCTTGCAATCTACTTGGGTTTAGCTTTCATATGCATCGTGTCTTACAGCTGGCTGTGTTGGCTTCACTAAATTTGTGTCTAGAAAGCGAAGCCCCAAATCAAGAGTGGTTTGGGCATTTCAATTCTAGCTAACGGTAAATATTGTAGCTCGGGCAGCCCCGATGTATAGACGTTACGACAACTGAAATACAAACCAGTCTATGTCCATGCAAGATCGAATCTGGCAATTTGTGAGTTCAGAAGTAAAAACCTTGAGTCCTAATAAGCCGAGCTCGACGATGTATATTGCGAAGCGCACGCGGTAGATCTCCCCGGGTCGGAGATGATGCAATTAGCGGCAAAAAGAAGGGCTTATCTGGCCGAATCTCCACAACATGCACTCTACACTCCTGTCCGCCATTTGGCAGCTATCCATGACCCTACGTTGAAATCTGCTCCGTGAAGCCCCACGGAGCCTCATGTTCAACCTCCAGGGGATGATGGTGATCTGGGCCATCCTGTCATTATGCTTAACTCTCGCCCATGGCATGCGAGACAGCCGGGTCCACGAACTCAGGTACGAGCCATCCACTGCCGTCAAGATCTGACTAACCCGCGCAGGCAAGAAACAGAGCGCATGTTCTTCCATGGCTTCGAGAGCTACCTCCACTACGCGTTCCCCGAAGATGAACTGCGCGCACTCACCTGCGGCCCCCTCGTGCGCGACGACAAAAACCCGGAGAACAACGATGTGCTCGGGAATTACTCTTTGACTTTGATTGATAGTCTGTCGACGCTGGCGATCATATCTTCAAGTCCGGATAGTGGCGAGCGGGCTCTGGCACATTTCCAGAATGGTATTGAGGATTTCGTCAGGCTTTATGGAGATGGATCGGATGGCCCTGCTGGTCAGGGTGAGAGGTCCAGGGGCTTCGATTTGGACAGCAAGGTACAGCTCTTTGAGACTGTGATCCGCGGACTTGGTATGTTTTGTACTTTTCTACCTCAGCTGTGACAATGTCTGATTTCGGTCGCTTCAGGTGGACTGCTTAGTGCCCATCTGTTCGCAGTTGGCGAGCTCCCTATCGCCGGTTATGAGCCTCCAGAGCATGAAGCTGCCTTTGCGGGCGCTTGGGACAAGAGTTCTTTTGGAAAGGGCGATCATGGAATTCCATGGAGTAGCGGCTTTGTTTATGATGGCCAGCTACTCCGATTGGCCGTAGACCTGGCCCATCGCTTGCTTCCTGCTTTCTATACGGAGACCGGTCTTCCATACCCTCGTGTGAATCTGCGTCATGGTATCCCCTTCTATGAAAATGCGCCTTTGAATCCCAATTCTGGAAGGCGAGGGGAGAAGCGTAACGCCAAATCCTCCGCGGAAACCGACCCCGCGGAGACTTGCAGCGCTGGTGCAGGCAGCTTGGTCCTCGAGCTCACCGTTCTCAGTCGACTTACTGGGGATGGGAGGTATGAGGAATTGGGCAAGAGAGCATTCTGGGCAGTGTGGGACCGCCGAAGTGACATTGGACTGCTTGGATTCGGCATCAATGTAGAGTCTGGCAATTGGGTGGGACCATGGACTGGGATTGGCGCCGGGATCGACAGCTTCTACGAATATGCTGTCAAGGTCCCGATTCTCCTCTCTATGGGAGAGCCCGTTCCATCTGATCCTCAAAGCCCCTGGGCGGCGATGGACTCGTACTATGCGGAATCCCCCTTGACAGACTATCAGCACACATCGGAGGCTTTCCGAGAGGCTTGGGAAGAATCGCACGCTGCGATCAATCGTCATCTGCTCCGCGGAGAGGGATATCAACATCCCCATCTCATTGTCGGTGACGTGACGACTGGTGCCACGCGAGCTTTCTGGATTGATAGCTTAAGCACTTTCTATCCAGGTGTACTTACGCTTGATGGAAAGGTCGAGGAAGCGATCCAGATTCATCTGTTACCTACCGCCATCTGGACACGCTACTCAGGTATCCCTGAGCGCTGGAATGTGGCCACCGGCGATATTGACAACGGTATGCCTTGGTACGGAGGTCGCCCCGAGTTCATTGAGTCCAATTACTATATCTACCGGGCAACCCAAGACCCGTGGTATTTGCACGTCGGAGAAATGGTGCTCAGCGATCTCAAGCGACGATGCTGGACCAAGTGCGGCTGGGCTGGTATCAGAAACGTCTTGACTGGGGAACTTATCGACCGAATGGAGAGCTTCTTCACTGGAGAAACTGCCAAATATCTCTACCTTTTGTTTGATCAAGATCACCCACTGAACAAGATTGACGCTCCTTGGGTTTTCAATACTGAAGGCCATCCTCTCATCATCCCGAGCAAGAAGTCTCCACCACCACGCAAGCAGCGTTCGCCGCCACAGGATCAGCGGATCCCGCCGGGGGTGTGCCAAATCACACCTCCGCTCTTCTTCGGTGTCTCATCTACTGCATCCCGCTCAGACATCTTCCATGCTGCCACATTGGCACGATTGGAGCTGATGCCCGATCGCAATGCAGCCAAGGGCCCTGTTCTCCAAGACTCGCCCGAACATCAAAGTGTCTACGTGGCCGATCTTTCATCTCCGACCAACTACACTTTCTACCCTTGGACATTACCTCCCCAGCTGGTTCCCTACAACGCCACCAGCGCCCCAATGGCCGTTCGGCCCACGCTAGACATCTCTTTCCCCTCCCTCCCAGGCGGTGTCAACCTGGGTCCAGGGGCGTTGGAGCGAGTTCGAGACGGCATTCTCGTCAAAACAATCGGAGGGCTTCGTCTCAGCATGGTACAAGACGTGCGGTTGGAAGATCCCACTCCCACGACCGGAGAAGAGGATGGGTATCGGGTGCAAGTGATCAACAATGTGCCGCTGGGCAAAGATGAGAAGGTATATCTCTCTAGGCAGATCACCTTTGATGTTGTCGATCCGTATGATCCGAACTTCACCCGTGTTCGCGACAATACCATGCTTGACCTCGTCATTGACGTTCTCCCAGAGCCCTCTCGCCGACGTAATGCTTCGTCTCCTCCGCGAGATGAACAGTCTCAGGCAGACCATCCGCAGCCGCCAAACCCCAACAAGTCTGCCTCTTCCGTCGACCCCGCCATCGACTCCCCAGACTCAACTGTAAGAGCCATGCTCTCGTCTCTGGTCAACTCGGTATCGTCTCTTCTCCGCGATGAGCCAGCAGAACCCGCCCCACTGCGTCTGAGTCTCCCCGCTGCCATCTCCACCGGCGTGGGTTCCGCCATGCTACCCGACATCGAAGACGCCACCACAATGTCCTTATTTGGCAGCCAATCGACCAAACCTCTCGCCTGGTCCAATATATACTTTGCCGGCGATCTCTGCGACGAGCGCATATCTCGCGAGATCGCCCAGCATCACGAAGTGCTTGTAATCAAACGTGGCGGCTGTACCTTTTCGGAGAAACTTCGCAATATCCCCGCATACCGACCCATACGCAATGCTTTGAAGTTGATTGTCGTTGTCTCATATGAAGATGTGTCTGAACAACAGGAAACAGGCGGCACTATGGCTTCACTCGCAGCTGCCCGCGCTGAGTCTACACTTATCCGTCCTCATCTTGAAGAGGCCCAGATGACCCCCAGTGGAATTCCACGCAACTATCTCATCAGTATGGTGATGGTTGGCGGTGGTGACGAGACATATCAGCTCCTGCGGCATGCAAGCGGCCTTGGAGTCAAGAGACGATATACGATGCGGTCGCGTGGTGTTCCCATCACGAACTTACATATTGTTTGATTTATAATGAACCAGTCATCTTTCTGCTTGCCAGCGTTGCGGCCTCGTGAATGACAATGTAAACATGGAAGGCTGAACATAGTCGATAATCAAAATTCTAATATAACTAGAAACAAAAAGAACACTTCTGCTCTCCATGATCTTCTCAGCCTACATCTTCAAAGCCTCGACCGATCGCCCATCTCACTCTTGACCTTCCTCCAAGACTCAACTCCCCTCCTCGCCGCAACCTCAGGACTAACACTCCCATCCCTCATAGCGCGATCAAAAACCTCCATCGAAACCCACCCAGTGAACCCCATCTCCACAATCCAAGCCCTAGCAATCTGCGCCACAGGCAAATACCCCCCAAGCTCCCTCTCCAAAGGAAAAGGCCTCGCATGCTTTGACCACGTAAACTCCTTCGCCTCTCCAGGTATAGCCCAAGGATGCGTAACCGAATACGGTGGATCGAACCTCTCCGCATCAGAAAGCTGCACATAAAATATCTTCTCAACAGGACAATCGCGCACGAACCGCGCAAGCGAATCCCGCAGTCTCGCATCCGCATCCATCTGCTTCCCGCTCGCAGATGCATTATCACCCCACACCCTCGTGCCTTCATGGAACGTATCCATACAAAGGCCGAAATTCGGTCTGTTGACCCGATTCACGAGATCGAGCGCGCTTTCCCAGGTCGAGCAGTTCGTACCCCAGGAGAGAGCCTCGTAGGCGATTGAGACTGTGGGGGCTGGGGCGCCTAGCTCGGCGAGGCGTTGGAGGTCGGATATGATGACTTTCTCATCGCGGCTGCAGTCGTGGGTGAATATTGAGGGGACTTGGAGGTAGGGTGCCTTTAGGAGGCGGGCGATTTCTATCCAGTGCTTTGCGAGGGCGAGTCTTTGGTCTAGAGGGGTTGAGGCGCCTTCGTAGTTTTCGAAGGGGGCTAGAGATAGGACTTGGAAGTTGAGGGATTGGCATAGATTGAGGATTTGTTGGGCTGCTGTGTGGATTGGGATGTTTTGTGCTTTGCCGTAGGTTTCGAGGTCATTGTAGACTATTTCGATGCCGGCGAAACCGCCTTGGGCTGCGGCGCGGATCTTTTCATCTAGTAGATGGCCTGGGTATTGGCTGATGGAGATGCTGGAGATTGCTAGTTTGTTCGCCATTTTAAGGATATTTGAGGATATTTGGTCTGAACCAGAGAGGCTTTTCTTTGATATATTCAATGGCGGATTTCAGTTTCCGGTGAATCTCCCCGCATTTCGATTGCTTGCAGTGGGTGCTCGTCGGAATACTCGCAGCACTGCAGATCAAATGGAGCTTCGGTCTTTGGTGTCCGATGTGGGGAATGCTCCACTCCAGGGCTTCATACTCCAATGCCTGATGTTTTCGATGAGCAAACATAATGTTGGATGTGTAGCTTTCTGACTGCGATAATCTGACCAGGATTATAGGCAAACATCACATTCAAATTATTTGGAGCGAGACAATCTTCGATTTCAGCCTAGACTTGCTTTAGACTGCCATTGATACCCTACTTCAGGGCTTAGTTGTCACCACCGTCTGAGACTTATTCCTCGACATCTTCAACATCCCCCTGGTCAGAATCGTCTGTCTCGTCGGTGTATCTTTCATCGTCATATTCGTCAGTCTCGGATGCATCTCCGGCAAGGTAAACCGCCCGTCGAATCCTCTTTGCCAATTGATAGGCACTGTCCTGTCTTGGAGACCGCAGCACCCAAACATCAGGATCCTGGTTGGAATTTTCCATCAGACCTCGATAGTTCTCATTCTGGAGGTAAAACAAGTTGGAAGATTGGAGAGCACTGCACGATTTGTCGGTACGGGATTCGAATACATCCCGGGGATTCCCGTACGGTGCGTTGGTAGTTGGACAGCACTCAGAGTGTACTTTCCACTCTAGGTCCTCCGGGCTCAAACCGGGGCCTAGGTTGACCCATCTAGTCAGCACCAGAGTGAATCCACACCCGGTAGATCGTTCATTCACGACGTCCAGTTGAAAGTCGACCTGACATTTGATGCATTGATCGAGGACGTGGTACGTCCTATTTCGGAACTCGGAATCCTTAAATCCTAATTCTTTCGGTCCTCTTTTGCGAGGCTCTCGGGTAAACTTGTTGATCCACCACCGTATGTCCCCGTGGAAGCATGGGTGCGGCAGTTCCTTGCCGTCCATGATAGTGTGGTCACGCTTGCGGGCTCGCGCGGTCATGACGTGCTGAATACGAAGAAGCAGCCTCGGTAGATTGTCTGGCTCTGCCTTTGCGATCATCGCTTGGATCGAAGTAAGCATGGTATGTTTGTCGGTTTTCAACCCCTCGTCAGGATCCACGCTGTTCACCTCCAAGCAAGTGACTTGTGTATGGCAGAGTGAAGGGACAAGACCTTCAATCGGTTTGTCGGCAAAACGCTGGATAGCAAGCTGTACGTCCGAGAACCTGATGCGGTAAAGCATCTTGTATCTCTTATCCCAGTTGATCTGGAATTCAAGAGCCCGGTTGATCATGCCGCTCCCACACCGTTCACAAATTGTTTTGGGATCAACGAGATCGCCCTCGTGGAAGATAATCCGGGGCTCTGTCTTGGAAGGGTCGTGGATATTAAGACAGTGCAGACAGACCTGGTGGTTGGGCAGGTCACGCACGATTGTCTTGATGATATCCCTTCGAATCGTGAATATCTGCTTGAAATCGCGGTACTTCGACTTCTGCTTTGCCATTGTGGGCGTAAGAACTGACCAGAGCTTGGTACAAGTGAGTGCAAGGCAGGGTGTCTGCACCTCGTCAAGCAAATCTACTACAGACAAGAGCAGCTCGATCGGAAGTCTGAGAAGGGGTGGATTTCCCTGCATCTTCACTTGGTCTGGTGTATCAGCTTGATTTGCGTCTTCCGGCATAGTTGACAACGATTCGGTAGGGTCGCTCGGCATTTGGGACATGGGCTTGGCCCTGAGGGAAGGTTGTTTTCAGGGCAAGTTCTGTGGATGGTCTGTATTCTGTATTGACATCAGGATACTGGAGCTCGTCTTCCTTTTTGTGACCTTACCTCGTAGATGTGGTGGAAAGGAGCTTATGGTGGAGAAAGCTGTTGCGATGGAGAGAAAATGAAGTAAGGTGAGGGTAGAAATTAGGAAGTCGTAGACCTGGTCTATATACCCAGCCATACAAACATTCTAACATCCAACAAGGAAAAGCTTAGACATCTACAGCAATCGAACAAAGAAATTCTACCAGTTCCAAGACATCTAGTCTAAACTTTTACCTGCCAGTTCCAGTGATACTCTAGACATGCCCAGCGTGCTACAACAAAGCTCGTACAAGCTAATCCAAGTATACCACCCAGGAAAGCGACTAGCCGCGAAGGCCCAGCAACCTCCAGCAGCTGCCCGCCAATTGGAATACCGATCAGAGTTCTGTAAGGTGTCAGTGGAGTGTGAGCAATGTGTTGAGTGATGGTACTAACCCAAAACTTGCAACGAAATAGCAAGTTCCAAACCATTGGCCAAACTCCTCGGTGCCGCATATCTGGCCAACGCATACCGGAGTAAGACTGAGGATACTACCGGTCCCAAATCCGAGAAGAAAAGCGAACGGATAAAGAACGCCGATGAAATGACCGAAGGGGTACCACAAGACAAATATGAACACAGTAGTTATTGCCATCATTACTGTCATGGTGTTGAAGCGGCCACAGTAGTCTGAAGCCGTTCCGGATAGCCATCTTCCAAAGGCAGATCCACTGAATATGTCAGTACTAGGCATTTCAGGGTTTTTTTGAAGACTCACGCATTCAACACGACCAGGAGATACACGCCGGCCTCTGACCCAAAGCCCTGGGACACTGCGTATGTTGGTATCAGGCCCAAAGACGCGAACAAGACAATCTCGCTGACTATATGCATGTGAGTACTCATTGACGACCTTGAAAAGCTCATACTGTTAGAGCAACGACTCACAGAAAGCCCCGACGGTGGTCCATATGAATCTCGAATCGGCAAAACAACGCATGTCCACAACCCCTTTCCTGGTCTTCATTGGAAGCCGACTCCTTACACAAATATTCCCAATCGTAAGCAAGACGAAGAATATCAGCCCTAATATCCTCAGCGCCCATCCCCATCCAACCTTTTCCAACGCCTTCCTCAGCACCAAAGGAAATGTGATGCCCCCAAGACTCGAGCCCGCCATGGCAATGCCAGTGGCAGTACCACGCCTCCGACAAAACCAATGAGACAAAATTGCCATTCCAGGCGTCGACACAAGCGCGCTAGTTACACCTGCAAAGCCCAAACAAAGCATGAATTGGTAGTATTTCTCACACGAACCAAGCAGGAATATACAAAGTGTATAAGAGACAGAGCCAACGAGCATGATCCATCTAGGCCCGTATCGATCGAACATCGGTCCGATTTGGAGACCCAGCACGAGATTCAGAAAAATGAAGATTGATGGTATCCAGCCTATTGTGCTTGATGTGTAGGCTTTGAGCTGGTGGGTTTCCCAGTATGATTGGAGAACTCCCACTGTGCTCATCATGCCGAATGTGCAGGCTAACATCATGGATGCGCCGGCTACGACAACCCAGGCGGTGATTCCTCCTTCTGGATATTCCAGTGCCGTGCGAGTGGGAACCCGGCCGGGTGTCTCTAGTGTCGACATCTCGGTTTCGGAGTTTCGCGCGTCATTGTCCATGATCTGTAGAAACTGATCACAAATGCTGGGCTTGATGGATATCTTTTAAATTTGAATCCCTCAATTGAAGAAAATGAGCCCCGGAGGGCAGAAGGAAGTTGCAATTGAGTATATTGTGGGGAACACAACATTTGATTTGTCTGATCGCTACTTTATCCCGATTGGGTATGGATGTGTTTTGCGATGGAGGGCAGGCCGATGGCAGAAGTTGTTAAATAGTGTCATATTCCCGTGCTGACTCAAATTGGGTAAACAAACGACTTGTTTTCCAAATCAGTCAAATCCAACAGAGCAACATCAACCTTTCTCGTGACCACAACCCCATCCTCGATCTGCTCGACACACCCTTCTCTCTCCTCCACCGCATTAGACTCTCTCCTCTCTTTGTTCCTCTTTGCTAGTATATACCAGATCACGCAAAGAATGACCGGCGTTCCGACCCAGCTAACAACAATCATGGAAATCCACGCCCCATAATATCTCGGCGCTGCACTGGGGACCCAGATCTGCGGCGAGATGAGATTTCCAACACTATATCCAACCATGAACATCGCATTCCGCGTCAGCTTCTTTGTATACCCAGCCGCCGAGGAAGTTGCCCAGCCTAGCGCGATGATGTATGTGATACTATATGTGTTGCCGGCAAGCATGATACATGCCAGAAGCGCCAGTTTCCGTTCCCAGGCTATCGTTACCATGCCGATTCCAGCAGCCATGGCTATGACGCACCACACAGTACTGTGTAGAGCGAGATACTTGGGGAACCGCTTCAGCGCAATTGTAGCAACGACGCAGAGCACCGCGCCGAACCCACCTCCGGCCGCCGCGACAAGCGTTGACCCCAGATCCGACACCCCGAGAGACGTGGTGAGTAGATTCTGCTGCCCGTAATTGAGATTGTTGCAGTACATCAGGGTAAATGCTTGCAGAGCGAATAACCAAGAAACAGGGTCGCGCAGTGTTTCGAACAGCTGAGCCTTTTTGAAATGTTTCTGTTCGATCGAACTCTGATGCGAACTATGCACGCGATTGATGACGTGGACTTTCTCTTCCAGGGTGAGGAATCTCGCTGTGGCGGGATTATCAGGATATCCAAAAAAGACCCAAAAAGACAACAGAATAGTAAGACCGCCGATGATGATCATGAATAATTTCCACGGAAATATCGAGCCGTGGCTGAATAGCAGACCGTAGGAGATAAAGCCGGCAGGGATTGGAGCGCCGACACATGTAATCCAGAGAATAGGCTGAAGGAAGGATTGTTCTTCGCGATTGAAGAACATGCCCATGGTCATCTCTATGGCGGGGATAACCACTGCTTCAACGAGACCGAGGACTAGCCGAAGCACGGCGAGGCCAGCATAGTTGGTTCCCGCGCAATGCAGCATGATTATCGCTCCCCAGAGGAAGACCATGCCACTGACGAACTTCCCGAGAGGAAGACGCTGCATAAGGTAGTGACCAGGCCATTGACCAACCAGATAGCCTACATTGAATCAACTCAGCTGCTCCCCCTGTTTGCAATTGGATACTTACCGACGTAGAACAAACTGTTCAGGGTATTGTACTGTGATTTGGAGATTCCTGTCTCTTCGAAAAGCCCAAGAATAGCAGCATATCCAAGTGTTGATTTATCAATCTGCCTGGTTAGACTGAACCCAAACAAGGTTAAAGTTGGAATGGGTTGATACTCACAAAAAGAACGATATTGATGACAGACATCAACCCCATGATATAGAAATAGAGCTTTCTTCTCAGCCTCTTCTCCTTCTCGGGTGTTAGTGGCCCAAACTCATCACCATGCTCTTCCACGAGTCGCAGAGTAACATCTGCATAGCTCTCTTGGACTGTCTGGACATGGTTATGAACCTGCGGCTCTTTTTCTTGGCCCATTTTGTACAGCTAAAATGACCTGAGTCGCAGACCACTGGATTCCAAGGCATCATCCAGCTGGAATATCGATTTTTTAAAGATGTTGATCTCGGCAAATTAGTATGATTGCACCATCAGGATGGAGTATTGTATGACTGAGCTCAATCCCCGTAGCGAACATGATTCCTGCATGCGAATATAGCGTCATTCTTAGCGGCAATTCTCCATCGACGTCTCTCCAAGATCGCGCGCTGCGTCTTGTCCATGCTATAGTTTGCTTATTTCCATTTGAGTGAAATGCCGCATGCTTCTCCACTAATTAATACGAAATAAAAGCAAATGACACATACCTGCCTAGGTAGGAAAACTTTGGGGTCGGTACCTGGTCGGCTAATTGGGGGCCAGCTCATACCAAATCCTATCGTCTGAGCTCGGGATTTGATTTTTGCTCCCTGTGTTGTTTCCAACATTTCTCTCAGTTCTGCTTTCATCCTGCATGTTTAACCTCCTACTTCTCTTCTTTCCCTGCGGCAGGGATCCACAATTGTTGACGTTCCGAGTGTGTGAGTGTGATGGGACATATTGATTCAATACCCGGTGTTAGATGGATGTTGATCCAGGCATCTCACTTCTAGTCACCATTTATCACTCGGGGGTAGTAATCTCTGTCTAAGTAGCAAAAATGCAAAAAATGCAACAGTGAGGATTCTCATTCCCCTGCTGTTGCTGGGCTTCAAGGAACAACTGGCATGGTATATCGTGGATGGGGAGTCGTGCCTTGAGAAAGGCACTGACTCAGATAAGCTGCGGCTTCATGGTAGGATTGAAATACCTGGGTAGAGTCGGGGATTGAATTGTCTCAGGAGAATGCTAGGGTTTCCCTTTTATTCCACATCTTGTGATCGTATGTGCTTGATCATTCACTGAGCATAAGTTTATACACAGACACTAGAAACCGTCTTAGGGCTTGAGATGATCACGGTGTTACACCTGGGCATATATGCTGCTTTGCCCCATCAATTCTTATTTTTGTTTCTTGCTTCCAACCTGACCCTTCCGCGGGCCATTTTCGATGAAAATTTTCTTGGCTGATTACATCTGCTACACTGCTAGATTCACAATAACCGCGGTGATCGCGGCGATCGCGGTGACCTGGACCGCCGCTGCTGCTGCTGCCGCCGCTACCCTGCTGTTATTTTGTTGTGATCTTGGAACTCGTAAGGATTCTCGAAGATCCATCTCTATTTAGACGGCGGGCAAGACTAGGTCGCATGAACGATTAACTGTACAGAATGTTCGGCCTTGGTACGGCTGCATGGATGTGTCGTATGTCCTTAGGAAGCGGAAGAAATAAAAATAATCCATGGATGTCAGACGCCCATGTTCTGTTTAAGAACCTCAGAAGATAGGTGGGCATAATCTTGATTTTTGCCAAGGCTGCTCTAGGTAGATCTTCTGACTTTCACATCGTGAGCGGCTAAGTATTCGACACATTTTCCTTGAGCTATGGCATCGAAAATATCCTTCCAAGGTAACAATGATGGCTTGGAAGTAGGAATTAACCAGGGCAATATCACATTTAGTATGCTTCAACGCGCTCATGGTAGCGAGAACTCCTCGGTGCGGGGCTAATCACTACGCGAGTCCAGCATCCATCAACAATGATGCCGATCAGATTTGCATGCAGGCATTGCGATGTCCAAATTCGCGGGCTATCAGACATCGATTAACGCGGGAGAAAGATCAACTCCGCCCGACACTGATACAGTGGATCATCAATAGCTCGCAATATAGAGCCTGGCGAGATGGACGGGAAATCGGCCTACTCTGGATTAAAGGAGGGGCAGGAAAAGGGAAGACTATGATGACTATCTTTATCATTGATCAACTCTCTCGCCTGTTCGATGACAGCTCGTCGAAAGAATCACCCTTGGTGACTTATTTCTTTTGCCAAAATACGGATGACGAGCTGAGTAGCATCGCAGCCATTATCAAGGGTCTTATTCTTCAATTGGTTCATCAAGAAGAGGCTGTCGCGAGGTGTTTACGCAACTACTGGGATATCAACAAAAGAACTTTCACGCATGACATGAGCTCATGGCGAATCCTGTGGAACCTCTTTTGGGAGATGTTGGATCGGTGCGAGCGCTCGCAGATCTACATTATTATCGACGGCTTAGATGAGTGCAAAGACGACGACGTGGACAGCTTTCTCCGCATGGTAGTCCGGAACGGGCTTGATCATCCTGGCAAGATCAAATGGCTACTAGCAAGTAGACCACTGGATAGTGCTGAAAGGGAACTGCTGACTGGGAACGACCAGGCACAGGTTAGCCTTGAGCTAAACCATGAAAGTGTCACCGAGTCAGTCAGGGCCTACGTCCATGAGAAAGTAAAGGAACTTGATCGACGGGCCAGGTACAACAAGAGCTTGCGACAAGAAATCGAGAGCAAGCTTGTTTCCAAGGCCGAAGGCACATTTTTGTGGGTCAGCTTGGTGTGCAAACAGCTAGAAAGTGTCCGAAGTGAGGATGCTCTTGGTGCAATCCAGGCCTTACCATCTGGACTTCCTTCTCTGTATCATCGGGTATTCAGCCAACTTCAAGTTGGCAGCCCGACAGATGTAAAGGGAAGCATGATATTGCTAAAGATCATGAACTCAACTTGCGGACCACAAACCTCAGTTGATCCTTGGAAACTGGAAGCGCTGGCTAGCATATGCGGTCTTGTTGGCAAATACAGCAGCATCGAGGAGAATGAAACAACCGTCAAAGCATTGGTGGATCGGTGTGCCTCCTTTCTTCAAATGCATGAGAGAACCGTTCGATTTTCCCACCAGTCTGCGCGAGATTTCTTCGTGAGCGACGCTGGAAAGTCTTTACTGGATTCGCAAGAACAGTTCGGCCAATATGAACTCGCTATGGGGTATGTGTCGTTTTTAGACCGCCATCTTAAAGTGAATCTGCTGGACTTTTCGGGACCCGACAGCTCCCCACATGAGGTCGATCTCACCGAAGCTCAGACGACGTTGCTAAGGAATGTGGCACATGCAGCTACTCATTGGTTGGGCCATTTCAACAATGCAGAAAAGACCTGGTCAAAGCACGACAAGCCTATCGAGAAAGGTGTATTCAAATCATTCGTACAAACGCGATTTCTCGAGTGGATCGAATGTTTAAGTTTCTCAAACTCCCTCGCCGATGATGAAAGTGGGTTTTACACAACGATGAAACCACTAGTTTGGCCCACGCAGTGGAAGGCTAGAGTGGATGTAATAATCATGCACCCAGTCGAGCAACTTATGAAGGTCTGTATGCAGACTCACCCTTCGATGTGTTATGAGGTTACTTACAGGCAATACAGGGCGATCATCAGGGCTTAGAATTTGTCTAAGACGCGAAGAATTTTGTCTACTGGCACCATGATCTCATAACGCACCGGCCTTTACAGATCTATACATCTGCAATCATATTCAGCTCCCAAACAAGCATCGTGAGGAATGCGAACCTCGACAAGCTACCTGTTTGACTAAAGGAGATTCCCCGGATGCCTGAACATTGGGCGCCACATGGATTCGGGCCGTTTGCCTTTGCCATAGACGGACGGTTGCCTTTTGTCAATTTTGACGATGACCTCGTTCTCAAGCCTCTGCATAATCAGACAAGAGATCAACGGAAGACCCTTGGCAGTCGCTCGGGGCCATATTCAATTGTGACATGGTCTCCCGACAATGGACTAATCGCATCTGCAGCTATGGACAGCACCATCAAAGTGTGGAATGCGATCACAGGTCAAATCAAGCTGGAAATCCCCCACAATGCAGAATCTGTGAATGCTATAGCAATCACGAATGATGCCGCGAAGATCGCCTGGAGCTCTGACAAAGACTCTGTGATCAGACTTTGGGATAGCGCGAGTCAGCAAATAAAGATACTGACAGGGCATACCTCTTCAGTATGTTCTTTGTCATTCTCCCCGAACGACAGACAGCTCGTGTCTGGCAGTGTGGATCACACCGCTAGGCTGTGGGATACCGCTACGGGCAGCCATCTGAAGACGCTGTCGGGTCACTCTGATCGGGTCGGAGTCGTCACATTTTCTCCGGGTGGACACTACGTCGCATCCGGCTCCGATGACAAAACTGTTAGGCTTTGGGACACTACTAGAGGTGGTCACATAAAGACTCTGCAACCTCTGGGAATCATGGTCGAAGTCAAAGGGGTATCCTTCTCCACGGATGGTAAATGGATTGCCGCGTGCTCTTCCCCAACTGGAATTCAATTCTGGGAACTTGCCAAAAGTCTTAATCCCTCGAAACTTTTCTGGCATAGTCTTAGCCGATATCGGGTTGCATATCCAGATCGTGAAATCCGTACACCCTTCAAAGTCAGGGCCATCCAGTTCTCACCAGATGATCGATATCTCGCAACTAATATGAGGCCGATCTGGCTTAGAGGCATAACCAGGTCTGGGGTTCCAGTAGAGCCTGGTCTTCGGTATGAGCAAGGGTGGGTATGTTCTGGAGATTTGCGAATCCTTTATCTGCCAGAAAACGCTCTCGCATTGACCTGTGATGTTGAAGGTGATCAGGTGAGAATTGGATTTCCGGATGGGTTCATTGTGAGCTTTGGCATCAATCTCGAATCGCTTGCCCGACAGACTTTCATGATTAGATAAACCGATACTGGGCCCCTTGTTTCGGTGTTTAATGTGGCTGCGGGAAGCCCATACCGAGATCCTTCTCTTGGGGGATGCTATGACACATATATGCATACCCGTGGAGACTAGAATGAGCAATCCACTCTGTCGATGACGTGCGCTGCATCTTTTGCTTCAATTTTGCATTTCCCAAGGTGATGATATTTGCGAAAAGTCACCGCAAGCTCGTATGATGTGCGTGTTATAAATAAGTAAATATCAGTAACAAATCTGAGTCAAAAACAAGCCCAGTTGGTTGGAGACTAACCAACAGACAACGTATGGAAACCTTGTTGATACCCAACATATTTTCGTACTTCCGCATCTTCCCCTCATACAACTTCCTCATTTCAAATCAATTTCTTTTCAACCTTCAATCTCAAACACTCCAATGCACATCTCAATCAACCTCGACCCAATGCCAAATCACCCAGACCCAGGCCTAGCTCCAGGCCTAGACCCATCCCTCGAAACAGAGCGACACGCCCAGGCCCCGGCCTCGCCCATCCCAACTCCACCACCACCACCACCAACCGCCCAAAAATACTACTACTTCGCCTACGGCTCCAACCTGTCACCCACTCAGATGGCAGCACGCTGTAACCAAAACCCCAGCTCCAGCGAGCCTCTCGCAATAGCCACGCTTCCCCATTGGCGCTGGCTCATATGCGAAGCAGGCTACGCTAACGTCCTACCCCCTCCCGGTCTCCGGGTACCGAATCAGGACTCCGAGCCGGCGCATGAAATTCCTGTTTCGGGATCTGAGGATACGGTGTATGGGCTTCTTTATGAGATGGATTTGCGTGATGAGAAGCTTCTCGATGGGTATGAGGGTATTGATACGCATGCGAAAGATGCCGATGGTGAGTTCGTGGACGTCGATGTGAGACCTAAGGAGCAAGGGAAGGGAAGTTACAATAAGTGGTTTGTCGAGGCGAACGTGGTCAATTGGCTCGATGGGCGCGAGGATCAGGCGCGGGTGAAGGCTTTGGTTTATGTTGATGAGCAGTGTGTTTCGCTTTCCGAGCCTAAGTTTGAATACATTGCGCGGATGAATCGGGGTATTCGGGAGTCTGTTGAGTTGGGGGTGTCGCAGCGGTGGGTGGATGAGGTTATCAGGAAGTTCATTCCTGAAGATGCGTGACGAGCTACATGACTGCATAAAAGGGTGTAACTATTTGATATTCTACCATACTAAATAACCAAAAAAAAACGCACTGTGTACATGGTCCACAGGTTCCAAGGTTACTACAGTATAGTTATGTAGATCAATAGATCAATTACGGAGTAGATAAGATCGGACCGATCGGGTATCCGAGGAACGGCGGCGGTCTATGCGCAATTCAAATTTGCATTGAAGAAAGCTATTTGTCTATATTGGAATGATAATCCAGCTTTGGTCCAGCCAATGGCGGATGCCGTCCAGCGAAACAACCTTGGAGGGGCTCTGATACCCCGATACTCCGTAGAATGCGGAGAGTGGGGTCGTATTGGGCCCGGGTGACGCTCCGGGAGTTGGCTTTTGGTCATTATTATCGGCTCGCAGATGATTTTGAGAGGTTTGAGGGGGTATAAATTAAGCCTGGCCAGAGAGGAGGGTGTAGACCGGGGCGGAGAGCTTGTCGCGGCCGTGAAGGAACTCGAGCTCGAGGAGGAAGATGAAGCCCATGAGCTTGCCGCCCATCTTCTGGATCAGCTCACCACCAGCGTAGGCAGAGCCACCTAAAAATCGAGTTAGAAGATTTGATTTGGTAGATTGATCTAGGCACTTATCATACCGGTAGCAATGATGTCGTCGATGACCAGGACCTTCTGGCCGGGCTTGATGGCATCACTCTGCATCTGGAAGAAATCCTTGCCGTACTCCTTCTCGTAGGCAACAGTGTCACAGGGACCGGGGAGCTTGCCCTGCTTGCGCACGGGAACGAAGCTGGCACCGAGACGCAGAGCCAAGCTGGGGCCCATGAGGAAACCACGGGCTTCGAGACCGACGATCACATCGGGCTTCTCGCCGCCGTGGTTCTCGAGGATGTGGAGCTCCAGAGAGCGGATGAGGGCTTCGTGCAGGGTGTAGTCGGCGAAGATAGGCATGATATCCTCGAACAAGATTCCCGGAGAGGGGAAGTCCGGGAACTGGCGCAGGCCAGCGCGCAGCTTTACCTTAAGACTGGCGAGTTCGGCGGCGCGGGAGGCATCGGTGGAGGGGAGTCCGACTTGGGAGGCATCGGGAAGGGTGGAGGAGGACATGATGAGAAAGAGAAGAGGGGGAGGGGAATGGGGATGGGGGTAGAAGAAGTAAAAAAAAAAACAAAAAGAGAAAAAAAAAAAAAAAAAGGGAGGGGGGAAATGGTAAAATTACGCTAGGGTGATAAGATAAGTGCCCCTCTATATACGGCTATTTAGTACACTTCCAGATCTTTATTTTACTTTATTCTAATGTTGTTAGATTATTCTGTTGTTCTCGTTGTACTCCATCTATACTTATTCTATTCAACATGATATCCATAGATCCAAATATCAAGTCCATGTAATTGATATCAAGATACTAACGGTCAGGCTCCCAACGCCACGGTAAAATACTGTGTCACGCAATGCATATTCTTCTAGAACACTAGTACTAAGTAAGTACTGAGATACCTATTAAGTATCTCGTCTATCGTATCTGGGCTAGTGTACATATTTGTAAACCCAATGGCCCGCTGCGGGCCTAGTTTATGATCTGCGTACTCCGTATTGACCCTAGTGCTCAGTCCCCCTCTCAGCGTCACAATTCCGACTTATCCTGTTTTCTTTGTGTACCCAGAGCAAGAGTCTGGGCCCGTTGATCTTCTTTTCGTATGTAAGGTACAGTATCACAAATGACTCATTTCACAAGTCCAGACCGGGGAATTTAACCATGCAGTATCGGACGGATCAGACCATCGCGGCGGGTATGCGTATGGCCCTTGACGCAGCCGTGGCAAACCAATAGGATGTTTCAGGGCACGACGTGATCTGAAACTCATCACTGTGGCTTTGCTGAAAGGGTCAAGGTACTTGCTGCGGACAGGGATCTCTGTTGTGCAGATAGTGGATTCCGTACCGTTTTGACCCCTCAATCGAGAGAACTGGCCACTTCTTTCTCCGTACTCCGTATTTTGTATACTTTCTTTTCGGTTCCTGGATGATAAAAAGGATGACTGTCTTTTTTTTACTTTGGCAAAAAAGTAATCTTAAAGACCATGTTGGTGTTTTAGGAAGAGCCGAACGCGGGGGTCGAACCCGCAGCCTTAAGATTAAGAGTCTTACGCTCTACCGATTGAGCTAGCCCGGCGAGAGGCTGTTGGTTGAGGGAAATAATTGTGCTATATAAAGGATGGGCAACAGACACAGAGTAAAAAGGCTCTCAAATCCTCCCCTGTGCTCACCTTGGTTTCAATTGAAAGCTGAAATGCCTGGTTTGTGGCTATTGAATAGCCCCATGGTATTTTTTGGACTCTCCGAGCACTCAGTGTTGCTGTGAATCAAAATCACGACAACACCATCAAATTGCCTCGAGATCCACCTGAGTACGGCTATATATAGTTTGGACGAGTGCTCAATAATCTGTGGTCCGGCCACAAGTAAACTAAGAATTTGATACATGAGGGTCGGAAAACAAAGAAAAACAACCGGACATGCTTGGAAGCGTGGAACCGAGTCACAAAAAGAACCCTGCAACGGACCATGGGGTCACCAATTGAAGGAGTCTGTTGAACAGAGGTGTGTCCAACATCACCTACTAGCCCCCCGGAGTTAATACCACCTGGAAGTAAGAGTCCTCTCGTTTCGAAGGTTGCCGTTTTGCTGGGGATGGCGTCAGTGCCCAGGTGATAATTTCGAGGCACATCGTTCTTCACTCTGGTTCATAGAGACAGCTCCTACATAACAACCTTGGAACATGCATGATCCCTGGGGTGCTCGGTAGAGAACGGAAACAAAATGTAGGTACCACCAACAGATTCCTGCAGATAGCCCCCTAGCCTCGCAGGCCATGCAAACGTACAATATTGGAAGAAAGACAAGAACTAGTATTATTTGAAAAGGTACACCGTACTCCGTACAAATGGTGGAGTTTACTAATATATTCTTAAAAGGGATTTCAAGGCTCGTTGGAAAACCTGTCTGAGTTTGCCAGTACATTGCGCGGGTGATCGCCCGATTCCAAAATGTTGTCTGACATGGTACCTGCATGTACCTACAGGAACGGGTATCTCAAGTTGGGAGAGATGTAGATGCATGTACCGTGTCCAATGAAACCCAAAACAGCCTAGTCCCTCACATGACCAAGCACAGACCATCTCGCTTCACGTTTTTCCGGCGAACCCGCCCGTATAAAGCGGCCTATTTTTCCTTCTCCATCCTCCATGCTTTTGAAGCTTGTGCCTCTACAGGCCACTTCCATCTCAGATAAATGATTTCTGATATCTTGTAACATGTCACCCGCCGCGATCGCCGAGATGCAGCCAGATCTGCCCAATGATCAGCTTGACGCCGTGGGCAAAGCCTTCGATGCGCTACTACTAACCGTGTACCGGCTGACTCACAGACAAAATGAGCTCTTCCAACACATGGACAATGTCTTCAAGGAGGTAAGAATCATCCTTCGTTCTCCCTCAATGTTTTGCTTTTGCATCTGGGTCTCGCATGACGACGAAAAGCTCTAGATCAGGAGCCACAAATTTGTGGCAATGACGGATTAACATGTATTATCTGAATGAGACCTTTGATTGCCTTTTGCTTTCAACCATTTGACAAGATGATCGTTGCTAACTTTGCATCTTTCAGTACACAGACGTGATAGAAACTCTGCCTCCTCAAGATAGACCTCATGCACTGGACGTTCAAACCAAATTGCTCGCTCAGCAGGAAGAATTCCGACAGGGCCTCGTACACAGCAAACCTCGCGTCGAGGAACAACCGCTGAAACCTATGGATGTAATAAAGACACTCGTTGCGCATCAAAATGTAGACGAAAATACTTCACTGGCCATCAAGAACGGAGTGAAGGGCTGCAAGTCTCTGCTCCGGTCTCAAGATGGCCTTTCCCAAATATCCTCCTCGTGCATCCTCGCGCAAGCACCGGCTCCAGCAGTTGCGCTGGAGAAGGACTTCACTACGAATGGCACCCAGGGAAATCTTCATTGCCCTTTCTCAAAACCCAATAAGATGCAGAACGGGAGCGAGACTCGAAGTGCGAAACACTCTGTGCCAAAGGTTCAGATCGAAGCCGCCTGTGGACATGAGCACCTCGACCCCATCAAGGCTGAGCTAGATGAACGACGCTCCAGTCACACCCCATCCGCCCCGTCATCCAAGGGGGCCTGTCCGGTCTCGCGATGCCCGATTCGATTCTTGGACCAGCATTCCCCAGAAGAGATCGCCGAATACGTTGAAAGACACAAGCATGAGATCCCCAGAAGCCATGCAATCTGCGTCAACCGCTACCAGAAGAACCCTCAGAACATGCGACATCTCGACGCCAAGTACGGAGGCCTCACCAGCATGATCGCCGGACTCGGCGTCAAGCACCAAGCCTTCCTGCCCGAATGTCAAAACGGCGAAGGCAAATCATCGAGCTCCGCATCTACCCAGCGAGTCGAGAAGTGGGCCGAGAACGTGGACCCTACGACACCCGCCCAAAGCCCCCAAGACACCCAGAACGACGACGATAACCGCCAAAGTCACTTTGACCGTCCCCTCCGCGAGGTTCGCGTGGGCGAATCCCCGAGCCGGCCTTGGGGCATCTCAGTCCCCGTCACACACCTTCCTCCCGCTTCCTCGTCATACAATGGATCCGCCTCTGATCCCACATCCCCCGATCCCCAATCCGACAAGCCCAATAACATTGATCCACCCGCCACCCCCGCCAAACCTACCGGCTGTCCATTCGGCCATGACAAACCAAAGCCCCAACCTCCAAAGCCCGCAGCCGAAACACCCTGGAATGGCGATTGGCGCAAAGACTGGCCAAAGGAAGAAAAGGCACCTGCGAAACCCGGTTGTCCTTTCGGACACGATAAGAAGACTGAGGCGCCAATGCCTGAGACACAGCCACCGAAGGATCAGCACAAAGAGGGGGCTCAGGGTAATGCGGCCGAGGAAGCCCCGATTGCCCCGACTGCTCCGGTCAGCGAGGATCCAACTACCAAACCCGGTATCCCATCCACCCTCTCTACTCCGTCCGGTGTCACTTTCAATGGCCCCGTGTTCTTCGGATATTCCCCTGAGCAAACGGCCAACCTGATGCAGCAGCTGGCTAGCCTGGGCAACCTAAACCTTGGTAATCTGGGCAAATGAGTGGAAAACTCTGTATAATATGTCTCTGGAAGGCGCATTAAGGCGCATTAATGATTACGACGACACGACTCGATTTTTTAGCCCTTCAATTGACCAATGCAATCAACACATATCATTTTAAAACACTCTTAGTAAAAATAAACCAAATATGCCCATGGATGTTGAGGGCCAGTAAGATGACTTCATCGGGGAGCGTTGTCGCTCTCCGAGGGAAACTCGCAGAGCGGGGCATATTTATCATGACCTTATAGCTTCTTCCATTCCCCGATGTTGCGAACTACTTCTCGTCTCTTGTCTCTTTCTCAAACTCTCCGTCCTATTAACCGTCCAACTCTCTCCAGACCTCAATTCATAATGTCTGCCAACATGTCCATTGTCTCCGCCAAGGATGCCTGCCCTCGTAAGTGAACGAGCTATACACCCTGCTTCCCAGCGATATATCTCCCCAATTCCTTTCAATCCCTCCTTACCCCTTCAATGAAAACCACAGATCAAGAGCTAATTGTCGTTCCTAATAGCTGCCGGCCCTTACGTACGTTCACTCTCCCAAAACCTCCCAAGTACCCTGCGGGCCTCTGCCCCGCACTTCACAAACACCGCGATACCCAACACACCCAACAGACAAGCACTAACAGCCCACAGTCCCAGGCCATCCGCGCCAATGGCCAGATCTTCGTCTCCGGCCAAATCCCCGCTGATGCCTCCGCCAACCTGATTGAGGGCAACATCGGCGACAAGACCCAGGTCTGCTGCGACAACATCAAGGCTATCCTGACCGCCGCCGGTTCCAGCGTTTCCAAGATCGTCAAGGTCAACGTGAGTCATACCGAATGATCAATATCACCCGCGGATTCCGCGGACTCGTGGAATAGTCCCAAGGTCTAACGAGAACAATATCCAGGTCTTCCTTACTGACATGGCCAACTTCGCCGAAATGAACGCCACCTACGAGAAGTTCTTCGTTCACAAGCCTGCTCGCAGCTGTGTTGCCGTTCACCAGCTGCCCAAGGGTGTCCCTGTTGAGATTGAGTGTATCGCTCTGGAGTAAATCTTAGAATCTCTAGAATAAACCGAAAGAAAGTATACACAAAAGAATTAAGTCACTTCAAATGGGTTATGAGAAAGTAGAAGAAGAAGAAGAAGAAGAAGCTGAGATATGGGAGTATGGAGTACAAGCAGAGATGCCAAATTTGGGAATCATAGAGTTCATGCGAAATGCAAGCAAAAATAACATAGGCTGAATGTATTGATGTGAAAAGAAGAATTAAATCCAAAAGAACAGCCAAGACAGGACACAAGGGCAGCTCTGAAACCGTGGAATGGTCATGGAATGGAGACTTATCGTGCGCGAGGAATAACACCACTCATACGGCTTCCTGCACCGGCCATGAGACTCTGTTTCACAATTGCATCGGCCGCAGCCGCAGCCGCGAGTCTTTCTTTCTGTCTCGAGCGATCGCGTAGATAACCTGCTGCTTCGGGGCGCATGCGCAGGATACGTAGGATCATGTCGTCGTTTGGATCTGCTTGTGCTTCGCGACGCTTTTCTTCCTTGGCTTTCTTCATGGTTCCCAGGTTTCGGGAGAGCATGATGCTCTTTGCGCGGCGGGCGGCTGGAAGACCTAGGCTGCCGGGACCGGAGGCGCCGAGAGCGGGGGCGGAAGTGCGGTTACGGGCTGCTTGTTGGCGGTTAACTGTTGCAGAGGCCATACGCTCTGAGGTGCGGATGAGGTTCTCTGTTGGTTCGAAGTAGAAGAAATTCAGGGACTGGATTTCGTGGTATTTGGGTGATTTCAGGATATCGATTGGGACACCGTTGGCTTCGCCGGTTTCGTCGTCAATCGCGTGGAAGAAGTTGAGGAGTAGCACGAGCCAGCGTGATACGATGTCTACCTCTTGGATGGTGAGGGGTTTCTGGTGAGAGGGTTTGTCGGAGAGAGGTGGGACCAGCAGGCTCTCGATTGTGGCGAGTACTTCTTTCCAGAGGCGGGCCATGACCATCTTCATGGCTTCGGGGGTGAGGGTCTTGTTCATAATGGCGAAGTTGTCATTGAAATAATTGAACAGAGGTGTTAATGCGTTTTCGACGTCCGCAGAGGTGGGACCGGAGGGAGCCGCCGGGGCTCGGTTGCGGTTCAAGAAACTTGACACAGTAGACATGCTGATACCGCGAGAGAGGAGGGATTTCAGCGTACGACGGGACAGACAATGGCTGATATATGCCGACAATTTCTCTGTGATCTTGCGAGTCATGTCTCGCTCTGTTCGCTTCAGGGTACGGAAGGCCTTGCCAAAGTAGAATTGGATGTCATCTCGCTCGCCTTCCATGCTGACTCGGAGCAAGAGTCGACCCTGGGTATCGAGGTCAAGCCAGTATTCCCTTGGTAAGAAGTCGCTGAAGTGAACGGGGTCCAGCTTGATCGATGTACGACCAACGTAGTCATGATCGCCTACCGCGTCCCAATCCCAAATCGTAGCAATGATGTTCAGGGGACCTTGGGTTGTGAGATCCACGGCGTCTTCCCATCGGGGATTAAGATTATTGTAAATGGTACGCGTTTTAGCGATGCGTTTTTGGTACTCATCTGCCAAGACGACATACGGATCACTGCCACCACCAATGTCACATGCCTTCAAGTCTTCAGCCTCCACAATTTTGATTGTGAAGACGTAAGTTGTCGACTTGCGGACTTTCTTGAGTTGGGGAGCAGTGTGTCTCGCAATGACTTCGGCGCAACCGTCGACATTAATATCGTTCTCAAGCTTATCAAGCTGAGTGAGTGCATATTCAATATTGTTCAATTTCACCAGAGACTGCAAACGTGTTAGATTTGTTTTTCATCAGAGCGACAGGATCCAAACGTACCTCAGAAGAGAACTGGAAGGGCTCGATTTTATCCTTATTCGTCCAGGTATCTTTGGCGAACTGCATCCACTTCTCCTGTGTGGTTTGATTTAACGCAGCCTCCTGTTCGGGAGTGAGACGATCCATCTCTCGTGCGAACATCTTTTCCAAAGAGTCACAATAAGTTGCCACTCCTTTGCCGATTGAATTGGACAGGTGCGTCATGAACTTCGCGTACTGGAAATCGTCGTCCCATTCCAAATTGACCAAGTTTTCAACCACCTGGTTGAACGATCTGAAAATGTCAATGACTGAGACACTGTGTCGATCATCGTCAGGCGCAAGATCCGTTGTTTCATCAGCACCAACGTTGAACGCATCTTGTCTGGTAGCTTGACTGACCCAGTCCATGACCTTTTGGTCAGTGAGACGAAGCCAACGCCAGACAAACTCTTGCAGCAGACTCTCCACATGGAACGGGAACTTGGCACTGGGGTTGGTTAGTCATTGTTTAGGCGTGATGCGATCGGGACTATCTTACTCTTCGTGGGTGTTGTGGAACAATCGCCTGACAGCAGCGAGCTGCTTGTAGAGGTCAAAGCCGTCTTCAATGGGAATTTCCTCGCCTCGAGCATTGGCTTGTTCAAGGATTCTAATTACCATCTCATGTGCATCCTCGGCAAACATAGGGAGAACGTTATAACACAGTGTGGTGAAAGGGTTGACGCTGTTTGTAGATTAGCGAAAGGTCGAACATAAGAAAATCCGGAAAGCGAGAAGAAAACTCACCCCATAATTTCAGGATTGTTGCGGTATCGTTTCTGAATTTTCGTTGCAAGTTTGGTGATAGCATCCCCAAGTTGTATGACATGATCGGCCTCCCAAGCTTCCGCATCGACTGGAATCGTCTGACTTAGGATAGTTTGATATTTTGCTGTTGCTTTCTGTGCAAGCCCCTCCTGTACGTAAGTGCTGAATCGATCGATGTCTTCTGGGTCTTCGAGATAGCTGGGATCCATCTGGATATGTGACTCCAAGATGTACATGACTGGTCCAATTGGGCGTGGTTTGGTTTCAAAGCAATCCATCATCACATCGTACAGCTCGCGGAGCAAAGCCTCATGAAGTTTGGACAAAAGCATTTGCATGGACTGAAGATCATGAACAGTCCATCGTTGTCGATCGAATACCGACGAAACCACGAAGCTACTACGCTTGCGGTTCTCCCCCTGGGGTGCTTCTTTCGCAAAAGTGAAGGCCGAATCAAGTGTATCGAGATCGATTTCATTATCCACAAATTTAGCTTGAGCGACCTCAAGGAAAATCACAACCCTCGAGAAAGTAGGAATCCGCCAGCGGAGACAAATCTCATTGAGCATTTCAGTGGACTGTTTTGAAAGCAGCCTAGTCGAAGGCACGTCGGCGTCAGTCTCACGGTCACGTAGATCATGGCTGAGCGTCTGGGACAAGATATATCGATACAATGACCTAGGATCAGACGGAATGAATGTGTAGGTATCAGATTCATCCGACTCCCCCAGGGAAAGACCACTGAGGTCGACAGATTGGTCAGTGGCAAACGAGCTCCTATCAGTTCGACCAGAAGATACCCTGGAAAGGTCAGGGTTATCATGGGGGCTTGGGCTGAATTGAGGAAGAGATCCTGGGGTGCTTTTTGCAAGCTCTGGGTTTGATTGTATGATGGCGAGTATCATCTGCGAGAGATCAGGGCTCTCGCTCTTCTTCCAAGCGTCATACCCCTCATCAGACTCAAAATCATCTCTGGACAAGGTCTTGTGGGTCTGGAGACTCAAATGCGCTTGGTATGTTTTGAGGTCTTTCAGAGCTGCTTGTTCAGTCCATGATGACTTGTGTTTGTCGATCTCGGATTGCGCCTCGGAGTTGGTCATTCCGAAGACCTTGGCCACATGTTGAACCAAAGGCATGTCCCTAACATTATAACTCAATGATGCGACGGTCTCCGTCGCAGAGGCAGCTACGCTCGGTTCCATGAGGTCTTGATCCTGCAAGAGAAGTTTGTTTTCCAGGACGGTGAGTCGGTTCGCCAACTCAGGTCGGTCTTTGGACCAGTCATGGTCTTTCAGCGTGAGCGCAAGGAGTCGGACAAACAATGCGACGTGGCGATCGACCATGAGTTTCCAGCTATCATCATCATGCTCTTTGCCCTTGCCAAGCTCTTTGATTGCATTGGAGTAGAAAATCAGGAGTAGATCTTCAGCTCGTCGATCCTTTTCCATGCGCTTGCGGAACGAGCTCTCCTTCAACACGTTGAGGAAAACGGCGAACGTCCGGACTACTAAATGGTCCTGGTATTCCTTTCTCTTCTCCTTTCCCATCAATACACCGGTCAACCGTTTCTCCAGCTCGGCGACGAAACCGTGGGGGATTTTAGTGCTTTTCGAGTCCTTGACTAAGGAGAAGTCACTCATCAGGTCGTGTATAGACGTGGAGGATCGTTTCGGCCGCGCCGGCGCGACGGGGGCATTTTGGATGCGACGAGAACGAGGGTGTAGGAGGTAGGCAAGGTAGGCGACCCTCAGGGCATGACTGTATGCCACGTTGGCACTTAAAGGGCGTCGCCGCGACGCGGAGGAGTTTCGCGAATGGCGACCCTCATTTTGAATGCTGTTGATCCGTCGGTTGACTCCTCGGGATTGAGTAGATGCTGTCGACATGGGTATGTTCAATAAATTCGTGCAGCAGTTAGGTAGCAGAACGCGGGACCATGGAGGGAGTTGGAGACCACCACCCAGACAGAGGACAGAGGGATCTTCTCAGCGAGCTTGCGTATCTCAATGAGGCAGTGAAAAAAAACCAGTCGCAAAGCTGGAGGGGCGAATTGTTGAAGGGGAGAGGGAGAGGGGGGCAGGGTGAAACAAAAAGCTACCGAACCAACTGACGTAGACGCCCGTCCAAAACAATGTTATTGACGGACTTCCGCTTGATTAGGTGGGCTGAGGTGGATTTGATGTTTTCCCACTACTTTTCCTACGCGATGGAGTACAAAATGTATTTACATATGAAAGGGGCTCTGATCCTTGTTCTCCCTGTATTGATGTCAAGCACACACAATCAAGTACCGAGTGATCGTCAGACGGGAAAGCTGCAAGGGTTGGGTACCTATTCAAGATAGTACGATCGATGTCGCCCCTTTGAGATATATCTTTGAATCGGCGCAACAAAGAACGACCTGTAACATGACCATCGTCTTTGTCAGGTTCAGCCGCTAAGCACCAGGTGTGTTACTCCGTACCCCAGTGGGCAGGGCATCAAAGGACTTGGGCCTCGATGGAGATGGTGCGCATCGCATATCGCGTCAAAGCACGCATGAAAACCTACAAAGACCGAGCCAAATTTAATCCATATTCATTCCGAGCATGCAATCGGGCTTTTCTGGGGTTTGATCAAACACGGGGCTGTCGGTGAATCGACCAGCCAAAGGACGCCGAATAGAAAATCGTACTGGTATTTACACAACAAAAAAAGAGTCCAGATAGCAATCACCACTTGTCCTCACCGGACTTGCGAGCCTAGAGTGGAGGGTTAGCTTGTTTCAGAGTCCGAGTCGGCCGGTCGATGTGTCCGAGTACATACCGGCAGAGCGTTGGGGCCTCCCAATTCCTTCTCCAGGCCATCGACGTAAGTCTTGGGAACACTGGGCTTGTCGGGGTAGTTGAGGCTGACGACACCAACGAGACCGAGGAACGCAGCAACGAAGCATCCGAGGTGGAAGAAGCCCTTGCCGGCGGAGACGTGGGTGTACTGCTCGGGACTGAACACACCGAGGATTTCGTTATCCTCGTGCACAGGCTCGCCAAAGTTGCGCTTCTCTTGCGCATCCCACCAGCCGCCGTAGGGGTCTCTGTGGGCGCGCTTCTCCCGGGGAGGGTTGGGGTAGTTGTTGTTCTGCCTCGGTGTCAGTGCTATCGGTCTCGAGCGGGGATGTGACGTGTGTCTGATTGAGGCGTAGTTACCTGTAGAGGATCCTCAACTTCAGCAGCACGACGGGCTGGGATCTGAGAGAAGGCTGCGCGGGGAGCAATTGCCCGGGAGGCAACCTGTGGCAGGCGCCGGGCCAAGATCCGTTGAGACAGCATCTGAGAGGAATTGAAAGTCAGAAAAGCTGTACAGGAGAAGAGGAAGTATGGCTTAGCCAGAGACTGGACTCACATTTGTGCTGAAAGACAAGAATCAAGAGAGTGTCGTAGGAAGGCAAGACAGCCAATTGGGTACGGAGTAGAGGGGATTTGACAATCGACGGATGGAGGTTTGCGGATTGGAATGCAGCCTGAGAATTCTGGCAGCCAGTTATGTAACACCGCGGATCGCGACAAGGTCGCTCGCCCGAACGAAAAATACTCACTACGTATTCTCATCATCTCCGTTGTTTTTCCGTCCCCATCCCCGCCACAACGCCGATAAGCATGCCAAACTTTTGGTGGTGCATCTATTCAAGATTCCCCATTCGTTGATGGTAATATTTTGCTATTTGGTTGCGCCACTATTGGGATAACTGGGGTCACCTGCCACTGACGGCCCCTGTCACCTGCGGCTACAAGTCATGCAAGACGGCAACCCCAACGGCCCATCACCCCAAGATGACCAAGTAACAACTGAGCCTGATTCCGCGCCGGTAAACGGCTCGAATGAAGAAGATACGTCGAACACTCTTCCTAGCGAGCCGATTCCTGCCGACCCGAAAATCGTCGAAGCAGTCCATCAAACCGACGAACCTCCATCCAAGAAGCGAAGACTCACGGAATCCTCATCGCAACGATCCACTCCTCGACCGCCGTCGCCGCCCTGGAAGAAAGCTGGCTTCGAGGGCCCCACCTCATTCCTCTCTGAAGGGAAGCGCAGGTCTTCGCGAACCAATGCCGTCCCCATCGACTTACAATCACCATCAGACAAAAGAAGCACGCGTGGCGCGCAAAATAAGAGCATCACCAAATCCACGCGCGATGGAAGCAAGCCGGTCACCTCCTCGCCGTTATCGGTGACGCAGTCACGCGCCGACGTCAACGGTAAGCTAGGTGGAAAATCGACAGCCAATGGATCTCCTCGCGCGGCGCCATCCCGTGCCGCGACTAGCAAGGCACAGCGCGTCTCGCAGACACCAGCTTCCAAACCAACTGATTCGCGCGCGAGAGCTCGTAGCTCCACTACACTTCCTCGCCCTTCCGCCAACGGCAATGGCACCACCTCCCGTCCGCTCCGCGATCGCCAATCCCTCTCGAACCCGAAAAAAGACGTCAATGGGGATACAGATGATGCCGACATGGATGGCGAGAACCCCGATCAAGGTTCACTCAAAGTTCCAAGGTTGCGTCTCAAGATCAAAAAACCGGTTCTCCCCATTCGACACCCCGGCCACATCCCGCTTAAGAAACACGCATCTTTCAGAGAATGGGTATACCAAGATGATCCCACAAGCATAATGTCGGAGGCGGACGCTGAAGCAGAGGCACACAAACGACAACAGGTCATGGCTGCAGCGGAGCCTGGGGGTCCTCTAAGCTCGGATGTCTGCTCAGCATATATTACTGACCAGCAAGAAGAGCCTCCCCCACAATACTCGCACCAAGACCATCTTGTTGCCCATGCGCTCTACTTCCAAAAACTCCTCGATAAGGAACATAAGCGACATCGACAAACGGCCAAGCTGTTCGCACAATGGTGCGCCGACGCGTATCGCAAACGTCACAAAGATCCTGAAGACATTCTTCGGGAGCAACAGGAAGAATTGCGGGGGAAGCGCAAGCAGCTATCCAAGGACCTTCAGAAGATGTTCGACCTGGCCCGTGCGGAGATTGACCGTAGTCGTCTAGCCCGGTGGGAAGAACAACGGAAGGTGGAAGATCAGAAAGCCCTGGATCGTGCGATCACACAGTCTACAATGCTCTTTGAGAAACGCCGAGCTGAAATCCTTGGCGAAGTGCCCAGTGACGCGCAAGCGACGAGTGACGACGAGCAAGATTCTGGCTCTGAGTCGGGCTCAGACGAGGAAGATGAGAGCAACATGTCGGACTCAGAATCCGGCACCGATGATGAGACCAATGTTGATGACGACGCTAAGCTGACCGAAGAAGAGCTGCGTTTGAAATACGCCAATCTGCCCACTGAAGACTACACCGACAGCATGTCGGTAGTATCAGGAACTACTGCGATGACCAATCCCGACGAACCCATGGATTCCGAAGCCGCGCTTGATGTGGATTCACATGCTACGCCTGACGATAATCAACTCGATGACGTGGACTCAGTCTTGATGGATGATAGCGATGCATCTACAGACATGGACGATGATATGGGCGATAGCGAGGAAGAGGAGGAAGGGTCCAGCGAGGAGGAAGAGTCAGATGACGAAGGCGAAGACAGAGGTGGTCTCATGGGTTTCTTCTCCAAGAAGGATCTGTCAATACCAAACGGCACAGAAGGAGGCGAGGATACCCAGGCCGAGCCTGAACATGATGACGATGAGGTCGACTTCGAAGACCCGGATGAAGTCTCCCTTGTTCCAATCGGCCCAAGTGCCAGCGGGGGCACCTCGACAGAGGGCACACCTTTAGAGATTGCCGATAACTCGGAGACCTCCCCTGCCACAGGAGGAGATACGTCGGCCGCCGAAACACCTGCTGCTGATACTCCTATGGAGGATGACCCAATGAAATTACAACTGGCGGATGACGATTCTGATGAACCAAAACAACCCGCAGATGAAGCCCAGCCGATGGAACTAGACCATATCAATGAAGTCCAGCCAACTGCTGGAGGAGTATCGAGCGAACCATCACCAGGGACTGTTGCGACTAAGCCATCCGAACCGGAATCGGTTTCTTCACTGGAGCCTGCCATCGAAAAAGCATTGCAGACAAGCCACTCGCCTGCGCCTGGTCTGCAAACGCCAGTCCCCCACCTGCTTCGTGGTACGCTACGTGAATACCAGCACTATGGATTGGACTGGCTTGCGGGTCTTTACAATAATCACATCAACGGCATCTTGGCAGATGAAATGGGTCTTGGTAAAACCATCCAAACAATCGCCCTTCTTGCCCATCTTGCTGTTGACCATGGTATCTGGGGTCCCCACCTGGTAGTCGTGCCTACCAGTGTCATGCTGAATTGGGAGATGGAGTTCAAGAAATGGTGCCCAGGTTTCAAGATCATGACGTACTATGGCAACCAAGAAGAGCGCAAACAGAAACGTCGAGGTTGGACGGACGATAATGCATGGAACGTGCTGATCACGTCCTATCAACTCGTGCTCCAGGATCAGCAGTCTCTCAAACGCAGAAACTGGCAGTATATGATTCTCGATGAAGCGCACAACATCAAGAACTTCCGCTCTCAGAGATGGCAGGCACTGCTCACCTTCAAGTCTCGTGCTCGACTTCTTCTCACGGGTACCCCTCTACAAAATAATCTCACAGAGCTGTGGTCTCTACTCTTCTTCCTGATGCCCTCCGACGGCCAAAGTGGCGGAGTTGAAGGTTTCGCCGATCTCAAGGATTTCTCTGAATGGTTCCGGCGTCCCGTGGAGCAAATTCTGGAGCATGGCAGAGACACGATGGATGAGGAGGCCAAGGGTGTGATCACCAAACTCCATACTGTACTCCGCCCTTATCTTTTGCGTCGCCTCAAGGCCGACGTAGAAAAGCAAATGCCTGGAAAGTATGAACATGTGGTCTACTGCAGGCTTTCAAAGCGGCAAAGATTCCTCTACGATGGGTTTATGTCAATGGCCCAGACTAAAGAGACGCTCGCCTCCGGAAATTTCCTCTCCATCATTCACTGTCTCATGCAACTCCGAAAGGTGTGCAATCATCCGGACCTTTTCGAAACCCGCCCAATTTCCACCTCCTTTGCGATGCCGCGCTCCGTTCCTATGGATTTCAAAGTCAAGGAATCTCTTGTTCGCCGCAGATTGCTCTTCGAGCACCCTCTTACCAAGATTGATTTGGACTTCCTCAACCTTGCACCGGTGTCGCGGGAAGACATTTCACGCCGACTGGCAGATGACAGCATCAGGCTCATGGCGATCGCGCCGTTCAAGAAACTTCGCGAACGCCAGTACAACCGAACTAATTGGGAGATGGGCTTTGACGGATCCAACATGACAACCATTCTAGAATCCCTGGAGAACGCCTGCCGAAAGAGACGCATGGCAGAGCTTGAGCGTTGCCTTTACTTTGAAACCAAGCGCCATGGCCGTCGCCCTATCTACGGAAGTAGTCTGATCGAGTTCATCCGGGCTGGAACCAAGGAGCACGCACTTTCCAATGCACCCTTGCGGAAGCGCTCAATGGCCGACTGGCTGTCGAGTCGGTCTGCGGTCCTTGCATCAATGATCCTGACGATCGAGGAGCGAGGTCTCGAGATGGACGGCTATGTCCAGAGATTCGCTTGCGTTACACCCTCTGTCATTGCGGCAGGAATGAACGAAGCCGCCTTGACCCCCGTTGAAACGCGACTCTTGACCAATACTCGTCGCGACCAGCCCTACGACCCCTTCCACCAAGCACGCATGCGTCTCTCCATCGCCTTCCCGGATAAGCGTCTGCTTCAATACGACTGCGGCAAACTCCAGCGCCTGGATAAGCTGCTACGTGATCTCAAAGCCGGCGGCCATCGGGCGCTGATCTTCACTCAGATGACCAAGATGCTTGATATCCTAGAGCAGTTCCTCAATATCCACGGCCATCGCTACCTCCGCCTCGACGGCACCACCAAGGTCGAGTCGCGCCAGATGCTCACCGAGCGGTTCAACAGCGACCCGCGCATCCTAGCATTTATCCTATCAAGTCGATCCGGTGGTCTCGGAATCAACCTTACGGGTGCCGACACGGTCATCTTCTACGATTTGGATTGGAACCCAGCCATGGACAAGCAGTGTCAAGATCGCTGTCATCGTATCGGACAGACTCGCGACGTGCACATCTACCGGTTCGTCTCAGAGTACACGATCGAGTCCAACATCCTGCGCAAAGCCAACCAGAAGCGCATGTTGGATGACGTCATCATCCAAGAGGGTGAATTCACGACGGACTACTTCACCAAATTGAAGGCGGAAGAGATGGTCGAACCCGACGAGCGCGACGGACAGGACGAAGCCAGTGCGGCGATGGACCGTGTACTCGGCAATCGGGTCGGGGGTGGTACCCGAGTGTTCGAAGCAGCCGAGGACAAGGAGGATCTGGACGCGGCGAAGAACGCAGAGAAAGAGCAAGAACATGCGGACGATGGGGATTTCGAGGAAAATGCAGCGACGGCCGTTGGAGCCGACGGAAATCCCGAAACAAGTCCGGCGCACGTGGGCGATCAGCCTGGTCACATCGACGACTATTTGATGCGATTCATGGAGTGGAACATGAAGGATGAACCCCTGGTTTTGCCCCCGGACAAAAGCAAGAAGAAATCCAAAAAGGGCAAAGAGCATCAAATGAAGAGGCGGCGATAGATCACGAGGACAATGCGCCTTTATTTTTGCCGTTTCATATCACCGGAGTTACCTGTCTGAGGGGAGGGCCCACGGAGTGTAATTGTAATAGTTTTAAGTGTATAATGTGAAATTAGCTTCTTCTTTTCCCCCTTCTACAATATTTCTCTTCTCGCTCTTAGGTTTTGTTCAAGAAATTCCCCGCAATTCCTCGTATAGCCATGGGCTCAAAGCGTATTCCTCATGTCGAGTCTCCCATTAACAATGTACAAGGTTAGCCCTAAAGATCCAAGGTTTTATACTCATACCCCAACATTCATACCCCAACATAAGACTAGTTTGAAGCATAACCATAACCATAAGCCATCAGATCTGAGAATGCCCTTATTGGAGAAGATAAATAAAGTTAGCCCCGAAACGACATCCGAAGCGTCGGAAGTATCCAATTAGCCTTTGGAGTACCATTACCCTTTTGGGCTTCATCCACATCTACCTAGGGTAGTCTTAACACGACTCAGTTTATTCACTTTCCTCAGTCTAGTCAATCTAGTCAATCTAGTCAATCTAGTCCTGCTAGCCTACCGTTTTTGACAAATACTCTAAATTAAAATCCCCGGAGATTATACTCGTTCTAGATTCAGTGGATCATTGGAAGATCGGATGCTAGACTAGACCCTTACTTGATCTCCAGCTAGCAATCCAGCTAAGAGCACGGCCATCTTGACTTCTCAGTATTCGTCTGTGCTACATCTGTAGTCACGGCGAGAACCGCCACATCTGCCTATTGGGTTCCGCACTAGACGGTGAGATAGATTAATGTGGAGAGTGTCAAAAGGAACTAATGTGCAAGATGCAACATGGTAATTTTAATATACATTGCCGATTGCTGGTACCGATACCATTGTTGGTTAGGTCGTGGTTATACTTAGTACCTGGTTCCTTCATCTGGGTGGCATGGTTCGCAATATGCACTGTTCAGGCACTTTGGGGAAAGGTGAAGGGGGGCGACTTTGGAGTCTCCGCATTGAAATCACGAAATCACGGAGTTCACGGAAATCATGAATCATGAAATATGGAGAATGATGTCTTCATTGTGCTTCGACCTAGGCACAGACAATAAAAAAAAGAAAAGAAAAAAAAAAAAAAAAGACAATCACCGCAGTCATCGACGTGGCACCTGGTGATGTTTGTGAAATAATAATAATATGCACTCACGGAGCTCCTAGTGTATCAAGTTGAACATTGGACGATCTTCTCGGGAGGCATTTCTATTTTCTTCACCAACAGGAAATCACTGGAAAAGCCGTACCGGTCGATCTCCCCAAAGCCAAAAAATTCCCACAGTAACCTCGGCAATCAGTCTCCGAAGCCGCTGGCCTGTGAGCGTGGAGCAACGAGCGGAGTTGGAGACCAGCGCGCTCCGGCGCGGTATACGATGGGTATACGACAAAACTCGCATGATGATCTCACGCCAGACCGAAGAGAGGAAAGTGCGGTGAAAAGTGGAGCTATAACTAGTGGATCTTGCAGCAGGGATTACGAGTGGTTCATCTCTGGGGTTGGAGATGGGAGAGACTGAGGAAGAACCACATCGTCTCCGAAGATACGCCGGATCAGGATGGTGATTTGGTGGGGTTGGATGGGAGACTCCAAAGATCTCCAACTGTTGCCACCGATCGGGTTTAGGTCGGCTGTTGGCTTACTGGCTGACTCTCCCTTTTTTTGCTTTTTTTTTCTTTTTGACTGCAACGAGCATACCGATTCCGGTGAAAGACCCGGATATTAAGCTTTGGATTCGGCCAACCTCCATGAGGTGCAGGTAGATCCACGGTGATCTGGAGATCTCTCTAGCCTCAGATTGGTTGAGATGGGTTAATATATCCGCTTCCTTTCCGGGTTGAGCCGCCGCGCTGATTGATCGCTCGTATACCATGGGATTTGCCAAATTGGAAGTGGTTAGGAAATTAAAAAATCGTCATTGGGTCGGGGATTTGACGCTAAAGAGGTGAAGAAGAGGAATTAACGTGAATTATCGAGAGCATAAACTAATGTACGGAGTTCTATCTCCCGAGGTCCGTGACACTGTGTACATACTCCATACTCCGTAAATGATCAGACAATATACGGAGAGTACGGAGAACGCAGCCGTGGAGTCTCCAGAAGCATAGACCAAACCTGACTCAAGACACCCTGGATGTATTCCAAATCTTGACAGCTTTCTTTGTCGCGGCTGTTGACATGTCCAAGAGGCGTCAAGAGGCGCGATTAATTTAATTCGTTAAAGAGAAAAAGAACTCTATAGATTACTCCGTACTAGTATCCCTGTCTCAGCGATATGTGTCCCTGTCTCAGGTTCGTCGACTAGACTCGCCCGAGTAAACTTTGAAGTCCAAAAGGACGAATTGCCAAAAAAAGCAAAAAAAAAGAGATTCAAAGAGATATGATCCACCGGGAAATGACATTGATAGGGAATTCCGGTACACTCTGTTAATTGGAGCCCGGCAGAGCTCCAGATTTTCATTCCCGAGGAGCTTGATTGCCAGTGGCGTGAAGAAGTTCATTCCATGGTACGAAGTGCAGAGTGCAGAGTGCAGACATTGGAGATACTACACCGTTTCAGAACAAGTTGACATCTGCACAAGCACATGGGGAATGATTGGCAGAGGCTCGTGCTGCCTCCGGATTCTTACGGGACCGTGCATCTCTTTACTCTGTACAGCTGTCATACAAGATCCTGGAGAGATGATCAATCCATTCTCGATATCCGCCTTTGTTCAACTGCGCCAAGCGCTCGGCTGGGAATAGTAGAGGGTGCTGGCAGGAGCGTTGCTGTCTGTCAATGGGTCGGGTCCACTTGGAGTAAATGACATAGGTGAGATCGTCGAGACCCAAACCATGTCAAGGTTTCCCATCTCGTCATGCAAATCTCGTTCATGATCGACGCCGCGTGCACGCCACGCTAAGGGGAAGTGGAAAGTTGGTGGAGCTGCGAAGTGGACTTTGGTTGACATTGGAGATAGTCGGAGGGATGTTTTCTGGCCCTAACAAACCACTCTTATTATTCTCATTATTCTTTTCTCCTTTTATTTTTATTTATATCTCGAAAGCCTCGCCCGTTTCCTGTCTTCTTTTCTTTTCGTTGATCATCTTTGATTCTCTTGGACTTTTTGTACTCACAACCATACAGGAGTTGTATACTAAAGTCTTACCATGAAGACTTCCATCTCATCAGACGTCTGGGACAAGAAGAAGGCGTTGATCGCCCGATTGTATATGGAGGAGGAATGGCCATTGAAACAGGTCATCAAGCAGATTCGATCCGACGACTTCAATCCCAGGTGAGTTCGCCAGAGTTGGTTGACTCCGACATCGGATATCCCGAGTTCAGCCCGGCTAACCCTAACCCGTTCAGTGAAACCCAACTGCGAAGCCGATTGAAGAAATGGCGGGTTACCAAGCCCTCGCGCCAGACCAGAAAGAAGAGTCATGCCTCTTCAGGCGATGAGCCCGAGGATGTCCCCCGCAAGCCCTCAGTCCAACGACCTCTGCCCTCATTACACCGAGAGGCCCGCCACGACTGGCCCGTCCAGTCTATCTACGGCGCCCCAGAAGACCGCAAATGGTCCGACCCAATGGCCCAGCAACTCACCCCAAGCCCCTCCGGCGAGCATGTCCTCGCCTCAGACCGCTCCGTCTACCAACACCCCAGCCCAACCACATCCTTCGAGCAATCCAGCACCTCCCCCGTCGGCGAGGGCCTCATTCTCAACACCACCGTGCCCCCATACAGCAACCAGGCCTACCCTCTCTCACCAGAATCCTGCCTCCCCAGCCCCGGCACCACAACACCGGGCCTCGCCTGGCCTCCCCGCTCCGTCTCCGCCGACTACGGCCTCAACCCAGCACAGTGGTACTCGCTTCCCTTCGAAGCCATCACTCCTCCATCTGCCGTGCCGCAGTCCACTGCTCCAATGACCCCTTCCATAAGTGGATACATGCCTTCGGGCCAGTATCAGCCCCATTACCCTTACCCAGACGGTGATTATCACTACGACAAGAACTGGCGTCGCGCCATGTCTCTGCAGTATGATATGCATGGCCACCCGGTTCCGGGAAGGGAGGGTGAGAGGAAGATGCAGTCTCATGCTATGGCTTCGCCTTCGACTCAGCCTGGCTCACATCCCGCCATGTGTGCTCCTATCATGCCTTATATGGGCGCGCATTATGACCAGAAGCCCCCTGTGGGCTATTAGGTCTGCTTGTTTCTATTATACCTTATTATAAATACCTGTGATACCTCTTGTTTTATGTGTTCTATATGGGTGGTTCTTTTGTCTTTTCTTGTCATACCCGGCGTTGGTTCTTCTACATTTTTTTTCTTATTATTGTTTATTGGGGAGTCTTGGATGAGAAACAAGCTGTACACATCGATACCAATTTCACAACCTGTACCATACAGTCTTTCTTGAGAATATTGAAATCTTCAAAGTCCTAAGTTGTATCATCAGTCTTCAAAGAAAATCAAAGTGCTCTATCCATATAGTTCATAGCATACGTAGATCACGTATGAACCAATAATGCCTGGCACTCGAGACCTTCCGCTTCTAATCTAGTGCTTACTTCTTGGCACCCTTGATCTGAGAAGAATTGAGCACACCCCTGAATCCTCTGACCCGCTCGCAGATTATTATATGAGCTCTCTGATTTGCTCACAGAGTAGAACCACAGTGGAAGATCGAACGCACTCAGTAAGCTACGTGTATATCGATCAAATGCAAGATGATAGTTCACCACGTGCACTCCATCTCTCTAAAAGCCCCCATCTTCCCATTAAAGAAGGGGAGTTGAAGAACTACCGGCTTCGTCAACACCCGCTTGTTCAGACAATATCTCTTCCCATTCAACTAGTCAAAAATACTGTTGCCTATCAATGAACCACATCGATATTTCGAGCAAAGATTTCCCCTCAGTGTTGCTTCGGTTATGAGCTCCACCTCAACCGAGCTCCGAACTTGCACTCAAGCGAGGGCGAATAGTTGGATTTACTTGCTATAATATTCCAAGGTCGCTGTGTGATAAGTCTACCTAAGGAAATAATTTGACTCAGAGATCAGACAAAACATGTGTTACACCCGATACCAGCTTGCTTTTTACTTAGTAAGCTCTTGTTCAGTAGGTCCTCTCCGAAACGGGCTCTGGTGGTAATCTAGCACTGACAATGAGTCATGGCGACGATGGGCCGAAATCGGTCTGCGGGCATATAAATTGACCACAACATTAAGTGGATTGATTGACCTGCCATTCATTGTGCTTTTCACTATATTCGAATAGAGGAAGCTTGCGAGCTACTTCATTCGTCTACCGTTCGTATCCAGAATTATTGAGCACCCGGAGGTACTTTCTCTATTCTTTGACACTGCCTCCTCAGACCATCGCTCATCACAATGTACTCATTGTTTATATAGAATCTAATTCAAAATGTCCCAGATGACCATCAACGATGATTCTTTCAGAACCGAGCTCCGAAATACCAAAGTGCTTGAGGGACCGTTTCCAGACCTAGACTTTGACAAGTTCCCCGAAATACCTCACGATGCCTTCAAGCTGTGGTTCCACGAAGCGGTCGCAGCTGGGGTCAGAGAGCCCCATGCAATGACTCTTTCCACGGTTGACGATCAAGGCCACCCAGACGCGCGAGTTCTGATTCTGAAAAATGTCGATGCTCGTGGCTGGCATTTCGCCGTGAAATCCGACAGCCCCAAAGGAAAACAATTAGCAGGTAATGGACATGCTGCTTTAACCTTTTACTGGCCTCAGCTTGCCCGACAAATTCGTCTGAAAGGAAGAGCCATCGAACTTCCCGAAGCAGAGAGTGCTCTTGACTACCAAGCTCGGCCTATTGAATCAAGAATTAGTGCAGTAGCCTCGGACCAAAGTGAAGTCCTTTTCGACCGTGATACGCTGATTCGGAATCTTGCCGAGACCAAGTTGAAGATGTCGAAAGATGCAATGTCAGGCGTGGAGAAATGGAGAGTCTATACAGTTGCACCTGATACGGTGGAATTCTGGCAGGGAGAGGCTAGTCGTCTTCACAACCGGCTTCAGTATACATACAACGAGGGTGAAGATAAATGGCAGAAGAACTTGCTCTGGCCTTGAAACAGGTTACATCTGTTTGGCTAGTCATGTCTAGTAGCATATATGATAAGCTGAAATGGAGACTGGGATTGTTATGAAATTTATGGCAAGAAGGCTTCATCAATTCCCCTTGAGGAGATACTCAAAATGGCAAAACCCAGCTTCTTTGCCTATCAAAGTTAGCTATCCAATACACAGGTACAGTCTTCCGTATTAATGCTAGTGACATTGACCAATGTATGTAAAGTAGGGCCATCGTCAGAGCTATCAGGCTCTTTCTCAGTGATTTCTGGGGCATTACGGTATTTTGATGTTGACCTATCGACTGCACTACAGCTATCACCATCATATAGTTCTACCAGAGTCACGGAGCGGTAAAATATAATACATCAGTGTGTTTCATGTTTGTTCTAAAGAAATGACCTCGTGAGAGTGTGGAGGTATGAATGATTTTGAGAACGAACATCCGGCCTCAATGCAGAATTTCCATTTTCCGATTCTTCAATAGTCACCTGGGCAATCATGTGTGCCGAAAAGAGCCTCTAGCATTGACTTGTCTCACACCAAGCTGATTGATTTAACGCTCGAGAGAGAAGGTGAACTCGGTCCGGATCTCCCGAGGTCCTATGTAGTAGCCCCAATTGGGTCTTATGAAGGCTTCAAAATCAGAAGAAAAACACCATTTAATTGAATTAAGGCCCGGCAAATACAAAGATAAATAACCTTGGAAACCAATTTGACTCTCGTATCAATATATATCTGTAAAATCCGCTTGGAACAATAAGACAAGGTGTTATCTATAACTAGAACATACTTTGACTCTAGCTATCTCCCATAATAACACAAGATTTAACTCTAGGTATACTTTTAAAGATAAATTATGAAATATTATCTTGGGTATCCACTTGGGAAAATTCAGCACAAAGAGTAGTACGGAGTAATATGCGCAAAGAAGCTGTTGCACTACGTACCAACACCCAACACTGTCGAGTTATCCGAAAAGGAACCTCGGCATCTTGCGGGGAAACCCCCATATACTTCTTTCTCTCCACAGTCTCACTCTTCCCTTCCCTCTCACCTTGCTATTTTCTTATTGACTCTTTCACTTCCACCTCGAGCTCAATTGATTAAAATTGCATCACTTACCCAATCTACATTGCATCTACATACACTCACCATCCCGTCTTGCACATTTTCACCTCCAAAATGCGCGCCGTCCAAGTCAGCGAATATGTCAAAGTAACCCCCCCTGCCCCCCCCCCCCCCTCCCCCTCCCTCCCCATACAAACCCCAATCTAACCTCCATCCCAAGGGCCCCCTCGACCTAAAAGTAACCGAGGTCCCAACCCCAACCCCAACCGCCGACAAATACCTCATCGAAATCCACTCCGCCGGCACCAACTTCTTCGACATCCTCCAAATCCAAGGCAAATACCAACACCAGCCGCCCCTCCCCTGGGTCGGCGGCGCCGAATTCGCCGGCACAATTCTAGCAACCCCAACCAACAACCCGCGCTTCAAAGTCGGCGACCGCGTCTTCGGTGCCACCCAAGGCGCCTACGCAACCCACGTCCTAGCCTCTGAACAAACCCTCCTCCCCGTTCCACCGGGCTGGTCCTTCGAAGACGCAGCCGGTCTCTTCGTCACAGCCCCGACATCCTACGGCGGTCTTGTGACGCGCGCGGGCGTCAAGGCCGGCGACTGGGTTCTTGTTCACGCTGCTGCGGGCGGAGTTGGGCTTGCGGCTGTGCAGATTGCGAAGGCTATGGGGGCGACTGTTATTGCGACGGCGGGGACGGAGAGGAAGAGGGAGGTTGCGAAGGCGTTTGGGGCGGATTATGTGGTTGATTATGGTGATAAGGGGTGGCCGGAGATTGTGAAGAAGTTGTGTAAGGAGAAGAGAAGTGGAAATGGGGCTGCTGGTGTGGATATTGTTTATGATCCTGTTGGGATGATTGATGCGAGTTTGAAGTGTGTGGCGTGGAATGCGCGGTTGCTGGTTATTGGGTTTGCGGCTGGGAAGATTGAGAAGGTTGCGTTGAATCGGGTGTTGCTTAAGAATGTGAGTATTGTGGGGTTGCATTGGGGGCAGTATGCGAAGTTTGAGACGGAGACTGTTGGGGATGTGTGGAAGGGGATTTTCGATTTGGTGAAGCAGGGGAAGTTTAGGGGGACTTCGTTTAAGGATGAGAGCTTTGTTGGGTTGGAGAGTGTACCCAGGGCGCTTAAGGCGCTTGGTGGGCGGGAGACTTGGGGAAAGGTTGTTGTGAATGTCATCGGGGAGGCGAAGAGTAAGCTGTGAGAGGATTGAGGTCTTATATGGAATAAGTAGTGCTTGATTGAGGTGAATGTGAGAATGTAGATTTTCCATTATGTATTGAATGTAGTGCGCAAGGAGTCATGCTCTCGTAGACAAAGTATAGTCCCCGAAGGGACGACTCGAGCAAGTATAACATGAACTATGAAGGCCCTGTATTGCTCTAGCAACCTCTGGAGATCAGAGAGAACCCTGACGGGATCCCGGCTCGCAGCCCAGCTCCGGTCGGTCACGGCCACAAGACGCGGCGCAGTGGTGACTGTTCTCCGAAGAGAGCCCTTGAGGATGTCCAATTTGGACTGGGGCAGCTGGGTTGCGAAGTTGCAAAGTGCGATGTGTATTTGGACGTGATATAGTGGTCGATGCATGCTGTATGGTTAGTGAGATGTATTGATAGCCCTGGAGTCGTGACAGGCTGTGGTATTTTGACACTGAGAATGTAACATTATATTCTGCTGTGTCGAGTCCTGAACAGGAATGAAGTGAGCAAAGTGAAGAAGTCGTCGGTTGGAAAAAAATAATCCACATGGTGCACAAAGGCGGTGTAGAAGGCGGTAGAAATAACATACGAGAAGGACTGATTTTGCCATCCTAAATCAACCCTAATGTAGACAAGAGCAATACCCTCGAATCAGAACCTCATCACAACAATACAAATCAGATTGAAACTTGACATGGCTCAGGTACCAGTTCAAAAGTAGCTGGGGCACACGAGAAACTCGGCATTTGTGGTCCAGAGCCCTTCTTTCTGCCTCGAAGAACCGAAAATGCTCGCAATCTCACACAATCTCACATACATAGATCAAGAAAGCCTCAATTCTGCATATCCATATTCAAAACCAAAATTCAATTTACTCGAACAGAATTCCATAAAATACCCCATATCTCCAAAGACATCAAAATCGCACCATGCTTGTTCCCAAGCCATCATCATAACATCATTACAAACAATCATCCTCATCCTCATCCATTCATTCATAACCACCAACCACCCAATATAACCCCTCCAACCCCTCAATGATGTCTCTCCCGCATTTCCACAATAGCAGTCCACCCCTCACAACAAGACCGACTCATATTATGACCACACCAACAACAAGAAACCTTCCTCGGAAGCAGCGGCGCAGGCCGTAGATCCATTCCCTGAACGGCGTGCGCAGCAGGAACAGCGGACTGTAGGGACATGCGGGAGGCAGGCTTTCGATCATTTTTCTTACGCCCGTTGAGCTTGGGCTCGTCTGTTCGTTCTGGGTAGGCTAGGCGCGCGTAGACTTCGGAGGGGAGATCGTGCCAGTATTTGCAGCGGCAGCAGATGACGAAGATTTTGGCGAGTTGGCGGGGTTTGGATCTTTGGGATCGGCGCTTTAGGAGGCTCATTGGGCCGCGGGGTTCTGGGAGGTCTGGTTGCATGGGTTGGTTGGTGGGGGGTTCGGTTTTGGGGGATTGTTCGGCGGGTTTGGGGATGTGGGTTGGGCTGGTAAGTGGCTTGATGGGAAGGGTTGGTTTGGTGATGAGGGTAGCTCTGTGGACGGGTGGGGGTTGAAGGACTGGGGTTGGCTGGAGGATTGGAGCGGGTTTGAGAGTAGGTGATGGCTTGGATGGCTTGGATGTATTCTCTGGTTTGGGCTCGAGAGTCATTGGTTCACGCGAGAAATCGGGAGACTCTGGCGCGTCTTCGTCGGCAGTGTCGTAGTTGGAATGACCCTCGTAGTCGGAGTTGTGCGAGGATGTGCGGCTGTGGCCTGGTCTGAATATACCTGGTCCTCTTGGCTGGTCGTGGGAGCTGCGCGAGGCTCGTTGTGGAGATCTTTGAGAAACGCGGTGGGAGTCTGACATGTCTATGGATGTTCGATGACTTCTTGCCCCGGGCGATGTGTTGCCCGTGTGGAATGGTGATCGGACACCTACTTGGAAGGGAGAGTGCGGAATGTCCCGAAGTGTGTCACTTGAAGTAGTTGGAACTCTCCAGCTATCAAGACTCCGGCGTTCGCTTTTGGCAGGAAGCCTGGGTGGGTCGGGTTGAGAAGGCTCATTGAAGTCCTCCTTGAATCGACTTGCGGTTTGGGGAGGGGTGTTGGAAGATGGGACGGGAATTCGACTTTTCTTCTCGTCATCAGATTGAGACTGGCCAGGAAGTGGGGAAGGCTGTGGGGGAGGTTGGTTGGAATCGTGCAATGACAAAGGCGTGGGAATCATCGAGTCCTTTGGACTCGAGTCATTTGTATCCGCAGGATTCAATGCAAGAGGAGAGGACTTGTATGTTCGTGGGTAGGGGTCCACTCGATTTCTCCTAGCCAGACTTCCAGTGGAGTTCGATTGCGCCAGTTGCAGTGGTGTATAGATTCTTGCGACAGAGCTTGGCGTGTCCGGAGACTCTGGCGCAGCTATCTCCGGAGGTATGGCGATTTTCGCAGGACACGGAGGAAAAGTCTGAGCCAAGCTTTGCGAAGCTGGCATACTGGAAGCCCTCATGGTGCGGTCGTTCCGATTCACGCGGTCGAGAGAATGATCTACCGTTGGAAGGCTTTTCCTATCGTGCTTGAGTGCTGCCGCGAACAAGTCACGATCGAGCTCATCAGGAACTGGTTTGGTCAGGGCCTCCCCATTTCGAGCGTTTCCGACTGTAGACCGTCCATCTTTCAACTTTTTAGACAAAGACCAGCTCCTCTCGGTTCCATGCTGTGCTTTCCAAGCTTCGGCCATCTTCCAATTCTCGCGGAGATCATCAGACTTCGGCGTGGCATGAAGTAGACGGCTCGTGGTTGGCCTTGCCGTCTTGTTGGCGGTGGATAAGTTGAGAGCCGTGCCATGTTTGGACTGTAGCTCTCTGGTGATGGCCGTTCCAAATCGTTCTGGTAGAGTCAAAGGCAAAGATGGCGGGTTGGTGTCTGTCTGGAGCCGGCTGAACTCAGCGTATTGGTTCTCAAGATCACTCGAAGCTGAGCTGCGACGTGAGCGCCTGAAGATCGCAGACAGCCCACCGGAAGATTTGGGCCTCTCCGAATTCGCGCTCGAGGATCTGCTCGAGTTGCTTACTGGCTGTTTCTTCGTGAGACGGCGCGAGGTTCGGTCATGGACACCGAGGTCCACTTTGCTCTGGGCATCCTCGAGGGCAAGCAAACGCTTCTCAAGTTCCCGTCTCTCAGCCTCCAGCCGTCGGGTCACGCGCTTCTCCTTTTTGTTAGGTTTTTCCAGCGCTGGAGACTTGCCAATTCCGACCTCTTTCGCTAGCGAATGTGTCGTCTGCGTAGTAGTCTCATCCTCTCCGGGTGGCACTGATAGACTGGACCCAGGTGTTCCGGTGGAGGGCAACCGTGAGTGCATGGGCGAGTACGAGACGGAGCTCGGAGTCTCATCGTCCAACACGCGAGCCGCATTGGATTCCTCTGCCTGCTGGGCTGCCTCGCGACTTAAAAAGGGGAGTGGAGGGACAAATTCACCATGACTGGCGCGTTTCTGGGAGTGTTTAGTTCAGGTTCCCCGGGTATAGACATAGAAACCACTCACATCCGATTTGAACACACGGCTGATGTGCTCGGAAAAGGAGGCGCGACGGCGCCTGCGATCGGTTGACATTGAAAATGATGCGACCGAGTGAGCGAGTGTAGAAAGCGAATGACATCGGGCTGCTGGAGCCCAGTAAGTTTGTATGATCGTGAAGCATGAGAGCGTAGCGTAAAGCGTGAGTCGTGAGTCGCGAGTCGCAGCAGAAAAGCAAAGAAAACAAGAAAAACAAGAGAACGAAAGACAAAGGCCCAAGGCCGAACAAAAAAGAAAGGAAAGCAGTTGAGAACAGAAGAGAAAATTCAAAATCCGCCACTTGTAAGATGCACTTGGGCCCAAGTGAAACCTGCATATTTTAGCTATTCTTAGCTTCTGATCTATACGATCTGTACTATTCTCTGATGTTCAACCACTTCAACCTCATACGAGTTCCTTGGATCACACAAACTTTGTGCCTTCCGGCAAAAAAAGTTAGAGAAACCCAAGTTAAGTCAAATTTCCAATCCATCCTGGACCTCACTGCATCACTGCATCACTGAAACCCGAAACTCCTGCCGCTCCCAACACACGCCAAGCATCCGCTTAGAATCCACTTGGCAAACCTCACCTTTGAACTTCCCCAGACCACTACCAAATTCCAGTTACTCCGTACCCAGAAATCAAATCCCCTTACTTCAACATGTCAAAACCCCACAACTCAGATCTCCCGCCAAGCTATGATGCGTCACAGGCCAGCCAGGATCCACCCCCGTACCACAACTGGCAAGAAGCCGTCCCCGACACCACAAGCTTCCCCCCGCCCCCAATAACCGGCTACCTGATCTCAGGCACAGGCAACGCCCCGGAAGATGACGCTCAACGCGCCCATGACTTCTGCAACACCGTCCCCCTCTGGCTACCCACCAGACCCTCACCAGTCGTCTACGCCACGGTGCAAGACCACGATCTGCGCCCTGTGCATCCACGCGAGCTGCAAGGTACCGTTTCCACGGTCCGAAAGGGTCAGTGGTATGGGCGGAGCCAAGAAGGGAATAAAGACTGTGTCATCCTGACGTCGCTGCCGCTGTACTTTGCCGCCGAGGATGCAGGGTCCAGGAAGACGATCTACTTTGAGGTGAAGTACCTGAGGCAGCAGCGGGTGCGCGGCGGTGATGCACCGGGATTTTCACTGGGATTTGTTGCGCAGCCGTACCCTAGTTGGAGATCACCTGGCTGGGAGCGGGGTGGACTGGGGGTGTTTTCGGATGACGGGTGCCGGTTTGTTAATGATTCCTTTGGGGGCCGGGATTTTACCAGTGAGATTCTGCCTGGGGAGACGGTGGGGATTGGGATGGAGTTTGCAGGGAGCAAGGAGAAGAAAGGGAAGGTGAATGTATTCTTCACGCGGAATGGTCGGCATGCTGGGGGGTGGGATCTCCATGAGGAAGTCGATGAAGAGTCTGGGGGGATCGAGGGATTGGAAGGGGACTATGACCTCTATGGGGCGATTGGGCTGTTTGGTGGCGTTGAATTTGAGTCTTGTTTTGACCCTGCAGGTTGGCTTTGGAGGCCCGAGTAAACCTGTTCGATCTATAGTTCGAGTCGCAAATCTTGCCAAGATGAGACAAGATGAGACAGGTGATAGGTCATAGGGCTGACTTTTATGGTTTATGGCTTTTTCCACTTTGCGTCTGCATTTTGCCTGCGCGTTGCTATGACGGAGTCAATATCAGGATCTCGTGATTTGCTGAGGCCTTGCTGTTAGGGAGGTATCCATATTAGCTAGCTCTGAGAATCCACGCAGGCCACCAGAGAGCTATGACCGCCTTTGGCTATTGAATACATTCTACATCTTACAACATTCACACTCTAGTTAGACATAATCTCCTACTCGGTGACCATATCCCTCAAACAGAAGGTTCTAGCCTCAACAGAAGCACAAGTCCCAAAGGGTATGTGAAGCCAAGGATCCCCAATGGCACGAGAAAAAGAACCCCGAGAATTCCCACCGAGAGAAACAGAGAATCAAAATGAAAAATTAAAAAAAAAAAAAAAAAAGAAATCCCCCCCAAAAAACATCAAGCTAGCACAATCTAATCCAACAGCCAAGCCGGACTCGACATACGCACCTGCGTGGCGTAAACGACATTCTGCACGAGCATGGGGTTCTAGAAAAGAAAAAAAAGGTCCCTTTGGATGACCTTTCGGCCGCATCGATCCTATTCCTGGTAATTGCAGCGCATTAGTGTCCGGGGGAAGCACGAGGTGCATTTCCGCCGTGACAACGGGTTGCTACAGTTTTACTGAGTTCTGGGCCCTCTGCCGTTTCTACCGTTTATTTCCGTATGGCTTTCCGTCTACCCCGAGGTGCAGGAAGTGCATGAACGTGCGAGAATCGTTTGACTTGACGTCAGGATGCGCCCAGTGCATTGCGCTCTTCGTCCTTATGCATATTTGATACGAATCTTGCGTGGTTTTTTGCTTTTTCTTTTCTGGGATGCGTACCTGGGACATCTGTACTCTGCACACTGCAACTGCGCTCCGAGTACAAATGTGTACATACATGTAGTGCAATGTACAATGTACAGTATGATGGTGCCGGGTCATATCCTTGTTCTCCCCGGGACGAGGCTGCGAGGTCTGGAGATGTTCCGTTGCCTTTTCTATTTTCTATTTTCTTTTTCTATTTTCGCTCTTTTCTTTTCTAGTTCTTCTTTACTCCGTACACGCTTATCAATGGGATCAGCAATTACCCACTGGGGGACGGTACGGAGACAAAAGAACAGCGCTTTGACACCGGGAGAAGTACCAGATAAGCCTGCGCTCGGTAGTTCCTTTTTTAGATACTAAGCGTCTAAGCGATGCGTCTATCGAGAAGTTCGTGGATAGAGCCGCAGAAGCGGTCCGAGTGACTCGAAGCAGGTTTTTGTTCGGGTTTTGCAAGGTTGAGGAAAGTCAGATATCAGCATGGTCCGTATAGATACAATTGTGAGTTCGAAACAAGATCGACCAATTTGATATCTTTCCAACGGAGAAGCCGCTGCTCAGTACTCCATAATCTCCATATATTGATAATACCAATACGCCAGACTACTACAGTATGTTGTTGTATTGCGTACTGTATTACAAAAAAGTGGTCGGAGTGGAGTCTCGGTGATTATCCCGAGGCTACCAGCGATGGTTGCAGTAGAAGCCAGCCACCAAAGCCTTCTTCTGCAACTAAGTCAGAGCGGCTACAAAAACTCTTACTCGATTAGGGGTAGGACCGTTTGTGAGTTGGGTACTTTGTGTACCTGCGACCGTTGCCAGATCGCGCTATGAACATCTGTCTTTTTTCCTGGTGGATATATGCGTATACCTCCGAGTCTACAAAGTACAACGCGCTTGTATAGAACACCCATGTCTACTTTGTATGCAGTTGACATCAAAGTGGAGCAACCCATTTTGCAACATGATCGGGAGAAGAATAGGTTTGTCTGTGTACCTTTGTTCGATCCACTTGAAAGTTAGAGCGGCCGATCTGTATTTCTGCCGATTGAAAAGGGTAACAGACGAGGATGGTCATGGACGAATACGGAGTAGTGAGTGCGCGGGTACTTTTTCTCTTTCTTTCATCTCTTACTGAAATGGGGTTGGCCGAAGAGGGGAAACTTGATCGACCTGCATGTCATCGCCCCTTTTTCCCGTGACATTCCCGTTTGGCCCCCATTTGATATTCGCTTACAATCCACTCACACAGCCACTATACGGCGGACCACAACACTTGTACGGACAATGTACCTACTGAACATCTGTACATCTGTACATCTGTACATATGTGCATCTGTTCGGAGCAGTACCTTTCGTCTCGATGGTCAACTACTTACACTTCCCGTAGTTACTCCGGGAGTCTGACGCTCCTACCATGTCCACTACGGAGTACCACTTCATCACATCCACTTTGTCCAGCTCCAAAATCCACTCTCTCGTCCAGTCATCACGCCCGGGTCTATCATCCCCTGTCCACAATGCGCACTGTCATTATCAAAATCCGGCCATTCCCGGCCTCAGTGGAGTAAAAAAAGCGGGCTCGCAGTGGGAGTCCGTGCAGCCCGAAATACATACGCGTCTCGGTGTAAGACGTGATCTGGCGAATCGGCCGGTCGCCGTCATTTGTTCGGCTCAACACGTTCGTGTGTACGGAGTACAATATAATCTATATGCACTATAGAGCTTAGAGTTATGGGTTGCCTAGTAGGTCCAAGTAGAGCTAGCAGAGCTAGTTGACCTTTTAGTTTAGTATCAACGGCCTGTGCTAAATTTCAAAAGCTACTACTCCGTACTCCGTAACAATTTTGGTACTAAGATTGCGTAGCCTGCGTTCAGGCGATCAACTGCATCTCCGTATTAGGCCTTCTGCAGCTGCATTCCCATGGATCCTTCGGCCGTGCTCCACCCCTAAGGCCCTACGAGAGTTGTACATCTCCCCTTGGTACTGGTATGATTAGACGCCAAAGCGACCTTCCGGCGCGGTTATACCTGAGAACGGGTTGTACATCCTGGGCCTATACACTATACTGCAGCGAGGTATTGCAGAGTCTATCTAGTCTAGATTCGATGACACTACACCATTTCAAAAAAAGAAAAAAAAAAGAAAAAAAAGTACTCTGTACACACATGTAATGCAAAGTCCGATCGAAGCAAAATAATAATAATGCATACCATCTAAGGAATAAGGAAAAATATCATGACACTATAATGCAACCGTGAGAAAATCTTGAATCATGAACCTTTGAGACATTCCTTCAAAACCCTCTCGTGATCGGGATTTACCTTCACGCCACCCTACCGCGCGATCAGGCAATCTGTTCACATTGAAAACGACTGCCCCACCTAAGCTGTTACACTTGATCGCCACTAGGATTACTTGTTTTCTTATTGACTAGTAGTATACTAGTGCGATACTCGTGTACAAGACTTGTAATCAGAAAGGTCCTGAAGTTCTCCCAGTGACAAGGCACTTTCTTCCGACCAATATATGCACGTGCTGGACTTTGACCAGAATTTTTAATAAGAGTTTCATTTATCAACGTACTTTTGGCCCTGGACATGGCGCTAAATAGTCTCGGGGGGTGAAGTGTCACCGTGGATTGTTCCACAAATCATGTGCGGGCGTGCCGAGTTTCAAAGGAGAAAAAGGTAGATAGAGAGAAAATTGCGAATGCGCAGTCTTGACTTTTTGGCAACGTAGAAAGTAGAACTTTGAATTTCTCAAACGTTGTGGTTGAGTCCGAGTGTCTGTCCGAGTGCCAGGTGGATGGGGGTTATCTCGGTTAGCGGCCGGTTCGCCTGGGCACCAATGACTGGATCTCGCGTGCATGATCGGATATGTTCTCCATGCCTTTTTGCCGGATAATAATTAGATTATACTTCGTACAGTAGGATAATATTACATTAGAATGATTATAGAGAAATGCAAAGGACTATGTAATATGATGCATGAACATGGTACCTGCAATGGAAGTACCCCTCGAAGCATTTTTCGCTTCGAAGAACCTTGTCAGCAGGTATCTGTGCATCCAACCTAAATTTGCCCGTGATCGAAATGTCGAAGCGTTGGTATGGTATGGTACACATGCTCCGTACATTCTGATGCAAAAAGGCGAAAAACAAGAAAATGGCCTGCATGACTTTTTCCCCACTGAATTTACAATTCGAAATCATATTCTGCCGCAAATCCCTAGTTGCCTCCCTCGGCATCGGATACCCCGGGGGCTATACGTGCATTTGACTGCAAGTCTGGTTTAGGTAGGCTATGAATAGATATGGGCTATAGTGTCCTTCCATACGGAGTATACGAAGTACTGTATACTATATACTATATACACTATACACTGTAGAGGATCTCCCCCAGGGGAATACATTGAGAATATCAAATAGCAATGTGGATATAGAACGGTATAATCGAAGTCAATACAGTGCTAGTAATATAGCATGGGCCGCCAATCCCTCTCCACCTTCTCACTCCCATCTAGATCCAGGGTCTCTGACGCACGCGGCAAAACTACCATGCAGCACTCTCAAAACGACAATGCAGAGCTTTCTTTTGGGTTTTTTTGCCTTTTATTTTTATATAATTTATTGATTATTTTTTGGGTAATTTTTCGTGAGATTTCGAGATTTCGAGAATTCGATGGGATATTTTGATGGCATTTTTTTAGTCGCATGTGCCTCTCTGCCTACTTTAATATCTCTTTCCCTTCAATTCACCATTTCCATCTTCCTTTCCTTTCCTTTCCTCCTCTCCCCTTGACCCCCTTGAACTGGAAGTACTCCCCGACATTCGTTTCCGACCTCACCTTCCCCGAAGCCACAATCAGGGGGGACAACCATCCAATTGCAGGGCAAAGGTATATACATGGACAGTGGGAGACGGGAAGAATTGTCTTAAAAAACCATGGCATTCCCGTTTCTGCGAGCATTTATCGCACTCTTGTTAGTTAAGCCTGAGTCTCTTCTTAAAGAAGCAGAACAAAACAGAAAAAGTCAATGAATTGTGGAGCTAATTGATAAGTGTCTATCGCTACACCCGCCTCGTGCTGAACCTCCTCTCATTCTGGACCTTTAAACCAATTCCACCTCCCGAGAATCCCAAATTAACATCTCAAGATGTGACGGTGATTATTCCCACGCTAGATGGAAATGGGGATGAGCTGGTCGAGACCATCCGATCAATTCTCGACAATCAACCCTTCGAACTGCTCCTGGTGACCATCGAAGCCAATCGCAAGAAGGCCGAGAAGATGCTGAGCACCATGCCAGCATCCAAGTCCCGAATCCGTCTCTTCACCGTCATGCACCCCAACAAGCGCCGTCAAATGACCCGCGCCATTCCCGAAGTCCGAACCGCCATCACCCTACTGGCCGACGACGACGTGAGCTGGCCCCGCACCCTCCTCCCCTGGATTCTGGCCCCGTTCGAAAAGGACGAGAAGTACGGCGGCGTCGTCACCTGCCAGCGACTCCGTCGCGCTAACCAACCAACCCTCTCCCAGCGCGTCTGGGGCTTCCTCGGCGCCCTGTACCTGGAGCGTCGCAACTTCGACTGCGGCGCAACGACCCATGTGGACGGTGGCCTTCCCTGCATGTCGGGACGGACGGTTGCGTATCGGACGCGGATTTTGCAGAATGAGGGCTTCACTTACGCTTTCACCAATGAGGAGTGGTGGTGGGGGAAGTACCAGCTCAACGCTGACGATGATAACTTTATCACCCGCTGGATGGTTTCGCATGGTTGGGAAACTTATATGCAGTACCACCCGGAGGCGGAGGTGCTGACTACCCTCGAGGACAACCCTCGTTTCTTGAAGCAATGTGCACGCTGGTCCAGAAGCAATTGGCGGAGCAACCTGACTTCCATGTTCCACGAAAAGCACATATGGTAGTAAGTCCAGTACCTTTTTCTTTCCCTTACTCCCCCGCCTTCCTCTTTCACTCCTCTCCGATTGGCTTCTCGCTGCTATACCGTTGGTACACCGTTGCCGGGGGGTCAATTTCCCCACGCGGCGTGGTGCTTCATCGGTGTCGCCTCGGTGTCGCCTCGGTTCCCTTTTCTTTGATCGGATCAAAAGCAAACCTTCTTGAGAGGTCTGGAGCTGGAGCTTAGGCACGAAGCCTAATCAGGAAACAAAGAAGTGTTCTTCGATTGCTAACTTATACTTTTTTTCTTTTTCTTCAGCCGTCAGCCTTGGAGTGCGTATGCCGTCCATTTGACAACCTTGTCGCCGCCGGCCCTTCTAGGCGACCTTTTACTTGTTTGGTTGTGCCACCGAGCCACCGGCTCCTGGGGCGAATCTTTGCACGATAGCTCTATGACGGCTTTATACTTTTGGATCTTCACTAGCAAGTGGATTAAGCTCCTGGGTCACTATCTTCGCTATCCCGTGGATGTACTGCTGCTGCCAGTCTCCGTTCTATTTGGATATTTCCACGGTGCCATTAAGATGTACGCCGTTATGACACTGAATGTGGTAAGTCTCCAATCTCTCTCAAGTTTCAGTCATGTTTTGCTTTTTTTCTCTCTATTTCGTGCTTTTTTCCCTTATCTGCGGGTCGCGCATACATGCATCCAAGCGCAGCCCCTCCTTTTCCCGTAATTTCTCCCTTTGCCTATGACAGTTTAGCATCACAACGCTTTGATCACTGTCTCCTCCTTCGTGCAGTTCATCTGCTTCCCCATGCTAGCCTTGCTGCTCGCTTCAGATCGTGCATTGATTCAGTTGCCTTTTCTACACTTTTGCATTGAGTCCGAGAGCTGACTTTTGACTTCACTAGACCACATGGGGTAGCCGTGACGGCGCTGATGACTATGACGCCGAGCGTATGAAGAAGCGGACGGCTGCTGATCGAATGAAGCAACCCTACTACCCGCAATACTTCATCAAATGAGCTCGAGCTCGACCTTTTTCCCTCTCATCTCCCGTTTCCCCATGTGGAGACGGGAACTGCTACCCATTGATTTGGCTGGCTCTTTTTCCCCCTATCATGACGAAATGCCGTGACGACCATATTCTCTTGATTTTAGATGTGCTCTTCTTTTCAGGGTGATTCAACGACTTGCAGAGAGCAGATACGTGATAGTATCGTGCCTCGGCCTTTGAATTGCCAGATTACCTCGACAGTTTTGCTGGCGTCCTTTGATCGTGCTTTTGTCTTCTTTTTGCACATGATTCTGGTCCACAAAATGATCCTCGGTCTCTTTTCTCTTGTAAATTACAAAAGCATGGGCGGATGTCGTCGTTTTGCTTTGCTGCCTTTGATTTTCACTTGGTTTGATTCCCCTGGGTTGATTTCGAGAGTTTTTATTTTCTTCTTTCCTTTCCTTTCCTGTTTTTAGACGCAAGGGTGGTATTTTGAACTACGTTCATGTCGCTTCTTTTGGCTTTTCTTTCCAAACTGCAGTTAATCACTAATTGATTGGAATTCACACGCAATCGTACATTTGTATCGCGTACTCCGTACCCCGTCCTCCGTAGATGGGAACACATGCGCATCTTTCAAACCGGTCAGTGGTACCTTTCCACTGATGCAATGATGCAGCAGACTTGGCCTAGACCAATACCAGAGCCTCAATTGCATTCAATTATATTGAGCTGAATCGAATTTATCCGAGAGTCGAGTAGATCTACGGAGTATGGAGCATACTATGGGATGTGTCATTAAGATGTGGCGTGCGTGTGGCGAGCCAAGACTTCGGCCAAAAAGTTCCATGTTCACAATTGCTCTGGATCCAGGAACCACCACCTCATCCTTCATCTACACATTGCTCACAAACGGCAATGGTCGCTTTCCCTCGTGCTGCGCTACCGCGGCTCTCCGTCGCCCGACGCTCTATCTCCTTATGTCGACACATCCACTCGTCGCCGTTCAGATCCGCCGTTGCCCACCCCGTCACTGCTCATGGCCCTCCTCCCAAAGCTCCTACTACGCCAGAGCGAAAGGATCCCTCAGGCTTGAACGATGCCAGCTCCACAATTGTCGAATCTGAAGAGCGCAAAACCCCCAAGCTCACCGATGCGCTCAAGAAACGCTTCTGGAAGGATGTGCATGTACATGGAAAGCCAGGTATGACAAGGACCCAGAGCTCCCAATTCAATTGAAGCATTGCTTGCTCTGTGATAGCCATATGCTAACCGCTGACCATAACCAGATGAATATCAGGTCCTGCTCGACAAGCGACCCGTGCGAACACCAACTAAAGCCATCCTCTCCATCCCCTCTACAAAGCCTCATCTCGCCCACGCCGTCGCCCTGGAATGGGATGTGATGACCTCCGCCCAGCAGGCTCTCAAAAGCCACCTCATCCCCATGACCTCCCTTGCCGCCCGCGCCACCGATATCGCCCTCGAAGATGCCAAGGGCGATTCCACCACCCGAAACCAGATTATAACTACAGCCATGCGCTACTTAGATACCGATACTCTTCTCTGCTGGGAGCCTGAGCGCGAGGTTCACGCATTGGATCGCAAACCCGATGGAACGCCCCATGAGAGCTTGCGCGATATCCAGACTCGGGTCGCCAAGGATATAATGAGCGTTCTGTCTACAAAGGTGTGGCCTGGTCTTGAGATTATTCCCATCCTGGACACCGAGAGCATCATTCCTCTTTCACAGCCCAAGGCGACTAAGGAGAGCATCCGCACCTGGGTGTCTGAGCTGTCGGCACATGATCTGGCCGGATTGGAGCGTGGTATCCTTGCATCCAAGAGTCTTCTTATTGCAGTCCGTTTGTTGACCGAGTGGAGTGAGAACTTCCGTCACATCCAGCGACCCCAGACGAAGAAGTTTGGTATTGAAGAGGCGGCCGAGGCTGCTAACTTGGAGGTTACCTGGCAGACTGATAAGTGGGGTGAGGTCGAAGACACCCACGACGTTGGCAAAGAGGATATGAAGCGTCAGTTGGGCAGCGTTGTGATTTTGGTCAGCGGAGAGACCAGATAAAACAAAGCTACCTAGGTATTGACCTGTGTAGTGTATAATGTGGCTGCCTGTGGCTACTGTATGATAGTTCTAGATGGCTGTTGAGCCTGCCTTGCTTTGCAAGTGCGTGTATTACAATGAATACCACCCTGACATCCTCCCTGCGTCGATCGCAATGAGTCGCGATCGATCGAGTCCTCATTTTGCCAAGACGGAGAGATCAGCGTCATTCGCCCCCCAAACAAGGCCCGAAACCCCCCCAAATTTATTTTCCAACTTTCTAGAACTCTGAGTGGTTCTGCTGTGCTCTTTTGCTTTGAGCAAGGTATTTCGAAACCAAGCGAACATACAGATCAGAGAGGAAAACAAGAGAGGAAGAGAGGGACACTGAGGTGTAGACATCCAAGATGTCAGACAGACCCGAAGGGTAAGTGTGGGACATACATGATCCATGGTTCCAAGGTGCACCGCCATGTTGTGGCCAGCTGGGAATAACTTCGTCAGTGGCTGTAGCCTCTTTTGCCTTGAAATTCCAATTCTACCTCCTTAAGACCTGTTTTCCGGGGAGATTCACATGTGAAATACTAATATGTCACCCCTCAGGCACAAACGGTCCAAGAGCGCCATAGCGCTTTCCCTTCTCCACCGGGACAAGTCCAGAGGCGAAGACAAAGAAGAGGACGATACCAGCTCAGTCGTATCCGGCTCGTCGAACGGTGCCTCCTTGAAACACACTCGCAGCAGCAGCCGCCACAACCGTCGCAAACAAGCCCAAGAGCCGAGCCCACACCCGCCCATCCAAGAACACGCGGAGGATATGGACACAGTGGAGGAAATGCCCTCGCTCTCTCAGATGGAGACCGGCAGCATGTCCCTCGAACAGTCTGTTCGCACATTCCGACTTTTCGAGATCCTCCGTACCGGCGACACCACCGCGATCGCCAAGGCCATCAAGGAGACGAATGATCCGCAGGGTGCGAATGCTCTGAGCGGCACAACCATCCTCCACTTGGCTCTGCAGTGTGCTGAACCCCAAGTCGTGGAATATGTTCTATCTGCCGCGGAGGAGGGCGATATCAATTCAAGGGATCGGGATGGAAACACACCCCTCCACATCGCCGCCCAGTTGGGCCGGGGTCCGCTGGTTCGCGAATTGCTGAACCGCCCGTCTATCAATGATTCCATTGTCAATTACCGTGGTCAGACAGCGCTGGATTTGGCCCGCACCCCTGAAATCTTCCAGCAGCTCCAGCTTGCGCGATCTTTGTTCATCGACAGCAAGAACCAGGAGATCCAGACTCTGATTGCAAATGCCGATTATAAAAACCTCGAAGCTCTGCTGGAAGAGCCGAGGGTAGAGGGGATCATGGATGTGAACAGTTACGAGCTTGTGACTGAGCGGACCACGTCACAGTCTGGTGGTACTCTCTTGCACGAGGGCGCTAGAAATAAGGATGCGCAGCTTATTGAGATCCTTCTGACGCATGGCGCGGATCCTTTCCGTCGTGATAAGAAGGGGAAGCTACCGCAGGATGTTACTAAGGATGATAAGACGCGTGCTCTTTTGAAAAGATCTCCTGCTGCTGTGATTGCTCAGCGAGGAATCCAGGAAAAGGCTATTCTTGGAAACACGAATGCGCAAGGCCTTGCTGGTCGTGTTTCAATCGGCGATGCACCATTGGGAGGCAAGGATGCGAGAGAGATGAGAGGTTATCTTAAGAAATGGACTAATTATACAACCGGATACAAGCTGCGCTGGTTTGTCCTGGAAGATGGAGTTTTGAGTTATTACAAGCATCAAGGTAAGTTGGAAGCTTTGGTCACCAGGCACACTCACTGACATGTTTGCAGATGACGCGGGCTCTGCCTGTCGTGGTGCCATCAACATGAAAATCGCCAGACTGAACATGGATGCTCAGGATAAAACACGCTTTGAGATTCACGGAAAGTCCTCGGTGAAGTACCATCTCAAAGCCAACCACGTCGTGGAGGCAAAGCGGTGGTTCTGGTCTCTCAATAATGCCATCCAGTGGGCCAAGGATGAGGCAAAGGAGGAAGAGAGGCAACGGTCAAAGAATGCAGAAGTGCTCCGTCAGGCTAAGATTGATCAGACGGAAGGTCGTCCCACAGACACCCCCTCTGAATCTGGACTTTCTCACAAGCCCAGCACTAAGGGTCTTGCTCCCCCGTCTTTGGGAGGGGCCAGCAGCTCTGGCACCAGGCTGAGCACATATGCATCGCGCACCACTCTCGATATTCCAGCTGGAGACGAGGACAGCTCCACATACGGAGGCTCCTACGACCAGAGCAACGCCCCTAACGACATGAACCGTGTAATTAGTCACGTAACGACCGCGAACGATGGAGAAGGCGATGACGAGGAATTCATTGACTATGGCTCCAGCCATGAAAACGACATGCCCGCCGCCGATAAAGATGCTTTGAACATCACCGCACAATCTGCGAAGCTTCAATTGGACCTTCTCGCTAACGTCACTGCATCTCTGCAGGCGGAGAAGGCTAAAAACCCCGACATGACTATCGCGGATCCCGCTCTCGAGCAAGCCCTTGGTGCATACGAGGCTGCGGTAAGCAGTCTCAAGGGCCTAGTGCAGAACCTCCTGAAGATCTCTCGCGACCGAGACTCTTACTGGCAATCTCGCCTTGGTCGCGAGGAATCTATTCGCCAGATGTGGGAAGAGAGCATGGCACGTGTTGCTCGCGAGCACGAGGAGCTGCAATCGAAGATGGGCGAGTCCGAGGAAAAGCGGAAGCGCACGAAGAAGGCTCTCAAGGAGGCTTTGGAGAGCGCAACCGGCAGCACTCGTTCTGTGGGCGGCGCTGTGCCATCCCAGGTTCAAACTGAGAACCCAAGCCTCGAGGTCAGTCAGGTTGAAGTCGGTGATTCCGAGGCTGCTGAAGCGGAGCAAGCTGCCCAGCAACCATCGGCGAAGCCGGCTCTTAGTCGCAACGCCTCCACCTACTCTAAGATGAGTAGCCTTTGTGACTCAGAGTCGGATGGAGAGGAGTTCTTTGATGCTATTGATGCTGGTGAAATAGAAGTAGAGGATTTCAACAAGGTTGAGGGAAACAAGATAGAAGAGCCTAAAGATGGGACTGCTGAGCTCCGAGCTGTCAAGTCAACCGTGATTGCACCTTCGTTCAAGGGTTACGAGGAGCCAGTGAGACAGCGACTCAAGATGGACGCTGATGATCGACCCAAAATCTCTCTCTGGGTAAGTGTTTTGTCTGATCACTGCTCCTTTCTACTGCTGACCGTACCAGGGTATCCTCAAATCTATGATTGGAAAGGACATGACCAAGATGACTCTTCCCGTGTCCTTTAACGAACCCACCTCACTGCTTCAGCGTGTGGCCGAGGACCTCGAGTACACCGACCTCCTTGATATTGCTGCCGACCGCACCGATTCCATGGAACGTCTGGTGTACGTGGCTTCCTACGCCGCTAGTGAGTATGCCTCGACGATCGGTCGTGTGGCTAAGCCTTTCAACCCTCTTTTGGGTGAGACTTTCGAGTATGTGCGTCCGGACAAGGGGTATAGATTCTTTGTGGAGCAGGTCAGCCACCACCCACCTATTGGTGCTGCGTGGGCCGAGTCACCTAAATGGGACTACTGGGTAAGTTGTATTCCACCTCTTGCCTCCCGTACCATCACTAATCAACTCTTCAGGGTGAATCCTCTCTCAAGTCCAAATTCTACGGCAAATCCTTCGATATCAACCTGCTGGGTACATGGTTCCTGAAGCTTCGTCCTTCATCCGGCGGCGAAGAGCTCTACACCTGGAAGAAGGTAACATCATCGGTCATCGGTATCATCACCGGTAACCCGACCGTTGACAACTACGGCCTGATGGAAATCAAGAACTGGACAACCGGCGAAGTCTGCTACCTCGACTTCAAGCCTCGAGGCTGGAAGGCCTCATCCGCCTACCAAGTAACCGGCAAAGTCGTCGACAGCGAAGGCTCTCCGAAATGGAGTATCGGCGGCCGCTGGAACGACAAGATTTACGCTCGCCACACCCCAGGCTTCGAAGCAGCCGTCTCCGGCCAAGACCCCGAGTCCGCTAAGACATTCCTTGTCTGGCAGGCCCATGAGCGTCCCACCGGCGTGCCCTTCAACCTGACCCCCTTCGTCATCACTCTAAACGCTCTGCCTGAGGGCCTGAAGGACTGGCTTCCTCCCACGGATACCAGACTTCGTCCCGATCAGCGTGCCATGGAAGACGGCGAGTATACTCTTGCTGCTGACGAGAAGCACCGCGTGGAAGAGAAGCAGCGTTCTAAGCGTAGAGATCGCGATACCATGGGCGAGGTCTACTCGCCACAGTGGTTCGTCCGTGACCAGTGCCCGGTTACTGGTGAGGAATTCTGGGCTCATAATGGAAAGTACTGGGAGTCCCGTGATGCGCAGGACTGGAGCAGATCAGAGGATATCTTCTGATGAAGATTATGACTTTCAGCATTATTTTTTTTTGAGAGTTTAATCGTTTTGTTGTTCGTTTTGGCCTTTGTATAAGACTATCTGTCACGAATACATTCGTATACTTTTTTTCATATCTGAAATTCGACAATGACTGCAATGGATGTTGTATATCACAATCCTCTATTGGCAAATAATATATGTTTAACCCATACTCTCAAGGACACCGAACTGTTACATTATTTGATTTATCACTCCGTTCTCAATCCCCCATTACGATTGAGTGCGTGTATACTCGAGAAAGTAGCCAGTGGGTAAAGACTTATGGGACCTTACTGTAGTCAGGTATGGAGCCCCAGGCATCAACTTCTGCCTCAGGCTGCTCATCCGGATCATACGCGAGTCTTGGCAAATAATAGCAACCATCCTATCCGTGGGCTGATCATCTGCACTCCACACCCGATCAACATCACAATGGCAGGATACACCTGTGTACAGTGCCTCCAGGTGCTCCGCCAAGGAGCCCGGGCTTCAGCACCGCAGAGTCGCCTCCTGAGCCTCACGCGCCGGCGAGCAATGCCTCCTCTGATCCGAAGCTTTGGCACCCAGAACAAACCATTGAGCCCCAACGAAGCCAAACCAAAGCATGTCCATGGACAATCCTGCTGCGCACCCAAGGCCACGCCTGCACAGCGATCAGTACACACCGAAACAGGCCCCTCCATCATCCGCCCAGCTATGAGACCAACCAATCTGTTCCACTCGTTCACGAATTCGCCCGCGCAAGATATCCGCCGACGCGCCGAGTACATCAAGCAAAACGCATTCTGCCCACACCCAGACCACCAGCAGACCCGTGCCCCGATCTCGCCAAATGACCCCGAGGCCAGAAAAGAAGCTACCAACGCAAGCCCCCGGCCCATTCGCATTTCGAATGCCCCGACTGCGGAATCCCGGTCTACTGCTCCGAAGGCCACTGGATGGATGACTTCGAAGCTCACCTCGAGATCTGTGACACGCTTCGCCAGATCAACGAGGATGACCACGATCTGCACTCCGGTCGCTTCTTCCATGAATTCGACTACCCCGGTCCTCAGGATGATAACTTCGTCATCAACATGTCGAACTGGGATACTTATTTGTACACCCGCGAGTTCTCGGCTATCAACGATGATCGCTCCATGCGCCAGGTCACTCGCATGCTCACCTACCCGCAAACCATCGGCAGTGTCCTGCACGAGCTGAGCCCGTACAGCGTCCGATCCAACGGTCGACTCACACCAGAGGGTCTGAAGAGTATGAGTGGTATGTTTCCCCCTTGCGCATATTCATACAGTGAATCGCAATTCCCTTCCTATAAACTCGTTTTCACTCAAACTAACAATCCCCCCCAGCCCTCCGCTACTCCCTCCACCCCCGAAATCCGGCGAAAGCACCGACATGAAAGGTCTGCGCGTGAAAGCGCCACCCGTCCGAATCTTCATCCTAGGCGCACGCGCTGAGTCCTCTCTCCCCCGCGACGTCTGGCTGCAGCTCCAGTACATGTACCCACGAGCCCTACTGCATCTAATCTTCATCGGGCCCGAGAGCATGGCGAACCGGGACGCAGAGTTCCCTCTCCCCGAGCGAACGCCGGAGAACCCATTCGGCGGGATCGTCGAAGACAGACTCGGTGGACAGATGAAGATCACCACTTACGTGGACTACTTCCACACCATGAACAAGGCGCAGTATTTCGGGCCGTTTGATCCGTACCTGGATTGCTTTATGCTTTTCCATCCTGGGTTGGGACACCCGGCTAGCTCGCATGAGTGGGAGGAGACGCTGCCTCAGTTGTTGGAGACTAAGGTGCCGATTTTGTGTACTGGGTATACACAGTGGGATATGGAGAGGGATATTAAGTGGGTTGGTGAGAAGTGTGCTGGGGAGTTCGATGTGCTTCTTGAGCCTGGGGAGAATATCTTCCGCAGTTTGAGGTGGGATTTGAATGATCAGGATCCTCATGATATCTCTTGTGGAAATTGGGGATTGTGGGCTTTCCGTGGAAAGAGGTATGAGGCGAGCTTTGTGAAGGATGAGTAGATAGAGGGGAAGGGATTCTTTTTGTACGATATTGATTTCTGGTTCCTGGAGCCATTGTAGTAGATATTCTTATTCCAGTCCTCGCTTTGTATGCGCTGTTTCAAGTATCCATGTATGTATACATTGCTGAATCGTTAAATCAAAACAGAATGCGTGGAGACGAGCATGGAACCCAAGCACGTTTATATTGCAAAGTAGTCAAATAGTAAGTATGTCATTTATGTCAAAAATTTGTAAACTCGTAAGTCCTACACTCGTTAAATAGTAGTATGACATCCAAGAGCAAAGATGCAAGCACCAATGCGAAGAAATTAGGTCAAGTAAAAAGCATTCGAAATGCCCAGATATCAAAAGAGGAGAATCGAAAGGAAGATAAGAAAGGGTATAGACATAAAATCAGGTGAAGACCGTAACCAGAAAGTAAAAAGGGAACCCCAAAAAATGGCACGGTGAGAAAAAGAATATATAAAGAAGAAGTAAAAAAAAACAGATCCCAGAGGAACCCGGGAAGTCAGAAAACCATTCTCGATGGTTAACAAAAGATCGTCAAGATCTAAATAGCTCCATCCACTCTAATCTCAGAGCAGACGTTTTAGATAATGAGGAGACCGGCAATGGCGACAGCACCCGCGGCGATCGCGCCGGGGAGCTGGTGGGCGGCCGCGCCAGTGGCCGGAGCGGAGGTCGCGGCGGGTTGGGTCTCTGCGGCGCTGGTGGCCTTGATCAAGGGGGTGGAGCTGCTAGCAACCTTGGACAGAGAAGCACTTGAGAAAGGAGTGCTGGTGGACTTGGGGGTCGCGGTGGAGGTTGGGGTTTGGGTGGAAGTAGGAGTCACCGTTGAGGTGGAGGTGGAGGATGGGGTTGGAGTTGGGGTCGCGGTTGAGGCTGGGGGAGTGTAGCCTGAGGGGACCAGGGTGAGGGTTGAGGTAGTTGCTGGAGCGGAGGCCTCGGGGGGCGATGGCAGCGAATGCAATTGGCGCGAAGGCCAGGAGGAGCAGAGACTTGAATTGCATGGTGCGTTTTGGTGGGTTGAGATGCAGTTTGTTTTGTTTAGATAGGTTGATAGTGAGAGTGAGAAGGCGAAGTAAGCTCGATGTGAGTTTCAAAAAGAGTGAATGGAGCTGAGAAATGAATGCGACAGCCCGTGTCTGAAGGAAAAAGAGTGACACTGTTAATTAACAGGAGAGAGTTGAGGAGAGGAAAGAGATTGCGGAAATGAGGTTTAATCTAAAGAGGCCCGCTTGTCTCGTTGCGGGCTAGACTCCTACGCAATCTCCCGCAGCAACCATCGGAATGCTTCACAACACTCACTTAATCGTGTTTAAGCGTGTTTACTCAGTGATCTTCATGCTGATCTGATCAAGTCATTGTATAGAGCCAACTTGTGAGCAAAAAAAGTAGTATATAGTATACAGGGTCCCAACCGGGGTATCAATGAATCGCCAAAAAGCAAAAAAGCCATCCCAATCGTCAGCGCATTAAGGGCTCACATTCACAAGCCAGGGTTGAGCCAAGATTCCCAGCAAAAATTCAAAGCCAAGGCGCAAGAGCAAACGCAACAAAATACAGGTCATTTAGAACCAGACCGCGCCGACTACCACGACAACAGTCACCCAAAGCCCACTAGCATTGAGGACAGTAGCCAGCGGCGAAGCCCCAGAAGTCGAGCCTCCATCAGCCGCAGTCGTACCATTAGGCAGAGTACCATTGATATAGATAGTCTCAGTCCCATTCTCCTTGACGACGCGCACAACGCTTGAGTTCTTCGGCTCCGTGCCATTGAATAGAGACTCGTAGTAAGTGCGATTCACATTATCGTCGCACCCACACTCAGAATACTCCTGGCAAACGCAGATCACGGGATAAGTCTCGTTCTTATGCGCATTCTGGTTGTAGTAGTGGTAGTTGTGGGAGTATGGGTAAGCATAGGCGCTGTAGAGCCAGAGACCTGGGAAGAAGCCCAAGGCAGCACCGCCGAGAACGTAGGGTGCGATGTTGGAGCCCTTGGAGCGAGAGCCGGCTGTGTAGGGGGTGGTGGCACCGCCGGCGTAGTAACGGCCGCCGCCGTAGGAGGCCCTGGTGCCGGAGCCGGAACTGGTGGTGCCGCCGACGTTGCTGCTGGAGCCACTGCGGCTGCCCGAACTACCTGAGTTGCCCGAGCTGCCAGAGTTGGAACTCGATGAGCCGGTTCGGCCACCGCTGCTTCCGGAACTGCTGCTGGAACTGGATGAGCCGCTGCGACCCCCGCTACTCCCTCCGCTGCTCCCGCCGCGACCTCCGCCGCCGCCACGGCGCTTTTCGAGGCTCACGAGGTGAGAGAGGTCGGTGGAGTTTTCCACATCTCGTTCGGCAAGATCGGTGATCTGGGATCCGTTGATGGCCAGGGAGGAGACCCTTGTGGAGAGGAGCAGAAGCGAAGTTGCCCACGCGAACTTCATATTGAAAGGATTTTAACCGAGGTGAGATAGTAGACAGAGATAGTAGACAGAGATAGTAGACAGAGATAGTAGACAGAGATAGTAGACAGTCGAGTCAAGAGTGTTAAAGGTGTGGAGTTGGTAAAAGAAAAAAGTCCAGTGTCGAGGTACGGAGTATAAGAAATTCTTTTGGACCCTGGGAAGTCCCCGATGTTTAAAGGGTTCAATGACGAAAGTGTGATACGGAGTACGAAAACGGAGAAGTCAAGAAAATAAAAAAGATCAAGAAAGAAATCATTGCCCAGCACAGCCTCTCCCGTGTTAATAAATGGATCTCTAAGTTTCGCCCCTTAAGTGCCCAGCGGATACGAGAGGCTTAGATCGGAGCATGTTGGAACATTAGGACATTAGGACATTTTGACGTCTTTGATATATGCTAGGTACTTTGTTTAAGACCCTTGTCCGTCTCCACTGATGCCACATGCATAGTTATGCATCTCAATCTAGTTCCTTTGTACTTCGAATGACGCCGTCACAAAGTGGTCAGAGGCTACGCTATGGGCTCTCCGCTCTCTCCGAGTGTATAAGCCTGAGCGCGTATACCCACAGCGCATACTCTGACTCCATACCGAGTACTCCGTAGTCATTGTTGGTTGAGAGTGGACTGGCAGGGCGCCTTGTGTCTATTTAACCTTTGTTGGCTTAGAATTGAGGCTCATCTCCTGCGCCCCGCTAGAATAGTCGGTGAGAGCGTTTCGAATGAAATGTCAAAGAAAGGAAAGAGTCTGGCAATATGGGAATATGGTTGGCTCAGAATAATTAATTCAGACAAACTAACTTGCAGTACTCCATAAGATAGTGACATAGCCTAGAAGCTAGTGAGTTGCAAAGTACTAGTGTTGGCCGAGGATCACCACGTCCAACACTCTCGCAACTTCCTTTCCTCTCCCTCCAGCGACATGCCACGACAAAGAGGCCTGTCAAACGCCTCGTCGGCCTCCTCGGCTCCAGATCAGGTACCAGAGCCCCCTCCGATGCCCCAAGTCCATTCTAACCGCCCACAGGAGTTGGGGAGTATGTACGACTATCTAGCGAAGATCATCCTCCTCGGACCCAGCGGTGCCGGAAAGTGAGCATCCCCAAACGATCTCTCTCTTCTGACACCATTCTAATACACCCGCAGGTCGTGTGTACTACACCGATTCGTCAAGGAAGAATGTACGACCAAAAAGCCCCCTCCGGACAACCCGACGTCACAACGTCCACCGTCCACACCAATAACCCAACCCAACCCAACCCAACTAACAACTCACCAGGGCGCGTCCTCTCCTCCCAAACCATCGGCGTTGAATTCGCCTCCCGAATCGTAAAACTCGGCACCGGCCCCCGCAGACGTCGCATCAAGCTCCAACTCTGGGACACCGCAGGAACAGAGCGCTTCCGCTCCGTCTCACGCTCCTACTACCGCGGCGCCGCCGGCGCAATTCTAATCTACGACCTCGCCTCCCACGCCTCCTTCACCTCCCTCCCAACCTTCCTAATGGACGCTCGAGCCCTCGCCTCCCCAAACCTCTCCGTAATCCTCGCCGGCAACAAACTCGATCTCGCCGACGAAGACAGGCCCCCGCCAACCCCCTCCAGCGTCTCCAGCCGCGTCTCTTCCATCCCCTGGGAAAGCGGAAGTATGCGATCGAGCTCGAGTCCGGGGACAAGACTCACTGCTACGAGGGCCGATCGCGAAGTCAGTGCGCAGGAAACAGAGCTTTGGGCTGCTAAGTGTAATATTCCTGTTGCGGTGGAGGTTAGTGCGTTGACGGGGGATGGGGTTGAGGAAGTTTTTACGAGGCTTGCTAGGATTATTCTTACGAAGATTGAGTTGGGTGAGATTGATCCTGATGATCCTTCTAGTGGGATTCAGTATGGGGATGGGGGTTGTATCATGGGAGTGATGAGAGTGTTAGGAGTCGGGGGACGGATGATACGGAGGTTCCTGTTTGGAGGAGGAGGGGGAGACCGCCGTCTGGGAATGGGTGGAAGGGGGGAATGAGGGAGTGGGAGGATGTGTTTCGATTGGGCTCGAGTCGGTCGAGTAAGGGTTGTTGCTGAGGTGTTTCGCTTTTCGTTGTTTTTTTGTTTGTTTGCTCACGATACCCATCTTGATTCCTATGCGAGTATCTGATTCTAGACTTTTTGACACACATATGTATACGGTTCTATCATCGCAGGCTTCAGCTTCTCGTGAACGACTGCTACTTCTCATCCAGTTGCGCGAGAGCGTCTCATAGCGAGATGCGATATTCGGGAGTCGCCTTGGTCAGACGATCAGCTATGACTTGCAGTCTGATACTGATCTCAAGGGTGCCACTCCGAGGTCTTTTCAGCGAGAGCTGAGAGCAATCTCCCATAAGCCCAACAATCTGTAGCAACTCGTGCCTCAAGAGGTTTGCTGGCAGGGCAGCTTTGTTGAATGAGGATCCGCATCTCAGGTGAAAGCCACTCCCACATGAATCCATCGGTTCCGCCAACATCGATAAGAATGGCATTGTCATTCGCGTCCAAAACGATATTCGATGGCCTGATGTCAAGATGAGTTCGGCCGCTCAGATGCAATGATCTTAACGCCGTGCCAATCTGCAAGGCTCACTGTATGAGCAAAGCATCAGACCGAGACTCGTTCTCCAAGATTTGCTAGAGTGACCCTCCGGAATTGTATTCGAGGAGAACTCCCGTGAGAACTGCGGGCATGTCGGTTGACGGATGGGTCCTGTATGGATTCTCCGATACGACTAGACCGACGAGCTGCGGAGTTGTGCGAGGCATCAATCTCGTCTAACACATGCTAAGTGTCTTCGGGGATGTAGATAGGCCGGTCAATGGTCTTGTAAGCAAACATCTGTTGCTTAAATATGACCGTGGAGACTGTTGGAGCAATAACCTCAATAATCTGCAAACAACGAGCCTCAACTCTCAGTATTGGTGACCATTGTTCCGGCTGTAGAGTTTCGGTGTCCATCCCGTATACTGATCGAGCGTTGACTCTGCTCAATCAGACTTAATGTAATCCTTGTGACAGTATCGTCCAAAAGCTGTACCTAGCTGAGATCAATCGCTTCAAGGAATTCTCGGAAGATGGACTGGCTTTTGAAGTAGCCCAGGCCCTATACTTGTTCAGGCAGTGACCAGTCCACGGTAAATTTGATCCACCATGAAGAGCTGTTGTTGTGAAATATCAGGGTTTGAGAGGGATGGTCACCGTCCTGGTCATGGAATGACTTGAATTCCAACGTGTGTGAGAAAAGTGTCTTTTCAGTCACTGCGATCGATTAGATACCATTGACACCCACTTGATATGTCAGTAATATCGGCTCTAAGGCACATTCGTTATTGAAAAGAGCCATATGACCATTCTGAACTCATCACATACATAACTTTTATTTGGGCTTCTCTGCTCTCTGCTAAGTCACAACGCCCTCAATTCCCAACTCCAACACCCCAGTTCATATAGATTCGTTTATTCGTCAATACCAGCAATCAGCGTCTTGATACCCTTACCAGCCTTCACCTCAATAAACGCCTGCTCAGCCTGCTCAAACTTCACCGTACCAGTAATAAGCTTCTTAACATCCACCTTCCCAGACGCAACCAAGCTAACAGCCAACTTGTAATCCCCGCTTCCATACCGGAAACTACCCTTGATATTCAACTCCTTCGAGCAAGCCGCCATAATCGGGAACTGGATCTCACTCCGACCCATACCTCCCTGCACATAGGTACCACCATTCCGCAGAACATGAATACCAGTGTGCACCGAGGGTTCAGCACCCGAAGCATCAATCGCCACATCCGCACCAGCTCCGAGTCCATTCTCCTCCTTCAGACGCTCCGCGTTCTCAGTCGCTGCAACCTTACCAGGCATGAACGTCGACGTAGTCGCGTACCCGCGCGCAAACTCAAGACGCTGCTCTTGGATATCGACAGCGATGACCTTGGAAGCGCCGAACGATGTCGCAACAGCACAGCAGAGCAGACCGACGGGTCCGGCTCCGAAGACGACGACGGTCTGTCCGGGGCTGACGCCCGCTTGGCGGACGATGTGCACAGCGACGCTGAGGGGCTCCATGAGGGCGCCCTCTTGTAGGGATAGGTTCTCTGGTAGCTTGTAGCAGAAGTCTTCGGGAAGAGTGTAGTATTTGGCGAGGGTGCCGTCGTAGGGCGGGGTAGCGGCGAAACGCATGTTCTCGCAGAGGTTGTATTTGCCGGCCTTGCAGGGTTCGCAGCGACGGCAGGAAATGCCGGGTTCCATGGCGACGCGATCGCCTACTTTCAGGGTCTTGACGGCGGATCCTACTTTGCTGATTATTCCGGCGGACTCGTGGCCTAGGACCATGGGGTCTTTCACGACGAAGTTGCCGATTGCGCCGTGCTCCCAGTAGTGGACCTGAGGTTTGTTAGTTGTTGGGTTTCGGATTGGGTTCATGGGGTTCATGGCATTGGGTGCGAGGTACGTACATCGCTACCGCAGATACCGGTGAATTTGACGTTGATGATGACATCGTGGGGGTCTTTTAATTCGGGCACTGGTCGGTCTTCATACTTGACCTTGTGAATGCCCTCGAGGACGAATGAGAGGTTCTGGATCTTGTCAGAGGATTGTTTCTTCTGGAGTTCACTTCTGGCATGATACCTACCTGGGCTGTGGACATTTTGTGTATGGAGGGGTATAAGTCCGGGGAAAGCAGTGCGGGCAGTGCGGGCAGTGCGGGGACGAAGAAGAATGCAAGGAATGATCTCTCAACCGGGATAAGACCAGATATATAGTAAAGCAGTATATGAAAACTGGAGCCGTATGACCGGGAGAAAGTGAATTGAACCGACAGCGCACACCGATAGCTCCAGAGTTCCACTATGAGCTCAAGAGGAGTGGATCGGTCCTTTTTCTTTTAGCCGCGGATATTAACCGGAGGAGGTGCGGGATCGTCTTTCCTCGCGATGGACGGATGAGGCACATGTGACCCGCCACGATGACTCGGTGCTTACGTTTTGTCTCGAGTTTGCTAGTACTCCGTACTCACTACACTATGTTATGCTAGTCATCTTATTTTGCATATTTCCCCAGTAGTTTTGAGTATTCCAAATACAGTCTGGGTAAGTTTTGATTCGCTGAATTTTGCAACGAAGCGACGGAGTAGATGCTGTTTTCAGAGATGTGTTGCTTGATTTCTACGCTGTACGATCGAGAGCTAAAACTGCTATTCTGGACATTATGGCGCTCATGAGGATGTGGCGCGGTTACCCCATTACTCCGTACAATATGTAGCCCTGGAGGGCTTCACAACAGAAGGGTGGCCTAAGGTATAGGGAGTAGAACAGTATATATAACCTTGGAACTCTCCGATTGATGAAAAATCTCCAAAACGATAAATACAATGAAGGATAACTAATATTAACACTTTTGCATGGGAAACACGGGAATTTTCCGTCATTGCCACCTAATGCCACAACCATGCCCAGGTGTGGTCGTTTTTATATCAGTCTGTGCATCGTCGATGTCAGCTATGTATTCAAGAAAATAAGGTGTGCAAGTCTGTCAATATACTCACGTTTTTTAAAATGAATATACCAATTTCATTGATGGGTAGTGGAAGAATTGGCCCATTTTTTCTTTTTCTTTCTTTCTTTTCTTTTCTGTTTTTGCGAGTTCAGCCCAGAACAACCTTCAGTGGGTGACCCTAGACCTCCCCAAGAATATTGATTTCCCCTGTTAAGTCTGAAACAGGGTGGTCTGGGAATTCGGAAAACCATTGAATGGTCTCAACAAGCTCATTTGCGAGCAGCTCCGCTTTCGACTGTTCCAACGTGTCCCTAGTCGCGGTGATCATGATGTCGAGGCTAGTTCCGCGCTCCATCGATACGACGCCGACCTGACCTGGCTCGACGCTCGAGTTTGCCCAACTGGAGCTGGAAGAAGCACGGAGACCGGCCATCTCGAAGGAACCTGTAGCGTCGGCTCCCTGATGGTGGACGATGAAACCGAGCTTCGAGCTGCTCGGCCAGTCAGTGCACTTCCGCATGATGTCTTTGACTGAGAGATAGTCGTATGAGAGCGTTTCCAGCTGCTGGGCCTGGGTATGGCGTAGGAGATCTAGAATAGTCCAGTGGGGGTTGATCACGACGCGGAGAGGCACGAGGTTGACACAAGGCCCGAGAGCCTTGTCCACGTCCGGGATGGGACAGCCGCGTCCGTGAACGACCTGGCCGAAGATAACATCCGGTTGTAGGCCGCGGTCTGACAGATTCCATAACAATGCCGCTTTCACCAAGGTTGAGCATGTAATCTCCGCAATGAAAGAGGACCGTGTGATATCTCGTCTCACGTTGGTAATGTCTGTACCATTGTTCTGCTGAGACACGGGGGTCTGGGTGATGCGAAGAGGATTGATCGTGGCGGCAGTAGCGTTCTGAAGATACTTGCTCCAAAACGAGAATGCTTCGTCGTTTGTACGACTCAACCGATTGTAAACTATCTCACTGAACTGTACCGACTTTGGCAGAACTTTCCCCTCATAAGCCGCTGCGATGGCCTGCCACAGCAAATGCAACGAGCCACCATCATACTGGGCATGCGAGATGCGAAGGATGAAGATGCAACCTGGGCCGCTGCGGCTTGTAACAACGCTGAAGCTCATCGGCAACAAGGCCTGGGGTGTGGATGGCGATGTCTGCTTCTGAGATTCATGGGTAATATACGCTTCGGGGTCGTCACTTTCGACGATATCGAATACCGGCTCAACCTCCTGCAGGATGACTTGGAACATGCGGTCATCGAGACCCACAAAGACCGTTCGTAGAATACTGTAGTGCGACATGACTCTTCTGCATGCCATACGGAGTCGGTCAATGTCCACACCCGTCGGGAAAGCTTGGGCTGTGGACACTGGCGATGAGTGGGTAATATAGTATGCTTGGAACCCCACTGTCGGCAAAATATCGGCCACGTTATCTCCAAGGAATGAATCGCCTTTCTCTGCATAAGTGGAGAGAATGGTTGCTCGTTCAATCTCGGTGACCGCTGAGTATGGAGCGTACTCCTGGGAGAAATGCGTGTTTTCTTGATGCGCATCGACAATGGCAGCCCACTCCGCAATGGTCGGATGCCGGAGCACATCTTGTGAACTGATCTCCATGCCTCGTGCACGGGAGTTGGCCGCAATCTTCATTGCGAGAAGGGAGTCACCGCCAAGATGGAAAAAGCTCTCATCTGCACCGACTGTCTCGTGGGCTATGTCTAGCAGTCCAGTGAGGATATCGTGTAGAATGACTGCCGTCTCACTCTGTAAGGGCTGCTTATTTCTCTGTGCAGCAGAATATGCCCGCAATTCCATCGGTGGGATATTCTGGATTGCCTTGCTTAACTGGTGTCTGTCCGTCTTCCCCGATGCTGTTCGCGGCAGCTGGGCGATGGAGACGAAGAAATCCGGGACCATGTAACCAGGAAGAACCTCCCGAAGCTGTCGCAGAGTAGCGGCAGCGATGTTAGAAAACTCGTCGCTCGGAGCACGAAGGAGCCCCTGATTTGTGGTTATTTCGTCTTCTTGTCCATCCCAAATGCACGCCACCAGGCGTCGAGTGGTCTCGGTCGGTGAAGCAGTGGGTGAGCTCAGACATGGCTCTTCTGATATCATCACCTGCTCGATCAAGATTTCGTTGGCACCAGGGAAGAACTCCCGTACATGATGTTCTATATCCTCTAGCTCCACACGCTGTCCCCGTACTTTGATTTGTCGATCTTTCCGATCCTCGAATCGTAGAGAACCATCGGATATCTCGTACCGAACAAGATCACCGGTTTTATAAAGCCGCAGCTGCGTCAACTGTTGCTCCGAATACATGGCTGTCAACCATGTAGGTGGCTTTCGTTGCAGGAAGGCTTCGGTGGTCTTTTCTTGCTCATTCAAATACCCCAGGCCCACTGGCGATCCGACGAGGACGAGCTCTCCAATGGCGCCGACAGGAAGTAGCTTGTTGTGGTCATACTTATCAACAACCCAGGCATGAACCCCGAGAGGTCGCCCAATATTGCGACAGTCATCACCAGGAAGGAGGGCTGATGTTGCTGTATTCAATACTGCAGCTTCTGCTGACCCGTAGCTGCTGATGAGACGACAGACCTTGCCCCATTGATTGACGTGAGAGGCCGACAACGGCTCGCCCCCGAGAATCAAGGTCTGGACCCACGACGAAGCTCGTGCGGCGTCCAATCCGCTGGCCATGGATGGTGTTAGGAGTGCGTGCGACACCGAAATAGGACACACCCCAGTCAGCATCATCTCATTCTGCTGCAATTCGGAGAGCACGCAGACTGTGGCTCCAGCAATCAGAGTGGTGAGAATCTCCGCGACAGACGCATCAAATGCGTACGATGAGATCTGTAAGACTTGGGAAGAGCGATCCAGCGAGAATGCTTGGATTTGCCGCTCTGCCATGAAGGTATATGACGAGTGTGGTACCATTACTCCCTTAGGAGCGCCGGTACTGCCCGATGTGAATATTATATATGCTGCCTGGTCTGGGTCGGTGGGATGGCTGACATGGAGATCACCATGGTTGCTATCACAGTAGTCAAGGATCATATGGTCGCCGACCTCAATGACCTCATTGGAAAGGCGTTGGCTTAGTCCTGCTTGGGCCATAGATGACAGGATAAATGGTGCGTTGAGACGGTGACAAATTTCCTGAAGTCTGCTTATTGGTTGTGTAGTGTCAAGAAGGACGAACGTTCCGCCAGCCTTCATGACAGCCAGAATAGCGACCATAGTCCAGCAAGACTTTTCGAAGGCGAGAGGGGTAGGTTGGGCAACACCGATGCATCGTTTCCTGAGGTATCCAGCCAGTTTTGAGGCCAGCTTATCGAGCTCACTGTAAGTGAAGTCGCCGTCCCAGCTTGAGACTGCCTGGTGATTCGGTTGATGGATGGCGCGCCGTTGGATTATTTCATGTATACAGAAAGGCGAAGGGTCTGGCAGCGCGCCATTCCAGTAACGCAGACGTTGTTGATCATGTTCACTGAGAAGGTCCAAATCGCCGAGTGACGCATCTGGCCTTTGGAGAATTTTTGAAACCGCCAGATCAAAGTACTGGGCCAATTGAGCAGCCAGAGAGGATGATACACGTGATGTATGGTGCGTCAGAGCTGCTCGGATTTGACCGTCGTCTTCGAAAGCGACATACAGCGCAATATCGTGCTACCCGATGAATCAATAGTCAGAAAATCGAGAGGCCAAAGTAAGACTAGGGAAGAATGGTGGGCAATCATCATCAATAATACTTACAATGCCTGGATCTAGCACTTGCCGTTGCGTCAGCTGAAGTGAGGATGTCTCGAGCGGCGCGAAGACGTTCGTTGGCAGAGGATAGTGGACAACGACCCCAGTAGAGGCCAAAGCCTCTATGGGAACTCCAGCGGCACGCGCGATCCCCACCAATGGGAACGACTGGTAGGCCAGGATTTGGGAGTAATCCTGCTGCATGCGAAGGGAGACGTCGTTGAGCGTGAGGTCAGGTGCCATGTGCGCGCGACATATTGACATGTTTGAGAACTGACCGACGGCGTCGTCAATGTGAGGGACTGGGATCAGCCTTCCTGAGGTTGAAATTGCAAAGCACACGTCGTCGGAACCTGCGAAGGCTGAAAGCGCTAGTGCCCAGGAAAAATAAACGAGATTGGATGGGGTCCAGTCCCTGGAGCGACAGAATGACTGGATATCGCCCCCGCGGCAGCTCAGAGATACGTCCAAACGTTCCAGTAAGTCAGCTGAGGGCTCAGATGATCTTGGAGTCGCTCTTGGCCGAGGAAGATTTAACGGCTGCATGTCCTCCAAGTACGATTGCCAGTACTTGTGGGCTTCGTCATGTGGCTCCCTCTGGACAAATCTGATGTATTCCCGGTACGGATCTGGCTGGGGTCCCTTGGGTAAGGCCGCATCATAGGCATGACATAGATCGAGCTCCAATATGTCCAAGGACTTGCCATCCAAGATGACGTGATTGATGTCTAGCCGACAAAAGACGCTTCCAGTGGTGCTGGCGTAGACCGTTAGTTGGTGCGGTACGAACTGACCGTCCTTAGTCCAGACTATGTTTGCAGAGGACTCATTGAGGGCCATAGGCACATGAGAATGGTAGAAGGCTTCATTATCATCGCCCTTCTCCCCATAAACGATGACCACCGGGGTCTCGATGTCACGAAGCAGGACCTGCTCAAACTGACCATCATCGCCCAGGTCCGGCTGGAAGATGACTCGAAGGGCTGAATGTCGGGAGACAACCGCTTTCCACGCCCTTACCAGGCGCTCCACATCCACCGTCGAGCCCTGTGCGGTCACATGCCAGATAAAGTGGGCCGCGTATCGTCCTTCAAATTGCATTTGGTTCAGCAGGATACCTCGTTGGGCCGGAGTACACGGAATGACATCCTCCACATTGGGATCCCTTGAATCAATACGTGGCTCCTGTGACTTTGCGAACCGCTTGGCAACCTGCGCGATTGTCCTCCACTGGAATAGATCTCCCACTGAGTGGTGAATCCCAATCGCGCGTGCCTGAGACGTGGCTTGGAGGGCGGAAATGGAATCCCCGCCCAGACGGAAAAAGCTGTCCTCCACGCCAACCCGATCAGTAGAGATACCCAGTGCTCGCGCCCAGATCCGCTGTAGATCGCGTTCCGCTTCGGTGGCAGCAGCCCGCCTCTGCTCTGGCATCTTCGCCGCAAAAAGGGCATTCAATTCCTGATGCGAAACCGTTGCGACAGAGTCTCGTAATCGCCGCCGGTCTAGCTTGCCGCCAATTGTCTGGGGCAAATGTCTTAGTGGCACAAAGATAGTGGGTATCATGTACTCTGGAAGAACATCTCCGAGATGATTCTTCACAGTCACAACGTTCTCCCTGAAGTTCATCGGTATCACAACATCCAGCGAACTGATTGGCGTGGGAGGCGAAGGTCCCAGCAGGCCAGCATCGTCTTTGAGCGCGATGAATACAGCCAGACACGGAGTTTTTACTCCTGCAGGAGTGATGATCTGGGCCACAACGTCCTCTATATCCCCGGGGAAATTCTGCTGCACTTGGGCTTCCACCTCACCAAGCTCAAACCGCTGACCACGCAGTTTAACCTGGCAGTCCCGTCGTCCCACAAAGCAGAGAGATCCGTCTCTCTCGTACCGCACCAGATCGCCTGTACGGTAGACGCGGCTGCTGATATGTTGATCGTCCGTCAGCCCTAACTGATCCCACATCCAGGATGGGCAAGTAATAAATGAGGCATTAGTCTGCTCTGGATTATTCAAGTATCCACGGCCAACGAGTGGTCCCTGCAGAACAAGCTCACCGACCGCGCCGATAGGAACCAACCGACCGGGGTCTCTTGGGTCGGTTACCCACGTTGAACCTGCAATGGAGAATCCGATGTTGGCAGCCTCGCCGTTAATATCGAGAGACGGTTGCATCGTAAATACCACCGTGCACTCGGCGGGCCCATATGTATTCAGAAGGTGCACTTGGTCTACCCACTGCTGGATGTCACTTTTGCGGACGGGTTCTCCTATCAACATGATGCTGTGGACCGAGCTCATGTCCGCCGGCGTGATTGCGCGCAGCACAGATGGTGTCAGTATTGCATGGGATGGCTGCAAATGTGTGACCGCCTGAGCAAGGTGATCTTTCCGTTCCGATTCTGACAAGATGCAGATGCAGCCTCCGATAAACAGTGTCCCGAGAATTTCAAGAATACTGACATCGAAGGCATAAGATGCAAAATGGAGCATGCGTGAATGCACGTCAAGCCCTATTTTCTGAGCGTACGGAATCGCCATGGTCACAAACGATCCATTATCCACAACGGCAGCTTTGGGCTTTCCAGTAGAGCCGGAGGTAAACACAGCGTATAGAGCGTGGTGTGGGTTGCGGCGAGGGCTTTTGCAGTCCCCTGAGCCTCCGGGGCTAGCACCCTCCGTAACCACTACGGTGTTTGGTATTAGCGATCGCGCTGCATCTTGATGGCTAATTGAGGTGACAATTATGGAAGCTTGGAGTTCCTCGCAAACGGTGCGCAGTCGCCCTTGAGGATGGGAGCTATCGAGCAGGACAAAGGCCGCGCCAGCCTTGAGGACTGCTAAAGCCGCGACGGCAGTCCACCGTGACCGATCGAGGTAGATGGGAACAAACATCTCAGGCCCGACTCCCCGAGAGCCCAGAATGCTCGCGAGAGTACTAGATCGGAAATCGAGGTCCCTATAGGAGAAGTTTCCATCCCAGGCACAGACAGCAGGAGCCAATGGCCGGGTAGCGCAATGCCCTTGAATGACTTCGATCACCGTTAGAGACTTTTTCTTAGGGATTTGACTATTCCACTTCTTCAACTCATGGAGATCATGCGAGTTTACTGTCAAAATGTCTCTCACCAAACGCTGGGGCTCTTGATGGACGCGCTGTAGGATGTGATTAAATTGATCCAACATCCGCTGAGTTTGCCATTCCGATAGAACTGCTTCATCAAATGCAGCCTCCACGGTGACTTCATCAGTTCCCAAGGTGATGGTCAACTCCAAAGCGTACGTATTGGACTCAACATCATTGGATGAGGTTTCGATGGGCTTCATAATGCCCGACGGCTCACCTTTGGCTTCACTCCGCTTTTCAATGAGGAGCGTCTGGAATGAACATGCTCGTAACGCCCCCGGGCCTAGCGTAGCTATCTGTGACAATCCGACTTGCTCGTATGGGCCGAGCTTTACCATCCGTTTTTGTAGATCCACAAGTCCCTTTGACACTGTCGCATTGCCATCGATCGAAACGGACAGAGGTATCGTGGCAATCGTGGGCCCAGCCATTGTCTCGATGCCTCGTACTGGCACCGAACGACCAGGAGAGAGGACACCAAAGATAACATTGTCACTGCTCTGATATTGAGATTGGACTAGAGCCCAGGCTAGTCGAATTGCCGTGGTTCGACTAACCAGGTCATTCATCAGTGGCCCAGTCCAAATGATGCGCTGGATATTTTTCGAAGCCTGCGGTCGATATGATGGGAAGGGAATAGAGGGGAATGGGTCGGCAAAGAAGTGTTCAAGTTCAGCGCCCCAGTACTGCAGGGAATCTTCCTTTTGGTTCATGGTATACTGGATAAATTTCTGGAAGGGAACACAGCGCAACATCGGCGACTCGGGGTTATCGTACGCCAACTGTGTCCATTGGAGGAGGAGAGGCAACGACCAAGCGTCGTACACCGCATGGTGTGCGGTCATTATCAGTTCAATGTGACTTTGCACTTTATCCACCTCGAACCGGATAAGGGGCTTGCCGAATGGCATATCCCAGAGCAGCTTTTGATCTCTCTGGTCACCTCCGCTTACCTCCCAACTCAGTTTGCAGTCACGGAGAATCACCTGGAGACATCCTAAGTCCGTTTGTATAAGACGAGTGCGAATCATGCCGATTCGAGCAGATACGCGTTCCCATGCGGTCTTCAGTCTCTGCAGATTTACATTTGAAGCCAGCTTGAATCGGTGATGTGCAATATAGGAGCCCGGCCGCTCTGAGGCTAACGCAACCAGACGAGTTTGCAATGCAGTACAAGGAAAGATGTCCTCAATCTGCTCCATGGGCACACCACATTGGCTCATCGCATCCGTTTGAGCGCTAGCTCGCTGGCCCGGAGGAAGCAGCGACAGCGGAGGCACGGCTTCTTCTTCTTGACTTGACCCTTGTTCATCTGTTGCTGGTGGCTCTATCTGTTGGGGAGAGGAATGAAGTCGCGCGAGATCTCTCAATCTTGGATGTAGGAAAACGTCAGGGACAGAAATCTTGAGGCCCTGAGCGTCAGCCACGGACACCAATTTCATGACCAGAATCGAGTCTCCGCCCAGGCGGAAGAAAGTGTCATTAGGCCCAATAGTATCCAATTCACGATGGAGGACTTGAGCCCACAGCCGCTGCAGCCTCTGCTCATCTTTCGTGAGCTCTCTTTGCCGTGTCGTCTTTGAACTACCCTCGGACTGGTTGATGCGCATCTCCAGTCTGCGCGACGCTTCATCACGCAGCCGGCGTCGATCGATCTTCCCGCTGAGCAATCGGGGGACGTGAGAGATGGACAGAAATGCATACGGGATGAGAAAACTGGGGACCCGGTCTTGAAGCTGGAGTTCGGCCTCCTCTGCGGCCGCCTCGAACGAACGATCGTTCACGTTTTCGACGAGAGATATGACTGAGGCAACGAGATAAGCGTTGGTAGAACTCAGAGGGGTGACCAGATCCGCGAAGACCTGCGGAGTTTGTTCGGGCCAGCACTGTCGGATCTGATGTTCGATTTCACCCAGTTCAATGCGCTGACCGTGCAACTTGACCTGTCTGTCCTTCCGTCCAAGGTAATGGATAGATCCGTCCGCCAAGACTTGCGCCATGTCGCCCGTTCTATAAAGTCTACCATGTTGAGTCCCACGCATTTGACACAGCCATGGGGGATAAGGGAGGAAATTGTCTGCCATGTGCTCTGGTCGATTCACATACCCTCGGCCGACAATGGGTCCCTCGATGAGAAGTTCCCCCACTGCTCCGATGGGCACGGGAATTTCCAGTGCCTGGGGATCAACCACCCAGGCGAGGCCTCCGACCGGGAATCCGATATTCGCTGGATCCTTGGAAAGGCAATGGGGAGAGGATTGAGCTGTGGCGATGACAGAGCACTCAGAGGGACCATACGCATTCATCAAATGGACATGGGGTGACCACCGACGCACATCACTTTCACTCATGCCCTCTCCACCAAGAACGAGGGTTTCCAGAGTGGGGACCTGCGTGGGATCGAGGATCCGGGCTACGGATGGCGTGAGTAATGCCCAAGTCACTCGCAAATCTTGAATTACTTCAGACAGCCTGCGGTTTCTCTCGCTTTCACTGGCAATGCAAACACATCCACCGACGAGAAGTGTTGTAAGGATCTCCACGATACTAGCATCAAATGCATATGAGGCGAATTGAAGTACCCGAGAGCCTTCATGGAGTCGAAGAACTTTGGAATGAGCCTCTGCTGCGGAGTGGAATGACTGATGTTCAATGACGGTTGACTTGGGCTTCCCAGTAGATCCAGAGGTAAACACTGCATAGGCTGCAGACCTTGGGGACGTGGGCGGTAGATCCACTAACTCAACACCTGCAGCCCATCTTGAGCTTTGGATCTCTATATCAAGAACGTTCGGAAAGATGCTGGCTGCCAACCCCACATGATTGGAGGAGGCGAGAATAGCAGGACATGAGAAGTCCTGCTGAAGCATTCCCTGTAACCGTTCTGCCGGATATGACGGGTCCAGCAGGATGAATGCGCCACCGGCCTTCAGGACTGCCAGGATGGCCACAACGACCCATCGGGACTTCTCACAACACACGGGCACGAAGACCTCGGGACCAACACCATTTTGCACGAGATGCTGGGCTAGAAGCGATGAGCTCTGGTCAAGCTCCTCGCAATTCATGTTACCATTCGTGTCGTTGACTGCAGAATCTGTGGGATGAGCCTGGCCATATTGCTGGATTTCTGTGTGGATGCAGTTTTGGATAGCCTGCGGCATCGTGTGGTTCAGTTCAAATAACTGGCTCTGGCTCTTTGGACCCAGCGGATTTATGTGCCTCAGCCGGGAATTCGAAGGATCAATGAGCTGCGACAAGACATGGAATAAGGTGTCGGACACCAACTCTGCCTGTGCATCGGTAACAATGTGAGACCAGTATGTAAGATCCCCACAGATATTCTCATTTCCGAGTGTTATGTTGACTGTTAGATCGTACTGTATAGTGTGAGTAGATTCTCCCGTCATTCAGAATGCAGACAGATACGTACCTCAGTCGAATCAATCCCCAGCGGTCCTTCCAGTGTAATATCCGACGGATAATCATTGGGCATCACATCCACAGCCTCCCTCTGCAGGGACATGGCGGTATTAAATAGCGGCTGGCCTGCGAGATTTAGGGAATGCGTGACTTCCGCTATAGAGCAATGCTGGTGTTCGAGGTTGCGAGCGTGTGCGTCTTGGTTTTCTGATAGTGTGGCCAGCACCGATGCATCCCCAGTCAAACATAATCGACAGATAAGCAGGTTAATCAATGGCCCAGACAACTCGTCTACGTTGGGCACGGGGATATCGCGGCAAGAATTCAAGTACCCAAAGCACACTGACTCCGACCCGGTGTATACGCGGAGAACAACGCCCCATGCAACCTGTAAAAGGCTGGAGATAGTGATACCATGGTTTTGGCAAAAGTGGTGTAGGTGCTTAGCAATATTGAAGCTAAAGGGCACCAAATTCAACGTGGATGGCTCCGTTCCTCGGCTCTTGGTCGCCAGTGAGGGGAAAATACATGGGTCGACATTATCCAAATGCTGCTTCCAGTGTATTTCCGAGGGTGCTTGAGAATAGTCTTGCAGATATCGGAGGTATGTGCTGTATGCACATGCTGGTCCATCCTCTAGCTGCCCATGATACGCACGGTGGAAGTCGGACAGGAATATTTGCCAGGTCACACCGTCGACCAGCATGTGGTGAATGCTCAGTTCAAAGAAGACATCGCCGTCAGGTTGCGTAGTCAGGCTTAGTTGATGAGGTGGTTGAGTTTCCTTGTTTAAATGCTTTTCCTTCAAGCCGGACTTATCGGATGAAGGGGACGGAATGCCCCCGTCTGTGAATTGTATCTCGCATTGTGAAGCAACCTCAATGTTTGCGCGTGTCGACTTGCAAACGACCTGCAGGTTGCGATCTCCCGTGCTTTCAATGAAGACGGTGCGCAGGATGGGGTGACGATCAACAACTCGTTGCCAAGCCCCTTTGAGCCTCGAAATGTCAATGGGTTGAGAGTTGCTGGAGGAACGGCGCACAATCCACCTCATACTGGGCCAATACATTTTCGGGTTTTTTGCGTGGCTCAGCCACATGCCGAGCTGGGTGTGGGAGCAAGGATATATATCTTGGATATCGGTTACAGACAGGCCAAACTGATGGGAGATCTGGTGTAATAAAACCTGGAGTTGGTCATCGGTCGTCTGCCGTAGCAACGGGAAATCGGAGACTGTAAGTCGCTGTCCCTGCTGCAGCAACTCAGGCACTTCTTGCAAAATTTGCTGACACGATTGGACCCATTTACGGAGTCGATCCTGGTTCTTGAGGTGTTTGTTATAAACAAACGCAATGTTCAGGCATCCGTTCGTGACTGTCGCAGTTACGTTAATGAGGGCAAAACGCGACAGGTCCTCAGGCATCGGAGTCAGTTCCTGGTCGGGGACGGCCTGCAACTGGAGAAGCGCATCAGGTCGTTCGAGTTGTTGAAATAGGCCAGTGTAGTTAAATAGTATCTCCATTGGCGAATGAGCTGCGCAGTAATTCATGCCTTCGGGGTGGAGATACCGCGAGGCAAAATAAGCCCATCCATTGCGCGGGATAGCTCGGCGGCCATGCTTGGTAAGCTGGAGAAGCTCTGTGAAGGCTTGCTCTTTCCTTGCTCTTACAAAGATGGGTGTTATCGTGGTAAACCAACCGACTGTCCGAGAGACGTCAATTGTTGGATCCCATGGCTCCCGCCCGTGACCTTCACTGAAAATGGTGGGCGCAGGTCTGTTGTCGAATGCCTGAACAAACGCATACAGGACGGCAGTTTGAATGATCTCCACGGGGCGAGTATGGAAAGCGTCATTGGCAGCCCCAAGGATCGACTGTGTTACTTCTTGAGAAACTTTGATGGATTTCTCCACCGTGTTTGCCCATGTGTTGTTGGCCAGTTTGGCCGGTGGCCCCCAGTAGTGAAGAGGGGCAGCAGGGATATCCACCGAGAGGGCGGTTTGAGGTTCAAGAGAGTCCTCTGCGTATGATTGTTGCAAGCGACACCAGTGTTGGAATGACACAGAGGCAGGCTGTAAAGGATGGCCCGTGGTGAGAATATCTTCAAGGTCCTGGAGCAAAACACGCCAGGACACCAGATCGATCACCAGGTGATGTGCCATCAGCCCCAGAAACTGCTCCCGCGTCTCTGTTTCGATGAGATCTACGACAAACATGGGCCCGCTTTCAATGTTCAGCCTGCTTTGGCTGTCACTGAATATATTCTGTAGCGTTGCATGTTCATCGATAGAGGAAAGCCAATGCTTACGATACTGGAAGCTATTGGCGGCCTCATTTCCTACGATTTGCTTCCAGTCACCGTCATCACTTTGTGCAAAACGAGCTCTGATCATTGCATGCCGAGCTGCCAGCGCCTGAATGGCTTTCTGAATCTTGGAAGCAGAGGTCGGCTTTGTGACACGGAGCAGGAATTCCTGCGTGAATCTGTTGTGCCCATTTGGGACATGCTCGAAGAAAAGATGCTGAATAGGGGATAGGCCAAACCAGCTGTCCGTCGCGTCTTCCTCCGAGCTCTTGCTTTTGGATTGAGGGCTGTTGGATTCCTGAATCCTCTGGGCCAGATTGCTGATGCTGGGGAAGCGAAAGATGTCAGACACCATCACGTCAAGGCCAACAGCCTGGCAGCTGGCAGCCACCTGCATGGCACTGACAGAGTCACCCCCAAGACGGAAAAAGCTTTCATTAACCCCAATCTGGTCGATCGGTCGGTTGAGCGTCTGTGACCAAATCTGCTGCAACTGCGCTTCGCGCGCTCCTGAAGGTGACTGCGGCTTGGCCTGTGCAAGTCGATACTCCTGCATGCTCTCCCAAGACAACAACACGGCCTCTTCCAGGAGGTAGCGTCGGTTGGTCTTCCCAGAGGGGGTCATAGGAACGTGGGATAGTGGGAAAAAGACCGATGGCACCATAAAAGATGGCAAAGAATCCGATAAATGAGACTCGGCCAAGGCACATGCGGTGCGAAATTCGGCACTCGGTGGCAAGAACAAGCCTTCCTCCTGCCTGGCCTCTTCGGAGGGTGAGGATGAAGGGGGACAGATAAACGCAACAAGAAGCGCCTCCGGGCGACCATCGTCAATGGTTGACCGCATCATCTCCACGACAATCTGTTCTGCCAGGGGGAATGCGGTACAGAGGTGGTGCTCTATATCTGCCAGCTCTAACCGTTGCCCGTGCAACTTCACTTGGGTATCCCTGCGCCCAAGGTATCGGAAGCTGCCATCTCCGATTTGCTGCACCAGGTCTCCGGTTTTATATAACTGGCGGGATGCCTCAGCCCCAAATTGTCGCCGCCAAGGAGGTGCATCAATGAAAACCTTAGCTGTTTGGTTGGAATTGGAAAGGTATCCGTCCCCAACAACTAACCCTTCAATCACCAGCTCCCCGGGGCATCCTAGAGGCATCAGACGACTATGGTCGTCGTGATTAACGACCCAGCCCACGCCTCCCGTGGGAAACCCGATATTAGCTGGGTCCTTTGAGCGAAGATTTGGCTGGACACTAAAGACAGCTGAACATTCAGCAGGACCGTATGCGTTGCGGACCTGAACGTGTGACTCCCAACGGACCACATCATTCGCCGATACAGCCTCTCCAACAAACACCAGGACCTTGAGAGTGGATAAGTGGCTTGGAGATAGGATTCGGGTTACGGTCGGTGTCAGACAGGCCACGTTCACAGCGTATTGGTTCATCGACTCCGCAAGTCGGCTATGACAGTCCCCAGCGGAAGGAATGCACACGCAACCTCCCATAATTAGGGTGGACAGATGCTCAATGATGCATGAATCAAAGGCTGGCGATGCGAATTGCAAGACACGTGACTGAGGCGTGAAGCTGTATGGCTCTCCGTGAGCCAGGGCGCTGGATGCATAGCCAGCGTGATTAACAACCACACACTTGGGATTCCCGGTAGACCCAGACGTGAATGTGGCGTATATGGGATCGAAGGGGCAAACTGTTCGTATGGGGACAGGCTCATTGGTGTTTTGTTCCAAACTGAGGTCATCGACGCTCAGACTTGTTGCCACTCCTAGCTGGGATGCCACGGAGGCATCAGCTTTCAAAGTCACGATTATAGTGGCCCTGAGTGTTTCACACATGCGTTTCAAGCGAGAGACTGGATAGGACGGATCTAGTAGTACAAACGCTGCACCGATCCTCATCACTGCGAGCATGGCCACTGCCGTCCACTTCGACTTTCCTAGACACAAAGGCACAAACGTGCCACGGCCTACAGAGTGACGCAACAGATGAGCAGTTAGTGCAGATGATAATTTGTCAAAGCTCTGATATGTAATATCACCATCCCAGCTGCTGATCGCGGGTGCTTGAGGCTGTCGATCGGTCCGTTGGCAGATGAGCTCATGCACACACGGCGGAGTAGTTTGGGTGGTATCAGACACATTCCAGTGGGCGAGCTCCTCTCGATCCTCCGGGCTAACGGGGTCTACCTCAGCGAGAGGCAGGTCAGATTCGTCATCGATTTGTACGTAGATGTGGGCCAGCTGAGAGAGAATCCGCTTAGTTTGGCCGACATCTATCACCCCCGGATCGAAGGATGCATCAATCAAGATGGCCCGGCTAGATGGCCGGCATCGAAGAACCAAGGCGTACAGGTCGTTGTTCCTCTGCACAGATTGGTGTTTCGAAAACAAAGGGGGTATCTCATGGCCATCACGTGGTTCCACGGACAACAACGTTTGAAACTGACAAGCGGCCTCAGGGCCAGGACCCAGATGAAGCAGATTCTGTAACCCAACCTGTTCGAACTCCATCATGGCCGCCCATTGCCCCTGAACAGCAGCGAGAGCCTCGGCCACAGTACGCCTCTGACATAATCGGATGCGCATTGGGACAGTGGCCACGGCGGGCCCGCTCAGCCCCTGGATTCCGGGCACTGACACCCCGCGACCAGCGTTGACGATCCCAAACAGCGTATCGTCAGAGCTTGTATACAGAGACTGCAACACTGCCCATGCTAGGCGTAGTTTAGTGTTGATCGTAAACCTAGCGCGGAAGGTCGGTTGGATGTCGAATGTTTTCTCCACTCTGTGCGTTGGCCGCGGAATATACCCGGCCGTGGGGAGACGGGGAAATGATGCTACAGATTCCTTGTGCGCATCCCGGAACTCATCTCTCCAGAAAGCATCGGCGCGTGAACGCGTAGACTGCACATATTCAACCAATGGTCTAAATGGACGGTAGACCAACTCTCGGCTTCTATAGGCTTCGTCCACTTGCCGCAGCAACAGTGCGATGGACCAGTCATCGCAGATGGAATGATGGATTACCATGCTCAAGGTATGACTCGTAAGATGATGGACAAAGTAGACCAGCGACGCGCCCGCTTTCCAGGCCACACTACTCGTAGTGTTGGGGAGGTCGTCGTCGGCCTGCTCCTGCCACGGAATCGTCACATTCACCACTGCCTGCATCACGCCGAGATGGCGGGTAGGGACAATTCGCGTTCGCAAAATCGGGTTCGCTAGGGCAGTCTGATACCAAGCCTCCTTCAATCGCTTGGTATCGATCCCTGATGCAAGTTGAAACTCGTATTCCACAGTGTACGCGGTCGGGTCTTTCGCGGTGGTTGCCATCATCCCTTCCTGGAGTGGCGTGCATGGATATACGTCCTCCAGATCCTCCAACGCACAGTGACACTGGGCGGCCACCTCTAGGAGAAGTTCATCCTCGTCGGGAGGAGTTGGTGGTGCAGCGACTGAGATGTACGTTTCCCCGTCCATGCTAGATGTGGCTTTGGTATGATTTTCATTTGTAGAAATTTTGGCTCTGAACTCAACACCCGCCATTTCCTGGTCAGGGCATTGAACTGTGCTTCCGGTTCCCATGGTGTATTATCTCGTGCTCATACAATTATTTGAGCACAATTCGCGAGCTTAACAAAGCTGTAGTTGAGATGTCGACTCTGAAGACCCGGCAAATCTTTCTTCTTTTTTTCTTCTTCTTTTGCTTCAATCAATAGAGAATTCGTCGAGAAATATAGCATGAATGTCAATAGAGCAGAAGATGCTTCAGGGTAGGAGAATAAGAGCTATCACCAAAATAAATCACTCCAGATTCGCACTGCTCCAATTAAGGCTAAGGTGACATCTCAACCCTGTCCAGTACAAATATTTTGATTCCATTGTGTCCAACCCCACTTTCTGCAAATAAAACCGTGACTGGGACACTCACGAGGGAAATCAATGACGCCGCCGAGACCTGTCAGTCACTGTTTTCCCTCTCTTTGCCTGGATTGTCGTTGCCCAGAACGCAATAGTCTGTTAATTCAGACTATATGGTTTCAACTGTAGGAGTAGTAGAGCCGTCATTATTACGTGCTTAGTTGTGTTGTTTTTATTCTAGTCAGCCCATGACAGGTGGAGGTGAGGTCCGTCGAATGCTGGATTCGATCATCTCACCAGTCTGATGCCAAATCCGGCCACCTACCCAGAAGGGAGGTATACAGCAAAACATGGGTCCAGAGCGATCCCGCGACTTTAAATACGTTAATTATGGTTTAACTCTAAATTTAAATGCGCCACAAACTGGTTCTCGTAATCGTTGACGTTACATGGAAAAATCACGCTCGTATTCTTCGTGTACTACAATTCTCGGCCCACGATGGAGTGTCCCCACCTTCTGCTATGCGTCTATTGAATGGGCACATGATATTGCATTCGTAACGCGGCTGCGAATAACAGAAATAAATTGGTGTCCAAGAACTTATTCCACCTGCCCGCTGTAATTGCAATCGCGGCCAGTCTAACATGGAACCCGCCTCGACCTCTACTCCTCCAGAGGAGATGAGCCTTCGTATTGACAAGGAAAGCAAAGAGAACGCGGAACCTCCTTCTTTCGCAAATTATTTGGTACTGTGCCAAAAACTCATCCACTTTCACCATCACTGACATCTTGAGTAGAGGATTCTTTCGTACGGTGCTCGACATGGTCGAGTTTTTCTCATTATCCTGGGGTTAATATGCGCCATGGGCTCTGGGGTTGTACGTTCAGCGCTTTTGTGGCTTTCTCTGTATGAATGGCTGACAATCCCTAGGCTCTGCCATTGATGAACATCGTCTTTGGTAAACTCGTCGGTGACTTCAACCAATATTTCAGTCCAGGTGCTGCTCCCAGCGAACAGAGCTTCAAGTCTTCGCTCAACCAAAGCAGGTGAGACTCACACCTGTAATTCGCGTGTTTTTGAGCCTATGGAGCTGACTTCCTTGACCATAGCCTCTATATTGTATACTTGTTCATCGGCAAATTCGTATTGTCGTATATTTCCATGGTAAGTAAACAAATTTTGTGAATCGTTATTCAATAGTTACTCACCGCAGGGGATAGATTTGCTTCCGAGTCATCAGTTTACATGCATCCGCCGCATTACGTCTCGAGTACACTAAGGCACTTTTTGCCCAACCCATCAGCCGATTGGACGAAATATCTATTGGGACGATAACCAATTCAATAACGGCGCTGTCTAATACAATCCAGCAAAGTGTCTCGGATCGCCTTTCTATCCTATTCCAATCCCTGGCGTTGCTTATCGCAGCCTATGGTATTGCCTTTAAATACTCATGGGCACTGACACTGGTAGTCAGCTCAGCTATAGCTTTTGTGCTGATTGGCTTTGCCCTAACAGTGCCCTTCCTGGTGAAGATACAGCGAAACGTGGATAAAGCTGATAACCACCACGCATCCGTCGCCGCAGATTTCTTTAGCTCTATCCGGACCGTTTTCTCCCTCGGTGCTGAGGGTCCATTGGCTAAAAAGTATGCCCGACTAGTTGATGACGCTAAGAAAGAAGGCTTGCGGATGTCCCCCGTCACTGGAATCCATCTTGGACTTCTTTTCTTCGGCATGTATGTCAGTTTCGCATTGGCATTCTGGTTCGGGTTGAAGCTCTATCGTGAGGGTCATATTGCAAACATTGACACTGTTATTACGTATGTTACATCTCCACTTACAGGTATCTAGCACTTTCTGATCTTTATAGTGTCTTCTTCTCTGTGCTCATCGTGGTCACGGTCCTTGGAAGTATCGCCTCACCGCTCATGATCATTTCCAAAGCCATTAGTGCCTCCGGGGCATTCTTCGGCATCATTGATTCGGAGCAAATCTCCACAGCTGGAGTCAGAGATCCCGATGTGTCCAGTTACGCTGATATTATATTTCGGGATGTTTCATTTGCCTATCCAACACGCCTCGGCATATATGCCTTGAATGGGTTCAATGCCACGCTCCAAAGAGGCAAAACAACAGCATTGGTCGGACCATCGGGCTCGGGAAAGAGCACTGTGGTTGCTTTGCTTCAGAGATGGTATCAACTCCAAAATGGAAAATCCTCCGATTCAACACAAGGAAAGCTCCCAGGAGACATCACTGTGGACAATCATCACATCAATGATTTAGATCTAAAATGGTGGAGATCCCAGATCGGGCTCGTTCAGCAGGAACCGTATCTGTTCAATGAATCCGTTTATAACAACGTTGCTTTTGGCCTAATTGGGTCCAAATGGGAAGGTGAAACGGAGGTAATGAAAATGGAACTGGTGACGGAGGCGTGCAAGGAGGCTTTTGCAGAAGAATTTATCACACAGCTTCCTCAGGTAATTCACTATATCCACATATCTGTTCTTTCCGCATTCTTCGACCAAGCACTACTGACTTTTTGATCGGAAGGGTTATCTGACGGTAATTGGTGAAGGCGGGATCACTTTGAGTGGTGGTCAACGCCAACGACTCGCCATTGCACGAAGCATCGTCAGCCGACCCCCAATTCTAATATTCGATGAAGCGACTAGTTCTATTGATGTTCGAAGTGAAAAGGTCGTCCAAACTGCTCTCGACCGCATATCGAAGCACCGCACTACAATCATGATTGCGCACCGCCTTTCCACCATCCGTCGAGCAGACAATATTATCGTGATAAAGGATGGAACTAACATGGAAGAGGGAACACATGAGGACCTTATATACAGAGGCGGGGCGTATTATAGCATGGTTCATGCGCAGCAGCTTGAGCCACTCAGAGCTCCCGAAGAAGACAAGGCTGAAAGCGATGATCTCCTTATCCCGAAAAAGGAGATTCGGGCCCAAGAATACCCTACTGACTCAAGTGAAAAAGAAGAAGACCAGCAAACGGAGCATGAAACCAAGAAATTTGGCTTCTTTCACTCATTTTGGGTGATTGCTAGTGAGCAAAGGCACCATTGGATTTTGTATATCTTCATCCTTGTGGGAGCCATGGGAGTGGGTTGTAAGTGATATATATCCTTGATACGCTGTCGAAACTGACCATAGACTTGACAGCCGGGTATGCGTTGCAAAGCTGGCTTTTTGCGCAGTTGGTCCAGGTTTTCCAATTTACGGGACAGAAACTCGTGAATGCGGCTAACTTTTGGGCGCTGATGTTCTTTATCCTGGCTCTCGCCATGGCTGCATTCTATTTCATCTTAGGCTTGGCCTCAAATTCCATCTCAATGGTTGGTTAGCCTACTTCATCTTGTTGTCAGGAATCATCTAACCTGGAAAAGTTCGTCGCATCCGTGTATCGCAAAGATTATTTCTTTAACCTTGCCCGACAATCCGTGTCCTATTTCGACCGCGAGGAGAACGCCTCTGGCAGTCTGGTTTCCAGATTATCAACAGACCCAAGACAAGTCCAAGAGTTATTTGGCCCTAACGGGGTGTTTCCTCTGATTTCTCTTTTCAACGTCATCGGATGTGTCATAATCTCTTTCATCTTTGGATGGAAGTTGGCAGCCGTTACATTTTTCGCCGCAATGCCGTTTCTCTTTCTTGCCGCCTTTATGCGCATCCGCTATGAGATCATGTTTGAATCTTTAAATGCTGAAGTGTATAAAGATAGCTCGAGGTTTGCAGCGGAAGCAATCCGTGGATTCAGAACCGTGACTTCCTTGACTATGGAAGACTACATTATCGAAAAGTACTCGAATCTGCTACAGCAGCAAAGGAAAAAAGCACTTCGAAAAGCATGGTATGCGACGCTTGTCTTCTCTTTTTCAGACAGCGTGGAACTATGCGCAATGGCGCTCACCTTCTGGTACGGCGGGCAGCTGCTTGCATCTCGGGAATACGATCCTACTGCATTCTTTGTGGTCTATATTGCCATCATCCAAGGCGGCCAGTCTGCAGGACAATTCTTCAGCTTTGGTCCTAACATCGCTCAGGCTAAGGCCTCTGCTAGTCGCATTCTCAGTACCCGACCAACATCAAAGAGTCAACTTGAAATATCATCAAAAGAACCGCTCTTCTTCCCTCGACAGAACCATACGGCTGATATCGAGTTTAAAGATGTCACTTTCATATATCCTTTTCGGAATACGCCGGCATTTTTGAATGTTAATGTATCTATCAAAAGCGGTCAATTCGTTGCTTTTGTTGGTCCCTCTGGCTCTGGCAAGTCCACTCTCATCTCAATTATAGAAAGATTCTACGACACCACGCACGGCTCTATCATGTTCAATGGACGAGATATCCGTTCTATTGAGCTCTCTTCCTACAGGCGGTGCATCTCTCTTGTGGCACAGGATCCAAGGCTTTTCGACGACACTATTGAGGACAACCTACTCCTCGGACTCGAAACTACAAACAAACAACTCATGCGAGAGCAGATGGTGCAAGCATGCAAAGACGCCGAGATTCACGATTTCATCATGTCCCTTCCTAGTGGCTACTTAACGAGTCTTGGTGTTAGCGCGCAAACATCGCTCAGTGGCGGTCAGAAACAACGTCTGTGTATTGCACGGGCTCTAATTCGGAGGCCCCTCGTCCTTCTTTTGGATGAGGCAACGTCGAGTTTAGATTCACAGTCTGAAAAACTCATCCAGGACGCCATGGAGCGTCTAGCCGTGAAACGCCACATGACTATTATTGCAGTCGCCCACAGACTGGCCACCATCCAGAAGGCTGATAAAATCTTTGTCTTCGGGGAGAGTATCTCACATCCCGGATCAGAGATTGTGGAGAGGGGGAATCATCACGAGCTGCTTCGAAAAAAGGGGCCTTACTGGCAAATGGTATTGTTGCCTTCAATCAAGCATCACTCTAGAGTAAAAGCTGACATGGAAACAGTGCCAAGCACAGGCTTTGGAAATGTGAATTCGCTTTTAGATTGCGGAAAGTCGTCTCTGTCAAAATCTAGTTGCTCTAACAAAAATCGATTGTCTACGCTGTGTCCGAGTAAGTCTACCTTGATCTAATGTATCATCACCTTCAATGGCAGTTTCTCGGTATTAGATATCGGGATATACAGATGAACAGGGGCTTTAGCTATGTCGGCCTTTGTGATACCAAGTACGTTATATTGCCCTTAGTCAATAAAATCTCGAGGGTAAGAAGTTCCGGGAAGAATGTTATCTAATGGCATGATGGAAATGTCGTGCCTAGTTGGTGCAAGATAGGAGTGGTGAATATATGAACTTATAGAATAGCTGAGAAAACAGCACGAAACTAACAAGAATGGTTTTTTGCGGGCTCAAGTACAGCTGAGCGGACGGAAAGCCCTGTTTCCCACACCCTATGGCCGCAGGTGCTGAGTTTTGTATCAAAACTGTATATATAGTAAAGGTGCTACACTTTCTGTGACGAGACAAGGTTTTATCAGAGGAAAACAGTACATTCAACTAAAATACTGAAGATGGGGAGAAAGGGAAAGAAGACGAGAAGAAAAATCCTCACTCCTCCACTTGTACACCCACCAGACATCAAGGTAACAACCACAGCATCTTCCTGAACTCCGTTCCTGCCTCCTGTCCCTTTATCACGCTTTCTGCCAACAATTGAAAGGAAATAATAAGAAGCCGCTTCGTCACTAAAGAGGTATGTCTAGCTCACTATTGATTGCTTCTCAAAATGCTTCATTTCATATAGAAAGGTGCTAGTTGTAGCGATTTAGAAACAATATATTCCGAGGTTATAGAATTATACATAAAACATATACTGACACAGTATAAATTCCTAAACAAAGTAGAATGACAGTGGAACTAATTTATTTCTCTTTATTTCTATGGTATTTTGTATTATGCTACTAGCTGCAACAAAACCCGTCACCGGCAACAATAACCTTGGAAGTACCTAACAATATTCGCTTTTCCAGTAGGTAGGGAAGTGGGAGTCCCAGTTGAGAATCCCAGTATGACTCGATCAGTAGTTGATATTCCGATTTCAGACTGTTCCGGACTATGCTGTTAAAGTCTGAGTCAACCAAACCCCAGTATCTCCCGTGTTGTTCAAAGCCAATTATACAAAAAGCATACTATCTTAGGTCGTGTGAGTGCACAATGACTTACATTCATCACGAGGAGATTTGAGTTTCAGTGTAGTTCATGGAGTTGCAACGGTCTAGGCAGCCAGATGAATAAGGATAGCCGCCGTTCGCGGATAACATTCTATGTTACCAGAAGTTGTCCCATCTACCTCGTAAATAAAGTTAATCAGTATTCCTTGGCATATACCAACACAACGGCAGAAAAGTCATGCTCGACGTAAGTGATAGGTCCATGTCGCCCACTTACATAGTGGCATTGAACTGTGCAATTACTTTACCTTATAACGAATTATGTGCTCACTGACACTGACGTGTCTTACCAGCCATCTATCCATGGAAGCAGTAATCATTTTTCTGATATACACCAAGTGTTAGAAAATCATTTGATCTAGAAGACCCATTCAACTTGGTATCTAGCCATGGTTCCACTTTCTACTTCTGAGCAGAGTCTCTGCACTGCACCAGCACGGCGAGATATCCACGGAAAAATATTTAAAGAACCGTAAGCACAAAGACCCCATCGTAGGCTTCTATTCCAACTAGCAGGACTGAACGTGTTCGTCACGATCTAGTGAATTATCTATAACTTATTCCCAAATGCAAGGCCGTATCCACCTAGCGCGCCATGCGGAAGGTCTCCACAATTTGCGCAACGATGCCACGATCCCCGATGCTCCATTGAGTGAACGAGGTTTTGACTTCGCGGAAAATCTCGGACATCGCTTCATCAGCGAGTACTCGAAAAGTGTGGGCGAAATCGTATCCAGCCCACTCCGCAGGGCTCTCCAGACGTCCTTAACGGCATTCCACCGGATCTTGGACTCCACCCAGTATCCTAAAAATTCCGGCATGGGTGTTAACAACGGAGTGATGTTAGTCCTGGATGCCAATTTGCAGGAAATTACCGACCTGCCTTGTAATACCGGCTCCGATCTGAACGATCTAACAACCGAATTCCCCGGACTTACGTCGGCAATACAAAAACTGCATGGGGATTGGCATGTCAAGACGGGGCCTCGCTCGCCGTTGACACAATCTCTGAGCAAGAGAAAAGCCGAGATTCTACACCGGCTCGAAAAAACTCTGACGGATTTGCAAAATGAACCGATGGGCAAAGACATTATCGTTGTAACTCATGAAGGTGTGATTGACCTACTTGCACCCACTGCAGACATTCATATGGGGCAATGGCAAACCTTTAACTTGGTCAGAGAAAATGGGCTGCTCTCTTTGAAATGAGGGGCAACTGGTTAATGTGGGTGGGAAAACTGTCATTTCCAGCATATGAATAAGTTGTCATGCTCTGCAAGCATCATATGGTCTCTCCCTCCCTCTCTCGCATGTGCTTGCTTGCTTGCTTCCTCTCGTCTTCCATTATCCTTTTTGCTTGCTTGCTTGCTTGCTATCCGGTGCCATCTGATCTGCTTTGCTTGCTTTGCTATGTTTGCTTGCTTCCCTTTGCTATTTATGCCTGCTGCTCCATTGCTTCTTGCTTCTGTTTCTTTCCTTCTTCATCTTTAGTTCCTTCGTTACCAATGGACAACCTTGTTTCCATCATCATCACATAAGTGTTTGGAGATTGCCTGGTTGGTCAGGCTCCCTGCAGGTGTAGATAGCGCAGATGGAGAGAGCTTCTCTCTCCCCCTCTTCTTCTTCTCCTCGTGTCTCTTTCTACAATATTACGCTATTGTATATGTCTGCTTGCGGTGTTTCCGTCGATAATAAGGCTGGACCTATTCACCAATTCGCCAAGCCCATAGCCCAGCCCAGCCAAACCCGCCAATGGGCTGGGCTTTGGGCTTGGTCTCCGGCCCATTGGGGTGATGGGCCCCAACTATGGGCCCCAAACGGTGTGACATATACCGATCCTTGGCGAATGGATAAACTATGTGTGTTTTGCTGCTAACTCTGAGTTCTGATCCTAAATCAAGTTTAAAGTTTATTTAAATTTTATAGTATCAATCTCTAAAACTATATTTTAACTCTTATACGAATATCATTATATCCATGGATACCTATTGCTATACATTATATTGCTATAGAAAATTGAACCTCCCGAGGTCTACTTCAAGTAAGCAGGGCGAAATGTTCCGGACGGGGTTTACATGCTAGAACATTCAAAAGATACAGATATTATAAGCAAGATTATGAACGGCAAGATCATAATTATACATAGAAATGGGCTCGAATGGGGGCCCCGTGAGCCCCCATTAATGGGCTGCGGTCTGGGTTGGGCTTTAACAATAGGCCCAATAGCCCATTGATGATTGGGCTCGGGGCTTGAGGTCCGGGCCCAACCCGGCCCGGCCCATTGAAGAGGTCTAGATAAGGCCATACTTCGCAAGAACGTTCAGTGAATAGGCATACTTGGCACAATTTGTTGGATTAAAATCCAACTGGGTCTGGATTCCGTGATCTTCTATCACGCGATGTGATTCGAATGTGGCCATATGTGCACGGGCGCAAGGGAAAAGTTCCCAAGCTGCCAATCCGGTCTCAAAGAGGCTGAGAATACCCCACAATTACCCCGCTGAGAAGGAACTTTGCATGAGCGTCAATAAGCAACCTTATTTATGACAGTTCTTATTGTTTATTTTATCTTGTCTCGTGTCACAAAGACCATGATTCCACAAACAGATGCTCGTATATGAAGCACAGCTCCTATGCGCCACTAATACCCGTTCATCTTGCCAATGGGTGATCTAGAATATCGTATTACGATTTACCGACTCCCGCAGGGAGCTTCCGTCGATGAGGTACCCGTGGATCAATTGCCCTTTCCGAGAAGCCTCCCGTTTGCGGCCGCGCCTCTGATGTATCAAACATTCGTAAGTGCAAATGGGCGGAGGTCATTGTTAGATTTACAAAATACACGTCTACAGGTGATCATGGTCGAAGCATTAAAGAACAGTCTGGACAATGTCAAAGACGTCGTTGGTCAGTGGAATGAATGCCTGGCATTTTTGCCACGAAATACCACCGTGTATAAAGGGGAAACGAACAACCTACCTCATCTTTGTCCGCCAGGATTCGAGAAGTCTCTAGTTCTAACAATCTAAACCCATTTCAAGTCAACACTCAGTTTATCATCATGTCCTTTGACAAAGACCCGAACGTTGAAGTTGTGCGTGAATACAATGGTGCAGTCCATAGTCTAGACCATGCGCAACAGCCGTGGTCACCTGAGACCGGTCTCCATGGTCCATCCGATGCTATAAGCGCTGCCTATCAATATATTCTTAAGGTCGCAGATGACTACCAAATTCCTCGGGACGTCCTTGGTGAAACTCCCACCAAGCTCTCGGAACCCGCCAGTGACACAGGCGCTCCATTTGGCCTCACATTAGCACAGGCAAGGCCTCGGTTTAGGAGCACAGCAGTGACCTACCAGCAAACGCTGAGAGGACTGCCTGTGTGGGACGCCAAGCTTAGCGTCATTGTGAACGAGGAGAACCAGGTAATCAACTCGTCCAGCAGCATCGACACAAACGCCTCCGAACCCGGTCCCCTCCCGGATGATGCTAAATACATGAAAAACGCTGTTACGGAGGAAGATCTTGGCCAATTGTTGGCGCTTCCAGTACGCGGAGGTGGAATTTACTTCAAACCAGAGCAAAAGCAACAACACCTTCTTGTCTATCGCTACCACAAGGATGATAGACAGGAGATAGCTGGGGATTCTGCACCCACCTTAGTTTTACCTGAAGTCCCCGAAACGATCAGAGATGGACAGTATTATGTGGTGAGAGAAGTTCTTTTCTCTCTCCCGATCTCTGGATATGGTGACCTCAACTGGAGAGCATTGATTGAAGTCAAGACGGGCTCTATCGTCTACTTGCAGGCTCTCACAGCTGGTCTCATTGGCTGGGTGTTTGCCCAAGACCCTGCTACAAAGCTCGGCCACAAAGCTCCCGCAGCAAATGGCAACAATGCTGACTTGAACCTGCTACGTGACAAAGTTTTCCTTCCTGACATTGTTCCGACGACCCCTCAATCTCTCAAGGGCAGATATGCTGAAATTAAAGAAATGCAATTGCCTACGAGTCTGCCCCCAACGACATCCAATGGTGAATTCAATGATAGCGTTGAGACAGACAAGTTTGCGGCTGTCAGTGCATACTATCATATTACAAAGTTGTTCAGGCTTCTGGCCGAGCTGGGTTTCCCGGTTAAAACGTTCTTTGACGGCACCAAATTTCCCGTCCCTGTTGATCACCGTGGCTTCAACAACCAGGTAAATGCTCAAGCCCCGGGAAATGCGACTGGCAATGGCTCCGGAGGATTTATTTTCGGCCGGGCTGATGATCATTCGACAATTGGTATTGCTGCGGATTTCCGGGTCGCTGCACACGAGTTCGGCCATGCACTTTTGTGGGATGCTATACACTGGCCAGGATTTGGTTTCGCTCACAGTCCTGGAGACTCACTGGCTGCCATATACTGTGATCCTGGAAGTGATGCACAAGATCGATTTGATACATTCCCTTGGAGTGTTATCCGTCGCCGCCATGACCGCGAAGTCGCTGATGGCTGGGCATGGGATGGACCCCAATATAGGCCTAATCCAGATCTTCCCGATATCGGCCTCTACCGTCGCGAGCAGGTTCTATCAACCACTCTTTTCCGTCTCTATCGGGCCATTGGTGGAGATGCGATCGGTGATCGCCACAAGCAGAACTGGGCATCGAGGTACACCCTCTATCTGATCTTCGGAGGCATCGCTACCATCACAACAAGGGCCGAACTGCCGTACCAATATGTCTCTGCAATGATTTCTGCGGACAACGGTACAGTGCTTGGCTACCCTGGTGGTGCTGTCAGGAAGATTATCCGCTGGTCATTCGAGAAACAAGGCCTTTATCATCCTCTAAACACCCCAGCACCCGGGGTCATGACAAGAGGGCCACCTCCAGCTGTGGACACGTACATCGATGACGGCAGAGATGGCGAGTACGACTATGCTCCTATGTCTGGTAACCCGTCAAGTATCTGGAATCGCCAGGCTCCAGATGGTATTTTGATCAACCAGGCTCCCATTGCCGGTGCTACAAACTACTGCTATGTCGCGGTGAAGAACCGGGGAACAGAAAATGCGCAGAACGTTCAAGTCACTATATATGAGTCTAATATCCCAGAGCCAACGACCTGGCCGACCCACTTCCAAACACCGGGCACTGTTATTCAAATTAGCGGGTCTCTCAGGGGAAATCGACAGCAAACTGCTATTGCTGGGCCATTCCGATGGACGCCCAAGTCGGATGTCTCGTTTGATAGGCATAGCTTGCTGGCCGCTGTCCGTGCTGATGGTGACCTCTCCAATATTGATGCAAACAGCGGCTTGGCATGTGCAATCGGGCCCACGGCTGTCGATAACCTCGTTCCCTTTGATAATAATTTGGCAGTGCGGCACTTTGAACGGTAAATATTTCCAAGTGAGATGTCTGGACTGTCGCGTAGCACCAAACGCTATTTGAATACCGAAATGCCGACTAACACCATGCTTTGTGATTCAATCCTCAAATTATGCAATTTATTCGTCTTATGCTCGCTGTGCTAAGTTCCAATATTGACTGAAAATGTCCGGTGCCTAGGGAGATGCGTACAAGAATGAAAGCTGCCTGATCTTGCACGATTTCATAAGTTACTGCAGTTTGACAAATCCTTTGCTGTTTTCTCATTGCAGTAGGATGCAATTTAAATGTAATGACCTGTCTAGATGGAAGGTCCAACTAGGTGTTTTGACCATTGAGTGTGGTAGACTCGGCATGAGAAATGCGTATAGGACCGAAAGTCACAATGGATCCAGGCATCATAGCTGGATTTAGTTACTCCGTATCGATTTGATTAAATAACTGGGATCAGTCGACTAGACCCAAAACTTCAAACCCTCTTCAATGTGTTTGGCGGTGTTTGTTCTGTTTGCCAGGCTCCTCCCAGGTGTAGACAGATCTAGAGAGCGAGAGCTTCTCTCTCCCTCTTCTTCTTCTCCTCGTCGCTCTTCTTCAATACATTTTTTACATGTCTACGGTGTTCCTTTCATCGATGCGATGCCTTCATTCTATCTCAAAATCCAATAACCTTCTAAGAATGGCTTGGTCTGATAGGCTTCGAGTTCTCGACCCAATCAAATGGACCAGATGGCTTTGTTAACCACACATCTCCAGGGCCATATGCACCTCTTGGTTTGGAATGATCGAAAAGGGTACCACTCAAAAAGGTATGTGGGAATCCATGATCAAAGTCATAAGCTGACTCAATAGTCTCGATCTCCTCATCTGTCAAAAAGAGTCCTAGGGCAGGAACATTGCCCTTCAGGTGCTCAACAGTCCGACCACCAATAATGGGGAAAACATACGGCGCTTTTTGCAGGACGTACGCCAGCGCAATGTTCAACAGCGTCACTCCTCTTTCATTGGCCAGGCTTTCCAAGACACCAGACACCTGCTTGTCACGCGCTGAAGTGGGGATGAAATTCCGACCGGGATTCGATATCATCCGTTGCTTAAATCCTTCGGCTGTTTGGAAGCTTCCTTGACCCAATGTTCCATATGGACACAAGCCCATACCTTCGTCGTGACACATGGGGATGATGTCTCGCTCGAAGTCTCGCATGCCGGCATTCCACATGCCCTGATAGACTGAAAACTGTCGCAGTCCACGATCGCGGGCATACTGGTTTGCTTTGCTCACAATCCAAGCAGGTGTGTCGGAAATACCAAGATAAAGAACATTGCCCGATACCACGAGGTGGTTGAGACTCTGCATCATTTCGGGGATCGAGGTGGTGTAATCCCACCAATGCACGTAGAAAAGATCAATGTAGGTTGTCTGGAGCTTACGCAAAGAGTCCTCCAAGGACAAGGCCATGGATTTTGATCCATTACCAGTGTAATTGGCCTGGATGGTATCTTTGCAATGGGCCTTGTATGGAGAAGTATACTTCGTGGCCAGCACGAGATCATCCCGGTTCTTGCGAGAGGCAATCCATTCACCCACCCACACCTCAGATTGTCCATCCTGGTAGGCATTTGCAGTATCGAGGAAGTTACCACCATTGTCATAAAAATAATCAAGGATCGCGAACGCATCCTCTTTGCTGCACTGGCCGTATTTTTCGGGATGGGTACCTCCAAATGTCATTGTGCCTAGACACAGCGGTGATACTCGTACTGATGCAGAAGGAGCTAGTTGGCGGTAGCGGCCTAGCAAGGCCTTGGGGTCGGGAGACATGTTGGACTTCCAAGGTTGTCAAGAGATATAAAGCGATAGGCGAGTGGTCTGACTCCATTCCTCGAAAATTGTGGCAAACTCCTTCACTACCACGGCGAAGCCGACACCAGTATTCCCACCACAGGCTCCATTCGTTACCACGAGTCTGTTCGAAAGATAATGTACCCCGATCTGTCATTCGAGGAAGGAAATAAGAAGCTCAATGAGTGGTACCGCCTCTACCTGATTCCAGGAGCGGCCCACTGTGCCACCAACTCTGCTCAGCCCAACGCTGGGTTCCCCCGTGACAACTTCAATCACCTTATCCAGTGGGTTGAAGATGGTATCACCCCTACGACCATCAATGCGACAGTACAGTCGGGCTCAAAGGAGGGTGAAGTTCAGGATGTTTGCACCTGGCCATCGCGTCCTTACTACAAGAATGGCACGCTGGTTTGCCAGGAAAACCAATCTTCCGTCAAGGCCATGCTATGGGACCTGCCTGCTTACAAGATGCCTGTCTATTAAGTGTAATAGACCCGGATCATAACTGTAAGAGGTTTATAGCAGGTGTCGACAATACCAACCAAATGTATACTATCCAATGCTTTGAATAATGAAAATTGTTAGCAAGGATCATTATTGACCGTTGCTATAGTATACTTTGAGCTCCCAAAGACACTCTCAATGATCAAGTATACACCCCTAAACTTGGAATCCTTAGGCGCAATTTTGAAATTGCTGAAAAACGAAGTATTTAAGACAGCGTAGAACACCAATGGACATCTGGAGGGCCAAATGCTGTGTAATCGGCGGACCACCTGACGCCAAGACTTGCGGAGCTCGGTCCGACCTCAAACTGCGTCGAGCTTCATATTACACCTACAGACACCTACGATGGTTCGATTAAATGCCCTCGCCCTCGGGGCTCGCAGCTTGCGCAGCCGTCCAGCACCCCGTCTCCGCCAATTCGGAACTTCCGCCCCCAAAGCCAAAGAAAATGCCTCATTCAAAAGCCAACTCTACGAAAGCACCCAGCAACGACTGAAGCGCGAGCGCGCCGAGCAAGAGAAATTCGCCCAGCTGCAAACCCAATCCCCAGCCGGCCGCAACGCAGCTCTCATCTTCGGTACAGTGATCCGAAACCCCCACATGAACACGGATCTTTCCTAACCGTCCCAGCTCTTGTATTCTTCTCAACGGGCGCCTACTACCTCGGATCCCTCAAACCCGCCGCACTCCCCTCAGCCTCGACAACACCACTCTCTGAAGTTGACGCAATCAAACACAACGTCTCCCCCTCGAACCTGCAAGCCGCATGGGCGGACTTCGTCGAGATTCTTGGCTCAGAGAATGTATCCACAGCAGCCGGCGACTTGGAGTCGCATTCCGGCTCGGATTGGTCTTCGTATTCTGCCAAGGCCGACGAGAAGCCCTTTTTGATCCTCTACCCGAGTTCGACAGAAGAGGTATCGCGCATTATGAAAGTTTGCCACCAGCGCGTGATCCCCGTGACACCGTACTCCGGCGGAACCAGCTTGGAAGGTCACTTTGCGTCGACGAGAGGTGGTGTTTGTATTGATTTCCGGCGCATGGATAAGATCTTGCAGTTGCATAAGCGGGATTTGGATGTTGTTGTGCAGCCTGCGCTTGGATGGGAGGAGTTGAATGAGGTCATTGGTGAGGATGGACTTTTCTTCCCACCTGATCCAGGTCCTGGAGCGATGATTGGTGGTATGGTGGGGACGGGGTGTTCGGGGACAAATGCTTACCGATATGGAACTATGCGCGAGTGGGTGTTGTCGCTGACGGTGGTGCTGGCTGATGGGACTGTTATTAAGACTCGGCAGCGGCCTCGCAAGTCCAGCGCTGGGTATGATCTCACTAAGCTGTTTGTTGGAAGTGAGGGGACACTCGGTCTGGTGACGGAGGCGACGCTGAAGTTGACGGTGAAGCCGCAGAGCCAGAATGTGGCTGTTGCGAGCTTCGGGACGATCGCCCACGCTGCTGAATGTGTGACGAACGTCGTTGAGGCTGGTATCCCTGTTGCTGGTGTTGAAATCCTGGATGATATCCAGATGAAGTGCATCAACGCCAGCAAGACTACCAGTCGTCAGTGGAAGGAGGCTCCTACTCTGTTCTTCAAGTTCACTGGAACCCCGGCTGCGGTCAAGGAGCAGATCGGCTTGGTTCAAAAGATTGTCTCCAGCGCTTCCGGCAAGTCTTTCGAGTTCGCTAAGGGCGAAGCTGAGATGACTGAGCTCTGGAGTGCCCGCAAGCAAGCACTGTGGAGTGTCATGGCTATGAAGAGGACTCCCGACGACCACGTCTGGACCACCGACGTTGCGGTGCCTATGAGCCGACTGCCTGATATTATGGAGGCTACCAAGGAAGACATGACGAAGAACGGACTCTTGGCCGGTATCTGCGGCCACGTTGGGGATGGAAACTTCCACGGTAAGCTGACTGAACCTGGATTGGCTCTTTAAGAATGACTCTAACGGACACAGCCATCATCTTGTTCAACGACAACGAGAAGAAGAAGGCCGAGGGCGTTGTTCACAGAATGGTGAAGCGCGCAGTGGAGATGGAAGGCACCGTCACCGGTGAACACGGTGTTGGCCTCGTCAAGCGAGACTACCTCGAGCACGAGTTGGGCGAAACTACAGTGGACGCCATGCGCCGCGTAAGTGAAGATAATCCCAACCATCTACTATTCTTTCTACACCACACAAAACGCTAACATCACATCTCAAATCACCAGCTAAAATTGGCCCTTGATCCCCTACGCCTGCTCAACTGCGACAAGGTTGTCCGCACCGAGCAGCCCGCAGCCGGAGAAGTCAAGGAATGGTAGACAAATTTGTCCAATGAAACACAGACTCTAGCCCAGCACTACCCGGGGTCCAATCCGGTGCTCTTTAATCCGAGTCCGAACCAGACCGCTCATGGTGATGATGGCGGCGGTGATGATGGTGGTGACGCTCTTCACTGTCACTGCCACTGCGAGAACCGCGCTCTTCATAGCGTCGCTCGACGCGATATCCGTCGCCGCCTTCGTACTGTTGACCATAGCCCTCCTGGGGTCTCCCATACCCAGAGCTTTCGACCTCATTGTAACGAGGCTGGGGTCTTCCATAGGACTCTCTGTGGACTTTGTTAATACGTGTACGGAGTAAACGCATCGCTTCAAATAATTGCAAATAACTTACTGTTCATATTCGCGAGGGGGTGGCGGTGCTCCATACCCGTACTCCACGGGAGGAGGTCCTCCGTACCCACCGCCATATCCACCGCCATATCCATCCCTGGCAGGTGGTGGGCCTCCGTAGTCCACTCGCTCTTCGCTGCGGTACTCAGAGTGACTACTCTGGTAGGTCTCGCGCCTCTCCTCCTGGTAGTAGCCCTGGCTCTCCCCGTGACTCTCCGAGTGACGAGAGTGGTATTCCTGACGCTGGTAGTTCTCTGCGGGCGGCGCATATCCTGAGTACTCATCACGACGGACAGGAGGCTGGCCATAGGTGGTTTCACTCGAGTATTCATATCCACCGGGAGTGGGACGGTACTCTTCATGATGAACAGGGGCGCCGTAGCCCGACTGGCTCTGGTAGCCCGACTGGCCGCCCTGGTAACCTGACTGGCCCTGGTAGCCATACTCAGGGCGAGACTCGACCTGACCGTAAGAGTCCCCGCCTCCACCATAATGCTGGGTCTCATGAGGACGGCTCTGGTAACCACCACCACTGCCGCTATCGTAAGAATGAGTCTGAGCCTCTGGGCTCTCCCGACCAGGCTTCGAGTCATTGTTCAGAAGCATAGAGCCCATGCCTCCGACAATTCCACCAAGCAGGCCGCCGAGCGCACCGCCTCCAACGGCCTCAGAAGCAATACCCTCAATAGCAGAGCTGCCAGCGTTTTGACCGCCAGAACTGCCACCGCCACTGTTCTTGGGCAGAGCGAGGGGCTTGCCGCATCCGTGTCCGCAATCCTGGACACCATCCTTGTGGTTACGGCCTTCTAGGACACCGTCGCGACTAAGCTGGTCACGGAGGATATCGCGCTCATCGTCATCCTTTTCACCCCACCACTTCTCAACGGTTGAGAACATGATGTGGCGCATGTCGGAGGCGCCGTCACGGCCGTGCTCGCGGTGGGCGGGGTGGTGGAAAACACCTGCGATGATTCGGTCGAGGGTTCGGTCGACGTCGGCGTCTTCGTGGTCCCAGCATTGCATGAGTTGCGGGACGGACCACTTGACGACCTCGGATGCGATGCGACCGGCGGGTTCGTTGAGGATGTTGGAGAAGTGGTCCTTGGAGAGCATGGAGTGGGTGGGGTTAGAGCATTCATCATCGTTGAAAACGATGTGCTGCTGCTCTCGACTGCTCTGGATAACTTCGGACGAACCAGTCTCGAGCTCGGACTTGACCTGCTTGATGATGGGCAGGACGTAGGGAGCTAGGATGGAGAAGACGAAGACGGTGATTTGGTCTTGGATCTGCTCGATCAACTCGGGCAGGACGGGGATCTTTTCGATGGCTTCGTTGATTCGCTTCAGGAGGTTGTCGTGCCATTCGAGGACTGGGTAGATCTGCTTTTGGACGTTGTTTAGGTAGAGAGTCCACTCCTCGGGCTCGCGGGGGTTGATCTCCTGGCTATCGTGTCTCGCGTCATCGGCCTTGTTCTTGAAATCGTCCATCTTGTCGGTCTGGTCATTGCTGTCACCTAGGAGACCTTCAGGGATCTTGGAAAGCAGGTTCTGCAGGAAGCTCTCGGAGGAGTCCTGGTTGTCGGATTCGGTGATGGCGTTTTCCAACGACTCCAGTTCAGACTGCATGGTCTTATCAGACAATTCACCTAGAACGGAGTGGAAGAAATCCACACCACCAAAGGTACCGGTCACGATGGGGTAGACCTCTCCGACACCCTCGACCTCCACTCTGGTGTCCCGTCCGACGTGCGGGAAGACCTCGGTCTCTCCGAGTTCAATGAGACTGAGTTCTGTGTAGTTGGAGTGAGCAGCATAGTCCTCCAGACAGTGCAGACCAGTTCCCAGGAGACGGAGAGCTTCATAGAGATCATCTTTGTTTCCAGACTCGCCATAGCGACGACCAAGTTGGATAGAGCGACCCAGAACGCTACGGATGAGAGCAGCCGAAGTATCGATTCCGGCGTCCTCGTTGGCGATATAGTTCTTCAGGCCTAGATGATCTGGAGTTAGCCTGGATCGGATCTAACCATAACTCGAGAGTCCATACCTGTACGGGGATCGATGGAAAGTTCCCGCTCTTCATCGACGGGTCCACGCAGGCGACGGTCGTAGTTGCGCGCATCGTCACCCTCAGCGTATCCCAGTGGGTTATCGATGTGCTCGGTGGGCTGATAGCAGCCGAGGCGCTTGGTGGTGACCTCAAACTCTCCCGTTCCGTATCTGATAGGGTTTAGTTCAGCAGAACTTGAAAGGCCGCAGTCGTATACAGTACTTACCCAAAGCTCATGAAGCCCAGGACCCATATCAAGATGCGAATAGCCTCGGCACTGACGTACTTGACGGTGCCCACATCGACAGCCTGGCTGTAATCCCGCAGCCAGTTACCAAAGTAGACCCGCTTGACATCCAGCTTGCCAAACTTCTTGCCGCCCGCAACTCTCGCCAGGAGGAGGGTGAGGAGGGCGTCTTCGATATCTCCATGACGCCAGTTCTGCCCCTCCAACTTGGACAAAGAAGCGATGTTACCAGCACCGAAGGCATGGACCTGGCTGGAGAAAGCAACGAGGATTAGCAGGGAAAGCCCTAAGTTCTGTAGAGAGAGACCCATGGTTGAATATGTGTATGAAGGATCAAACAGAAAGCAGGAAGATGTCAAACCCCCACCACGTCAACGTCAAACACAAACATGGTGGGGTGAGACCATCCGTACGCGCTTGGCTGCAGCTCGCGTCGCCATTTGTTCCGAGCTGGTCTTGGCTGGTCTTGGCGTGGATGATCTCTTGAAGTTCTGCATATGATGTACAGATCTGCTCGATCAGATCAGAGCCAGGGGGGGTATCATTGAAATGTATTGCGAGAATACGGAGTACGATGTAAACATAGCATATAAATCCCCCGTAGTTCATATATCACATAGTAGTCAAAAGGACAGGGGAGTTGAAAAGTACGGCGGAGACGTTACCCACAAATTTAAGACAGTGGATTGGGTTTGAAGACGATCACTAGAAGAAGTGAGCTATGGAATGTTCTACCGAGATATCTTATGAACCAGTACGGAGTACGGAGTAAGTAGAGATCGAAAACGATGTATTGGAAAGCCGCGTCCAGGGCGCATGGAATTTGCAATAGAAGGTCGCTAGACTTCCACAGGAATGCATAGTGGGGGGTCTAATCTCCACTATGAGAAATTAAGATGAGATGGCGAGTCAAATAGGAGGAAATGAGGTTATTAATAGGGAATCAGGAGAGAGAACGTAAGAAATAGGGGAGTCAACGAGTAATCCACGTTATTCCGAGGCCCAAAAAGGGAGAAAAAAGGAGATCGCGAACACAACGCCGCATGCGGTCTCGACCCGTATATCTCCGCTCTCACCGCCGTCCCCTTTTCTTTCTTGCTTCACGATATAAAAGTCTTTGGACTTCTTCCTAGCTCATTGCGCTTTGGACTCTACTCGTTTGACATTGACATCGCTTATTTCACCCCGATATGCTTTAGTCAGATTCATCTCATCACTCTTGCGCATAAGCGCTTATCTGAGCGTCTTTGCGTCTTTCCCCGCTGATGCCCTCGCCCCCTCTAAGCCCCCCTCTTCAACCTTCAGTGAAATTCGCCTGGTGAGCCTTGGGAACATTGCGCCCGTTGCACAGTTGGCATTTCACTTGTTCCGCGCCCCTCCGTCGAGATCTGCCATCTTGCAGATCTTCTTCCTTCCGCGACCTCTCCCGTCATGCATCACGCCATTTACAACTGAAAAAACCACAAAAAAAGCACCTGCTACACTGAGTTAGAGGTGTGTCTCTCGCCATGGCTCGCGCCGAAGTTGAATACTCTCGCGAGTCGGTCTTGCCCGTCTTCAGAAACCGTCTCACGGGCGAGACCGGGTCTCTCCAAAAACCGCAAAAGGCGCGACCCAGCATTGAAAGCAGACGCACCACCTCTTACAACATCTTCCCGTCTCAAAGTGTGAATGACTCGCAAGAGTTCCCATTCCCCGATGTGTCCGACAACACGCGATCTCCCGTCGATCGCAGAAAGCGCGGCTCCATGGCTTCCAGTTTCGCCAACGACACCCCGCTAGAACAGCCCTGGATATCCGAATCTCACAACTTGATGAATGCGTCGGAGCAGAACGTCTCGTCTGACGCGCTCGACTATCGGCCCCACAAGAGCAGATCGGTGAAGCCAAAGGTCCACATCAAGCCGATCTTGCGGAAAATGTCTCGTGACGATGCGCCATCAACCTCGATTGATCTATCTCGATCTTCTACCGAGCAAGAGGGACTGGGGATCTACTTGAACTACGAACGGGAGCGCGGTGGGTCGGTGACGTACAAAAGGACACCGTCCGGTCTGCACAATCGATCCACGAGCGGAACCTCTCAATTCTCAACCGGATCCGGATCTAGTGGAGGCAAGCCTGGATCGCAGTATGTGCATCCTATGCGCCAAACTCCCCGAGCCTACACCCCGCCATTGGGTCAGTCCTACCAAGAGTCATCAAATGACAGCGACGATCTCGATGAAACACCCGAGGAAGAGCCCATAGGCGCGCAAGAGTCGTACAACTCAAACCATGCGCGCCCTCGACTATCACTCCAAATCCAAGATGATTCGCTCACGCGCCTCCCTTCGATTTCACAGACCAACGTGACCAGTCGCCCGTCCTTTGGGTATTCCCGAGATCTGGATTCGACCACCTCTCCAATGTCCCGCACTTCTCTCGACTTTGTCTTCCGATCCCGAACTCGAACTAGCACCGACCCGATCTCTCGGGCGGCGACTGTGCAAGCAGCGCGTCAGGCATTCGAGGATAAAGAGGCCGAAAAGAACCGACGTCTCGAGAAGCAACAGATCAAGGCTGAAGAGCGCGGTAGTCGACGCCGCTTGAAGCGACGCACTTCAGAGGGCCCTGAGTCACCCGTCGTGCAGTCGAGCGAAGATATCTCCGAGAAGCCCCGAAGATCCACCGTCCATGCCGGCGAGGAACCTCATGCCTCCTGGAAGTCTCAATCCAAAAGCACCTGGGTGCTCTTCATGACATGGCTTCGGACTCGGATCTTCAAATTGAAGCGAAAGATCCGGAAACATTGATTTCTGATTTCGAATCTTTTGTGTTCATTTTTCCTTGTGTTTTTTCCTATGTGTCTTTTTCCTTTTTCGTTTTTTTTTTTATTCCGGTTCATACCAATGAGCGAGCGATTTGATGATTCCACCTTTTGACATGGGAGTTTTTTGCACTTTTATGGGAACATCGCTCGATACGAGCTGGATACATGGCGTCTGGATTGCTGCTTTTGCAGCGCATGCGTTTGATTGCTTTGGAGGATTTGCAGGCCGACTATCCCAGGGGTAGGATGGGCATATCTCAAAGCATTTCATGCATGGAAATGAGAAAGTGGTGACTTGATTCCCACAATGCTAAGTGAATTTATGAATTGAAAAAATTACCCTTATTTTTTGATGTCTACGTAGAGCCAAAGCCTGGAACCCCTGACTCTGTACGGATTACTGTAGTTATACTTGTATACCAGCTCCTTGCTCCTTATACTTCCAGGGCTAGGTACTTCCGAGGTTGCCAACCGTGGGACCTGGTCCGGACCGGAGCTTATCGATAAGATTGTATCTGCTATCTGCTATCGATAAGCCACGTGATCGAACTGCGCACCTGTCACTTTCCGCCAGAACTCCCCCGAATTTCCCCAAACTACGGCGCACAGCAGTGACAACAGACGACAACCATCTGATAAGCTAGCTCCACATCTTTCTATCTATCACGCCCACGCGCCTCTGCGGAGCGCCATGGTGTACGATTGGGCGGGGAAGCGGGAAATCTGCTACCAGATGTACATCCAGGAGAAGAAGCCTTTGGAAGAAATCATGGATTACATGCGGACCGCCTACCAGTTCGCCCCCAGGTGAGTGTTTACTCCGAATAGAGCTCATTGGTACAGACACCAATTGATCGCAACCTTCTAGCAAGCGCGCTTTTCAGACTCAGTTCAAGCGATGGGAGTTCCCCTCCAAGCAAAACCCAGCACATAAGAATGTCGACCTGGTCGTGCGCGTGAAGCACCTCTGGGAGAAGAATACCAGTCAGCGGGATATGCTGCGCATTCTGAACGAGGAAGGCTTCGAGATTAAAGAGAGGGAGCTGATGCGAGTGCGCGCGAAGAATCGTTGGTTACTGCGTGTCCCCAATGGAATGAAATCGCACGCCAATGCCGAGATGGAGGCTGTTAATCCTGAAGATGAAGGACTTTTGGCTTTGCAGCAGGAGGTTTACAAGGTTGAGAGTGCGCTCGATGACCCGGATGCCATGTCTAATGGGCCTGATGGTGAGCGACCGACCTCCGAGTCCCCCGCTTTGTCGCCTGAGGTCATCGCAAAACGACAGGAGCGGCTGGACCGCCTGAAGACGGAGAGCGCGGAACGTTGGGCATCTAGGAAACGCCGCCGTCGCACTCGAGGCTGGGCTGGGTTACCGGCGGATCCCCCCTGGCCCTCCGCGATTTCCCTCGGAGACGACTATCGATGAGAGCAAGCAGTATCTTAGCCTCGACAACACCATGTACCGTCAGACTAGGGATCACTTCCAGCGAATATGCGAGGAAGCTGGATTCATTAAGAAAACAGCAGCTGGACCTGAGAGGTGGCAGGCTGCGAAGGACAAGTTGATCCAAGAATCCCCGCATCTCCAACAAGTCTTCAGTGCCGATCCTACCCAACGGGACGCAAAGGTCCTTGCACTTGATGTCGTCTGTACCGATGTCACAAAACGGATGCGGACTTTGGAAAGACGGATGACCATCGCCGAAGCAAAAAATGCACTTGGAATCAACCCAGAAGAAAGCCGACAGATCCGAAATGCATTTTACGACACATTAAAAGTAGACCACTTCACCAGCAAGCTCGAGGCTGGAGACGACCATTGGCGCGAGCTCAAAGACCAATGGATTGCCAACTCGGAGCTACTCCAACGGATCCTTGCACCCGGACAGGCCGACCCGGATCACACCAACAAACTCAAGGCCCTGGAGGTCCTCTGCCGCGACGTCATGAAGAGGCTACGAGACGACCAGACGAAGCGTGACCCAGCGCGGAAGAGATCCTCGGCACGCGCCGAGTCCCGCAATTCCACACCTACAAACACGAACACAACCCCCATGGGCAACATGCTCGGCAATGAGATCAGTAACGGTATCAGTACGCTGGCATCCCAGGCCCTCGCCAGTGCGCCAATGGCCGCCACCGAGATTGGAGATATGCAAATCGATCCCTCTCTCCTCCAAGCAGCCAACGACCCATCCTTCACAAATCCCCACGGCAATGGTGCTTTCGAATACGTGGGCACCATGCTGAGTTCCGAATTAATGCATACACCTGTTTACTTCCAGATTGGACCTTCGTCAGAGACGGCGAAACCATGGCTGGAGAAGCTGACTACCCGCACTGTGGAAGAGCTTCGTCAATTGATTGATGCAAGGTATCCCTATTCGATCATCTCTAGAATCGAGGGAATGGATAGGGATGAGGATGGGAATGAAGTCCCGTTCGCTATTGAAGCGGATCACGATTTGGACGCTTACTTGACTCATGTGCATGGCAGGAGGGCGTTGCTTGTGTTTACTATTTGAGCGCTTTTCGATTTTCAAGGTTGTCATTGCACACCTACTCTCATGTTTATGTAGTGATAGGAAAATATGACTTGCTGAAAGGAATAATTGATGTGCAGTTGATTACATGCATGATGTTCACAACCCTGGAAGGTCTCCATGTTGCAAGTTTGTCTTCAATCTTTACGTACTGTGCGCCTGCACGGCCGCATGTCCAGAGAATGAAAGCCGTCATTGGCTATTATGGCAAGAAGAGCACCAACATAAAGAACTCAAAACTAATACTGCTCTCTACTGTGTCGGTTTTCATGCCCTTTAGGGCTCCAGGGTTGTAGTACGAAATAGTGGGACCATCAAGTCGTCCTATCTCAAAATTGAGTGAAAAATGTCGCACAAGATTGGAACCTTGGTCTGCCATCCAAACACGTACTCTGTGCTGGGACGATCACTCGACCTCATGTTTTCACCACGTTTAAAATATAGGATGGCGCGAGTACCCTAATTGGATCTCCTAGCCGCTGAACTAGATAGTGGGTCAGGCGCCAAGAAGCGGCTGGTCTTGAGTTGGTCACACGCTAATGCATAGTGGTCGCGAGCGACCGAGTCGGTTTACAGCACTCGAATCTAGTTGGATATCGATGGATTGTAAATCTATACCACCCGCCTCATTGGCCGAAATCTCCCCAGTGACTACATTAGTACAACCTTGTGTCTACCAACAACCGTAGCCGCTGACCGGTTCCAGCGCCCAGTGGCCGTTACGCACTCACATTGGGGCTGTACGGCATTTTCTCTCGAAGTTCCTCTTATTTTGGTCACTTGCTAGCACGTCACAAGATCACGCGAGTCCCTTTGTGGTCGATTCATGTTCTGGAACCTCTTGAAGTTGGTTGGAAATCTACCCAATTCCAACTGATCAGCCCCAAAACATTGTGCCACGCAAGGATCATCTCGAGACATGCCCAGATGGTACCGAGTATCCATACACCTGATATAAATTCCCTCTTATCTGAAAGGAGGCGGAACTGAAGAAACACACCCCAACGTTCACAGGTGAATCTTGGAGCCCATAGAAATTCAATGTTGGGCATGGTTAACGAAACCCGTATCTCCAAATTCAAACGACTAGTCAACAGTGATTTTCCAATAAATCTTGATTACTCTCCACTCATTACGTCCATGTCAAAAATAGCGCGTTGGCACTCTTCGAAACCAAACTTGCCTGGACATGGTCTTTGATTCGCGGACACCTGTGCAAAGACAACATATAGCTAACAATGTGGTTCAATGAAAGAAGATCCTTTTGCCACATCAGTATACTTTGATTGGATGGGGGCTATTATGCAAGTCACCACTTGCTGTATAGCCTTCATAACGGCGGCGGCTTCAGATCTGTGCGCACAATTGAGTTGTTGAGCTTAAGCGCCTTGGGAAGCTTCCTCAGACCATTTTAGTTCGCAATCAGCCGCTGAACTGTGATGTGATGGCTGGAAAATAGATCCTGGATCAGAAGATTCTCTCAAGGTAATAAAAGCCGGTCCCTCGTAGTTTTGAAATATCACTCCCCAACTGCTTTCCTCAACAACGACTCAAACAAGCCAATATCCAGTCAATTCCATTTGATAAAGCTGCTGTAACGATTTTCTATATCGCACAACTGCACAAGTCTTACCAGTCAGAAGGTATACACTCTTCCTTATTTTGTGCGAAAACATATGTTGAGAATAACCTTGGAAATAGCATAATCGACAATATGCCGAACAAGTGGACTAAAATCAAGATCGCCGTCTTTACGCATGCAAATGGTTACAAGAAGCTAGTTCGTCCTAGTGTTTCCCTCCACAAAACAGCTTTCCCGAAGACTGCGGCAGATCTCGAGAGTCTAGGAGTGCGTTTCGACTTCGCAGGTACCATTGAAGAAAATGGAAAGAAGTTCCACAGATACCAGGTTCAGGTAAATGCTGGTAACAAGATCCCAACTTCTTGGAAGCAGTGGGTGTACTTTGGGGGAGCTAACCCGAATTGGAATAATCCTATGACAACACAAAAATTCCCATTTTTGGACCTCACGACCAAAAGGTGACCACCTACTGGTTGTGCCCATAGTAGGTGTATTTATGCGTATTTCTGGTTTTGAGATCCTAACATGTCCACGGGTACTCCGTACTCCGTACCAACAGAGTCGGGGCCCACGGGTCACGTTCGTGCTGACTAATACGCATTTTAGCCCGAATCCGGCTAGACATCCTGGGGGGAGTACCCTAAGAAGTGCAAATGATGTCATCACCAGCTTGGGAGCAATACTGACGTTGAACCTGCTTGAAGATGCGACGCTTTTCGAGATTCTTCAGTCCGCGCTCAAAGTCATTACCCAGGCAGATGTCGTCTAGGGGTGGGAGGCCTGATCTGTTCGAGTACACTTCTGGGCGATTTCTGTGAGTTATGACGGCGGTTAGCTGTTGAACGCCTCAACAACGATGAACTAACTTGCTGTGTGAAAGATAGATTCAATGAAGATCTCCGCCGCGCTGAACGCCGTATCCAATTCGACGTGGATGCCCTTGCAAGGGCGGCCTGCCACTCTGTCGGTCGACATGTCAACAACGTGGCCTCGATCACGAAACTCGCGGAGGGGGGCTTCAACCGTGTCTTGCAAGTGACTTTCGATGACGGGTATTCTATTCTTGCAAGGTTACCATACAAGACAACTGCCCCAAAGCACCATGCAGTGGCCAGTGAGGCTGCTACACTCGCATTTCTGCGTGCCCATGGGGTCCCAGTCCCCAAAGTCCTTGCATATTCACCAGATCAGACAAATGCCGTTGGAACCGAATATATACTACTTGAAAGGCTTCAAGGAACACCATTGAGTGACCAGTGGTTTTCCATGGATACCAAAACCCGAGTCAAAATAATGAGACAGATTGTCGATTTGGAAAGACAGTTCATGAGCATCCACTTCCCAGCAAGCGGAAGTCTTTACCACCGTCATGACCTCGACGGCTCACAACAATTTATCCCAGTCTCGGACGATATCGTCGTTGGCCCAACTGCACAGCATGAATGGTGGTATCGAGAACGGGCTTCTCTGAAGGTTGACCGCGGCCCATGTAAGTCTTGGCCCAGAAGTGCATGTTTCTATTCTTTGTTTCTTTAGCTTTTTGGAGAGATTGACAATGAGCCAGGGGGCACCTTTGCTGCATGCTTCGAAGCACCCGCCAAGCGCGAGATAGAATTCTGCAAATTATTTGGCAAACCACGCCAACACGTCGAAAGATACCTACGCGAGATACACCAATTCAAAAGCCTCTCGCCTGTTCCGTACCAACATCTTCTTACCAATTATCTAAAGTTAGCGCCCTACCTCGACGTCCCATCCGACCACCGCATGTCTCGCCCGACTCTTCGCCATCCGGACTTTTCACCAAACAATATCCTGGTGAATAAGTCCAACGACGTGGTAGGGATCATTGACTGGCAACACGCAGTCGTTTTACCCCTTACTCTGTGCGCTGGAATTCCCGATCATTTTCAAAATTGGGGCGATCCATTGTCCGAGAAATTATCCAAACCAGAGGTCAAATTGCCAGGTAATTTCGATAAACTCAGCGCCGAAGAACAAGAAACTGTTCAAGAGACGATGCGGAGACGGATCGTCCATTTCTACTATGCTGCGTTGACCATGAAATCCCTACCGGATCATTTTGACGCTATTAGAAGCGAAAACTGTATGCTTCGAGCGAAGATTTTCCATCATGCACAGGCTCCCTGGGAAGGGGACTCTGTCTCGTTGAAGTATACTATGCTACAGGCTCTCAAGAATTGGCCTATGCTGCTGGATGGAGAAGCACAGACGGGATCTGTTGAGTGTCCAATCCAATTTTCCGAGGAAGAAGTGCAGAAATGTACAGAGGATCATCGGCAAGAACAAGAGAAACTACAGGAACTGGGCGAAATGCGGGATATCATCGGGACTGATGCTGTAGGCTGGGTTTCAGATGAGAATGAGCTTGAACGATCCCGGGCTATCATCCAAAGCATTAAAGACGGGTTGATGGAACACTCAAGCACCGAGATAGAGAGAACTGCGGTCCTTTCTCATTTCCCTTTTGATGACCATGAAGAAAACGCATGATCATTTCAGCTTTGGATATAGAGGATATTTATGCATATGTAACTTACAGACATCTGCAGATAACTAGTCCCGAATACAAGCAACTCTGGAATATATGATCATCCACGGTGAATCGCAAGTACTTTTTGAGACCTTCTCTGCTGACTGGTCGGAGGTCAAGCCGTACAGCAATTCAAAGTACGACTCTTTCTTTTCGATGGCAGAATATGAACAGGTAGGTAGAGGTCTCGCGGACGCAAACCTTGGAAGTCTCATCACACCATTCCTTCTTTCAAATCCATGATCCCCCGCTTCCCGAATAACACGATCCTGAATGATGTTACCACATAATTCTTGCTTTCAATTTCTCAGTGATGTTGATTGATTGCTGCACTAACTGGTTAATGGGGTTCGTCACTCCAGATCAGCAAGCATTACACAATGAGTGTAGCGATCACGAGTAACATATCCACAGGAACTCAATCATTCCAACATTCCTACCCCATTCCTATAATCCACTGGTACCATTCCCCCCTTGTCGAGTCGGAAGCTTTTGCGGTTCCGGAAGTAATGGAAGAGGAAAGATGCAACCAGTTGTTTCATTATGCGAAGACCCTTCTCCATTATCCCGCGAACGACTATTTTCTGGGTCAGATTTTGACAAAGAAAGCCTAGCAACAATACTAATCAGTTCTGACTTACAAGGAGTATCTTTCGTTATTAAACAATGCCTGGCAGATCCTCTGCCGTAATTCTTCATCACGACCATAGTCAAAACCAACTACTCGCAGAAGCATATTACTAAAATTGTATTCCTGGAAGAATAGACTGGCAAATTCCAACTACCTTAGATAAAATCCTGCTGATGCCCAGTCCAGTAAACAGACACGGCCGTCCTCCAACCAGAAAACATTCCAGGAAGCTATGTCTAAATAACAGAGCACCGATAGGATAGGATCAAAATGAACCTAACCATCTTCGGGAAAAAGCCGGCTATTAAATCATTCTTCCACTTATTAAACATTGCTAATAGTCAGATCATTTGTATCTGGCCAGAGCAGGCCAACTAAAAGGCCATCACCCAAGCTACCAGGCCTATCGGCGGTAATGGAGTGAAAATACTGAAGAATATGGGCGAGTCTTTACATGTGAGAATCTAAATGAGGCTCGATAATCTTGCCCTGAATAAAATCCGATATTATATAGCCCCACCCCTTATTATCCACGAAAGATTCATGAATTGAAGGAGCTGTAACAATATCAGAATTAATAATGTCGTATGTTTTTTACTGATTCTTTGACTCATAGGAGGAGACAAACGGGCCGAACTTGACTACCAAGTCACAGTCTGGTAGCTTAACGACCTGGTTCCCAGACCTCAAGCCTCTAGTGAGTTGGTCTTCTAGACATGTACGGTAGTAGTCAATGATTAACTGGTGATTGTCTAATTGTACAGACATCGTGGCCCTAGACCTTCCAAGACGGGGTAAACAGGGTGAGAGAAGGGTTCGGAGCAGAAAACGAGATGCTCTCGATCGCTCTCGACGCACATAATCTACTGCCTTGTAATTTGTAGCTTGGCTTTTTTTTTTCGCTGGAAGCATCCATAACAACCCAATTCTTTGGTTATGGCTTTGGGATGTGGAATCCTGACTTGTTCGAAAACTTGCCCACATTTTCATGAAACATGTCAATCACCACTTTTAATCATGCATCTTTCACTGAACCAGAAACGAGCCACGGGGGGTAATGTTGTATATCAGTTTTACATCCCAGAGAAAAGCACGGAGAGAGCTCCCGTTACCATACAGCACAGCACAGATATAAGGTAGCTATTCATATTTCTCCTCTTACCAAGTTGACACGCCTTACACCTGACAGCATGTAACCCTTACAAGTTGTAAGGCTGTTTATTTTTCTGTATACTAACTAATTTAGTGCTTTTTAATTGCTAAGATTAGGATGATAGCTTGTTGATTTCCGAAGCCAGAAGATCGTCTGTGTCAGGACTCAGGAGCACCTGAGGCGCATTCCAAATCCTATTCCACTGCCTCAGGGCACAAGACCAGGATTCCAAGACTGGCACTTGGAACTGCGCTCGCTATATATGGGACCAGTTCGTGACAGTCTGCAGGGTTGGAGTTAGGGTTTTAGGCTAATATCCGGGCCTAAAAAAGCTTGAAAATTATAGCAGTCGTCTATAAAGAGGTCATAAAAGAGGGCTTAGAGCCTATCAACAGGAGTACCGCAAACATATTCATATGATATTGTAGAATTATGAGAGACAAAAAGAACAAGAGGGAGAGAGAAGCTCTCGCCATCTACGCCATCTACACCTACAGGGAGCGTGGCAAACCAGGCAAACACCAAACAAATTCTGAAGCCTAGTTACTGAAGTTCTATAGCTAGTATATGTAGTTATTTGTTGCTATCGTATCCGTTTAAAACCATAACATACAAAGCGAAAATGTCATAAAAGACTTTTCTAGATACAGTCAGTGCCCAAAAGTCTTTGCACATCCGCTGTTTCCCCCCCCAAAACTGCCCATTTTGAACCCCTATTTTCTCCTCAAAATTATAGGGTAATGTATTTTTCGGCTATTTTTATATATTTGAGAATTGCTACATCTTTCCTCATACATACAAAATTTGTTGATCAAATTTTGAAACAAAGAGTTATCAATTTGTGCACGTGCTGGATCACGTGATCTCGCTGAAGCCTGTCCCGCCAAAGCACCCAGGTCCAGCACCAAAGTCCAGCGATCCTGACAGAATCCAAGGTTGGGAGTTACCTATGGGCGCTCATATATATAATCGCCTTTCCGACGAAACTCGACATTTCAATCACTGACTACCTAGAGTATTCAACAACCATGAATATTGGATCATTCAAAAAGAAGGATTTTGTTTATTCAATAGTTATATTCTATCAAATATTCTTACACGGGCTATTACCCAGTAGGTTACAAAAACACAGGGGTCAAAAATGGTCAATTTTGGTGGGAAATGGCAGATGTGCAAATACTTTTGGGCACACATGTGATTATGAGGTATTACTGTATCACCATTCAAGGTGTTAGGAGCTGCCTTCTGGGTAGTTCCTATGTTGGATGAATAAGGATCAGAGTAGTCAACTTGCATGTAATTTACTATTGAGACTAATCGCTGGACTGTGTAATGATGGTTCCTGCGAGGGTGAGGACCGACCCGTGGACCTGTGGATCCATCCATGGATCCTGCAGAGGATGACTGACGTACACGTGACCCCCGTCAGCAGTTTGTATGTTAATACAAAGTTATGGTATGGTACACTATAAATTGTCTTTTGATCAATTACGTAAACCAAGCCCGGATGGTCTAGTGGTAGGATACCTGTTTTGGGTGATCTTGTGCAAACCTGGTCGCATCACAAAATACAGGTGGTCCCGCGTTCGAATCGCGGTTCGGGCCCTATTTTTTTATTTTTCTTTCTCCCCATTATTTCTATAATGGGGAGGGAGGCTGTATCATCCAAGCATTTAACATACCTATCTTGTTATAGACTGATACCAGGGGCACTGCCGTATTGATCTATCCAGATAAACTATATAGCTGGTTAAAAAACATAATAATTGTTATGGGATCTTCTTCTATACAAGATCTTCTATATTTACACTTGCTATTTACTCCGTAATAATATCTCTATATTTATTCTTAGCTTAGTTTGCTCTAAATAGTGATTATTTAACCCTCCTCGATCTTTGTCAACAAGCCCGGATGGTCTAGTGGTATGATACCTGTTTTGGGTGATCTTGTGCAAACCTGGTCGCATAACAAAATACAGGTGGTCCCGCGTTCGAATCGCGGTTTGGGCCCTATTAAACATTTTTTTGTTTCTCTTTCTTGCCTACTTTCGTAATGGGGAGGAAGGGAAGGAAGGCAGTGCTATATAATATCCAAGCGTTCCCAATGAATATGTCTTATCGTAGACTGATATTTGGGGGTGGTGTTGATCTGTCCAGATAACCCATATATCTATCTGGGTAAAACAACATAATAATTGTTACAGGTTCTTCTTCTACAAAAGACCTTCTGGAGTATGTTATACTTAGTGATAGATTCCGTCCCTATCTATATTGATGATTTTACCTGATTTCAAGAACCTATAATAAAAATCGATGCCTCTTCCAAGGGTTTATTTTGTTACCTCCAGCAAAAATCCCCAGTTCATTTATTACCTAGGTATCTATCTATCAGCCTTCAAATCATACATATCCATGGATGTTCAGTTCCGTAAACCCCCTGTGTATGTATGTACGTACCTACGCTAGTGAATGGCAACATGTTATAAAGTTATCAACCTGAAAACTTCCCTTTTTTCCCGTTGATTTCACTAGCCTTTAAGGTTCCTTCCTCTTTTGTTTAGTCAAATTGTCTATCTCGGCCAGCCTTTGCGCTTCGATTAAAGCGGCTACTCGACCGCCAACTGTAAGACTCTTGTCAAAGTAGATATCAGGCCTGCGTGGATAACCGGTAATGTCGAAACCCGGATGCTCATGAAATCTTTTCCACAAAGGGCAAAGATTTGAACTGTGCAGAATCGGGAACCCAAAAGGAATCCAGTTTGTTTTCTTGAGGCATTTCGTGCATCCGTGTACTGCTATCACAAATCTGGGCGGATTATGAGCGGTCCATCGTGACTTGACAAGTTTTGTCTCCCCGCAACCTTTACCCTGACATTGAACCTGTATCATATCCGGGAGTAGTCCAAACTCCTCTGGGCGCAGTAGAAACCATCTATCAAATCTGTCCAGGGACTTCATCTGAAGATCAGGGAATGAAGCCCGTGAGTACTTGATCAGATTATCAAAAGGTATCAGCCTGACATTTTTGGCTTGGCATTCTGGTCGTCCGCAACTTGATCTAAAACAGTACCAGAAGATATAAAGACTAGGATCAGACTTTGACCAGTAAGCAAAAGGGTCATCCAAATGTTCTTTGCGGCACCCAGAGCACTTCCGACTCATAACATCATATGGATGCTCGCGGAGGATAAGTGCACTATCCACAGGAGGCTTCCTTGAGCGAGCGATCCACCAGCCGTAAGCGGTCAATACCGTAAATGCCAGGGTGAGAATGTCCAGAACTTGGGGGTTGCCTTCACATCTCTGGAGAAGGTAAAATGCAACTTCAAGATCTGACCGACACATGATCTTTCGTTTTCTGAATTTTAGCCCATCTTGCGCGCCTATGAAATCAATCATTGGGGTAGGGAGATCCTCCCAATCCCAAAAATCAGATTCTTGAAGCTCCATTCGAAGGCTGTCAGATAGATACCCGGTCACTTGTGTCTTCGTCGCTTGCAAATGGTGGATATGTTTCTTGGCGTTAGGTATGAACGCGTATGACAGTCCTTCTAGGCCATGCCAATAGTCTACTATCTTCTGTAGTCGACGGCGTCTCTAATATTAAGTAGTCAGTACCAGCAATGAAAATATGACCGAGAACCATCATACCAGAAATTTGTCATCTTCCATGTTTAGCATATTGACCGTCTGGTTAAGTTTATCTGGCCCAAGTTTTTCCAGAGCCTGAAACACATTTTGAAGTGCTGTTTTGTCTTCCTTTGTGGGTTTAACACGATGAGATGTTTCTGTTGAAAGATTGGCATCTGGAAAGGCTTTCTTCAGTTGGGCCATTGCTTGGCCTGTCCAGGCGTCCTTTTTAGCGGTAAGGTGGCGCGGGCGACATAGGTTTTGAAGCAATCGGGGATCCAGCTCGTAGAAACGTGGCGGTATCTTTATTCCGCTTAACCGAGCAGCAAGATCTAATGCCAGGTCTTGTGATATCCCAAATCGTCGTCGCCATGCCTGGGCCTTTTCTCCATCACCTTTCACGTACATAAAACGCTGGGGATGGGCGACAAAAATGATGAACCGCTTCAAACTTTTTTTGCCTGGGGTCAGTTCCAAGTACAGAGTCAAGCCCATAAACTCATTCCAGAGGCGAAGAGGTTTCAAATCGAGCTTTTTCAGCATCCGTTGCCGAACATTTGCGCCCCAGCAAATTTCAACCTTTGCCTTCATCGCCGCACGGAGGGTAAAGGTAAATTCTTCGTAGATATCGAGAAGATCTTCTGGGTAGGCGTCCTTGCAGTGAGCGCTAATGTCTCTGCGCGCAATATGATCAAAAAGTAAACAGTTGTTTTCTGTAGAGAAACCGGCCCTGTTCAACTGAACAATCGAGGGGCTTGACAAGTCTTCCGTTTCTCCACCACAGGGGTCATCAGTAGCAAACGTGGGATTGTACAAGTGACAGGCGACAGCAGCATTTGTGCTGCCACTTGGGCGAACCAGATATTCCTTAGGTCGGGTGAGACCTCGTTCCTCCCACCAGGCGAATTCTTTTTCTTGAAGCCTTTCAAAAGCCCTATCAAGATTCCAGTCAAAAAGCACCTGCGAGTCTGTTCTCGAATGAGCCTACGCCAGGCTATCATTATAAGGTAGCCCTCTTGCCTTTACCTTCAATTTTTCTTTCCGGCTGTTCGCCATCAGCGCATCGAATGAGACTGAGCAGCTCATTGGCATAATCAAGCTCGTTCTCGGGCAGTACATAGCTGGGGTCCGCCAGACAAAGGTTTCCGGAGATGTGGACTTTGTTCTTCTCTGACATATTGGCATAGAACTCTTGTTGGCAAGATGGAAATCTAACCTGGCAAGGATCTTCAATAAGGGATAAATAATAAGAACATAGGAAGGATAAGAGTAGTAGATAAAGAAGAATAGAGGAAGAAGGAGAGTAGTGGAAGATGAGGATAGAGAAAGACTATGTCTATGACGGTGTGGGTGTGGGGGCCTGAGTCGGATGTATTAGGATGTATTGCAAGTTGACCTGAATACCAAATTGGCCTGATACTGTATATTGGGTATCGGGTGGGACCGATCCACAGCGGATCCTCCCGCTACGGCAGTACTGTACATACATAGCCACCATGGCGCCACATAGCTTTTTTACACATCGAAGCTTCACCGCCTTTGGTATAATTAACAATAATTAATTCAGTGATCACGGCTTAGCCAAGACCGTTTGCCCCACCAAAAGGGTGGCAGTTCAATAATGGAATGAATCTCGTTCATGCTGGTGGTTGAAGCAAATTCTTTTGATGAAGATACCAGCGAAGGAAATTACATGGGCCTTTTGTTCTGCCTCACGAGAGCAAACAGCGCAAACATTATCGACGGGGAGTCAGTTGGGTTACGGGACAGTGTACGGAGTATTGAGGCACTATTTACATTTAAGAAAGTCAAGTGAGAGCAGGTAGATAAAATCGTGATAATTTTGGGCCACCAAGGGTAAGCCTGTACATGTACATTGTTCGCTGTCCACAATTCCAACGTTCAAAAAGAAAACAACCCAACCGCTACACCTGTACACCTAAAACCCATAAACCTCTTAGTTGGCACCAAGGGTTTGAACCACGTTCCTGAAAAGGACTCCAATGGCAGGCAGAGAGAACGAAGGAGTCTCGCCAAACACATTAGACAGACCCTTGGTCTGAGCCGTGAAGTCAGCCACGTCCTCGGTGGGAGCGTGAACAGGCTTCTCCGACCGGGTGAACAAAGTCGACAACCCACTATCGATCTGCCCGGTGACGTCACGAGACTGGTTGTTCTGGCTCTTCTGAGACGCCTTGTCGAGGCAGCCGAGTCGCTGAACGATGGCGGCATTGTCGAGAACAATGTAGTCACCGGAATAAGCATCCGCGAGCAGGGAAACCGGTGCGTTCTTGAGAGCTTCCTGGAAAACGACCTCGAAGGAAGAGGCGTCGTAGATCTTGATTTCGAACCGAGCCTTGTTCTTCTTCTTGTGTGCCGAGGCGGAAGCAATTGCTAGTGAGTTGGTGCGCGCGTTCACGGCGATCATGGTGTTAGCGGTGCCGTGCGAGTCGACAGAGTCGGAAGACTGGATGGTGCGGACGACGTCGTCGACTGTGTTCCACGCGGCGACGGAATGGGTAGAGGCGATGACCAATTGGCCGCCAAGGAAGCTAGTGGAGCAGGGGTTTCCAAGGAAGACGCCTGTGCGGCGGTAGTGCACAGCGCAGTTGCGGGCGTCGACCAGAAGAACGAGACCATCGTTTGCTGCGGAAGTCGAGGGCAGACAGACAGCCAGGACGGAGCCGTCCTCGGAGAATGACATGCAAGCAGACTTGAGAGGTGAATCTTGAGCTGAATCAAGACATCCCTTGAGGTCAACGACACCGCGGCACTTCCATGTGTTCAAAGGTTGCTGGGGTTGATCCTTGGCCTTGAGACCACTGCGGTGCTTGATAGTTGGGCACCAGAAGCGGAGGGTAGAGTCTGCGCCGAGAGTGGCGAACTCGTGGGAGCCTGGGCGGGAAGTAAGGCCGAGAACGCTAGAATGGTGCTTCGCAGAGTAATGGGGACCATCGACACGTGTGACAAGCTCCCATGTATCGCTTGAAGCGTCCCACTTCCAGAACTTCAGAAAGACCTCCTGGTGGAGAGAGCCGGCTTTCCGATCAAGGGCCTCCACGTCCTGGGTGTGTGGGGCCCAGGAATCGACTGTAGCCATCCACTTTGCGTCATGAACAATGTCCAAGTGCTTGACATCGGGAGCAATGACCCGGGTACCTTCGGGGCCAATGTTCAATGTAGTGGCATTGGTGCGCGCAAGAGCTTGACGGGAGATGCTGGAGTTGGCGCGGATGTCATAAGTCTGAAGGACAGCCGCGTTTGCGGGCTGAGAGCCATGTTGAGTTTGACTGAATTGGTGAGAGGCTGGGACGGAAACGATCAGTCTCTCGGGTTGTTGGGGGTGTAGCTTTGCTACGACAGATCCGTTCGGCGAATCAACGGAAGCCCCAGCGTCTGGGGACAGTTGCAAACCTGTGATGGAGGTGATAGGCTGCAGCTCTCTTGTCGACAGAACCATGACGGAGTTGTCAGCTAGCTTGATGACGTAAGAGCTGCCGCTTGCTGAAACAACGATGTTGCAGATGGGGGAAGAGAGATGGGGGAGGAATGATTTGCGGCCGGTGTCCATTTGCCAAAGAACCATAACTGCCTCATTACCGCCTGAGATGATATAGTTTCCTGAGAAAGTGTGTTAGCTCTGTTGCCCGAAAAACGTACCAATGCAAATGTACATACCATCCTTGGACCAACGCAAAGTGTTACAAGCCTCTCGGTGCCAGTGCAACTTCCTGGGCGCTGCCTTCTTTTCGCCGCTATCCTTGCCGAAAAGGGTGTCCAAGATATTCTGGTAAATAAGGATAGAACCGTTCGCCGTTCCGATAGCCAGGTCGATCGATTCTGAGCCCTGGATGTCATAGCTGACACCCTGGACAGGAAGTATCACCTCGCGCCAGGCATATTGCACAGTCGCGAGATTTTCGAGCTCTGGACCACTTGAAGTACCCAAGAATAGATGATATCCGTCACTTGCAAGAACCACACGACCATTACGGGTCACCTTGATGAAGTTGAGCTTTTGGGAGGTCTCGAGAATTGTGACACCTTGGATTTTCTCATCACCGAGCGGGCTGACCGAGATTTGTCGCTTGCCGCCCTTTGGCGAGATGATAGAAAAACACAGAGAAGACTTGTTTTCTTCCTTGCCAATCGAAGCCAAGCTGGTCGCAATTGTCTTGGATGTAGTTTCCCAGCGCGCAATCCGCTTCCCGGTGGTCCAGTTCCACTTGCTGATAGATCCTGCCGAGGTGAACACATAGAGATTGTCTTGGTTTTGAGGGCAGATGTTAAGCCCAATAATTGTTTGTCCTGCCTCCAATTGAATTGTGCGTGTAATGCGAGAGGTAGATGTTGCGATAACCTGAACGGCCGTGTCAAGTCCGACCAAGAGGGATCTGTGGAAAAATAGAGTTAGAATCAGCTTGGCGCGCTGGAAGAAGAACTTCTCACGTTTCGTCCTCAGTCAAGATGGGATCCAGGTTGGTATAACGGCCACCGATCGGGCGAGAGAAGGACCACGGCGCGGGGGCTTTTTGCTTAGTCTCAGCATCTTCGGTTTGGATTTCGCTGCCGGATACCGTCACAGCTTTGGATTGTTTGATTGACTGAGGGCTCTGGCTCTCATTGGCGCCAGAAACTCGGCGCTTCTTTGATCGTTCGTCGTTTGACCGGACGGGCTTCTCGGCCGCATCGCTGGGTCGGGACCGCTTCTGCTGTCGCGCGGACTGATTGGCCGCCATTTTTGGAGATTAAAGGCTCAGGGATCGTGCTAGAATGAGATATGAGTTCTGCAGTTCACACGATCATAGCTTGTGCAAATCGGTGGGCAGTTGCAGAGACTTGTATCTGGGGATCTAAAAAGTCGGGAAAAAAAACTACGATTACATAATCAACTCTTATCGCGCGGCGCCCTTATCGTGCCAGCGATCTATAAATCGGCCTCAGGACTTCTTTCTCGTTTTGACCTTTTCTGTATTCTACTCAAAAGCCTAGATATATCTGAGATTACTGGGGCTCATTTTAATAATGTAGCTCTATTTTCAAAAAATTGACCGTCTAGGCGCTCCGAATTTAACACGGATACCGTAAATCCTACCATTTGAAAAATGACACCCACAACGGTTACAAGGCAGTTCACTACAATTTAGAGCTGTAATAAGAGAAATTTCCGCTGAAAATCCACACATCTTTCCACTTGAGTCTAACAGCCGCCCCCGCCTCCTCCTCCTCCACAACCACCTCCTCCACAACCACCTCCTCCACCACCGCCTCCTCCACTACCGCCGCTGCATCCTCCGCCTCCTCCCCCAGTACCACCACCACTACTACCACACCCTCCTCCCCCGGCACAGCCAACACATCCTGCTCCTCCACTGCTGGCCCCGCAATTACTGCATGCTCCACATATTGATACATTCCCGTTTGTAGAAGCACCGCATCCTGATGTCCCACAATTCGAACCACAATCTGTAGCACAGACCGAGTCAGTATTCATGTTTGAATCTGTACACAAGCCGGAACTATTGCTGTTGCATGGCGGAGCGCCACCGCCATCAGGGCCGCCTGCTACTCCTCTCCAGAAGCCATCTGAATTATTATCCTCTGATCGCCGTGTGCTTGCTGGGCCATTGTGACTCTCAAAACGAGGAGCCAAGTTTGGAACATCCATAAGTCTCATACGGCGGTCACGGAGAAGCTCATATTCTCTGGTCTGGACTGATCGAGGCCAGATTGCCCAATAGGCAAGAAAATAGTGACGATAAGCTCCCGCTTCGAAATAATGGCTGTATGGCTGTGCACGATGAATTCCACCAAGCTTTACTCGCGTGAGAGATTGATGGTAGCGGGAAGGGTTTTTGGTGTGCAACCATGAGGTGGCAGAGCAGAACGAGGAAGTCTGGCACATAGCTGCTGCTCCTTTGGTAAGAACAAATGAAGCATGCAACACCGAAAGTCTGTTTTGCATCCATGATCGTGGATTGCGAAGATCACCACTTGCCTCAGTATCGGCATACAGATGATGTCCCCGAGTCAAATGAAGCGCAATGATTGACCAAGAGTCGAATGGAAATGCCCATACATGTTTGGCAGTGTTGCAATCTCCACAACGAGTTGGATATCGTCCATATGCCTCGGTGCAATCCCAAGGAAAGAGGTCCTGGCACTTGTACAACGAACTGCCAAATGCACCCCAGTCATACCAATATTCCTGCAGACTATCAATAATATCGGCATCGTCGTGGCGTCCGAAGTGAAATCGTAGAAGGTACTCTTCCGTCAGGCCGCTCGGAACATCGTACTTAGTCTTGACGTTGTGTCTCACGTAGCCTTCCTGGGGACATACAAAGCTCATCGTATATAATGGCATCACACTGAAGTGTAAATGAGATGGACCGTTGACTAATGGCCCAAACAGGGTTTGGTCGAGGAGAGAGTTGCAGAAATTCTGGCAATTATTTGTCCTGGCATTCCAAGTCAACGGTAGATCGGCATTGAGGAGATGGTCCACTATGCTCCTCAAATAGACGTCCACCCGCGTCTTGAGAAATAATTTGATTTTCCCGCAAATTTGCTCGATACTCGAATCGAGTATTTTCCGCTGGTCTGAAGCCGGCAAGCCTGGATCATCGAACGGTTTTCGGCTAGCATCCAGGACCAATCCAATGATTTCGTTTTCTTTCTCCTGCGAGAGTATACCAGAAAACGGAGCGCCCACAACTTGCTTCAACATTGCCTTATAGCGCTTTGGCCTCTGTATCAAATGTGCTTGCTGCCAGACAAATCGATCCGGCTCTCCACTCACAGCTAGTCTTCGACTCTGTGAATCGCGATCTGCCATTTTGACCTGGAGAACAGGAAGACTCCGATGGGTGATAAGGGCTCCACCCTTTGAGCTGAGATGCACAACTGCTGTCAAAAGCCAGTCTACCAAGCCCGAGGAAAAGAAAGATCTTACTGGGAAACTCCGTTTTCAATGACCAAGGGTCCGACTCTCAAAGCCATGTGGACATTTCCAAAAGGGTATCTCTCCGTATAGCGACGGAAGAAAAGTGGAATATCCTCATCGGCCGTTGCCTCACTTGCAACGCTGGTTGTGCTTCCTGTAAGGAACTGGGGCAACTTTTCAGTATTCTCATCTATAAAATCAGGATCCCCAGACGTAATGTCATGTTTGGAATCAGCAGCGTTGGAGTTGAACATTCTGAAAGGGTTTTGCCTTTTGGGCTTTACTGAAGCCTGTAGCCCTCGGTACTTGGCTCGTGCCACTGATTCACCCAGTTCAAGGATATTGCACCGCTTGCCTTGATGCCGATAACCTTGCGAATGCTTCTCATTTTTATCGACGGGAAACAGACAACGAGGCTCGCCAGCGAGGTCAGTATGCGGGACTTCTTCACAGTGACACATCTCTCTGCTGATGGGTGGCGTGATTGATTTTGAGAGAATGCAGTGTTTGTATTTTTTGGAATAGGAATCGTCGCCATAGTAGTGGAGTCGATAACACTCCTCGCAGATTGTAGCAACCTTCTTATGTTCATTCGTAAACATACTTCCTCGAATTGTGCTGTCACAATCTGTGCATCTTTGTGGCTCAAAAGTAGGAACATGAGCATGGTCAACTTTTGATAGCCGTACTATCTACAGAATTAGTATTATACCCACTCTTGCAAAGAAAAGATGGGGATAAACGAAAGTATGGAGGAGAAAGGATTCATACACTGGGGAATAGCAGGTCTATTCCAAAAATCTTGTTTGTCAAGAGGTGGCCGATGCTCGATGAGCTTTTCAATGTCCAAAAGTCCTACTCAATCACTCAGTTATCTGATGCGGACAGAAGACAGTGTCCGAGATCATGAAATTGGAATAATTTACTTACCGGCTGCTTGCAGTAGAGTCATTGCCCGTCGCTCAGTACGCTGATATCTTGGGATTCCTTTCTACTTTTTAGCATTGATCATCCCATCCATGGGTGCCCAGGTGGTGTGAGAATAAACACTTACTCTGCACATTCCTCCTCACATCACTTCTGATTTTACTGCTAATATTTTGAGACTTTTGGTCCAGGAGTTTACGTTTCACTGCCTGGTCATATGAAGTTGTCTTTTTTTGGCTCTTTTCTGTGTGTGTGTGTCCCCCTTGTAGATCTTTCTCCCTGCCTGAATTAATAAATAGTCAGCCATCCGCTTTAGTGACTTTTTTCTTTTCTTTTCTTTTTTTTTTGGAAAATCCGACACTGACCATACTTATGAGCATGTGCCCTGGCTTCATGGCTGACTTGATCTAGGAACGTGTCGAATCCGTGAATATTACTATCGCTTTCGTCTTCAATTTCCACATCATTGAATCCAGGTTGATTCCACGCTCGCAGAGTGCGAATGATGTTTTCCAGTTCACCCTTGACACCCTCCCAGTACATAGCTTCAATTTCGCTTAGTAGATGAAGCTTCCCGGGCCCGATTGAATGCCAAGGTATTTTGGGAGCCTGTGAAATGCTCCCTGAAGTGGAGAAGGAATGGGTGATTGGCCCTAGACATGACATTGTTTTTGATTTATCCGCGATATGGTAGAAGAATCCAGATTTTGAACATAAGAATTACCCAGGGGGTCTTGTTGCTTACATACATGCTTAGCGAACACAGCAAGGCCGCCTGGGCTGGGCACCCACGCTCGGCGGGCAAAGATGCATTTCCATTGGAGCAAACGGATCTGGCGGGGGCTGTGCTGCGCCCGGGTGCAGCGAGGTACCCGCGGCCTGGCTGACTTTACAGAAAAGGCGGCTGCCTAATTGCTTATCCCTTCGACGCTTCCCCTTCCAAGGTTAGATTCAAATATCGAGAGTGGACACTCTTGGATGGCTTCTCAATGAATCCACACTTAATAGATCTTCACAAAGAAGCCAAACATTCTGTCAAAACGCTTGAGATCAGACAGAGGTCAAAGAGATATCCTCACAATCCTTACACTGGACAAACCCCTGATATCCCACATCCACAATTATTCGAGTCGCCGACCGAGGCACAGTCAGATCTTCCAAAAGCAGCTGGCTGCGCAATACATTTGGAGCTTTTAGAGGCCTTTTTCACTCTGCGTGTCAAGGTTTTGAATTGTCAAGTACTTGACGAAACCTTTGGTATTGCTCCGCAGACCAAGAAGGTATACCGACAAGCATATTCTGTTTCACAAGACAGACACTTCAAAGAGGTAGTGCGCATAAGAGACGACTTCTTCCGGGGGAAAAGAATAGCAAAATGGGGATTTTTCCTAGAAATTGCCGTTGGGAGATTTCTTGGATGGCTAGATGTTGTTGACCAGTGGATGGAATCCTGGACGGTGATGGTTGACCCCCAACTGCCGGCCTGTCTTTTGCCACCACTAGGTCGGTTAAGAGTCTATTCCGAGTTTATGAGCTTTAGCTGATGCAAAGACAGATATTCTTATGGTCTGGCATGCGTTTTTACTCAATCCACGTGATTTTGAGACATTTTGCGCGGAGAATCAATGGCAGAAAATACGAACAATACCTTTTCCGTGGTCAGACATTGTAAGCCACAATCAATCGAGATGCCACCCGGCTGGAATATCGTCTAATGTACTTCAGCACCAAACCATCAATTCAGATGACTGGCACTACAGGCAATCCGAAGCGTCTCAAGACTGGCTCCTGCAAACCGCCGGGATAGAACCAGACCTCTATGCCTATCTGGTGCTGGCCCGCAACCCAGAAAGCCCCACCAAGCCCAAAAAGTGGAGTCAGGAAGAAGAGTCCATCAAGCCAAAGAGCCTCATTGCAGACATGTTGTCCAATTACGGCAGCTTGACAAAATCTGCTCCCTTTGTCGCGACTGATTATTCCAAGAATAAGTTGACTTCAACGGATCAAGTCATCATTGACATACGGCAAGAGAGCTCTTATCTAAAGGAGTTCATCCTACCCCTGAAAGAAAATGTTGAACGCCAAATGAAGTTTGTCGAAACGATGCACGCCCAACTCTGGATCCGCAGTCCAGCAGTACAAGGGACATTGAACCGAGCCGTGGATCGCTATACCAAATTCGTTGAGCTCTTCGAAGCATACCCTGGGAGCGTGCTCGTGCCAACAATCGATATCGATCTAGTTTGGCATACGCATCAGGCCTCAGCGACAGAATACCAGAGGTCGATGATCAACCGAACTGGCCGCTTCGTGGATCACAATGATAAGATAGGGAAGCCGATTTTGAGTGGTGGATTGGAAAAAACAGCCAAGCTGTTTACAGAGCGTTTTGGAGAAACATATACCAGATGTCTTTGCTGGGATTGTGAGGCTTCAACATCTGCATTCGACAACTCTGACGGTGATGTCGACGATGAAGTCATAGATTTACTTGTCAAAAAGGTGCAGGATGACCTGGAGTATTACAGATTAGTTGAGTTGACAAGGCGTAATGGAGGTCCGTTGCCTGTGCGGCAATGATCATTCTTCATGGGCCTTTATTTTCTCGATTTTCTCTTAAGTGTAATTTTCGATTGGTGTATAATTGGCAGGGGATCATCGATCTTTCCTAACTTCAGCCGATAGTTGCAAGTCTTCCTTCCACAAGTGCCTGTATTCTTTCCTCATAGCAAGTCCGCCGGTGCACATTGAGGCGACAGAAGATAAGTCCTTCAAGCACCTCTCTCGAGACTTCAAATGCCCGGAGACAGAGTGTTTGCGTTGCCTCATCGAGTCTAATCGAAAAGATAACCCGGAGACCGACGTGATGATAAAGAGATTGGGGCATCGCACTCTGTTCCCGGCAAAGGGATGCATTTGATGTGGATGAACCAGTGGGTTCCACTTCAAGAGTCTGGGCCAAGGGAGGCCGATTGTATGCTAGTCGAGCGAGGTTCACAAGACATAAAACATACGGCTCGTCGATTCGGGTAACAAGGTCGAATTCATTGATAATGTTGATGCACACTTCGTTGGTAGCGCATTCTCCAAACTGGAGAGGTCCGTCTGGAATTGTCAGACAGGGTGGTGCGCCAAAGGTGATGCACGAGAACCTGGTCGATGAACCTAGCGAGTAATTATCAATTATTTTTCTAGCCTCTCGAAATTGAGAGACATACCAAATGTGCGTTTGGATAGCTGTCGGAGATAGAGTATGCTCGCAACTGCTCCACCAGCCGAATGGCCTGTGAACACAATCTGGCGAGTCCCGGGGTGCTTGTCGAGATATTCCTGAATTATCACCGATACAATCGAGTCTAAAGCTTTCGCACTATTCAAAAAGCCAGAATGGCAATGGATGTCATTCGTATCCGGTAAATCCTAGGCCTGTAAGTGACAACACCCAAGACAAATTTGGGGGTTTTTACAATGAAGTGAATGGCGCTCTTTGGCCGCCCATTGGCATTGACCATGTGGTCTATTGCACCTGCACTTCCTCGAATGGCAATGACCAAAAGCGGCAATGCGTCGCTCTGAGGGGTGTTCGAGCTGACTATTGTGGATGTCATAGCCTTGACGGTCCCCTCGGCGGACGGCTTAACGGCTTGGCCTTGAGTGAATGTGAGGTCATGCTGAGCAGGACATATAGAAGGATCGTATGCACCCAACGCACATTTCCAGGCAACAGAAACCAGATGTGCTTTCTCTGCGGAGCTGGATGTTGTAAGTCGGTGGTGAGAGAAGGCTCGAACTAAACTTACCATTTCCAATCTGGGTATTTCGCCGTCTCTAGTTGAGTTTTCTGGTCCACTGATACTTCCTTTTCAAGTCGCTCGATCAACTCTGTGATTTGACCACTTACGTCTCCTTAATAGTGCATAAGTATGTGTAGAGATTTGGAGGAAGAGAGAAGCTTGCCATCCAAATCAATCTTTTCTAGAGCTCCCCCAAGGACTTTCGATAGCTCTGCTACAGCGGCCGATGCGCCTGTTGAGTTGTCAATGAAAGGAAATCCCGAAGCGGGAACAGATGCGGAAGCATTGAGTGCAGATGCGTTTGTCTTTGGGTGGCCTTGAGCCAATTTGATTAATCGTTTCATAACGCCAAAGCCTGTCACAAATAGACAGGTGTGTGTGAGTGGGAAAGATACGTTGGGACAGAATATGATTGCGTTCAGAGTGCTCTGTACGAGAGACCTGCTAACTTGTGCGGAGTATGGAGTATAGGCATGAGTATGAGTTGGTCTTCGAAAGCACCTGACTACCTCCTATTGCATCGTTCCTGCCAAGTGAGGGGTACTTTTTGACTGGGTCAACGATGAATCAGCTGATCCGTGCTCCAGAGCTGGGAGCGCAGCTTGGAAACAATACAGGTTGAGACGCCGCCCTGGAATGGGCGATCCCCGCAAAGCGCAGCGTCCACGGGCCCACTGGTACCTCTTGACCCAATCAAGAGCCACCCATATCTGACAAAGCATATGGATCATGTGACCCGCAACAACTGAAGGCTGTCTTGGTCATGATGTTGGTATCAAGCTGATTTGAAGACTACTGAGGCTTTGCATAGCTATGAGATCTTAGAAATTGGGTATATCTTTTGCTGCTACGGTGTCATTGTAAAAAAGGTCTGTACGGAGTGCTCAAGGCGGAAACAGATGTATACTGTACAACATAAAGCGGTGTCGGGTGGCAGAAAAGTCTGGTTCCGCATCACTCACGCGGTACGGCTTCATCACTTCTTTCGACAATCGGGCAATCAGCTAGTTTGAATCGCCAAGATGATTATTCCAGTTCGTTGTTTCTCTTGTGGCAAGGTAAGCAGTCAGCCTGAGTCCCTCATGATATCTCTACTAACCTCGTGCAGGTCGTCGGTGACCTTTGGGAGCGTTACCTGCAGCTTCTGGATGAAGGTGTGCCTGATGGGTATGAGAACCTCCGGTCTGAGAAAATCGCGCCCAGCTAACAATATCCCTGCACAGTGATGCCATGGACCAGCTTGGCTGCAGACGGTACTGCTGCCGCCGTATGGTCATGACCCACGTCGATCTGATCGAGAAGTTGCTTCGGTATGTTGGGGAGACTGACCAATCGCCAATCCGGGACTCGGAAGCTGACCTTTGCATAGCTACAACTCCGCCGAGAAGGAGCGCTCTAAGGCTCAAGTTTAAGCCATTCAATACTCTCGAGCGAGTCAACCTGTCACCGATGGCAACCCGAAGCTTTTCTACCGATCCCCATGTCATACCACCGGTTCCGTTCCCTGCTCGCACTCTGAGCTTTTCGACCGCCTTTCCCGTCATTTCGGCCCGGTGACATTGACCGCAATTCGCTGGATGGAATTTCTGCTTGAGAAGATTGAAAAAGAATTGGACCCCAAGCTAAGACGTGACTGTTGGTCTTGGCCAAAATCCACATCTGACTGCCACGTCTGCAGTTCCCCGGGGGTAGAGCGACTTCTGATGCGTCGAGCGACTCAGGCTGAGAGACAGGAGTTTGAAGTCCCACAATTTATTCTGGGATATGCATTTAGGGTGGCGTTTTACGCTACACACTGGGATATGGCGTCAAGGGAGGCATTTGCGTTTTGATACCTCATCAATGAAGTTTATCAACTTTTTGCAGTTCTTTTTCTGGACATGGAATATCCGTAACCTAGTCCCAGGCAAGTGATCCGATGTTTCACCTTGTGGATAGTTCATTTTAGAGGAGAACTTTTCGAACCCAAGCTGATATAGACTTCGCTCATTGGCTCTGGACGAAAGCTATGCAGAACAAGCTCGGTTGCGCTGGACCTGCAGGGTACCTAAAATAGGTTCGGCCCCATTTGATCCATGCGTTGTTAAGCACGGAGTACGGTAAATGCGGAGGCGCCTATCCAAGGGGAAAAGCAAGAGAAGAAGGGATGTTCTTAATATAACCGAGGTTAGGCGCCGTGATGAACCTGCATTTCAATGCTCGGCGGGCCACTCACGTCGTGCGGAGCTACACTCGACCTAAACCGCTTAGGGGACGAAAGCGCTTCTGCTTCCAACAGCCAATCACATTTTCGAAAATGCATGGAAAGATGCAATTACTTAACTATTGAATTGGCACAGAATCTGATAATCTTCATTCAGTCTCTTGAGTATCAAAAAATCTACGACTTGGGAGTTTGGACTCCCATGAGCCCTAACCACCTGGGCAACCGTGCAAGAACAGGAGTATTTCCTCGAGCCCTGGAGGTACTTTGCGTATAGTATCACGTGTAGTATACGCTAGGCATGTAAGCATAGGGACTGGGGCTCAGCTCTCTCTTCTTCATCCTTTCGTTTTTCCCTCCCAAATTGCGCTCTACGTCCCCCATACAATCTGGCCATGGCCGTCAGGTCGCCAGTGTCGGTTCTACCATTCCGCGACTCGAGCGCATCTTATAACTCGCTGATGTCAATGTACGTGGTTCCCCGCATCTACAGAAATCCGACTGATGGACGGACAGGTCCCTGAATGGCTCGGTCCACGAGTCGGTGAATGGGTCGATCGGCAAGGAAAATGAGGGGAATGAGAGTTCCCACTATGAGATCAACGACTCAGCCAGCGAAGACGACGATCCAGAAACAGATTGCGATGATTCTCCGCTATCTCCAACCCGTGCGGAGGAAGCACAACCACAGCCAGACCTGACGGTATGTGTGCTCTCAGCATGGCTTGGAAATATTCTAACCATCATCAGATTCAAACCGAGTGCTCTGATGTTGTCGGTCCCAGCGCCAAGTCAGACGAAGATGAAACACCACAGTCTGTTATTTATGCTCCGCCTGGGTTTGAACCATTTGTGAGTCTTTCTGCTGTTGTTTGCTTTCTGCTGTTGTCGCATCTTAGCTAACAACCTGCCATTGCAAAGGCGCCAATGCAGACCACTTTCGAGGGAATTGAAAACTCACAGTCACCATCAGTCAGCTCGGAGGAGCCAAACGATTCAATGGCTTTGACAACGAAGAAGAAGGTAGTCTGGATGAAACCCCTTACGGCGACGTTTGCTAATTGCCCCTGCAGTTTGGCAATAGTCCAACTTCACCTCCTCCTTTGACCACCTCCATGAGCCTGGAAAGTGATACCCCCGAGCGAGCAACTCCTCGTGCGCAAACAAGACAAGAGTTCGACGAGTTCGAGCGACGAGCCCGTTCAAGCAGCTTCAGAGGTATGCTGGCTACACTGTACCCTCGATGGTGATTCACTTTGCTAACTTTCCTTCAGATAGCCCAGAAGGTATATTAAGTCGATACCGTTTGCATACTGAGTAAACTAATTCTATGTCAGGGTTGACCAGCAAGGAGGCTGAGATCAAGGCTCTCAGAGGTGCTCTGGGAGAATGCTGGACACTGTGCAATACACTGGCCAACCTAAGTTCAATCCACCGAGAACGCATGCTCAAATCGCACAATGATGACATACAAGAAGATGCATGGCGATCATGTTGGAAACTATGCCAAAAGCTCTATGAGACCCGTGATGATGACTACGCGACACAAATCCACCCTACTTTAGATCTCTGTCGAGATTTCTGCCAGGCTCTATTCGAAGCCCGAACTCGCGAAACCGATGTCTCCGACTCCGTCTTACGTGTGAGCTTCGAGCTAAACAACCATCTCTACAACACACACGACCGAAACCTGCCCGATGCATTCCGCGAAAGAACCTTGGATTTCTATATCACCTTGTGTCACCGACTCATGAAGCAGCGCGAACGCATCACAGAGACTGACTCCCTACTCAGTGCTTGCTGGACACTAACAGAGATGTTGTTCAGTATTCGACAGAGCAAAAGGGAGAGGAAATCGCTGGACGAGGATCTGCTTGGATCCGCAATCCAAGCATGCTGGGAGCTCTGCGATATCTTCCGAGAAGGATGGACACAGCATAATCTACGCAATTCGGATCGAGGAACGCCCCGCCCTAGCCAGACTACATTCTCCCAGGCCTTCTATCAAGCTTCCCAGCTATCAGAGCTGGACTTTGGTGACGATTCATCAAGTCAGCTCGGCCACCCTGAAACACCTACCACCATCTTCGAAGATACTGCAACCATTTCACCAGATGAGGGGCCGATCCCCAACATATTTGTTCTTGGATACGACAAAAGAAATGGCTCGCATAACAAGTGGTCATCTAACGCTTCGAGTATATCAGAGAAATCTCGGTCGTCAAGTCGCACGGCTTCATCTGCCAATACCGTGACGACCATATCAGAAGATCCAAATCTCACGCGACTCAAGATCCTAATTACAAGGGCGGCTATCGACAGCGGCTTCCAGCGAGGAAGCCAGAATCTCTCGTCATTTGTCAAGTCACTTCCCTCGGACACATTTGGCTCTGCGTCATGGCAAACGTCGCTGTTGAAGAATTATAAAAAAGCAGTTTCCCTGGACCCGGCATTTAGGAACGTTGGCCTGCAGGCTCGGGCTAGTGCCGTTGATATTGCACATGCGTGTCAGGCTATGGTACAGAACGGCCAATGTTCTTGGCTTCGTGATCTCTTCCGGCTTGTGTTTGGATTCCACTTGGAAGAGGCTATGGGTCGCAAAGGGGTTGTCATTCAGACATAACGTGATCGTAGTTGAAATGTCTTGGCGGGTCACAAGATTTATTTCCAATAATGGTACCTCGGGTAGAAGACCGATTCATAGCCCATCGATGCCGAGGCCTCAGGGGTAACATTTGAATCGCATGCTCTGAGCCATCATGCACAACTTTGACTTTGCTTTTGGGTGTTCATTTGCGTGGAGTTGAGGTTTTGGGGGTTGGAGTTCTGGAGCTATAGATACGCATGCCATGGATAATTTTTCCGATCCCCTGTCGATCCGCAGATCATCACAAGATATGAGAACTTGGATATTTCGTGTGGTGTAAAGTGTAGCTTCATAATTGTCTCTTTGCAATCTTCCAAGGTTTTGAATGGAGTGCAGTTGGCCCGGGGAAATTGAAAGGGAGCATGTGACCATGAGCACCCTAATCAACCGGATGGCCCCTGTAGACCGGGGCATCTATGCATCACGATGGATCATGGGTATTGTTTGTGTCAACGCCCTACCTATTGCCTACCCTCGGTCAACTTTCCCAAATCGCCGTATGAGCGAGATCACAATGGAACAAGTCGGCCATAGCCGACATTCCATTCCCAGATGCATGGGTCGCTTTCCACGGCCCCAAAGGAGGGCTGGCTCGTTCTCTTAGTGGATCGGACAATACTACATCATACGGCCCCCGGATTTACTGTCCTATAGAAGGGGGAGCGGGTCAGCCAATCACTGTTGTGTTGGTCCCCTGGACAATTTCTAGAATGCACTAGTCCGCCTGCTTAATATCCACGAATGTCTATGAATGGCGCGGGCCAGCTTCCTTTCTCCTGACACTCCAAGCCACCCGGAAGCCGCAACCTTGAAATCGCCAAGTGAGCTTCTTTGATAGATTCTAGTAGGTATGCCGCCATGAAGCTTTGACGCATACCGCAATTCGCATTTCTGTGCGGCCAGATAGATTCTAATTACGTTTCTCGGGCGTGCACCCGACCATCACACAAGTTATATGACGTGTAGGGCTGTATAATAGGGACTTCGGTGCTGTAGGCCTGGGTTACATCGCATCATATAGGTACGCGGTGTGGGTAAATCCGGGGGCGGTTCCCCGGATATTGATGTCTGAGAGCGTCCGGGGCAACTTTGGGGCAAGGCATATTGATTTCACAATCGCAGGGCGTTGTATAGAGTACGTGTACTCTGTACGGAGAAAATGCTATTTAGTAACTGCACAGATGATCATTCGGGCCGGCGCAGCTCTTTTTCCAGAAAAGAGAATTCGGGTTTGAACGAGCGTCGAAGAAAAAAGCAATTGCCAATAGTCTTGGACGCAGCTTATGTCCGCTTTAGCTTTGGCCCCAGGTTCTTATGGGGACATCTCCATTTCTACTTATGGGTTAGTGTCACTGGGGCATAACCGTAAGCCAATAGACGGCTCAATCTGCGAGTCAGACTGTTGGTCTCCGAACGGGCCACTTTCCCTAGATGACTTGAATTCTGGGTGTTCCTTTTTCTTTTTCTGCTTTTGTACGAAGGCAACAAAAAAAGGAATAAAACTAAAAAAGCAAGACCCCCTTGGCATGGCTTATTCATGGGAGTGGCTGCTTTTGCATCCTTATAACGTGGGCTTACCCCGGACGGTTGGTTCTTTTTCCTCCTTCAACTCTCTACTACTGGGGATCCATAGCATCTCCAGAGAATTTTGAATTTCCTGCAATTCCTCAGCGGAGATCAACCCCCAGTGACTGAGTCTTCACTATGGTTGTCCCAACTTTTGCCGGCATGTCCGGCAAGCTACTGTCGCGCTCTGTCACCACAACTGCTACGATGGGCTTCCTGCTTTTTGGTTATGATCGTGAGTTCTGCGAGCCTGGCGATTTTATTCATTGCTAACATAGTCTCTCACAGAGGGTGTCATGAGTAGTATCGTTGATGCCAAAGCTTTCACGGATGTCTTGACTGAGCTAGATGGCGACCCCACAATGCAGGGTACCGTTACGGCGTTGTATGAGATTGGTGAGTTGCTACCTGCGATTGGATATACTTCTCGCTAATCACAAACAAGGCTGTCTTATTGGTGCTGTTTTCATGCTCATTTGGGGTGACTGGCTAGGTCGTCGGAAAGGTATCATCAGTGGCGCTGTCGTCATGATTCTCGGTGTGATCATTCAAGTCACTTCTTACCCTGGTAAACAGCCACTTGCACAATTTACAATCGGACGTATCATTACTGGCGTTGGCAATGGCATGAACACCTCGACCATCCCCACCTACCAGGCTGGTAAGTTCCAGATATACCTTTCCTTGGGTGACTAGATCACTGACTTGCAATCCAGAGTGCTCTCGAACATCGAACCGTGGTCTGTTGATCTGTATTGAGGGTGGTACTATTGCCTTCGGTACTCTCATTGCATACTGGATAGACTTCGGTGCTTCATATGGCCCTCCCGACATAATCTGGCGCTTCCCCATTGCCTTCCAGTGTGTCTTTGGTGTGTTTATCATTATTGGAATGTTTGTTCTCCCTGAATCTCCTCGTTGGCTTTTCACCCGTGAGCGCTATGAGGAGGGCGAGAAAGTCATAGCTGCACTCATGGGTGCCGAGAGAGATTCGCACGAAGTTACTCTGCAAAAGAACATCATCATGGACTCCATCCGTGCTTCTGGTCAAGCAAGTAAGACTACCCCAATGTCTGCCGTATTCACCGGTGGTAAGACTCAGCATTTCCGTCGAATGTTGCTCGGTGCTTCTTCCCAGTTGATGCAACAAATCGGTGGCTGCAACGCGGTCATTTACTATCTGCCAATTCTGTTCAAGAACTCCGTCGGTTTGACTGGGAAGCTTCCATCAATTCTGGGTGGTGTCAACATGATTGTTTATTCCATCTTCGCCACGGCCTCTTGGTTTTTGATCGAAAGAGCCGGACGACGCAAGTTATTCTTGTGGGGAACCGTCGGCCAGATGGTGTCGATGGTCATAACATTTGCTTGCTTAATCCCTGGAACACCTGGTCCTGCCAAGGGTGCTGCTTTCGGTCTGTTCACCTACATTGCAAGTTTCGGTGCAACTTGGCTGCCGCTTCCCTGGTAAGTGATGTTATCTTGGAACTCTACAATTGGATATTAACCATTCACTTTATTAAGGCTATACCCTGCTGAAATCAGTCCGATCAAGACCCGTGCCAAAGCCAATGCCCTTTCAACTTGTTCCAATTGGCTTTTCAACTTTTTGATTGTGATGGTCACTCCTATCATGATTGACAAAATCAAGTGGGGAACATATCTGTTCTTCGCCGCGATGAATGCTTGCTTCCTGCCTGTGATCTACTTCTTCTACCCCGAGACTGCCCGTCGGTCTTTGGAGGAGATTGATCTGATCTTTGCCAAAGGTTTCTCGGAAAACATTAGTTATGTCCGCGCTGCCAAGGAGCTACCTTACCTGTCGGATGAGGATGTCGAACGTCTCGCTGTTCAGTATGGTTTCGGTGCTCCTGACGAGACCAAGGCCGACATTATCAATGATAGCCCCGGTAATACTTCTCAAAATGAGCAGGAGAAAGGTACTTTCCGTCACGAGCTATAGGGAGATTCTGTCGATGTGGTTCAAACATCCGAGCGAACTCGGTATATACATTCTTGAGGGGGAGAATTCTTGTGATTGTGCATATCGCCAGATATTGATAGAATATTAGAAGTGATCTGCCTGTGGTATAGGTCCAAGCAATGCTTTATCCTTGTTTCAATAAGATGAAAGCCCTGGAGATCGATCCAGTTCTCACACATAGACATAGCAGAACTTCCCAGCCGTCGTGCTCATAAGATCTTTCATTATAACAGGACCAGAGTTGGCATATCCGATATTGACAACCGTATCTAGTGTCGTATTAGGAGAAGCAGGCTGGTTCATAAATGTACCCGTTCCCGAGATCGCATTCTGCCGCATTTCCAGATCCAGACTTTGCCATATCCACCACACACGATCTATCATCCCATGATGATGCCAAAACCCCGGCTCGCCTGGACTTCCATCCGCGTCACGACCAGGATCGCCTCCCATGGAGTAATGACCTCCACCATGAACTCCCAGAGCACCGCTTCCAGGAACGCCCTGTAGCTCTGTTTGAAAATCCCAAACGTTGTCATTATTGAGGATCAAGTGAACAATCGACGTATAGTTGTTGAACCGCTGTAGAACTTCAGTTGTGAGATCGCGTGTCATACAGCGCGGATTGTGATCAAGAGCATTTGCTATGCCTGTGACATTCCCCCAGGTGTAGATAAGAATGAAGGTCCCATGTTGACAACGTAGTCGACGAAAGGTCCACTGGTTACACAACCTCCCCCAGAGCCTGTAGGGAGATATGCCGGCGTGTAGTTTCCTACCGGTACCTTGATATCAAGCTCAGATGGTGTCCAGAGTCCATTTCCTGAGATTGAGGTGTCACTGCCATCAAACAGTTCCGAACGTTCCATGTCATCGGCGTCAGCACCCCAGTCCCAGTATCTAAGACAAAGCCTAGTCAGATGGGGGCTTTTTCGAATCTTACAGACACAAACTCACGGATAATCGCCATGATAGTCACATTCATCTCGCAGAGCCGATTCAAATTCATAGATAAACCATCGGTGCCATCCTAAAAATGTTCCCTGCAACATATCAGGATAATCCTTGGAGTTTCATCTAAAGGGCCTGACCGTGCGGTGAATCAAGAGAGTCTGATTGATGTGAGTGGCTACGAAGTCGTCGTATCGAGTCTTGGCCCCGGCGGCCAAGTCAGAAGGTGTACGAGCTGGTAATTTCTGTAAACACAGCACAGAGTTAATGTAAGCTTTCTTTTCGATATTGGAAAAAGCTCTCCAGTCCCGGCGGATGTGCAGATTTTCGAGAGTGCAATTGCCGCTTGAACCGATCGCGCTTTTTGTCACATTCAGTGCAAATTGGGCGAGCTGATCTAGTTGGCTAGATGCAATGGCCGTGTTATATGATACAGACAAGGGCAACGTCGGGTGCCCGAGAATGAGATCGAGCCAGAATAAGAAGACAAAGATCCTGGTGATCATATTAGCGAAATCACACAGCCCGATAGAACCGTGTGGGGGTCATTACTCCCAGCTTCAACTCTTATATAGTATGAGATATAGCTCTAAGTTCCGTGTACACCGCTCATCCGGCGGGCTAGTCCCAGTACATGTTCCCGGTATCTTATGGGATGTATAGTCTCGTACTACTCGAGCCGAGGTAGTTCTCAGTGGAGCTGAGAATCGAGGACGTAAGACACATATCGCATCGGAAAAAAAAAAAAAAAAACCAGAGCAACCTCGGGTCCAGAGTAACACGTAGAGCTTAGCCATAAGCTGACAGGAGAACTATTTCGGCTTTGGAAACAGCCATGGCAAGGTCATAGATATCCATGGATGTTGTATTGTATGCTAATATCCGACAAGAAAGACAACTCGTTCCTTAAACCCGCGTGAAGAAGTAGAGATATGCGGTCTTCTTCATCTCTTCGGTATCTTCGAACTTGACAACCTTTTCGTCGTTGAACATCACCCATGGGAGGCCATTCTGACCTGGTAACTGCTTGCGGCTCAATGCCACGTAGTGTCTGCCATCAGTTAGTTAGCTTATGCTGAAGGATAGAGCTCGGTCAACTTACCCCGCGTGGACCGAAGTGCCCTTGTGGCACACAATTGACCGTAACTCGTAGCGAGCTGGCAGATCAGCAAGCCCAGCCGTGCTACCAGACTGTGTGTTGTGATCGTCAGCAGTCGGTAGCTCCTCATCGTCCGGATGACTGAAAACCCAGTCGACAGCTCTGTTGACATCACCGTCGGTTGCAGCCAGGGCACGCTGGGCCCGAGGGGCCTCAATACCCATGTCTCCTAGCTGTGCAATTTTTACGGGATCTTGGTCTGCGGCACCCGATCCAGTGGGTTTTTGCTTTAGATCCAGTGGTTCATCAATGTCCGCATCTTCCATGTGAGCGAATAGCCAGTTCATAGCGGCTTCCGCATCCTCGTTGCCAGTAGCATGTAGAGCCTTCTCGCATCTTACGGAGGGGAATCCCATGGCCACAAGTTGATCGAGGGCTCCACCGTTCGGGACGAATGCCGTTGATTCCTCCTCCTCTGGGAGTTCCACCTCGTTCGGATCATGCTCCCCAGCAAGGTAAGTGCTGAAATCCAAAGGTTCGTCATCGACCAACACGGGAATATCCAGCTTTGTTGGAACCCAGTTAACGAGCTTAAATCGGCGAGCATTGACAACCAACTCATGGGGCATCGTTTTGAAAAGCGAGCGTTTGGAGAAGCCATCTTTGCTGCCGCAGCCGGGACACGTAAGCTCGACAATCTCAGGTGTGGTAAAGATGTCGAGGCACTCTGTGATGGTCACTGACTCATATTTGGGTTCTGTCCCTTCCGAGGCTTCCACCTGGCGTGCGGGCACGGCTACTGAGATGTTTTCCTGCTCATCCACTCGATAACGCACCTTCTTGCAGCTCATACATTGAAGTCGCTGCTCGACTTGGAAGCGGAAGTCCTGCACAGGGTCATATAGCCCGCTTGCACGGTTTGACCGGCTCACCGACTTGAAGAGATGAAGAAGGAATTCAAACGCGTCCTGCTGTCTCATGGTTGAAAACTCCTCGTGGCCCTCCCCAATTAGGTATTTGAACATTGCTGGCGCCACGCCTTTCTGATGAGCGACCTCAGACGCATCGACCGATGAGGCAGAGCGGGGGTCAGGCCGGGAGTACCGACCAGAGAGAATTCCATCTGCAAGTTTTCGCAATTGAGTTTCAAGATCTCGTGCTGGTTTCTCACTCAGCGGTGGTTCTTCAGAGGGGTGGTGGTATCGGTTACGGAACCCAGTCACCGAGAAAATACTCTGCATGACACTAGAGAGATAACAGCTGTTTCCAAGATTGGTCAGACCAGTTAGATCGGGACCAAAAATCGGAGTCAATTCTCGGCCATCTTCTGTTTTCATAGAGAACTCCCACTTGAGGTTGTGCTCGACTTGCATCTCCATCATGCTTTTTTCAGTCTTTTCACGCCCAGCCAAGTAAATTCCCCAATGGGCGAGATGTGTGGCCAACTCAGGATCCACTCTTTCCTCGTTACACTTGTAGCAATAGACATCGGCGGAGCCCTCTGCTGTAATAGAGCCAAGCTTGACGGCAACGGCATGTGAATTTGCGTCAGCATGAGTGAGACCGTGTGAGTTTCCTTGGCTTCCACCAAATTGACTTCGCCCACAGCCCTTGTTTCCACACTCCAAGCATAGCCAGAGGTTCTCACCCAAGTCGCAATCTGAGCAATGGTTTGAGTCTGGGGTTTTGATGTTAGCTCGGTTTCAAGTTCAGTATCAGCACGTCTACTACCTGTGGAGCTGGCCTTGAGGCTGTCCTGCTGGACCAGACAAAGAGTATGCTCGCAAGGAACAAATTCTTGCTCCCAGGCCTTGACCTCTTCCTTCTTTGAATGAGTCATGGCAGTCATGACACCTTCGATCACAGCAGGAAGATTGCCGTCGGTCTTGTTCACACTGTCTTCGGGGCACGCATAGCACACTACCGATGTAGCAACATCATATCTATCCTCGTCCGTCTCAGCTGCAATGGCAAGCTTTGAGATTTTAGGTGGGGGTTCATCGCGCTATGTTTGAAGAGTGTAAGCACAAATCCTTTTGGCAACGAGACCATGTTGAGTACTTACCTGGACTTTCTTTGGTGTTCTCTTGATGTTGAGCGCCAGCGGGTGACCGAATCGCTTGTAGTGAAGTAGGCCATGGTTTCTATCCCCAGCACATCCACCATTGAAGCATTGAAGACAAACGTTTAGCCCGGCGTCATCGTCCTTGAAAGGTCAAAGTTAGACCAAGTGTGGGGTAATGGAAGCGTAGGATGGCATACAATGGAATCGAAGCACTGCGTACAGTCTTCGCGATAGACCGCTTGGGAGGACCCTGGTGGAATCAGATCTATAAGTGGTAATGCCCATTAGCTTATTTCGTGCTCGATTTTCAGTATAGTGATGTCACAAACCCGCGGCACTGGAATGGACACACGAGGCCATATCGTGGGATTTAGTCTCGGGGGTTCAACAAAACAAAGTGCCGAGCGTCCTTGTTTGCAACAGATGCTTCCAAGATTTCAAACGAGATTCGATCAGAAGCAAAGACGGTGAAATGCAACAGGAAGCTGGGAAGGAACCCCACCGCCCACACGTGCCTAATCGCGTACTGCCCGCATTGCCCGCCTCTTATCAATATTGACGGTCATGTGACAGCGTTGACCAATTAACGCGTCATTTTTCTCAACACGCGTCGTGAGCTTCCTATATCCCACTTCGAAGTTGACGTGACGCCAGCGTCAACATCTTGTATTCTCTTCTGTTTAATATCCTCCCAGTCTGAATTACTCGGCGAATCAGTCTCATCCAGTAATCATGGCTTCAGAAGCAGCGTCCCAGATCACCGTTGGTGCTCTTAGGTATGCAATCCTGCGCTACTAACCCCACAGAAACGATACTATCTCAGCGAAGTCGACACTAACAAGGCTTTCTGTAGTGCCATCTTTGACCCAAGTCAGCCTCAAGTGGCGGAGCCCATCGTCCAGTGCGTCCAGATCAAGTCCTTGCCAGCTCAACCTGGAGCACCAGAGCGGTACCGGGCTGTTTTCAGTGATATCGCCAATTATGTTCAAACCATGCTTGCAACACGTATGTATTGTATTCTTTCGCATGGTCCCACTGCTCGTGTCGCTAATATTTTGAGAAGAGGTCAACCCTGCTGTAGCAGACGGATCTCTCCGAAAGGGCTGTTTCGTACGATTGAAGTCATTCCAGTCAAACTCCGTCAAGGGCAAGAAGTATGACGCATTATCAATCAGATTTTATGAAACTTAAGCTTACACGTCGCAGGATCCTCATCATCCTGGACCTCGAAGTCCTCAAGGAGCTAGGTGAGGCTGAAAAAATCGGTGAACCTAAGGCACTCGAAGTCAAAGCCGAAGAAGAGGAAGTTGCCCAACCTACCGCAATCTCCAGCAATGGATTCTACGGCAACAAGGTTGAGGCTGCTCCATCTCAGCCAGCCAAACGAGCCCAGCCCGCTCCCCCACCTGCTTCCGCTCACGCCACGATCTACCCCATCGAAGCCATCTCCCCCTATTCCAACAAATGGACGATGAAAGCCAGATGCACACAAAAGTCCCAAATCAAAACATGGCACAACAAAAATGGCGAGGGTAAGCTGTTCAGTGTGAACTTGCTCGATGACAGTGGTGAAATCCGTGCCACTGGATTCAATGATCAGTGTGACATGCTGTATGAGTTATTCCAGGAGGGAAGTGTCTACTACATTTCCAGTCCCTGTCGAGTCCAGATTGCCAAGAAGCAATTCTCGAACCTAAACAACGACTATGAGCTCACCTTTGAGCGGGATACAATTGTCGAAAAGGTTGGTTTTCTCTATTTCTGCTACTTTACATGAGCCAATAACAGGGCCATCCCCTCTTTCATCATGCAACCAATGACTTACACTATATTGCAGGCTGAGGAGCAAAATGATGTCCCGCAAATCCGATACAACTTTACTACCGTTGCCGATTTGCAGACCGTTGAGAAGGATACCACTACCGATGTAATTGGTGTCCTCAAAGATGTTGGGGAGACATCTCAGATCACATCGAAGAGCACGGGCAAGCCATATGACAAGCGCGAAATCACGCTCGTTGATAACACAGGATTCTCGGTGCGTTTGACCATCTGGGGTGCTACCGCAAATTCGTTCTCTGCGTCCCCTGAGTCTATCGTCGCCTTCAAAGGCGTCAAGGTCTCTGACTTTGGCGGAAGGAGTCTCAGTCTACTGAGCTCGGGCTCGATGACTATTGATCCTGATATCGGAGAGGCCCACAAGCTCAGAGGCTGGTATGATGCCCAAGGTAGAACGGAGAACTTTGCATCCCACGCTTCATTGTCTGGCGCAACGAACTCCGGCAAAGGTGATAGCTATAAGACCATCGCACAGGTCCGTGAAGAACAACTCGGCATGTCCGACAAGCCTGATTACTTCTCCATGAAAGCGACCGTGATCTACATCAAGCAGGATTCCACCTGGTCTTACCCAGCTTGTCTTTCTGAAAACTGCAACAAGAAGGTCACTGAAATGGATCCTGGTCAGTGGCGATGTGAGATGTGTGACAAGACCCACCCTAAGCCCGAACACCGATTCATCATGCCCATCAGTGTCAGCGACCACACTGGCCAGCTTTGGGTCAGTTGCTTCGACGACACCGGTAGAGCCATCATGAACACAACTGCCGATCAACTGATGCAACTGCGTGAAGACGATTCCGGTGCTTTCGGCGAAGTCTTCCAAGAGGCTAATTGCAAGACCTGGAGCTTCAGATGCCGCGCCAGGATGGATAACTTTGGTGAACAACAACGGTAAGAACTGCAACAATACAATTCGTGAGCCTCATGCTAACTGCGTTACAGTGTTCGCTACCAGGTCATGAACTGCTCGCCCATCAATTACACGGAAGAGGCCAACCGCCTGACCGCTCTCATAAGCTCTTACAACCTTGAGTAACTTGCACATGGACGAATATCTCCATCTCCAGTGTTTGCTTTTCTTTATCATGCTTTCAATTATCCAAGACACGTCTTGGTTTTGTCACGGTTCTTAGTATTTCTAGGCTTTAGTGTTTCAACATCCAATCAGAACTGCTGAAGTTATTGAAACTGTTTAGTTTCATAGCCAATTCCTAGGCTTTATGCTATTTCCTACAGCCCAACCCGTGGGGAGTATGGAGTACTTCATAGTTGACTTTCATAAGTATTGAACCTCGAGTACTTTGAAATTCCCCTTTTAGCCTGACTTTGCTATGCAATAACTCCATCGTCCTTTTTGCTAAGTCTTTCGATGTTTTTATGCCATACTATACGAGGTCTTTGCCAGTTTTGAAAAGTCGGTCTAAGTCGAAGTGTCTGGGGTCAAATACTTTTGAAACTCCACTGTACACTTTGGTTTGAGGAAGGCGGTGATCCCCGTGAGGCGGAAAATGGGGGCACTAGCACTGCAAACAATGTAAACAAATGTGGATCTGCCGCAATTGAACCCGTCCGCCTTTTTTTTCTTTTTTTTTGGAGGTTTTTCAATTGAGGCTTGTATTCAAATCATCAGCTCCAATTGTCATAATGGGAAAACGCAGTCACGAATCAGGCGAGCCTCGGCCGTCAAAGAAGTCTAAGTCCGACAAGCCCAAGTCCGACAAATCTGAAAAGGCTTCCAAGTCCAAGAAAAGCGAAGACGAAAAGCCAACATCTTACACTGATGCTGCCGCTCTCACTGATTTGCCTCAATCCGAAATCGATGCTTTCTTGACCGAACATGTGATCAAGATCTCCGATCCTACACCCGACGCTCCCAAGTTCCGTCCTCTCCTTTCCTTCGATCATCTGCCAGAATGCGATCCTACCGTGCTCGCCCAGCTGAAGGCTTTCCCCAAGCCCACCCCAATTCAATCCACTACCTGGCCTCTGCTTTTCGCCGGTCGTGATGTGATCGGTATTGCGGAAACCGGAAGTGGAAAGACCATGGGTTTCGGTGTGCCCTGCCTCAAGAAGTTGCTGGACTCCAAGCCTTCCAAGAACCCTTGTCAACCCAGAGCTGTCATTATCTCCCCGACCCGTGAGCTTGCCATGCAGATCTACGACCAGCTTGTCAAGTTTGGCAAGAACGAGAAGACCAAAGTCACTTGTATTTACGGAGGTGTTGGAAAGGACGAGCAGCGTCATGCTCTGAAGACGGCTGCTATCGTCGTTGCTACCCCCGGTCGTCTGAAGGATCTCATGAACGACGGCTCCATTGATCTCGGCAAGACCAACTACCTCGTTCTGGATGAGGCGGATCGTATGCTTGATAAGGGATTCGAGCAGGACATCAAGGACATTGTCAAGCCGATGCCCTCTTCTCGCAGACAGACCGTCATGTTCACTGCCACTTGGCCCCGCTCTGTCCGTGATCTTGCGGCAACGTTCATGAAGACCCCGGTCACTGTTACCATTGGTGGAGACCCATCTGCGGATCCTCGCGCCAACCTCCGAATTAAGCAAGATGTCGAGGTCGTGGACGGCAGAGAGAAGGAGAGCAAGCTTGTCAACCTTCTCAGAAAATCCCAGCGTGGTCAGAACCCCGAGAAGGTCTTGGTCTTCTGCCTTTACAAGAAGGAGGCCGTCAGAATTGAGAACCTGATCCGCAACAACGGCTTCAAGGTCGCCGGTATTCACGGTGATCTGGGTCAGGCAGAGCGTTTCCGCAACCTTGATGCTTTCAAGAAGGGCAACGCTACTGTTCTCGTTGCCACTGATGTGGCCGCACGTGGTCTTGATATTCCTAACGTGATGTTGGTCATTAACGTTACCTTCCCTCTCACTGTTGAGGATTACGTGCACCGCATTGGCAGAACTGGACGTGCTGGCGCGAATGGTCATGCCATCACCTTCTTCACTGAGAACGACAAGGGACTTTCAGGAGGGTATGTCACTCATTCCATTCCAACATACAAACATAAAATATGGAAAGATACTAATCTTGAACAGATTGATCAACGTTCTTAAGGCTGCTAAGCAAAACGTGCCAGAGGACTTGATGAAATTCGGTACCACTGTCAAGAAGAAGCAGCACGACACCTACGGTGCCTTCTTCAAGGATGTTGACATGGACGCCAAGGCTACTAAGATCACCTTCGACGATTGATTCGCCCACTCCGACTAATCCGATTTCCCTTTTTTCCTGGATATTATCTGACGAAGCCTCGTCAGTTGGTCCATCAGATACTCCCTTTCTATGTAGACACTATTTTTTATGGTCAGGCGTCAACAATCAAAAAGCGTTTTTCGAGAATGAAAACTCACATCAAAAGGCCGTAGGCAACACCCAAAACCAAAGCATGAATGAGCCCCAGATCCCGTCCAACTCCATGTTCACTCAACAGCACGCTCGCGATAGCGCAAAGGACGAAGCTGGCTGGTCGAATAGCCACCTCAGTTGTGAGCAAGCTACATCCCTTCTGTTGGAAGTATGCTCTGATGAAACGGTAGCTCCACACTGTGCGGACAATCATGTTCACAATGTTTGCGAGAACCAGCCCGTAAGCACCCAAATGCCCCACTTCCAGGAAGGTATAAGCGGCCAGAGCATAGCAGGCAGAGAATACACCCATCCATGCCGTTTGCTTTCGAATCTGCTGCGAGCTAGCCGCAGACGACACGAACGCTTCGGTAATGCCATTGAATGCCAAGAATGGAATGTAATAGCAGTAGACAGAGAGTAGCTCTCCAATCTTCGGAGAACTCCATTGGCGACCACCCAGAATATGCAATAATTGGGGAACCATCAGCGGGCCTAGTGGGAAGGCTAGGACCGCGAGTAACTGGTATGCGCGTAGAATGTCTATCAAGTGGTTTTTGGCGGTGCGAACATGAGTCTCATTCACTTTTCCTTTCTCGTCGGGACTTAGCAGAGCCGAGAAGAGGTTCCGGCTACTTTCTTCCAGCGGTTGGAAAACGATTCGTGCAATGAGACCCCCGTAGTTCGACGCGAGGGAATATATACCCTGGTCTTCGAGTCCCGAGAGCGCCGCCAGCATCATGGTGTCACCTTGCGTAAGTAAATGCTTCACTAGCGACTGGAAGAACACATTGGCTGCAATAGACGTCACTTGGCGAGAAAAGCGTCCTAGGAAATAATTGGATGGGTCGCTGTGATATGTTAACTTGCAACTCGTGTACTTTTAGCCATTTAGAACCTACCTGGATTTCACTGTAGTCAGCATAAAAGAGAACCCTTTAGGAGGCCCTGGCAGCAGTGCCAAAGAGTAACCGCAGATAAGGGCAATCGAATAGCTGAGGTGACCGAGAGCAAAAGGCAGGACGCCAAGTTGGTTATTGGCCCGAGAAGCATAAATAAACACAGAGGATGTGACAGCACTCCTCAAGAAGGCTGCTGGCATTTCTACGGCAGCGCGTTTCTCGTATAACATGTGCTGCTGCACCACCGCGAAAAAGGGTTCGATGCTGAGCTCCAAAAGGGATGCCACTCCAGTGATTATCACACTGTAATTGAAGAAGGCAGTATTGGAAGCTTCCTCTGCGACAAAGCGCTGATAAAGCATGGTAAATAAGAGGCTTGCAGGAACTCCGAGGACAAAACTCAGGTAGGAGACGTTGACCACTGCCTGGGATGCCACTGATTGAGTTGCAACGGTATCTTGTTTTTCTTTTTCAGAGACTGGCTGTCTTTGAATAGCCATTCGGATGCTTTCTCTTGAGAAATACAGAATTGAAACTTGGAAGAGCTCCAGCTGGGCAGCTATTCCAAGTACAACCGGCGAAAGGGTGCGCAGAATCAATTGGTTTGAGGCGAACGTGAAGATCCTCGATGCCAACTGGATGAGGATCAGGAAGCTTGTCCCTGTGGCTGACGATGCCAAGATCTTGCCCATACGGGCATCGCCTTTTGCCATGTTGATGTTGTTGCAGGGGCTATGTAGAAAGCAAGTTGAGGCCAAGTTCCAATTTGGCGGGTGGGGCCTTCTGGGTGGTCGATCAAACCTACGCTGGACCAGCACTAAATGTATGCTCGAATTTCCCAAGCTTGCGTTACTTTACGCCCTATAAATTTGGTCCATAGCTATAAAACTAATCACTTCCGTCTTCATTAACTCTACAGCATGCAAATGAAAGTGTTACAAGGTGAAGGTTTTGGGTTCTATGGCTCAAGTTGGCCTGGGGAATGTTTCCAGGTGGCATTGACTCGAAGATTTGTGTTCTGTTTAGCATATACAGAGGTATAGGCCCCGATTTGTGAGTCGGAAAAAGGATGTTTTGCTCGGATAAGAATCCGGCGTGATCCACTTTGCCTTAGAATGGGGGCAAGAAGAATGGATAGCCACCGTTCTTGGCCTTGAAGACACTGAGCAGGAAGCTGTAGGTTCCGAAAAGAACGGTCGCCCAGATCAAGACAGCCAGCTGTTGACCCTTAACATCTTCCATGCGGGGAACCTTCAGGGCAAGTGCGATGGTAGCAAATGACAGAACGGCATCTAATCGAAAGGTGTTAGAACATGCGGCGGCTTCAAGGCTCAATGAAAAGCCTCGCAGTAAGCGATAACTTACAGATAGCAGCCACGATCTGAGTCTCCATTCCGAATTGGTTTTGGAATCCACCGGCGAAGTAGCTGATGCCACCTCGGCCATCACCAGCAACGTACGGGACCTTGCGAATGTGGTTGAACATCTGTCCACTGGTGAAAAGCAAAATTGCAATCAAACTGATCGCAGCCCAGAGGTTTCGGTTCTGGATGATCGGTAGCAGGTATGGGGACAGCACCGTGAAGGCAGTCACGACAGCCATGATGGTGGTAACCACAGACACGATACGCATGTAGTTGATGGGACGGACAATCTCTGGCTTAGGGCCTTCGGGGAGGTGACGTCCAATCCAAGAGGAGACTTGCTCGGCAGTTATCGGGCTATTGCAGTGAAACATGTCAGTTTGGCCATTGCGCATGATGCTTTCGATTTGAAACTTACCCAGTAAAGTCAAAGCGAACAGGGTTTCCATCAACCTTTGCGTGTGGGCCAACGGTAGGAGGGAACACAAGCAGGACAGGCGCAGTCTGGAGCATGAGCTGTTCGGAATTAGTTAATGTCGCATGGTTCTGATCCGAGAAATAGCACATACCTTCTGGAAAACAGCCTTGCCATTATCGAAATCAAGGGTTCCAAAGACCACCTTGAGGTCATCAGGCTTGGGGCCTTTGTTCCAGCTTCGGGCAATCAGATCCCATTCGGGCTCGAAATCACGGCAGAGAAGACAGCCGAAGCGAGCGTCGGTGGCGGTCAAAATGACCACCGAGTAGTAGTCGCGAGGTGCGGATGTCAGGTCATCGTAAGAGGAACTATCCAAATCAACGGGTCCTGAGCGAGACAAGCTTTGGTATGTTGCAAACTTGTCCGGGGTAGAGGCAGACAGGACGCCGCAAACGACGGACAGTAGTGGAAGGAGGGCCGCCCAGAGCTTCATGTTGGCACAACAGGGAGCTGGACAGCTTTGGAAATGTACCTTAAATTGATAAAGTATCAATTAGTTGCAATTGAAGACAATTGAACACGTTGAGGAGAGTCCAGGTGTCCACTATCGGACGTAATCGCCAGCTTACCTAATCTCATATCGCCGGCCAAAACACCGCCGACGCGTCTCTGGCGACGACATCTATACGTTAGGTGACGTTTGAAAGCGCACCATCTATCTTATTCGTTTTAATTTGGTATTCCTTTACAGCTGTCTCTTTAGCACTCTATTTATCCACCTGACTTTCGTCATTTTGGTTGATTTTGAGCTGCATTATGTCGGATCCAGGAACAACCGCTGTGGATGTATGTGATCCTCCTGCGGATTTCGAGACTTGTTTAATTGAATGCTAACTTGTCTCGCAGTTTGAGATGTCTATGAGGACCGCGTACCTCGAGAAGGAGTATGAGAAGACCATTTCGGATTCAGCACGTCTTTTGGATGGCGAGAGAGATCGTGTTCGACGCATGGAGCACCTGTTTTTGAAATTCGAAAACGAGGCCCTCCGTTTGCAACTCGAAGAGTCGAATGGGCATCTTTTGGGCTTTTCCACGGCCGATTCCGAGGCATGCGCCCAGCTCCAAGACGCCTGTAAGGAGATAGATCGTTTGGAGTCCCAAGCGCAAACATCCTCAAACGAGATCAGTAGACTCAAGGTATGCACCTGTCGTACCTTACTTTCTATTCAAACTCAAGTTCTCACGTCCGCAGAATGAACTCGCAGCCCAAAAGAACAACTCCGCTAGTTACAATACTGTACTAGCAGAAAAGGTTCAACTATCTAGAGATTTTGCTGCTCTGCAATCGGATTTGGAGCGACTCAAAACTCAAGACGGGTCATATCAGGCAGTTGTTGCCAAAAATCATGAATTGGAACGACTGACAACCTCTCTGGAAGCACAGCTTGATGATGAAAAGCATGCCCATCAACGTACCCAAACCAAGGTATCTCAACAAACAACCGAAGTCAGCAACCTCTCTGCTCGAATCGATGAACTACGAAAGGAGTTCGCAGGAGAGCTGCGAGCGAAGCAGCAGCAGGAGCGAGAATATCACCAACAGAGCTCAGGATGGGACAGTCAACGAGCAGTCCTGGAAGGAAAGGTTGACTCACTCAACAAGCAGCTGCGAGCAAGCAAAACCAAGCTTCAAGAAGTCCAGGCCGAACTCCAGCAGCGGGGTAGTGCAAAGACACACACAACAAATATATCTGAACCGCCTCGAACCGTCCCTCTTCAGCGACCAGGCTCCAGCGCTCGACCTAGCTCTCACTCTGGTGTGGAAATTGCAACCCCCGGTGCTGTGCGCGTGCAGAGTAAGGTCAAGAAAGATACCGCTTTGCCGGGTGACAAGTCTTCCTTTTCAATCACACCATTCCTGAACCGCACAGGGGGTGGCCTCGCGGACTCTCCCATGAGCTCCGTGGCAGGCGATGACGATATTGGTCATGATGGCGCGGCCGATGCTCCGACCCCACTTGAGACCCTGAAAGGCAATAGGAATGGCGAGCCAAAGCGCATGGGCTCTGCTTTGCGCCGCCAACTCTCTCCAGGACAAGACCGGAACCCTATCGCGAAGACCGTGAAACCCAAAGCACGCGAGCCCGCTGCACCTGCTCCACCTCCTGCACGAGCAGCACCTGCCAAGGAAAGGATCTCTGTCAACCGTATGGTGTCGGCTATTGAGGAAGATGAGATGTATGATAATTTCGCCGAAGAGCAGACCAAACCGAAGAAACGCAAGCTTGGCGGTCAGCGAGACCGGAGTTTGTTTGAGGATGATGAAGAGGATCTCAACCTCTTCAAGACTGCTGCGCGAAAGGGTTCTGCCCTGTCGAAGGGTCCTATCGCCGCGTCTAAATTTGGGGCGCCTATGGGATTCTCTCCTTTGAAACGAGATCGCAAACGCCTCTGACTTGTATAGTTGAACTGCAGCTCACATTTGTCTTGGTGCCTTGATTCTAGTGAGCTAATAATTGTATGAATTTAACATTATTATACCAGTAAATTCATTTATCCAGTCTAGTATGCCCGCGTAGTGTTTGTGTCTGATAAGGGCTGACCGACTTGCAGAGCGCCTTTCCATTTGCCGGCAGAATGTAACATTTGAAGCTCAGTCTCGCGAAGATTTCTAGATACCTCTTCTCTGGATCATTCAATCATGTTCGGTTTGCCCTTTCGATCTTGTCGGGCTAATTTCGCGTCGGCATTGGGCCAGGTGAGGCACGCCTCATCTAAGCGCTGGCAGGCCCGACAGCAAAAGGACCAGTTTACAAAGGAGGCAGCTGTCCAAGGATTAAAAAGCCGAGCTGCTTTCAAGCTGTTACAGGTACAATATAACAAGAGGATTGATACGACTCCTTGCCTGACATTTGGTCTTGTTATTCTAGATTGATGAGAAATACCGAATCTTCAAGGGTGGACAGACAGTGGTTGACTTGGTATGCTTCTCTCGTGCCAATGCGGATCAATTCCGTTAATTTGCATTCTAGGGCTATGCGCCAGGGTCATGGTCACAGGTTCGTCTTTATCTGCCTCCTCTCAAGCACCGTCGAAGAACACAGTTGATCATCCGAACAGGTCGCAGCAAACCGAACCCAACCGCACGGTCGAGTCCTCGGTGTCGATCTCATTCCCGCGCAACCTCCTAAAGGGGTCTCTACAATCCAGGGAAACTTCCTCTCCCCAGAGATTCAAACCTATATTCGAGATTTCCTCCGCAGCCCGGAAAGAGGTCGACCGCGACAACCCGATCTGGGCGAACCCAGTCCCAGCATACTAGAATCGAACCCCGATGAAAGCGCGGTGGAAGGGAAGGATGGACAAGATAAGATTCTTGAAAGAACAGTCGATGTTGTTCTCAGTGATATGTCTGCACCCTGGCACCAGACGTCCGGTTTTTGGAAACGAAGTCTAAGTGCTCCATACAGGATGATGAATACCAGCGGTATTGTCTTTAAAGACCATGCTGGCAGTATGGTATGATATACCTACACTTGCAGCCAATTTACAGAAACGGCTCTAACTTTGCACAGGATCTCTGCAACGCAGCTTTGCGTTTTAGCACGGATGTCCTCAAGACAGGCGGTCACTTCGTTTGCAAGTTCTACCAAGGCTCTGAGGATAAAGAGCTAGAGATGCAGCTCAAGACATTGTTCAAAAAAGTGCATCGATTAAAGCCCGAATCATCTCGCAGTGTATGATTCCTACTATCAAATTTCCAAACGCCAAACTAAGACAATCGACAGGAATCCAAAGAGGCATTTTTCGTTGGCCTGCAGCGAAAGCCATGAAATACGAGCAAATCTCACCATGTGAGCAACCTACTTGGGAGTTGACAAAAGCCTGTTCTCTACAGGACCTCAATCTCTTCATTATCGGATCCTTCGTCCCACTCAATATCTGCGAGAGCTGCTTCCGCTTTCTCGTGGACCTAACGTGCGTCAGTTTGGAGCCTGGTGCTTCGGACATCTTACTGACCTCTCTCAGCCCACTCAACTCTTCAACATATCCCTTTTCATTAAGGGCTCTTCGCACAAATTCCCAGCCTTGTTCGCGATATGCGCCAACCACTTTCTCTGAGCATGCGCTGCAGCTCTGGTAGCTCTGTCCGGTGACAGATAAGTTTTCGAATGTGGAGAGGAAGCCGCGAATCTGGTGGGGAACAATGCCCAGGGGATGATCATCACGTTCAACGCTCTTGGATATAGGGGCTGGTGCTGCAGCTTCTTGGGGGTGCTGCAGCAGCGAGACCAAAAGCTCCACCAAAAGTGCCGAGGCTATCGGGGCTACTCCGGGGCGAGTAACTGTACATTGCTGATCAAGGGTTTGGTCCTTGATAGACTATATGCGGGTTAGTCCTGCGCACATAATAATTTAAAAGTCCTTACATTGGCTGGTGCTACAACATCATTGCAGAAGTAGCATCCAAGCTTAGCAGGCTGCTCGTCTTCGTTGACTCCGTGGCGCATCACCACAAACGAGTCAAATCCAAGGGCTGCGTTCATGACAATCTTTCCGGCTGCTTTGCCCATGACTGTGGGCAGCCATCTTGATTCTCGGGTATCCATGAGAAGGAAGATGGCATCGTGTTCATCGATCAAGGCTTTTAGCCTTTCAAACTCTGACCTTGATGCGGCTTCGTCCACGATGGGATGACCCGCCATAGGGACGGAAAATGCATGGCCTGCTGTGTCAACCCCTGGATATATCTGTGTCAGGGCTTCGGATGCTCGGGTTGCCTTCTGAGCTCCTCCGTTCAGGCAGTCTTCGAAATTGAACAGTGGCTGCCGGACAGGATTAGAAAAGGACACAGTCCCATTGTCGACAAAGGTGATCTTCTTCACTCCCCATCCCTATAACATGTTAAGTACGGTCGTATAGTGATGTTCTTGGAGTCCACAAACCAGTAAGTTCCGTGAAACGTAGCTGCCCAAGGTGCCAGCTCCTAGCAAGAGACACTTGGTGTTCTTAATTTTTTCCAGGTTGAGTGTTGGACTAATGCGCCATTTGATAAGTTTGAGATTAAGATCAACTGACTGATCCGCCAATCTGCAAGCAAGGTCAGCATGTATCGGACGAGTCTTTTCCGTGTAGCATACCGCTTAGGATCCATATACTCTGTCAAATTGACGATCCTCCCTGAAAGTTTCCCGGCGGGATTACGCTCCCATCCGGTAACCTTGGGCAGCGGTCCCTTCGGAATGGGCCCGTGGCTTTGGCTTGAGGGGGATCTGGGGGATCGAGGCTCTTGAGATTTTGACTCAAGCTGTATGATCGAGCTGCGTCCTTGATCCCGCTTCGCATGTACATCACGATAACGCAGGATTTGCACTCGTTCAAGGCCCCAGCGCTGTTTGACCAGCACCAGCAAATTCCGCAGCATCCATCCAGGGGCCTGTTCGTAATTTGATGGGTCGGCAAAGCAAACAAAGCGATTTCCAGCAGGTACATTTTGGAAAAATCCATGTTCGTAATCGGACAGAGCTGCTATCTGCCAGGTGATGGCCGGTGCGCCGGTCTCTTGTTGTGATCTCTTGGAGGGGTCAACTGACACACTGCCACGACTTCTTACCCTGCGGGCCAAAAAGAAACCTCGCTGTCGGTGATCCACAGTATAGGACCATGTTTGGACTGCATCCACGAGGGCAGTGCTCTCATCTGCTGATAGGCGCGTTCCCTTTGCGTTGTCAATATTCTGAAGCTGGTCGGATGCAGATGCTTGAGTCTGCACGAGAGACCATGTAGGGTCAGAATGTATCGCCGGGAAGGCAAACCAGTAATGAAACTTGTACTTCTTCAGATCGGCAAACGACACAATCAGGTAACTGGATAGTAGGGAGGGACATGAGAATATGGTCCCGTCGTGAATAGCGTCCCAGACCTGGATATATCAGTCAACATACTGTGTCAGCAGTCATAGCTTGTCTTTAATTCTCACCATCTGGCCGGCTTGGCGCAGCATCTGAGCTTTGTCCGCATTCCGGTATTCTTCGACTGTGTTGAGGTTTTTGATCATTCCCTCCGCTCTGTAGTAGCTAGCCGGGGCACTACGACCGTTAGCCAGGTCAAGGCTTTGGGATGAATTTAGTCATACTCGCTGCAACTGAGGGCATTTCCGTGGATTTGGATTCGGCACGATGCAGCCTCGGGGTCAGACGGACGAATCTCATATAGACCTAGCACCGCCCGAGCGGAGTCGTCCAACTTGTCATGGTTAATCTTATGGGAGGCTAGAGACGTGTAAAATGGTAATTCGATGTCCGAGGCAAACGGAGTGTACTGCATCTTGGGTACTTTGGTAGTCGAGCCACGATGGAGGAGGTGTTTTGGTGATGTCACGGCCACAGGGCGGGGGGAAGGTCTATTTATCCGGTGTGTTTATTTCCTCCCACCTTCTTTTGCTTGCTGGTTCGGTGACTTTGATCGTTTAGTCTTGTGCTGAAGTGAGTATTTTTTCTATTATTTTCAGATGTAAGGGTATTTTCTTAAATATATATATATGTACCATCTTTTAGTCAAAAGGCTTGAAATCATAACTATACGGGATCACATGTACCGGTCTGGTGCTGTCACCAGGTGACTGTTAAAAGAACCAGCTGGGCACACAACTGGGCACCGAATTAGCTGTACATAGCACATTATGGTGTGTTCATTTTTACCATGCATCTACGGTGATCTCGAAGTGAAAGAGGATACACGTCAAAACATCCGTGGACAGCCCAATGTTTATCGCGATAAGATACCTCTTTTTAACCGCCCCACACTTTCGGCTTCTTTCTTCTCTACACTTTTTCCTTTTCAGTACATATCACAGCCATGCTCATAGGATTGTGTGGAGGTTAGCAGATCCCCTTGTCTCGTCGAAAAGCAAACTAACCAACCTAGGCATCTGTGCTGGCAAACATGCCATTGCCGAATATCTGATTCAAAACCAGGGATTCCAACTGCTTGAGCTTGCGGGCAACCGCCAGTCCCAGTCGGAGGAGCCTGAAGATGAATTGCGCCTGAAGGCCTCGGAGATCAAAAAGAAAGATTCTCACTCGCCAGAGCACACGTTCCAAGATGCTGAGTCTCTGCTCGACTTCGCGACCAAAAGATGGCAAGAGCGCTGGGTCACCACAGATATTGCCGATGCAAATGTCCTGGACCGATTCCTTCTACGCCCCTTCTTCCTGCTCGTGAGTGTTGACGCCCCAGTCAGCCTCCGATGGAAGCGTTTTGCAGACAGGTTAGTGGTGATGTTGAGTAAGTGATTTCTGCAGCGGACTGATGGTCTTAGATGCTGGAGAAGACAACTCGATCCACCCGATCTTGAGAAGTTTGTCTTGTGGAATGACCACAATCTGTACGAGAAGGACATTGGTCGTGTTTACTTGACCGACAAGGCCCAAGTGCGCCTCTTCAACTCATCTTCGTCCCTCGAAGAGTTGTACTCCTCATTGGAGACCCTGGACCTGGCAGACGAGCAGCGTCTCAGACCAAGCTGGGATCAATACTTTATGCAACTCGCCTCGCTCGCTGCGCAAAGAAGCAACTGCATGAAGCGGAGAGTGGGTTGTGTCCTTGTCCGAGAAAGCCGTGTTATCAGCACAGGGTATAACGGCACACCACGGCATCTCCAGAATTGCAACCAAGGCGGATGTAAGATACTGACCCAGTGCCCAAGACTGATTCTGTGTTTGCTGATATGAATCCACCTTAGGCCCACGGTGCAATCGCGGAGATGGAGGCGGAGTTGGTCTTTCAACCTGCCTTTGTCTTCACGCCGAAGAAAACGCGTTGCTAGAAGCAGGCCGAGAGCGAATTCGGGAGGGGGCAATCCTCTACTGTGATACGTAAGACTGAGTTCCCCACGGATTGAATACCCAGTTCACTCACGGTTCATTTCAGGTGCCCGTGCTTAACATGCACGGTAAAGATTGCCCAGGTTGGAATCTCAGAGGTTGTTTATTCGCAGGGGTACAATATGGACAGCGATGTGAGTCAAAATTTCTGTTTTCTGTGGGCTCTACTAACCCAATCTACTAACAGAGCGCTGCCATTCTCCAACAAGCTGGTGTTCGTCTACGACAGTTCCACCCGGTAACTATTTCACCTTTTATCCTACTTGTTTATATACACCACTGACCTTTTACATGTAGCCCTCCAATGGCCTCATCTACCTCCAGGCCTCCGAAAGAACCCCCGAATCTCAAGAGTAGATAGATTCATTTTCGTGGAAGAGAACATATCTCCTGATTACTTCATAAATTGTCGATACTCCACGAAACCGTACAGAACTCGATATTTTGCTGGCCGTAAAATAGGTATGCAAAGGAGATGACCAGGGTAGTAGCGAAAAGGGTGCCTTGGATGGTTGTAGTCAACCAGTGTAGTGTCTGCAAAAGCAGACTATAGATAAAGAAATCTAAACCCAACTACCCAAATAATTGAACTATCACTGGCATAGTTCAGAGGTCCAAATTGACCAACCCAAAAATGCATCAGGCTGAGACACAATGAGAAGGCAGGATAAAGACACTAGCCCAAAACAACTTCATTCTTTCCCACTTCTCCACTTCCTTCCCCCTTGTCCTTATCAATTCTCACGATCGAATGAAGTTTTTGTGACTCACATCGCAAGTCATAGTAACTAAATCATTTGTCCGGCAAAAAAAGCCCGCGGGCTCATGGCTATGAGTCAGCCGGTGAATTTTGGTGGGGTTCCCCAAAGGACCCCTCTGATAATCTGAATAGGTTCATATCCTTTTGCGCTGGGTCTCTCTGACTTCAATCACATAATTCTTTGTTCGCTGAACCCACCGGTGCTTATTGGCCCGAGTTCCCATCGCCATGCCTACCGTGCACTTGCTCGACTACGTAGCGGGTAACATTCGCTCCCTAGTCAATGCGATCAACCAAGTCGGTTACGATGTCGAATGGATCCGATCTCCGGAAGACGTGAAGAATGCGGACGTGAGTCAACCTCAAAGTGCCACCCCGGTACCGGTGTCAGTGCACCAATGTTAACCCCAATACTCCAGAAATTGATCCTGCCCGGTGTGGGACATTTCGGCCACTGCCTCTCTCAATTGGAGAAGGGAGGATTCCTCGGTCCCATTCGCGAGCACATTGATTCCGGCAAGCCATTCATGGGAATCTGTGTCGGTCTGCAGGCGCTTTTCCAAGGCTCAGAGGAGGATAACGACGTCCCCGGACTCGGCGTGATCCCCGAGGTCATTCGCAAATTCAACGATACTTCGAAGAGCGTACCACACATCGGATGGAACTCGGCTATGAACACTGGGTCGGAGACCTTCTGGGGATTGCGCCCGAGCAGCAAGTACTACTACGTCCACTCCTACGCGGCCCCTTACACACCGGGAGCTCTGGAGAAGGACGGCTGGTCCGTGGCTACAGCGACTTACGGCGAGGAAGAGTTTATTGGCGCCATCAGCCGGGGCAATGTCTTTGGTGCGCAGTTCCACCCTGAGAAGAGTGGTACCGCTGGACTGCGGGTTATCCGTGCGTTCTTGAACGGTGATCAGTTCCAGGCTCTTTCCGGAGAAAAGGAAGCTAGCAAGGCAAATGGACTCACTCGCCGTGTCATTGCATGCCTGGATGTTCGCACAAATGACTCGGGCGACTTGGTTGTCACCAAGGGTGACCAATATGACGTTCGCGAAAAGAGCGGCGACGAGGGTGGAAATGTTCGCAACCTCGGCAAGCCCGTTGATATGGCTAAGAAATACTACGAACAAGGAGCGGACGAAGTCACATTCCTCAACATTACATCTTTCCGAAACTGCCCTGTCGCTGACACTCCGATGTTGGAGATCTTACGACGAACCTCCGAAACTGTCTTTGTGCCATTGACCATTGGTGGTGGAATCAAGGACACTGTCGATACCGACGGCACCCGAATTCCCGCATTGGACGTTGCAACAATGTACTTCAAGTCCGGAGCTGACAAAGTCAGCGTCGGTTCCGACTCCGTCTTCGCCGCTTTGGACTACTACAACGCCGGAGAAAAGCTGAGCGGAAAGACCGCCATTGAGACGATATCGCAGGCCTATGGCAAGCAGGCTGTTGTGGTGAGCGTTGATCCCAAGCGGGTCTACGTTGATAAGCCAGAGGATACCACCCACCACACATTCAAGACTCAGTTCCCCAATGCGAGCGGACAAAGCTACTGCTGGTACCAGTGCACTGTCATGGGTGGTCGCGAGACTCGCGATCTTGACGTTTGGCAGCTCGTGCGTGCCGTCGAGGCCATGGGCGCTGGTGAGATCCTGCTGAACTGCATCGACAAGGATGGCAGCAACAGCGGATTTGATCTGGAGTTGATCAACGATGTGAAGGCTGCGATCAAGATCCCAGTGATCGCTTCAAGTGGCGCTGGTGTGCCTGCACACTTCTCTGAGGTCTTCCAAAAGACCACGACCGACGCAGCGCTGGGAGCTGGAATGGTAAGTTTGCTTGTGTCCTGATGTCATGCCCATTGTAAACAAACTAACTTTATCACAGTTCCACCGTGGCGAGTACACTGTCACTCAGGTCAAGGATCACCTTCAGACAGATGGATTCTTGGTCCGTCAATTTGAATCTGAGATCTAAAGTGCTGATCAGATGTAAATGATATGATTTCCTTCTCGACATAGATTCTGGAGTTGATACACTTTTATACAATGAATATCATGATATGAGATCTGAGCCTCTTGGTAAATATTGGTAAGAGTAAGATTGAATGAAGAAGTGAGGAAAGACAAGTAAACAGACAAGTAGAAAGACAGACTGAACAACAGATAGAAAGACCACTAAGTTGACCAAAGTTGACCAAATCGTAGGGGATAAAATAACGGTCATGCCCGCAAATTAGGGCTGCAAGACGTGTTGGCCATGACACGACCGTCCACTTCTCATTTACAAGGCGGTGTACTTGGCGGTGTGTGCGCGGCGGCATAACTTCCGGCAACTTTTCCGGGCAGATGAGGCGGTAAATGAGGCGGTGCTCGAGGCGGTGTATGCGGCACTACTCCTGGAGTTTTCCTCCACTTGCCACCACCTCCTCTTCTCTATCGCCATCACGGAATCCTCCCCTTCTGCCTGTTCCCTTTCTATCGCTTCAGCACAAGACAATTGAAGCCTCTGGTTTTTCTTGCCTATGTGCCTAGCGCCCTTTGTTTCTTCACTCGCCAGATATTCGACAGCCTGACGCGCGTGATCATACCTATCGGTCGCGACCACCCGTTTCCGGTCGAAATCGGAACTTACTCATAATAACAGGTCTCTTCACAACTGGAGCTGGTTTTCACGGACAAAAGAAATAACCTCAGATTTGACCACAGGTGGTGTGAGGTTGGCTCTGAGAATCACTCGAAGGACAAGGCAGACCACCCAATCCTTCCTGTATTGACCATTTTCTTCAGCCCCGGCGCCTCAACCATCGTATTCATCAATTTTGATCCACATTTGTATGCAGGGATTTGAACACTCATCATACAAAAAGATTCATTCATACTTTGTCCCCGTCTATCGATAGATACTGGTCTATCGTTCCCTAAAATATCTTTCTTTGTCGCATGAGCAGACAATCCCCTGTTTCTTGACCTTTTGTTTGGCTCGTGACTCGTGATTGCGCTAGTCTCCGATTTCAAGCCTTTCCTTTCCATCTTTCCTTCTCGTTCTCCCCTATTGCTCACTGTACACGGCGGTGGTGCCTCTAAAACCAGGTCTCAATACAAATACGACCATCTTTGTTGCACCAATTGAATACAATGTCTTCGTCCGTTCATTTCAAATTCAAGTCCTCGAAGGAGCCCTCACGGGTTACCTTCGATGGCACTGGTATTTCGGTCTTTGAACTCAAAAGAGAGATTATCAGCCAAAGTAGATTGGGCGATGGAAGCGACTTTGAGCTGTCAATCTACAACGAAGACACCAGAGAGGGTATGTTATGTTCCTTGATCCCATAACAGCTTCTGGGCGAACTGATTTAACGATTCCCAACAGAATATGACGATGACACTACCATTATCCCTCGATCAACCTCAGTGGTCGCACGTCGACTGCCCGCTGCGCGTCCTGGCAAGGGTGGCGCTGCACGTTATGTGTCCGGAAAAATGCCTGTTAATGCCCGCATTGGCACGAATCAACCCTCGACGAGCCGAACGATGCCCGGGACTGGACAGTCCGTCAATAATAACGTCCTCGAACTCAACAATGCCCAGACAGAAGAAGAGAAGATCAATGCTCTCTTCAACCTGCAGGCCAGCCAATGGCAGGAACAACAGAATGAAATGGCAAAGTAAGTGCTTTCTGACGTTGAGTCGCATATTGTGGGAAATGCTGACTTTTTCTTAGCGCGACACCAGTGCAGTTTGCTCGTGGCAAGCCAAAGCCTCTCAATGTACCCGACCACCCTCCTCCACCAGGATACCTTTGCTATCGCTGCCGGGAAAAAGGTGTGTATCGTTCCTCTTTCTCATCATGTCATACCAGATTGCTAACAGACTTTTCAGGTCACTGGATCCAGGCTTGTCCGACAAACAATGACCCCAAGTTTGATGGGAAGTACAGAGTCAAGCGATCGACCGGTATTCCTCGCTCGCTCCAAACCAAAGTCGAGAAACCGGAATCTCTAGCCCCCGATGGCTCTACCGAAGAAGCAAGGAATACCGGGGTAATGGTGAACGCTGATGGTGACTTTGTTATCGCAAAGCCAGATAAAGCAGCCTGGGAGTTGTATCAGGAGAAGACCAAGGCATCAGCGGCTGCAGCTGCAGAAGCGGCCGCGGCGGAGGAGAGCAAAGCACTGCAGGCTCGAGGCTTGGAGTGCTCAATTGACAAAAGGATGTTCCTAGAGCCAACAAAGACACCGTGTTGCGAAAGGACGTATTGCAATGATTGTATTTCCAATGCTCTGATTGAAAGTGACTTTGTTTGCCCTGGATGTTCCACAGAGGGCGTTTTGCTTGATAACCTTACCCCAGATGATGAGGCTGCGTCCAAAATTAAGGTATACGAAGCCGAGAAGGCAGAGGCCAAAAAGGAAAAGGAAAAGCAACCCGCTGCCCAGGATGGTACTCCTGTGCCAGAGACTCAAACCGAGCCCAAGCCAGCGAACAAGGAAGAAAGCCCATCCAATCAAGCCCCGGACACAACTCCTCCACAATCAAAGAAGCGACCCGCTGAGGACGAGCCCACGAATGAAGAGGACTCACCGGACTCAGAGTCGGGTAATGCGGCGAAGAAGCAGAAGGGTGAAGAGCAAAGCAAGACCCCCGAGCAAGAAACCGCCACCAAGGATGACGGCGCAGCTGCCTCAGGCGCCGCACCCAACTTCAACCCAGGAATGCCTTTCAACGGCTTCCCGCCCATGCCCGGTATGCCCATGATGCCGTTCTCCGGACCTGGCTTTGGTAATGATCCGATGGGCTTCATGAACCCCATGGCCATGGGAGCTGCTGGCGGGTTCCCCAACGGCATGAACCCTGGATGGAACCCCATGAATATGCCTTTCAACCCCGCGATGTTTGACCAGAACACTGGAATGCCCAATGGATTCCCCAACATGTTCAATGGTGACCCATCAATGATGTTCCCCATGCAAAATGGCTTTCAGGGACAGCAGGGTGCTGGAATGAACAACTTCTCCAACCAGCAACGGACAGCTTTCAGCACCCCGTATTCTCGCGAAGAGGATTCACCATATTTCCGACAGCCTGTGAACCCTCAGCGTCACCAAGCTAGAAACCGACGGGTCCGGCCCAGCGATTATCGGGAGCTATAAGCGATTTGGTCCTGAGGGATCTTGTGAATATGCATATCATTTTAGAGCGGTTTTACCTTACCAATTTATTCTATTCCCAGCTGCTTCGTTGATTTTTAATCATTAAGAATTCCAAAAAATATAACTTTACATTCAAATCCATTAAATAGCTTCATCTCTTACAGTAGCCAAGGGGTGCACCAGTGCCCAAATATCAATAGAACACTACCGGGGCAGCGACCTTGCGATCAAGCGGGCCCATTTTGTCAATAATTGTCTGCAATGATAGTCTGTAGATCTAATTGGGCCATTTCACACCAAATCAAGGCGCAATTGCCACCAACGTGCACACCGTCAAGTTATACTTAGTTTTGGGTGAGTCACCTGACTGGGGAAAAAAGGAAGACGCTCGTCCCCCCGGCTTTCGTTGCCCAACAATCAGACCACAGAACATCCTCTAACCCAGAACCACAAACAGTCTTCACCGTGTCTTTTCTACTCAATCTAAATCTCAATACTCGATCGGCTTCGATACCTTGACCGTCAGCTCAACCTTACCATCAACCGCAACCTTTATCCGTTTCAACCCCACAATTATCCGAAAGATCGACTATCATGGCGAAATACATGAATAATCACAGTAGTAGTTGCAATCAAATGCAGCGGTTTCTGGACGAAGAATCTCAGTCCGTCCTCGCCACCTGCTACAGCGTGGAGTCGGCCACCGCCAAGGTCCACGGCTTCCATTACTGCACTACCCTGGGCGCCGGTAAGCGATCTCCCCAACCCTAACAAATGGTCCCATCTAACTCGGTCATAGGGGTACAGTGGTATCCCTGAGGTCCCTTCGGGGCCTAAATCGTCTCTTCAAAGACCTCCCCGCGACATCGCTTCCGAGCGAACCTGGGCCGGCAATCAATGCCCAGAGTACAAGGGGGAGGCAACGCAGACCATCCCGGAAGAGTGTGAGAGACTCTTCTGTGACAAACTGTCTTCGATTTTCCTTGGTGAGGGGACTTTCGTGCGACAGGAGTCGCTGGGGATGGGTGCGTTTACCGCCCACAAGACCGGACACGACATCCAGCGGTGGATCGAAGTATGGGACTACGCCAGCGACGCTATCTATCGTGGATTTGTGGCGGAGCAAAACGGCGAGAGGACCATGTTTGTCTTCTTTGACCGTGCGCTGGACCACGGCCTCAAATCAGGGTATGTTACTCTCTGTGTTCCCATGGACAATGTCTCGGCATGTGCTCTTGGCTTGCGCCTCCTTGGACATCCGAGTACTTGAACAGTTTGCTGACACACTTTCTAGGCTAATGGCACTGTTTGAATTGGCCGAGATCGATACATTTGGGTGCTCCCAGATCGTCGCCTGCGTCAGTCGCTCCCAGCGGGCAGATGAAATGGAGCTTGTTCGAAGCCTCGGATGGTGCGGGTTTAACCTCACCACCTTGGAACCGTGGATGACCAGCGAAGACCAAGGCTGCCTCAGTGATGAATGGCTTTTCTTGGTCGCTGAAGTCTAATGCTCATATCAATCGGGTTCAGGAGTCTTTGGTGTGTTTGACTTTAATGATGTTTTACCTTCCTTCAAATTGTGCAACCATCTGCTACATGAATACTACTTGCTTACGGCCGAAATGGCCACTTGTTACTTGCTGTCTCTCCACATCGGGCTTTTTACTAGCTTTTCCGTCTCTTCTAAAACTTCTGCCAACAGGGTTTCTAATAGTTGTTCTGAGGGGGGGGAGGTTACCTTTGTTTTGTCTTCTGCGTACTCACCTAGGGCCCTCCCCAGTCCCTTAGAATCTCTATACTGACAAACTGTCCATTTAAGAACACAATCCATGAAAATAATTAGTAGCTTAACGTAAATATTGCCAAGGAATACCCCAAGGGCAAGTGGGCAGCATCTACCCCGGAGGATAAGATAAGATAAGATGATATGGTATGACCTCACCTATCCCTCAGCACCTGTCACAGACTCGTCTACCAAATCTGCTCATCATTTACCCTCTTTGGCTCCTCTACCATGCCGAAAGAGCGCAAGTCTCTCCAGTTCCCCAAGTTCCTGATCCCTTCCATCTTTCCGAAAAGAACTGCGGGGCATCCAGACTCCGCACCAAAGTACCTCGATGGCCATGCCTCATACCTACGCTGCGCCGGCTGCGCCTCCCACCTCTGCCTAACCTCTCAAATAATCAGCAAAGGGTTCACGGGCCGCCACGGTCGAGCATACCTAGTCTCAGCGGAGCCCGTAGCCACAGCCGTCTCAGTCTGCTCGTCATCCTCGCCCACAGTCTCACTACCCAACACCACACTACAACATCCGGTACCTCGTCAGCTTGTGACAGGTGCACACACCGTCAGCGATGTAAGCTGTCGGTTCTGTGACAACGTTCTAGGCTGGAAATATGTCGCAGCAGAGGAAGAATCCCAGCGTTACAAAGTGGGGAAATTTATCCTGGAAACGAAGAAGATAATCACCGCCTCGTGCTGGGAGTCGCCGCCGAATGTACATACTAATGCGGAGGAAGATCGCTCGGGGGCCGAGTCGGGTCCTACGGAGGCTGAGTTCGATAGTCAGGATGAGGACGAGTGTGAAGATCTCTTTGCTGGGATCTGGAGCCCTGGCCTGGCTGCGCGACGGAGAAATCGCAAGGTTGATCGCCGGCCTGCTATGTTCGGAATCTAATGAATTTGTCTCGAGGGCCTTTGAGCGAGGCGAGTGATGACTGATGATACCCTTTAATGATGGCTTGTCGTGTTTTCTTGTGCATGCATTTTTCTACCCTGGCCAATAATGCATCATGATATGATATGATTTATTTGAAATTACCTACGCTGCGAACTGCACGGAATTAGATTCGTTGATAATTCATTAATACCCGATTTTGATAAGGGTCAAGGATATAATTAAAGGCTCCAAGGTCACATTTGAGGATCTCTTGGAACTGTTCACGAGGAAGCATCATCGACGCGGGTTCTCTTTGAACCATTCTCTGTGGCAGGCTCCTCGGCCGGTCGCTTTGAAGATGTCTCAGCAGGGGCTGGCTGCTTTGCAGGCTTGCGCTTTACGAAGGCAGAAAGATCTGTGGCTCCCTTGCTGGCCGCATCAAGCTGGGCCTTCTGGTCTGATGCGGACTGGCCCATGATTGATCCCAGAACTCCCTTGAGCACAGCCTCGTTGGCCTGGTCGTTTTCTTCGATTGAGGCGGGTGGCTGGCGCAGGTCAATCAGCTGCAGGTTACGTTAGTCTATTGCTTCCATAATGACTGAAGTCGCTTGACGAAAGAAGTACTTACTCTCTGCTCCATGTCGGTGACAATTTCCTTGACGTTGGCAATCTTCCTTTTTGTCGCATTCGCTTTGTCCTCATCCTCCTCCTTTTCAGCTTCAAGCTTCTTCTCCTCTTGAGCCATCCGGACCCTGCAGCTCTCAATAGCGCGTTCCATCTCCTTCGCAGATTCCTTTCGCATTTCTTCGTCAATTGTGGGCTTCTCGCCCTTTTCTTCGTCGCCATGTTGAACGGATGCGAATTCCAAGGCAAGGGAAAGCTTGAAATGGCACTCGGCAACTGAGGAGTCCTCAGGGGGGTATAGCGAGTTTCGTAATTCAAGGACAGTCTTCAGATCCGCAACCGCATCGTGGAATCGCTCTGCCTCCAGTGAGATTTCGGCTTGCAGATCATGCGTATCTGCCAGGCGCTCCATGAGCTGCTTCGTCTCGGTAGACAGTGTAGTAGATTTCCCTTTGGTGCTGTCGGTTTCTTCAGCTGCCTCCATCTTTTTGAGATAAAGAACACGCGCCAGATCCAAGACTTCGAAAGCATTGGCAAAGTCATCATCGTCGTCCTCTTCTTCGCCCTGCTCGCCGGCCTCTTCGTCCTCAGACTCAGAGTCAACGAAGTTCTCATCGCCAGTGAATTGGAACAAAGGCTTGGAGGATGTGGGTTCTGACTCTTTCTTTGTGGGCTTCGCGGATGGTGGTTGCGCAGAACTGGCAATTGCGTCTTTCACCAGGCCACCGCTCGTCGCACTCGTTGCGCTCGTCGATTTTGAGGTAGTGGAAGCGTTGTTTGTGGAGGATGTGGTGCCTGACTCTGGTTCGCCGGCCACCTTAGAGCCAAGAACGTCGCTCTTGCTCACTGCGACATTATAGAGGGACTTTCCGTAGGCATAGAGCAGATCAGCGTTCTCGGGTGAAAGTTCACCGTTCAGTTCAGCCTGAATCTCGGTGGCTTGGGAGTAGAGTTCAGAAGCAGCGTCGTGGTCTTTGGTCGCATCTTTCGCAGCGGCGCGGGCGATCAAATCTTCAAGCTGGGCGCGCATCTCCTGCTCTGAGAGCTCGGGAGACTGGCGGTCTGACGGTTCGCTCATAGTGAATTAAGTAGTGAAAGGAAGAAGAATGAAGAGAGTAGTAGGAGGTAAGAAGTATGAAGAAGCGAAGGTAAAAATCAGAAGGGGAGAGAAGCTTAGCTCCGGCGCGGCGCGCGTGTCACGCGTCTCAATTTAATTGATTTCGCTGCTCTTCACCAGCAACGCTCTCCACCAAAGTCAGATCCTCTCAAATTCGAGGCAAATTGGACTTGGAGTGCTACTAGATCGAGTCAATTCTTGATATTGGGTCACTACTTGCGACTGAATCGAACTGTTCGCGTTGCGTGTCTACAAGATGGACTCGACGCCGCGGCACCCAAATCGTTTCAATGACCCCATCCCTTCATCTTCGCCTGCATTTGCGACGCCAGCGCGTCCTTTCCGACTGCAAAAGGGAAACGCACCGCCGAAAACCTCGATTTTGCCAATCCTTCTCCCTCCGTCGACTCTGCGTCCCGTCGCCTTTCGAACATTCACCCGCAAGCACAATCTGACAATATCCTCCTCCGCACTTCAAACCTTAGCTGTCTTTGTAGGCAAGAACTGTGGTTCAGGATGGCGCGAGGAAGGCCTGGCAGAACGGGTCCTGGACGAGGTAGCGAAGATCTGGAAAAGAGCCGGCGGAGGTGTGATTGTGGAGGAAGGGAAAGGTGCATCCTTGAAGACTATACTGCATACCCTCGAGGGCAGCATGAGCGGTGGAAGGGTTGTTGCCGGTAAAGCGCAAGACGGCAAACCCTCAGCCCTAGGCATGGACGATGGTCAGATGGACACCACCGAGTCATTGGCAAATCCCACCAACGAAGAGGAAGATGCGCAGTTGTCGCTTCATCCTCGTCACTGGCTGAAGGTGGTTGATGCCTTTGACCTCCCACGCTTGACATACAATGTCGACAAGAAGTACTTCGAGGCCCTCAAGTCCAAGCCCTCGTTATTTCCCTCGCCAGCTCACAAAACTGCCCTCTTTCGAGACCGATACAATCTCGTTTACCAGCGATTGCTGCGCAATGAAGCTTTTCAGAGCTCATTGGGCTCTACCGCAGTGCCCTCGCTGCAGCGCTCATCTTCAAACCTGGCGCAGCGCCAGTCCTATAAATTAACGCCCATTGCCAATCTGCTGGGTAGAACGGGAACATCACATCTACTTCTGGGATTGCTTTCAATCTCTGCTACCGGCGATCTATCTCTTGTCGACCTGTCCGGAAGTGTGGCGTTGGACTTAAGCCATGCTCGAATGATTCCCGAGGATGGCGCATGGTTCGCGCCAGGTATGATTGTGCTCGTGGATGGTATCTATGAAGAAGAGGAGATGGTTCAAGGCGCAGCGCTGGGTGGAAATACAGGCATTGGAGGTGCAATCGGTGGCCAATTCGTCGGTTTATCAATCTGTGGACCTCCGTGTGAACGACGGGATATCTCGCTGGGCACAAGCAACCGTCATGATAGCGGGCAGATGAGTTCCAGTGGCGGATTTGGGTGGGTTGACTTCCTGGGATTGGGAAGTGAACGTGCTCAAGGTGCGCGCATGAGAAGAATTCAAGAGAAATGCCTCCAAAAGGACCTTGAGGCCACGGAAACCTCACCAAGGCTCAAGGTTGCTATCTTGAGTGAAGTCAATTTGGATAACATGAAGACATTGGACGCACTGAAAAAGGTCTTCAGCACCTACAATGATCTTGCGCTTCGGGAACGCCCACAGGCATTTATCCTTATCGGCAACTTCGTGCAGAGGGCGATTATCAGTGGTGGTGGACGAGCTGGAAGTATCGAGTACAAGGAATATTTCGATTCTTTAGCACTGGTGCTATCAGACTTCCCAGCCTTGCTACAACACTCGACCTTTGTCTTCGTGCCCGGCGACAATGACCCGTGGGCATCAGCTTTCTCTGCTGGTGCAGCGTCAACAGTGCCCCGACAGTCGATTCCAGATCTTTTTACCTCCCGAGTGAGACGTGCCTTTGCCACTGCCAACTCAGAGCTTGGAGCTCAGCACACCGAACCAGCAGGCGAGGCCGTATGGACCTCAAACCCAGCACGTCTGTCCTGGTTCGGGCCTGTGCATGACATCGCCGTGTTCCGCGATGACATGTCCGGACGATTGAGGCGCAGCGCCGTCAACACCACGCTTGACAGCCAAGACCCAGACACCACAATGCAAGATCCTTCCAGCAGCGCTGCGACCTTCGCCGAAGGCAACAGCCAGATAGACGATCTGGGCCAGCAAGAAAACAGCAAGGCAACCGCTGAATCTGGAGCGACGATGGCCCGCCGACTCGTCAAGACGATTCTGGATCAAGGGACCGTTTCGCCATTCCCATTGCCATTGCGACCTGTTTTGTGGGATCATGCATCGGCTCTGCAATTGTATCCGTTGCCAACTGCCCTGGTGCTTGCTGACCCCGAGGCTGCTCCGTTCTGCATGACATATGAGGGATGCCATGTCATGAACCCCGGGCGCTTGGTACCGGAGGGTGGCACACCGACAGCGAGATGGATCGAGTTTGATGTGTTGCGCAACCGAGGCAAGATAAGAGAAGAGCGCTGTTAGTTGATTTGTACGAGCGATTTAATACATTTCACGGATCATGATCAAATACATCTGGATGCCATGTCATTCAAAAAGTCTAAGAATACATCGTGAAGAGAACTTTGTAGTTGCTCTTGTATTAAAGCAGGGAAACTAAAACCAAAAGGTATTGAGAGCCACTCAGGCAGGTATCGCTTCTAGTCAATCGTAATGACATCGGAAGCTCCCATGCCAACGGGATGTTGTTGTGGGGGCGCCGATATCACACCTTGCGTGCGTTGTTCTGGGATCTGTTGAGGTTTGGCCTCAATCTCGTCCAGTTGAAGATTGGGGGTGTTCATGCACTCATGCAGCGCGAGGACGAGGTTTCCAATCTTGGTAGTACTGGCCGTCGCACCGTCTCCAAGACCGGCCCAGCCTTCGCCTTTTGATTGGTAGATTTTCTCTTTTGTTGCAGCCACGACTTGACTACGGCCATGCTGGTCCATACCGTTCGCATCCCTCAGTAACCAGACCGGCTTATCTCGGTGGGTTCTTATGCAGAGATTAAAGCGGGACTTCAACCGGGGATAGTGAATCAGGTACTCGGTCGGCCTGCGCACAGTGACGATCACAATGGAAGAATCCGTCGCAGTCGAGGAAGAGAGCTCATCGAAAGACATCAACAAGCGATGGGTGATAGATAAGAGTTCGATCGTTTGGTCAACGCCTGTTCGAGTGGTCGGGTTGTTTAGATCAACGGTAAGTGCCTCTTGAATTCGGCGATGCGGGCTCGAGGTTTCGAACTTGACGCCGAGGTTTAGTTGGAAGAGAGGCTTTTTCGTAGAGATAGCACCAGCGACATCGACGTGATCAGACAAGGAAGGCCCTTGAACGCCAACTTCAAAGGAAGCAGAGTACTTCGTATCGTTCCCGTAGGTAAAGGCAACCTTGGACAAAGATAAAGAGCGGGGTTGGAATCCTTTCTTTATAAGCGAGTAGAGGATAGCAATGACACACTCGAGTCGCTGCAAGCGTTCGAAAACGGAGACTATCACCGAGTGTCCTGCTGGAACTAGTAGGCGAAGCGCAAAGCCAGCACCTTTGTCTTCAATGATCAACGAAGAATCAATCTGAGAAACAAGGCTGTTCAAGCTTTGTATGCGCCGATGGAATGTACCGCGCGCGACTACCATAACCAATTTGCTCTGAGTGTCGATTCCATGGAAGGCAAGTCGAATCATCTCCTTGAACGATGCCTGCTTATTCACATTGAAAGGCAGTGCCATTCGCAATGCAGCTGGCAATGTTGAAGAGTTATAGTTGAACAAGAGATCCGGAACAGCAAGATCTGGTCCCAGCTGTAAGTCCTTGAGAGACGGCCAGAAATGCATCGCTGGCAGATCTGCGAGATAACGTGCATTGGCATGGATGGCCAAGATCCCAGTGAGCCCATCAATCAGTTCCGCAAAGGTGGAAAAGTCGAGTCGTTTATTTGGAGGAATCAGAGTTTCACTGACGGCGTGAGCTCTCGGAAGGGCTGTGCTAGCGTCGGGAATGATTGGATATGGCGCCGGCTTCTTTGCACCAGCAGGTCGAAGTTGAACAAGCCACCAACGGTCACCATCCATGCTGCTTGTCGCGGCAGCAACCCACTGTCGATTCCAAAGTCGATGGGTGAAGAAGGCTGTGCGCATCACACCCGGAGGGAATAATTTTCGAGGATCAACCCCAAGTGCAGTTTGCTTCACGGACTGAAGACCAAGAGCCTTGGTGCCAGTCTCGATTTCATTTAACGCGGTCATGCAACGTAATTTAGCGATGCGGGATAAGATCTCTTCTATGGATGATTTGTAGACAGTTCGGTCACCATCGAGACGTTCTGATACGTTTGGTGCCCCACAGAAAACGATAGAGCCGGACATGGGTTCTATCGAAACTCGGAGAGAACGCGAGGTTGTAAGTTGAACGTCGAGTCGGCAATCTCCGGGCTCGGTGGATGATAATTGAGCCTTAAGTGATAGTTTGTGGGTTGAGAAGAGAAGGTGCTTTTTGAGGATGTTGAATGCGGTGGAGAGCAGTTGTGATGTGTGTAATGCGATGACGCTCCTGAGAATGTGCTCCATGGAGAGGTCATTTGTGTCAAACTCGATGGAATCGCTGATGGCTTGTTGGCCGTCACGCATCCAGCGGAGACCGAGATGGGATACACCAGGCTTCGAATCACTGGAGTTTCCGGGGCGGTTGCCGCTCTTGACACCAATCTCAAGCCAACTTTTGGGTCCAGATCTCTGTGGCCAATATTGCACGACAAGTGTTCGGTGTAAGAGTTCAATGCGCAAAGTCTCCGCCCAAATGCCCCTTGCGAGCTCTATGGCTTGTTTGGAGAGAATGTTAATCTTGTTGGTGAGAACCAAACCATGAAGGAAATTAAAACAGCCCATCAGCCCATCATCCCGGAGAATCTCATTGATTCTGGCGTCTAACTCATTGAAAATTCGACCTTTGGGAATTGGTGATGACGGTGTGAAAAGAAAACGGATATCCACGAAGAAGAACTGTGATGTCTCTGACTCTTCGGCAACAGAAAGGTCAAGCTCAAATTCACCAGGAATTGTGAAAGTGACGCGGCCATCGTGGACCCGGTAGTTGCGCAAGGCAAATGGCACCGTGTCGTGTAATGCAAGTCGTACGCTGATGATTCTGTTGAGTTTAAGCAGTTTCTTGAGGGTTGCCCGCGCTGTAAGCGGTTTGGGAGGTTTGTAGCCAAGCTGTTCAGCACGTTAGAATTACGCAGTGTGATCGCAATGATATGTTCAAACTTACAGTGGGCAAAGATGACACCCGTCCCTTCGAAAGGACCTCCAGGGCCGTTTTCAAATCTGGGTTGGCAACTTGTGCTCGGACGAGGTCCCTTTTCACTTCACCAACAAACTGAAGAGCCGAGTCATATGCTTGGTGTCGTGTGCGAATGAAATTTTGAATGTCGATAAGTCTGCTCACATCTGGAGCAGATCTGCTCCATTGTGAAAGGACAAGGAGCTTGATGAACTCGGCCCTCTTGTCATGAGCGAATTCGAGAATCCGTGACTTTTTGAGCACGTTTTCTTGTGACTGATTGCCCCCTGGTTTCCCATTCGCTAGCGGCACCTCAATCGCGGACAGTTCCGTGATCAGTTCCGAAAGCTCGATCCAGCATTGCTGCACCGAGCGGTTGACCAGTGTACCAAACGGAAAGAATCCCTGGGTGATGTGAGGGAGTTCAAACGGAACTGCTGGCCCAAGTTCCCCTCCCTTATCTGCCGTGTTCCGCGTATGTTGTAATGCGCCGTTCATGTGTGTCGAGCCGTTCATGCCGGAGCCGTGAATCGACTTTTCGGAATTTTCGAAATTATTTGATATGCCGTTACTGGTACCATCAAGGCCTGGCCGCCGGATGGATCCCTCGATGTTGACATTGTCCATGACGACACCGGGCATTTCTGAAATCACAACCGGATGCAATGGTATTGCTTTGTGAAAGCTTTCCCCTCCTTGGCCCTATGCACGGCGCAGAACAAGCAACACAGGCGATGCTCCGGGCTCGGTCCAGTCGGCGCTGGAATAGGAAGGGAAGCCGATGTCAAATATGAGGCAGCGATTAGGTCCTCAAGGAAATGCCATTCGATTCACGGGCCGTACGGGTAGAGGGCCTCGCTCATAATCGACGGATCTTGGCGCGCGGTTTAGGACGCAGATGGGCCGATGAGCGTTTCAACGGTCGGGCGAGACTCGGACAACGTGGAGTGGAATCGGATTGGGCGACAAGTCCCTCACGAATCTCTGGACTCTGGTTTTGAAAAGCTGGCGACGAGCTTAAGCGAGGGCTCGTGGTCGGGGGACCTAGATAATTTGCTGATAGCAGGGTTGTCGCAATGCGAGGAACGCGGAAAAAGAACCCGACAGGGAAAGAAAGAAGAAATCCCGAAAGAGTGATTGAATGTAGAATCTCTTTGAGGAAAGCCGACTACGCAGAGGAGTGAATCAGGACTGGTGGACTGCGTCAACAATGCATGCAGCGCATCGCGATCATCTTTGGGCTTGAGATTGTCCTACCGCCTTTGACCTGGGGGTGTTTGGATCTTACGTAATGCATTTGCGCTTGTATTGAAGTATCGGTACATCCCTTGCAATACATATTACCGCTATTGTGGATGTCCCGGTACCTCCTAAGCTCTAATTGGGGTCTGGGCTCTTTGTTGTAGCTTCTCCCATGACCTCACTCTCCTTCGACACTTTCGAGCTGATACCCTTTCCGTCACTTCCTGTTCAATGCCTTTATAAACTGAGGTGGAATATGAGTCTGGCCTATCATGACTACACCGAATACTGAAGCACTCCCTCAGTTTCCTGGTGATGACACCAGGCCAACCAGCAAGAGGGAGCTGGCTGGCTGGTATTGCTATGGTTGGGCTGCTGAAGTCTTTGTAGTGTGTGCCATGGGTATGTCTAAGCTAACACACCCATTGTCGTTTCTCTGACCAGAAATAGGCTCCTTTCTCCCCATCACCTTAGAGCAAATGGCTCGAGATCGGGGTGTCTTGCTCTCAGATAAAACAACACCATGCAGTGCGACTTGGAATCCGTCACTGCCACCAGATGAGAATACACTGGGCTTCCAGACCAACGCGAATGGAGGCCAGTGCATTATCTATTTTCTTGGAGCCGAAATCAACACCGCGAGTTTTGCTTTGTATACGTTCTCGTTGAGCGTCTTGGTCCAAGCAATCCTGATCATTTCAATGTCGGGCGCCGCTGATCATGGAACTTATCGCAAGAAACTCCTGGTGATTTTCGCCTTCGTTGGCTCAGTTGCAACCATGTTGTTTTTGGCTATCGTGCCGAGAGTATACCTTCTAGGTGGACTTCTAGCAATTATTTCTAATACTTGCTTTGGTGCGTCGTTTGTGCTTCTCAATTCGTTCCTCCCTGTTCTGGTTCGCCATCACCCAACCTTGCTCAGAGAGAGAGACGGAGAGAGGCCGTCGGATGAGTTCACGGCCGTCCCTAGTGATGAGGTCCCCTCTCCTGGAGCGACCGACCACACAAATCCAGATGACACTACACCACTACTTAGACCCAGAGCTGATGCTAAAGAATCATCCTCCACTACGACTTCTCTGGAGCTCAAACTCTCCACTGGGATCTCGTCTAATGGCATCGGGATCGGGTATATCGGGGCGGTCATTCTCCAGGTAATCTCCATCTTGGTCGTCGTAGTCGTGCGGCCCGCAACGTTCTCGCTGCGTCTTGTGCTATTCTTAATTGGTCTATGGTGGTTCGTGTTCACCATCCCTGCAGCTTTGTGGCTCCGCACTCGGCCCGGTCCGCCTTTACTAGACAGTGATGGGAAACCGCTCCATTCGTGGATTGGGTACATGGCTTATGCTTGGAAGTCCCTCGGGAAGACTGTGATGCGAGCGCGACGCTTGAAAGATATCGGGATTTTCCTTGCCGCCTGGTTTCTGCTCAGCGATGGAATCGCCACTGTCAGCGGCACCGCTGTTCTGTTTGCCAAAACACAATTGGACATGCAGCCCGCCGCTCTAGGACTGATCAATGTGATCGTCATGGTTGCAGGGGTATTCGGTGCGTTCTCTTGGAGCTACATCTCGACTTATTTCGATCTACGAGCTTCACAAACCATCATTGCATGCATCGTCCTATTCGAGCTGATTCCGTTGTATGGTCTTTTGGGATTCATTCCGGCTGTGCAACGCGCCGGACTTGGCCTTCACCAGCCGTGGGAAATGTACCCTTTGGGCGCGGTTTACGGCCTCGTTATGGGCGGATTGTCATCCTACTGCCGGAGCTTCTTCGGAGAGCTCATTCCTCAAGGTTATGAAGCAGCTTTCTATGCACTTTATGCGATCACCGACAAAGGATCCAGTGTGTTTGGACCGGCCATTGTCGGGACCATCACCGATCGATACGGAGAGATCCGCCCCGCATTTGGGTTTTTGGCGATTTTGATTATCGTGCCACTGCCACTCATGCTTTTAGTGGATGTGGATCGTGGGAAGCGGGATGCCTTAGCACTGGGGGCTGAACTAGACGGCATACCCGAAGGGGCTGGATATGGGGCCACTTCTGAGGCCAGTTCCCAGGGCCTCGAAGGGGATGTGATAGAAGGGGATGCGGTAGAGAATTAATTAGCTAGTTGTGACTGTGACATGTCAGGATAATTGCTTTTTTGTTATTCCTATATACAAGTAGTCGGTCTACAGAAGTAATAAGCAACCGAGGAATGCTTACGGAGCACTGCATATTGCATAACTGCGTCCTCCACATACATGGCGCCAAGCTCCAAAGGACACTTGTCCATAGCTAGAAGTGTAACTATACAACCTTGAAAGTCCTTGACGAAAGGAGCCAAATGATTACGGGGGGGTGACGGGAGCTAGACAAGCACAGGGTTGATCAGAGCGGCTAAACCAGACAAAGTGCCCAGTACCAAGGCGTTCTCCATAGATTAGCGGTCAGTGGAGGTACCCGGTACCTGGCAGAGAACCGCCCTTTCGTAACCCTGCATAGCCCAGTCATAACAGCTCCACTCTCAGCCTTAGTGAACAAACTGTCCTCTTCCGAACTGATAAATAATACATTCCCCTCTCTTCTCTTCCCCCAACTAACACTTATTGGTAAGTCCACTTTCTTGGTTTCTGAGTAGTTGTGAGACTTACACTTTTCAATTTACAGACACATCATGAGGTCTTTCGCTCCCCTAGTACTGAGCCTTCTCGGAGCTACCGCGGCGGTCCACGCCGCTGAGCCCGAGGTCGCTGATGCCGATGCCAATGTCGTCACATTGACCACCGATACCTTCAATGACTTCGTCAAGGAACACCCTCTGGTCCTTGCTGAGTTCTACGCACCCTGGTGTGGTCACTGCAAGGCTCTGGCCCCCAAGTACGAGGAGGCTGCTACCGAGCTGAAGGCCAAGGACATCCCTGTGGCCAAGGTTGACTGCACCGTGGAGGAGGACCTCTGCCGCACCTACGAGGTTGATGGCTACCCTACTCTCAAGGTTTTCCGTGGTCCCGACTCCCACAAGCCTTACGCCGGTGCCCGTAAGACCGACGCGTAAGTTCACCAGATTGCCCAATTGCGCCAAAACAGGAACTGACCGTGTTTTTGCCACAGAATCGTCTCATACATGACCAAGCAGTCGATGCCCGCCGTCTCAAGCGTGAACGAGGAGAACCTCGAGGAATTCAAAGCCCTCGACAAGATCGTTGTCATTGGCTACGTTGGCTCCGACGACAAGACCTCCAACAAGAGCTTCACCTCCTTCGCTGAGTCCCAGCGTGACAACTTCCTCTTCGGTGCCTCCAACGACGCCGCTCTCGCCAAGGCTGAGGGTGTCAAGCAGCCCTCCATTGTTCTCTACAAGGACTTCGATGAGAAGAAGGCCGTCTACGATGGCAAGCTCGAGGACGAGGCCATCCTCAACTGGGTCAAGACCGCCAGCACTCCTCTGGTCGGCGAGCTTGGCCCCGAGACCTACTCCAAGTACATGGCCGTACGTTCAACTCCTTCCACGTTCAATATACTTTGCAGAGAATTGAAGCTAACCTGACTCGCATACAGGCCGGTATCCCCCTTGCCTACATCTTCGCCGAGACCGCTGAGGAGCGCGAGCAGTTCGCCGCTGACTTCCGTCCCATCGCCGAGAAGCACCGCGGTGAAATCAACATCGTCACCCTCGACGCCAAGCTCTTCGGTGCCCACGCCGGCAACCTGAACCTCGAGCCCGAGAATTTCCCCGCCTTCGCTATCCAGGATGTCACCAAGAACGCCAAGTACCCCTTCGAGCAGACCAAGAAGGTTGACGCCAAGGAGATCGGCAAGTTCATCAAGAACGTCCTTGACGGCAAGGTTGAGGCCAGCGTCAAGTCCGAGCCCATCCCCGAGACCCAGGAGGGCGTCACCGTCATTGTCGGCCGTAGCTTCCAGGATGTTGTCATCGACAACGAGAAGGATGTCCTGGTTGAGTACTACGCTCCCTGGTGTGGCCACTGCAAGTCCCTCGCTCCCAAGTACGAGGAACTTGCTGCTCTCTACGCCAGCGCCGAGCTGAGCGAGAAGGTCACCGTCGCTAAGATCGACGCCACCGCCAACGATGTGCCCGACTCCATCACTGGCTTCCCTACCATCAAGATCTACCCCGCTGGCGCCAAGGACTCTCCCATTGAGTACGCTGGTGACCGTACCGTCGAGGACCTTGTCACCTTCATCAAGGAGAACGGCAAGCACCAGGTTGACGGTCTTGCTGAGGGTGCCAAGAAGGCTGAGGAGAGCGACGCTACTTCGTCCGCCGCTCCCAAGGCCACCGAGGCCGCTGAGGAGGATGGCCACGATGAGCTGTAAAGGTATAATTGCTTTTCAAAATGTAACTCGATACGTATTATTATCTGAACTTGGATCTATATTACTTCGTACTTCGTACTCCGTACTTGCAAAATCTTCAATAAATCAAGTAGTCAACCTAAATATTCACCATCTCGTATTGAGCATGGAGGGCTCGTAAATTTCAACAGTTGACCTGTCAATTAGTGGCAGGTCGATCTTTCGCGGATCGGACGCGTTGCGACGCGTTGTCTCTTATCGCGGAGCCTCATCTCTGGGGCAATTTGTGGCCAATTCCAACTCTTTCCCCTTTCCATTTCCATTTTCATCGCTCTTTTGACCGTGCAGGAAGCAAAAATCGAAACAGAAAGAGAAGCAAAAACAGGACGAAGCCCATCATGGTCAGTCCTGGCGTCAAGCGCAAATCAGAGCATCTCTCCGCACCAGACTCCAAGAAGCCCAAGGGCGGTAGCATCACCGCGTTCTTCGGAGCTCCCAAACCAAAGCCCGCAACTGCAGGTTCAGGCTCAGTCGCACCGTCGCGGTCTAGCACATTCAACAAAGAAAAATGGGTAGCTTCCCTGACCCCCGAACAAAAGGAGCTGCTGCAATTGGAAATCGACACTCTGGACGAGAGCTGGTTAGCCCATCTGAAGGATGAGATTGTCACCACCGAGTTCTTGAACCTAAAGCGATTCCTCAAGAAGGAAAAAGATAGCGGTGCCAAGGTCTTCCCACCAGAAGAAGACATCTACTCATGGTAAGTCTCAGTCCGAGTTCCGTAAGCCCTGGAGCTGGAGCTGGGTGCTAATCAGTGCAGGTCCCGACACACACCCTTGCACAGCGTCAAAGTCGTCATCGTTGGCCAAGACCCCTATCACAACGTCGGCCAAGCCCATGGTCTCTGCTTCTCTGTCCGAGCCCCCGTACGAGCTCCGCCGTCACTGCTCAATATCTACAAAGGCATCAAAGTCGATTATCCCGAGTTTGAATCACCGCCCGATAAGGGTGGTCTATTGACGCCTTGGGCGGAGCGTGGTGTTCTCATGCTCAACACATGTCTTACTGTTCGGGCACACCAGGCCAATAGCCATGCCAAACATGGCTGGGAGAATTTCACGCAGAAGGTCATCGATCTCGTTGCTCGGGTCCGGACTAATGGCGTTGTCTTCTTGGCTTGGGGTCGGCCTGCTGGATTGAGGGTTGCGAAGATCAACAAGGAAAAGCATTGCATTTTACAATCTGTGCATCCTAGTCCTCTCAGTGCGCACCAAGGATTTGTGAGTTGGACCTTTTGATTGTGTTGGGAGTTGTGCTGACCGTCCTAGTTCCAAAATGGGCATTTTAAGAAGTGCAACAACTGGCTTGCTTCGCGGTATGGGCCTGAAGGTATCATTGATTGGAATCTGGTTCCGAGTAAGAAGGCTCCTTGTATCTCTGATAAGGAGAACCTGGATGCTTCAAGCAACCAGGCACCTGCTGATCCTGAGACTCCCAAGGCTGAGGTCAAGCCGAAGCCGCCAGTTGATGAATTTGACGATGAAGATGCAATTCAAGCTCTTGTGGAGGCTGAGGCTTGTTCGAGTCCTTTCTGAAATGTACGAGTCTTGGGATATCTACTTCTAGGGATTGGTGTCGCTTTGTAAGGCTATGGAGTTTGGGATGCATTTTTGGTACATGGCTGTTTCGAATATCTGTTGTTTAGTGTGCAATTGAGAGAATATGGTCACAAAAGGAGCCAAAACAAGCGATGCCGGGTGTAACATGTAAATTGTAGGATTGATCACTGGTCTCAGTCTCTCTGTATGTCCTCCGTAGTCAAGCCTAGGTCCAAAGATGCAGTAGGTAAGGGTATCAAACAGGGGTACATCCTTAGCTTAGAGTAATACATACAAAAAGAAGTATCAGGCAGAAGTGTCAGTTAAATGGCCAAATAAGGGCTCCCAGGCATAACAAATACCAGCCGGGTGAGGTGTCGCATGTCCTGAGTTCGCGCCAGCTTAATCCCAAAGGGCCCAATCCTCTCCATCTGTTGGGTCAGTTTCCTTCCCGAAGTACTGGGTTCGACTCCTAGTCCCGATGTCCAGCTGAATTTGTTACCTTTTTTTGCTTGCTTTCCTTCTTTCTTTTTGGTTTGTTTATGCATATTGCGACAGCGGGTGTGCTGACGGGTCGTATATCACCACAGCTGTATATATCTCAGCCCTCAGCAAATCGGAACATACCGATATGAATAAGTCATCATAAAGCAGGTGGAAATAGCTTATGTTACCAAAGATGCTTGGACAATCTACAAGCCATATAGCCCAAGAAGTAAATCAAACCTCCAGTACTCCAGTACAATACAACCGAAGCTTGGTAGTTTCCAAGGTTGACCCACTCCAACACATCCACGGTCCATGATAGCTTCTTATCGATAAGACGTCTCCAACTTCGCGCCTCAGTCTCTTCAACCTCAGCCAAGCTACATGGAACTCACCTGGCTCCCGGATATTCCGCAGTCGCGCAGTCGCACTCGAGCCCTGCGAGCTTGTGCCGACTGCCAGCGCTCAAAGGTGCGTGTGTGAGACCCCATGCAAGACCCTTCTAACCCCAGCAGAAACGATGCCGACACTTGATCCCCAAATGGGAGCCCTCCAATGACGCAGGCCGACAACTGCCACCGTCGAATAATTTCAATTCCGCTTCGGCCAGTCCTCACGGTCAAAATCGCCCATCTCCGACATACATAGACCGCGCGCGGACCGCGACGGATAGTCCGGCTTCAACATCTGTGCCCGCCACAGAGCGATTCGTCGGCGACCTCAACCCAGAGTCTCTGATCCGAGAACGACTAGATGAACCCACTGGGAATCCCCTGCGCGATCGCGTCGGAATCTGGATCAATTCCCCCGCGGTGCAAAAGGCGAAACCGCCAAATCTGACAGGACAAGCCGAAGAATCATCCAATGCGCCAGAAGCTGGGACTGGACATGATCCTACGTCTCTGCTTCAACAGCGTCTTGCAGCGGGAATGAAAGCATGTCAGCAGCTTCCTTCATCGACGCGTGAACCTTTAATCGCAATTTACTTCAATAAGGTCAATCACATTATACCGATAGTGGATCAAGGATTCATACAGGCGCAGGCTGATGGATCGGTCTCTGTGTTCCTGGAAAAGGCCATGTGTCTGGCAGCTGCAAAGACACCTGCAGCTGTGCCGCATCTAACGCTTACGCCCTACGGCCCGCTTGTACCACCGCGCCAATTTTGTTCTGAGATCTATAGGGAGCTGGTCGTTGCCATGGACGCTGAGTTAGAGCCGGACCGATTGACGCGTATCCGCGTTCTCGCTTTGATGTCTTTGCACTGTGAGGGGTACGAAGGTGCGGAGACGGCGTCTTTGCATCTTTGTCAAGCTATACACCAAGCCCAGACGGTAGGGTTGCATCTCGGGCGCCCGAACCAGTCGCCGTCGGACTCCATGACGAAACTGTTTTGGTGTCTGTGGACACTGGATAAGATGCATGCGAGCATAGGCGGTCGGCCGGTGCTTCTAGCAGATCGAGATATCGGCGTCGTCAAACCCAGCGTTTCTCAAAAGCCACGAGGTGCTTTCGAGGTCTGGCTTGCCGTCTCGGACTTGCTTGCTAATGTGATATCTTTCTACCGACCTACCGCGGAGCTTACCAGTGGATGGGAAGAAGGGTTTCCTTCATTCGAGGATATCGTAGGAGAAGACACACAAGAAGATCTAGACTTCGCTACATTAGGTATGGAAAACCCGCCCCCCACCCGCCCACCAAACTGACAACATCAAGGCTTCTTGGAATTATATTACCACTCCGTTGCTATCTTATCCTGCCGCTACAACCCAGCCGACAGCGTCAATGGCAGACTTTCATCCGTCAGACAAGGCCTAGCAGCCGTGCGCATCCACTCAATAGTCGCTTCAGAATGCGTGGACAGTCTCCCACCCTTCCCAATAGTCCCTTACTCCGTCACCCTCTCAATGGGCGTCTCATACCGCCAACTCCGCTCCAGCAAGCTCATCACACATCTCGATCGAGCAAAAGCCAGCCTCGAAGCTTGCTGCTCCCTACTAGAACATATAAGTCCATACTGGTATTCCGCAGAAGCCATGGCCAGACTCGGCCAGAAAGCCCTCCACCAAATACAAGGCCAGCCGACCACACGGTCACAGCCAGAGTCTCGTGGAGGAGCCCACCACAGGGCTGTGGATACCGGGCATGTCGAACCCACGGAAGACTCCATCCCAGCCAAGAGACAGCGTATCGACAATGGGATTTCGCCACCGGCGGATCCTGAGATCGCTCTGGACTCACTGCCTGCGCCGGAAGATCTGCAGCTCGATGGATTCGCAGATATAGATACACTATTCGGTGAATTCCTGGATTTATCGCTACCGAGGAATTTTTGGGATCCTATCTTCATGGAACATGAACCGCAGTCATAATCATCATCATTATAAATATGTACTGTATAAGAAAAGAAAAAAAGAAAAAAGAACAAAAATCTGTACATCTGTAATGACATTTTAGGCGTATCAAAAAGCCCAAAAACGCGCCAAATCATAACTCATAAAATCCAATCCAATGCAAAGCGCGAGCGCCAAACGCTCACTCCGCAGTAATGTTCTCCAAAGCAAAATCCACAGCCTTAGGCTCCGTATCGAACATCATGTTATCAGTGAAATCGAACTTCTCCGCCGGCTCTTCGAAGAACTCCGTATTCGCCGGATCGTCGAAATTAATCAGCGCGTCGAAGTCATTCTGTGTGACTTCGGCATCATTTGCGAGATCCATCAGTTCCGTCAGACTCATTTCAGAAGGCATAGCGAATGCATCCTTGGCAGGTGCATTGACGTTATTCATGCTTCCATTTTCTGAGCCGTCAGACTGGGGCGGCGTTGAGGCGAAGAGATCCGCGGAGCGCGTGGGCGCGGGCGGATATGTCAGGTCTGGGATTTTCTGGGCGAGGGAGTCTGGTGGGGGAGTTAAGGTGTGGCGGGGCTTTTCGGAGACGTCTTGTGGGGAGACTGTGAGTTGGATTCCTGCTTTGCGGATGGCTGCTTCGAGGAAGGAGGTTGCGAAGTCTGCGGATGCGTAGATTTCGCGGAGGCGTTGGAGGATGCGCATGCATTGGTAGAAGCGTTGGAGGGAGGTCATGCGGATTGTTGGGTCTGTGGATTTGATGTCTAGGAGGTGGATTATGACGGCTGGGAGGAGGACTGTGACGCCGGTTGTTGGGTAGTAGCGGGTGAGATCTAGGGTGTGGAGATCTTGAGCGATGGCTGTGATTTCGACGGCGGCGAAGCGGACTTTGTTGCGGGAGATGTCTTGGAGTTCGGCGTCTGTTGATGGGTAGGGCATGGCGGGGAGGACTTGGGGGCGATGCAGGGCGGATGAGGTTGTGAGGTAGACCATTTTCAGCAGGGCTCTGTGGGAATGTAGGACTTCGTTTGCTTCTGAGAGTTTTGAGCCGTTTGATGCGCTGTATTGGGTTTCGATGGGGAGGTTTGCTAGCCAGTCCTCTAGTTCTTGGTCGCAGCTGCGGACCTCGAAGGTTTCGGCGGTTGATTTCTTCGGGACCAGCATCATGGTTGTTTCCATTGTGCCGCCGAACTTGTGACTGAGGACTGAGTATTGTGCGGAAAGGACATGGCTGACGCAGAGGCACAGCTTGGCTTTCTCAATGAACATCAATGCCAACTCGCGCTGGTGGTTGACATTCTGGAGAATCTCCGAGTTGCCTACCATGGCTACAATCTCCGGGGAGAAAGGGTGGAATTTAAAGTCATCAAGACTCAGCATCGGCACGTCACAGTCGTCGTCCTTGACACGCATTGGTCGACGCATGCCGAGGGCGATCAGCCGATCACGGGTGTAGGTGCTCCACCAGATCCGCTTCCACATACGTTGCCGACGCACATCCATCCGCGAGTTACCGGGGTCCCGGTGCAGGCCGATAGTGTGGGCCAGAGACAAACTGACACCCATCCAATGCCAGGTGTCCTTTTGGTCATCGGGTGTTTCATACCAGTACGTCATGAGCAACAAAGACTGAACGAGCGAGATGCGATCCACCTCGTAGTCAAAGTCGTACAGAAGACGGGCACGCTGGAAGAAGACCTTGCGGGCAGCCTTGCGGGTCTGGTAGCCCGCGGCCTGCAGGTGTTTCATATCGATGAACGCCACACCGGCGAACATGACTGCCTGGAACAGCAACAGACTGATCCGGTGGATGCCGTCGTTCTGAACGATGGTCTGCAAGAATTCTTCCAAGTCAAGCAGGGGCATGTACGTGTGGACATAGTGAATGTAGCTTTTCAGCAATTCGTTGCGAAGAGTCTCGTCCGGGATGGTAAGTGCACCCTTGATAGCCAGGTAGTCGATATCCTCCTTCAGCAGTCGAGCGGGCAAACCTCGGATGTAGTCCGGGAGTGAACCACTGGATCGGGCGTTCCCAAATCTGGGGTCTAAAAGCTGCTGAATTTGCGAGGTGACATTGGCCAAAGGCATTGAAGCAGGAACTGCCGGGTTGGGAGCCATGCGGCGCTGATAGCGATCATCAGAGCTGATCGAGCCGATACGAGTGGCCTGGTTTTGGTCTGGGTCACAATTAGCACATTGCCCTTCACACAACCAATTGAATATGACTCACATAGTAGATGAGGCATATGCTGGCCCTGATCCAAGTCCACCGAGGCTTGTGACGGTGAAGTTGGTACCAAGTCCGCCAGCCCCGAGAGATCACTCAGACGGCCGTGGAAATGGTTCTCCTCCGAAGCTTCGGGAGATTCGGAGTGATTCTCTACCTCGACGCGAGATTTCCTGTCCGGGTCAGTTGAGTTTACAAAGATAGTGAATGTGCCAAATTACGCACTTTCTGCGTTTACTCTCGGTCACCACACATTCAACCTGATCTAGGCGGCAATTCGTGCAGGGGGAGCCATTCTCGACGACATCGCAGCGGACTTTCCGTGCCCGGCAGCAACAGCAGGCTTTGGAAGCGCGTCTCTTCACTGGACGGTTCTGTCCGAGACCAGCGGCCGAAGCCTTGCGTTTCCCAGAGTCGGTGTCGGTCATTGTTGAGGTAGAGAGTTAGGGAACATTCGAGTTAGGAGTTATATATGAAGCATGTGAAAGGGCAGATCACAACGTGTGAAAGCACGTGTGAAGAGAGAAGGAGAAAGAGAAAAGAGAAGAGTGGAGAGGTTCTTTTTTTTGTTATTTTCTGAAAAATCCCCAAATCGCGCGCCCGGGGAAAGTGAAGGTTTAAGTAACGAGCGTCTCGAATGCCTCCAGGTTTTCTCTCCAATCATTCGGTGACATTCGCGGAACTAAAAGGTTTGGATCCGCTGGTTCAGATGGCTTTCTTTACACTCCACAGTATTCGTGACGCGGTATTTACCGTAATTAAGCTGCCACACTGCGTCACTCGCCCCCAATCGGGTCTAGCGGCTACTCCGGCCCGGTCACGTTACGTTTAATGAGCGATTATATCCATCCCTATATGGCCTATTATGTACTTGTTATACTTGCTAGTAGTGTGCAATTCATATATCTGCTGGCTATCTCTGTCAGTTCTGTTTCATGTGAAGATGTGAATATCTCTCCCGCTCAGGGGTATCAGGTCTTGTGAAGAAATACCCCATTCGGCTATATGCCACAACCTTGGGAGTATACACGCGATCTCGGATGACAGGAGTAAAATTCCATGCAAAGAACGAAGGACAAGGTTCATTCATCAGATAATTATTGTGCAATCCTGTGAATAATTGACTCTTCCAGCAACTCTTATAAATATGTACCTGTAACTCTCTGACTGTCCAGGTGGGTCCTCCGACAATCACCGAGAAAACGCAGAATTCAAATCAGAAAATGTGAAAATCAGAAAAATACAGTAAAAACCCTCACGAAGATCCCTTGCGGGTCATGTTGAGAGGGAAAAAAAAGGGGAACCCATTCCAAGATTTCCCACATTCACCCCGATGGATCCAGACTTTTGACGGGAGGTTCTCCAGTCTCCGAAGAGCGGAGCCCTACAAGTTACACGCTTACCTTTTCAGGCAGTGGACAGCTCGAATGAGTAATGCGATCAGCATGGGTGGATGTTCATCGTTCGGCTGGTTTTTCAGTTCAACATCGTTATTCAGGGAATGCACAAACAACCTCGACGCAAGGGAGATCCGTGGATCCGGGACTTCCAGCGGGTATTAGTCTCCGTTTTCCATGAAGTCATTGGGATTTACTCTACCGCATTCAATCTGTACAAGTTTTTTTTTTTTTTTAAGTTAGTACGGAGTATCGTGGGTGTAAAAGTACACTGTAAATCTATAACGGCTTAACAGCACGGCCCTCAAGGCTCCATGTGCATGCGCTCTAGTCCCGTTCGCCCTTTTCATTATTAATACTACGAGTCTGGACTCTGATCACTCTGCTCTACAAGTATATTTCCACTCCTAAATAACTGTATGTATCAAAAAGAAAGAATTGGATTCTTCAACATTCTACTCCGTAACATGATACAAGTTTATGAATGTGGCAAACTCCCCACAAAGCCCCCCGGAAAAGGCAATAAACCTGGAGACCGGAAAATACGGGCTGGACGGTCCAGACGAGATTATATCCCGCAATGTTTCAGCCGGCCTGCCGAATCTCACGTGCGCCTAAATTGCCGATTTCCGGAGGACCAGCACAAGCACACATGGACCTTGGAATCTTTGCACATTACATGTGGTATGGGGCAGTCCCATAACATTGGCTAGATTGTGACGCAAATCTCAATGAAATTTCTCGAAAGCGGACCTTGTGGGACTCCAATCACGAAGTAACTAATTTCTCACTTCGATTGGGCTAAACGGTACTGCCCATTACCGGATTTCTCCTTTCCCCCGGAATATTCCGCTGACCCCCGGAAATGCCCAGACTCCGGGGTAAGCCTTTCCTGATCTGAGAACTCGTGGGAAGAGGTAGTCTCGTGTTGGAAATTCATGAGATCCCTTTGAAGTATTTAAACAGATATACGTCAAATTTATTCGAATTGGTGAATTTCATGTCAATTGCCGAGTCTGGCATCCGAATCGGGCCAACTCTCGGCAGGTGGCGGATAACTTACGGAGTACGGAGTAGAAAGTATCGACCTGACCCTCATTGGGATATTCTACAATTATATAATATGAGCAGAAGCATGTCGAATTCAAAGCGCTATCAGATCTCTGCTCTACTCGGTACAGCTCCTGTATCTCGAGCACTGACAGCTCGGGATATTGCCGAGCGACAGATCTACCCTGTGCAAAGACAGCACACCAGGGAAAATGCACCAAAGCGCCCACCTCCTTGATTATGCACCCTGCAAAGCACCGAAATCCGCTGCAAGATAGCGGAGCGTGACACCCCCCACACTCGGACAAGTGGCCGTCTTTGTACGGAGTACAGAGTACGGGGTTGCACCTGTAGACTATAGTGCGGGAAATGACAAGATCTTAAAAAGAAACCCCCCCTGACTGGACGAACGGGTCACACCAAACCAAATCCGTCCATAGTACACCGTAAAAGTAAACAGAATACCAAGACGGCAGTCCGGCATATTTTCACCCCACGTTTTCCCAAGTCCGGGGGAAAGCCGAGTTGGGCCCAGTCATTGGGGAACATTAAATAATGCCCTAGACTGGCACTTGGACATGGCGCAGCAGCTTGCTCGGGGTCATGGCGCTGTACCCCTCCATACCCCGCCAGACAGGAAGCTCGAATGAAAGCGCGAATAAATCGATTGGTTTAGACGAGGGGTTGGTTTGGCGCGTGACCTGCAGGGGTTTCGGAATGGGTAGTCAAGGCCAAACTCGGCCCCCGATGGCGACTGGCGGGACTGGCGGTACGTGGCTTATCTTCCGGTATTGCGTTAGCCACTGGTCAATCGCCACGGATGAGAAACATATGGAATCTGTTCTCGGGCTCTCGAGCTTTTGGATCAAGTTTCGACTTGAAGTGTCGGTTTCTACCTAATGTAGCGATTTCCACTGAAGCCCGCTCTATGCTGAGTTACGTAATTGTGGCTTATTCGCGATTCAAGTAGTGAATAGTACGAAAGTTGAAGAAGCACTTCACGGAGTACTCCGCAAGCATATTCGAGTTGATCGCCCAAATTCTCACTTTATACGTCATGGTGTTATCTTTTGCGCTTGAGTCTTTCTGCTCAACCCCGCTAACTTAAGCAGAGTGTACTGTCTATGATTGTTCCATTCCAAGGTTCTTCACCAGAGTGGATATGGAAAAGGCCTTGTAGATCTCGTGGGGTGACTTGACGTTGGCAGCTTGCACATCACACCTGTAGATGTGGAGCTCTTCTGGCGATACCTGCAGGTCGTACTCCACCTGGAACTTAGGAAAACAAGGATAGCAAGCCCGGAAATCGATGAAAATACCTTAAGTGCGATGTAGCCCCAGGGATAGAAGCTCAATTCCACGAAGGTATAGATTGAACATGATAGAAATAGCTGATTCCAATGTCATGACATATTGAATTTTAAAGATCCATGGGCTAGCTACGAGATTGTTGAGTAGGTAGATAAATGCTGGGGCGCTAGACAAATGATGTTGTGTACCAACCTTGGAAGGGATGTATATTGGAAGCCATGGAGAGCAGACATAGATAATCTTCTCAAAGCTGAAAAAAATGAAGTGTCAAGGAAGTCTAAGCATCGAGCTCGATCGACATGGGTCTCTTTAGCCATGATTGTCGCACTGGGAAACGTAGTCAATAGTGACAAGACAACCATTTCCTCGGTGATATGTGCCACACTTTTTACAACCGCCAATCTTCCGGATGTTTTGATAGTCATTCCACATGTCATTCCCACTGATACTGCACCCAGTACCTTGTATAAAGACTCCACAGCCACGGGTCTGGTCGCCCCAGCAGTTTCCAGTGAGTCGGTTGACGCTAGATATGCATGTTAGCAATACGATACAGCGTGTTGGGTACCATGAGGCCTAGGGTCAGCGGAAAATATTCGGCTAACTCACTCAGTTGAGTAATCCTCATCATCAGCTCGGTGTAAGGTGTTGACGGCTTTGTCGCACCACCCAAGTAACCCGGGGGTGGAGCACATAATCGAGCCTTGACAGTCGTAATCGTCGGCGTTTGGCACAACGAAATTTTCCAATGGATTGTAACCTTGAACCTGGATAAGGAACTTGCTTGTGTCGATGGTCACAGTTCCCAATGGCAAAGTCCACTTGTAGGTGTATTTAGTGATATCGAGAGTAACTGCTCCCATAATTGTCCAAGCCCAAGGGGGCGCCGTAGAGCCTTTGGGGATTGTACCGGAGTATTTGAACAGTGTTGTTCCCTCAACCATATAGTGAGTACAGACGTACTTGTCGGCCTTGAAGTTCACACTCCAGCCCGAATTATCATCAAAGCCGCAGTTCACTTCATCCCAGATGTAAAGTCGTATGAAAGCATAAGGAACGAGGATGTCAGCTTCTATAACAGTCGATACCTCCTGAGACGTAGATTTCCAGTTGGTGACGGTCTTACCACCCGGTAATGAGTTGGTGTTCACTGTAATTGTGTTGGAAGATGTTCCCATATTGCCGCCTCCTCCAACTGCGGCCACGTGGAACACGTAGCTAGCCCCGGAGTCCAGGCCGCCGACTGTGATCCGAGTCATTGAGCTTGGTACACTTGCAACAACTCCGTCGCCGGTATACACCTTGTATCCAATAGCGTTCGCGGCAGGGTACCAGGACAAGCGTGCAGAAGTGTAGTCGTAGTCCAGAGTCGACAGTCCGGTCACTGCTTCTGCGGCTTCTCCAGATGGCCAGTCTGAAGGATCGGCATTCAGCAGAGTTCCGCCATCTACCTCTCCTATCAGGCTCGTCATATAAGAATCGCCAGGAAGGTTTTCGTATGGATTGGGCATAATGTCGTCTGTAATTTGGAGGTATCCAGCTCCACGCTCCTTGGCCAACCTGGCTACTTCGCCAATCGCGGACTCTGGCACGTTGTAGATAATGTGCCAAATCTTCCGCGGATCATCCGCCACCCAGTCATTGGGCGTGTACTCATTGACATAATGAGTATAGTCCAGCTCGAAGGTCAGCAGTGTATCCATGGTGTCCTCGAAGCAAGATGCCATAGTAGATCCGGGATTCAGGACAGTGTATGCACCGGGGTAGGCACGCTTGGTGTAATCATTGATGTGTTTGTACAAACTCGCGTATTTGTTATCGGTGCCACATTCAGGCCATCCTTCGTCGAAAAAGATGCCACCGATGCTGTTGCCGTAAAGTTTGTACCACATGTCAACATCGGCCTCAATTTGAGCGGTCCAGTCAGCTAAATCGTCCGAGCCAAGCCGCGTAAAGAATGACTGCTGGCTCACGCCCAGGTATCCAGTTCGCACATAGCCAAGGACCCTTTTACCAGAAGCTGCAGCCCGATCGATAACGTCAACCCAGCTCGTGTCGACAGTAGAATCTGGACCATTGACGACGTTGGCAACTAGAATGGGCATCTTGCCAAAGGGGTACCCGATGAGCCGATCCCAGGAAGCTGGATCTGATAGAGGGTTGATATATGATGCCACGGCAATCTGTTGTCCACTAAAACCCGAACTCGAACCCGAAGTATTATTCGACACAGAGCTTTGAGCCGTCTGGATCCATGTCGCAGTAGTTGTATGAGTGACCTTGGCGTTGTAGCTTGTGACCGTCGAGCAGTCTGTAGTGCACATGAAATGGGGCCCGTACGGGCTCACAGTACATCCGACACCGCACTCCGTGGCCGTCTGTTGCGTGTAGGGAGTCATAGTGGGGTTGCCATGGAAAGATGCCGATGGAATGATATTGTCTTGATTGATGGCACCGCCGTTGAAATAGATCCAAGGCAAGGTGAAAGCTACGGCAGCCAAGCCGTTAAGCTGAGCTTGAGTGATAGTAGGATTCAAAGGTAATTTGAGTGAGTGCCCACCGTGCCACGGTATTTATACCTGATACCACACCGGCACTGATATATTGCAGTCTCGTGGGCTTTATATATGAGGAAAAAGTCGGGGAAACCGCGCCGGCACATTCCATCGGCGAGAATGTTTTGGACGCCTCAAATCACGTTACTCAGGCCGAGCATACGAGATTGGAATTTTTGAAAAAGACACTGACAACATTGCTGTTGTTATTGCCCGAGTTGGATAGCAACTTTTGAAGATGCACTGCCACTGTTGCGTCTCATCAAAACCCAGGAGGAAAAGTTTCCTACGTCCTTGATACAGCACTAGAAACTACGCCCAACAGAGGATTCTTTTGAATTCATTGAAACCCGTGGAAAGATCATTTTCAAGTACGATCCAGTTCATGACTTTGACGATGGCAAGAGACGTTCGGCAGCTCTGTGGGTTGAAGACGAGTGAGTTTATTGGGACTCTTGGTGATCTTCCAATGTTTTCGATAGCTAGCACCCGGGCATGAATATATTATAAGATCACTAGGTTAGCAAGCAAAAGCGAAGACGATCAAGCTATCTCGCTCTCTCTTTCTCCCTTCCTCCTTTTGCTCCCTCCCAAGGTCTTCCCCGTCGGAACATCGGCTCTTTCATAAGATAATACCTGTCTTTGCTCTTAACATGTCATTACAATACCAACCTTGGAAATATGCCTGCTATACAAACAACTTGTATCAAGTGATGTCTCGGATTCGACACTATCTGCTGTGTTGCTTGTGTGCACAACTGCCCTGACATGACTATACATTTTGCTCACAGTCTGGGGGACTTCCCACTTTGTCTTTCACCTTTCTCCGAAAAAGGCTTGTGCCCTTATATCGACTCGTGCTATCTTTCCGTTGCTCCTCAGAATGTTCCACCGACTGTTCTGATTGGAGATCGCTTGTGACCAGTCTATCCTCTCCATTCCCAACCCTTTTCTCGCTGTACTTCGTGCTGTACTTCGTGAGCCAATCTGGATTAAATGCAAACAAAAAGAACACTGCAGACGTCCCAAGAGACACCAAGACTTTACAATGAGTAGATGGTTAGAATGTCAAAACGTCGTAAGCAAAAGAAGGGAGTATATCTTACTGATGATGGGGAATATCCATGATGCCTTGTAAGTGACGTTGTCCCCTTCATGCGGGAACTCGGTGACGTTCAAAGCAAAGATACCCGTCAAAAATGTCGCGGGGAGCTATAAGGGAGAAAGGTTAGTCTTAAGAAGAGTGAGATTTTATATACTTGTGAGACTCACAAAAATGATGGTTATGACTGTGAAGACCATTATGGTAGCGCTCTGTTCACGGGCACTTTTTGCCTCTTCAATGCTGGCCTGTTTCTGTTTGAGATTGAGCAGGGTATGTAAGGTTGTTTGGACAAATTCAGCTTGTTTCGTCATCTCTTCAATCGCACGTTTGATTTCTGATGGGGTGTCAAAACGGAGCATAGATAAATTGTGCGCTGGTGCTTCCTCCTCGCAAAATTGCTTCCACACACGATCCTGATCTTCGACCAAGTTCTTGAGTATGTTGAGCTCATCTAATATGTCTTTAACCTTGAAGAGATGACTAGTTTCCTTCGAAACATTGCCATATGAGTAATCATTCTCGGTATGAGCTTTGTTTATGTCGGACACGAGAGTTAGATGGAATCCCGCAAATAGAAGTTTTTCTTCATTTTGCTTTTTTCACTGAGTCAGATACGTTGAGAGTCTTCGTCAACAAGGACAGTTCTTACAATCTCGACCATCGCTTCGTGGAAGACATCCAGCGGAGACCTTTTGTGGTCTTTGGGGGCAACGGTGATGTCTTTCCTCTGAAACAGCCCAATGGCAGTGGCAACGATGAGCTCCACGATGCCATCCGTCGATAATTCCAAATCTCTTGTCTGTGCTTGGAAGCTGTCCAGAACGCACTGGAGGAAGCCATCTTTTTCTCCAGTTTTCGCGTCCTCGTCAAGCTCATCTGTAGTACTGGTGAGGACTGTCCCTAAAGTGAGGTCAGGCAACTCGTTTTACGACCCAGGGATTGTCTTTATTGACGGAAGAACTTACTGTCGTCCAAAACCCAAAGTCATAATTGATTGACGATGAGAATCTTTTCGGAAACCTCTTTGGATTGATCCTCCGACTGGGGATTTTCTTTCCTCTTCCAATTTATGAATCGTGACAGCACCTGATCGCGATCTCGCCAGTCAGTCTCAGAAAGAGACACGTAGTAATATTGATCAAGTGTCAGGTATTTATGAGTGATGTTCTGTTTTTGAGAATTTTGGGGGGGTGCCCTGGGCGAAGAGTTTGGCGCGAACTCTCTAATCTCTCTAATCTTTTGTTCATGTTGATGTGCACCAATCCAGGAAAGGAATGGCATCTATCACGTTTGACGTATTAGCCAGGGTCTGATTTAAACAGTAGGGACAAGGAGTCTCAACTGACATATAGAGCAATCTGATTGGAATCTTTTTCCTCAGGATCGCCCTTGTTCTTGTCATCACTGTTCTCCTTCTCGTTGTCCTTGTCAATTTCGGTATCAGACTCTTTCGCGGAACTCCTTGTTGATCTTGACCGTCTCTGGAGATCGTATGCTGGTCAAATAACTTCTCAAATTTATGTCACTCGTTACCAATAACTCACCAGGCACTGTGGCTTCATGTACTTCTTCCCACCAGCATTCAGCTGAGACCAACTTTTTCTGAGGAACTGCAGAAGAGGTCGATGGTGTACGATTGTGATACCTTTATCTCTCGAGTTACGAATCATGAGATTCTATGTATTGTCAGCATCAAATGGGCATAGACAAAGACAAGAATTGAAATACCTTGAAGCAATCCATCTGAAAACGGTCACCATAATTCAGCGCCCAGCCGATCACAGACATGGATAGAGAAAGACTTACGTCGTTGGTCAGAACGTGGATCCATCTAACATCATGCCTTTGCTTCTGCTCAACTTCTTTGGCTTTTTGTCTTGGCCCATGGTCTTTTTCTCGCCGTGGTGTAGGGTCTATTGCCTCTCGATTTGTCGGAACGGCATTTTCCTGCGCAACAAGAAAACTCAGCAACGTCACCCTAGAAGAAAATGTGCGTGACTCACTGCTTTTTCCTTTGATCCCCAAGATGTGATCGTTTAGCCATGGGTATTTCTGGTTCGTTCCCATCGGCTGTAGCATCCTCTGTGGATCGGAAAAACACATCGTATGAGACGTCACCGGAGTCCATGATGCTCCGGGGACCGGATTTATGGATAATCTCCGTCAATGGACGCCTTTTCAATTGGAAGGTAATCTCTGTACTTCCCTCGGCGTGTGAAAAGTCAACGATCGTTCCCTGTGGAAAATCTTTGTAATCATCAGGACTTGACTCGATTTCTGGGAGAAGACTGTCACCACCCCGAGTACCAGATTTGTTCAGAGGAGGGGGGTTCCCCAACAGTGCTTTGATAGCTTGACATCGTTTGTCATCTGCGGAATTCTTAGAAAGAGTATCCAACATAGAATTGCCATTCTTGATATTTCTCTCATTGATGTAAGCTCCGTTTGATAGAAGCCACCATACGACCTTTGGCAACTTGTGATAGATTGCCAAAGAGAGAATATCGGTTTCAATATTGTTGTTGTGTTCGATTTGATCAAAGAGGGCTTTGAGCTGGACTTCCTCTCTTGGGGGCTCAAACCGGGCTGCAAGCTCAAGGGCCAGCGCTATTTGTTCATCTAGGTCACCCTTGGAAGGTTCAATCATCTTGGTATAACGTTTGATCTCTTGCCACAAGAGCTTTGTGATCTCTCGGTGTTCTGGTTTTTCGCCAGCAGTCGCTAGCGAGATTGTCGTTTCCTTTCTCTCATCCAATGTCTGCTGAAGGATACCTTTTAAGAGATTGGCTGCGGTACTCGGCGTGGGACTCAGGAATGATTTGACCATCTCAACTCTTGCATGTTTGACTGCTATGTGAAGCGGAGTGACGCCTTGGTGGTCCGGATCCAGACCACCCCGGCTATCACGTGGAACAAGTCCAAGCGGGATATGGTTGAACGGGTCTTTCGGATCTCCATCACATCCGATGGCAAATACATGTAGCCACGTTGGGCTTTCTTTTTGCAAGGTGAGGTTGTAGTTGAGTGCTTCCGCTCTCTCTACACACGCTTTCATCAGCCCCAGTCGTTGGTTCAAGATAGCCCAGTAACATATTTGTGTGAGAGATTTATCAATTATCATGGTCTCATACTCTGATGCTCCAGAAGTTGATTGACTGGAGACATCGGAGCCATTTTCAGACCTTGGCTTCAAACTTTCCAGCTTCGATATAAGGAGCTCGTTGACTTTCTCGCACTCCCTTTCATCTGAAAACCATATCTTGTCGGTGGCAAGGTAGTTCAAGGAGTCCTGTGAAAAGTACACAGGGTCTTTCAGAAATTGAAGGACAATATGAACATTTCGATCAGAAGCAGCATCACTCAGGGGGCTGTCGCCCCAATTGTCCTTATGAGAAAGAGTTTTCCGCTTTTTGGATGAGTCCTTATTCAGATGGTCGAGAAACTTTGAAACAAGTTCGTCTTTGTTGTTGAAGCAGGCATGATGTAACGGAGTCCTTCCTGTGTGGCTTGGGCGTATCTCCATATTTCTTTCCAAAAGAACTTCGACCAGGTCGATTCGGGATTCCCTGACAGCATTGTGCAGTATGTTTTCCCCGGCGCTATCGACGGAATAAATATCTGCTTCATTTTCCAGGAGATAATTCACAACCTCGATGAGCGAACCAGAGCCGGCGACAAGCAGTGCGGTTTCACCTTTGGCATTTTTCAGGTTAAGAAGCTCCTTGTCTCTCTTCACGAGGATTTCAACAACATCAATCTTGTTTGCGCTTACAGCTAGATGAAGAGGGGTATCTTCATTATCATCATCTTTCACGCGAGGGTCGGCGTCCTTATCGAGCAGGAAACTGACAATAGAAGCATTTCCAAACTGGCAAGCAAGATGTAGGGGTCTCGCACCGTAACCATTTTTTTCATTCAGGTAGCCTGGCAGTCTTTTGTATAGCCCCTCAAAGCACTCAAGGTTGCCACCGCATGCAGCAAGATGGAGCACTGTATCCTGATTGAGGGTATTCTTAATCTTTGGGCTGGCGCCGCTCTCAAGCAAAAGCTGGACTATGCCATTGTTGCCATTACGACAGGCTCAAAGAAGAGGAGTCCTGCCATCAAAGTTCAGAGCTTCGAGATCGGGTATTTCTTCAAGCAAAATGTGGACAACCTCAAGGTTCTCCTCATCAGCCAAGCTAGTAAGATGTAGCGCCGTGTTCCCAATGTTGTTATAAACAGATCGGTCGGCCCCATCTGATATGAGGTATCTCAGTAACTCTGGGTGCCCGCGTTGCGCAGCATTAAGAAATGCGGTGTTCCCTCCAATGTTTTTCTTTTCTTTATGCTCGATGTTTTTATGTAGGAGAGCTTTGAAAATGTCAAGATGCCCTCGCCAAGAGGCTTCATGAATTGGCAGATTGTCATCATCATCGGACATGCTAAAGTTGGCATTGTTATCAAGCAGGAGCCGAACAACAGAGGATTTGCCACCCTCGCAAGCCAACTGTAGAGCGGTTTTTTTCTTTCTCGTTCGTCTTTTCGAGAAGGTCCCGATTATTCTGCAAGAGAATTTCAACAACTTGATCATGGCCTTCGGTTGCAGCAAGGTGCAATGCTGTGTTTCCCTCGCTATCGACGGCGGCAGTGTCTGTCCAGCTCCCAGGAAGCTCTCCAAGCTGGTCTTGAGATGAGCATTGAGACATCCATCCCAGGAGTATTTCCACAATGTCCGAGTGGCCTAGCCTATAAGCTAGCATCAAAGCCGTCTCGCTGTTTGAATCGTCATCGGCCTCTGGATTTGGAGATTGGTCCTCAGGCGGTGGTGGTTTAGGGGTGGATCGCGGCTGTGAAAGCAATTCTTTCACAGTGTCGGGCCAGCCTTGTTTAATCGCGGCTCTGATGGCTTCGTCCAATCTGAGGTCTTTTGGTATTTTGGGTCAGTGGGTTGGCCTGAGCTTCAGACATTGCATCACAATCACAAATCATACCTTTCAAGCCCTCCCTGGAAGTTTGTCTCTGAAGCTGTTCAGACGTAGAATCCTTTTCACTCGGCTCCATCCCTCTTAAACCCAGAGACCCAGCTCTCTGAAATTCGTGGATAATGCTCAGGTGATGCAGTAAACAATAAAGGTGAGTCTGGAAACGATGTGAAGTGTGTACGGAGTAGTGTCTGCTCCAAAGAGGCCGAAACTGTGAGACAATATTCCGCCTTAAGATATGCGCCCAGTAATCCCAGTAGACCAAGACCAAAGATGAACATTTGAACCGAGCTCGAGGCGGGCCGCCGTCGATCGGCCTTAATTACGGAGGAGCCATGTTCAGCTGAATACGCGGTGATAAGACATGCATAGAGAGGGCGCATCACATCTTGAACACGTAGATTGTTTGCTTTGAGACCCGCAATTGATGCGGAGCAGTCGACTGATAGGTACAAGTTAGGATCCTTGGAGCTTGTAGGATTGGGCAAGGTTGGGTACTTTGGCATCAGGCTAGCAGGGGTCGACAAATGGTTGATCATTTTGGCGCCAGCGCCGGAAAATCACTGGTTTCGAGTACCACCAAATTTTGCGATCAACCCTGATGCTGATGTCTCCGCACGAACGACAAATGGTGTCGGTTGGTGGAAAGATGACTCGTCATCTCGTCATATCCTCGGATCAGACCGAGAATCCCCTTGATTCGACAAGAGATACAGAATTTACTCCGTACATGATGGGCGGAATATGAAAGCTCTGCGGGCTGTGGTAGAAGAAAAACTTGGAAAGTGAAGTAGTTTCCAGCAGATCCATGGAAACTTGCTACGAGAAATCAGTAGAGCAGGCAATTATGGGGCATCAATTGCAGAAAAAGAGCATGAATCGTGATATTTCATCTTTGCAAGCCATAAACAACCTCAAAACATTAATCATAATAAACACAACACCAAGAAAAAGATAGCGGTAGGGGAATCAAGCCAACCCAAAATCCAAACAAGAAAAACAAGAATCAAGCTTCGTCGTCCACAACACAGAGAAACTAAGCACCACCACGACCCATTCTCTCAATGGAACCCATAATCCCTCGACCAGGAGTAGGCATGGCAATTCCAGACTTCCCACCACTGTTACCACGCGAGTGCGCAGGAGCACCGAATCGAGGAATTCTCTTCTCAGCAGTAGCAGGGGGACGAATATTTCCAGAGCCAGAGCGAGGAATGCTGCGACGGAAGTCATCAGGAGTCACGTCGCGAGACAACCGGGTTTCCTCAGCTGGACCATGAGAAGAAGCAACGGATGCTTCGCGCTCGCGCTGAGGCGCGGGTTGGGGCGCGGGCTGGTTTTGCTGCATTGCTAGCCACTCGTCAACGGCTGCGACAAGCTCGCCCTTCTCTGCGCGTTCGACCTCGAGGTCTGAGCGGATACGCGCGGTTTCTTCTTTAAGGGAGGCCATTTCACCTTCCAGACCCTGGATATGGGCCTCCATGACACGCTTTTCGGCTTCGTGCTCTTCATGCTCGCGAGCGGAGAGACTGGGGTTGGAAGCGACCATCGGATCAGATTGGGCGTTGTCACGCTCTTGGCGGAGGTGCTCCATCTCTTCACGGGCGGCAGTGAGTTTCTTCTCGGACTCTCGGAGACGTTTCTCCCAGCGGTGCTCATAGCTCTTCTTCAGGGCAGCAACCTTGGTTTCGTGTTTGCCCTTGTAGAGTGTGTGCAGTTCCCGAGCCACCTTTTCAACAGCATCCTGAACTTCTCGTGCGGTATCCTCAGCCGAAGCAGAAGCAGAGCGACTGTTGGTAGACGGTACAGAAGCACGTGCGGCAGAAAGTCGGCTCTCGAGCTCTACAACTCTCTGTTCCAATTTTTCTTTGCCCTTGTCGGCTTCTTCAGCCCTTTGCAAGAGACCCTCACGTTCGCGTTCTCCGTCAGTCAATTGAGATTGTACAGACAGCAGAACGGTCTCCATTTCCTTGCCTCGACGGCCCCATTCAGCTTGCTCGATCTCCAGCTCCTCCTTCAGAGCAGCTTCGTTGCGCAGCTCTTCCAGAGCTTCACCGACACGTCTCTCGGAGTCAACAACCGCCTGCTTCAAGCTGGCAACCTCGGCATCTTTCCCACTGAGAGTAGCCCTCAGTGAAGAAATTTCCGACATGAAGCCAGACTTGAGCGATTCTAGCTCACGCGGAGTAACGGTAGGGATAGATCGAGGAGTGGGAGCAGGCGGGATATCAAAGTCCAAAAGGGATGACATTTTCCCGGGCGAGCGCATGGATTGTCTGGTAGGCCGCATGGGCGAGCGCCGCGGGGAGAAGCGAGCATTCTGCATGGACTGACGAGGGTGGAAGTTCATGGAATCGGAGAAATCTAGCAAATTGCCAGACTCAACCGGGTTCATCATCTCCCGAGGACCTCTAGGCCTTGGGGTGGGTGATCCTGTAGGCGAGTTTTCTTCGAGTTGGACGCTTGTTCTGTAAGACCTACGGCCAGTTCCTGGGGTTGTCGGATCGAGACTGTGCCGATGTCCCCCGGCTGAGCTTCGCATAGACTTCATCGGGGACTGGGATCGAAGCTTCGCAAATGTGGTCATGTCCGGTACGGCGGAGAAGGTACTCAAGCAAGTGTCATCCATGGAGTCATCGACCATCAAGACTTCGTTTGATCCGTGCGCTTGGGTGGCGTTCTCTTTGTCGCCGTCTTCATGCAGCACTGTACTCATGCCCTCGTTGTGCCTATCTTCCATAAGACTGTTTCCGATGACTGAACGGTCCTGTGCAGCACCCGTTGAAAGCAGGCTCTGATCTTGAATCATACTAGAATCTCCCGCGTCGACGTGAATTCTTGGCGGCTCCGGTCTGCTGATCATGCCTTTCTTGTGACTTGCGTGGATTTGCATACTTTCTTCTTGGTCCTGAGGAGTTTGATCGTAAGATCTCTTGCGGGGGGTTGCGGCGGACGGGCGCTGGCCATTGAGACCCAGGGAGATCCGTGAGATCCGACGTGGCTTGTGAAGATCTAGTGTATGCTCCTTGGGGCTTGGCTGGGAAGCTGGAGCAGATACCGGTGCTGGCGCAGGAGACGAGTAACGACGCTCTTCCTGGGGTGTTGATTGCTTCTCATTTGGCTTGGGAGAACCAAAGCTCTGCTTCTTTGGACTTGGGCGGAGGGGAAAAGGCACTGGGGCAGGTGAAGAGTGATGAGAATCTTCCAATGGTTCTGGCTGTGGGACATGTTGTTCCAATTGCTCCTCTGCCTCTGGGTTCTCGGGCTGGAAGGGCGAGCCCGGCGACTCAGCACGGGGAGAGCCAGGAGCTATCGGCGAGCCTTCCCGCGCATCAAGTGGCTGCGGAGATTGTGAATGCGCGACTGGAGCCCTGTACGAGTAACGGAAAGGTGAGCTCTCCGGCTCAGGTGATGGCTTCGCCTCGAATACAGGCGATTGATTCTGCGTCTCACGCAACTGATCGAAATCAACAGTCTCTTCCTGTGCGTCAGGTCGGAACGGTGAGCTCGCTGGCTCCTCAAGCGCCAATCGTTTCTCAATACCAGGTGACAAAGGCTCCACCTCACGCAACTCCTGGAAATTCACAGTCTCTTCTCTTGCATCAGGGCGGAATGGTGAGCTCGCCGGCTCGGGTGAAGGCTGCGCCTCAAACACAGGCGATTGATTCTGCATCTCGCGCAGTTTATCAAAGTCGACAGTCTCCTCCCGAGCATCAGGGCGGAACGGTGAGCTCTCCGGCTCGGGCGAAGCCTGCGCCTCAAATACAGGGGACTGATTCTGCACCTCGCGCAACTGATCGAAATCCACCGTCTCTTCCCTCGCATGCGGGCGGAATGGAGAACTCTGCGGACTCTCCTCCTCCAACTGATGGAATTCCGGACGTGCCAAAGGCGACGATTGCTCTTCCTGCGGGTTATGGAATTGCGCCGTCTCATCAGCCGCATGGGGTCGGAACGGAGAACTCATCGGCTCCTCCAAAGCAAGCCGCCTATCCAACCCCGGTGACATCGCATGCACCTCGCGTAGCCTCTGGTAGTCCACGGTGTCATCCGCGACATTTGGGCGAAACGGCGAACTTGCGGGATCTTCTTCTTCAAGAGGATCTAATTGCGGGTATGCTTGTGAAGTCTGTCGCATTTGACGCATTCTCTGAAAATCGACTGTTTCTTCGCGTGCCTCGTACTGGAACGGTGAGCTGGCGCCGGCTTGATATGAGCTGGCATCGTTGAAGTCATGGTCATCGTGGTTCTCGTGGTCGTTCTCGTAGGCAGGTTCATTATGGTAGTTTTCGTTTTCGTTTTCGTTGTCATTTTCGTCGTAGGCGTGGGGGGAAGACATTGCGCGATTTGTCCACTCTCTCTTGAGAGGGCTGAGAGGGGCGGGGTTTTCTGACGGTGCGTCCAGAGTCTTGTGGAGGAAGGGCGAGGAGTTCGCCATTTGCGATTGCGCGCGCGCTTCTGGTAGGATGATGAGAGGGGGGAGAGTGGGTTTGTCATATTGGTTGATGAAGATGGAGGATTGTGTGTATGCGATTGTATTTACACTCGCCTAGCCTCGAGTATAAGTACCCAGTTGTTCCGAAGGCAGAGTTTGTGTATATCGTCGAGTTGCCGTGCGGACGTTGCTAAGTAAACAAAGCTAAGCCCGATTAGGAAAGGTGCATCCAAACTATCGTGCAACGACTATAAGGATTGCTGTACGACGTTCGCAAGGGACTGGATTATTTGATGATACCTTCTGAATGAGAATTTTGAGATATTTGCTAGGACAACTGTATTTCTAAACAAACCCAAACGCCGTGCAAATGCCATGCAAATTCCAGACATATGCCCAATGTAATGACGCCCAACGCTAGATCAAGCTAACAACTCTTTTTTGTACAAAATTCCCTGCCCCCCAATATGGGTGAGTCAGAGCAAAGAATATACACGTGTCTTAAGAAAATTTCTATAACCGCATGACCTCATTGTGGAACAGCGGTCTGTTCATGTGAATCGCCATCGTTGACGATGATATGAACAACATCGTTATGTGGCTGCTCTGGAACAGCAACATAATCAAAAGGTGGTGCAGGCTGCACGCAAGCTGAAGAATGGCGGTTTTGCTGAATGAACCACAGTTGCAAAGCGCCGATCACAGCAACGAGGGTACTGCCCCACCAGGCGAGAGCAGTGCAGCCAACTCTTGATCCATAACTGTACAAAAAACCAGCAATTGGAGGGGCAAGAGTGCGAGAAACTGCCCCAGCAGACGCAGCTAATCCATTGATCTTGCCCATGACCGAGTCTGAAGGGCTAGCCTGCTTGATGAGGATCAAGAGCACGGGATAGTCGATGATAGAGAGGATGTTGCGGGTGATCAGGCAGGTATATATCCCGCCGTAGACAAATTGGCTAGGCAAGAAAGCCAGGAATGGGACCATGAAGTAGGCAATTGGATGCAGAACTGTGACGATGACGAAAAGTCGCCAGATTCCGAGGTAGTGTGCCAATGCGGGGAAGATGATGCTTTGGATGACAATTGCGATGATACCATCAGTGGACATGATGACACCCACTGTTCTAGTCGACAGTCCAACTCCGCCTGATATATCAAAAACCGAAGATGGCGAGCCTGTTCCATTCTTGTCCTGCAAGAAAATAGGCAATAGATGGTCGTATGTCATTGAGTGGTAGGTGAAGATAGTCAATGCCAACACAAGCATGATGACCTTCCACGTGAAAGCCTTCGGCTTGGGTAGTTGTTTCCAAGAAGGTGATGATCCATCGGCCTGCACAGTCCAATTTTCATCCTGGTGAAGATGGACCTGGTTGAAGGTGCCGTAAGACTCCGCCCGAAGGTCCACAGCGGCATTGGCAGTAGCACCTGAAGTGACGAGCAGAGGCTGTTCAGCTGCATGATCGAAGTATCCATGGGCCGGATTGGCCTGCATGTCCGGATGAGTCTCCTGCAAGAACAGCCAGCTCCCAATAATACTAAAGAGGAGCAAAACCGAGCAGACAAGGTTGGGCAAAAGGAAAGGAAACTTTCCAAAGAGACCATCCACGGGGAACAAAGAGGGATAGTTATCAGCAGGCTTTGCAAGGAGGCCACCAATAGCTAGTATGTCGAGTTAGTAAAGAAGCTAAACAATGTTCCACTTGAGAATGATATACATACCAGGACCAATAATGGACCCAATCGACCAAACAAAAGGCATGATAGTGTAAGCTCGAGCTGAAAAATCTCAAAATGAGTATGAATCACAGATACAAGACAATTGAAACTCACGTTCATGCTCTGGCCGCTTAACAAGCTCACCAACCATAGTCTGAATGACTCCGATATTACCATTCAGAGCACCCCCGAGAGCGCGACCAATGAGCGCAACCCAAAAGTTCGGTGCCAGTCCAACCAAAAGTAAAGACAGCATGGTACCAACACACCCCGAGAGCAGGATGGGTTTGCGACCTACACGGTCCGAAAGCCCGCCCCAGAACATACCGGTAAGAGCCTCGGCGAGCGAGAAGGCCGAGATCAGAATACCGGCGTAGAAAGAGGCATTTTCATCATCCACATGGAAGTCTTTGACCATCACCCATGAGTATGGGAAGATGGAGGTCAAGGCGATTGGCTCTGCGACTCGACATATTGCTATTTTGCGTTAGTGGATGGCGGATGACACGGGACGAAGAGAGAGATTGAGAGAGAAAGAGTGCGAAAGAGTACTAAGTACTACATACCGAGAAGAAAGAGTTGAACGGTAGGAAAACTGTCGTCGGACGACTGGAATCTCTGTGAGGTTAACGCCATAGTCCTTGAGAAGTAGCTATGATCTTACGACAATCCCTAGAGACCTAGTGGCAACTACCACTGCAATGCCGTGTAAACCGAGATCACAAATACAGTAGGAAGATTGAAGATATGAAAGAGGGGAAGAAGTTGGACATGAACCTTAATGAGGCCGGTCCAAGTTTTTTTTCGGGGCCAAGAACGGGTCGGATGCAAAAACTTACCTTATCCGTCCCTCAACCCTTGAACGAGCATTCCCATGCTTAGCAGGGCAATATGATTCGGATTATAGAGACGGAAACAATTAAGGGGCAATTTGTCTACTCCATTGTTCTCATCTTCTAATTATGAAATGCAAAAAATAGTTACTCCGTATTCTATGTTCATTAATGCAATGGTGCGACGTGCTGGGTCAGGCACCGGGTAAAACTTTTTAATGTGGCAAACGCACGGGGAGCTTGTAGCACGGAGCAAGCAAGTCTCATCCTTTGCTGGATGCATATACTCCATCAGGATGGCCTATCATACTGCATACAGCTTAAATACAATGCATTAGATAATGTATTCCAGTCAAACAATATGTACTGAGTACATCGGACAAGTCGGTCTTCCGTCCCCACTCGAGCGTTGGCCGAGTTTCTTAAACGCGGACTGACCAATCACAGGGCACAGACTCCGCGTGGATGGAGACACTAGCCCAAAGTCAAAGACCCGCAACTGCAGGACGATGGGGCCAAGGCCGGAAGTAGCTGATTCTCACGTGTTACTTCTGACTTCAGGACTCAGTGGAAATTCTGAAATGGGAATGAACAGTCTGTTGAGACGATCTGATTTCTATGACAGTAAAATGAGGCTAGTCCACAGAAGCGAAACAAATAGAAAAATGCCATCGAACCCCATAGCCCCCTGCGCCGGCTAATCCACTGCTATGCGGTCCGGATTGTATTTAGACAAACGAAAAGGTCAAAAAGCAAAATAGACAGTGTGAATGAATGGATAAGTATCAGGTGGCCTCCCGATGTGTGGGTGAACTGGTGATCTCGACGGAGCGAGTCTCGAGTTCTTTGGGAAGGCTGCCTGCACCCTCGTGTGCCTCTGTACGGGTTTCAATGATAGGTTGTGTTTCGTGGGTCTCTGAAGTCGGCTGATGTACTGACGGGGTAGCACTGGAAGACCCTTCAGCCGGGGGCTTGTTCGAGGTATCCTCGACGTGCTCTGCAGATTCATCGCCTTTCTCCTCGTCGCCAATTACAGCGGCGAGACTGCGGAAGTTGAACAATGGTTCGGAGTTGTTATTGCCGTCCGCGGTGTGACCAGTACGATCATCGGGGGTGGTCTCCGTGAGGGAGGAAAAAGATGAAGATGCACTGGAAACTTGTCGGAGTTGGGATTGTCGCGAGGGCTCGGGGTGGTCAGGCAGCGTCGCTGCGGATGCAGGGTCGAGGCTGTTGGAATCCAAATTCTCAGTCGATGGCGCACGATCGACTCCCTTGCCCTTGCCAGCAGTAGCAAGTTCTTCTCCAACGGGGTCCTCGCCAATGACAGAGGATGAGCTACTCGTCACCTTGCCTAGACTAGGCTCGCCAGGGACATCCAAAGCTGAGGTACTGGCATTGTTGCTGTACAATCCAGTCTTTCGAGCTACTTTATCTGCCCTCTTGGCCTCTTTCTCCTTCTCTTTCTCCCTCTTCTTGGCCTCTTTCCGCGCCTCTTTCTCCTCTCGCCTGAGGCGCTCGTCTTCACTAGCCAAACTAAGTCGAATGGCTTCCATCATCATCATCTCCTCAAGATCATCGATGCGATTACGCCTTGAGCTGGAGCGCGGAGCTGCCAAATTACCAGAACCTTCCTCGGCAGAAGCAGAATCCGTATCTTGCGCAGCCGCCCGAGTGTGCGTGCGATCGGGACCGGCACGCTCGGTCAAGAAAGCCAACGCATTGAGAGCGGGCGACACGGTCCGGCCGCTGTGCCCTTCCCCGCCGGTGGCTCTGCGCATCCCGCGACGTCCGATGCCAAAGCCTCGTGAGTCACTACCCGATGCAGGGTTAATAAGATAAGCCGCGGTGTGCAGGGCCGTGGCTGCCGCAGACCGACGAGCCGCGTGGGCGCGGGCATTTGACAGCTTGGTGGCCCAATCGGGCCGGATTTTATCTGTCGTGACTACGGTAGGATCGGTGGCAGATAATGACGTGGCACGGCGACGACCGGGCGTAACAGTGGGCAGACCCAGGGAGGAGGTGGAGGATACGGGGGAGGTGAAGTTGGGCGAGAGTCGGGCACTGGGGTCAGCCGCATATGTCAGGCCTCGACGGAAGGTGGGTGGCGCATAAGTCACTCCGAATTCGGGCTGGACACAGAAGGGACAAGCGGAAGGCTCGGAGACTAGTTGCGATTCCGTTGCTTCCGCTTGCTCGCCTTCAGCTGGAGGGGCGTTCGCATTGGGCTCTGCGTGCTCTGGGACATGGGGGTCGGGACGCTTAATTTGTACGAAACATTCGGAACAGATTGGTTGATCACAGCACCGGGTGCGGTTCAGGTACGGCGGATAGTAGAGGAAGCAGATCGGACATTCCGCCGCGTCTTTGTACAAGTTGACTTCGATGGGCTGTCCATTTACGAATGGATCCTTGGGAAGCTGCAGTTCCCGCGGTGATAAGTCCGTCTGTGAACCATGCTTAGAGGAGGTAAGGCCTGCGAGCGTCTTCGCTCTAGTTCGGAAAAGCGGTGATGTTGATGTCCCAGAAGCGATAGGAGATGAGGAGGGGAGCGATTGAGGGGGATTTGACGCTTGGGAGGCATCTGAGTTCAAAGATTGTGATCTGGACCCGATGGGCACTGTGAGATGCTGAATATTTGTCGCATCGAGAGGGGGTCTGTCGCCCGACCGAGGTAGTTTGTACTCTAGTTCGGGTGGAATTTCATCGGGCGGGGGGGATGGGCATCCCTCGCGCGGCCGCCATCAGCTGGTGCTCGGCCCATGACTCCGAGAAGTCATCCAGGCCGCGCCAGAAGGGAGCCAAACGACGTTCAATCTACTTTGTCAGTCGGGCGCATCCTGGGTAAAGGGAACGTTAAGGGGTGTACCTACCATCAACTGCCGGACGACCGGTTTGCTGTAGTCCTCTGTCCCGACGTAGACACCCTGTGTGACCAGATAGCCTCCATCGACATGCTCCTCTTTCATGCTGCGTTCTCTCTCCTTCAGACGAGCGACCCGTTCCTTCTCCTGGCGTCGAGCCTCTCGCTCCTGTTTTGTCTCCCGCCTGTGTTCCGGCGCTGCCGCATCGCGATCATGACTACTGCCGAGGCCGAGGATGGAGAGATCCGGGCGACTGCCTCTAGCGGTCCGGGAGCCATGGTAAGGGCGACTGGCGGCATCGGAGCCCCCCGGCGACAATTGCTGGCTGCGGCGGCGCGAGGGAACTGCGGAGCGGGATTCCTTGGTTTGGGAGTTTCCCATGTTGCGAGTATAGATGAGGGGGTCCGGTTATCGCGGATAACAGGAAGCGGAGGAGAACCCCCTTGGGGGTATAGAGGGGGAATGCAGAAAATGAAGGAAACTAAAGCGAGGAAGACATAGGAAAGTTTAAGAGTGGAGGAAGAGGCAAGGAGCGGGGGTTGTGATCTGTCCGGAGTGACTGGGGAAGTGAGATCGGTGAGGGAAAACCGTGAGGCCGAGACTCTCAAACGGATGTGGCGGATCCTTATGTAAATACAAACATCTCGCCCTCTCTATTACTAAATTCGACTTATATCGAACTAGATCTTAATCTGGTCTATTTTATCTTCTTCTTCACCTCTTATTGGATCAGCTGGCCTTGCGGATTCACGATTCACATCTTGACAGTGCCTTGGTATCCACCTATGCATGCCCAGAATAACCTATACGTAGCAAACCGGTTAGGGGTAGGCAGAACCGTTACTACTTCACCGATATAATAAGGTCAAATCACATAGGCAGATAGACACTCCAAGGCTTATACAACGTGGACGCATTTCAGTGAAGGATGATCCATCGTCATCATCAAGTCATGCCAGGGAAAGCAGCCATCTGGGCTTTCTCCACTCTTCCCATCCGGGACTTGCGAGCGATGATCTCAATCCGGTTTTGACGTAGGAGTCCGTTAATTTCACGATAGGGCTGACCTGAAGTATTATTAATGGTCTCTGGATATGGGAATAGGCTAGTCGAAATTGGCAATTTGAAACAGCATCGAGACATTGTAGATTATTCAGGGCTGAACATATGCCTCGGCTTGGGTCCAGGCTCGGGCTCAGCTACATGTGGCCGTCATACTCCGTATAGGCCTACTTCGTATCAGGAAAACACTCTTTACTTTCTCTATTTGTGGTCATCACGAGACCTGCAGGTCATCAATACTTCGGACTTCCTATGGAGTACTCGGTACTTCCATTGGCAACTTCTCTTGGCTCTCCACACGGCCCCACAAAGGCATCAAAGTCAACGTACTATACTCCGTAGGTACTATATGCATTCACGCAATGCTATCTCATAATGTCCGATATTTTGGTTTCAAGGGTGAATTTTCTCAGGTGATGATCAGGCATCTGATCTCCAGGGCTATATCTATAGATGTTGGCAGGATGACATCCTGTTTCAACCAATGTGTGGCTGTATACTCTGTTCCCGAGTATAAAAATGAGGCGAAGCAACCTGGAAAGATCAGATGGCTAGGTATACTATCGATAAAGAGCTGAAAAAAGAGCTGAAAAAAGAGCTGAAAAAAGAGCTGAAAAAGGATATGAAAAAAGACCCTTCGAAAACATCTAAAAAGGACCTGAGTACGTGGTGTTGTAGAAGATGGGCCAATGAAGCATGCCTCGTGCTCTCTCGCTCTCTCTTCTCTACTTCCCTCCCCATATTAGGATTGCTAGCAAATGACTGAAGCCTTCATCAACTTGCCAGAAGCTAGCAATCTGATATGTATAGACATTTGAGGATGCTCAAGAACCATGGTACCCCACTTCTGCAGTCAGTACCTGGGAAGAAGTAGCTTATGACTATCGCCGCACGCTTACCCTTTTTGTGTCGGCCTTCGGCATATCGGAAGAACTTTTTCAGTGCCATGATCGAGCAGTGAGGCCCAGAGATATCAAAGCTGTGTGGTCAATTTCGTCAGCACCTTGAGAAGCTTACACCTGAGAACTTCTCAGGTTCCAATTGATAATTCATATCAGCATGCAGCGGGTTAATTAATAACCTGATTGGGAATCCGTCTAGTTCGTATCGCGCTGAGCCCATTTGACCAGGGTTAGTAACAAAAAGGATGCATTCCTCGGGGTTAGCTTTTCAACAATACACAAAGGGAGCCCGAGTGACTGCCTAGATCATCAAAACGCACCTAACTGCGTGGCATACTCGCTAAACACCTGTTGTTCGTTGAGTCGTGGACTTAGAAAGTGGTCAATGAAGTCGCGTCTCCACTCGTCCTCGTACCAACAGGTGTAAAGGGCTTTGCTGTACTCCCAGTAGTCCGGATACCACCCCGATTGTTCCCAATCCACGAGTGCAAGGACTCGAGTCGGCTTGGTAATGGAGACCAGGATATTTTCACGGTGAAGGTCGGCATGAGTGAATTTGATCACTCCGTCATCAGGTAAAATATATTGGTAGGGGTCGATGAATTTCATCGAAGGAGGCAAAAATCGCTGCGGTAAAGTAGAAAACCAGTCAATGAAGTCTTTGATCGTGGAAAAAGGCTTGGTTTTTGGCATAAATTCAAACGTATTGTCCGGAGGATGCTGGCGGCTTAGCGAGCCTAAACCAGAACTGTTAGCTGCTGATGAGACCACCCTTGGTCGTGACGAGCATACCAATGAATTGATCGGAGGGGTTTTGTTCAAGTTGGCGTAGACGTGTGATTATGCGACACAAATCACTGCGAAGAGAGGACTTGTCCTCGCCATCAAACTCATTCCATGCGTTGTGAAGCGTTTGTCCCTGGATATGCTCCATGTAGATAAAGACTTCTCCACCGTCGACTCGCCAGCCATAGACTTCGGGAACTGGAACCTCGTCGCCGAAAGTCCGCTTGATGAACCAAAGACATTGCGCTTCTCGGATCGTGGCCTCACGGCCATACTTGACGAAGATTTTGGATTCGTCGAAGATGACACCCAGAGGCCGAACCCCTCTGCGTTTACCTGTTGCCAGAGCTCTCACTTGTGCTGGTGTCGGGAGGTCTCTACTGGGGTCTTTGGCGAAGAAGGAAGAGTCAAGGAAGTTCATCTCCTGCATCGACTCGTCAGGAAGGTCTCTCGCAGTTGCCGGGATTTTCAAGATTGTGGCTTAAGGTTCCTCCTGTGGTGGGCCGGGATGAGGGTTTTCCATCGCTGTGATGGTGTCTGGAATATCACTTTGGGGTGTCATACAAGTCCGGGGTACGAAGTAAATATGGTGAAGGTTGCTGACGCATCCAGGGTGGCAGCCCTGGGGACAAGGCACCAAGGCACCAAGGCCAACATGATCGGCAACTCCACCAAAAGGCGGTGGCACAAAGTACATAATTTTTGCCAAAAAAAAAGAAAGCTTCGATTGAAACGTTATATTATGCATCTTTGATAGCCTTCTCTTGCCGTGACAAAGGACTTATCCGGCAATGACTGAAGCTACCGAATCAATCAGACTACACATCTGTCCTTTCACCCCAGACATCCTTCCGTCTGTGCTTCCAGCATCGGTTCGCAACTTGGCCACGGACGTCTCCTTCCACGAAATCGCTACATTTCCAGAGAACAATTACGGATACGTCACGCTACCGAAAATGGAAGCCGAAAAAATCAAGAAGAAGTTGAACGGGGCCATGCTCAAGGGAAAGAAGTTCAAAGTCGAGGCCGCTCGCCCGCAAAAAAGACATCTTGAACTAGAAGACCCGGTGCCTGAAACCGATGGCTCTAAGCAGAAGTCCAAGAAATCCAAAAAATCCAAAAACGAAGAGCCAGAGGATGGCGTGGTGGAGGGCTTCGAGTTGCCAGAAGGCCGCAAAGTAAAGAGAGGCTGGACAGAATCCAACGACGCCAAGCAGGAAAGACGCAAGTCGGAAAAGAAGGAAAAGAAAGACAAGGAAGCAAAATTGCAGCCCAAGTCCAAGTACACCGACAAGTCCGAGTGCCTGTTCCGAGCAACAATCCCACCCAACCGAGCAGCCGACGCAGCAGCCGACGATAAGAAAGCCAAAAAGAAGAAGACGAAAGATAACGTGGTCCACGAGTTTACCAAACTCACCACCCAGCCGAGTTTCTTACGTACCACCCAAGAAAGCGTACCGCCTACGGCTACATTCGAAGAAGGGAAGGGCTGGGTTGATGCCGAGGGAAACTTGAAAGAGGCAGCCAACGAGAAGATCAAAAAAGATAATAAACTGCCTGGCCAGGTCGCAGGTGCCAAGGAAAAGCACCGAGCCACCAAGTCTGCAGACAAGAAGAAGCGCTCTCGCAAGGAACCGACCCCCGAGGAGTCTTCGGAATCTGAGGATTATACTTCGTCCAGTGGATCGTCTGCCGAAGAAAGTAGCGATACGGATAGCGAGGAGGAACAACCTGAAAAATCATCAGCTTCTTCCGATTCTGAAGAAGAAGAAGAAGAAGAAGTCAAGCCGCAAGCTGCTCAAGAGGCAACAACAAAATCCTCAGATACCAGCGAATCCGAATCCGAAGCCCAAGCCGAAGCCCAAGCCGAGCCAACCAAGGCAGACTCCGAAGAGCCAACCCCGGAGACCCCTGCGACGGAGGACCTACCCGCCAAGGAGGTTCATCCGCTAGAAGCTCTTTTCAAGCGTGCAGCGCCCACAGCGTCCGAAGAGCAGCCAAAGACAGAGCCCGAGGCTGGATTCAGCTTCTTTGGCAATGACATTGAATCTGAGGATGAGCAGTCTGAGCCGCAGCCACCTTTCACACCTTTCACCAAAAATGACCTGCAAAACCGTGGCCAGCGCAGTGCGGCTCCTACACCCGACACTGCTGCTGCCACCCGCCATACCAAGTGGAATGAGGAAGAGGACTCGGATGAGGCTTCGATTGACAGCCCCGTGAAGGCTCGCACCAGTGACGACAATGAAGAAACCGAATTCGCCAAGTGGTTCTGGGAGAACCGGGGAGACAACAACCGCGCATGGAAGAAGAGGAGACGTGATGCTGCCAAGGAGCAGAGACAGAGAGACAACCGAAAGAAGGGCATCAAGGGCAGGTCCTAACTGTAAAAGCGATATCTGTATCTATTCTACACATAACTAGCCTTTGTGGCCGTATAGCACAACAATACCATGTAATTTCAAACTCAGTGTCAACAAGCTTATCAATAGAACATATTCCCTTCAAATGATAAACTTATTGTTACGATTAGTTTCTTATGCAACCCCGGTCTTCTCACTGCATATCCAGTCAATGCATATACAGGTCATGTGACCTTATCCTCGTCATCAAAGCCACGCAAAGCGAGTCCATCGCAACGCCAACCACACCCAATATGCCACCAGGACGGAGCTCGCGCGGCATTCAGCTGCTGCTGCTTCTACTGACATTCCTATCACTCTCATCATTAACCCTAGCCGCGAGTGAGTGGACCACCAAATGACCTCCCGCGGTCGCATACTAATATCATTAGCACCGACCTCCTTCTGCAAATGCACCTGCTTCTCCAATAGCACCATCATTCCACTCGACCCCGGAAAGTCAGAATCGAGCATCGACCACCTCCTCCACTTCTACGAGCGCGACGCCAGCACCGAGCTCGAGCATACGGACGAATACATCAAGCGCGCGCAGAAATACCGATCGCTGAGCTGCAACGACTGCAATCGCAAGTTCTGTTTGGACTACGAGCTGCCGACGTGCAAGGGCGCGAAAGAGGAGAACGTCAACACGACTTGTTTCCGTATGTGGACTTGAAATGGAGGGACGAGATACGGGCGCTAATAAGACCAGAACGAGACTCGAAGAAAGACGAAGCGGTCATTTTTATTTTTATCTTTGTTACGGGGGGACTGTTGGCTTGGGCGGCTTGTAAGCCGTGGATTGAGCGATACGCCGAGGTAGGTTCCTCTTGCAGGGCTATGAGGATTGGACTTGGACTGACAACGCACTGCGTACAGGCTGCGCGAGAACGCAGATCGTACATGCCCGTTGCCGAAGATCGAATGTGAAAACATACGAGTGGAATTGCTTGAAAATATACCCCAGATAATTGTTATGGAGTCTAAACCCGACATTTGCAATCTATGCCATTGTGCCGTTATCAACATCAAGATCGCCATTGTAGGGGGTCAATGATGACATTAAGAACTTGCGATCGGCGCCGACGAGAGATAACCAATGGCCGCAGCCGGCAGATCGATAGACACTGATTTAGGCACAAAGTCTTGAATAATTGCGGAATGGATAAGCGAGTTCGGGTTCAGGGGCTTAGGCTACGCCGAGAGGGTTTCCAATAAGAAACGATCGTGGACAGATCTATTGGCCCTAATGCGCTTAGTTTGGACAGATCATATTAATTTCGCCCCCACCTGAAACAAGATATGAGAGTTTGTACGAGTACGGGAGTATGTGTCTGAGTATGAACGTGTTTGCCGTGAGCAAACTGGATCGGAGAGGAATGTGAGATGAGGGACCGCAAACGTCAGAGACATTTGGATCATTTGGAATGATAAAAGAACTAAAAAAACACCAGCAGAAAGCAGACAGCAAACGAATAGAAATTTCCTGGATCGAAGTGGATAAACCAACTGAAAACCTGCATCAGGAAATTAACGGTCCGCATCAGTCTCTCTAGTGTTTTCTGTTTTTTTCTCTCCGATATATCTACTTCTTCCCGCTTTAATTTCTCTTTGATTTATTAAGGATCACATCTGAGTGCTCATATACTGGTGGCGTCAATAAATATTGAATCTACTCCGTCCATCTTATACAATGGCCATCTTCGATTCGGAGAAGCGCCCACGAGGCCTGCGTGTCCCATCCCTTACAGCAATGAAGTCCTCTGCGGCCGCCAAATCGCAATTCTCCTTCCACAGCAAGAAATCCACTGAATCCGTGCCCTCCGAAGAGTCACAAGTCAAGGCAGCCCCTCCACCACCACCAAAGCCAGCACCACCCCCCAACAAGGAACTACCCATTCCCCCTCAGGATCTACCAGCCATTCCTGCCCCCTCCCAACTCACCGAAAACCCCTACTTCCCCTCCATCCGCGATGCCCAAGAGCGGCGTCCAATCCAACGGGTCCCTGTCCCCGCGCCAGCGCCAGCGCCAGCCCAAGCTCCCGCTCCCGCTCCCGCAAAGGCCCCCTCGCCCCGCGCAACCGGACTGCGTAACAAGGCATCGCAGCCCGATCTGCGCGTCCAGGAGCCCACCCCACCAATGACGCTGCCCCCAGCGCCCCAGTACCCGACCCCCCAGCCCTCGCCTCAGCCCGCAGCGCAAGAGCCCCAAGAAGTGCGCGAAGTCCAGGACGAACCTAGTCCTCAGCCTGAAGACTTCATTCCTACCCCGGACAGCGCCGAGCCGAATGAGATTCCATCTGCGCGCTCAGAGGATACTTCGCCCTATGTCGCACCGGACTTTGAGCCCGTGGCGCCGAGCCTGAACAAGACCCATTTGACCTGTTATCAGGAGCATCGGGCTATGCCGATTGCGCAGAACAAATGGTGTCCGATGCCTTGCATGACGTGCAATAAGTTCGATACGGAGATCAGACACCGATGTGTGTTCTGTTGCTTGCGCGTTTGTGAGGGGTGTTATCAGATGTTGCAGAAGTGCAAGAACCGGTCTGTGGAGGAGCTTGTTGATCGGATTGCGTGAGATTTGACGTGATTTTTTGAAATCAATCCGAGTATGTCTTTGCATGGTTTTTTTTGATATTCTGTTGCGTTTATTAGTTATCTTGTTTTATGATACCAAGGGCCTCATGTATATTATGGTTTTAACCAGAGGGCCGGAGTTGCATGTTTATAATGAATAATACCTTTTCGGTTCGCTTCGCAATCCATGCATTTGACGTTGGGAAAGGCTCATGTTTCAATCGTGATCTTCCTCCGTAAGCCCAGGACACCCTTGCAGCTCTTCCTCCGTCTCGTAAGCATATTTACACCAGAAACAATACCGATGTTCCTCGCGCAGGTACATCACCAGCTTGTGTAGCCGTTCACTGGGCGCAAGGGCATTGAACGCATCAAGCTCTTCATCTTCATCGTCAAGCTCGATCTCCAGTGCCGACGTCTGGTGATCAACTTGTCCAAGAGCTTTCTTGTCGTCCCGCTCCAGCGTCGGATCATCGTATTCAGGTAACTTCGCCCTCGGGAAAAATGATGACGGCAACGAAGTCTGCATAGCATGACGCGCTTGCCGATCACTATCATGCTTTTCGCGCTCCCGAACAAGACCCCGATAGAGAACATTGATCTGTGACGTGAGCTTGACCGGTTTGCTCTTGGCTTTTGGCTCGTCTTCCTTGGACTTGCTGTCATCCTCAGCCTTGGTCTGGTCCGACCCTTCCCCCGCATCCAGTCGCTCGGCAACTTTTTGCGCGGCGCGCACTTGCGCCTCGGTCCGTTTCGTCTCGCGCTCCTCGCGCACCCGATCCCGGTACGTTCCTTCCTCATGTTTGATCTTTTTCGAAGCTTCCTCGGCCTCCTCGCGGATTTTGCGCTTCTTCTCGCTGTCGAGGCCTATTCCGCCGCGGTTTTCTTTGAAGATGAGGTTCAGTGGCTCGGCACGTGATTTGGAGGAGTCGTTTTCGGAATCGCTCGCGTTGCGCTTGCCAAGTGCTTCACCGGGCTTGAAGCCTAGCTTGGCCATCATCTGGAAACCCTTGCTCGCTGGGTTGAGGGTGCTTGTTGCGAGAGCTTCATCGCGACGGGCAGCTTCCTGGGCTGCGCGCTCGGATTTGGAGAGGGTTCGGCCTCGGGCTTCGGCCTATTCGGGTACATACGTTAGTTTTCAACTTATCGAGTCAGGCAATGAATGATGTAGGGCGCTGTGGTACCTCTCGTTGCTCGCGGCGCTTCTTTTGTGTAAAGGTCTCCTTTTGAGGAGCCTCCTCAATGACCATATTCATGTAGTCATCGTCGTCCGACATGGTGCCAAGAATAGCGTGGAATGGTCTAGACAAGGTCGTGCAGCAGCTAGAGGGGAAGCGGTGTTGGGGCCGAAAGCGGACAAGAAAAAAAAGGGCCGAATTTGGGTTTTGCGGGGAAATAATTGCCGCCCTTTTTTATAGTTCTCTATGCTTTAGATAAACAGCATGCAGGCACCGCTCAGTTGAATCAATTCGGCCGTAGCCCTTCATAATTCTTAAGTATTGACTGTGATGCTTAGTTGCGTTACCAATAGAGCTTGACTGAAAAATTTGTAAGGGTATCAGTATCTGTTTAGTTTCTGTTTAGCTTCTATTATCAGAACCCTTATTTGCTGAACCTTTTGTCGGATAAAAGAGGTAGATTATTACTAACGTGTAGCCATTACCCCAGCACCCACGTCATGCCTGATTCTCGCAGTATCTACGGCTGAGAAATACCACGATGGCCTCAACATTCTGAACAATCCAGATAGCCAATGGGGGAACACATCTCAATACCAGGCGGAATCACCCCAAGAGCCCATCCGGATACTATCGTGTACTGTAATTCTCAGAATCGACGCCTTCAGCAAATAGATTCTTACGCGGTAAAGATTACCGGGAAAGTCTCTCTAATAGTCGGTTGCTATACACCATATCTGTTTGTTCTACGTGTATTGTATTAGACTTAGTATGAAGGATATACATTTAGCCTAGCTCTTCAAGAGTGGTATCGCCTTTAGAATAATACCAGGTTAGAGTTTAGATTAGTTCCGATATATAAGAGGACCCCAGGGAGAGCCTAGGGGTAAGTAAGAATTAATCGCCTCTAATGTTCAACCTCGAGATCAATTGCTTAGGAGAATCCACTGATTCATCAGTCTGCGCTGACGTAAAGTATGCTGGCTCTTCAGCTGATCCTAGGGGGAAGGGCGAGCCAACCAATCTTTGACTTGGCTCCGTATTGTGGTAGAGAGTTTGATCTTTTCTTGGTATCTCTCTAAGGGCAATAGACATACATGCACTCAGCACCAATCAGTACCGGTCGGTTTAAACACCTTCAACCACATTCAATCCTTGCATCAGTTATGCAAGCAAGGAGCCCCGGAGCGTGCCGTCGGTTCCCGGCAATTTGGTTCCCCATATGTACTACGACATGCTATGCTACAGTAGGATCATGGAATGGCAGAGCTACATTGACAGAAAAGTGCGGACACGGTTCTCGAAGACATAGGATAAGCGGAGTCCTGTGCATACCACTAGCCACAGTCGACATACATGTGATATATATCTCGGTATAATTCTAGAGGAATCCATGCCAAATAAACGAGTTGAACCCTTGCGAGTAAATAAGCAAGTCAAGCTATATCCCAATCGGCCTTGATTCAACCTTGGAAACCTAAGCTCATAGCCCCTGCAAAGCTTTGCAACAGATCCATCTCGCCTCATCCCCCATCACCTCCACTATATGGATGTCGATTCTGCCGCCGCCGCCTGCCTCTCAGCAAACTTGACGCAGTAATCGCTATCTGCAAACTCGATAACATCCCGTAGCAAAGTCCCCTCCTCATTAAAGGTAAGTACGACCATGTACTCATTCTCATAAAGGCCACATGCCGCCTCAGCATAGCTCGCAAGGTGCATGACGACCTTTCGCAGGCGCTCATCCACGATGGGCACGGCGCCGGGCATGAGGGCGAGGTTGAAATTCTTCATCTGCGCCGTGAGTGTCTTGAAGAAGGCCCGAAGCTGCCCGTTGTTTAGCGGTGCAAAGCCAAGCGAGCGCGGCGCGGGACGCGTGACACATTCCTCGGTGCGGTGTGAGACCATCGCGTCTGGAGTGAAGTCATTCATTGTGCTAAGCCATCGGTGGGCACTCACAATGAGCTGCTCTCGGAGGTTGGGACCTGTCGTTTGATTGAGCGTCATTGGGTCAAGGCAAGGATGGTAATGAGGATGAGAACGAGGACTGTAGGAGTAGGCAAGTAGTAGCTGGTCGATGGGATGGGGAATCTGCTGAAGTAGTAAGGGGACGATGCCATTAAATATAACGAGCCTGAGGTGCTTTTCTGCCGTGTCAAGGCAAGAGTGTAGGGGAGACAGTGTGCATATGTTTAGAGTTTGGAGTAAATGGATGGATGCATCCTGTGGTAAGTATGAGACATTCAGAGGAACTTTCTAAGCGGCCAAGATAGCGACTTCGGTACGGCACCTGGGCAGGTTCCAGTGCTGAACCAGCCCTTTCGATTTTGCCGTGTTTTGAGCATTCGACCATAGAAAATTTAAAGAAAATTCAATTGAAAGCTTGGTATTTGGGGGCTGATTCCACTCTTATTCACGCAGAAGACTTCATTTCTCTCAAGTTCTCTGAACCGACCGTTTAATCATTATAAAATCTGTAGTTATCGATACTTTGATGTCTACAAAGTAGGTACTCTATACTCTGTGACGAATTGGTCCCATATATTGCGAGCGCAGTTCCAAGAACCGGTCTGGGAATCCTGGTCTTTTGCCCTGCAGTGCGGCAGTGGGATAGGTTTGGAATGCGCCCCAGATCCGCCCCACATAACACCGTAGATCGCTTACCTTACCGCACGATGATCCGGGGATCCCTGACACCTGCCGGGGCGGAACCTCAACCTTAGAAATTGAATATGATTAGTCGCATGGCGATGTAACTAGTAAGGAGGTAATGTAGTAAAAATCGAAAGGGATACTTCAGCATTAGAGCCTGACCGTACTTTGGCTGCCCTAATTACAGAGACTCATGGACAACCCCTGCCTTTGGCCAACTACTCATTCATTCTTTTCCTTCTCTATAGAAATATCATCACGTGCCCGATTTCTGCTATCTTCCATATGGCAATCGAGGGGCGTGCTTTGAGAATAGGCGGGAGAAAGAGCATCCTGCCAGGCAGGTATGCTTCTCCATCTCAGTTGCGCTACATCGAGTAAATTCTATATTTTGACCTCCTCTTGTCGCCGCCGTACGCGGATCTTGGCTGCTGGATTTCGCACGGTCACCAGCCCTGTCCTGACCAATTCACAATTGCTACCGTCCACCAGGTCAATATCGTACTTGAGCAAGATATGACAGAGGGCCAGTTTCACCTCATTGATCGCAATGAACCGACCAGGACAAGCCTGCTTTCCGTGCCCGAAAGCCAAGTGCGTGTGATTGGTTTTTGAAAATGGAGCCAAGCCCGCCTGTGTAGCATCGTCACGCATCTTCAAAAACCGATAGACGTCGAATTTGTCAGGCTCAGGGTAGATGGTCGGATCCAGCCGGCTGGGATTTGCAACAGCGGTCAAGGTCCCCTTTGGAATGACAGTGCCGTCAGGCAAGATGACAGTTTCCGTGGCATACCGAAACATCGATACTGGATAGACATAGATTTGAGTTAGCCCATCATCCATAACTTTGGAAAATTGAATAGGATCACAAACGTAGGAAGAATGGCTCCAGTCGCTGGCTTTCCTTCATCAGACTTTCCAGCAGCCACATCTTCTGCAAAGCCGCCACTCGTAAACCACTGCGGACGGTGGTGATAATCTCCTCGCGCAGCACCGGAATGAGTTGCGGGTTCTCGCAAATTCGGAACAGGACTTTCATCAACATGTCTGATGTGGTGTGGTTCGCGACGGCCGACAGTCGCAGCTGGGCCAGCCCCGCATCGTATGTATAGCCGTCGGCATTGTGATGAATCCATGCGAGACTGGTGAAGCTTTCGTCTTGCAGCGTCTGATCCTTCAGTCGGTCTAGTTCGGGCTGTATGAGTTCTCGCGCGAGTTTGATCTGCGCTCGCAGCTTGCGACAGGATGGGAGGAACCAGTGAACCAGGGGATGTAGTGGCTTTGCCCATTTTTGCACCGCCATCAGGGCAGCCAGACGGACTGATACGTATGTGGTTGCGATCTCTAACCATCTCAAATCACGACACAGTCGAGGCCCAACAAAGGCGCGCGATGTGAGCTGGGCGGTAAGTCGCATCGCCATTGGGAGCACATCTATCTCGAGCCATTCTTGGGTATATAATTAGGCCATATGCGCATCATGGAAAGCTGCATGGATTGCTTCAAGCACTCACCTGGGCAGTCGCCCCACTCTCGCTGTAAGAAGTGCGCCGTTTCTTCGGAAAAGGGCTGGGTTAAGTGCACTGTATCCTCGAGTCTGCGGTTACTTGGGGTCCTTCGAAATCTGTGCGGTTTGTTTCACCTACCCAGTCGCTTTGAAGTTGCGCTCGCCGCTGGACGCGGGATGTGGTTGTGAATGGATCCCGTAAACATGGTCTCGAAGCCTATCAATTCCGCGAGGTTGATCTACACGGCTCACACTCGTCAGACTTCTGGCATAAAACTTGTTGGCAAGTAGAGTCACCCACTGGAGTGATTCCTTTGTGTTGATCCAACCGGTCATCCATCCCGACGGCATCGGCGAACTTGTCCGAAATCACCACTCGAGGACCCATGTTTGTTTCCATATCAAAAACAGCGGACTGCTTGAGGCCGGCCTCAATTAGCTCTTGAGCCCGTCGTTCAAATTCATGCTTTGCCTTGGTTTGGAAATAATCCCACCGATACCGATTGACAACCGGAAACCGCGTCCGCGGCGACTTGGGCATCAGGAAAGCCAGGAGAATGCTGCAGAGCAAAAATCCCAGAGTCCACCCCATAGGGTCGACCAATGAGTGGTGCGGGGTGGTGGCCTTGGTCATATTGTAACGGATTACTGGAAGGAATAGCCTGTCATTGTTGATACTGTTATCAATTCCAATACTTATACCACAAGAAACACCTGACATGGCGCCTTCGGCTGGGGTGTACAGGAATGGCGTAAAAGAGACATATTAGCCGGTCAGAATCCGTGAGGTGGTACCACACACATACTTGCCTCGTACATAATTACCCATTGCAAGGAGTTTTGCTGCACCATCCAACGATGTCTACTCAGGTATGTCCGTAAGGCTCATTGGTTAACGTCTAACTTCTCCACCCCCCTTGTTTCGCGGCCCCTTACCTTGTTCGTCCCGAGCCGGTGAGTTGGCACGCATGACAACCAAAAAGCCATCACCACATGTATGAGGGAGGGGAGCAAAGGATTTCGGCACATCGTATTTAAACTACTTTTTGCCTCGCTTAGTGGGACAGTCAAACATTCAAACTACTCTCTTACTATCTTACTGGGACAGTCGAACATCTAGAAAAAGAAAAGGTTCAGCATGACCAAGTCAAACGAAGTCTTAGCCAAAGTTGCTCACGATGAACTATCGGACCGGACGCCCACCGAAGTCATCGCCAGCACTTGGGTCTTTCCAACTGAAGACCAGGCCCAGTGGTGGCAAGATACCGGACCACTGCTTGAGCGGTTCCTTCAAGCGGCTTCTTATAATGCTCCCACACAATACCAGTGCCTACTCTTTTTCATTCAGCATCTCATTCCGGCACTTGGACCGTATCCCCAGCGATGGAGGAGTACAATCTCACGCAGTGGTCTGCCCATTGAATTCAGTCTCAACTTTCAGAAGAACTCAAAGCAGCTCGTGCGCATCGGGTTCGAGCCAGTCGGCATCCTGTCCGGCACCGCGAGCGATCCGTTCAATAGCATCCCAATCGCAGACATGATAACCAGACTGCGTCAACTGCCGTTGTTGAAGGGATTTGATCCGCTGGATTTCAATGCTCTAAACACCAGTTGCCAGCTTTCCCAAGCCGAAACGGATGCATTACAGGCTCCGGGCTACGAATCCATCCCGCTCAAGTCGCAGGCCGCCTTTGGCTTCGACCTTCTCAGGGACGGCAACATTGTTGTCAAGGGTTATATTTTCCCGCATCTCAAGGCCAGGGCCACGGGCGTGAAGATGGGAACCCTGATTTCCGAGACTGTCCATCGCTTCGATACCGAAGCCCAGTTCCTAAAGTCCTTCCTCCTTGTCCATGACTACATGAAGGAGAGCAGCGGATACAACGAATACACTTTCTTGTCATGTGATTGCCTCGACCGTTCGAAGCAGCGGCTCAAACTTTACGGCGCACACACGGAGGTAGTCTGGGCCAAAATCGCCGAGATGTGGACGCTGGGCGGCCGACTCAGCGATGAGCCGGAGATCCAACGCGGGCTCGAGATCCTCCAGCAATTCTGGAATATGTTGAAGCTGCACGAGGGGAACCGGCCCTTCGCGGGCGGCTTCGATGATGGCAGTCGGCTCGAGGGCGACGACCAGATCGCCTCGCCCATCATCTGGAACTACGAGCTCCATCCCGGCCATTCCTGGCCCGTGCCCAAGTTTTATTTCCCCGTGCACGCAGAAAACGACCAGCTGGTGGCCAGCGCTTTGGCGGGGTTCTTCGGCTATCTGGGGTGGGAGGTGGAAGCGCGGTCTTACGCAGACACATTCCGTGCTTTATAGTAAGTTGAAGCCCGATCACAATAGACCCCGTTCTTTACTGGCTATGTATGGCTGACTTGACGTAACAAATCCAGTTCTGAACATGATGTCGCGGAAACATCGCGTCTCCAGTCTTGGATCTCCTTTTCCTACACGCAGAAGAAAGGGCCCTACCTTAGTGTGTACTATCACTCCCAGCGGTCCTATCCGTGGGAGAACTGACTACACAAGTAGAAGCATTTGCGAATTTGAGATATAGCCAGAAATTTGCATACGATTCCTCTTGAAGAAATACTTATGGCTATACCAACTTTGGTGACAAAAAATTGCAAAAGAAATGCCAGAGATAATCAATAATCAATCTAAACTCGGACTTTTACAAAGTTTTACCGTTCCGGTCGTTAGAGTCATGTATATTTCTATAGGGTTGTATGCAAACTTATGCAGTAGAACTGCACGTAAATTCATTGGACAACCTTGGAAGTTCGCAGTACTCTTCATAGTCTCTAACAAGTCAATTTCGCCTCTATTGACATTTACCGAGATACTGGACCTTTCAGTATCGACCATAACATAAACATTGTTTATCTTCAAGATTCTATTCGTCAGCCACCTGCATCCCGTTCTAAGTCCCAAAGAGAACCAGTAACTCGCCCGATAGACCAGCGTGGCAGTCATCCGCTTCAAACCCCTGTAACCATCCTGCTTCCCTCAGATATCCCAATAGTACGACCATCCAGTCAAAAGCCCCCTTCCCCCTTGCCTATGGATTGGGGTTGTGGCTAGCTGGAAAGGCTTGGAATATGGCGTTGATCCTTGTGAGAGACAGGTAGGTGCACGAGAACAACTCAGTCGATTCCTGCATGTACATTCTAACCCTAGCGTCGGGCACCCACATGTCTAAGGTTCGGGCTGGCCCGGCCCCCAACCCTTGCAGGCAGAATGCACGTCTTTTCCTTTACATTTTCACGTTGTACAGACATTCCATGCATGCCAAACTAGATCACAGCCCGCAGATCACGACTCGCGGCAAGAGAGGGTACGGAGGGGAGGCACAAACTTTTCTATATCCACCATCTGGTCTGTGAAACGTATCATCAGACTGTGCTCAACCATGACTAGGAACAATACCATCCCACAGGATCCTGTGCCCTTTAGTGGGATCACGGTCCTCATTGTTGGACTCGGCATTGCGGGGCTCACCGCCGCCCTTGAGTGTAGCCGGAGGGGACACAAGGTGATTGGGTTCGAAAAGAAGAAAGACACAAATCAGTTAGGTGAGAGTTGTAATTCTTTGAGTTCGAAAAAAACGCGGCTGATTCGGAGCAATGATCCAGGGGACGTGATTGGCCTCAGTGGCAATAGTATGCGGATTCTATCGCAATGGAACCAGGGCTCTCTGGCCGAGCTCGTTGACGAGGACATCATCTGCGCTGTCGAGGCTTTGGAGCTCCACGACACCGCCGGAACCATTCGTGCCGCGATGCCGTATCATCCAGAAAGCCCAGCCCAAGGATATCTCTTTCGGCGAACCGGGCTTCTGACAAAGTTGTATGAGCTTGCAATTCGCGCCGGCATTGATCTCAGGTTCGGAGTGAACGTGATGCGATACTGGGAAGATGCAGACAATGCCGGGGTATACATTGGCGAGGACAAGGTTGTAGGAGACTGTGTTATTGCGGCTGATGGATTCTACAGCGCAGGGAGAACTGCCATTACCAGTGAAGATCCTGTCCAGCAACCGATCGGGGCGGTCATGTACCGGGCCATTTTCAATGCCCAGGAAATAGCTCATGTCCCTGAAGCGGCGTGGCTCCTGAAGAAGGCCCCGACAGCGGACATTCTCCCCTCTTTCTATGGCAAGGATGTTATGGTTATGATGGGCACTGCAGCAAAGGGACGGTATGTGCATTGGGCCTGTACAATTCGTGTAAGTCTACCACAGATCTCCCTGTCCCTGGTTCGTACCTAATGATGACTTTGCCAGGGTGAGGTGCAACCAGCCTCTGAAGCTTGGATGCAGCCCGCGAGCGTCGAGCCAGTTCTCGACTGCGTGCGAAATTGGCCAGCAGCCAGCAAGCTAAACGCTGTCCTGTCACGAACTCCTCCGGGCGCGTGTTTTAATCACACCATGCTCGCAACGCCACCTCTACGGACCTGGGTATCTCATAAGGGGAGGATGGTTGTGATTGGGGATGCCGCACATCCTTTCCTCCCATACGCCGGTCAAGGGGCCAATCAAGCCATCGAAGATGCCGCATCGGTAGCCATTTGTCTTGAGCGAGCAGGTAGGGGGGATATACCTCTGGCTCTGCGGGTGTTTGAGAAGCTTCGGTGCGTTTTTCTATCATTTTCCGAAGTCCTTTTCATCTTGTTCGATTTACTGGTTCTGACATTCTAATTCGTGGTTTAGACACAAGCGGGTCTCGCTGATTCAGGAGGGATCAGTCGAAGCTAAGGACTCGTTCCTCAAGGCAAACTGGGACAGTGACGATGAAGCTGGTAGTCCATCGGCATACCTACATCAGTCTTGGGTCTATAATCATGACTGTGTGCAGCACGTCGTTGAAGAGTTTCAAACAGCGGCCGATGCCATCAGGCATGGCCGAAAATACATTCCGACCAATGTCCCCGTGGATGGGAAATATCGTCAGGAGTAGGTTAATCATCTAGTCAACATCCTTCCTTTGTTATATTTGTTTAAAGAAATTGTCATCTTGATTTGCTCATCACCAGAATTCCCAACACTGATTTAAAAAAAAGTAGAGTACTATAATCGCAGTAGATCGCGGAACCCACTCTTTACAACTGAAAGATATCTGTTCACTCCAGCACCAGGCAGTCCTGTCCAGTATATAACAGAGCAAGGGGTCCACGGCTAAACTTGTGCCAATTTCATATACTGTAATAGGGAAACCACGCCATATGTCATGTGCGCCACAGTGACTAGTTTTAGTAGTTCTAGCACGCGATTACATAGTTCGGCAATCAAGCATTCTACAAACCTCTGAAAAGCAGTACCTGTTTCCTATTCCGGTTGCGCAGGGGGGGCTTGCTTAGCTACCCAAGATCCCGGTCGAGCATTGAGCACCCCCGTCGTCCTGTCTGCGATGTCAGAGCGCCAGCGCGCTCTTCCCACTTCAATACCCTTCTGTATAGTGTCATACCCACCTTGATGCTTCGCAATAGATGGGTTCAACAACAAATTAGATCCACGACCTTTCTGGTTGGTAACGGAGAGCTCAACAGTGGTATATACGAATAGCAACGAACTTTCTCCGCGGAATGTCATCACAAACCTGTTGTTAGACGAGCCCCTTACGGAAGGCATCCCACCTCAATCACAGACGAAGGACTATGAAGTTCCATGCCCAGGAAGCAAGGTCTATACTAGGTAGCATTGGATTCAATCATGCCGGCTGCTACCCTCGCTGCCGGGAGGGCGGGAGGAAGCGAAAGGAATTTGGGGCTCGCCCGAGATATGCACGTGGTGTTGGTTAGGAAGATTGATAATATAGACGGAGTGGGGCACTCATCTTATGAATATAAAATGCTTGCATGTAGTGATAGAAGTTGAATATTGAAGATTTCAATTCCCCGAACCTTAGCCCTAAACAGCTTCAACTTCAAACTTGATTGTTTCAGAGCCTCTCTTCACAGCCAAATACTCGCCTGCCCGGTGTCAAGAACTGGTGCATCTTGACAAGACCCAGACCACCGACTTAGCCAGAAGACATCTAGCCATTACGTTTTGCACGAGCACGTCTTGTCTTCGAACAAGATGGAAAACAGTGAAAAGATAGACGAGAAGCAATCACCGTCACATATCAATGTAGACGAAATTTTTCCAATGACATCTCCATTGAGTCCCCCCGGTGAGATGGAGGATACATTTGATTTCCGGGCACTCGCTCTGAAACCAAATGATATTTCCCCTCCACTCCTCACAAAATCGCTCAATTGTCCAGGGCTCCGGCTAGAGGATGTGGTAGGGCCGTTATCCCTCCCCTCGCCACCGCCGACCCCCTCTCAGAGGTCCCGTCATTCTGGGAGGTCTGCGTGCATGAAGTGATTCGCGGCCAATGCCAGAAATCCCCCGACACGTTGGCAATTCTGGCATGGGACGGCGCCCTCACCTATGGGGAACTGGACCAACTATCGGATCGACTGGCATCCATACTGGCACTTCTAGGGATAGGGCCGGAGTGCTTCGTTCCGATCTGCATGGAGAAATCTCGGTGGACAACGGTGGCCATCCTCGCTGTGCTCAAGAGCGGCGGCGCCTTCAGTCTGCTAGACCCATCTCACCCGTTGCCGCGGCTGCAGTCCATCTGCAGCGATCTCCAATGTGCGTTTGTTCTGGCGTCGGAGTCGCAGGCAACGCGCTGTATGCAGCTGGGTGATGTTCTCATTGTCGAGCAACTTTGTCAAGGATGGAGACTAGGCCATAGCAGCCAGCCGATACAGCTTGCACAGCCAACCAATGCACTCTATGTCGCTTTTACCTCCGGGTCCACGGGGAAACCCAAGGGAGTCGTGATCGAGCACCGGGCTTATTGCACGGGAGCTTGGTTCCATACACAGGCCTTTCAGATCGATCACAAGTCTCGGGTGCTCCAATTCGCCGCCTACGCCTTTGACGTCAGCATCATGGAAACACTGAGCGCGCTGATGGCTGGATCATGTCTCTGCGTGCCGAGCGAGGCTCAGCGCAATGACATGGGGTTATTCGAGGACGCCTTGAAGGCTTCAAGGCCGACCCATGCATTCCTCACCCCGTCCTTCGCGCGTACTGTCTCGTGGGCCGCCGTCGAGCTGCGGCCCACCTTAATACTGGGCGGCGAGGGCATGCGGGAGTCAGACAAGGCCATGTATGCTGCGCTCGGGATTCACTTGATGAACGCATACGGGCCTGCCGAATGCTCCGTCAATGCGACAGTGAATCCGCGCGTCCAACCCGACCACCCTGTGCAGAACATTGGCAAACCTACCGGCGCGGTGGCATGGATCGTCGACCCTGACAACGTGGAGAAACGGATGGAAGACGAGATGGTTGGCGAGCTACTGATTGAGGGTCCCATAGTGGGGCGTGGGTACTTGAACAATCACGAGGCGACTAGGAAGTCCTTTATCAAGCCGCCGACATGGCTTCAGCGGCTGCGACGGGGAGAGCATCAACATCGAGTATACCGCACGGGGGATCTCGCGTCGATGGATCCGAGCGGGGTTCTACGCATCGTCGGCCGCCAAGACGGACAGCTCAAGATCCGAGGACAGCGCGTAGAGGTCGCCGACATCGAGCATCACATCCATGGCTTGTTTCCCCCCACCACCGAAGTGATTGTGGATGGTATCATCGCCGCAGATGGCCAGGAGAAACTTGTGGTGTTCATCGGGCCCGACCAGCCATTGACGACGACCAGGGCGACTGGCAGTCCCTTGACTCTGTTCCTAGAGCCTAATCCCTCGGTCATCGAACACTTTGAAACTCTCAAGCACCAGCTCCATGACCACCTTCCTCGGTATATGGTTCCCGATCTGTGGATTCCCTTGGCCCGGCTGCCCAAAACGGTATCTGGCAAAGTCGACCGATATCTATTGATCAATACAGCAGCGAAAATATCGCAGGAAGATCTGCGGACCTATATATGCTCTACGGCACAGAAGCGGCCGCCTGATAGCCCCCACGAATGGACGCTACAGCGGATCTATGCCGACATCTTGGATGTCGCCCCCGCATGCATTGGCATGGATGACACTTTCTTGCGCCTTGGTGGCGATTCTCTGAAGGCCATTCGTATGGTGGGGGCCGTGAGAAAGGCAGGACTGGCCCTATCTGTGCAAGATATTCTCTCTCCCATCAGTCTTGCTGAGCAAGCGCAAAAGGCCACAGCCGTTGCAGCTTCAACAGAAGAGGCCTATTCGCCACTGAGTCTCGTGCCTCCCAGAGCAGCCACTGAAGTTCTCCGTATGGCACAGGAGCAATGTGGTGTTCAGCGGGCGCAGGTTGAGGATATATACCCCTGCACCTCGCTGCAAGAAAGCATGTTTGCAACTTCCCTTCGCCGCCCGGGAATGTACACAGGAAGGATAGCCTGTCGAATCCCGCCCACGGTAAACATGGATGAGTTCAAGGAAGCATGGGAGCGCACAATTGAAAACAACGCCATCCTGCGCACGAGGATCATTCAGACGTCGTATGGATTTTTCCAAGTCGTTGTACGCGGCACATATTTGTGGCGAGAACATTCGGAACCCATCCAAATCCAGGATCTCACCGACTGGATAGGAAAGCCATTGTTCCAGCACAGCTATCACGAGAAAGATAGTGAGCTGATATTGGCCACTCACCATGCAGTGTGGGATGATTGGACACTGCACCTTGTCCAGCAACAGCTTGATACAGCATTTCGGGGTGTTTCGCTGGTCCAACGCGCCTTCCATCCGTTTATTCAACATACGCAGAGTTCTTGCGCCGTGGAGGAGTTCTGGGGCTCCGAGCTGTCCGGGTTGGAGGCCCCGATTTTTCCTGAGCTCCCATCTGGCAATTATCGGCCTTCGGCTACGCAATTTTTCCAGCACGAGATGAGCGTGGCCAAGACGACGGCATCGTCTCATACCCTCCCGACTTATATTTACCTGGCCTGGGCATTACTGGTAGCTCACTACACCGAATCCCCCGACGTGGTATACGGCGTCACCCTGAGCGGGCGCAATGCCCCTGTCCCGGACATTGAATCTATCGTCGGCCCGACAATCACGACAATTCCGTTACGCATTCAATTCCAAACCGCGACCTCGGTAGCGACCACATTGGATCAGGTACAGAGCACCTTGACTCGTACAATTCCATTTCAACAGGCAGGGTTGCCGCGGATCGCGAAAAGTAGCCCAGACGCCGCGCGGGGCTGTCAGTTCCAGACCCAGCTCATCATTCAGTTACCGGAGCAAGGCAATAAGAGCGAGAGCGTTTTGGAAATAGTGCAAGGGTCTACCCATGTCGGAATGCAATACACGTCCTTCACAGAGTATGCGATGATGCTGTCATGTCGACCTACCGCAGACGGGACCAAGGTGACAATCGACGCCACCTTCGACCCCGAAGTGATCTCGTCCAATGCAGTGCACCGAATGATGGCTCAATTTGAGCACATCCTGCACCAGGTCATCCAGCATCCAGCCCAACAGACGGACGCAGTTGAGATGATCTGCCCGGAAGACATTAGCCAACTCCAACGATGGAATTCCACCATCCCACCGGCAGATACCAGGTGTTTGCACGATTTGTTTCTGGCTCGGTGCCTTGATCATCCACAGGCCACAGCTGTCTGTGCCTGGGATGGTGAATTGACGTATGCAGAGTTAGCAGAGCTATCTTCTGCCCTGGCCTATCGACTCAGGAGTCAAGGCGTGGCCCTGGATTCCCCGGTAGGTGTCTGTTTGGAACGAAGCAAGTGGAGCGTTGTCGCAATATTGGCCGTACTTCGTGCCGGCGCGACGTGCATTCTCCTAGACTTAAATCATCCGCGCCAGAGAATTCACAATATCCTGCAACAGGCCTCGGTCCAGGTGGTTATCAACAGCCAAACCACCACCACATTGACCCGTGGATTCACTTCGATTGAGGTCTGTCTAACTCCAGAGTCCACAAGCACCCTGTCAAAGGGCCCGTACCTTGCTCAACTCGAAGTCTCACCAGATACACCCGCCTTTATCTTGTTCACCTCTGGCAGTACCGGTCGACCTAAGGGGATCGTCATGCCACACACCAGCCTGGCGTCCAGTATCAGGCACCATAGTTCAGCAATGAGGGTCGGGCCAGATTCGCGAGTTTTCCATTTCTCCTCGTACGCGTTCGATGTCAGTGTCTATGAGATCTTCACCACATTGGCGGCCGGAGCTACCATCTGCATTCCGTCCGAATTTGAACGCAAAAACGCCCTTGCCCAGGCCATATGTCGATTCCAGGCCAACTGGGCGTTTCTGACCCCGTCCACCGTGCAATCATTGCAACCTTCTGAAGTACCATGTCTGTCGACCTTGGTCCTGGGAGGGGAGGCAGTTATCCGCGACAACGTCGAGATCTGGGCGCCTGGTCGTTCACTGATCAATGGATACGGGCCCGCTGAAGCCACGATCTGTGGCGTTGGAGCCTTACCACCGGTAGGGTGGAAGGTGGGGGTCTTTGGGTCCATTGTCGGTGGAGTGGGCTGGGTGACTCTACCTAGGGACACATCAAGGCTAGCTGCCGTCGGCGCCATTGGAGAGCTGCTGCTAGAAGGGCCGTTTCTGGCCGCAGGCTACTTCAACCACCCGGAAATCACGGCAGCTTCGTTTATTGACTGCCCCGAATGGCGACGCCGAATGCCCTTGGCTCTTACCTCTCGCCTCTACCGGACCGGAGATCTCGTGCAGTATCAGCATGACGGGACTATTCGATACATCGGCCGTCGGGATACCCGCATCAAGCTACGCGGGCAATTGGTTGACCTGGGCGAGATAGAAAGCATCACCGTCCGTGAGTTCCCTGAGGCCAGGGAGGCAGCTGCTGAGGTCCTCCCATTGGACATTGGCGGGAGCACGGTGCCAACCCTGGTCGCTTATATCAAACTTCATTCCACTCTTTCTCAAGAGGCCGAGGACAATGGGATTTTGGACCCAGTCGGCGAAACATTCAGACAGTGTACTTCGGAGTGCCAAATGAATCTCCGAGCGCTGCTACCATCATACATGGTCCCGTCCATCTTCCTGCCCGTCCGGGCGATGCCGCGGACCGTGACGGGAAAATTGGACCGTCAAGCCCTGCGGTCAGCCATTCAGTCGCTCACACGTGAGCAGCTCCAGCATTATCGAGCACCACCGCAGCCAAAGATCACAGTCTCCAGCGATGCCGAACGGCAGCTCCAAAGAATGTGGGCTGAGCTTCTGAACACGACGACGGAAGACATTGGGGCAGAAGACCAGTTTCTGACCACAGGCGGCGATTCGGTCATCGCCATGCGAATGGTGGCCATGGCTCGACGTGCCGGGTTTGGTTTTACAGTGGCGGACGCGCTGAGCCCGAAAAGCTCGCTGGCATCTCTCGCACGCAACTTCCAGGAGCTCGGCTCCGTTGAAGACGTGCCTCCACCTGCAGTTCAGCAGACCTCCATCCTGGATTCAGTAGACTTCCAGCAGCATCTTGCCCAGCAGCAGCAGAAGGGGACACTTTCTTTCCCGACAGACAAGCTAGCCAGTGCGTGGGAAGCTACGGAAGCGCAATCGTTCCTTGTCCACCGCTATCCATGGTCCCATTTCCAATTTCCCTTCGTAGGCAAGATCGATGAAAGCCGGCTGAGGAACGCATGCCGTGCTCTTGTACGGACTCACAGTGTATTGCGGGCCGCCTTCGTTGAGTATGGCAAGACTCTGTTCCATATGACTCTCGAGGAAGACTTTGACCTCCCCCTGCGCGTGATGATAACGACAGAACAACCGTTGGAAGCCTTTTGCCAATCTCTCTGTCAATCAGACCAGGCTACTGTTTCCGTCTTCGCGAGCATCCCAACCTGCTTTACTCTGGTTTCCGAACCCAACCGCGCACGACACCGACTGGTCCTCCGCCTTTCCCACGCCCAGTATGATGCCACCTCGATCAATATCCTAGCCCGTGATCTGGAAGCACTCTACAATGGCCAACAGAGCATCACCCCCTCCTCCTTCGACTCCTACTTCCAACAACGCACCCACCACGCAGAGCAGGCCCACCACCGCGCCCTCTGGCAGACATATCTGGCAGGCTCTTCCCTAGCTCCCCTGACCCCAGGTCGCACATCACGCCCCCAACTCCACCCTATCACAGGGTCCCACGCCGTAACCCTCCCAGCGCCCCTGCTCCCACGCAATATCCCCCTCCCAACCATCGTCAAGGCAGCCGCCTGTCTCCTCCTTGCCCGTCGACTCCACCAACCTCAACCGGACATCACAGTCGGGCAGACCGTCGCAGGGCGCAGCCTCCCCATCCCCTTCATCGACGGCCTCGTCGGCTGCTGTACAAACTACATCCCGTTCCGGGTGCTCCCGCGCGCCTCCATGAGCGGCCGCACGTACCTCGAGCACGCGCAGGCCCAGCACGTTTCCAGCCTGCAGGCTGAGTGCGTCGGTCTTCGCACCATCGTCGACACCGCCACTGACTGGTCTCCCTCAGCGAGCTTCCCGTACATCCTCCAGCATCAGACGGCGAACCATGGCCTGACGCTGACGCTGGATGGGGTTCAGTCTGGCGTCCTCAGTTCGGTGGGATCGCTCACGCCCGGTCCGGAGGTGTGGATCTGCTCGACTGAGACACCGAGCGGGGTGAGGATTGATGTGCACTGCTGTGGGCAGGTTATGGATCTTGACGGGGCGACGCGCTTGGCGGGCGAGATTTGCGAGGTGATCAGTGGGCTCGTGAGTAAGCCGGACGTGGCTTTGAGTGAGATTGGCGGGATGGCATTTTAGATTGTGTTTTCAAAAGGTGATTAGAATGTTGGGCTCCTCGGGATCCCATGGTTCGTGGTTATGGTTCAATTATACGCTCAAGCTCAATCCCACAGAAACCAGAAACGTAGTTGATTTGAGAGAAGAAATGAAGAGAGGGAAACTACCGAATGTGGAGTCTAAACTATCTAGAAACCGGGGGTGGCCCCGCCCCCAGGAGCCTTCAAAACCAGGCATCATCAGGCAGAATCAGGCATCAATATTAGTTTTCACCCCTTACTCCGTTCACGCTCAATAATTATTTCATCAAAGGCATAGTCTAAGTGATCAGAGTTACTAATTGGATACAAAGTGTTACTCAATCCCGAGGTCATCAGTAAATGTCCAATGAGTATCTATATACGGAGTAGAATTAGTGATTATATACATAGGCTGGTGCTGATATATACTCTGAAAGCTTTGATTCCGAGCGTCCTTCTTGAAGCGGCAGCCCAAATAGGAAAACCCCACCCGCCAGGGAAAATCCGGTACACACAGGTACACATATCTGATCTCTAATACTCCGTACCCCTGCAAGCGTCTATCGCCAGCAAGGGCTCGGCTTTGTCTCCGCAAAATGGGCTGTCACCGTATCCTTGCGAACCGGGTCTTCTTCGAGGCCCGTGAACCTTTAAAAGCAATGGCGTCGACCCGTTCGAAATTGGCCCATAGGTCACCATGGCTGCTCTTTGGTACACCCTGGCTTTGCTGTCCCTAGCATCCGCTACCACCGTCGACCTGGGATACAGCAAGTATGAAGGTTCTACGGTATCCGGTGTCACACAGTGGCTTGGTATGCGGTTTGCGGCTCCTCCTGTAGGAGCTCTACGCTTTGCGGCGCCGCAAGATCCTTTGCCAGTGGAGGGGATTCAACAGGCGACAGAGGTATGTGAATTTCTCTGATCTGCGGAGTAGAATGCGGGGAAATGTGCTGATCGTTGATCATCTGATAGCATGGATCCGTGTGCATCCCCACAGCAGCGGCCGAGGGCCTACCCGTCCCGAATGGCACATCCGAGGACTGCCTCTTTTTGGACGTTTATGCCCCCTCCGGTGCTGCCGGTTCCAAGAGCCTACCTGTATACTTTTATATACAAGGAGGTGGCTTTGCACAGAACTCTAATGCTAATTATAACGGCGCTGGCTTGATCAAGGCATCTGGAGACAACATCGTGGTAGTCACCTTTAATTACCGAGTGGGACCCTACGGCTTTCTCGCCGGAGAAGAGGTCGATGCTCGCGCTAGTTTGAACAATGGACTCAAGGATCAGCGCAAGGCACTTCAGTGGGTGCACGATCACATCAGCCAAGTACGTCACTATCGTTGCTTGCCAACTGTCGTGCTTTCGTGTCCCTATTGGTTCAACATCTGACAGTCTCTCTAGTTTGGTGGAAACCCTAAGCATGTGGTCATTGGTGGCAGTAGTGCAGGTGCTGCCTCTGTGACTTTGATGCTATCGGCATATGGAGGCAAGGATGAAGGACTCTTCATCGGAGCAGCTGCGGAGTCGCAAAGTTTCGCCACAATGCTAAACGTATCCCAAAGTCAATTCGCATACAACGCCCTCACAAGCGCAACTGGATGCAGCAGCAGCAAAGATACACTTGCGTGTCTCCGGGACTTGGATGTCAACCTTTTACAACAGAAGAACATCAACAGGCCGTATCCAGGGTTCACCGATGCCCCGCTGTATCTCTACAGTCCAACCATCGACGAAGACTTGGTGCCAGATCACACCTACAAACTCTTCCACGAGGGAAAGTTTATCAAAGTCCCAGTCATATTTGGCGACGACACAAACGAAGGCACCAAGTTTGTCACGAAGAGCATCGCCAGCGTCGAAGCCGCCGATGCATTCCTGCACAATCAGTTCCCGTACATGACTCCGGCCCAAACATCCAGAATCAACAGCATATATCTCACACCCAACCAAACAGAATCATTCCCAGACGCAGGTGCCTATTGGCGCCCTGCAAGTACAGCCTACGGCGAAATCCGCTACATCTGTCCCGGAATTGACATGTCTTCAATCTATGCCAAGGCAGGCATACCGAGTTGGAACTACCACTATGCAGTACAAGACCCCACGAATGAAACATCCGGAGAAGGCACATATCACACGGTCGAACTGAACGCGATCTGGGGTCCTGAAAACTCGGGCAACAATGCGCCAGCTTCGTATTATAATACTAATGCGCCTATCATTCCGCTGATGCAGGCTTACTGGACTAGTTTCATTGTGTCGTTGGATCCGAATGCTCGTCGTCTGCCGACGAGTCCCGAGTGGGAGAGATGGGAGCAGGGTGGTGGGTATCGACGTATCTTTATTCGGACGGGTGAGACCAAGATGGAAACGGTTTCAAAGGAACAACAGGCTCGTTGTCGGTATTTGGTTTCTATTGGAGAGGATTTGACGCAGTAGTGCTCGCATGTTCGGATATGTACCAGTACATGATGACTGCACGTTATGGATGTTTTTCTTTATTTTGGAACCTTGGAAGTATCGAACTTTGAACACCGACATAGCATCACCATGGAAATGCTTCAATATTGAGAATTGTGTTCCTGATATTGAAGGTCTAGACTCAATGCTACAACCTCGGAAAGGATCACTGAAGGAAATTTAGAAGAGAGATTATCTACTTGGGCATACCTATCTGACGTGCTTGGTACAACAAACGGATAACCTAAGACCACAGGATATCTCAGGAACATGACTTTTATTCCCAGCCTGACGCCAGATGAAAGTATTTACCAGAAATGCGCAAAGTATGATAGAAAAAATGTGAAAAGCACGACTATTTCCTGCCACGCTCGCGCTCGTACTCGTTCGCAGCACGACCCTCCTGACTTTGAATCTCCGCCACAAGACGACGGTACTTGGACTCGTACTCGGCATCGCGCTCCTTCTTCTCGCGCAATTTCTCGCGGGCAATGAAGCTGGCATCCTTGCGGAGCTCGCGGATAGCACCCTTCTTCTCGCGCTTGAACTCCTTCTTGAGACGGTTGGACTCGGCGCGCTCGCGATCCGGGTCGTAGTGCTTGTCCGGGTTGAAGTTCTCCTCGAACTTGGGGATGGCGGTCTTGATGGCGAGAGGTTTGTGGTTGTGGAGGAAGAGTGGGCGGCGGACGAGACGGGCTTGTGCGAGGTGGGCGTCGATCTTGTCTGTGGTGCTTTGGATGGTGTCCCGAGCTGGGGCGTAGACCTTGCTCTTGAGGGATGAGCGGAGGAACTTCAGCACTGCTCGAGCGGGCGTGAAGATTTCAGTGAATGCGGACTTCTCGGCCCAGGTGTCGGAGGCGGAGCCGAGGAGGGAAACAAAGGTGGTTAGGAGCGAGATCTTGAGATCTCCCTCGGCCTGGGGGTTGGAGGGGCTGGTGGTAAGATCGCGGAACTGCAACTTGCGTGGTGTGACCTTCTTGGTGGCAGCGAGCCGGACGGGTTCCTGGGAGGACCGGTAGGGGAAGGCACCGAACTTGGTAGTCGGCTCTGTGGGGGCCAGGTTGCAGATGGCGTTTAAAGTGTAGTTGATAAACTCGGGCATGTATCTCTTGGAGACGGTCTGGTATTGAAGACACAGACTTGAAGCGTATGCGCCACGCGCTAGATCTGCGAGGGATGTGGTGGAGCACTGGCCCAGGTAACGAGCCAGACAAAGGTGAGCGGGTGTGACCGTTGAGTGGAAGTGATCGGATGTGGGGAAGATGGTTGAGATAGCGGTAAGCAAGACGAGGTCACCAGGGAGAAGGTCGAGCGGGCGTTCCTTGCCAATTTCACGAAGAAGAGCGCGGCAGGCGATTGTGACGTTCAAGGGATGGTTCTTGGCCAAAGAATGAATGTGACGAATGATGTTTTCGATGATAGCAAATGGAGGCTGCTCATCCTCATTCGCCATGTAAGAGACATGCTGAACAAGAATCTCAGCAAATCGACCAAGCTTGTCCTTGTTGCCAGGCTTGAGGCGGGCATGGTGCAAGGCTCGAATACGCTGGACGACCGTGGGGATCTCTTCAACGGGAACGCTCTTGACAATGGCCAAGAAGCTTTCGTGGTCCTTGGGGCAGGGATATGTGAAGGCAAGCTTCCCGTTTGATTCCTGGTTGACCTCGATAGCAGCTGAAGCGGCAGCGGTCTCGTCAGTTGGTAGTGTCATGCCGTTGATGAGCTCATCCTCTCCGTCTGGTCCTTCAGACTCGTCGTCCGAAGAATCTTCTTCAATGTCACTCTCGCCGATTTCAAGGCTGGCATTGGAGTTGGTTTCAACCAGATCATCGTCAATGACGAAATCATCCTCATCCTCAACCCCCATATCCGGACGGGAATCCGTAGGCATGGGGTAGGCAGGAAGACCGAAATGTGTGGCGTCGTCGATCTCTGACTCGTCTTCGTCCTCTGGCAATTCGTCCATGTCCATATTGTCAACCTCCTCATCACTGAGTTCCTCGCCACGCATTCTGCGGAGACGGTCACTCTCCAACTTCTTGAGTCGTTCAGCTTCTTCCTCCACCTTTTCTTCTTCGGTCTTGGTGCGATCCGTGGGCTTTGATCGCTGGTCGAATGTCAACTGTCGGAGGCGCTGGTCGTATTCCTTCTCGGGGTTCATGTTTTGCGATTGCTCCAAAAGAGCGGCACGCTCAGGGTTCATCTCTGAGAAATCCTGCTTGGGTGCCTCCGGCTTCGCAGGAGCCTTGAGGCCACGAAGAGCGTCGAAAAGATCTGGGAGTTCCTTATCGAGTGCCTCGCGCAAGTCCTCATCATCGTCCTTGAGCTGCTGTCGTTCCGCCTTGTAAAACTTCGACTTGGCGATGACCTCCTTCATAACTTCGGCCTTGGTCTTCTTACGCCCAGGTTGGTCTTCTCCATCTTCGTAGTCGATAAAGTCTTCCTGATCCTGATCCTGATCCTGGCCTTCCTCCAAATCTTCGAATCGCTTGCGTTTGCGCGAGCTCTCGTCATCGGATCCCGCTTCCTCCAAATCGCCCGCATCAAAGTCATCCTGGTTAGGTCCATCGAGTGCCAAGGATTGACCCATGTGAGTCAACTGCAGCTCTTCCTCATCGTCCTCGAGGTTGAACATAGATTCCTTGCGCATCTTGCGCTGACTTTCGCGAGCGAATCTCTCGGCGGCACGTTCCTCGGGCGTCATGGTAGGATCGTTCTCACCGAAACGGCGATCGACGAGGCCACCGATCTTGTTGCGGCTGTTCATCTCCTTGAGAAGGGTAGCGCGACGCTAATTAGAAAGGATCTGTTAGCCTTAAAACCATAGCATCCCGGGGAAATACACGACCGTACTCTTTCTTCACCGAGAGATTTGGTGACACCGGGGCGAGCACCACCTCCAGCAGTTGTGTTGCCATCTCTTGTTGTGACATCGAACTTGCTTGACTTGTTGGTAGACTTGATCTCGAAGGGATTGAAGCGATCGCGAATGGCTTGCAAGGCGACCTCGCGCTGGTTGCGATTCTTCGCACCGACACCGGTCTTTGCATTTTGACGTTTTTCCTTCTTGGATTTTTGGGGACCGAGCACTCCGTTGTCACGGAGCGAGGCCTTCAACTGCTTCAGCTGAGAGGGTGGCATTGTGGTTGAGCTCAAAAAGAGTTGAGTTTTCGAATCAAAAAAATAACTACCGCAAGTTTTTTGCCGGGCGCATGCGGAGTTGATTGGCGCACGCAACTTGGGTGGATCTTTATTCCGGCAGAATATCTCCACTGCGAGTTCCCTTTAGTATGTTCGACACTTCGTACTCCGTATAGTAGATGAACTTCGAGATATTGACTTGTCGAGTAGATTATCGAGTACAAAGAGCAAACTTAAGACTTCTCAATACCACTCTCGGTAACAGATTTGAAGGCTACCTATCTGCTTCTACATTCTTATCATGATATTACGAAACCACAGTATATATGGATGGGTGCTACTAGGTACAAAGTGAAACACAATTAAGGTGATATGATAAACTTGCCTTATATCAGCTCTAAATGGAGTCCAACTGCGAGTACGACGTACTTGTGCAGAGAACGGAGGCTAGTATAAATCGATATTCTATGGCCCCAAAGCGGAGAGGCTGGCGGTGAGTCAATGTCAGACGGGATGCCGATCAACATTCTGCCGAAGTTGGTCTCCGCATCTCCAACTCCCACATCATGGCTCCCTTTTCTGGGGACGGTGTGCTATGGCTTTGTCTAGGTATGAGTTCACTTTGGGACATAGCTAGTATTATCACACTGACTCTTCTAGGCGTCTCACTATTCTTCGCCGTCCGCAGTATCGCCACAGACCTCCGTCAAGTAGTTGATCTGACAGAAATTAAGCATGTCGAGAAGGAAGATACGATCATAAGTGAAGGAACAGAAGATGGTATGAACCGCTGCCTGATTAGTGGCTTTATTGCGTTACTGACAGGTTCTCAAGCCCTCAAATTAGATACGCTCTTGAAGCTGTCGCAAAGCACAAATCATGATCTCCGAGCTGCGTACGCTACAATCATTCGACAAAACAAGTACCCATCAACTAATACAATCTAGCTCGCTTCGCATAATTTCAGAGAGATCCTCCAAGGGTGCCACTCGTGACTTGCTGTTAGAGGACTTGGCATCCAGAGACAAACTACCCCAATCACGAGCTCTGAACGCATTGAACTTCCTAGTCTCTAACAGAGCCCGTATGTCTCATCCTCCCTGTCAAGGATTTCCTGCCTGACTTTTCACAGTTATTCGCACCTCAATTTGTACTCGAATTGCCGACCTCCCAACCTTTACCGCACTGGTAAATTGCCTCTGCAATTTCCTGGAGGAACATGTGGAGAAAACGACGACCACCAACTCTCCTATACTTCCGAAGACAAGACCCATGGGAGAGAAGAAAGCCCTCAATATTCTACACGCATTACTACCCGAGAACGTACCGGAGGCATTGGAAGCCGGAGTCATCAGCCGATGGTTATGCCGGTACCCTTTCCCATGCGCGTTGGCAGAGCCTTCCCGCCGGAGGGATGTTGTAATTCTTATGAAAACCTGGTGGTCCGATGATGTGGTCATGAGCGCGATATTCAGCACGCTCTCCTCTCATCCGGATGGAATCAAGCAGCTGCGAAAACATGGGTTGATGGGTAGCATGATTGCGGAGAATGACCAGGACGAAGATGACGAAGATGCGGATAGTGATGTCTGGATGGTGGACGCAGACGAGGCAGATGGCTCGTTCGGAAGAACGCCCTCACGCAGATTCCCAGAAGGAAGCGTCGAAGACCAAGCACTGCGCCGACGGAGGAGAGAAGCCATGGTTTTGAGCGACGGAGGGCGGCCGATTGGAAGTGACGACATCATCCAGCGCCCTATTGACTGAGATTTCTCTCAAATTCTTGGTTGTCTGCGAAATGCTGGAATTTTCAGCACATGCATCGTCTACTAGCTTGTATTTTTATTTCTGTGATACCCCAATTGAGAATATGATATGCCATGAATTCTATTTGAAATACAAAATTCTATGTGACTAAAAATATAGAGCTAGAGTCCCATCCATGCACACTTGGCCAGATGATCGGCCTTCTTCCGACTGTTCTTGACAACGCCGAACGCTTTCAACTCCGAGAGGGCGCTGTAGAACAGAGACATCACCACTCGGTCATCACAGGCTTTGCCCTGCTCGCTTTCAAACACACCAAGGAAAGCTTGCCAAAGGTCATGCACATTGACCATAGCACCAGAGTCAAGGTATAGCTGATATAGAATTGCCGTCGCGGGTTGCTTAGCCGATACTTTGGAGGTGTTGGCGTCTGTTGAGGAAAGGAGGTAATCATACGGAGTGACCAGAGCACGCTCAATTGCGAAACGAGGGCGAGGTCCGAAAGTGTCCTTCAGAGGATTCCTCAAATCGAACAAGAAGGCTTCGTGCAGGAAGAGGTGTTGGGGGTTGATCAGGGTTTCTGTCAAATGTTCTTGCAAAAGCGCGACCAGCTGGTCGACAATTTCCGTGTACTGAGAGTCCTGGTCCGAGAGCTCTGCTCGTCCTTTGCTGAGCTGGATGCGCTGTTGGACAACAGTGGTTTTGGTGACAGTGCTGTTCACGTTGTAACCACTGCGCAGTGGGCCTGATTCGGGACATGAATCCAACAAGGTTTGGAGATTTTGTAGGATTGCTTCGGCTTCCGGGCTAGTGATTATGTGATGCAAGTCTGAAAGAACTTGGTAAAGCTTGTCCGAGTCGAGCGTCTTTGCGGTGGCTAGCATCTCTTCCACAACACTGGAGTCGTATAATTCACCACAGAGTGCACGGGCAGAAAGATCGGATACGCTTGACTTTTTACCAGTCTGCGTATACTGGAGGCAGGCATGCACTACTCGAACTGTTTGGAATAGCTTTCGCATGATTCTTTGGCCCAGATCAAAGGCCTTGACAGTCTGCTGGATCAGATATTCATCACTGTCTAGCATGTCTCGAGCTTGACTGGTGGATCCTCCTTCCACAAGATCCTCGCAGCGCCTGAAGACTGATTAGCTAATTCCAGCGGAGTGACAAATAGCTTTTAGGAGCTTACATTCGGAATGACGGCAAGTTTCGTATAGCCTCGGGGAATTTGCTTTGAGTGAGGGTGGTAGGATCGGGCTTAGCAAATAGTACTGCCAGAGGGTTTGCGAAGAAGTGAGACATGTATGCATACTGTAAACGTTAATGATTTGCAAAGCATTGAGGCTCATTTGTGCTTACTTTGACCATGCGACTGAATGCTTCTGGAGTTTGGAAATAGTCGCTTGTGTTTTCGAACAGCGTGTTAGTTACGTTGCGTCCAATCCACAGTTTAGTTGCTGGATCGGTCTGGAGGGACTCGTAAATACGATCAACACAGTTTCCAGCCTCTTGAACCTCAAAATGCTTTCCCCGAAGGAGTGCAACACACGATCGGGGTAGTCTGCCCTCAAATAGTTCCACCGAGGTGGAAATTCCGAGGAGAACGGTGAATGGGATGCGGTCTAGCCATGATCTAAAGAGAGGTCAAAAACAGCCATTGGGGCAAATAAAAGAGGTGAAACATACTTGAAAAGGGACAAGAGATCGGTCAGAAGTCCGGGATCAAAGGCTTCACTGTCGCGAAGAGCGAGTACCAGCTTTTTGTCCCCTTTCTCTGTACATAGTCATGGAGCAGGTCAAGATCGTAACCGAGTAGACGAGGTCCCTGGTCGAAATTCAGTTAATGCGGTGAGGTTTCCTTCCATTGAAACTTACGGCACGGTCTGTGAGGAACTTTTGATATCCATCGTTGCCATCGGTGTTTGTCACGGTAGCTCGGATGATGTTCTTCAAGGTGGTCTTCAGATTTGGAGCATCGCCGGATTCCAGCACCACCACGCTTCCTTCTTCTGATGATATCAATTGACTATTGAGTCGCGAGAGCAGCCTGCTGAGAGACGACACATTGGAGCCGACTGTAACCAACGCTGTGGGTATGCACCCTTCACATCTGTATCGCCATCGTTAGATTGTGTTCGCAGATTCGTAGAGTATAGGAACATACGTCTGAGGAGACGTCTCTCGAACAAAGGACAGTACATCTGCCAGAACCCCAGCATCGACAGACTCAAGGATATTCTGGATCTTGTTCTCCTGCTTTGACCATAGCTGTTTATAGGTATCGTATCGCAATTGGGCGGACTCGGGAGTCTCCTCTCCGTTTAGAAGAGGCACAAAGTGTTGTATATCGGATTTCTCATCCAATTTGCCCCCCGAGGAGACCTTGCGACGCTTCGAAGGGCGCTCGCCTGCTTTTCCGTGTTTTGGCGGTTGGTAGATATACGCACCCTGACATGCTTCGTTAGTGGGGCATTCCCGCCCGCGCTCAGAGGACATACCAAGTTTTGGGACTTTTCATTTGACAAGCCCAGGGCATCGTCAAACCCATCTGGATCCATGGTGCTTATCGAAGAGACAGTGTTGTCGCAAACCGGGGATGACTTCAAGGGCGGAAGCGCGACAGACGCTAAACCCGATAAGGCGATAATTGGTTATCTTCCGAATCTGAACTTCCACGCTTCCACTTTTCGTACCTTCTGGTCGACTTCAATGACCGCTTAATTTTCATACTTCATGCTGCGCCAGGCTATTCAAGGAGCCCGATGGTGTCAGCATGTCGCTCGCAGCTCAGCGACACGCGCTCCACGCCGGGCCTTCTCCGCCGTATCTCCGCGACGTCTTGATTTTGGCGGACCGAACGACAAAGTGAATTTCTACGAGCTGGATTCTCCCAAAGGCACCCGACGAAAAGTGGACCCCGAGGCAGGAGATAATGCAGAACGAGAGGATATCGCGAAAGAGCTTGCGGGGCTCAAGGATGAATTAAAGGTTCTGGAAGAGGGACCTTTCCACCCCGACCGCCCTTTCATGCAGAGCTTGTCAGAAGAGAACAGAAAGATCGCCCTGGAAGCTCTACGAAAATTCGATGAAGAAAACCCCGTGCCCGCAGATCAACCCACACTGGACGAGGTTTTCGATGAGGAACTTGACGAGATGCTACGGGAGGGATTCGAAGGTCTCGCCAACGAGGAAGCGAATTGGGAGGATAGCGCCAAATCAAAAAAGCTTCTAGCTGCGAAAAAAGCTGCTGCTGCGAAGCGAGCGGGGGCTGACTCCCATCCATATGCCGTCAGGTTCAGGACCGCCCTAATTCGGTTCGAATCGAAGACGTCAGACGAACGGGCGCGACTAAATCTGTGGAAGTGGTACAGACGATGCAAGCAGGCTATTCCGGGATTTTTGACCATAATGCCAGTGGGGACACTTGACGCGGTTTGGAAAGCGCAAGCATCGGGAGAGGCTGATGCAATTTTGCGCTCAACACATATGCAACTTTTGGTTCATGATGCCAGATCGATCGGACACGAGCTCAGCACGCCCCAGATTCTGTTCTATATTGCATCCCTACATGACGCCAGCGCCACCAGTCTTGCGTTAGAACAATGGGAAGCATACCAGGCCGAGTTGTCTCAAAAGAAACAGGATTTAGAGCAATACTGGAAACTTGGTGTGCGTTTGTTTGCAGCAGATCAAAACCCTCAGAGGGCCCAGGATATTGCCTTGGCATTTTTGGCCAACGATAAAACTCGCCAGCCGCGGGTCCTCATTCCAGTCATTTTAGCATGGGGAAACTTGCCTGGGAAGGAGGCCGAAGTGAAGGCCTGGGCACTTTACCTGCAGTTGAAAACATTCCTTGGCTCGGAAATGACTATGGAGGACTATGACAAGATCAGCATTGGCCTACTTGCCGCAGGTCGCTTGGATACTGCCGTCGCAATCTTCAAGGATATGATGGTTACAGGGCAAGATCCGGCCAATGACTCGACTGCTCTTTACAAGTCTGCGTTGGGTCTGGCCGGTAACCTTCATGCGTCTAGCATCGACGAGAAGGCTGTCAACAAAGTTTCCCTGTCTGTGCTGAAGTTACTACCACGTCGGTTCCAGAATCGGTTCTTCTATGCCAGTTGGATGAAGAAGCTCATTGGCATGGGTGAAGTCGACTCAGCAGCACTGGTCATTGAGCTCATGTATGAGCGTGGCGTGAAACCTGATAGCAAGCATTTGAATGGAATCATCGCGGGCTGGCTCCGCGATGGAAGCACAACTGCACGCGAAAAAGCAGAGCGACTCGCTTGGGCGATGATTCAGCACCGCATTGATTCCGCCTGGAAACGATTCCAACCCGGCGGCATCTCCCCGCGCCTTGAAATCGCGCATGACTCAGAAGTCCGTTTGCCTCGTTTCATGCAGAGACAAGTACCGCCTGCGACCATCGAAACCTTCTCCATCCTCCTCTTACATTACACTCGCCGCGGTGATGACGACATGGTCAAATATCTGATCAAGTGTCTCGGAGACGCTCAGATCAAACCAAACTCCTACTTCATGAATCATCTCCTGTACGCAGAACTTCGCAAACAAGATGTGCGGTCCCTCTGGACCAAATTCCAAAGTTTGTCTGCCGCCATTCGACCCGACCTGGAAACCTACGCTTGTCTTTGGGACTGCGCCAAGCTTCAATACGACCGCGGACGCACTGCATTTGACATAGGCTTCCCAACAGCACGTCAGCTTTATTCTAACATGGTCTCTTGGTACTCTCAATTATCTCCCAGCAGCCAAAAAGCCACACGAGAACAGATGCCCAAAGAACTGTACGACCAAATCGTGCGCTGTTTCTGTCTTTCAAAAGATGTCTCTGGTACACTGGTCGCCATCCACTCAATGAACTCCATCTTTGGCTTCGCACCGGACGACACCACCGCCCGCCTGATCATAGTCCAAGTTGCACGCCTAGCTGCGGTACCAGCCGAAACCCCCAAACGACGTCTCCGTCGATTGTCTTCAACGCCGCGAAGCAAGGAAAACATCGGCCAAGTCAGCCGATTGTTGGAGATTCTGAATGACCGGAAGGCTGAGAGTTTGCGAGTGCAGGGACTAAGTGTTGATCAGTTGGATCCCGAGGAAATGAAGCAATATCAACTGGAGATTATGGGTAGCATGCTTCGCGTCGTGTTAAGCCGAACTGATGCTTTGGACCCAGACCAGATTGAGGACAAGCTCGAGGCAGTAGCGAAGGAAATGAAGGTTGGGCAGCTTGACCTGGGATCCCCTTTGGGAATGTACGATAGCAAGCTTCTTTGATTGTTGTTTACCATCTTTGGACAGAGCATCAGCGGCGTTTTGGGTCATCATTCTTGCCCGAACATGGGCTATGTATATTATTCGCTTGGGACACATACATATCTTACAATTCACTCTACTTGATCCATCCTGCTGCTTCTCGACTTTCCTGTTCCATTGTGTCCCATCGATTGTTCTGGAGATCACCTCCTGTTTAGGATATCCTGGATGGTTCCAAGGTTGCCAGGTTTATGTGATGGAGTTTGGCCCAGGCGGGGGCTTGCTACTGGAGTCTTCTCACCGAGGGCTGAAGGTTGTGCCGTCCAATTTATTCCAAGGTTTGAACCAGGCCATTGGCATCACCCACATGGGCATTAAAGATGGCTTCATGCATGGCTTCTGTCCCAAACCTTGGAACGGGGATAAATTCCCTACAGAAACAAAGTTTAACAAACTGAATCTGCTTTCAAGGCCTGCGATGTTGCTTTTTTCAAGGGGGTCATAAAACATCCATAAATCGACTACGGACTAAAGCCAATCACCTCATTTTTCCTACCCAAAAACCCAACACATTAGTGGGTTGGGTTGGGTTGGATTTTGGGGCTAATGGGTTTTGCGGAGTGTCTAAGTATAGCTTCACAGTGTGATGCTTCTTGCTTTGTTTGCTCTGCCCCTCACATGCTCTGCCCTATCTCTACTTGCTTATTTGCTCCCTGGTTCTTTGTTGCTTCCGTCATTGATCTCTTCATCAAATGGACCTCGGGACCTCCTATCATGAAGCTTTTTGCCTATATGACACACTCCCAGTAATTTAGTGCCTTTTTAATCCCGATCAAGTACTCTCAAAGCTCAAATATTTACCTTTCATCCTCAATACCCCCCGTAAGCCCAGGCGCTGAACCAAGCCGCAATTTTATACCAACCTTGGAAGACGTGGACATTAGGTAGGTACTGGTCGGTCACCACTCGATCTCTCATTACCTACGACCGATCAAAGCCCGTTCTCTGCCCTGTTTGGCAACTAACATTCAAAGATCAATCACCCAGCTTCTTTCCCACGATATCTTTGACCTTTACCAAAACCATGGATTTTATTCCGTCAATTTTACGATTTGTCTATTCAGCGCACGCCAAATTGTTTACCAGTGACCTGCTCCAATGACAAGCTGATATTGTCTACGACCCTTCCCATCCAATCGACCAAGACGTCACGGTAATATTGGGCGCTGGTATCATAGGCCTCTCGAGGGCCTACTATCTAGCTCTCTTCTTGAAAGAAAGCACTACAGCTTCATTTCCACGTCCACCAAAAGTCGTTGTGGTTGAGCCATCGCCTGATATCTGCCCGGGGGCATCTGGTGGCGCCACAGGAGGAATAGGCGACTTCGGATTCAGCGACCTCGTTTCGCCTTTAGGGGAACTTTCTTACAGTCTACACAAGGATTTGGCTTTGGCTTACCAGGGCAGAAAGAAATGGGGCTTTTTGTGGCATGAGTAGTGATCCCGCACGGTTCTGTCAATTCTTATACAGACAATGTCAAGATTTAGGTGTGCAATTTCGATTTAACTCTACCGCCACCTCTGTTCAACAGGCGGACGACACAGAGGGTTTTCAAAGCGTTACTGATGAGTCCAGAACGCCTAGCCTGACTAGCGAGATTATTCCATGCAAAGCTTTGGTGATTGCGGGCGGACCTTGGTCTGCCAATATATTCTCCAGCCTGTTTCCAGAAGCAATTGTGAAACTTCGCATGAATACAACTTGGTCTGCTGGAAATCATGTCCGGGTTCGCAATCCATGCCCGGAGATACCAAATGAACATGCCAACTCGACTCAAAGATGTTATTATGAAGAAGCTCAACTGTGTTCTTCAAGATTTTAGAGCCTACGTACTCGGTACAGACAGAGTAATTAGTGACTGAGCGAAAAGGGGCAACTGCATTGTTGTATTGGACAGGGATCTTTGATATGGCTGTACTCTCGGACGCGGGCGGGCAAGAGGCTGATTCCTTGTTCTCCATTTCTTTACATTCTTTCCCTCCATGCCAAAATTGAAGACTTTCATCTGGTTAATGTCATATCCAACTACTATCCATGATGGCAAGACTTTAGTCTTTCACGAACTAATTCTGCAGTGGAACTTGCCTCCGCACCCGACGACGACCCCCGCACCGCCATCCTGTCCCCAAGGCAAATCGATCTTCTTCGAATTTGAAACAAGATCGCCTCTAACAAATTGGTACTAGTCAATGCCATACCGAGCCCACCTGCCTCAGGATTCCTCAAGTTCTACTTGAAGTCAACGCGTTCATCACGAAATTTGAATTGTCCGAGAAGCGAGATAGTGTGAGGAATGGGGCATTGTTGTATCATCGTCCATATGGGATCTTGGGGAATGAAGAAGATGGGTTTGGGGGAAATGCGGACAACCATGCAGATATCAACGGTAAACAGTCGGGTTCGGGACGTGTTCCAAGCATCTGCTTCGCGTCAGTCGTCCTTTCGTGGGTGGTCTATCACATAACGAGATGATGATCTGACAAATTTGTTCAGAACTTTCCTGAGCAATTGTTATTATGAGAATGCAACCTACCCAAGCCTAAGGAAGTTGAACACTCCAGGAGGGTTCCGAGAAGCAGTTACTCTGCAGGTATGGAGTACATCATGCTTCAATTCTTCCGTAATTACTACGGCTGTGGATGTTTAGCTAAAATTTTATGAGCATTCAACCTCTCACATCTGCCGTTATGAGCTTTTGGCTTCTGCTAATCTTGGATCGACACTGGGGTCGTCTCGCGGCCTAGGCGCGTCGCAGCAGTTGTTGCTTTTCCAGCTTTTCTTGGAAGTTTTATTTTCACTGGCACTGAAGCTACTTTGGTCACAAATCGTTTCTGCTCTATCTCAAGTTCTATCTCGATCACGACAATATTTCTGCGCATTTCCGAAACCAGCGAAGCACCAAAACGAAATCACACCATCCCCATGATGATGTATATTTTGTGAGTGCAGAAGTTGGCATGAAGCATTGAGGATCTTGCTCATACTGTCTGTAGTAATTCGATGCCGATCGTGGGTATTGCAAGACTTATAATCGCCAGTGATTCGCGGGTTGTGATCTTCATCTTTTCGGTTCTCGCAGTCTTCCTTGTTTTGATTGTTTCTACAACATCATTGGAGTCCCCATACTGGCTGGTGATGAATGCAAGAATACCAGTAGCATTTGACTCCCTACGAAGCTATCGAGACACAGAGATCATAGCAGCCCGTGATCTCTACAGGATCTATGTCATCGACGACCCGAAGGTCTCAAAGAACGGCATGTTCACTTGGCCACAAATTTCATCTAAGCCAATTTAATTGGTGACTGACCGCCGGCTAATCAAGATTTTGGTGATCAGCAGTGTTTTGATACTTACATGGGCACCTTAAGTTCCCGACATTATGCCCTTGCTCGCTGATATTACGGCGCCGATTGACACTGTTGCATTCCGCATTCCGTTATAATTTTCTTGTCTAGATTTTACTCAAAGTTGAGGATTCGCTGGTGTAGTTGTTAGTAGACACCGAAAGTCTCGGCTGAAAGTCTGTCCTATCAGAGACTCTAACTCGGTCTAGTCGGCAATCTCGGTGTTTTGGGGTGCAACATACGCGGTACAAGCGGCGAAGGCGCAAGGTAGTTAGCGACAATGACAATAATTCAGCGCAGAGAGCTACGAAAGCTGACGCGTTAGCAGCAATTAAAATGGAAGACTATCTAATCCGTGAAGATTCTCCTTCGCCTATCGACAAAGCTGCTGTTGTCAAAAATAGAGATTCAGCCATGAGGCTTCAATAACTAGAACCAACCTGAAAGCTGGTCTCCCAAATCGACTACCTCGAAATTTAGAACGCGGAAACGAACCAAAAAAGGAAACTAGACAAGATGAGACATCTATAACTAAGAGCTATACCCCACAGAATGAACCCCTGAAGCAAACAAGCGCTTGGGTTGAGACGAGGCTTCCACTTCACTTCATTTCATGATCGCCATTGTGGGGAATACGGACTCCAATTAATTTAAGCGTGCTGGGGGGGGCAACTCAGATTGGGCTGATACTCAGGGCTCTCTGTCTTGGAGCTGCAGCCTCCCACACAGTTCACAAAAACTAATTTGAATATCTCCAACATCTCAGCAATGTTCCAATCTAGGTACAAAAAGCATCGCTATATCTATCTACCCACTGACATCGTTTCCTATTACCCGAGCACTGTGATACATTTTCTCATTTTACTCAGCCACAGGGACGAGTGACTCACTCTGTGTTCCGCGAAGCATGGTCTCCAAGTAAGGTGTGTGCCGAATTTGAAATTGCATCGCTGATCACCAGGGGAGCACCACTGCTTCCAAGGTTGCCATCAGCGTTTTACAGCTTTTTTCTTCGGGGTGATTATCACGAAGTGTCAACTTACCCTGGTATAAGCTATGTCGGCCGGTGAATTTCCATTTTCCTCATTCGAAGTTTGTTCAACCTGGTGATCGGGGCTGGCAAGCTCTTTAATCGACAAATCCGGTGAGAGGATGCCTTCGAATGAATCTTGGCGGGCTAGAGGATACAGTTTGAGCCTGTTTAGAAAGCTCACAATATATATATTGCTCAAAAGTCACCAACCTTGCACATCACCAGTCTCTGTCAAGGGAACTGCTGCAACCAACGCAGTACTGATAAGTACAAGATTCAACGATTGTACAATTCAGCAACATCATGCTGACAGAAAATTGCAATTTGATAGATCAAATAGGCGTTGTATAAAATTTCTCTTGACCATGCACTGACGAGCTCTTTTTATACACCCCTAGGTATCAAACTATACCTAGGTACCAGCTAGTCCATGGGGACCTCGGGATTCGCCATTTTCTTGCTTGACTTGCAAGGTTGCTGGTTGATCAGTGTCACCACAAGACGTAACTGATGACTTGTGATATAAAACTCCTTATTTGGATGAATGCTGGGTAGGAAATTGAAATATCGACAAATTCCAGGACTAGGGCTAGTCTTGAGGTCATGCCCAGGTGTTGGCATGGTTGTCTTCTAAGATTACTGTCCGTTGATTCCAACCTTGGAAGTTTTTCTCCTAGGTAACGCTTTGATCTCTTATAATCATAAATGATATCTTCAGACATACTAGAACAATATTGCTTCTTTTGTGGCTTTGACAACCGCATGATAAGCACATCTCTGGCAACCCGCCCTATTAGCTACATCACGCGGAAGCGCAAGCTAAGTGCGTCAAAAGTCATATACTCCGGCGTGTGATACGCAAAATTAGTGATATTCCTAGGTTCTAAGGTTGAATGGTTGCTGACTTGTGCTATTTTGAACGCTCAATATGCATGTATGTATTCTATGAGATGGAAGAATTGTCAGTCGTAAGCAGCAAGTTGGCTGTAATCTCCGGGGTCAAATTCATGTATGAGCTTGGGTAAAAGCCCTGGGCTTGTCAAACTAGCCGGCAGGTCAAGTCCTGAGCAAACACTCACCTGCTAGGCTTGTGTCGACTTTGGCTCAATTATCTGGACCCATTTTTCAGCCCAGTCCTAGAGTCCACGGATACTATTTCAAGCTCACGCTAGGGCATTCATTCAAAATTGGGTAATCTTTCCAAGCTGAGACATGAGATTACTACTTACTCCGGGCTTTCTGATCAGTTCAGCCCAGATCAAATTCCATTGGCGCGTTCCGATGGTATCAACTCCGCCTCCAATTAATTTTGGTGACTGACTCCGGGGAGCTGGACTGAGGGTTGCTCCAGGAGAAAAAATTGGCCTACAATGATCTGTGCAGAGGAAATCACATACATACAAAGACTAGGTCTTCAGATGTGAAACTTCACTATTTCCGAGGTTTGATCTGGTATATTGATAAAAGAAAAATAAACTCCCGAGGTCTTATAATCCAGAACACCTAGCCAACGAACAGAACTGGTATAATAGTGCAATTCTTCATGATGCAAGACCGTGAGCTGGAAGTCCCTTCCAAGGTCGCAATATATTCCAAACCCGGAAAGCGTACAAATGTAACAACACAAAAACACCGATTCATCTATTTCTTGCCCTTGCCCTTCTTCTTCTTGTTTGCCGGGGAATTAGGAGTGCTTGACGCAGCCTCCGCTTCCACGAGAACAGCATCATCATCGCTGCCCTGGACCGAAGCACCGGGGGCCGGAGAAGTTGTAGATGGGGTTTCGGCGTCCTTGGTGGTTGTTGAAGTAACTGGTGTGGCAGTAGTCTTAGTAGCAGACGAGTCCTCCTCCAGCTCCTTCATGAATCCCTCCTGAATGCTGGTCTTCTTCTTATCCCACCACTTGCGCTCCTCTTCGACCTTGGAGGCCTGCTCCTCCATACGCTTGCGGTACATTTCATTGTTCATCATCTCGTTCGCGGATTGGAAGATCGTTTGGCCCCAGCCGGGGACGTATGCGTTTGCCTGCATCTGTTAGCGTCGCACATGCAACAAAGAAAATCAAGACATACCTCTGACACAACATCCTTAACCTCATCTTCCATTTCCTTTTCGGCGCGCTGGAATCGCTGCCACAGGTCGTCTCCGACACTGCCACGCTGCAGCAACATGGCGAGAGCCTGCTTTTGACTGCGCAGCGCCATGATGCGACGGATATCTTCCGCGGCGCGGCGGAGGAGAGAAGCTTTGAAGATGGAATCGGGGATCTTCTTTTCATTGGATGACGGTTCGATGTGAAGGAGGGAGAAGTAGATGTCGCGCTGGAGGTGGGCGGAGAACCATGGTTCTAGAGATGCGGCCTTGTCTGCGTGGTTGGAGATGAGTTAGCCTTTGGGCATTGGCGATTGGGTACGCGTGGATCGGCGCGAGCTGAAAGACCGAGGCTTTCGATAGGAGATACGTACGGGCCTTGCGCTTGCGATATAGAGAGGAGAATGTGGCGAGTGATCCCAAGAGAATGCCCAGGTAGGCGAGTGGGACGGCGAGACTGAGCCAGTCTACGTCGAACATTGCGTGAGATGGGGTGTCGCAGGTATTTCGATCGGAGAAGTTGAAGGGACACCGAGATTCAAACTATCATTACCGCCAGGGTGGTATAGTATTGAACAATCAAGGGTGTGGAAGTGTCACGGGTCAAGCTCGAAAGGCCAGGGTGTTTAGTGGGTCACGTCACATGTTCAGCCCTTTTTTTATACTTCCATCTTCAAAAGGCCCTCGCTATTGTTTCAAGGTCTTTTGAACAGCTTTATGTGAGTTTTATTCAAAAAAATTACAATTTGAAATACTCTACTTGCCTCGGGCTACTCACCATTGCATTTACAGAACATACGTCATGATCTAATCTTGATGGAGAATGGAGAGACTTGTGGCCATTAGGTTCGTACTCGTAGTTTACGTACACTGGTGTCCGAAGACGCTTACTAAATCGATACAAATAAGGAAGATTTGAATAATAGACACTTTGCTCCATCCGTCCCTCTCGCCACAAAGAAAAAACCGTCGATCAAAGGGGAATATGAGTATGCGTTGACATATTGACAAAGTAAGGAAAGGGGAAGAAAAGTGTGGAAGTATGAAAGTATGGTTGTATGAAGGCATGAGATTGCAATCATTGGAAGCTCAGGTTTGCAAGAATATCCTTGGTCTCCTGGCTGATGTCCCCAATCATCTGCATTCCCTGCATGTCCTCGAGGACCTCGTTGTATGTCTTCCCAAGACCATCGGCAACGAGAGTTCGATTCCATTCACCACGCATGTGCCATACGTAGTCCATCAGGTTGGTGTTGACCTGCTCAAGCTGTTCCACAGAGAAACCACTTGTTGACAGAGTTAACTGCTCGTGCAGGCGCTCGACAACGTCGAGATCGAGGCTGAATGGTGGATGGGGTTCTTCTTGGATGATGGATTGCAAATTGGTGGAAGCATTGCTGGACACGTTCGGCGCATCAAACAGGGGAGGCTGAGGTTTGGACTGTGACTGGCTTCCGTTCAGGCCACTATTCTCTTGGGTATCGGCGTGGCTCGCTAGCGAATCCCGAGGACGGGGGGAAGGTTGACTTTGCTGGGTGTCAGGGAGGTGGTCTTCTTGAGACACACGATCAGGGTATTGAGTGAGGTCGGGGTATTCGATTCGTGAGACATGAGGGCTTTGGGTGTTATATTGTTGATTTGAGAGATGTTCAGAGGACTTCTTGTCGGAGGATGTTTGGGTGGTAGATGCTTCGTTGGCGTAGTCGGCGGGCTGAGAGCCAGGGGCCATTGGGGTCATGGGGCCTCGCTGAGAGAAACTAGAAAGACCAGATTCCCGACGCACCTGCTGGGAGGGTGCGGTGTGAGAATAAGGAGGCTTTGGTTGCGCAGATGGCCCGAACGAGCTCCCTTGCGTGTCCTTACTACCCGAGTGATCATCTGAGTTGGACATAAAGACGTCGCCGTCACCATCGCCCTCTTCTGCCTCTCTGTGAGTGCCGTTGCTTACCCCGTGGGTGCCAAATTCGTGGACATCCACGCCTTCAACCTCGTGGTTCCCATTGGTGAAGCTCGGGTTCGGTTGATGAGTTGGTGTCACTGGGCGCGACACAGGCTTTTTCTCATCTTGATCTCCATTAACTGGGAACGAATCCGCGACGTGGTCAGGGCCATGTGCGTTCGCCTCGGGGTTGTTTTGTGGTGCATTTTCGGGCTCAGTGACAGGAGCAAGATCCTCTCCCTGTTGGGCACGTTCTTCTTTGATGCGTTGCTCTTCAGCACGCTGCGCGCGTTCTGCTGCCTCCTTTTCACGTTCGAGTTCTCGCAAATAGACCTGCTCTAACTCTGCCATGAGGACCGGATCGCCGGCAACAATACCAGCAACATCAACCTCGACATTCGAAAGAAGTTCATTTGCTCGCAAAGTGCGCTCATGATCACCAGTCTGGCGGTTATCCTTGACCATTCGCTTGACATCGGCGACGAATTCCGAGGGACGTTTATAGTATCCATTCGACAGACGCTTCTCAATGGTCACAATCTCAAGGTTGTAAAAGAATTTACCAGTAGCAGTTTCACGGAGACCCAGCACACCGTGCTTGTCATGGGACTTCTCATAAGGCCGGAAGGCGATCTGTTGGTCTGGAGGGAGATCACTAGTGACAATATTGGGATCTTCTTCGTCCCACAGGTACCGAATTGTGGCCTCATCAATCACACCTGATCTGAATCGCTTGTACTTCTTGACCTGGTCCATGATGGGTTGGATCCGAATCTTCAAAAGGTTCAAGGTGTGGTAGTCTTTCCGCTTTTGGGCCTTGAGTTCTTCCTTTGTGAGTGTGATGGTAGGCTTGGGAGGCGGAGGTGCAACTTCAAGGGTTTCCAGCTGGCGGAGTTTGCGGTTGTCTGGGTTGGGGAATGCCTTGGGGGAGTTTTGACGAACTCAATGATCTTCGCGAAGAACTCTCGGCGTGCTCCATGCCCGGGAGTAGAGAGATCGAAGACATTCTTCTTGGAGAATCCGAACATGTTCCTGAGTAATGTTTCATCAACCTCCTCATCTTGCGCTTCAAGGATGCCAAGTAAGAGAACAGGGTCAGAAGGCGGCACTGATCGAAGAAGACCCATGAATGTGGAGATAACAGCAGGACCGACTGTTTGGGCCCATAAATGTATGTTCGGAATGTAAATAACGCTTGGCTTGTGTCTTTTGACTTCAGTAAACAACTGAATGACAGCCGCCTCGGGGGAGCGGGTGGAATCACTCAGCAAAGTAGGAAGATCGAACGCCTGCACATGCAAGCCCTCGAAGACATGGAGCAATGCGGCAGCAAGGTATTGCTGACCCATACCGTGAGATCCACGAAGCAGAAGGCGGGGTCGGAACACGCGTGAGCGGTCAAACTCCTGTAAAAGGAGCTCTCGGTCAAAGCCTTCGCCATCGTTCGGCTCCTCAAATTGAGCTTCCTCGAGAGCCGTAAGCTTCTTCCGCTGCGGAAGAATCTTGGAAAGCAAGGTCTTGATATCAGACAGTGGGCTGCGGAGAAGAGGCTCGATGTTTGGGGGAAGTGCAGTGGCACCAGACGAGGTAGATCGCTCTGAAGAAGGCACCATCTTCTTGATCGCAAGCATGAAATCTTTAGGGGCAACATCAATCGTCTTCGGGTCGATGATGAGCTTTTGGTCAGACTTGTAAATCTGAGGGTATCTTCGCTGAACGGCATTGATCGCGGCTTCGGTGCACAGCGCTCGCAAATCGGCACCGCCATAGCCCTTCGTCATATCGGCAAGTTCGTCCTTTATCTTTCCTGGAAGTGGAGGGTCCCATTCTTTGGTGTGGATATCGAGAATAGAACGTCGAGCTTCAATGTTAGGGAGCGCGAAGTAAAATTCACGATCGAAGCGACCAGGGCGGCGAAGAGCAGGGTCCACGGAGTCGGGCCGATTGGTAGCACCGATCACAACGACTTGGCCGCGACCATCCATACCATCCATCAAGGCCAGTAAGGTTGAGACGATGGAAGCATGGATTTGTTCCTGTTTACTGGATCTGACCGGTGCTAGTCCATCAATCTCATCGAAGAAGATGATACTAGGCTGGTTCTTGCGAGCTTCCTCGAACAAAAGTCGAAGTTGTCTTTCAGCCTCACCGACCCACTTGCTAAGTGCATCCGCACCTTTTCGCATGTAGAATGTGACTTTCTTTCCTTCGGAGCTGACACTGTTCGCAAGAGCACGAGCCATGAGCGTCTTACCGGTACCAGGGGGGCCGTGGAACAAGACACCACGAGGAGGCGTGATTTTGAATCGCTGGAAGATTTCCGGGTATAGCAAGGGAAGTGATACCATTTCCTTCAGCTGATCGATGTGTCCTTGCAAGCCACCAACATGGTCAAAGTTGACATTCATGTCCACTCCCAAGGGGTCTGCATCCGCCAGAGCTTGCTTATTGTTGAACTTGCCCAAGTTGGCAGGCGTACCCGATGCAGCCTGGGCTGTGTCTGCGGATTGGTTGTGTGTAGCCGCGACTGCGCCATTGGGGCCAAGGCCAGTGCGAGTTGGTTGTTGCATGCCTTCATCGTCACTGCTGTCGCTATCCGCTCCTCCTACTGCTGTGGGATTACCAGGAGCACCGAGGATTGCCGAATTACCACCACCGCCGAATGGGCCTGTTGTCGAGAACAAAGTACGCTGCCAGCCACCTCCTCCACGACCACGCCGTGAGGGAGATCCAGTTATCTCATGATCAGAGTCTTCATTGATTTGAAGCAGTTCGGGTCTGATGATGCGATAGTCGACATCTTTGCGGTTGCGGCGAGGCTTCTCGTACACGACCGCTTGCTTGGCACGACGACGGAATCGTCGACCACCGTGCAGATCCTCCAGTTCTTCGGCCAGCTCGTCCGCTTCTTCTGAGGGAGCGCGAGAGCGAGAGGGTCGTTTGCGCAAACCTGGACGGCGGCTGTTGGAGCTGTCTTCGGCTTCTTCTCGAGAACGACTTTGCTTGCGGGGGGATGTGGCCGAGTCGTGATCTGAGTCCTCCTCTTCGTCATTGGACGCCTCTTCCTCGGGCTCAAAGTCACTATCCAATTTGGGTTGGCGTTGTGAGCTTCGAGATGGCTGTTTGCGGCTGGAACGACGAAGCTGTGAGTCTTCGTTGGCATCCGCGTCTCCGGCGGGATCCTCCTGGGATTGCACCTGAGGTGGGCGGCCCCGTAGAAGTCTAGTGGTCGGGGCGTTGTCGGTAGGCTCAGCATGACTGTTCTTTGCATCGCCATTTTCTGATTCAGGCACGACCACTTCATTGGACATCTCTTCGTCGATGAGCTCGTGTTCCGCGTCGTTCATTTGCACCGTATCACCTTCGTCATTGCCTTGAGGAGCATCACTTTCCATGACCTCCATAGAATCCTTGAGGGTGGTCTCGTTAATGACATCTTCACTCTCGGCATCCTCGTCTTCTTCATCGATGATTGTGTGTTTGTTTCGATTGGTGCGAGAAGCACGACGTGGCGGGGCTTCGGTTTCTGGGGTCACCGTGCCGCGCTGCACAGTTTCCATGTGGCGGCCAGAGTTGGTAAGAGCATAAATATCTTCTGAGGCGTCGCGGGTATGGCGGGTCACATGTCGTCTGAATTCCAGATACTGTGATGGCTGTTGCTGTTGTTTTTCCAACGCCTGACGCGGTACTCTCAATTTGAGGACAGTGCTACGGCGTGGAGGTGGAGCCCGAGTCACTTCATCGCCATCATCATCAATAACATCTTCTGAGTCAGGCTCCTCGTATGTTGGACGGTGGCTTTGGGTGGTTCGTCGACGCGTCCCTCTGGCGTTGCGGGGGGGCATCAGAATCGCTCGACTCTTCTTCTACCTCTTCAACAGACAGGTCTTCAGAGAAATCCTCCTCATCAGAAGTGATACCATCGTCGCCTGAACCGCGTCGTCGCTTTTTGGGAGCTGAGCGCGGTTTTTTCTTGGGGCTCGACTTCGATTTACGGGCGGTTGCACGGGAGTATTGAGCGTGATCGCTGTAATCTTCGTCGTCGGAATCAGACTTGTTTGCGACCTCCTCATAGGAGCGCTTTGCGCTTCGGGCCATGGCGCAGTGTTGTTGATGGGAAAATCACTTCAGAGGATCGTATCAGCATCAAAGGTTCATATCCAAGACAATGCTCAACATGATCGATGGTTATGAGGGCATAATCGGCCAAACAAACAAGGTCAAGAGGCAGGTATTGGAAGGTTGCGCGGTGCGGGCAGGATCAACACTTACGAATGAAAAAGCTGTCGCCAGCAACTGCTGGGCCACCCAATCAACAGAGTGAAATCAGCCTGCCCAGGTATCAGACTTGAAACCTCCCGACAATTGCTGATCAATGAGTTAGCGGATACGGCACGGTGGAGCGCAACCAGAGGTGGGAAGGTCTCACGAACTCGGCAACGCGTGGGAGATAAAATATGAGGAATTGCAATCTGCAGGACAAATGTGCAGCAGACAATTGTCAAGTGTAGCAGCAGACGATGGGGACTCGAAGGTGCAGTTCTTTCAGGGAAGAAGGGCGGAAAGGACTCGCGCTCATCTGAATGCATCAGCCACAATGTGGCTTTCGCCATTAGTCAGTCGTGCACGGGCCACCTTTCAATGGGGATTTGCTTCAATACCCCATTGACCTCCAGGCCAACATTGACCCCATGAATAAGAGCTTTTGTTCCCCTTCATGGCCATCGAAAATTGGCTGAATCGATAGTTTCCGCCATTCTGAAGCCCCAAAGCTGCAAAAAAGCGCATTGGAGGGGGTGGGGCTTGAGCAGGACATAGTGGTGAAAGTCGGTGTTAGAGAGCAATCAGTGACATGAGGAAGTCGAGAATAGGCGCATTGTTATTTTGGCCTTTGGTTCGCTGTTCTTTTTGCCCAGTCACTTTGGACCTGATATCATGTGCCGCTGACTCAGCGTGGCGCGTGCCCCCACTCTATTGGTCTCTTTCAAGTTCTTTGTCTCGTTTCAATAAAGCTCAACTAATTTGTTCCAATGTTTGTGCGCTTTTCATTCAATTGTGATGGTTTGCCTGCTCTTTGAGACTTATTAATAGACCGGGGACATCAAACTTGTTGCTCAAGAGGCACTTCAAGTAGCCTAGCGCGGCCAGCCATAGTTTTTTCCGAGGCCCGGCTTTGGCTCTGATTTAGCACCTGGGCATCTAGAGATGAAGCCAATTCTATAGAACGGAAGCTTTATGCTGGCATAGATATCTATTATTCGACTGACTGTTACTACAATAGCCCGGAAAAGAGGTAATTCCATTGCATCCACGAAGGTTTCGACAATTATATATCCGCACCAGTACCCAACACACCCGTGGACTGATCACCTTCAACCGGCATGTGAATCTCACTTGAGCTCGGAAGTTTCAAAAATTTCCCATGTTCCAACCTTCAAAGTACAAAAGGATGTGGAAACTGAGAAGTGAGAGGCGGAAATCGAGTCTACCGGTTTTGTCTGACTTCACTGGACGGTTACCGGCCGCAGGTGGGAAATAACTGAGACAAAGTCAAGGCGGAAAACAACCTCCCAAGGTTTCAGGGCTGAAGCAATAAAAATCCTAGAGCAATACCTAGGTAGAACTGGAAGAAATGCAAGAGAAAGCTCCCGAGGTCTGGTAAGATCTTTAATCGTCAAGGCCTTACCTACCCTTCTCGGCTACTTCCAAGGTCTAGTCAAATGAGCGATGAGGATAAGTTTGCCCGTAAAGCGTGTTCACAATGAACTATGGATGATGAATACCAAAGTAGTATAATGGGCAAATTTGTAGAGACAGTACGTTCCCAGATCCCAGATCCATTCCTTCCAGGCTACCAAGCCCTATGATTTCGTTCTGCATTGTCCCGACCCTCAGCTCGATTCTTTGTGCAACCAAAAGACCGTGTAGCCATATAAAAATATTGTGGCCTCCGCCAAGAATATCACATCAAATCACCTATCGCAGACAAGAATCCGAGCCCACCATCATGACTGTCCCAGAACGGGGCTCGACAGCATCCAACGCCTCCGACATCTCATCACTGAGACTTCTTTGGATCAGCGCCAAGGTATTCCAGCACGCGCTTGTGGTCATTGTATTTCTTGTTCTCAAAATTGTCCAGATCGTTTCCAAGTTCCTCAAACTGATCACGGAGCCGCGTTCTAATCCGCCGAATCCGCTTGTGCTGCCTGTCGTCGATACCTTGTACCTCGATACTATCTTCGACTTCTTCTTCGAATTGCTCGTAGTCCTCCCGCAGTCTCTTCTGTGCTCGCTTCAAATGGTCGATCGTAGTCTTGTCGGAATCGTAGGTGGAGTTCAGGCAGCGTGTGGTGTTCTCACACAAATTCCCAGGAGGGCTGGCGGGGCTTTGCTGCTCTATCTTTGGCGGACCGAATCCCATTGGCTGGTAGTTCATCGGTTTCCTGGGTGGCGTAGCTTTCCATTTTTCGATGGTCGGCCTCAGCCCTTCCAAGTCCACGCTAGAACTAAGAGCATGGTCGCGAGGGGGATTGACTGATGCCCATCCTGCATCGCGGGCCTGAGCCCCTTGGTTGGGCGTCTTTGGATCCTGGAAAGGATTCTGGAGCGGATTTTGGCTTGGAAGCCCTCCAGGGCTCGATCTTTCAAACACAGACTCTTTTCTGCTTCGCACAAGAATTTCATGGACCGTCTCCTCTGGCCGGGAATCTTCAGAATCGGAGGGCTGTTTATTCTTCGAAGAGCGAAGTTTCCGCATGGTGCTTGGAAGTGGCAGGATATTTCTCAATTTCTGCTTCCGAGATTGTGTAGTCGCCGGCTGGGTTGGACTAGTAGATGATGGCTGAACTTGTCTGAGAGCCGGAGACACAGAAGTCTGCAGCAAAGGAAGGTCAGGAAGACTGGGAGGTGGTGACATGTGAGATTCGGTCGGAGCAACTGTGACGCCGAGAAGAGGCGACTTTTGAAGACTTGAGTGCTGCGAAAGATCCTGAGAGGTAGATCTGAGACTCATGCTCATGGGACTTTGCCGAGCTATCTCGTTGGACGATGACTTGCTCTGCGATTTGAAAGATTCATCATCCTTCGTGGGCTTCGACATTCTTAACAGCTGAAAGACCCCAGGCAGGTCTTAAGATATATAGCGTAATTAAAAGTCAGCAAGTTGCAATGTTTAGAGGAGGAAGTGCTAGGAACTGGAAGGTGAACTGTCCAACTCCAAGTTGGCAGCTGCACCTGCCATTGCTGCTTCCTCATTTCCCCAAAGGCCTGTTTGCGACATGAGCGGAACCCATCTGGAGAAGACTCAAATCAAGTTATATTGGCGGCTTCTATGGCCAATTTTTAATTGTGCCATATCCTATTGCCTGTGAGCCCCAGCACATATTCGAGAGCGCCAATGGGTTACGTCAATCCAATGTGCGAGATTCACAGGTTGGGCGTGAGCCAATTGCCCGTCAACTGTTTCCTAGATGTAAATTGGCATGAGATGGGCAGCAGCCAACTAGTACCGTCCAAAAATAGGATGGCAGTCTTTCTTGTGGCTCAATGTCGGCCATTCCAAGGTGGCATCTACTATAAAAGTGAGGTGGTGGGTAGTTTCTTGAAACCAAAACAATATCCACAAATTGACGAATTTCGAGTTTGGTCGAACACCACGGTTGTTACAGAATTAGCTGAACGGGCAGTGAGCGAGAGTCGCTTGTAGGACCGAAGGGATGTGAAGCTTGGGAAGCTCTGGAGATCGGCTCCGACACCCCAGGCACAAACGCCAAGAGCGCTATACCCGAAATGGACTGCGAACTTCAACATCACCCTGACTCGTCTCTCATTTGACCTGAGTATACACAAAGGCAGCTGTGAACAAGATCCATAATGTTTGCGCAATCAGTTCGTCAAATTACACCAGCCAGTATGGCTTTGCGGTCTATGCGCGTCCCGATCGCTCGACGCGCCTTCACATCAACACCAGCGACATTCAACACACCCTCACCAGAAAAGCCAAGTGCCTACAAGGAGGGAGTAAGCGGAGCATGATTTCACACGATCGCAACGCAGTGCTGAATTTAAAAATAGATGAACCAGTATCGTGCCTTTGCCAGTCCCTTTGCCAAGGTCTTCCTCGGCGGCGTTTTCGTCTACCAGGTCCTCTACTGGACCTGGTTGAAGCTGGAGATGGATGAGACCAAGGTGGCCAAGAATGGTAAGAGCCGAAAAACAAAACTAGCATTGATACATTACAAATTTTACATACTAACTATTCTACAGAACAAGTGTCCGTGCTAGAGAAAGAGGCACGGGAGTTGACCCAAACCCAATCCAAGAAATGAAAGGATAACAGACTTGTATATTATGTTCTTCAAGCTCGTCATATGGAAAATCCGCAATTATGCGGTAACACGCTACCCAAAACCCATGCAAAATATATTATAATTCAAGCGTCAAACGACCGCAAACTTGCGCTTCCGCCCCTTATCAAGCTTTGCATCAGTCGTTCCAACTGAAGGCGAAGCCCAATCCTGTCCTCTTTCTCCTTTCTTGAAGTGCTCGATATCAATGTGATTGAATCGTTCATCCAAAGCCGCGGCGCCTTGGCTCTTAAGTCCGACGCGCCGATTGCAAAATCCGCACCAGAAGTCGGACTGGCCATTCAGATCAAGGCGATTATTTGTCGCCGCAGCAATCTGATGATCCAACATTCCGTGCTGGTGTAGATGCTGCATATAGATATCCGGACGGTAGAAAAGGCGCTCGCAGGGGCCTTTAGTCAGATCGTGGGCTGTGCAGAGCCAGCTTGGGACGTTGAGGTGCTGAGAGATCTCATGTCGTTTCCAATCGGCTTTGCTGCCAAATGACTTTGCGCAGTGGGGGAAGGTGCATCCGTAAGGTCTTTCGTGGCGCTTTTGGTGTTTTCTGATACTGTTAGAGTTGAGATCGAGGGCTGAGGGTGGGAGAGTGCTTACTTCATTTCACAGCGAAGTCGGGTCTTCTTCGGACATGCGTCGCATTGAAACCAATCTTGCTTTTCGGTTTCTTGGGTCGTTTCATTATCCGCGAGGCGTTCTAGAGCGGCCGAGAGGACCTTCTGGAGCATTTGGCGTTGGGGCTGCGAGAGCTGAGCACTATCTGAATCGAGATCGATCCCTTCATCGAAATTCTGACTTGATCGCCGCCCACGGTTGTTCATCATCTTCGTCATGGCGTTGATCAAGTTATCTGCTGCGTCTGTGATGGAGCCTTCTGATTTCGTGGTGCGATCCGCTGCGGCTTCTTGTCCTGCCAGTCCGAACGAGCCAAAGGCCGGGAACTGCGAGGTATCCGAGCCTGTCGCTGTTTGTTGTTGGGTGTCGGATGTGGCACCAAACGTGAAGATTTCGGTATTCTGAGACGTCGACTTGATTTCCGGCTCGTGATCGGGGGTTGACTGGGCGCACGCCACATCTTCCTGTACATCAAACTCCGAATCTGCCCGAGTACTGTGCGTTTTGGTGCGCTTTCCAGGTCGGATCACTTTTTCGTACCAGTCCATGGATCTTGCGAGACGTTAGCCTTCGTCTCTAACGCGATGAGAAATAGCCATACCTTTTCAGTAGTACCTCGCCATCCTCGTCGTGATGCATCCGATTCAAGTGTTGCTTGAAATTATCCAGGCGCGGCCATCTCTTGTCTGGACGAGGGCAGTTCATCCCGAAGCACAAGTACGTCATCTTCGGACCACGCTCTGGTTCTTTGTTGTGTACGCATTTCTTGTGACGGGCGAGATCATTAATTGTACCGAAACCTTCTTTCCGTGGGCAGTTCGGTTCGTCGCATTTGAATAGCTTGCGATGACGGGCCTCGTGTTTCCTACAGAAGTCAGTCGTCTGCCAGAACGTTTGGCCTTGTAAAACATACCGCTTATCTGATGGACATTTCCCGACCCAGAGACATGAACGGTGATCACATTTAACAGATGCTTCAAACATCGATGGCGACCCGACAAACTCGGATGAGTAGGATTCTCTGGATGCGCTGTGGGAGTCAAAAGTGCCCTCGGTCACGTCCTTGGCGGGACTAGACTCTGTATAGCTAGATGCCACGACAGACTGTGTCGCGCAGCTTGTTGCGCCATATCCGGAATCGGCGGAGGGGTAGCTGTCCAAATACTGGCTGCCATTCTCAGATGGCTCGCTATAGGGGTGGTGCGAGAAGCAATATTCATCGGGAACGGAAACATTCATATGCGACATCGACGAGGTTGGAACACCAGTGACCAGCAGCGGATTCCAGGCATCTTGTTCGCCTCGAGAAAAGTAGTAGGGATTTGAGGACCATTGGTTGAGATATGAAGGCTCAGAACCAAGGTGTAAATCTAAGCTGGGGTCGAAACCCTTGTCGTGGTTGTCATCAGCCATAATGCCTTGGAGGACATCAGTATCGGCCCAATCCTGGGGGCCCTAGTGGATATTAGATCACTAAGTAGTAATAGGGGGAGCTGATCTGGGTAAGCACTAACCTCCATAGTGAGTTGAGATAATTAATGGTGAGTAATTTCAAGGTTGAGAGCGCGCACAAACCTTCAAATCAGCGGGAGGGGCATTATTAAAGTATTCACGGCCCTCATGCGACAGTAAATGCCAAAACCTACACGCGAGAGACACGCAAGCTCCACTACGCCCCGGGCCGGTTGACCTCACCACGCGATTAAACAAGTCAAGGGTTAGAGAATGCGAAGCATAATTACGCGGATAAAAAAAAGGAAATCCATAAGACTAAGTTCACCCTCGCGTGCCCTCGCGTGTAAGCGTGGAATGCAACATGTCATCCCTTGATTGCACAGCCCCCAGATATCGGCTTTTGGGATATGTGTCTGCTATCATAATGATACAATCAATATACGGAGTACGGAGTACAGGGTAGTGGAAATAGGAAAGTAGATCGAGGTCTGCACCCAACAGCGTTATTTTTTGGGCTGACAGAGCCCAGTCGCCTCAGATCTTCTCCACCTTCCAGATCCTCGATCTCGTCACCCGGGCTCGGTGACTCAAAGCACGCACACGTATCACAATCACAAAGCTGAGCCGTTCCTGCACGAGGCATGCAAGACAAGATCCCAAAACGCAGGCTGGAAGCAAGGACTTCTGGATCGGGCTGTGACAGTAGGCGATCGACATGATCGGCCACTGTTGCAAGGGATGAAGGCACGTTATACGAGAAGTTTGTTTCGAATTTAGGCTTCGAACGTGAAACGAGATGTTTGATTAAAGTGTCTCTCTTCACCAACCTCCCATGATTTTCTCCATCTCTCCATGGTTGTTTGATCTTCGTACGGGTTGTACTTTAGTTCGGGCTGATGCTACGAACCGTGGAACCGTGTGTTCTGGTCCGCCACGCTAGTACCAAAATGGTAAAGTCAAAACATAATCTGATCTCTCATATGCCATGCACAACTACGGAGAGCCGAGCGAAAAAGACGGAATTCCCGCAAAATGGGGTGGGAAATGAGGTTATATCATAGCAATTCCAATGGACTCGCATAACTCGTAGACGTTGCGCCATCCATTACGATGGAAGCTGATGCACAAAAAGGGGGGAATAAGCAAGGAAAAGAAAAAGAAGAAAAATGGAAAAAGAAAAAGAAAATGTGAAGGATTCAAGGGTACCAGAGCCGAGGATTATCCGGACGAATAAGTGGCCGCATAGGGAATGTTGGACTCCATCGGTTGATAGTAATCCGCGGGGTACACCTGGAACTGAGGAACAGGATAGGAGTGAATGACATCTGGTTCCGGAGATCTCGGGCGCGGGGCGGCGTAGGGCGGCGGATAGGTCGAATTCTGATGCAGGGGATGAGCCTGGGCCAAGGGAAGGCCGGCGCCCAGATACGGGTAATCAAGGGACTCCGTCATAGACTCAGGCTCGGTAGAAAGCTCGATGCCAGAGATAGAATGGTCGAGGATAGTGTTTTGCGTCGCGTACTGCGGTTGAAGAGACGTTTCGTATGAAGCCAGGGGGGCCGATCGCCCTTCGTCAGCAGGAATCGGGGCACTGCTAGGTTTCGATAACCGCAGAACGGGCATGGCAAGCTGTTCCAGATGCTTGCCAAGGTGGACTGACAACTTTCTCCACTCGCTACAGACATTCCCGCAGAAGCGACAAGGCTCTGATTGGGGGGCTTGTTTAGTCTCGTGCCGACATTCTTCGACCTTTTGCCAAATTCGTTCGACGTTCTGATCGCGTCGGCCGTTCGGCTCGGTCGTACCTTTCTTGGTCTTCGGTTCGGGCATCTTGTGTTCTCGGACTAAATGTTGCACGAAGTTGTCTTTACGATAGCAGGTGTGGCTGCAATCTGGGAATGCACAAGTCCACCACTCCAAGTGACGATGCTTCTCGTTCTCGTGCCGGACCCAGTCCGCTTTACGCTTGAAGGACTTGGGCTCGGTGCAGTGAGGGAATGTACAGGTAAAGGGGTGTACATCTTCCTGGACGTGCTTGGACCAGTCAGATGGCTTGGTGAAGGTTTTCACTTGGAAACAGATAGGGCATTCAAAGCGGGCAGGGAGCCGGCTGACCGGCGGAAGGGGCACTCCAGGGGGAAACTGTGCCGCGGCTACCGTGCCTTCTCCTATCGCATAACCTTGCTCATGCCCGTTGGTGAAGTTGGACACGTGGAACTGATTCTGTCCAGCCTTAGTCTCGGCTGGAGCCTTGGTGTCTTGCAGAGGCGTTTCTTTGCCACCTAGAGCAAAGCAGAAATTCCCAGATTTGCAGGAATGATTGGCGACCGCGTGGGCATGCTTCTGCTGCAAGCCAACCAGAACTTTGAATCGGCGATCTTGCTCATGTGCGAGACGGTGGATCAAAGCTGGCTCAAGCCTTGGGTTCAGCTGCATTATCTGTGATTTGAACCCTTCCAGAGTTGGTACTGGTAGGCTCTGAATGGCAGGGAAATCCATAACCAACCCTTTGTTGTTGTTCGCATCCGCGTCATGCTCATCCTCGACACCACCAGCATCTGGACCTAAGAATGTACTTCCAGGTGTCTGGTCGGCATCCGAGCTAACTCGAGGCGAGGTGATATTAGGAACTGGGGGCCCACCATGGGCGGTCATCAGGTTGATCAGCCCCGGGCTAGTCGGCCGAGGGATTTCGCTTCTACTTCGGCCACGACCAGGAAATTGAGGTAGATTCAGGGAGCTTCGCTCGGGATTCGGGGATGGTGCGGGTGAGACTGCTTGTACAGATTGACTTCCGCCAACGCTGGCTATTTGGCTGGTCATTGCCATCAGTGCATTGCTTAGACTTGGCGATCGAGAATGGCGACGGTTCGAGAATGGGTTTCGAGGTGTGTAACTTTGTTTCAGCTGTGGGTCTTCAGCATCCCGCTGAAGTGGAGGGTAGGTGCTGGATTGACTGAGAGACATCTCTGAAGCTTGGCGCTTTAGCATTGAAGAAGCCTGCTGGAAAGGACGCTTGAGAAGACTCGTTCGCTTCTTCGGTTGTTCTCTGTTTCCTCTTTCCCCAAGGGAAAAATTCTCAAAGGATGTGGTCACATTGAAGATACTGTTGTTATCAACGGTTGCTGCAAGAGATGCCGTTTCGAGATCGCGAACACGTTTTTCGAATGCTATCATAGCATCGGTAGAGCTGTCCGGTTGCATGGCGTGTGTTCTAGGTGCTGAGTCGCGAGGGGGATCGTGCCAGGGGTAAAGACGAATACTTTCATCGGCTTTGGTTGGTGTGAGTGAGGAATAGACTTCGGGGGTACTGCGATCGTATCTTTCAGGGTCGTCAACTTCAGCAGATGTCTCATTTGAATAGGTTCCGACGCTTTCGTTTTCGCTGAGTTCATCACTGCTCTCATGTACCAGGACACCAGGCCCCAGGAAAGGTCGGTCCATAGTGCGAGTCTGGAGATTGAAGTAATCCTCTTGTTTCAGGGGATGGTCTCCAGTGCTCCTCGCTCTGAGCCGTCTCGGGATATGCGGGCGCGGTTGCGGTGGGCTGGGCGTTCCAGCTTCGCTGTTGGCCTGACTCACGCAGACGGACCAAGAGGTAATATCTTCGTTCCTTTCTTCTCTCACTCGATGAACGTGGATATCGTTAGGGCTGGGCACGTATTCATCCCCGCGAGAGGCCGGGCCAATGCCGGCGAGGTTAGTAGCCGGGTCTCGGAGCCATGTGCCGTCATTTTCTCGTTTTGAAGATGTAGGTAACACGGGTTTGGGTTCATTTTCCTCGTCCTCGTCCTCCAGCCCGTTAGGACCCGCTGATAGATGCGCTGTCGACTGACTGGGACGTCTTTGGTGCGACGCACCACCTTCAGGCGAGTCGCCTCGAGTGAACTTTGTAATTTTAAAAACGGGGCTTCTCCCTCTCGTGGCGCCCGGGTCCAGTCCGTTCGACTCCTGGTCGACCGACGGCGCAAGTCGGGCCGGCTCGAGATTATAGACACCGAGGCCGGGTTGTGAATTCGTTTGCACACCATTAGACCCAGGTCCCGTCAGCGTTGTTGATGTGACCGGATTATGCTCCGCGTTGGGGAACTGGAAAGCGCTTGGCGCCATGGGAGGAGACCAAGCGGGACCTGGCGCACTGGCCCCGGACTTGTACGAAGAAAAGCTGTCATCCCGCCAGCTACTCGAACCGCTGTCCAGTTCGATTTCTCTAGGCTCAACAAAGACGTCGGACAGAGGAGAGGCACATGCGCTGATGTTGGACTCATACGCGTCCAAATAGCTGGTCTGAACTGTGGGGTCGTGAGGGGACGATCCGGGTCCGTTGCTGTGCGGACTGCCAAGCGAAGGGGTCAGTCGAATGGCACTTGCTTGAAAGGAGATTTCTTCGGGGTCGCATGTCGTAGAAAGATACGGATCTGGAATCGGTATATGCGCGGGCGAGTGCCCCTGAACACTCGAGGTGCGCGACATGTTCGTGTTCGTGTTCGGCCTCCCCGCGATCACAAAATTGTCCGAAGAGGCTTTGACAAATCAAGCCGATCAGGCACTCATCGAGTCATGTGGATTGCCTGCGCCTTGTATACTTGTATGCTGTAGATATGAGGGGCAATATTTCCCCCACTCCGGGGACAGCTTAACTCTTAAAAAGAAGAGATGAAAATCAAAGAAAAGATGGGGGCCGACGATCAAGTATTAGCGAGCCGGGAACTGAACAAGCGCCGGGCGCATCGCCCACTTAGAGGGCCTATGGAAATTAGAGGACTGTCGAGGGGTTTGGGTCCCACCGTCAGTCGGCCTTGTTTGAAAGGGAAATGCTTCGGAGCCTCACCCTGTGGCTAGTAACTCGTATGATCTCACGAGGCTCACTCGCTGCCAACGCTACTCAATGCTGCCAAACCCTGCCAAACCCTGCCAACTACTGCATAGTCCACATATTTGGAGCTGTGGCTGTGTGATTATGACATAAGGGCCATTCATTCTATTCCTGAGGTCTGACATGCAAGATTCCTTTTGCATTGCCCTCCTCAAGTTCCTCTTCATAACCGCCCCAGCCACTTCCGATTCTATTCTTATCCCACTCAGCCTCCTGGGGGGCTATTTTGTATAGGGCTGAAACAAAATGCTTCAAGTGGGTTCTTCATTGCCTATGAAACTGATTCTATTTCAGCACTGACCCTCCGAACATATTGAACTTCAACCCCACGATCCACTCCCACGTCCCTGCCGATCGACACAGCCACGGTTTTTATATAGAGTACTGGACCGTGATCCACTCGCCAAGATAGAACTTTTTGATTTACTTTCAGGAAGACGGTCTTAATGGTGTTTTCCAAGTCTCTCGCCGGGTTTAGTCCGATGGGGGGTAATACTGAAGGTCCTAGATATACATGTAGCGAGCGATACGAGAAGGTGAGATCTTGGCTCTTCCGATTGGTGCAACATATCCTTGCCTTTTTTGAATGACGAGATCTTAAAGATCGGCGGAAAGTTCCCCCAGAGCCGCTCTTGGAGTCGAAGTTGAGGTATGCCCAAGTGTTAGCCATGGTGAACCATGGAAGTACCTCCGACGGGAAGAACATGTGGGTCGCGGCACGTTGAACATATTGATGACACCAACTAGCGCTTCAAGTTTTGAGCCTTGAAAAACATCACACCAAATATCTAACGCATACTCAAAAGAGTAGTATGTACCTCGGTGTCTCAGATCTCCCGGCATTGGGTATCTGAGACACCCCGCTTTCCAGGCCACGGCCACTATGGCGTGGAAACCCGCAGCTTAGAGCAATTAGCCGAGGTGAGTTAAATTGGTAGATATTGTTCACATTTACACCAAAAAGCAATCCCCGATACATATAGGATAATCAGTGATAGCTTTACCGCTTACGTGCCTGTCTATGCGCTCTCAAGTTGAAACACGATGGATTTAGATCTCTTCTCGCTGTTGTTCCGATATTGCTAGTTTTAAATAGGCTAAAAGGAAGCACACCGAACACATTCGCGCCACACCACGTGCAATTAAGCGCCAAGTTGCCCAAATTAGAAGGAGACAAGTCTTCCAAGGTTGTTCGGCGCGACTACTATGTTCGCGTTTGATTTGGCGCCATTTTTTCTAAATATACCCTATACATGTATGCTGGTGCACTGGGACTTGCACCCGGCGAAGAAGATAGAATTGCAAGAAAACGTTCGTAGAACACGATGACCTCATGACATATGTACCAGAAACAAAAAAGCCCCAGGAAACAGTCTAAACCCGAGAGGGATGCAAGATCCGGGGTCAACACGAGGATGAGATGCCATTGGACGAAGACCAGGTCCTTATCAATCAGATCCGATCATGTCCTCTTATCACTTTGATAGCCATATAAACCAATGATATTCAATATGATCTTGAAACAGGGTCTCTGTAGCTATCGAAAACCCATGCCATTAGCTTCTCGCAGAAAGATAAGGGTCTTGGTATGCTCTCCGAAGGGCCATCATGAGCGAGGGAAGTCTTGGCTTGGAGTATATGTATACAGAAGCTATGAAGCTATGAAATGAATTCATCTAGGCTTTTAGCATGGCCGAGACTGTCAGTATACTCATACCTGCTTACAAGAACTCACCTGAGGCTAACTTTTCTCCACAGCCAGTATACAACGCATCTACCCCAACGGGCGGCGATCCGCTCAAAGTCGACGTGAACGCCCAGTATGCCGGTGTCGAGTGGAACTATACCTATATCATCCTCTGCGCATTCATTGTCTGGCTCATCATTCCTGGGATCGGACTTTTGTACAGTGGTCTCGCAAGAAGAAAGTCCGCGTTGGCGTTGCTCTTCCAATCGTTTTTGGTTGTTGCGGTGTATGTGGATTCCGGTATTGACTCAATTCCTGCTAAACAGTCTAGCATCACATTCCAATGGATGTTCTGGGGTTATTCGCTCACTTATGCCCGAGATGCAAGCCCGTTCATCGGAACGTTGAAGAACTTTGGTTTAAAAGGGGTGATGGCGGCGCCATCACCTGGGTCAGGGGACTTACCCGAAATCGTATTCTGCTTCTATCAGCTCTTATTCTGCGCATGCACGGTGAGTAGGAAAATAAAAAAAAAGTTGGCCGGGTCAAGTGTTGACGTGAGTAGGTTATGATCGTGGTCGGGGGAGCCTTTGAACGAGGAAACATCGTCCCCTCATTGATATTTAGTTTCTGCTGGGCGACCGTGGTATATTGCCCGCTGGCCTGCTGGACATGGAACAGCAACGGGTGGCTGTATAACCTCCCCTCGTTAGATTTCGCCGGTGGTGGTCCCGTTCACATTGCGTCTGGATGGTCGGCTCTGGCTTACGCTTTCGTGCTTGGCAAGAGAAAGCACATCGACCAGCCCTCCCACGCAAAGCCCCACAACACGACACTGGTTTTCATCGGGACTGCGCTGATCTGGTTTGGATGGTTTGGATTCAATGTAAGTCATCTCCGCCTGCATAGTAGACCGAGCTGACAGTTTCAGGGCGGTTCAACTCTAAACGCCAGCGTGCGAGCGATGCTCGCCGCATTCAACACCAACACCGCAGCATGCACTGGCGTACTTGGATGGGTGTTGGTAGACTACATCAAACACCGCGGCAAATTCTCGGTGGTAGGAGCTTGCGAAGGTGCAATTGCGGGGCTTGTTGGCATAACCCCGGCAGCGGGTTTCGTCTCCGTCTGGCTGGCCGCGGTCATCGGGTTCATCACCAGCGTTGTGTGCGCGCTCCTGCAAGATATCAACGAGTGGCTTCGCATTGACGAGGGCATGGATGTTTTCAAGCTGCATGGGATCGGGGGCATGGTCGGAGCCATATTGACGGGTATTTTTGCCTCGCAGTCTATCGCGGCGTTGGATGGAGCGACCGAGGCCACGGGTGGCATTGACGGCAACGGCATCCAAGTGGGGAAACAATTTGCGGAGGTTTGTGCGATTTCGGCATACTCGTTCACGGTGTCTTGTATTTTGCTTTACATTTTGAAGTTTATTCCGGGGATGCAGCTGCGCGTGCATGAGGAGGCGGAAATGGTTGGCTTAGACCGCGCGCAGTTTATCGATGAGCAGATCGGGGAGCGGGCGCTGCTTGACGATCTCTGCGGGTCGGGTGCAAGTGTTTTGGGGGATGTGGTGGTTGGCCAGGCCAAGGCATGATGTATACGAGTAGATAGCGGAGGTGTACGTATGCGACGCCTGTCTTACTTCACATGGTTGATGTCTACGATGTTGAAGTCATGTTCCACTGGCCTCCCTTGACCACTTAAGACCACGTTGATGTGAGTAACATACCGAGACAACTTTGTTTAGTGGATTGTATACATGTCTCATAGAAAGGGTTGGGAACCCTGGAAAGAGGCTGGACCCTCATGTGTCAGACTGACACAAAGTGACGTCTGATCGGCTTCAAGGGCCGTAGCTGACGTATGCTTTTTATGCGGCCGCGTCCACTGAGACTAGCGTCCCTGCAGCATTCCGGGGAAACGATGTCCGGAGTACTAATTGAGGTAATCAATACGGAGTATAGTCAGAGTCAGACTCCCTGCATAGTATTCCCTCGAGACAAGGGACTTGGAGGTCGGTAGTAAATAGCCAGTGTTGCGTTCAGAATAAGAATTTAAAGGTGGAACCAAGGCTGTCACTAACGGGTTCCCTGCAGTGAGACCTGTTGATTCGTATGCAGGGCGAGTCAGCTGTGTGTATAATGTAGTTTATATCAGATGTATTCTGAGATTGGTTTCTGTGGAGAATACTGAGTAACAAATGAGTCCAAAGAGAGAGAGAAGTATTTGGTTGCAGGAACCTATTGTAAGATCATCAAATGTAATATGCACTCTCCGAGAGAAAAGAGAAAAAAAGAAAAAAAGAGGCATATGGTCACATACGGTAAAAATACCACACTTACCCTAGTGCGGATGAATCTAGGCCCCCATTTGCCACCACCCGCCCTGTCTTTCCGCGTCACGTCTCGTACCGCCCGAAGCCGTCGCGTCCCCGTTTCTGTGGCTCCCTTATCTGTTCTTGGCCCTCCCTCTCTTCTTCATCTTGAAGGCCTTTTGCTTGTTGTCATTCGTTTACTCACCTTGCTCATTTGACTGTTCTCTCGCTGCGCTCTTAGAATTGAGCACTTTTTTTTTATCTAATTCTTACCAGTCTGTCATGATCTGCTAATCACATCAAGTCCAAATGGGCAAATGTATGTGGTCCCACTCCCCCCCAACAATCCGCAACTAACATGCTCAGGGCGTTATGGTGTTGTCCTGGACGCAGGCTCGTCTGTATGTTGGCATGAGTTTGCACTCTCAATGTACACCAACTAACTGATCAGGGGACTCGCGTACACGTTTACCGATGGCTACGAAATGCCGCCGCACGAAAGAAAGCCGACGTGGAGGAGTTGAAATCATTACCGGAGATTAAAACGAAAGAGGAATGGACCAAGAAGATTCGCCCTGGTGAGTTTCTGCTCCGACATGTACCATCGCAAACCGGAACACTAACCCGTCTGCGAAAGGTGTTTCCTCGTTCGCCGACAAGCCCGAATCCGTCGGATCTGATCACCTCGCCGAACTTTTGGACCATGCAAAGGGTATCATCCCCGCGGAGGATGCCAAGGACACCCCGATCTTTCTCCTCGCCACGGCCGGTATGCGACTGGTTGGAAATGTGGAGCGACAGCTGTTACTGGACAATATCTGCTCGTATGCTCGCGACAACACGGATTTCCTGCTCCCGGACTGTGGTGTTCACATCCAGGTGATCCCGGGTGTGACCGAGGGACTTTACGGATGGATTGCGACAAACTATCTCATGGGTGCTTTTGACACGCCAGACAAGCACGACCACGGGAAGGGACACCACACCTACGGATTTCTTGATATGGGTGGTGCCTCGGCGCAAATTGCGTTTGCGCCAAACGCGACCGAGACCGAGAAGCACGGGAACGATCTCAAATTGTTGCGACTGCGCAATGTCGACGGGTCGGTTCAAGAGCACAGGGTGTTTGTCACTTCCTGGCTCGAGTTCGGTGTGCATGAAGCTCGGAGACGCTATCTGGAGGCTTTGCAAACCACCGCAGGGCCGGAAATTCTGGAGTTGCCCGATCCTTGTCTTCCAGGTGGACTGCGGACTACCCTGGAGGGCAAGGATGTGGCATTACAGAACGAGGCGAACCCTTATTTACTTGGCACAGGAAAGTTCGACGAGTGTCTGCGCCAAACGTTCCCCTTACTAGACAAGGATGCCCCATGCACAGATGAGCCATGTTTGTTACACGGGATGCATGTTCCAGCTATCGACTTTGACGTAAACCACTTTATCGGAATCAGCGAATACTGGCACACTACCCATGAGATCTTTGAAATGGGATTCAAGGACAAAGCCTACGACTTCAACACTTACCAGGAACGGGTTCAAATGTTCTGCTCCCAGGATTGGGGCTCGATTGAGCATGGAATTGAAGCGCAGAAATGGGGAAAGAAGGTTGATCAGCAAAAGGCAGCAGAGGTTTGCTTCAAGGCATCATGGATCATCAACATGCTCCATGACGGCATTGGAGTTCCCAGAGTCGGGCTGGAAGAAACACCGAGCACATCGCACAATGGGACTAACGAGGTCTTAGCTCACGGGAAAGAAAAGGGTTACCTTGATGCCTTCCAGGCTGTCAACAAGATCGACTCGACCGAAGTGAGCTGGACTCTGGGCAAGATCGTCCTGTATGCATCTTCCCAAGTCCCCGTGGAAATTGAAGAAGCTCTTCCAGTCGGCTTCGGTAGCAATGTACCTGGCATTCCGAACGATTTCCAGTACCCCAGCGTCCAGCTTCTGCCAGACTCAGACAGCGTCTACAGCGAACACTGGCACGACGCGCTTTTCGACGGTGATTCACCGCGCCGAGTCCCCGGATTCATCCTGTTCATGCTGATCATTGTGATGGTTGGATTCTTCCTGTGCGGACGCAGCCGTCGTTCACGCATCTTCAATCGTGTCAGTAACGTGTTGCGCCGCGGTGGGCCATCTCACCCCAATCACCCAAAGAAGCGCAAGGGCATCAAGGCGATGCTTCCATTCCTTGGTCGCAGTGCCCCCTCTTACGAGCGAGTCCTCGAGGACGGAGCCCAAGATTTCGAACTTGGCGTGACGGACTCTGATGGAAGCGAAGACGGTGGACGTCTCTCCGAAGCAGACTCTGCCCGACTGGGACCGCCGAAGCGTGCCTCCAGCTGGGGAAGCAACAGCAACACCCCAAGCTTCAAGTACGCGTTAGACAACAGTTCGACAGGGACGATAGGTCTTGGGATCAGCGGTGGAGGCTCGGGCATCGCAATGGATCGTGCCGGCCTGGTAGTTCGGACCGAAAGCAGGGACCATCTGGCCCCGGTAGCTCTAGGACCCACCACCAACGGTCGACGATCTCGAGCGGGCAGTCCAACAAGATCCCTCCACCAAAAATCACCAAGCATGACGCCCCTTGCCGATGACTAACGCGCCCTCCCGAATTATGCATAATCATTTGTCGCATCGCATTTCATTTGGAGTTTCCTTTGACACACACTGGTCTGTCCGGTGCTGCCTGTCCTGTTCTTTTCATGCAGGGAGTTTTCGTCTTACCCCGGCTTGTGGTGTGGCTGTTTGCCTTCGATTCTTCATATCATATTTCAACCTCTGTGCTCTGGAGTACCTTTTTGTTCTGGTTGCGGTGCTTTCAATCTCAGGCGGGTGTCTACACGTAATGAGCTGTGTACCATTAGTGGCCGAGATGTTCTGAATATAGATTAATACATGACGCAAACATGCTGTCTTTCTGCAGCAATTATACATAGACATTCCCAGGTTCCTACGCTCTGTGGGCACTACCTACCCTGTAGAAGATTGCCTCATCTCACTTTTTTGAGCTTGATGAATGTATGCCGTCTTTGTTTCTGATTGTTAAACCCCATTTCTCTAAGCAGCGTGTCAGATCCTCCTTGGGCATCCAGTCTTCGCATCGTATGCAATTACCCCCCACGGAGCAGTGTGGTTCAAGTCCCAAGACCGAGCATCAACGGGCGAGATGCCAATCTATCAGGGCGAGATACGTCACGTGCGACATACTCACCGCCCTGGCAAAAAGGGCTTCGATACTAGAGAGAAACTGGCGCGACCAGCTTCCGGTCAAGTTATTTCTCGCTCTCTTGGTTTTTCCCCCAAGTCAACTATCTTCTGCTTTCCATCTATGCCGTCGCGATAAGCCTCACCTTCTTACTCGACCCTGAATACGCTGGCTAAAGCCGCCCGCCATAATGCGTCTTACCGTCGAGCTCATCCAAAATTCGCTATCATACATCAATCCGCTCACAGACCGCGAGCTGGATCTCCGAGGTGCGTACTACACGGCTGTCTGAAAAGAACAGATACTACACTTTATGGGAGCTTGGTTTATATCGTATTTTTGCGCGGCTAGGTCACAAGATCCCCACAATTGAGAACCTGGGTATCGCCAAGGTAAGTGCTGCCCCGATATCGAGCTAGAATCGCATTTGAGATGATCAATTGTGAAGCTCAGCTTCTGAATTGCAACACGTCTTGCTAACAGCTTCCAGGATCAAGATGCGATCGACTTCACCGACAACGACATTTCCTCCCTAGGAAACTTCCCTCATTTCCCCCGCCTCCGCACTCTCCTACTCGCCCGCAACCGCATCAGTCACATCCAGCCGACACTAGCAACATCTATTCCTGGCATTAAGACCCTCGTGCTGACAGCGAACAACCTCTCCGAGCTAGCGGATCTGGATCCGCTACGCCAACTCACCCACCTGACCCACCTGACTCTGCTCGAGAACCCGGTGACGCGAAAAGAGGTACGTCTTGCATAGAATGCGACTGTCGTTGTGCGATCCAGCTAACCCGTCCTAGAACTACCGCCACTGGGTCATCTGGCGCATTCCCTCAGTGCGTTTCTTCGACTACCAAAAAGTAACCGACGTCGAGCGCACCAAAGCCGCCGAACTCTTCGGCACAGCTGAAGAGCCTTCATCCCTTGCATCGAAGATTCTGGGTGTCAAGTCCCGCACGTTTGACGTTCCCGCTGCTACATCTGCTCCGGCTGAGAAGGGCGTCCGTGTACAATTGACCGATGCGGAGCGCAAGCGCGTGGAGAAGATGATTCGCGAGGCGAAGAGTCTGCAGGAGATTACGAGGCTGGAGAAGGAACTTAATGAGGGACGGATACCCGGTGGTGCGCTTGGGGATGCAGATGGCGACCAGGCGATGCAGATGTAATCATGAACATATTCTTTTCGTTGTTGGGCTTCGCTTATGATCCCGGTCGCATATACCTGTCTTCAATTGCTCGAGGTCCTTGCAATTGATAGCAACAGACCTCTGTCAAAATTTTTGACCATACCAATACAAAACAGTCTTCTTCTCGCTTCAAAAGGTGCACTTGCTTATAAGAGGACATGTCTGAGGACTCATCGGTAGAGTAGCCGCAGACGCGCGCATCCCATTCGGCTGTAGAGTCTGAGACAATTTTGGGCGATAGCGCGTGATCAATAGCTAGTCTGGGCGCTTCTCCGAGGACCGGGATATGTCCGAGAACGACGAGCGGAACACCGATTAACCCAGGCCAAGAGAATTAGCGAGCTTGCGTACGTGTGCTCAGTGAGGCGAACACTGGGGTGAACACAGAACATCAACCCGCTCTCATCCAGACATAGAGCGGGACCAGATACTTCAATTGATTCTACTGCCCACGCCATAGTTTCGATGATCATCCCAAGCTTCAGGGGCGTGCGCTCAAGATCCACGGATCCGACATCGTATAAACAATGATTGACGAGCGCCTTTGCGCTAGTGTTCCCGGGCAAGATGATACCTTGGCAGTTCTAGAATCATTTTACGAGCCGGATCCGAGGGTAAAATGCTCCAGTACGGAGTACGGAGTACAAGCTGAGTAATTACAGGGCTGATGCTCGATGGTGTGAGAGGTCTCCATATGAGCTTGAAGTATAGGATGCCACCTGGACACTTGAAGCGAATCAGCTTAGGCGAGAACAAGAATATCCCAATCTTGAATGAGGACCCGGCGTCGCCCAACCATGGAAACGCAGACGTCAGGGCTGGAGCATAATTTTAGAGCAATTCCCAGTTCCGGTGGAATTTTGCGCCTAGTCGCTTCTGAAAAGGTCGCTAGTGAGCGAGGTCAGACGCCAATACTCCGTATGAGACACCATTGTCTGGAATATTCAGTGCAGGCTGGCTGAACTCTATCGCGCCCTAAAGCGGCGAAATAAATCGATGAAACACGTTTACCATGCGGAAGACGTGGTGAATTTTTGTGAACAGTTTCGATCGGCGTTACCCCCTTGCCTATGTGTTCACGATGTTTCAGGTTGTTGATCCCACATCTCACAATTGGGATCTGGGCTGTAATCTGAGATATTCTCCGAGCAACAACAAATACTTAGTGCTTATTGGATTTTTTATGGGGCCTAGGGTTTTGCCGTGAAGCGGATGATTCGGAAAGCTGGTCTCGACTGGGTTAGGGTTGCAGATCGATACCGTTGGCTGATACTGTTCGCATGTGTTCGCATGTGTTCGCATGAGCTCCATTTCGCTAAGCCATACCGAGAGTCATGTCCGCTACAGTCTCCGCTTTATATGAACTTTGATGATGCTTCTATTGCAGTTTTAATTGTACTATAGAAGACGGGGTGGGAAACATGCAAGTGAGTTTGGCACGGATTTCGCGGATTCATCGTCGGCAAACATGCTTTTTAGTCCTTTTGCCTTTTTGGCTGTGAAGATCATTATAATAGTGCAGAGCGCATAGACGAACAGACCCCCTCGCCACAAATCTGGGACGAATAGTGGAAGCCTCATAGTGTGGAGCACGGCTCCACGGCTATGGAGCATAATGTTGAACTCGATGTAATGCAACCCGCAAACCTTGACGAGCACTCAATTTCTGGTCCGACTTGACGTCTCGGGGTTGCCCGCTCTCCTTTTCCCTGTGGCATATTTCTTAAATATCAGCGGTTTCCACTGGTACCATGCGATAGTTGTTCCGAGCGTCATGGCTTCCTCCATTACGCCGGCAATGCCGCCGCCGGCGGGTCTGACATCCAACTTCGTTGACCCGCCGCATAAAAGCACCCCGTTTTTAGTTGTTAATTGTGTTTTCTTGCCTCTGGCTGTGATCGGTCTGGCTATCCGGACATGGACTCGATTATACATCGTCCGAGCCTTTCGAATTGACGATTGTAAGTGGTTCCTTTTTGAATCAAGGGATGAGACTGACCAGCTTAGATCTTATGATACTTGCGCTCGTATGTTTCCAGTCACGCGTGCTTATACTTGCTGCTTACAGGCTAATGATTATAGTTTTTATCATGCGCTCTCAGTGGTGTTACCTTGGAGAGTAAGGAACTTATCACTTGATTCTCTCGGGCCTGTATAACTAACATGTACCAACAGTGCTCAATTGGGGTCTTGGGAAGCACATGTGGGATGTCCCGGCGACAAACCTCTCGCCAATGTTCGCAAAGGTTAGCATATACCACTTGAATGCCCGTCCATCCTGCTTTACTAAACCCACCATCGAACAGCTGAACCTTACCTCTGCCATCCTATATTGCGCCGCAACGGGCTTCACAAAAACCTCGGTACTTATATTTTATCTTCGCATCTTCCCGAGTCGAAACTTTCACATCTCAGTCTGGGTCATTGTGTTCATCGCCGTGGGATACAGCTTAGCTAGTGTCCTCGCCAACCTATTCAGTTGCACTCCGGTTGCAAAATCATGGGATGCGACAATCACAACCGGGCATTGCATGAATCGACCAGTCTTTTATTTCGCGAACGCCGGGTTGGGAATCTTTACCGACTTTGCTACCGTCATTGTTCCGATGTATGTTGCGACATCTCTGGTGTCACTAGCCCAAGCTAATTCACCTGACAGACCGTGGCTCCGCAGATTGCAAATGCCTTTGCGACAGAAGATTGCAGTTAGTGCCATCTTAGCCATGGGTTGTTTGTGAGTGGTCCTTTGATTTGGCGAACGAATAGGATACTGACGTCAGGACTCAGCGTGGGCGTTGTGAGCTGCATTCGGCTATCATCCTTATATACTCTTTTGAAGAGCCCTGATCTTACATGTAAGGCTCTTCCCAACAGGCTTTACTTTTTGCAATGAGTAGCAGGACTAACTTGATGATAGGGGCCACTACCGACGCCTTGATGTGGTGTTGCATTGAGCTGAACCTAGGCATTTTCGGCGGTTGTGGTAAGAAACAGCCCATTCCATTGTGCAGGATATCAAAATATTGACATATCAAACAGTAACCGCGGTCAGACCTTTCGTTCGACGATACTTCCCTCGCTTGCTTGGTCTCTCGTCCTCCGGAGATACCTCCAAATCTCGCAAATACGGCCACCAGCTTGGTTCCTATCCCCATAGCAGCCGCCCCGACTTCACCGGACGCAGTGGCAACCAATATTCGGCCACACTTACGACAAATAGCAAGGCACCGGACAATGAAAGTGAAGAGCACATCTTGTCGCCGGGCCTCAGTGTTGGAAAGGAGGAAGGAATCGTCCGGACGGTTGAGTTTGATATCGAGAACGTGTCGAGCTCACGGGTCCGAGTGCACTAAATTCCCATGAGTAAATAATTGCATGATATATGAACAAATTAATGTACAGAATATAATTGAGATTGCACTCTAAAAGCAATATAACCAAAAAATGCATTGTTTACTAGTGCGGCTAGAGGGTGGGTACGGCAGTTCCCCCCCTGAATCATGCACACATTCTTCACGCAAATGCTTAAACACGCCTCACCATGCAGCAATATACTCGATCAAACTGCAGGCGTACAATCTTGGAAACGAATTCCATCGTCTGATTCCAATCAACTGTGTAAGCGACCGTTCATCCCAATTTCCGCGGAGTTTCCACACCCAAGCGCGCCAAGTGGACCAAACCCACCAAAATACATGATTCAGACCTCTAGCACGGGCAACCCAATGCGGCTAGAGGACAGACTAGAGAAGCTTCAGAGCCAGGCGAAACACCCCGAATCAAGGTACCACCCCGTGGAGAGGTTACAAATCATTGTAGACCTACCTTGGGGAGAAGACTTCCTCCGTTTCACCCCCTTGAGACCGTAGGAATTCGACACCATGCGCGTTACATCTGTACTCTCTCTTGCTGGCGTCGCCGCTGCATCGTCGCTCTCGGCTCCGGCTGCCGCCTCGACCCATGTTTCGGGCTGCTCGGCTCTGCGCGCGCCCGTTGGAAACTCGCTGTTTGCCCGTGGTAGCAGCGTCTACAAGTATGAGGCCGCAAACTTCTGGTCCAACACGGAGTTGATGACTCCTGGCTGTGTTTTCCGGCCTCAATCAACTGCCCAGTTGGCTGATGGTATCGAAGCGCTGGCCAATGCGAATGCTGAGTTCGCCGTGAGGGGTGGTGGACATATGGGTATCAAGGTGTGTTCGAGAAATAAGTTTCTTGAAAATTTTCCATACTAACGGTCGCAGGGATCAAACAACATCGATAATGGTGTTTTGATTGTGATGTCCAACTTGACCACTTTGGAATTAAACGAAGATCACTCCGTCGTCTCTATTGGTCCTTCCCACCGGTAAGTTTGATTCATCCAATTGATGATTATTCTTACTGACCCCTGGCCAGATGGGGAGATGTTTACGCCTACCTGCAGAAGTATGACCTTTCCGCTGCCGGTGGTCGTCTCGGACCCGTCGGTGTGCCGGGATTGCTCCTCGCTGGCGGTGTCAACTTCTACGGCAACCAGGTCGGCTTCGGTTGTGACACCGTCATCAACTACGAGGTTGTGTTGGCCGATGGTTCTGTCGTCGAAGCCAACAAGACCAGCAACCCGGATCTGTTCTGGGCTCTGAAGGGCGGAAGCAGCAACTTCGGAATTGTCACTCGATTTGATCTGGAGACTGTCAAGTCCCGCAAGGTCTGGGCTGGTACTCACACCGTCGCCGCTCAGTACATTGACCAATTCCTGGCTGTATGGTTGCTCACTCCCAATGCCCGATAGTGTTACTGACATGTTTAGGCCGCTGCTACTTACGCATCCAACATTTACGACTCCAAGACTCACGTCGTCCCCGCTCTCGTGCCCGGTGAGACCACTCTTGCCTCGGTGATCCTGTTCTATGACAGCGAAGACACCAGCTACCCCGAGATCTTCAAGCCGTTCACCGATATCCCGGCTATCAGCAGCACTCTTGACTTCAAGACCGTCAGCGAGTTTGCTACCGAAACCGGGGCAATGGTTGTCGACGGAATCAAGTAAGACCAAAGTCTCTATATTCTTGACGACATGGCTAAACAAGTATAGTGACGTCTTCGTTGCCGGTACCGTCAAGGGAACAACCTACAAGGAACTGCTCCAGGGAATCACCATCATCAACCAGACCTTCTTCAACGAGCTCCCTAAGCTGTACAAGCAGATTCCCACTGCAAACATCTCCACCATCCAGCTCGACTGGCAACCCATCGGTGCCGACTGGATGAAGGCCTCCGAAGCTCGTGGCGGAAACGCCCTGGGTCTGGACTCCTCGCAGGTCTACCTCTGCTACGCCGAGGTCGTCGAGTGGATTGGTTCGGCCTACGACGAGATTGTCGCCAAGTGGGTTGAGGACACTACCTACAAGATCAACAACGCTACCCAGAAGGCTGGTCTGTATGACGCTTTCAACTACATGGGTGACGCTGCTGGTTTCCAGTCTATCTTCCCTGGGTATGGCGAGGAGAACCACCAGAAGCTCGTGAGCATTGCTCAGAAGTATGATCCTAATGCTGTCTTCCAGACCTTGATGCCCGGTGGCTTCAAGGTCTACTAAGCATCTTTCATACTCTTTAGCATTGGAATGCTCTTGTGAATAATGTATCTTGGATCACTTTTGCCGTATAATTATAAAGCTCGTGCCACATCCATGTCGCGGTGTCTACATATACTTGTAATGCCTAGGTGTCAGATCTAGCTTAATACCACCTACCAAATGATTTTCTCTTTCGGGGTTCTCTCGGAAGGCCGTGACTGCGAGCCTGTATGACCAAGTTGAGCCCAAGTTTAGGAGACCATGAAGGTTGATTGAAATTTCAAGGATAAATGAGTTTATTCAAGTCAAAAGTATCATTGCTAGTCAGCGCCTAGTGGACCCTGCAGTAAAAGGATCGCCCTGCCGTCATAATCGGGCCCTGACTTTGGTAATCACGCGACAACAAGTGACTGCACTTGTAGACCGCAACAAAAGGAACGCCGTACATGCAGCAAAAGCACTGGGCGGCCATTTTGGAGGCAGGAGCGTCAGGTGCCCCCGTTCAAGCCAAAACGCGCGGCCAGTAGGTACTGCATAGATTCACGGAGGTGCAGTGGAACATTTCAAAAACAATCAGGTCGGTGAGACGTACGAAGAGGGGTGGCAGTTGAAAAACCTCAGGTTGTGGTGGGTCTTCCAAAGAAAGACCCCAAAGCTCCAGCTGAATCGAGAAGGTGGTCAAGGCTGACTTGAGACTCAGGCAAGAATGCTCAGGTGTTGACAGGCACAGGAGTGAAATGGGGCATGTATTTGGGCTTCATCCTCGCCTGGAGTGCCAATGGCCACTCTCACCTAACCCCATAATAAGCTCAATGCCACAATACCCACTTGTAACATTACCTCTCGCCGCCCGCGGGTCTTTTTCCTCTTCCACGCCCCACATATGCTCAATGGGGTCATCGGGCCACAGGCTCTGGTAGAGCTCGCGAGCCGGGCGCCAGCTCACGTACCCTGCTCGCGAACTAGAAGAGGTCAGTAAGTATTCCCAAATCAGATAGAACACGAATCCAGCATACAAGACATCGAAGTTGTCTTGTCCGAGCTCCCAGGCCCGGAGCAGGATGCATGTGGCCACAGCATCGTAGGCGAGGCCACCCGTGTTGCACGTGAACATGGCGTCGTACGGCAGACCACGAGGATTGTAGTAAGACGGGAAGCCCGTCAGGAAATAGAAAGTATCTCTGCTGTGTCCGTGGGCGCCCTTGAAGGCAATGCCCGCACTGACGTCTAGCAGGATGGGTTTCTCAGTTTGAGGGTCGCCACTTGGCCCTGTGATGGCCACCCCGGACCTTTCGATAATCTTGGGTACATCTTCGATGAGCTGTGCCCAGGCTTCCTTCCATTCTGGTGCGTTCCAATCTTGGACCCACCACGTATGGGTGTACCTCGGATGATGTCAGATGAGGTGGTTGATATAGGGACCAATGTACTCACTTTTTGTCCAAAATCGAGGCCATCGAAGCTTTGTATTGGTGGTTTTGTCAGAATTTGAATGAGACTTATGACTAAGTGATTGGGGGAACCTTGGAAGATAAGATGAAAGTGAAGATGAAAGAAAGAAGAGGTGAGAGAGGTGAGAAGATGAGAGAAAAGAGAATGCAGGAAGAGCAGGAAAATAAGTAAGCCCATACAAACTGATCAAAAGCTACCTGGACTCCAAGGATATAAGACAATCACCGGGTGATCAAACCTTGGAAAGGCCCAGAGTCAGGATATGTTATTAAATGGGCAATTTTCAAGCTGTTCTCTTAATTTCATTTTGATCTTTGTGGTATCACAAAATACCATTGCCTAGCGTCTTCTATAACTACTAAAGGGCCACTGAGCAAGCAGAAACTGCCAGGAGCATAAGAATTTCAAGGAAACACCTGTGAAATATGATAGATTTCTCAATAACGAGCAATGCAGGGCCTGGACATGAGAGCTATAATTCAACTAAAGGACATACTGTGAAAGTTACTAAATAACGAAAGAATTCGGAATAACCTCTTCTCACGTAGGATTTGAGACTGACATAAATTCGAGTCCTTCCGATGTCTCGTTCACACCAAAGTTTGTGATTGCTCAAGGGCTTACTCGAGGCTGCGGCTTCTACTTTTGAATGATAGTCTTCCCACAGCTAACGACATCATCACCGGTAGCTATGATCGACTAGGTCACCTATACTGGTTAGTCGGATCAAAGTCAGCGGATGACGGTACATTCAAAACTCCATGTCCAGACTTTTCGCTTCATTTGACCCCATACGCGCCATACTGAGATAGTTGGCCCAATCACAAGTACGCTCAGCCTTTGATAAGCGTTTGGCAGGCGCCCGCGGCACGGTCCAGGAAGTGTGGGGTAAAAGATAACATCCGAGCCATTTAGCCGTCGGCAATGTGCCTTTCCCTCTTTATCAACTCTCTTCTAGGTCCAATGTCGTGACAACTTACCGATTGCCCAAAGCCCCATGGACTCAGCTGCGATCCGCCGGAGAAAGAGACGGGTTGCCGACGCGAATCGCAAGAGGGCAGCGCGCGCGTAGGATTTATGTTCCTGACACTTGAGTCTCCACTGACAGCGATCCAGATGTACCCGCTGCAAAGCAAGAAAAAGCAAGTGTGTGGAGTCAACCCCAGGAAAATGCCAGCGTTGCTCTTCTAGCAGGCTGATCTGCAGATTTGAAAGGTACAAATCATAAATTTTGAGCGGTGACCATGCTGACGCGAAGAAGGGAACATTCTATGCCATCCGATGATCAAACATTATCAGCTCCGCCTGGCGAGCTCACTGAGATCGACTCCTCGCTCACGGCAGATACTCGGATACCCATTTCGGCAGAGGGCTCACTCGATCCACATGATTTACTTTCACCCGCATCCGCTCTATCCCAAGGACTCGCAGAGCATGTTGTCTCTGGCCAATCCAAGAAAGTTCCATGGCCAAACATCTTGTGTCGACTTCGAGAAGCATTCTCATTGGACTTGAGTCCCTCAACTGGAGAGAGAGACATAGCAGCCTTACAAGCGGTAAGATCCACATATCCGACCGCAGTAACCTCGCAATTGACTCCAAAAGCATACAACTCGCTCCAAGCCTCTTCAGCCATCTGAGATGGCACGCCTTCAGGCGGCAATCGTGGCGTTCCCACCACGTCAGATTGCTGACTTTCTCGTGTCTGTCTTTGTCAAACACGCAACAGACCTGTTCTTCTACCTCGATCAAGACCAAATGTTGACCGAGTTGGATCAATTCTATAGAGATCAAACTTGCCCTTTAAGGTCAGACTTGAGCTTTGTGTGTCTTGCACTAGCGACATTTGCATTAGGAAGCCAGTGGACAACCCTAGAGAGACCCGAGGAGTCTGTCGTGAACCTGAATCGAGATGATGATGACCTAGGACGGGTATTCTACACCCATGCAAAAACGCTCATTCCAGATATTATTGATCGATCATGCCTTCGCTCTATACAAGCACCCTTTTTGCTGGGTGTGTACCTAATGCCGGCAAACGCCATTGGATCATCATATGTTTACATGGGTCTGGCTCTGCGCAAGGCAATAGCCTTCGACCTGCATTTGGAAAATGTCGATGAAAGTATTAATGCGACTGAAGTTGAGATTCGCCGTCGGCTGTGGTGGTCTATCTATTCTCTTGAGAGGTATTTAATATGTCCACTCTTTCTCTTGTCGAATTAGCATCACTGACTCTAGGCAGGTGCACTACGATAAAGCTGAATAGGCCTCGGTCTATCAGTACTGAAATCATCAAGACACCAGCTCCATCACCTCTTCCGTCATTGGATTCTCGCCAGAAATACAATAATATACAATATCAGATGGCTTATACTCGCTTGATCAGAATTCTAGATCAGATCGCGGAGCCACGGTAAGTTGAGCCCTTTCGAGCAACCATACCCATGTGACCCGTGGAATTTGCTAACCCATTTCTGCGAAGTAAAAGCTCTACTGGTTATGTAGAAAATCATTCCGAGAAATGGCGATCAGATCTTCGGCAGTGGAAGAAATCACTGCCCGCCGAGTTCAAGATCGACACGATGGATCCCAAAGATTCAAGATATCGTCCAACCTTTCATTTATATTTGAACTACTACTATGCATGGATAACAATGGGAAAAGTGGCTCTTGTTACTGTTGCTCGAACAAATCTACGCAACCGCACGCATCCTTCATCCGAATCGTCCAAACCGAGCGAATGCTCTCTATCTGAATCCCAGTCTTGTGTGAAAGCAGCCCGAAAGCTACTGTTGCTATTTGAAACACTCACAAAACATCGCAAGATCACTCGTTTCTCTTTCACTGATTTCCAAGGGTGCAGTATTGCGACGATTGTGACACTGGTATCTGGAATCATGGAGCGTGATTCTGGGTATGAAGGTCGAGTAGCCTTCGGCCTAGATTGCCTCCGAAGAATGGCGACCGGGAACATGACCGCGAAAATGGGAGTCAAGTTTGTCGAGGCGGTCCAGACAATTACAAATGAGGCCAGGAACAAGCTACACGATAAAAACATTGCATTTCGGGAACCAGAGCCTCAAAATGAGAGTCCGGCTTCTTTGTCGGACTATGACCGTTGGGCTGAATGGTTCAGCAAGCTCGATCGCCCCCAGACTCAGGAGCAGAGGTCAAGCTTGGAAGAAGCCATAGTTTCAGAACAAGCCGTACAATTTTCACAAATGCCTTCAGAGTCGGCTGCATCCAACATGGATACCATGGCAAGTTGGAGAACGGCGAATGATCAATTTGAGATTGAAGAAAGCCTGCTGCCGTTGGCCATGCCAATGAATCGAGATTTTCAATACTCGACAGACGAATTCTGCTCGGCACTACAGAGCGACGATCCAACCTTTCTCATGGGATTGACTGGGCTTGATGTGTTGGACTTTTCTGGGTTTCCTTGAATTGGAAACTTCCCCAAATCCCTGGCATCAACTCACCCCACCGGTGCTGCTCTCATAGTATCTCTCTATCAGCCCAACTGGTACCTAGTGTAGTGGGGAAACCGCACCGCTCCCACCTGTGCCTTAGGCACCCCTGGGCTATTTCTAGCCCCGTTTTCATAGCATAGCAATCCAAGCATTCTACACCTCTCTGGCAAAACAGCATCTACTTCCTAATCGGGCCGTTCTAGGGCTTTGCATACCTCCCTATTCCCGCCGAGCACTGAGCACCCCCGTCGTCTTGTCTGCGATGTCAGACCGCCAGCGCGCTCTTCCCACTTCACTAGGTATCTTTGACTGATTGTTCTTGTTTCTCTTATTTCGTGGCTCGTCAATAGGGTCCACGGGTGACATGAACATGATCCATGGATGTAAGGCACCAGCGGTCGCAAAGATAAAGCACCGATCACGAATATAACCTGTTCACATCAAATTTCATGTTTGCTAAATATATGCTAACTAACTCTGCAATACTACATTCATTGCACTTTCACAGGGATTTGCCCATCTTCAAGCAAGCCCGCCCATCTGCTCTTATATACACGGCCGTCTTTCATCACACCCAACACATGCTCATCGGGCCTGTCGAAGACAGTCACATCCTCTAGCGGATTCTTGTTCAAGATAACAACATCGGCATGGAATCCTTCCTTGATCTGCCCAAGTTCGGATTCACATCCCATCATCTTAGCTGGATTGACAGTCGCACTGCGCAATACTTCCAAAGAAGTCAACACTTGCGACCGTAAAGCAAACTCATGTGTTTGCGCAGATCCAAGCGGCCCTAGCAAATCAGAGCCATAACACATAGTGACACCCGCCTCTGATGCAACTCGTAGAGCATCAAGTCCCGATTTGAGAACAACGGTATTCTTCACCTGCGACTCAATGGGTAGATAATCCTTCCACCGCTCCGATGCCATCTGGGCATATGCGATCAGCGTCGGTGTCAGGTAAACACCCTTCTCAGCCATGAGCTTCGCCGTGGGCGGGTCAACAAAGTTACCATGCTCGATGCCGCGAACACCGTTGTCGATACAATGCCGGATAGCCTTGACTGTGTATGCATGCGCGGTAACAAACGTGCCGGCGTTATCTGCACATTCTACCATCGCTTGAATTTCAGCAGATGTGAACTGAAGATGCTCCAGCTTATCAGTGGGAGAGGCAACGCCACCCGAGCCCATGATTTTAATGAAATCTGCGCCACAACGAATTTCTTCGCGGACGGCAGACATGCATTCTGGAACACCATTGCACATCCGGCCAAGATGGTTATTACTGTGCGTGCCGCCGCAGCATTCCGTGGGCTCGTGGGAGCCCCGCAGATCACCATGACCACCGAATTGCGACAACGCATGTCCGGATATAAAGACTCTCGGGCCTGGGAAGACACCATCTTCGATGGCTTCTTTCAAGGCGAGTTGCGCACCGCCGCAGTCACGGATGCTTGTGAAACCACGGTGCAGCATCTGAGAAGCGGTGTACGGTTGACGCAACAGATGTACGTCATTTGGATTTCCGAAGGCTTTGGACAAATCACTGAAGCCTGGTACTGCGCATAAATGAACATGGGCATCAAAGAGGCCTGGGCTCAGGTATTTGCCTTGGCAATCCACAATTTCCAATTCTTGGGGCGTAACGGGCACTGATGATTCCGGGCCAAGATAGGAGATTCTTCCCTCCGATGTAATGAGGGTCAGATTCTCCTTTAGTGTGCCAGATAAAACATCGACAATGTTGGCGTTGATAAATTTGTATCCTTTGGGCGCGGAGCGGGCCCATGGCTTGATATCTGAACCGAGATTTTGTGTCATGGCGGATTGATAGGATAGAGCGAGGGGAATGGGCCGATAATTCAGAAGTTCGCGGGTTTAAGTATGGGCCCTGGAGGAATGCAGACGCGGTCAGTCTGGTACTGCGGGGAGCGTCGTATCTAAGACGGTCGGTAAGTTGGCTGGCAGACTGCCGACATCGTCGATCCGATGTGCAGCTCCACATCAGTGTCTCTCTGCTGTTTCCTTGGTGGAACCCGGAGATCAAACCTTTGTAGCGCGATAGTCCCCACGTAAAGCTGGGCTAGCTATATTCTCACCTGGGCACGGATATGAAGCATACGGTAAATCCGGTGTCGGTTGCCTCAATGGGCAAGTGACTGACTAATGGGAGGTCCGACAAACATGCGATTGAACGAGACCCAGGGACGAAGTGAGCAATGAAGATAATAGCTGGATATATCCATGAAATAAGGTCTACGAGTGTCAGCTATTACTTGCCTTTCACGTTTTGTATACTTCATGCTTCTGGCTCAGGATTACTATTACTACTACTTTTTTTCCCTCTCTCGTTAGAGCGAATGGCGTTCATGTTCTTTAAGCTTATCTTGATAAAACGTATCACCCGGGAATGTTCTGAACATTGTTATTTTTTTAGATGTGATATGTTTTGTCCAGAACAATCCTCGTCCCGAGGTCGGTAAGATGGCTGGCAAGTTACCGACATCATCGATCCGACGCGATGATCTTCTCCGCATTTGTTGAAGATAAGGGATCCGCTTTTATAGCTGAGGGGGAATCCAGGGCTGCATGTTTCTTTGACATTTGATTTGTTTTGATACATGACCCTGCAGTATTAATTGGAGGGTTACCTGGAGACAGCTTTGAACGGCCTCACTGGAGTATCAAGGGGCACTCACACCGACCGTCCGCATTGATGGACTCCATCAACAAAGATGTTGTTAGCAACGGGTCTGACCATTCGAAAGGGGAGATGGTAGAGCTTCCAAGTCCCTATACCCTCGAGGAAGAAAAAGCCGTCTTGCGCAAGATTGACTTGGTGATCCTGCCATTTGTGAGTGACTCACACTGCTCGCCAAAGCTTCATCGCTAAGTCGAGATATACAGATGTGCTTCGTTTTCTTCTTGCAGTATCTTGACAAGCAGAGTCTGAGCTATGCGGGCGTCTTCGGTCTCATCGAGGACCTCAACATGACTAGCTCACAGTACTCATGGTCAAGCTCGATCTTCTATGTCGGCCAACTTGTCTCTGAGTATCCCTTTATTTATCTGATGAGTCGACTTCCACTGACAAAATTTGTTGGTGCCACTGTGTACGTCACCCAATACCCCATTATCTACCCCTTTCCGAAAAGTTTCAATAACTGATTGATACTGCATGGCAGGATTGTCTGGGGCATTATCTGTATGTGTTTGACGGCACCGCAGAACTTCGCTGGCTTCGCCACTGTCCGATTCCTCCTTGGATTCAGCGAAGGTGCCGTCTCCCCTGCCTTTGTCACAATAACCAGTATATGGTACCGGAAACAAGAACACAACCTTCGCACCGCACTGTGGATTTCGATGAACGGTCTAGCACAAGTACTAGGGTGCTTGCTGATGTACGGTATTGGCAAGAATACATCCCTCCCAATTGCCCCTTGGCGCGTGTTGTTTATTATCTGCGGTGCGATTACCATTGCTGCCGGTGTGGCATTCTTCTTCCTGATGCCCAACGGACCGAAAGATGCGTGGTTCCTGAATGCTCGGGATAGGGAAGTTCTCTCACTTCGCATGGCGCAAGATCGCGACGGCGGCGACAAGACATCTTTCTCAATGAGCCAGCTCAAGGAAACTCTCATGGACCCTAAGGCTTGGGTGATTTTCTGGTTTGGAGTTTTGGTTTGTATGCAGTCTCCTGTTCTGACTTTTGCATCGCTCGTCATTAAATCAATTGGATATACCAAGCTTGAGACCATGCTCTACACAGCTCCATCGGGGGCTGTGCAAATTGTCTTACTTTGGATCGGAGCCGGATTGGTCTACCTTTTCCCAAACCAGCGAACATTGATTGTTCTCGCTCTCATTATTCCCCCTCTCATTGGAACCGTCTTCCTGATGAAGTTGGATGTCTCTGCGCAATGGGGGCTGATTGTTGCATCTTGGCTGGTATGTCATTCCCCGAAGCCACAATGATGTCTTCCACTCTTAACATTTGTAATAGGCTTCTTGTATCACCGCTTCGATGACAATACTTCTTTCTCTTGCAGCTTCAAACTTCAAAGGTAATACCAAGCGAGCTGTTGTCAATGGTATGTTCTTCATTGGCTATTGTGCTGCTTGTATAGCCTCGCCTCAGCTTTGGACCCACAGCCCACGGTACACGGAGGGTGTGATTACATCCATTGTGACTTGGTGTCTTCTGTTTGTAGTTGTGATTTTATTCCGCTTCTTGTGCACGTGGGACAACAAACAACGCGATGAGCAGGCGGCAAATTTCCAGTCTCTTGGTATGGAAGACCATGTGGATCTTGATGAGAATGGATTGCCACAAACCGACTTGACAGATAAGCAGGATCGGCACTTCCGGTATGTTTGGTAATAAGTTAAAATGTATTTCGGGGGAGAAAGCAAATATAAGCACTCAGGGCAAATTTCATAATACATGTCTTCACATTAATCGTCCCCTTGCCTAGGCGCGCGCCTTGGCAAATCCAACAGTTTGATCTGCAACATTGTGATCTATATAGATATCATGGAAGAATGCTAGGAGTTGTTAGATACCATAGCGCGAAATATTTGATCAGGGCACTCACGTTGACCAACTACCCACAAGCCATCGGGGACCGCGCTAGTGCCGGAAACAATTGCAGTGCAGTTGTTCTTACCGTTGTCTGTCTTAATCCACTGATCAGGAGGGATATCGAAAATAGATGACTTCTGGCTCGTTAATTTCGAGGTTCTCATGTGGGCAGATGCGATATTTGACTGGGATGGAATGCTTAGCCCCAGAGAAGGCGGCTGGTCGCATGGGAAATATCCAGTCACTGTAGTGAGGTCATCAGACTTTTGAACAAAGTGCTGGATATTCATTATCTTGAACAAAGAGACAACATCTGGAACAGGGCTGATTCAAGGTTAGCATTGTATAAGAAAGCTGTCGGCTCAAATTGCACAACTCACGCAATTATTGTTCCTGTCCCAGAGTCAAGCAAGACCGTGACATTGTTTTGGGTTATATTTCCGTCGACAGCAAGGTCGGCAGAGATGATCCACTCTTGCAGAATGGGAGTATTGACAAGCTTTCCCTCAAAGAGCGATTTGTCTAGTGTTCCTAGCACCTGGGTGCCCTTCTCACGCCCAAGTATCAGACCAAAGCGACACTCAGATACTTTGTGCTGGGCGCATAAAGTATGGAAGAAAGTGGATTCAAGTTTGATGTTTGAAGGGTATCCAAATCCGATGATTCCATCGCCGGGAATCAAGTTGCTTCCGTCTTCTTGTGGATCAGCTAATCCAAATGCTTGCTGTGTACTGAATTTCCCAAACTTCACGGTGTCGTTGATGAGGGCGCCTGTGACCTGGCGGAGGGTCAGCTTTATCTTTCGCACGGCTGCTCTGTATGTCTGAGGTGCTCACTGTTCCAGACCCAGACCCATCGCTATTCGTAGTACCGAAAGTGATGTTGAATTCTCTGTTGATGTTGGCGGAGTGGGGTCCTGGCTTGTAGTGCCCATCATTGAGGATGATATCAGCAGAGCCAGTGTCGACCAATAACGTTAGGTTCTTTGATCTTCCGACATCAAATGAGCCAAACCAAAAGTTCTGAATGTAATCAGAGACAAGACGATAGATTGAAAGGGAGACTGACTCACATCAGATGGGAAAATGGTCTCTCTGCCTATTTGAACTTTATATCCTGGGTGTGTCTGAGGGATCAAATCAACGTGCGAAGGAACTTGTAGGGGTGAAGCCGAAGCAAGGGAAACCCCGAGAGCGAGCAGAAATGATGCGGCCAACATTAGAAAAGTTGCAATGATTACACAACCTTGGATGTTGAAAGAAACAATTCAGCAGAAAGAAGATGTTGCAGGTAATGACTATATAAACAAGAAAATATGGAGGTGGGTGACTTATGTGAGAATGCATGGCAAGCCTCAAATCCTCACGCTCTTGCCATACCGTGAACAAACGTCCTATCCTGCACGGGAATCATAGAACGATCCACTCTTTGATGATGCAAGACAAGACCAAAATCGAGACTATTGATGATCGACGGAGCACAACGTCCACAATTTTTGTCCTCAGCCTCAGATGTGGGGGCCGAATTCACCCGGCATTCTTTTTGACTGGTCATATCGTATAACTCATCTCTAAGAAGATGCGTGATGCACGAGGGATCTTACATCGAGGGTGAAAGGTGCCATCTCCGGAAATACCGGTAAGTTGAGTTGACGCTTATTTTGGCTTCCAGAGCCGAGTCGCCAGTGGTTGACGTCCCCTCGTATGCACTAATCAAATTCGGATTAGTGTCAGCGATTGGAGCCTCAGCTTACTCGGGGCTGTCTCCGTTTCTTCGCCATGCAGCAGAAAACCCACAAAGTGGCGGTATCAAGCTACTCCAAGCAAAGTTTCAATCCCCAACATGGTCGGGTCGAACCGCAGGATCTCCCGGGGCCGATCTCGGAAAGGTTGTATAACCTGCAAGTACGTTCGAGGCCCGCCTGACTTGACCCGGCATACTGACAAGTCCAGAATACGCAGAGTGAAATGTGACGAGGGAAAGCCTACCTGCCAGAGGTGTACTTCCACCGGTCGAAAATGTGACTACGAGGATGTCGCGGACCCACCAAAGGTCGATCTCCAAGATCTGCAAATCGTGCAGCACATCCCTGGCATAACAAAGCCGATGAAAATGTGGAGAGTACCTCAGTCGGACGGGTGTATACCTGAAACCGAATATCGAGCGCTGGAATTCTTTCAGCTTCACACCACACTCTGCTTCGGAAAGGATACTGGGCTACATCTCTTGCAGGCCGCCTACCATGAACCCATTATCCGAACTATGGCTATTGCAATTGGTTCCCTTCACCGCTCATTTGTGCATAATGAGAAAGGGTTGACGACCCGCGAGGAGACCCAGTTCACACTGCAACATTATAACAAAGCTATTCGACAACTAGTCGCGATTGACCCGCGGACCTCGCACCAATCAAATGACATGTTTTTGATTGCCTGCATATCATTTTATTGTTTTGAGTGTCTTCAGGGCCACTATAAGCTTGCTGTGCAACATGGCATCTCTGGTCTGAAAATCATCAAGCAACAGCAGTTGTTGGCAACTGGTCAAAGTTTTCCAAGATACATGCCACGAGAGACAGTCACAGTTCTGTTCGCTATTCTCGAGAACCAGATACTTGAAGTTGAAGGAGAATCCTCATTTGCAGAGGATATGCGACCGGCACTCTACTCATCATTCAATACCCCCACTTTTGACTCATCGCGCCCTCCATCAAACATAGATGAGATGCGGGCCTCTTTTGAGTTACTATATCACAGATTAACACGCTTCTTGTCGGTCTGCGAGGTACTAGAGGTGGAGTTAAATGACTCCTCATTTGAGTTTGTGGCACAAATCCAACATCTCAAAGAAGAGCATATGCAGGTTCGCAGTGATCTAAATGCGTGGGTCGTTGCATTCGAAACATGGCTCAATGCCGGCAGTGCAGAAATTGATGAGGAACCGTACAGTGTTGCTATCTTGAAGATTTGGAGGTTTACCATTTCCATCATGCTTGCGTTGGAATGGCCCAGTTCGGAGCTCTCGTGGGATAAACACATCGACGAATTCGCCCTTATCGTCTCGCTGGTTTCGGAGGTGCTGGGTGTCCCTCCCACACGCGACCAAGGTGGTTCCAATAATATCTCAGAGCATCATGTTCCGCCGCCTGTACAAGATTCTGTATCACCTCTCCCCTTGCTCCGACCGAGGCCGTCCAAAACGCAAGCCTCAACATTTTCTATGTCTCTCGGAATCGTCACGCCCCTATATCTATGTGCTACTCGGTGTCGAGAATCATTTATCAGACACCGTGCCATCGATTTAATATCCACCTGTCATCGAAGAGAGGGACTCTGGGATTCGGAGCTTGCCGGGCGTATCACCAGACGGATTGTTTCTATAGAAGAAGCAGCGGCCGGAATTCAGCCTGGAGCTCATTACACATCGGCTGATATAGGATTCGCTTCTCGTGTCAGGTCGCTAAATCCTCAGTATGGGCAGGAGAATGGGATCAAGATACGGTATAATTGGGAAGGCGATAGCTCACCCCCCATAGAAGAATTTTTTACTTGGTGATGCGTCGAATAAGCAAAGAGTGCTATCTATTCTGTGCTTAAATCATTAGTTACATAAAAGTTTGAAAAGATGACCTGAGACTTCCAAGGTTGCTATTTGCACAGTCAGATCTTACCGGGAGCGACGAAGACCAGGATCTCTTGACAAAGCGCAACATATTGAGAACCAAATAAATCACAGCATATATGCAGCTACAGTCAGTTCCATTCAAATCAAAATATACAGGGAATTAGGAAAGCTGAAGCCGGTGGCTGGATTCGCCATTATCTCATCATTTCTTGTTTCTCATTATCTCCTCACTTTGGGAGAAGTCATTCTCATCCATTACTGTCCTTGACCTCTTCCTCTCTCTAATGTTTGCACAACTCCCCCAGTCAGTGGCTCTCCGGCATTCGTGTCCAGCTGTCGGCTCCATCGTTGGGTCCGCTCCACAAAGTCAAAAAGGGTGAGCTTTAATCCAATCGTCCACGAGCTAGATGCGCTCGCCACTTTCTTGTCCAATGTCTTCCGTGACTCCCCACATCAACTCGATGGGATAGTTAGACCATATGCTCTTATAGAGCTCGCAACCAGGTCGCCATCTCGCGTATCCCGCACGAGAGCTAAAGAAAGTCAGATTAGAAGGTCAAGGAGAATGAAAGTGAACTAATTACCCAACATCGAAGTCATCCTGTCCAATCTCCCATGCCCTCAGGAGAATGCAGGTTACCACAGCGTCGTAGGGCAGGCCAGCGGTATTGATGGTGTACATAGCATCGAAAGGCAGTCCGACGGGGTTGTACGACGAGGGCCATTCCGGTAAGAAGTAGAAAGTGTCATTCGTGACTCCGTGGGCGCCTTTGAAGGCGATGCTCTTTTCGAAGTCCACCATAATGGGATTTTCGACCGAGGGATCCCCGCTAGGGCCAGCGAGTTCCACTCCCGATTTCTCGATGATTTGGGGGACGTCGCTGATGAGCTGCGCCCAGGCTGTTTGCCAGCCCGGGGAGTCCCAGTTCTGGACCCACCAGGTGTGGATATGTCTATGACATGTCAATAGAGGTGTGTGATGTGAGATTTGTTAATCTCACCTGTTTTCCATGGTGGAGTTTGTCAGATTGGAGTATTTGGTGTTGTACGATAATTGAGCTAGAGAGAAGAGGAAAGAGATGAGTTGGGAGAGAATAGCAAAGAGATGAAGCAAGCGACGCAAATAAATTAACTACATCTATCTCTCGAACTATAAGCATACAATGTATGAGAGGGGCCCACCTGGACATGATGTAAATCCTAAGTGAGCAATAGAAAGCAAGATTTACATAAGTATGTGTGAGATCTCGTGTTTTTATCACTATCCGGCCATTTTAAGCCATTGATACTGAGTTCCCACTGAAGGGCTCGAATAGGCTCAAAGTAAGGCCCAGACTCCCACAGGGTGCACGGCTTGGCGTTGGTGTAGCCCATTCCGGGATAGTCCAAGGTGGCTGGGCGCCAATGAGTGGCGACATCAAAGCACGTGAGAGCCTCCGTTTAAATGAGCTTAAAAAAAGGGTTTCGCGATATCCCCGCACTTCCCAAGTTCACATCACTCATATAATGGCGCCCCGAAGATCCAGTGAGCAGACAGTCCTCAAGCCGCCCGCAGACACCACCCTCCGCTTTCGAGAAGATGGCACCTTCCACATTGGAGTCTTCGAGGACCTGCATTTCGCTGAAGGTGCGCTGTGAGAATGACTGACTGCAGCCGAGCCGGACTAATTCCGCGCAGATGCAGAGAAAGACGTCAAGTCCAAGGGGGTGATGTCATACATTCTATCAGAGGAAGACATCGACTTTGTCGTGATCAACGGTGACCTAGTATCCGGCGAAAGGACCCAAAAGGCAGATTCGAAGAAGTATATCGCAGATGTCGTCTCCCCGCTCGTGGACGGTGGCTATCGCTGGGCATCGACCTATGGAAACCACGACAGCGAGGTCAACCTCAACCCAAAAGAGGATATGTACGAGGCCGAAAAGAAATTTCCCAACAGTCTGACGCGGAGTTCTATATCCGGCGACGAAGCCGGGATCACCAATTACTACCTCCCCGTGTTCTCTCACGGCGACGAGAATACGACGACACCCGCGCTTCTCCTGTGGTTCTTTGATTCAAAGGGCGGTCATTACTACCAACAGGAAGGAAAGGAGGGTCCATCCGTCAAGCGAGCAAGTTGGATTGATGAATCAGTACGAGTTTTGATGCCAATTCTCAAGGCGGTTCTAATGGCATCTAGGTGGTCGAATGGTTCACAGAAACCAACACCAAGCTGAAAGAGGAGTATGGCAAAGTCGTGCCATCTCTGGCCTTCTACCATATCCCAGCACACGTAATGCTCCTAGGGCAGCAGAGCGGCCGATTAGACCCCCATCGCACACCCGGCGCAAACCGCGAGCGCGTCAACCCACAGGGAACGGGCGATTGGACATATGATAGCCAAGATGTCAAGTTCATGGAAGCGCTCCTCAAGACCGAGGGACTGATTGCTGGATTTAGTGGCCACGACCACCAGAATGACTGGTATGAAATCTCTGTTTCTTCTGCTACATCTACAGCGGAACTTTCATCTGATGCCGAGCAGGTGCTTCAAATGGGATGGAGCGCTCGTCGATCACGACTTGGCCGGTAACGGCATCAACATGTGCTATGGCCGACACACCGGTTATGGTGGCTATGGAGATTTGACTCGTGGTGGGCGACAGATCCTGCTTAATGAAAGCAATTTAGCCGAAGATACGCAGACGTGGATTCGATTAGAAGATGGGATTGTTCAGGCGCATGTTACGCTTAACACGACCTATGGTCAAGATACTTATACTGCTGTCACGAATGTTGGCCGGCCCAGCGTTCACACCGACTCATCTTTGCTTCCGCTTTCATGGCTGTGGTTCCCTGTCATGATGCTTTGGCGGTGGAATACCTGATTACCTTGGAGTTGAAATCTGGCGTTCGGGCAGTTTTTATAGTGCCCTGGTGGCTAATTCATTTACATCATGTTACTTGCAGGCGAAATTGTCTTTCTGTGTGATTTCACGCCGCCTATCCAAACAAATGGCACTACGTTGAATGAGTAAACCTATGCACACAGGGCCACCCCGGTGTTCACAGAGACTACTCGAATGTGCACCACCCCATCGATGGGTCTATTTCAAAAGTCATTTCTTCTTGGTATTATGGATTATGTACAGATCTGTCTATATACTCGCATATTTTCTTGTATACCAATTGAACAGCCGGACCTCTTCCGGCTAGGTCTGCGCAATCACCCCAGCAAGTTTCTGGCTTTCAAACTACAAATAAATGTAGCAGAAAGGACCAGACACGGTACTCATGAGGTCGCGCATGGCGATAGGCTCACCACCAGCATACCCGATATCAACCATGGTATCAAGGGTAGTATTTGCCGAGGCAGGCATATTCAAGAAAGTACCGGTACCCGAAATCGCGTCTCCGCGCTTCTTCAAGTCCAAGTTCTGCCAAATCCACCAAGTGCGATCGATCATACCGTGGTGGTGCCAGAAAGCCGGATCACCGGGGCTGACGTAGACATCGCGGGCGGGATCACCGCCCATGGAGTAGTGGCCGCCACCGTGGACGCCGATCGAGCCGCTACCAGGAACACCCTGCATGCTCATCTCGAAGTCCCAGACGTTGTCGTTGCCCAGGATCAAGTCCACGACGGAGGTGTAGTTGGCGTAGTCTTGGACAATGGAGGTAGTCAGGTCGCGAGTCAAACAGCGAGGGTTGTAGGCAAGCGGATTAGCGGCGGAGCTGGTGTTACCGCCCGGTAGCATCAGCGCAACAGGGCCAAGGTTGACTTTGTAGTCTTTGAAGGGTCCGCTGGTTACGCAGCCGCCGCCTTTGCCGGTCGGCAAGTGGATGACAGGATAACTACCCAGGGAAAGCTGGATGTCGCCGGTAGTGTTGGTCGGCGCGCCGTTGCCGGACATCGAGGTCTCGCTGCCATCGAAGACCTGGGACTTCTCAATATCGTGAGCATCAGCAGCCCAGTTCCAATATCTGTGATGAGATTAGTGAATGTGTTTGACCCAAGATGGATTTGAGACGCACGGGTAATCGCCAGTGTAGTCACACTCGTTGCGCAAAGCTTGCTCGAAATTCCAAATGAAGTATCGGTGCCAGGCTAGGAAAGTTCCTGTGTAGTGAATTCCCAGAGTTTGGTTGATGTGCGTCGCGACAAAATCATCGTAACGCGACCGGGCTCCCGGGACGAGATCGGAGGGAGAGCGCGACGGCAATTTCTGAAGACACACCACAGATTTGATGTAAGACTTCTTCTCTCTGGCAGAGAAAGTCCTCCAATCCCGACGGATTCGGAGGTTGCCAAGCGAACATCCGCCACGCTTCTCAATGTCAGAATCGCTCGCGACAACATTCGATGTGGTGCTGAAAGCCAATTCGGCCAGCTTGTCCAGCTGGGCCGCAGCGACCGGCAACGAAGTGGACGCGGCAGTGGGAATGGCAGATGCGCTCAAGACTCCACCTTCAGAGGCAGTGGGCATAGCCCAGGCCTGAGCGAGCAAAGCTCCCACGGCAACAGCGAAAAAAGCAACCATGACGACTGTGCAGTGGAAGTTGACAAGGCTGCACGTTCCTGCCAAGAGATCGAGGAATGTTGAAGATCGAAGATAAATCCGGGCATGATTGTCGGGTTTTAAGGCTGTTGAACGAGAGTGCCCCTTAACTCTGCTTCGGCCCAATCGGAGCTAGCACTGCCCATCTCCGACTTTGCGTAGTGAAAAGCTCAGGGCAATTGAGGGCATCGGCCGATGTCCCGTCTGCTCCACTCTAATACGGGGGCCGTCGTGAATCCCCATCGTTTCGCCACTTGGGCCACAACGGATCGGCCCATCAGACCCTGGAGATCCCAAGACCTGGGCAGAGATCTCGAACTCCAAATTGCGCGCCGCAGAAACAATCAAGATCACTCTCTTGTATGGAGTAGAGCAGACTGCCATCTGAAATCGAAAATTCTCTTGGCACACCGCCATTTATTGGCCCCCCAACGGTGCTTAGCGACTTGGCTAGGAAACCTTCTACAGGCCCAATCAGGAACCTCATGCGAGATTTAAGTCTGGAATCTCCGTCCGGTGCCCTAATTGTGCAAAGGACGGAAGAATAAATGAGCTCAGATGAGCCAGATCCACTAATCCTGTGCATCCGAGGCTTCAGATGCTTTAACTACTGATGCGGCCGAGGCTGCCTATTGGTGGGGTTTCTCTTGGCTCATATATCCCTCCGTCTCGGATCTCTTGTGGATTCTAGAAGGCCGAGCTGTTCGGGGTACAGCATTGTTCTCAGGATGGTGTCTCGTCTAGCAGCGGCGCCACACGAGTATTGTGGGCTTCGTCCGTCGTGGCTTTGGAAATACTCCCCAATGCAGACCAATGGACCGAAAATGAAAAACACCGCAGACCATGGCATCGTTTTCTCAAATTTGGACTGAGTTTTGAACACTAATAAAGTGAAGTTTAACGGTCCGGAGCTCGCGCCACTGGCTTGCAGGAGAACAATAGACTCTCGACCTAGGTGTTTCGAATATTATACTTTCTCTTCTCTTTTGCGCAGTGGCTCACAATTTTACGCTTTTCCAATCCATTTATCCCCGTTCGTCTACATAAAAATACCCTCCATGTCCAACATCCGATGACCCCACGCCCACCATGTCGGCCTCCGAAGACCTCGAAACAGACATCAATCAAGGACCAAGAATTCTGATTGCGACGGCGATCACAACGGCCGCCGCGCTGTTCACCGTTCTCGCCCGATTCTATGTTCGCATATTCATCATTCGGAACCTCGGATGGGATGACTATATCATGGGCTTGACAATGCTGTTGTCAGCATGCGGATTTGCCCTTATAGTCCCGGAAGTGAAATATGGCGCAGGGAGGCATATCTCCTTTGTTGGAGAATCCGCGAAAACGGCCATGCATCTGAACTTCGCTACCCAGGGAATTTACCTTTTCGCGATCGGCACAGTCAAGATATCGATCGGTTTGTTTCTGCTTCGCTTTGCAGCAAGAAAAGGGTACAAGATCTTCATCTGGGCTGTGATTGTGCTCATGGCACTATATACTACAATCTGCTTCTTGACTCTGGTCTTCCAGTGCAAGGATATCAGAAGCAATTGGGACAACAATGTGAAGTCAGAATGCTTTGCGCCGAAGCAACTTCTGATATTGAGTTATACCAACACTGGTGAGTCGGGCACATCTTTTGCTATCTATATTCAATCGCTCATAATACTAGCACTTAACATTCTTACCGATCTCATTTTCGCTGCTCTCCCCATACTCATGCTACGGTATGTCTTCCTCCATCAACATCTGCTTCACTGGCTGATTCGAACATGACTAGACATCTTCAGGTGAATCGTCGGGTAAAGGCATCTTTGATATGCATCTTGGGTCTGGGGGTTTTGTAAGACATGAAGAGAAAATGAGATATAGGTTTCCACTGACTATTCTCAAGTGCCTGTGCTGCCGCATTTGTCAAACTATCTATTCTCCCAAGCTACGGCCGCACCGGTGACTTCCTCTGGGACTATACAAACCTCACGATCTGGGTTGTGTAAGTCAAAGGCATTTTCTTCCCCGCAGTTCTTGCCCTTACTAAAATTCATAGCACGGAGTGCAACACAGGTATCATCGCTGGCAGTCTTCCAACGCTTAAGCCACTCTTCAAAAAAGTGCTCGGAACATACGGCTCGCCGTCCAAAACCACCAGAGAATATTACAACAGCAAGCAGTACAGACTCCGCTCGATGTCGAGATCGCGTGGCACTGCTCTACACTCCCATGGACACCAAAGTGGTAATCTCAGTGTGATTGAGCACCAAGTTATGAAACGCCCGGCATCTGAGATTACATCAACGGCGAACTCGCCTACATACGCTGCAAGTGGAGGTAGCAACTCCAGCGAAGAGCGCATTTTACCAATTCAGGGAGAAGGCATAGTCTGTACGACCGAGGTTATGGTTTCTCATTCTCAAGACCTCCCACAAATCCCCCTAGTCCTCATGTTCCCACTTTGGGTAGGATGAGATCGTTCAGAGGAGCAAGGACTGAGGCCGATGAGCGGGTCTGATCTCTTTTTTTAATTTGGAAGCCATTCTTCCAATCACTAGGGTATCTTGAGTAGGAAACGGTGGCTTTTCTTTGACGATTTTTGTTTCTCGCCTTTTGTGGTTTTTAGATCGGTGGGGGCGCAAGTGGGTTGGTAAGATCACGGAGCAAAGGAGGAAATGAACATTAATATAGACTTACTAGGTAGTGTAATGAGTTTTTATGTTTTAATATCTCAATGTACCTTTTTAATCCTCACTCCGTACCAGAACTAGAGTTAATATAATGGACAGGGGTAAAGGGACGCCTCGCTTAGAGCGTAAGGGCGTAGAGAGTCGCACTGATTCGCATTCCTCTGTCGGGGTGGCTGCTTCCAAGGTGGTCTTGGGCGAAAGTACCGAAATACCCGAGGCATTGTTTTAGAACAAATGGCTATAGTTAATTAAAAATAATAATATAACGAGCTCAAGGGGCTCGTTTGACTCCGTGATTCATACTTGTCCTCTAATTCTGGTGCTCAACTTGATCCAAATCGTACTCTTCGAAATCGTTTGTTTTCCTGATGCGTAGACATATTGAAGGCCAAGGTCAGCTCTGCAACCCATTCTAGGTTGTAAGAAGATGTTCTTTTTTTTATTGGCTTTGGTTGAATAGGTTTTATTTTTGAACTCGTTGAAGGGCTACATTGTTGTGTTCTGAAAAGTCCGGGCGGGCAGGTTTCCAGCGCGGCCGTCAAAGAAAGAAAAGAGAGAAAAGGGTTCAATGATTTTCTTCCGTCTCGCCGATCCCTTTGCATATGCCGTGTTTGCCGCAGGCACCGTGTTCGAAAGTGCTGCTTCCGCCGTGAGTGCCGTGCCTGTCACCTACCCACTGGTGTAGCGCGTCTCAACTTCCTTGCCTCCTCCTTGTTCTTTCCTTGATGTGATATTACTAGAAGGAACCGAAAAAAGGATCATAGCATGCTTTCAAAAAGGCTCTTTGGAACTTCACACCATTGCCCCGCTTATGCCGTATATACCGCGCAGATCGAAGTTACCGCGACTGCCGCTCCTTTGCCCGATCATGATTCCATGCATCAGTATAAGTATTTTCGTAGGCGGAAACCCAGGGACCTTTGATGTCAAAACGAGAGGATATCGAGCCAAGTTTTTAATTTTCAAGCTCCCATTGACTTCGTGGGGCATTTCATCGGAGTGCCCGGGCGCAAAGGCCGTTTCTGCATCTTCAAAATCATCAGGAAAATGTGTACGGAGTAATGTGAATTTGCTTTCTCTAGTTGTCTTGAATTATATTCACTCATTCAATCTCCTCTCGAAAAGTTTACCACTCTAGGACTTCACCATTGTACGAGACCAGCTTTCCACCGTACTGCTCCTTGGTTGCGTTGGTAAGGACATCGACTATACCACTGGTTGAATCTTCGACAGTCACTGGTGCTGATTCATAGCCCCATCCCTTCGCAGCCCTGTTCCCCATATCAGTCTGCACCCAGCCGGGGTCAATCACAAAAGCGTTGAGCCATTCATCTTCCGCATTGATGCGAACTCCGTACCATGGGAGAACAGATTTGGAAGCACCATAAGCTGCGTTTGGAACGGGGGCCTGGCGACTAAAGGAGAAAATGAGATTATCAATTGCTGAAAAAAAAGGCAATTGTTAGAAAAATCTTACCCTAAAGCTCCACCTGAAGATCCTATCATAGAGTAGACTGGGCTGGAGGTTGACTTCTGGAGAAGAGAGCGACTGGCTTGATACAGCGATACAACGCCTAAAACGTTCACCTCAATGTGCTCGACGATGTCCGATCGTTTGACATCTTTCACGAGGGGGTAAATTTTAGAAATTCCGGCGTTGGCGACAACATAGTCTAAGTGATCAATGCCCTTGCCGACGGCTTCATCAACAGCATCAAACGCAGACTGCTCAACAGCGGCATCGTACTTCACAATGACAATTCTGCTGCCTTCGCCTGTGGGAAGAAGAGAGAGCTCCTTTGCGGTTGAATGTTCAGGATCACGAACCGCGGCAACGACGACCTTTGGATATCGCGAATCAGCTTCTCCCACCTCTGAATTAGGAAATACCACATACGTAGTTTGGTTTAGCCACCAAGTTTTTAGCTATCCCAAAGCCCAATCCGCGATTGGCACCGGTAATAAATGCAACAGTGGGCGACATAACGGCGTGTTATACCGAATCGGGTTTTCGATGTGTGCAGAAGTGAACTCAATTGAAAGGTAGAAACTGCTAAGAAGACACATGCGCACACCTGCTTCTTTTATATGATTCTTACTCCTGTCAGCCGTGATATTGTTGTATCATCGATTATCAATCCCGTGGTACTCGAACAGCGCCCCGATTACAAATTCAGGCATAGCGCCGGGATTTGGAGAATATCTCCGGTACTCGGATTGTTGCGGTCAATTTGAATGGCCGAGCGAAATGGTGCCATTGGGGGTGTACCCCATAACACGCATTTGATATGCTCGGGCCGCAAGGCTTCAGGTGAGCTCCACTACCTGCGGATGACTTGAGCTGAGCACAACATAAGTACCGAGGAGCCCCGCTTCCAATCGGGCACGATGTGATATTCCAAATACTTTTCTCAATATAACCAGTGGTACGGAGTACTCTGTAGTGTGTGTTGCGCGCATTTCTTACCGAGGTTGACCTCCAGGGCTGGTGGTGACCAGCGGAGGGTCCCATGGCGATTGACCCACATGGGCTCAATTACCCATGTCGCTAGGCTCGTAGCCTATTCAGGAAAACAGAAATGTACAATAGTGTAGCGTTTTTGGAGACGAGGATTGGATGGGCTCACAGAGGGAGAGAGAGAGAAAGAGAGACAGAGAGTGTGTGTGTGGTCGATCTACGCTATCCACGCGCGGGAAGCCTGGCAAACCGGGCACCCACGGGCTCCAACGAGAATTCCCAATCTTTGCGAGGCTTGCCTCAAGAGAATGAAAAGTTCGTCAAATATTGTTGTGTGGACTCCAATGTCTCAAGTTCGGAGTCTTTGGATCTTATCGCCCAGGAAGGGCTGTCAATAAGCCCAGCTATTGACAACGCAGCCTGCAATGTTAACCACCTTTCAATGCATCTCCCATCTTTACCTCGTCATATTGGTTACTCTACTACACGAACCGCCCACAATATCCTATAGAGACCACTTCCACAATTTGGGGGATGGTGAGATAGATCCAAGGAAACGTCCCTCCACGTCACTCCGCCTCCCCCTCACAAGCTCCAGTCTACCCTTCGCCGAACTCCACGCCATAGGGACAAAAGGCCCACTGTAAGCTTAGCCTCGCCCCACCCCCCCGCTGCAGTGGCAGCCGAGTGGGATGCAAAACTCGGCAACGGCCCGGGCGGCTGGGAAAACCACGGGAAAGACTTGGCGAGGCATTCAATATAACAGAATGAACCTTCTTCAACTGTGAATTTGGTTTGACTGAGCTGCAGAGTACTCCGTAACTATTGAGCCAATTGATTGGTTTCTCTCCATTTCTCTGACAGACACCGATCTAGATTAGTTCACTCGGAAAACTTCTACCCTGGTCACAAGGTCCTCGAGCTCAAATTTGTCTGCAGCAGCCACGCAAATGGCAGCGTTGTTGGGTCTTTCCGGCATGTTCGTTGTCCACGATGTAAACAACATGCTCCCCTCCACCACTTCGTTCTCGAAGAACTGCTGGAATTCATGTTTTCTCCCTTCGAGGTCGATTGAAGAGACCAGTAGTACTTCAAACAGTCCTCGCTCGACAAAATGACTTCGAAGGCAGCCGAGGTGGTATGTACCACTCACTCGGATGTTCATGTCGATGATGAAAGAGTTCCCATTCGAGTCCACAATAATATCCACGCCAACTGGACCAAAATATTCCTGATCATGTAAATACTCGGCTACTTCGTTGCCAATTTCCGTGAAGTTGGCTTTGAGCTGTGGCTGCTCTAGGTAGGAGATGCACCCCCCAGCCCACAATCCGGAATCAAAAAACCGCTGATTGCAACAGCCAATGAAAACCCATCGACCGCTTTGCGTAACAAAGAGTGACATAGCCATGCAATCACCTTCGACAAAATCCTGGAAAACCAGAGAACAGGGGTTAAGATGATGATTTTTCGGGTGCAAATCATGGATCATTCGTCGTATCTCGTCTTTCAAAACTTCTCCCGCTCTTTGTCGGTCGTGCTCTGATTTCAGAACTAATGTGCCCTCGCTCGAGTTGGCCTGTGGCAACTTGACAACAAAGGGAATGCCTTTTTTGTAGAGGGGAAGAAGCATACGCCTAACTTCCGCGTTCACTGCGCATGGATCATGCACCTGGACTGGCTTGATCTGGGTTTCAATGATGATCGTCTTGGGCGTTGGCAAACCAGAAAGCGCCAGTGCTGGCTTTGACAGCAGTCTATAGTGTATGTCGGGATGGATTGTATGCGGAAGATGCTCCAGAGCATCTTGTGGGTTCAGAACAGATAATTTCGAATTTGGATGAAGATCAATGTCTGTGGGGCTTCGCACAAATCTCAAACTTGGTCGTTAATGAGGAGCCAGCTGTCCGTAAATTTCCATGGTATCAATCTGAGAAATAGTTGGGGTGCCCTTTTGATTGGGCTTTTCTCCATCGTCATCAAGCTCGAAGAAGATTAAGGACATTTCTCCAGCTATGAATCCACATCTCTGGGGTGAGCTCCGCAAGAACCTAGTTGCTAGGCTTTTCTTGCTGGTGGACTGGGCCATGGGATTTTGGTAAACGTACTTCCCAGTTAAAGGAAGTGAGGACGCGACTTGAATGCGCGATGATGGCAATGCATAGGCAAGTACGATGTCTGAGTGTTGTCCGCCATCAAGAGAGTATAAATCCCGAAGTGTATAATCGAGAAGAACGGGTTTGGGGGATAGCTTAATCGTCATTTTGGTTTTCGAGAAATTTCAAATAAAGTAATTTATTCGAAAGCAAATATCATTGAAGATCAAACGCCATCAACCTTGACAGTTAGTGTGGGTTATTATATACGGGTGAATTTCGACCTTTTCTTCTGTCTGCAAGTGATGTCATATTTGAATTTGCTATTTCCAAGAAACCGTGCATGAAGCGTGCAGAATTCCGAACGTAACGCGGAAATTCCAAGGTGATTGTTTTCGCCCGCAACGGTGTTGATATACAATAGGACAATGCTTTACATGCTGGGTGGAGAAACCCGATCCAAGTGATTGATCACATTTTCGGATTTTCTCTTTTTTACTCCGTACTCTGCACGCAGGACTCCGCAAGAAGGTCGGTTCCATCAGGGATCGAGGTGTCGAGGGAGCAAGGTATCTTTTTGTCGCACACAGTATACGAGGTCTCCATTCTCTAACGGTCTAGTTTTGCTTTAGTAGGTATAACCGTTCATAACACCTCAGTTTACCATCTTTAGGCGTCTAGAGCGTAAGGCATTCTTAACGGCGTTATCTGCTGAGGGAGTAGGATCGTCGGGGTCCAAGCCTTTTTTGCTTTGCACATTCCCACATACGGCTGACACTTCGGTGGTGTGGGTAGTGCCAAATGGCCCAGAAATCTCGCTCGGTTTCTATTTTTCGGATCTCAACACAATAGCAGCACCCTGGGCTGCCAGATTTACCACCAGCTTTTCCCGAATTGGGTAAAATAGGACGAATCTTTCGCAAGTTTTGAGGGGTTGAGGTCAATTGAAGGGTAGAAAATTGGCATTTTGCAGTTTTCTCTGAGCGAAGTCACATTAAATGATAGATCCAATTACTACTCCATACGGAAAGGTAAACAGTTCCATATACAAGTTGTGTGCTTGCTGAAACTACTAATAAACTGCCCTTACTCTCCAAAGAAAAGTCTCACTCTATGCGAGAATCCAGCTGGGAATCATAGACCAGCTTGGCAACTATTGGAAGTACTAATTACTAAAAGCTGCGCGACGAATTGATGAGAAATCTTGGAATGCAAAATACTTATTGTCCAAATCCCCGGCTAAGAATGAGGATTGCCTGCATTCTCATGTTTTCTAGCCTCCATTCAGCGAGGTACTTGGCTCAGTGTGTGAAGAACGGCTTACTCACTTTTCACTCCTGAATCTTTCATATTCAGTTTCCAGATGGGTGACGCGGATCTATGGTGTGCAGTCATCTACGCCAGCTCGGGAGAAGTATAATCCAATGATGGTGTGCATATCTTGATGTAAACCTTTTGGCAAGACGAATGAATAACTATTGAAGCAACAGTCAAGATGAGCATTGAGCCCTTTTTTCACGGGGATCCTTATCAGACTATCACCGGGCATCCCATAGCGGACGCGCTGAAGCTTAAATCGGACCAAACGGTTGGAAGTGGACCGGCCCGGTCGCTACCACAGAACTGGGTTACACCAAGACCAACCGGGACCTCTCATGCAATCTTCTCTTGACCTCACAGGCCGCTCACATTTGTCTGCCCCATAGTTGCTCGCAGGATTCTTCGCTCACGACGGATTGAACCTTCAACTGAAGGATCTATGTAGATCTGCTCTCGTCTAGGGGAGTCGTCCCCTAGTGCTGATCATTTGGGTCCACATGTTTCACTATATATTGGGATTTGCCGATAAACATGGGTTGATCCCGAGGTTTCAAAGTCTTACTGAGCAAAAGAAACCAGTATGTTTGGGCGAGTCGGTCCATTTGTAGCAGTCTTTCTATCGCGTCATACTGCCTGCAATGAACTTCAGACCCTGGAGTCGGCGAAGACGTAAGATCTCCCGTGGAGAACAATATGATACGACAATCATTATGTGAGACCGCAATCTATTTCACTTCCTCTAAAAAGACACTTATTCAAGGATCGTCATATATCAGGACGCTAAGTAAAGGGCGTTGCTAAGTGTTGCATGTGATTGTAAAGTCAATTGACCAAAGGATACTGAGTCAAGGCCACTATAAAAGAGGACATTCATCCATCTGTACAGTGTCAACCATACTGCCTTCCGTTTATCCCTCATCTTCCAACCAATCGCCATGAAAGGCTTCAGTCTACTCCTCGTCCTCAGCACCGCAGCCATGAGCCTAGCAGCCACATGCTCGGGCTCTAAGCAATGCCAGTGCTTGTTCTCAGACGGATCGCATTGTTGTCTATATGGACAAGTAAGGGATTCAATGTGGCTGGATATGACAGAGCTAACTCAATCCCCAGAATGCTCAAACCGGCGACACCTACGATTGTACCACGCTTTGCTCAGGTGCCAGCCGGCTACTTCAGTCGGGCGAAGATACTCCGGCCAAGTGCAATGCAGGAGGCTCATTTGCCTGTGCTTCTCTGATTACTGCCCAGGGCCGCACGCCCTGCTACAACAACGCCTAGACATCGAGAGAACCAGGGTGATGTTAGTGTCTGGGTTGGAAATACCTCCAGGGCTTGGAAGCAACCTTGGAAGCTAGCTAGTATCTTGAACTGCTGTTTGGTAGTTGGTGTACTAAGGATATGGATTTCAAATCAAATCTCATCTCTGAGGACATGGTGCCCAAGCATCTCCAATACTCTGTGTTTTGTACTCAAGGTATGGTATTATTGCTTAGAAAAGAGCCAGCTATTGAAATTCATTCTTTTGATGAACAATCATGAAAACAGTTCAACCCTGGAATCAGTGCTCACATCCACGCACAGCCGGGTACAGCGGCACCTCTTCCAGCCACTGCCTTCTCTCCAAACTTCTCAACGTACCACACTCGGCCCCATCGCGCATGAGGCAGCATGTTTGTCACGGCGTTGATGACGAAAACAACGGCTGGCAGTGGAAGGGGCACAGCAAGCTTCCCAGCCACCCACGCGAATGGAATCAACCAAGGGGCAAGGCGCAAAGGGGGCGTAGTAGCTGCCGAAGGGGCTGGTGGTAAACCAGACAGCGGGACAACGGCGGTACCAGCGAGAGCGAAGCCGATCCACTCCAGCCACTCAAAGACATAGTGCGGGTAGAGGATGTAGCGGAAGACACCCTGGGCCGGGGGAATGACGTAAACTTTCGAAAATTTGTTTGATCCGGGATTGTCTGTTTTCTTGCTTCGTTTCTCGGCTTCTTCACGTCGAAGTCTGAACAGCGTTTTCTCGGAGTAGATATTGCCAGCCATGCCGATGATGAAGGTCATGATGCCGATGGTGGGGATGGCGTCTACCAAGGCGGAACGAGAGGTGGTCTCGTAATACGGAATGGTTGGGACTGTGTAACCGCGCAACCAGCCCGACAGACATGAGGAATTGAACCAGTTGAATAGCATGGCGGAGGACATGATGAAGAGGTGGATTGGGGACATGCTGGGCGCTGAAAAGAAAGGGGAGATGATAGCGCGGTTGAAGTAATGGATGCAGTACAAAGATGCCACCATGATATTTGATGCTGGGAGATCAGCAATCGAGGGGGAGTAGATAGATGGGAGCATCAGGTTGTAGATCAGGTTGATAGGACCGACGATCTCCATGGCACACCAGGCGATGCGGCCTGGGAGGTTGAGGACAGAGTCTGCGGAGGTCTTGCCTGCGGGATGCCATGGCAGGAACCATATGATGGTGGTCATCTATACTCTGTCAGTTTGTCTCTCTGGTGTGTCCAAGTTGCCATACCAAGGGAAAGTATTGGAAATAGTGCAGAATTGCCGTGTAGACGCCTGGAGCTGGAGGCGCCAGCTTTGAAATGGAGGGCAAAGCCTCCCAGATAGAGAAAAGAGCATCCATGATAGGCCAGAAAAGGTGGAGAGATGCGAAGAGGAGAAGGTTGCAGAAGTAAATAAAGCTTAAATCTGCGGTGACGTAAAGGCGGTGGGTCTCTGAGCTCTCTTCTTTGCTTTTTTTCTCCCAAGATTGTTTGTTATCAGGGGCTTAAAAGCATCTTGGCAAACTACCTCTGCTTCAAACAAACATGGATTGGAAACGTGGGATCGATTCGGTGCAGTCTCTACATCACCCATGCCCCCAAGGCGGTCATTGGCGCATCCAGTGTAAACGCTCCGAACACGGTAATGCATTGCTTTGGAGCCGAAGCACACGTCACACACAGCTCGACTGTAACATCGACATCGGTATCCTGCAGCACTGGAAGAGGCTTTGTCTCATGTATTTGAGCGACGGCAATGAATCCCCATTTTCGTGTGATATCCGCGGTCCGGTTGGGACCGTTCAATCCGGCTTACAGTATTGTCCGTAGATAAAATCACTTCAAATGGGCGTTTCACGGAACTCTAGGCTCTTCGCGCCTAAATACTAGGCTTCGTGCATGAAGATATGGTGTCGATCGGGCCCGGCGTGGGGGGGGGGCTGCATTAGTGTCTTAGTGCTAAAGGCTGCAGGTGAGATCTTAACAGCTATGGATGTGACAGTATTTCACGATAGTGAAAGGGAAGACTAGTCCCCAATGAGAAATTACTAGTGACACTGCGAAAGAGTTTGAACCTATTAAGATTCTATCTAGAATGCTCAAATGTCCATTCGCTAAGTATTCCCAAGTGCAGCTAGGATGATATGTCCATCTGGTCAGTCTGTTGGTGTACCATTTCCCTGCGTTTGCCAGCCAATTTCTCGTTCTTGAAGGCTTCGATCTTGGCCTTGAGCTCGGTATCTGCAATTTTGTGAGTAATTGCAATAGCAAATGACCAATGAGATGAATCTTACCAGCAACCACATCTTCCATCTTCAGGGGGACACGGTTGAAGGGGTCATGCGGGTCGCTAAGGAGATGAGCTTGAATCGTCGCACGGTCAATCGAGATCCGTGAGCCAGGAAGGATGACTGGATCTTCCATGAGCGTGTACATAAGGGGATCTAAATTCATCAGCAATTGTTCGGGGTTGATAATGACAGGGACCCTACCGAGGAAGTCATCGGGAATTTCGCCGAGATCCTCTTCCGCCTGTTCATCCGCTTCCTTCGCGGCAACGACCTTCTTCTGGAGCTGGGCCCAGCGGCGGAGCTGCTCGGGGGACTTCAACGACCACTTTCGAATAATTTCAGCTGCCTTGTCAAAGTTGGCTGGCTTGTAAGAACGACCATCACGAGCAACGGCCAGAATGAAGTTCTCTTTGCCAGTCAGGTTGAGATAGACATCAACGATCTCACTCAGAAGGGCACGAGGGTTGAATCCATATTCCTGCAAGTTCTCGACGCGCAGGCTTAAACTCTTGGTGCCGACCATGGCGTCCAAGTTGTAGTCCAGCATGTCTGCGAGACGTTGCACGATCTCAGGCATGGTGAAAGAATCGGCGAGCGCCTCGGTAAAGAGCTTCAACATGGCGACCGTCTCATTGGTCAGCTGCATGTAGCTCTTTGCGTTGCGCTGCGCTGACGCGAGGTGCTCTTGTCGCTGTTGGCGAGTGGCGTCGTCCATGGTGTCACCGTTGTTTTTAAGCTCAGCCTGGGTGCTGTGAATAGTCTTGAAAGCGCCAAATGATTCATCGAGCACGTAGGTCACGTCGTTGAGAAGAAGGTTGACAAATCGAACGAAAAAGTCCAGGTTCTGGTTCGCTTGAATGGACAGCTTCTCGCGGTAAAGGGTGTTTGGCCAGATGCACTTGATGATCTGGAAGATCTCGTAACGAATGTTGAACTTATCGTAGAACTGAGTGTGTGCTCCTGTGAACTCGGCCTCGATGTAGAACTTCATGACGGAATGGAGAAGATGCTCGTTGGCAAACGGCATCGAGTTGAGCAGGTCTACCAACACACCGCTGGCGCCACCAGGGCGTTTCCAGGTGCCTCGGAACAGGATCGAGATCAGACCGGCCTTGAGGTAGGGGTTCTTGATATAGGCGGAGCTTTCAAGGAACGTGATGCACAGCATGACCAGTTCATCGCCCTGGGTGGCAGTTATGATCTGTGGCATGCACCACATGATGAATTTGAAATTGCTGACAATGTCGTCCAGGAAATACTCCGGCAGGCATTGGAAGATATCTGGCTGTGTTTCTGGAAGAGGAAGCTTGAGTTGTTCCTTGGGGAAGTTTTTGCCTGATGCGACCCTCAGAAGCCACACGGTGACGTACCGCATAAATAGCATAGAACGTGCCTGCCACTGGTCATCGAACAACACACCCTGGAGGCTGTATTTGAGAGCAATTCCCAAATCAAGCTTGTCCTTATACTTCTTGAGTGCCTGGTCGAATGTGCGCAGCTGAACCGGGTTGTTTAACCAACGGTGTCGCTCGAGTTCGAATTTAGTGATTGTGGACTCCATCTGTCGCACATCCTTCTCGAGCTGCTCCATCTTAGAAGTCAAAGATTCACTTCCGTAGTGATGCGCGGCAACCGTCAGGAAAAATATCTCGGTGATGAAATTCGAGGTTCCATCCACCTTCTTTGAGTAGAAAGCATCAGAGGCATGCTGGTCAGCGTTAATCTTAGTCTCGTCCCGCATATCCACCCGAGAGTTTCGGTGCAGATAATCCGCATCAATTCTGTCAATCTTAGTAAAGGCCGCGTCCATGAAAGGCTCGCAGAGCTGGTCGAGGCAGGTTGTGATGTTGAACATAAAGCCATCAGACGATACTTGTTCGGGATCAACCTGCATGGCACGTCTTTTATGGTTGATGTTCATCGCAGCAGCAAACCAGTCTAGCACTCGGTCCCGAGCCTCTTTCGAGGCGCGAATCAGGTGATTAATGACATCGAGTAAGTCAGAGCTAAGCATCTGCTGTGTCATCCGAAGTGATCGCTGAGCATTGGAAATGTAACCCTGATCACGGGTTTTAGGGCTGGAGAAATAAGTCATGGTCACGTTAGCTTGGAGAGGAGACAAGCGGAACCAAGGACCCAGAAGGGTGACCTTCTCAAATTGAGCGGGGTCTTTGGAGTGGTTGAAGAGATCCGACTCCGTGATTGCTACCGCAATTGATCCATGGCGGACAAGATTCCGCAAAGCCTGTAATCACATGTTAAAGGAAATTTTGGGAGTTGTGGGTTGAATAACCTACAATAGCGTAGGGTTTATAGTCATCATTGACGTCCTTTTCAGCAAGCTGCGCACTGAGCTGCTCAACAGCCGAGATGAAAGCGGGCTTGATGGTATCGTCCTCGTCAAATCGACGGACGGCTTCATGAATAAATTCAAAATCTATTCCCTTGTCATCCTCCGGGTCGACAAGCAGATAAGATGCTAGCGATGAATCCTGGGACCATTCACCCCTGCAACTCCCGTCAGCATTTACTCGCGGCCCGACTGTCAACTAACTCACCCAAACATCTCGGGCATGGTTATCGCGAATATACAATAACTCATGCATAAGCGCCGTGCCTCGACCAAAATCTGATACTTCGGGTCATCATCTCCGCTACGCCTCAGACCCTTGGACAGCTTCGTGATGCGTTTCCAGCATGGCAACAAATAATCCAAGGGCCGCTGTCTCTCAGCCAATGATGCAGCCTCCAGCAAGGCCTGGTCTAGCGCCGAAACCTTGATACGCAGGTCCTGGCCCTCATTCTGCAATTCGCTCCGCAGGCCAGGCAAGTATGTGCGCTTCCCATGGATATCACGTTGGCCCTCCTCTTTGAGTGTCAATCTGAAAACTGCGCTCAAAGTCCGATCTTCAAAAGTCTCGATGGTCTCGATCTTCTGGGGTGGGGGAGTACTTGGGGCGGAAGGAGGGGCAGATGGGGCTGCGGAACGTGATCGCTCTGGCGTGGATGCTGAAGGTGTGATCTTTATGCGTTTACCCTCTGACTGCTGCGGAGCCGGCGCATTGTGAAAGCTTGACGGTGACTGTGTGGACATGGGCGATTGTGCTGGGGAGCTTTGGGCCGAACTATGTGCTGAATCGGAAGCTCCATCCCCGGAAGTCTGGATGGGGTTTGAGAGCTTTGCTAGGCGCTTGTTGCGAATCTGGACATGGCGTATCTACGTCAGTATATTGAAGTCGGGGGATATATAAGGTCTTTTTGGCTACAGTCGTGAACTGACCTTATCCGCATCGGAGAGAGTGTCCGACATTGTGCCTTTCCTTCGGACAAGCCGTAGTTCTGTTGGCTAGTCCAGTAGATCGGCGAAATCTTAATATCTTGGACGTGTGGGAATCATAGGCGTAAAAGCGGGATAAATCGTCCTATTCAAAGTGGGGACAACGATTGACCAGAGGCGCCAAAATGAGGGCGGAGCGTGTGTTAATGCTGACGATTCTGTGGTGATCGCCAAGATTCGCTCGACTTTGTTCTGATCGGAGCGGCGTGATGGTTTTGACTAAGCAAAAGGGAAAAGTTGGAGTGGGATACGGAAAGGGTACTTGGTGAAGGCGCGGTCACTCCCGCATGAGAGAAGTACCGAAAAAGTCTCGTCCCCATCACCAAAACAGAAAATTGTGTTCGCCTTGTGTTCGACAGGCACTGGGCTTTGTCACTTCATATCTTCGGTTAATTTTCTAGTACTAATTAGGAACAAATAAGCCATTGCTAACCTCTCTATTGCCCCATAAAATTGTCTATGGCTGTCGTACTCGGTTTTGCATTCAATGGTGTATAACTATGTCAAGGGCCTCGGGAAGGACCTCGTTATACTACGTAGTACATACCCTAAGGTTGGAGATCATCTATCTACGCCTCCACAAGAAGTGGTTCCAGTAGACATCCAATAGAGTTGACTCGAAGTGAGCACGATGAGTGACATTTGTAATCCCAAGCAAAGTCAATGTACATAAGAAGCGAAACTCCGCCAGACGCCGCTTGTTGCGGGTGTGCTAATAGAGATTAGACCGAGTAAAATGCAAGCTCCGACCGAAGATGCCACAGCAAGACGCGATCCAAATCGACCATCTATGCATCTAGAATCTCCCCTTCGTCTTCAATGAGTCCAATTGCCGACAAGCCGGCATTTCCATCGCGCGAGCCTTCTTCATCTTCTCAACATCAGGGAAAATCCACCCTTGCGCATCCTGTAATCTGCGTTCCCGTTCATGTGCTTCGCTGTCGCATTTATTCCGTAGTGTCCTGACGTGCTCTATTTCGACACGCGTGTCTAGATCTCGGAAATTTCGCGCGCTGAAGTTATCCACATCCAGCGGGTTGACAAAGTAATTCAGGTTGAGCTTCGGAGTCGTGCGACCCATCGTATGCGGGGAGACAGGGGTATCGAATCGATAAGAAGGACCGGATGGTGTCGAGGAGCCAGAGAACAGAGAGGAGAGAAGAGGCAGAACGAAGAGAATAATTAGTGGCAGTAGTTGACGAAGGATACTGCGGCCGTCTAGCGGAGCTTCTTGCGTAGCGGCGCCCGCTGCACGAGGCCGACGACGCGGCTGCTGGCCTCCGAATTGGTGCACGCGGAAGCCTGGACCTCCGCCCATGTTGAAGACGAATTGGGGCCCCCTATCACATATCATCGTTAGTGTACTGGCAACAAAATCGCCGGTGCGCATAGGAATACCGAAAGGACTGAACCCACCTCCCATTCCGCCAAACCCTCCATTGAAGAAGCGGTTAAACATCTCCTCAGCCGAAATCTCCTCGTCAAATCCAGCGCCTCCACGAGGGAAGCCACCACCGCCGAACCCACTGAAGGGAGACGCGCCGCTCGAAGCACTCGGCCCAGGTTGGAACCTGCTGTCCGGATCGCCACCGAATTTGTCGTACTTTGACTTCTTATCCTCGTCGGAAAGAATCTGGAAAGCACGAGAAACCACTACCGTGGGTAAGCATGGGCCCAATGTAGTCATTGTCGTGACTCAATCCAACTTACTCTTGAACGCTTCATCGGCACCCTCATAACCGTTTTTATCGGGATGCGTCAACAAACTTTGTTTGCGATAAGCCTTCTTAATTTCATTGTCCGTTGACGACTTCTGAACTAGAAGGATCTCGTAGAACTCAGTGGGCTGGCATTTTCTGATGCGAAGAACGGCTGCCTTCTGATCATCCGTGTATTTGCGATCCTGGTTCCCCTGCTTGTGGTCGCGCGCGTCTGAAGGCATCACGAGGATTATATGAAGCGATAAACTCGATTAAGTGAGCTTCGCTTTGGGTCCGTAGACGAGAGGGGGGTCAGGGATATCGTGGAGGGCGTTGGGTGGCGTGGGATCGCGGATAGGAGGATCCAATCCCGACGATGGGGCTGGACAGAAATGTCAAAGAGAAAAGTGGCCTGGCACAAGTGAATGTCGGCCTTATGCAAGTGAAGCGGAATCAGAGCGACAGAGGTGGCTGATTCGGTGGGCTTGAACCGGAGGGAAAAGCGTGGTCTTAGGTGTCTTTGCCAAGGCGTCGGAACGTCAGTTGCGCTTAGACATCGCGATAAGTTACATAACTCCAGTTCAATTCAATCAACCTAACAATCTGGTTTGTTTGAAGCCTAATTCTCAATTGTGAGTTGTCCAAATTGTTGTTCCATACCTTGGGTGCATATTGACTTATTGATATGCCTGCAGGTATCACGATCCTGGTCTTCCAGAGCTCTAGACCGATCTTACCCAAGTCCAATAAAATCCCCACGAACATCTTCCAATATGGCGGACGACGAGTCGATCGAGGAGACGAAGCAGACGCTTATCCAGCGCTTCCGCGCATGGGGTGGTATGTTATCTCAGTGACCTGGACACAGCACGAGCTCCAGTCATTCCACACGCGAGCAACCACTGACGTCGATGTAGAAAACTCATTCCCGCCCACGCTACTCGCCTCGCTGATTGCGGCGCAGCACATGAAGCCGTTCCAGTTCTTCCCCATGCTGTTCCCTCCTGCCCTCCTCTTCACCAGTTATGCGAACCTGCAAGGATTCAAGACGGATACCGCCGGTATGAGCGCGGCGTGGTCAGGATTGTACCTGTTGCTTGCAGCGCGTCGTCGTCAGCCTTTCGTGAAGAAGTTCGGTGTTCGGGGCGTTGTGCGCGGTGCGACCATGGGTCTGGCATTGGTCAACATGGTTGGCGGCGGACTCGCCTACACTCTCGGAAAGAGAGAGGGAGGAAGAGAACGAGTGAGGGAAACGCTGTCTGAAGAGCGAGGAGTCGTGGCGCCCACGGCTTCCGCGCACTGATATGTACGATATAGTATCTAAAAAGTCGGGGTGTACGTTCGCTGAGACGTGCTTGGCGTCGGTGGCATTTATTCATACAATTTCAATTGGTCTATACTGCATACTGTCAGGCTCTTCCAAAGTCTCTCCCAACTTGACAGTGTCTACGCTTTGCTTTTTCCAGCATACGGATGTTCCGACAAAACAAATTGCCGAACCTGGTCCGGCACCAGGCGTTTCAGATCCTCGAGATCGGACTGCAGGGCTTCACGGGCCAGGGTTGAGCTCACAGGCGGATCGGAGGGAGATCGACCCTCGACTAACTGTATACGCTTTGCCCACTCGCTCTGTGCACCCTCGGCATCCCGATCGCCTCTCGATAGTGCTTCCAGCCATCCGAGCTGCTCTTCCTTTCCACCCCACTCATCGCTTGGTCGCATAGTCACGCGCAGCCGATGCTTTGACAAGAAAGGCTCCAAAGGCTGCAGGGTGTGTGTTGGGGGATAGTATTTGGGATTGAATATACGAATCAGAGTATCATAGCCTGTCAGATGGACCTGCTCCAATGCGACAGGGTAAGAATCCGAAGCTTCGATCGCCGCAGCCTTATCAGCGAAATACGGTTTCCTAGTAACGCCGATATCGACTAAAGGCAGGTTTTCAATGGCATGGGAAAGACCGGATGCGGCGAAGGCTGGTGATTCGGCAAGGCGGGCACGGAGATCTCGGGCGAACAGGTCCATCATGGCTAGTCGGTCCTCGAATGAGGCGGGCTTGGATGGTTTGTCTGCATTTTGGGTGGCGAGGAGGAGTAGGAGGCGGGGACGGGGCTTGGGATTCTCCAGGAGGGCAGTGCTGGCTATGCGGAGGTGGGCGCGGGTGGGGGGATTGAAGGAGGAATCTAAGACATACAGTGTCTCTGATTCCGCGGAGTGGTCGGGGGGGAACGGTGGCGAGGACCTCGAACTCTTTTGTGGAGGAGAGGAAACGCTTCAGTAGAGATGCGTACTGGGTTCGGAGGGATTGAAATGAGGCCATTGTCATTGCATCTACCCGGACGAAGTAGTCCGTATGGGCCTCGGGGTGGTTGCGATTGTTATCGCGATAAGATAGAGCATCACCGCCTTGGCAGTTCCACGGTCCCACGGTTTATATGCGGATATACTTCGCACTAGGAAGTAGACCAAACACACTAGGATTCATTGTCGATGGTTCGTGAGAGCTCGCTAAGAACCCAGACTCGATCTCAGTCAACCCCTGGGCCAGGGTGTTGAGGGGGCAGGGTGAGAAAGGTTGACCCGGACGTTTCATATTGGAAAGCTTCTCCGTACTCGAAGAACCCTGTGGATGATGCAATATTTTGGTCAATTTCCACGGCCCCGGAGCTCCGGATCTTCAGCACGAGATCTGGACCAGGCATGACAGCATAGGGGAGATTGAGACAAATGGCAACCAGACTTAGAAGCAAAAGAAATGACTCAAAATCCAGGTGTCCAAGAGCATGGGAAATGAAACGGCCCCAAAAATTATAGAACGGGCTCGTGCTCTCAGGTCCCAAATGATCATCTCCGTGTCAATATGATAGATGTGCCCCACCAAGACGGCATTTGAGATTTGAAGATCACCTCGAAACTCCATTTAGCAAATTCTAGAATGGCCATGGCCAGAGTATACGAGTAGACTTGGCATTTGCACTGGTATACTCCGTCCAAGATCGACCATGAAATCCCGCGAAATGAGAAAAAAGCCTACCCGTCGGTGGCGGGCGTTCAATGTGAAACCATCGGCTGTCAGGGCTGGATACACCAATACCGGTATTGTCCCACTACTGAAACTTCCCGTGCTTTTGCAATCTAGATCTTGGGGAGGCAAAATGTGGCAGAGCAAAGAAAAAATAGAATAATAAAAAAACCCTCGATGGCATTCACCGTGTCGCGCCATGTAGTCTGTACGAAGTAACAGCCCTAAAGTCTGTGCCCGAAAACCGTTTAACAAAGTCATCATGGGCTTAGCTTCAGGGATAGAGAGCACGGTATGACGCCTTCAACGCCTCAATATCTCCGAATCCGACTCTGAGAGGCCACCGCCACGACAGACATCACATCTGTGAGATTAAAGGTGAATTGTGCTGGCACGGGCTGGGTGATTGGCCCCTGGCGGAATGTAAACGCACGAAGTGACTTCGGCTGGACCAATGGAATTTGGGTGCCTGAGACGAGTGGAGTGGCTTACCGAAACGCCCCACTTGAACCAGACGCAAAGCAGAGGCAAACCTTGGAACCGTTACCAGCCGAGGGGTACTTCATACAATTACACTTTCCTCAAGTGTAGGCACATTTTTATACTGTACAATATGCCCAATTGAGCACTGTATACTCCCTGGTATTACCGAGACGGTTTAATTTGGTTATATCGAATTATCAATTTATCAATTTAATCTTTAATCTAACGAAATGAATTTAATATCATTCCTTGTCCCTCCTGTCCTTCTTCTTTTCTTACTTCTTCAAGCTTGCAGCGCGACTTGACACTTTGCTCTCTGAGAGAAGCCCTACATTCTTTTTTCTTCTTGCGAATTGACTTCGCTCTTTCTGAATTCGCATCCACACTCTTTCGGCTCCTTCTGCTTGTTTAGCTCGCCTTCGCTCTCTCTGAGATCTTCGAATTCGTCAACACTCGCAACCTTCACCGTCCTTACCAGCAATCATGGTTGTTATCAACAAGGTCTCCATTGCCCTCGTGGCCGCTCTCGCTGCCATGGGTCAGGCTACTCACGAGGGTCTTCACGCTCGTCGCGTTCACCAGGTTCGCTCCGTCAGCGCGGCCGAGCAGTCCACCTCCACCGTCCTCGTGGTGCCTACTCCTGAGGCACCTGCTCCCGAGCAGCCCTCTCCCGCTGAGGAGTCCTCGTCCGTTCCCTCGGTTGCTGCCACTTCCTCCGTGGAGTCTGTCGCTCCCAGCTCGGCTCCCAGCGTTCCTTCCGTGGCCCCTAGTGCTCCCTCTGCTACCCCCAGTGCTCCTTCCGTGGTCCCCAGTGTGGCTCCTAGCTCCTCCTCGGTTGCCCCCGTTGCTTCGAGCTCTGCCCCCGTCGTTGCCAGCTCTTCTTCCGCTGTCGGCTCTTCTTCCGCTGTCGGCTCTTCTTCCGTTGCTAGCTCCTCTTCCGTGGCCAGCTCTTCCGCGGCTCCTAGCGTGATCTCTAGCACTCCCTCCGTGGCTCCCTCCAGTGCTTCCGCTGGTGCTGGCAGCAGCTCCTCCGCTGCCGTTTCATCTTCCGCTAGCATCCTGCCTGCTTCTTCTAGCAAGCCTGTGCTCACCCGCACCCCCATTGGTGTCAAGCCTTCCGGAACTCCTTCTGGTACTCCCTCCGGTACTCCCTCTGGATCTTCCGCCAACCTGAGCAGCACTGTGTCTGCTCCCGCTACCACTGCCGCTCCTAGTGACGGGGCTGTGACCACCAGCGCTGAGACTGTGACCTACACCGTCACCAACGGTGCTTCCACTAGCGTTGTTACTACCACCATCTACCGTACTTACACCCAGGAGCACACTGTCACCGCTACTGGTGCTCAGGCCAGCGTCACCAAGCCCGGTCAGGCTGGCGACAACCAGACCAAGGCTGCCGAGGACACCACCGAGACTAACACTTCCACTATCCACTCCACCAAGACTGAGACTATCACTCTTGTTGAGGTTCCCACCACCTCTGGCTCCGCTGGCTCTGGCAACGGATCTGGCAGCGGATCTGGCAGTGACTCTGGTGCTTGCGCCCCCGTTACCGTCACTGCTACCGTTACCGAGACTGTGACTGCTGCCGCAGCTGAGACTTCTGCTCCCGTCAACCACCAGGGAGGTGGTGCCGACAGCGGCTCCAACGACAACGGTGAGGGTGCCCAGAGCTCCTCCATTGCCCCTGTCGCTCCTCTCCCCACCGCCACCGGCGTGACTACTCGCATTCCCGCTCCCGGTGCTCACTCTCACACTCCCCACACTCGCACTCCCACCCCCTCCAGCAGCTTCGTGACCCGCACTCCCTCCGCCTCACCCAGCGTGCGACCTTCCTCCACCCCCAGTGGCCCCGCTCCCAGCGGTACCCCCAGCGGCAAGCCCGTCCTTGCTAACTGGCGCCGCCACTTCATCTAATCACATCGCTCATGTGAGAGGAATACCACCTCGAAGCGGTGAGTTACGAGCCTGATGACGATCCGAGAGAAAGTTCCAATTCCCTTCTACTCGCGCCGAAGCGCGCTGGTCCTGTACCTATTTTTGCCAAGTTTCGGTACAAACATTTTCGATTTCACTTCTTATCTACGCTTCGGCTTCTGTTATGTTTGTTACTTTCACTTTACCTTCTTCCGCTGGTCTTGTCATGCATTGTGGGCAGCTATCGGGTTTTCATTGTACGTTTCGCAGCTCGGATCTTACAACTGGGCTGTACCACATACATGCTGTGTCATTTCCTTGCGTCCCATTTCTATCCAATGTGATTTGATCCGCTCATACTACATTGCACTCGGAACTTTTTCTTTGCTTCGTCATAGGTGACGCTCTCCCTTGGGGATATTCCTTTTCTTTTGTGCAAAATTTCTGTTTTCATGGATTTTCATCTTCGTTAATCTATTGCGTTGAATTGTTCTGTTCCAGGTAGAAACCCGATCCGATGGGAGTGTATCGGTGATCTTTAATTCCTGGAGAGACTTGAATTGATTTGAGGCTTTTGCCCATACCCCATATCTCGTCAACCTTGGAAACGTGTAGGCTCTTGTAGTCTTGATGAGATATGTAGTGTTCATGAGCTCGAGTAACCTTGACATTATCGCGTCTGATATTATAGAGCTCTCACCTGGATCTCGCGAGCTTGAGCAAGATCAAAACCGTGAGAATGGTAAGAGTGACCATGTCAGGGGTGGAGTGGCTCACGGGCAAGTTTGCCCGTCATTGCCCTGAGCTCCCAGAACCATGCCACATCATCCTGGTTCATGGCATCTACTTCGGCATTCGCTACTCGCTTTCGGTGAATCCACCTGGGCATAGCCATGCATGGACCCCGATCAATCCCAGACCACCGACAGCACAGCCGATTCCAATATCAGCCTTTGCACCAGTTGAACTAGAAGAGTCTGGTTTGGTCTGTTCCATGGTTGTCGAGTGCCCTGGTGGAATTAGTTCCACACACTTTCCCCGGATACTGGTGTTCGCTGTGCTGTTTCCCCATTGGACCTGTGGCTGCCACGGCACACAACCACCCTGTATGAGATTCTCCGGCAGGAAGTGCCCTCTGAATGATTGAATCTACTCTTGGAAGGCACAGACTAATTAGAGTTCGTATAAACCCCCCCCTCGTTTTTCGATTTGACCTCTTTCGCCTCACTGGATTGTCTCAAGAACAGTATCAGCATTTTATCTAAGAGAGAGAGAGAGAGAGTCGGTAGCTCTTGCAGCCAGGGAGTTTGATGAACTTCATGAACCGATGGAATCATCGTGGGGCTGCATGACATGGTCACATGCAGCTCCCATCTCACATAACTAGCTCCTAGCTGTCCCTGGCAGATAGACATCTGCCTATGTAGTGATATATGACTTTAACTGATCTAGAGCCTTGCATTTGATGATAGCTATAGATCATCCAAGACCTCAGGTCCCTCCTGTGCGATGCGTTCTCGCATGGCCTGCCACTCAATCCATGCCACACCCTGCAACAAACAATCTGCCAGATCGTCTAATTTGCCAATATCGACAGCCACCTCTTCAGCCGCTGTTACCGGGCCAGGCGCTGATGACGTGCCCTTGACAGTACGAGGCTTCCTCTTCTTAGACTCTCCCCGCCATTTCCTCATATACTCACCCACAACACCACTCAGAGCGGGCGAGTGAGCTGCATCTGCCAAAAAGACCTTTTCTGACGAAGCAATACCGGGGATCAATTTCTGAGTCTCTTCTGTGGACTCGGATTGCGGTTTGGAAGATGCATCCTGCGCAGCAGAAATCCACTTCCCAACGATATCAATCTTGGCTTTCTTGACTTCGCGGGCATTGAGCTTCTTATCTTCAGTTCTGGCAGACGGTTCAAGCCAGTATCTCACTACTCTCTTTGGCTCGACGCCTTGGACAGAAATGACATCTCCTCTCTCCATTCGAAGTGCGTGCAAAACTGCATACAGCATCCCTTCAAAGACGCCGACCCGCAGCGTCCACTCCTGCACGGCACTGGCACCGCCTGAGCGGAAGCGCTGACGCTCAATGAGAATGTGCGTTGGGCGGTAGGCCGTTAAAAGTGATTTTAATAAATTATATGCGATTCCAGCATAGATATCTGGGGAGAAGTTTTCTACTTCCTTTGATTTGGACGTTGATTTAGTAGATTTCTTCGCAGGCTTCTCCGCAAGCATATCCGACAATTTGGGCTGCGATGTCCTGGCTTGAATGTTCTCATTGCCTGTCAGGTTGAGACTCGAGATCTCGGATACTGCTAATCGATGCCAGGCTGTGAGCACTGGGACTCGTGGATTTGCATAATCAGTTGCACCGGAGCGGGGAAGATGCAGGTGTGCGAATGCCAGGTTCTGAATCCCCATGTCGATACTGAGAATACTCCATGGCTTTGAGCCAGAGTGTGGATTTAGGGTCTTGCATGTAGATGAACTCTGACTGGAATGGTTGTTTGCTTTCGACGCACTGTCGACATGTCGATTGGGATTTTGACTGGCGTTGGTACTGGGGATGGAACCAGTGGGATTGGCAACCCTTTTGTCACTACCCGGCTGTAACGCTAATTGTGCTGCAATGCGTTCGACAAGGAGGCTTTTCGTTCCAGACGATTGGATGCCCGTTGCTCGCGCTAGGCTCTGCAATTGTGTTGCTTTCAGGGTTGTGAGCCAATGGGGGGACACAGTACTGTGGAGACACGCATTGGGAAGCGTGTTTGTGCCTGCGAAGTCGATCTTGGGACACAAGCATCGAAGCTCCGATTTCGGGCTGAGGTGGTGGGATTTGCAAGGTTGCAACCGTTGCGCTGCTTGGCCCATTTTTAGAATCCCCAAGGGGTTGTGCACGGGCCATTTTACGTTCGCGGCCCCGTTCCAACGAGGCGAACTATACAATTCTATACACTGGTCTTTTTGTCTTCAGTATTAGTTAGATTGATATAATTCCTGTCGATACTAGGTAGAATATGCTCCCTCTATTTCCCACAACACCGAAAACCATGAATCAGAATAAAGAATAAAACATGCCCTTAGGCCCGCAAACTCCTGAATTAAACCACAAAAGTCCCACCCTAAAAGCAAATTATGCATGGCGCTGAATGGCAGAACACTTGCTTGCAGAAATAAAAAAAAATCAAGAAGGAAATCAAGGAACAAGAAAATCAGAGTAATCAAACTGAGGAGAGAGTCAGGTCGGGGTTATATCAGCGCTGGTTCAAGCTCCGCTGTCGCAATCTCATCACGGAGATACAAGAGTGGTGCCCAAACACGCCAATGCAAAACACCCATGTGAGCAAGACGCATACCTATCCGTTCAATGTCCAGCTGCTGTGGAGTCACAGGCTGCGCCGACGCCGATCCCGCCCCAGCCGAAACCGCAGACGGCGAGACCCGCTGCGACTCACAGATTGCCAACGGCGAAAGGGGCAGGTAGCGTTTCGCCGCAGTCAGTGTAGCAGACATAATCTTCTCACGCATGCCTTCCTGGAAGTAAGCAAAGAGATTTGACTCATGCGTGAGGTGCCACTCTAAAGCCTCCTCAATGGGCGCGATAACATCGTCCGCGACAACTGCGTCAAGCTGCAGTGCCGCACACGCGAAGCGAGCAATTTCCAGTGCAATGCAACGCATGTTTTGAGTCCAGCGCTTCCCGCCGCGGTAGTCGGGGTTGTCGTCATTGAGATCTGGGTTTCCGACAATGCGGTTTTCCAGATCCATGCCGTCTTCCATGAGGGACCAGATGCGCGAGCGGAATGTCGAATAGGTTTCTGCGGGAGCGGAGAGATACCGCTTGTGTTTGTTGACGTATGACTCGAAGATGTACCACGCGATATCGAGGTTAATTAAATTTTGGACGGTTGAGCGGAGTTGCCAGAGGCGCTCCGAGTCGAAAAGGAAGGTCTCCGGGAAGTCGGCCGGTGAGCTGAATTGGAGTAATTGTTCGGAGATTCCGCGGAACAGAGCTTCAAGGGGCTTGAGGGTGTCGTCTATCTCGACTGGGGCCTTTTGGTCGTTTGCGTCTTCTTGGCGAGTCTGAGACCGCACGGAAAGGTACCATTCGCGGGCGGGTTCAACTTGGAAGCTACCCCGATTCATCTTACCCTTGAAGTATTCTTGAAGAAATGGAACTGTATCCTCGATTAACAGGACACGGAACGCTCGGATTTGATGGTTGGCAACGTCCTGTAAAACAAATGTGAGCAAGTGTGTATTGATTGAGGGAGCTTTCAATGGGGAGGCATACCAGTTTCATCGCTTCCAAGATGGCGAACAGTGTCTGTAAGCCATTGACGATCTCCTTCGGGTCTTGTGACTGTGAGCCCTTCCTGATCTGCTCAACCATGCAATCTGCCCATTCGTCGCGCATAGGTGCACAATGTGTTTTGAGAAGGGCAGCAAGCCATGTGGCAAGAGTCAGCATGTCAAACACGCCTTTCCGTATTTGCTGCATGAGTAATGGAACCTCGAGGTTCTGCATGACAGCTGGGTGATCTCGCTCTGGCACAAGGGTCTTGATGACGTCTTGTAATGTCTCGAACAGGGCAGGCAAACGGGGATCGAAGGTGCGTCGAGTGCCGTCACTCGAGGCCACATCCTCGATGTCGGTGTCTGCACAGAGGGCACGGAATGAGTAAATCGCAATCTCCGAGGCCAACGAGTCCCAATAATCCGCGGCTTCCTTTCTCTTCCTTTTGCCCTTCTCTCCGTCTAGATCGGGCTTGAAGTGCAGATCCCGGTCGAAATTAGCGTCCATCCGAAGATTGATGTTTCCCATGATACAGGGCAAATCTAGCTCGCTGAGCGTCTTCTTGGTGACAGGTGGAGACCTCCGAGCCTTGCGAAGGAGTCGCTGGTCGCGGGAGCATAATCCCAGAGCTTGGGGTATGCCGATGGCCTCTGGTGACGGTGAGGGCTCTCGAGGCCGAGTCACGGTAGCTGTAGGGCTCCTTTGGGGTCCATGGGGGTATGAAAATGGTGGCCGGCGACGACGAAGCGGATTAATCGAATTGCGGTCATCGTGGTTGTGAGAATCGCGCCCCTCGTTCTTGTGATACTCTTTTGAACGACCACCTCCAGCACCATACGCCTCGAGAGGCCCTTCAGCGCCCTCTTCCTTTCGGGCTTCTTTTCCCTGTAGATCCATCGTCAAAGACGATATGTCTGACGGTTCCCCTACCGAGAAAGTCAGATTAAAGAAGATTTGGGGACACCGCGCCAGGCACCAAATCGCAAGGCGGATCTGCAACTCACCAGATAGAAACCCCCTGTTTGCCTCAGGCAGGCAGCCAATCCGCAGTCACCGAAAAGTGATGCAAGTGAGCTGTCAATTGTAGTGGAGCCGAGGATTTGCCTCTGCGTCTCGCCTCGTGGTTCCGAAAGACCGGTGAAAAAAGGGAGGAAATTAAGATATCGAAAATATTAAAATCAATAAAATGTTATCAAATAAGGAGTACTGCGAAAAGGGTCTTGGAGAGACCGGACCAGTATAAAGAGGGATTGGAACAAAGAGTCTCTTCGAAAAGAGGTATAGCCTCAGGGCAAACAAGCCCAGTGCAGGTAGCAAATCAAGCGAATGAAAAAAGAAAAGAGGGAAAAGGAAAGAAAAAAAAAGCATTGGTAAAACGACCGGGATGAACTGATATAGTTGAGTGTATCCAGATCTACCGGATTCGGGTGGACGCAACCAGGTTCAACATCTCACATTCCAGCCCTGCTGCTACCCGCGAGCAGAACCATTTGCCGAGATCTGGGAATATGGCCTTCCATTCCAGGTTCCTGATTCCATCTCGATCTCTGAGCTTGTTTCCATCAGCCCCAAAAAAAAAAGGGGGGGGAATCCGCCTCACTTTGAACTTTGAAACCAGCACTGGCCACGTGAGTTGTTCTCCTTTCTCGGGGAACCACTTGCAGCTGGTTTGCAGATTACCTTGGCAAAGTGTCGAGATGAAGTCCTCGGATCTCTCTGCTCGTCGAGATCGGAATGTTTTGTCAGGTTTGAGGTGGTTTGCTGGCTTTGATGGGTTTGCTGCTTTTGATGATTTTGTTGGCCTTGGTGCCTTAATTACTTGATGCCTTATTGATCAGGCTCCATTTATCCCTTGATGAGACAGCCCTAAGCCTGGCCAATACAGCAATTCCAAGTTTCCAATTGAGTCTATTCCGTCGCAGCGTGTATTAAGTCTTCCGTGGATCAAGATGATTGAGACTTCCAATTGGTTATTGAACCCTACATCTTCCCGAACTCCCGAATCAACTCGTGGCTTTGATTCCAACTCCGATCCTATTCACACCCATATGCGGCATGGACACCCCCTCTCTCAATAACCCAAATGACCAACATGTTCCAAACTTCAAAAAGAAATAAAAAGGATCATGGATTCCACGTGGGAAATTATCTGCATCTGCGTCCTGGAGTACAATTCCTACGGCTTCCACCCCGAGGAATATCGATCATCGACCCAAGAAAGCCGTTCTACGTGGGACACAAGTTGCAACGATGAACATCCCTGCATTCCTCTATTTTTTCAATCTGCTATGGGCATCGCCTAGCATCGTCTTCACCCGGGGTCTTGATTATCCTCAAGCAGCTCCGTTCAAAGTAGAGTCTCTACCTGGGATTTCGTCATTGCCGCCGAGCTGGGCTGGTCGGATTCCTGTTCCAGGAGCCAAGAAGGACAATGATATCTTCTTCTGGCTGTTTGAATCAGAAAAGCCAGTTTATGACGACAACTTAATCAGTGAGCCTACCGGGAAACGGATTGGCATGATTGTTTACTGACGATATATAGTCTGGTTCAACGGCGGTCCAGGTTGCTCATCACTAATAGGCCTCGCGACAGGCAATGGCCCCTTCTCCTTTGATGGAAACTCTACAAATCTTGTCCGAAACCCTCACTCATGGACACAATTGGGCAATGTGCTTTATGTTGATCAGCCTGTCGGCACTGGTTTGTCCACGGCCAGTGTTCCATACCCCGTGCGCGACAACGGCCAGGTTACAACAGACTTTGCAGCTTGGCTAATTGGCTTCTTTGAATACTTCCCACATTTGCAATCAAAGAAGATTCACCTGATGGGCGAGTCATACGCCGGGATCTACATTCCCTACATCACATCCCAGCTTCTCAAAAGCAACACCTCTGTCCCTTTGAACATTGCTTCTATATCCCTGGGCGATGGATCATGGGGAAATGGAGCAGCTATGTCATCAGTCGCCACGGGCAGATACCTCCGATCCCAATCAGCTCTTCTTGGAATACCAGAAGACATTCTCTCGGTCTTCTCCGAAGCAGACGAAAGCTGTGGCTTCAACAAAGTATTAGCAAAGTCTGCCGCCTATCCTCCACAGAAGAAGTTTCACATTCCCGGGAACCCTGAATACTTCAATCTCAAGCGACGACGTCGTGACCTGACGAATGCTCTCAACGCCGCCTGTGACATAGGACCAACAACCCCGGAAGAAGTCCGAACTTCGATCTTCAACTCAACCTGCTACGGCCCTTGTGCCACATTCTCCACGGCAATGGATTACCTGACCACCAAGGCCGAAGACAGCTCAACCCGTGGCTGCTACGATGTCTATGACATATCCCACGATTGCAGTTCTATCTCCGGATTGCCACTACTAGCAGAATACTTCAGTCGCGCAGAAGTACAGACTGCACTGCACGTTCATGACAACGGGCCCTACAGCGCATGTAACTCGACGATTCTGGCAACTCTGCTGGCAGCAGAGTCACCTGTACCACCGGAATACTTTCTCCTGCCATCTCTGATTACACAGCACAACATCTCGCTTCACCTCTACTCTGGAGAATGGGATATGCTGATCAATCATCTTGGCGCTGAGCTGTCGCTGCAGAATATGACGTGGCGCGGCGCACAAGGCCTTTCGAAGCCACCAAGTCAGCCGTTCTACGCTGACAATGCGGCGCCTGACAAGACCAAGCTGTCAAAATCTGCGCATAGTTCGGCCCTCTCAGCTGCCAGTGATTCGACGAAAGCGGCAGGTACATGGGCTGAAGAACGTGGGGTATCATATCACCTTTTCCGTGGTGCAGGACACAGTGTGTTCATCAATAAGCCTAGAGAGATGTTCTCCTACGTGAGGGATGTGGTGGTTTCCGCGAAATCAGGTTGAGCGTCGGAAAGAGAGCTGGTCAGGGTTAATTATTTCTATACTTTGTATTGTGGGTGGCTCGGAGAACTTCATTTTTGACTAGAAGAATCATTTTCAATAGAGAAACGAGCTTTTCAAAATACTTCTTCGCGGTGCATTGACTGGGCTCTAGGCTGGTAATGATAATAAAGATTCATAACTGGAGGAACCCTTTTTTCTTTGAAAGACTGCCCATGGACCCAAGCGGCGACATAGGCTCGTACCACAAGCTCACTCTGCAGGTGGTGGAAGACTCTTACCTACTTGACTACCTTAGAAGTTGTCTTTGGACGGTTGGAAAGCGCAGATCCTCAAACGGCTTTGGCCATGATTCCGTGGACGATAGCCCAATGAATGGGCTTTGATCTCATCTCTCTTTTTTTCCCCAAAGCCAAAAAAGAAATTACAAAGTCTCTGCGATTGAATACTTATTTGAACATACCCTAGTTCTCTCGACAGAATCCTTGAAACCAACCCGCTAATGCATAAAAGACACAGATCATATCGGACACCCAGACCCAGATCAAAGGGTGTTTGAGTAAGCCCGCCCAAAATCCAATCACATCTATGATAGAATTCTCGTGGCCCATGATTTTCAGAATAGATCGACCCGCTAAATCATGGAAAGCAAAGAAACAAAATACAAAACGAGCACCGAACTGACGGGAAGTGGTTGCAACAAGACACCCCGTACATTGGTCGCCGATGGATGTACGATACACTACTCATAGTCATAATCATAAGATGCAAAACGAACATGCGGGCAGATCATGACGCATAGAGAAAGGCTTTCTCTTGGTAGAAGTATGTGGAAGTCGCTTAGCGACGGAAGAAAGGTGCTTGGTTGGACGAGAGGAGTGAGTCCGCACGTTGGAAGACATCGCCCTCAAAGAACTTGTCACTATATGCGCTTGCCGGAGTGGATGGCACAGTAGCCTGCGCAGCCGGACCAAGCGCTGCACTCAGGGGGGGTGGCGGGGACAGTGATAGACTGCGGAGTCATTGATCCGTTATGGTAGTGAGGATTGATAATGGCTGAGGCTGAGGCGGATGTTTGGTGCTGCATGTGTGGGGCTTGTAGAGGAGGTCCGTATATGGAGCCGGGGGGAGGATGGCGGTCTGGATCTGCGAGATATGCCCAGGGAGACACTTCGATCAAACGACCTGCTTCGCGGCTTGCCTTCTGGACTGGGCGGAGGAGAATGACAACATCGGAGGGAAGAAGCTGCATGTTTCTTACTTCCCGCATTTCATTCACAAGATCAACAAATGACTGCATGAATGATTTGCAAAGCTGCCAGAACTCGCGTTGGTTACGAAGTCCGCCGCCCGGTTCTTTGACTTTCATGTTGGAGAGTCGCTGCCCCAAAGCGTCGGATACTTCCTGGCAGACTTGAGCGCGACGAATGAGGTTATTCCAGAGAAGTTGAAGACCCTCAGAGTCACGTGATTGCTGGGCTACTTCTAGGCATCTGATCAGTTGCCGCCGGACTAAGGGTAGTGCTTTATGAGCGGCAGTGTGTGTAGAGATGAGCTGGTGGAAGATCCTTTCGAAGATTCGCTCTTCTTCATTTTCGTCCAATCCTGTCAAGGTGTTCACCCGAGGAGCCCCGGAAAGAGGAATGGGAGGGAAGCTTTCGCCCGAGCGTGGGGTAGCCAAAGCATGCGGTATAGACGCACTGTGCAAGTTGGACCTACTGCTCGAGCGACTGCGCGAGTATGGCGTGGAAAATCCAGGGGAGCTGGTACCACTGGGAGTAGACGTGGTCATTGTCATAGGGTATTGAGGGTGTCGAATTGTGGTATCACTCCGCATCCTCCGCGATGGCGGGACTGGGTCCCTAGTTGGAGTGACCAGTGACGGCTGGGGTCGATCTGGTACCGGAGGGAGAGGATTGCTGGGACCAATGAGACGTTTTGTGGCAGAAGTGCTTTTACTAGAAAACTGAAGCGGCGCTTTGAGGATCGCGCAAGCATTCCGTACCTCCACCAGGCTGCCATAAATCATCAGCATTAGCGACCGCACGTAGTGCGGATCGCCATTGGAGACAATCTTGGATGCACTGTTGCGTAGCTGAGTGCCAACATGGATATAGGCAGCGATGCACGTCTCGCACTCACGCTTCACTGTCTCCTTGACCGACGGGATAGACTCTGGATCATTCAGTAAAGAGGACGATGCTTTTTCAAGAACGTCGTTAAGTTGATCCACATGAGAAGTAGCGTTATAAAAGACAAGTTCGAGGCTATGACGCCGTGTGTCCTCCAACTTGATCACGTTAATCAACGTATCAATATGCGAGTGAACTTGGAAAAGCGCAAATAGAATTCCCTTCGCGCTTCTGATTATCGGGTGATCAGATCCACGCTCCCCCTTGTGCTCTGGGAGACTGGACATCCGGTTGACCCACCCTTCCCGAGGGCGTCGGCGCTCTCTTGGACTACTGGGGCTCTGAGAGTGATTTTCGGTCGTGGCAATTGGCGCAGGAGGCTGACGAGGTCGTAAAACGGAGCCATGACTGAGTCCTCGCAAATGACTGTTTCGATACGGACGTGTTTCATCCAGCGTACCCAAATCAGTATTCTTGCGAGTTATCAGCCCCATCCTTTTGCTGCGAGCAGCAGATGATCCTTGAATAATTCCCTCGCTGTTACTTCGATTGCGCTCACTCACGCTGTAAGGTGTTATAGGAGGCCTCTGGAGTCCCGGCATATGGTAGGTAGCACCTTGTTGTCCTGAGGCCATTCTGAAGTGTGACTTTGCTGGAATTGGTGGCCGCGATATCGAAGGAGATCGAGAAGAAGCAGCTGAGGAATCCCCAGTGCTGGGAATTACAGGAAATCGACCACTTAGATTCCTCTTTGAAGGAATTGGTGTCGGGATAGGCTTAGCCTCAAAACTTCCGTCACTGTTTGCGTTAGCGCATTGCGACCCTTATCGCATGAAGCCCACATACCTCGCATCAGTATGTACCTCTGGCTCAGGCGTAGTGACGGTCTGCCGAGATTTCATGAAATATCTCTTCAGTTTGGTGGTAGCTGCAACTTCTTTCTCATTATCGGTCATCCCGGATGGTGTCATCTCATTCTCGGTTTCCTCCAGAATGTCGCGGAAGGGCTGTCGAAGGGGATTTCCGGCACACTTGAAGATCTGGAGCTTGTGCATTTCAGACAGGCCAACCGGGAGATCGTTGAGACGATTCTGCATCATCGAGAGGACTCGAAGCGACTTCAGCTTGCTGATTTCGTTTGGAAGCTCCTTAATTTTGTTACGACTCAAATCTAGAATCTCGAGCAACGGAAGTTTGTAAACCTAACAGGGTCAGCAACGCATTCAAATGCAGGTATCGTGATGCATACTCCTTTGGGAAATTCTCGGAAATTGTTCGCGCGTATATTGAGATAACGCAGGTGCGAACATTCTGCAAAGCGATAGGGGATATGAAAAATTTGGTTATTCGAGAGTGATAATCTTGGCGATGATCAGTATGGTCCTGGACGACGATGCCGGAATACAGGAATGGCAGCTCGGGCTTGAGGGAAAAAAACAGTCATTTGCTTGGGACTCACCGTTCAACCTCATCCTTGATCAAGTCCACGACTGGCTCAGGAATTCGAATGATGTTGGAATGGCCAAGATCAATAGTCAACTTCGGCTTGACCACATCGGTCACAGCTTCACTTCCTGCCAAAGACCGCTTAGTGTCTTGAATGCCGCTCTCCACCGCAGTTCGTGCTAACTCGATTGTCTCTTCTGGGGTCAGCGGTTTCGGTCCGGCCGGATGCTTGCTAGCACTCGCTGGGGCCTCTCCCAAAGCAAAGCCGGTTTGGCTTTCGTTCTTATCGGGACCTGGGGAGTCCTCTTGCTGTGAATTTTGCGGAAACGAATCACTTGGGTCGGGAGTTCCGCTTTCCATCTCTTCGTCGTCTGTTTCGGTGCGATACAAGCGCAGCCCGCGCACTGTATCTTCCGGCCGAGCCATCGCAGTGGTCATGGTAGATCTCGACCCAAGACTTGTGTACCAGAAATCCAAAGTAACAGTTTTCAGCGGAGCTGAGAGAGCGACAAACTCGATGAATGATCCCAGCACGGCTAACCCTAACACATACAAACAATCCTAGCGCCAGCGCAAAGCATTGTTGGTCAACTGGAGATGAGGTCCGAGGGGCGGTCTTGCCAACGGAGGGTTGAGACGGAATTGAGGCTGTCGTCGGGATGAAGTCGAGGCGTATCTGAGAGGATCGGAGTCGTGAGGTCGTGAGGTCGCAGTCTACGAGCTGGTGGACTCGAGGCTAATTGAAACAAGGTAGGGGAAACGGTGCGACGGAGATCACGGGTGACGATCGCGGATACGATCAAAAGATTGGCAGTGATCAAGGCCAGGAATGCTGTTATCGAAGGATAATTCGTAAGGTAGAGAATTGAGTGCTAAATCAGAAATGCCAGCGAAAGGAAGTCGACATGAAGTTGGTGAGGCTGGAAATCTTCTGATTGGATGAAACACGTCCAAACACCGCGGCTCCGCGACGTTCGACATGTTCTCGCCCTTCCGCGCTGTCGGGTTGTTTTCCCAGAGGATTTGCCCTATTTCACCCCTTTCTTTCACTGAGTATTTTCGCAAACGTTGATCTATGGGATAACAAAAACTGATCTAAGAGATGGAACTGCTGAAACGATCAAAGGATCAAGAATGCATGTGCTATCGCGTTAATAGAACTAGGGAAGTACACCATCCAGTAGAACGGCTTGAATAATATACATTGGTCAATAAAGAAGGGTTGAAACACATGAGGCCTTGGGCTGAGCAGAGAGCACCGAAGCATGACAGGTGACCCAGAACTCATCCAAGCAGTAGGTATAGCCTACTGAGTGGCCGGGGCTTCTTCAGTTTCGATCCCAGATACATCTGTTGTATCCTCATCCATCTCTGGGGCTCCAGCGAGGGCGGCAGAGCGCTGGCCCATGGCCAGGGCTTGTTCCCGGGCCCATTCAACCCATCTGTCGTATTGTGCATCCTCCAACTTCCCACCAATTTCCAGGTACGATGGCCCGAATTCTGCGCCATACGCTCTGGCTTCCTCTGCAGCGACCCGGCGCTCGATGTCTTCCCTCAATCGGAGTTTGTAGAACTCTCGGCGAGCAATGTCGTAAGCGTTGCTCTTAGTCATGTCTGGGACGTTGTTCAGAAGCCACAGTTGTCGCTGGACAACACTAGAGGAAGATGAAATATTAGCATTACCCTGTGGGTTTCAAATTTTGGGACCCATACCTTTCACCATCTAAGCGCTTTCCTGGCTGTTGAATGCGGCTCCAATCGTAGTGTTCAAAGTCTTTGCCCGTCGTCTCCAGGAGCAGACGGGGACGAGCAAGCTCCCAGGGGTGGTCGCGGAAGAACTCGGTACGCAATTGATCTTCTTCATACTTGAGCTCGACCGGTTGGAACAGACGGCTCGCCTTCTTCGGGGCTCGGCGTTTCTCTTGGACTTGGAAGACGACCTGCGGCTTCGAGGATCCATCGACAGTCTTCATCCGCTGCTGGACGAGCTGGTGCTGGGGAGGGCGTGTACGAATGAGGGTTTCAGCAGGAGGGATCTCAGTCATCACGTCGACCCATTGTGGCAGTTTGCTGGTCTTTCCACTGGCGAATTGGCTCAGGGCTGTCTGTCGCACCCGAAGGGCTGTGAGATTGATTTTACCCATGGCGGTTGAGGACGGCCAGTAGCAGAATGAGCTTCAGAATGAGTTCAATCGCGACAGCAAATCAAGACCGACAGGAAACACCTGGGAAAACAACGCTTGAGGGACGAAGTGGTTGATGCGGGAGCGAAAAAGATGGGATTGGCAAAGCGCGGCTCCGATTGGCCACACGACGGGCTCCGCCAGGCCAGAAAGTGCAGCGGCCGTTCATCTTCAGAAAAACACTCCTCTACCCATTCTTGTCTCTCGCCCTTCCTTTTTGTCTGTCTTTTGCGCTCGGAGATAGATACTTTTCTATCGTGCCAGTGGCAAAAGGCCCTTATTTGGATGCGCAGGGCCTATCTAATGCCACGATGTCTGTCATCTCATGCCTCATCCAAATAGGTCCCCCAGCTCGCCGAGCCTGCGAAATCACCCTAAGCAGGCCTTGGATGGGCTTCTTCTCTCTCAAGAATCACCAATGCCTCCCTCGAACCCCTCTCTACACAATCGTTCCGTCCGAAGACTATGCTCCCGCCGTCCTCGCCCATCCGTCGCGTCAATAGCAGATATTTTTGTCGGCTCGTTGGTCCTAGCAAGCTTTTGCCATGAGCATTCACCGAGCCGCCGAGGGATATCTACGGTATCGTGGAGCCCCTCAGATCGCAATTTACAACGATTCCGATCCAAAGGGGCGCCTTGTCGCCGGCAATTATCCCGACATCCGCCAGAGCATTCGATATCAAGTTTGAATCCGTCGCAACCCAAAAGGTGGATCAACCACGGGCTGGCACATACGAAGGATGACGAACCAGAAGGAACTAGCTCCCATTACGACTCGCGAAGGGAGACGGAGACAGACGACGATTATATACCCTTGTGGCCCGCAGAGAGTGCGGACACCGAAACCCAAAAGCAACCCCAAAGATTTGATTTCACATATACCCACGACATCGACCAGAGGATATACCCGTCAAGCCGCACGGAACCTAACGTCGATGAAACGGAAGAATTTCCCCGCCAATCATTTCCATCCTGGCGGCATCCTGAGAAAGACAGGCGCATCTCTACCTCCAAACTGTACCGGCGAGCATTGGCCAATTACGACTGGAAGGCAGCAGTCAATGCGGTAGTTCCATACTCGCACTATAACAAAGTCCAGAAAGATACCTCAGTCGACCAAACGGATATCGACTCAGTCGCGGAACTTGTCAGAGCGCTATGGGGAGACCGTAACCCTTCTACTCAATATCTCTTCAGACTCTACAGGGATCTTCCCGAACCTGGAGTAGCAGTCCTGTCACAGCGCACTCGTGGAGCGCTTCTGCGTGCCTTCGCGCATCCGCGCGATCGACGATCGCCGGACGCTCGGCGCTACTTGACATTGGTTGATGACATGATTGCAGCCAGGTTGCCCGTCTCGCTATCGCTTTGGTCTTCTGCCATTCACCTTGCTGGCCGGGCGAATGGCCGAGTGCTGAAACGAGACTTAATCAGGGCTGTCAACCTCTGGCAGAAGATGGAGCATATCGCAGGAGTGCAGGCTGATGAGGTGGTCTTCAATATCCTGTTTGACATCTCAATCAAAGCCGGTGCCTTCCAGGTCGCTGAGCGCCTTGAGGAAGAAATGACCAGTCGTGGCATTGGGTTCTCGCGGTGCGGAAAGGTGTCCAAAATCTACTACTTCGGAATGATGCGAGACGCAGAAAGCATAAGACATGCATTTGACGATTTCATAGCATCTGGAGAGATCGTGGATACTGTCGTCATGAACTGTCTAATTGCTTCATTTCTCCGAGCCGGCGAAACGCAGACGGCGGAACAACTCTACGCCAGTATGCTGAAGCAGCGACAAGCCAAGCTCGCGAATCTCTCGGTTTCTGACGATACGACGTCCGCAATTGGTGGATCTAATTTGTGCTACGATTTGCCCCAGTATCGGCAACGAGTTCGCAAATTGGGCCGCGTGTTGAAGAAGTCCGCCGCACTGAAACAGAAGTTCCCCGAATACCACCGTGCTCTTCAAGACTCTCTCTCCATAGCACCCGACACTCGCACATTTCATATTTTCCTTCGACACCATGCGCACATTTCTGGTCGCCTTGACAGCTTCATGGCTTTGATGCGAGACATGGAGAAGACATTTGCAGTCCCACCCCGAGCCATCATCTATCTGTTCCTCTTTGAGGGATTCGCCATACATGGCCGAAGAAAGAAGCAATGGAGCGCTGAAAACCTCCGCCTAACATGGCATGCTTATATCCGGGCTTTGCGTGACTCAAACGCCAGAATCCGTGGGCTCAATCTAAACAATCGAAAGATGAAGTGGGAAAACCCCCTTGCTCGGAGCGTCGCAACCGATCTCATTGAAGAGATCCCAGTCACCGACACCCCCAACGGGCTCTACATGTCTTTGCCATCAGCAGATGCGGAGGTAGAGGAACAAGGTACGGAAGAGACAATCGAAAGTCCCGACCAAGCCAGTAAACCTCGCGATGGTCAGAAACCCACTCCAGAAGTGGGCGAAGATGACGAGACCTCCGACGTCGACGAAATTGATACCGATGAAGTCTTTACACCCCCTTCAGACTTCCCGGATGTCGAGCAGACACCCTGGGATCCTGAGAAGCGTATCGAAAACGGTGTTTTCATTGGGCGCCGGATGATTATTACCATTCTGCAAGCCTTTGGGACATGCTGTGGTCCCCAAGAGGTCTTGGAGGTTTGGCTGCAACTCGAACGACTTTGGCATCCACATCACCGCCGAACGGTCGACGTGCTCGCTGTTAAGGACGAACTGGATAAGCAGATGTCCAGACCTCCGCATCGAAAGCGTTTCGTTCAACCAGAAGAGTCACAGGATTGAATTCCACACTTGTACATTATTCATCATATAGATCTGCCATATACCGACTCGATTGCTAGCGTGTCTTTGGCGCGAATGTATTATTTCACAACATCAAACTTCGTCATTTTAAAGATAATCTAGCAAAAGAACCACTAAGAAAGTCTTCAAGGACAAGATGAAAGGCAGCAGGAATATAAACTCCCAAAGAACCTCACAAAGTACAGGGCTCTGCCGCACATCAAACGGGCTCCTTCCCGGCATCCTATTAAACCTAAACAGGAAGGAGAGGCTATCCACGTGACAACGCGTCCCTCGACGCGGTTGACAGCACTCGATCACTTTGCACTCACTCGCCCCATCTCGGCACATTTTGGCACACTTTGTTTGATCATGAAGCATTATGGCTCGAGTCTCCTTCGTGACGCGCGAAAGGGCTAATATGAAATGGACCCTCAAAAAGGTTTTCAAAAAGGATGGGTTTCGGTAAGCCGTTATTCCTAAGGCATATGGGCCAATATACTTACATAAATCTCCAGTCCGCTGCAGGAAGAGGTCATTATATCTGTTATTGAAGGACATGATGTCTTTCTCCAGGCCTCAACTTCTTTTGGAAAGAGTCTCTGCTACCAATTACCGGCAGTGCTGAAGGAATGGGGACGTGAGTTTTCTCCATCGAAGACAACGGCAAAGGGACAATGCTGATTTAAATGAAGTGACTCTGGTCGTATGTCCTTTACTCGCACTGATGGTAAGCTTGCCTATCAATCCTAAAATGTCATGTCCTAACGGCTGGTAGACGGATCAAGTGAACTACTTGAAGGGTCTGGGCGTGTCAGTCGCGACGATCAATTCAAACACCTCTTCTGAAGAGAGGCAACGAGTCATGGACGACATGCTATGCGGTCATCCCAGCACCAGAATTCTCTATGTTACACCAGAGTTGTTACAGACTGAGAACTTTCGTCGTCGCTTGCTCATTGTGCACAGGCAACGCCAGCTCGTTCGTGTTGCAATTGACGAAGCCCATTGCATCAGTGAATGGGGGCATGACTTCCGCACCGCTTATAAAGAGCTTGGCTGGCTCAGAAAAAACCTGGTCAATCCTAAAATTCCCATTACTGCTGTCACCGCGACAGCCACGCCCAACGTCCGTGAGGATATCATCGGAATCCTTGGGTTGAATCTCAATGACTTGAGGCTCTTCAACACCCCTTCAGATCGTCCTAACATTCACTACGAGGTTCGATATCGTCCAAATCTCGAAGACGACAGCGCCGAAGCAGAAAGCAGTCAGCTTCTCAACTTGCACAATTGGCTGAAAGCCACGCGACTACGCCGAGAGGCACGACTAGGAATTGAGGGTTCTCAGAATCCACCAATGTCAGGCATCGTTTATGTGGGAACTCGGATGATGGCTGAGCAGTTGGCCGTCAAACTATCCTCTGACGAGACTGTCCACGCGATTGCATATCACGCTGGCGTGGAAGCAAAGAAGCGATCCGAGATTCAATCCACCTGGAAGTCCTCTCGGTCTTTCCAACCAGCACAAGGAAGACCAAATCCTACATTCTCAATTATTGTTGCAACAAATGCCTTCGGCATGGGCATCGACAACCCTGATGTTCGGTTCGTCGTTCACTGGACACCACCCAAAAGTTTTGAGAGTTTCGTGCAAGAATCAGGCCGTGCAGGCCGAGACGGCTGTGCTGCGGTGTCGCTTGTTTACTACGGTATTCAAGAAAGAGACCACATTCGAAATCTCATCTTCCGCGACGCAGAAAGCCATCGTGGACCCAATACCAAAGAAAATCGGGATGTCAAGGTTTTAAGTTTCGGTAAGGTTATAAAGTACTGCGAGACCATCACAAGATGCAGGCATGAGCTTATTAAGGAGTTCTTTGGTGACCACGAGCTAGAGGAAATGGGATCACAGCGGCCCGCGAGTGACAATGTACCCGTCAGTTCATCTCCTTGTGATTTTGCCTGTGACTTCTGCAAGGAAGGACGTGGGGGATTAGCGATGCGCCGGGCGAAAATGGGCTCAGAAACGGAGCTATACGCGTATAATGAGTGAGGTTATCCACTTGCAATTACACTGCAGAATTTAATTTGATGTGTGCTGGTCACCTTGCTGTTTTGAGAGACCCTGTGCATGGTTAAACATAAACCGGGTATGGCTTGGTGTTAACTTGGGGGGAAGATATTGCATTTTTATATGCCATAGGATCAACGCGCCTGAGCATTCAAATCAGGCACAATGGCCAGCATAATAGCCAGGGCAATAGGTACCGTAGCAGTCACAAGAACAATGTTCTGGGGCACTGGCAATGCGTGAGCCTAGTCTTATCGACACAATAATCAAGTTTACCGTTTGGGAGTACACAAATGTTAAGAGGACAATGCACAGGCTAGAAAATCTCTTTAGCAAAGACAAAAATCCCATCGAAATCGTTTAAACCAGATTGCTGTATCTTCCTCCATTTAGAAAACGAGCAGGCAGTGCTTTTTGTCACCATTAAATCAAGAAATAAGAGGAGCCGCAAATGAAGATCAGGAGACATACATAGCAATCATGTCGCTACGGCGGTCCCTGTCTTACAGACCAGGTGGCGGGGGGACCTGTAGATCAAGAATTAGTCATCGGTGTAATGATCTGGACTACGGGCAAAGAACATACCGCACTGTAGCTGCTGCCACCGGGAGGGGGAGGTGGCGATCCAGACCCAGGAGGGGGAGGGGGAGCTGCCTCTGTAGCCGGGGCAGGAGGAGCAGCCGCGCCCTCGGGCTGTTGTTGCTGGGCAGCAGCCATCTGCTGGTAGTATTGATAGTAGGCGACGTAGTTTTGATATCCGCCATAGGCGGCATATGGGTCCGAAGTACCATAGTACTGCGCGTATTGGGCACTGTAGTCAGCGGCAGATTGAGCGGCAGCGCCACCAGGAGAGGCCTGGCCTGAGGGGCTAGCAGTAGATCCATTATTCTGTTGCTGTTGACGGTTGTAACCACCACCACCATATCCACTGCCTTGGTAGCGATCTCCTCGGTCGCCACCACGGTTGCCGTACCCACCGCCGTAGTGGTGGTGGGGTGGGTTCTCTTTGAATCGCTGGTACTGCTCCTTCACATTGTTGAGAAGATCCTCACAGAGCTCCTTAGCTTGTTGGACATCATTGGCATCAGGTCCGCTTTGGTACTTGGTTAGTAAAGAGCTCACGGGCCAGAAATTAAAGGGAACAAGGTAAAGTGCTACTCACGCCACATGCAGGTACATTGCTTCGTCACTCTCCTGGTTGGTGCTCGACTCGATGAAGCCGGAACCGCGTCCCTTAATTTGCACTCGGCAGCGAGTCTGCTGCTGAATGTGCTTCACGTAAGCACCACCCTGACCAACGACCTGAGCCCGCAAGTTGAATCCGGGCACTGGTTCGAGATCAATGGGAATTCGCTCATCCGGCCATTTGCGCTGCGTAAAATTAGTCAAGACCTTTGAACACGATAGCACAGGGTGGCATACACGGCCAAACTCATCACGCTCAACTTGCTGCTCCGGTTCCCGTCGACGGAACCGGCGCTCGTCAACAAGGTTAGGAAGCTCTTTCTGCATGAGATCGTTAATCATGGATACGGCCTTCTCGAGACCATCCTTGTTTGTGCTTGTCACATGGAGGTAGAGTGGAGGGCTCTGGTGCCAAGAAGTCAGTAGTTGGCCAGGTCAATTTCAAAGGAGCTTCTTACCGCAGCAGTGGCCATGTTCTTGTCAGGATAGTAGTTGCCTCGGGTGGTAACATCTTGAAAGAAACAAAGTAAGTCAATTGGTCATCGGCGAAAGTGGGAAATATGTAGAGGGGAGGCGTACCGGCGCCAGTCTCATCCTGAATCTAAAAATCAAGCAGCGGAGGTCAGCAGATGCAAAAGAGGGTGGAAGGAATGCTAGGTTGGTGAAGGGTAAGCTTCATATAGCCCAATGCTGAATGTAGAGATATCAAAGGATCCTTTTCTGGAAGGGAGGTGGGTGGGTCATCAGCAAATGACAACGGGTGTATTTACCATCTTTTGAGTAGATCCCTTGGTCAGGGTGTAGCGGTTGCGCAGATCATTGATTTCAATATCCTTGATATAATCGCCGTCTGCGACATAGATCTCGGCATTCAACTTGGCCGAACCTTCAACGGTCGAAGGCGCATCCTCGTTGTTCTCGGCAGGGCTTTCGTTCTAGAAACCACATTAGACGTGATATATGACAAGCGGGGAAGTGGTCGCGCAACTACCGAGCGAATCGGGGGAACATCAACATGCTGGATTCCCTTTTTGGCTTGGAGCTGCGCATTAATCTTGGCTGCCGCCGCGGCTAGAAAGTCCACAAAGATTAGCAACGTGCTCTGATCTATTTATGCGACTTGTTCTCACGTACCTGCAGCAGCGGCCGGGTCGGATACAGCTGGTTTGGACGGAGCCTCTGCGCCAGGGCTGTGACTCAAGGGGCGACTCAAAGGGCTTCGTGTGCGAGCGGACTCTGACTGTCGGTTGGATGGGGATCGCGAGCGTCGGTCAAACCGAGAACGTCGGGGCTCGGGCTCAGTTTGGTCAAAGCGAGAGCGCTTGACTCGTGGTTCGTCGTCCGCCATTTTGAATTGTGGGGAGAATCGGAAAAAAGTGTTGAATTGTCGGGGAAGAGAAGCTCAAAAAGGTCCAGATCTTGCGGGAAGGAGTTTTAGAGGCGGAGACCCAGCGGAACTCCAAACCACAACCACCAAAGAGACAGAATCTCAATTTTGGGTGGTATGAAGTGCTTTCATCGACAGCGATATACTGTAATAGTATATAGCTTTTCTTTTTGAGTCCCTGGGCCTGCATTCAACGATATATTCTGTATCTGAAAGAAAGTCAGGGTCACGTGGGAGATCACGTGCACGGTCAACTACTATAGTTGGGCTAATCTGAATCTGGTCTAGTGTAAATGACTCAGCAGGTGGTCGCCGAGGTCGGCCGACCAAAAAGAATATCCCCGGGGCGAATTGGTGATTCATCGCACACCTCATCCACACATAACTGAACTCCTCATGGCTTTCAGGCGCCCATTGACGCTACCTACAGGGTCAGCGTCGCTGCTGTCCTCTGTGTCAGCCACCACTCGGTCCCGCACAGCTGCTGCGCTTCCCCGATTCACCTCCGTTCGTGCATCGTCAAGCTCGACCTCAGCTCTTGCTTACAAGGCCTTGCACCGTCGGTCTCCTCTACCTCTGCCGGTTTCCGATGCTTCTCCTCAATGGGATGCCCCCACCGCTGTCTCATCCATTCTCTATGAGACTCCTGTGGCCCCCACCAACCCACCCAAGCGGCACATTCTGAACTGCCTCGTCCAGAACGAGCCCGGTGTGCTGTCTCGTGTGTCTGGTATCCTTGCTGCTCGTGGCTTCAACATTGACAGTCTGGTCGTTTGCAACACTGAGGTTGAGGACCTCTCGCGCATGACCATCGTGCTGCAGGGCCAGGACGGCGTTGTCGAGCAGGCTCGCCGCCAGCTGGATGATCTCGTCCCTGTCTGGGCTGTCTTGGACTACACTGACTCTGCTCTTGTGCAGCGTGAGTTGCTCCTGGCCAAGGTCTCTATCCTGGGTCCTGAGTTCTTCGAGGAGCTCCTCCAGCACCACCGCGAGATCACCACCTCGCCCGACTCCCTGGCCCACCAGGCCCACCACGACCACTCTGTTCAGCAGTACCACCCCCGTCACCTTCCCCAGAGTCAGGCTCTGCGCCACAAGCATGAGCACTTGGACGCTATCACCCGCCTGGCCCACCAATTCGGTGGTAAGATTCTGGATATCAGCACCAACAACTGCATTGTCGAGGTGTAAGTATTCTCCTACCTGGCCCTCTTGTTACAATTAACTCATCTTTTCCCTTAGCTCTGCCAAGCCCTCTCGTATCGACTCTTTCCTCAAGTTGATCGGTCCTTTCGGTATCCTTGAGTCCACCCGAACCGGTCTCATGGCCCTTCCCCGTTCGCCCCTGGGTGAGCCCAGTGAGGAGATCGAGAAGGATGCTGCCGACGTTGTTGATGCCAGCACTCTGCCTCCTGGCTAAGTCATATCGAACACCTAATTCAAAAACATACATACCCGAATCGGATTGAATTGGCTTGTTGGCTTTATGTTATTCTACCTTTCCTTTGGAGTTGATCGACCTGGAAACAAATGGCTTAGCCTTTGTATGTAAAATGACACAAATACTTGTTTTCTGGGATCTATCTGTATTCTGTTCGAGCCAAATATCAGTTCAAGGTAAGTTACCTGAGCAAGGCGCTCTCAACAAGTAGCGGTGTAGATATTTCAGGCGGCTCCCGAGGTCGCTGACTTACCTCAGAAGCATCATCAACGGATAGCAGTAGCTGGCTTCTCACTTTATACAGATCACTCCTAAGGAACCTTCCCAGGTTGGAAGGTCACTTCCAATGGCATTCATTTTCCTGCTTTCAATGTTCAAATTCAATAACGGGTCGGGGATTCCAAGGTTCCAAGGCTCGGATCAACGGAAATTTTGGAGATAGCAACCTAGGTGACAGCATTCCAAGACTACAAAAATATCAATAACCAACCTTGGAACCCTGGTAATTTCAGGACTATACAATCATCTATTTGCGTTGCTCGAAACCTGCGATACCTAAGGGCCAAGATCAAAGAAGATGCCGAAAACCGTGTAGCAAATTTATGGAGACCTCGCTCCATTAGAATCGAACTTTTGCCGCAATTCCTTTCCCATAATACATGATCTCATCCACGTAATTCTTGATCTGAATCCCCACTCTGGCAATTGTATCCATTTCCAATGACTGGCCAAGAGCTTTGCGCAATGCCTCGTATCCAACGCCGCCAATGTTGAGATCAACGGGTAGACGTGGGGACTGGGATAAGCCCGGGGAGACTTTGAAAGGGTCGTGGGTGTTAATTCGACCAATGGGGTCTTTTCCCTCGTAGTAGGCTGTCGCGTCAATCGAGGTTATAAGGATATCAGTCTCTGTAAGCGGGGACGCAAGGGTGAATTGGGCTGCCGATGACCAAAGATAGAACTATATTTTCCACATGTTAGTTGTATTCTCCTAGTTCAAGTGTTTCCAGGGAAATTGGAGGATACCGTTGCGTCTTGAATGAAGTGCGGTTTGCTATCTTCGCCTTCGTTCGAAGGACGGCCTGGTGTTGATATCTGGGGTACTGGGACAGTGATGTTGAGAACCGAAAGTGCTTCTCCGAGATTCGGGAGGCTTGCAATCGTGTTTCGGTGGGTTTTGGTTGTAACGGATGTGTTGAAACCTGGATATATATGTGAACTTCCACCACACTCCAGATCTTAATTTGAAGACACCCACCGGATATATATGATGAGAACAGAGCCCGACCAGCCTCCACCCCATGATCACCACTCAAATCCGAGGGACACCAAAGGAAGTCAATAGGCACATGGCTATTGTTGCCGGCAACGATAGACAGATTTTGAGCGGTGATATGACCGACAGTGGTGTCATTGTATAGTATAAGAAGATCAACAAACGGAATTGTAGCCGAGTATTGGGTCGGGTTGGTAAAATTGACCAGCGTAGATACAGTCATTGAAGATTCAGTCGTGTTTCCCAGTCGCAATGATATCACACGCGGGTTCAGTCGACCAAGGGGATTTCCGAAGGAAGCTATGACGTTGTCAATGGCGAAATGCTCTTGATTCATACTATCATCTAACTCATGAAAACATACTCTTCACGGGAACTGTTCCTTCTGCGGGAATGCCTCGTACAGCGAAGCGGCCCAGACCAGTCGAGACCTTTGTATCTACGGTGGCAGCAACTCGAAGTTCGACCCCTTTACTACCGAACAACATTGCTTGGATGACCTCCGCCAAAAGATTGTCGTCGGTGACTTCCAACGGAGCATCCTTCATTGCGAACTCCACTAGGAGTGCAGAAGAGCCATCTTGGTCCTCCACGAGTGTGGAGTTGGCATCTTGCCATTTGCTGATGTTCAAAACACCAAATTTCTCATCTTTATAAAAGACGTCTGCCAGGGCGCGGACCTTTGGCACGTCGACCTGGAAGTTCATCTCCTCTGGTAAAGCGATAAGGACCTTGACCAGTGCAGAGACCGTGGGTCGCGATTCTGGGGAATCTGGCTCCGCAAAGGGATCGGGAAGAGAGAAATGAGTATCCGACATGGTAAAGTTCTTAACCAGGTTGTCCAACGTATGGCCTGTGAATGGCAGAGGAACAGTCACACTCCGTAGAAGATTGACAATCCATGCTGGAGTATCAGGTGACGGCGCCTCAGACCCGCGGATGTAGATTGTAGTCTCAAGCCCCTGCATGAAGCTCGAAACCAAGATATCGAGGGGTGAGTCATCTTTGCCCGGGCAGGTAGAAGTCAACTCATTTGGCAGTTGCTTGATGAGGGCTTCAACACCAGCAGCAGTTGATTCCATGCCAGGTTGAACATGCATTTGGCTAGTCTTTGCATTGGCGACGAGGATATAAGGATCTCCGGGTGAACAATTTGGAACCAAAACGTCAAACCCAAGAGCAGGAACAGTGAGATCAACTGGAGAGTCAATCCAGGCGGCAGCAAGGATATCAGCAGCCATGGCTCCAGTCTTGGCATCGTGAACGTTCAACTTCAGAATTGACACCTCTGGCAAAGCAGGGAAATCTTTCTCTGCAGATGGGTCAGCTAGAACAAAGGACGACAAAGGGAGTCATATTATACCTTCCAAAATGACATTGTGCGTTAAAAGCTGAGTCCCCAAAGCAATCAAGCCTGATTTCAGCGAGACTGCAGCCTTTCCCTTGACACTGAGACGACCCAATCGCCCTTCAATCCAATCAATGGCAACTGCGTGAATCCCTCGGATATCACCGGCCTCAAGATCAGTCAGGAAGTCGACGGTAGTATGGTGACCGTTTCGAATGTTCAACTTGATAGTTGGTACAGCGGCAGTTCCAACTAGAACGTTTCCGTACTCCGGCAGGTACACCTCGACATCTGACGGGCTCGTCTCAATTTCTCTGGCAATCCAAGTTGCCAATCGACCAATACCCCGAACTGATTTATTTTTAACTCGCGTCGAGTCCATCACGAAGTCACCCCGAACCCGGGCCCTGACACCATCAGATGTTGTGGAATCGATTGATACCGAGGTTGGCTTGAACACAGCGGCTTCCTGGCCATATTCTTGCACTGCTGCGGGAGCAGCAAAGGCCACGACGAGTATTGTCAACACAGCGAGCGTGAGAGTGACGAGAGAGATCACCGTGGGCCACGGTGCCCGGCTTCGTTTCTTATGTGTGCTTGATTCGGATGGCGCTCGCGATGTGCTTCGCTCAGTCCCATATAGCCCCACTTCATCATCGCGACGATGTAACAAGGGCGTTGACTCTGATGAGAGTTCATAAGATGGCCTAGGTTGCACCGACAAACTTTGGTTGGGGTTATCGGGTACCACAGTCCGAGATGATGTACGATTAGATTCAGCCCCGCTTGAAGATGACCGCGAGTAACGTTGCTCTGAGCTGTATACTGTCAATTCATCTTCATCGTGTGAAGATTGTGTCGACAAGTTTGATGATAATGACGAGAGTGCGGATGGTGGGTTGGGTCGTTCAGTGGCGGGCTGGCCATCTAACAGCGGCCGATTGGTGTCGTCTGCCACGGCTGTTTGGAATGTGTCGTTGGATGAAGCTCCGCCAGAAGAGGACCGGGATAGCCGTTGCTCATTACTGTAGACCGTCAATTTACTTTGGTTGTTGTGAGAAGTATGCGCAGAGGTGTTTGTTGATCGTGATGAGAATTGGTATGATGGCCTTGATCGCTCGGTGGGCCCCTCAGGGCTGTGCCCATCTAGGAGAGGCCGATTCGCCTCTGTCATCACGGCCTGATTTATGGATGAAAGCTGTCAGATTCTAATCTGGTAAACAAGCACCGGAAGAAACAATATTGAGTCAAAGCGACCAAAGGCACATGGAGTGAGAAGGTGAGATGCAAGGGGGCGATCTATGACGATAGGCCGATGATAAGTCTACCCAAGTGCGGAGAGATCAACATCTCAACCTGAGGCATCAAGGCATCAAGGCATCACCGCACATCGGAGAGTCTTGAGTCATTGCCCACTCTCTTCTTTATAAGTTCCCCGAGTAACTTTCCCTCTCCCAACGCTCCCAATTCCACCAAAATATTCTTCCCCATCATGGCCAGTGGACTCACAGCTGCAGCCCGCTATGGCTCCCAAAGTGTAACTCAATTGGCCGGCTCTACTTCTTTGCGTCAAACACTCCAGGCTAATGGACTTCGACGATTTGCCCACCAGACACCTTCCACACCACCTACCTCACCCTTCGCCCCCCGACACCTTCTCTCCATTGCAGACCTGACTCCCACGGAATTCGCCACATTGGTCCGCAATGCCGCGTCGCACAAGCGCTCCATTAAGTCCGGGGCCATCCCCGAGCGCCTCATCGGATCCCTCTCCGGAAAGACTGTGGCCATGATGTTCAACAAGCGCAGCACCCGAACCCGTGTATCAACAGAAGCCGCAGCCGTCCAGATGGGCGGTCACCCCATGTTCCTCGGTAAGGACGACATTCAGCTCGGTGTGAACGAGTCAGTATATGACACCTCCGTTGTGATTTCGTCCATGGTCTCTTGCATTGTCGCGCGTGTCGCAAAGCACTCCGACGTTGCCGATCTTGCTCAGCACTCCACTGTGCCTGTGATCAACGCCCTGTGCGACTCCTTCCACCCTCTCCAGATCATCGCCGACTTCGTCACTATCTACGAGGCCTTCCCTCCCCAGGCGCACAAGCTCTCTGGTCTTGGCCTCGAGGGTCTCAAGATTGCTTGGGTTGGCGATGCCAACAACGTGCTCTTCGATCTCGCTATCGGTGCCACCAAGATGGGTGTCGACATGGCTGTCGCTACACCCAAGGGCTACGAAATCCCCGCTGACATGCTTGACATCATCCAGCGTGCTGGCGATGGTGTCCCCAACGCCGGCAAGCTCACCCAGACCAATGTCCCCGAGGAGGCCGTCAAGAACGCCGACATCCTGGTCACCGACACCTGGGTGTCGATGGGCCAAGAAGAAGAGTCCAAGAAGCGCATGAAGGCTTTCGAAGGCTTCCAAATCACTGCTGATCTGGCCAAGCGCGGTGGTGCCAAGGAGAACTGGAAGTTCATGCACTGCCTGCCCCGTCACCCCGAGGAGGTGAGTGACGAGGTTTTCTACAGCCCTCGTTCTCTGGTTTTCCCCGAGGCCGAAAACCGTCTGTGGGCGGCTATTGCGGCATTGGAAGCCTTTGTTGTGAACAAGGGCAAGATTGTTGAGTAATTTGGAATATTTGACTTTTAAAATGTATATATATCATATTTCAAAACAAAAGTTTGGAAGTAGTCCCTTGATAAATTAAGCTCTATAACTATATGAAATATTCAACCAATGACAGGCATGATGATTCACCTAAAACGCCTGCAGACTAGTCGGGACTCGGCACTTTAGGGCTTTCTGCGGTGCCGGTCTCGATAAGATACGGCCCCCTTTTGCGATGGCCGCGGGACTTCCCGATGTCGTCCCATTGTGGTGGGGGATATACTTCCCTGCCAATGCTCCCTATTTAGTATGCAACCACTTCCAAGGCTCTCGTGATGAAAGTGCCATCAAGCCATTCTATGCCTCGTTTTTTTTTTTTTGAAAGCGGGGGTTCCAGGATTTCCCCAATTCATGCACTTTTTTTGCATCTCTTTCTCCTACCTACGTGGCTGGATCAACCCATGCACCTGCAGTGCACCCACATTTCTGTCTTCAATATGTACTGGGTACTCCGCAATGATTATTCGATCAGGCGACAATGACGCCACACCGCAACTCCGAAGAAGCCTGATGGCCTGCAGCAACAGGCAACCTCGCCAATCCAGGGTTGATAACCATTAAAAGACTGAGTTGGACAGTCACCCGCATGTGAAATATCACATAGACGTCAGCGAAGAGGCTAGGCACTGACGAGGGATCGAGGTGAGATGCATAGATTCTTTCCGCTTCCAAGATTTTAGGACACATTCAGGGCTCCCTGGTTAGGTCGAGGCATACTCACAGGTATTCAGCATTAGTGATTTAATTCAGTTCATTCACACTGTTTTGAAACAAGTAAACTACCTGAGAGTGCTTGAAACCCATTGAGCAAACCCTTGAGCATAGGCATGATGAGCACCAAGTTCATCCGCAAGGACATATTGGATCTTACACCTGCAGAGACCGATTGTTTAATACGGGCTTTTCGCGGTATCCAGAATCTTCCCCCGGAGGACCCCAACTCCTTTTTTGCCATCGCAGCGTTTCATGGCCAACCCTTTCGCGGCCCAGGCTATTCGAGTAAAGATTGGTGGGGCGGGTATTGTCATCATGGCAATGTCCTTTTTCCACTCTGGCATCGAGCATATGTCCTACGCCTTGAAGCGGCTCTGCGTACTATTCCCATGTGTGAAGGTATCTCCATGCCCTACTGGAATCAGATGAGAACCGAAAAGACCAAAGTCATCCCAGACATTTTTGTCCAGCAAAGTTACAATTTAGATGGCAAGGTCATTGAAAATCCTCTCTACTCCTACAAATTCCAGAGAGGTTTCTTTGATAATCTATCAAGAATGAACGAAGACACCAAGGTCGACTTCAGCAAGCCGAAAGGATATGATACTGTTCGATATCCCTACTCAGGTCTCGTGGGTCTCCCAGATATTCAAAGAACTAGACAGCACAACGAGACTATTTCTCGAGAAGGGACTAAAGACCCTGCGGCTCAACTTAATGAGAATGTCAAGGACTGGCTGGAAGGCAATGATAAGGTCGCGGGGCTGTCACCTCGGCTGAGTGAGGAAACCAACGTAACAGCGATGCGCAAGAAGTACATGCACTCCCTTCAGGCTCCGAATTATACCGTCTTCTCAAACACTACATCTGCTGCCAAATGGAATGATGATAACTTCGGACAACTTTCCGATGCACAAACACTGACACTCGTCGTGTCTATTGAAACACCACATAATGGAGTTCATCTTGCTGTTGGAGGCTTTGATCCTCCAGGTCGGCCAGTCGGCTCTCAGGCGAGTGGTGATATGGGTGAGAATGATACTGCCAGCTTTGACCCGCTCTTTTTCTTTCATCACACGTTCATCGATAAAGTTTTCTGGAGCTGGCAAATTCTGCATCAGTCAACCGATTCACTCGAATTGATACCCGAATATCCCGGAACGAATTCAGTGGACAGTCAGGGTCCCACGCCAGGCACACTTGCCGGTTCGTGGATAACGTTAGATAGCCCACTGCGACCGTTTGTGGCAAGTGATGGAAGAGCATTGACAGCGAAGGTAAGGGCCAAGACATAGTTTACTATCTGCATCTCTATGAATATTGGAATGAAGCTGAAATACACAAGGATATGATCAACATCACGCGCCTTTGTTATTCATATGATTCCATTCTGAAGCCTCCTGAAGATGGTCCGATTGAACTCAACAATCCAATTATCCGTATCTCCGGTATCAATCGTACATCTATCACGGGATCTTTTGTCGTATCCATTTGGGCAAAGACCTGGGCCGGTGATGAAAAGCCGCAACACACGGCAGATGAAGGGCAAAGGCATCCACAGGAGGTGTTGATCGGATACGAGCCAGTATTCAGTCGATGGTATGTCCCAGGATGTGCCAACTGCAATAACTCTCTGTTGGTGACTGTTCACACACCTTGGGATCGGATGGTTATCAAGGGAAAGGTGACGCAAATCGTTGTAAGACTCATGCTTCGAGACAAGGATTCTGCTCGATTAAAGTATCTTGGACCAGATCGGCTTGGCAGATACTTCGGACCACTAAAACATTTGCAGATCCAGGGTGATGAGGGGGTTAATGTACGGCAGATCCTTGGTCCTACTTTTGTATCCAAGTTATAGTACTATGGTCAGTGGCACTTGAACCTTGAAGACAGAACTTATTAAATTGACCCTTGAAAATCCCAAATGTTTTATAGAACAGTGATTTATCAATTTGAACCAGCAAGTTAATGTAGCCTGGCTTGGCCTATTAAAGTCAGTTATGCAAAATAATTCCTCTGCACTTGATTGCGGTCTAATCATGCGTTATTACGGTGGGGTGTGTTGCGGTGCGTGAGGTTGAGCTTTGCCTACCCATGAACCGGTTGTGGCGCGGTCTAGCTTTGGTTATCCGGTCTGAATACGTCCACTGATCGCCCTACGAGTAATTAATTGGTACCCTAAGCAACAGGATATGTAGGCCACGCAACCTTGGAGTCTCTATACCACCTCGAGATGAGAGGTTCATGTGCACAAGGGACATTCGGGTGCCCGGGTGCCCAAGTGTAGGTAGAAACTTTCTACACCCCGCCTGGGAAACCTTGGAATATCTAAACAAGCCTCAATGTCGCGCTCACGCGCGTCCAAAAAGACGATGATAGTTGCTCATAAACAGGAGTAATTGTGTATTAGCTTAATCTCATATTCTGATAGGTAAAGGAAGAGATCTATCATCAACTTCGGGGCCTCTTTTTAACTGTCTTTTTAACTGCCCTTCCAACTAATTGTCGAGGCGTCATGATTGATCGAGTAAAGGAAGTCTTGGCTAAGCCGTGAACAGAGGATTAGGGATTGGGGATGCATATCATTTGCTGTGTACTACTTACTGCAGCGCTACATCCACGAGTATACATTGCTTTGATTATATGGATTGACTAAAATAAATTATATTGTATGATCACATTTAGTGATATATATCCAAAAAATCAATTAACTTAGGTATTGCCGAGTGGTTGACCATCACCTGGGGATTTCCATTGACTGCAAGTATCCATCTATGCAGGAGCCCCGGAGATCGGTCATACGCTGTGGATGCCGGTACGAGATAGGGTAAAAGGTTAATCTCAAGTAGATGCCCAGGACAAAATATATACGTGCCAATTTCTACCTAGCAGAGCTTAGTAGTCAGAATAGATATCGAAATAGTATTGCACTGAAAATCGGTATATTTTGACTAAAGAGCCACTAAACCCGAATTGGTCAGTAGCATATCTGTTGTCCTACGGCATCATGTTATGGAATCTGATATACACAAGCTGCAGTGAACATCCATGGATTGCTTATACACCGCTACAGCTGCAACTTGAGAATCACGGTGGGTTGTAGTTCAGACAATAATTAGCAAACATAACATTCCCGTGCCATCAACAAGGTCATTCCATTAACCGCGAATGCGTAATTCAACATTTAAATAGAGGTAGTCTCTCTGTCCATTGTCTATGGAAAACAGCAACATTCCCAATTATCAGTCCATCATTCTCCAAATCTCAAACTCCAACCAACACCATGCTGAACCCCCAAGGGGACTTGTCCATCTTTCATCCCCCCGTCTGTTTTCATTTTTAGTGCATTCATAGACTCCAGATCTCTCAGACAGCATTTATATCTGATGTAAGGAATGCAGCTGGGCAAGCCCAATACTTACGCGGTTGAAGAGGAATTTGAATACTTAGGTAGATTCCCTGCGTTTTATGAGTATTTGGTTGGCACGCTCAGTGTGATGACGCTAAAATCAGTTGTCTCTGTCACCCCAGAACTTAAAAAAAAGGGTACCAAATGTGGAGAAAAGCCTACTTCTGAGTGTCCTCTTCAAGTGCATTTCCTGTACTACTATATATACCTATCTTTGAGGCCCCCTGCCCAGGTGGGGACCTGCTCGCCTAAGTCCTCTTGCTGGGCTACTGTGTGTACTAACCTTGAAACTGTATACCCTCTGGTCTGGAAAGGGTTTCGTGAATTTTGGCTATCATTTGTAGACCATCTTCCGTCGTTCCAAGGTTGTTCATTGATTAAGGTTTCTGAAGCTGCAGAAGTAACCAACAATCAGCCACGTCCCTGCCCGGGTGATATTGCGGTTCCATAGCTCAGTTGGTTAGAGTGTCATGCTAATAACGTGAATGTCGAGGTCGACCCCCTCTGGAACCACGTCTGTTTTTGCATGGAGTCACCATCTAGACCATTCCTTTAGGGAAGTAAGAATATTGGGTGATGCTTTTTGGGGTAACCGGGAAGTTGCGGTGACCCATCTACTAAATCAACCTTTTTGCAGCTGGATCCGAGGATGCGCGGGATTCTTCAATGAACTGTAGTCCTACCCTCTAGCTATTGCAAACCTTGGAAGTACACTAATTGCTAAAAACCCGTGGGCAAGGCCGACTATATCTTCCCAAGTTCATGACGGGCATCTCTCAACTCTGTTGCGGGAAGTTGAATCAGCACTGGCTCACGGCTTCGAACAGACTTCAGTTGTTCGAATGCATATGCCACCTGAAGAAGAACACCATCCGAGAACAGCTTCGTGGGAAGAGTCGAGGCAAATCTTGGGCTCTGTCAGTTGGAATCACAAACCAATATGGAGGTATGGGGTGTTCTTACGGCATTCCCGGCGCCTGGATGACCAACCCTTGGGCATCTTTGACAGGAGTGTTTCGGGAAAGTATCCTAGTGGAATGGAAATCACAGGGAACCCCATCTTTGCCGCGAGGTCATTTGCGATACCCAGTATGATGGTACGGCGAAAAGATCGACGTTGTACTTCTCCATGGCGCACATAATACCACCTGGTCCCCCAAAGTAACGCTGTTGCCACTGCAGAACCAGAGCTACTTCCAGAGGTTGAGGAGTTTGGATAATAGATACCCAGATTCTGACCGCCCCTTGGGCTCCAGCCGTCAGTGATATCCAAGCCCCTGAAATTGGCTCATTCTGACAGATTGGTTTTACCCAAAATCACGGCCCCGGCTGCTCTGAGTTTGGCGATCACCGAAGACTCGTTCGTGGGCTTTGCTCCAAGTAGAGCATGTGAGCCGGCGGAAACAACTAGCTTCTCGTCTTTTGTTGCTACATTGTCTTTCACGAGAATGGGAATGCCGTGGAGTGGACTGCGATTTATGTCAATCCGAGAAAGGAAAAAGAAAGACTGGCAAAAGACTTACCCCCCTACTTCCTGTCTGAAGTTGTTCCTCATACAGCTTTTTCGCATGCACTACAGCATCTGTATTTATTTGCAACACAAAGCCAGGTGGAAATGTAGAGATCAAGATTCAAGAACGAGTATAAAGTTGCTAAAATCGCACCGCTCATCAAAAGACGCGCGGAATTATGGTATGATGTAGCTTTCATAGGGGGCTCGATCTCATTATCTGAGATTCCAAGGTTGGGCTATGGGATGGTAGTTAAATATCAGTTACCATGAGGCAATTAAGCGTCGAAAAGTCCCTTGAAACAAAGGAATCAGAACGACCTCGCTCATGTGTGCTGGTAGAACTCTTGCATTAGGCTTATTTGGAATGTAGAATGACCAGGATCTTTATATATGTGCAAATGTAAGCTTTTATCCATGTCAAGTGTCGGGTACTTCTACTCTGTACGGGTTACGGAGTAGGCAATGGAAGCGTCCTTCCACCACACTGCCCGTATCATTTTCATTACAAGTTTGATCTGATTCTTGGATGATATTATCATTATATCTGATGGACAGAAACAAAGATTTTCTGGCTTTGGGACGAGTCAAGGCGGGATCTCATCTCTCGAGGGCGGTAGTGGCGTCTATGCAACCAAGTCTCCGCTACACATGGGCAGCACGGTTCTTTGTTCTCGTTGAGATGGGCCCATTGGTTCAGCAAACATATATATTTATTCACAAAACCGAATTTCGAGATTGTGATGCATTTAGGTAGGGATTGCGACCCTTTGGTAGAGAAACTGGGCATTCAGACGCTCTTATTCACGGCAATGAATACGGATCAATGTGATGTGATGTCTACAATGCAAGGTGCTCGAGCTCGAGGCTTCCAAGGATTGGCGTGACCATTGTCAAACACGCGTGACTGGGAATCCCGAATTCACTCAATAGAATTCAAAATCAAAGTGCTTTTCAGCGCTGGATTAAGCGATGAACTCCAGAAATACCAACAATAAAAGCTAAGTTGCACCTCAAAAGACAAGCTGAGGAACAGAGTACAAAGTGAGAGCCAGGTCCACTGATACTCCGTAAAGATATCGCTGATCACTCCACTTGTCATCAGACTGTGTCGTATATTGCCTGTGGTGCGGAGTAGATCAAGCCATCAAGCGTCCGAAGAAAACAAGCCGGCGCTCGGCCGCTTTCACATGTTAAGGGAGCACCTCCGCATTTCAACTTCATTTTCACTTCTCTCCCTCTTTTTTCCCCCTGCCACCATGGAGGTAAGCACCTTAGAGCTATATCAGTCCGAATATACATCTAACTGCTTAGTTCACATCCACCTCGGGAGGCTTCCGCTCTAGGCGTTCATATCCAAGCCTCAACCACGTCTCTCTAGCACCCTTAACCCCACGATTCCCCATCGATGACGACACAGAAGGAGACTATTTCAACCACCACGACAATGACTCCTACCTATCCAGCATCTCAGTCCCCAGCACACCCCCAATCCTCTCCCATTCGCGCAGTAACTCCCGCACCCGCCACCACACCCGCAGCAAAAGCTCAACCCTCGCCCCATTAAGCGACACAAACCTCCAATCCCGCAATTTCGCACCCCCCTCCACCACAGAAAACCAAACAGCATCTCCATAACCCCATCACGAACCCGCCACCCGCCCGACCCAACCCCAAAATCCAAATCAGACGCAGAATGGATGCTCCGCGCCGGCATCGCTCTCGCCTCCTCAACCCGCGAAGAAAAGGGCCAAAGCTGGCTCCACAAGCGCGAAAGCTCAACAAGTCTCGTCTCAGAGCACTTCGATGAACCGCGCCATCACCACCGTACGAAATCAGGCCCGTCGCGTAAGTCTCGCTCTGGCGCTTCGACTCCGTTCCGGTCTCGCGCTGCTAGTAGACGGGGCAGTCGCGTTGGGTTGACTATGACTACGCTGCCGACTACGTCATCGTCTCCGACGGAGAGATTCTCGACAGGAGCCGGTACGGGAGCTAGTAGTCCCGAAGGGCGGGGCCGAGCTCTAGTGCCGGATTTCGTGGACGAGCGGATCCGCGCCGAGATGGCGACGCTGGAAGGCGGTCTCGATGACTCGTATTGGGATGGGTCTGAGTCTGGGTCTGAGAGTTCGTTTGATTCGGATGAGACGCCGGATTTCGATGAGGCGGATCTGCAGCGGTTGACGCGGGAGCGAGGGTTTGGGCTTGGCTCTTGGATTGATCGGCTTGTTGAGTGGACTTTATTTGGGGTCGAGGATTGGCCTACTGCTCCGCCTGCTGGGACTGGGGCGGCTGGGCGCATTGGATCTAATGATACTACTACAACTGTTACATTTGAAGAGCCTGAGGAGTTTGAGAAGGATGTGGATACGCTTTCATTGGTCGAGGAAGTCGACTCGGAGGTGGATGGGGATTCTTCTCATGAGGAGGGTTTATCTGATGGCGGCCCTGAGAAGCCAGGGACACAGGGTGGATGGGAAGATGCAGGTTGGCTGTTCCGCGTTGTTAAGCGAGCATTGGTATGAGTTACGATTTGCATGAGATGGCCTGATTACCAGGCTGTCTGTACATAATAGTCTGTTTTATCTCCTGCTTTATGATTGAATAGCTTAATATCTACAAGAATGTTTTTGAGCATAGGTCTTTGATGCTATTTTCGGACATTGAAGTTGAGGTCCTCGCATCACATAAGGTTGTTCCTAGTAGGTGTTGCCGAAGCTCCCTCGAGCTTGTGTACATCAATTCGGATCGAGATTACCGCCGTGTGGCTGATCACAGGCTCTTGCAGCCCATGTACTAGTGGAGAGCTCCAAGACGTGTGAGAAAACAAGCCTGAGTTCCGCGCGTGAGCGCGGCCAAAAAGACGATCGAAGAGAGCTATCACCACCTTCAGGACCTCTTTTTAACTGTCTTTCTAGCTGTCTTTCTGGCTGTCTTTCTGGCTGCTTTTTGGCTGTCTCTCCAACTAAAAAGTCTTGGCTAAGCCGTGATTACTGAATTAATTATTGGTGATTCTAGGGCCACCAAAAGATGGTCTATATTGTATGACTTAGTTCTCTATCGAGAAAATTATTCGGATTTCAATGCAACAAGCTAACTAGTGTAGGTAAGATTTGGACCCAAGCGCGCACAACACTCGAGATATGTTGTATCAGATGGCAGCATGGACCGCATGCCATGACCAATGTGGAGAAAGCTCTGCTTCTCAGGACTAGGAAAATTGGAATTCCCTGCCAGCTCCTCAAAGATCCGAAGCACAAGGGTAAGACAGTGTCAGAGAGACATCTCTGAGAACACGAAATATGCAGGGGACAGAATGACAGTAACAATATAGAAATTGATGGGCCCCAAAGCGCAAAACAGGGAACAGAAACAGCCAGAAGGACGAAAGGAAAAGGTGTAAAAGACAGAAATGTACGCGAGCCCAAGGCGCCGGTAAGTCAGAACGAGAGTATCAGTTTGGATGAAATACAGGTGAAAAGAAATCGAGCCGAAGCAAGGCAGGGAAGGAATGATTCGGTGTTTGAAGCACATGTACGCAGAGTGACAGAGCAAAAAAAGATCAAGGCAAACGGTACTGATACTTAGTGGTGTTCATTGAAATTGGAGAACAGAATAGATGTAGGAATTTGCAAATCCCGAAATCCCAGCCAAGAGGAAAGAAAAAGAAAAAAGAAAATCGGCGGAGGGAAAAAAAGCTGTTGAGTTGTTCGCCTTGAGTAATATAACGCCATCTGAGACCATGTCGATTCTAAGGTCATGCAGGAGGTATTCGTGATCGTGACATACGTCGAAAATGATGCAGTCGAAGGGGGTATGGACTGCGTCAAGCTCAAGCGTGAGCCGGCATAAAAAATGACGTGAGGCCGGCACGCATGTGTGGAAATTGGTCGTTCATAATGATGTCGGAGTGGGTTGTTTCATCACCAGGGTCCAACCTTAACTGGGGTTCCCAGCCCGTATGTACCGGAGAAGAGCTGGTCCCTGATGGAGCCCATTTCACCGTTGGCCCCGTGGGAAGGCGTATCAGAGCCACCCATCCACCCCAAACTCTGGCCGAGTTCGTTGACGGCTCCCTGAAGTTTACCTCCAGAGGTTTGGTTGTGCTTGGCTAGCTTCTGGTCCCAGCCTCCATATTGCAGCTGGATACCACCACCACGCTTGGCAGCTTCCCGGATCACCAAGACCCAGGCCTTGCACATCTCATCGTAGGCAGAGTCTCGCTCGATGTTGTTCTGTGGCGAGCTCCAGCGAGGCAAGGCGTGTATTATATCGGTCGCACCGTCCAAATAGCTCAAAGAAGTGGATGCTTGGGATTCATTGGGAGGAAGAAAATTGGGGGTGAAGTCGCTCAGGGCATCGAGAAGGTTGGTGAGCGGCTGGCGAACCCGGTTGTAGGCGTAGTCGGAGGCGGTGTTGCTGCCCAACGGGAAGGAGGATTGAAGTGCGGCCTGGTAGTTGCGGAGGACCTGCAAAGTCGAGGATACGTTTGGGCGTGGAGATGTGTGCACAACCTCGTCGGCAAGCTGAGGGTGGCGCTCGCACATAGTGCGAACTACCGAGCGCAAGGCATCAGTGTCGAGAGTCTCCAAGAGGCGAGGTAGAGCTAGCGGTCGGCCAGAGACATTTGGCCGTGAACGCTTGATGTTTCGGTGGTTGTTGGGGAGTTGACGAGGAGTAAAAGCTGGAGAGTTGGTGGGCGAAGCGGACATGCGTCCGTCATGATCGTTGTAATCGTCGTCGGCTTTCCGTTTACGGTTTGAGTACGAAGAGGAGGGTGTAGACACTAGCGGCTTTGGTTAGTTTGAATGCACCAAGAAGAAGATGCCAGCCCAAGATAAGTCAAGTTCTTGGGTGTGGCCATAGAGAGAAAGAAAAAGGGATGTCTTACTCATACAGGAGGGAGAAAAGCGGTTTTCGTAGAAATGAGGAGGAACAGGAGGTGTGGCCACCAGACTGTTCATGATGACAGCTGGATGGCAAATAAAACGTAAGGGAGACTCAAGGACTCAAAACCCCAAAAGAACGAAAGAGCAGAGCAAGTTGAAAGTGAGGTGATGCTCAAAGGGTTGAGGTGGGGAGAGAAAGGTAGAGAGAAGCAGAGAAGCGGTGGAGAAAAAAGTAGGCGTTGCGGGCGGCAACGCACTCCCTCTGCGCAAGTTTCAAACAAAATTAGAGGGTTTTCTGGGGTATGAGGAGTCTGTATGAAAGAAAATCGACTATTTCAGATTTCAATGGAACATTTTCTCTTGTCTCTGCTGGACAAAGGTTAAGAATAGGTTACGGGGGTACTGTTTTCGGGGTTGTTCGATGTACCCGCATCATCATCTACATCATCTACTTCTACTCCGTACTTCGTATTTCCTTGTAACAAGGAACTTTTTTTTGAAAAAAAAATAAAAAAGCACAATTAAATCTTAGCACATCAAATCGATCATTGAACAATATTGCTATCATGACTATGCTTTTGAAAAGGGGGAGGAAAACAAAATGGGGATATCGTATCTACAAATACAAAGACTGGGCAGCAACAATGTCACGGCGAATCTTGGTAAGGGCCTCCTCGAACTTGCTCTCCAAGTCTTCGCTACCCATCACCTTGGCAGCTTGCGCCATCTGCCGCAAACACTCTTCCAGCCGGCGGAAGACACGGATCAAGCTACCTTCGTAGACATCGGTCATTTTGCTAGGAAAGAGTCAGTATAGGAATGGCAGTAGGCGATACGTAAAGGCTTACCAGATATCAGCAAAGGACCGGCCCTGGGTCCATTCGTAAACCACCTCCATCAGCTCCCAGTGGAAACTTTGAACATACTCCTCCTCATTGACAGCCATCTTGGATTCCTGGGACACCTTGGCGATAATGCGGGCTTGGGTCTGGATGGCCTTCAGTGGCTTCGAGAGCTCATCCTTGGCTAGGGGAGTAGCCTCCTTGACCTTCTCTTCAAAAACAAAGCAACTCATCACAGCCGCTACCTGCTCGGATGTCATGTCGTTGAAGAAACCGTTGAACAGAAGCTCGCTGAGCATCAATTCGTCTCCGGTGCTAATCTCACAAGCAACACGGGCCTTCAACTGCACGACCTCGGCGTCGTCAATGAATCCTAGACGGCGAAGCACGCGCATGCGGTTTTTCAGCTCATCGAATAAGAGGATTGAGTTGACATCGTCGATTTCCTTCTTCTTGTTCTTGATTTGAACCCCCATCTCCACTTTCTCCGAATATTGTTCCCACAATTCGGCCAAGCGAGGCGAGTTATGCAGAGGATTGCTCAAGAGACGGGACTCAAGAACCTCGATTTTCTGTGAAAGTTAGAGCTGTGTTTATCAAGTTGGACATTTAGATGCTCTCTTACCCGCAACAATTTCTTGAAACTGTCGTCTTTGATCTTCATTTCTTCCAGAGGGTCCACCTGCGGAACGCCGTCTGGGAATCGTCTTTTTACTTCATTAACTATGCCCATGACACCCTTTTTAGCCTCCGTGGATGTGATATCCTTGGGAAGGTTGAGGCGGATACTGGAAATTTCTCTGATGCAGCCCAATATCATGGGCACGACGGCATGGCGAATTTCGACCCCCTCCCTCGGAGGTTGAATGGTAGGCGGGATGTCCCCGGAGTATTTGGTACCGATGGATGGCCCTTGGGCGAGTGTGAGCAAGACATCGACAATTTGGCTTTGATGATCGGTAAGTTTCTCGGTGTCGTGTTTTGCTTGAACTCGTTTCGTCACGTTCATCACCACACCCCAGCCGTAGTCTGCATCCTTATACGTGATATGAACCAGTCGTCCGGGTAGGAGGAAAGGTAAAGAGTAGTTCGGATGAGAGATAACATATGCGACGTCGTCCGCAAATTCATCAAGTTTCTTCCGTAGGTCGTAGTATTCGCGAATGGTGCCTTCATCAGAGATATTCATGTTGTCACGCTGTTGCTCCAGCTCCGCGAGACTGTTCTCTAGCCCGCCGAGGCTACCCAAGTTTTGGAACTGCTTGAAGCATTGGCGCAGCATAAATTCAGGCGAGATGCCTTCGACACGCATCAAATTGAGAATCATGTTGTAACCAAGATGGAACGCAGAGTTGAGCTTGTCCTGCTCACCGCGAACGATTTCCTTGGCAACTGCAGGGTCCATCTCTTCGCCAATCATCATGATTACGATACCTCGTTCATCGAGACCACGACGACCAGCACGACCAGACATCTGAATGAACTCAGAAGGAGTGACCCAACGCTGACTTTTTCCATCAAATTTGCGAACACTTGTGAACACCACGGTCTTGGCGGGCATGTTAAGACCAATAGAGAAAGTCTCAGTCGCAAACAAAACCTTGATGAGACCCTCTTGGAATAGAATCTCAATAGTTTCCTTCAGAATTGGCAGTAATCCTGAGTGGTGAATACCAACACCACGGCGCAACAGTGGCAACATGTTGATAATTTGCGGCAACTGACGGTCTTCGGGCGACAGCATCTCAATGGCGCTCTCAAAGACCTTGCTGACCATCTCCTTCTCGGAATCATCGTTGAAAGCCATCTTTACCATTTGTAAGGCATTTGCTTCACACTCCCGCTTGCTGAAACTGAAGACGATGACGGGATTGTAGTTCTTGAGCATGATCATTCTCACAATCTTCCAGATATCCGAAGGACCTTTGTTGCCTCCCTTGTTCACCTGTCCGTCCTTTGCCTTGCCCTTGCGCTTAGCGTTGGGGTCAGCCGAATCGGCACCAGCTTTTTCTGCGATAGTGCTCATGGCCTCTTGGAAGTTCTTCTCGCGGAAAGTACCCTTCTCGTCAATAATGAGGTGCATTCCGTCTCCACCAGCGGGGAAAAAGTAATTCTGAAGGGGCGTTGGACGGTAGTTGGTGTAAACGACATGACAAGGTTGGTGGTGCATCTTAACAATCCACTTGGCAAATTCAATGGCGTTCGGGATGGTGGCAGACAAGAAGACATATCGGACCTTATCAGGCAGCAAGATGATAGTCTCTTCCCAAACCACACCACGGTTGGCGTCTCGCATGTAGTGAATTTCGTCAAAAATGACCCACTGAACTTCACGCATGATCTCAGAGCCACGGTACAGCATAGAGCGAAGAATCTCCGTGGTCATGACAAGACAGGTAGCGGTGGGGTTGATCGTCACATCACCAGTCATAAGTCCGACATCGCCGAACTCAGCAGCAAACTCACGGTACTTCTGGTTGCTCAGCGCTTTGATAGGACTGGTGTAAATGACTCGCTGGTTTTGCTTCAGACTTTGCGCGATGGCATATTCTGCTACAACTGTCTTTCCGGCACTAGTGTGGGCAGAAACAAGCACACTTTCGTGTCTCTGGATCGAAGAAACTGCCAACTGCTGGAAGGGATCGAGTGTGAAAGGGTATGTCTTTGCTGGATCCGCTGGGGGCTTGTGCTTGCTGATGTCCACGTAAGGATAATCCGGAGGATATGCGACTTCATGGCGCACTTGGTGAGCCACAACAGTTGGAGCTTCACCATCTTTTGCCAGATCACCGGTTTGTTGGAGCTCAACCTCCTGCTCCGCCTCGAATGAATCGGCAAGTACGGGTTCGGGTTCATCTTCCACACGAAGCCGCTTCGCATCGGGTTGATCTTGGTTCGAGGTCTCCAGGGCGTCAATATCGTTTGAATCCGATTTCGCGGGAGGCGCATCCGTCATTGAGATATCCTCATTCCGTTCAGTCTGGGCGCCATCGGGGTTCTTCACATCGCCATTCACCTGTCGTTTTTTGCTTTTGTCCTTTTTGGGGCGCTTGGGGGGGACGCTCAGACGGTTGGACCGGCCGAGGCTGGTCGTCGAAGACGTCGAAAAGCTCATCCATCTCCGCGGTTGGGGTTGAAAAATCAACCACAGGAAAAGAATGAGCAGGGTAAAGCGAACCGTATCGATCTGCACTTTTTTTGAGAAATTTGAATGTTCCGTATGGGGTAAGCGGTGGGGAGATCTCAGCAGGGAACGCTAAACTCGTTTAAGGAAGTTTCCAGGTCACATGACCAAGATCATCCCATTCCGCACCTCGCGATGTTCGCTTTGGCTTCGTCCGTCCCTTTCCGAACGTCCATTCTCTCCTCTCAGTCCAGCAAGGTCGGTGTCTTTGGTCGCAATTGCTCTTGCCACGACCGCTAATATACCATTCTTCTCACAGATGTACTCCTCCGCTATCCGGGCCCGTATGGCCACCTCCTTCGTTGCCCGTCGTGGTTTCTCCACCACTCGCACCCAGCTCGGCAGCCCCTACCACTACGCTGAGGGTCCCCGTACCAACATCCCCTTCAACCCCCTCACCAAGTTCTTCTTCCTCCGCTACTGGGGATTCATGAGTTAGTCAACCTCAATGGACATTTGCGCCGCGCCATGACTAACTTGGACATCTTAGTTGCCGGATTCGGTGCCCCCTTCGCCATTGCTGGTAAGTCATACCCTACGATCCTTCGAGTCGAATACAATCTAATCGTGTTTCACAGTCTGGCAAACCTGCAAGACCAAATAAATCATCAATTGGTGCCGTGTTTTCCTGCGGCAGACTTTTGGTGATCGGGTCGACCATTTGGTACGGTTTGAAACCGCCGGATATCATGTACAAAGCTAGAGACAATTATTGACATTTGGTTCCTTCAACAACAAGTCCATTGTAGCTGTGTAGAAGGTGGAATTCGTAGACCGAAGGACGTTGAAATATGGATGAAGTCATTGGCTGAGCGGCTGTGGAAAATCAAAAAATCTCTGGGTCAAGCGCGGTTCAGATATCAGTCCTCACTACTCTCGTGTATCGAGGCGGCTTTTCCCCAAAACATACCAGCAAACAATACGCTGTTCTCTGGGGTTGAATCTGCGTTTTATTCCCCCAAATCCGTGCACCTGGTACTCTTGATCGATTGATGGTGGGGTAACAACCGCTGCATAAAAAAAGTTACCCGTTCCTGGAAGATGCGCAACCTCAGAAATGTGCGCCTCACTGAGACGCAGATCGAGGGCGAGCTCCCTTTGACTGCCACGACATGGGATACTTCGTCAGACTCGGTCGTGTGTACCTTTGGTCCCGCTGAGAACAATCCAATCATAGAAGTGCGGCGCAAGCGCCCCGAGGTCATCTCGACAGATCCCCTCTCTCCCGAAGCACTGGAATGCATTGCATCTTGGGATGCTCCGTGTCCTCTGCCAGATCTGGCATGTGACCGTGTACTCTCTCTGCACTTCTTTGCGGACAGTCTGACAACTTGTCTTGTGCTGGAGGGAGGAGATATCGTTGTTGTCCGCGAAGAACCCCTTCCCGACGAGGACAAAATTGAAATCGTTGGCTCGGTTGATGTGGGAATTACAGCCGCAGCATGGTCACCAGATGAGGAGATGCTGGTTCTCACTACCAGAGCTCAGACATTCTTATACATGACCAGAGATTTCGAGAACGTGGCCGATATCACCCTCACTTCTAAGGACATGCAAAGCTCACAGCATGTGTCAGTAGGATGGGGTAAGAAAGAGACTCAGTTCCAAGGAAAGCGAGCCAAGGCTCTTCGGGATCCGACTGTGCCAGAGAAAATCGACCAAGGTATCCTGAGTAGCAACGACGATCGCAGCACTACCATCAGCTGGCGCGGAGATGGCGCTTTTGTTGCAGTCAATAGTATCGAAGCAGATGCCCGCCGCGTCATCAGAGTCTACTCCAGAGAGGGTACTCTAGACAGTGTCAGTGAGCCTGTCGATGGGTTGGAAAGCGCCTTGAGCTGGCGTCCCTCTGGAAGTCTCATCGCAGGAATCCAAAGACTCGAGGACCGAGTCGATGTGGTATTCTTTGAGCGGAATGGACTTCGACATGGCGAGTTCTCCCTTCGCCTAACTGAGGCGGAGATGAATTCTTGGGCTTCCAGCATCCAACTTGCCTGGAATGTCGATTCGACTGTACTTGCCGTCAAGTTCCAAGATCGTGTGCAGCTCTGGACTACGGGTAACTACCATTGGTACTTGAAGCAAGATATTCCGATCTCAATTGATTCAAATTACCCGCTCCCCTACTCCTTCCAATGGCACCAAGAGAAGGCATTGCGATTTGTCGCTGGTTCATCAGGTAAGATGGATTTCCGGTTTACAAAAAAGGAAAGAGAGAAAGAAAAACGCAGGTAACTAACTGGACGCATCAGGTTCGATAATGGATGCGGACTATGTGTTCGACATCACCCACGGATCCACATCCATCCCGGACGATGTCGGTGCTACTGCAGTCATCGATGGAAGTAAGTGATCCTGGAACGCGCGGCTAAGAACAACGCTGATTGCAATTCTCAGAGAACCTCAAATTGACCCCACTGCGTCTCGCTGGTGTGCCACCTCCCATGGCGCACAATGAGTTGGCTTTAGAGTCCAACGCCATTGATGTGGCATTCAGCAAATCGGGAAGCCGAATTGCCGTACTCATGAGTAACAGAGTCTCGATTTATCTCTGGTCGTTGAAGAGTCGACCAGTTCCAATTCCGATCCTCGAGTCAAGCTACCCCTTGTCAGATACCACAGCTACTCGCCCACGACAGATTGCCTTCTTAGGTGACAATGAGGTTTATGTGCTCAAGGACGATGGACCGAGCTCTAGCCATATTGAGCGGACTCACTTAGAAACTCGAGTCACCGAGTCGGTGTATCAAACCGCAGACTCCGAGCAACTGGCTTCAATCTTCGCTGGAATTGGACACCAGGCTCTTTGGCTGTCACACACCCATCAACCAGCCCGGCCTGCAAACTACTCAAGTCTCGAGGCATCACCAGAGGGCGTTGATATCGTCCCCTGGGTGGAGAGTCCCAATGTCGATAGTCATTGGGCTCGTGCTGTCTCTATCTCTGATGAAGAGGTATGATAATTGATCACTCTACAAAGTGAATTAGTCGCTAACTCTTCTAGCGCATCCTCATTACAATGACGAGGACTGGTGGCTTATACGCAAACAAGAGAGTCCTCGCGCGGAACTGCACATCTTTCCTCGTGACTCCGTCTCACCTCTTGTTCACCACTTCCCAGCACCTACTGAAGTTTGTTCATTTGAACCATGTTAATGGTAAGATCAAGAACCAAACATACTCATGAGCAACAATCTTACAATACACGCAGAGATGGAAGTTCCTGATGACACCCCTGAGACCGATGAACGTTGCAGAAGTATCGAACGTGGCTCCAAGTTGGTTTCCGTGATGCCCTCCGTCTTTGCGGTCGTGCTCCAGGCCCCTCGAGGAAACATTGAGACCATCTACCCCCGCGCTTTGGTGTTGGCTGGAATCCGCACATTCATCGACCAGAAGAAATACCGATCTGCATTCCTTGCTTGCCGGAGTCAGATGGTTGATCTCAATATTCTGCATGATTATGCCCCCGAACAGTTCATGGAGAACATCTCCTTATTTGTTGACCAAGTGAAAAAGATTGATTATATTGACGACTTTATTTCACGGCTGTCGTACGTGAACAGCCCCTTCTCAAATCAACGTTTACTAACATATACATAGCGAGGACGATGTATCACAAACATTATACAAAGACACTCTCAAAATCTCTCAAACTGTCTCTGCGGCAGTCGCACAGCCAGATGCTCCAGCCGCTCCCCCTGTGATCAAGCAAGGCAAGAAGGACAGCAAGATCAACAAGATCTGTGATGCCTTCTTGACAGCTCTTCAATCACGCGTTGACACTAACCTGCAGAATCTGATCACGGCGCATGTATGCAAGTCCCCTCCAGACATGGAGGCTGGACTTGCACTCGCAGCAGGATTGAGAAGTATGTATCACAATTCCAATATCAAACCTGTTGGCTAATCAAACAACAGCACAAAACCCTGAGCAAGCTGAAGATGCCATTGAACATATGTGTTTCTTGACTGATGCCCACCGCCTCTACTCTCACGCACTGGGTGTGTATGACCTGGAGTTAACCCTGATGGTTGCGCAGCAGGCCCAGATGGTAAGAAGGTCCCGCAAGGTAGTAAGACGGCATTAACAAAATCTAGGACCCTCGCGAGTATCTGCCATTCTTGCGAAAATTGCAACAGCTGCCTGAACTTCGACGCCAGTTTGAAATTGACAACCATCTCACTCGCTTCACCAAGGCTTTGAACCATCTATATGCTCTCAATGCCCACGAGGAGATCAGGGCATACATCGTCAAGCATGTCTTGTACACGGAAGCTCTGGAGCTTTACAAGTATCAAAGCGAGCAACAACGAGAAGTCACCGAGCTATATGCAGACTATCTCCAAGGTCAATCTAAATACAAGGACGCTGCCATTGGTAAGAGGCCTCACTTCTCCCAATCTCGAGACCTTGCTAATTTTGTACACAGCATACGAGTCTCTTGAGCAATACGACAGTGCCTACAAGTGCTATAACCTAGCGCACAAATGGCGCGAGTCGTTGTACTGTGCCATGCTGGCGTCTCTCCCAGAGGAGGAGCTGGCTGACCACATTGAGGCTCTCATCAACACCCTTGTTGATGAGAACAAGGACTACGTCTCAGCGGCGACGATCTACGCTGATCACTTGAAAGACTATATCACGGCCGCACGACTTCTCTGTCGGGGATCCAAGTTCGCTGATGCCGCTCGCCTTCTCACCCTTCACGGCAAGAAGGACATGGTCGCCGAAATCGTCGATTCAGGTCTCGCGGAAGCAATGGGCAACATGACCGATTTACTTGCCGATTGCAGATCTCAGCTCAATGCCCAAGTTCCCCGATTGCGTGAGCTCCGTCGGCTTCGCGCAGCAGACCCTCTCGCCTTCTTCGGTGGAGATCCTACTGGCGGTGAAGGCGGCGTCGACATCCCCGATAACGTCTCACTAGCCCCCACAAATGCCTCGACTCTTGCTGGCCGTTCCATGTTCACTCGATACACGGGCAACACCGGTAAGACCGGCAAGACAGGAATGTCTCGGCAGACATCCAAGACCCGCCGTCGCGAGGAGCGCAAACGCGCTAGCGGTAAAAAGGGCACTGTTTATGAAGAGGAGTACCTGGTCAACAGTGTCCGACGACTCATTGAGCGGGTCAACTCGAGCATATCAGAGACCGAGACTCTTGTTGATGCTTTGTTGCGTCGTGGCATGCGCGAGCGTGCTGCCGCCGTTGAAAGGGCGCTGCAAGAAGTCCTGACTATGTGTGCCGATAGCCGGGACGAGGTATTTGAAATCCCTCCCCCTAAGGCGAAGACCAGTGAAGAGGAGGAAGATGAGAATGCCGATGCTGGCCCATCTACCACTGCAGGAGCAAATGTTTTGGCAGAAAGCCTTGCTATCGTTGAGGGTGGGGGTGCTGCTCGCGTCAAAGAGATCCCTGCTGTCAAAGAGATGAGAAAGTCTTCTTTGCTTGCCTGAGGAGATTGGCGATTCTGTATCTGCATTCATATATCCAAAAAAATCATGATTATCATTCTTAGAAATATGGAGCTGTGTCTTTTATATCTATTGCCTTCCATAGCTGATCCCTACCATGGGGGGCTATTACGAGACACCCCATAGTGCTCACCTAGGCAGTTTCGAGGCCGCAACCTTGGAATCTTCTTTCCAACCCCGGGGCCTTGGAAGGTTAATCGGATCCATAGATTGCCCTGGTGCATGTCCGACAAAATTTGTTTGGTAAGTGCAAAGTACCGTCACACTGCCGATCGGGCAGTACATAATGGTCAGTATTTCCACTCAAGATGATTAGTCTCCTTGTACAGCACACTTTATTCTGGCTCATTGTTTCCAAGATTCAATCTCACGTGTACCACCCGGGCATGTTCGAATTTAGGTTACCTCTAGGGCTATTACTTCGTCTCTTTTAGGAAACTTAATTCGCGTAGTATCAAAATCAGTGGGAATGTCCTGCCAAGACGAAAGTATACCATGTCCATCAAATTGAGTGATACACTGGATTCTGCCACTGTCACTCTGACACAATGATGTTACATGGAGCTGTTGTGCTCTTGAGAATATCAAGTCAACAGGTACGGAGTAGACTGTTCAAAATCAGGATATAAGAAATCGCCGTGGCCGCGATTAGACTCATAGGAAAGGACTGAGAGAACACCATCACAAATAACCAATATATTGGAAGGTGAGTGACTCGATTGGGTATAGTTAGCCCTGTTGACAATTCCAAGCCCCTCAATATACTAGTTACTCAGACCATGCATCTCCGCATTGTGCCCTATGCCATCCTCCTAGGCACGAGCGTTCTCTCGGCAGCCCAGGTGCAAGCCCCAGAAGTGTCTCGTAGGGCCATCAAATGTGCTTGCAGCGGCATCGCTGGCAACACTCGTTCAGCGTGTCGCTCTAGTGGGGGCGACTTCAACGAGGGCGGCTGCGGATTCTCGGGCTGCTGTCTGTATGCAGGCAATGAGCAAACCAACTTCATTGAGTTCTGTCAGGCACTGGGATTCGGATTCAGGCGCTGTGACGATTGCCATGCATGTTGAGAACGCCTAGTAAAACCTGCATATGCCGGGAGCAGCTTTCGGACATCAACCATGACCAGGTGTACTTTGTTGGTTCTCATGGCAGCAAGGAGCTTGTACGTCGTGCTATCTGTGAACCGTGTATGTTGAATGGAATAAGTCTATTATTGAATCGCGCTGCGATGGTATGATTATGTTCTAATAAAGTTCCGAAAATGAAGATACAGCGAAGATAATATCGGCATCAAATATTGCAAGCCCGGAATCCCAAGTCTGGCCCATGCACAAGGCACGGTGGGGTATCTGTCAGGCCGTGGAACGTTTCACGGTCACCCAGGATAGATACACCAATGGCCCATCTAAATGTTCTTAGAGGGTGCTGAGAATCTCACCTGTCTCGCTGACAAGGTGGTCCTCGACCGAGACAGGGCCCTCGCCCACACCGGTCAGAATAACACGACTAACGCCGTCCTTCAGGACCTCAACTGCGCGGGGGTCGATCTTATCAAGAGCGACACCTGGAGCTGTGATTCCGGCAAGTCTCTCGTAGAAAACACCGTCCCAGCCCTCAGAGTTGGAGCCAAGAATGGCCTTAACGGTACCAGCAACGAGCTCAGAGTCCTTTTCTTCGTAGTAGATGACAGCATTGGGGCCAGCATCGAAGGTGTAGGCAGCGACAGTGCGGCCAACGGCATTGTTAATATCGTGCACGAGGCGGACAGCAGCACGAGAGACATCATTCATGTAGAAGATAGGAGGCCAGGAGTCGAGGCAAGTAGCGTGGAAGGTGTTGGAGTCACGCATAGTAATCTCGGCGAAGTCGTGGAAGTTGCGGGCCTGGATAGCAGTCTCGATAGCAGTCATACGACCAGGGACAACATTCTGGGCACGCTCGGCGAAAAGGGCCGAGGTGGCCACGGTAGTCTGCATACCCTCGGTGCTAGGGACATCCTTCTTTTCAGCACTGACGACGAGAACAAGAGCCCGCATCTCAGGCCAGTGAGACGCAGGAGCAACTTCCTCAGCCAAGCTGTCGCTGCCATCGGCAAGCTCGCCCGTGCGCCAGGCGACGTATCCGCCCATGAGGGAACGGCATGCAGATCCGGAGCCCTGGCGGGCGATGCGACTCAACTCCTTGGGAGATTGAGGCAGCTGGTAAAGGTCGGCAACGGCACGGACCAGGGCAGCGAATCCGGCAGCGGAACTGGCTAGACCCGCAGCGGTGGGGAAGTTGTTCTCGGAGACAATTCGGAGAGGGTGGGCAGAGAGCTTGGGGAGCGAAGAGTCGGCATCTTCAAGAGCCTTACGGAGAGAACGAAGGTTGGAGATACAAGCGAGGGTACGCTTGGAAGACTGAATGTCCTGAGGCTTGCCGTTCAAGTTCAGGGTGTCCGCAGTGGGATACTCAGCAGAGCAGGAGGCAGTGGTCAAGGTGCGGAGAGAGCGTTGAGAAAGAGTGACCGAAAGAGATGAGTTGGTCGGGAGGTTAAGAGTGGTATCACGCTTTCCCCAGTATCTAAAGAAAGTCTGTCAGCATAGAGGGTCTTCAGGCATCTCGGTGATGAGGGGCATTCCAAGGTGGTGAGTTTCACTTACTTGATAACGGCAATGTTAACGGGGGCCGTGGTTGTGGCCCGGTAAACAGACTGGTCAGATGCAGATGCCATATTTGCTTCAAATCAGACAAATAATTTATTTTCTCAAATATTCCCAGACGACAATGCAGCGCAAAGGGGGAGGATTGTTTGGGGTCCAGCACTAATATTGTTTGCAGGCGGTGAGGGCAAAAGTCTAGTGTTGATGCGCCGATCACTCTCCTCCAGTCATTGACCCCCAATTATTCAACGATGGGAGCAGCAGCAAGTACACCCTCTGCACCTCCTGCAGAGCAACCTGCAGCAACATGTCCAGTTGATCATAAGACCCGCGAGGTCTGGCTGCAACAGAATGGCAAGGCGCCTCACCCTCCGAACTCCGATGCACCCGATCAGCCATCTGCGAAGTCGCAACGCCCATTATCAACGGATCGCGAAGTGAGCACTATCCCTCGAGCCGGTGATTTTAGCTCAGGGAGTGCCTGCCCTGAAGCCAACAAGGGCGGCCAATCCCCATACGCCGCATCGCATGGCACCCCGTCCAACGCCGAATCCGAAACTGGCCGCGACGAAGCCAGCGGAAACTGGATATATCCCTCAGAAAAGCAATTCTTCGAGGCTCTCATGCGCAAGGGTAACACGCCCGGCTCTACCGAAACCGCCACCGAACTCGCGACATCAGTGGCCTCCATCATCCCGATCCACAACGCCGTCAATGAGCGCGCATGGGATCAAATCCTCGACTGGGAGAAGAAGGGTCCTTCTTCAGATCCCGGAAGCAAGAAATGTGGAGGTCCCAAACTATACTCCTTCCGCGGGCTCGGTGTCGATCCACAATACCTGAGTCCTCGTGCGCGAATCAATGGATGGCTCGGCTACCAGCACCCATTCGATCGACATGACTGGGTTGTAGAGCGCTGTGGAGGCGAGAGAGTTGAATATGTTATTGATTTCTATCAAGGAAAGCCATCAGGCAATGGCACCTCCGGCCTGGCCGCTACTGCTGGCACTGGAAAACTCAGCTTCTTCCTCGACGTGAGGCCCAAGCTGAACTCTTATGAGGGCTGGAGACTGAGATTCAACCGATTTACGGGCCTGTGAGCCTCTCGGGACATTGGCTCTGGGGCACACATACTTTTCAACTGCACATAAAAGGCGACAACGGAGCATGGCCAGGAATTTGGGGCCCATTTGGATGTATTTTGCATGTACAACACGTTTATTCTGTACAACATAGAACCAGAGGATTGAGAGATAGCGATGAATTAATATTCTCCGTTCCATATACAGTCAAGGTTGCTAGGCGAATGCGAAAGAAGCAGAAGGCTGGAATAAAGCAGAAAGGTGGGATGCTTTAGTGATAAAGTGAAATCTTGCAAGGGGGATATCGTGCGCATACATGACATGAAAAGAGACAAAAACCGTGGTAGACACGAGGAAAGACAACAGGAGGTGGCTGGGGGAACATCTATCCAAGCACGATTGCAAGCACGATAATAGCGAGAATCACGGCGAGAATCACGAAGAGGCAGCATGCTCTGTTTCTTGCGTTCTTCTGATATCGGCTGGCGCTGCGGAGCTCGACATTTGCACCCCGTGTGTCCTGAGTGACGTTCTCAACGTTCTCACTAATGATATCCAACTGCCCTCCCTGTTCTGTAACGATGTGCGCAACATCTCGGAAGAGCTCGTTCAACTCCCCGACGCTTTGCTCGATGTTTCGGATCTCCGTCTCGCGCTCAATAATCAACGACTCTTGGAAGTCTACTTCGCCTTGGTTGGCCATGCGATGCTGCTCTTCTAGCTGTTGCTCTTGCAGTAGGAGATCATTGTCTGAAGTTGGTTGTTCGCCGTCTTCAATTGCTGTACGTGCGGCGACTGCCGAGGCACGTTGCTTCTCAAGCGCGCGGCGCTGAATTGTTTGGAACTCGTCCAAGGTGTTTCTGAACTCGTTCGAGATTTTCTGCTGAGTCCATTTCTGAGAGGGCTGGGACAAGAAGATGACAGTAAGCAATTTGTTCGTTCAAAGAATTGTCAGATATAGCATACGTTGACGTCCTCCCAGGTCTGGAGTTGCTTGATTCCTTCGCCTACATCCCGAAACCCTGTCCGAGTCTCTTCAAGGTAATTATGGACTCGCTCGCGCACACGCTCGGTATCTCGCTTGGTGCCAAGAAGGCCAATTTGGTTGGATAGACGGGTGATGTTCGCAGTCAATTCAAACAACTGGTCTGAAAGCTGTACGGCCAGACGGTCAAAGTCCGGATCGTCGCGGTAATGCGGGTCTTCATCCCTGCGCATAGTGGTAGGCTGGGCCTCCAGTGAGTCGAGGCGGTCATAAGACATTTTGCATGTATTAAATGAGCAACAAGTGAGTGAGTGCTCAAGCAGAATCAAAAGTAGAGTCAACAAGAGCGGAGTTATCTGCAGGTCCCTGGTGCCTTCGATGACCAGGCAGGTGATTGGACTGCAGACCGCCCTCACATGACGTTATCTGACTTGGCGCTAGCTCTGATTTGGACTAGTGTTGGTGGCTGGAAGACAAATGCGCCACTTCTGTCACGTGAACTAATGTGGCTGGTGTGTTTTGATGCCTCAAAATATTCCTGGGTGGACCTAGCTGTCGACTGATTCTGTCCGACAAAGCCCACCACCACCTGCTGTCAGCCGTGACCCTTCCTCGACATAGTCGCTGGCTTGCCAATCCTATTCTTCAGCTTGCGAAGCTTTCGTTAGAACGGTCATTCTGATCATGCGCTAATATTTGACCGAACCGTCTTCATTCCTCACGAGCGCATCCCACTCTCAAGCTTGCATTATGGCTGCTCCTCAGACTCGGCCGTACAGGCGAATCCTGACCTCGGCCTTACACCGCAGATTTGTACATGCGTCTGCACTTTCACTACTGGTTTGCTATATTATTGCGATTGCGATCGGGGAGAAATCATCCTGTGAGTATCTTACAGCATCATCCGACTGAACCTCGACGATCAGTCGTTTGCCCCCACCCATGAGTTGCAAACGCATGAGCAATTCGAGCACCCATTCTTACCATATCTTAGTCTTCTGGTCATGGTTCCCAATTGGTAGCTGCGGTGTTCGGACCGCCCTGCTTTACATCTCGTCCCTCACCATCTTCGTCCTTCGCGTCGGCCAAATGCATATCGGTCCGAGAACCGCTGGATCCTCCTTCCAAGTCTTCAGGTCTTTCTCTATATTCCAGATCGTACAAACTTTTGGCTGGTACATTTTCTCGGCTTGGTGGTTCACCCTGATTTACGTTTGGTCGTCATCGCCTGATGCCAATCTGCAGCTGGTCAAACTTGGCAGACCACACGAACGCCCGACCTTGAATGAACGACCCATTTACCTCCACTCCTTCCATATCTTCCTTGCGTGCGTGCAGGCAGTATTCCACCTATACCACGACTACGACCGTGTTCCCGTCCCCATTGCCGAGCAGAGCTCAAAGAAGAACGATGAGCGCACGCATCCAGTGCAACCGACCTCTAAATATCTTCAGGCAGCTCTACCTCAACAATTGGCAGATGGAGCTGTACGTGCCATCACTGTCGCAGGAGCGACGCTCTTGGTGTACCCCATCTTCTTCAGACAGGCCGCTTGGGGCTGGTCTTTGTACATGGCCAAATTGTTTTGGAGCTTCCAAAGATCGGCAGCCGAGCCCCAAAGCTTTATTCCTACCATTTTCCCCTACTTCTTCTTCCGAACCTTGCTTCCTGGCCTCCTGCTAGTCCTTTGCTGGCAAAGCTCCAACCTCTTTTACTCCGTTTTCATTGGCAAGGAGCCATTGAAACGGGGTCAGCCGCTCACAACAGATGCCAAGGACCCCAACGGCAGCCTCCTCAATGGACTTAAGGCCAAGAAGGAGGTGGTGAAGACTTTCGCTCTCTGGGAACTTGGATTGATCAGTCAGCGCGTTCCTGATCGCCGCAAGACAATCTTCAACGAAATCGATCGCGAGGGTGGATCTGCGTGGTCACAGGTCCTTGCTTCTACCACCGAGATTATCCAGGCTGTCAACATCCGCATTGAAGAGAGCAAGAACCCTGCCCCAGCTGCGAAGCCAGTTATGCAGGCCGAGAAGTCGGAACCTGTTCTCCACAATCTTCCGCGCCTGACAGACCCGATTAAAGATGACAATATTTTTACCACTGCGCCAAAGGCTACGTCTCGTCAGGACCGCTTTGGCGATGCATTCAGCTCAACGGCCAAGTCCTTCGGTCAGTCAGAGGACTGGACACCGACTGCACGAGCCAGGGTCCGTGATGTATTTGATCGTGCATCTTCAGCCGTGCTTAGCCCCGAGCAAAAGCAGAAATATCTTGCCTCTACCCAGAAGTTCAAGCTCCTGACCGGAGGCCCATCCACGACCTACAAACCAGAGGATGTAAACCCTGTTCTGGTCCAGTTCCTCCGCTCGCCCATTGGCCAACCTTTCCGACAGACATACTCTCAGCGTTTGTCTTCCATCGTATTTGGAACTCCCGAATCCTCCTTGTGTTCGATAGTGGATGCTGTGGAGTGTTTGACTCGCCTACTTGTTGCTAGTTTGGCAGAGGACCCGTACGGCAAAGTCCAGGCCGATGTTCCCGCTGCGGTGCGACTGTTCACCCAAACCATTCTTTCTCTGGATGCATTCGCTCACCAGGGTGGTTTGGACGCGCACTGGACCGATGTCAACTTCCCACCATCCAGCAACCCCCAGGCACAAGAAGATGCCCGCCGGGTACCAGAAGTCGAGATTCTTCTCACTACACTTCGTAGCAGTCTCAATGATCTGCTGACAGCCTTTAAGCCGTATCTGCGGGACATTGGCGTGGCGGGTAAAGATTTGAGACTAGCGAGAGAAGCGGCAGGTATTGAAGCAGAGGAGCCCTCATCATGATTTTTCACTTCAATCGCCCTAATGCTCGTTATATTTTATGATCTTCGATACTTCTTTCTTATTGTTATTGGTAGTTGCTATCGAGGTTGGCCTCGGTGGACATATGCATGGTTAGGCGTTCTGTTCTGTGTTAGGTGTCAGGTACTGGCTGGAAAGCCAATGTCAGATCTAGTGAAGCAAATACCTTTTTTTCCCTCAAAAGATCCTACCTATCGAAAGGTTCCAAGGTTGCGTAATATGTGAAGCACTACAAGTATGGATCACATGACGCCTATTTTGCTAGCACCTACTCCGCACCCCATTTACACCCACCCGCGACTATACCAAATCCACCGCTGCTATCGACGGCAATACAAGTTTGGACCGACCTGGGCTTCATTGTGTTTCATTATGTCGTTAACCAATGTCTACCACGTGCGCCGTGTCGCAGAGACCTCCGCTAAAGCATGCATGATCTGCTACAAACCATCAACCACTGTGATGATCACTCCAGACAACAAGGTATGGAGTACCACATTCCATTAATCGGAAAATGAGCATATTGAGCTGCGATTTTCTCTGGATTTCTCGTTCAAGGTAGATCAAATTGCTAAGGTGCTCTCAGGACTTCTTCTATGTGTGCCCCGCACATCTTCAAGATCGGCACTTCTGCTCTCCTATCATCGACACAGAGGGTCAAGCAAAACGTCTCAAAGATGCTGCAATGGCCGAAGAGATAGAAAAGGTCAAGAAGGAGTATGAAGAGAAACAGCGTCGCAAGAAGGAGCGGAAGGCCTCGAGCAAGGATGAAGACGAGAAAGATAAGGATAAAGACGACTCTAAAGATAAAGGTAAAGATACTTCCGAGACAAGTAACAAAGATGAGAAGGAGAGAGATGAGAAAGTAAGTATTTTCATTCTTTTCATCAGAATTCATGTGATGGATTGGCTGACTCGTCAGATTGCATCTATTCAAAAGGGAAGTGGCACAGAGACGAAACCGGATGACTCTCCTCGAGTCTTTTCTTTGCACAAGTATGTACTGACCCATGCTTGTGAATCTTGTCACCTAAACATTGAACAGGAACTTTTATCAAATGCGGATCGAACGACTACGCAGCATCGAAATGGCGAAACGAAACCAGGAAAGGATGAAGAACCCTTCACTGTTTCCCTCTGTGCCAACTGGAAACCCATAGACGCCTGCGTCTCTCTTTCGTGTGGTCCTTGTCTCCATGGATCAATTTTATCCAACCGACCAGTCTATTCCTGTGCCAACATGGGGCACTTGAGCCCTACGCACACTAGCAGGCAGGCTCACGCCATGAAGAAATGACACAACAATTATGTATGCTCCTTCAACCACTAACAATGTGAACGGTTGACGTGATCATTTCCTCTGCAACACGAATTTTCTCAATCCTGCAATGCATATTAAATGAGACATTAGTCTTACAGGATAATGAGTCTCTCGCATGGTTTCATCCATACAACCACCAGCGAAAAACATATCAGACTCAAGTCAAATGACGCGACATACTGTTGGCCTTCAATCCATGTGCGAAACGCCTTTGGCTCCTCTTGACATTCTTCTCTTGCTGAGTACCCGATGCCGCTTTGTCTTGCTTGCTTGTCAACCTTGGTTGTATACGGAGTACCACGATCATAAAAGCTTGGGGGTTGTCGAGCAATCACAGATATTGTGTACCGTATGACCTTTGCCTATTCTCACAAGGCTGGGGGAATAAGCGCCAAGATGGGCCCTGTTTAGGACTGGGGCGAAGCTCACATACCCCTCATCGAGCATAAGACGATATCAGCCCTAGTAGGTTGCTTACTTGCCTTTTTCCCGTCTTCTCCGACAATTACTCTATTAAAGCATCGCGGAACTCAGCCGGATCGTTTGCTGCACAGACCTTCTAGTCCACATGTATACCTCTGTACCAAGCTCTAGAATAGGGACATTAGGTAGGTTCAAAGCCCCGAAGATTCCGGTACGTGCTATAGTTTAGGCAGTATAGCCAAGCACGACTTTATCAATGGCTGTTATCACAGGTTCTTTTCTTGGTCCCGTTGCCTACCTAGTCCTTGGACTCTCACCATGTCGCCGGCCGTGAAGATCATATCAATGTGGGTGCCTATATGAGAGTGAGCAGAGTGTTCCAATGTTTATTTCAAAGGTACCTAGCTGCCATGCGATGTCCAGGTGATCCTTCGGGTGACGTTTAACGTTGTCTAGTATGATAGAAAATTTTCTTTAGATTCCACTACCAGAAGGCCAGCATGCGAATTGGTGCCTGCTCTTTCGTCGAACCAGACAATCAAGTTGCCTGGCAATGCCACAATTTCATGCGGACTAGCTCATATCATGTATCTATATTTGTCTACGCGGAGTTGTCCTTGATGCCTCATGCGACAACTACTCTCCAGATGAATGCTGCCTAATGAGTCTAGGGGATAGGTGGTTCCACACTAAGGCGCCTGGGGTAGATTAGACTGACGCTATATCCTCTAGATACATTTAGAAAGGCTCTAGCGCCACGCCAGTCGTGATGGTAAGGTAAAAAGAGGGGTTAGGTTTAGGGAGCATATTTGTGCCGTTTACCGTATTAGTCCATCTGCTGAAACGACTTGTTCGACTCTCGTGGTCCTTACAGAGAGAGTACTGACCTCGGGAGTACCTGAATCTCGCCCAGGTTTAGTTTCCTGGCCCAAAGATGAAAAATTAGGGTGTAGCTTACTTGTTTCAATGTACTCGATACAATACTTGGGAGTAGATGGTGATTGCTTACGTCGACGTCGGGGATAGCCTTAGAACATATGGAAATTGTATGTCTACCTGTAAGCAACACAATATTCATGGATCTTGAGGAAAGATTTCAAGTGGTGCGTGCTTCAAGCCTTGTTCTATTTGATCATTTGTCCATCATTTACCCTACAAGTACCTCGTACTTTTAGTTATCCCATTGGTGACAGGCCCATACTGCGCTGAATAACTCTATGTAGGATACCAAGAAACATAGTCTAATCTCAGACAATCCTGAAACAAAGTTAAATGCCAACGATCGACGCAAGGCGATCCCAGCCTGATCAAATATGTAACGGGATTGGGGGAAGAGGTGTACCCTACATTGTTAGGTCTCTAGGCCAGCCCAGATAGGAACTCCACCCGGTAGCTCCCTCCTGCAAGGCAGTGCACTGCCCCACCCCCCACTAGGAAGGGTCATTGCCAATCACATCCGACATTGAATATATGCAGGTTGAACTTTGCGTACAGATGGAGGGATAGATTCGATCTCTGGAGATTCTAGATGCATCGGAGACAGGTAAATACCGAATAGATGGCTATCAGACAAGTAATAAGTATAATTATGAGATAGGTATAAAATAAAATATCAAGAATACACATACATCGTCCTTTGTAAAAAGACCAAAGACCGAAAGAGGTGATACCCAAATACCAACGTAACAGACAGGAACCAAAACCATACGGGTAATACGAATACCGAATGCCAACCAACCGGGAAGCATAGGAAGCGGACCCGCTTTGCACAGCCTCCTTGAGGTCTGCTCTAAACCTTGGAAGTCGGCAGAAGGGGGAAATGAAATGGAGGTCAACCCCGTCATTGGCGTTATCCTTGAAACTCGGCTTGACAGCGGGGCCACGAACTCTTTTAACGTGTAAAAACCATCGGGGATTGTGGATCTATGAGCTCTGAGAGCACCTCACTTAGCGCCCACGAGCAACTACCGTGCTGTGCCTGGTTACCCGTTTTGGCAGTGCATACTCCCTACTCGACGAATTCCGTTCCGGTGGACCTTCCAAGGTCGCAAAGCGTGTCTTATGCCGTGCAGCCTTAGGGTAAGCCGGGCCTGACTTGAATATGCATTCTAAATAGAGCTGCTGGTTTATTTCGCCGATGCTGTATTACTCTATATCCTTAGGTTTATGATTAGTTACATGGGTTTATGGAGTGCACGTGAGATGGTTCAAAACATGAGGGCGTCCTTGGTGTCATCAAATATAGATTGTCAGGGACATATAGCTCATTTGCTGCCTGATGTCTCAATTGAAGGCATCCCGAGAGTCAGCACGGAGTATTTCCATACTAAGTTCGCTTGGCCTGGAGGTTTGGTAGGCAGTGCCTCGAAGCGATATCTTGCTCGCTGCCAAAGAAACCCACTCAGACAATGCATATGCCCATGATTGACATTGAAGCCCACTCTTCACATGATGCACGTGGTCCTACTGAGTAAGCTACATCAGAGTTGCCTTGTTGGAAACTTGGCGATATGGCTGTGCACGGCAGGTGGACTTGATGGGCCCTTTCAGGCCCAGCAAAAGCGCGTATACCCCTTAATATCATGATAGCTCGGTGAAGGCTTTCCAGCCAGCACATGATGATCCAAGCCCAAATGGTCAAGCATGAGCCCTGGCCTCTAGCAAAGCGGATGCGAAGAAATGCAGGCTGACACAACAAGCTTTCATGAGTCGTAAAAATATCTATGCTTGCATGATCCCAGCTTAGAGACTCCCACGCCCACCCGAATGATTAGCTTCCGGGGCCCGCATGCCCGGAGGCAGGCGGATGGCAGGATTAGCTCTAGGTCCCCGAGACATGTTGACTTGATTTGCGATATCAACTCGAGCTTTGGTGAGGCCGATGGCGGGTATGACCCAGCCACCACAGCTGCACCGCAGACCTTGCCATGCGAATTTGCCGACGTTAGACCCACAGACAGGATTGGGGCAAGTGAGTCGGCCAGACAAAGGGGCATCGTCGGGATGCGCTCCGTACGTTGCATCCGCATCGGAGTTATCCTCTGACGGGAAAAGACTTGGACGCATCCAAGTCAGGGGGGGGAGGAACAAGTGGCCACACTCAGCGGTTGCCGATGTCTTGGCGGTGTTTTTCTTCTCCTCTTCATGCGGGACGATGAACGCATTGGTGGCCAGTTTGTATCTAGGGCCGTCATATTAGTCCGGGACAGAAGTATGAATTTGGATCCGCCGTTGTGGAACTTACCTGCATTTCCGGCACCGGTATTCGACAACGGGGCCAGTAGCGTCTTGGGAGCGCATGGGCTGCTCGTCTTCGAATCGGACCGACTTGAGCTCTGGGGCACGGCCACAGGCCACGCTGTCTTCGACCTCACGGCGATAGAGCCAGCGCTTGTAGGCTGGTTGGTCCGTGACATCATCTGGACAGCCCATCTCATGGTACACTTCCAGCTGTTGCATAAAGCCGTCATTGGGTTCACATAGTGGCCGGCTTTCGCGAACCAGCGCAAGGGCAGATTGCGGTGTGAGGGCCCCAGGCTGCAGGTGGAGTAGGTAGGCGATGCAAATGGTTGCGGAGCGGGACTTCCCCATCGCACTGGATCGTCACATCAGCCACTGCACATCCTTCCGTGTAAAGCGAGTCTAGGCGCGAAATCCAAACATGGAAAAAAACAACGAAGGGTCCAACGGTTATAGAGAACTGAGATACTCCAGCACCGTGTAGATCACGATAAAATGGACATGTGATGACGTATGAGGCATGAAGCCACTGGATGTGTATCGAGTATCGTATACTCGCCATGCCGATAGAAACGTGAAAGACAGCGCGGGTTGACTTACCAATGCACGAGTACACCTCTACCGCTGTCTAGACCGGATTGGATAAACTTGATAGCGGCAGGGAAATGCTCCAATAAATTCTCATCATCGACATCATCGACTCCTATTGAAAAATGCTGGTACGGCTCAAAAGTCTCTTGCTTTTCGGCTTCGTTTAGATGCAAAACAGACAAAACATGCGAGATGTCTGCGCGCGCCAAAGCTGCCTTGTTTTTGAGGCTGAAAATACTACAAGTGAGCAGTCAGCAACATGAACCACAAGCCACAGAGCTGGTAATCTGGTAAATTTGATATCTCATAGAGATCCAAGCAATGAGTATCAGTGAGGTAAGACCAACCCTCCAATGTAGATATTGTGGCCTTTTATTTGATTCATGGCCATTTTAAAAGAGAGGGCAGATGGTCCCTCCGTTAGAAGTGACAATAGGATATCCCTCAAAACTTCAACTTCCGAGTGTCGCTATCCAAAGGCGGAGGTTAAGCCTCGGCGTAACTCAATCTCAATACCCGACACGTGACTTGGCGATCAGATCCTGCCCGATTAGGCCTGTAGGGCTAGGGTGGTTGTGTCATGTGACTTTATGCCTCAGGCCGGATATCTATTTCCCAGCTTGTCTCTCTCCCAAGCACAGAGTATAAGCAACATATTCATGTGTACTCTAAGATGCTGAAGCATGTGGACACTACTCCATGCATATAGTGGTTGTGGCTTACAATTTTGCATATGTGTGCCTGCTATCTCGACCGGTGAGGTTCACGCGTCACAAATGATCGATCTAGGTCCTCCACCGACACCTAGTCTGCAACCTCTGTTTCAAACTTACGCTTTCATGAACAAGAAATGACCAGAGTGTGAAAAAGAGACTATGATTCGCCTACAGGACAAAACCGCGAAAGACAAGCCTAGCCGAGCGAAATGCACCTCAAGATGGAGCGCGATTTGTTTCCGACGCAGCTCAAACACCGACCTCATCACCAGATCTGATTTGCTATATTCACTGCAAGGGGTCATCACAGGGCGACAAAACTACTCCGTACCTTGTGTGGGAATGACGGCAGGGAACCCCCCACTCAGCAAAGTGAAGCATTGTTGGGGCAAACTCAGTATATTGCCGCCCTACTATATGGCTTAAGAGAGGCTAGCTTGTGTCGCGTCATATTATTGATTTTCAGCCGTGACACGCGCTCCAGGCTGCAGCCCTTTAAGGCTTAAGGCTGGCTGCGCCTCAGTGATGCAAAGTACGGAGTACTCCTTCGTAGGGAGTACTCAAAATCCCACGGAGTACGGAGTATTCTGGGGACAGACACTCGTGTGTCAGCGGGACTACGTAACCTCACTTCTGCTGACGCCTCTTGTTCGAAAGTGGCTTTTTGGTCTGTCATGTTGGCAATCACTGGAAATGAGGTACAGACACAGGCGCCTGGATGGGGCCCTGGAGCCTATGGATTCACATAGTTAATTGGCTGTTGATCTGCCCAAATGGGCCAAGGGCGTCTCCTGGGACACGACCCGGGGCTTGACGGCGACGATCGTGGAATCTGGAAACTTTATTAGACTAGTCTTGTTTATTGTACGAGTATCGCGAATGAGGCAAGAACTGCCAAGGTCAACACTGCCACTCACTCGGCTGTAACAAGTCTTGATTTTTGAGTGTTCTACCTAGCGGAGCTACTGTGGACTAGCTAGGGTGGCATCATACCATGCCTAAATTTTGAGCAACGGAGAACATGCATACTCAATTCAAGTATCTGACAGATCCGCATTGTTCGGATCAGGAGATCTGATATCATCGAGCGTATGAGCATTCGGGATGAGGTCATGTTCATGGGGTTGAGGTCTAACGATAGAGTTCATCTCATGGAAGCCCCATAATTACATGGAGACATTAGGCAAATACGGAGCACTACTCCGTACTAGGCTCAAAGCTGGGCTAATTGTATCGTACCTGAAATATTGTAAGAAGGCCCATCGACAAAAGGTTTTGTTTTTTTTTCTGAAAAAAAAAAAAAAAACAAGAAACACCAAGATTTCTTTTGTTCTCGAAGCTGCCCAGATGTGGATCCCCCAGATTACTCAGCTCCCCCTAGGTTTGTTCCAACGTTCATGCTTCCACTTACTCCTCTTCCCATACATCCTAGCCACCATCAAAGAAAATTTACGCGCCGGTGATTTCAAGCTTGACATGATTGACTCGACTTTGAACGTTTGTTCACACCAGTCAAGGTTTGCAACCCCTGCGCCCAAATGACAGGCGGACCGTCAGTGTGGCAGTGCATGCAATGCCAGGCGCCAAGTGGAGCGGGCTAGCAAATCAGTGGGTCCAAAGTCGACGACTCAGCATTGTCCGCTTTTTTTTTCTGTGGAGGCAAAAGAATGTTCTGATTGTAGCGCCCGATTCCTCCGACGCTGCACAAGATCTCTGCCTTGGTATTCTTGGTATTCTTGGTACTGACTTCGTCTGTACCACCTGATTGCACACCGTGGAATAGGCGTTTGTGCAGGTTACCAGTAAGCTAGGACTCAGTACCTAAATCTAATCAAGAGGACTACTTCCGTCGCAGGTATCGGGAAATATTAAGCCTAAATGCCAAGCCCTCCAAGCCCCGGCGTATATTATCACTGGCTGGGAATCTGCTCAAAGCCCTGCCAATCTATACCTCATTCTCCCAGAGAGGCGTGAGGTCTGACTCCGCATGGTACCCCTCTCTACAATTCAAGGTCAAGTTGACCCGAATCTACCATCAAACCGCAACCACAAACCTTGGTTCCTCGTGGCTTCTGGTGCGTCTAGAGCCGTCCCAAGCCGTTTCTCTTACTTACCGAAACGGGTGGCCCCCTGTTAAAGCCTGTCGGCACCTTTGGCCTTCGCGTGCCAATGAGATCCAAAATGATTACAATGCGGATGACTTTCCGGCATGAGACTGACGGGTTTAGTTGAATCAAAATGTAGGACTGTGTGTTTGTAGACGGAGTATGGAGTCCTCATAGCACCATATGCAATGGCCCGTCATCTGGGTCGCATTTGCGAGGCGTCCAATATACGAGTTTCCCCCACCCGTGAAGTTGGCCGCACGGTCATTCTGGGATGTAGTTGACTTCCCGTCAATGATGTGAAGATTCTCAGAGGTCAGCGGGCTAGGCCATGTGGTTCTTTCCCCCTTTCGCCTTACCGGGCTCCATCTGCCTCTATGGACCCTTGCCCGGCGCAAAGAGCTGAATGCAACCACGGTAGCCGGGGGACTGGAGAAAGACAAAATTACCGAGAGCCGGCGTGTCCATTAAGGCTGAGTAGTGTGGTACCTGGAGGCGACTTTTCCAGCCTTGTGCCCTACGCAACGTGGTCACCCACGTTGTATGGCTCTACTTGTACACGTACTGGTGATCTAACGGTAAACAGGTTGGTATTCGTACATCATCGTATATCAGATAATTCCAAGGTTTTACATTTAAGTTGAACTATACTCTAGCTTCTGCGGAGTAGTGAAAACGAATGGAAATAAGGGAAATAATAAAGGAAATAGTCCGTAATGAAGAAATAATCAGGAAATGGAACATTTGAAGCACCCCTGTATTGGTATGTAACACGCCTTACGAGCCAACGCACGATACATACATATACGCCCTCCAGTCTCTTTCCAAGGTCAAGTCCGAGACCTGTTGGTATGTTTCATTTTCTTTTTTCTTTTTTCCCTTTTTCTATTTCTTTTTGCCTCTTTGCCTCTGATTAGTTGGACCTCTCCATCGCTTTCTTTCCTCTCTCCCTTGGGCGAGGATGAGATCACCCAAATTGCCCCCCTCTCGCTCTGATTTGGTTGGATCCAATCGCTTGCACCGCCTGAATTTCTATTGCCCGGCGCATTTCAATTCTCACCTTTAATCTCTGATTTCAGCTCTTCTAGCTCCAGCGCAAGCTTCAAAATCATTTTATGACACTCGTCCTCAGCTAGTGGGGTGGAGACTCTCATGATACCGAATTAACTGGGTTTTTTTTAATTCGCGACCTTTTGGAATCCCGGACACCTGGACAAAGTGATTCATACATCTATTCGCTCTTCCGCATCTCTACTACAATGATGTGTGCGCGCGTCTGAATCGCAGTGGCCAAGTTCCATGGGACACAGACCCGATTCTCCGTGTGTTACTATTGCGGGAAACGTTTCATCTTATGAGGCGAATCGCCCAAGGGTCCCGAGGTAGGTCTCCTCAGCCCTATTGCAACCCCCCAGTTTATCACACCCATGTTCGCCATCTGACTTGTGCAGACTTACACTGCATACTTCTCGCGGCTGTCGCACATGAAGTATAGAGCTGTTCTGAGAACTCTCCATCGTGAGGCTGGATAACAGTCCGCTTAAGAATAGCTGGTTCCACGACCGACGTTTGCACTCAACTGGTTTGGGTTACTGCTGCAACAAAGATCTTGAATTTGACCTGCTTATATTCTTTTGGTCAAGCTCAAGCCTTCTTCTTTTTTCTTTCGCATCATCCTGGGCCTTTTACTCCAACCTCTGCCCGAGTCCATGTGCACGACTCGTGCCATCCTTTTCGCCCTGGCTTCAGTTCTAGAATGACACATCGGGTTCCTTCGAGCCTCGAAAATTCCAGAAACAGGCGCCGTTTCTCTGGAAGGTCTACCCGCGCTATGCCCGAGCTGTCATTCTCATCACACGGCCCGTTACCGATAGCTTCAAGAGGTATCATGAATAGTGCACCTCCGCCACTCCCGCCGCCGGCTAGGATCCACGACCTGGAAATTGGTTATGATGCAGGCTGGCAGCACGCAAATTCGCAAACTCCAACTTCTCTTCCACCAATTAACCCGGGCTCAAGCCTGCTTGGGGGCCACCGACGACCTGAAGCGTCCTCTCAGGGCGATCCAATGCAGATCGATGAGGTCGAGGGGCGCCAAAATGGCAAACCCGCCTCGCGAAGTCCCGAAACTCAGATCACCATAGATCCGCCTCCGCCGGTCATCGACGGATTTCCAAATTCAATTCCCAATCCTGCGGGCTCAATGTAAGCGCCTACTGTGCGAAATATGCAGATACTCGCATTTTTGTCCTCTTCAGTTTCCAAGGTTTACGTTGATTGCTAACTTAGTGATAGTCTGAGTGGTGAGCGTGACTTTTCATTGCGGAGCGTCAAGGATTCATCAAACGCTTATGATCAACACCTGTTGTCAAAAATTGGCAAGCCTCAAATCGCAAAACCTGTCTCTCCAAGGGGATCCATCAGCTTCGGAGCCGAAAACCGAAATTCGCTATCTGCCTTGGCTGTTCCAACCCGAAGCTCCGGTACTTTACCATCACCGGGGCCATCCGAGGGACCAAATCTCGATGTGAAATGGTACAACAGCCCACAGTCTGGTACAGTTTCACCCAGGACCAGGGTTGGATGGAGAGAATATGGCGAAGGACGGAGCCCAAGTGTGGAAAGCAACGCACCATCATCGGCACTCGATTACGACCAAGGATCTTTACGGGATGTCAGCCGGCGTCGCTGCCATGGAACAACACCTTCACGAGAAGATAGCATCAGTTTGCCCAGCCGATCAAACCGCGGAAGCTATGACCACGGTGTGTTCTCAGATATAGAGGGCGAGTTCTCGACCGATGAACCGGCGCCGCCGCGACAGTTCATCCTTCGAGAACCCACCCCGCCATATCAAGAGACACGACACGGTATGAAGAGGCGGGCATCGTCACCACCGCGCGAACCGATCAGCGAGGATAAACACGCTTTACATGTCGCCACAAGTAACGGAGATCTGTCCCAGAGAAGACTGAGCGGCCACTCATTCATGAATAACCTAACCGTCAACCCCAATTACCCGACAAGCCAACGAACACTTTCTGCCGCCTCATCGCTCAGCATTCGAACTTCTGGGTCTTATTCATCTACATTGTCCATTGGGGGAAGTAGCATGACTAGCTTATCTCCCTACGACCGACCATCTCCCGGTGGTCTTTCACCGAGCTCCGATCTCGACACTTACCACGAAAAGTCCATCCTCAACCCGTGCTCCCCCGGAGCGGTTGTCCAACCTGTACTCGGAAGAGGGTTACCGGGGCCAGCATCTCTGGAACCACCTGCAACAGATGCCACCGGAAAGCTCACGGTACCAACCACAGTCATGAGCATACCAAAGCCGGCTGGCTCCAAGATTGGTGGACTATTCATATGTGACTGTTGCCCCAAGAAACCCAAGAAGTTCGACAACTCAGACGAACTACGGTGAGTACTCATTATTTCACTCATACATCCACCGCAACTAACTTGATTCTAGTGCGCACGAAATGGAAAAGCAGTATGCATGCGCTTACTGCAACAATCGATTCAAGAATAAGAACGAAGCCGAGCGCCATCAGAACTCACTCCACCTCCGACGCCATTCCTGGTCATGTGCCGCACTGGTAAATTTCCAATCAGCTTTCCACGCGTCAGGCGCCCCGAACTGCCAAACGAGCGCTGGATCATCACACGACACTTGCGGCTATTGCGGCGAAGAGTTCGTCAATTTCCCCCAGCCCGACTGGGATCGCCGGTTCGACCACTTGACGACAGTGCACAAATTCGGTGAATGCAATAACGCCAAGAAGTTCTTCCGCGCCGACCACTTCCGCCAGCACCTTAAGCACAGCCATGCTGGTACCAGTGGAAAATGGACAAATATCCTGGAAAATGCTTGTATGAAGGAAGAACAGCCACCTGAGCCTCTGGATAGGAGTGGCAATGGTACGGGCAAGTCTCTGACATCAAACGCTATCTCCGAAGTTCTCAGTGAGCAATAACAACCAACTGGCCATACCTGGCCTTGTCGGAATGATTCACTCAGTGGTCACCGAGCTAAACCACACTTCCTGTGTTGCTGGTTGAGCTTGGGTAACCTACCCATCAACCTAGCATATCACATCTGCCTCCTTTCTCTCCTCTCACATCTCATACGTCACCACCAAGGAGCCCTTCAACACACATCCCGGAAACCACTCAAAAAATGCAAAAACATGCACCACCGACTGAAAACCCGAAGTTGACACTTCGAAAAAAAGCCCAAGGCACAACCCGGAATCACGATATCCACGAACATTTTGAAATTATAAGTTCTCCTCCAACGGACAAGGAGGGAACGGGAGTCTACGTCAGGACATGGATCTTTGTATTGAATCTTGAGCACCTCTGTGCATACCCCGGTTGCATTGCAATGGCATGGAAGGACATTCTCGATTCTTGTTCTCATTTTTACATGGAGTCAAGTTGGTTTCATGGCTCTCCGGTTGGACTGAACTGGAGAGTAGGAATGAATACCTGCCTCTCTGTTTCTGTTCTCTCTGGTCTGATCTTACATATATCCCCCGTCTTGTTTTATACCTTTGGGTGGACCTGAGGCGAATGGAAGGGCGTTGTACATAGATTTTGCATGGTAGCTTTTGTGAAAGACAAAACTTTACTTTCTACGTGACCTTCTGGAGCATCACTCCAACTAGATAATAGCCTCCGGGAGCAACCTTGGAAAATTATCAATCCTTGCCTGCTTGGTCGAGTTGGGTCGTGCGCTACCTTGGTAGGCGTAGGACCTGAGTTGACACTTCCGGTCCTAGTCCTAAGGTATAATTGTTTTGCGGGGCTATGGAGGGTAGTTGACAAAATCCAGCAATTCTATTAGTGCAATACACGATGGCTCACTGCTGCCAGCCTTGAAAATTTGTAATATAATCAAACAAGAGAGAAAATTTCTCTACACCAAGCCGAGCAAAAGCCGCTCAACCTACTCAGTGACACTATCCTTGATACTCCTCAAAGCACTCATTTTGTGAGCCGGGTCAATGGCAGCAGCATTCTGGGCCCTTCTACGGGCATCAGTCCAGAGCATAAACTCACCATACCCCTTGGGCATAACCTGCACATCCTTCTCAACCAAGAAAGTATAGTTGAACATTCCAGTGGACTTCTTCGTCCCGTGCTCAACATCTCGGACCTTGGAATCAACACGGACCTGCACCTTTGTATACTTAGTGCTGTCGCCCTCGCGCTCTTCAGGTTCCGTGTAAGCGACCGTTGCACGCAGGTATAGCACGCTGCCAACGGGAACGGGGTTCTCGAAAGTGCTGGGGTCCAGTGCGACGAAGTTTGGTCGTGCGTGTGCGAAGGAGGCGGCACAACAGAATGCAAGCTCGAAGGTTTGCTTGAGAAGGAAACCACCGAAAATCATGAAGTTGTGACGGTTTCGATCTTGGGGTTGCATGATCATGGCAGACTTGAGCACGGTGTCACTCATGAACACTTGGTTTGATGGGCGGGTCGTTGAGGATTGAGGGTCTGGTTTGTTTAGCTTTGGGCACTTTGCGTCGCTGAGATGGTAGCTTACTGAGATATGACATCTCCTTCGTCCACATTGAGTGGATCAATTCACTCTCCTCGTCATCGGGCGCCTTTTGCAGAAGACTGCGGGTGCGCAGAGCTTTCTTGGCCTGCGAGGCTTCCTCTCCCTTTGAGTAGAGACGCTTCTCCTCTTCCGTCTCCACGATCAAAGCGGGCACGGGCACGGGTCTATATGAAATATGTTAGACCACACGAGCTATCAAACGACAGGTAACGTACTTCTTCGTCTTGGTATCAAGCGAGACCATTGTGAAAGCACAAGTGATCAGAACATCCTCTGGCTTTGCTTCCACGCCTTCCGGTCGAGCTTTCGTGACTTGTAGAGAGATCTCCATACTTGAACGGCCGGTAGCGTAGGTGCATTGACCGCTCAGCTCGAGGTCGCAAATCTCCATTAGGGGGTTTTCGATGGTGATTCGGTCACAAGCAGCTGTTACGGTTGATACTCCATCGCCTGTATGGCGGTTTGCAATGACACCAGAAAACGCGTCAAGGTCCATCAGCAAAGATCCTAATCTGCTCGGTGTGTCAATAATGTGGTTCACAGATAAAACGCGGTTCCTTCTTACCTGATGTGTCCATCGGCGTTTAGGTAAGAGTCCAGCAGCCATTTATCCTGGGCTAAGGGGAGAACCTATATCGACGTAAGAAACATTGAAATAGACAAGTAGACAGAAAATCCATGAGCATACCGCACTGTAATAGCTGTCTGACATCTTTTTCGGCGAGAGATCACGCTCGATCTGTTGACCACTTTGCTGAGAGTCAACCTTCTCGGCCTCCTTTCTCAGACTCAGAGCATCGATCCATGGTGTCTTAACACGCATAGGCATCCATGTAGCTCGAGAACCCGCCTGCTTCGGCGAAGAATGGAAGTCCTGCACATCGATGCAGGAGCGCTGGGTTGCAATTGCGGTTCGCGCGGACAGCACGGATGGGACGCGTGAGCGCAAACGCGCGGACCTGCTCAGACCAAACATCTTGAATATGTGTGTGAAAGGAGTAAGAAGCCAATCTAAGAAAAAGAATCTAAAGAATTGACGATGACGATGTCCCGAGGGCTCACCCGATGTGGTTAGTGGCCGGCGGGGATTCTCGGCTGCCGACGAAAATGAATACCGAGATGTGTCACCGCTTCAGTGATCTTTCGGATCAACCGAAATGTCCCACTCGATTGTACAATAGTTGCTTGTTTTGTCAAATTTTGGCATTCCGAAGGTCCGGGGCTGCTCCGATCAACAAGCACATCGCTTTGTATGATCAACCTTCAGGAAGTTCATGTATTCGGAGACGACTTCATGAAACTCTGCAACTCTGCAGCCAATGCCCGGCAGGATACAGAATCAAAGACAAATTATCCATGGATCTCTTGTCTGAGATTTTGTTTAGATTCTTTGGGGTTTCGTTCGAACCCTTGTGTGGATTTATCGTGCCAAGTTGGGTGTTGTGAAGTCATCGAAGCATCTCGGGATACCGTAACAGAGAAACTCGACAATCTCACAGACAATCTCACAGCCTTAAAACCCTTGGAAGGACGGGGCCATGGAGAGAATACAGCTGCCAGGAGAGGTCTGTCTTTACTTTGTAAGGGCAGATCTTGTAATGATGGAGCAGGACCGCGCATACTGCGGCTGATCGTGCAAATCAGCCATGGTTGTGCACTAGTTTCCTTGTTTTTTGACCAACCTTGCAAGTAAATTGGGTTTAAGCTTGTTTGGTGTATTCCGCAGCATAACATTGGACTTCACACAAGCCAAATTGCCAGGCTGCTATGATATGGTGAACTCAAGGTCAAGGGAAGGATGATCTACAGTGGACTGTTGCACACAAACGCTACCCACTTTGCTTAACATTGATAAACGCGAAGATCATACCCTAAATTCTCTCCTGCATGATTTAGTATTAAGCCGCACCAAGCTTCGGTCCGAAGTCAGACCATCCGAGGGTTGATGTTCTCTCGTCCGAGAACAGCGACCCATCGTCAAAATGAAGTCATTGATAAGATACCAAATCGATAACTATAAATTCGACTGCAACAGCAAGTTCCAGGATATATTTCAAATCACACTTTGTACAGAGGTTTTATTCAATATGAGTGACCCTACCAATCCCCATATCAAAGAGCGCACCACACCCCAATGGGGTCTCTATCAGCGCGAGAACTTCTGGAAGCAGAATGAAGGGAAGGCCCCTCTATTCAACACAGGTAAGCCTTCATACCCAAACCCTGAAGTGATCATCCAGCTCTAACGCCTATGCAGACCCTCGCAAAATGGAAGAAAGGGCCAAAGAGAAGCTCAGTGAAGGCGGCTGGTATTACGCCTCCTCCAACGCCGGAATGTCTAACACCCACCTGGCAAACCGACAAGCTTTCTACCGACACCGTCTGATCCCTAACCAGCTCATCGACACCAACAACCGGGACACGACAACAACTATTTTCGGCCACAAAGTGTCAGCCCCAATCGGCTTTGCCCCAATCGGCATAAACAAGATCTACCATCAATCAGGCGAAGCAGCTGTCTCCAAAGTCGCAGGCGAGCTCAATCTCCCTTACTGCCTCTCCACAGCCGGTAGCACCTCAATTGAAAAGGTCGCAGAAGCCAATGGGTCCGGACCCCGATTCTTCCAGCTGTACATGCCCCACGATGACGAGCTAACAGTCTCACTTCTCACGCGGGCCTGGGAAAGCGGGTTCGACGCCTTGATCCTTACTACGGATACATGGCAGCTTGGCTGGCGACATGACGACGTCGCCTCGTCGAATTATGCATTCTATCGAGGCTTTGGTGCTGATCTCGGTCTCACGGATCCTGTTTTCCGGAAACGGTGCAAAGAGGATGGAATTGATCCGGATGTCGACGTGGTTGCCGCGAGTGCAAAGTGGATTGATTCTGTCTGGCATGGGCGGGCGTGGTCGTGGGAGAAGATTCCTTGGTTAATTGAGACTTGGAAGAAGATTAGTGGGGGGAGACCTTTTGCGATTAAGGGTATTCAGTCTGTGAAGGATGCGAGGAAGTGTGTGGAGATGGGGGTCGATGGTATCGTTGTGAGTAATCATGCTGGCAGACAGGTTGATGGGGCTGTTGCTAGTCTTGATGCGTTGGAGAGGATTGCGCAGGATGTGGGTGACAAGATTTATGTGATGTTTGATTCCGGGGTTCGTGGGGCAAGTGATGTTGTGAAGGCGCTTGCCCTTGGTGCGAAGTTTGTGTTTATTGGCAGACTTTGGATTTGGGGGTTGAGTATCCATGGTGAAGACGGGGTTCGCCATGTGATGAAGTCTTTGTTGGCGGATCTGGATATCCTGATGGGTGTTGCTGGTTTCAACGGGGTTGAGGACTTTGATAAGACTATTCTTGGTGAGTGTTTCTCTTTGGGTACTTCCAAGGTTTGGTTGATGAGAATGATTGCTAATTTGTGGTGCAGAGTCGGACCCCAAGAACTATTCGCTCATCCCCCAGAAGACCCTGTAAATGGAAAGAATAGTGGTGATACTATCTGCGAAATACATATTGCATGTTGGTACAGAGTACAATGGGCCCTATTCATGATCAGAAAATATGACATTGTGCCAAAATCTAGTGGACTTTTGTCTATCTGTAAAAAGGAGAATAGTTCCAACAAATTGGTTTCAAGGATATGATCCAGGTGTGGTATTGGTGAATGATGTTCAGCATGAAACGAGTGGCATATGCAGCTGGGATAACAAGCAACGGACAAACGAGGTGCCGTCAAGATGTGCTGATAAGGTGGGTGATCGTATGTGTACCCTGGTGTATAAACAGAATTGAAAAGGATGTGCATGGGCAGCGATTGACAATGTGCATGGGAAACGATCGACAATGTGCACAGAGATGAGTAAGAGAAAGCATTAATACATGGAGCAAAATATGATTGCCAGTCAAAGTCGCTGAGAAATGAAAAGAGAAACGCGCTAAACGACACTTCAAACAATCAAGGCGCCGAGGAGGACCGGGAGCATAGACCAGCTAATGCTGCGGGTAAATTGGGAGGCAGAGCTGCCAGAGATAGTAGGCACTGCAGAGGATGCGGTTGTACCAGTGGCATCGGTAGCGCTGGCACCAGAGGAAGCGGTGCCAGTGACCGGGGGTGCAGTGAATGTGCCATTTCCTGCGGATGCGGTGGAAGACGCCGTTGTCGACGATTGAGAGGCTGAGGCAAGTTGGCCGAATCCAATCTGGCCGTTGTCGAAATCAAAAACTGTGTATACATTCTTCAGGAACACATCACCAACGAGCCAATTCGCGCCGTTGCTTGCGTAGCTGACGATGGTGGAGATGCAGTAATCAGAGTCGTCTGATTCAGGGCTGCCAACATAGTCTTTGGGAGAGATGGAATATTTGACACCTGAGAACTCGAACTCGATGGTTGCAGTTGAGTTACAGGGAAGGATGTGGTTGTTGGAGTTGCTCGATTGCTTCGATGCATCGGGGACGAGGCCAAAGAGAACCTCCGCGTCTGATGGTGGAATCAGGAGATAGGTGGTACCAGTGTCGATAGTGGCGGATTTCCCAGTGAAGTTGCAGCTCTTGCCATTCACATAAGCGTCGTCCACAGGAATACTCCAAATGTCGGCATCAGTGGTGGTGTAAGAGATAGTACCATCGAATTTGGTAGTATCGACTCCGCCAAAGTTCACCTCGCCATCCTTGCCATCGTCTTCTGCGCGAGAAAGACTGAATCCAATCAAGTTTGACTTGAGCAAGTTCTTCTTGGCGACCAGATCCATGAATGAGGGAAGACTCCACCCATTTGTCTGCGATCGACCTAAGCCCATGATTCCATCGAATGGGTAGCTTTCAAAAGTCTTGGAGGCATAATTGGCTTGGCCGAATTCCTGCTGAACTTCGAGGCCCGCAAGCGAGAGGGTATCTGTTCCCAGTTTTCCAGTAATATTCCCGCTTCCATAACCTAAACTGAAGGTCGAGTCCTCGGTGGTGTAGCTGGTGGACTTGGAGCGATCGAAAGTGCGGTGACGAGTACAAACTTCCTCCGTGCATTCGGAGTCAAAGACCCAGGTATTAGGAGCTCCGGTATCGAGAGCCATCCACATCTCCGTCTTTTCGGAGCCCACAAAAACGGATGAAAAGTACGAATAGTCCGTGCCATCTTGGTCCAGTGGTGCACTGTTCTTCAGTTTTGGCGTGTACGCTTCGACGATCTTGTAGTTATTGTCACGGCGAACGGGGATTTTCTTGAGGTTGATAGTCGGTGGTTTAATGTCGTCATCGGTTTTGGCCTCGATCAAACTCCACGGCATGAAGCGGCGTTCGAGGGTGTCGTCAACGTCGCGCAATTCCACCCGTAGTTCCCATGGATAGAAAGCACGAACGCCTGTAATCCCGGCGATGAAGACCAAACATGATGAGAGATGCATAATCCCGAGGGGGTTTAGTAGCGGAAAATTGTGGAAACCTGCATTTGATTCGGCGGGACTCGAATTCGCGTTTTTTGCTTTTTGCTGCTTGCTGCTTGCTGCTAGGTATTTGTATTCAATGAAATGATCTAGATTTGAGCGATTGAAAAGAAAGTGAGCGTAATATAAGCAATATAAGCACAAAGAAAGAGAAGAGTGGTTGGAAAGAAGACGTGAGGGGGAGAAGGTGGCGGAAGTCCATGAAGAAAATCCCCCCTGACAACCTACTATCGTCGACTCCAGTTGCTACTAAACCATTTTGGGGTCTAGCTCTCCACTGGCAGGAACTCTTCTCCACCGGCCTAACACCCGTTCAAGTCCAGATCGACTTGTTCGTCGGGGCTAGCTGCACGCTAATCCAAGCTCGGTGCTCCTGTGGGCACTTCCACCTTGATTTCATTCCAATTCATGGTTTCTATTTCTATTCGGATTATTGAACCTGTCGGATGTGCGAGATGCACTGCTACAATTGGCCGATCAAACCACAACATGATGTAGCTTGATCTTGAGTCTGAAAAAAAAGGGGATGACATGAGTTTGGTGTGGTGAATGTGCCCCTATGTGCGGAGTATGGACTCTATGGAGTATAGATTTATAACATCAATTTCAACAGCATCTCGCCAATTCCTTCCGGGATGTGCCCAAATACATTAATGAACTTGAACTTGGCCTGCAGATGAGAAAAAAAGTGTGCAAATGCGACCGTACGGTCTAGACTCGCCTCCACATGGGTCGAGACCACAGTGCCAGGTACGCCGTACTTTTGGCCGACAAGGATCTGCAGCTGGACATGTCAGACTGCAGCTGGGTATATTGCACCAGTCAAAATGCTTTGGAGTACTCCGTACATCTTAGCGATTCTGTTTGCCTCGAGCATCTCCACTGTGCAGTTTGCTTCCTGCCCGGCGATGCCATACTCAGTAATTGCCAATTCTTCCGGTCAGGGAGGATTTTCGAAACACTTCAAGACTGGCCTGATTCCTTCAAACCAGGTTGTCATAATATGAATTTTCATGGATTTTCTTGTTTCCTTGGATATTGAAATTTGGATTGTCATTAAATGGTCTATGGCCTATCACTGGTAGAAAATGAAGAAGAATATTTTCGCACATAGGCACATTTTTCGGCATCAAAGGAAACAACCTTGGAAGGTCCATAAAACCGTGGACTTAGGCAATCGGGATCCCACTCTGGAGTGAGGCCACGCCCTTGGGGCCCAGAACGTCTTCAACACTGAGCCAAGAATACACCAGCTCATCCGATTTGCCGGTATCATGATTGACATCACCTTGAATTGGCCTTTTGTTCTTGCAGAACACCCTCAGCTCCTTGCATGCGACGTCTCCATTCTTCTCCAAGTATTTCCGCATCACGTCGCCGGCGCTCGCGACAATGCGGCTCGCTATCCCCGCCCCGCGAGATGCAAGTCCCATTGCACGTGCATTTTGGGCGGAGCCTTCTGCAACATGATGGATGAGGAAGACGATGTTTGATATGAAGGACTCATCTGGCATGTACGCTGACGTGAAGTATTGAACAAATTTCTGGTGCTCTTTGTCGCGGATAAGTCTGAGTAACTCGATGGAGCGTTTGTGCATGCCAAAGTAATTGTACGTGATCACAGGCTCTTCTTCGAATAGCTTGGTCTTCATGAAGGCGAGAAGCTGCAGCGTGTCCAGGTTGTGGGTTTGAGACCACTTGCGGGTGATAATGAGTTCCGGATTGGATTTTTCAAGCTCCTTGCTGGACGATTTGACGTTTTTTGAAAGCTCGTCTAGGATTGCGTGAATGTCTTTAATCCCGATATTTTCCCCGGTGCCACCGACGTACTCCTCAAAAAACAAGGTCGCAACTGCAGTAGTGGGCTTAAGCACGCGGGTGGTTTTACCATCAGGTTTGTGCCATCTGCTGCTCCGGGAGTCTCGAGCAAACTTGGTAGGGGATGAAATACCTGTGGCCAACTGAAGCCGGTTCAACGATTCTGCAGCGTTCTTTGGCCGCGAGCCAACAAAAATATGAGACTCGCTATGGATCTTGATAAAAGCATCCATATCAGGCCATCTCAGGTCTTTGTGCATTGGAGAGGTTTTTAAGACGAGGTTGTGCAAAAAGGCCAGTTGCTGGACGTCGTACCATTGGGTAACGAGCTTCTGACCGACAAACTGCATTCTCATATTGAGACTGAATAGGATCAAGCCGCAGAGGATAGCATGCTGCGAGAAGAGTGCGTGTTTTTCGGGCGCTGTGCCAACTTTGTCGAGTTCACAACGAATTCGAGTGTCTTGGAAGATATCTTGTATAATCCATGACTTTATGGTCGATCCTATATCTTGGATTTTCTCATCACACATCTTCGGCCAAAACTTGGGCTGAGGATGTGTTTTGGATAGCTGAGAATACTCATCGATAGTCTTCTTGATGCGAAGTCCAGACATTCGGAGGTCTTCAAATGCACCTAAGCTGCTGTGACGCATGACGTGATGAATATCGAGGAAGATCTGGGTAGCGAAGCAAAGCCACAAATCAACTTCTTTGGACTTGGCAAACTCAGTAAGGCCTCGAGTGATCGCATCCCCGGTAGGCATCTGGATTTTGAACGTATTGACTATGTAAAACTCTGGTAGAATAGAAAGAAGGATGATTTTGTCTTCGTTAAATTTCTGACCCAGAGACATCTTCTCTCGGTTTGCTTTCGGGTTGTAGGTGCCAAAGTGACCCTTTTTAAAGACTGGTAGATGATTGACCTGGAGGACATCTGCGAAGGAGTCAAGCAAGCTCTTAGTCGGCACATAGCACCACTCGGCTATATCAGCCATATGCTTGTTGTATGGTAGGCCAATCTCAGTTGACGGGGCCGCAGGGATTCCACGGGTAAGAACAGCGAGGTTGTAGACAATGTTCTGGACATTATCCATTCTCCCGGTGAGGGATTCTTGCCAGTCAGCTTCCACCTCCTGCACAAGATCTCGGGCGAGCTTCAAAGCACTATCAGTCACGACAGCGGCGTTCATGAGGTCAATTTTCTTGTCTCGATATTCAGCCCAGGTGATGGAAATGAATGTCCGAATGTTGTTCAAGTCTTGAAGCAAGCAGAGAGACTTGAAGAATAGCTGGCTAAGATATGAGTCTTCTTCCTCGTCATTGTTCGCATCCTCTTCATCCACATCCACTTTAACGATCTTCTTGAGTTCAACAGATGCCGGTTTAGTTTGCGTAGTCTCCTGGGGTTCTTCCACAGTAAGAACAGCAAATCTGTTAAGAAATCTGTCGTCATTGGCATCGTCATTCTCAGCTTCAGAGGCCTGTGGTTTCTTGACGTCTGGGTTTGAGGACTGGTCGGTCTTCCATTCCAAGTCATCACAGATTTTCTCTAATACATTGATGAAATAAGAATGCCGCTTGTTGTTTGCAGAGTCGCCCTGGCCCAAGAACCATGTAGTGACCGCCCTTCTCAATTTGATGGCGCGTTTTGCGATGGTAAGAATTGATTTGGGTACCGTGAGAGACGAGCTAGCAACCACCTCAGCGAACTTTTGCAGATCTTTGGCAGTCGCACTATAGTGAAGTGGATCTGCATCTGAGCCGTGTTTTTTGCCTTTCTGCTGTTTACCCTTTTTCACGGTAGGGGGAGGAGCAGCAGCGAGGCCAGGTGGTTGATAGCCGCATTTATTGGCTGTCTCCAGTAACCAAGTTGCAAACGAATTGGTATCTGCTTTGTAGCGCGCGTAGCTACTCTGCAAGAATTCAGGTAGCATGGCGGGGGCTAAGCAAAAGTATGGTATGGTACGATGTTGTGTGTATTGTGGGAGATGTGGGAGACGAGTAGATGAAGGAGATGAAGGGGAGAGAGGGAGAGAGGTCGGGACAGAGAGAGCAGAGAGCTCCATCAACATGTCAGAGCCTTACAAACCAGGCAAACATATCAAACGCTACTCCGTGCCCGGTCGGTGAATAGTTGACCTGGTCAATTGCTCCGATCGGGTTGCCGGAAATTTAGCCCGGTCTGGCTGAACTATGTACATCCTGGGGTAAGATTCAGCCCTACCTACCGCTAGTTCCCTATCATCCCAGCAGGCGATCTTCTCGCGCTCACACACTATTCCTTCACTCGTCTCCCAGTATCTAGCCTAGATTCTTTGGCCAATCAGCTTACATCGCGCAAATGCCCTTGCCTGGGCATCTATATATCCAAGAAAATATGTCACTCTTCAATGTCGACACTATCATACCTTTTCCGTGTGGATCTTGTTCCACTCTTGAACCCACAGAATCTTTACGTCCAAACCTTGGAACAGTCCAATGGCTTTTCTGCACCAAAATACCCTCATCGTTGCGGAGATCTGGGCATGATGATGGCCTCCTTTCGTATGCTCTCACCAATGACTCTGGTATATAACATATTTCTAACCATATCCTAAGATTCTTTCTACTCCCTCGGTCTATATATGCATTGGAGTACCCATATATGTAACAAGACATTCCCCGGACGCAACAAAAACTCAACCTGGAGGGGGTTGCCCCCACACCAAGACTACAAACCCGAAGGTTTCCAGGAGTCGCTGCCGAGTGTTGGTAGGGCCACTCAGTTTTTCCTGCCCTCTCCCGAGAGGCAGGTGCGATTTAAACTCCCCCGACCCGAAGATCGGAGCTCGGACTCGCTTTAATGCGGCAGTGTTGAAGATGAGACATCTTACCACTGAGCCACTCGCCCTCGCGTACTAAAAGGGAGGGTTATTTGGACATTTATAGGTCCTCAAAGGCGTGGGTTCGAGGACGAGGACAGTCGTTTTTGGTGCTAGAAAACAAGTTGGGTGCATTCAGAAGCTCATATCACCAGTATGATTCCGGTGAATTTTCAGCATCACTTGTATCGTGTCGTTATTTTCGTTTTCGCGCTGCAAAGTCCAGCTTTGCATTCTCATGGAGGGTGAAGCTCTTCGCGCGCGTTCCTGTCCTTTGCTGCTCAGCTCGTTGCTCCTGCCTTGGGCTCGTTCCAAGCCGGGAGGGCCTACGTCAGGGTGGAATCATCGGGGTTGGCAAGACGCGCTTACAGTTCAAACGCGGAGTCAGGCGGGGCACAAGTTGAACGAGTTATCTGGGAAATTAAAGTGCACGGCATGAGATTCGTCTCGAGGTATAGAGGGTGTATTGGGTGGGTAAACTGCAGTTTTTCCATCTGCAAAGAAAAGCTAGAGCCACCTCAGACTAAGAAACATGTAGCCTGCTTTAATGTAAAGAGTCATTGGAATATATGGAGAACTGATAGGTTACAGACGAACTGTCAATACAGTACGGAGTAGTACAAGTTAGGGTTGATCTATGAATTGATGGATGTGGGGCTTCGGGTGATGTCAATGGCAGATGAACCATGGTGGAACTCACAATTGCTTATTCCAAACGTCTTGGCTAGGCCACATATTAACAAAATGAATGGAGACTGCATTCAAGACAACTTCGTGCAAGTATTGTTGTGATGGCTCCTCAAATTAAACTATGCCGAATGAAACAGTAGCCTCCGATCGAATTGTGGAGCCGCCGCCGCCACCAGCTTGCTTCCCCGCAAGATAGCAACACAGTATTTACTCCGTACATATACACTTGATTGAGTTAACAAGGCCAAACGTGTCTATCAACAGGCCGTAGAGGCCAGGTATTACTAGGTGATCTTGAAATGGGACCTGGTCTTCGCATTTCGATCTGAAATATCATCGCGTGAACTACTCCACACTCTGTACTCGTACATCTTAAGAACTTGATCAAGGCTCCCAGCTATCTGACATCAAGCCCCAAATGCACTTTAGCTAGCTGTCTTGTTGATTTTGGTGGTATTAGTGAGCATTCTTCCTTCCAATGTGATAATCCATACGAGCATTACTAGTACCACTACCTCCTAGACATTCCAAGTCTCAACACCCGGGCATAGTGCGGGCTACAAAATATGGAGTAGGCAATAAAACACAGCCACACTCACCACATTCCAATAACACCATGCGATGGCCCAAAATCCAAAACTTCATACTTCATACGGAATACAGTAAATAAAGGCGCAGCAGCGGACCCAGCCGCATCCCTTGCAGCACAACAATGATTAGCCACCCGCCACAGCTCCATTAGCCCTGGCCATCAATATCGGCCCCGAAGAAAGCCACAATGACGCACAATCCCGCAAGGTGCCAACCTTCAGCTCGAAAAAAGATTGGTAAATCAATCAGATAATCATCCCCAGACAACCCCGAAACAGCCCGAGCGGGCCCCGATCTTCTCCTTCCGAGCCCCGTAGTGCAAAATCTCGGGATTGTGCAAGAAGAATTAGCCCGCCGGCGGAATTGATTTTCGTCAAAATGTCTCTCTGTTGAAATTGGTCCGTAGGGTTCGGCTTCTTTAGGGCCAGGATATCATGTCGGGTACGGAGTACGGAGTATGTCTTGCCAAGGTGCACTTTTACCCCAGCCTACGAGAAGTTATACTTGTACAAAGCGAGCATTGAGCTTATGCAATTCGTGTACTTTAACTTACCTTAGCGCAGATAAATTTCGGCCCATCCGAGAACCCCCAATGACTCATTGGATGTTTGATCGCACCCGGCGGAGGTACATTTTTCGTTGTGCCGAGGCACTTTTTTGCCGATGCCCAGAATGATCTACGAGCAGAAGTAGATCTAGCGAGAACCCGGATTAGTCTCCGGTGCAAATATTCCGAGGTCACCAGATCAAGGTGAAACAGTAGCCGTTGTTCAATCGTCATTGGGACCTGCATGTGAACTAGCACAGCAGCCATATTGAGTCACAATTTCATATGATTCCGACGTTAGTACGGAGTACATGCAGTCGAATGGACATCCACCTTAATACAGAAAGAAGATTAAACCGGATGGGGAAAGCAATATTGAAGTGGCAAGCATCAAAATGGCATTGCAAATATGGTAGATAGAATAAAAGGGCCGACAAGCCAACCAAGGAGGAATCTCACTCCCGGATAAATAATACATCAAACACGCTAGAAACCAAACAGAATTCAGATCATGAGCCCGTCAACGGGTAAAAGAAACATCTACTTCCGCAGAGTCTCTTTGGGTCCCATAACATCATCCAAAAAGCCAGACCAAAGCTCCTTGAAGGCACCAGGCTGAGCAGTAGCATTTTGACTGCGTTGGATCTCCTCGCCGACACGGGAGCGACCCACGGCCTCGGTCAACGAGAAGGGGTCCAGCTCGACAGCGTGGTTGTCGACGACCTCGCTCATGGCGCTGGCGGCGACGTCGGCTCCGTCACCGGCGACAGTGTAGATCAGTGGCTTCATGGGTGGGGCGGAAGGGGGAGAGGCGTGTCCCCGGATTGAAGGAAGCTCGGGAAGGACCGGGACTTGAATGCCGCGGTGCAGGGGGGCGGCGTCGAGGTCGGCCATGGTGGGCATGTAGACGAAGTCGACGGTTGAGTTGTCATTTAGGGCTTTTGAGGAGCGGGAGGTGTTGAATTGGCGAGTTGAGGGGGAGCTGGATGGATGTTAGACTGGGTGTTTTGGTTTGGTTGGGTGTTTCATCCCATGTAGAATGGAATAGATGTAGACATAGATGCAAATGTGAGGAGCATGGAGACTTACTCTGAGAAGGCGCTGCCGTTGATTCTGCGCATGGCAATGCTGAGAGCACGAGATTGGAGGATGTCATGGGTGGACATGGTCTTCTCGGCGGTGGTGGCGGGTTGAGCGGATTGCACGCCAGTGATGTGTAGGTTGCGGCGAGCAGGAGTGGCAGCAGGCTTGGAGACAGCGCGAAGAGCGCGGAGAGATGAACGAGGAGCAGACATAATGAAGAGAGAGTGTGAGTGAGAGAGAGACACAGAGCAAGGTGGATAGGTGTTAGGTGTGTTTGGGGAGTAGAAGGATAAAGTACAGCAAAGTTGCCGAGAACAGAGAGGAAAGGTAGGACAACTTTATAGTTGAGACTGGTTGAGAGCTATGAGGCCACTTCTTGGCGGTCTGGACCCGTTATCGATAGTCCGAAGTAGACGACGTCAACAGTTCCTGTCCTTTTTTTTTTTTTTTTTGGTTCACAGAAGAAAGTCTATTGCTTTGAAGAAATATTATTGGAGATAAAGATAAACCTCTCTATGTCACCCTCTATCTTGTTTCTTTTTATACCTATTGCGTACTCGATGCTGAACACTGAGCTCAACACTTTCTCGTTCGGAGATCTACGGCGTACCGGGTACCCATCCGTCGGTACTCTGAGCTACCCCGTACCCACCAGAACACAGAGTGACAAGATGTACCCGGTACATCACTTTCCCCCCTCGACAAAGTACCCTGTACAGCTGAGTATGAGGACATCCCCCCTCAACTCCTCCTGAAACCGATGATCGTTGCCTTATCTTGACGATCATCCAATTGAATAACCACGCCATTATTGGGTGCTTTTCCGAATTAAATTCCTCTCCCTTTAGCCTTTCCCCTCATATTGGTGAAGTATTCTCCGTTATTCTCCTAGGGAAACTGAGGTGCCTATCGGACTTTCGCTGCACCTGAGCACAGCGTGCAGATGACAATTCCTCGCCTATGAGTGGCTGTGGGGAGTGCACGTCGCTACTGATTCGCGTCAAAATTGGGGGGTCAATCATGTCTTCTCCGTACTCCATACTCCGTTTCCTTGAATCCCATGACCAGGTGGATGAGTCTAAGAATAATCGTCAGTCCCACTTTTGAAGAGTGGAGCGGTGAGCGACCGGAGTTGAGCCCGCCTTCCGACCTCCCTCGATGCTCTGCTTTACGCCTACGGAGTACAATATGCTCCGTATGGAGTGTACACCAACCGGATTGACGACGTATGCACTATGACCATGCATTTGGTGCTACGTGTCCGTCTGTAGACCGTTGGATCTGAACCCCGCAATCTTGTCAATCGAGATCAGCAGACCTGTGCTAAGGGTGGATTTAGGGGTAGTGTTTTCGATAGCTGTTCTCTGTAAGGGCTTTAGTGGTTCATCAATCTTGGCATTCTGCTTGGAATTCTTCCCCTGCAGAATCCAGGGATAGGAGTATCGTGGAATCCGATTGTCATTTTCTGTACTACCTGTGGAGGATAAATGCTCCGTATCTTGGACGGGAAACGGGCCGCGAATGGTCACCGAAGTACTAATGGAGGGGCATCCATGGATCATGTCAGATATGCATAATATCTGCACACTACTCGATCCTGTATACTCCGTACGGAGTATGTCAATGATGTTCATCTACATCGAGCTCCCAGAGTTTAATAGCCAAGTTTAGTAGCCAAATGACCCACGTGCTGCGCTATATGTTATCAGGCATCAGGAAATGAATCCCAACCGCTATCCTACGCCCCTATACTCCGTACCCCTATTCTCATAGTTTGGCGCCCGCTCGTCGCCCTTTAGCTATGGCCCGAGCGTACGGATGGGCGCGGGTTGCTGGAACCAAGTGGTCGACATCCCCGGTGTGTACGAGGTCCGGCGACGCCTGCGCCAGGGATGTGATGCCAACATTGCGCATAGAAGTCTCCAGTTCATCCCGCATGACTGAAAATCGAATCAGTTAGCAAAGTAAAAGAGTAAGTCAACAAGTCCACTTACTATCGATCAGATGCTCGACGCCCTCCTGGCCGTAATTGGTCGCGAAGAGCATACTCCTCCCCATCCCAACAGCCGTCGCACCCAGACAAACAGCCTTGAGAATATCAGTCCCGCGCCGAATCCCACTATCAACATAAACCTCCATGCACTCAAAGACCTCGGGACACCGGCGATGAATCTCCAACAACGTGATGATCGACGGCGGACTGGTATCCAGATTCCGGCCTCCGTGGTTACTGAGCAGAATCCCATCGAGTCCCGCTTTCATGGCGAGCAGAGCGTCATCCGCTGACATCACGCCTTTCAAACACACCGGCTTGTGCGTGTGCTGTTTCACCCATTTCAAATCCTCCCACGTCAGCCCGGGATCAATGAATCCTGCCATGACGCGGCCGAGCCCGCCGCCCTTCTTGTCGTTCTGAGCTTTCGATGGCGACATGGGCACGGATAGACTCTCGTCGGCTTTGACGCGCTCGTCGGCTTCGCGCTTACCGGGCCACGCTGCGTCTACCGTTACGAAGATCGCTTTGATGTTCGGGTTCGCTGAACATTGGCGCAGTAACGCGGCGGACTTTTCTCGGTCCCGGTTGACGTATAATTGGAAGAAGAAATCGGCTGTCGGTGCTGCTGTGCGCAGCTCTTCCATCGTGTATGATGAGTTATTTGAAATCTACCTTGTCAGACTCGAATTGCGTTTGTCGCATTGCGTTTGGCAGGGGGGATACTTACGCCTTGCATTATGCCTTTGCTCGCACAAGCTCTGGCAATGGCGCACTCGCCGTCCGGATGGATGAGCTTCGCCATCGCCGCTGGACTGACGAACAGTGGGAGACTATAACTTCCGCCCAGTATATTTGTTCGGGTATCGACAGAGCGAACGTTTCTAAGGACCCGCGGCCGGAACCATATCCTGTCAAAGCATGATTTGTTGGCATCTCGAGTAATTAGATCCGTAGCTGCGCTGGAGTAGAAGGCCCATGTTTTCTTGCTGGCGGTCTTGGAGGCTACGACCTCGAAGTCGTGCGAGTTGATAAGGGTATGTAGAGGTGCCTTTTCATTCTCAAGCATCACTTGTGGGTTTTCCTCTGGTGGCGGCTTGGCCCATTCTGCATCAATTGTAGACTCATCGAGAACGCCCTTGAGCTTATCTGCGTCGAGGTTATTCTTCATTACGCTGGGGGCGTGGACCTCCGAGTAGGCTTTCGTCGCATCGCTGCCTGCGTATTTCAAGATAACTGCCAACACGTCAGACATTGGTCCCGCTAGACATATTTGCGCACGCACTATTTGACCCTCCTGGGTGTTCTTCCAGGAAATCTGTCACGTCCCAGACTTGATTGTTGACAACCACCCAGCAGTCCTCGGGCGTTTTGTGTTCTGAAATCTGCTGAGTAGATAAGACCTTTGGATCCGCCATTTTCTTGTTGTAGGATTTCGCCAAACAGCAATCTTAACAATTCGTCATTGATGGTCTTAGGGCGGAATAGAACGAGTATGGAAAGGCGAAGGTGGCTACCGCAAGTTAAAGTACTCAGCAAGGGTCCGGGCGGAGAGGCCTCTTCGGCAATGTCCCCGGACTTACCCCGGACTGCTGCCAAAGCTTGAGCTTGGGCTCAACTACTACTTGTTTGTTGAAAAGGAAGCATTCCGTGCTACACGGCTTGTTTCCGCGAGTCAATTGTTCAAGGTTGCCGAACATTCCCAGAATATCCCATTGGACCAGCTCACCGGCGGTTATGAGTATTGTACAACGACGATAGAATATTGAGACAAGATCTCAGTTGCAGCAACATTTCAAGGTCTACACTGAAGGACCCGCAAGTGTCACGAATCGGCGGTGCACCGACTGGGCTGACGGATTTCTCTCCGAGCGGGTCTGATTTGCCGCCACAAATTCAAGGCATATATCTCCACCAGCCACAGGCACCAGCCCTAGTGTGGCTCACGCCTTCCGACCGTGTGCCAACACGAAATATTGTCAACAGTTGACTCATTCCATCAGCCAAAAGAAAAACGAGAACCTGAGTCATCTCATGCAAGCTATATCTGCACATAGCAGCGTCTTGAAATTTTTGAACCGTCATATCACGCCAGCTGCGAGGACTAGAGCGATTGATAGATTTGTCTTGACAGGTTGGTTTTGCGTCTCAGAATATAGATGGTTCAAACTAACTAGGCTGTCCTATTCATGAAAGATCGAGCTAATAAGAGATACAGGTGCGAATAGTCGACACAATTTGAACAGAGGATTTGTGCATCAATCTTTCATCCAAAATCGCAAAACTAGCTCCATTGGAGCGCAGAATTTCACATCAAACATGGCAGAATCCGAATCTCAGCCTATCCGATATGTTGATGTGCGTTATTCCAATTCGCAAGAAGGGTGATCATTCCAGTCCAGCAGCTGATCAAGAACCTCAGATCGGAATCAACCTGGGCGACCCCATGTTCCGTGGCCAATATCACGGCAAACAGTCGCACGAAGATGACGTAGACGATGTGGTCCAGCGCGCCAAAGATATCGGATGCTCCAAGTTCATGGTCACAGGCTCTGATCTCGAAGAATCGAAGCATGCCGTACACATCGCGAGCAAATATCGTGAGTTTCTAATCTCAAGCTTCCAGCTCTACGATTAACACAAGCTCCAAAGCTGGGCTCTGCTACGCAACCGTTGGCGTGCATCCATGCCAGGCAAAGCTGTTCGATGAGTACCCAGGCGGCCCGACAAAAATGCTAGAGGAACTCCGCACCCTAGCGACAGAATCACAAGCAGCCGGTCATGCCGTTGCATTTGGCGAGATCGGTCTTGACTACGACCGTCTATTTTTGAGTGAAAAGGAGCCGCAACTCAAGTACTTCGAAGCCCAACTCGATCTAGCCGTTGAGATTCAGATGCCGCTTTTCTTGCACTCGCGTGCCGCAAGCGAGGACTTCGAACGGCTTCTCGCTCCTAGGCTTGCGAAGCTGCCGAAGCGCGGTCTTGTGCATAGCTTTACGGGAACCATGGAGGAGATGAATCGGATGGTGGCATTGGGACTGGACGTTGGTGTTAATGGGTGTAGTATGAAGACCGAGGAGAATTTGGAGGTTGTTAAAGCTATCCCGCTTGATAGGCTTCAGATTGAGACTGATGGTCCTTGGGTGCGTATTTTCATCCTAATCAATGGGGCATTGGCTGACTTTTTAGTGTGAAATTCGTCCTTCTCATGCTTCTGCGAAACATCTGGATGGAGCGGCGGAGTTACCCAAGGCAGTTAAGAAGGAGAAGTGGACGAAGGGGTGTATGGTGAAGGGGCGCAATGAGCCCGTTGCTATTGCTCGTGTTGCTCATGTCATTGCCAGCGTGAAGGGTATCACTGTGGAGGAGGTTTGCGAAGCGTAAGACACCTGGATTCCTTGTCAGAGGCTCTACTAATCATCATTTTTTTTAAGTGCTTGGAACAACTCGATCAAGATGTTCGGATTGGGCGAGGCGCAGTAATTCAACAATTGCACATAAATTCCTAGCGCCCTGTGGGGGCTTGGTGTTCCAAGGTTCTTATTGAACAGCATTGCCCATATAGCGCACTTTGAACCTTGAAAACAACAAACTCTTTAGAGCCTAAGATATCGACTGATAGAATAGTTATTCATGGATGTTTCAATTGATGGGTATGATACATTACAGCCCTGAAGCCAACTTTTAGGGTCCCTCCATCAGTATCAAATCTGCATCCCACGCACCCATGTCCTCAACATGACACAAGCTTTTTGCAATACCTTCTCCACTGGTCGCCCCATCGTTGGGATCCGAAAAAAGCATTTTCTCGTCATCACTCCAGGTCATTTGAGAAGAAGCGGCCGTAGACAGAAAACTGTCGAGCGAGGTTTGGGTTGATTCACCCAGATCCGTGAAGCTGGTATCGCTGTAGTTGTCCAACAGCTGGCTCTCGCATTCACTCAGACAATCTGGCTCATTCAAAAGGCTCGCAAAGTTGTTTTCATCTTCTGCATTTTGTTCGACCCGGCGGGCTGCACTTTTCTCAGAAATGTAGAGAGGTTGGCCCATAGGTATGGGATGCTTGTTGCTATCTTTGGAATTCAAATCTCTGTCAAGAGTGGCGGCAGAGAGCATCAATGATCTATTTTTGGGGGGGTTTGACTTTCCTGTGGCGTCCAGGGCAATATCCCAGAGCCTCGAATGGATAAAATTCCTCAGATTTGCTGCTTGGGGATCTTTCTGGGAGCAGCCCTTGTCTGGCGATTGAGAAGGGTGTATAGACTCCATGAGTCTGCCTTTGAGGGAAGGATGACTCCCTTGAAGCATGTCTGATATCGCCTTGGTGATGGTTGGGATGATGACACCGCGTTGATTGATTGTCTAGACTCATTAGCATTTTACAATTATTGGACAGCGGAAACTCACCTCTCTATATCCGCTTTTGAAAATAGAAGGTGCTATATCTGGCAAACTGGAGAGGGAAGCTTCTGATGAAACCTGAATTTCCGGGTTTCTTACCCTCTTCGATACGATCAGTCTCTGAAAGCCAAATTCGAAGAGTTGTAGCAGATCATCAGAATATTTGTCGAATTTGCCCATGTCTGTGCAATAAGCTTGAGGCTTAATGTGCCGAGCAGATTCTTTGCAATGCATTTCTTCAAGCCAAACAGACCCATGTTCTGGGTCTGGAAGCTGTGGTTCTGCTATTGCTTCAAGCTCAAGCTCGAATTCAACAGAAGGCACTCCGCTTTGAAAAGGTTGAAGCTCACAACCGTAGGAATCTGGTGTCCGAAACATTTGCTCTTCATGAAAGCAATACTCCAGGGAGATATCCACTGAAGCCAAGGTAGCCGCCGACACGTTTTGAGGTGGACAGGCATGTGGGGGATTGACCATAGCACTAGGTAGCCTCATCTGATTCTTGCAAACAGGTGGAATATTGTCTTTGCGCAAAGAAATGTTGATACGATGCGTTCCAGAAGTAGCAAATTGTTCAACGCCTTCATCGAGAAGTGACGCCGAGAATCCGAGTTCCGACCAGACCTGAACAGCACAGTCAGTACTCATAGTTAGCACTAAGATGAAGAAAAGCTTTCCTTTAGACCACAAAGATTGTCTCTCAGCCCAGTGATTAACGTGTTGACCACGTCATTCAACCTCCGATCACAACGGACGAAGAAGCGCAGCCTCATCTCTGGTAACTCTGTTATCCAGATACCGTCCAAATCAGAGACCCAAGATACAACCCTGTGAGATTTTGGTTGGCCTTCCCTCTGCAATTGGTGAAGCTGGGCTGTTGCGGCAAGGTGGAGCTGCAGGTGTGAGCCTCGGAGTCGGAAGGTGGCTCGACCCAAGTCAAATTGAGCCATTGTCGGGAGGTTTCATCGCCAAAGGCAATACATAATTGGCTTTTTAGTAGATTGGTGTCTATTAATTCGATGCCAATTGGCCGAAGGTTATGAGTGAGGTCTGGATGGGAATAGTGGGCGGTAAACCACACCACACATGACTTCAGCCCTACAAGGAAGGAAGTGCACATGACCGTTCAACTTGTCGAGACAAGATGACATGTGATATTTTCATGTTGAACCTGTCCTAGACTACCTTTGTACATTTAAGCATCTGGATTTCTACTTGTCTAGTTGTGTTGACTTACACTCGGTGATAGCAGATTCGAGCCTCATATCCGTAGGCGTTTGAGCCGCGTAGTCTGCCTTTCATTCCATGGCGTAGACTATACCACATTTGGCTGAATGTGTCTGCTTATACAAAAGAGAAAATCGAAGTCTTTTCATGCGTTGAAAAGATTGGATTCTGCATTAGAATTCGGAGACGATAGGTGGGATAGGCAACTGTTCGCCATTCCATCAAAGATGCTCTGGATGAACACTTTGATGGAACAATGTGGCATCACATAAAACATCTGCAATGAGTGAAAGGAAACATGTTGGGCGACTATGATCTGATCAGACAACGAGCACCTTTACACGAGGCTTATACCCGGGGTCACTTAGAGCCTAAATCAGATTGGTTTCGATGAGATTCAGTGTTGTCTGAATGCCAACATTCATGATGCTTGAATAGATGGTTTTGATATCATTCACGGGGGGTAAAGCTTGAATAGAATATGGCCTTACATATGAAGATAATCAAATTGATCCTCACAGAGCAAAATCACACATTTAGAAATTCAATTTTTAAAAAAAAGAAATATGGTTGCAGCCAGCCCTGGAGACTTGTCAGGCCGATAACGCTTATCGGATCAAAGCGACTTTATCGATAACGCCTCACGTGCGGCCCCCATTCAGGCGGCCTGAAAGTAACTGACAGCTTGCAACTATTCACGGTCAGCGATGCCAGGGGTGGAGACGTCAGAGGATCAACTGCCTGGCCATGGCCACAACGAGAATGAAGCCCAATTTCCTCTGTTGGCTTCAGACGAGGAGCAAGACCTAGCATTCCAACCGGAGTCCGTTCCGCCGCCGATCCCCTCACGCAACGCGACAGGTAAACGCCACTCCTCGATATCCCAGCCCGCACCCGATGGACAGCGTCGCACGCCCCGTACCATGAACCGAGTACGATTTGATTTGGAGGAGGAGTCTGAGCACTCCGAGCGCCGTTCCATTGACCGTGCTTTGAGCCCAGACGATGAATTATGGATCGACGATGAAGACTATGAACTTGGCACGAGGGGATCGGGAACTCAGCACAATGGACAGTCAATCCCCTTGCTCACCAATATCGAGGCCCCCAGTGTGACTCTCGCGACATCGGACGAGTTCTTCCCCGAAGAGCACCTGGAGGATGCGCGACCCAGGAGTGGTATGAAGATGGCATTTATGAACATGGCCAATAGCATCATTGGTGCTGGAATCATCGGTCAGCCTTACGCGCTTCGTCAGGCCGGCCTGACTATGGGTATTCTGCTGTTGACTGCTTTGACATTCACGGTGGACTGGACCATTCGGCTGATTGTGATCAACTCCAAATTGAGTGGCGCGGACTCTTTCCAGGCGACTATGCAGTACTGTTTTGGGAAAAGCGGTCTGATTGCAATTTCGATAGCGCAATGGGCATTTGCATTTGGTGGAATGGTGGCATTCTGCATCATCGTGGGCGACACAATACCGCATGTGCTAGGTGCTTTGTTCCCATCTCTTCGGAACATGTCCTTCTTGTGGCTACTGACAGACCGTCGGGCTGTGATTGTGATTTTCGTCTTGGGTGTTTCGTATCCACTTTCTTTGTACAGAGACATTGCAAAGGTAAGGTCGTCGCTTTGGTGAGTATAGGTCTGAGGCTAATTGAGGGCCATAGTTAGCAAAAGCGTCTGCATTAGCATTGGTCAGCATGATTGTTATTGTGGTCACTGTCATTACCCAGGGCTTCAGGGTTCCCCCTGACGCACGCGGAGAGATCAAAAGCCACCTTGTGTTTAATACCGGCTTTTTCCAAGCTGTAGGTGTTATTTCTTTTGGTAAGTTGAAGCTGTTCCTATTGATGCTTGAAACATTGCTAACTCATCCTCAGCGTTTGTCTGCCGTATGTCAATCCACCTCATTGCAGGGAGTTCCAATACTGATTTCCACAGATCATAACAGCCTTCTCATATATGGCTCCTTGAAAAGACCCACTCTTGACCGGTTTACCAGAGTCACCCATTACTCAACAGGGGTGTCTTTGATCATGTGTCTTGCTATGGGTATTGCTGGATTTTTATCCTTCGGGTCTAAGACCCAAGGTAACGTTTTGAATAACTTTCCATCCGACAATATTGTCGTTAACATAGCACGATTGTATGTCTTTGCTATCAAACTTGATTGGACTTTCTGCTGACTTTGACTAGTTGCTTCGGCCTCAACATGCTCACCACCCTACCGCTGGAGGCTTTCGTCTGCCGTTCCGTCATGACCACTTACTATTTCCCCGATGAGCCACATAACCCAGCTCGACACATTCTCTTTACGACAGCCCTAGTGGCTACTTCACTGGTGTTGTCTTTGCTGACTTGCGATCTGGGAAGTGTGTTTGAGCTCATTGGAGCTACCAGCGCTGCTTCTCTGGCATATATCTTCCCTCCTCTCTGTTGGATCAAACTCAGCGGCGCGTCACGACGGGAGAAGATCCCTGCTTATCTATGTGTTTGCTTTGGTCTGGTGGTCATGGGTGTCAGTGTGGTTCAAGCAGTGGCCAAGATCATTCAAAGTAAGTCATGCTCTTCTCATCCCATACATGTCTCGCGTTTCTCAATACTGATGAACGATTTTGTGTACAGACGATGGTGAAGCACATTCCTGCAGTGCACCTTAGGTGATTACTATGCTATCTCTTGTGGGTGTATACCCCCATGCCCCTGGCATCAGGAGGTATCCCAGAGAGACCTTGTACATACATCTGTATAGTAAATATACCAATATTGTCATGACTGCCCCGGTTTGGCTGTTAAGGTAAACCTTCCACCGAGTCATTGAATATCGACTGTACAGGATACTGCTGCCACTTCCCTTCCCATCTAACTAAAGTATCTGGGCATATTTACTCACTTGGCGATGTGAATGAGTTGGGTATCACGTGTTTGACACCTGGTCAAGAGTCGAAGGAAGGCACGATGGTCTGAAATGATAATAGCGCGTCCCTGCCTGTCTTTCTTAACGCGTCCGGTGGTGGAAGTGTCCACGGGACCGTCCGATACAACGCGTTTTGTTTGGCCTCGCGTTCCCACGTCTTCTCTCTCCTTCGTTCTCTTCTACGATCTCTCTTCCCTTACATCTCCGCCATCTTCCTGCCCATCTCAGTGCCATCTCTTTGGCCTTTTATCAAGTTTCTCATCCTCAATGGCTGATGATCGTTGGGGCTTTTGATATTAGGCCGCTTCTGCTCCTCACAGACAATCACTTGAGCTTCTTCGGGCTCTTTTATCTTTTCTTCTCTTCTGCTCTGTTATCAGGCCTTTTCTAAGGCATTTTTCTATTTGATCTCTTTTTCTCCGGAGACCTCACTTCGTGCCAGAGTCAACCTGGTTCTGGCCTTCACTTTGGGGGGAATCTACATCACATTGGCTCTCTATCAGAGCAACCTGGGTTGTTTTTCTTCCTCTTTTGCTTCCTCTTACTTTTTGCTTCGTTTTGAAAATCCACCAAAGCAACTCCGATATCACCATGTCTACTGATAACGCCTCGGCTGATGCTGAGCGAAATCGCATGCTGCAAGCTATCATGCTAGTAAGTTTCACTTGCCAGGCTTGTTATGTTCTCTATCAATCAAATCACTAACCTAATCTAACAGGCTGACCTGGGATCAGAGCGTCGGGACAAGTGCACGACTTCCGATGCTACGCGGGCTCGCGCTGATGCAGAAGCACTGAACTCTCAGAGACGAAGTCATGTTGAAGGAAGTGCAGCACAGTGCCAGTCTGAGATTGACAGAGAACAGCTGAATAAATGGAACAGTCAGTCAAGAACGAGTGCTTGTGCTTTGAACCTATGCTAACTTGTTTCATTTTCAAAGCTTTCTACCAAACTGTGGATGATACAGGCCACATGGAAAACCTTCCTGATATCGCTGCTGGTCAGACTCACCGTGCGGCTTTGCAAGCTTCGATGCGGGCACTGGAAACCCAGCACGCACAGCGTGGAGCTCACGGGTTTGGTGGGCGCGGTGGTGGAATCTCCGGTTCGCGGGGACGTGGCGGCTTCAGTCCTCGTCAAAGAACTACAAGCGTGGGAGCAATTGCGAAGCCTGGCCGACCTGGACCTGCCAATCGATCAGCCACCATGTCTTTTGGCTTGGATCCTGCGTTGAACAGCAACAATGATCCCAATGAAAGCGATTCTCGCAACCGGGGCAGAGGAACTCCCAGAGGGCCCCGTGGATCAGGGCGAGTAAGAGGAAAGCAGCAAAGTCCCACACTGTCTACACGTCCCGTCCCATCTAAGAGACCACAGCGACCCGAGGTCAACTTCTCCAGCAACCTTGTTGACCCGGTGAACTTCATGACCTCTTATCGACGGGCTACTGGAGCTGCATCGACTGCTGGCCCAGAGAACGTGTCAGCTCCACTTCCAATTCCTCCAGTCTCGACATCTCTTCCCCTTGGTCAACCCGAAAAGATCAAAACAGCATCAGCGCATTCAGTGGCTCGACCTGAGACACCAAAGCCTGCTGTCAGTGTTGCCCCTGTTGACAAGTCTTTGCAATTTGGTCAGCCGAAGACCCCTACGGCTACTCCTAAGCCTGTTGCGGTGGTAAATCTCGGGAGTCATCAAATTAAAGCTCCCACTTCGCCGTCCAAGCCAGCTGCCGCCAGGAAGATTCTTCCGCTCAAGAAATCTCGCTCGGGACACTCAGCTGCACACAGCGTAACTGTACAGCCCCCGGACATCGGACCTCTCCACAAAGAGATTAAGTGGAACATCTCTCCTGGTGAGTTCCCACGAAAGAAAGAGCCTGCTGGATCTGTGGGCTCTGCAACAAAATCCAAGGTTGTCGGCGATGGCAAGGTTTCGTTTGCACACCCAACGAAACCGAAAAATCCTCCGGATAAGTCGCACATTGGTCCCAAGTCAACTATTTCTGCGCATGCACCTCAAATTACACCCACTAGGGATGCTTCTAAGGCGAAGAAAGCTCAGACTACTGGAGGTGGCAATTTGAACGTCTCTCGCACACCCAAGTCACAGAATCCCCAGGGCGCTTCACTACTAGATAGCGCGAACTCTCCTCTCCCCGTCGAATCGCTCCAAATCCAACCTATCAAGACTGAGGTCCAAGCCCAAAAGGCTGAAACTGCTCGCACCCCCAAGCCCAAACAGGTCGTAAGTGGCTCACTTCTGGATACTGCCAACTCCCCTCTCTCTACTCAGCCACTAAAGAACGTGCCTACCAAGCCGAAGATCAAAATTGAAAATGCCAAAGCTGAACATGGGCAGAACGATCCCAAGCCGCTGGCTTCTGATGATTTGAACTCACAGGTCGAAGGCTCCAAGGTCACGGGAGACACGTCGAGCGGCTCTATTCTTGATATGGCCAATCAACCCCTCAATGAAGAAGCACTTCAGATTCCTCTTAGCGCTATGACTCCTGCTTCTAAAGCATATGTCGCGAAAAGCCCAGGAACCACTGAGTTGCTAGGCCTCGAGTTTGCCGCCGACGAGTCCCCAAAATCGATCGATGCGGTTCTTTCCCGGGCAGAGAAGATCTTGCCAACTTCCAATGAAGCTGAGTTCGAGCGACTTCTCGCTCAGCGTGTGGAAGAGGAGGTCGCCATCCGTCTGAAGCACGCTCGTGAGATTTTGAAGCGACCTGGTGAGCACGCGCGGTTCGAGGACTGGTTGAACCAAGCTGACAAGAATGAAGCCGCTGTCATACAGGATGCACTGCGCAAGGCTAGTTTTACTCGCTATCGTTCGCCGGAACGGGTCGAGACTGAGACTGACTCCTCTAATGAGCCAACTCCAGAGGGGAAGCTGAAGAGCTTGCTCTCAACCCCTGTCAAAGACGAGTTCATGAACCGGTTCCCCGTCCCCGGTATCCCCGCTAGTGGCCCACGTGCCACTGATGTTACAAGCAAGGCGGTTTCTGTCCCTGTTCAGGTCGTCTCGGCATCTACCCAGGCCGCCACAGCTTCTAGCCAGGCCATCCCAGCTCCTATTCGGATTACCCCAGTTCCTACCAGCATGGTTCAAGCTAAAGCAGCTTCCAAGACGCGCTCTGCCCCAAAGCAAAGCCTCCTCGACTCCATTTATGCGTTTCAGCCCGAGGAGCCAGCTCCAGCTCCAGCTCCTCGAGTATTCAGTGGGAACATCCCCAAGCCCCGGGATCCAAAGGCGGCTGGAGTTCAACTTATTGGACCGGCACCCTACGACAAGAACAAGAAGCCTGGACATTCCCGTGCATCGAGTGTCCACACGCAGGCAGAGAACGTTCCAGTAGCCGCTTCAGTTGAGTCTGAGTCCGGTCCCCGTGTGAAGGTGATTGGTGTTCAGCCTTACATCGCCGGCAGCCGTCGAAAGTGAGCACCCTTTGATTGGGGTCCTTTCTACGTGATCATTTGAGATATTAGGAGATTTCTATTTTTTAGCCTTTCAGAATTGTATGGATTATTGCTAATTTGTAATGAAATTTTCTAGTCAGTATCTTTTCCTATCATGGTAAACTCAAGCTTGTCTTGGATCCCAAGGTCAAGGCTAACTTTCTCCCTGTAACTTTTGTATACATAATGCTAGTCTCAGTATCCCCATCCTGTGGTCTCATGGATTCTGGATATCCGTGCTGTTGATCGGTTCCAACTCTATGCATGGAGCGTTATTTCCTTTCAAAAGGAAGAAAATTTTGGCCACTCATGAGTATGGCTGTCAGGTTGTATTTCCAACCAGTTATACGAGACCCAGGGAACTAGAGAGAGAGAGAGCACGGTTATGATGAATGGTAATTTTTTCAATCTAATCAATCAACGTGGAGTTTCACCACAGTCCAGCTCGTGGATCAACATAGATGGGACTGAAAATCGCACGGGCGACAAGCATTGACACATAGTAGTTTGCGATATTCGAGACCCAGGACCCCGGGCCTACAGGTCTGATGAATCTTTAACCCCGAAACGCCTCCCAAACCTCTGCGGTAAAACGTAAGAAAAGGCCGCAGGCCTTGAACCCCGAAATATGACAGCAAAACGCAACGCGCAATTCCCCATGAGAGGAGAAAACTTGAATCATGTTCATTACTAGGCAGGCGCACGAGGCCCCGTAGACCCCAATTCTGGGTACAGGACACGAGGTCGTTTTGGATCGGTTGGTCCGGGTACGGGTGCCCCAGCAGCACCAGTGGAATCATTCATATTGACGTCGGCCAAGGGTGGGCGTTTGCCATTGAGGTTTTGTGCTGGCGGAACACTGCCTCGACTCATAGCCACCGGGTTGGAAATACTCCTTTGGTCTGGATTAGGTCGGGTCAATGGTCGATAGGATGAGACCGATTGGCCTCTAGCGACGGGACTGGCGGTTGCACCAGGGGCGCCGACCCTGCGCTGCATGTCTGCTGCAGGGTTGACGTAGTCACGGGAGTTGGTGCTTGGTGCTGGAGAGGCGGACGATAGCATGGGTCTGGATATGGGGACGCTTTTGGTGTGGTCTACGCCAGCCGTCTTGCGAATGGACGGGCTCTCTGCGTGAGGGTCGAACTGTGGGGCACCTGAGGGGACAGAGTTGGGGTTATCACGCAGGAGGTCGACTGCCCTGGCTGAAAAGAATCCACCAGATGGTGTGCCTGCTGGCGGGTTCATGTCCTGGTTTACTGGAGGCGGGTTTTCTCGTTTGATCGGAGGTTGCGCTGTGTTATTTGGAGGGGCGGCCTGGCCAGGCGGTTGTTGGGGTGGAAATGATGCGCGAGGGTTCGAGACGTTTGGTGGACCTTGGCCGGGAATTGGCCGGCCTTGTGCTGCTGCAGAAGCCATCATTGCAGGATTAGGCCGTCCATTTGGGGGGATAGGCCGTCCAGCTGGTCCCCATCGCTCTGGCTTTGAAGGCGTTACAACAGACGGATTGACTACTGTTTTCACCGGTGGCCCTGACGGTACGGGTCCAGTTGTTGATGGAGCAGCTTGACGTCGTTGTGGCTCTGTGTCTATCACGATCTCATCGGGGTTGCCGGTCTCAGCTACCCCAAAATCGGCTTCATCAAACAGGTCACCTGGATATGATCAGTGATTTTCGAGATTCCTTTCCTCTCAAGACTTACTGCCAAATTCTCCCTCGCCATCGAATGAGCCCTGCTTCGCTGGTGGGTTTGCCTTCACTTGCTGTATCGGGCGAGCAATGGGCGTCCCTTCATTATCAGGCGCTTTTGGAGGAGGAAGAGGCGGTTGTTTCTTGGCGGGAGGTGCGTAGTCAGGGTGGCGATGCAAATCTTCCACGTCCCATCTGCCCTGTTCTTGGTTTAGCATGGCGCATGGATCGGCAGGTGTTGGGGGTCTCACTGGCGCCGCCTTGACTTTGGTCACCTTCGAAACATAGTCCTTATCATAGATGCAGTTGCCCAACACGTTTCCGAAATTCCTTAAAGCACGTTTCAATGCATCTGTTGTGCCTTCTTTCTTGGCTTTCTCGAATGCCGCGGCCTTGCCCTTGCAGTTCTCGATGTGTCCATAGCCAATGTCCTGGAAGGGTCCTGATCAGCACACCCGATAATCCATGTTTTGCTGTTGTCATACCTCGTGAAAAGTCCCATCTCGGAGTGTGACCCTCATAATGACCGAAAGACCCAAGCTAATCTTGCCTGTGTTCTGGTTCTCCTCGACCTAGTTTGAGAGCGTCAATGAAGCCCCTCAAGATATGGACCCGAGACAAACTCACGAAGTCAATCTGGATGGTCTGTATTGAACTAGACCAGCCATTGAAACCAAACACCTCATTTGCCAAGTTGATACACTTATCCGCGGAGAGATAATGCACCTTCTGCCCCGCGGCACCTGGGCGTGCAGAGATGTATTCAGGCCCCAACTTCTTGTCAAGACGGGCTTGTAATGTCGCAATTTCTTGTGCTGTGTATTCGTTTATTCGGCGCTGGGGCTCCTCAAATGGATTCGCTGTTGCTCCTGTGGAGTTGGGCATCATGACGGATCCCGCACCGCCGCGGTGTTGATCGCCAACGCTGGAAGCGGCTCTGTTAGCGAGTTGATCCTGTGGATTGCAATCAATCGAACGAGTCATTGGGGTCTCACGCTGGCATTTTCTGAGAGGGCTGTGTTGTGTGAATGATGGCGTGTGGGCGCGTCTTGTTGCCTGGCGCGTTCATCGCGACATCACATGATGATAACATGATAAGCTTAGAGCTTAATTTCCATTTTGGGAAAGTAAATAGAACTGAGCAACACAATTTATCATAATCTCTATATCAAGCAATTAACAAATCAAATAGAAATAATATTATAGTTAGACACAGCTTATATATCAGGGCATCATATCCAATTTGCGTCGGAAAAGAAAGCATGGACCCATGAACTTAGGGTAAAGTCGAGTTTCCAGGTGCCTATGGCTGAAGTCTACCTAGTACCTACCCAATTATCCAAATATTTAGGTAGATAAGGACGAACGAAGAAATTGCATTGCCTTGTATTGCTTCCTTATGTGCTGTGTTATTGTATCCAAGCTTCGGTATCCTGGTGTCATACTTGTTGAGTAATTAGGAGAGAGGAGTCCAAAATTCATTTTAATCCGATCAGCTTAGCCCGTTGTCAACCCGATATCAAAGAATCAAATGTTGAGTACATTTTTTAAAGATCATTGCGAATTACTACCGCGAGGTACAGCATAGAAGCGCGATAGAAAGCCGGGGAAGGAAGTGGGCCTTATCGCTCGCCGCCTTTTTGGTACGTCACCTGCTTTTTGCGACTTAAGCTCTTCACCTTCTCTCACAACCGCTATTCCAATTTATTTACACCACAGTATCTTCAATCATGGCATCCGATCTAGACCAGCTTATTGAAATGGGATTTGACCCAGATCGCTCCCAGATCGCAGTCACAAAATCAGGTGGTTGTCAGTATCCGCAGTCTCAACACCTAAATTGAAAGCAGTGATCTGACCGATTTTACAGTGCAGGGCGCATTGCAGTGGCTCGAGGATAACCAAGACAAGCCGTTGGATGAAATCAAGGCAGAGGCAGAGGCCCAAAGCGAGGACCCCGCACTTCAACCAGGTGAAGCGCCACGAAGCTTGGTCTGCAACGAATGTGGCAAGAAATTCCGAGGCCAGTCGCAGGCTGAATTCCACGCCTCGAAGACAGAACACGTCGACTTCTCCGAGTCTACGGAGGAGATTGCCCCGTTGACCGAGGATCAGAAGAAGGAGAAGCTGGCAGAGCTGAGAGAGAAGCTTGCAGCGAAACGCGCAGGGCAGTCTGTGCAGGATAAGGAAGACAAGAAGAGAAACGAAGTATGTGTCTGGGTTGGAGTTGATGGTCAACCGGAGGAAGCATACTAACCATGCCCTAGGAAATCCGACGCAAGAGCACCAAAGAAAGCCAGGATGCCAAGGAAGATCTGCAACGGAAGCAGCAGATGAGGGAGGCGGCTAAGAAGAAACAAGAAAAGCAAGACGAAATCGATGCGAAGAAGCGCATCAAGGCCAAGATCGAGGCGGATAAGGAGGAGCGACGCCTCAAGGCCGAACAGCAGCGTGCCGAACGCGCCGGAGTTGCGCCGCCTCAGCCTGTTGCCCAGGCGCCGGCCCCATCTAAACCTGCTTCAGCTTATACCGAGTCTCGTTTGCGTTTCCAGTCGCCCAAGGGTAACATCATGAAGACCCTGCCCGTGGAGACCACCTTATTTGAAGTTGCGGCTGCCCTGAAGGAACAGGACGGAGTTGATGTCCAAAGCTTCGTTCAAAACTTCCCGAAAAAGGTCTTCGATGCCGAGTTCTTCGGAGAGAGTCTGAAGGAGCTGGGACTCGTCCCCAGCGCCAGTCTCGTTATCCAATGAGTGATGTCATACCCCCTCGAGGGCGCATAACTAGATAGTATACTTTACTTTGCTATGAATGAAATGAGACGAACCTTTGCATGGCGCGGAAGAAGGGCATGGTGTTTACTTGGGGACGAGTCCTACGAAAATAATCTGGATACTTTTGGTTATTAAGAAATGATTTTTCTTTTGCGCCCTCTCTTGGAACATTTTTGGCTCCAGACTAGTAGATAAGCCAGCTCAAGCAGTGGTTGAGCCCAAGCCAGGGTTCCTTGGAGCTCCATGGCTACCCATGTAAATGAAGCCTATGAAGTTGTCTTCGAGGGCATCTGTGTATATACTCCGTACTGGCCTTGAAAATGGATGGTTGTCTCAGTCACACCAACCTGACCCTCAAATTTGACCAAGTGGGATGGCATACCGTTAGTTATATTGGGATCGACAAGAGGGTTGGGTTTTTTTTAGAAACTTCTGAGATGAACACATTGTTTGTTTTTTGGAATGGCGTGCGTGAAAAATTGTGCCAAAGCACCCCCAAATGGTGACAATCAAACATGAACCAGCAAGATCTATAGGATCTGATCTGTAGACTGGAAAAGTGGGATGACCCACCGAGGCACATGCGGATCTAGGTCACTCACGTCGGCGCCCGAAGATGCACAAATGGGCGCTTACGCAGTGGCGGTCACCACAGAAAATAGCTAGCAAAGCGAGGTCGGCAGAGCAGCTCAAGTAGTCCAAGTAGTCCAAGAAAGAAAAGAGCATATCAAAGCAGAACGAGGTGAAACAAACAACTCGAAGTGACATCACCTGACTGGTGACTAAGCCCTTTCCCCGGGTAATCAAACTCCTGATGTTGCGGCCTGTTTAGACCTGATAACCCTCCCACACGTTTATTTTCACGGCGCGACCCAATCGCACACACGTTTTTGGCTCTTCTGCCCTCTTTGTTCTTTTCCCTTTAGCTTTGATCCCGACCAGGTGCACCATGACTATTCAAATCGAGCCTTCGGAGCTGGGCTTCAAGCGTAAGTGCTTGGACATGTGTCAATCTCTCAAATGTTGGCCTTTGAAGCTTATACCATAGCTGCAGGCCCTTTCAACCATGAGGTTTGCCAGGTGCTCCGCTTGAGCAACCCAAACCAGGAAGCTGTGGTTTTCAAGGTTCGTTCTCCCAATGTTCTGTCGCAGACTGCACAAACTAACAGTTGATCCTCGGCATCAGGTCAAAACCACCGCTCCGAAGCAGTACGTTCCCGCAATTCCATGCGCGACTCCATATATGGTTGGCTAAACAGAAAACAGTTATTGTGTGCGCCCCAACTCGGGCCACATCGAGCCGGGCCAGTCTGTTGAGGTTCAAGGTTGGTCTGATATTTGGATTCGCACAAAAACAGAAACGCTAATTATTGGTAACAGTGCTGCTGCAAGCTATGAAGGAGGAGCCTGCTCCAGGTGCCAAGTGCAAGGACAAGTTCCTGGTCCAGGCCGTCCCGGTCTCCCGTGGCTTGGAGAATGCCACCGTCTCTCAGATCGTACGCTCTGCCGAATCGCGAATGTTGACAAAGCACACTGACAGTTCTATCTAGTTTGATCAAACCCCCAAGGCCGACGTGGTTGAGCGCAAGATCCGTGTCGTCTTCATCGCAACAGATGCCTCCTCAGACAAGGCCAACGAATCGGTTCGTCTTGCGACAAGCATATCCTGTCTAAATCAGACTAACAACTCCTAGGTTCTCGACGAGGAACCCCCCTCGTATAACTCCCCCGGCGGCGGTAACTTCCAGACCCCTGCTCCCAAGAAGATCCAATCCGACGAAGCTTCCCCGATCCCCGCCCCCGACTTCGCCGAGAAATACAGCCCCGAATCTCCCCAGCGCGAGCCCGCATCCGCCATTTCCACCGCGCGTTCTGCCGTTGCCAATGCCCTGCCCTCAAGCGATGATGTCAAGGCTCAACTTGCCGAAGCCAATGCCACAATTCAGCGCCTCAAGGACCGCCTCGCAGACCAAGGTCTCCGGCAACGCAAGACTGGCGCCGAGGCCGGCTCGGCCGCCCCCGCCACTATGCAGCAGTCACATGCGCAAGGGCAGGGTGGTGTGTCGATCCAGATTGTCGCGGCACTGTGTCTGCTGAGCTTCCTGATCGCCTACTTTTTCTTCTGAGCTGGTCTTCTCGCTTTTTAACGGTCTAATATGGCTGCGTGACTCGCACGCCTCCGGTTTAACGTCGCTGACGCCCCCCACAAATTCCCATCTACTCTTTGAAGAGCATGCCGTTTCCTATCTGTTCTAGCATCAGCCTTTCACTGCGCTTTGATTTTCTCCGCTGATATTGATATACATATCTTCTTTGCCCCCTGCGAATTTCTTGAGGCTTGATTCCTCTATCCGTTCTCCCGGCTTTCCTTATGTTTTCCTCACTTTTCCTGTCTAATCCCATTTCATGACGCACTAGCCTCTTGATTAGGTTTTTCTTTGTTCCATAAACAATTTTTCAGTTGGCGAGGTAACCCTTGTTCTTGTTAGACCTGATCAGTTCTACATCCTAGCTGACGATTTTACTCTTCCAATGTACGGTTCACTATTGAAACATATCGGTAGTAAGCTTGTCAGCCCTTGGCTGAGTACAAGTGTAGACCCGGTACCGCAGGCCTGCTATTCCGCCAAACAAAACTGTAATGCAAGGTTAAACGGTTTAATTCGAATTCATAAACTAGTAACTCCGCCCATAATGTGTCATAGAACCGCTGAAAATACCGACCCTTTTTAAAAAGATAAAAAGCTCTAGCACTGAATCTCACTCTCTTTCCAGCCATCGCCTTCCTCACCCGCCGGACCCGCCGACGCAGCCGAGATACCTTCACCACCGCGCCCAGTCCCCTGACCAGCAGTCTTATCACCCTTCTTCCCACCACCGACAATACGACCACCCTGCTCGCGCTTCACACGGCACCAGGGTCCAACATTCTTATCCAGAATAAATGTATAGATAACCCACACCCAGCTCCGATGGCAAGGAAGCGGCTCATAGAAATCACTCGCGATCTCATGCAACTTATGCAGCTTGGTCCACGGAATAGCCGGGAAATCGTGGTGCTCGTTATGCAATCCCACATTGTAAGTGAGGATATTGAGGGGGCCGTAGTAGGAGTATGTCTCTGGGGGAGGAAGTGAGTCCAGGGGATGCGGCTTCTTGGTCTTCTCTCCGTTCTTCAGCTGTGTCAGGGACTCTGTGCCACCGGCCTCGACGTTAGAGAAGAAGTAGTGCTCAGCGATGAAGTGGCCTGCGCAGGGGTGCAGGGATCCGGCTAGGAATGAGCTCATTAGGAAGTAGAAGACTGGCTGGTAGGTTCCGCAGAGTTGGGAGAAGAGGTAGTCGAAGGCGATTTCGACGGAGACGTTCATCAGGTGGATGTATGTGAATGGTGGGCTGTAGATGAACATTGGGCGCACGGCGTAGAAGAGGATTTGAAAGGTGCAGAAGAAGGTCTTGCCCAGGAGGGAGTTGAGGAAGAAGGCTTCGACTGCGGTGGGGAGGTCGGTGTCGAGACCTGTTACTCCGAGGGATTTGTGGTGTGTCAGATGGTAGGGCTGTGTTGGTTATGTTAGTCAATTGGGTTCTGGTCCGAGGGTGAGGGACGTACTCTGAAGGCAGCACTGTATGGCAATCCGATGGGCAGATTGGCAAAGATAGCAAGCAGACGGTTGGCAAATGGAGACCGGAAAGCCAGATTGTGTGAGATCTCATGGATGGCCAGGAACAGGTTCTGGTTGCAAGTCGCACCGATCACGTATGCTGTCACCAGGAATCGCCAGTCGAGCATAGAGGTATTGCGGAGGAGGTAGGCGCAGCTAAGTTGCAGAGAGACCACACCGAGGACAACCCATTTTGTGAGCGGCTCAGGGCCACAGAGCTTCGTGACCTAGATTTATGAAAAGACTGGATTAGCATTGGAGTTGCAGGTAAGGGCCGCTCGCATCCAATCCAGGGATCTCCGCAAAACCTCCGCACGAGGCATTGGCTGATCTCTGGTACTGCGGCGAGCGCTAACGGTGCATCGAACATACCTCCGGGTGGGCTTTGATGATTGCTTGCCGTCTTGAACGATGCGGCTCCTCGGTGTAAGTCCAGAAGAAGTGGTCGTCGACCAGGGCCTCTGGTGCCTGGATCCTTGTTGACTCGGGTTCGGTCTTGGATGCTTTCGCGGCCGACACTCGAAGGTGCGGCGATTTGGTTTCAATGACCGACATGCTGTTAGTTGATAGTAGTCAAGCCCCGATGTAAAGGACACGAGCCAATTTAAAAAAAGGTCGGGACCTGGTTGTTCCACGTGGGGCGACGCGGAATACTTGATAGCCTATGGCTTGGCAGCGATCGGCACATTAATCTTGCCACTACGGAGTGCTTGCCCTGTGGTTAGAGGCATTACTAATGGACTTTTGTTGTCTTGTACAATATGTTTCGATGTACTTTTGGTATCTGCTTATATCTAAGATTGGATCAGTAGTCGTCGCCGCGGCTGATGACTTCCTTAACATTCGGGCGCAACACAATGGTCTGGAGAACGTTAGTAGATGCATGTGGAGTAAACAGAAATAGAAACACATACATGTTCGTATTGGGCGGTGTATGAGCCCTTGATATCGCAAAGAGGGGGGTAATCATTGACAATGCCAGATGAGACCAGGTTGTTCAGCTATATTAATGTCAGCTTCCGAAACAAATGTTCTAGTTGATGGTAAACATACGCCCAAAAGGTACTTGTCCTGGCCGAGACGATCAAGGTAACGGCGACAGAAGGGAAGGGTGCCGAAGTTCTTGTTGATGACATTCAACAAGTTCTTGGCGGAAGAAAGACGGAGGGGAACGTTGGGGGCCTCGGGGTTGAGAGCATAGTGTGAGGTTTCCATCTAGTGATGTGTTAGCGTAGTCTATAACTGGTGGTTGCATGATTCGCTCACCTCCTCCCGCACGTATCCCTTTCCGGTACTACCGAAGGTCTCAATGGCGAAAACCTCGCCTTCTTCCATCTTGGTCTGATCGGTGCCCTTGACAATTGGAACACTCTTTCCGCCGTGGATGATGTGCTGATCAATGTTGTGACCGTTCAAGTTACGGATACACTTAACGGGGTGCATGGTGCCGTTGAGTTCAACTTCGTAGCTCTCCATGGCTTCCTGGATAGCTGCTCCAATATCGCTCATGCGGACGTCAATTCCAGCTTCCTATAGACCAGTTAGATTTCCTCATGTCGATTGCGCCCAAACTAGAAACTTACCCGGATACCAGTGTTGGTAGCGTCCTTGACAGCCGCCAAAAGGGGGTCGTATACAGGGTCGAAGGACATGGTGAAAGCACTGTCAACGATGCGACCGTTGAGCTGGGCACCGAAATCGACCTTCATAACATCTCCCTGGTTCAGAACCATCTTGTTTCCGGCGTTCGGGGTGTAGTGCGCCGCGCAGTGGTTAATGCTCAGACCGCAAGGGAAACCCATACCACCCTTGAGGTTGTCACCCTCCTCCAGACCGGAGTGGCCGGTCAGAGCGCGCACTGAATCCTCAATACCCTCCGCGATTTCCGTCAAGGTCTGGCCGGGCTTGATGTTCTTTTGGGCATATTGGCGGACTTGGCGGTGAACTTCGGCACCCTGGCGATATTCCGTCAGGAAGTCATTGTTCATGCGATCAAGGTAGCGCTTCTCTTCGTTGGTGGTACGGTAGGCATTTTCGTTCAAGTATTCGACGATCTCGCCCTCGGGGTATTGGCCGTTGGGGAAAAGATTGGAAACGGGAACACGGGGAGGTTCGCTTTGGACCTTGGCGCCAGCCTTCTTCTTCTTCTTGGGCTTCCTCTTCTTCTTCTTCTTGTCGGCTATATTAGTTGAGCGGACAATTAGCGCTATTCACGCCTGCGGGGTAGGATCCGAAGCGCGGGGTAAAAGACAAAATGGATTGATTTTGGAAACACATACCTCCAGCAGCACCGCCCTCTGGTGTGTCTTCTTGGGCGTCGTCCGAGTCGTCCTCGACGTCGGCGGGGGTTTGGTTGGCTGGGGGGCTTGGGCGTTGACTGGTAGTTGATCAGTCACGCGGTAGAGATGAAAACACCAAGGGGAAACTCCTTACGATCCAACTGATCCAACTTCTCAGTAGTTTGAGCTGCCATCTTGGTGTTGAGGGCAATTCGATGTGTCGATGTCAAAAGAGGGGAATATTGAGCGGATGTCGGGGAAAGAATTTTGCTGATAAGAGCGATAAGGGTTGGAGATTGCCACTGTAAACAGCCTCATGTTTGGTTGGATTCTGTTCATTCTTTTGAATTCTTCCGAGCTTTTGTTTTGTTTGAAACTCGATATTAGTGTAGGCTGAGCAATTCCTCCACACTGTTATCTCAAATGCAGCCATACTCGAGAAGGTAGTATGCGTTTAATGATCCTTTGATAGTGTCTTGTTCCTTTGGCTCCGGTCCTCTCTTTACGGTGCTCTCGTGTTTTCTATAACGCTATAGATATTCAGGACATTCGACTAGGGTCTCTCTAAGAAAAGTGCGACTGTATGCAATTTATTTTGAAGCAAAACAATGCTATACAGTGCAAGTACTAGATACTCATAGTTATAGTACTTTTCTAACGCTAGTCCCAAAATGGAAATGTTATCGGACTATCAGCATCTTGAACCTCGAGTTCGCGTCCGAACTGTGATCCATCTATCTCCCTTTCTCATTTCGGCAAAAACGGCCATTGAGTCCATCCATTATCAAGATTAGCCGTGGACACTCGCGAGGCTTGATTGCTTTGGAGCTCAGACCCCCACTACTCTCCACCAGATAGTTCTTCTGATCCCTGTCCTCTTCTCTTACGCATGTTGCGCAAAGATCACTGATCGCTTTTCTTCTTGTCTCTTTTTCATTCTCTTTTTCACTGAATATTTTCGGTCACGCAGCTTCAATCGATCATGTCTTTACTGGACCTCCCAATCGAATTGTCAACGCAAATCTTGTCATATCTCGAATACGCGTCTGACGTTTGCGCATTCTCACAGACCCACCCTTCTTTCTATCGTGTGGCTCAACCTCGCATTGCCCAGGTCGTGGAAAATGAAGATCCCCCTCTCTCTTTAGTGGATGCTGCGAAGAAGGGAAGTGAAGCTTCTGTTCGCAAATTGCTGAAGATGGGCGCCCGGTTCCCAGAACCTTTCAAGCCCAGCATTGCCACCGCTCCTGGAGACCCAATGGGATGGGCTGCCAAAAATGGACATGTGGGGGTTGTGAGGTTGTTTCTTGAGCACGGCAGAGATCCCCATCCACTCAGCAGCTGTTATGGGGGCCCCAAAGAACCCGTTCCTGCAAACGTTTCCTACTGGGACCCGCCACTATTGAGGAATCCTCTTTGCTACAATCCTCTGATGCTAGCAGCGATGGAGGGCCATGAACCTGTGGTGAAACTTTTGATAGAACACGGTGTCAAACATCATTACAACGATAACGCCGCTTCCGATGTGAGGTGGGAACACCCTTTGACATGGGCAGTCATCAAACAGAATATTCCAATCATAAAGCTTCTGATTGATATTGACATAGACGGTCCATTGCGCTCTAGCAATCGCTATAATAGTCCGTTGCATGCACTTGCGCTGATACCTCCAACCAGCGTCCATTTTGATGAGATCTTTGATCTCCTGACCTACTTTGTGGACTTTCACTCATGTCGAGGGGGCGATTTAAGCGCATTTGAGCTTGGGGTGAGTAAGGGGAATGTAAAATTTGTCGAACGTGCACTTCACTGGGAAAAAATCAACGAGTTGCGTCCTCGTGACATCACCTATCTTTTGAGGAACGCTGAAGAAACGGCCCGGACAGATCCCAAGATGGCTTCTGTTCTCATGGGTCAATTTGACGTGAACCAGGCTATGAGGTATGACGATGCTGCACGGGACAGGCTTTTCCGCGCGGCTGCCGCTGGTGGCTTCATGGATGTGATGAAGCGGCTTATGAAGGACTATAAGCATTGTCCCCTTGGCGAGGATCAGTATCTGCCTCTGCTAGGTCTCGCTGCTCAAAATGGGCATATTGAGATGTACAAGCTACTATCCAAACGCGAGGACACTGCCAGATACGGACCAACCAACCAGCCGCAAATGCAAGAATATGATGTCCACCCTTTCACAGGCTTTCAGCCACCATACGACATGACTCCGGAAGATAGTCCAATGATCCAGGCCCTCCATAGGGGGCACTACGAAATGGTCAAATTCCTGATTGACGAAGACTATGATAAAGTCCTTGCATCTGAAGAGGGGCCACAGTTACTATTTGATAGAGCACTCTTCTACGGACAAACCGAAATTGTTCAAAAGCTATTCGACAAACGCACCGCTCCGCCATTGGGGGATATTATGTACGAGGATTGTGCACTGTCGATCTGCATGGCAATCCTTGGGGGCGAAGCTGTCTTTCGCACACTCTTGAAGAACGAAGTTCACCTTGACCCTAAAGATCATTATCACAAAAAAGCATTCGAGCTCGCAGCCTTTCGGGCAGAAGTGCCTATTCTTGAGATATTTCTAGACGCCGGATTCAGAAGTGATATGAAAAGATGCGGCTTCGCGCCAGCGTCTGTGTCTCTGCACTGCGAAGACGGTCTTACCTTGCCTTTGATCTATGCAGCTCATGCAAGGGACAGAAAGGACGCCGAGGCTGCGGTTGATCTTCTGCTCAAACGGGGGGGCGTCGATCAATCAGCCGAGTGGCAAAGGATCTTGCAGCGCGCTATATGCAACAGCTACCGGTTCAATGACGGCTCAAATATTCAGCATGCAGTTGAAAATTTTGGAATGTTTGCCTAACTTCCCCGATGAGGCTACTGGCCTATGGGAATTGGACAATTTGCAGCTAGCCGATCTTCGGGTCCCGGCCACTCAACTCCTTTTGAAAAAAGGAGCTGATCCCCTCTTCTGGAACCAGCATGGCCGATCTCCCCTGGTTGTGGCAACAGTAGCAGGGAAGAAGGATATCGTCAAAGTTTTGTTGAATTCTTTCGATGAACAAGATGTTCCGCTCAGTGAGATCGAGCGTCATGTGCGGGTCGCTTGTTCCATTCGTGATCTACCGCCTAAGTTGAGAGGATACGGTCCAAGCAAATCAACCTTGGATGAATATGGCCACCCATGCGAGCAAATCGAAGGCGATACAGAACTCTTGCTCGAAACGCTCATCAATCCCGCATTTGAACACGATCACGATGAGGATGATTATGATGAGGACGAGGACGAGGATGAGGATGAAGATGAATATGAAGACGAGGACGAGGATGAGGAAGACGAAGGATTTGAAACTTCTACAATTTCAAGACCACGCAATGAAGGGTCACAGGATACAGGTCACAAACCTGACCGAGACACAGAAAGGCTCATATGGAAATACTACTGGCCCAAAGTCTATCCCCCTTGTCCAAAATAAGGGCCCGGTCAATCCAAGCCTGATTTTCAGCGTCTTGAGAAGCCAATTTTCTGTTTGCTCCTCTCTCAAGCAAAATCCTCGCAGTCTCCAAATTCTTTCCTTTGTTCAAAGCCGTACTGAGTGCCAGGTCCAATGACCGGCCTGTGCCAAGTTCGCCATTTGGATTGGCACCGTTATCAAGAAGCAGTTGAAGCGCCTCTTCGCGGTGATGGAAAGCAGCCACATTTACTGGACAACAGTTCCCTAGCCGTGCACGCTCTAGCCTGTAAGAGGGTGCAAGGAAATCCTTCTCCTTTATCAGCAGTTCGAGAAATTCGATGAACTGGTGAAGGATCGCCCCCTTCAGTAGGGCCCAACGCTGGTTACTGCCTGATTCAATGACGCTATCCACGTTGAGCCAGCTTAGCAGAAGAGCTCCCACTTGAGGGCTGTTGCGCTTCATACGTGAAAATTCTTTGAGAATTTGGGCCTCGCTTAGTTGCTGTGGGCTAGATCCGCGTTCTAGTAAAAACTGTATCAGTTCTATGTTCTCTGATTCCAAGGCCTCGAGTAGTACATTGGGATCATCCTGAAGCTCTGCACCGGCATCCATCAGAATCTGAATCATCTGCATCATTTCCATGGTTTTACTTGGTGGTTGAGATGCAGCTATAGTTAGGGCTGTGGGTCCTCCTTTCCGGTGATCATTGACATCACAGCCATATCTGATCAACAGCTTGACCATGGATGGGAGCTGACACCTAACTGCTTTGAGTAATGGACGAGCAGCGTAAAAATTGCGTTTGTAGAATCCTAGATGGGGTTTGAAGTTGAACAGTAGTTTGACTACTTTATTCTGTCCAGATCTCACGGCGCGCGTGACCAAGTCACGAAAGTATTTTGCGTCGATAGGGCTTTCATTTCCGGCGCCGTCTTGTAGTGAGCTTTTCTGAAGGAACAATTGAACCATTCCAACATGTCCTTTTTCCACGGCAATTGCCAAAGGTGACGGTCCACCTCCACTGCGATCATTGACATCACATCCATATTTGATCAACAGCTTGGACATTGAGAGAAGTTGGCATCTAGCCGCATCACGCAATGGGTGTGCACTGAAGAAGTTGTGCTTGTAGAAGTTTATATGGGGCTTGAAGTTGAAAAGCAGCTTGACTATGTCCTTATGATTGAACAGGACAGCGCAGAACACTGCTGAACGAAACTGGTCTGCTCGAGTCGCTGCCTTGCTTTTTGTGCTGTCGTTTGTAAAGGCGTGCTCCAGGAATAGCTCGACTATTTTGATATATCCAGTTCCTGCGGCAATGATGATTGGTGTTTCGGCCTCGATGGCATCCATTCGGTCTGTGTCTTTGCATTTTTCGATGATATTTTTCGCCACTTCAACTTTTCCCTCCTTTGCTGTCCATTCAACGATGCTTGATATTTGTTGCTTGTCCAGGGCATGGTAAAGTTTGTCATTTGAAAGGAGATAGAAGTGTTTATTGGTTTGGGCGAACGCGTTGAGATCTTTTGGTGTGGTGAGACAGGTTATGACTTCGAACAAGAGTTCATTGGGAAGGTCGGCGAGAGACATGGTGTACAATTTTGCAGCGTGGTTTCAAAAATCACACACCAGGCATTCAGCCTTTATATTGTGACAGATCATACTTGAGGCCAGTGCAATAACAAAGATGGAGTATTGAAACTTGGAGAACAAAGGTCTGGGGGATGGAGGATGTTTAGCGCCGTTGGAACCAGCGCGTTACTAAGGAGTCTCTTACTCCCAAGTCTTAAATTAGGTCAAAGTAATATGTACGGAGTACAATGTATTATCTTTAGGTCCCAATCTGAGATCAGCTCCAGAGCTATAGCGATGTCTGAGGAGACGCCAGACAAGACCTCGAAACTTGTTTCATACATCCACGTAAGTGTATTGTTTGAGCTTTCTTTTCCTTCGTGTCTAGCATTATGTTCCAACGTTGGTATTTCTTGGCATGCTCTCGTTTGTGTTTTTGCTAGCCATTCTTGTTTCAGAGATCAGCCTCGTTGGATAGCATAGAGGACATTGATCGGGTGGCATCGGCTGAAGCATGATATTCTCAACGAATTATAGAAAACGCAAAGCCTGCTCCAAATAACCTCTAGCGTCTGCTCTGATCTGCTCGAGGATTTCTGCGGCTCTTCCGGGCTGCTTTACCAGCCCAACACCCGTCCCAGCCCAAATACTCCCCATATCCTGAACACTCAATCTTTCCGCAGCGGGACCATTCATTGCCCCGGAAAGCCAAGATCGGATATTCTTTATATCAACCCCAGATCTGTATTTCTCATACGCCTGATTTTTCAAGCATCTCCCATCATAAGTTTCCGGCCAAAAGTTCGGGCCCCAGATCTCATCAAAAACCCTCGACCTTGCCGTCGACTGTCCACCGTCAGACACCTCGAATATCGCATTCCGATAGACAGCCGGGATTGCAGTCTCTTCGGCGGCAAGAAAGCGCGTCCCCATGACCACCCCTGAAGCGCCGAGACTCAATGCCGCGGCACATCCTCTTCCGTCAACGATCCCACCCGCCGCGATCAGCGGGATATCGAATCCAAGCTGAGAAAGGGTATCTGCAACCTCCGGGATCAGAGACACTATGCTAGCTCCGTCTTGATGTCCATGCCCCCCGGCATCGATGCCCTGCAGAACAAGCGCATCTGGCTGACATGCTCGTGCCACTTCTACAGCAGCTTGCACGCTGCCTAGTTGGACCCAAATGCGTGTCTGTGGTGATGCGCGTCGTATGCTCTCAGACCATTTTTGAAGCTCGTCTGCCTCGGCGAAAGATAGCCATGCGACTGCTGGTTTGTACTTTGCGAAGAGATTCATCCAGGCTTCCATTGGTGTTCCGAAGACAATCACCCCAAGACCAATTGGGAGGGTCGGTGTTTTGATGTCCGCCAAGGTCTTTTTGCTAATCTCAAGTTCGTATGTGAGATCTTGAAGGTGATCCATAAACCCTATTTGACCGAGACCGCCGGCAATGGTCACAGCAGTGGCGAGTTTGCTTTTGGCGATTCCGCTCATGGGGGCATTGATTATGAGGGGTGTTTGGATCCATGGAAGGTATGTTTTGAGGGTCTTTAATTGAGACATTTTGTTGATACCGGGAGAGTCCAGGGACGGATCCCTCCGGCCATTTATAGTGGCGGATCTAACGCCGAATGAAACCAAAGGCCGAATGCAACTGTTCCAAGGTTAAAGACTGAGATCCAAGGCGTAATGTGAGGTTGGAAAATAGCCCTAAAATGCCTTGGCGGGGGCTCATATTTCAGAATCCTCATTAATGAAGACAGATATCATGCTTTGTGATCGCTGCTTATCACGGAATGTCATGATCCACAGGTGGGATCACGTCTATAAGAGTCATTCCCCTCCGATATAGGCAGCACAGCAAAGCCCCTCAAGTGGGACCCAGATTGTATGTTTGAGGACAGGCTAAGGGGTGCTAGCAGGTGGCTAGCGGTGTGGATTCGGGAGTTGATGCCCGAGATGGCGCATCTTTATCTAATCTGATCATCAGCTACGAATGAACAGGTCGAGTTTGAGGCATATTACAAGGTATAGATGAGCAAATAAAAATATTTAGTAGATAGAATCATGTATGTCATTCGAGATAAATAGCTAAAAAGAAGACATAAGAAAACGCTGGCGAAGTTGGGACAGTTGGAAGATGATCGCCTACAGGGTGGTGACGCCACCCCGATCATCGTCTCTCACATCGGACCGCATTCCACTTCTTTCCTCATTCACTCACCCCCTCCAAGCCCACGCGGGCCTCACTCTCTATATAAACCCTCGCGTACTCTTTAGCTTCTCCCACTGACCTCTCCAAACTCACATTATGCCTCGAGTACCAGCCATTCGCCTGGCCCACGCACCTCATGCTCACACCCCCAACCGGGTGGTGATAGTAACAACCCCCCTCCGTCCACGATTACAACCCCAACCACGCACTTCACAGCCCATCCCCAAACGCACCTTCACAAGCACCCGACCAGCTCTCGCCCGCGAGCAAAACTTCTACGAAATCCTTGACCTCCCCACCAGCGCCTCAGCAGCCGAAATCAAAAAGTACCGACCCCCTCCCCTCAAATCCACAAACCCCAATCTAATAGCCCCAGACAATTCTACGCCCTCTCCATGCGCCACCACCCAGACCGCAACCGCTCAGACCCAGAAGCCGGCCAGCGTTTCGCCCGCATCTCTGCCGCCTACAATGTACTAGGCAACGCCTCCAAGCGCGCCGTCTACGACCGTGACCACGGCTTCCACCAGGTCCACGCCTCCGCCTCCCCCGGCCACACCCACACCCACCCAATGGGCAGCCACAGCAGCTACGCAGGCTCGCGGCCCGCAAGCGGGCTAAGCAAGCGTCGCTCGGCGTTCCACGGGCCGCCGCCCAGCTTCTACGAGCAGGGTGGGTATGGGGCGACGGGACGGCAGGGAGATGGGTTTGCGGCTGGGAAGTCTGGACCTTCTAAGTTTGCAGGGTCTGGGGCTGGATCTCGGACTGCGGATCCGGAGGACTGGGAGGGGTTTATTCGGCGGAATCCGTTGCATCATTTCAATGCGCGCGGGCATTTCCGTACGCAGGCGGCGGAGGATAAGAGGAGGAGGGAGAGGGCTAGTAGGAATATGAGGGCAGGTGTTGCTGATGCTGAGTGGCCGGAGCCTAATCCTGGTGATGTGAGTGGGGTGTCGTTTACTAGGTTTTGGTTTTCGTTGGGCTGTTTGATGCTTGCTGGTGCTTCGGCGGGATTGTGGCCGTCTTCTTCGCCTGATGATGGGAGGCGGACGAAGAATTGATGGAGGTTTCTGGTTGACTTCTTGTAAATACACACAATACACCGTACATTGCTGGATGATGTACACGATTCTTTTGTTTTACTTCTACTTTTGTTAGGCCAATGCGACCTGGTTTCAAACTCTTAGCTCTCAAGCTTGCGAATCAATCAACAAAAGAAAGGTTGGATTTGATATACAAAGGTGATTGAGTACTACAACACACATGATTATGATCTTGGATGGAAAAATCCCCGCGTACCGTTCTATCGCATCAGCGAGAAGATCGAACTAGCAACAGAAATATTACAAAAGTCTCCAAAAGCGGTCATGTGTCATTTCTCAAGAATCCGAATGGATATATGAGATTCAGACGCTTAAGCCTCGAAGGTGAAGCTGGCGCCAACCTTGTGGGCAGCCTGGTTAAGGTTCTGGGTATCGAGGGAAGCACCGAGGCCGAGAGTGACACCAGGGCGGAGGAGGACGTTGTAGGCCAGAGCGGCGATACCACGGTCGTTGATCTTGGCCTAAATTGCGAAGAAATGACGCGATTAGTCGTGATCAATGTAAACGTTAAGAAATCAGACGAAAACTCACCTTGGCGAAGGAAGAGGGGTCAAGGCGGTACTTGCTGGCAACCTCGAGACCGACAGCGTTGCCGGAGGTGGAGTCCCAGGAAGCCTTGGCACCGGCCTCAACCTGAGCGTTGACGCGGTGGTAGTAGCTGGCGGAGAAGAGGGAGAGGTTGTTGCTGGCAGTGATGGCAGCGGAGTACTGGGCGACGCTGTAACCGACGGCGGCGGAGTACTTGGTGATAGCGGCCTTGTTGACGTCGTAACCACCCTCAGCACCGACGAGGAATCCCTCGTGGCCGAGAACAGCGTCGAAGTTGGCGGTAGGGCCGTTCAGGAGGTCGAAGAAGGCGCGAGCGTTCAGGTTGGGCTGCTTGAAGTAAAGGTTGAGCTTGGCACCCTTGGACTGCTTAGCGGGCTGGTACTGGGTGAGGATCTCAGCCTTGAGGCCCTTGGCGATGTTGTTGTCGAGCTCGAGCTTGGTGTCGAGAGCGTTGGAGGTGGTCCACGCCTGGGTGAGGGTGAGGCCTGGTCGTGGGGAGTACATTAGCCTAACTCTGTGAATTGCGGTGTCCGAAAAAATCATCATGTTCAGCCGGTGCGCTATCGGAATCCAACACCCTAGCATCAAGGGCGTTGAACGAGCCTTCAGCGCGCCGGGATCGGGAGGTTTCTTGGAGGGGCCTTTACCAGTGGGCGCGTCAACGTATTTAGCCTCGAGCTGTGAGCGCGCATGTTAGCCAGCTGCCTAATGTTGGTCGTGGTGAGATCGGACGAACCTGGCCAGCAATGGGACCCTCGTGGGCAGACTTTCCCTTGACGGTGAAGGTGACACCGTTGGGGGCCTTGGACTTAACCTCAAGGTTGGCTAGATGGCTTCAATTAGCTATCAGAGCTTCAATGCCGGCATTACACCTTCGGCGAGGAAACGAACCGGCAGCGGCGTGGTAGAAGTCCTTGTTCAGGAGCTATTGGGATAATGCATTAGCCATGTTTCCGGGCGCCGAGTTTTGTGCCGAATTTGCATACATCGTTGGCCGCCTTGGCGATGTCGGAGAAAGCAGCGGGGGCAGACATATTGACGGAAGAGAAGTCTAAGGGATGGAAGATAGAGGAAAGTGTGGTTCTGTGGGGGAGATGAAGCAAAAGAAAGGGAAGAAGAGTTGCGATGATGTTGGGACAAGGGGCTAGCGTGGTTGGTGGGAGTCCGCTGATTGGCTGATCTCCTGCCGGGAAAACCCGTGTTACATAATCTCCTTATGCACAATTCTCAACCTACAGCTGCCTCTTGTTTTGATTGACATTCTGAGGTCATAACATTATACCAACGTATATCGATATCAGGGTATATACAATCTATCCTGTGCTATATCCCCAACAGAAAAATGCTAAAGAAAATAAAATTCAGATCCTTTTTGTGTCGCGAGACAACTTTTTACTCGGCCTGGTCATACTTCTTGTTGTGGTAAGAGATGGCTCTGTGGGGGATGTTAGTAACAGCTTGGGAAGTTTAGGAACGGTAGACTGTATAACTCACCTGCCACTGGGGTCGGTCTGCTTGGACCAGGTGGGGGTCCAGCGCTCGACGGTACCGGCACAGTAGGGAGGGAAGTGCTCGTCGAACATGGTGCGGTACCAGTATCTAGTCAAGTCAGCAATGATCAGTCGGGAAGAAGAAATTGAACATACGCCTCCTTGGTGTCAGGGACATCGGTGCCCCACTCAGGCTTGGGGTTCTTCATCATCTCATCAGTGACCTGGCGCTCAGCCTCGTCCTTGAGACCGTCGATCCAGCTGTAGCCAACACCGTCACTGAACTGCTCCTTCTGGCGCCAAAGGATCTTGTCGGGAAGGTAAGCAGCAGTCTCGGGCTCATCGGTGGTGTCGAAGGCCTTGCGCAGCATGTGCTTCTCAATACGCTCCTTGGTGATCATCTTGTCCTGGGGGTCAACACCCATGCAGGTCTCGAGGAACTCCTTGTCGAGGAAAGGCACGCGGGCCTCAAGACCCCAGGCGGAGGTGGACTTGTTGGCGCGCAGGCAGTCAGCCAAGTGCAGGTTCTTGACACGGCGGACGGTCTCCTTGTGGAGCTCCTCCTTGTTGGGAGCAGCGTGGAAGTAGAGGTAACCACCGAAGATCTCGTCGGAACCTTCACCACTCAGAACCATCTTGACACCCATGGCCTTGATCTTGCGAGAAAGCAGGTACATGGGGGTAGAGGCACGGATGGTGGTAACATCGTAGGTCTCGAGGTGGTAGATCACGTCGGAGAGGGCGTCGAGGCCATCCTGGACAGTGAAAGTGAAGGGGTGGTGCTTGGTTCCAAGGAAACGGGCAACCTCAAGGGCAGCTTCGGTATCCGGGGCGCCGGGAAGACCGATGGAGAACGAGTGCAGTTGCTGGAAGGTGGTGACGGTGGACAGCTCGTTGTCGTCATCGACGCCAACCAGCTCGCCGTCTTCAGCGGTCTGGGTAGCCTTGCGGGAAGCCTCGGCCATGCGCAGAGTCTCGCGCTGGGCGATGGAAGCCACCAAGCTGGAGTCCAGGCCACCGGACAAGAGCACACCGTAGGGGACCTCGGCCATCAGACGCTTGCGGACAGCCTTCTCCAGGCTGTGGCGGACAACCTTGTAGTCGACGGGGGTGGAGGGAACGCTGGCAGGGTCCCACCACTTGGGCTCGAAGTAGCGAGTCAGGGAGTCAGTCTTGGAGTCGTAGACGTGGCCGGGGGGAAGGCGATGATGTCGTCGCAAACGGGGTGGAGACACTTCAGCTCGGAGGCAAAGTAGACAGCACCGGGGGTAGAGGAAGAGCGGCCGAGGTAGAAACTGGTGATACCAATGGGGTCACGGGCAGCAACAACACGGTCCTGCTTCTTGTCCCAAAGGACCCAAGAGAACATGCCATCGAGGTGCTTGGGGGCATCGAGGCCGTATTCCTCGTACTGGTGGAAATGAGCTTGTGTTCAAAGAATATAGGCAATTGACTCGTACCAAGGGGATGATAACTTCACAGTCGGAGTGGGTCTTGAAGTTGTACTTGTGGTGAAGGTTCTTGCGGATGGTGCGGTGGTTGTAGATCTCACCGTTGACGGCAAGGGCGAGGGTCTCGTCATCGTTGACAAGGGGCTGGGCACCAGAGTCTGAAGTAATGTGTTAGGCACATATACCTTTTCGATTCCAATTGACCATAGAATCCACTTACCAACGCCGACAATGCTCAGACGCTCGTGGGCCAGGACTGAGATTTGCGTTAGCTTGCAACGTCGATAGTATCCATTACTGCACTGCGGACTCACTGGTGCTCTCGGCGCAGAAGTTTCCGCCTATCAAACAACATTTGTTAATTCCGTCGCCTCCAAATTTACCGCGCAGGTTTGCGCCTCGGGTAGTGACTCACTCCAGTCGGGACCGCGGTGACGCACACTATAATCGAGGGAGAGGTCAGCGAAAACTGCAGGATGTGTGGTTGAAGATAATTGGATAAGATGCTGAAATACTTACGCCTTGGCCATGCGCAAAGCTGTGGGCTTGAACTTCTGCACATCGGGGTGACTGAGTCAGTTAGCATGTGTACTCCGTTATGAACATCCCACTAGAGCGCGGGGCATGAAAAAGATAGAACGCACTGGTGGCACGCGAAAATTCCACACATGATGGGCAATTGACGATTCTATGGGGGGACGAAGATCAATTGAAGGAGGATGGAGAGAAGGGAGGAGCAATTGACTAATAATTGTATACGGGGAAGACCCGGCGATTTTTTTCAATTCGCACTTGGCGGGGCGAGGGGCGATGTCGGCAATCACTGACTCACCGATAAGATAACCTCTCAACCGCTTTGGGCTTTCTTGTTACATTCTCTCACTACTCATTCGCTGCTTAGCTTTTTCTTTATTCTTTCTCTGTTTGTCTAGTCTTCACTTCATGGAATGGTGCTCATGCATATCTCCGATCTTGGTCCCTCTTGTCACGTGATTGTGGTCTATATACTTTTCCGTAGCCCTAGCCAAGCCCTTTGGTCCGGTGTACTTTATAGACTTGACGGTTTTGTGCCTCAATAGTGATGGCAAGGGGTCGAAGATTCACAATTGTCTTTGACCAAATGATCTCCATCCACTAGATTATAGCCAAACACCGTCCACTTTACTGCGGGGACCCAGGAAACCAGAACCTCGGAAGATACCGAGCGAGGCAGATTTTGACTGTATTAATCTTGGGCTGTAAGAAAGTGGACTTACCTACATGGTTGATACTCCAATATATGCTCTGTGGCTAAGACTATATTTCCGAAGGGGCTACTCAGGCCGTAGACCCGGATATATCATCAAAATGAAACAAATGCAACAAGCCGAGAATCCTCGAATCCTCGAATCCACGTTCCCCAACCATGAGCTCACACTGTAAGCCCATGCGATCCATAGATTACAATCATTCTCTTGTCATTATAGATTGAACCAGTCGAAATTCCATATATGTGATTTTTCAAAAATGACCAACCCGTCTCGGTAGCATCGATCTATGGTTGCACAAAGTACGTGAGCACAGTCAGTGGCACATAGTTAGAGGTTGACCCCATAACTTTACCTGTCTGATCAGATGTTACCTGGGCCTAGTTGTCTTCATTTGACATTTTTCTGGATCCAGAATCTTTAAACAATTAATTATTTAAAAAAAAGCATTCAAACCACGAGTCGTGAGGTAAATGTGCCTATCGCGAGTGCCAAAAGAAAAAAATGAGCTCCCATGCGGGGATTCGAACCCCGGTCTGCACGGTACATTTGGAAGTGAACTTCCTAATGAAAACGAGCGATGATAACCCCTACACCACATGGGATGTGAATAGGGAAAGAGCCATCTTATGGATACATAGGGGAAGTGCAACCCAACAACAGAGCACCTTCCAGCAGCAACACTTCCATCCAGCCCAGGTCAAGTCTTATGAACAACCAAACCCTCCATTAATCGGATCTTAGAAAATCAACATCATACTCCCCTATTTAAAATAATAGACCTAGTCTCAATTCAAGTACTCCGTTAAAAGGAGTAATACCATGTTATCGCAAGGCTGGACGTGAGGTCCTAAGGCTAGGTAAAGGCTCCCTGCCCTATTTCTCCCTTCCACTCTTTTGCCTTCATTACTTTTTGCTTCTTCCATACTCCGTACTCCGTACATACAAAAAATGAGAATTTAGTTTCCAGTAGGTGGGAAATTGGCTCGTGCAAAAAATTCTCCCATGCGGGGATTCGAACCCCGGTCTGCACGGTACTATAGAAAGTAACTTTCTACTGAAAACGAGCGATGATAACCCCTACACCACATGGGATTGGATGATGATGGATCCACAACTTTTGGCTTCATGAGCCAAAAGCCCTAATCCAGCTTAACAAGACCTTGAATTGACCCATGGACAAGAAATACCCTGAATAAACACACCCGGCTAATGTATTGAGACAATATAGGTGAGTCCTGGAGGTAAATGTATCTAAATGTAGTGCCCCACAGTACTTTTAACCCTTAACGTGCTGTCAATTAACTGCGATCGAAGGTTCCAGGGCTCAGTTGGCTTTTAATACGCGGTTTGCTCTCATCTATATTCCGAAGAAATGAATGCATCAAACCAAATTTTGTACACCTTCAAGGTTGCTACTGCCTAGGTAGGTATGCAATGCGTATGATAATCTTCGGTTCATCGAGCTCATCATAGTGATCTTATGTCATAATATACGTGCACGCTTATCACACTGAAGCTAGCACTGGAGAAGAATCCAACAACTCGAGACTCAAGATAAGAATTTCAGGGCCACAACCTTCGAATATCAATTGCAGCCTCCAGGTCAAAATTTCCTGGAAATGTGGCTGGAATTGGATCAGAATTGCCCAGGTGAAGGTCAAAGTTTATATCTGGATATTGAGTTCATGTGCATCTAAACCAACTCTGCAACGACATCGATTCAATTTCTTATCCCAACCCTGTGAGGCGTGTTTGTCTGCCCAAGGGCTCGCCAAGCTAAACCATCTGGGGGACACCCGGTACCTCTGATGCTTTTATAAGGTTATACATTTAGTCGGTCTTTTTGACATCACGGACTTTGTAAGATGCCCTGACAGTCGCCAGATAGCTTTGATAGATACAAACTAGGAGCATTAGCCATTGAACAGGAGATTAGGACAAGACGCTCACAGCCGGGAATAATTATCCAAAATGTGTTCAAGAAAATGAAGTATCCCCAGTAGTAATGGGTTTCTGGACGAGAATATGATCTCCCATGATAATAATCCTCCGTCATACTTGTCGCATAGTACAAAACGTCACCATAGAGCTGTCCCATGGAAACAAGCATCTGTGTTGGATGGCGGTATGGGGATTTGACGATGATCATCCATGCTGTCAGATAGCAAACTGGTCCCCATACAAACTATAGCATGTCAGTATCAAGGAATATCTCATCCACAGCCTAACATACGGCTGTAATTGTCTCCATGCAAAGGACGAAAGGCTCCACAGTCAAGTATCGAGAATCAGACTTGGCATATTCCTTCCAAAGCTGTCCAAGCAGGTCTTCCATGCGAGGCATTGTCCTGTGATTGTACAAGAAATAACCTTCGAGAATAAGATGAATACACCCAGCTTGAACAAGTCAGCAGGGTCCCCTAAATGTTCACAGGAAGCATACAGAAGACAAACCATCCCGTGAGGATCTTGTCCTGGCGAGACAGTCTAGAACTATGTCCTTTCAAGAAAACTGAAGTGAGACTGATCACAATCAAAGTCGCAAGAGCGAAACTTCCTAAGAGTGCTGGGACGCTCATCGTATTCGGAACATGATCAGTGAGATTGGCATCGGGGGGGCCAGTACGGATGTAAATCGTTCAATTTGAAAGACTTTGATCTATTCAAAGGATCTGTACGGAGTAAAAAATACACGAATATACTTGGAGAAATATTTGCTGACAGGAATGGGGTTATAACTCCTCAACAAACTTCAAGTATGAGGCCAATAGATAAGACATGACCCGGATACTCTTGTTCCGGTGCAGGGGTGTTGGGCTAGTCAAGTAAAATGACGGCCCTGGAGTTAAGCTGATGCCTACATGTTATCATGTAGCCAATGAAAGCCCAAGTAATTTAAGCACGATGTCAGCTTCTGTAAAGATTCATGAGCCTGGTTTCACCATATGCCCCGATCCCGAGAATAATCTTTTCTATACAATCGTTCAGTTGGCTGAAGCCCACGCTGATGATCCACACGCCTGAGTTGAGAGGCGGCACGATAGGTGGTGTATTAGATTTGGCTGCGATTTCCCAACCAGGCTTACAGCTTGGTCGATCTGAGTCGCACCTGCATGGCCAGTCTGGAACCAGCAGTGGGGCCAGCCCCATTCTTCATCAAATGATCAATTATAGCCCGCCCCCATCGAGTAACGTCCATGGCTGCGTTTGTCTGCCGTTTCATGTGGATGTCCTGCTTAAGCTGGCTTGGGACATAGTACATCAAGAGTGAAAGTGAAGATGAAGTCTCTACATACTACGAATTCCTTCTGATAAAAAATGTAAAAAGACCAAGTCCCCCGATTAAGAGCTTGGTGCGGGATATCATTGAATCTGATTGCCCCTAAGTCAGAGAACGCCGTCCATTGGGTGGTGTAAAACGCCATGCTTGCGGTAGAAAAAGCGAAGATGCTCGCCTCGCCAGAAGAAAATGCATGATCTCCAGATCCCCGGTATCCCATGCTGAAACGAAAATAGGAAAGTCACCCCGAAACCATTGATGCGTACGATGATTTAGTTGGGCTGGTTGTCGCGAACGACCTGGCGCACCTTGCGCTCATAGGCAGGACGATCCTTCTTGAACAGGTTGTAGGCGTCGGCCTGGGCAGGCGACTCGGGGTTCGGGTCGTCGAGCAGATCCTGGATGCCGAGAAGGATTTGCTTAATGGTGATGGCGGGCCGCCAGTCCTCTTCCTCGTTGAGGATCGAAAGACACACGGTTCCGGAAGGGTACACATTTGGGTGGAACAAGGCAGGGTCAAACTTGCCTACATTGTGTTAGCTTGTACAGGAGTATCTTGGTGGAAGGACTTACACTTTGGTGGCTTGGTAGGGTATTCTAGAAGATCGGTCAATATGAGTATAGCATTAGGGCGGTGTCTGCTTACCATCCGGGAAAGCCACCTTCATTTTGAAAAGTCCACCTTCCCAAAGCGTGTTGGGCTTGCCAGGAATCGCACACTCCCAAGTCTTCAGGTCGAGGCCGCCCTGGGCATTGCGTGCGGGCTTTGCGACAAATCCGAATGGGTGATCGCGACGCCACTGCTTTCTAATCGCACAAGTCAGCGCGGAACGGAAGATGCGCAATGAATGTGCGCCACCGCAGACTCATCAGTGAGCCGAGTTAACCTACCGCTCCTCTTGTAGACGGTTCTGGCACAGAGACATCTCGGCTTGTTTAAGGTGGGGGTGGTTGTGAAGGAAATGTGAGCTTGCGCGGAGTTGGAAGATGGGGCAATAAAAGGGCTCAATGTAGCCACTGCTGAGCTTCACGGAGGGGGTGGTCCTGAGGTAGGTGGAAGCAGGAAGTGAGGGGTGTCCGAAAAGAAGATATAGAGAAGGCAATCATTGAAGTGATTGCAGTTGAATTCTGGGATCTGTGATTACGTAATACAGTGTATACAACAAATGAGCCTCATCCAGATCATCCAGATGCAACAAGTGCTTTGGTATTTGCTCTCAACCTCTCTGTTCAAGTGCCTCATCCTAAAGTGCCACACAAGAGCAAGTTTTCCACTGTAGTATGGCCTTGAATCACACCCAATTTCACACCAAGCATGTTTCAAAGAACTTCAGCCGCCAACCTCAGTTTGCCTGGGCAACATAGTTTGTCTAAGGATTGTATTTATGACTGCCTTGGTGGGAAAAGTCCTTTTGACTTAGGCATCAAAGCAAATGGTTCCAAGTTGAAAGTTACTTGGTTGCTGACTGGTCTTTCTTGATGCACAGGTGAAGCTGTTAACTCAGAGTTGTATATCCACCGAGCTTGATCCACAATGCAGAAGTCACATTCTGATTTCCATCGTTTGTCATATTTCTTCCTCTGTCATGTATCTTTGAGCTGCAATGAGCCCTGGAAGCTCTTTGTTCAATTATCTGGCTGGCCAGTTTCCTTGAGATGTCGAACAATGGCATTGTCCCAATGAAACCCATACCCTGGTATGTATCTTCCACAACGACCTTGGAGGTTTCTTTTGAAGCGCAACAAGAGGATTATGTCGATAAAGGCTACGTCACCCTCATGGACAGGCCCGAGACATAGTATAAAAGAGCAACGCCCACCCACGAAGCAAAACATATCACCATTCTCACTCAACTAGAGTAGCAAAAGCTTCAGTATCTAAATCTCTGCCACAATTGATCGACAGAATGTGCCACCTCATCACCTGGTCCTATAGCTTCTGCCTCCATGCCGACGCAGATGCCAGTTCCACCATCCCATGCCAAAAAGCGCTGAAAGCTGGATACGAGTGTATCCAGAGCCGTACAACGGAATTCAGATTCCCGGTTCCGGGAAAATGTCTGGAATGTAAGCACAAAAGCCAGGAAAGCCGACTGAACCTCTTGCGTACAGTGAGAACCCGGAACCGAAAGGCAGCCGTGGATGCTGCGTTCGAGTTCGACGAACATGAAGCCTGGAACTCGGATAGTGAGGGCATGTCTGAGAGTGAGATCGTTCTGGATATGCCCCCATGCCCTCCTCGTGCTCGCTCTGTTCCAGCGGATTCCACCGAAAAGACGGGAACCTGGATGAAATATCATGGCGGGCTGGCGAAGAAGCCAGAAGTTGTCCTACCTACTTTGCCCATTGTTCATTATAGTGCAGCCATTGAAACCGTGGAAGAGGAGGACGACGATGAGGATGAGGATGAAGAGTCGTTGGATGAGCGTGGTATACGCTGGCGCTCTTGGATTCCTCTTCCTACTAGACTTCTTCGGTCACGGTCGTGTCCAAAGCTGCCTTCTCTGAAGGATGATGCGGAGAAAGATGGAGAGAATGTTAAGAAGCGGTCGACTTGGCAGTCTCTCGGGAGGAGATTTTCGGTGAAGTGAACCAATAATATTATTCTTACACTTTGATTCTTGGATACCTATTTTCTCAGTCCACATAGATACCCTGATCAAATTTCTCCCGATCAAAGAACCGTGCCACGATAGTGTTGCCATTAAAGATGCGACCTTCCAGGGCATTAACAGCCTATAGATAAAATCAGAAACAGACACGACAAGCCGTAGATTCAAGCACATACCCGTAGAGCAGACAGCGGACTGACAAATTTGACAAACACGGGAACAGGAGCTTCAGCGGTGCGATCAATGAAGATTCGCTCCACGGTTCCATACTGCAGAGGTCAGCAAATGTTTCAAGCAATGCCAGTACTAAACCCACCTTCTCATTGCACTCCTCGCCTATCTCTTGCATCAGACCACCCCCTGGCTGCTCTCCAGCTCCGAGTTGATATCAATCCCATCTAGCATGCCTCGAAGAACGATGACCTCGCACATAGGCCCAAACTTGCTCTCATATTGGCTTGAAGTCTTGCTTCCAATGATCTTACCACGCCCGGCAGGCGTCACAAAGCCACCTCCTTCAGAATCTGGCCGCTTCTTACGTTTCTCAACCTGGACACGGAGAGGCTTCGCTATGCCAGAACCAGTAGCGCCAAGACCAGACCCTTTGGTCCATCCATATTTGGAGAGCAATCTTTCTGCGAAGCCTTTTTGACCAGGCCGGTTTGAGCGAGGCGCATCTTCATCCTGGTCTTCATCTTGTTCATCTTGTGCCAGTGCAGCTTCGAGTTCAGCTTCTGATGCAGGGATGTCTTCTGGGGGTGGTGGGAGGGCGTAGCGGACCGGTGCCCGAGAAATGGTTGCGGAGCTGGGTTGGAAAGTCTCGAATGATTTCGGTGGGATATTAGATGAAACCGCGGGCGGAGGTGCATCGTCGGCCTGTTGGGCTAAAGTCGCGCGACGAGCAAATGCATCCTCCCCAGACGCATCATCCGGTGGTGGCGGAGGCACATCATTGAGGTTGGGCGGTGGTGCAAAGCTTGGGGGTGCGAATTGACCTGACAAGTTAGTGAGGTTTCGTGGTTTTTATGAATGATGTCTCTGCACATACGAGGTCGCTCATCCTCACTGTCCGAGTCTCCGGTTGGAGAACGTTTCCGCTTGTACAGGTGGTCCTTCCATTCACGGACTTCCCGGACCTTTTCATCGCCATCACGGTACTCCGGGTAACTGGTTGGCCAGGTGGGATCATAGGGCGCGTTCCAGTCCTCAGCAACGTGAACTGGTTCGTGGGGGTTCTTCTTGCGCTTCTTTCTTCCGCCGCGCGGTCGTTTATTTTCCAGGTAATATTCATCATCGTCTTGTCTGGAAGTCCAGTCGCTTATGGTACTCTTGGGTGGCACTGAAGGCTGATTGGGAGTGGGCTGAGGTGCTGTCTTGGGTAGAGTGTGCTTGGCCTTGGCCTTTTGCGACGCGAGCTGCGGTCTTTTTGTGGGTTGAAAACGGAGAGAAGCTGTCCAGTGAGGATGATGTGAGACAAGACGATTTTCAATGATCAAGTAATTTCACGATAGTTACCAGTGTTGACTTGTTGCTTTTTGGCAGTTGAGTCCTCAGCTTGCGGCTCGGGTTCAGAGCTCTGTTTGAAGACGACTGGCGCCCGAGAGATGGTCCCTGGAGAATCTGTGGAGTCTCCCAGTAAATTTGCATAAAGGGACATACCCCCTTTGGGCGCTTTGGGGGCCGAGTCGGAAGTCATGGTTGATGTGTTTGAAGTCGACGGCCTGAGAATGACGGCCGTCGACTACATGTGATGCGATAAGGGCCCACTTTGATTTGCTGATTATCCGGATAATAGATATCCCTGATAACGATTGACCGGACTAATGTTGATCCTAATAATCACTGCCTGGGATAAACATTACTCCGGATCAGTCCATACTCCGTACAGTGTTCATGTACACTTCCTGCACGGATCACAGTTAATCCGTTTAGACCACCTAGGGAGAATAGACATCTAGACTATGGATCTTCGGTGTCAGCTGTCAGCCGCCAGGTTCCATGTATTCCATACATGCAACAGCGTTCAATCAAGCCTAAGATAATTGTGGTCAGGCTTGTGTCTTTCGATCATCTAGATTCAACCTTCAAATCGCCATGTCACAAAAGCCAAATTCGAAGACACTTGGCAGAGCGTCGGGGGTATGTGCATGGCTCTGCCAATGACTTGTCTCTTATCTTGTTCCATTCTGACACTGTATTCAGTCTCTGAATGCACCAATCGCAGCTTTCACCATGGCAGTGCTTCTCTGTTCCTACTGTTTTAGCTCTATTCGAACTGCCCGGCGAGATGCCCAAATGCAAACCCCAGCGGGGTCTACTTCTTCACGGCGACAAAAGCTATCAGAGAGGAACGACGAGTCATGGGTTCAACAGGCTCTCGAGGAAAAGGCGCAGAATGGTAAAGGATGAAAGTTGTCTCATAAATGCGTGCGATTCCATGCTTGGGTTTTTTTATTAGACATCACTGTTAATATTTAAATGCTCCCTATGGAGTACATTGCCACTGAAAAGTATAGCATGGTAGCACTTCTAAGGTCATGTCTTTGATCTAGATATTTTCCAGGGTTTCCTTGATACCTTGAGACCTTGGTGAGCTTTGTTATTGTTTTCTTGGTGTCTTTCTTTATAGGCCATCTCTAGATTTAATAAACCTGGAACCAGAAATTGTACATGATCTTGTTCAAATGTCAAAACTTTGTAGCATTATTTGATGTATCTCATCTAGTATAACTATCAACAATGTTTGCGTCTTCAGATTCAGTCAGAATTTTCAGTGTATGAATGATCATGCACCGGGAGTCTAAAGTGTGTTGACAACCCAGTTCAATCTTGAAATGTTCATCATGTGAATTTAGAAGAGCTTGTCATAGTAATTGACTGCACAAAAAAGGAAAACAAGGGGGAAAAGCCAAAAAAGTCGATAGTGACCCATGGACCAATATTTGATCAATGGCCTCAACTTTTCCCAGATAGCCTGTTAATGATTCAGCCCAAAGGTAATGGGGAATATGTTTAAAACAAATTGTCAGTGCTAGCATTATAGCACTTGACAAACCAGTGAAGGCAGGTGTGAGTTAGGAAGAGGTTGGGAAAAATTTGCGGGAAGCGGATTTTAATAGACAATCACGTGACTACCCACATCGAGCGCTGTGTATTCCTAGTCTTAGAGCAGAACGATGGCAATTATCTTTATTCTTCAAACTGCAAATCGGTTGCAAATATCCTGGCATAGGCATACATTTATGCAAAACACCTCGGAAATTCCTGAACCAAAGCTAATTGAATGGGCTTCAAGTAGCTAGAAATGTTTCTTATTGCACATGGCTTTTCGTACCATTTTCTAAAAGTCGCGGAACAAATGACTAGAAATTTGGTCTCTGATTATATCGAGTAGCTGGCAAGTAATTGAAAAAGAATAGGGTGCCCCAATTCTTCTGGCTCGTGAGCGTCAGGCATTGCTCTGTAATCCATCTTGGCGTGTGGGGCTGATCTCCAACTCCGCATCTCTCCTCTCAATCTTGTCAATTGCAAGTACAGACCGTTTCTCTGATATCGAAAGAATGTCGCTCAGGCGCTCAGCGAGGCTAGGATCCATACCAGCAATCAAGGCACCGCCGACAACATCGAGTAAAGCTAGAGTTCAACACAGCGCAGTGACGAAACCTCGCAAAGCAGTGAAACCTAAGAAACCACAGTCAAAACCAGAAGCATCGTACTGGTCTCCGGAACCAGCCAAAGCAGATCAAGACACAGATCAAAAGCCCTTGCTCACTAACCCTCAGCTCAGACCATCGACGCCTCCTCCCCTCGACCGTCCCGTGGATCCCCACCGAACAAACGCAACCCTTTTGACCCCTCACGGATCAACGGTGAACGCCTACCCGGCCCATGTGGAAGATGCCTCGCCCAGCAAGACAGGTCTTCCACGGCCCCACGCTACAACGGGCACGCTGCTTGAGCAAGCAACGGCGCACTTGATCGCAACAGACCCTCGCTTGGCGACTGTGATATCACAGCACCCATGTCCGCTTTTCTCGCCTGCCGGTCTGGCGGAGGAAATTGACCCCTTCAACAGTCTGACCAGCAGTATCATTGGACAGCAAGTCTCCGGTGCCGCAGCAAAGTCTATCCGCAACAAGTTCCTTACATTGTTTGATTTACCGGATGGTGTTGCGCCAGATGGACATCGTCATGACAAGTTTCCAACTCCTGATCAAGTTGCGAAGTGCGATATTCCAACATTGCGCACGGCGGGTCTATCGCAACGCAAAGCAGAGTATATTCAGGGTCTTGCAGAGAAATTCGCGAACGGAGAGCTGGGGGCGAGGATGTTGGCCAGAGCAACTGATGAAGAGCTCGTTGAAAAGCTGATCGCTGTAAGGGGCTTGGGGAAGTGGTCTGTGGAGATGTTCGCTATGTTCGCACTAAAACGCACCGACGTATTTTCTACGGGTGATTTGGGTGTACAGTAAGTCTGCCTTTTCTCCGGATCTTTCTTGCCCTGTCTTCCTGCTTGAAATTGCATGTCGAGGCTTTAGAATCCGCTGACCGCTGCAGGCGAGGTTGCGCGGCCTTTGTTGGCCGTGATGTGAGCAAACTCAAGGGTAAAGGAGGTGGTAAGTTCAAATACATGGCCGAGAAGGACATGGTGGAGCTTGCTGCCAAGTTCTCGCCGTATCGGTATGTTGAGACCGTTTGATCCTTGGTGTTGATTACGCCTACTTACACGATCAGGAGTTTATTCATGTGGTACATGTGGAGGATTGAGAACGTCGATGTGGCTGTTCTCGGTGGATAAGAGCAGTTTATTTACTGCCTACAAGTTGGTCAGTTAGCACACTGATCACAAAGCCAAGGTGCTGTAATGTATTTATAGGGTACCTGCATATATTGCTCGGTCATTGGTTTATAGTTGAAACTTATCCCTCTCCGAGTAGGTCTCAGGCAGCTCTGCGCTAGCGATGCTGCCCAAGCTGACACACACACCCTTCATGGTAAGCGGGCAAGCAGCAGTCTACGGGGACATAGGGAGCCCAGGTCATACAAGATCATCTAGTGTCACAAAGCGAAAACGCGAATAAAATCGATTTGTACAATATCAGTACACTCAGGCTGCGTAACCAAGCCATGGGTCGCCAACGGCACCCAAGCCATGGGTCGCCAACGGCACCCAATCCATTACGAAAAACACCAGGCGTCTATTTCATGCCAGAAACATGCTCTTCCAATCCATTTTCATATTCTATGGAGCAAGCGAGCACCGCTTACTTGCGGACAACAAGGTTGTCGAGGTCGGCGCGCTCCTGGGCCTCCTTCTCGACCTCGCGGATGATGGGGCTGAGGTACTCAACGTCCTATGAAATCGATACTATTAGCATTGTATCCATTAAGGTGGGGTGGATGTGGTCAAAGTGAGTCGGGGTGAAAGTGACAAATCCGTGCAACAGGATTGGCCGATATGGAGACTAATGCGGGGAGGACGAAATTTGGATGTTGAGATTTGGGGACTCACCTCCTCGGGCTTGATCTGCTCGTTGGCGGGAAGGAGAGTGTGGGAGATGGAGCACTGCAATTGACATCGTCGTTAGACTTGATGGGGACTTGACGGGGAAGGGGGACTATGTCGAACCTGGAATGCACGGCGGATACGGAAGACACGGTCGTAGGCCTCCTTCGCAGGAAGACGCTTGATGGCCTTCTGGACGTTCTCAGACTCCTCGGGAATCAGGTCATCGAACCTATTCAACCGGTTAGTATGTGGTTCAATCCGACCCTGTCGCGAGCGATATCCGAAGAGCCGGGAACCCTGGGCAAATTCGACATGACTGCGATCGCATTCAAAAGAGATGCCACCATTCAATGACGATATAGCCCGGAAAGTCCCCAATGCTTGTTTCAATCGCTCGTGGTCGGGTCGAGGGTGGGTGAGAATTACTTGAGTCCGAGTCTCCTGTAGCCGGCGGCATCGGTGTACCAGTGGGAGAGAGGAGTCAAGAAGCTCTTGAGCCATGGGCGCTTGACGATGTAACTGGCGAGTGAAGGGGCAGACATTTTGAATCCCGGGTATCACAATTGACGGTGTGGTGAAGGGGGTTGAAGGGCAGTCCGGCTGGAACACGAGATGACCCGATGTTGCGAAGTTGTGCAAAACGGAGCTAGATCGGCTAGTCCCAAAACGGTAATATCATGCCTCAGGTGTTAATTACACGTGACCTAACGACATTGGTGCCTCAGGCCGCAAGTGGGAATGTCAATCGGCGCTCTCCACCTCACAGACGGGTTTCCTATGTCATAACCCCTTCTCGACATCTTTTCGATTGCTGACTGGGCTTGGGGCTTGTCGACTCTACAACGAATTTCTAATCCCTGCTTTGTGCCAGAAGCTTGTTTGTTCCGACAACCCCGCCCACGTCCGTGCTGCACAGCAATTAAGGACATTGCATCGAGCACCACCGGGTTCGGTAATCATCGGCTCCAGAAACTTCGCACTCAACCGCTCCTTTTCGATATCATCTCCCTCACACCATATCTGATTTTTGGAATTCGACCGGATCCCCGCATTCCCCAGCTCATTTTGAAATACGGTTCTTGGGTTCCGGATCGAGCACCCGATATGCTCGCGTCCGGGGGCCCTCGTTGATTCAGTACGGTCCGACAAGCTACGTGAGCGCCGGCCACCAAACATGACTTCCAACGGCCGAAGCGCTCCGGGCAGCTCCCTAGACCAAGCTCGGTCACATCACACCGACAATACTCCCCACGTACCCATACCGAGTTCCGATCTCAAGTCTCGCCTTGAGATCTTTGCCAGCAAGATTCCCAACGGCTACATTGCACCTTTCTGCGGAGCTAGTGCTGGCGTCGCATCCGGTATTGTCACATGTCCTCTCGATGTCATCAAAACGAAGTTGCAAGCCCAGGGTGGGTTTCGGAGAGGAGGAGCTCAAGAAGTTGCTTCCGGGGCCATATATCGTGGGATGATTGGTAGCGGCAGGAGAATCTGGCGCGAGGATGGTATTCGTGGTCTTTATCAAGGACTTGGTCCTATGTTACTTGGATATCTCCCAACCTGGGCTGTTTACCTAGCGGTCTATGACCGCAGTCGTGAATATTTCTATGATGAAACAGGTATGCCCGTTTCCAGACCCATCAATCGAACATCTGACTAACTGATATAGTTCCAGGAAGTTGGTGGTTATCTCGCGGCTACGCCTCCATCACTGCAGGTGCATGCTCCACAATTGTTACAAATCCCATTTGGGTCATTAAGACGAGACTCATGTCGCAAAGTTTGAAACAGAACAGCGAAGGAGTCCGCGCGCCATGGCAATACTCAGGCACATGGGATGCCGCGCGCAAAATGTATCAGATCGAAGGCATTCGATCCTTCTACTCCGGCCTAACCCCAGCTTTACTGGGGCTGACACACGTGGCCATCCAATTCCCCCTCTACGAATATTTGAAAATGGGATTCACAGGCTACGGTATCGGTGAACACCCCGATTCGGGCAGCTCTCACTGGATTGGGATCTCCGTCGCCACTTTCCTTAGCAAGATCTGCGCAAGTACTGTCACATACCCCCATGAGGTCCTGCGCACTCGACTCCAAACACAGCAGCGCACTGCGCCGGCGCCATCTCCCGAAGAAATAGCTTTCCGAGGCGGACTGAATCACCCGCATGATCGGGGCCGTTCGGGTGGCATCTCTTCTTCCGATGGGATGCGAAATCGCCCACGCTACAATGGCATGATTCGCACGTTCCAGACAATTCTCAAGGAAGAGGGATGGCGTGCCTTCTATGCTGGGATCGGCACGAATCTGTTCCGGGCTATTCCGGCTGCTATGACGACTATGCTCACATACGAATACCTGCGAAAGCAAATCAGCACCTATCAACACGAGGGCAAGCTGAAGCTTGAGATGGAACAACAATATCAGAATCCCATTTGATACCCCGTGGTCCACTGAGGCCCATCAAACACCAATCACTTCTCCCCTCTCAAATCCCAACCACGCACGGTCACAGCTCATCAAATTATTTCCTTTCTCCCTGTATAGATGTGGACGAGCTGGCTCACTCGAGATTTGCCGGCAATCTTTTAGCGAGTTACATTTGGCTTCTGCATTCTGAAAACGTTTCGGCATAAATGGCTCCAGAACTTGAAGATCATGTGAAAAGTCACATGCATTCATGTGCTCCCGCTCTGACATTGAGCTCTTGAGCATGGTCTCGGTTCTTATTTGCTTGCAACCTGTCTCCGATTCTCTTGGCTTCTGCATGTTATCTCTGTACATACATCATTTTACATGCTTGTTATCGTGAACAATCTGGATTTTATGGACATCCTTTCAGGTAGTTCATGGCATATCATAAGTCGACACCAAAGGTACAAAGTCGGAACGGCTTGGAAATAGATTAGTAGAATCTAGCTTGGCTATGCTAGACCAATGCTCATCGCAAGTGAGAAAACACAGCGGATACCATTTCTTCGTATACTGGAAATCAAGGTTCGTTTCTCCCATCTCAAGGTAGCATGCCTTGTCTCATTCCAAAGCTTTACTTTTTTTTTTTTTTTTTTTTTTTTTGAATGTACAGCAAAGACCTCTAGAACACCTAAGACGGGTGGTATGGTGGTATCTACAATCGATGAATTGTGTCTAGACCTCAACTGTTCAATTACATCTTAGGACACATTATATCTCGGCGGTCATATTACCCCCTCATATCGCGATGAGAGTAACATTTAGTTTAGAAGGTTGACTAGTATACTTAGTGTGCGAATCTGAAATCCAGCCTCTTGCTCCCTTGCTCCCGAGTGTTCTTGATATAATCAGCCTTTTCTCTCTCCGACTTTGCATTCCACACCTTGTCACGTCTCCGGTTCTCAAACACATAGTACAGCTTTGCTCCAATGAAGATGAAAATTGCGAGGATGTTGATAGCAATGAGAGCAGTGTTTCCTCTGCGATATTTTGGCTTGTCGTCATCTCTGTAAATGAAGTACGCAGCGATATCACCTGCTTGGACGGACATCTGTGGGAGGCCGTTAGTGAGATTCACTCATTCTTTTAGAACTTAATGGCTCACGTTGTAAAGCGCAGCTGAAACCGAGCGATTTCCGACATTGTTGGCATTTCTTGAGACCCAAGCAACGACAATCGCTTTCAAAACATTAGTGTCTATACTTTATTGGATTTGATAGGCACATACCGTGGCAATATGGATAACTCAATAGCACTGTTACAACAGCATATGTGCCCCAAGCATTTGAGATGACATCGGGCCAGAACCGCAGCGCAAGGAGGCAAGGTAGTGTCCAAATAGCCTGGAACATTGCGACCAGGGACCACTGATTGAGTCGACTAGAGACCCATGTAATCAGGAGAAGGTTGAAAATGTGGAATACACTGGCCGGGATTGTGAGCAAGTTTGTGTTGAACTTGTTGAATCCAACGGAACGAAGGGTGAGTGTGATATAAGAGTTCACTGGGGACTGAGGGATATATGCGATCACACCGATAGCATAAATCGGCCACATGTGATAGTCTTTGACGGCGCTCCACAGCCTAGTGGGAGTGATGGCTTGTCGGTTGTGCATGTCACCCTTGGAAGGGTCATCGCGGAGGACTCGGTTGGCGACAATTGCGATTTCGCGGTCAGTAAACCATCCCTTGGGCCGGAACCAGGTCTTCGTTTGAACTACTGATGCCGGCATCATGAAGAACGAGGAGAGTCCGATGGCAAGGGTAATCAGGCCCTCGATGAGGAAGAGCCATCGCCAGCCTGCGAGGCCGTGTACTCCGCTCAAGTGGAATACTGCGAAAGCCAAAAGGGACGTGACGATCGTTGTGACCGATAATGAAGTCCAGAAGAAACTGGAGCTGGCTTAGCAAAGGGTGCATTGTGAGACAGAACAGAGGGGAGAACGTACCTCAGACGCACTGGGAGTTCTCGGCTGGTGTAGAAGTAAGAAAGCCAGAGAACGATGTCAGGAATGAAACCACCCTACACAACGTTGGTTAGTATCGATTTTTGCTACTGTCAAACTCCTACTCACCTCGAGAACACCTAGCAAGGCACGCGTGACCAAAAATGTCTTGCGGTCGGTCAGAGCGCATTGTGAGATAGCAACCACAGACCACAACACCATCTGGATGGGAATCCACCGATCCGGTCCAAGTTTCTTGGACACCAGCTGTGAGGGTAGCTCGGCAACGAGGAATGATAAACGGAAGACGATATTTCCATAGTTGTAATCTATAGTTGGTAAACATTAGACGGCTGCCTGTCGACGTCAGAGGATTCGATTTACCATTGGTAGTCAAATTCAAGTCCTTCAAGAATGTATCTGAAACTGCTTGGACAAGATTTCCCCGATCGACTTGAAGCGCGAAGAACATTACACACTGTGGGGGTTAATCATGATCCGCGAAGATGTTGAGTGAATGACATACAGCCCACAAGCAGATCCTCAAATCCAACTTCCGCACCAAGCGCTTTTCCTCATCCTCCGACCAAGTAAGCGAAGGATCAAATACATGTCGACATTCGTATTGCGCTTTCTCGTATACCGTGCGCCAGTACTCTGCGGCATCCGGGTCCAGAAATGGGTTCTTCACATCGGTGCTTTCCCCTACTGGCTCCAGGGTGCCATATGATCTCTTAGTTTCGGGCACAGCATCGCCAACTGTGGCCACCGCTGTACTCTTTCCATCGTATGCGCTCATGTTTCGGGTTGAGAGGCGGTCATGAATATCTCCCATGCATGTTTGGGAAGGGTCCCCTTATAAGACATTTCAAAAGATCATCCCCGCAGCAAGGTAAATCAAATTGCGATAGTACTGACTGCTAAGATGTGCTAGAGCTGCACGGTAGTCAGTTGGGGATTTATCCTAATTCCTGACTTTCATTGCGTGCTTTGTGCCACTGACTTTCCCAAATTCTCCAGGGGCCGCATGATCAGGGTCCTAGGCTATTCTCACGACAAACAGTTATCTCGATACTCGAGTCAATTTTGAATGAGCATCCTACAAGCTCTTCGTAAACAGCAGGGCGAAAGCACCTTGTTCGACCGAGTATTGTATAGAGCCTGAGATGGCGCCATCTTAGTCTGTCGGCCTTGGCGGATGATACACATGGAAACTTTCCCAGCTAAGCATCATTTCCGAATGGCTTGAAATGCCAAGGATTCCACACCTCACAGATAAGCTCATCTTCGCCGGTGTGGTCATGTTGGTGTTGAGTTGCCCGAGTGAGTGCCCCCGGAGTCCGGACTATGAGAGATGCAAACAGATCAAACACGGAGCTGAGTGCTGGGCTTCTTCAACGTCTGTACCTTTCTCGCCACAGGCGCAGACATCATGGACCAGGCTATATCTGTCACCATCTGTCTGAATGGAGCTGCAGCTTCCACTTCATATGTCACATCTTTTTCAACGGGTGGCAAGATAGAAGGAAATATAGCAATATCGCCCAACAGAAACACCCGCTTTCATGACATGGAAATATTCCTCCTAGGTATGTAACAACGAACATACATGACCTACCAAACATCTAGTTTGGCTGGGCGTAATCTCCAAATACAAAAAAAGAAGTATGTGGCTAACAGACACGGCAGGCGATGAGTATACAACAGTCAATCATGCAAAGACGCATCGTCGATTTCTAAACGTGCAATATCCCATACAAGATCATTCACTTCCATCGCCCAGGGTCCTTGAAAAAGACCAGAAATACCATATCCCCTTCTCATTCACAGTTGCTGACCATCTGCCCATGAGTGCTTGTGATCACGAGACTGCTGGCCATGCCGTGAGGAAAGCTCATCTTCGCCCACCTCCAAGTTTCGGAGATGCTATGGTCGCCGGCTATGGCGGCAAACTTCGAGATGACTTTGCACCCAGAGAATGCAGGATTGTGTACACAATTCAATTCAGCCTCCGGCGTAGTCACCTGGCATCTGGACAAATCAGTACTATATTCACGGACTTTTTCAAGCTGCGGATCAAACCGTCTACCCCAGCTGAGCCCTATCCAAACCAGTCACCGATCCGATGCATTCAAGACTCTCCATTTTACGGAAAGCAGACAATTCTGCCCGGTCGAGCGAAATCGGCCCTTGGGACTCTCTCTATGGCGATAGAGGAGCCTACGAGTTTCCGGCTTCCTTTACACGATCCTACCAGTCTCATCAGCAGCTCAATTAGGATCAATGTCGTATACACAGCAGAGGCTGAACCGATTTTCCCTCAGTTCCGATCTGTTGGGGGTCACTTGACTTCGACAACAGTGTTCACAAATACCTGTCACACAGACTTCCCCGAAAAGAAGAAGAATTCACTCGGCAGGGCGTTGAACTATCATGTGGAGCAATTCCCTCCGTTCACGAACTCATTTTCCTCGTTAGATTGGAGGCACGAGTCAGAATCAAATCGCTACTCGGCGACTCTCTTGGTTCCCGTCACTCTCCCTCGTCAAAATCTCATCCCCACCTTCCATACTTGTTTGATATCTCGGATATATCACCTTCATATCAAGGTGGTGGTGAAAGATGGTGCGCCCTTTGAGTTCAAGATTCCAGCTCATATCTTTGCAAGAGAGGACCCATCGCATTTGCCATCTTATGATGCAACTGTTGGGTTGGATCAGGACCAGGAAATTCTGCTCCCAGAGACAAGTGCTTGGCTTTCTTCGGATGTGCAGCCCTAGAGTGGCCATCTGGTGTCCCGCAGAGTCAACAAAGGCCATGCTCTGTTGATCATTAACCGTCCGAAGGGGAATAGAATACTCTTAGTCCTGGGAAATGGGCTGGATGCCGCACTGCATGGGACCAGGTCTTTTTCCAACATTGCGATTATAGACACCAGTCGAGGCACATATGTTCGCCGTGATACTCGCAATGATACCCGTCAATTTCGACTACAGCGTCGAAATCACACGATGTATGAATTGCATATAGAAATGAAACCACATATCTGGCCCTTTCGTCTGAGCTAGTATGCTGTCAAATTCGTCAAGTTTATCTTGAATTCAGTAAACTGTAAGCGTGCACATTCCAAGGTTAGATTCAGATGCCCAGTCTTCCTGGGTTACAGAGTACTTCGATCTGATTGGTGCTCATGACATCCATGGGTGGGCTGGTGGGAAAATATTTACCACTGGAGCGATTGGTTTAAACCAGTGTACACGATAAAATGTAAGTGTAAGCCTCGGAAACGTGGACCAACAAAAAATATCGCAAACCGAAGTATCGTGGAAATTTTATCTTCTTCAAAGCGACGTATCTGGTTTGTTGCTACTAAAAATACTCGGCCCGTTGAATTGATCCCCCGAACCGCGGGTCTTAATGACAACCCGCAAATCAACATGAACGTGAAAAAGTACGGAAAAGGTGTGCCTTGGATCATTGTTCTGAAGTCATGCGATTGGGTGCAATATACTCCGCTGTAGTGCAGTTCCAAGGAATTACCCAAGAGCGAGCCTAAGAGCCATGGGTAGCGATACATTGGAAATTTTCGGCCCAAACCGAACAAATCGAAGATATCAACAGACTGATTCCTCGCTTCGATATTTTGCATGCACAACCAGGAAGTGTCGAGTAACTACTCCGTAACTCAACTACGGGGCCGGACTCCAGTGGTTGCGTCAGCGGTCTATTCGTACGCTCCTCTAGACCCCATCAACTAGTAAAGAAAAAAAAAGGTGGAGATCAACCAATCGTTCATGCATTGCAATTGGTTGGGCGAGTGAGAACAAAGATTAACATTTGGCCCAAGTTGTCTGACCAAGTCAGATAGTCTCGAAACAAGCTTCAATCCTAGTCTATGATACCAACCAAGAAAATCAAATAAACGGTCACATTTCAGCCACCGTTTGCTCGGAACAGGTTAGAGGCACATACCCCAGAGTGGTCGGGAGAATTGCGCATGTTTCTTGGTTTCTTGGGTTTTGGAACTTTTGTCTGTGTGGTAGGCAGTGTTCGGGTGATGGGTATGTGGCCATTCCCACCCCTGGATACAAGTGTGAATAACACCGCTCTTGGTCAACACATTCCAGAGCGTGGTTAGTCTCCAGCCCTTTCGAAAGGATATCCGGAATGCGAACTGAATGCCATGTGAAATTTTCGAAATGGCATGGCGCTGTTGGTACCCCGTACTGTGACAAGCGACGGTCAGCTTTAAACAGCGACGACGGCCGAGGCCGCGCGGTATCCATAGGTGGCTGTGGCGCTCGACGGTATTTCACGACCGAGTTCATCGATTCTTGTGATCGAGTATTCGCGTGCAAATCAGCGCGGCTGTCCTACAGAGCCTAAGTCATAACTGACAATCAAATTTCAAACGAGTATAAGCGATCGAAAATACAAAAAATAAACAAATATACTGATCACTTGTGGACCGTTACAAAAGTGGAGTGAGACTGTACGGAGCAAGTCGGCCCCGTTCTGAAACATTGCCAACTTTACGCTGTAACGTCGTTTAGGCATAATTGATAATAGCTTTGTTGCCACCCATACAGACATGAGGAGGAATATGGACGACGATGTTGATAAATAACATTCAGGTTCGAAAATCTTCGTCTGTGGGTTATATTGGGTCCAAAAAAGTGGAATACGATCCGATCATCGACTCGGGCCGATGAAGCTCTAGACATTACCTGATCGTCACGGTTCAAGTGACAGGAGCACCGAGCTAGCTATACTTGTAGCCGAGTTGGACATCTGTGCACTGAAATTTTCATTACTCCGTAACTCATACGGAGTACTAAAATGCGGTTATTGCGATCGACTCGAGGCATCCTTGTACATCTGGAATACGTGCATTGCAGGCAAGGATAATTCGGTGTGAATCGCAATATATAGGATGATGGGCTTAGTGTGCGAGGATCTACTGAGTACAATGCACGGAGTACTCTATATGAGTGAAGAATTGAGCGAAAGGTGAAAGGTACAGTACAAGTAGTTTTGGCGACAACGCCAACTTAACACCCTATCTACACAAGTTACAGTATGTCTTAGATATTGACAGCGTTGAAAAGGGGTTTGTTGCTCAGGGGATCGCGTGGCAACTGAAAATAGAATTTTTCTCGTTTTGACACCATTTGAACATCGCGCGAGGGGCGATCGTCTCATCTCAGAAGATTTCAGGAAAACAGTGACAATCCAGGAGGTCATTCCAACGTGCCAATAAGAAGTCATGCATGCCTGGAACAATCGACGATAGCGGCAGGGGGGGCGGGTCCCTCGAAGGCTTGGATTCCCGCAAATTTAGATCGCCCACTATCAATTGCTCGAAATACATTTCGCAGATTGCGTCTTATTCTGTGACATTGAAATACCTACATCCATGGATGTGGCCTGGGGGTACTCCGTATAGATATAGGGGTTTGGGATCTACGGAGTACATGAGGGCTCTTCATCCTTGCCATATCATATCCAATCATCAACAATATCAGGAATTGGAAGGACAGGCGAGCTTTGCATAGATGACGTTACCAGTTGATAGATAGCACGCGGTCTAAATTTTTGTACATTGGTACCAGGCTAGTAATTAACAAGTGCTATTCTAAGTATCCTCATGAAATTTGGCTGGACTGTGCAATGTATAATTCATAGGCGCATAACCATTGTCCAAGGTACCAAGCGTGGATACACAATTACATTTGATAGGCCCAAGCGAGACGCAGGACAAGTGGCAAATGGTATCTACGACTCTACTCACATTGAACAGCAGACTTACAATGTGTACCTTGCCGATTGCATAGCCCTAATCAAAAGTAATCACAGACGGAAGAGTGAGGACGATGTGATAGTTCGATTTCCAATAACAATCTTCCGCATTGAGGAAAAGACAAGCATAATTTACCACGTGTGTGTAGTAGAATACGTGTAGAAAGGGGGAATGGGGATTGGAGTGGGACGAGAGGATACTAGCGCCAAGTCAAAAAGCAGGAATTGACCGCGGAAAATCAACTTTTGGGTGGAAGTTTGGTGTAGAGTGGTATTTTATAATTCTGGTTGGTATTGATTGGTAATTTGCTAACAATTTGGTAATTTGCAATCTCCCTTCAATGGTTGAAAGCGGTGATAAAATACAGCAGCCACCGGATGCGGTACTGTGTGTGTTTGCCCCCCTTGGTATTGTCGTACGAGTAAACATATAAGAAAAAAGTGGTACCTTGGTAAGATACCAATCTCCACTGACTCCCCTTTCCTCTTCCTTCTTCTTCTTCATTTCTTCCCCAACCCTGTCCATTCGTTCTTACCATTTGAGAGTTCCTGCCCACACACTTGGCAGTTATCACCGCTTCCCTTTCGTTTGAAGCGCTTCTTCTTCCACTCGTTGCGAATTATACTACCCACATCTCCTAATCCGTACGTGTTGTGATCGCGAAGTCTCTCTGGTTCAATTACTGACGCGAAGTAGAATTTATCATGTCTCTCAAGTACCTCCTCCCCGCGCTCGCCGCGACCGCTGTGTTCGCCAGCTGTGAGTCTCCTACCTCCCTTGTTTGCGAGATTGTCCGACTGACATATTCCAGCCGACTGCGGTGACACCAAGATCAAGACCCAGAGCGACGCCGATGGCATCAACTCTTGCACCACCATCAAGGGTGACATCACCATTGATGAGTCCTACAGCGGTGACCTCTCCCTCAGCGGTATTGAGAAGATCACCGGTGGTCTCAAGTCCTCCGAGGCTGCCAACGTCAGCTCCATCACCGCTCCCGAGCTCACCAGCATTGGTGACGCCTTCCAACTTGAGGGTCTCACCACCCTCACCCTGCTCGACTTCGCCGAACTCGACTCCGTTGGCAGCATCAAGTGGGATGCTCTCCCCAAGCTGCAGTCCCTGAGCTTCGCCAAGGGTGTCAATCAGGCCGGTGATGTCAGCATCACCAACACTGGTCTGACCGACCTCAACGGTATCTCCCTCGAGACCGTTGGTCTTTTCAGCATCCAGAACAACCGTGACCTGAAGACCATCAACATCAACAACCTGAAGAACGCCACCGACTCCATCAGCTTCTCCGGTAACTTCGACACCCTTGAGGTTAACTTCCCCAACCTCGGCACTGGTAAGGGCATGACTTTCCAGAACATCTCTGCTGTCTCCCTGCCTTCCCTCGAGAAGCTCACTGGCCAGCTCGGCTTCTGGGGTACCAAGTTCGAGACTTTCTCCGCCCCTAACTTGACCCAGACTGGTGACTTGGTCTTCAAGGACAACTCCAAGCTGTCCAACATCTCCATGCCCGTTCTGAAGACCGTCAGCGGTGGTTTCACTATCGCTCGTGATGACGACCTCAACATCATCTCTCTGTCCAGCCTCCAGACCGTTAAGGGTGCCATTGACTTCAGCGGTACCTTCAACAAGTAAGTGACAATTGCATCTTATTTTCGCAAATAACAAACGCTAATACCTCTTTACAGGGTCTCTCTCGGTGCTCTGAAGGATGTTGAGGGTACCTTCAACATGCAGTCCACCCACGGCAACTTCTCTTGCTCCGACTTCAAGCAGCTCAAGACCGACCATGTCATCAAGGGTGACTTCAAGTGTGATGCCACCAACAACAACCCCACCACCTCCAACGGCACCTCCGGTACCTCCGGTACCTCTACCGGCAGCGGCTCCTCCAGCACCTCTTCCGGTGCTGCCTACTTCAACGGTGCCAACGTCCCCGTTGTTGGTGTCGCCGCCTTCTTCGGTGCT